CACGCCTGAAAAAATTGATGCAAACAAGGCGTTCAGCCCTTTCCGATGCCTAGGGGCTTTCAAAACACATCTGCTCTTGAAGAAGAGTCAGGGTCACGCAGCCCAGAATAATAGGGCGAATTGCAACAATGGAAAAATCACAGACATCTTAACCAGCAAATTTCATTCGTTATAGCTGAGTCCAGTCGAGCTCACAAAAAGTCGTCCAAGTGGGGAAGGCAGTATGCAAAGGAGCGACAAATTTTTGAGCCTTGAGGAGGTGAGGAATTGCACAGGGCCTGTTAAGCACACGAATCCCATCATGATGATGTTTCGAATGATGATAAGAAGATTGCACACTTTTGCGAGAGCTCTATGTGTTGGAACTGCAAACAATCTGACGTTGTTGAGACCCTCCTTGGGCATGCTGCAGAAGTGCCTCAAGCTGGAAGAGGAACTCCAGATGTCCAACCACACTATTCTGTCACTCCTGGAGCAAGGTGTCGAGGCCAAGGAGGTTGAGCTCAACAGAGGTCAGTGCCTTGCCCTCGCCCAACCCCTGTGCATTCCACAGAGGGTCTTCCGCAGTTCTTTGTGCAGAACACCATCCAGGCACAAGCCTGTCAGTAGCATAGCATTGTGATTGCAATGATCTGTGCAACAGGTGGCATCCCTCTAAGGAAGGGCGCTTCATCAGTCCCTAGTGCACAGGTACTGACAATGCCTGCCTCACAGCAGCTGCCCCTGCTGCCTAACCCTCTCTGGGAGCCTCAGGGGCAGGCCAGCAAGCAGGCAGCCGATCTCCCAGCGCATCCTGTCAGCTCCTCAGGCCATTCGCATGACCAAAGCATGAGCGTCGGCAGCATGCAGTCTGACTCCGCCTCAGGGCAGACCTCTGGCAGCACTGTGGCCCCCCGCTCTGCAGGCCACTGCGAGCCCTACAGCAGCGACAGGGAGCCAGACCTCATCAGCCTGTCGCCGCCGGCTCGCGCAGCTGACTCCAGGGACAGCGCTGCCTCGCTGGGTGCTCCATCCTGGCTGGGCCAGAAGCCACCTGCTGGGGTCAATTGCTGGCCTCCTCCTGTTGGAGTGAAGGGCACCAGGCCAGGACTGGCAGGGGCACAGGGGGAAAGGCTGAGGGAGGCGAGGAGGAAGGGCGCGGCCGAGCATGCGCAGATCAGGGCACTGGCAGATTCCCGGCCGGCTTGGAATGCCGGCCCGGCTGCGCGGCCGCCGCCGCGCGGCCGCAAGCCGGCGCAGATCGCGCCGCAGCCCGATCAGCCCCTGGTAGGACCCTCCACTGCGAGTCCCTCAGGACAGCTTCATGCTTACTCATTGCAGTCCCTCTCACAGTCAGCAGGAACAGTAAGCAGGGGAACAGTCAATGAGAAGCATGGGATGAGGGAGTGCATCAAGATACCGAGATAACTGCATTCCTTAATTTACCTTCCTGGTGTTCGGACGCTTATGTGGAAGGTGTCTATATTGCAGGGACGGAGAGATGATCTGAGCCCGATCCTTGCAGAGCATGCAAGGCCGCATGGTGATGTGACGGCGCGCAGTGTCTCGGGCGGCGCCGTCGCGCGATTGGCCGCCCAGCGCGCAGGCAGCCGGCGCCCGGCAACCAAAGCCTCGTCAGCGTCTGTGCAGGTGAGTGCTACTGCCCCAACAATACTGCGCATGTGGTTCCCGTTAAAACGATGCCATGCTGCAAACATGGACCCAATGCCTTTGCGCATAACGCCGCTTCACAGAGGAGGGATGACCATGACTGGCCTGGGGTGCAGGTGCCTCATGCGGCAGACAGGCTGCAGCAGGCAGGCCAGCAGGCGCAGCTGATGAGTCAGCCTTCTGACGCAGCGGGACAGGTGGAGTCAGCGGCCCACCGCGAGGCGCATGCCCAGAATCGCCTGAAGACCAAGGTCATCGCGGAGCTGCAGAATCACAAGAGGCAGCTCGCAGGTTCGGCAACCTTCCACTACTTGCAGCGCAAAGCTCAATACTTCTGTGCCGCCGCCGTCTAAATACCGTACAAATTGCAGATGAAGAATTAGCCTCCAAGCTTCTCATCAGGCACATTTCTGCATTCACGGCTCATGTGCTTGACAGGATATCATCCACAAAAAGCTCGATCTATGACAGCAAGCACAGCTCAGTCGAGCGATACAGGACTTGCATCCGCCTTTGACACCAAACCGCGCAAAAGAAGTGTCATTGTTGTCAGAATTAGAACCGAGCGCATGGGATGATCCACAAATTGACAGTGTTCTCTCTAAGCATCCTCTTCCTCAACAGTGTAAGACACCTCCGTCCTGGAAGCTGAGCCCCTCTAACCAGGGGCAAGGTCTGGTCTGTTGTCTTGTGTTAGCCAGGTACGAGCAATGCGCCAAGAAGGCAGCCTACCACCAACAACGCCCAGCCCCTTCCCAGGCTGGGCACCTGAGGCAACCAGCGCTGAAGGATTGGGGACACCAACCTGTTGCGCTGTGTCGCAGAGGAGCTGGAGGCGGCGGTTGGGGAGAACGCTGCGCTGAGAGAGGCGGTGGCGAGGGGCGGCCGCGCCAAGGAGCAGGTCGACCAGCTGCTGGACGCGCTACGCCGCGAACGCGAAGCGCATCACAGCGCAGCGCAGCAGGCTCAGCGCGCGCAGGAGGACTGCGCCCGCGCGCAGCAGCGGGTGCGGTGCCGCATACCTCGCTCATGCTTCGAAGAACTGCTGCTGCTGCTGCTGTGGAATGCCTTTTTACTCTATTCTGCTATTTGAGCACTGCTGGCAGCGTGGCGCTGCCACACCCAATAAGGATCAAAGTGCATGGGGCTCATGACTGAGGGCGTGTGCCTGAAGTCTTTCAAATAAGGTTTGGGGTGAGATGGCGCATCTGTGTTGCTTTTAGGTCAAGGCGCTGGTGGCCAAGCAGGCTATGGACCGGGACCACGTCCGCAAGCTGGAGACCAGGTACTCGGATGCAATATACCTCGAGTGCTTGAAGATGATCGCTCGCTGTCCTATTAAGCTTGACTGCTGCCGAGGTCCATACCTCTGCAACCCGAGCGGAGTATGTGTGTTGGTGCCAGGCTGGCGGAGAAGGCGCGCATGCTGGAGCAGCTCTACAGCACCACCAAGGACCTGAAGGCGCAGTACGAGGCCAGCCAGCAGGTACATTGCGCTGCATTCTCAATCCTGCGTTCTCAATGCTGCCCTAATTTGTCTGACAGATCCCAGACTGATGGTCCCTCTCTGTGTCATGCATCCTACATGAGCCCTGCCTTGGAAGTCTGTTTTGATTTTTCTCTTGGCAAAGTTTGACCACACGTCAGTGTCTTCAGGAGCCAACCCAGAAGGGCTCTGCACATGTACATGTACACAATCATTATCACTATTATGTTATTAGTAATATTATTATCACAATTTTTATTATACACTTGTCCTGCCGAAAGGCAAGGTACGTCCTGCAGACAAGCTGCAGTTCACACAATCATTGATCAACAATCAATAAGGTGTTTGCTGCGAATGGCCAGGACACGGCTCAGGCAGCCGGGCAGGCTTCTGCGGCTGTGCAGCACATGCGCATGCAGCTGGCACAGCACCAGCAGGAGCTGGCGGCTGCGCAGGAGACCATGCAGGCTGCAGCCGCTGCCGCCACTCGCGCCGAGGAGCGCTGTGAGGAGCTCCACAGGGACCTGCGCACGGAGCAGGAAGCCAGAAAGGTGCGCAGCTTGCTCTGCCCCTATTATGATATCTCAGTCTCTTATCATCTGTCCGTCTTCTGTGAGGTTCTGGGATGCAGAAGAGGTCAAAGACAGCGTATATACTGCATGGATTTGGACTGTCTAGGCATGGCGGGTACGAGAAAGGCAGCTGACTTTGTTGTGTGTGTACATTCAGGCAGCGGAGGCTGCTCAGGAGGCAATGCAGGATGACATGCCCAACCAGGGGAGTCCACCCACCAGCACTACCTCTCAGGCCATCCAGGTGATGCCCCTCTTCTTCTCATACATTGGTGCTGCGCGCTTCACAGTGTGCCATAAACACTGCCTTCAGACTTTTTACCATGGAGAGTGGGAGTCATGGAGAGTGGGAGTAATTGATAGTAGATCTGAAGGTACATTGGGGTGTCTTGCAGGAAGCCGAGCAGGCGTGGAACTTGAGGCGAGGATCAGACGGAGGGGAAGACGGTGATTCTCTGCAGGCAGAGCTCAGCGAAGGTGCGCACCCTGCTCCTACCAAAAATACCAGGCTCAATTCTATGCCTCAAGTTCTTCATATATAGCACCCAAACTCGCATGGGCCCCCAATTTCATACGTGCATGCAAGCGCAGAGAGTGTCTGCGGGTGCTTTATCCCCAACAGCCACATGTGTATTTCCAAGGGCAGGAAATCAAAGCTAAACCGGCCGAGAGACTCTTGGACGCTGCTGCAACGATCTGAGCACGCCATGAAAGAGGTCGGTACATCACCGCATGGCATGCGGCCACTATGTCTTGTGGGAATGATTTGGATTTTTCGTTGTGTCCGCGCAGCGCACCGAAGGGCGGACGAGCTGCAGCTGCGGCTGGATGACAGCGTTGCAGAGGCCCGGCGATACCGGCAGCGCGCCAAATGGCTCACGGCCGAGGTGGCCGCCTTCCGCGGTCGCATTGCCGGTGCGTTCTTAGCCCCTCACGCTGCCCCTTTACGACTCCCCTCCCCACACATGATCCTGTTTGGCATGTGTATTTTTGTAGTCCTCCATTGAGCATTCCGATGCATGCAACTGGCATCATTTGATGCAAGAGCACCAACCTATAAAGCTAGCAGACTCACACGCGCCCCCTGAAAGAGGCTGAATGACCTCTGTCACAATGATGGTGGCATCTGTCAGCTGTCAGATTTGTAATTTGAAATCTGAGCGTGTGGCGGCGGCAGGCCACGTGGATGAGGAGGTGTTGGAAGAGGTGGCGGCCACGCCGGACTGTGCTGCCGGGACGGGGTACGTGGGAGAGGCGCGTGCGCGTCTTCTCGATGAGCAGGAATCCCTGCGGCGCCAGCTGCACGCTCAGGTCTGCATACGTATCTCTCGCTGCCCATCAAGGATACACAATGTGGCAGTGCTGCTGCGGATCTGACATGTAGCATGCAGGACAATTTTTCCATTCGACATATCACATGTTTGAAAAGAAGCAAGTGTGCTTTTGGTCGTGTCATCTATCTCTGGCACTGCTGCAATTTGTTAAGGACTCAACCCTCAAGACAAGAGCAAGAAGCTGTTCTGGGAACCTGTAAAGGACAAAATGAGTAAATCTGGGGGTCATGAACCGTCTGCAGAAACATGACTGGCTTCAAAGTATTCCCAGAAGCGTGGGACTATGAGATCCTACACTTCTACATGCTCATGGCTGCCCAGGACGCATCAATTTTCCATACTAAACACTGCGCCAGCAAGTGCTTACGGTAGGAATGATATTGGCCCGGCAGGAGATGAAGGCGGCGGAGAGTCGGCGCGCGCATGCACTGGCGGTGGAGGTGGCGGAGCTGAAGCAGCAGCTGGCCGCGTTGCAGGCGCCCGATGACAAATCGCCCAGCAGCCTCTCGCAGTGTACGCCGCGCAGGAGCACCTCTGACACTGGCAGCCTCCAGGTGGGCACTGCAAGGCCAGCCTCCAGTAAAGGGTGATCATTTCAATGTATGGATGATCGGCCTGTCTGCAGACATATCCTCCGACCCCACATCCTGCATCTTCTGGCACAGAGCATGCAAGTATTACCCTAAGAATCAAATATGTCATTTGCATTTGCTCCAACTGCATCTGGCATGCGTAAATTTTGCAGAGAACAGCAGCAACCGTTGCATTGTGTGTGCTTCCGCTTACAAATGTTCCTGACCGGGCGGACCTGCTCTAAAGACAATCTTGAACACCGTCATCCAGCGTGTGCCTCGGCGCGAATTAGAGTAATTCAGAGCAATATCAGGGGCTGAGAAGGGCCCTTGCGATCTCTCTGCAGGAGGTGCATGTGAGCTCGGTAAAGGAAGCCTTTGAGGCGATGTCGTCCTCTGGCGGCTGGTCAGTGTACGATAACAGGGTTGCGCGCCGCGTCAGTGCTGGAGGCAGCTCTGCCAGCGCGGAGCTTTGCTGCAAAAGAGTTTTTAACCGAAAAAGATGCAAGGGGGCACTTCCGGCAGTTGGGGGAAAAATTCGTGCAGCCTGGAATGGCAGCAAATGCATCGTTGCAGGACGAGAATGGGAATCTTGGAGCAACGTGCTCTTGTAGTTGGGTCCTACATCTGACAGTTAAACAGAGAGTATGACATGGAGTAGAAATGTTACTGATTTGATAGAGTGTGGGTTTATTTGACTTTGACCTTTCCGTGACGCAGTCACTGTTTGTATGACAGCAAACACACTGTTTCGCACCTGAAAACTGCATAGTGTAAACCTATAGTTTGGTAGAGTTGCATTAGCTTGTATGCACCGCACCCTCTAGAGAAGAGTGGATAATTTGAATTGGACTGTGACTGAGGGCACTGCTTGAAACGACATGCCAATTTTGTTATGAAGTTCATAGTACGGTGTTCTGTGGGAATGCAAAAAATTTCATGGTTTTCACACAAACCCAGACTTGACCTTGAAGACTCTCACATATTTTCAGTGACCTCTGCCGCAAATTTTGCACTCATTCCTGCATGTGGGAAACCGATAACAATCTCTCAATAAGCACGCATGCAATCCGAGCATGACAAAGTGGCACTCGAAAATGTCTAAGGTCCAAACCAGCAGTCCCATTTTCCCCAACAGGTGAACAGTTCCTCTTGTGTTGCGCTGAGGAGATTGGCAGATCCAAGGACAACACATCGAGATCCCTCCTTTGAACATGGCACTAGCACACAGATGCCACACACAAATCAGCTGCATACGAACAAGATGCCAAACCATCTGCCTTGGCAACTGATCCGTCGACTACCAAGAGCAGCCCTTTCAGGTTGCCCCCTACCGCTGACGATTATCTGTTGGCCGGTGACCGTAGCGTTGCATGATCAGAAGTGCAATGCTGCACAATCTGATGTGCTCTCTCTTGCACTCCATCAGGGATAGGTGGACCACCCTACACAGCTCTTCAGCCCTGCTGACATGTCAACACCTCGACAGATACAGTCGTGGAAACTGCAACTCCGCCCTTCCTAGCATGCTGCTATGTGCGCTCAAGTTCAGCAGGCTGAGCCTACGCGGTGGGCACCGGCGACGGCGGCGGTGCTGTGAGGCGGCCCAGAATGAAGAGCACCTCTGCCGGGTCGTTGACGTAGAATGGCGCCTTGCTGGGCTTCTGGCCCACTGTGCACGCGAACACCTGCAGGGTGCGTAAGGAATTATGAGTGCTTCAGTAATTGAATTCAAAAGTACGTTCATGCAAAAGGAGATGTTGTGGTACGATACGGTATTTCATCAATTGTCGTGACACTGCATGAGCTCAGTAGCCATTCTTCTAGCCCTGACCAATGCTTGGACGTATCAGAACGGAGTTAGAAGAGCTGATTCGCTCCATATCTTTGGAGTCAGTGCAAAAACAGATTGACGGGACACAGGATGCTGCTGATGCCAACAGGCGCGTCCTTTCATGTGAATCCATTCCCAACATCTCAAGCAAATGCCAGCAAAGGTCTCTTGCTCCTACGCATGCTGAAGATTTGCAAAGCTGGGGACAGCATACTCAGCGCGTGTTGACAATAGACAGGGGCAGCAGGGGGGTTGACACAGCAAAAGCAGGGGCATCAGGCGCAGACCTCGGCGGGCATGTGGGGCATGACTGCGACGTGCTCGATGGCGATGTACATGTCTTCGTCGGAGCGGTCGTCGCCGATGCACAGCACCACGTCGTGCGCCGTGTTGGCCGCGGCCGCCTCCAGCAGGATGCGCTCGACGGCGCCGCCCTTGGACACCCCGGACGGCTTGACTTCCACAATGGCGCTGCCGGCAACCACCTCCACCGGCTCGTTGCTCAGCACGCCCTCCAGGTGGTCCAGCAGCTCCTTCGCCTGCAGAAATACAGCAGCTCTGTCATGTCAAGTGGGTGTGTCGATTTCTGGTCAGCGGCGGGAGGATGTCTCTTTGGATTTGTCCGCCACTGTCCGCTAGATCTTACAGCTTCACACGCCACCCTCGTAGCTCCTTATTCCGATCAGTGCCGCTATAACCGCGCAGCAGCCCAAAAGTTGAATCGTGCGCCAGTACGGTGGGCACTGAGGAAAGTGCAGAGATAAACACAATGATTGGAAGGCTCCACTGTCCCATTCTGGTGGCCTCAGGTATGCGCAGGAGTGTAAGGTATCTGCTGCTCAGCAACATAGCAAAGTTGATTAAATAGCTGACAAACCTATTCACAAACACCCAATTCAACATGTTCAAAGAGTATGCTGCCATCTAAGCTTCTGGTGCAATGATGTGCGACTACTGAGAATCCGTGCGGCGATGAGCAGCACAGTGCGAGTCCTGGGTCACCTGGAGGGAGCCGAAGTCTGGGTCGGCAGCGTTGTAGTGCCAGACGAGGGCGGACTCCTTCTTCTCCACGAAGGAGCCGTCGGTGGACTCGGTGTACTGCTGCAGGATGGGCTCCACGATCCCCTGCCAGCTCATCTCCTCCGTGCTACTGCGCGCGTGCCACTCCGCACCCGCACCCGCCGCCCGGAAGAAGAACCCGTGCTCCGCCGCTATGCCCAGCCCCTCCTGCGCTCACACAGGCCCATTCACTCTGGGAACCAGGTCATCTTGACCAAAGTGCTTCGTATGAGCTGGTCTGTAGAACAGAGGCTCAGCATGGCTGCAGGCCTCTTGAGTGTCCATGTAACGGCATCGCATCGGTACGTTGCAGGTGAAGTAGGCACTGGGCTCCTTGGGCCCGCCTTTGGACATTTGTTATGTCGCTCAGCTGGGCCGAAATTCCTCAGACAGCAGCTATGCCAACAGACAGCAGACGGAGAGTGGGATTCTGAGGATATCTAGCGCAGCATCATGACATTTCCGCGACCATAAGCGGGCAGAGTGCCAGCTCAAGATGCATGACATGCCCTCTGCAGGTGTGCATGTTGCCTGGAGCAGGGGAGTGAGGGGAGCGCGCACCACGGAGGCAAACCATGCGCCGAGCTCGCTCTTGCGGCGGCCGGAGATGATGTAGACGGAGTTGTGCTCGTCCGCGCAGAGCGCCTGCAGCGTCTGCAGCACCTCCTCCGTGGGGCGGCTGTTGATGTTGCTCTGCGGCACCAGCGTCCCGTCGTAGTCCAGCAGCAGCAGCCGCTTCTGCGCCCTGTCACCATAAACAATTTTGTCTCGTCAGCAACAATAAAGCAAAAATGCACACTGTCACTACTTGCTGTCGGCCCTGCTAATTCGTGAGAGTACCAACCCACACACACACTCTCAAATGATGACACTAGTGCCTTTTCAGCTGCCCCTGCTCCACCAAAAAGGTCTTTCAATTGACAAGGCAGCATCCAGTGGCTGGATCCATGCTAAGGGACTGCATGCATGCTGCGCATTATTCTTTTGAGCTGACACATAGGTCACAAAAAGGCAATTAAGGATGAAATGCAGAGTAAGTCAGAGCGCCAGAAACGTGGCGGCTCAACGACGCACTGGGTGTTGAGGAGTCATGCAAGCGCTGGAGGCGTGCACACAGACTCTATGCATGGTGCTTCTCGCTGATTGAAGATACACTGTACAATGGAATTTGGTCCAGAGGGGGACGTGGCGAAAATGCTAAGAAGCAGCGGCGCACCGGCGGAAGGCGTTGAGGAGTACGAGGACTTCGAGCTTGCGGAAGTTTTCAGTGAGGGCGACCATGCGGAAGGTGTCCAGGCCCAGGCCCAGTGCGTAGCACTTCATGCGCGCGTGGTCACGCGTCAGGTGCCGCAGGTCCGAGGCAAACGACTGCACACGCATGATCAAGCACGCCGCTAAGTCTCATCTTGAAAAATGCCACTGGATCTAAAAATCTACAGTGTACACGCCTGCGCCATCTGGTTGCAATTCGCATACACACTGCAGGTCTGCAGCAACGATTGCGCATGCGCAACCCCTTACACCTCAGATGTCCCAGCACCTCTTGAAGAGCTCAGACTAATGTCCAAGTAGCAGTACACCCTTTAGTATCAACCTCTGCGATTGGTACTTGTAGGACAAGCCGATATTGGGAGCAGCAAGTGCCTGGCCTCGCTGCGGGGACACAGACAGCAGTCCGAAATGTGATCCCACCAGAGACCGGCATTTGTGCGCCAGCAGCGAGTCCGGAATTCACTCCTCCCTTTTCCCTTACGCCAAATCTGGAGGCATTGCTCGACTGCGCTCTGCTCAATGGGACTCTGTGTTTCCAAGCCCATTGATACGAGCAAAATCCAGGACCGATGCCACCAGACTCGGCGCAAAAGACCAAGAACTGGCTTCATGGCTAACTGGAGTGGTCTGCACATAGCACTTGCCTGAAGAATTCCAAGTTTCTCGAATACATCTACCTGTAAATTCGGTGTTGTTTCTGGCTCCTCAAAACCCACTTTCGGAGCTCGTTTGGATTTAGGCAGGCCATCCCAATGATTGCCCCAATTCTCAGGTGCTGCTCCAGGTTGGGCGGACTCGATATGGAGGGGAGAGGGCGTGCCTGGGCCCAGAAGCGGACGGTGTGCTGGGAGACGTAGCGCCAGTGCTTGTCGTGGCGCAGGTGGCGGTCGGCGGGCGGCATTTGGATGGCGGTATAGATGCCGTCCGCCAGGCTGTCGATGGACCAGGGGTTCACGCGAATTGCCCCGCTCACCGACGGGGAGCAGCCCACGAACTCAGACACCACCAGCATCGAGTTCTTCTCCGCCGCGTCCACGTCCTGCCGCCACACGCACCTCTCAATCCTTAATGACACTACTCTCTTCGCCGGAGACATGTTTCAAATGTGCGAACTTTGAAATGACATTTGAAAGATGAAAGATGACATCATCTGAAAATGAATGAGCGACCCATCAAAAGACATATGCCAGCCACAGACCACACAGTTCTGTCAGATGGAACTGTCTGATCTGTCATGTGGCATACGACACATGACAGGTGACATGTCTCTCTGTCGTCCCCAAAAGAGCCAATTGACAACGGATGAGCTTACAAGCCCCTTCCAAATAACCAGAAGATGTGAGCATGGTCTTGCAGTTGCAGACTGTTCATTTTCCTGCAGCAACAATGCTACTCATTAGAGGATGCATCAAGACTCACCGGCTGGCCCTGGCGGCTGACGATGTACTCGTAGGGGACCAGGTTCATGCCGTCACGCGTGGCGGCCACCACGGCCACGTCAGCGACGCTGTAGAGCGCAATCTTCTCATAGAGGGGCACGCTGCGCTCCAGCCACACTACGGGCTGGTAGTCCTTGGTCCCGTACTTGCCGTTGATTCGCTCCACCAGAGAGACCGCAAAGTCGTGCAGCTCCTGCACGTCCTTGCCCGGCGACCTGCGCGCACATGACAGCGCCCGTGTCAGCAGGATGCGCGCACGAGATAGCGCCTCTGTCAGCATCATGCGCGCAAATTATAGCGCCGATGTCAGGATGATGTGCGCACATGACAGTGCAGAAAGTAGCATGGGGTTCTGTCCGAACTACAGGCTACACTGGAAACAAGTGCCTGTGCATGGTTGCCTTGTTGATGTGTAAAGGAGTCACGACCCTTGGCATGGCTGGAGCAATGTGCATGAGACCCATGCATGCAGCCTCATTGAGATGAGGAGAGAAAATTGTAGGGCTGAAGAGGCACCTGGGGGCATTGGTGACTTGGACGAGGACGAGGCGGCCGCGCCACTCAGGGTGGTAGTCCAGCACGCGCTCCACTGCCAGCAGCTTCAGCTCAATGCCCTTGAACAGGTCCATGTCGTCCACGCCGATCAACACCATCTGCCCCTTGAACTGCACAGCCGCACCAGTGCAGCGTCAGCCATGCATGTGAGATATGCACATCTGCCGCAGCCGGAAACAATAAGGAAATGTGCAATCGTGGGGTGAAGCACACACCTATGGCAGGCTCACGCCCTGGACGATCATCCTCAACTGCAATGTGTCTTACAGCAAATGCTGCACCTCACCACGATGCTGATGCAAAGAGGAGTAATTGTTACATAAAGACTGCAAGGCATGGCATGACGAGCGGACCTGCGAGAGGAGCTCGCCGCGGCGCCAGATGGTGTCCTGCCAGCCGAAGCCGTTGAGGAAGCGCTCGGGCTTGACCCCCGTGGGCATGATCTTGATGCCCACGTTGCGGCCGTAGTACTCGATGCTGATGGATCCGCGCGAGGCCACGTGCTCCAGGCCCAGCATGCGCGAGCAGCACGACATGAAGTGCCGTGCGTAGTCAAACGTGTGGAAGCCTGCAAGAGGAGACTTTATTAGTCTCCTGATCACCAGGCCATTGAACGACAGAGTCATAACATGTTCAGGAGCCATGATAAGCTGAGGAGTGTTCCTGAAACCTTACGCATGCGCTGCATTCGCACCGACATGCCTAATGGCCTTCTTTTGGCCCTTGGCAGAACACAATGGCATGCATGTAGCATGTCATAGCCCAATGCAGCTTTCATTGTTCGTCATGCAGGCGGCTTAGCAAGACTCCTTTTGCCGATGAGTATAAGTAAAACACAGAGCAGAATACAGGAACAGATAGCAAGACAGAGGACGCACCGAGCAGGTCTGCATTGAGTAGGGAGCGCAGGATCTCCTCGCGTCGGGGGAAGGTGCGGAAGATTTCAGAGGAGGGGAAGGGGGAATGAAGGAAGAGGCCCAGGCGGATGCGGTTGAAGCGTTTGCGCAGCAGCGAGGGCAGAACTAGGAGGTGGTAGTCATGCAGCCACACATAGTCATCATCCATGCTCACCACCTCCACCAATTTGTCTGCAAATGCCTGCAGCGCAGCATTCATGCATAGTTCAATTCCCTGACCATTGATTCATATTCCTCTGGACTTGAGGCCTCAGGCGATTGCTAAGTACTGCAATCTTACATGACATGCAAGGCAGGGATGCTTGAAAACAGTCTTGGCTCGGCTTTTGATGCGCTAGGCAAGAGCTTGACCAGCTCGCGTTGTTGTCACATGTGTGCCCAGTCATCAAGATGGCTGCACATTTTGAATAAACCTCATTTCTCAGAGTAGAGCACACACCTTATTGGCCTTCACGTAGGCCTGCCAGAGCTCAGGATTGAAACGGCCTGAACTGTTGGGCGACAGAGGGAGCAAATAGTGGAAGAGAGGCCAGAGTTGCTGCTTGCAGAACCCTGCAGGCAGCATTCCTATGTAAGCTGCCATTCAGTGGGGGTAATAGTAGTCCATGATGGCAAAACTGGCATTCCAAAGAAGAGGTTTGAGAGCATAAAAGCTTCTAGGCAGGCCACTTGCCTTTGTAATACTTCTCTTTCAGCTCTGCTCCGAGGAAAACCACGCAGCAGTTGAACTGGGTGTACAATTCCAGAGCCGCCTCCTGAGGTAAGAGCACAAATTTCTCAGCAAGCACATTACTACACTTCATATTTGGGTACCGCCCGCCAGATCCCACATGCCATTATAGCAGCACAAAGAAGTCTGTGCATGCATGAGTGGAAGGAAGTAGATGTAGACAGTCCCAACTCAAAGCAAAGTGCACTCACATCCTGCTCATCTGGATCCAACTCCACGGGCAGACAGCCCACATACATGATCTCGACATCCTCCAGCCCATCCTGCATGCATGAGAGAGGACGCACTTCACACGGGACACAATGATCTTATCTTGGATATGCAGGGGGCATGTTGCACCGGCAGCAAGCCTGCGCACAACAGCATGACTGATGCGAAAAGACAAGCCCACCTGCGCCTGGTAGATGAGCGCATCCTCATCCCACTCGAATTCCCATGTGCCTGTCTCTTCCTGCTTTGTGGCCCGGATGGGCAGATGATTTGATACCAGTATACACCTGCAAAGTGCAAGACTTTCTCATGTCTTGACGCTTCAGGAAACGACAATTAAGCAGGCAGCTGGTTATGAGAGCATACTCGTGCTTTTAAAAGTGCATCAAGACAAGGATTGCTCATTCTACTCTCTGCACGGTGAGCATGGACACCCAGTTCACTTTCATGTACACAGAAGTCAAGCTAATAAAGAGGGGCAACTCTTCAGAGACATACTTTGCCTGCTTTTTCAGATCGCTGCTATCAATTGAGGCCCTGGATGTCCTGCCATAAGTTGCGCTAAAGGACAATGGCCCTCCACCAGTCAGATCAGCACCTCCGCCAGAATCATCGTTTAATAAAGCCTGCAGGTTTCGGTACGACCCAGAAGCGCTCTGGACTGATCTTTGCATGGCCAAGCTGCCTCTATCTTTTCGTTCAAACTAGCTGGCTGGGGACCCATCCCAACATGACGCTTGCGGTTGATGAACGACTGGGGCTCATTCACGCTGATACAGCAGCAAATTTTTCACCGATACATTTGGCGGCGGCACAAAACCTCCTCTGGATCTAGATTGAAGCAGTATCCTCGCATATCCACTGCAAAAGGCTGAGTGGATGAGGGTGACAAGACTCTCGAAGGTACTCTAGCACGGAGATGGTGCTGACAAACAGAGTACCATAATCCGGGCAATCCGATCGCATTTCAGGGCTGCCGATCTTGCCTTGGTTGCTAAAATCTACACAAGGAAGCTGAGGGGGTGAGTCTGGTCCAGTCAGCAGGTCCAAGTTTGGCTCGAATCCTAAGCATGCTCCAGCTGTCAGCTCTCCACAAGTGGAAGGGAAAGAGATCAAACGTCCTATTAATATCTTGCCTGCAAGTATCTTCGACGGTTTTTGATACACATGCATGGCAGTGTGATAATCTTTCAAGATCTTTAAAGGTTGCATGGAAAACTTTTGAATTCGAATTCATGGGAGTCACTGACTCTGGCCAATCAAACTGTACAGAGCGTATTTCAAAGATGTTCTAGACATCCAGTCTGTGCCTTCACACCCATCCTTGGCTGATCCATACAATGGCCAAAAGCTTGATGCTGCTTGGCCATGATGGATGGCAGAAGCTGTGAATGTTTTGGCCATGGCTGTTCCAAAGTTCGGCACGAGTGACAGATTTTCACACGCTGTACTTAGTGCAGTGCATTAAATTACTGCAGTTTGCCAAGGTGAAGACCACCATCCACTGGAATGGCTACGCCCGTCAAGAAAGAAGCCTTGTCCGAGCAGAGAAACGCAGCAACCTGCACGGCAACGTTCAAACTTCTTCAGATCCAATCCTATGAAGATACATCGCTTCTCTCGTCACCTAACGCAAGTCTTGATCAGGCAAGCCAATGGATCTGCATGTTGTATAACACCGTAAGCCGCATATTGTATTGAATTTGATGTGTCACCTCGCCGATCTCACTGGGTTCTGCCCATCGCTGTGCAGGAGTGTCACTCTTGACTCTAGCCTCAATAGCCTGTTTCATCTGATCATTCCCCTGCATTTTTGTCAGCAAATGTTGCAACATGATTTCTGCCAATCTTCAAATCAGTGCCGATGTTCCAAAAATGTATGCCGTCACAAAAATTTACTTGGTTGTGGAGGCATGGATGAGAGGGGGGAACAACCTTGAAAACACTCTGCCACGCTCCCGTCCTGATGAAGCCAGGAATGATGCAATTCACATTGATGTTGTCTTTTGCTAGCTTCTTGGCGAATACGCGCACAAGGAACTGCGCGCAAGAAAGTCAATTATTGGGTTTTCTTGCATCGCCATCCTGTCAAATACTGGCAGATAGCGATTTCTAGGGATGCTCACCTCCATCGATGCCTTTGCTTGCCCAGGCTCCTCATAACCCGGCATGGCAGGCTGATTGCAGTTGCAGCCTGTACTCTCACACATCTGCTGAAGTGCTTCTCCCTGTCAGCTGCTTTCCATAATGCCTCACAAATGGACGGACACGTACTAGCAGCAAAAGGGCCTGCTCACCAGGCGAGCTGATTGCAATAACATGTCGGAGACCCTTGCACTGCAGTGCAAGCTCCAAGCCCTTCCTGAATGCTCTGGGATAGACCTGCGGTCAAGCCCCGGTAAAGGTTGACATGTGCCTCAATAAGTCATGTGCCAGGGGCAGAATTGGAGCTTATAGGGGGTCACCTTCTGGTAGTAGTTATACACCCTGTCCTCCCAGGGCTCTTCTGGATTCAATCGGGCTGGTGCCTCAGCTGAACTGGTGGTGACCCCCACGTAAAGGCCAGCATTGTGGATGAATGCAGTCAAGTGACCGTCGAAGTTGTCCTGTCAGGTAGCAGGTCAGTGTCAGTGGATGTGCTTGTGGTATAAGCCAAAGCGTCTCTATAGTGCAACCCAGTAGAAAGTCACAAATGAAGGAACGTGCTTTGACGGCCTGGAACAGGGCATCGACTGTCGCAGGGACAGAGATGTCCCCAGCTACAGTGACGACTTTCACGCCATGCTGGGTCTCAAGCTCCTCTTTTGCTTGCTGTGCAGCATCGTGATTAGAGTTGTACCCTGCATCAATGTAGCACATCAAAATTTTGGGTCTTCCGATGTGAAAAATGCAAATCCAAGACAACACCCCTACCGAGCACAAGCGAATACTCCTGACTCGCGAGGACAGAGCTTATTCCGTATCCGATTCCTCGTGTTCCCCCTGTAACCAGTGCAACCTTCTGGGCCATAGCAAAGGTGGAGATCAAAAGGTGACGATCAGGGCAGAAAGGGGAGAGTGGCAATTCCGATCCTCTTGCTCGAAGATGCGACGAGTGACGATCACAATAGAACAACAGAGAGGAGCACTCGAATGGCTGTCCAGCGTCCTACAGGGATGGGAATGGATGACGATCTGGCACGCCTGGCTGTGCCACTTTTGGCAACCGGAAGTCCAAGAAAGTCAATCGCACCACCACTTTGACAAGGGGCTGTGCACATCCCTCTTGGCTTCGTGCATCCTCATCCCTCGGTCTCAAATCTTTGCATCTATCTAACACTGCCATTCCTACCGTCACTTCTACAGCTCATAGACCCAGAAGATTCACGCGGTGGCAGCAAGAAATACTAGTTTTCTTGGAGGGTGATCGGGCATGATAGCGGCAGCCTGTCACAACATTTGCGCAGCTATAGGAAACAAGTTTTGGCTGGATCATGAGTGTGTGCTAGAGATTCGGCACAAGGACGACTCTCAAGTTGGGCGGGATGCCGTCCTCATTGCTGCTAGCGGTCTGCCTTGTGCACGTGATCAATTTAGCATCACCTATTTCAGCCACAGAAACCGATATGAAACTGCAAAGTGGAACGTTCCCGGCGAGGAACCTGCTGATTGGAGAGAGGTAGCCCACCACTTCAATTTGCCAGTGTTGTGTAGCACTCCAACAGTCTGCTGCAACCCCATAAATAGCCAGGATTACAAGTGCCTACTGATGGCACTGAGTTCATTGTAGGCACCATACAGAGGGACAGCAACAAGGTATCCAAAGCATCAGCGACCCTCGCTGGGGCGTGCTCTCCTCTACTCAACAGGTGTGGCACATTTGAGCATTGCTACATCATGCAGCTCTATCCAACCTTGCTGAGAGGGTAACATGCGCAGTCTCTCAGCAGTGAAGACTCAGTAGGAAATAGCCAATGATGCAGGCCTGCTTGTGCATTGACGACACCATCTGTCTGTGCAGTTCCTGGTCACGCTGCAACCAGATGCTTCCAGAGAAGGCTTAAGAGAAGTCATCAGCCAGCAGGGCGGTCAGATTGTACACTATATTCCTGATCACACATTCCTTGTGCTTGCTTCTCGCAAAGCACTGGCCCACATGAGGAGCCTGTCAGGTCTGACACAGTGACTGAGTCATCACACATTCTGCCTTCCTGGACAACTAGCGTCATTCTAGCGTCAACTGTTGACTCTGAGTTCTCAGCTTCTTCTGCTTAAAGTGTGTCAAATTCTAATTCTGTGGATGCAGGCCTTGCCGGTATCATTCATTATGAGTCACAGCACAAATTGTCCCCGCAATGGCTTTCTGTGCTGCAAGCACTCCAAGCTGCAAAATCTGAGGCCAGATCCATACAAGCCAATGACAGCGGCCAAGCTGCATCCATCCTTGTTGAATTCCCAAGGGTCATGACACAAGCTGGAATTGAAGGTACCTCCAGCCTGCCTTGAGGCCTGATACGCCACCGCTTGAAAGTGTACCCTTCGAACCCTGGCTATAAACAGAATGTTACCCATTTCAAGCGACTCAAAACTGTCATGCCACGGCACAGAAATGCCTGAGCAACGAGGTGATATCAGCTACGACCCAGGCGCTGCTGCAGAAGCAGACTGGGCTGATTCTATTAGCCTGCTATGCCAAAACCATCTTTCATGCGATCTTAGAAGGGCGGGGCCCTATCGCATCGCCATTTCTGTGCCGACATCTATACTGAAGGTGCGAGACCCCTCCAGATGCTTTGGCCGCCAATCACAACTATCTGTGTATTACATTAGGATTGCAATTGCCAAATGCCTCTGCAACATGTAAACTTGTGGGACTTGTGACACTGGACTCAGGGTTTGCTCTGCTCGACCTCATGGACATGCTTTGTTATAGCTTCCAACAATGCAGAATTCACAAGTTTCAATTCAAAATGACGTTTTGAGGAGTCAATTTGAGGATGCAGGAAGCATTGGACTGGCTCACAGCGCAGCCTGCCGTCACATGGGTGGCACCTGCGCCCAGGGTGCAGACCCACAACTTCTATGCCACAGGGCTCCTGCAGACGGGTGCAGCTGTGCCCGTAAACTTGTCATCCAACCTGCCTTATGGCGGCGCTGCCACCACACACTCTCTCTGGCAGGCCGGCCTGCAGGTGACACCTGACATGACATGCAAACTGTTAGTATTCATGACGTAACAGCCATGGGCATGTGCGAAGAAGCTTGGAGGCACCCCAAGCGTGATGTGCACAAATTGGATTCTAGATTGGAGCAACAAAAACATGCTGAGCTGAGCTGGTCACTGTGCATGCTAATGAAGTCGTTGCAGACACAAAGCAATGTTTACATTGCAGCAACAGAGCCATCCTGCGCCAGGCAACATACGTGCTAATGACTCATTATAAGAAATTGCATGCACATGTCTGTATCTCTGCCAGGGCAGCAACCTCCATGCATGCCAACAAGGCGAGAAACCCAAGCATGGCCAATGAACGGGTAACCTTGTTTCATACTACAGGGGCAGGCCATGGTCCTGGGAATGGGGGATACCGGCCTGGACTTTGACCATTGCCACTTTGCTGACAGCGCAGTGCCCATTCCCTACACCGTTGCTCAGGGGCTGTCCCGTGAATCCGGATCTGGCATTCCCTATTTCCAAAACGCCACCCACCGAAAGGTGCGCACTCTGAGCAGTCTTTGCATCCACATAAGTTTTCCCGCAGTGATCCCAATCGCAGCATCAAGGTGCCGATTATTTGTCATGGAGCCGAGTTGCTCTTGAGAGGGTTGGGACATTGTCAATGCCTTGGCACCTTGAAAATTTCTAAAGGATGTCTACAAATTGTACATTGTGCAGGTGCGGTATTACAGGATGTATGCAGACGCTATAGACGGACAGGGGCATGGCACACACTGTGCTGGCAGCGCTGTCGGGGCGCTGGCCAACGGTGCGCGACAGGGTTCAGGGTAATATATACAGGTGCAGACATTCAATAAAGGTTATTTGTAGATCCCCTTGCAGGGTTCTAGCGCAAACCTGAGCACTACCTCCCGGTGCCCTCATGGCATGCATGCACATTGGTCTTAGTCAGGCAACACTTTATGTGTTGTTGGTGTTTGAATTCGAATGCATGCAGGTGCGTACTCAAATTGGGAGGGGATTGCTCCGGGTGCAAAGATTGCATTCCAGGACCTGGGGAATGACAACACCGGGAATCTCAGCGTGCCATATGACCTCTTCTATGACTACTTCCCTTTCTCTTACCAGTGGTACGCTTCTGCTTCTTGCAATCCTTTCAAAACCCACCTCGAAACACTCAAGATGCACCTAGGGCGGCCCGATATCTGCAGCATGAAAGAACAGGCCATCAAGCATCCAGGTTGTTCTTGTCCCTGTGCTGTTGAGGAGACGTGCAGATTCAAAATGCACGTCAAGATTACCATAAGTTGAAGAAATTAGTGTGTCATAGATACGCTGCTGCGATGCACCTGATCCTGATTGATTGGGAAGGCATTTTTATATGATACTAATTATTATTATTACACGCTTTTCCTGCCAACAGGCAAGGTGCGTTCTGCAGACAAGCTGCAGTCAAAGGCTGCCACAATCCTATCCCTTGTTGGACTCGCCAGATCCAAGCAAGACCCAATCAACCGTGGGCACGGTGCTCAGTATTTGTACCGCCCCCGGCCAGCCGGGGCCAATGACACTAATTTTAAACACTAATACTGTTACTAATCATAAAACGTCATGATGTGTGCGTTTCAGGGGCGCGCGCGTACACTCAGATTCATGGGGCACCGCTGACGCAACATATGACTCACTAGCGGCCGACATGGATCGCTTCGCATGGGCGTACCAGGACTTTCTACCGGTGGTGGCTGCCGGTAACTTTGGGTACCGGGAGCAGGACTCCACCCTTACATCACCTGCTGTCGCCAAAAACTGCGTTGCTGTTGGTAAGCCCCCGGCAAGAGGCTCTGGCCATGCCCATGCATTGCAAAACCCAGCATGCTGATTTGTAGGTGGCTATGATCCTCTAGGGGGTCAAAACTCTCAATGCAGGTACCCAATGCTTTGCAAGTCACCGTGGCTGCTGTGATGTGATCTATTCGTGCATCATGAATGTGTGAAACTACTATTCACTGAACTGTGCCATGGGTGAGTGCATTAGTGGATGAGTTGCAGACACAGATCAAATGCTGATGTGGCAGGTGCTGGGCTGACGGCGAGCTACAACGGCGGCTACGAGAGTGAAGTGGTGACAACGGATGCCAGCGTGTACGCGCTCAATGTGACTGGCGGCCAGCCGGGCTCGCGCGCGGATGGCACCGTGCTCATCAAGGTGTCCTATATGTTTGCTTATCTTATGTCGTGCCTTTCGTGCCAAAAGTCAAGGTGCATCTGCAGACGAGCTGCATCTACGATTTGATTTCTATCAATGAATTTGTGGGGGGGGGAAAAGCAGCTCGGTGACCATGGCGCTCAGAAGAATAAAATTGCACCCCGCCACCCTCACTAGACCAGGTGGTAAGTATAACAGTGATATTTGTACCCCCAGCATTCTGAGATGGTACATGTTAATTGAGCCCCTGGCTGCTACATACCAATAGCATGCATGGTGATGTCGTGTCTGGATGTCACTTTAGAAGAACTCTTGGATGTGCGTGCAGGTTATGCAAGCGTCGTTTGGGCCGTCCCTGGCTGCGCTGGTGGCTTCCGGCAGGCAGCTGCCACTGCTAGCAGCAACTCCAGTGGATGCATGCACGCCGCTGGCGCGGCCTGACAGGTTCAAGAACGCAGTCGTGCTTGCGCAGAGGGGCAACTGCACCTTTGGGACCAAGGTTGTCTCCTCCTCTTGCTCACAAGGATTTTCCAGAGTTTCCCCATTCCTCTGCCTAGTCATTGCTTCTATCCATAGTCTGTCCAGAGGAGGTTTTACGCTCTCATTGCTATGTTCTTTGGTGCACTGTGCAGCATGCAACCAGATTACTTTTAATTTGAAGACTTTTGAGCCACTGAGGCTCATTGGTTTTATGGACAGTCTCTTACCGTCCAGGATCACATTACCAACCGCTGATGTGTCTGCATTCAGTCAAGAACCTGGCAATCCATGAATCAGAGGTTGTGCCTTTTGCAACAGGTGAGCAATGCTATCAAGGCAGGGGCGCTAGCTGTGTTAATAGCCAACAATGGGACTACCGGATTCTTCCGCATGCAGCCAGACAGCAGCAGCGGTGGCATCACGATTCCATCCGCCTCTCTGCCGCTCAGCACAGCCCGACCCCTCTGGAATGGCCTGACCGCTGGCATGACCCTGAATGCCCAGTTCCTGACTTACAAATTGCCCACAGGTGACTGCCCTTCCATGCATGCTTTACCATGGACTCATAATCATTACTTCACTCTTTTCATAATAGAGTCAAGGTGCGTCAGGAAACAAGCTGCACGTGAAGCTGCCACATATCCTACCCCTTGAAGGACTCGCCAGATCCAAGCTCGACCCAGTCACGGTGCTCAGTAATCACACCGCCCCCCCACCAGCCGGGACCATTGGATTTTGAAGTCACAATGTCTCGATAATAATAAATGAAGTCACAATCGCTGGATATAGACTTCAAGCTCTGCAAGACCCAGGAGGAGCTGCCATTAGCAGGGAGGGTTGCCATCAATCGCTGTCAAGATTTAGCTTTCGATCTCTTTACAAGATCTTTGGTACATCCTTTGGGTTTGATGTGCAGATCGCTTTGCCAGCTTGGCATTCTTTTCATCAATTGGGCCCACCCTGGACGGCCGCATCAATCCAGACATCATCGCCACAGGCACCACAATTTCCACAAGCAGTGCTCGGTGAGCTGCCTCCATACACACACCCCAACTGTCTCCCCCCTGCAAACAAACTGAACGTGCTGCTAGCCGCTAGCAGCTTGCGTCACAATCATGAGCCTTCTCTGGACACTGACCATCAAATTTTTAGCTGTTGCTCTCAAGTCAGCCCAGTTCCAAATAAAGCATGTCTTGGGAGTCATGTGCAACAAGACGCTGTGAGTCATCAGCCGTATGCACTACTTATTTCAGTCTCAGCTACCAGCCTTTTCTATATCTTGATTAATTTGGTGCTCTTCAATAAACTGACATCGAAAGCCAGAGCCATGTCTTGTGACAAGCATGCAAGTCTCGACAAAACAGTCATCCATGACGACGTCATGATGACGTAATGACATGCTGCACTGCATGCATGCAGGCAGGCAAACTCATTCACATGCAGCCTGGATTCCATGCGAGGCACCAGCATGGCCACCCCCATTGTGGCGGGGGGACTGCTGCTAATCCGGCAATATTTCACAGAGGGGTGGTACCCCTCTGGGGCCCCCAACATCAGCCGCAGCTATACCCCCTCCGGACCCCTCATGAAGGCCGTCTTGCTGGGTGAGCATCGGCTTACTAACATGCTTAATTCTACGCTGACTTATGCCTTACCCGCGCCAAGTTCATCTGCTGCTAGGAGATTACCTCCTCCGTCTGTGCTATGATTCATCAAGCATTCCAAAGCACAGTTGCAATCCAGATAACTTGTAAGCATGCAATTCTGAGCATGACTGTTTTATCAAAAGTAAAAGCTTCTTTGAGTGGCCTGGAAATTGGAGAATGTTGACACTACTGGCTGGCGCCTGTGCTCTTCAATGGAGAGCGGTTGTTTGAGTGCAGGGGGCTCAAAGGCCATGGAGGGAATTACGCCGGACTCGAATGCCCAGTACGACGGCGTACCTCTCGATCCGCCCCCCTCAATGCGCCAGGGTTTTGGCGCGGCGCATCTGGGCCGCTCCCTGCCCATCGCCTCAAACCCCTCTGGCTGGAGCATGCAGGTAACCCAACCTCATCTTTTTCCACTGCACATGCTCTCTCATGCAGCACACCTGCAGCCAGAAGATTAGCACTCTCTGATTGGCCTCGAAGCAGAAATCCACCACAGACACCTCTTGCGGATAGGAGAGAGAGGAGATCTCACTGAGGACTTCTGGCTATCTTTTGTCTCTATAGCTTGCCATTGCTTAACCAACAACAATTAAACCAAACGCGTTGACCCAACCATATTTATCTTAAAACGCCCAACACCAGCAAAATGACATCTGAAATACCTGTCCAAAGTATAAAGGAGGGGTTCAGTGTTAAAGGGATTCTGCCCATCTTGCCAGGTGGTAGACCGAAAGCCAATGGCGGCAAAGGGGCAGGTAGACAAGTACTGCCTCGTGTCAACCGTGGGCACGCTGCGAGTCACGCTGGTGTGGGCGGATCCCCCGGCTGCCCAGGCAGCTGCCGTGCAGCTGGTGAATGATCTGGACTTGGTGGTGCATGCGGACAGCCTGTCTGGGCGCAGCCTGTACGGCAATGGAGCACTGGACCGTCTGAATAATGTCGAGCAGGTGAGGCGCTCTTTAGTGGTGAATTTAGAACATAAGCGTAGCCGATAAGCAGTTGCTGTCATTGTTGTGCTTGTGAATTTAAAAGCATGGACTCACAGAACCGCACCATTAACATATCTGACCTAGGAGTATGGTTTGGTGGCCAAGCTGGAACAGAGAATGGGCAGGGATTCTTGAAAAGGAGAGATGTCCAGGGACAGGACATACACTAAACTGGGATGATGTAAGGCGCCACATGAGCACCTGCATGTGCGCGCACATGCCTCCTGCTGAGGAAAGCAGCGCTGCCTTGTCTGTTTTGTGTCTCAGGTGGTGATTGACAGCATGGGTCCTGGGCTAGTGGTCATCTTAGTCACGGGGTACAACATCCCACAAGGGCCTCAGAAGTACTCCCTCGTTGTCCAGGTGCTGCTCAATGCTGCATGCACATCCCAGCCAATCAGAACTCACCTTATTGTAAAAACTTACTTCTGCTATTCCACAAGAATCACTTTACGACACTGACCACATGCAAACATGCAAGTACACCTTCCAGTAATTAAGCAGCTCTTGAAGTGCATTGCAAGTGCACAAAATTGCAAGTTGAGGCTGCCGAGCCGCCTGTATGCCTTGGTGTCCCCCCTTCATCCCAAATTTGGGGGTACCTGGTGCAGGGCAGCTTCACAGGCTCGCTGCAAAGCGCGTTCAACCCGGCCTGGGACGGCGTCAGCCGCCTCAACTGCTCCCTGCCGGTCCCGATCATCAGCACTGCCCCGGCCTCGCTCAGCAACAAGACAAGCACCTCCTTCAGCTTCTCTACAGTTGATGGTAGATTCCTGCAACCCCTCGTCAAGCCCTCATCACAGGGCACTCTGAATTGACCCGTATTCCTCTAAATCAAGTTTGTTTACAGCCACGTACTGCTCAGGTCCTTGTGCATGTGAATATCTCAACAAGCCAAGCACAACCAGTTCATTGTGCAATGAAGGGGGGAGTGATGCATTATTATGCTTTAGATCTGCAATTACAATCAGGCTCGAGCACAGATGCTGCTGCGCAGTTGCGCCGCTGGGGTTTGAGTGCCAGCTGAGCCGCGGCGGTGTCAAGTCCCCAGCGCCTCTGCATGCCTGGGCGACATGCGCTTCGCCGGTTGCCATCAGCGGCCTGACTGACGGCAGCTACCTGTTTGAAGTCCGCGGCAAGGGTGGGAAGCAGCTCTTTACAGCTCCCAAACATTGATTAAAAAATTTGTAGCTATCGTACTCATGCTGTGCATACCTATGCTGTGGCCAGTGTGATTTGTTTGCCTGAAATACGGTATACTGATGTAAGTCCATGGGCACTTGAAATTTATGGAAGAGCTGCTGGAACGCACCTAGCATTGGAATGCTAGGATAGCATGCTATTGCGCTAATGATGACAAGCAGCTTCAATTGCTGCAATCTCTAGTGGTCTCATGAGCATGTGCACCATGCCTCTTTGGGCCCGAAACGAGCCAAATGCCGACCTGTCACAGAAATGCAACTGAGTTGCAGCGCCTTGCAGGCTTCACGATACAGGACTCGCGCATTTTTGCGGTGGACACGGCCGCGCCGGTAGCCGCGCTGACGGCCGCCTCCGCGCCGGTGCCGGGGGCGCCGCGGAGCGCCGCCTTCGCGTTCTCCGCGCAGGACGCCTCATTCGTCGATTTCGCCTGCCGCCTCTCCGTCGCCGGGACCCAGCCGGCCGGCGCTGCCGCCTTGGGTGTTGGCCTGTGGACTAGCTGCACCAGCCCCCAGGTGTGGCAGCCACAGAATACACAGATCTCATTAGGCTGGCCCCATTGGCGGGGAACGGTTTATATACTGAGCGCCGAGCCCACTGTTGATTGGTCTTGCTTGGATCTGGCGAGTCCAATAAGGGGTAGGAGTGTGGCAGCCTATAAATGGTTTGCAGGTTGTCTGCAGGACGCACCTTCCCTCTTGGCAGGAAAAGCGAGCAATAACATTAGGCTGACTCATCAAAAGCGAGCCTTGTTACCAGTCGAGTCGTAGTGGAAAGACTCCCCGTGGTGGCTGCAATGTCATGGCTCCGCTGATACTTCTGCGCAAGACCCCCAGGCAGGCTTTGCCCCAGGCAGGCTTTGGTGCTGTGTGGCACTCTTGCTTTACCTGAAGAAAGCAGTCCAATCCGTAAATAAGCCAATCAGGAAGGGAGAGGCTTGCAGCAGGGACAGACGCATGCCGAGTGAGACTGAGAAACGACTGAAGGAGAGGCCTGGGTGATATTCCCAGCTGCGGTGCGCAGGCGTACACATCGCTGCCGTCAGGCAACTGGACATTTGAGGTGCGAGCCATTGACGGGGCGGGGAATGCACAGAGCGCCGCGTATGCAAAGTACGCCTGGCAGCTGACGCTGCCCGCCGCTTATGTCATGCTGACCGGCGGCGACCTCTCACAGACCATCAAAAGGCATGTCTCCATGGAAGCAATCCTGGTCCTTCCATACACTTACTCCTTTAATAAACTTCACTTCTATTTCCCTGTGCATGTCCGAGCAGTGCCTGTGTCCGCAGACTTGTTGTCTTCCGTCTTGAGTCACCAAATTTGTAGCCCTGGAAAATGTAAAGTATGTTGGTCATGCGATCGATTACTGGGCTGGTGGGGAGTAGCTAATGGAAACTGGCATGTGTTTGTGCATGCAGGAGCACTGCAAGTTTCGCATTCCAGGCGGCAAGCCTGCACACCGCATCAGCGTCTGATGGGTCTGGGGATTCCTACGAGTGCGCTCTGCAGCCCTTCACTGGCCAGGCGCCGATAGCAGCACCGGAATTCGCACCCTGCACCAGTCCAACGGTGCATTTCCCTCTCAATCACCCCTTAAATTTTAAAAACCCCTGTACCCCAACACCCCTTTCCCATCCATGAGGATCAGGTGCCCCTTCTATTATACTTATTATTATTGCGTGCTTTTCTTGCCAAGGGGCAAGGTGCGTACTGCAGACAAGCTGCATTTGAAGGCTGCCACAATCCTACCCCTTGTTGGACTCGCCAGATCCAAGCAAGACCAATCAACCGTGGGCACGGTGCTCAGTATTTACACAGCCCCCCGCCAACCTGGCCCATACCCCGCTTTGAACAGGGAACATGCTGTCTTGACCAAGCAATGAAAAAGATGCGTTGCACTTGAGTTGCGTGTGTCTGTGGCATGTTTCCAGGATTACTTAGGCTTGCAGAGGGGCACTTATCTATTCAGTGTCCAGCTGGCAGGAGGTTCACCAGATCTGGTGGCCACATCCATGGTGAGCCCTGCCTCTTGCTTCGATTTATATTCAAGTTTTCAAGTCCCTACCACGCATTCAGGGCACTTGTGTAATTGATGCTAGTCACTTGTAAAAAGCCCTGACCTTATGTTTAGGATTTCCCATAGATTTATGTGCATGTCAATGTCAATGTGCAGGTGACTATTGACACAGCGGCCCCTTCAGCCACAATTACAAAGTCTCCTGGTGCGATAGTAGCAGCATCGGCTGCCACCTTTGAGTTTTCTTCTGACGACGGCAGCAGCGGATTCCAGTGTGAACTCACTGGAGGAGCCTCTTCCCAGTCCACCGCTGCTTCCTGGGCAAACTGCAGCAGCCCCAAGTCAGTCCCCCCTCAATCCCCTCGCTTGTAACATAGTTTACAAGCAAGCAAAACTTCTTCTTCCCAATGAAATAAATCGAGATTCTCCACATGGGATGCACATTTTTGCTCGGCAGCTCTTGCCGGGCGCCCATGCTTGCTGCCGAAAAACCGAATATCACTGATCGACCTCAAGCCTTGCACACCGAGCCTCATACGTCACAGGCAAGTGCACATTCTGCTCCAAGAACGACAGCAAGAAGTTTCACACTGCTGCAGGGCATATGATGGGCTGGAGGATGGAAGCTACACATTCCAGGTGGCAGCGCTCAGCGCATCAGGCGATCCGGGTTACGCAGCACCATTCACATTCACAATCGACACAGACCCCCCCGCAGTGTCGCAGCTGCGCGTGCGGCTGCAGCAGTCGGGGGAAGCTGCGCAGCAGGTGGAAGCTGCCAGCCTGGGGGATGCTGAGCTGGCGGGCCAGGTCAGCGGCAGCTTCCAGACAGCCAGCGGCTGCCTCAATGCAAGCTTCTCTGCCTTTGATGGAGTCCTCGGCTCGGGCATTGCAGGGTGAGGCGCACTTATTAATATCCCCCTGCCAAAACCAATGTTGGGCACATGTTGGCACAGTATGCCCAACATAGGGGGCATGGTGTGCCCTCTTGTTATTAGTCCAAGCAAGTAGGACAGCTCTGTTATCGACCCAAGCTGTCTTAACCTTTTAAAAATGTGCCAGTATGCACAGCATGTCAGAGAGTGTGCACCAGGACTCTGTCCTAACCTCTAAGATCTGGGCGAAGTGAATGATTTGCATGTGTAGGACGAGATGCAGAATGGAGGCATACAAGGGAGGAGGGGCCGTGGCTGAGAGTGACAGCTGTGTTGGGGATGGGCCTTCATCCACCTATGCAGCCTGCCAACCCAGCAGCTCATTGTACTGCCTGGAATCCGGGACATACATCTGGAGCATTCTCGCCACAGACCTGGCAGGCAAGTCCCTTCTTTCTACCTTGCCTCCAATTTTACACGCACTTGTGAAGCATGAGCCTTTACAAGTGGGGTCACATTCGCATGGCTTCATCTGCTCCGGTGCCTTCAGAAAGTTGGCCTTTCTGGTTCTTTTGCAAGTGAGGAAGGTTACCCAGAGCACACCTTCCTGTCCTTGCAGGCAACAACGAGACGACGACTTTGGCAATTGTGATCACAAAGGCCGGGCTCAGCAGCAAAGCACTTGCGCTGGCTATTGGGATCCCTGTGGCCATTATGGTGGTGGTTGCTGCTGCTGCATCAATGGTCTGGATGCGGCGATGATCTGCACCACTGCTGGATAACATGAATGGTCCAAATCCTTTGTCTGATTCCTAATAAGTCTAAAGTCCATGTATGCATTGTTGGTCATTAGAATAAGTCTAATAAGTGACCTATTGTCCTGGTCAGTCAAGTCAGCAATCAGCACTTACCATGAGACGTGCCCAGGTTTTGATTTCTATAATTTTAGATCTGCAAATAGCCATAGCCACAGTTGTTTGCAACAGCGCTGCGATGCAGTGAATCATGATGACACGCTTTAAAATGCAGTTCTTGTGTCACAATTAGTAGCGCTACCAGCTGACAGGTGTGGCGCATTCCTCTCTTACATCAGTGTGGATAAGTCAACAGTATGACGTGCAAGACAACCCAATCAAGGCTATAACTTGTAGCCGACAAGATCAGCTGATGACTTGGCAAAGGCCGCCCAACACACCAGGATCAAAGATGCGCAGAAATGATCTGAAATCCGACTGCTTGCCACAAGAAAGCTACAGTAGCGCCGCGTAACTATTTGAAAAGCAGGCGTGCTGACAACATAGGATAGGAATGATACAAAGTCAGCCGCTCTAAGAAATGCACACGGAATAATTCAAAGACTTAGCTGGCAATGGCATGACCTTCAAATTCCAAAAGCACATCTTGAAGAAAATCCAAAGATATTATGTCCAGCTTGCAAGGCTGCTGGTAAGGAATGCAACCAAGTTCTGTGCTGCCAGGCCTCGAACCAATCATTTTTGGTCAGGAAAGCTGCAAATTTTAAAGCCGCAAGAATTCGCATAAGGAGCCTCAGGGAAATGTACTCCAAGCCGGATGCCTTGAGCCACCCAAAACAAAAAAATTCCGATGCACAATTAATCAGTCCATTCAAATTTGAGCACACACACATACTGAGCACAGCCCACCACACTCAATTACTTGCAGTCGACAGAACTTCTCAAGTGTTCCTCTTTGCCACCTTTGATCACCATTATTCCCCAAATTTTCATCCATGCCAGATTATCCCCGCCTCAGTGGCGGCCAATACAACGAGGATCCTCAGGGCTGCGGCTTGGGGTGACCCGAGAAAGCAACCAGGATGTTGGCGGCTGATTCCATCTGCTTGGGTGGTGATGCTGTCGTGCCCCCATTGGCCTGCTGGGCAGCGGTATTTTGGGGGTTGCCGCCGAAAGATGACTTGGAATTCTCAGAGCCAATGGAACTGGCGCGACCCGTCGACCGCACGCTCCTCGGCCGCTGAGGGATTTTCTGCGCACCAAATGAAATTTGCATAAGAGCGTCGATCACGGTATCAGGTCATAGATGCCAGCTAAGTCAGGGGTTGATAATGCGCTGTAACAACTGCTTCTACATCTGTGAAAGCTGGGGCTAAGTCAAGCCAGCTGATCACATCGACTCACTACGCTTGTCCAAGCAAGGTGCCAAGCAAGGTGCCACCCCGAATGAACTATCTGATCACACTCCAATAGCCTGCCAGCCCAAGCAGGGTATAAGGCAGGTCTTCCCAGCTTGGTTAGTATTGCGAGCAAGTGAGACCAGCAGGCTCACCCTGAAAGCGGAGCCGCCTGATCCAAAGATGCTGTTGTCCGTGGTCTGGCCAGTGGCTTCCAGCCAGCCGCCGCTGCCAGTCTTTGACTTCTTGGACGCATGATTGTGCGGCGCCCTCTCACCCTGCGCCTCCCACTCGTCCTTTTGCCTGAACACCAACATCACATCCTCTCATCAGGCTCTGCCCACAGCAGCTCAAGACAGATCCAGGCAACACAGCAGGCGCAAATTATAAGACATGTTTCGCAATCTGTTCAAAAAATGTACTGCGAGAGTCACTGGTTATTGCAATCTTGCAGCTATGGCGTCAGGATGGCCAATGCATGGTTGGGGTTTGAGGCCGGGGCTGGAGGAAGGGGTGGGGCTTCTTTATGCAAGGGGCCAAGGGCAGCAACCCCTTGCAAGGAAAAGGGCCTGCCGATTGGGCTCTAAGTGGACTTCACCCTTTGCCTTTCTATCCCCCGTGTTAGCCCAGCCCGGGCCCGAAGGCAGGCCACGCATCAAAGCTCGTTGTATCTACATATGATTAATCTTCTGTTTCGTGTGCATGGAGGGCCACCTCATGGTGAGTAGGTCTTACTCGTACTGACAACCTTTGTCTTCCTGCTGAGTAGCGATTTTTCTCGGGAGGGAATGTCACACCTGTCGTGCTTGGAGCCCGGGCGCGACGCCGTGGCTCCATAACGCGCGCTGGCACTGCTGACGCCCTTGCCCTGACGCTGCCGGCTGGTCATGCGCGCAACTACCTCCGGCAGTACTTCAGGCCCAAACACCTGCCAGGTAGAAAATCACGTTACAGCCACCACACAACAAACTCCATCCAAACATAGAAAAATGGGGTGATCCTTGTCAACGCGCCCGACAATCAGCGGCACAGCCCAAGGAACCCACAAACAAAAGACTGAAGTGGTGTTGTGCCTGGTTGGATACACCACGAGAAACTTCATTGAGAACTTGTCCAGAGCAGGCCGGCACACGTAACAAGCTTGGAGTCATGCAAAAGCGTGGTTCAGAAGGCATTGTGCTGCTCTCCCAGAAGAGCGCGGCTGCAGGGATCAGACAGGGGGCGTTCCCACCTGGGCAGGGTCCTGCCACCAGCGTGGCGCATTGTTGACAGCAGCGGGGGGCGCCGTCTCGAGCGAGGCGCCGTTGGCCACCTGCTCGCGCGCGGCGGCCGCGTCCATCTCCTGCTGAGCCGCCTGCGCCTGCGCATCGGCCGCCGCCTCCGCGACCGCCGCCGCGCCCTCCGCCGCCGCGTGCTCCGCGTCGGCCGTCGCTTGCGCCGCGCCGCGGCCATAGTGGTGCATGTACCACGACTGCATTGGGTCGCACCCCATCGCGCCTGCACAAGACAAACTAGAAGCGTCAGCATCAAGCACGCCTTAATAATATGACATCGGTTCTGACATCAACATCAAGATTGGACAAGCAAAGCCCTGGGAGCCACGCAGGCCATGGAGAAAAGCCACTGTACTTGCACATCTTCTCAATGTGAACTCCAAGCGTCGGTAATCAAGCACGCCTCAATGTCAGTCAGGCCTTGTCGACGTAGGATGGCTGAACAATGCTCTAAGAGTCACGAAGGCCATGGAGAAAAAAGCCACTCTACTTTCACATCTTGTCCCTCTTGTCGAGCAACCACAACCAACCAGCTGAAGCTTGAGCCTACATGATTGTTGTCAATTTGTCTTTAAACAATATGTCGATCTGTCATAAAGCTGCCTCTGGTCACCTGCAGCCCCGGCCATGCTGTAGGGGTTGAAGTTGTAGCCGCTCATGTTGGGGTAGCCTCCGAAGCCCGGGTAGAAGTTGCCGTAGTTGCCAAAGCCGTACCCGTAACCGTTCATCATGTTAGGCATCCCCATAGAGTTGTACCCCTGCACATTGTGCCACTTTTTAAGCCAGCGCAGGCAATTGGGGTCCTACCAGACACGCAAGTTCTTCCAAGTTTTAGATGGCAAGGAGCTATGCTCAACAAGGAGTGTGAGAGAAAGACGCCAAGCAGCAATAATGACAGCAGCCCCTTTGGTCTGCACACCTGCGGAAAGCCGCTCTGGCCCATGTTCGCATGCGCGGCAGTCGAGCTGTTCTGCTGCCCGGCGCCCTGCATGTATGATCTGCGGCTGGCGTCGAGCGGCACCGGGCGCATGGACTGGCTACCGTTCTGGCCGCTGCCGGTCGGATCCGTGCCGCGGTGGCCGCTGCTTCCGCCGCCGCCGCCGCTGCCCGGGGGGGGCCCGCTGCCGCTGCCACCGTACGCAATCTGCGCCTCGGCGATGTCGGCCTGCTGCTGCGCGCGCGCATGCGCGGCGGCCGTCATGTCCTGCCGGTGCTGCAGGTGCGCCTGCGCGGCGGCCGCCATGAACTGCTGGTGCTGCATGTGCGACTCCGCGGCGGCGTCCATCGTGCGCTGATGCACCGCAGCCTGCGCCTGCGCGGCGGCTGTCATCGTCTGCTGGCTGGGGGTGTGCTGATGCCCCGCTTGCGCATGGGCCAGGAGCCCCTGCTGCCGCTGCACCTCCATGGCGGCTGCAGCCGCGTGCGCCTGGGCAGCTTCCAGGTTCTGGTGCTGCTGCTGCAGCATGGAGGCCGCCACTCCCAGCCCCTGCAGCTGCTCCCGGCTATGGGAATCCCCATGCTGCCTGCTCCCATTCGCCGCCGCCTGATCAGAGTTCTCCCCAGGCGTGTTGCTGCCCTTGCGCTCTGTGCTTGGGTCCCCGCTCCGGTGGTTGGCGCCCGTCATGTCCTGCAGGAGAGCTTTGATGTGAGTAAGCAGCTCACGCTCACCCAGGCAACGAGGCCTTCCAATCATGAGATGGCAAGATACGAAAGCTGGATAACAAACATTCGTGATGCACACATGTACAGAAGGGCAGGCAACCCACCGTCCGCGCCTGCCAAGCCGCCTCAACATCGCTGGCTCCAGCATCCGCTTGTCCGCTCCCCTGCTGCGCGGCCTCCTGCAGAAGCAAAAGAATATAAGCATCACACCCCTCTCTTGGTAGTTCAGAAATAGCCCTTCAGGAAATCAGCACTGTGTGCAACCAACAGGCCTGGCAAGCGTGAAACAGCAGCATCATGGCGGGAAGCTTACCAGGCGGTGGAGCTCGGCGTTGTAGGCTTCCCGCTGCCTGCAGTTGGCTTCCAGGTGCTGCTGGCGCCTCACCAGGCGATGCAGGTCATACAGCTGCTCCACAAAGGTCTCCTGGTGGTGCAGCACCAGATGCCGCAGCTTTCCATAGTCCTCTGTGCCGACCTTCTCCTTGATCTGCCAAACATCATGCCGCCGATGAAGTCTCGGCCACCACTTGAGCAGACAGATTCTCTACATTGCTGATGGGGGAAGACATACACAGGAAGACCCCCTTCTCTGATGGAGACACTGATGAGCTTGAGACAAGCTGAAGAGCACCGGCAGTGTCAACCAGCAAGGATTGAATGCTTCCTCACCCTGTCGATAATGGCAGGCAAGGCCGCGCTTGGCTGCTGCTGCTGCATGTTATACACTGGGGCAGCAGCCCTGTTCTGTGGCAGCTGGCCACAGCCAGGGTAGCCCGGCAGACTCATTGGAAAGGTATTCAACGCCTGCGGCTGCCTGCTGTGCTGCTGCCCTGACTGACCAGGCATGGCTGCCTGGCCGCCATGTGATGGATTGCTGGGCTGCGCATTTGTGTACCCCATGTCCTCTCGCCTGAAAAGGTTCATCAGGTACTCGTCCTTGTTGGCGCCTGTCAACTGCTGCTCGCTGGCGCCTTGCTTCCCTGTGAAAAGCACCACTGTCAGTCCTGTGAGCATTATTTTCTGCGAACAAGAGCTGCGGCAGCACACGAAGCAGAGGAACACGATGAGCCGCAAACAATATGCAGCCATTAGATAGAAGGAGTCAGAAGCAGCACCTGACATGGTGGCTCGAGAATAGCTGGCCCACGAGGACCCCTGCAGGGAAGTTCGTGTGTTTTCAGGGCCAGATTGAGGCGGCTTTTCGAGATCGCTAGGGCCTTTGCTTCTGCTCCAGGGCCCAGAGGATTGCCTGGCAACTGTCATGAATCAGGAGCGCCAGGAAGACCAAGAGTCCCTTTTGCTTGTTGAACGTTCTGCCTCGCGACTTCTCCTTGAATTGGCGTATACTACTAGGACGCTGTCCTGAGGGCCCCAGTCTGCACCCTGTCACCACCGTCAAACTTTCAGCCTATTAATTCCTTTCAGGCTGCAGGGAGCCTGGGGACGGTGACCCTGGAGGAAGTGGGGCCCGTGGCGGTGGCAACGCAGCTGACATTGGAGGCACAAATGCAAGCGCACAGCATGCGACGGCCCACTCACGTCGTCTGCGAGCTGCTGACAGACTCACCCGCTAGGTTCCCGATCCTCCGCGTGGCGCGTGTCCGGGCGCCGTCGGTCCCGCAGATTGCTGCCTGGCGCTACGCTGGCCAGTATCAACCCCCCGCGACATGCCTCACAGCTGGGCGCACAAAAAGGTCACTTTAAAGTGCGGAGGATTTGGGCGAGCGCAAGCGAAAAGACAAATCAAGGATCTTATTTTCGGGCAGGGCATAATTTCGAGACCTCATGAGAATCGTTTCCCTGCTGATCGGCCTGATCCCGGTGGATTCTGCCCGAGGTGAATGTTGGCAGGGCTTCCTGCCTGACAGACCTACCGAGCCTTCACAACTGTCCAGCTCCTGCCAGACCTTTTCTTTCAGAGGCAGACGGTCTGCTGCGCATGCTCAACCTGCGCATGCTGTCATGGATTGCCCAGATTGCATGCTAGCCTAGATTTGACATATAACTCACAGCATCGGATCATCCATGATGGTCACAGCTGACTCAATTATGAGCTTGACCATTCCTGTGACAGTGTACGTCACAGAGAACTCACTCCAGCTGCAAAACAGTGGTTCTGCATCGCCTCATTGGTGGTCATGGCATCTAAACTAGTACTGCCTCATTGCATAATTTGCTCCGGATCTCCACCTGATTCAACAAGTTGCCAACATCGTGCCGCGCGGTGCACCAGATTGATGCCGCTAAATATCAAAATAGGAGCAAACGTCAGTGACCGCCTGAGTCACCCAGAGCCCAGCACTGGGCTGCATCAGCTGCGAGGCAGATATCAGTGAAAGGATACGCCCAACGGTCCGCCTCATTTCCGCTCTGCTCACTGTGAAGCCAGACATTGTCTTGGCAAGCCCTGGCATGGCAAGTGTGCCGTTGCACAATCAAAACTTATAGGATGACCCTCATTGTTGCACCATGTCCCCAATTTCCACGCTGTACTTCTCATCCAGCTCCTTGTCATCGTACACCACCCTGATCCAGCGCTCGATGACCCCCGGTGAGCCATACCAGGGGCGCGAATCCCCTGCCCCAGCACCCAACGGGCTGTGGTAGACACCCTCAAGTGTGATTTGCTCCGCACCTGCATTTGTACACACAGATGCCGCTCTCAAATGAATGCTGCTCGCTATTGGGAGGTGTAGGTAGCATGCATGAAGCGAGGAATTGCCAGTGCTTGCCTTTTGCAACCTCATGTCATTTTTCCCACACGATAAAGAGCTCATCTCCATTTTACAGGTCGAGTGGGTGCATACATATGTACTGACAGTGGCTCATGCAAATCGCTCACCCTGGAGGTGTGCTGACGGCAGGGGAGTTATGCCGTCGCCCCAAACCTCGGCCTCCCCACACACCTGCTGGTACCCGAGGCCCACCAACTTCTGCGCAAGTGTGCCCCCACCGCCGCGAAGCTTTGCACCCTTCACCAATTTTCCAGCCACCTGGATGGATCAGGGCCAGTCAGCACCCACAAAGCAGCACAGGGTATGGGCTTCTGGGAACCTGACTCAGTAGACTGTGCAATAATGGCAGTAGAAATCTGAAAATGAGCTTGAGCACCCACACAGCAGCCCAGCGCAAGGCAATTTTAAACACGAATAGATTGAGTGTGCACACTGGCAGGAGGGAGCAGGAGGAAGGGAGTTGTCACACCGTGACATACTGGATATGCTGGTGGAAATTGTCCGGGCAATTATCTGTGACCCAGTTCAGAATGCCCCTCGTCTGATCAACAAGACCCTTGTCCTGAACACACCAAGACTTTCAGTATCAGTTCTTCAGGATTAAATGACCCAAAGGATTTCATATATTTGGCTTCACACCAGAATGTACCTTGGGAGGAGCCAGGTGTGGACTGCCGAGCGTAACAAGCCTGTCGATGCCATCAGTGCCATATCCCTGCATCTTGCAGGAGTTCAATTGAGGCCTTTGTGATGGTAAAAGATTGCGGGTTCATTGGCAGCGGAAGACATGCCGGTGCCAACGAACTCGCTAGAGCTGCTAGAGCTGCTAAACACTGCAGATGCCAATCACAAGTTAGTGCGCATGCATGTCTCACCAGCAGATACACCCGGGCAAGCCAGCCTCCAGCTGAATGCGCCAAGAGAGTAATGGGCCCATCGGTGGATTTCTGTGCACCACTGACGGCATCAGCAACCCGCTCCAGATACCTGCCAGATCAGGGTCGGTGATTGGCTCACACAATGCACAAATTCACTGGCATGGAGGGGTCATTATTGGAGCACAATGATGATGTGGACAAAGACCGGCGCACCAGTCCACCACAGGACGTGGTTGCAGGGTGCCTTTCCAGTACTCTGCCTGCCTCAAGCCAGCTGCATTCCTTAGCCAGTCCACTCGGGTGACAGCGGCTGTATGCACTATTAGGCCCCTCTCTTCAAGAGCCTGCCCCATGGCCTTGTAATCCTGAGAGTTGTTGCCAAGCCCTGGCAGTAGCACTACTGCACGTTTGCTTCCACCAGCCGATGCCCCATTAGCACTAGCTCGAGGTGTGCGCAAGACACCTGCACCCAACTCGTTATGGAGCTGAAATTGACATTGTTAGGACAGTGCAGAGCGGATCCAAGGAAACAGCAGACTAAATATGTCAAGCTATAGTGCAGATATCAAGAAAACTCAAGTGGTTCTCACCACCCCGAGAGCTGGGACACCAACTTGGCAGGCATGTCCTGTGGTGCGAGATCATCAGGTGCTCTGCGCTGCCCTTGTTACTTGTTCACACCGATAAAACTATGATATGAGGGATACTTTATCTTCTATTTTATCGTATGGCATCAGGAGGACTTCCAAACGAGCAAACACCGCATGCGCCTTGGTTGATTTCCAGCAGGATCAGTGCGCATTGATCTTAGAAAATCCCCGTTCTCAATCAACTATGCACTCTCTGCACTCTCTGCTCTCGATAAAGATTGCCCAAACTCGAAGAAATTCTGATGCATGTACTCTGATGAGCCACGTGACACAATTGTTTCCTTGGACATCCTGATTTCTGCTTGCGCACGGAAATTTAGAGGTTGGACGCAAGCTGGGAAGTCAGAAATTGATTCTCGCAGCGCACACTTATCATGATGGAAGAGGCATCCACCAGTGGTAGGGTCCAGGGGGGTTTCCTCAATCAGGGCATGGTGCTGCTCGAAACGTATGTTAGGCCTTACATAACTGCCTTGATGAAGGCTGGTCCTGTGCCAAAGCACATAGCATTCATTATGGATGGGAATCGCCGCTTTGCTAATCGCCATCAACAGGTCACAACTGCAGGACATCAGTTTGGGTATTACAAGGTAGCCTCTTGCATTTGATTTTGATCGTAGAGCAGTGCACACCTTACTGGAATTGATCAGATGTTTTGACATAAGCCAATGTCTCTGAAGGCTGCGATCGGGGTTAATTGCAGCTGCTGGATGCTTTGGAGTGGTGCCTTGAGATTGGAATAACGTGCGTCAGTGCATATGCATTCAGCATTGACAACTTCAAACGTCCCGGGGATGAGGTTGACATGCTGATGAGGCTTGCAGAGGAAAAGCTGGAAGAACTGCTGCATGTAAGCTGCCACCAACGCCCGGTGTAACCTTGATAGCCTCCCCACTTTGCTGCACAGACATTAGGCAATTCATTTCTCTATAATCCCTCCCCAATACTCTTGCTGTGCTAGACATGTGCATGCTACTGAGCAGGAGAGGGATCTGGTGGAACGGCATGGCGTTCAGGTCCGAGTGCTAGGGGACCTTAGCCTTCTGCCAGCCAGCGTACAAGCTGCTGCAAAGCGCGCAATGGACTCTACCAAGCTCCACACGCGGGGCATACTCAACATATGTTTTTCATACGGGTGATCTCCCTACTCCTAATGCTGCGCATGGCATGCACAAGCTGGTTGGATGTAGGGATACAATAGCTCTGATATCGCTGCTTTTACACCCTGCTGCTCTGCAGGTCTCGGCAAGAAATGGCGCAAGCTGTGGGGAAGGTGCAGGACGGTGTCATGTCGGGGGCGCTGTGTCCTGACGATGTGTCACCGAATGATATTGAGCAGCACCTCTACACAGAGGTATTCAAAATCACTCATTTAATAGAGTGCCCCTCCCACGATGTTTCCGAAAGTTCATGAGCACTTGCTGTGAGGTATGTGCAGCTGTGCAGCTTATGCAGGATCACTGAAGGGAGGTGCACGTGATGCAGGGGTGTCCGCCTGTAGATCTGCTGATACGGACGTCTGGGGAAACCCGCTTGTCAGACTTTCTGTGCTGGCAAGTGCGCCATGCGCAGCTTGTATTTGCTGATGTGCTGTGGCCGGACTTCTCTTTCTATGACCTGCTCAGAGCACTGCTGCAATTTCAGATGGCTTCTACTCATCTGAAGTCCTTGCAGGCACTGCCGCCAGCTTTGTAAGAGGATGTTTGAGCGAGCCAGACCGTGACTCAATCTTTATGACAGATGCCACTCATCGTTCCGTTAATGCAGGATCAAAATCCTTATGTGACATGTTTGCTGATCATTATCTCTTATTGACACCAAGCTGAGCTTGGCAAGCAAGGCCAGGCAAGCTCTGTTCCTTCTTTTACAATTTGCACTGCAGATGTAGTACGAAAGAACATGCAAAAGGACATTCACGATTCTTGAGTCAAGAATCAATGGTATGCACAATCTGAGAACAATATCAGCATCAAAAGTTCAGATTTGAACTACAATCACAGAACCCTGCCGGGTGCAACCAGTGAAAGCATTGATAGTCAGATCAGTAGTTGGACATGGGCATGCGTACAAGATGTGAGAACTTGGACAGTAGTCCCTTCACACAGTGCATTTTTGGCGGACTTGACATGAAACTTGAGGACATGACTTAGCAGTGAAATGTGGGGCTGCACGCAAAGCACACGATGATGTACGCAATGACAAGAATGAGCAATGCAACAAACGCCAGAAGGCGCATGTTCTTCCACCACAGCCGTGTCTTCAGGCGGCGTGCTTCCCTCTTGAAGGCAAACGACTCATTCTGCAGGTGGTCGGTTTTGTCCACCAGCAACTCTATCCGCTCCCCTCGGTCCAACACCTGTGTGCAACAGGGCTTGCAATTGCTGCATCGTGATATGCAGAAGCAAAAATTCTCCAATGAAGACCGACCCTTCCAGGAGCATGATGCGAGCTCACCAGGTCTGCAAGACACAAGATGTGCGCATGTGCTGGAGACAAACAGAGCAGAAAGAGCAACACATGTAGATGCCCGAAGCAGCAGCTGCTTGACCAGGAGCCTGGCACTCGACATGGCACAGGCTATCAATACAGTGATGAATTTTTCCACGGTGCCAACCGGCCTCCCTCTGCGGTCAAATGCGCAGTGTGCCTCACAACATCACCATACAGCCAATTGAGCAACTTTTGCCAGTTTCTCTCCATTCTCTAGTCTGCATGGTTGTTGCTGGAGGGCACTGTTCTTGCGATGCAGCGCGGGTCTAGATCTGCGGCCGCACCTTGTCGATGTTCTCGATCATGACGGTCTTGACCTCGGAGATTTCGCCGCGGACGCGGTTAATGGCGTCTGCGCGCTGGTCTGTGCTGTAGAAGGCCATGCGGTCCTCCAGCACCCGGCTGAACTCCGCGTTGTGCTCGTACGCTGGCGCACTGTGTGCCTCCTCGCCAAATCTGGCCAGGTACCTGCTCGACAGACAGGTCAATCGGTTCTGAACTGCACTCTGAACTTGCATGTTTGCCTGACAGGATTCCATTGGCACTGGCGGCAGTTTCTCTGTAGATCTCACTTTGCTGCATGCGCTTTCGATGCAGGTCGTTTGTGCTACATGCTTAGCTGTTGCATGGTGCTTGAGCAAGGGACCCATGCATTTGCGGTCGAGAAAGCCGCAGGAGGCCAGAAAGGGCACCTGTCCCGTACATCCTCCAAGAAGGCAAACGGGATGCGCCGCCCAAAGCCCTGCAGCAACTCATCAGCTGTTTCAGAGGCATATCTACTACTTGACAGGGGTGTGGAGGCCACGTTGAGAGAGCAACAAAGAAAAAGGCCATGGTCAGAACACACCTCGTCAGCCATGCAGAGGAAAGTGATGCCGTCCCGCACCACAATATGGAACAGGTGCCGCTCTTGCGAGTAAGAAACACGGCTGCATGCCAAATCAGGTTGCACGTGAGATCAAGACCTTGGTGATGAAGGTGTGGGACATGAGGCATGTGCTTCGGAAGGCAGGAGTACACTCGAGGATTGCCTCTGTCAGAGGTGGAAGCTCACCTGTCATTCTGAGGTAGCTTCTCTAATATCCTGTGTGCTACCAGATTTGCATTTCCGCTCACTTCACTGCGGCACATGCACAGAAATTGCTTCAGCATGTCTCGTCTGCCAGGAAAGTAGGCTAGGGAACCCAGGAGGGAAAGCGAGACCCAGACCACGAGATATTCGTTTAAACGATATGCATTGAGCTCATAGACTTGTACATACAGTTAGAAAGTGACAAAAGACCTGATCAGCGTTCCGGCAGCTCTGTGGATGGTGACAGTTCATGTTCTACCCCATGCCCTACTGGGACAAATCAAGGAGATGCCCAGGATTGAAATCCATTCCTGATATTCTCACCTGTACTCTGCAAGAACTGTAGTTCCCCTGGCGATCAGGCTGTAGAGTAAATTATCGTGCATGCTGACAGTGAAGTCTGCTGTTACATTCGGAGTCCGGGCCCAGCTTCCAAGAAGGTCTCTCAGGCCTTGTTGAGCGATCAGCTAGCAAGCTGTACTTCAATACAGGTTCATGTGATCGCAACTCGTCCGCTCGCTTCTTCGATTTATGGGGTAAACAATTTCTTGGAGCAGAAATGGAGGGAACGCCAAGCACCGGTGCCATCAGAAGCTGGCACGAGCATCAATGGCATTGCCATTCATAGCAAGATGTTCGCACTGCCTTCGTCATTTTTGTCGCGGCAAAACCATTTGGAGTACGGGAGTAGTATTGTCAAATGTCCATGAGGCTTTTGCTGCAGAGTTGGCGACTAGATCAGGGCAAAGGAGAGGGCGACGTGTCTGTTTTCCGGCTGGATGAAGGTGCCGAGCTTCAGGAGCTCAAGGCTAGGATACCTGCAAGCACGGTGACAATTTCCTCGGATATTCTGGAGTTGGTTCTGTAAAGGTGCGCCTGGTTGTTGTGAGACCTGGCAAGTCTGTGACTAGATGTGTTGACCTGGCATATGCTCCGCTTCATTGCGATGCATTGGCAAACGACTAAATACAGAGCGTGGTGTGCTGGACGATGTGCCTATTCTGCATTTGGTCTAGATTCCTTATTTGGCTCAACTGACAACCCAGGACCATTGCAGATTATTCCCTGTGTAAATACTGTGGCGTGTCCCTCATTTGTGCACTTCTTACCTAATACGGATGGGAGTTTACTTACTTATTTACTGTTTGATGGCTTCAAGCTCATTCTAAAGCGAGTGGTATAGGCCGACCTCAACGACTAAGATGCAAGGCAGTATGACGCAGTTTCCTTTCTAGGCATGGCCGCTCAGATTATAGTTCTGTGCACATATCTGACTGCTGAGATTTGCTGCAGGATGGCTGACTTACAAGAGATAAAAGCCAGCCTGCCCCTGGAAGATCAGGTGGCCATCGACCAGGTGTGTCTCTTGCACTGAATGCACCATGTGCAGCATGCAACAGCAGCCTGCATCTTCCACATCATTTCAACCTATTGCTCTTGTAGACATTGGCTCAAGTTAATATTGGGCAATGGCTGTGCAGCTGGGGAAGCAGCTAGCTGCAGAGAGGAAGCAGCTGCGCCTCTTCAGGCATCCCATACGCACGCTGTACTACTTTTCGGCGTGTGCTGGGTCGGCGGCTGTGCGCGGGGGGCTCTGGCTGCTCAAACACCGCATCACTCTCACTCTCCTCTTGCCCGCCATCGCAGGCTACATCTTCTTGAAGCACACAGGTGCAGCCCATGCAGAGCATTGCGACCTCCTTGCTTCTGCTTTTTAAAAAGCATGCACTGGCCAATGTGGCGCTGTTGTAGCTGTGCCGCTGGGGTCAGCACTTGCGCGCATGTTGAGAATTGTTGCTGCGGTTCATGGCCTCACAGCTTGCGCCTTTGTGTGTGGGCACGAGCCACCATGACAATCCTCTGCATGTGCGCAAGTCTGGCGGCACGTGGCAGGAACGATTGTGAACAAGCACAGTGTCTGAACAAGCAGGAACTTGGCATTGCAGGGCAGCAGGCGGAGGAGCTGCAGAGAGCGGAGACGTGGGTGCAATATGTGGTGTGGTGGGTGGGACTGGGCATCCTATCCTCCATCGGCCTGGGCACCGGCATGCACTCTGGTCTCCTCTTCCTCTTCCCCCACATGCTGAAGGTAATCACAGCATACTCAATTGTACTTCCCGCTGCCTATCTTACACATGGCAACTTTTTAAAATTCGTGTGACCTGAACGTCATGCTCGTGGGTCAGATTGCATTGGTGTTGAGGTCAAGAGCGTACTGCGGCGAGTGTTATATATGGAAGCAAAGGTTATGCAAGCTTTCATGATTATAATTCTCCGATGGTTTTGTGTGGGCATGCTGACAGTCTATGATACTACCTCTGCTGCAGGTGTGCCTGGCAGCGGAGGAGTGTGGGCACCTGAACTTTGACTCGCGCGTCGACATGTGGTGGAACTCGGACTCGTTCCACTGCGGCAGCGGCCCGCGCGGCACCGTGCACTTCCACGATATCTTCCTCAAGGTGGCCCCCTCTTGCCCACCGCTGCCATACTCTTGCTTGTTCCTGACTAGGCATCTTTCCACCTGTACGATAAATCACATTCCATGCCACCCCATCTCTACCCGTGGAAAAAATACCGCCTGAAATCCAGGGGAACTGATCGTTGGCCAACCAATTCCCAGCATCCTATTCCAGCTCCCGAGCGAGGGGGACTTGCTCTGACGTCTGGAGTGCTGAGCGCATGGCGATCCCTCATTGGAGAGGGCGATGCACAGGCTCTCGCTGGGAGAAATACATGCAGGCACATGTCTGCAGGCGCTTCAGCTAGGTGACAGTAGCGCTGACTAAGCTGGGGTGCAGGTGTTACCGGCGGCGCTGCTGTGGGGGTCGGGGACGGCAATTGGCGAGATTCCGCCGTACGCATTCTCGTACCACGCGGCCAAGGCGGGGATCCGAAACGAGGAGTGGGACAACATGTTCAAGGTGAAGCCGGTATCGGAGGGGCAGGGCTTCTTCGAGGCGCTGCTCAACCGCATGAAGAACTGGATGCTCGGCTTCATCCAGCGGTGCGCGCCCCTCCCTTGCCTCCTGATGAGCGGCTTCTCCGTTTGTGCCTTTTGGTGCAGTGCAGTCCGCAGGAGTCATACCAACGCCTACCACACGGCCGTCCTATTTGTTGTGTTTTCTGACGACGGCAGCCCCTCATTCTTGGAGGATCTGTTGGACCTGTTCGTGGGCTGGATTGTATTGAGATCAAAGGGATTATGAATGACTAATTGATCTGTTTGACTGCGGTGCAGGCACGGTTTCTGGGGCATTTTTCTGCTGGCGGCGTGGCCCAACGCGCTGTTCGACCTGTGCGGCATCTGCTGCGGCCACTTTTTGATGCCCTTCTGGGAGTTCTTTGGCGCCACCCTTGCCGGCAAGGCCATTGTGAAGGTGCAACCCCTCCTTCCCTTCAGGGCTCCCACGCCTCTCCTACCATTGTCAGTGTAAATATTGTTTTTGTCTTGGGTAGCTTGAAACTGCTTCCCCTCATGGTGTCACATCAAGGACCATCAGGTCAGGGAGAAGTTTGCTGCAGCTGCCATATCAGGGGTTTGCCCCTTTATCGTGAAGGCCGTCGAGCATGCTGCACTCCTCTAAAGGACATCAGTGCAGCGGCCTCCATCAAATTGAGTGCATGCCTGTCGGGGGTTGATGCGTGACACGCCTGTGTGTGACTTGTATTTGCTGCTGCATGCGCAGGTGAACATGCAGGCGCTGGTGCTGGTGAGCCTGTTCCGGCAGCAGACGCGGGTGAAGGTGATGGAGTGGATAGAGTGGTGCCTGCCAGACCGCATCCCCTGGCTCTGGGACGCGCTCGGCCACACCGCCACGCCCGCGCAGGTGCTGCTTGCCACACATCAGAATATCACATGTTGGTTCCATGGCTCAGTGCAAGTCGCCATGGATTGTTCTTTTGCTACACATTTTAATTGCCATTGACATTTTGTAGCTCAGCATGCCATGCCAGATGCTCAGGGGGTGCATTCCTTGCGCTGAACAGTACGTATTGATTTCTGGGCACTGCATGGCTCACCAAAAATTTCCACATCTGCAGTTTATAAGACACCAAATGTCTGATTATTCAAGGGATGCGACTTCTAGTCACCAATGTCAATGACTAAGCGGTTACTAAGCATCCGGCGCGCATACAGGTGGTGCACCAGGCCATCGTGTCCAACATCGCCTCCTTCCAGGCCGGCGTTGCCCGCCGCCAGGCCGCCACCTCACTTGACCGCAGGTGCGGTGTTTTCTCATGCCCCTCTCTGCCCCCTCAGCCGCCCTCTACCTGTGTGGAAAGGGAAGACGCACCAGCAGCCGTGCTTACCGTCTGCTATGTTCGCGCTGCCTTTGCTGCGCCACAAAGTGAGAACTGGCTTGTAGCTGGGAATGGCGCAGGCATGCAGCAATCAATTAGATACCTACTCTGTGGATAGAGGCACTCCATCCGGAGGGTTCAAATAGAAGACAGGGGATCTGAGTCATGTGGCTGCGGCTATCAGGTGGTTCTGGGAGCGGCTAGGGGACAATTTCAGGAGTGTATCTGCGGCGCGGGCGTGGCTATGGAGCTACGTGCCCATCGTGGGCGGCGCCAGCGCTTGGCCCAGCCTCGTTTTCCTCATGGTCATGCACTTTGTGGTGTCCTGCCTGGAGCAGTTCGCTCAGAGCCAGGTGCGATACTGTACCTAACATGACATGGATATACATGGACGTGACGTGCTGAACATTGTTACGGGACAGTTGCATGCAGAACGGCATGCTATTTTGACAGAAATTGTCTTTTGCCCTGCCGACTAGATAGCCTTGTACCCTCAGGGAAGTCTGTTTTGAAGGTCTGTCCACTGTCAGTATGCAATTAAGCAAAATCAGGCCTGCTCCAGATGGAGAATGTTCATCATCGTCAAGTAGTAACGGTGAGTCATTGTTTGTCACTCCAGGCCACCTATGAGCACAACCGCGCAATCCTGGCCGAAGCGCAACGCCGCCAGAAAGCCCACGCCTCTCGATGAGAGTGCTCTCTGGGCCCGCCCCGGCAACTCTCCAATTTGCCTTGCCAGGTGCTCTGCCTCCCTGCTGCCAGGTGCTCTGCCTCCCTGCTGCTGGATCCAAGAGCATGCTGCGCTGCTCCAAAAGCTGCATAATGGGCTTCCGTCCGTACACGGCCCAGAAAGGAAGGCTCTCCATGCGGGGCCGCAGGCTCTCTCTTCTGCCGTTGTGCCATGGTGAACAGCAGCGTGGGGTGCTTTCGTCGTGCCGTGTGGTCTAGCAGGAGGGATGCAGCATCCTGTTGGGCTGGTGGCCCTAATTGTGCCAGTGTACGGGACAGCGCCTGGCATATTGAATGCTGCCGCCTGGACATTGGTCAGGGACCTGGGAAGTTGTCATCTTTGCTGGATGCATTGAGCGTGCACAGTTGGGAGTGGGGATTTGGCTCAGATTATTTGGACGGGGCATGCGATAATAGCGGGCACTTGACAGGTGTTCTTATGCCTTTCTAGCAGAACAATGGAGGGACATTCCCTCCGCGAATGCACGCCAATGGTGGGGCAGTCTTGTGGCGGGGGCTGTTCACACATCTGCTCTGGGCTCTTGTACAGATACAGAGGGTGAAGTTTGTAGAAGACTGGCTTAGGAAGACAGATGCCTTCTGTCCTGCCATCCTCACCGCTCTGGATGATATCTCATGGATGCCAGTACCTGAGCCAAGGGTGTAGACGAGATTCTGTCCATTATTGCCAGCAATCAGACAACTGTTTCCATGCCAGTTGCGGTTCCTTGCTGTACTATGACAGAGTCTAGGCCCCTTTGGGTGGGGGTGCGAGCACTGTATAATCCAAATTGCTGTTAGCCCTTGCAGTGACAGCTGTCTGCAGAAGAATTCGACACGACCCTTGTTGTGATGGGCGGTCAAGCGCTGTAGAAGTTGTAACTGATGTAGAACCAACTTTACCCATGAAAAGCTTATTCAAACACAGAAACTCTGCATTACAGGTACCTGCGTGCCTAAAATTGTGAGGACTATGAAGGATATCCTTGCCCTCGTGCAAAGCAAAATCCCGACTCATTTCTCCCCATGTTGTCGTGAATCGCATATCGGAATGCTGTGCATGCATGTACATGTTGCAAGCCTAAGGGTTGTGCGATTGCCTCTCAAGGGCCTCCACAGACCTGAAGTATGGCGTGCGGAGCGCATGCTGCGCTGCTCATATCCATTCACACAAGACTTACAAATGTATTGGGGTAGCCCCTCACACGTAACAGTGCTGCAAAGTTGTCATGATCATCATAAATCACAGCAACTGCACTGCACCCTTACGGGTCCATGCCTTCTCATGAATTGCACCTCTTAACTGACCTGAACAACCACCGATTTGGCCGAATGTACCACTTCAAACACGCAATTCTGACAATGTTGGTTTTCCTACCCGATTTCAAACTGATTCATTCATCTCCAATATCCAGACACGTGTCAGCTTCCAGCCTATAGGCTGACAGCACCTCCTGGCAAGTGGACAAGTAGCCCATGAACGTTGCTGCATTCAGCTCTCATGATCATGGTCAAAGCAAAAAGTGACATGCGTTCGATATTCTCAACTGGTCTGCTGCACACTGCCCACAGTCTCAGCACATTGCATACAAAGCCCAACTCAGATCAAAGCCCAGCACAGAAGAAAAGAGGAGGAACGAAGAGATTGTACACTGTGCCCATGTTGCAAAATTGAACAAGTACAAAGACCATCCTGGTAATGCCCGAGGGTAAAGAATGTTTGCTACAGTACATATTGTACAATGGGGAGCTGAAGCATTCAGGCGCTGTCCTGGAAATGCCCATGTGCTGTCAGCTACCTACACCTAGAGACTGGCATGCGTTCAGGTGCCACCCAGCAGATAAAAGAGGGTGCTCAACCTCCTTTTATTGAGCAGGTAGTTATCAGCTGGTGCATTGCCGTTCAGCGCACTAGTGCACGCATTCCTCATCTATCGCTGCACCGCCGAGCCATGCTCCCTATTTACGCCTATACTTTACACAGAGCCTCACAGTGGCAGCCGCCTGTGCCACAAAGACTCTCTGTAAGCGCCACTGCTCAGCAGTGTGCTGCTTGCCCCTATTGCTGCTCTGCCTACACCCTAAGGTGCAGGGACACTTCACCTAAAGGTGCTTAAAGGTACTCCTTGATTGCAGCACCCAGTGCTGATGTTCAGGCTGGTGTGGCTACGCCCTTCAATTTATGTACGCTGGATATTCCTGGCTAAAGTCGCCTATTCAGCTCATGCGCTCTCAGCTGGCTTGCTTGTTTGGAAGCACGCGGCAGCCAGGTACAGATAGAGCACATCACTATCCCCTAACTCAGAGCCAGGCGTGTATTGTGCATCCTTCTCTTGCTACAGACTCGCTGTGCCGCAGACAGAGGGCTCATCTGGGCCCATAGGTATTGTGATTGCACCACTGAGTTGCGTATGTTACGGGCCCCTGCTGCCCTCAGCTGACCTTGCATGTTATTACTCACGCTGCAGCCATGAACACGCAGACCGCTATTACATTTTTGTACAGCCCCCCGTCACCCTCAGGGCAGACGATACTTCACCTAACTAGTGTTAGGATTTATACCCCTGCTCAGGGTGTCACGCGGGCCAGAATGTCTGTGGCGATGAGGGCAGACGGGGCTACCTCTCACCACGTTTAGATTTATTACCACTGCTCAGGGGGTCACGCGCGCGAGGGTATCGGCTGCGATGAGGGCGTAGGCGGTGGCGAGGGAGGCGGAGTAAGCGAGAGCCAAAGAGCGGGAACGCCGCGCGGCAGCCGCCGCCAGCCGCTCCGTGCGCTTTGCACGCTGCCCCAAAATCCGCTCCTGCTCGCGCGCATACACTGGCTCGCCTGCGCCCAAAAGAAATTGACCTTGTCAGGAGTTGCACCGCAAGATTGCAGCTTTTCAAGATGTGCACCGCAAGCTTTTCCTTGCGATGATGCGCACCAAACAGTGCTGGCTGGCTTGCATATCCTCACTGTGTGTGAACAGCCTCAAGTGAGCTCCGCAGTATCAACATTGTTGTCAGACGACGGGTGTACCAGACCGCCTGAGAAGCAATGGTGAAGAAGGAGGTGGAAAAAATTGGCCTCAGGTGCGCTCTCTGATGTTGAATATGCTGTAAAAAACGCAAGCGGGACCGAGTGTCCTCCAAAAAGATCACAAAGGATCGGTCGAGAACAGGGCTGTCAATAACACGAAAAGAAAGCCATCGGCATGGTGATGACAACTGTCACAATGAGGCAACGCTTGCTCCCTTTTGGCGCTGGCATTGCCTTGTATGTTTGCATATGCTTATATATATCATGCAATGAAACATTGCAAAGCCAGCACTAGCCGTGTCAATTCAAGGCCTGAAACCTGAAGAATCACCAATAGTCCGGTTTGACCCCAGACCAAGAGAAACAACAAGCAACCCGTGGCTTTAAGGCTGTAGAGGGGAGCAAACAAACAAAAAAGGATTCTGAATGACTTGATTTAATGATGAGGATGGCCAACAGGGGAGCACCGTCAGCGTTGAAGAAGCGATTGGTGCGCAGGGGAGCAGTGATGAAGCGCAGCAGCGCGCGTGGCAGGGTGAGGAAGCGGATGTAGCGGCCGGCCTCACCGCGCGCGGCCACCGTGCGAGCGCGCGGCACCAGAAACGCCGCCACCGTCTCCGGCTGCTCGCACAGGATGTTGAAGATCTGCGCAGCAGGAATCCCATTCATAATCTGGTTGGGCCAATCAGCTCGAAAGGGGACTCTATACTAATTGCCTATTCAAATGATTTAGAAAGTCCCCTGAGTCCGATGAACAGAGAGGGTAAGTATGCGGAAATTATTTTGACACTAAGAGAGTTGAGCCCATACAGAAGGAATGCGCACGCCACTCTGTGAATGATCCAGCGGAGTGAAACTATTGCAGAGGATACCACTTTCTGCGAGGTGAACTATACCCAGGCATCAAGCCCATGCAGGAGCAACCGGCACCAAAGGATGGACTTCCTGGCAGTGGGGCTTATGAAGTAAACATTGGACAAGTCTGAGGGTTTTCATCGGCCGCGTCTTGAGCAACTGCAGCCTGTAAGAAATTAGCAGGCGTACAAATGAATGCAGGAGGCGCACCTGCTTGTTGATGTCAGAGGCACCCTCCAGAAGCAGATTGGTGAGGACCATTCCGGGGGACAGGCAGTGCACGCCGACGGGAGCGCCCTCACGCGCAGCCTCCGCCCCCAGCGACCCCTTCAGGTGCGCAATTCCTGCAGTGCACACCCCAACATCAGCATGCGCTAAAACCTGTCTTCTCATGCTTGTCACGTAAGCTCCAAATGACGCCAAGCTGGAGCCTACAGGGCCAAAGATTTGCCGAGTGCAACAACATTCTGCCGTGAGGACAGGTCTGGCTCCTGCCGTGAGGACAATCAGCAACTCCCGAAGCGCTCTCTATACTTCAACATCATCCGGTCTTGTAATGGACCATGCCAGCTTTCAAGGCAAGGGATGGGGGATCTGCACATGGCAGGACTCTGTGGAGGCTGCAGCGCACCGGCTTTGGTGGCGCCGTAGGCGGCATACTGTGGGGTGGGCAGGCCATCAGCGCCGGCGCCGTCCATGTTGAAGATGTGCCCCCCGCGCGGCTGGGCGGCCATCAGGCGCATGGCCGCGCGCGTGCACAGCAGGCAGCCCAGCAGGTTGGTCTGCACAACCTCCTGGATCTGCTCCGGCCGCGCCTCGATGAACGACTGCGGCAGCGTCGATAACATGTACATCACTATGAGGGCACTGAGAGACTACTAGCGCATTTGAAACAGAGGCTCTGAAATGCAGTAGCTCCCATGCTATGCTACAGGTAACAATCTACTTACATTGGTACATGACACAGAGGGCATTTGGAGACACGATGCCTGTGCAACAGCTCACACATTCACTGGTGCAGTTAAATGTAGTGTCAGCAGCCAGCATTTGTTTCAATGCAGAATGAAATTGACAGCACATGTTGGGGTGGAATCAGATGAACAAGTGCGGCAGGCAGACCTGGAAGGTGCCGCTGTAGCCGGCATTGTTGATCCAGACATCGATGGAGCCCATCTGAGAGGCTGCGCCGTCGACCAGACGCTGCACACTGGCAGGGCTGCTAACATCACAGTCAATGCCCCCAATCCAGATGTCAGTGCCCACCTGCCAACGGCGCACCCAAGTGCCCTTCAGTACGCAGCTAATTGTGGGTAATGCAGATCGCTCTGAACCTACAGCGCCAATGGCGAAAGACACCGCAGAGGAATTCCTGACGCCTTCCTCTGCAGTAACTTGCCCCATTGGCCCCGTAACTTTGAGGTCCAGCTCCAATACGTGCCACAGAATGGAAGCTCAGGCTCAGTCTGACACTCCTTGCCATTTTTATGGCTGAAAGCATGCATGCGGGTACTGCTGCTGCACTGATCTAAGACGGCGCCGAGGACAACTTATAACTTGTGGCCGAGGGATTGAGATATATTGCTGTGGACGGGGGTCACCTCCTCGCGCAGCTCGCTCATGGCCCTCCTCACCGCCTGCACTGACCTGGAACTCACCATCACTCGGTCCCCAGACCTGCAATCGAGACACAGAGACTCATCATACACACAAGGCAACGCAAGCATTAAGCTGCTTCACTTTGCCCAATACCCATAGCCACCGGGAAAAGCTGCACTGCCTGTGCAGTGAGCATGTGATATGACTTGATGGCGAGAGGAAGACGCACCTGAGGAACTCGCGAGCAATGGCCTTGCCGATGCCCCTTGTGCCGCCGGTGACAACAACATTCAGGGGCGCATGGGGAGTGCGCCAGAAGCGCTTCATGCCAAAGCGGTTCAGCGCTGCGTACAGGCTGCCGAGCACCGCCCCCATCGCTGCTGGGCCCCATGAGCCGCCCATGCTCACACCTGCGGTAAGCGACGCATCAACGAGGGACATATCTTCAGAAATCAGGCAAGGTGCCACTGGAGAGGCTCGAAAAGGCACTGACATCGCCCAAGAAGGCACTGCCCTTCTGCCCATGACAAGAAGGACAGCGGACAGGGCCACAGACGGCCTCCACAAGCCCATAGGCCTTCCACTCTGCTCCTCTAAGTGAAGCAGTGTCAAAAGTCACTGCCAAGAGAGATGCAAGAACATGGAAGGCAGTGCGAGCGCCAAATAGGGAGAAAAGGCTGCCTTGCGGTGTGTATGCAGTGCCACATTGTGCAGGTCCAATAAACGGACACCTGATGGGGACGCTACAAAGGTTGAGTCACAAAGTTGTCTACCTGACAGCTGGCAGGCTGTTGACAAGACATATGCTGATGTGAGGACGAGGCCGATGGGCTTGTGGAGGCCGTCTGTGGCCCTGTCTGCTGCCTCTGACAAGAAGGGCAGTGCCTTCTTGGGCGATGTCAGTGCCTTTTCAAGCCTCTCCAGTGGCGCCTTGCCCGCTTTCTGCCTGCTTGGCTTGGCTTCCTTCTTGTTCTCCTGCACAGACATCCTCTGAGTTCTTCTGAAGGGGGATTATGCTGACAACTGCACTATTATAGCGCCCATTCCATCAAGATCTTACCTGGAGTAAGCTTGCGGGCCTGGCAACCAATTTGGTGCTGCCCCTGCCCTTTATGCGACGGAAGACGCTGACATTGGAGGCAATCACCAGCAGGGTCTTGTCAGCAGCCTTCGGGGTTGCTTCTGATGCATTCGTCACTTGCAGTGCCTGCCTGCCAGTGTTCGCTTCACTGCTGGGCAGCAGCGCTGTGCTGCGTCTCCTTGATCCAACTGACACTGCATCTGCTGGTGGTCGCGGACCTGTCCTGGCCATGCTGACAAGAACAAAATGACGACTTGTATGACCCTGATGTCCTGCTGATCTCGGTTGCTGGAGAGTGTGGCCCCTGAGAAAGCTGCTGCTGTGAGACTGGCACGCTGATGCATGTCGGCTATAAGATGTCCCGCTGTTCATGCTGCTACCACAGTGTCAAAGCGCACAGACGCAGCAGGCTTGCCAGTGAACTGCATGCGGAACAATGGCTCTGCTCAGTAGGTCAGTCAGACAGATCAAGCACCCTCGGCTTGCAAAAAGGATACTCCTCCGAATCTCGAAGCTGCAATGTGCATAACGTCAAAGGATCGACCCAGAGGTCACAACGCACAAGCTGACGATTTCAGTGCTGACAAGGTCTTTTTCACTGACGGTAACGCAGCCCTTGTGCCCTGTCATGCGCCTCTCAAAACTTGACCAACAGTGAAGATCTTGACCAAAAAATCATGGCATCTGAGGAAAATGCAAATGGCAAAGAAATCTCTGTAGACGATGTGTAACGTTTCCCCCCCTGAGTTGTTTGCAAATACCTTACAGGAACGAAGTGCCCTTCTTGTTTGCCCGGCACAACATCTTTCGGGATGTTTTGTCTTGTCGAACCTAGTCCGGTGGTTGGGCATTCAGTAGACTGTTGGGCGAACTAGGACCCACCTGTACACCTGGTCTCCCCAATTGATCGCACGCTCAATGCTGCTTTCCATACGCGCTGCATATCGAAATCCATTGTACGTCCTGTAGTAAGCAGCCAGACTCAATCAAAGGCTTCCCAGCTCCAGTCTGGCCAACCTGGGCCGAGGTGCATGCGATTGGAACGTTATGTGCATTTGCCCGCATATGCACAGTTGACGGTGCACGAATCGCACTCTACGACACTGTGATATTGGATGGTGATCTCCATCACTAGGTGATTTGAGTCTCTCACGAGCTGCGTGCTGATTGGAGATTTGTGTACCTGAGCGGGTGGCTAAATGTAACACATGCAAGCAAAGATCGCGCTCCCCTTGTCGTTCTTTTCTGAACACAGCACAGGCACTTGCATGAATGTCTCTGGCTGCTTCACTCCAACCGCACAAGTGCCAAGAATGCCATTGGAGAGGGACACGATTCAAGCGGCATTATATAAAGCCTGATCAGGCTATCAGGCTGAGTCGGGAGCCGAATTCGGCAGCTGAAGAAGGCCTTTTCAGGAAGCCCTTTCAGATCAGGCTGGCACAACCGCAGTATAGAAGAATTTGATTATGCCCAGAGGTCTTCGTAGGCTTCCTGTCCTTGAGCGTACGCCGAGCATGTGTCTAATGCTCTGGCATTGAACTTCAGAACCCTGCTCGTCTTGATCTGGGAAGTACTTCCTAAAAGTCAAGTGAGCTGGCATCAATACATGTCGGAGACAGTTTGATGTAAGTCTCTTGAAGAGACGAAGCATATTGGTGGCAGGCAGCTCTGGTCTGACGGGGCCGACCACCGATGCAGCACCGTCTCGTGTCAGTATTCGGGAGCTAGGGAATGCAACAACATGGCTATCTGCCTGACTTTGTCTTGCAGACGTCCTGCTCCTTCAGGTGAGCATCCTGTGTCTCTGACCACGAAACATGCATCTATAATGAACGCTCATCAGAAGGTGATCAGCTTCCGTTGCAGAACAACACAGTCTCATGTGTTCTTCACTGTGTCAGCCAGTAGACAGTCTGCATATTATCTGCCTCGAATGTGATCGCGACGGCAGTGATAGTGAAAACAATCATCTCAAGACATGCTCTGCAGAGTCTTCCCATGCCTGCCCATATACAGGTTGTTTCTCTGTGGCGGGTTCTCCGGCGCTATTGCACGCACGGCTACAGCCCCTTTGGAGCGCATAAAGCTTCTCTCACAAGTGCAGGTGAGCTTTATCATGGTTATGCTGGAAGAGCTTGACCTGCTCTCCATCCTTTGCCATCTGATACAAGTGTCAACTCTCAACAGGCTATAGCTGCGGCAGCTTCATCCCGACCGGCTGTGTATAAAGGCATCGGTCCAACCGCTGCAAAAATATACAGGTGTGCCACGAGTGTCATGAGTGTCACTGCCGTGAGTGTCATGACCAATCTAGCATGTTGACCTGGCCATTGTCACCCTGGCGAAGCTGCCCCTGAACTTTGGACACAATAAATTTGAGGGAGGCAACCTTCTTTGATGCAGGGAAGAGGGCTTGCGGGCATTTTGGAAGGGCAATGGGACCAATGTGGTTCGCATATTTCCTTACAGCGCTGTGCAATTCTCAGCAAACGAGAAATACAAGAGGCTCCTGGCAACAAAGGTACATACTAATAAATCTTATCATGCATGCAGAGCAGCAAGCAATTTCTTAGAGTCCTGATCTCACTCTGTGACGTTTGGAACTAATTGCTATGTAGTGCAGGATGGAAAACTGACAGTGGGTCAGCGCCTGACTGCTGGAGCTTTTGCTGGCATGTCTGCAGTAGCAGTGACTCACCCCTTGGATGTCATTCGCCTGCGCCTATCTTTGCCCCGTGCAGGCTATACAGGTGTGAGTCCGGCCGTGTTTACTTCATACTACAGTGCCTCCAGATGTCTCCTGGGTGTATATTTGACCATGGCAAGGGCATTACATCATACTCTTCTGATGGCAGGGATGACAAATGCTCTGGTCACCATCATGCGCACAGAGGGCAGCTTTGCACTGTACAAGGGCTTTGCCCCTGCCCTGATCGGCACCGCGCCCTTTGCCGCGCTCAATTTTGCCTCGTACGACTTGCTGAAGAAGTACTTTTTTGATTTAGATGTCAGGTTTGCCCCACCCTCCTTCCCTTCCTCTCCAGAAACCTGCAACCAGTGCAATGGGCATTATGGAACTGTGCACGGTGTTTGTTGGGGCCACTATGAACATCAAATACTGCCACATATGTCCCACATATTTCTTACGCTATGAAGAGGACAGTGCTTGCCTACTGTGCGCTGCTGTGAGCTTTGCATTGTGTGTTCAGGCCCAGCACAGCAGGCACACTTGGCATGGGCGCCGCCTCGGGGCTGCTGGCTTCGTCTGTGTGCTTCCCACTCGACACTGTGCGGCGGCAGATGCAGATGCGCGCATGCACCTACACCAGCCAGGCCAACGCCATCTCCACCATCTGGCACACAGTGTGCACAGCATCACACTGCTGCACTGAAGTCCTTCATGCAATGTCATTTTACCATCATTCTTTGTATGTTGTCTATTGTATGCTTGCAGCTGCCCTGGGCCTGTGACAGGATTGCGTGACTTTGATTTGTGTAGGCAGTGACCCCTACTAACCTGTTACTGACCACTTGGGGACAAGAGTGCTTGCATGGCAGTGACTGGTTTGCATGAGGAGATGATGGATTGAGGGACGAGGGTTCAGAGAGGAGAGGTTGCATTTCAAGCTCTGAGGGCGATGATTTGATGTAATGGATGGCTTGCAGGAGGGCTATCGAGGATTCTACAGAGGATGGACCGCCAATGCTTTAAAGGTGCTGCTCTCACAAGAGGACAAAAGGACAACACCTCCTGTGCCAAAATAGACTCTCTCTTGTAGATTTTTTTTATTTTGTCCAAAGTGGCATTGGCCGATTTCCACCAGCTTGTCTTGCACATCAGCAAGGCAGGATCATCTGATCACACTGCTTCTCCCCGTGCAGGTGCTCCCTCAGAACAGCCTCCGGTTCGCCTCTTATGAGGCGCTCAAAACCTTCATGGGAGTCTGACTGGAAGGGGAGTGATAAGACTAATCCAGAACGAGATCTGCAAGCAGGGGTGATCACTGTCCCCGGTTTTATCAGTAGCGTCGGATAAGCTGCCACAGTCCCAAGGGCAGCAACAATTTTGGCAGCGTGTGATCTGGAGAAGAACAGGCAAAAGCGCATTTGTGGAGTTATTCAAATGGCGATATCCGAGAAAGATAAAGCTATCTGTCCCCAGTAGATTGGCATCTGCAAACTTCAAGGTGTTTGGCGCACGACCGTCGTCAGATGATGTGCTACACTAGTGGCGGTCGTACTGCCAGGAGCTCAACTTTTAGATCTACAGTCAAGTGTCTCAGACCTCAATTGCACGCAATAGCAACAGCCACCAGCAAGCTAGAGGAACTTATAGGCCTAGGGTTATTCTGAGGACTTCTTAAAGGTGATAATGTCGGCCGCGGCAACTCTTCTCTTATGTATGTCATTGCTGGTTGTCTGAACATTGTGGAGAAGAAAAGTTAGTGAAGTCTCAGCGTGTTTTCATCCTGCCAGAGTCGTTGTGCTTGCTACAATTCATACGCATCGGGCCACCCTTTGAATTTGGGCCCACCCATTAATTTGGGCGCGCTGCCGGCAGCGCTGTGAGTCAAAGGAATTGGCCGTGCATGCGCATACAGTAGTCTCTCTGATTAATGGGCTTACGGCCCAAGCAATGAAGGGATCACAATTTACAAGAAGCTCACCTTTATCTTCAGGTCTCTGGGGTGGTCGCTCCTCGCTTCCTGTCTGTGCACATCATCGTTAGCTTCTTGCAGCTTCCTTGTGTCGGCAGGAAGCTGCCGAAAATCCCACCATTTACAGGAAGGCAAGGTTCGAGTTACAAACGTTCGCGCAGATACCATATACAAAGCTACTATCAATTTACAAATCTCCAGCATGACGTCCAAGATATTCGACGAGAAGCACGGGGCCCAAGAAACGGCAGACGCCATCGTACAGAAAGCTTCCGTTGCACTTGCGGAGAAAGGGAAGCATGGACTGGGAAGCAACTCGACAGTTCAGGGACTGCCAACTACAGAGGCGATAACGGACAAGATCATGAAAGAGGGAGCGCGGAAGCTGGCGCACGATGGATCGGAAATGGCTGCAGAGGCACAGGTAATTTTTTGTTCTTGAAGTGAGATCTCTGCAGTATGAGTATTGTAACCAAGGAAAATGCAAAACGATGCGATGTTGCATTCGGCTGATGATCGGCGAACACCACAGTTCATCGACTTCTCTTGAGCAGTTTCCTTTTGTGCAGTCCGCCTACGCAAACAGAAATAAGGAGGAACACTCGGAGGTTGTGGAGCTCGTTAAAGAGCAGGTGCAGGAGCACTTTGGTGACACACAGCACGATCAGGACGCCGTGAAACTCGTCCAGAACGCGCACGAGAAGATGAACAGAATGCCTGTGGACAAGGTGAGGCCAACCGTCTGTGTATCAGAGTATGTTGCCCTTTGCAATGAAAAGACTGACCGCAAATCGATACAGCTGCTCATGCTGGTTCAAACATGTTCCTGAAGCCACCGTAATGACCTTCACACCCTCGCACAGTGGCATAAACGAGCAGCATTTTCTGAAAAGATGGCTTGCTGGTATGCAGATAAGGGAGAATATTGCCAGCGCACACCTGTCCCCAGAGGAGGTGGCCCTGAGGGCGCTGAAGGCCGGCGAGTCCAATGCAGTAAAGAAGGAGAGTGGTACAGTGGAAGAGGGAGTCAAGGGAAGTGGTGTAGAGAAGGGGTCTGAGGCTGCCCGCTTGCAGGTGCCTCTCACTTGCTGCTCCTGCTTGTCATCTTAAACATTGTACGCAGCTCTTCATCATATGCACTTCTGGTTCATTTCTTGCAGAACTCTGCTAAGCAAACAATATAAAGAATCTAGCTACGGGACAAAAATCCATCTTCATCATGATTGAAGGCAATGAACTCTGCCTGTGCTGCACAACTGATGTGCGTCATGCTTAATGCACCTCACAGACACTGCTTCAAAAGATCTCCCATTATGAGCTTAAGTGGTGTCTCAAGTTGAATAACTTGGGAGTGTCAGATGCATTTTTCCTGCCATTAGATCCACTATTCCCTCAAGTTGAGCGTCACTGATAAGATGGCATGCTGCTTTTCGGAATTTCAATTCAAATGTGGTGTGCTGTGCAGAGCTTGGTGGACCGTGCACAGCAGGGAGCTCCTCCTCCAGCAGCAGAGAAGGCAATTAAGATGCTGGCTGATGAGGTCCGCGCCGCGCGCGCAGCAGCCGGCGCGGAGGAGTAGACTAGCTCGTTCGGCACAATCTGACTGATATCTTTTACTAATTGAGCCTTGGAGAAAACAAGGCGCAGTGAGACAAGCAAAATTAGAGTGCAGATGTCGGATGTGTGAGCCTCAAGATTCTGAGACTGTGTGTGGAATGCATGGCTACTGGTTTTGGTGATAATGATGTTGCTGTGATTTGAATATGTCGGCAGTGCTGATGTGCGCAGCACAATTGCCTTTGCCATGTGGCCGTTAATACTTACAAAATTGTACATCTCTTAGACCTTCAGAGCCGTCCCTGTCCAATCATGGACTTCTCCTCTCTTAGTCATGCAAGGTACTACTGTAACTTTAATATCCGCAAAAAAAAAACCTCATGAACGTCCTCTGCAAAGAGTGGTATTCAGCAAAATGTTGTCACAGGAGGTGGTATGATACGGAAGACATTCCTTCGTTGGTACATCCAGTCAGAGCTTTCTGGCATACTTTGGTCACCATAGTATGGTGACATCTGAATATACTCTGTCACTTGCAATTTACACTCATTCCTCACCATGTCTCATATTTTCTCAGACATCTCAACCCTCTTTCGTCTTCTCAGACATCAGCATCTTGCAATCACCACCTGCACTTCCCAAAGTACAGCTCTGGCGCTGAGAACTTGCTGCCATAGTGACCTGCCCAGAAGCGGTCGTCCTTGCCTCTCAGCACAAGTATTGCCCTCCTCACCCCCGCACTGTACCCCTTGAAGGTGTGGCAGGAGAGCTTCCAATTACCGGGCTGTGTGGTCAGACTTCCAGACTTCCAGTGGGTAATGGCACTCCTCGCCCATGGGAACTCCCTCCGGCCTGAAAAAATATCTGAGATTTTTAGTAACAAAGACAATGTCTGAGCAGTGCCGAGGAAGATATATGGTCTCATCATGGCAAGGAGCAGCTGGTCATTTCACATTATAAAGTATTATGTGCTGGCTTTGGTTAATACCTGTGTATGGGGGCAGCACATCTGTGCCATCATCCAGTACCACGACTACCTCGGCCATCGATGGGCAGTCAAACCTGCCCCCATACCTGCATCGCACCACTATACTTATGAGGGTGTATTCCGGGAGTGCAGGAAAGCATGCGAGCATCTTTCGGACATTCGTGACGAAGCATCCTGGCCTGATGAGTGAAGCTAGAGCTGGTGAAACACGTGGTGACAACCTACCAAACTGCAAAGGTGATCTCTGGGCCGCTGTCGAGGTACTGTTCTGCCTCTTCTGTCTCCATGCCCCGTCTCCTTAGTTCAAGCAGTATGTTGACCGGCTGCAATGCACCAATCTTCAGCAGGGACACGGAGCAGAGCCCATGAAACACTTTCTCCTCTGCCGTCATCAATTCTTGTAATTAAAGGCTGACACTACAACAGCAGATTGAGCACAGACCTGCATGACTTCACACCACTGATATGAAGAGGCCAGGGCCCCAGTAAAACGTGTCCGAGGGGCGCCCATTCTTGGAAGCATGTCAACGTTCAAAGGGTCCAGGCCGGCAGGAGGGTACTCTGGCTGCCAGCCATGCCCACCATGCAGCGTAACTCTCCATCCTGGATGAAAAAAATGTTACCAGTGTCAGGCATCAGTATGCAGTCAATCTCTTGTATCTTGTGGTTCCTGAGGACATACTCTTGTACCCTTCAAAGATTGATACACTGTGTAAGGTTCTGCGTGAAGCCGTCCATACCATTTGCAGGAGGCATCAACCAATTGCGGTGGTCCGTGATGTTGCCCCAGTTGGCATTTGAGAGCATGTTGGTATTGTAAAGCCCATACCAAATCTTGGCATAGGACAGCTGTGAGCGTGCTTCGAGCCTGTCTGTGAGGACCTGCGACGCACAAAATGATGTGATCAGGTACCGTTCGTCAGGTGTAACGTACAAGAGGAAATGAACTCAATAGGATGTAGCTAACATCAAACATGAGCATTTACAGGGGATCCTGTGAACATCTCTAACCTGGGGCAGATCGTTCACTTTGTTCCTCCAAAGATCTGGTGAGAGAGAGACATCCAAGAACCGCTTGCTAACCAGGCAACAGGTGTTGATGACTTCCAGTGGAGGAACCAAGTCGAAGATTGCCACCAAGATCGCATTCGGCAAGCAATCAATCTCCGACATTTGCTTTGCGCAGACGATATGAACTGAAGTCGAAGATCAGAAGGCAGATGTCCCAATTCGAATGAGCACTGCTCCCCAGCTTCCTGCTGTTTCCGGAACCCCTCTCGACTTCTTCATATCCCTGGTAAAGGGTCAAACCTGCAAACCTTTCAAGCTTGCATCCGACAGACATCTTTCAGGCGTCAGAAGCTGAAGCCCTGCTCCGATGAACATATATTGCTTTGCTGAATATCCAACACTGGGAGTCGTTCCTGCGCAGACAGGTCCTCGACCGAAAAGTGCTGGAAACACAAGAAAACAACAACAGAAGAGCAAATCAGAAAGAAAAGAGGTCAAAAGCACCAAGGAAGACTAGAAAGGCAGCCATGAAGATATTGGAACAGCACGAGAAGCTTATATCTGCGCTGGAAGGAGCTTGTACCGAACACATCCTGCAAGTCATCGCAGAGCATGTGAGTCTGGTCGTGGTATTCAGCAGTCACCAGACGTTTACGATGTCGTAGGGCTTGTAGGTATTTCATGTACATCCTTCTAGTCAAAGTTTTATTGACTACGGTGGCTTGTGCAGAACTCCAAGAATGCTGAGGTACATACCAAGGAAATTCTTCAGACCATGCCCCAAAGGCAAAGATTCCGCTTCTGCAAAGCTCTACACCTTCAGGTGAGACCTACCAACATCAAGAGGCATATAAATGCAGAAAATTTGCATGAAAGGTACCTGAGACTCCTGCAGCTTGCACCAAAAATTTGCGCAGTTCTGTCAGCAAGAGAGCTGGCTGGGATCCTCTTGTAGGCGACAAGGGCTGTGGCAAGGCTGCAAGGCACTGCACTGCCCGCTGATGTGGATGATGATCATGACCCGGACGAGCACGAAGCTGGCGACTTGGAAGGACAGGTACGACAATAACCTGCCCAAAGGGACATCTCAAACTTTGCATTTGGCCAGTTGTACCCCTGTAGTGAATGTCATTGCTCTGCAGGACGTCGCAGCCCGTCTGCTCCAAAGCATTGCCAGTCTTCTGGCCATGTTGCTGAGCAGCAATGGAAATTCAGTTCTGGACGACATGCAGACCACAGCAGTCATCCTCCACGACAGTGCTCTGCTGGTGCGACCAGGGCTTGCATAGTTCCATCAATTAGAATGTTTACCCTTGTTCATTTGGAGCAGCTGATCACTCCTCTGTCTGTGTCCACCCTTACACCTTCACATGGCCATGCATGCATGCATAGTCATGCATCCTGGTGCACCGAAATTTCTGAGCTGCCTCATTCTCCTCGTGCCTCATCAGGCAGCAGCGGAGTGGCCAGATCTGCAGGATGCTGTAACCAGCCTGTGCACGGCATGGTGGCAGGCTGGCGCGCCCGGCAAGGAGGCCTTGATTGCGCAGACTCTCCCCTACCTGCTTGTCAGAGCCCTGTCCACCAGTGCGAGCCCTCCATTACATTCTCCCCACCACAAAAACCCGCACGAAAACTTGTAACAATAGATGTATTCGCATGCATTTCAAGGTGTGTCAGGAGTAAACAGTAAGTCGGCGTTAAATACATGTGTTCTTCTTCTGGTCTCCATGTGTATTGCATGGATGTGCATCAAGGTGATTGTTGCTATATGCATGCGGTGCAGACCGGTCAGCAGATGTGAAGCGCTGCTACGCGATGCGCACCGCTCTAGGTCTGTTAGACTTTGAGGACGAGTCCATCGGGGACTTGAAGCGGCTGCTGCTGCGCGCCGCATTCTCCCCAACGTTCCTGCGCTGCAGAGAGGGCCGCCGCTACCTGGCCCACCTCTTCACCCTCGAGGTGTGCTCCTTCTGCCTTTTTTTGAATTATGTTATCCCTGATTGGCCTGTGCTCTACAGGAAGCCACAATTGGATGCGCCAAATGCGTTAAGGTGATGGTGCCACTTCACATTGAAGCTGGAAGCCATCTATGCGGAGCCTTGCAGTGTAGAACGCAGTTCTGCACCTACACTGCATGGCGGCGAACAGCTCGCCTCTAGAGCAAGGAGCAACAAATTCTCTGTCGTTGTGTGGTCTTTCGATCTGGACAGTGCAACTGCCTTTGGCTTCTCTGATGTGAGGTGCAAGCTTTCATGCTCTGTGGATGCAGCCTCAAATGGTAAGGGAGCTTGGGGCGATCATCCGCAACCAGATCCCCTCGGGGCGCAAGTCAGTCCTGGAAGCGTATGGGGAGATACTGAACCGAGCGTGGCGTGAGAGCACCGCTGCGTCCCTGCTGGAAGTGGAGAATCTGGTCCAGGTGGGCTGACTCAGAGCAAGAGTTGTAAAACTTGTATGCACACCCATTGTATGCAGCCATGCGGCTGTTAGTGTTGCATGTTGTTGTGTCAGGAGACAAATTCTCCCATGTTTACACAAGCCTCTGGCAGAATGATTCACACAGGACATTATGACTGAGCTAAATCACTGCTGGGCCAAAATAGTTTACATGCGGCTGCACGGCTGTTCATGCATTCATGAACATTGCACCGCTGACCACACACCGGTGGCCATGGGCGCAGGAAGTGCTGCATACCTTATTCTGCACCCCCACCTCTGCCTACTGCCTGTGGACATGTCGCGTCATCGTCAATTGTTGCATGCAGACAAGTCAGGGGCTCGCTGTCCCACGTCGACACATTCCCTCTTCAAAATGGTATGCTAAGACAGACCGGCGGCTGTGGGCGCAGGGACTGATGCAGGCAGCAATCAGCGCTTCAACACAGCCGATGGCCGCAGCATTGCGCCGAGTGCTTGACGGCTTCCACCGCGAGAAGGCGGCTCCCGGCGTGGACGCGCTTCTGCTGCGGCTCTACCGGCCAATCCTGTTTAGAGCGCTGGCCGCGGCCAACCCGGCCGTTCGGCGCAATGCCCTCGGCCTCCTGCTCGACGCATTTCCCCTGCAGGTCGCTGCGCCTCCCTCTTGTCTCCTGCACCTCATGGCCCACAGGCTTGCATGTGCTGGAGCACTATATGTTACGCATGCATGCCAGGTAGTGTACTGCAGCCGACTTCAGCTCCCTTGATAAAGGCTTGGCCAAGGCCAGGGCAAAGCCACATGCATGACTGTCCCATCAACGGTAGGTAACAAAATTATCTTGGAATCAAGATATGCAGGCTTGCCCAGCGCATTTGCCCGGCTTAGGGATGCAGGGTTTGTGTGGTGGTGACTCAACGCTATGTCACCTGCAGGACCCGGACGCCAGCAATGAGGAGACGGATGAGCTGCTATCAAAGCAGTTTGCGCAGCTGGGGGACGCCCTCGGAGACGCGGCGCCGGCCCTGCGTGCGGCCGCGGTGGCCGGTGTGTGCCAGCTGCTCAGCACCTTCTGGGAGCTCATCCCCGCAGCCGTGACCGCCGGCTTCCTAAAGCGGATCGCAGGTGCACACAATACCATGGCATGGGCAGACGCAAGCCAAACTGGCCACTGTGCAACATGGAGTGTCTTCTAACGTTGCTGGCTTGGTCGCTGGAATCCTCAGCCTGCAAATCTGACTGACGCGAGAAGATTTGCTGATCCTGAAACATGCTAGCTTTGTTCGGCTGTGCAGCAGGAGAGGGCCTGTGTGAAACGTGTCCAGCCCTTGTGAGCTGCATAGGTGCCCACGAGTGCGACATGTGAGCTTCCGGGGCTGCACCAATGGGGCACTGTCTCAGAACACTGGAAGTGTAGGCTCATGAGCTTAACGAGTGCCAAAGCAGGTACCATCTCTGTCACGAGGAGACGAAGTGGAGTATTGGTATCTTAAGATGGTACTTTATGACGATGTGTGTGCAGGCGAGCTGGCGTTTGATGGCGCCTGCGTGGCAGTGAGGGTGGCGGCAGTGGGGGGCCTGGCAGCACTGGCTCAGAACCCGCTGACTCAGCCGCTGATGAGAGTTATGCTGCCCACGCTGCGGCCGCTGATGTGGGACTCTGCGCTGGCCGTGCGCATCGCCCTCGCAGACATGCTCCTCGCCATCGGGTGGGTGGCAGAGACAATTTTTCAGAAATTCAAGTGCTTACCAAGATGTAAATCTAATGCTTTGAAGTAATTCGGCTCCTCTTGCGGAGTTGAAGGATGCTCAAGCAATTTTTCACACAGGCTGTTGCAATGGGTGCAGCCTCGTCGATCTCACTGGGCAAACTGGGGCCATGTTTTGCAAATTCATCATGAGCTTCTAGGCATGCAATAAGAAGATGTGCTCTCCCTGCTGCGCTAATGCTCATGACCACACTTCAAAATGAATTCAAGGCAAGCCGACGCTCGGATGATCACGTGCTGCACGTTTGAAAGCACTGCAAACCATGCACCATTTGTGACACACCATTTAAGTGTTGCAGGTGCTGGAGTAAGATTTGTGAACATCGTTCTGTGATATAAAGGGTTCATCAGTGCTGCAGTAGAATCACACAATTGATTAGTCATCCTGTGGAGCAGATATGAAGCAAGCAAGGTGATGTGAGTAGCCTGGAACATGCATCTGTGTGTAGACAGAGTGCAACGTGAGTTTGTCTGCGCAGGGCGATGCGCGATCTGAGCTTTGTGGACGTGGTGCCCCTGGACACTCTGTTGGATGTCCTGGCCTCCGACTCTCCCCAGGTGGCACAGCGCGTGCACCGCCTGCTGTTGCCGTCTTACTTCCCCGGCCCAGAAGACGGCCCCGCATGCGTTGCCGCGCTGCTTCGCCAATCTCCTGAGGTTCGTCCACCTGAGGAGGCTCTAGATAAACCTGACTAGAGTGCACTGCCCAACTGAGCTCTTTGTTGCTTTCCCCTGACTTAACCCGATCCCACCCTTACTGCACACATTTCCAGACTTTGCACCAAAAGGATAGACGGCGTGATATTGCTGCCTCTGCAAGGACACCCCTCCTTGGCAAGCTCAGCTGGGGCTTCTTGGATAGTTTCCAGATATTTTCCCAGCCCTCTACATGAGCCCAAGCAATGAGTATATTTGCTGCAGCTCTATGTGCTGCCCGCCCGGTGATTGCTTTAAAATGCTGTGCAGGCAGGGAAGGCATTCTGCCGGCTGCTAGTGGGCGGCGAAGAAGCGTGCGTGCCTGTTGAGCATGCAGTGACGCTGGTGGCGGCTCTGCGCGATCACTTGCTGGCATGCACGCCGGCCGCCGCGGCCGACGGCGTAGCCGGCCGGCCGGACACCGCCGGCCGCAAGGGCAAGCGCAAGAAGAAGGGCGACGCACAGCCTCAGCCAAATGACAGCCAGGTGATACATCACGTTTACGCACTCAACATAAGGGTCAATTGCCCTGGATGAGAGCAACCAGGGCCCCTGTCAACAAATATCGGTGCCTCCACACCTTGAAGCTGCCGTGTTATATTTGCCTATTTGACACTTAAACAGAGTGTTAATGCATGGGGGCAGTCTTGTTTGGCGGCTCTGAGTGACGCGAGGCGCGACCCTGAGAGGGATGGATATTTGGTAATTGATCTGCTATGATGAGCATCTTGTGTTTGTGAATTTTAGGCTGCGGAGACATTGGAGGCATGGGAGGCCATGCTAGAGGGCCTGGCAAACCTCTGTGAGGGCCTGGGACACTGCTATGCAGCAGATGAGCTAAGCTCTGATGAGGCGGGCGGCTCAGCTCTTTTCACCGGGCCCCAGCTCACCTCCTTGCTGGGCCTGGCTGCAACCCCTGCAGCGCGCAGCGCCGTGCTGAGCATTGCCGGGGCCTTCCCGGACTTGGCTGCTTCTGGCAGCTTCCACTCCAGGTATTCCTGTCGAGAAGCCTCTCCAGGTCTCTAAATCACAATTGCCTCCTGTTATGCCCCGGCTGGCGGGGGGCGATATAAATACCGAGCACCGTGCCCACGGTTGATTGGGTCTTGCTTGGATCTGGCGAGTCCAACAAGGGGTAGGATGATGGCAGCCTTCAACTGCAGCTTGTCTGCAGGACGCACCTTGCCTCTTGGCAGAAAGAGCGTGTAATAAAATAATAAATAATAATGCCTATATTCAGACAATCTTTGGGACCACCAGAGTTGCAGTCCCAATGGAAGATTTCACAACGTCTTGGCAGTGAGCCCAAGTCGAGCATGCAAGAGGACCAGCGTGGCACCATTTTTGTGTTCTGAACGAGTGACGAGCTTGAATTTACGACATCAGTTTCGAGAGGTATTCATCGATGATGATGTGGCGACAGGTGTCTTTCCCAGCTGCTGACCGGCTGCAGCGGCCCGCCGAGCCACGGGGAGCTGCGCAGCGCGCTGCATTGCCTCGCTGGCACCGATGACATGGCGTCTCTGCTGGACCACATCCTCTCTGCCCTGGACAACGAGAGGCCCCCCTCTGCGCGCAGCCGGACCCTCCACAGCCTGCACATGTCGCCAGACTCCGCCCTGCGATGCCTTGGTGAGTGCCCACACCCTTCCTGCCTCCGGTGCAGAGAGCTGTCAGATGGGTCCCTGCTTGAATGTCTGCCTTCCAGGTTTCAGTGGCAACGACGGGAGATATTTTGGCTGCATGTATCTCTAGGCAATTTATCACGTGTTTATGCAATCACTGAAACCCACCGCCATGACAATACTGTCTCAGAAATTTATGGGGCATTGTACACACATCAATTTGCCAGCCAACTTGTTCCCGATGTACCTGCAAAGCGGCTGCAGAGTGGAACCAGGTTCCCAGGCGCCCGTGCAAGATCATGCCGCTTCAGTGGTCCTGACAGAAAGAGAGCATAAAATCTGACTCACAAGGTATTTGGATTTTGCAGATGCCATGCTGGCAGACGAGGCGCTGAGGCTGGCGCTGCTCAGCAGCCAGTTAGTGATGGACCTGCTTCCGGTGCTGCAAGGCCTCGCGCGCAATTCTGCGAATGCCCTCCGGTCCCAGATTTCATCACGCTTCCCTGCACAGGACGAGGCAGACCTGGATGACAATGATAGGTGAGTCACCGGTGCCCACCACCTTTTGCAGCCTGCACTCGTCAAAACATTGCTGTCACAAGGTGAAATGCAAATGTCAAAATTTGAAGGGCTCTTGAGTTGTTGGTAATTTAGCGGAGCTTCGATCGGCAACCACTAAGATTGTTCTTACATTGTAGCAACCTGTTGGAAGCCGGCTGAGGCTCATTGGTGTTGTGGGCAGCCTCCCACTGAAATCATAATCCAGGTGTTGCCTGACATAACTAGTCTTTGAGACTGAAACAGGTGTAAGGTATCAATAATACTTGTAATATCTTGTTGCAGGAGGGACACAGATGCAGAGGGGCATCCGTCTCTGGCGTTCCCGTCAGCCAGTGTCTATTGCAAGACAGCGCTGCACCTGCAGCTGACCTCAGCGCTCGTCAGCGCTGCCACGCACCCGCACGCCAGGCTGCACGACGGCGATCCTGCGCAGCTCATGACCGGCTTAGATGGTGCGGATTCAACAGCGGCTGAGGGGGCAGACGGCGGCAGCGCGGGAGATGAAAGCCCTGCACATATCTGGCAGAGCGTGGGGGAGATTGCCGTGCGAGAGGCGCTCTCCGACGCCGCGCAGCTGCTTGCATGCCTGCAAGCGGCCGGCGCAGAGAATTTGACAGGTTAGTCATCTTTGGGTACTGCTTGTAGACTAGGTTGATTGTATGAACTGAACGCAGACTACACAGGATGGGTGTGGAAATGTGCGAGAACATTGGTGGGTGTATGATCGGTGGTATTGTTCATAAGGGCGCGCCACCTTGAGGTCCATCTCAGGATGCAAGGTTACTGAGAGACTTTATATTTCCGGGGTTGCGCCAGGGGAGATAAGCGGGGAGCCAGGGCAGGCAACCAGGGTGCCAAAGAGGGGACGGAAGGGCAGAGGCCCTCTGCCAGAGTCGGTCACCGGCAGCCTCGACCGGCTCGCGCTGCTGCGCGCGGCTAATCAGGCTCTGCTCGGTGCCGCTGCACTGGCGGCCGATGCTGCGCGGCTGCTGCGGTGGGGAGCGGCCGGTGGGGACACTGCAGACGCGGCGTGCACGCTGGCGGGCGACCTCGTGCAGTGGACTTGCCAGCTAGCTGCGACTGCAGAGGAAGGTGCGGCGTTGACAGCAGCACCAAATGTTTCTTTCCATGACTTCTACATTTTGCAAAAACCCAGCTGCAACTTAGAGCGATATTCTGTGCCTGCCGACTGCTCTTGTTGGTGTCTGCTGCATGTCACATTGCTGGGTTTCTTCTGTTAGGTATTGATTCACAGCAAGAATACGGATTTGAAGTTTAAGCCCCTACTTGGGTGCAGGCAGCGAGTCGGACTGGGCGTCTGCGTCGGCCGCTGCCCTAGGCCATGCGGCGAAGCTGGCATACCAGATGCTTGCAGGGCACAAGCAACGCTCCGCTGCTGCCAGCCATGCGCTGCCGAACGGCCTGCTTCGCCTGGCAACCACGCTGATGCAGGCAGGGGCTGGCAGCAGCGAGAGTTGGGTCACAGCTGCTCTGCGGCCCTTCCTGACCGGCTTGGTGGCCGGCCTGTGCCGGCAGTCAGCCAGCCCCGAAGACTGCAGGTGGGATGCAGCTGTGACTGATTTAGCCACTCAGCCACTATTTTTCTGTGCAACCGGCGCTGCACACTTGTAAAATGAGTTGTACAAAGACAGGGATGACTGTCGCACTGAAGAAAAGTAAGTTTCCCGTGGGGCAGGACTGATGTGCTGATGTGTTTGTTGGTGCAGATGGGCTGAGCCCGTTGCGGCCTCTCTGGGAGAAGGGGTGATGGAGGCTTCTGCTACTAGTGACACGACAGATGACAAGAGCACTAAGGGCACGAAGGCACAGACTGCAAAGGCTTCTGCCAACAGTGATTCTGAGAACATTCCTCAGAATGCACAATCCCCAGGTTGGCACGGGCCCTCACCCTTCCATACCAGTCCTGCTGAGCTTTTTGATCGTTTGTCTTTGCAGGCTCTTTGCATAAATACTGCAGCACTGCATGCACATTAACCATTCACTGGTGATGCACAGGTGCTGGCAGGGAAATGATGGCCTTCAAGCCGGACCACCCTTTCCTCAAGGCGGTGCTCCAAGCTGTCAACTTTTCAAAGGTAGGCCCCCTGTCATACCTGCACGTTCTCGATCAAGATGTGTTTCTCTATAAGCTGCCCAATCCCCCTATTGTGGTTGCTCGTCACGTTTGAGCATCTGCTGATGAGGAAATGATACCAGCGGAAGTTGGGGACCTTGATTTGAAAGCTTCATTGTGTGCCAGGCAAAGTGCACATGGTGACTCTGCATGTGCTGCTTTTTCAACAGGTGCAGCCAGAGATGGCTCTCTGCGCTGCAAAGGCGGCTAGCCTGCAAGGATCTGGCGCTTGGCAGACATGTATCGGGGCTGTCCAGCTGACCTGCTTGGCAGGCTTTGAAGGTTTGTACACCGTCTGGCCAGCAGACTTCGAAGCTGACAGGATCTGTGAACGAATCATCTGTGAGATGATATTTAGATTGATCTCCAACTCATGCTTTCTGCCCTTCTCAGACCTTGTGTTTCCTCGTCAGTAACGCAAATGTGAAGCGTTGCTTTTGGTGATTGGATCCAGTGATGTTCTGTTGTCTTGGCAGGTGCTGCAAGTGGAGATCGGCGGAGAGAGTTCACAGAAGTCCTGACCATGTTGAAGGGCGTGCATGGGATGCTCAAGGCTGATCAATCGAGCGGCGAGCAGCAGGGTGCCAACGCAAAGGAGTGCTTGCAGACGTTGCTGAACACTCTGGTGCCTCTGGAGTAACTTTGCAGTAGCATGCACTGGAAGGCATGAAGCAACCTGTTCGAACTGATTGGATGTTTGACTCATTTAAACTGGAAACTGCAGACTTGGTACTTCCCTGCACACCAGATGGGTCTCCCTGTCAGCATCGTTACTTGGAATGTGAAGAGGTCTGCTGGAATCAGGCCTTACGTATTGAGCGCTGGGAAAGTTTTGCTGTCACAGTGAATTTCCAGAATAATTTGACGTCTCATCCAGCTGTCGCCTGGCAGGACTGAACTGCATCCAGATCAGGCAACCGCTGTTCACGTACTAGCTTCATGTCGGTCTGTTTACTCAAAATAAAATCTTCTTTGGAGCTATCCAATTTCATATTACCTCTGGTAGCTTTCGTTTTTGGTGATCTGATCGCCATCTCGGAAAGGAGCTTGTTCGTTCCTTTTCTGTCAGATCATTCGACATGTAGACTCGATTGTAACACGCTTGATGCTTTACTTGTACCACAGAAGCATCAACACATTTGTTCAGACAATTGTTGGCACATCTGTGCAGCGTCTGAGGCCAGGTTTAGCGATGGAGCGATTGAGAAAGCGGAAAGGAGCTGGATCTGGGGTACACATCCTGCACACAACTTCAGCACCTCCGGGCTTAACCGAACCTCAAGCAGCGGAAGGCAGATCTCTTCGAAGCAAATCAGGAAGAAAGATCAGCGAGACGGTCTTGGCAGATGCCCTAGCCCAGTCCACTAGCCTAGAGAACAGAGGGCTTGAGAAAAAGCCTTCAGGCCGGACTCATCTCAGCAAAGGGTCTGGCCAGACAGACCAGAAAGCAAAGAAGCCTGCATGGAAGCCTGCTGCACGTGTTGCTGCAGCAAGCGAAGCACTGGGATCTGGTGCAGAGCCTTCTGTGATAGCGGAACAGACTCATGTACCCGCTGCACAAGCTTGCCCTGGCACCCCACAAGTCTTCCCAGTATGGACAGAAGCAGAGCTGGAGAAGGCATCCCAGCATCTGTGTGAGGTGGACCCATGTGAGTGCTCCGGAACACCCCTGCCAGCATGAGCCTTCCTATGAGATCCCCTATCCCTGAGCTATCATGCTGGCAGCTAATTGTTCATATTGTGCATGGGTGTAGTGCTCGCAGCGCTCATCAAAGAGCATGGTGTACCGGACAAGCTACTTCCGACTGGCACTGACTCCGCATTTCATGGCCTTGCGCACATCATCATTGACCAGCAGCTGAGCATTCTGGCGGCCAAGTGCATCGCCAACCGTGTGCTTGCAGCCTGTGGGGTGCGCGCCCAGAGCCTTTTCCCTTTTGCCTTGTTGTGCTTGAGTGTCTGCACTGTATCTCTGGTGGCAGGAGGCGGAACAATGCCATACCGTGTGAAGAAGTCCTTTTCTTATCTTCCCTCTGGCACAAGAGATTTCAGGTGTGTTCACGGGATAACATGTGAAAGAAGGCGGGATTGGTGGTGTGCAGGGCGCACAGGTATTAGAACCTGCGGCTGTTCTGAAAGTCCCGCCAACAGAGCTGCGAGCATGCGGCCTGTCGCAGGCGAAGACAAACTACATTGTTGATCTGGCGCAGCGTTTTGAGTCTGGACAACTCACAACCGAAGGCATTGTTGGTAAGCGCGTTCTCTATGATGTGCAGCAATGCAACACGCTGCTACATTTCTTGGAGCACTTTCTGCCATGGAAGAAGCCATGTCTAACAGTGTGGTGTTTGCTGCAGCGCTTGACGATGACACTCTGTACCAGCAGCTCTCTGCTGTAAAGGGCATTGGTGAGAAACTTCATAATAACCAACCTTTCTACTTTGCAGCACAGTAGGCACATCTCATTGCCCCTGGGTGTAGCCTCACATGTACCAAGCTACGTGACAAGAAGTGTGCGCTGTGACTCAGGGAGGTGGAGTGTGGACATGTTTGCCATGTTCCATGCGGGGCGGCCGGATATTCTCCCAGTGGGTGACCTGGCGGTCAGGAAGGGGTTCCAGGCACTCTATGGCCTCAAGGTACAATCACTATTTTAATGCTGTGGATTGGGCTGGATTTCTCACTATTTTTCGATGCAATTTGGTTATTTTCCACCGAGAAGGCTCAGCAACGTGAGGACGAAACACTCAATGTTGTCTTGCGTAGGCGATTCCCACTGATGCACAGATGGCGGAGATTTCTGAGAAGTGGAGGCCATACCGGTCACTGGGAAGCTACTACATGTGGCGTGTTCCAACAAACAAGAGCCCTTCCATAAAGAAGAGCAAGTCTGTACCTGTTGGTGTGACACTGTAGATTTAGCGACGAAGTAGCAAGCCCAAACAACAGTGTGCAACAGCCCACATGTCTGCATGGTTGTGAGATCATTGCAGCCAGGGAACATAAAACCTGGCCAGATGACACAGATGTAGTGACACACTCGTTTTGGATTTAAAACGATTTCAGTCAACAGCGGGGTTGACAGGTCTGGTGCTGTGTACTTCTGCCTTTTGTTGTACTTTATGGATTGTTGGCTAAGTATTCATCAGCAAAATGTTTGCATTACAGCAGCTCTGCAATAGCTACAGCAAGCCCCGAACAGTGTTTCTGAGCTTCAATTGCAGCTGTACTTGTACTACCTAATATGTGCGCATTCTGAAAATACCATACTGGTTCTGAATGATTTTGCGCTTTCCCGATGAACCCATTAAACGCTGGATCTGAAAGAGTGCTTTTAACTGTCCTGCTCCTTTTCTTGGTTGGTCTGCAAAACATTGATGCGCGGCAGATGAATAAGCATGTAACAGGACATTGGTGATCTCAGAGGATAGGAAGAGCCTCTGCAGGCTCATGCACAGGCACAACTGCGCCCAGATTCTCCACCAGGAATCGTGCTTGGGCAGTGGACACCTCCTCAAACAAGTCACCCAGGTACACGTCAAAATGTCCTGCGCAACAGTCAGAATATCCCATGAGTCCACTTTTAGCATGCCGGCCCCTGGCAAATCCCACTGGGAAAATGGTAGCGACAATGAGAGGGCATGTCTTTCAAATTAGCAGCAGAAAGTTGGGCATGCAATGGCTTGAGGCACTTACCAACGTCTCTCTCAAACAGCTGGACATTGCTGTTGAGCTCTGCTGCTCTTTGCGCGACAGAGATGGGGCAGAGTGCGTCCCGCGTCGTGGCAACCAGCAAGACGGGCGCCTTCACCTCAGGTACATAGTGTATGGGATTGTACCGCGACAGCTCATTGGCAAGCCTTGCCAAGATGCGATTTTGCCACCCGCCCTGCGTTGCAACACAGCCGGCCTCAAGCTTGCTGACCTTCTAATTATGGCAATGCCACCCGCATCATTCTAAAAGCTCAGAAGTGCACAACAGCGGCAGTGCTCGCCATGCATGGCCATCAGGTGCTTGAAGGCAATTGACGAGCTTTTGCATGCCATGAGCTAGTAGGACAGCTCAACTCGCACAAGTTCAGGTGCCTTGGAGGAAATAACGGACTGCTCTTGGCAGTCCCTCAGAACAGCAGCACAGCGTACCATGTAGTTTTCTGGGTGCTTGGCCAGGTACAATTGCATCTCCTCTTCAGGTAGCTCCATGAAGGAGTTGGATCCAGGGGGCCCAGCCACCTTCAGGTATGCCGGTGACTGCCCCACCAATACGCGCGCACGATCGTGCAAGCCCGCCAGAAACAGGCGCACGCTCTGTGGGATGCCCCTGTTCTTGAGACTCCGCTTGGAAGCCTCGAAGCCGCTCAGATGCGGCACCTGCAGACAATGTACAAAACACTTGCTTTGTTCCATGAGTGTGCCTGATACAACTGCATCTGCTTGGCGCGACAGCAGGACTGCATGCAAGAGTTCTGCTGAGGCAGGGCGGACCTGGGATACCACAGCTGAAATGTTGATGCCCTCCTTTGCTGCTGTGACCAGCACATGGCCCCCAGCAAATGAGGTGCCCCACAGGCCAATGCGCCGCACGTCCACCTCTGCACCCAGCGTGCTCTGCATGCACCAACAGATTCTCTTGCAACCTCTGCAGACCATCAGCTAATGCATGTGGAATTTTCTTGAAACCATTTATAACCGATGTGATCAGTCTCGGATCTTGCAGTGTGCCCAGCAGATGTATGTACTGCTCTCAGGATGCACTGGATGACATGCCAGAAGATCTCTATCATGTCAAAGGACGAGCATGAGTAAGAAATGTATATCTGAGGCAAAGTGAGCTTAGGTCGCACCCTGACATAGTCCAGGGCTGCATCCCAGTCCTCAAGGTGGCGCTTGGGGGACACCCAGTTGCGAGGCTCTCCCTCAGAGCCACCAAAATTGCGGTAGTCAAAGACCAAAACAGCCAAGCCTCGCTGAGCAAAGACCTCTGCAAAGGGGTGCAAGCCCATGTCTTTCTGCCCAGCGATTCCGTGGGCCAGCACCACAATGGGTGGCCGCTCCTCAACACCCTGCAGCACAAGTCTCTTTATTGCAAAATTGAGTGACGAGATTGACAATAAGATCCCAACTTTTGCGATAAATTCCCAGCTTATCATTCAACATGCCAAAGCCAGGTTGCAGAGATGATGGACAGTATCTCCTTGTTCACACAAACGGATCTATCAGTACCTTGGGAAGGTAAAGCCAGCCCTCCAGCTGCAGGTCATTCGATGGAAAATAAACTGTGCGTCTGCTGTACTGTGAGTCATCGATTGGTCCACAATTTTCAGTCGCAGTGGTGTTTCGCAGAAGGGGTTCTGTACTGATGGTCTTGTCCCATGGAACCACGATTGCTGCCCCCAGAAGGGCAATCACAGCCGGTAACAAAGCCAGAACGGACACCATTTTTATGGTGCTATTTTTTCTGCGCCATTACCAATTGCTTCGCTCAGAATCCTTTAAATTTAGCAACTTCGTTCTTGCATCATCAGAGGACACTAAGCACAGCTTTAGGAGTGCAAGAGTTCAGGTGCAAGCAACAAACGATATGGGTGATTTTATTGATCAGAACGTTACTGCTTATCGAACGTGCTGGAATACCAAGATTGAGGCTGTCACCTTGCGATCTGTTTCAGAATGAGCAATATCTTTGAGGAGTTGAATAGCTGGCTCTTACCGTGGCCTTGCACATATCCTCAGATCATCCTCAACGCATTCCACACAATAAGATGTGTTGCGTTGCGAGCTATGTGAGCAATCTTAGTCCAAGATTATTCTGCGGCAAAGGTCAATATAGGCAACATGTTGAGCCCTCCTGAACAAAGTCCCAGACCTGGTCCTGGAGCTCAGCAGCAATTGGAAATTGCTGCTGAGCAGGTAGTGCAATGGCATGCTTCAACTCAACGGCCCTTTTCCTTTGTGAAACCTGAAACCTTCTTGTCAAGGAAGAGACCAACTCACGTTGCTGCTTCAAGTTTCTAAATTACGATTGCTTCAATGGGCGGCGCTTCAAGCGGGAAGGACACGATGATGTAAATGATGATGATGATGTATTGCCAGCAATTTTGCGGTCCTCAAAATGACCATGAAAGCAAGGTAGACCCATAGCATGCAAGGTACGCAAATCAACTCGGAATTTCTCTTGGCAACGGTTATTACAGGACTGCGCATTGTGACGTGAATGATTGAAAATGGCAGGGTCACAGATTGGCACTGGCGATCACAACAGAAGGCAGCACACGGCCACATGACCAGGGTGGCACATAACTCCTATTGAGGAGGCGGAAACTGGCGACATCATTGGATGAGAGACACAAGGGGCATGTGAGAAAGCATGCTAGCAGGCATCGGCTTGAAGCAGTGACATCACTCCTCGTCATCATCGTCATCGGACTCATCCTCAGACTCAGCCTCCTGCAGCCACTCCACGAGGGGCTTGGCCACAGAGCGCACTGCAGCGGCAGCCTCAGGCTCCACACCCAGCACCTTGGCAGCATCGGTCTTCTGGTACCAGCCCACAATGAGGGCCTCCTCGACAATGTCCTCGTCGTATAGCACCTTGAGCACCATGGCCACCTGGGCACAGATTGCGACCTTCTCAGCTGCTGCGTACACATATTCGCATCATGCCAGCAAAAATGCCATGATCTATCAACTCCTCACAGCCAATGGCGGCATATACCACTGGCACAAGGTGCAGCCCATGCTGTTGGATGCAGGTTTTCAGGGACAGGGACTTCCAGGAAGACGTCAAGGCATGCCAGCGTTGCATGTGAGGTGATCGTGCGCACTTCCTTGATGCGGGCGGGGATGGCGGTGCCCAGCAGATACTCCAGGGCGACCAGCTGGGCCAGCTGCATGGCGGTCTCGCTGCCGGCGGCAACAAGGGTGTCCTTGCGCGCCTTCACCTGTCCAGCCACCTTCACTCCCTCCTCCAGGTCACCGAAGAGAGCCTGCATGCAGACATGACCACAGTCAGATCATTGCTCCAGATCGTTGCTGTCAGGTGGTGCCAAATTCGTCCTCGTCTCCCCCCCCTACTTTGAGGGCTTGCTGAAGCATCGGAACATCCTCCCCCAGCACCTTCCAAGTCCCCACGGACCCCAACTTTCTCATGTGTGCTCGCTTCTTATGACTGGTCAGCGATACAGCCTGAGATCAAGGTGTCAATCCTTCACCCGCAGCGCATAACACGCAAGGCATAAGTATAGCGAGGGGTTGCGCTAGCAAAGAGTGGCTGCACACCTCGTAGAGGACGCGCATGCGGCCGATGTGGCCGCCCTGCACATCGACAGTCTTGAGCTCGGCGGCGACGTCGGCGGGGCTGGCGGCACCGGCAATGAACTTGCGCATGCGCAGCACAGGGTTGGCCGCCAGCTCGGCAGCCTCCTTTGCTGCGGCCTCCTCCTCAGCATACTTGCGCTCCTCCTCTGCCTGCACACATGTCGGGACATACCAAATAGATGAGGAGTATTCAAACGAACTTTCATGAGGGTCAAAATGCATATGAGTTGCAGGGATGGACAGAAATTGTCACATTGCATTCCGTTCTGAATTACCATCCTCTATCAGCATGGTCAGTCCAGTCACTGAGACCAGGCGCAAACCATCGACAAGGTGCAACCTTGGTGTTGCTGTGCGTGACACACGAGGGCTGGGGCCTGTGGAAGGTTGCGCCTGACCTCACCAGAGTGCCTGCTGGGACTGCAGTTTTAGCGGAATGCCCTGAAAGAGGGTCATCTCCATGCAGGCAGTGCACGCATGCTTATTATCCATGACAATCACTCAAGACCCGACTATCATCCATTGAGTGAGTAGCTGTAAGGAAGAGAGCCATTACAAATTGACGCACAGAAAAAATGAGGGGGCAATGGGTAAATTTCCCACCTGGCGGGCAGCAGCCTCTTCAGCGGCGCGCTTCTCCTCGCGCTTGCGGCGCTCGGCAGCCTCGGCCTCGATGTTGCCCTGCGTGACAATGCTGGCCATGGCGGCCGTCAGCTGCTCCTGTGCGCGCGCCTTGGCCGCCTCCTCGCTCGTGTCAGTCATCCACACAACCTCATCCTCGCCATCGCCGTCCTCGTCATCGGCATCAGCAGAGCCCTCATTGGAGCCCTCCTCGTCGCCGTCCTTCTTCTTCTTCTTGCCGTCCTTGTCCCTGTTGCGTGCAAGTGAGGTCTGTCAGGTTGAGGCGTGTCACAACAATCCTGCCCGGGAGTGGGCTGACAAGCATACGCCAGTACAGCACAAATAAGATGCCTGCCTACAAGACAGGACCCATGGGCCAGGACAACATCTACAAAATGACTGATCTGAGCACTTACCCTGGTCTACCCGAGAAAGCAGCTCAGTGCAACAGCAACAGTGGGCCAACAAAAGACAGGGCACCGAGTGCAGAAGGGATGATAACGCCACTCACTTTTTCTTTTTCTTCTTGTCATCCTTGTCGTTGCTCTCGATGGCAGCAGAAATGCCCTTTTCTTTCTCCTGCTTCTTCACCCTGGGAGCATGAGAGAAGAGAGTTCTTAGCAGACTGCTAAGATAAAAATTGTTTTAGCAAGGCATCCAAGGGTGCGTGAATGAGTATAGAGCAATTAGGTGTAGGAAAAGCAGCTCACTTCTTCTCTGCCTTGCTGATCTTGTCCTCGGGAGGGTTCTTGAGGATGTAAGTGTTCAGACGGTGACGCATGTCGACATCGGACACGGCGCCGCAGGCCTTGCACTTGAGGAAAATGTTGTCCTTCCGGATCTTCACCACTGTCTCTGGGTTGCCGCAGGAGTAGCACTGAACATACTTCTTGATGAAAGTCTGCACACCAAGAACTCCAAGTCAGCATCAATTTATTTCCAACCAGTAGCCAGAACAATTTCTACAGGTCAATATTTTCAGGGCCAGGCTCTGCAGGTTTCCAGTTTGCGGCAGAAAAAGCAAGCCATTGCAGCAGAACAGCTGGGAGATGTGCATACCTCCAGCAGCTCACACAGCTTGGAGGTGTCATGGGCTCCATTGACAATGGAGGTGCCTGACTTCTTGTCATACTTGGTCTGCGCGCCAAGCTCGCATCCATAGAACTTGACCAGATCTGCACCCCAAAAACAAATTCATCAGGTAAGGTTGGCAGTACAAAACCACTGCTTGAGCACTATCTGGAGTTGAACAACCAGAGAAACAATGAAAGCTCAGACACTCACAGTCAGGAGGTCGCTCTAAGGCCTTGGCAACCTCCACGTTGTTCACAACATTGGTCTTAATGCCGTTTCCGCGTCCCTCAATCTGCAGCCAGGCAAGTCAACCTTGAGAAGGCATACGTAAGGGAAAGGTTCTCCTTGCACACTTCTACACCAGACTAGCTATTTATATTTATAAGAAGGGTGTGAAGATCGCATCTGGTGCATCCATGAATGGCAAACACAATGATACTGAGGTAGAGACAATTATTGTGTCCTGATAACAGGCCACGAGGCACCAGAGCCGCACCCGAGCCTGGAGCTTCGGCATTTTGTAGCGGTAGAACTGATCGCTGGCATTGTCAGCTCCAATGTTGATAACGCTCGCCATCTTTGAAGTAGCTTCTGCTGGTTCTCAAAAGGCTGAGGTTCAGGATAAGAAAGCGGTGGCTGTAACAAACATGCGCGTCCCTGAGGATAGCACGGTGATGCGTCAAATGACGTACTGCAACACAGCTCGCTTGGCTCTGTGGGAGAGAAATGCATAACACAGAACAGCCTTTCAGTGCGCTGTCCCCAAGGCTTAAACGCAGGGTGACTGCAATATTTTCAGCCAGCAAGTGGGCGATGATCCGTGGAACACAGTACGAGCACGTCCACTCAGCGTTCGAGGGCAAATTGCTGATGATTTGATCGAATAGGACAGAGAGCTTTCTCTGGGCCGCAATCGCGTAAGGAACGCCGCCTGGGGAGGGTCACCCTCCATGGCACACGTGGCGTTCCCTCCCAATTTTTCCTCTCCTTTGCATTTCTCATCATTTCTTTCACCAATTTTGCGTGCTGGGCATCTTCCGAGATCTAAAATTGTTTCTTGAATTGAGTGGAATTGGTTTTGAACACAAGCTTTGATGTTACTCTGCCAATAACAGAAAGTCGAAAAGAGCGACTTTTTGCCTTTTACCAATCAGATGCAGTGAAACAGTTCTTGTAATAAATTTCAGTGGCTGGTAGATCTGTAGCACACACGCCGGAAGTGCCTTTGCACTTGCAGATGCAATGCTTCCAACGACAAACCATGGAAGCAGAAGCAGCAATCCTCAACGCAGATTGTCTGTTCTGTCAACATATCTGCGGAGGATTATCAAGCCAAAACAGATGGATTTCGAGTGGGTGCCTCTGCATTTCTATTGTACATGCTCATGTGATGACCGAAAAGCACCCGATAAAGTGAGAAACTGTGCCCTCAGGTATACCTTTTGGCTGATGCTTCAACTGTGCATCTCACCAAAAACAGCGTGAGCTTCCGTGCCTTCCATTGCTGTGCTTAACCTTCCATACAGTGCAAGTAATTTGATCAAGTGTCCTGATGAGGCCAAGGCTCTGCTGTTGAGTACATTCGTTTTGTCTACTCCCAGATATCGACACACATCATACCACAAACAGACCAAGAACCATTGGGCAAGGGATGATCCAGCGTATGTTGTCATCTGCTGCCTGCTCGTCGGTGCAGCGGCCTGTGCATACTGCGTCGCGTAAGTGTCCTGCCACTTGTGCTGCATGTATTGTGAATTTCGCTGTTGCGCGCATTAAATTTGGTGATGATGATTAATATAGGGGGATTTGAGCCCGATGTGGATGCTGTGCAGGTTCAGCAGCAGTGTGTGGCACTCGCTGTTCACGGTCATGTCTGCTGTGTTTGTGGACTTTCTGGCAATTGGTGTGGCCATTGCCACTGTTGGCTGGTGAGGACCATGGTGATCTACTCCTTTATGGGACATTCACGCAGCACTGCTGTGCAGTTCACATGACAATACTTGATCCGTGGCGCAGGTTCTTGGCAAACAAGTGCCTGAGGAAGAAGACACTGCACAGCCATGCAATAGAGCAGCACGTGGAATGGTGCGACGAGCCGAATACTGCTTTATGGTTGCAAATCCTGTGATTTGCCTTTCCACATGTCTAATGCCATGACAGAATGCTCATGTTCACTGTGCCATCACAGGATGTATGCATTCGATGTGCACTGCAACTCGTATTTTCCTCTCTTTCTTCTGCTGTACGGTATGTTCTTCCATGCAGATCATCTCTCAAGACCCTTTTCACTGCATGGTTTGCCTAAATAGATCATCCCTGCATGTGTGATATAGCAGAGAGGGCTATCACTGAAGGATGATGGGGTTCTGTGCTGCAGTGTTGCAATACCTCTTGTGTCCGCTGCTACTCTGGCACAGCTTCTTCAGTGCTGTGCTCTCCAACCTGCTCTACATGGCGGCCCTGTCATACTATCACTACCTGTCCTTCCTGGGCTATTCAGCGCTGCCCTTCTTGGAGCACACTGAAGTGTTCCTCTGGCCAGTGGCCGCCATTATCCTAATTGTGCCCTTCACAATCCTTTCGGGCTTCAACCCCACCCGCTTTACCCTGAACATCTACTTTGGGTGACTGTACTTTGCCTTCGAGACGTGTGCGACCCTTATAGGAGACGGGAGAGAGCGTAGTGACTGAATGTACATGTGACAAACTGCATCTCAATGATGTGACCATCGTAACTTTGACTTGCGAATCGTGGGTTGTTACATGCCAAACCCAAGTATCCATATCCATGCATGGCCAAGATGTACCTCATATTCTTGCATGCAAGCTTTCCCGCCGACTTTCCCTTGCCATCTTGGCATGCCTCTTCCACCTGCGCAACAAGCTTTTGCAACTCAAGGACCTCTGCAGGCCGGCGTCCATGGCCTCTTGCCAATTGTCTCAGCCTGCTCACTGAGCTGGCAGCCTGAGCCTGCAGTGCTCAGCCTTGGCCCTGCTTGCATTGGCGCACGCCTAGGGCGGGATCTCCGCACTTACGCGACCACTGACTGCCACTTGCATGCAAATTGCAGGCCAAACCTTAATTGTAATGAATTAATCCAAACCCAACTGATCAATACCAAATGATCCCAAAACTATCTTTAGCCAGCTAAAAGCAATTGCGCCAGGTTGTGCCACTTTGGCCATTGATAGCCAAGGTGACCTTGGCAAGGTCACTCCTGTGCAGTAAATGGCAGTCAAAATTCTCGGATTAAAAAAGCTTGATAGCATATTGCACTTAATGCCAATGATGTCAACTGTGATGTTAATGTCAATGATGTCAAGACTGATCACACAAGTCTTGTTGCATTGGTGAATAGTCAGCTGAGGCACAGACAACAGTAGGCATTTTACCAGACTCCAGGTGATTCCGTGTTCTCTTTTAGTATCGTCATAATCAAGACTGAGTGTCCGTGAAGGTCCGACAGGTGTCCGATAGTATTTGTAGCCATCTGCTCTCCTTTTACATTGAAGGTTGCGAAGTTTATTTGCGCTTCGGCAAATTCTTCAGATCGTCGCGAATCATGTTTTTAGATTGTTTGGCTTGTCTGAGCAGGGCCCAGTGATAGGATGCATTTTTACCATCTATTTACAAGCAGCTTTGTCAAGGATGTGGAATATTTTGAGATTTTGTTGCGTAAAATTAAAAGTAGTTATGATTGAAATTTCACACATGCATTGGCTCGACTGCAGGGGCATGGAGGATGTGGTCGTGGAAGTGTACCAAGGCGAGGCTGAAGTTGCCAGCAAGGCTATATCGAGCCCTATCACTGCTGCTGAAGCAAAAGACGCTCTCCGTGACATCAATGCAGCTTGGGTGGGCATGTTGACAGAACCCGACGGCAGCACTGTCTTGGCAGGGCGGCGCAATTTGACTCCTGGCGCCATCTACCATCTGCACCTGCAGGAGCAGCCAGGTAGGTGCACTCCAGCCCTAGTGCCTGGTGGTATTATAGCTGTTCCGTGAGGACCTGACTAGTTTTTAATAGCTTGTTGTAACTAGCATGTTGTGGCCTCAGCTGCAGCTACAGGCAGCCAATTTGTCGTTCAATGACCTTATGGAACTCATGGTCTTATTTGGGCCTTTCAGTGTGAAGCCAAATTTGTTTATGGCGGACCTCAAGTCATTTGACCGCACTGCCCTCATAGCCTGTGGCATCTGCGCCGCCCGTGTTGATCCGGCAGCCTCATGCTGACCGTCACATCACCACTCTGTTCCGTAGACGTGTGGGATCAGCTAGTGGATAGCCCTGAGCATTTTTTGGGGCTAGCACCTGTTGGTCAGTACAAGTGCAGTTGATACTGCTGATCTTGTCCCTAGTCAGCCACTGTGCCGCTTTTGCGCTGTGTGGATGCTGCCTCTGCAGCGGAAAGTGCTGTAGCGCTGAACAGCTGTGCTTATGCCCACCCAATCCTGGCCATACCGCCTGTCTTGGCCCCAGCAGACCTTTTTGGGTGTGCTGGCCTTTGTCGGGCTGCTGCCAGAACCAGTGGCATGTCAAAAAAATCATGCTACCTGCCATTTCCCGCCAGAATGGTGGTAAATGCACCACCGTTTTACTGTCAGCTGTGGAGGGCAATGATGTTTGGAGTGTTGGAATGACAGAATCCACTGTGATTCATGGCAAATCACCGCAACAGCTAAACAAATATCCCTTCTGAGATAGTTCATATTCTGCAGGTCGCCAGAAGCTGCAGGGGGAGCCTGTTGAGCTTCCTCCAGGTAAGCTCTCACAACTTTACTGTTTACGGCTTCCCCATTTCCCTGCAATTGTGAAAAATCTGTAGGTTTGCATTGTCATACCTGCATGCTAAAGATGTACATGGCAGAGGTCTATTCACGTCTGCGCAGATGACCCACGGAAACTGTTTTGGAGGAACCTGGCCGATGCAAAGATCGAGGACAACCCTGGCGGATTTCAAGTTTTGAGACTGCAATGTGGCTTCCTGGACCCTGGAAACAAGATAAGTAGCATCCTGCTGCGGCCGTGCTACAAGGACCTGTGGAATTTGGTGAGCAAGGGTGCGTGCATCTTCCCTCTCACTGTTTTGCTTCCTATTGGTCTTCAGCAATGGCCATTCAATGTATGTGAGACATTGAGCAGTAAAGGATTTGCATGCAGGCTCAGGCAAAGATATCATCACAGGCACTCCTGGCGTTGGAAAATCCATCTGGCAGTACTACGCAATGTACAAACTGGCCAAATTGGGCGCCACTGTCGTAGTGGACTTCAAAGGGATGACAGACTGCCTATGCTTCAGCAAGTAAGTGACACACCTGCTCATTTGGGGCACGTGCAGCACTAGAGTTCATGTCCAGCACTACTTTGCATGTGCAGGTGTGAGCATACTTGATGTGAACCATTGGCTGGGTGCAGTGTCCTGGTGTCAAGTTGAGGATTCAGCTTTTTGTTTTCCTGGCTTTATTCCAACATCTGCTCATCCGGCTGCGTAGGGACTCTGTGCGTGAGGGGCCCTTGACGGCGTTTAAAAAGGAGCTGTTGCAAGAAGACACCTGGTACCTGGTGGACACCAGGGAACCGGAGAAGGCTGCAGCGAAGACAATCCTCACCTCAAGCCCCAAGAGAGAGATCTATAAAGTGATGATGACCCCATCCATCTCTCATGTGTTGTCTGGCTGCGTGTGCTTTGTGTCTGGCCAAATGTGTGCAGAATGGGAATTGTATCAAGCAAATACTTGCTTTTTTGTGTTGTAGGACTTTGCCAAGGCGGGAGCATCAACCCTTTACATGCCTGTCTGGAGCTGGTTGGAGCTAGACGCGGGTCGCCACCTACATGGGCTGAGGAAAGACGAGATCTTGCCCCTGTATGAGAAGTGGGGCGGGTCAGCGCGGTACGTGCTGGACCTGGCCAGGAACCCCTCCCGACAGAGGGACCTGGCGTCGGCCATTGCTAAGGCGGACCTGGATGTTATCTTCAAGGCGGTGGGCGAAATTGACTCTGCAGATGAGGTCGGTGGGGGCTGCCTTGCCTCATCTGCTCCTCCTTGGACTGACGTTTCCTTAGCCTTACCCGTCGCCTGATTGGCCACATGTCATGCTTTCTGCTCCTGCTGTGAAGAGGGATGCTGCCTACTTTGCAGGTGTCACACCGCGTCCTTCACATCAATGTAGCGCCCAATTACCTGGACACGGACATGATGTTTGCGTCTGAGTTCATTGGGCGCAAGGTTGGGGAGAAGTTCTGCAAGGGCACCACCCTGCCGCTGCAGGTCGACATCTCCCCCTGCTCGAAGGGCGTGCTGCCTTAGATTACTCTGATCTTATTTTCCCACGCTCCATGCATGGTCCTCACGCATGCATCTATTGTAATCTCTGCTTTCTGATCTCCTCTTACGTCGATGCAGAGGTTCATCGCAATCACTGCAGGCTGGAAGGAGTTCAACGATGTGTGTGCCAAGTTGTTTGAGCCGCTGGCTCACCGCATTTTAAGGGGGGGTGGCGTCTTTGATGTGTGGGACTTGGAAATGGGTGCGTGCGCCACTCCACTGTTGGATATGATCACCTCATAGTAAACTATTGCCAAGCTTTGCTATATTATTATTCTGCTTGCTCAAGCCATATCACATTGCACGTTAATACCTGGTTGTAATGCTATCAGATTTTGCTTTGGCACGATTCTGCTGAGCTGCTTGTCTTACGTTTGTAGGGACACAAACAACCCTGAAACTGCCTCCCTGTACCAGCTTTTACACTTTCCACGACCTGAAGGATGTGGCGGACCAGGAGGCGGGGACATATTGCATCCCGTCCAGGTCAGACCAGGCAGCCATCGACAGCATCCAGCAGCCGCAGTATCTCTTTCGGATGACGTTGGCTGATGAACACAGCATCAATGCAACTGGGCTCAGCCATGCACTTGAACAGCTGAGGAAGGACCCCAAAACAGATGCTGAGCTGTTCTTTGCTGTCCCCCCAGACCAATATCCCAGGTGCGTCTGGATCTGTGCTCCTACAGTTGGAAGCCATACAGTGGGAAAGCGATGCATGATCAAGCGGCAAAGAGAACCTTGTTTGATCTGAATGACAGAGTGCATGATATCGTATGTGCTGCTCTCTTGCGCTCAGGTGGCGAAAAAAGCAGGAGTATACCGGGCGGACTGATTTGAAGGTGCTGAGGGCCGTTAAGCAGCGTGTCATCAAAGTGCCGCTAAAAATGATGGTGCACAGCTTGCAAAACTTCAGGGCGGTGTAAAAATTGCAAAAGGCTTGATGCAGTGAGAGAAAGGAGCTGCACTTTGTAGAATGTTTGTTTCTTGAATCACTTGTGCAGAGCTTTCAACCTGCGGAGATCTGGTCCCTGCGTGTCAGTGCTCATGGCAACGATTACATGGATACTCTTCAGCAAGTTTGCATTATCACCACTGTTGGTGAGATTAAAAGACACAGAATGTTGACCTTTACGGCTCAAAAGTGCAAAATGCACTGCACATGCTGGTTGCCATGTCAAAAAGAAATGATTGCCTGTTGACAACAGCAAAGTCAAACATATTTCAAGGAAGACTCACAACCAAAGAACCATATGAAATCGCAAGTGGTCTGACATTCCCACCGACTCCAGCCTTACTCTACTTCAAGAATCGTTTGTTTTGCCTTTGTTATTCGATATGTGCACAGCAACTCCAGTCTAGCATAATCCTGCTGGACATCAGTGTCCAGCTTGTGCTAAAATACAATAAGATACCTCAAATGCCGCAGTCTTGGGTTATTCAGGGCGTCGTACACCATTGATACAGGTCCAAATTCAAGCACACTCTCTTTGACAGCATAAACTGCACTGAAGGTTCCCACACTTTTCAGCAGCATGTGCAACAGTGGCAAAAATAAAACGATACTCCATGTCACTCTCACCCAGGCAGCTCTGGTGTTCCCTCGATCACACAAAACTGCGCTCACAACCTCCCTTCTCATTCTCCCAACCCTCACAACAGCCTCGCAAATTCTTTTCCACCACCCTCTTACCTGACACCGTATTTTATCTGGTCATGCTTGAGACCACTGAAGTTGTCAGGTCCTCTACAGGGCACCCTCATGCTTGAGAAGGTCGTGGATCAGCTGCAGACGGTGCGCTGCGTCCCTCATGCGCCGGGGGCGGCCGTGACCCGGGAGCACGTAGAGGAAGTCATAGTCCAGCAGCTTCCGCACACTCTCCACCTGCTTTGGCACGCTGTACCAGTTGTAGTCTCTGCGGTGCACACGCTGTTTACTGAGCAACGCAAGCCAGAAGATGGCTGATCATTTGTGCAGGTCATTCTCATTTTTGGTAAGCAATCAGAGCCCTGGCAGGGAGCTCCTATCCTGTACACAGAGCAAAGGGACACCTGGAAAATTCACAATGCACAGCCATGCACGGGTAATCTGTACTGGGTTGCAGAGGTATGAGAACATACTTGAAAATCCTCAGCTGTCCTGGTGGCTCGCGGCTGAAGGCAAGGTGGTCGCCTGAGAACAGAGCCTGGCTCGGCTTGTGCAGCAGCACGCAGTGACCAAAGGTGTGCCCCGGGGTGTGGATGATCTCCAAATCCTCTGCGCCCCCGGGAAATTCCCATGGGCCCTCTCCCTCCAGCTTTATCTCGCACTTGCTGCAGGATGACAAGAGCATGCTATCAGCTCTTATGCATGAGCTGACTTACCACCAATATAAGCTGAAGGTGTTCAGATGACGCAAGATTCCATCTAAACGGCTTCCAGCAGCTTCACCCCCCTTCAGCATCTTTCAGCCCAGGAGCCGCTCCCTTAGTGTATGTTCCTGCCTTACTTCAGAGGCTAAAAGTTGCTCAGTTTGAAGACGCAATCACTGAGCTTTTGTCTGTTGTACAACCAAGTGCTCGTGGGTGGGAGAGCAGACGCACTCGGTTCCCTGCTGGCTGTTGCACTCGGAAGCATGGATAATGCGCTCAGCTCCAAACTCAGCCGCCCAGGAATCGTGGTCCGCCACATCATCTCTGTGTGTGAGGAAAATGTACTTGACGCCTCCAAGAGCCTGGGAAATCAAGCCAGACATGAGCTACTTGTTTCACATCAGCGTGGATAAAAGGTGGACTTTCAGGACAATGAGTACAGTCATTTCCATACATCCAGACCATGCTGGAGATTTGATTTTTAATCATAAATGGGTGCTAATTTCCAGGCAAAGAGGAGCTGCCCACCTTTACTCGCTTGACCAGCTTGGGATCAAAGCGAGGGCTGTCGATCATAACATTGCCACCCTCTCGCACGACCAGCCACGCCGAGCCACCATAGGACTTCTCGCTGTTGTACCCGCAGTAATACACTCCTTCTGCTCCCTTGACTGGCTCAGGATACCGATCCACGGCCGTCTTCAACTCAGACTTATCCCCGGTGGAATGGATCGAGTACCTGCATGCATGGGACATACATCGCCTTCAATGGTGGCTGTACTACTCGAATATAAACAGCAGCATTCTGTGTTGCACTAACACTGCATGCCGTCGACATAATTGGCAAATTTTGCAGATGTCTCAAAGCGCACGTTGGGCAAGACAGAAGAGCCTGGAATGACAAGATGCGATCTTCGTCTGTCTGCGGCTGTGCTGTCATTGCTGACTGGCTGCCCACACGGCCATAGAAGTCAGGAGCGATCCAGCGGCAGGTATCACAATCTGTCAAGCGTGCAGATCGTCAGGTTCTTGCATCCTCTCATGGTCACCCTCTAGCACCTCAACCTTTTTAGTTGCAGGAACTCAACTTCGAAATACGTACCGATACAAGTGTGGTCGACATAAAATTCCCCTTGCACGTTCTCAGGGCGAGGCTGACGAAGGGGATTCTTTTGCAACGTTGCGCTGGCTTGGACGATGGGACTTGCTCGCGAAGGCGTTTCTTGTCTACCGTTGTAATGATGCTGCAACTTCGACCCAAAGAAGGATCTAGCCTGCCACCCGATCCTCGATGTCATGTACATGTGATCAAGCTTGCAATTTCCGAAAGTTCAGTTGGAGCCTTTCAAGAACGGATCGTGCCTTCCGATGTAGGCACTTCGAGCACCAGAGTGTTCTGTCTCAACAGAAAAATTGTCGGGTGAGATATAGTACATTGTTTTGGGATTATTTAGTGTTCTCTGGAATCTTGCAAATCAAGCGATCGCTTCTCGTAAGTTGCGCGCTGAAGGAAGCTGCACACGTCACCTACCCACACGGCTCAAGGCTCAGGATCTTGAACTGCGCATCACATTACTTGCACTCTAAATATTGCACTCTAATTATGCATCCTGGAAATACTGGCTGAGGTTATCTCACCTCGATTCTCGTTTTGTTTCTCACTGCAGAAAATGAATGCCTTATGATCTCTCGCGCAGCCTGTGTTTCAATCTCACCACTATGAGGCGTATTACATCCTTGGAAAATGATTTCTTGTGGTACACGTATGCTTTTAGGATTGGCCTCTCTAAGATGTTCCAAAGCAAGCTGGCATTCTCACCATCGGGCCTTTGACTGCATGGCTTTACTTTCAGTATCATATAGCAACAACAATATTATTCATTTTGGCCTCGTAAAGCCAAAGCGCAGCATTTGTTTGAAGGGATCACCTTTGCAGAGGTTCACGACAGGGCTCTTTCAGCAGAGAAACGTTGGCATCTGCAGACTACCTGGGTGGGGTGGGATCTACTCTAGAGACCCCAAACACCTTGCGTCGGAAACTTACAGCTCAGCAACCAGTCCTTCCTGCGAAGGAGACGGTGCGCAGAGCGCGCAGCAGCAGAATAGCTCTAGTAATTGCAGTTCAGACCAAACCTTATTATCTTTCGCAAAAGGGAGAGGACAGTCCGTGGAGTGCAGATCTCTCAATAAACTTTCCATCAGCCCTGGGCATGTGCATGTGTGGTGGCTCTTTCCAGATGATGTGCGTCCTACACCCTCCAATGCCCCTGTGGGACATTTAAAATTGCAGTTGTAACTTCAACATGCTCTTCTTTTTTTAAGTTTTCCATGGTGTATCTTACCTTGGTGTGTTTGTGAAGTGTTCACATGATGAGAGCAGCGATGGCATGCATGACTCTGCAGGTGCAAGATGCCAGCCTGCTGGCGCAGTATGAGCAGTTGCTGACAGCAGAGGAGCACAGTCACATGATGGCAGCAGCCACACCAGAGCTCCGCAAGGAGAGGCTCCTGGCAAGAGTGCTCGTGCGCACGACACTATCGAGGTGCCCTCTTTGGCTTGCAGCCCAATCGTGAAGTGCATAATCCCTCCGCATCATGAAGTTTCCAGCATGCTTAGATATACTATTATACTACCAATGCTGCCATATCACAAAGATTGCAGGCTAGAATAAGAGCAGGCAAAAATAGTGACCGGTGCTCTGCAGGTACTGTGGCAACAATGTGGTACCTCAGTCGCTGAACTTTTCACGCAACCATGCTGGGAAGCCACGGCTTGCGTGGGACACAGACGCTGCAGAGGCAGATTTGCATGGAGTGCAGTTTAACCTCAGCCACACTGCTTCGCTCCTTGGTGCGCAGTCCTTTCAAACCTGTCCAGAAACCCACTCAATATATGCCCAATATGCTAACCTGTAATATGCCATGTAACATGCCTGACAACCTGCCCAAGTTGTAAATCTTGCAATGTGTCGGTCCCTTATAGGTAAATTGCTGTAAGAAAGTTTCAAGCTGTGTTTTGATGACTGCATGCTGGCATGTGACCAGGCTGCGCAGTGACAGCTGGACAGCATGTGGGTCTAGATGTGGAGCTGTCAAACCGGCATACTCGTGGGAACCCACTGCGCCTGGCCAGGCGAAGGTTCTCCGCTGCAGAGCTGGCCAGCCTAGAAGGTATTTTGCCTCGTTAGTTTAATACCTGCAATTTTGTGAGATTGCCAGTACAGCCAATCATTACTGCACTATGGCTCACCCTATCCGTGCAGGCAAGCAGTGCAACGCTTGGGCTCGATCAAAGCTGTGTCCCCATGTTGCAGAGCGCGCAGAGGGCGAGGAGCGAGCGCAGCACTTTGTGAGATTGTGGACGCTGAAGGAGGCCTATGTGAAGGCTGTGGGCCGCGGTATTGGAGCCCATCCCGGCCTCAGTGCATTCTCAGTCTCTTTGCAACCTCGCACCCCTGGTAATGCCCTCAACACACCACTGGAAAAGGATGAATATACTTTGCATTGGTCGCATGCTGTGCTTGAGGGCCGATGCAATTTGGAGGGGTGGCATGAGAGAGACTTGAGGATATGTTTGCAAAATCAAGGGGGGCAAGCTAAATGCCTACAAGTCGAGCTTATGGGATTATCCGCTGCATGCAGGTGTGGCTCCTCCCATGGGACAGACAGAAGGCAGAAAAGGGGACCTGTCATATGAGATTGGATTTGCTTCACCCGGGAATGAGGAACACATGTGGGACTTCCTGCTGTTGTCCCCTAGCCCTCAGCATACAGCTGCACTGTGTGTGCAGCGTGGCCCAGCGAAAGTCTCATCAACCAGAAGCAGCAGTACGGGAGCAAATGATGATGCTGAGGTGTCATCTGAGGGTGATGCTGACAGATTGCTCAGCAATTCACCTGAGAGCAGCTTGAGCATGTGCAGCACAGACAGCGAGAGTACACGTATTGGTGAGGCGGTGAATGGGGCTGGGGGTCATGAGAAGCCACGAGACAATTGGAGGTTACACTGCTGGAAGACTGTCCCGTTTGTGCATGACAGGCCTATGGATCCAAGTGAATTGCTGATTCATGGCTGTTCTGCAAGATAAATGAGATATAATTCTACGGAGCAAAATAATGTATCACTCCAATTATTCAAGCAGTAGGCTGCCCTCAAAATTGGGGCTATCAAACAGTGCCATTCATGCTGCTGTGCGTCTCGTCATCTGTGGTGTTGACAAAATTTGAAGTGCTGATCATTTTCTGTCGAGGTCAGTTCAGTCCCTTTCAGAATATCTTATGCCAATTTTCTCGGGCGCTGTGGCACTGCATTTCCCTGCCGTCCTCATTAAATCCGTGCTGCATTATTTGGGCACTAGTGTACTCCTCTGAACAATAAAAACTGCTGGGCGTCCATGATCAATCCTTGTAGTCTATCACTCCTTCGGTGGACAGCTGGAAGGAGCATTCTGCTTCAGCTGCAATATGCACACAAGTTCTCATGTGTCACAGTATAATTGATGGTCACACTTCCATGTGACAGGTTCCAGAAGGCGCAAGGTATCTTGCATGCATATCAGAGCTTGGCATCTGCCATGCATGCATCACTCTGATGCACCAGCTGAGGTCTTAGGATCAGCACGAGGCACTTTTTTGGAAGGAGACAGTGGCTTACGGAGGTTTAGTGCATCAAATCTGCAACAACAGCTAAGGTCACAGCAGCAGCAGCAGGATGCACACTAGTTGGAAGAAGGCAGTGACTTACGGAGGTTTGGTGCATCCACGACCTTCATCAGACGCTGCTCTGCCTTGCCCTTGCGCAGGGAGATGCGGATAGTGGAGGCATGTGCCAGCACATGGCCGCCCACAGGCTTCTTGGGATCAGCAACAAACATGGCGCCCCCCGAAGGATCGCTGACCACTTGGTTGGTGATGAGGACAGCCACATTGAACTCCTCAGACAGCTGCAGGCCCCACACACAGGTCAGGATGCTATCCTGATGCTCAAAGTCTATGCTGCACAGGAACAGGGATCTTCAAATATGCATAGCTGCAGGCCCCACACAAAGGTTATGACGCCATTCTGAGATGTGCAAAGATTGTGCTGCACAGGAACAGGGATTGCTATAAATGACTCACCTTCCTCAGCCTGCTCATGATGTACCCAAGCTTCTGCTGGCGCTCGGCCAGCTCACCTGCGCATGTGTGACAAAGCATGTTACCGTTGAAGACTTATGCAATGGTGACTAGATTGCCTGCTTCTAGGCAGAGCCTGCTGAGCCTCACTGACCTATCTGTGCTGGACACAGGCGATATCTAGCAACAAGATCTGAGCATGCATTAGAAATCCAGTCATATATCACAGCATGCCAGAAGCAAACGGCTGTCTCCTGGCCCCTAACAGGGAGTTAACCATGCATGCATGCATGCGGGCTTGCATGTTGAGCAGCTTGCCACACCTCGCCCTGTGAAGTCCACTCGCAGGTTGGCAGTGATGCTGTCCATGATGATCAGGCGGAAGGGCTCCTCTGCCATCTTTGCAGCCAAGGGAACCAGAAGCTCTGCACATGCATTGCTTTAAGGGCGCGACGTTTGCCCAGAGTTTGTTCACAGGTTAGTTCTCTTACTTGGCAGCGTCTGCACAGGTCTGCAGGATCCTTGTGTTGCCGAGATGTGACTCACCTATCTGTGCTTCATGTGTGAATGCCCTTGCATGGATGATCTGCATGCACCTATATTGCTTCAGAAAGAGAGGAGCACCAACGGTACAAGGCAGCGTAAATGTCTGGAGTCAGGCCCCACTCATATAATTTGACTTGAAAAACAGCAGAACAGAGGAAGCAGAGAGTCTCACATTGTCCAAGACTGCATCTGCATCCAGATCAAAGCGGGCAGCGATGGCTCGTATCTTCTCTGCTCGGAATGTGCCTTCTGTGTCAATGTAAGCCACCTGAAAAATGGCAAGCCACTTAGAACACTGTACATGATGCCATTTTAGCTGTCTCAGACACTGACCAGAATGAATGCAAAACGTTCACCTTCCCAGCACCCCCTCCTTGCTCAGTGGGCAGCTGTGTTGTGACACAGAGGGTGTGGCAGATCTGCGTCTTTCCTGTCCTGCAAACTTGGCACATCTGTTTGTGAGACATTCATGCATGCATGTACTGCATGTGCTGATGTTAACAAACGGCAGACATTAGGAGGCATATATGACACAACACACACACCTGAACTCGCCATAGATCTCTGTGATGCATTTTGACTCAAGACCCCCACCCAGCAGCTCATTGATTGCTTGTGCTCCAAGAGAAATCTTCAAGATCTCCTTGGACCTCTGCAGTGCGCAAGACGGCCTGGCATATTTGATGCAGCATGAACAGGTGCACAGCAAGAGGAGAATACTGCCATGGGATGCTTTGCACCTGCTGCTCCACAGTCTTGGCGCTCAGCCATCCAATGTTAGGGCAGAGTTTGCGAGCGGCCTCTAGCAACTTCTCAACCTTGGCATCTGACAGCCCTTTGATGTCAGCGAGTTTCTGCATGCAGCACCGTTGAGCTGTCGCAACTGTCTCCTCTCACTGACCCTCGATGCATCAGTCTGGACATTAGGAGTCAGAGGAACTGCCAGCATGTGCTCACCTTGCGTGTGTTCATCAGCAAGGCCTCGCATGTGTGGTAGCCAGCCTCCTTGGCTTTCTTGATGTCACCTGTGCCACACCCACCAGCTTGCCGTATGTGTGGGGTGCACTATCTCAGAAAAGAGCATTTACATTTGCAGGAAAGTTGCTGAGGAATTACCTTGATTGATGCCAAGCTGCTGGAGTTTCTCAATCAACTGGAACTCTTCTACTTCTTCCTCTTCCTGGATTTCGACCTGCCTGCAGCGCCAACAAAAGGCGTGATTAGCTTCACACTGCAGAATTGCCTCCTTGACTTGCCTGACACCTGTGCAGGCTTTTAGGTCGTCGAGCTGCAATAAAAAACCAGGAGTCAAGGGTGTTACTGGTCTGTCAAAGCTGCCATGGTCTTCTGTGTCCGCCTTCGCTGCCTTCACTTCTACTTCGATCTCGGAAAGGACTGCACGGCTCTATCAGCAGAGGCCGAAACTGGCAGACCAGAGCGGTCTGTCCAGAGGAAGGTCACGTTCGAACTCGTCAAGACGGTTCTGCCGGTCACAAGGGCAGCAGCAGCAGGGTTCTTGCCCTGGTTGGCGTGATGTGCACGTTGTAGCGCCTACTATTGGTTGCAAGAGCAACGCAAGAAGCTGGAGGCGATCGTGATTGTCTTTTGAGTGTTCAAGCCGTGACAAAGCTGGCCGGATTTCATGCATGCATTTACGGGTTCACTGGTGGTTTACGGATTCTCACGGCGGCAGGTGATTTTGGAAAACCTGATGACGAAGTGAGTGTTCGTCACTGATCTCGGTCCCGAAGCCTGCTTATTTCGAGCGGTGTTTGCTAGAGCTTGATCGTCGCAAATACACGCTTGACCCTCGAGGATTCCTGCGCCCTGGATCACTTTAGCTGTTTCGGAAGCTTAGCCACGTGCAGAGAAACTTGGTCTTTGAAGGCACTGCGCGGGTAGTACAGCCAGATCTGCGTCCATAAAGAGGGTTCCTGTGGCAGTTCCTGGGGTATTGGACTGCATCAAGGCAACAAGGCGACAAGTAGCCTTGGAAGGAGGATATAGTACCTCGCCCTGAAAACGCAACGGTGCCCAGCGGTAGTGGGCCTGCTTATGCCTTTTCAAATTCGATTCTTGAAGATGGCAAAGCACTATTTATGGCAGACTTGACTGCCAGCTTTTTACAAATTCAACACAAGCCCTGGTGGTGGTGATGAGGATCCCAAGTTGCTGAGTCTGCTCATGGTGTGGTACAGGCGACTGGTGGGCACAAGTCAACGCGATGTTTTTATAGCAGAGATTGTACAAGATGCTTGGTGCAAAGAGAGGACACTTGAGCTTCCTCAGCTGTCTGAGCTTCGCAGTAACAAGCAGCTTCCTACTCTTGTCAGGTTTGTCTTTCTATGCTGCCTCTTCATTCGGTCTTCATACGGTCTCTGTTGCCAAGTCATAGACCGTGATCCATGAGGATGTAGTCAGTGCCTATCGCTAATGGCATGTGCTGTGGATGCGCAGTGTTGTGTGATCCCCTACCGCGAGGCTGGACTGCATCTCAGCAGCCAGTTGGACAGGGTCAGACGACGCAGCTGCCTCACATTCTGCTTCCTCTAGCGGACCCTGAAAGCTTCTTAGATCAGCACGAGGAAATTCTCGGCATAAATGCCAGAAATGTCCTGAACATAGCGCCCCCGGTGTGCTCCTGTCTAACTCCCTAAAATGTGCACATGTGCTGCACGTGTTGAATCACATGTGATCATCGGATATGCAACAAAGTTGTTGATGTCAACAGTTCCTCCTCGGGTCTTTGAATATATGTGCATGTTGGTGGCAGGGCTTCGAAGAACAAGATGTTGTCAGCAAGGGTGTCTGGCGCCTTTTGGAAGATGGCAGCAGTTTGTGGAGTCTGAGCATTCTTTCACCGGGCGCAAGCTCGCATGTCCTGATCTTCAGGTGAAGCTCAATGCATGTGCTGCTTTAATCACTTGCAAATCCGTACCAACACAAATCACTGAAGTGTTTGGGAGCGCAGTGAACTTGCGCTTCCTTGGGCTGGAGAATTTAGCATTTATTCGCCATCAGAAACTCGCAATTGCACAGTATGCTTGGATAGCTGCTTGGTAGTGTCAGCAAAAGCTGCACCGTCCCAGAAGCTCACCACTTTGGTCATGCAAGGTAAATTGGTCCGCCCTTGCTGTGAGCAATTTGCATCGAGCAATATCTCTTGTAGAATCTTCTGGCAAGACGTATGTCTTCTCTGCTTAGTGTTATGCTCAATCATGGTCCAACATGGCAAGATGTGAACAGGTGAAGAAGTGATTCTGGAGTTCCATCATCCAGCCTCACGCCCTCCAAGCAGCGGCTTTATAGTGCGCATCGCCAGTGTCATGCAGGCGAGTGATAGTCTCTTCCTTCCTCTGCTCTTCTCCTAACACCCAATGCTGGCGAATTAAATGCACAACCGTCCGTGTCACGTTGCAGATGCAAGCAGCCCAGTGCGGGGCTGCATGCAGGCCACAGGAGTGATGATCTGAATGTTTGGCATTGCTGACAGGGTCTGCAAGGCAATCTGCCTGAGGCAGCAGAGCTAAAGCGTCGACGGCGGAGACAGCTGTTGGTGAAGTCAGAGGAGGTCAGATACACACCAGGGACGGATTTTGACATGTCATTGCTGCAGCGGAAGTCTGATGTGGTGTCCTCGTGCACCCCCAGTGTGCTGTGTGACAGTCAGTGGGATACTGTCAACGATGCTGTCCTTGATATCTACGCTGTGAATGTCCAGCTGGGAGCCATGGCCCTCTGTACAGGTACACTACCGCAACATCCCCATCCCTACACCATTGGAGAAATAAGGCTTGAGTGTTACACGCATGCATGGAGCTCATATGATCATTGTCTATGGCAGGAAATGATCAGTGTCAGTCTGCATGCAGGAACTCTCATCACTGCACCCATCGGGAGGAAGTTCGTGCTCACTGCAGACCACTGCTTTGTGGGTAAGGGGCTGCCACGTACAGTGTTTGCTGGTCCATTCATCTCATCACATTTCAGTTCAGCACTGCACAGTGGCTGAATCAAGAGTTTGATGTCAACTGTCTAACTTGTGTCTAAATGGTTGCAGATAAGACAGCGATCAACAATTTTGAGTACTGGTGCGCAACATTCACCATGTAGACAGTATTCTGTGTGTGCTGTTGCATTCTTACTCATCTATCAATTTCTACTTATAAGTATTGTGTTCAAGAATGAATAAACTCTGCACAGGATACTGATCTTCAACTATGAGCAGTCATGTGGAGAAAAAGAAACACCACCCATCAAACAGGTCATTCAGGTGCGCATGACCTCCTTTCTGCCAGATGACCATGTGATTATTGGTCTTGCTGTTTCTTCTCTCCTGTAAAAGTGCACGAGCCCATTTCCTTCAAAAAAAACAGTCCATTTTGTAGGAAAGTGCACAAAGAATCTTCTTGGAAGATCAGTTTCATGACTTGCACATGGTCACTGTGACGGTCTTGGGCACCGTACTGTGACATGAACAAATTTTCTTCAATTGTAGGGATTGAGGCTTGCATTCTACGACAGCAAGGCCGATATCCTCCTTCTAGAGATATCTGCAACCATCCCAGACAGTTTCAAGCCATACAAGTTGGGCTACGATGGCAGCGATAATGCAGTGCCAACACGAGCCATCGGCATACATCATCCAAATGGCAACTTCAAGCGTATCTCTTATGCAAACAGCAGGTGCGACTTCTGGCAGTGTGGGAAACCCACACTTATTAGAATCATGGCTCACTTACTCTGCTGTGATGATATGATACCATGAGATGTGTGGAAATGGGTGCAGTGGCAGCGTCACGACGAATTTCACAGCAAGGAGATTCCCTGTTGGTGAAATTCAGCCGTCTGCCACAACGCATCTCCAGGTCTGTGCTTGGCCACCATGGTGGCATAGACCATCATAGACATACTCCATGGTGTTGATGTGCTTGGTTCGTTTGAGTTTTGCTTTCGATGCTCACAGGGAATTTTTTTAGTGAGGTTCATGCATGAAAGGGTTGATGTGTCGACCAGGTACTGTGGAGCAAGGGTGCAACAACATCAGGCTCGTCTGGATCTCCGCTGATAGACATGGACACAGGCAAGGTTGTAGCTGTCTTGACTGGAGGCTTTGCCAGCTGCTCTGAACCCCAGGCCCCAGACTACTATGGCCGCCTGTCTGCGGTAATGCACCTGCCTGCTTGCATTGCTCTGCATGCCCCTGCTTGATTGTGCTGAAACACCTGTCCATGTCGGTGTGCTCCTCCCCAGTTGCATGTCATCGGTACCTGCTGCAAGTGTCCTGCATGTCATTGCTCTACCGTGGTCAGCCTTTCTGCATGTCGGTGTGCCCCTCCTCAAATGCATGCAAGGGGTCCCTGCTGCTAGCGGCAGTCTAAGCAGTCATTGACGCTTTATGCGATGCCATGTCAGGCATGGAAGAACGGCCTGGAACACTTCCTATCCAGTGCTCCCCCAGATGGTGTCTTGGAGGAGGTTGCAGAGATTCTGACAGCCTCCAGCGATGGAGGATCCATCGTGGTCCGAACCATGAACTCAACAAGATCCGCCAAGCACGGTCCTGGGCTTTGCTTCTTTCCCCATGTAATTACCTTCTCGCCACAGGAACGCGCGAAGAGCTTCACCTATTTGTGAGTCCTCCCTTCTCCTCCACCCTCTCACGATGACAGCATTGGGCATGAATCTGCTCTTATAGAACTGCGAAATATTCCTGACTGTTGTGTTGCTTGCGCAGCCTCACAGATCCGATGCCCTTCGAGAACGAGACCATCACAGTGAACATTACAGTGCGCGGCGCGATACCAGGTTTGTACCAGAATCTCACCAAGGTTACTTGAGTGATAAGCGCACAGGATTTCAGCATGCATGCTTAATGTAAGTGAAGAAACGCCAGGATGAGTCTGTGCATGTGTCATTATGTGACCTTAGAAACACAGCGGGAGAATTGGTTGCTGTGTGATGCAGGCAATCTATTTGATGTCTCATCTTATGTGGTCCTCTCGGAAATCAGCGACGTATTCACCCCCACGGATGTCTTTGCTTACAAAAGGAGCATCGAGATCAGCATGTCTGATGAGATAAGTAAGTCATCGAATCATCGCTCCGAAGACTGCATGTCCTACTCCAGGCGCATATACATTTCACGAGTTTGATCTCTGCTATGTTGACGGACACCTTAATTTTACTCTTTGGAAAAGTGAGGTGCTGTCTGGCTTGCAGATGCAAACATATCCTACTTCGTGCCGGGCAATATGGCCCGCTTCCAATTGATCTTCAGGCTGACTAGTTCAGTGAATCAAAATTACCTCCACATACACACTCTCAAGGGAATTGCTCAGGCGTCCACTGGCCCCTGGACGCAGTATGACGCCTTGGAACTTGAATGTGATGATCTGCCATGTACCATTCCCTTCCCGGTGAGGCGCCCTTGCCATATTCTTCATCATGGTATCTATTTTCTGGCCATTCGCATTCTTTTGGGCTTTGCATGGCGCGATTCTCAAAGTGCAGCACAAATGACTAGTCAGCCTTGCAGTAGATTTGTCCAGGCAAGCATAAAAGTTGCCGTTCCGGGATGCTTTTTGGAGATCAAGAAAGTTCTGCTTTGCTGTATAACATGAGTTAAGCTCATCAAGTGTGTTTATGTTCAGGGGAGCAATGGCACAGAACCAGTGCTGTTTGACGAGTACAACCCAGAGCCTACCATGGACGCCGACCCTCAGCTGGCCATCTTCTCATTCTCACCTGATGAGAGCCTGAATGTCCAGATGGACATCTGCCTCCTAGATGGCATCCTCATCGGGGCGACAGTCTCAATCTACATCAACCAGCAGTTCACATGGTAAGGCTGTTTATTTGCATATTACTGCAGGCACACACAGGGTGTTATTCACGCATCCCTGCTATGCATGGTGTAATAGGGTCCATCTAGAGATAATCTGGTCACTAATAACCAGAGGAATGCATTCTGCTATTCCTCCCTTTCTTTTCACAATTCAAGCTGTCCCTATATAGTATTGAACGCCCCTTGTGAACTTGCAGGACGCTCAGCAGTGACCCTTTTGGGGATCCAAACTGCCTGCACATTGCCTCTATCGCGGTGAAGGGTGCAGAGAATTACACTGTGGTGGTCTCTGACCAGGACAGCTTTGACGCAGTGCTACCCGCACGAATTGTCAAGTACCTCTATGTGAGTATCTTGCTCAGCTTTTGGTGCTCTACACATGATACAGCTGTTGAATAGTGTGCATGCATCATGCATCCTAAGGCATGCTAGCTCTAGAAGCTTCTCAAGAATATGCTCCTTTGTACAATGCGTTTGTCTGCTGGGTAGTTGGGCAGCAGCAGCTGTTGTCACTCAGCAGAGCCTCAGCAGAGCATGTCCGGATTTCACGAAGCCATCGGCGACGAAAACATGCGTTTGGATGCCTTGTGCAGTTTGACGATGCATCCGGGGAGGTGTTGGGTCCAGCAGTGCAGGGGCCCGTAACGGGGCCCGCGGCGTCGGACGTGGCATCCAAAGCCGAGCGCGTCGCGCTCCCAGCGAACTCCCTGCTCCCTGCGGCGGCCCCGGCCCCGGCCGGCGCGCTGCGGCCGGCCGCCACCGCGCACCCGGGCTCCGAGCGGCCCTACGGCGGCAGCGCTCACGCACCCGCCCCGACAGCTCACAAGCGCGCTAAGGCTCCAAGCCCCAGCAAGCTCCCACGCCCTCTTGCTGCAAGCCTCCAGTCCGCGCCTGCTTTGGCGCCCAGCAGAATTGGCGCCCCACTTCCGTCAACACCGCCTCTCAAGGGTCCGGTTGCCGGGCCGGCGATTGCGCCCGCAGCGCAGCGGCTCCCGGCGCCGAGTGTCGCGACGGCCATGCCGCCGAGCCCGTACTTGGTGGCATGGGCGAGGCAGACGGACGGACAGTGGCCTGTGACGAAGGCGGAGTCTCTGGCTCTGGCCCCTAATAATCCCAGCATGGCTGCATCTGCCACTTCGCCAGCGCCGGTTGTTGCGGCTGCGCGCTCGGCTGTGGTGGCCCCGAGTCCGAGGGTGAGCACTGCTTCGGTGTCGGCCGCCGCGGCAGCGCCACCGGCAGTACTGACGACACCCAAGAGAACTGCCATCCTGTTCACAGGAGACGGAAACTAGCAAGTGGGATCACAGCAATGCGGAAAGCGTTGTTGATGATCCCCTACTAGCCTCCTTGGCGTGTTTTTGCCTGCCACCTGGTACTTTTTGGCTTCCTTTGCATGTACTTGTGTGCCCGTCAGAGTTGTGTATGAATACTGTCCGCACTTGCAGTGGCTGCATCATTACTTGTGAGGTCTTTCAACGCCTGCCTTGCCGTAGCCATGTGCAGCTGCACGGGTTGCACAAATGAAAAGTGGATGCTCTTGGTCACATCCAACGGATTTTAGTCTGTTTCATCTCAGTGTGTGATCGAGTCTGAGTACTGGTCCGTGAGGACCTGCATTAGAAGCACAGCAACCTTCCATCAATGGGTGTCATTGTGCTGTCTCAGGTGTCTGGCAGTGTCTTGAGCCAAGAGTATGCATTTGGAACCGAGTCGCATGTGGCCTCAGTTGACATGCTTTTCAACCTGGAATTGTTGATCCAATGAATGCATGACTAGAATTTTTGATATTACACATGTTGAGCTGGGACCCTGCTAGGTACTGATGAGCAGTTGGGGTGTTATGTTGTGCACATGCCTTGCTGCAACGCAATAAGCATGGCACCACTGGTAGATTGCCGCTGTATATGCATGCAGTTGGATGTGCCCGGTGGGCTCAATTCACTTTGCAAACTGGTGTCAAGAGCTCTATAGCTGGATGTTGCTGCAAATTCTGCTTAAGCTACACTCAAAGGCCATCAGGCTCGACACATGAAATGGATTTCCTTCACCCATCCTTTGGAAACCTCATTTGCTCATGACCAGCTTCCATTTCAGAAGAAGCCAGGTCGAAACAAGTGTTTCATCAATCTGCGATGTCTGATTTCTTCTTACAGCTCTTGAGTCTTCCAAATCATTACTTCAATGGTCCATATCTGGGTCGATGGTCCCAAAGTTTGCGGCATCACAGATTTATTTTTCAAGACGACCTGATCTGGAGTGGTAAACGACTGGAGCGTTGAGACCGTGGAGCCCATACATCACCTTGGAAAGTGTCAAAGATTATTCAACGAGTCTATTTACTGTGAACTCTGGGCACCATGCGAAATGCACTCTTCACTGCCTTCCTGCTTCTCTGTTCGCAGGCAGGCACAGGCACCCTTCCTCGACAAGATTGACAATCCTAATTATTCTGCATTGATGATCTGATAAGGATGAGTCAGCAGTCAGTTCTGCATATGCTTGCTGCAGGTCTTGCTGGGCACTTGCAAGCTCTTAGGGCCTCCTCCCCAAGAGGAGTGCCTTGAATTCCTGCGCAAATACATGCCACCCAGTGATGCAGTCTTGCCTCTTGAGTACCTAGAGGAGAATGCAGAACTAGCCCTGTCTGCGAGATCTATTTCCAAGTGGGCACAGGATGTGCCTTGGTCAATTTTCCTGAACTATGTGCTTCCCTATGCCAGGTAAAGACATGAAGCTTCACCTGCTGCTGCAATTTGGATCCGTAAATAGATATCTGTCCAGATAGTAGGCCTACATGCAAAGGTTGATCAACTTTGCAGTGTGGATGAGCCTCGTGACAATTGGAGGCCAATGTTCTTCCAGAGGTTCCTGCCTCTTGTTCAGAACGCCTCCTCACTGTCAGAAGCAGCGCTGATACTGAACAAGGAGATCTGGACCATATGGGGCATTACTTTCAAATCCAACCAAACTCCAGAGATCATGTCTCCATTTCAGGTGCCCAAATCAGCATTTTCCTTGCATGGGCCCAATGATTCTTCCTGTGTCACTTTGCACATTTTGCAATGAGTATTGGGTCATTGTTTTGCAGGTTATTAAGGCAAGACACGCTTCTTGCACAGGGCTGAGCATATTCTTGGTCAATGCTCTCCGCTCTGTGGGCATCCCTGCAAGGATGGCAGGTGCAGGGGAATCCTAGTCGAGGCAGCCAATTGTGTTTCTTGTGCAGCGCATGCATGTGATCATATTGATGGCATGTAGTACATGTTCCATCAGTTCTGTCAGACAGATTTGCATGGAGTCATGGCGGAGCCTGCAAGTAGCACAGACACTCCAGTGCTGGCGATCACGTCTGGCACGTTGCCAGTGATCTATGGGGATCTCAGCTAGAGCTGCTCAAAGAGCACTCCCAGATCATTGTTAAATACCAGGGAAGCTGTGAACATTATTAACATTAGCAATGCTCGGCTAGTGCATAAGATGGGATGTGGGTTGGCAGACTGAAACCCTTTGAATGCTGCAGGGACACCCGTTTGGAACACAGAGACTGGAGGGAACCATGACTGGGTGGAGGTCTACACAGAAGCAGGCTTTTGGTCTTTCACTGGCGCGGCAGAGTACACTGACCAGGTGCCCTGGTTCACCTCACCATCGTTCATAGAAGCTCTGAACCATATACATTGTAAATTGTCAAATTCTTCATCAATACTCATCCCAGTAGGGGTGAAAGAACTTGAGGATATCCGTGCATAAATAGGTCTTCTCCAATTCAGGACAACGGCAGGACTCTTATGAAAATTGTTTGGGGATCTTGAAAATCAGACTCTGCGGCGGTATCATGCAGGGGTTCAATCTGACATGGTTTGTACCGGACCCGGCACAGCACTCTACAGCAGGCAGCAGGATGCATGCAATCTATGCCGTCAGCTGGGCTGATCTTGAAGGCACTGTGCAGTATCCCTTGATTTGGGATGACGACAACAATCATACTGTGAGTGCATTTGATGTCACAGAGTACTACCTTCAAGCAGCAAGCATTGGGGAAAGTGCTATTTTACATTCCCATAGAGACCTTGCAACAAGGACCAACGCAGTATCTTGAGTGGTGCAAAGCAAACGTTGGATTCACACCCCTTGAAACAACAATCACAGAGACTATCATATTGATTTGTAAACATATTTGCTTGTGATGAGACAGGCCAGTAGGCTATGCGCCTGCCTGGACGTCTCACATCCTTGCAAATTGCAGTCCTCCCTCTTGACATCACTTATTCAACCACGACCCCTCTTACAAAGATACACACACACACATAGAATAATGCCAGCACTCTAGGCGCGGAGAGCACCGCGCGCACTGAGGTGGCCGCCGATACTGGCCGGCCTGCCCTCCAGCAGGCCATCCACGGCCGCGCCTGCGCTGGGCCTCCAGAGTGTATCCTGTGCACCCAGGCCCTGATGCGCATCCCCCAACCCGCTCGGCATCCTCACCCCCAGGTGCAGAATGGCCTCATGGCCTGCCGGTATACTCGGCTGCATTTCTGCACCACCACTGGCCCTGTCGAGCAGACTCCCTGACTCTATGCCCACAGCATCCACCTGTGAGAGCCCGCTGTCCCTGAGACTTGCACTGCCGTCGCCCTGATATGAAGCGCCATCAGGCTGCTGTTTTCTGTTTGCATCCGCGGGTTCTGCTGCAGCGCTCTGCTGCTCTGTGCATGCTGCAGACCTCGGAGGTTCACCATGATTGGCCGGTGCCCGAGCGCCCCCAGCCACTGGCAGCTCACTGCTGTCCCAGCCGCTATCGCTGCTCCTCCCATTTGTGGATGCAGGGCCCGCTGCTTCTGCGGGATGCTGCGACGGCGCTGCATCCCTGGAAGACATTTCAGACGCGCCTGCAGAGCTCACTCTGTCAAGTAAAGTGCCTCCATTTGTTAACGCCTCCGCCCTGCTGCTGCTGCTGGGCTCGTCTCCTTGCGCGGCACTCGGCATAGTGGCCGCATGCCCTGCCTCATATCTGCGCGCACATTCTCTGATCAGATCCCTGCCTGCCATGAACTGGAAAAGCGCACAAGGCACAACTCCCAGGAGTCCTTTGAATCTCAAGGTCTACAATGAATTGCCAAAGGAAAGCTGCAAGGGACTGGCACGCACCCGTTCTGCAGGGTGGGGGAAGGCTTGCTGCCGGAGACGCCAGTGGCGGCCGACCGGGGCACCGCGGCAAGCTGCGCCAGTTCGGGCAGGGACGGCCGCGGCGCCTCGCGCGCGTAGAATAGCATGTACGCCCGCCGCGACAGTACGTAGCCCGTAGTGCAGCTGTACACCTATGCAGCATCGCAGCCGCGTCAGCACAGGTCTCAATCATGGTCCAGGTACTGAGGCCCTTAGAGAACCCCTCTAGCAAGTCCCCATCAGCCCTCCTGCGCCCTCAGGTGCAGGACACAATTGCAGCACAGACAGCAACTGGCATTTTTGCATTGCAGGGCAGCGGTACTGAACAGGATACGGCGGCCTGCATGTGCACAGGGACAGGTGCCCATCTGTTTCTCCTCATTATAAGGAATACCTTCATCTTTAAACCTCGCGATCCCTCTCCCTTACCGGTACCAAGATGAGCAAAAGAGTACGAGCAATTTCGTTCTGTTAGTCCCCTTGAAAGGGTAATGGAGCTTGGGAAGATGGCCCACCTGCGCGTCGTTACACTCCCACCACTGGCCGTCGGCGCCGCGCACATAGGCCACGTAGTGGCCGCTGTGGGGGCTATTGCACGTGCCCTCGTGCACGATAATGCCGTACAGTCGGTACCGCGCCGGGCCACCGTCCAGCGCGGCCGACGCCATGAAAGGGCCCAGATTCAGCTGCTCCTGAAAGTCCACCGCCTGAGAGTTCTTCATGGGCACCCCATCCACCTGCGGCAACGCTGCCACTCAGCTACCACAGTCACCTCTACACGGAGCACTGAAGATGACTGACTTCTCCCTGCCATGCATGCTGTAATACAGCGCCCCACATAGAGGTCAACCAATGAGTTGTGACCTGGAATAAAAGCAGTCCCTTAAAACCCCCGGACCCAAGAATTTGACGGGAATCTGCAAGTCATGGGACATGCAATGGGTCGGTCCGACTCTTGCTTTCCCAGAACATCTGCACTACATGCCGAAATTTATTTGCTGCATCTTTGCCGCTCACTCCCGGCATGGCATGTTAGAGAGGCCCGGTGGTCTGCATGCCTCTTGATGGGCATTCAGCAGGCCATCTGCGCAAGGTAGGAAATGGCATGCATGCGGGAGGGACAGTCGATTTCACCATAGGGCTCTGAGGTGACGCACCGAGACGAAGCGCTTGAGGCAGATCTGCAGCGTGTTAGGTGCCACCTCGAAGCACAGCCGCCTCTCCGCCTCCACGTCCTTCTTGCACTTCTCACAGCTGTATGCATTGTCCCCGGCCAGCAGCTCTGTGTGTGTATACCTGCGCGCACGCAACAGGCGCTCTTAAATAATTTCGAGAGCTTATATCTGACCTCCCAGGATGCGGAGATTAGTGCATGTGCACAGAGGTTCCATCAGATGCAAGGGGATGCAGGTGGTATGCACACGAATCTGGTGTACCACACAAGTCTTCATCAATCCGTCGGACAGAAATATCACATGATGGACGCATGCGAGAATGAGACTAAAACAACCTGCAGATGCCAATCTGCAAGTTTGCAATGGCCATCATTGCACATGTCCTAGAGGAAAACGGTGTACATATTATGTAAGGAAGTCAGTACCGTGCAAGGGCATCCTCGAGGGTGGTGATGTCCTCGTCAATCTCGACTGACAGCATGGAAAATGGGTCGAAGGAGGCTGAGACATTGCAGCAGACGGTGCACACGTTCTGCATGCGCTCATAGCCGCCAAATATGTGGTGCAGCAGGGTCGTCTCCTGCGCAACAACTGGCTGTTACACTTTGCCGCCATTTGCGCGCATGGGCCGGCCATTGTTGACGGGTGCACTGCCGCATTGCAAACATATGCATGTCTGTAGTGAGACTTCGGGTCCAGAGGTACGTTGGGTGCATAATGGGTGCAGGACAGTGTGTTGACAAGCAGAAGAGAGAGTGGCACCTTTGACCGGCTGTCCAGCTTGGCAGGGCTGCCAGCCTGATGCAGCATAATGTGCTCCACAGCGGTCTGCAGGCCGTTCAGAAACTCCGACGTATCCTCCTGCACAATTACCCCAATTTCCTTATCAGCACCTCCAACCCCATTCAGAGCAATCTCAAGTACTCTTGCTCATGCCCCTCAAGGACTGCTGAGGCACAGCTCCCACGTTAGCACCCTTCTGCGCATGAAGGGTCTGTTGTTCGGTCACTCTCATTCTGGCAGCTAGTCACAGGCAATAAGAGCAATCAATCACCTGCTCGCCGGCGACCATGTCGCGACAGAACAGGCGGACGCGGTGCAGCAGCGGCTGCGCGGTGGCGGGGCCGTCCCCGCGGCGCATCTCCCTGGCCAGAAGCTCCAGCTGGCACAGGGGACAGAACGCGCCGGGGGGCGCCGGGCAGCCGCGGCTGGTGTGCAGGCCCGAGGCCAGATAGGCGCCCATGGGCCGCGTCGCCATCAGGCACTGCAGCGCTGCGTTCGCAAAGCAGCTGCGCCGACGGACACACCCTCCCTCAAGACATTTGCAGAGTTCCCAAGGATGAAATATTTTTAGAATGCTGCACAATGATCGAGGAAATTTCGCTTGCATGAGCTGTTGGCACGGTGCACCTGATTTTGTGTAGCTTCCGAAAGCGGGCGTAAGCAGCACGTCGTGTACAGCAGTATCATGGGACAGGCGCTGTTTCGAAGGAGGATCTCTCAGCATGACCTCTGCACAGAGTGCATGCGGCATGATATACTGCAGAGTCGTGGGTGTCACCTGTTGCCCAGGTTGATGAGGCCAGTGGGGCCCTCATCAGAGGCATCGGCGGCCGGCCACAGTGCCAGGAACTCCTCATAGGGGCAAACCATTCTGCTCGGCACCAGCCGCTGTGCTTGCGCACTGCCAGCCTCCTCTTGTGTCTGTTTACTCCCAGACTCCACCTTCGGATTGCCCTCCGCTCTGACGTGCAGGCCTGCTGCAATCCCGAGTGCTAGCTTGCGGCACACCTGCTTGTGGCCCGCTGCCCAGTGCTGCTGCTGGTGCTCCCTCGAGCTGCGCATGCATGCAATACTTCAACGGTTCCAATCTTGCGCTTCAGGCTCTAAGTCTCATCTCCGCAGTTTGATGAAGGAGGATTGACTGATATTGGTCGCACATGTCTTCCTCTTGATTCCGTGGACAGATGTTCATATTCCCAGCCAATGGATGAGTAAGCCATGCAAATTCTTACAGCTTGAGATGAGTGGACACCAAGAGGCTGCTGCCTGAGCAAGAGTGACAAGAACCATCAGTACAAGCATCGGCATCGACGTGAGCATACCAGTAGCGGGAGGCCTTGCATCCACCGCAGCGGTGCGGTGCAGGCTCGCTGCACACAGCACAGAGCGCAGGACCTGGCCGCCTGCTGGGGAGCGGCTTCTGGCCAAGGTCTGTGTCCCACCAGGGCCGAGGCACCTCGCTGTCCAAGCTGCTGGTGACGAATCTTTGCAGAACTCTGGAGTACCCATAGCCCTGCACGCCGTCCATGCTGCAAGAAGGCAGGAAATATATTAGAAATGATTGAATAGAATGCTTTCTCATATTCCTTGTCAAATCTGCTACCCTGCTTGTGACTAGTCACTGAAGGGGCCGATCGAGAGTGCTGGACGAAAGATTATTTGATACACATTAGGAACAGCAATCATATTGTTGGGAGAAGGCTCCCAGACATGTCAGGTGCCTACTTATCGATGCTAACGTATGGGACCATCAGCTAAAGTATAAGCATAAAGTTGGATGACCCGAGCTGGTACTGCAAGCAGTACTACAATAGTGTTACTATAGGATGTGACTTGGCCTCATGGATGATGAAATTTAACGTCATACATCTTGCGGTAGAGCTTCTCTTGTTTTAATGTAAAGAGAGGAAGTTTGCGTACATAAAGAATACGATGAGCACAGTGAAGACGACCGCTGTCCACGAGACACCAAACGAGCTGTATGATATCATCCAGGGTAGTATTCTAACGTCACATGAAGCAGACGCTGCTGAACTGCTCAGGGCAACGCCTCTGGCCGAAACGCACGCTGCACCAGCAGATCGTGTGCGGTGTTCCAAGGCTTCCCTAATGAAGCAGCCTAGCACAATTGGAGGTTCAAACTACTTGAATAATCCGCATTATTTTTTCTTAAGCATCACAAGAAAGTACAAGAGATGAAAGAAGACACAGATTCCTCGTAACACTGGCAATGAGTAGGGGAATATAATATGAGGAAGGGTGGGCAACAAACCCTTGCTCCTGGTGAGGACACCCCAATGCAAGCTTCAGGCTTCAACCTTACATGGCGATGAAATATTAGCAATCTCAAATTGCAACAGAGACATGCTTGAGTATCAATAGCAATGCATGCTGCAGGGAGAGTCAATTGCAGACCAGACCAACACTCGAGCTCGCACACTGGCAGCAGCCGGCGGCGCCGCAGCCACTGGCACTCAATCGTGCTTCTTCAAAAATTTCACGTAAAGAAGCGCACAAAGACAGAGTTCCAAAAGATACCGCAGAGATTCAAAAGTTCCTGCCAACCCGCCTACCTCCCTAGCATCAGCATGTGCATGCATGCGCATGGCACATGCGCAAGAAATCTTCCTCTGTACTCCCAGCCCAGAGACCACCTAGACATGAGCAAATGCCCACCATACCCTTCCCTCTGCACCGCCAATCCACCTGCAGCGCCATAGCGTGGCACCTGCTGCACGCCAGAGCCTGGCAAGAATCTCATGACACAAGCTATTGTCCTCGGGTATGCTAGCTGTCCAGAGAAACCTTCTTCAATGCATCTGCCACGCCTTTGGCCTGAGCTGGAGCAGGATCGGCTTTGGGTTAATTCAGGTGCAGCCGGTCCGCGCCCTCAAAGCAGCCCGACCAGCGGAACACCTTGCTGCAGCGCTGCTTCCACTCCTGCGCTGCCGCCTCGTCGCCCAGAGTGCCCTGCAGCAGCTTGTGCACTGCCACTGCGTCTGCGTGGGTGAGGGCCTCCGCTGGAACACCGCCCCCTGGCCAGATTAGACACATTACAATTCCTCTCAGGCATCTAATGATGTAAAGTTGGCGCTCCCCATGATTTCCTTTCAAGTTGCAGTACATCCAATATCTGCATTGACTCAATTGTTGCCGTGCGTCCTTTGAGCTGCTGGTGATTGCTGTCAGTATCTGACTGCACAAGGGCAGGCCCAAAGTCGCCATCGTTTTTCTCGCAAAGGCTCAAACCCCTTCAACACCCACACAACTGCAGGTTTAAAAATTTGACATACGCCTTGCATGCCAGCAGGGATAGCAGAGGTTCGAGGACTTACCGACGAGGCCGCCGCGCTTGAGGATGACCTGCACAGCCTTGGGCTTGGACTGGGGGTCCAGGAAGGCCATCATCTCGGCAGCAGCCGCCCGGTGCAGCAGCGACTCGCCGCCGTGCTGTTCCAAGAAGGCCTCCTTGTACTGAGCGGCGCTCTTGCCGCCCAGCAGCTGACTCACCTCCGAGTCGATAACCTCCGCCACCACCTGCTTCTCCTTAATTGCCCCCTGCACAAAATGCAGCAATAGTAAGCATATGCATATTACTCATTGCCCTTGCTTACTGTTACAAGCCAGCTGTGTCCTAGGCACGCACACCGGCTCCTCGTGCAAGCCCCATACTTCAGGCATACAGCACTCCTGTCCTCCTTGGCACAGTCAGCAATCAGTAAAAAAGCTGCGTCATAGCAGGGGCCAACCATGATGACATTGGACCCTCCAGATAGAAGCATGTTCGGCAGGCAGAGAGGAGGCAGACCTCCTGAGCTGCGGCTGCCTGGCAGAAGCGCACGATGAGGCAGTGCACCTGTGGGTGACCTGCGCCGCTCACTGCCAGCGCGCGCTTGACCGCCTGCAGCGCCAACAGCAGCTTCCCTCGCCGCAGGTACACCTGCACATGCGCACACCTCGCTGTCACATGATGAATGTGTGCCGGGTCTGACTCGCAGCCATGACTGCTCTTTCCAGGACCTTTGCTGCTTCCACACTGACATGCAATGCTCACAAAGATTCCATCAAGCTTGCTTCGACGTTTAGATAGCCATGCTGCTTGAAATCGTGTGCAGCATTTCACATTTGCTTTGCACATGCAGCCGCCACAAAGTATGCGACAATGGAATGCTACCGTCATGTCTTGTCAGCTTGCAGCCAACACTGTCATGATCATAACAAATTTCTGCCAGAGAAGGAAGGGGAGCACACCTCGAAGGCCAGCAGGTGCGTCTGCAGCCGGTCCCCAGAGTACTCCTTGAGCACACGCACGAGCTTCACAGCCTCTGCCAGGGGGTCTGCTACCTTTGCCAGCTGCTCTCCATCCGGATCGGCATCCTTCTCCTTCGGAGCAGCCGGCTGTTTCTTGGGCGTGCCCCCCTTGTCCTTGCCTGCCGCCTTGGCCGCCTCCTTCTCTGCAGCAGCTGCAGACTCTGCCTCCTTCTTCTGCTTCTGCTGCTCCTGTGAACACCCACATGCCCTTGTCAGGTCTCGCCTCCGGATAAACCCCTTTCCCTTGTAAAGCTTGCCCCTACACCCTCTCCGTTGAGTGAGGGAGTGAGCGCTAAAGAGACAGGATGTGAAAAGTTGCATTATTGACATATGTGAGACCAGACACGCATGCCCAAACTTCTCATACACCCAAATCAAATTCAGAGTCCCTGCAGTAAAAAGGGATATGGAGTAAAAGGAATATTTGACAGCAAGGATCAATATTACAGCAATGCTTGTTGTGTCAAAAAGGCACCTTTCTGCGCTTCTGCTTAAGCTTCTTGAGCTCCTCTGAAGACAACTTGGAGTCAGCGCCATCCTGCGCGTTGCCATTGTTCGCAGCGGACGCCGGGGCCCTGTCCAGCTCCAAGTACACCTGAATTGCTGCCCATGCCGCCTGCAAGCAGCACAGAATAAGTTTGTCACTCAGTGCGCACACAGCAGGCACACGTGTCCGCCTGAATTTGCGTACAACACCTCCCATACTTGCAGCACCTTCCTGGTTAGACATGCCAAGAAAAGGCCAGTAAGCTCATAATCTGGCTTTAGACCGTGCCACACTTGATGCACAAGGTACATTGCAAAATCCCTTTCCTAAAGGAATGACTTGGAAAGTGTCCTGCTGTTGTTAAACTCAGCGGAGGCAGAGTGTGTCCCTCTTTTATGCTTGCTGCACAAGACTAGATGGCCATGCAAAATCTTACAAACCTTCACAGTGCCAGGTCTGAAAGACTTTCACTGTGCATCTTTGCTGTGCATCATCCATTAAGAGATGTCAGAGTTGACTGAAGATGGAGCTGACATATATGTAGGGCATCTGCTGACCTGCAGGGAAGGCTCTTGCAAAAGGTTCAAATGCAAGAAACTTCATTGGCAAGTTCACCACCTTGGAGTAGAAGATGTTGTGGTGCAGGGTGTCTTCCATGCGCAGCATTTCCACGTAGGATCGCAGCGTCATCTTGCGCACGCAATAGCTGTGGAAGTCAAACTGGTCCTCCCGGAAGTCCTCAAAGTGCTTCACCACCGCCAGTAGCTTCTTCAGCGCCTGCATGCACATTTGCATGCACTTCCACCCTTCAGAATTGTTTTGGTTATTTTGATCTTGACTGTACGTGGTTTGTGGAATGGGCTTTTAGATGCATGGGACTCATCAAGAGAAAGCTGAGCGTAATGTTCAGCAGCACAGCGTAGTAGAGTACATCAGAAACATAATAATATAGCGCATGCCATTATCACAGCTTTGACAGTGCTCTGACTGACAGACCCCAGCTTAGATTTTTTTAGAGAGTAGAACATTAAGGTTAGGTCGTCAAGGTGTTCCTCTGCATGTTTCGTTTTCCCAAAGAAATATTGAGAATGCGGCGACTGAAGGACCATGCCGAAGACGCACCATAACCATCTACCCCTAATGTGTGCAACTATGTAACAAAGCACTGATATTTTCGTACACCGACAAGCCCGCCAGCACAGATCATGCTGGTATGTTGAGACATGCTCTGATGCCTTGAAACAAAACCTGCACCCGTTAAAGACAAGAATCAAGTGGGGAAGCTAGCACTGCACCTTGCCATATTCTCTCCGCCGGATGTAGGCATTGCCGCACTCGATCTCGTACCACATGCACTGCATCTCCGTCAGGCCGTTCAGCTGATCGCCGTGCTTTGTGAACTTGGCCGCCATAGTCTCAGCCTCCTCTATCCTGCCTGCCCTGAACAGCGCCTTCGCTGCAGAACTGTTCAGATACCTGCCCACACAATCACACACATCACATCAGCATCCACAGCAGTTGGCCTCCCTGTTTCCACACAGGAATTATGCCCACCTTCTGTTGGGCTGCTGTCTCATGCATCTCTTCATCAAAGACCCGATGCATGCATGGAGGTCAGCTTCATATGTCAATATAAATCATGTGAGCTATCAAAGGTAGTGAGCTTGAAGGACAGACCTGTCAGCCAGGTCCAGGCTCTCAGCCTTGCAGGCAGCAGCGACAGCCGCATCGAGGTCGCCAGCATGCTTCAAGATGCGACTCTGCACACTGTACACGTCTGGCAGGTCCGGGTCCTCCTGGATACACCGCTCCACTGCAGCCAGCGCATCCCCTGCCATGCAAATTCCCTTGCCATAATACGCTTACCATCTACAGTCCTTTCAGGTCATACATCCTGTTATATGACTTGAATCTCTGCACTTCGACTTAAGGCAGCATCATTGATTGGATCATTGTGGCTCGAAAGGCGAATCAATTGGCATATCCAGATGCGCCAGAAGCCTGGCAAATGGGGTTTCAAGACCCAGTAACGCCAGTAATGCAAGGCATCATCGACTTGCACCATGACATCTGCTTCTTCATGGTGGTAATGTTGGTCTTTGTGCTCTGGATGCGCAGTTACCAATGGGATCTGTGCGGACAGAAGGGGTACCTGTCTGCCCGATCCTGTCATAGTGCTGGGCCAGGTAATAGAGGGTCCACAGCTTGGCCTCTGGGCCTGGGGCCTCTGGGGTGCCCTCCTGGTTTGGCAGAGCAGGGAACGCCCCTGTCTTCTCCAGACTCCTCAGCAGGAGCTGCATCAAGGCGCCGAGGGCCTCGCGCTTCGCTGGTTCCCTGCATTGGCATGGAACAAACAATCAAGAAGAGGCTTCAGCAAAAGGTAAAACTTATGGCAACTTCTTACAGCAAATGGAAGTATGTGGAAGAGAATATGGGTAATCCCCTGGACCCTAAGGCCTCAAATGACATCTATGTGGGGCAATTTATCACATGACGTGCAACACAGGGATGCTTGAAGACAGCCCTGGAAGAGGAAACGCAAGCGCACATATAGCCATCAGATGATTGCACACCTGTAGAGGGCCTTTAGATCTGAGAAGAGGGATGGGATCCCCTTGTTGAGGAACCTTCTCACGTATGCATCAGCCGCCTCCTCAAACGCTTTATCAACCTGCAGCACAATGAATTCAAGTGAATGCTCCCATTTTATAATACCAAGGACACTTCCAAGCGTGGCAGGAGCAACCAAAAGACAAAGCACTTTTGATAATAATTGAGTCCATCGGCGGAGAGCCCACCTTGAAGTCCAGGGGTATTCTCTGCACAGCCGTGCTGCGAGGGTACTGCTTTGCCAGCTCATCGTACAGCTCAGCAAGGCGCTCCAGCTGCTCATCTGACCACTGGCCCTCTGCGTCAGGCGCCAGTTTCAGCGCTGCTCTGAGCCCCTCGTGGTACTTGTGGTTGTCTGGATTCAATGCCAGCAACTTCCTGCAGCCAGTGACAAATCTTTGTTATGAAACTCCTGCAAAAGTGCCATGTATGCACGGTTCAACCGTATTCTTTGCACGATTACTGTAGGTCAAGGAAGCCCATCTTCCCTGCAATAACCAATTGTTGGAACAGATGCAAAATTTGCTCACAGGGCTGCTCTGCTGCTGCAAAGGACTGGCTAACTTATATGGAAAGCGCATGCATCAGCAGATAGGTAGGGGCGGGGTACTTGCCGGTAGATGTCTTCCGCAGCTTCCTGCTTCTGGGGAAGCTTCAGCAGCAGCCGCCCGCGCTGCTCCATCAGCCCAATGCGGTCCTTGATGAGCTCCTGCATGACACCCAACAATGCTATCACAAATCTAAATGCATGGAAAGGACTCCAGTAATATCTGCTCCCTCCGTGCCCTTCCACATGCTCGCCTCACAATCATGGCTTTCCTTCCCTGCTTCACGGCCACATTTCCAGTCCATGATTCTACTGTCCGCAATGCCTCATATTTGCACTTGCTCAATCCCTGACATGCCAAATTGACCACTGCCCGGAGTATTTCAGGTTGCACAACCTGTAGTGCGCCCCATCAGGCGCTGCCATACACGAAGAGCACAACCAACGCCCAACATCATTCGTAACCAATTCCACTATATGCGAACGACGCTGCGAGTGCTATCTTTTGAAAGGTACCTTGGAGGTGTCCAGGTACGCCAGGGCCTCCTCTGTCTGGCCACCTTCCTCCAGCACCAGAGCCCTGTACAGGATCATCTCGCTGTGCTCGTACGCCTCCGAGGCCGGCACTTCCTCCTGTCGCACATCAAATAAAATGAACACGACATGATAATATATAGACGCGCTGATGAAGCCTGGGGCGAGACTTGGGACACAGAGGTCCAGCATGCCAAAGGCATCACTGACTGTGCCAGTCTGAGCACATCAGTGAACCCATGCCCCGTCCTTTGAGGCAACCTATGCATGAGTGACCAGGGAACCGCCAGCTGCCCCCAGCAATGTGTAATGCATTATCTGTCCAGCATGCTTGATGCAATCGGTCCTAAATTACAATCGGCCCCATGGGCAGCTGCAGCATATTGCATACCAGCGCTGTAAAAATATGCAAAGCCCACTGGTGCAGCTACGCAACGAGGCCATGTTCAAATTGCTCAAGAGGCCTTAAGTGGCGTCTGCAAAGCCCACTAGTGTCATAAAGCAAGGTGCCTTTTGTGACTGGAAGTCAGAGCTGCTTTGGAGCTGTGCAAAGCCCACTGGTGCAGCTCAGCAAGATGCCCTCTTTATGGGGAGCACTAAAGGCAACAATTGGCACCTGCATGTCTGCGTAGGTCTTCAGGGCGTGGGCGGCGAGCTGGTGGCTGCCGTTGAGGTGGTGCGCGATGGCGAAGCTGATCCAGTGCGACTTGTTGGAGGCCTTCTGGGCCAACATTGCCGTCCGCGTCTCCACAAAGCCCGGAATGTCGCGCATCTGGATCTGCACAGCCCCGCCACAACATTTTCACACCCCCTCTAATTTGCAGCATGCAAAGCTCCCTCTAAGAAGGAGCTTTCCCTTTCCATCGCAGTTGTCGATGTTGGTTTGGGCCCGCTCAAATGCTGGCAAAAGCAATGCAGCTGACAGACTGACTATGGTCACAGCTGTATGGGTGGATATGGTAGTGAAACAAAAATATTCACCTGCAGATTCGAGAGGTCTCTCAGGATCTGGTAGTTCTCCTTGTCGATGCGCAGAGCATTCTTGTAGCACTTGATGGCCTCGTCGTAGTTCTGATCCCCGCGGTAGAGCAGCCTGCTTGCACACACCACCAGTCAAGGACGGGCCTCCATTTAAGGCTAGAATTTCCCAGAGTATCCATGCCTTTCAACGCAGTTGCCATGCCAAGGGGTGCAGCAGGTTCTCACCCATAGACGTGCCATGTGACATGGCTCTTCAGGTTGTTTTTAATGCCTCTGCGCGCGAGTTCATAGGCCTCCTCCTTCTTGGAGGGGTCCATGTTGTTCAGGGTCAGACCCTTCATGGCCAGCGTCTCTCCATGGTCCGGATACTTCTTCAGGACCTGCTCTGCCGCCTTGATGGCCTTCTTGTACTGCTTTGTCTCATAGTATTTGACCACCTGCCTGAACAGGCCGGCCTCTTTAGTTGGCAGGACCTGCCCATCCTTCGAGGCCATCGTGCCCCAAGGCTGTGGAGTGACCTACTGGTTCAAGCCTGCACACCACATTAGACAGCTCAACGGGGATTGTAGGTCAGACAGTTCAAAGGTGATCACAGATTATAGGTAGTCTTGGTGTGATACTGCTCCCTATTGCATAGAAGATTTGCATGAGGGGACACATTAACACAAAATAGCTGCTACTATTCATCTGCTGCTATCATGTGTCCATCCCCTGACAGCTTTTGCAAACCTGTCGAACTTTACAACAGCTAGCACATGCAGTATTGAATAAGCTGCTGCCAAATGTGTAGTACTGGCGAGCGTTCCTCACAAAAGGACAAGGCACCTAGTCATTACATGTAATCAACAATCGTCTTCACTGTGTGATCGAGGGATAAACACATCAACATTGGATCACCAGGACCTTCGGTGTCCCGTCACTTTGAGTACGAGATCAATCCTCCATTGCTAGACGGCTAAGAGCATGATGGAGTCGTACTCACCCTGATCGGCCGTAAAAGCATCACAAGGGTCCTGTGTTCGTTTCAGAACAATAGAATAGATGCTAGTGTCCACCGTCAATGCAGAGGTGAAGAAGTGCACTTTGCAGATCAACGACTCTGGCCACTTGCACCGCTGCGATGCAACGCAAAGCTTCTCTCAACGTCTTCAAGAAGAAGAATCAATGATCTTATTCTGTTTTTCAGCATTCAGCGACAGGATAATCAAGCTGATGATTTGACAATTTAGCTGCATGGTGGCGCAGTTCTCCCCTGCCCAAACACTGCGGAATGAAGAATGCCGAATGAATTGGGATAGTCTCACTGCCCATCATCTTTAAAAGCGCTGTACAGATGAAAGAAGCGTTGTATGGACAGATCTAGCATCACCATACCGTGTAAGTTGAATAAGATGGCATGTTATCAGTGGCTTTGCTGAAGGCCTAAAACTTTTGGGGTCGAAACTGGCCAGTGCTGAAGCGCATCCACAACAACATTGAATGGCAGAAACCCCCGAGGAGCTCTGCCATGCATCTGGGCTCTCTTCATCCATTCAGAGCTTGTCACAACATTTACAGGCCATGCCATGTGCTACCTGTTGCTGGCCTGTTCATGTCTTTGCATCGACCAATGACTTGACAGGCACATTCACCTCAACCACAATTGACCAGAACTTTATTGCAATCAAGTTATTTCAGTACATTCACAGGAACTTTCGGTGCCTCATTGCCTCCTCGTCTTCTTCAGTGAATGCATCTGCAAACGCCTCCTCTTCTGCAGCCGGCTCCATGAGCCCATCCTGGTCATCCTCTCCACTTAGATCCTCCCCAATGGCTTCCTCCACCTCAAATGCATCCTCCTCAGCTTCCTCCTCAACTTCCGGCAAAGCAGCACGCATCGCGGCTGCCTTTGCCGCCGCGCCGCCGTCCCCTGCTTTGCTGGCCTTCGCTGGTTTCTTGCTCTGTGCCGCCTTGGAGGTGGAAGCAGCAGCTGCCGCAGGCTTCCCCTGCAAGGCAACATACCCTCAGTTTCTACCATGCAAGCAGGATCCATATTTTGACCTGCACACCTCAAGTTGGCAGCAACAGACAGCTTCATCGGCAAAATTTTGCAAGGTTGCATGGTCTGCACGTACCTTGGGTTTTACTAGAGTAGGAGCTACAAAGGTTTCCTCTTCCTCTTCCTCCTCCTCGTCGTCAGCTGCAAAGTTCTTCTTCCAGGATGGTCTGTCGCTCTGCTGAGAAAGACTGGGCTTCGGCAGAGCAGCTACGTCCCCATCATCATCCAAGTCATCTGCTTTCAGGAACTGCTCTGCGGACTTTCCACCTGGCTTGCCTTTTTTGGCAGGGCTCAGGACAATAGTGTCCTCATCATCTGCATTGTCCGCCTCCTTTGAGGCAGCGGCAGCCTCTGCCGCTGGGGGTCCCTTTTGCTGCACTGCAGTCTTTGCCGTTGCTGCTTTCTCTGCAGTTGCCTGCAATCATGGCATTTCTCTTTCAAGCTGGGCTGTTGCCTTTTGCACCGCATTAGGAGCAGAAGCTTCTGTCAATGCTCTCTCGTCCCTGTCCAGGAGATAGCACAGTTCAAACTTGGTGCAAGTGCATACCTTAGGCTTGAAGAGGTCAGCAGCGGCCTCCTCAGCGCCACCAACTGCAGCTACCTCTTCCTGAGCAGCAATTTGTGCCTTGTCTGCAGGCACTGGCGTGGCTGCGGGCAGGCCCCGCGTGCGAGGCTTGCCCTTCACCAGCACACATGCCTCTGGCATGCACTCCACACTGATGACTGCATGCATCAGTGACAGCATTCAGCTCCGAGTCTACGATGCTGCTCAAGTGCTCGAGGGTTTCTACGTCTGGAGCTGAGCAATACACCCATGTCCAGAAGCATCCAAGAGAGCAGGAGACTAGCGCTTACTGTCCATTGGGTTAGCAGCGCAAAACTCCATGAACTCTCTCCTCACAGGCGAGTCTGGCCCCATGTAGTTTGGCTTCATCCTGCATGCATGCACAGTCTTGTGAAGCGGGCTGTACCTCACAAATCCTACTCTGCTAGATATTTTGGAGGCAGCAATGTCCTGCAGCAGCTGAACAATTTACAAAGATCAGAGGTGCGGGTGAGATTTGCACCTGCACTGCACAACATCAATGGCATTCTTGATGAAGTCTGTAAAGGTCCCTTTGGCAAGGAAGGGCTTCTCTATGTAGTTCTCACTAATGTCCTCCACCACATAGATGCCCCCTGATTTCAATGATTGCCACAAGACCTGCATCCACAAGCACTTCCTCAGTTCCTTTCAGGCGCGCTTTGAGCAGAACATGTCAAATATAATTTTGCATGCAATAGCTCAAAAGCCCAGAGGCACTGACCTTAAAGCTGGCCAGCATCTGACTGGATTTGTGACCCCCATCGTCCACGATGATGTCATAGCCACTGAACTGCTTGGCATCCTCCACAATCTCAGAAAGAACACTCACGTCCTCTTGATCTCCTGTGCATTGAATGGTAAAGTAATACATATCTGTGCTTCTGAGTTGCTGCACCCATGGAAAATTGCACACCAGAAAGTTTTAGCAATGTCTTGAGCGTCTTTGTTGATGGAAGATAGCGCACCAACATAGATCTTGCCCTTTGCGACAGATTCAATCTCCGCTCGGTGTTTAGCTGCACAGTCTGCGTTGTTCTCCACATAAGAAACCTTTGTGTTGGTCAGGTATCTCCTCCACAGCTGCGAGCAATTTCAGGTATCAGCTTTCAGCAATATCCCTGCTGGCCAAATTGCACCAAGTTTATTGCAGCATTCCAAACACTCACCGAAAGAGAGTGCATCCCTTCCACCCCATTGTGCATGCTGCATCCCATGCCAATCTCCAGCAGCCTCATATTCTCCCTCCTTACAGGAGACAAGTATTTGCCTGCAATACCATTAATATCAGATCTGATATTCTGCCACATTGTTCGCAGGGACTGACAGGCACTCAACTTGCAAGCATGCAGAACGCCATGCGAGTTGGGGCCGCACTGTAGATGTAGTGATAGCTGGATCCACGGTTGCTCTTGTCACTCTGAACCTCCTCTGCAAAGCGGCTGAATTGCTTGTCGATCGTTCTGGTGATAGGGCTGGTCAGCTCATCGTCTGTCACTGGCCGCTGGTAGCTAGCCTGGTGCAGAGTCGCGCTCACACCGCTGAGACTTAGGCATGACAGAAGGCAAACCCATGCAAGGGCTCTGCTGCTCCCCTTGGAGCTATGCATGCCCGCTGAGGCCTTGCTTCTGGCTGATGTGCCACAATTTACAGGAAAAAGACTTCCTGTGACACACAAGAGGCAAAGTCTACGTTGATCAGTCAACACCACGGTCCCAGCTTCCGTACCGAGGGTACAATAGAGCCTTACTTTCCAGAGGCTTCTACCAAAGCGTACAAGATGTTTCCATTTCAATAAAATGGGGTCAGAAGAAGGCACAAACCTTGCAGGCACAAGGGATTTGCCCAGGATGAGGTGGGAACCCACGTATTCAGAGATCTTCCAATTGATTCACTGATGCAGGCATGCCTATATGGAACAGATCATGTATAAATGGCATTGCATCGTGTATTATCCGGCAATGAGGGAGATACCCTGTGGAAATTTTGTCGGGTTCCTTGTCATTGACACTCTGTAGTGCGGCTGTGAGCTTGCGATCAGGTGTTTGATGGTCTGAATGCCACTCAATACTTACTGCATTATATTTTAAAAGTCTTGCCGTGCGTGGGTGTGTGTGTTAGTGTTGGGTTCCGAGATCAACTCCGCAATGACAGGAACACCACGGTAGACAAACAAATGACTGAGTGGCCAGCTCAGCAAGTGCGTTCCAAGCTGAATGCAGAAGGATAGAGAAATTCGTGTTCCCTCAATGATGTTGTGTCTTTTTTGAATTTGGGAGGATAAGTGGCACATTCGACACAACTGTGCTGTCTTTGGGGAAAGGATAAGGAACAAGCAGTTCTAATCGTTGAATATAGCATCGAGCTGCGATTAATATCAAGGCTCTTCATCAGATTCATCTTCTGACAATGGCGGAGGAGAAAGCACTCGAGAGCAGTAGCACATTCAAGGGGGGTGAAGTACTATTTGCTGGCGGCACTGACTGGGGGTTCATCGGACGTAATCTGGGCGGCAGCAAGAAAAAGGGAGACGCTGATGTGAGACTGAATGCTTTTGCCAGACATGGAGAAGGTTTTTTATCCGGATGCATGCTTGACATTTGCATTGTTACAATCGTAGGATGCCGGTCGCGCGGAGAAGTTTCCGAACTTGGTCAGCCCTGTACGGCTGAAGAGCCTTTTGGTAAGGCCTTTCGGGAAACGTGTATTGCACAAAGAGTATCATCGAATTGGTGGTATTATCTCAGAGGAATCCAAACTTATCGAGCTCTTCCTCAGTGCCCATCACCTGAAGATCATCAAATCCTTGTGCACAAGGACAGCTGGATGGTCCGCCACGATGGCATCTTGATTTATAAGTGGTGACTCGCAGGACGTGAAGGTACAATTCATCGCAGCTGGAAGTGCATCTTGTCATTGCATCATTGGCGATGTAGAGGGCAGGTGCTACACATGGGGCAGGAACGAGGTAGGCGGGCCACTCTTCATTGGTGAAATTCTTAGGCTCTCTAAATCAGAAAATAAATTCCTGATCATGGACTATGGGGGCGCAGAAAGGCCAGCTTGGTCATGGTGATTTGTTGCAACGCAATATACCCACCATCGTGGATGGGCTGAAGAATGTGAAAATCGTTGGAGGTAAGTCATCACTCCGACCAGATCTTACAATGTTACATAACATTTGCCACCTGTTGTAAAACTTCCCAAGATGAGATAGCGGTTGATGTTGTGGCTCAGGCGCTGGAGGCAAACACCACACAACAGTGGTATCTAGCGATGGGGAATCCTACTCCTTTGGCAGCAATAAGGAGGTGAGCTGCCATCTCATAAACACAACAAAACTGCTGTCAAGACACATCAGACGCATGATCTTCACATAATGACATGCATGGGCTGATGTAGTTTGCTCTCTCGTAGGGCCAATGTGGCACGGGGACCTTGAAGAGCAACCCAAAGAATGAAGGTAAAGTCTTACCTCATCCTCCTCTGATGGTGCTGAATGACCCATTTTGCTGTTCCCCTGGCTTAAGAAAGCATCCGAACTCAGTTGACCAGATCACCACAAAACCCACCCCTGAGGGCATCCCTGTGCCTGCTGGCTGTGTGAGAGATGACCTTGATGCTATTGGGCATGCATATGACTGGTGGAGGAAGTGCATGAGTCGAGAAGACTGGAAGGCAACAGTCCAGGTCCTGCTCAACATACCTCGTGATCCAGGACCTGAAAATAGTTGGAACAATAACAATGATTGTGTCTGCAGAGCTGCTGCAGTCGCCAGTGAAGGCGCTGGTTTCCGGGTGCACGGCAGTGGCGTGCGGCGCTGAGTTCACCATGTGGCTGTGTGAGGGCAAGCTCTACAGCGCCGGCTGCCCCCAGTACGGCCAGCTCGGCCATGGCACCGACCACGAGTACAACGCCAAGGACTGTGCGTCCCCTCACGCCCTGCTACTTGTACTTCAGATGCATCTGTCGTCTGCATGGTTGCTTGAATGTCTTATTTACAGGTGTCAGTGGCAGTCCCACTAGATTGTTAAACATATCCCCTTCTGTTGCATGTGCTCTTGGCAGACTAGCATTTGTGCGTGCTTGTTCCCTGCACCTGGACTTGGGCCTACTAGGGTCTGTGTCTCTATCCTCACTCCCCACTGTGCCTACCTTTGATGCTGCGCACAGCACTTGTGAACAGCCGTGCAGCTGTGCGATTGAACCCTGATGCACCCTGTCGCTTGCTGCACTTCATGGAGGCATCGGATCAGAGTGCATGCTGAGATTAGTGAAGTGGCAAGAATGCCATAAGAAGCAGGATGACTCTGTGCATGTGGTCATTGGGGCGGTTGTTTGAGGCTGGCTTGTGTGCGCGCAGCCTCGGTGAAGATCATGTACGCGGCGCAGCCGACGCCGGAGCTCATCAAGGGCCTCTCCGACAAGACCATCCGCGTTGTCGCCTGCGGCCACAACCACACCCTCGCTCTGGACGACGCAGCCGCCGCATACACCTGGGGTGACCGCCTGACATGACCTTCACCTGTTCTGGCATTCACCCACTCGCTAACACTTGCTGAGGGTACTGTAGCTAAATAGATTTAGATGTAGTACCCCTGACATCCGTGCAGTCTTGCGACATGCTGACCAGGCTAGTTGCCTGAATCATTTGGGGTTTGGAGCGGCTAAAGCCTCCTAGGACGGGGAACTTTCTGTCTGCATTCTGGGTTCTGCAGCTGGAGATGGGAATGACACAGCATTTTTACCTAAAGTTGCTGAGGTGGTTCTGTGTTCGTCCGAGCAGGCAATGGGGGCTATGGGCGGCTGGGCCACAAGGAGCAGAAGGATGAGTTCTCGCCCAAGCAAGTGGAGGTTCTCAAGGGACGCATGCCTGTTGACGCCAACTCCCCGGTGAGCCCCAATCTCGAGACAGTATTAGACGTCTCTGAAATACCTTCTCTCCCAAATTGCCTGTGAGCGCCACTCCTGTAAGTAATGTATTTTGTCTCTGAAATACCTTTTCCAGGTAGCAGCTATCACTGCAGCCATGGCACTGTAGATGAGTTGACACAGCTGTGTATACAGTGCCTCCAAGCTGTGATCAAACCAGCAAGTGCATCATGCAGCTACTTTTCATGCATGATCACCATAACGATATTAACAAATATCAATAAAAAGTTTTTGAATTTTTGATGGGTGCCACAAGCTGTGCCTGAGCAGTGCGCTGGCTGCAAGCCGGTCCTGGCTTCCTATATTGGGCTGCTTGAAATTCTCCCACACCTTTGACTACGAGCCTGCTGAGCAGTTGCGGCAGAAGCCTGAAGCTTCCTGTCTTGTCTGATGTGTCATCGGTGACTCATTGCCAGGTGGCGTGCGGGGCGACGAGCAGCTTCTGCACGATGATCGGTGAGCAGCTGGTGTCCTGGGGCAAGCTCAAGGCCAGCGGCGACAACACCATGTACCCCAAGGTCGTCTATGAGCTGGCCGGCTGGAAAATCCGCTCCATCACAGCCGGTGCCTACACCTTTGCTGCCGCCGCCACCGGGGACACAGACATCTCCACAATCACCTGGTGAGGACCCTCTTTGACCCCCAGTGCTAGGGGTAATTGACGGTACAATTGTTGTTGTCGTTGTATCAAGAATCCTCAAGATTTCCTTTTTTCAGATGCAGGCATTGCAGTGCAGCAGGGCAGATTCCACAGCAGGGCCTAGCATAGTTGCAGCATAAGAATATTTCCTGCCCCTGCATTGTGTCCCTAGCAGAAGGCTGCGTTCTTCGACCCTGCACTTGCCCTCTATGCAGAACCCGCAGAGCCCCGTTGTGTATTGAAGGGATGCTGTCCTCTGCCATAGTGTAGCTGCCTTACCTCTCTGAATGTTGCCTTGGGCATGCTATATGCTCAACAGAACATCCCAAGCAAGTAACGAACATTACAAGGTCTGGTGCCGCCCTTTGCACGTACCAGCTCATGCAGCAGGTTTCAGTCCCCGATAACAGTGCCTTTGTAAGGTTTACATTGAAGAGGGTGCTGAGGAGGGAAGCTATTGGCGCACAGGGGCCAGGCGCAGCACGGGGAGCTCGGCTATGGGCCAAAGGGCAAGAAGTCATCAGCCAACCCTGACAAGTGCATGGCGCTGGAGGGCGTGCACTGCCACCAGGTCTGCTCCAGCCACATGTGCCATCACTACACTACATAGCACATACATTCAAACCTCTAGAAAGGCCCACTCGTCCAAGCACACCCTCGTCTTAACCCCACTCCTCTTGAAGACAACCCTGGGATTGTAAAGAGTATTCGCTGAACATCTCTCCAGCTGCTGTCACTCGTGTATGCTGCCCAGGCCTTGGCAATTTCTACTTCCTGACGTGCAGATGGTTCAGCACAAAAGGGTCAATGAAATTGTTCTGCCCACAGGTGGCGATGGGCATTGGGTATGCGCTGTTCCTGGTGGACCCGGAGCACCCCAAGGTGAAGGAGCTGGAGGTCTTTGAGCCTGCAGAGGCCGTCAGCCAGGCAGTCAACCCAGAGGCTGATGCCGGCGGCAAAGGTGAGAGCTCTTGGCACAAACGCGAAACGCCATACTCCCCATGTGTGGCGGGCATACGATTCCAGTCCCCTGAGAATTTTAGGATTTTAGGGTCGGGTGAAGAAAAATAGCAAAAGTAATCCCCTTTAGGTTAGATATAGTCCTCTTGGGTCTTGCCTAGTCTGTCTGCAGAGTGTATCACGTGCCTGCATGCTGTGGTGGTCTCCGCTACTGCCAAATCTCTCACCCTTGCCAATGTGAGACATGCCAATGCGAATCAGGGGTGTGGGACAGCACCCCGTGATAGGGCTATGCCTGCGCAATCAGAGTGCAGAGCTTTGGGCAGGGCTAATATAGTGATACCAGAATTTAAGGCAGACTGCAAGACTTACAACGCAGTGCGAGCGCCGTATTTGAGGGGTCTGTGGTTTGGGGAGCAGGGGCTAAGGGCAAGGCGAAGGCCGGCACCAAGCGCAAGGCGGAGCCTGCAGCAGGCGGCGCAAAGGGCCGCGGCAAGAAGGCATGAGCCAGAGTTGCTGCCTCGCAGGAGGGAAGATTTGGCAAACACTTGCATTTGCAGGAAATTGCCTGAATTTCAAGATAAATTAAGATTGCTCTGCGATATCTAAATTTCCGTAATTGTGGCGGGTTGCATACTTATTGTGGTGTTCAGACAGCATGTGAGGTGAGATCCTTGTACCCAGACACTTACATTGTGATCAGCTAAGTCCAGCACTGCTCGCTTCTCAGGCATCACAGAGGGAAAGGAGAGCTCATTACACATGCATGTCATATGACAACATGTGAATCTCATGTGCACGATCAACCTTCTTTTCCGCCTTGTCAACACCCAGGATCAGGCCGCCTCCATATCCATATTAATATTTCAAGGCTGGCAAAGACTGTTGGGAACAAAATGGTGCCCATATTGAACTAAGGGGCATGCGTGCACCTTGCCTTTCTGTGCCAAGACCATCACGTTACTTCCGAGTGGAAAAGCAAATCTGCACAAGCCAAAGCCATAAAGTCTGGGGAGTCTGGATACATCACGTGTACACATGTGCCGGCTTTCGTTCGGTGTTCTGTCTAATTGGGGCGAGCCACTCCTTCTCAAGAGGATTGATGGAACTTTGGACCCTCGACAGAAGTTTGGGAACCTTTCAGCCCGTGATGCAGTTGTATGGTCTTTAAAAGCCACAAAGGGCTTGCTGCCGACATGGACATTATGGTACTTTTTTCTTGCTTGTTTGATGACAGCCCGCCTCCGGAAGAGGCTCTGACAATATCCAAAGGGCTCTGACAAGCAGTCGTTACACAGCACCCACAGCGCCACCGAATCAATTAATAATATGTTAGTGTTGCTCAGCTGTTAAATAAAATTGTCTCCCGCACCTTGCAACAGAATGCAGATCTCTCGTGCATATGATGAGTTCCATCCATCCTTCATAGTCAGCTGCAGACAGCTATTTTTCCTTTTCGCACGATCTTGGTTGCTGCGGCAATAGCCGCATCTAATTCTGGTGGCCATTACACCCTCGCTAGCAGGAGATTCTGTGCTCAAGGAAGGAGCCTACAAAAGCCCCTGACTATCCTTATTACTGCACACTAATCTTGCCAGGTTGGCAGCAAGAGTGTGCAGACAGGCTGCAGGCAAAAGGATCCCATACATCCTACCCCTTGCTGGACTTGCGCAAGCATGCCACTGGCAATCCAAGCAACACCCACTCAACCATGGGCTCGGTGCTCAGAACTTATCAGCCAGCCGGGGCTCTGTTTCAGGAGATCATATGAATTCCTATGTGTTGACGTCAGAGACATGGCAGTACAATTGAATTGACCGCCCACCGCCAGCCGAAACCCACATATGTAATTCTCTGGCCTTTAGTAACCAGACACCTCTAGGTGGGTCACTCATCATAGCCGTGCATAGCAGGCATGTGCGAAAGGCCCAGAAAAGCTACAATAAGGGCGCAGTGGCGGCTTGCAGGATGCCTTGCGCGATGGAGGCAGGCCGGGTGAGCATCCCCTGGTGATCTCCGGTCACGCGGATGACTGCGGCCGGGCCGGCGCCGTCTTGCAAGCGTGCAGCAAAGTCGAGCCAGCGATTGGTGCCCAGCAGGAGCGACACATCGTCCTGCTCAAAGATGAAGAACTTGGGCTTTGGCGTCCTGTAGAAGGCGCCAAAGTCTGGTTGCTCCAGCTGCGCGCACAGCACACCCACTCTCACCCCTTGCACCTCAAAAGACAGCCCTGACGCTCCTGATCAACGCATGAAGCTACTGATGGTATACTGATGGATATGTACTGATGAAATTCAGACACATCCACCACTGGTCAGAAGTAATGCGCAGAAGGCAGATCACGAGATGAAGGGATTGCTGCTGACATGGTTGACGACTTATTGGGCTGCAATCTCAGGGCAGTACATCACGCTTTCGGTTCACGCATTGCATGTTGCAATCGTAGTCTTGCGCTGATGCAAGTGATCGGACGCTGCCAATACCTGGGGGCCTGCAGGCTCGGGCACAAGCATTTTGTAGGTGTCAACCGCGAACGAGTCATTGTCCTTCTCCAGGGTGATCATGACTTCCTTCCAGGCCTGCAGGTCCACCGCTCCAAAGGGCCACGACAGCGGCTGGGGGAAGCTCGGGTATGTAAACATCAGTGAGAAAAACAGCTGCACAGACACACACCCTCTTATCAGCACATCCCTATGCTGCCCACTCCCCAAACCGTGCTTCTTTGCTTACGCAGGTCACACATGTAGCTCTGGCCATAGGAGCCATCATCTACAGTACCAAAAATGGTGACACCATGATCACCGCAAGTGTCATTGGGCGGCTCACTAGTCCTGGTTGCATTGCCTGTCAGAATGGCCACGCTGGCAGACAAAGCGATGTTTGACAGTAAGGGTGGTCTGTAGCCCCTGAAGGCAAGCAGGCACTGGTGTACATTGCTGCGCAGACACGTCAAATTCAAAAAATTGAAAATCAAATTTCAAAAGCAAGATCACCTGCGCGGGGCCGACAGCGTTGCTGATGAATGACTCGCCGGACTTGAGCACGACGGCGTTGAGGAAGCATGCGCGGCTGATGCGCTCGGGCACCTGCCCCAGCAGCAGCTGCAGCCAGACTCCCGACACCGAGTGCGCCACCACCACCGCATCCGTTATGGACTCCGCTTCCATGTACTGCATCACACACACACAGCTTCCTTGGCACATCAAAGAGACTAAAGGAATTTGCGTGCCTGTACAGGCATGACTCCTGCACAATGGCATCAATCCCCAACGATATGGTGCAAGTGCGGGGAGTATGCCATTCTGGGGGCATTCTAAAGCAGAGACTGCCGTGCATTCAGCCTCGGTCCTCAGTCATACCATATTATGGAGCTCTTTGTGCAGTGAACGTGTGGTGCATGAGAGGTCACTGCCCCAGTGTCTCTGCCGCTCTCCGGCATATCATTTCGGTTGCCTAGAAAGGGGCAAACCTGGATGATGTAGTCTACATAGTCCTGCGCCTTGAGTGTTCCCTGGTCTGGCGACCACTGCGTTCCCGGCTCGTGGTACGGCAGCGTCGGCGCATACACCACATACCCTGCACATTTGCCACATAACCACCCCTTCAGACCGTCATCCACCCCTGACATTGCTCTGCATTACTGTCCACAGGGACAAGCTGTGGATGTCTTGAGCATGCACATAATACCCAAGATGTGGTGGCATCAACAATACAGAGTCCATTGAGCACGCTGTCACCCCAGGTGTATCTGCTTCCGAGGCTGGTGCTTAATCGTTGGTTCAAAATTTGGGCATGTGCTTTGCATTCCTTTAATTCAAATTATGCTGTAGAGATGTTGAATGAGTAGGGAGAGCTGCACCTGCATCCTGCAGCACGCCGACGACGCCGCGCGAGGCATCCACCCCGGGGTAGCTCCAGGCCCACCCCCCCTGCGCGCCCCCATGGATCAGCAGGATCGGGGGCTTCGGGGAAGCTGCGCGCACAGCTGCCAGCGCCTCGGCCTTGATCGTGTCCTTTGACAGCGCAGCTTCCTTCACCTCCGACTGCTGCGCCAGCTGCGCCGCCGAGTTTGCCCTCACCTTCCTCGCAGCGCTCTTGCGTGCTGCGGCCGCCTCCTTTAGTGGCTGTTGCGTGCCGTCCTCCTGCTGCTGCAATATAGCGCCAGCACCCTTTTGTGTACCCCCACAGCCTGACCCGGTTTGCTGCACCGCCGCCAAAATGGCGGTAGCTTGCGCGGCCGGCTGATCTGCCGTCTGCTGCTGCTGCCTCTGCTGCCCCTGCTGCTGCTGCTGCTGTGGGGTGGTTTGCAGGGGTTGCGAAGCAAAAGCCGAGGGAGAGAGGATGTCATCGGCCGGTGCTGGCTGGCTGGGTGAGTAAGTCGCGGTGGCGGCAAGGGGTGATGCGAGGCTGGGGAGGGTCGCTGCTGGGAAGACAGACTCCTGCAGGTCGCTCAGGCCCGCGCTGAATATCATGTTATCCACCTCGGCTGACAGGAGAAACCTGCCCTTTCCGCTGACTGCCCCATCTGTCAGCTCTGACAAGACCTGCAGGAGCAGAACGTTTAAGCAAGTGGGCTTCTGGATACTCTGTGGTTTTGGACAGAAAAAAATCACCACATCTGTTTGTTATTCAAGATGCATATGAAAACTCGACTATCATATGTCCACTATCCACTCTCATTTTCAGGAGAAGAAGACACACTGTCAGACCGGGTCTTACCGGAGCCCAGAGACTGGCGATGCACACGCTGATTAGCGCCAGCACGGGAATTGTTTTCTTCATCGTTGATTTCTCCATCTGAGCTTACATAGGCGCGCTGATGTGCGCACACTTGCTGCACCCCACTGCGCCGTGCCCTCGATCTGGAAAAGACTTCGCCCGAGCGTATAAGCACAGATGGCACAGATCGCTTTCAAGTCTCGATGGAAGCAATGTTACAAGCGCTGTTTGACTGATACTGGCCGCGATTACAGATATTGCACTTATAGGCACTTTGTATATAGCACGATCTGCTTGCACGTTAGACCGCCATCGGCTTGATGTCATCACATCGTCGAGGCGTTGTGACGTTTGGATAAGTTCTTATCATTATTACACTATGATAGTTGCCGTGATCGGCGAGCATCACATGCTAAACAGACACAAAGAGATAACCCGACACCCGATCTGCTCTCCCGTGACTAGACCAAACAGGACGACTGAGGGTTGATGCTGGGCCTCTTGAAGTCAGATTTTGTCATAGATCGTATTCTGAAGACATGATGCCTCTGAAGATGGCCGTGCTGTTGGTACGATGCGTCGTCTTGATGTCGGAGCATAAAATCCCCTAGGGAAGATACGCGCAATTTTTAAAACGTGCGCCTCGTCAGAAGTTGCTCTCGGAAACCCAACTGCTCGCGGAACATTGCGGAAAAGTTCTGCGTTGGATGTTCCTCAGTAGACGTTTGGTCTGTGTCTGTGTATCACATCGAAAGTACTTGTATATTTCCTTGCGAAGCAGTGTGAAACGAACCCCAACGTCAGGACTCAATTCGTTGTCAGAGCTGTTTGGGTTGTTGGGGTGTTGTGAAGCTAGACCGATTTGATTTTAAAGTCGCGTTCTTTATTCTCAATCCGGTTCCCCACAGTCATTTCCTCAGGTGTGCTTCTACGTCGTGATCAGTACAGTAGCTGGCAGATACTAACGTCTAAAAAGTGCCTGATGAATGAATTCCACCATCTGAAACAAGATGTAGATGAATTGAGGATCATGATATTCATAATAAAGTAGCATCCACCTGCAGATGCATCTGATCCATTGTAATTCCTGAAAGAGCTGTTGTCCCAATGCAGCCAGTTGCAGACGGTCGACATTTAGTTCATCAGGCCCAGCCAGCTCTCAAGTTCATGATCTTACCTGGAATATGAAGGGGGCCCTCTGCTAGGGGCGGTAACGTCCCATTGTGTCACAGGACTGGGAGCTCCTAGATGACTTCATATCACAGCTTGTGTGCCGGATGATGCTGGGCAGAAAGGCCCGAAACGATGCAGAACGAGCGATGCACATCTTTCAGGCAGTTTTCACCAGCAGCTGCCGCATTGGTTGCCCTTCTATGTGCTGCTCTGCTGGTAGCCTTGCAGGTGACTCTCTATCTGGGCAGATCTCACCCCACACATTAAAATTCACCCTTCATGTGAATCTGTGACAGTCGGCCTGAGTGTTTCTGTTTGTGACAGGCACTTGGCGACCCAGAGCTGCTCTCTGCACTCATGTGGGGGAGTGCAGTGCAGGATAAAAAAGCACTTCACCCCCATGGCACGGTGAACTCCACAAAATTGCAATTGTCTGCTTTATAGAGTCCCTGACGCCGCCACATTGCTCAAAGATTACCAATCTGTGCAGTGCAAACACTCAGTTGCAAATAGATGAGGAGGCAAGCATGATTGCATGCTGCAGGCTGCCACCTTTGGAGTACAGGATGTGAGCACGGTGCACATGAACGAAGTGAAGAAGGAAGCAGTGTCACTTGATGGAAAGGGCATACTGCTGGCGCCGGCCCCTAATTTGGCGGCTCCAGCTGCGCTGAAACACAAGGAGAAGATGGGATTTATGGGGGTGAAGGTTGCATCAGCTCCTGCCCCTTCCCTGGGAGCTAATAGCACTGTTACGGGGGATGCAGTGCTCGAGGTGGGAATCTCAGAATGTTCCTGTATCTCTGACCATCCCCGCAGCGCATACTCAGAATGTTTGGCTACTTAGAATGTTCGGCTGCTCAAGAGAGAAGGGAGCATTTGCACAGCAGCCCGAAGAGATGATGAGAGCTGAAGAGATTTGGGCAAGGCTTATGTGTCAACATCACATGATGCAGAGCGGTGTGGTGTAGTGTTTGATCAAAAGGTCTGAGATACCTCTTGTTTTGCAGGAGGTTGATGGGACAGAGGTGGTATACACACGGGTGGCTGCGCCCAAAGCGGTGCTATTGCTGTTTCACGGCTGCTCACACTCTGCGCTGGACTGGGGACGCAAGTCAGTCACCTGTCCAGGCTGCCTAGGTGAGTGACCACATATCTCCCCCAACGATCAGTTCGCAATTGTTGCGATGGATCACTCCGCAACTGTTGCGATGAGATGCATGCCTTGCCATGGTTGATCCTTGTGCACTAAAGCAAACGCATGGGCATCTTTGCATGCAGATATGCTGCAGACATCAGGCTTCTGTGCTGGGAGTCATTCTGTTCTTAAGTCTTTCTGCGCTGTTCTAAAGGGGCGAGCATTTGCAGGTTTGCCGGAGGAATTGGCGATAGTCCGGAGGGCTGTTGCGCGCAGTTATGTGCCGGTGGCTTTCTCTAGCTCGGATAAGGCCAATCGCTGCTGGGACGCCCAGTGGCTGGACAAGTCTCTAGACATCCCCAATGTGCGCCCACACATGGCCCCCCGTCTTTGCACCCACAAAGACTCAATTCTGACGCCTTCCTTGGAAGATCGTTGCGGTCATCCTCACTGATGCACTCTGGGATGACGCACCTAAACAAGCAAGTGGCTTGCGGTTGTGCAGGTCAAGCAGACATTTCAGAAGCTGGCAGCGAGGGAGCGGTGGGAGAAGCTGCCTGTCTATGCCCTGGGCGCCTCCTCAGGCGCATCCATGGTGACCACCCATTTTGCCCTTTGGGGCTGAGACCCCTCAACATTGTCCAATCACTGTCGAATTGTCAGTCTTCCTTTGTACAGCAGTCCAGTGTCCTGTCTAAAAGCAGCCCTCGGGCAATGCTCCAACCATTCATTCTGCAGCTGTGGCTTCTCGGGGTTGCAAGATTGCTTGGAAGTAGGCCACTGCCTACCTCTCACCTGCATCTGTCACTAATCAGGCTGTGTGGCGTCATGACCTGAGAAATCGACTCCCCCACTACCGAAAAGGTGCCAGAATTGCAAGCATCTGGTGCTGGGCCACCAAGACAAGGGATAACGAGGCCATGCGCGCTGCATGCAGGTGCTGTTTCTGGCGATGCGCATGCCACTGGACGGCATAGTGCCGCAGATCATGAGCCTGCCGCCTCATATGCTGGAGGCCAAGCCCACGGACCCTGCTGCCGGCAAGAGCTGGACGTACCCGCCAGTCTATTTTGTGCACATGGAGCTTGACCGCGCCACCGCGCAGCGAGTCACCGCTGACATCAACGTCCTCAAGACCAAGCAGGTGCTGCTCTTGACTTCTGTCTGTGCAACATGGCTTCGCTGATATCGCATGCAGCACCACATGTATTGAAGATGATCGTGTTATTGTCATCCTTGTCTGCAGCATTACTATGGCGATTTGTGGGAGCAGGGGTGCAGGGGGCACGATATGCTCCCTGCACCCCAGATCTAACATTGCTGGCATGCTTAGAGATACCTGCATTGTCATGCTGACTCGCCGCACCAGATACTGGATACCTTCCAGAGATTCAACAGGGCATGCAGGGGAAGAGTGAACCAGAGAGTGGTAGGGGGATCACTCTCTGTCTGCTGGCCTCTTTGGTAGACTAAACAGTGCTGAGTTATTGAGGGCTGAACCTCAAGAGGAACGTGCAGGGGGCGTGGGTGACAGAGAAGCTGATACGGCCGCGGCCGGTGTCGGCTGAGCTGTTTTTGAGGATCGAGGGAATTGATGTAAAGACGGCAGAGGCCGTGCATCAGACGCTGAAAGCGGCGGAGCTGCTGAACGCCACAGACTTCCTCAAAGAGGACCCCAGGTGGCCTCCTCTTTCTGCTCCAATGATGCTAGGAGGGTCAACACTTGTAACAATCTTGAGAGACCACCCAGAGATCTTTGGGCACCCTCTTAAACAGCACAAAAACGATGCATGGTCGATGTCATGGGATTGTCCTATTTCTAGCTGCGATTACCATATTTTGTAAACAAGCACTGAATTGCCTTGTCATGCTGTTGCTCTGATAGACAGACTTCCACCAAGTGGATGCCAGCGCTGAAGGCCATCCCAGGCCTGGCAGGGATCAGCCTGGAACCGGAGAGCTCACCCATGTTTGAGGAGCTGAATCTGGCGTGGGCGCGGCATGAGCTCATTTCTGATCACCTTGATGAGGTCAGACGTTCCCTCTTCATGCCTGCTGTGAACAAACACTACATGCATAACGATGGCATATAGCATGTTTTTTAGAGCTGAGATTCGCGATCAGCTGGTTTAAATATGCATAGCGCTCCAGGTGCATTTGAGTGTGGCTTGACTTGTTTCAATGGGTGCAGGTTTTGGACTGGCTGGATGCTAGACGGAGAGATGGCAGCGCAAAGTTGCTTGCTCCCTTGAAGCCCCGGAGACTCCTCAGATATATGTTGAATGATGATGATTCTCTGCGCTGAACTGGCAAATAGGTGCATGCTTGGACATTGAGCATGCCCCTATCCAGCAGCGAGAACTTCTGAAAGTGTTCATGAATTTCCAAATTTATGGGTTGTGTCTAGATCATCCAGGGATGATGATGACTATGATCATGCTAAGGACCGCTTACGTAATCCACGGGTAGAATTTGAGAAGTGATGCATTTGATGCAATGTGATCTTCTTGAGCCAAGTATCCCTTGTTCTTGCTGCTGGTTAACACTGTAATTTCAGATTAGAGGACGGATTAACGGTATTGCTGATGTCAACATCAAAGGGTCGAACGAGCACGATAAGTATACTTACGTGATACGGTCACGTGATTTCGGCATGGTATTGAGGAACCTGGGACATCTAGATTCAACAGATCGTGCAAAGTAGTTTCTAAGGAGGCCTCAAACTTATAAATATTTCTTACCCGCGGTTGGGGGCCCTGAAGGTCACTGGTGGTTCGGACCCATCAAGCATTGACCAGCCTTTGCGCAGTGTCCCTGTCAGCATACATCTACTGTTCGAGCATCTTATCAGCAATATACAGAAATGAAGGGTAAAAAATTGAACCATCCGCTGTCTGCGCGCATCAAGAAGATAATGCAGGCAGATGAGGATGTAGGGAAGATAGCGCAGGCTACTCCCGTCCTCTTAGGTACGGATCTTATCGATGTGCACAAGCAGAATTGGCTGGGATAAATGCGCAAGCCTGCCCGCACATACCTTACCCATGCAAAATGGCTACAGCATGCATCCATATGAATCTCTACAATGACGAGCAGGTAGAGCCGTGGAGCTTTTCTTGAAGCAGCTCTGTGATGGGGCTGTGGCCATCGCAAACTCTAAGGACGCCAGGACGCTATCTGCAGCTCACTTGTAAGTCCTGGCTAGGATACAGGAGTGTTGCATACTGTCTGATGACCTGCTAATACAGAGCAACGATCAGTTGCATCTGCTTGCAGGAAGGCATACGTCATGTCGGATACCACGATGGACTTCTTGAAGCAGACAATGGCCAGCGCCCCAGATATAGCAGCTGAAGACGAGGAGCCTGCACCCAAGCCCAAGAGGAGGAGGTGAATGCACATTTGCTGCCCTGCACAGGTTGCCATTGCCTGCACGTACGGATTGCCGCATGGTTGCCTTGACTTGCTTTCTTCTTTTGGCAAACCAGGAAGACTGCAGAGGAGGGACCTGGCAGCCCCAAGCCCGGCCGAGGCCGAGGCAAGAAAGCAGCTGCGAAGCAGGAGGACTTTGAGGAAGCTGAAATGGATCTCAGAGAAGCCGCTGCAGCAAATGCGGAAGATGCACCAGCTGGTGAGCTTTGGTGCACGCTTTCAGGGCGAGTCAGGGCAATGACTGGATGAGCGAGCCAGTCCTTGCCCTGAACTCTTCTGTCACCGGATCTCAGCTCAACCAATGACCCTCTACACTGCGGATCAATCAAGTCAAGGAGTCAATGCAATCCGTCCCCCGCGGATTGCTCACCGCGATCAGGATGTGCAGGTGTGAAGCCAGAGGACGTGTCCACTGCAGAAGTACACAATCCCGAGGGGCACGCTTCTAGGGAGGAGCCAGCAGCTGCAGTGCCACCCAAACAGGCAAGTGTTGTTGGTGCCAAAACCACCTCCTCTGCTGGCAGGTCTGGCAGTCATGATGAGCCACCATTGCCGGTGCAAGTCGCTGACTTTGCTTCTTGAGCCTTCCAGGAAGATATTGAAGCAGGCGGAGATCCTGCAAGCGGCACAGAAAGTGCCCAGCCAGTGCAGCCAGCGCTTGCAGCAGCTCCCTTGCTTCCCATCGGAATCCCAGCAGCTGCAGCCGCCACCATCGCCGAGGAAGATGATTATGATGACTTTAATTGAGCGCTTGGAGACAGGGGTGAGGCAGCATGCTGCCGAGGGAGCAGAGACACTGTCAGCTTACAGGTTTGAGAGTGTGTGGTCTGGAATTGCGTATGTAGCATCATGGTTGGATAATCTGATCGCCTGGAGCGATGTGGATCAAGCTCGGTTGTAAGGGACACCTACATATGATCAAATAATCCAATTGAGTCAGTGGGCACTTGATCAGCGGCTTTATGATGAAAAAGTCACGTTGAGCTCCAAAACCAATGATCACTGGTCTTGCACATGCCATGTTCTGTGTATATGCCATCACCGTGGCTGCTCTGAATATCAATCGAATTGCGCCTCCGCCCGGGTCCCATTGACTGGCGACATGAGAGCCATATGTTGCATGCAACCATCAACATTCATCACCTTTCCCCTTTCCGCATCACAGCCCACTGGGCAGACTCCTTGACACGGGCCTCAGCTTCCTCACCACATGCATGCGATTGATCCGGTGCCACCTGGAGCAAGCCAAATCTGCAAGGGAAGTCGAGCGTGACCAGCTGAGTCTGCATTTTGGATAGCCAGCTCGATATTTGGAGGTCCAGTCTTTGCACACACGTTTGGTGCAAAGCAAGAAGTAAAGCAGGATGTGTGGAATACTTGCAGCTCTCGGGCTCCAGGGCGACCCTGAGAAAAACAGGCGCATGATGCTACGTCAGAGCAAGCTGTTGCGGCATAGGGGGCCGGACGCAAACTCGATTTGGCAAAGTACAGATGGGAACAGCTTTATTGCTTTCGAGAGGCTGCAGATCATCGACGTGACGGACGGCGGCAAGTGAGGCCCTCGAACTCATGCACAACTCCGAAACTAGCCAACTAGTCCACGACGGATCGAGGATCTCTGCAAACGAGATATGAAAACATTACTTTCATTGTTGACTTTCCGGAAAGATTTGCTCTGGTCAGTAAGCTTACCCACACAGCAACTGTAATTGAGTAGAAACCAAATTACTGCTAGGCGCCTAAAATCGCGCAGTGTGTACGGGTGGCTCTGCTACTGACACAAGTATAATTTTTGTCATCACAGGCAGCCATTCATCATCGAGCGGCCAGGTGGCAACATTGCATGGGCTCTGTAAGTACTTCAGCCCCCCATCCTTCTAACTAGTACTTGCAAAATGCAGGCAATTGCGTTCTGCGACTTCTCCCTCGCAGGCTGGTTTGCCTTGTCATTTCTTAATGCCATGCACAGTTCTGAATGCAGCCTGTACCGATTCAGCAGCCCTTTCGCCCTCAGCTTCCTTTGGCTTCTCCTTCACCTGAAGCATCGTGTGGGAGCTATGCAGGAACAGCGAGATCTACAACCATGATGAGCTCAAGCAGAAGTACCTGAAGGGGGTTAAGATTGTGAAGGATTCCAAGTCGGACTCGGCCATCATTGGGCACATGTACGAGGTGCGTGGAAACTCACAGCTGGTGTTGTAAATACAACTCACAGAAGCGAGCATTTGCATGAACTGACTGTCCTCCTGACTTCCTGAGGGTAGACAGTTCTCATGGGGCCTTGCTGTGGAGACAAATGCTGCAAGATAAAGCAGCAGGCACTGCTGTCAGGAGCCTCAGAATGCATGTGTGCAGCAGCTTGCAGGGTGGCAATCGGTAGTGCAGTGCCCAGCAGTGATCCCAGGAAGTCTGTGGCAGCCCTTCCTACTAGTGAGACCCTCCCTTGCTGCGCAGAAACTGGGAGACTCGGACGAGCTGTGGAACTCTCTGGACGGCATCTTCGCCTGTGTGTTGGTGGACGAGGCGACTGGGGACTTTGTGGCGGCGCGCGACCCCATCGGGGTCTGCTCCTTCTACTGGGGCAAGGGGCGCGATGGCAGCACCTGGTTTGCCAGCGAGATGAAGGCCCTGCAAGCCCACTGCGAGACCTTTGACATCTTCCCTCCGGTGAGCCCCCCTTCACTGTGACACACCTTGTGTGTCCCCTTAGTAGGCCAGTCTGTCCACGAGGCTGGACCCTTAACGCGCAACCCACCATCAGTGTAATGACTTTTCCATGGCCCAGAAGGGGCAGAGGTGGCCTTTAAAGCTCTCATGCGATTTTGAGAAGAAGGGGCAACTGGACGATGTATGCGGCGATCTTCTGAACCCTTGTTTGTGTAATACATTGTAGTTTGATCGTGTGCACTTTGATCGTGTGATCTCCTTCGGCTATACTGGTCTTGCATGTCATGCCTGCCCCATCTTATTGCAAGGACGTTGATAACTAGATCTAATTCTGTGGCTTTTGAGGCTATCTCCTCCGACAAACCTGACGCTTGAATGCTCGGCAAAATGTCCAGGGCCACTGTTACCGCAGCAGGACAGGCAAGCTTGAGCGCTGGTACAAGCCCAAGTGGCTGGACCTGGAGTATGTGCCCACAGCGCCCGCAGACCTGACCACCATCCACGACTCACTCGTGGGTGCGGTTGTGAAGCGGCTCATGTCGGACGCCCCCCTTGGCGTCCTGCTCTCCGGCGGCCTTGACTCCTCCCTCGTTGCCGCCATTGCTGTCAGGTGTGAGCGCCATCTGCCCCCTTTATGGCTTTGCACAGCCAGTGGGCAGGTGCTGCGTGTGAGTCATCTCTTATCAATTGCAAGCCGGTTTGAAAAGAGCAGGCAGGATTTAAATTGGGAAGCAGAAAGGGGAAGCACCAGCCACCTTGGGGGCGGAGGGGATTGTGATGAGCGGAAAAATGGTTTCATGGGGGCTGCATTCAGGCTAAGTGCTTATGAAGCGGCGGCGTGGGTTGGCTTACGGTGATGTTTTGATGCCTTAACCTTGCATGCCAAACAGATAGTTGAGATGAAATAGGAATAGTAACAAAGGCGCAAAATAATGAAAAAGCACTGCTTGTCGTCCAGGCACATGAAGGAGTCAAAGAACGCGTACGACACAGACCAGCCGCTGCACACTTTCAGCATCGGCCTGCCCGGCTCGCCGGACCTGGTGGCTGCGCGCAGGGTGGCTGCCTTCCTCGGCACGCAGCACCACGAGTTCACCTTCACTGTGGAGGAGGGAATTGATGCGCTGTACGACCTCATCTGGCACATCGAGTCCTATGAGCAGGTGCGCCCCTGTCCCACCACTTTGCATGCCATTTCCCTCTGCTCTAGCCTTGAGCTGCTGTTTGCTGTTCTTTACTTGCAAGTATAGGTTGCACAGAAGCCGGCACCATGGCAGCGATGTTATAGAGCGAAGGAGAAACGCAGACATCACAGCAGTGTGAGCGCCAGGAAGATGAGAGAAAGGGCTGCCTTGCGAGTGCACATTATGCAGCAACAACACCAGGGTTTCTGACTCTGCTGTAGGGTGGTCCCATGCTTGCTCCTATACGTTTATCGTCCAAAATCCAGCAGCTTGCCAGGCATGTTGCTGGCAAGTAGGGGCTTGTGGGGAGCGTGATTGTGGGATTTGCAAAATCACACAGAGCATGAGGGCTGTGGGTGAGAGTGTCATGTTCAGCGCGCAAAGTATGGTAGTCGGACTCTTCTGAGGCAGGTACTTTACTGCTTGTTGCTGATTGCAGGTGCGCGCGTCCGTGCCGATGTATATCCTATCGCGGAAGATCAAGGCGGGCGGGTTCAAAGTGGTGCTGAGCGGAGAGGGCGCTGACGAGATTTATGGCGGCTACCTGTTCTTCCACAAGGCGCCCACTCCTAAGGACTTCCAGCAGTGAGCACCTTTTATTACTCTGCTCCACCTCAAAGCCCTTTTTTTGAAAATCGGGTGTGTTTATATTCTTGGAGCTGTCTGCTTGCTCAGAGAAAAGGGGTGTGCGTCGTGCTCTACTGTAAAGAAATACTGACAAAGGGATGCCCTTTTGTAAGACATACCATCTTTGTTGCTGCCTGCTCTGTAGCTGTCTGCTTGCTCAGAGAAATGGGATACTTTCTGAGAGTATCTTACACTCTCCTATTCCGTGACCAACTTGGTCTGACTCTTGTAGCATGAGGCTGATGAAGGGCCACTGTGTCCACAGGGAGACGGTGCGGCTGGTACGCCGGTTGCATCAATTTGATGTGATGCGCGCCAACAAGGCGCCGTTCTCCTTTGGGCTGGAGCCGCGCGTTCCCTTCCTGGACAAGGCCTTCCTCGATACCTCCATGACCCTTGACCCCGCCGACAAGATGGTGTGCATAAGCCTTATTCTTGAAATTGTGTTTGAGCGTCCTGCATCAACAGGATCTGTCACTTGTGGTGGGGGTGGCGAGTAGAGTGACATTCTTCCTGAAAAGCACTGCATGTCAAGGCGTCAAGGCCCCTGATTGCTCCACCGTAGTTGGGCAACTCGCAATTTAAATGACTCCATGGTTGTCGAGTAACCCCCATGATCCCCCATGACCTGTGGTACCATAGGTCACTTGCATCACCTATGGTTGCAATTTGGCGGCTGTGCAGCTGTCAGGTCGTGTGCTTTGCCAGTGTTGCCATGGCCTCGCACAGGCCATCGTGAACTGCTGGGAGCATGTGTTTTTGAATAGTTTGCTGCCCTGTGCAGATTGACATGAAGGACAAGCCGGACGGCAAGCACGCGCGGATGGAGAAGTATCTATTGCGCAAGGCATTCGACAGACCCGAGGACCCCTACCTTCCGGAAGATGTGCTCTGGCGCCAGAAGGAGCAGTTCTCAGATGGCGTTGGGTACAACTGGGTGGACGGCCTCAAAGAATACGCCGAAAAGGTGTGTAGCTGCATTTGTGAAGCAATGTTTCACATTTACTCATCCTTAACAGCATCATTGAAGGCCGGCAGGGGAAGCTCTGACGTCACTGTTCCAAGATTGTCTTCTGAAGTTAGCAGGATTAGTAGACTGGAGTCAATCCCATCTTTAAGAGTCTGATTTGTCCGCCCAACGTTGAGGGTCACCTGAGAAATTTGGATCGTCATTTGCCCCTATACGAATTGGGCTGCAAGAACAGGGGTTGGGGAGCTTGAAACAACAACAAACTCACAGATAGATGAGGTATTGAGAGTGAAAGTGCCTACGTATGGACCGTTCCTGCAGAAGGAAGTGCTGAGAAGTTGTCGTATTTGCTTCTCTGCAGGTGGTGACGGATGAGTTGTGGGAGGCGAGGCAAGTCAGGTTTCCAGAGCACACTCCCAACACGCGCGAGTACTATCTGCTCCGATCCATGTTCGAGGAGCACTTCCCCTCACCCTCTGCGCTCGCCACCGTGCCCAAGGTACCCACTATGCCTGCCCTGCTGTGCCATCAGACTGTCTGGAGCCAACCTGCTGGGATGCATAAACACACAACGGAGAGTCTGGCACTAGTATTGCCATCCAAACTCCGTCAGGGTTGCTCCAAGCAGAAAGCAGATGGAGCTTCTCATGAATAGGGGATTGAGTCTTCTTTCCCAGAGGGGTTGTGATTGAGAAGAGGTTTGCTGAAATCAGAAGGGTGTGCGCAGGGGCTGAGCATAGCGTGCTCGACGCCGGAGGCGCTGGCATGGGATCCAGAGTGGGCAGACACCCACGAGATCTCCGGCCGCGCCATGCAAGCAGTCCATGCCGCCGGCAGCACCTTCACCTACCAGAAGCGCCAGCCGTCCGGGGGCGATCCCGGGCCGGCCGGCCCGGCCGCCGCCGCCGCGCCGGCTGAGCGGCCGATTGCCAACGGCAAGATTGTCCCGCAGACCTCGCCGCTGCCGGCTTGCTCGCGGCTCGACGTGCCCAAGGGTGTCGCGCAGGCTGCCAAGGCCAACGGCATCCATGTCGCAGCCGGCTGATGCCTCTGCAGCAGCCTGAGCCGGCGCGCTTACTGCCGTGGTCAAACTTGCACGTTTTTGGCTCTTCCAAGTGCAGACAAGGCAGGGAGAGGAAGCCCTGCAAAGGATACAATTTTCTGCTGATGTTGCCCGTGCTGGGTCAGACAGGAAATACAGATGTTGTGGGATGGAATTAGAAGTGTCTGTTGTCAAGATGATTGGCAACGGTGCATTACGGGGAAGAGTGACTGGGGTTAATTTATGCAGCTCTGCCATGACGGGGAAGTCCCAGTGAGGAAGACGCATATGGCAAAAATTGCCTATTGCAATGAGAAGAATTTGTATTCTAGTGAGTCCTAAGTCACAGTTCGGACAGGGCCCCCAGCTGGAGCTTGGAGGCCTTTTCGGCACTGTAATGAACAATTCTTTCGAGTGCGCAAATCAGAAACAACCAAGTTGCAGGACAAAGGTGGCGGTCAGGACTGAGATATAAGGCCTAGAGTCTGCTTCACTGACTTCATATCGCTTCAATTTCTTCTCTTGGCTATTATCAAAGCACAGCGCTGTTCGCTTTAGAATGGCAATATTGGCACTTGGTTTCGGAGATCTCTCCCGGTCAACAACTTGCCGGGAGTAATGTGAAAGAGCTGGGTTCGGAGTACATTGCCGTCAATCTGTTGAGACCATTGAGAACTGCATGTCATAGCAAACGGTACCGGTGCCTGCCAAACACCACAGTTTTTTGGCTCTTGCAGAGGCTTTTGGCGCTTGTTCTTTCATCCCGGGTTTTTCATGCCAATGGCTGAATTTGGTGACCGTGGCGGCATCGATGATATCTGCATGCCTGCTAGCCATGTGGCAATGAACCCTACATATGCAAGCAGCGCTAGCTAGCGCTCTAGAGAAATGTTCAGTCCTGACACCCCTGGGGGAGGGTCTCTGTTGGTGTGAGAGAGAGAGAGAGAGAGAGAGATTACACTTTTTCCAGCCACACAGGGCTGATTAAGCGTCCCACATACCTCAAACCATCAGTAGCACACACGTCATGAATACTCGAAAATATGCATCCCAGAACGCAGACAAGTATCAACTGCCAAAAAGGACTGCAGGCTGCTTGTGGATGTATGTCGGTCCAAATCAGCGACAAGTTAAGGGCAGGACATGGACGCAAATCACAGGCCAAACAGATTGTGCGTGCTGCGGGTAGGTCCAGCCATTTGCTGTCATTGTAAAGACTGCCCAGATCCTTGCAATAACAGCGCTTCTCGGTGAAACAAGCAAGGGGGGTACCCAATGCCCCACAATGCTTGCCGCCACCTGTATTGCTAAGCTACTACACAGCAGCATGTAGACCCGTACCGAACCAGCAATGCAAGATCACCAAACAGATCCTAAGACCTGCACTTGCACTGTGGATCAAGTACCCCCACAAGGAGCACAGCTGAGTGGTTTGCAAAGGCACACCTGGACTGGCAGGTGTTCAAGGAGCTGCAATCAGGTGAAAACTGCAGGAGGTTAGACTGAGATCTCCTCAAAAGCCCCAATACAGCTTGTACGCGCTTTGTCCTAGGTTTGGACCAGGACCCTGAACATCCTGCCTGGGTTTGGCAGGGCACACACAAGAACGCAACACCGCAAAACCTGCTTGTTCTGTAAAAGGTCTCATGGCCATTTCTATTATTGCGGTCGATTCTTCGCGTCAGACAATGATGCAAACAGCCGTCGCATCCTTCTTTTACTGGTAATGGCGGCTGGCGGCTGTTGCCTCTTCCGCCCCAACCAAAGATTGGCCGTCCTAGATATTCTTACTACTGCGTCATTAAGATCAATTTATTGTTATGCTTCCCAGCCGCTATCGCCTGGCCTCTGTCTGCTCCACTTTTGTATACCCACAATGTTGCTGTCAGGGCCGCCTCTGTTGAAGCGTCGCTTTATGCCCGGCGATTATTTCGTCTAATTACATCCTTTTCATTGAAACCTCTGTGATGTTGCCTGGCTGCTGAAGCCCGACCCAGTTGATCAGTGGTTTATGGTGATGCCGTTAACTGTAAAGGGCCGCCTCTATCGAAGCACCTTGCCCAGCCATTATATATGTTGCCATGATTGTCGAGGAGCCGGATCCCGAAGGACCCAGGCCCCACCCAAAGACGATGGTTTTTTTTGTAAAAAACAGATAAGAAGGCACCCTGTTTCCAAAAAAAAAAAAAAAAAAAAAAAAAAAAAAAATGTGAACGTGTATCTGCAAATTTCTGCACATTTCTGAGTGTATCTGCACATTCCGAAATGCCAGTGCTGATGTGGCAGATGGTGCTGTTGCCTTTACTGGCAATCTCTGTAAATGTGTGAACCCTCCATGCCTCCCCAAACCCTCTAACAAAATGGCTGGATTTGGGTCGATATGTAACACTGGCCCAGAGCCACACATTGATAGCACTGGCCCATATGCACGCAAACTGAAGGCATACAGTATTTGTGCTGACTTAAAGACCGGCTAGCAGCGTTAATATTGCATTGGAGGCCCACCCTGTGCAACAATGTCGACAACCATGGCCTCCTCGATGACAGTCCATACCCGCGTCAGCTCCTCAGCTTTCGGCCGGGCCGCGCCCCGCTTTAGGGTGTCCCTCACACAAGCGCTGCGGCTTGCGCCGGCGCCTAACAGGCACCAGAAGGCTTTCCATGTGAGAGCTAACGAGAAGCAGGGCAAGGGAGGCGAGGAGGGAGGCCGAAAGTTCGACGACTCCGTCTTCGGCAAGTTGGCCAAGAGCCCCAACTTCCCACTGTTGTCCTCAGCGATCCTGAAGGTGAGCTAACAAGCTCTCCGACGAGCAGAGATGTGCAGCTTGTGTTGGTGGTACGACTGAGCGAAAGTAAACCTGCTAGCTCTCTGCTGCAATTGTCACAACACAGCAGGGCGGCGAGTGGCTGCTTTAGAGCAGAACGTAGAAGCAGGCGATGTCAGAGCAGCACCTGAACGGTGATTGGTCAGAAGGCTGTTTTGTTTGGCTAGGGGCGCCAGTTGCTAGTTGGCAGCCTCTCGGCATTGCGGGCCTGGTGGTCCTGTCCTGACTGACTGGAATTACAGTGGCCTATGTTCGTTGTTTGAGGAGTGTTTCTTGCTCTAGTCCCTGTATGACCTGCTGTCACGCTTGTGTACCTGACCAATGGCATACGTTCAGGGCTCAGTATGCTGTCAGTCTGGTGACATAGCATGTTCATCCTGTGCGGCTGAATGCCCCTAGTGAATGGCTGCAGGCTGGATTGGAGCCAACTCTAGTTGGCAAGGGACCCTTCACAGTGTTTGCCCCCACCGATGACGCGTTCTTCCAGGCAGCGAAGGACTTGGGCGTCAGCAAGGTTGAGCTTGTGAGTTTGCCGCAAATGGCTGACATCCTTAAGAACCACGTGCTTGAAGGAGAGGTGAGTAATACTGAAACCTGCTCAAATGTTGTCCTTCTCAATATCTAGCTGCTTGACACTTGTGTTTCGTGTCCTCTTCTTGCCTCCTGATAGGTCTGGACTGTGCTCTCTAGTTGATGTCACCCCAGCCGAGCCCGTAATCACCCAAGCCAATGCATGTCAAGTCCTTCTTGCGCTGCAGTGCATGACTGCCAAAGGGTACGTTGCTATTGTACCAGTGCGTGGGGTAGCAGTCCTTGTATATTTGTACTAAGTTGTGCAAGTTCATGTGAAAGTGCACAATTTTGACTTATACTCAGGGCTGCTCGCGGCAGTTCGGTGCCACACCGTCAGGCGACTTCCCACATTGGATTTTTTGTTTTACAGGTCTTGTCCAGCTCTCTAAAGGATGGAGATGAGCCAACCACCATAGGAGGCGGCAAGCTCAAGATTAGTGTGTCTGGTGGCGTAAAAGTCAACGACGCCACCGTCAAAAAGGCCGATTTCAAGGCTACAAATGGAGTGATTCACGTTGTGGACAAGGTTCTCCTGCCATAAATGATCAGGGAGCTTGGTAAAGGATAGCTTGGTCTTTTGTTTGCCCCAGTTGCGTCGACCCAGGAGCGCCACCAATCACTGATTGGCAGCTGGCAGCTATCACTATGCTGTATACCATGCTGATTGAGGAATGCAGTGCTGTTTTGCTGGTGTAGTGAGCCTAAAGTGTTACCAATGTACATGGGGCTAAGGTGTTCGGCTAGAGCAAACAGGAATGCATAGGTCTGAAGAGACAGGCAACACCATTCACCCCCTCAACAAGCAGACCTATGCATGACAGCTGCACAGCAGAGCACATACAATAATGCCGTAATGCCACAGGTATCAGGAGACAACACGCTCCCGAAGTAGGGAGCCTTGCATTGCGTGTCCTAGCTAGGGGGATGTGCCAGGTACTGCTGGGCGGGATAAAGCTGCTATGGTGCTACCTGCAAAGTCCAGATGTTTGCACATGCACTATAAATAAACGGCTGATATAACCTGCGTCTAGACCTGGCATAGTCCTGATCGGCCTTAGAAAACGCCTGTAGCAAGATCTGATAGTGCAGTATGTACAGCTTTGTCTAGTCAAGGACTTGTTTGGGTCATCTTGCGCGTGCTGTTTTGAATGACACAATCAGCCCCCATGGATGCGTGAATGCAGCCGCATATGCATGCATGCGCATCCCACTTGTGTAGTGTTAGTCGAGACTCACTGCAGTCGGACTACAGCTTCCACCGTGACGGCATCATGCATGATGTGCGTAAATTCAGCGCATGATATCATCGATTGCAAGCGTAGAGAACCCCTGAATGCTGCTCAGTGAAATCAGAAAAGCATCCTGGGGATACCCGCTGGGATCCCTCATCATCTTATGTGACGCTGAGACTAACTTGTTAATCAAAGGCTTGCATGTCGAGAGCCGCCAGCATATAGAGAACGAACAGCGGCGGCGTATGGGGCCCCCTGGGATCCCCCAGCAGCCATCTCTCTTGTTGAAGTAGTGCGTCCTATCTTGCCGAGAAGCTCGTTTTGAGGCATCTGCAATGCCACCGTGTGCTGTCGGATCGTATTGAATGGTGAGCCATTTTGGATCTGTATCTGTTCGAACTAATTCGTTGTCGATATTTCTGTTTTGTTGGGCACATATCGTCAAGCCATGTATCAGTCTGAATAAAGTGTGTCCATTCACGCTCTCTTTGGTTGATCGTGACGTCATATTGCATCCTCGATGCATTTCTGGTGGCATTACTTGCAGCATCTCACATGTATCGGTGCAATACTGCTGTCTACGTGGAGTAGGAAGCGTCCTTCAGTACCTAGAGGGAACATGAACTGCTTTCGGAATCAATAGATTGCAAATATAGCGTATAGCCATATTCTCCATATATCAGTGGACTGTCTCCGCGACAAAGCAGCCTTTTGGACCAGTACTGCCGATTGGGGAGGATGTCCTAATCTGCTCCAGGATTGCCAGCCTCTATCTCCTTGAATCACAGGGGACGCTACCGTGCTGAAAGTTTGTGTTCTTCATCATGCAGGCAGGGTGAGGTGTGAGTAGTCATGGCTGCACACTCAGCCTCCTTAGATCAGCTTCCTGAGGGAGCTGGTGGTGAGGAGGCAGACTTGCACACCCTGCTGCCAGACAGCATTTCCAGGCAAGCAGAGCGGCCTGGACCGCTGAGGAGCGCTTTGGAGGCCCGAGCTGCCAGCTCTAAATGCTCTGTGGACTTCACTTTCAGTCGCCTGGTGGCCCAGTGCTTTGTCAGGTGCTTTTCGCCGATCCTGTATCAGATGTCGTTGACTCTTGCTCGAACATGATGCTATTGTAGAGAGCCATGCATGCCCTTGGAGATGGCCTGCACTGCATTGAGAACCTTGACTTACTTGTCGGCCAAACGAACTGCAGGTACAGCAAAGAGAATGTGGACTTAGCGGCAGCACTCCTCACGCTGGCTTGCTTGGGGGAGGGAAAGGAGATTTCTTGGGCAAATGAGCCACGCCTGCGTTTCCTACTGGGCTTACATGCTGTCAGGGAAGCTCCTAGGTGAGCTCCTTCAGCCATGCGTCACACTTTTTGAAGCTCGGACCAAACATGGGAACCTCAGGATGCAGAGCGTCTCCCGTGTGGAGGCATTGGACATCGTGAGGTCTTGGAAAGGCAGAAAGGGAAGAAAGAACTGTAGCAGGGAGGATGCTCTCTACCGGGCAATAGCGGGGTGTTCAAGAGCTTCAGATTTTCTGAAAGCTACATGATTTAATGAGTGCATTTGTTATGGCCCCGGCTGGCGGGGGGCGTTATAAACTTTGAGCAGCGCGCCCACGATTGATCGGGTCTTGCTTGGGCCTGACATGACTCCATCAAGGGGTAGCCTTTACCTGTAGCTTGCCTGCAGATGCACCTTGCCTCTCCGACAAGGAGATATGTGCAATAATAGCAATAACAATATTTGTCGTGATGCAGGTTCCTCCCAGGGGAGTTGAATGCGAAGCAGCTGGAGGAGGCAGACAAGTGGCGCTGCGACAGCCGTACAGCAGCATGCGCGTGCCTGCTGCTGCTGTGCGCGGCGCGGGAGAGCCTGGGCCACGAGCGCGACTCGCTGCACCTGCTGGGCGCGCTCAGAGACGTCTGCGACGCGCTCGGCCGCAGCACCGGCCACGACAGCATGGTTTGGGGCTGCGACCTGGACCCTGGAAACTGGGCTGCCCACCGGCCTGCCCAAGGTGGGCTCTCTTTGCCATGCATCACCCTCCCAGACAGTCTACACCATAGCCTCCCCATGCTGTTCTTTATGTGTCTGTAACTCAATAGGTAATGTATCGTGATTTGCCGTCTTGAGCAGGGTGCATTTCACTTGAGTTTTGCTCCTGCCTTCCTTGGGTTGTGGTCACCATCAGACTCAATGTAGTGTGCAGTCTCAAGCAGGATGACCTGTAAGTGACTTTGCTCGGGTCATGCAGGAGCAGCGGCCGTGTCTGCGTCGCCAGGGCCAGGCTCTACAGCAGCCGCGCCGGAGCCGGCGGGGGTGATCGACAATCCCGGCACACCGTTGGCATCCGGTGCACCGGCGGCCCACGGCCCCAGCGTGCCAGACGTGGAGAGCGGCGACGCTCCTGCTGTAGAATCGGACGGGGAGCAGCCGGGGTCTCTTGAAGCAGCAGGCTCTGTAAAGGAGCCTGCGCTGCAGCCGGCTGCGCCACCACCTGCCCAATCCCTGGACCAGGCCAAGGTGCACCCTGTGCGCCGGTCTCGCACTGAAGTTGTGGCCAACCTAGACATGAAGTGGGGCTGCAGGAGGAATGCTGCTGTCTGCATGCAGGAGGTTGTACATGACATTATGGGGATCCCACACTGGGGCCTGATGGGGCTTGGCAGTGGGGAAGAGGATAGCTGGAAGAGAGCATGTGCTGTGGGTCATTGCAGGTGGATCAGCTGATGCAGAAGCTGGACGAGCAGCTGCAGCTGCTGCGGCAGGCGACTCCGCTGCTGCGCCAACGCGCAGAGCAGCTGAATGACAAGGAGGCGGCCGCCGTGCGGAGGCAGCTTGCCGTTGTTTTGGACCAGCAGACGGACTTCTTCGAGTCCAACATGCAGGTAACACCCGCTGCCAGCAAAGATTCAGCTTGTGTTTGCTCGCTTGGAGCCTGCTTGCTTTCTTTTGGTGCATGGTCCAAAGTTTCAGGATGGGCCAGAGCAATTGTCGTTCGTGGATTGTTTCTCTGTCATCAGTGTGAATTGCTCCATTCTTTGCCCGAAGCGAATATTTTTCAATTCCTCTCGAAAACAAGTCGCTGTGCAGGCTCTGCGGGAGAATCTGCCGCGCATGCAGTTGCCGGTGGGCGAGCTGATCTTCCCGGGCATCGGCTGGCCGCCAAATGTGGCAGCGCCGGCCGCGCAGATGCCATTGCTGGGCCTTCCCGTGCCGGGTCTGGCCGTGAGGGGGGCTCTGCAGCAGGACCTAGCAGCCGCATTCTCCTTGCAGCGCGCCCCTGAGCCCTCCAGCGAGCCAGCAGCCCTGCAGCAGCAGCAGCGCTCTGGGCACTTAGAGCAGCCGCTGGGGGGGCCCTCGGCAGGGTCTGAGCCGAGCGGCCGGGGCAGCAGCGACGGCGGGGTTCTGGCCGGAAAGCTGGCGGCGCTTGCCGCGACCAAAGCGGCCGAGCCGAGGAGCAGCCAATCAAAGCTCAGCTGCGGCGTTGTGGAGGAAGAGGGCAAAGTGCAGGTCAGCACGCGCCTGCTTTGTCCTAAATTCTTCAAAAGGCGTTCGCCTGATATCTTCCATATTGAGGGTCTGTCACACCTGATGAGCAGTCCAGCATGTATTGGGCCTGCTAAGCGGCACGCACTGCATTTGTTGCGCCATGATCCCCTGATCTAATGGGAGTTATAGGCAAGCAAGTCATCAGGTGGTGTATATAAAATTTGAACGATATGGCTTGCTTTGCATCAGGCCACTTGGGCGGTTGTGAGGGCGGCGGTGCCCCTGCTGAAGCAGCTGGCGGGGGGCAAGCTGCCGGCCGCCTCACCTGCAGCTGCGCCGGAGCTCTGCCGGGCACTGGCATGCCTCTGCTGCCGCACCTCTCCCTGCGGCCGCGCCTTTGCCGGCCACATCTTCAAAGAATGTACGCCATCCCTCTCAATTATTGCATGTGCATCACCAGTTGTGGCTCGTCCAATCCTAGTAAACCTCTCTTTCATTCGCCCGCTTGTGCAATGCTGCCTCATCTTCCTTCATGTTCAGGGTTGCCAAAGGGCCCTGGCATGGCTGAGGGTCGATTCATGTGCAAGGAATCATGTTCTAGGGATCTGAAAAGGGGTATGGCATGTTCACAGGTGCCGCTCACATAGCCAAGCTGCTCAAGTCGGACGAGCCGAGGGGCGCAGCGGGGCCGGTGCAGCTGCTGAGCCAGCTGCTGCTGAGCGAGCTGCCGGCGCCCTCCAAGGCCCGCTACCCGCCCATCCCGCCGTCCGCATCCCTCAAAATCTCCTCCGTCTTCGTGCAGCTCGGAGTGGTCGACCACCTGCGCCAGCGCTTCGTCGACGCCACTGAGGCCCTCAGGAGCCCCAGCCGCCAGGCCAATGGTTTGAGCCACCCCTCGACAGGTTTGAGATGTTTTTCTGCGGGTCTGCTGAGGCCAATCCATCTGGATTTTTGGCCGTGCTGCTCTTCTTTCTGGCACACTCACAAGAGACGAACAATACAGTTTCTCCACAGTTTTGGTCCAGCTCTTTGGGTTCCTGATGCATGCCTTCATGCATGCCTGATCATGTGGAGCTGCCCGCCAATCGGAGGCTTCTACTGTTCCTTTGCGCTGAATGGAGGCTTCCCTTTGGCAGGTGGGGAGCAAGAGGTGAACGGGGTGTCCCTGAGGGGCCAGGAGGCCCTGGCAGCGGTGGTCTGCGAAGCGCTGTCGCTGTTTGCGGTCAACTCCGCGTCGCACCGGTCGCTGCAGGCAGCCGCCACGTTCCAGACCACGCTCACGCTGCTGGGCGCCAGCCCAGAGTGCCACGTCAGCATGGAGACGGAGGCCAGGGTAAGTCATTGGCATAAATTCTAATGCGTATGCATGCTTATGCCAATCATAGGCGCTGGTTGTGTCTGGCAGTCGGCATCATCACATGAGTGCGCACGACCCAGGCATGTCTGTTTTTGTGGGCTCAAAACACAAGAGGTCAAGAGGTAACAGAGCATGTCGGCCTCAAGTAGGACATAAACATGGAAGAAGGAATGAGAAAAATCTGCCATGGTCAGGAGCATGTCTTTTTCCCTAAAAGAACACATCAATACTCTCATATAGTGTGATTACAGATATGAGATACTTGGTTGCCTCTTCAGGCGTTGGAGTTGATCCGCGCTCTGGCAGCGCACTGTCCGAGCGTGGCCGAGTCGGCGGCGCTGTGGGGCCAGGCGGGGCTGCCGGCCCTGTCGGCGCACCTGCGGCCGGGGCACGACACGGCTCTGCGCGAGGCGGCGGCGGCCGCGCTGGACGCGATTCTGCGCCTGCACAAGACGCAGGCCGTCAAGGAGGTGCTTGCCAAGGGCATGCGCATCCGTGGCCTGCTCGACAAATACGGTGCGCCTATTGACCAATCTTTCTTGTTCCTGCCTGCATCTGCTTGGCAGAGGATGTGGCTATTGACTATGGCTGTTTCCAGCATCCCCTACCCCGGCTATGCATGGCAATGCTGTTTTGCTGAACAAGATGTAGGTCCATCACAAGCTCTTAGCTTCCTTCAGCCGTCTGCTATATGCCCTTGGAAAAGTTGAGCGGGCTTGCTCCACAACCTGTGCTGCACAATTGCACAGCTACAAGAGACTTACAGCTATCATGAGTACAAAATGCATGCTCTGGCGCAGACGCTGTGCGGGGAGAGAATTTGCGCTTCTTCCCGGAGCTGCGCCACCGCGTGGCCAAGATGCTGCGCGTGCTGGCCTACGACAGCGGCGGCGCGGCGCTGCCAGAGCTGCTGCGGCCGGGCAAGGAGGGCTGCGTGCCCTGGCTGGTTGCCGAGCTGGGCAACTCCTCCACGCACTGGTGCACCCGCGCTGAGCTGGCCGCCGTCCTCGGCAGCCTCGCCCGCATCCCCGCCCTCTCCGCCGCCATGGTGCGCGCAGTTTCCTGGCAAAGGGTGCCATTTTTAAATGAAGACATCATATCTGAGCACCATATGCGGACATGCACTTATGCGCACCTGAAGGCACATGCTGAAAATTTACATGTCCTAACATATATATTTGCAAAGGGGACATGCTATTTGCTTGCCTATGCTTCAGTGATAATTAAGAGACAGAGCTCCTAGAGTGGCAACATGCCATACTTCAATGCTGGATGGCATGGCAGTCGTGCAGAAACTACCAAGAATGTGTACTAGGGCTTTACTCTGAAGTCTGTACATGAAGCAGTGCTTTGGTGGCCATCGTTGCTCTTCTGCCTTTATTATGGAAGCGGGAAAGCAGATGCTGCTGCGAATGCAGCGCACTCGCCCCAGAGCACCTGCTTGCAGAATGCGCTTCTGCCTTTTTTGCTTTGAATGACGTGCCCAGGGGAAGAGCTTCTGCTCAGAGGTCTATTGTATGGTATGTGCGGATCTGCTATGACAGCTGTCTGAACAAGGGGCAATGTTCTGTAGCTGAGCGTTGCCGTGCATGCATGCAGGCGAGGTCGCGGCGCAGTGTTGCTGGCAAGGACATAATGCTGGACCCTCGCGCAGGCATCCGCAAGGCCGGCGCCATGGGACCTCTCATGGCCCTCCTCAAAGAGGTCACCGAGGTGGGCTGCCGGGGTATCTACCCTTGTCTTATGGCCAACTGGGGAAGTACATCTAATTCTGGTATATTGAGGCTCCTGTAGCTAGCCTCTGCGGGGCTAGCACTCTTCTGCTGTTTGTGTGGCCACCCACAAATATGCGCAAAGGAAGGCACCTGCATAGTGATGCTGTATGGTTCAGGAAGGACGCATAATGTCTGAGACTGAGGTCTGTAACTCCTGCGCAGAACAAGACACATGCGCTGAACAATGAGATTGTGGTGAATGCGCTTGCGGGCGTCATAGGAGTGGGGATCACCTATATCAAGGATGACGAGGACATCCTCCCCATCCTGAAGGTGAGTCTGGACCCCCTTTCAATACCCCTTACATTATTGATTACAGGTACAAAGAACCCATGTGTGCTGCATGCAGTCCCGTACTGATCCTTGAGCCTCACGGTCCCTTGCTGCTGCATGCTTTAGTCTCTGCTTTGTATAAGTATAGTACAATGCATCACCTACTCAACGTACCTTTCCAGCCTGGATGTAATGGTGACGTTTAATTACAAAGCAGTGCCTCTCGACTGACTTTTCTAGAAAGAAAGTGCTAAATGAGGCCATTGTACAATGCTCTGCCCACCAAACGGTTTTTTCCAAGAAGAGAAGTGCTTATAATGTGATTGTGGTGCTTTGCAGCCGGAGTTGCTGCCGCAGCTGTTGAGAGTGATGGACGTGAAGCTTATGACGGGCAGCGAGGGGCAGCGCAAGCTGATGCTGGGCAACGCCACCATCCTCGCCTACTGCCTGCGCTGGCCCGAGTTCAGGGTACGACCCGTGGCCGGAATCTGCCCTAACACTGGATACCCAGCACTGAAAAGCTGCAAGATGTTATTGGGACCAGCAGAGTGGCTGCTGATAGTCTTGAAACCCACTGCTGGCTTCAATTCTGCAGTTATGTGTGTGGCTAAGAGGCGCGCAAGCGGTGCCTTTGCTCTTTGTGAAGGACACAGGAAGGAGGGAGGCACTGTGTTTATTATGAGAAGAAGCCTGGGTATGGCTGCCTCCATTTTCAGAGAGTTTTGTGCTACGCAAGTCCAGGAAGTGCTCAATTCTGTAGTGCCCACTTCCTGACGCGTGCCCGCCGCTGTGGCGGCGCCACATGCTTGAAATCAAGCAATCATAAATGGCAAGCCACAATGTCGCAGGACGAGTTTGTGCGGCGGGGCGGCCACATCTGCGCGACGGACCTCATGATCTGGTGCGCCAACAACGAGCCGCCCGCGCCCGCGCCCGGCAAGGACGACTTCCACATGGAGACAGTGTGCACCCTCGTCAACATAATCGGCAACGCCGCCCGCAGCAGCGTCAAGGCACGCCTTTCTTTCAATTCTCGTTCCTTCTTCTTTTGTACATCCTCCGTGCCTCCCACCTGTGGCATCCCTTCATTCTCATGCAAATGGCCTTGTTGGCTAGCTAAGCAGCCATTTGTGTGGGCTGCCGAGTTCTAGAACCCCTTCGGACGAAGGCGGGGTGCCACTTAGAGCACATCTGCGCCAAGCCCTTCCTCCTGCTCATTGCACCTGTGATAAGGTTGAGGAGGGTGGACACAACATCTCCTACACCTGGCTTGTGAGGGCGTTTTAACCAGGTTTTTTAGGCATCCCACCAGGATGTGTCTCTGTCTTCCAACATCCTAGGCATGTTCTTGGGCTGGTGTCCTTGGGTGTGTTAAGAGCGGCAGCACTAACAGCAAGTTCTGTTGCTGCAGGCGCTGGAGTACATTAATGAACAGGGTGGGCTGCCGATCGCAGCGCGCTACCTGGCGCGGGCTGTTGCACTGCCGCCCAGCAACACCTCCTGGTACATGGGCCTCTCCAACGGCGCAGCCGGCCTCTGTAAGACCCCCCACCCCCCCATGTTCTTGTGTTGTTGCTGCGTTTGCCCTTGCTCTCTCTGGCGGCTGTCTCCTTTGCACGCGCCCGATTGTGCTCAAGGCACATGTCCGGCTTGTGATGTGGTGATCACATCTACATGACTGTTGTGGGTGGTTGCAATATGGCAGCCAAATAGTGCTCCTGGGCCGGAGGATCATTGCACTGTTGCTGCGTAATGTTCGCATGCCAGGCAGCCCTCTCTCTAATTGAGTGGCGCTCACTTTGTGTCTGCATGTCTCTTTCTCTAATTATGTCTGAGTATATGCTTGTGGTGGCTGAGGGAAGCATGTCGTGCGTGCAGGTGATCTGCAGGCGGTGCTGGTGAACAACCCAAAGGTGGCTGCAGCGGTGGCGGAGATCTGCATGGTTGGCCTGGCCACCACTGCTCACGCCACTCGCGGACCTCCCAAACCTGACAAGGCTCGCATCGATCGACTCGCCTATGTAGTCAGTGAGTTGCCCCTTTTCTTCTTCTCCTCCACTTTACAGTACCTCTCAACCCATGCAGACAATAAATTGTGCGCCTCTCAACCCATGCAAACAATAAATTGTGCCCTTAAAACCTGCACATCGGTCTGTTGCAAGCTTTGACAAGCTCTGTCTTCTGCGCCCAATAGATATTGGCGCTCAGTGCAGATCATATTGACCAATAGTAAGTCCAATATGCTGATCTTCTTATGACTGTGTGACCCAATTTAATATTCGTGTGGTCCTTTTACCATTGCAGCCTCGCTGTCGACGCTGGCCACGTACCTGAAGGGGTCGGCGCCGGGTGCGATAGCGGATGCGCTGGAGCGGGGCACCTTCCAGCAGCTTCTGGACCTGCGGCGCACGCTGCACCTCTCCAACGCCACCATCGGCTACCTGCAAGCCTTCGTGCAGTCCTCCCGCAACCCCACCAAGGTGTGCCTTGTCCTCCCTTCACCCGGCTGGCCCCAATGCAGTGTTACTTATTATTACCCTACCCAATGAATCATGTACTCTTCATCAGGTCTTATGTCAATTGACAGTGTCATTTTGTGTATCTTTTGAGGTGCACCTATGCACACAGCAATCTATTGCATGCAGCAAATATGATGACCCCTTTTGGAGGTGCGTGTACTGAAAGTCGTGGGGTTTGGTAATGGCAGGACGCGGCGATGGCAAATGCAAACATGTGCCAGCTGCTGGAGGAGGAGGCACGGGATAAGGAGCGCGAGGCGCGAGAGGCCGCGCGGAAGCTCAAGCGCAAGCTCAAGAAGGCCGAGGCGCGGCTGCGCTCCCAGGAGGAGGAGTCTGCGCAGCTGCGCGCCGCGCTCGCCCGCGCCGAGCTGGCCGAAAGCTCTTCTGCGGAAGCTTCCCCTGGCCGGCCAGCCGCCGTCAACTCCACCCCAGAGGAGGCTTCCTCGGAAAAGCAGCCGCCGGCCGCCGCGGGCGAGGACGCGGCCCCGGGCGGCAGGGCGCGCAGGGGGAGGAAGAAAGGGGTACCCAGGGCTGAGGCAGCCGAGGCGGCCGGCCGGCAAAACGGCGGCATGGCCGCGCATGCGCGCGAGTTGAGCGCAGCTGCAAGCTCTGACGAGGACGGCGGCAGCGAGGGCGCGCTACCGGACAGCTGGGAGGCGATGGCCGAGGACGGCGACGTTGGGAATGGCGCTGCTACGGACTTCAATGCCGTTTACGGCGCATCGCCCCCCGACAGCGGGTCCTGGACCACGGTCGGGGTGAAGAAGCCAGCAGTCGCGGGGGTGCATGCTGATGAGGCCAGCAATGGCAAGGCACGCCCCACCACGCCGTCGGCGGCTGCCACGCCAGGCCAAGCAGGCTCCCCTGCGCCGGCAAAGCAGCAGAAGGGGTGGGGACGGCTGCCGGCCTCTCCCACCCCTCCGCCCCCTCCAGAGCAGCAGCCGCTGCAGCAACAAGAGCGGCAACGCCAAGGACCCTGGGGCAATGGGCCGGCCACACCCTCGGGGCCTGCCCACCGCGCCAGCTTGCGAGCTATTGCAGCCGCCCAGAATCACACCGCCAACATGCTCAAAGCACAGGTAGCTCCTCACTGTGATCCACCTGGCTTCTTCTTACAATTTTTGGCTTCTTCTTACAATTTCCCAAAACAATTTTCTGCCCTTGATGTTGTGAGTCACACAGCATTGAGCTGCTTGGCCAGAGAGCAGTTAACAGTGGAGGATACCCTGGCAGGTTGGCGCGCCGAGCAAGGATTCCCCGGTGTCATGGAGCAGCGTGGCAGCAGGCAGCGCAGCAGCGGCGCGTGGCCTGCCGCCGCCCTCGCCCATCTCAGCAGCACCGGAGGCAGCGCACTCCGTGCAGGACGCGGCGTCAGCCGCCCCGGCCGCCTGGGGCGGCCACCGGCCGCATCCGAGGAAGCCCGCAGAGGAGACGGCGGCGACTTCGGCACCGCAGCCGCTGCCGGCAGCGCCGCCACCGGAGCTCAGCGCGGAGTTTGCGGCACCGCCGTCGCGCGGCAGCCAGCCGTCCACTGCATGGGACAGCCGCGAGGTCAGCGAGTCCGGCCTGCACAGCCCGGCCTCCAGCCGCCTCTCCGCGCCGGCCAGCCCGACGGCGAGTCACGCCACCGTCCGCACGCTGTCCAGCGACGCAGCCGCCGCCGCGGATCCCTGGACCCGGCTCGCGGCCTCCCGGCCCGCACCCGAGGACCCGCCGGGGCCGACGTTCGACGAGCCACGCGGCCTACAGGCCAGCCCGGCGCCGCCGGCCAGCCCGGCCCCGGCACAGCTGCCTGGCAACCTCAGCCCGGCCGTCACTCCCGGCGAGGCCGGCCTGTTCACCCCGCAGCAGCCGCTCCCAACCGGTGCCCTGTGGGACGGCGTTGCCTCTCCTAGTCCCGCACAGGCTGCTGCGGAGCCGACGCAGGCCACATCCTTGTGGGGAGCTGCGTCAGCCGTTGCTGGGACCAGCCCAGCCACTCCGCCTGTGCAGGAGCTCTGGGCGCAGCAGCAGCAGCAGAGCTTGGCGCAGGAAGCGAGCAGCGCCGGCCCTGCGCTGCCAGACAGCCTCTTCGGCGACCCCTGGGCAAATCTGAACGTGCCGGGGGGCGGCAACCCCTGGAGCCTGCGCGGGGATCTGGGCTTCGCGCCTGGCCCTGTGAATGGCATCGACATTGCCTCAGCAGCCGCGCGCGTGTCGCAGCTCAACCCCTCAGCGGGGGTCTTCAATGCGCAGGGCTCGGGCCTGTCCCCGGCGGCGTTCCCAGCGCAGGCCCCCCAGCCGCTGCCGCACGCCACGCAGGTGCACGGCGTGCAGCACGGCCTCGGTGCGCAGCTGCCGACAGCGTCCTCGGCAGCTCCCGGCGCGGGCGGCAGCATCTGGGGCGCTCCCGGCATGTCGGCCGCCGCCGCGTCGGCCACCGGCTGGAGCAGCGGGTTCAGCGCGCTGCGGGAGCAGGCCCCCCTCCCCCAGGGAGGGGACGCTGCCGTCTGGGGGGCAAGTCCCCCGTTCAACGATGCGCCGGCGTTCCTGTCGTCGCTGATGCAGCAGGTGCTGCCCGAAGAGGACGCGCTGCTGCCCGGCGGCCTCGACCTGCTGATGCAGGGCAGCTTCCACCAGCAGCAGCAGCAGGTGCCCCCGGGGTTCCAGCTGGGAAATTTATTCTCGATGCCGGTGCCGAGTGCAGCACCACAGCCGGATCCCCGGCAGCTCTGGCAGCAGCAGGCCGCCGTAGGTCAGCTCTACGGTCAGCACCCGAGCCTCGCAGCCGCCTACGCTGCGGCGTCCGTGCCTCCTGCATTGGGCGCTCGGTTTGGCGATCCGGTAGCTTTGCTGCAAACGAGGGACTTTCAGGTGCCGCATGCTCAGCAGACGGCGAGCCTGTCAGTGCCGAGTGTCAGGTATGGGGCTGCACCGGAGGGGCGGCAGTTGCCGATGCGCAGCCCGCCGCCCGGCATGCAGGGCTTCCGCCAGCTCAGCCCGGAGAAGGGCCCGTCTCAACGGCCGTCTGAGGTTGTGCACGCCTTTGCTCAGGTGCGCAGCTCACCTTTTGAGCCCCCTCATGGCTTCATTCTACTTGGCTGAAAGCATGTGTGAGGTCTGAAAACCCAAGTCAGCAGTCTCATTGTATTGTTGCTGCATGACCTGCTCTTGCAAGCGGCTCCTTCTTTTCTCATTCTGGCGCTCGTCCTGCCTTGATGTCTGCATTCCTGCTCTCCAAACATCATGCATTTCGGGCCTCAGCCGGCTTTTTGAAAGATGGCAGAATGCTCACTTGAAATGCTGGTTGTTGCAGGCGAGCCAGCAGGCGCGCGCACACGCGAACAACATCCAGCGCTTCGCACCGGCGCAGACGCCGTCGGCAGCCATCGCGGCGGCGAGCGGCCAGGCGCCACCGGGTTTCAGCAGAATCCCCACCGCTAAGCAGCAGCCAATTGGGCTCCCCTCCCAACGGCTGGGAGCCATGGGAGGGCAGGGTCGCACAGGGGACTAGGCAATTTGCCGTGTGGAAAGCAGCAAGGAATGATAGTGTGGGAGGTGCCAGCCCACATGACCGAGCTGAGCATAGGAGCAGACGTGCTTGGAAGTCCGCAGGCATGCTGATAGAGCAGACAGTCTTATGCAGATAGCGTGAGATGCAAGATGAAGTTTTGGGGAGAAAGTATTCTGCACGAGAGTGTGAGGGATGTCTCTTTTCGGATCCGGCCAAACATGCCTCTTTTTGGTTACATAAGCAGAGCGAGAAGTCTAACAGGAGCGTTGCAGTACCGTACTGTTCGAGTTGAAGTGTGAGTTTGTATTGATTATTAGTGTTGACAAGGCTGTGAAACTTCCGGAACTCAGAATCTGTATGTCATGTGCGGTCGAACTCAAGGAACTGTCAGGGCTTCAAGTTTTTCAGTATAATGGTGCGCAAGCTGTAGATTTACCAGAGCATGGCAGGGCCGATTTGCTGGGTGCAGCATTTATGGGAGCTGACTGACCTTACATTGATAGATTCCAATTTTGATCTAGGTAGACGATATCCCGCTACTGCCTTGATGAGCATTGTAAGGAAATGGATAGATATCTGGAAACCTTCGGCTGTCAACGTGCTACTCTGACTCTCTCACACTCGTGCGCTCAATTGATCAAGGACCTCCTATGTCATAATGTTGAACATCAAATCTCAGTTCCAAGACATCAGTCAGTTCGGCAGCAGCTCATGGTGCTGCAGCATCAATTGACAGACGCCACTGGCATGCAACAATGCTCTGGAGCAAGCATGCCAATAGATGCACACACCATTTATGCCAGAACCGCTCATATAAAGAATACGCAATGATCAGTGCACTGCGCTGTCACTTCACAGTCACAATTCTTCTGACCCTTTCACATCTCAAACAGTCAACTGTATCAGCAATCGCTCCAAGTCTCGCTGTCAGGCCTTCGAGGCGGTCAGGCGGCACGCAGACAGGGTCTCAGCAGCAGCGGTGGATGAGGGCATGTGCCGGAAATCTGGTTTCAGCCCCTCGCGGTCGATGTCTGTGCGGGCAGGAGTCAGGTACTTGCCCACGGTTAACACCAGGCCTGATGAGTCGCTGAGCTCGTACACGCTCTGAATCAGCCCCTTGCCATACGTCCTGCAGCACAGAAACAGAATCCATGTTTACCAGAGCCAGGAGTGAGAAGACCAAGGGGTTCTGCCCAGAGCAGCCGATCCTGCGCTGTGCTTGACTCAAAGGAGAAGTCATCTTGGGAAACAGCATCCCACTTACTGGCACACACTGGCGCCAGAGGCAATGTGCATTCTCAAGCCTCCTTCCATCATGAAGGAGTCACCCAAGTCTGTAAGCATCTCTGAGGTCGATGGCACGAACTCAACGCCAACACCTTCAATGACCTTACTTAATTGAAAATGGCGCTCGAGAAGAAAGGGCAGGCTTTGGGCGTTTGGTAGGAGGTATCATGATCCGAAATCACAATCTAGCAGGAGGAGGAGGCGCGCCTGGTGCCGACGAGCAGCGCGCGGCAATTGTCGTGCAGTGCGCCGGCAAAGATTTCCGACGCGGACGCCGTGTGCTCATTGACCATAACAGTCAGCGGCGCGGCCGTCAGTGGCGGCCCGACCGCTCGCACCGCGCGCTCGTCCTTCCGCGAGCCCGTCTCAGTGACCACCACTGTCATCCCATCTGCAGCCACACAACAGCTGCAACGTGAGCTCAACTCACCTAGAACGCATTTAATCACCTGCTGCAGCAGTGATGTCAGCGGTGCCCACTGCACAGACACTCTCTATCTATCCAGATCTGTCAAGAATTGACGCACGTGAAGAGTCCAGCTGTCACTGTCGCAGCTCTGACTTGAACACAGTGATCGTTGGAAGATGGAATGACAGCAAGTCGAGGTGCTCTCTGCAGCAGACGCTTTCATCAACGCTTCAGGCCCAGGGATTTCTTTTGAGCTTTTGACCCTGTTGAGAAGAGGGAGCAGGCGGCAGGGGGTCTTCTAGTCAGGCTTCAGCCCCAGGCAATCGTTTGAGCTCTGTCACCCACAAGAAGACGCAAGCAAACAGCAGGGGCGCACCGTCTAGGAACAGCTTGGCGATCTCGATGCCCTCCTGCACGAGGCCGCCGCGGTTGTCTCGCAGATCCAGGACCAGCTCGGCAGCGCCGGCCGCCTCCGTCTGCCGCACAGCCGCCACCACATCTGACAGCGCGCGCGCATTGAAGGCGCTGAGGCTGATGTGGCCCACCTGCCAGTGGTGCAAGGGGCTGAGCTCTCACACGTGCAGATGCATGGATGCATCAGAAACAGTACTAGTGGCTTTGTGGCTTAGTGTATGCCTGGCAACTGTCAAGCAGGCCTGTTCTTTTCTCTGAAGGGGCACGATCACTTCAGATGGTGGTGTGAATGCTGGTATCATACAAGTTTTATGATACAACAACCTCACATGGCAATGACAGCCTCTCACAAATAATCTCTGAGCCCATTGCCGGCTCAGACGTTCCAGGCAGTGTGCAAATATGACACCATCTCCTTCAAATTTGTGTCTAGGTGCATGGCAGCCCAGGGGCAACTGAGATTTTAATGAAACAGTGCCGTCCAAAGCCTCACCGTCCTGCCTCCTCGGTCCTCCAGGTAGGTGGTGACGGGAGAGGGAACGCTGCGCACGGGCCGCTCGATGTCCACCTCCACACTGGCGCCGTCCTGCCTCCTCACCTGCAACACCCATTGTTCGTCATCTCAATCGTACCACGGACCTCATACATTCAACCCGGGACGCAGCAAAAGAATACACATCCGCGCATACCACCACTTCTACCCCACATCCGGCAAATCATGCACATCCACACACACCAAGGAGCTAGGCAGAGAATGAAAAGACAGCATGCATACAACAGTGATCCATGCAGTCAACAAAGGACCCCGATCCTGACCCACGCAAACAAGCACTGGGCGGCTAGGAGAAAGCAGGAACAGGGCAAGAACCACCCAAATGAAGCAGGCCACAGCGCTCCTGTCAGGTGCTGTTCTTCTGGTAGAGTGCATACCTCGAGGCTGACACTTGGGGGTGCAGTCTCGTCGGTGCCCTGCAGCAGGCCGGCTGCTTGGAAGGGACTGAGGGCGGCCACGCTGTTGCCATCGATGGACAGCAGCTCGTCCCCCTGCCGCACCCCAGCCCGGTCGGCCGCGCCGCCCTTGATCATGCCCAGTACCCACACGCCCCCCTGCGCGCACGGTTCAAAGCCCCCTGACTTCCCAGCAGCTGCCCATCCGCAGAGCTCGTGCATCTGGGATTGCGAGTGCAGGAGACAGACAAAGTGCCTTGATCTGATCTGTGGCTCCAGCAGTGGTGGGCCCAAAGCAACCACAGGTGTATGCCTGCCCAGAGGCATTCAGGGGCATCACTTAGGGGCCTGCCCATTCAGGGACAGCAGCAGTGTCTAAAGATGTCCATGGCTGCATGCGCATGCCTGGCTCGCTGGGTTTATTTAATTAGACTCAAATCCGAGCATGCGCACCCTGAACCAAGCTAACACCCTCTGAAGCAAGCCCACAGCGGGTGGAAATCTCTGGGGAACCACCTGCACGTCGGCGCGGTCAGCCGGTAGCTGAAGGCCGCTCTTGCGCGTGAACTCCTCTGCGGTCGCCAGGTTCAGGCCCACTCCGGTGACGTCGTACTTTCGCATCGCTCCAAACTCATTTGGGGTGATGAAGCGTGTATAAGGGTCATTGAGACCGTACGCCAGCATCTCCCTGATTGCCCTGATCGAGGCCCATGGGAAAAGAAAGTGTCAGGCTCCCTTTGCAAAGATGGCACTCCAATGCATCCATGATGCATGCTGATCTGATCTTCGGTACTGCTGGGAAGCAGGTTGAGGCATTTGTTTTTTTCAGCAAATGCAAGCGCATCAGGACTTGCACAGTATCCTAAATGCGGCTTGGTCATGAATCAACACAGCGCTGCTGCGAGGCTGCAGGAGGTCTCGTGGGGTGAACGTTACAGGAGACAAGCACCTGTAGGCAGCCTCATGAGTTGGCAGGGGCTGCGCCATGTGTTTGTCACGTAGCGCCGCCCACTTGACTTGATCAAAGCCGGAGCCTCTAGCATCCAGATAGTAGTCGGAAACAACCGCCCACACCTCTTTCACAAGCTCCTGGCCCTCCCGCTTGGCCTCCTCGGCCTCCTACACCAGACAGACACCAGAAAGGCATTAATGTCATTCGGTACTTTCTGGATGTGTTGGGCTTGCAAGGGGCATCTAACGCAGCCAGAACTTCGAGAGGTCTTCACATCATGCCCAATGTATGTGCTTTGCCAGGCATAATGGCATGACCCACCTCCAAGTTCGTAGCCCGGTCTCCTAAATGTGAGATATTTGAGAATGCACTGACTGCCGAGTCGACGGTAGCGCCGACCTTTTTGAGAGTTTCAAGAATTCTATCTTCGGACTGCGAGGCCAAGTCAACCGCCACCAATGGCGCATGCCTGCACATGAAGTGAAATTTGCACTGTGGCGCTGAGAATACCTGATAATTTGAAGGTCTCAAAAGGCGCATGTGAATGCTGGACCAAGGTGTGAACACGCAGGTATGTACTCAGAAAAAGCTCAGAAGCGCACTGTGGTAGTGAGGTCCAGGTTGAAGGTGTGGTAACTGAAGGGGGAGCAGCAATTGCCACTGTATGCAAACCGCAGGTGAATGCTATCAAGATTGCCAGGGCCAATGACTTGACCAGCGCGTGGAACCTCTCCAGCACATCACCTGGTGCACCAGATACACCACTCATGCCACCGTGCTGCGTTGACAAGGATCGTACATCCGGAAAGGCGCCGTCACGAGAATGACTTACCTCCCTCATTACCAATGTTATCCTCTTCCTCTGGGCTATGGGCTCCTCTGCTTCTGGTGCAACGCGCTATTCTCTACATCACGAAAAGCGTATAGGTCGGACTGTGTATGCGCCATGTTAAACGTCCACATGAGACTTTTTCGCAGAGTTCCAATCATTGCAAATCTTCGAATATAAATTACCTCTGCATGAGTCCTGTGTGTCGATTGCACGGCATCCGTGCTTTCTAAATTCAAAGGCGACTGTAGCCTGGAGCTTGCGATGCGACTGCTGGATAGTAATTTATGACATCTGATAGCTTTCAAGGACACTGGCTGCCTCGTCAGACCCAAAGCGCTGGCATGCAACTGAACATGGAGGCAATTACAGAAAATTCCCCTAGTGTGCAACATACAACTGAACGCCATTACGGGTGCCTTAAAATTGTTCTCGATGCGATGACACTGTCTCAATCATTGCAAAGCTGGAGGTTGCGTTTTTTGCCATCTGCAATGGTTGCCAAATCTGGCTTTGCAACCTGCGCAGCTGCGGTCAAAAGGGAAGAAGCTTCCAATTCGCCATAGAAGGGAGCGTGTAGTTGGTGTGAACCAAACTTGCAATATATTGCGTGCCACTGTTCTGAGATCTTAGAAGGTGTGATGTGAGCCGGTAGTAGCCAGATTTCAGGTAGGCACAACATTTCGAATCGTGATTGGGGCTCAGCAATGGGCGTTCTTGTCGTGCTGACAGTGCATTAGCTCACGGCTGTCAGGACAGAATACTTGTACCATGGCAGGCAGAACGGATGACAGCCGGCAAATTTTCCATACCTAAGTGCAGGATCACTCTTTCTGTCCTTGAAGTGATCAATGGTGCTTTTCATGCCAACACCGGTGTTCAGGAGCTTCTTCTTTCCGCTGTAAATGTACCGGTTGGATATCACGCCAAAAACGGCAGGCTGCTGTGATACTCCTGTAGAGACCTGGCCCAGGTTGCAGCACAGCAGCCTGCCGTACTTGGCGTGATATCCAACCGGTACATTTACAGCGGAAAGAAGGAGCTCTTGAACACCGATGTTGGCATGAGAAGCACCACTGATCACTTCAAGGACAAAAAGAGTGATCTTGCACTTAGGTATGGAAAATTTGCAGCCTGCAGATGCTCACTAGTGGAGCTCTGTGCAAACAACAAGGAAGTCCTATGATCGCAAATCACAAGGAATTTCCCATGATCGCAAATTCGTACCTCTACCACGGCAAGAGGAAGTTTGAATTTTGGTTTCATGGCATGGCAAACACCACGATCACGTTTTCTTGGAGCAGCACCGACAGGTCAACAGTAGGATTTGGTAACCTGTGGCAATCCCTGGGAAACGAAGTTCTTCGCCTTTGACGTGGCACGCCTTTGATGCGCAGAACGTCGTTTACCAGGGATTGCCACAGGTTACCAAATCCTACTGTTGACCTGGCGGTGCTGCTCCGAGAAAACCTGATCGTGGTGTTTGCCATGCCATGAAACCAAAAATTCAAACCTTCTCTTGCCGTGGTAGAGGTACAGATTTGCGATCATGGGAAATTCCTTTTTGTTTGCACAGTGCTCCACTAGTAAGCATCTGCAGGTAAACTCATAAGCCTGCATTTGCTCTTTGGTCACCCTGGATGACACAATGGCGATCTAGGCTACAACATCAAGCTGCTACCCTCTGAGATATTTTGAAAAGAAACCCAATGGCGGACAACTGTTTCTTATTACGGTGTTGAGCAAACTCTGCGCTGAACGCCACTTTAAGTCGGGCGCTTATGGCTTAGGAGCAACAATGAGCTTCGACAACCCGGGCAGACAAGCAGTGCAGCCATTTCGAAAGCTGTCCCTAGAAGTGTGCGACGAGTGTGGCATCTCTAAGGATGACAGTTGCCACTTCAGTACTGTGCAGATCGATGTGCGGATGCATGGCGAACCCGTGGCGACTGATCAGGTGAGCATGACTCTTGATCAGTGCAGTCATTCCCTTGTTCTGATCAAGAGTCATGCTCACCCGATCAGTCGCCACGGGTTCGCCATGCATCCGCACATCGATCTGCACAGTACTGAAGTGGCAGCTGTCATCCTTAGAGATGCCACACTCGTCGCACACTTCTAGGGAAAGCTTTCGAAATGGCTGCACAGCTTGTCTGCCCGGGTTGTCGAAGCTCATTGTTGCTCCTAAGCCACAAGCAGCAGTGACGGCCGCCGCCTGCGCCTATCCGACATCGAGCTGGACGAGCCGGGTCTGGACATCCTGGCGGACAAGCTGAGCGACAAGCTTGTGGAGCGGATGGCACCGGCGCTGCTGGCTTTCTCGGAGGGCCGGCTGGGCTTTGGCACACCAGCCCAGGTATGTACCGCCTCTGGCCTTTGCTCCCGACTGACGAGCAGAGAAGGCTTTTTGGGTCTATAAAGTTGGTGACACAGTTGATGAGTCCTTCTCATGTCATTATTGCATGAGCATTATGAGATCCTTGACAAAGATGGCATGTGCCCTCTCAATCAGCCGTCAAGCCTGAATGAGCTGTTCACCTGGGCGTATTGTGCCCCAGGATAAGAATGCTATCAGCAAGAAGGAGCTGGGTGAGATCAGCACGCCGCCCGCCATCGCGCCGCCTGCCAGTGGCAGCCACCTGCACGGCTTGTTCACAGGAGTGGCCGCCTTCCACGACTATGCGTCCAAAGCACTCCTGGCAGTGGCACTCCGTGCTGCCCTCTCACGCTCAGACCTCAGCCATGTCTCCGGCAGTGAGTGCGACTTTCAGCGTTCTGTTGAAGTGCATGCGTCTCAATGCTGCTCTGTCCTGTCCCCTTTGATTGTGTGGGATTGGCCTCGCAGCCCTCAAAAACTTGTTCTCCTATTTGAAATTTGCGTCTTGTATGTTCCTCTACAACCAGAGATTGACTTGCCTGTGTGCAGGCTGAGGAGGCGGGGCCGGCCAAGGAGTTCATGCCCGCACCCTGAATTAATTGTCCTCAGAGCTGCATAAGGAGTTGGCAAAGGGCAAAGCCAGCCTGCTACCTGCATGTGTGCTTTTGTCAACCTGGTCCTGGGATGGGAATGGAAGGGGTGATCCTGTTCAATTGATCTTCATCACGCCCGTTCAGGCAATGCAAGACAATTTGCAGGAATCAAGAAGCTTTGTCGGGGTTGCCGATAGCTGTGTGCTCCAGCTGTGTGCTCCATCTGCAGAGTACAAGGTGCAGCTGGCTGCTGCCATCGCCAAGCTGAGTGACGCAATCGTGAGGGTGAACGCTGCCATAAATGCAGAGGCCGTGAAGGCCGCACGGAAGGAGCTGACCGATGCCAAGAAGAAGGCGTTGCAGGTGATCAAGCGCTAGGAGGCAGATATCTCAGCAGAACAGCATCACTGCATGCACTCGTCCGCACCAGCTTCTGAGAAATGCTATGCACAAACCAACGCACAGCCAGCTTTGCACTCGTCCCGTGGTGTCCTTTTTGTATTTGCAATCTGGGTTTGTGCAGTCTTTTTTCAGGCACTTGATGGCGACAGAGGGACAATCCGCATGGCAAAAGCAGAGAATGCTGGGGCCTCATGGTCCCCAGACTTTGCTGCATGAGCATGCAACGCTTTTGTCATCTACTCAGTCTGTTTGCTGCTCACAGGATCCTGTGTGCTCGTTCCAGCTGATCAGTCGGCTTTGCTGAGTCTTTTTTCACCATGGGCTCTCTGCTGCATTTTGCTACTGCCGCAGACTTATTTTCGGGACCATGCTCAGGGTTGCAGAGAAGTCCTTACAGGGTAGACAGAGCTGAGTAGATCTTTCATGACTACCTGTGCAGGGAGCCTTCTCTGCACTGTGCCTCTGAGACCTGTATTCGTCAGCACCTGTATCTCACATGTGACGATGCTGTGCCATAGCAGTGTCATGTTAGAGCTCCAGGATTTTCACGCATGCACCTGAACTGTCCCCGAACTCGTCTCTGTAGAGTTTCTGGAGAGGTGCACATGTGGGCAGCCCAATCTGTATGCAGGGTTAGGAAAAGAATGGTCAGCACGCCGGTGTGATGTGAGGCATCTTAGTACATTTTGGTGTCACTGGCGTCTTTGACTGGGCTGATGACTTGAGGGCAGTCACATGTAGTCATGATCATTGGCCCAATTGAGAGGGCAACACGTAATGCATTAATGCAATATTGTAACAGAGGCAGAAGTGATCTAGATCTTGACCGTTGCGACCGCAGGCATCAGCCAATGGATTGACCCACGGAAGATCACTTTGCTGTGCAGCTCATGACATGTGTTGCCCATCATGATGATCAGCATGCTGCACTGCTGGCTAGCATGCGGCCACTGGGATATGCACTACATATGGTCACGAGGACACAAAAGTGCACGTGCACTTGCATGCATGGTGCGCATGTGGTGGCCCCTAAATTTATTGGTCCAGGTATAAACGGCTGTGACATGAAATATTGTGCTGATGCCCATATCTGCATAAGAGAAGGAAGGAAGGAAGATTACATCACTCCAGCCGCCTAGGGCTGATTGGATGAACTGGCAGCATCCAAATAATCAAAACAATCCATCACAAAATGTGCAACACCAACAATGTCCAACTGCCACATGAATTGCTGCATCGTCACAATGGCTGCACCAAACAGCCCAGGATATCTGTCCCGAACAGATTGCAAGGCAGGGCACTCAAACACAAGGTGGCGCTCATCCCCAATAACCTGCTGGGCACAACGCATGCACAAACGCTGGGGCCGGGGAATCCTTGCCCAGCGGCCCGAGACATTGGGCAGACTATGACAACCCATCCTGAACTTCAACAGTATACGCAAGCAACGGGCACTCAAAGGCTGCTGTAAGAGCTGGCAAGGGTGGCGCACACAAGCTGGCCTAGCAAACCATCTGTGATATGTACACAAGGTGGCATTGCTGGACGGGCAGGTCCTAGGGCAAATGTCAATGTCATCCCAAACCTGCAGTGCTTGCGCATCTAGCAGCTGCATCACAGCATCAACTTCCACAGGAACAAGGGTGTCAAACCGAATAACAAACTCATACCCAAGAGATACAGCTAAGAGAGACATTTAGATGTGCTGTGTGAGGGAAATGGCATATGTAAAAGGGTTAATGAGAGGGCTTCCCCAAACCTTGCCACATTCCCATCAGTGATCAGAGCGCTTTAGCGTCCTGCAGCATCTGAGAAAGCTTTCACGGTCATTTGGCAGGATGATGAGCCCTGTAGATCCAGAGGAAGAGCCGGTCTCGCCCAGGTCCGACTCCGGTGACTCCGCTCAATGGTGTGTAGTGTCTCCAGAAGTGAAGTCACAGAACCCTCGGCGGCTGGCGCCACCTGTTGCAGTTTCAGGTAATGCATCAACTTGTCATGCTCGGTGATCATGTCTGTCTGTCGTTAACGGTCCAGCAGTCTTTGAGGAGAGTACTAGGGCTCTCCTCCTTCGATGGAAACCGTGTGGCCTTTCACGTCACGACTCTTGCTGTCTGATCTATTCTGTATCGAAATTCCCTCCCACGAATCCATTGGCACGCCTGAGCGGGCCTCCAGAAGACGGCATCGAGCTTCGTTATTTTCCATGCTTTGCCAAGGACCAGTGGGCACCTGTGCCATTCGAGCTCTGCCTGACCTCTGCTATGTCGCAGGACACGATGATGCAGAGGAGAGACATCTGGATCTCCTCTCCGTTCCAGATACGTGAGTCTCCCACCACGTTCTTGTGACCTTCTCCCGTCTTCCGCGGTCTTTCCAAACCTTATTGGGAGATAGACAGGCTCTACCGAGCCTTCCGTTTAGATATATGTCACACATGCCTACATCGGCTGGCATGTCATCATGGCGACCATATGTGTTTGCCACCTGGCTTGTTGTTCTGCATGACTTGGTCCAATCTTGACGAGGATCCTTACTCCCCGCTGCAGGCCTCATGTAGATCTTGAGCAGGATGATGACCATCTAGAGAGCTCCAAATCAACACCAAAGTCTGCTGAAGCCCAAGATGACGGATCTGACGAGTCCCAGAAGCGCTGGAGCCAGGCTGAGAAGCTGCAAGATGATATTCGCAAGGCCAGGGAGGCCAGTCCTCCCAAAATGCGCTCCAAGTGCTACTTCAGAATGCTTGTGGTGCGCATCCCCTCTGCTCCTGCTGCACAAGGCTCACAAACACTTGATCATAACACTGCATGGCATGCCCTGTAGACGCTTCTGAAAAGGCCTCCAGGGCTCCTCCCATGATGAGATATTCTGTCATCTTGCCACGCACTTGCAGATTGCACTCGCAACATTGCCACACCAAATTACAATATCATAAGGTTGTGTGTCGGTATCTGTAGGCGGGCGCTCCGGCAACCGGCAAGACAACCTTCATCCAGAACCTGTCCATGACGTACGGGCAAAACGATGACAACGACTTCAGCTCGCCCTCCTTCAAGCGCACGATGCAATCCTCAATGCAGCACTCCTCCAGCACCGGCGAGTTCCTGGAGAGCTTCAGCATTGACCCCACCCGTGTGGAGGACTTCATGGACTGGCCCGCCGACTTGTGCACGCGCGTGGACCTGTCAGACGATTCTGCCAAAATCGACTACCAAATATTTGTCCAGGTCTCGCGCTGCCCCTGAGCTACATCATTTCACCTCTAAATATCAGGGGCTTTTCCGGCTTGTTTTGATCACAATTCTGGCCGTGATTGTGGTTTTTTCGGCTTGAACCGGCCCCATCTGGCCCCCATCTGGCCCTCATTTGGACACCAAACAAGCCCATTTTATTCACAGTGCTTCATGCATGTGTCTCTGCTGATCAGTCCATACGCATGTCCCCCGGCTGCTTGTGTTGCTCCCCATGAATATTCTGGGAGTGCATGATATGGGGTGTAGAAGCATTGCTCAATGAAGCATGTCTAACCCTGCTTCGCTCAAAAGCCCATGCTTGCATTGGGATGCTGTGAGGGGAAGGAGAGCACTGCTTCAGTGCGTCAGGCTATATGCGCTTAATTCAGTTGCTGAAGGAAGTTCGTACTTGTGATGCAGGACACCCCAGGGTTCCAGGCTGAAGGTCCGGAGACAGAGGCCATCTTGGCTTTCATCAACGACGGCAATGTGGCCTACATGAACCACGAGCAGGTGAGTGCTCCAGAACATACTGACACAAGCATTCCTGTTGCAAAAAGCATGGGGCATTTTGTTGCAAGTCTGCGCAGGTCAGTGTGCTGCCGCATTGGGCTATTTTTGTAGGCTGATATGAAATTATCCAACATGGGTCTTTGAAAGCGTTTCTAATCGGTTGTGCAAGGGACCATAATCCGTGCCGTTCTGAATAATCGTCCTCGTTCATGAATGCCTGCTCATATTCAAGATCAACCACTAGGGGTTTCTGGGATGTAAGGCTCCTAAAGAGAGAGGCACGTTTTCTTGTCATGCCATTTGGATCCACGTCAGGCATAACTGCACGCTTCACCCCTGCACGAGCGTCTGAAGTGAAACCATTCTCAAGCATGACAACAGCAAGTGGGTGTTGCTGCAGGCTCAGCACCGCACAGGGCCCATGTCAGAGTTTGAGGACACGCGGGTGGATGTGTGCCTGTACTTCATCACTCCCCACAACCTGCGCCCCGTGGACATTGCAATGATGGAGCAAATCGGCGAGCTTGTGCCTGTCATCCCCGTCATTGCCAAGGTGAGCCCCTGCACGCATGTTTTGAGTCTGAAGGAGCACACCCTCGTGTGACCGCTCTTCTCACTCATCACAACTCTGAGCCATGCTTCCGCATGCAACACATGCACCTCCCTCACCTCAATCTGCACATTCTGGTACTCATTTCCTGGATGTCACACTCGAAGCCAAAATGCAATGCATGCTGTTTGCTGCATGATGTCTTAATCAGGATGCAATGGAGCCTGTCTGCTGCATGATGTTGATTGTTGAATACTGCTGTGACGACTCAGGGAGACTCTATGACAAGATCAGAGCTGGACGACTTCCGTGCGCATGTCAGCGAGGCTGTGCGCATCGGCATGCCTGGCTCGCCTGTGTACCAGTTCACCGCAGAAGACCTCACTAGCACAGGTGCGAACATTGCCTCCTGGCCCAGCACTGTGGAACGCCCTCCCTTCTATGTCAACACATGCATGACGCATGCATGCCAAGCCGCTGCTAAAATTTTACTTATGTGGCCTTGTTGCAGGATTGGAGGGCTCCACTCGAGTGTTTTCTGTCATCAGCAGCTGCATCGTGGACGCATCGGTCGGCAGGTCAGCTACACAATCCCCCTTGAAGTTCTTGACGTCTCCTGCTGCGCGAACCACTTTCGACTCCTGTTGTGTCCTTTGCGGCCAGAGCAGTCCTTGTCTGTTTGTCATCTTCGCGAAATGAGAGTTGCTTCATGTCTCACCTTCTGTGCTGCCAATTTGAAAGTGACGTTGTTCATGCTGCTTACTTCAAAGCGCGCCAACCACATGTAGAATGAATCGACCCAGGATGCATTTTAGAAAAAGGGTTTGAGGGTGAAGCAGTTCCTCACGGGTAGCGCAAGGGACCATAATGTAAATTTGCATGAAGTTTCAGTAAATGTCTACTGACAAGTCTGGTATGGCATGCAGGCACTGGCCGGTGCGCAGCTACCCTTGGGGCACGGCCGAGGCGCTGCGCTCCAAGCACTCGGACGTGCTGGCGCTGCGGCGGCTGCTGTTTGAGCTCTCCTTCGACACCCTCAAGCGACGCACAGACGACCGCTACTACAAGTTCCGGGCCAACCGTCTCAGCGCTGCCACCGTGGCCTCTGAAGCAGGTACTTTGAATTCCTGTATACCTTCCGCTTTGATCTAACAAGATGACCTCTTTGGCACCCTATGACAGCTTGCATGGCAGGGGTGGGAGAATTAAGGCCGACTTGGACGAGGGTAGTATACATTCAAGCATAGACATGCAGTTCCTCTGGACTGTCAGACACTCTCAATTATATTGAAGGTAGATCGCGCATGGAAGGCGGCAGATTTTTCGCCCACTGTCGAGTGGTGCATGTGAGACCCTTCTAAGATAGCTTATATGTACTATGTGAGTCCCCGGCCTAGGCCTCGCTATTACAGCGATGAGACGGCTGGAGCGTGCGCTTAACAGCATCTGGGTACTTCGCATGCACAAATTGCAGATGAGGGGGTGAAGAGGTGCTGAATATCTGTGCAATTTTGCAGAGGCAGCTGTGGAGGAGCCGGATGAGGCCAAGATCGTTGAGGAAGGCTCCATCGAGACAGGTCTGGCTGCGCCCGCCAGCACTGGTGCCACCTCCCAAGCCAAGCCTGCATCCAGTAGGAACAAGCGGCAAGCACCCTACAGGTATGTGAAATGGCTCCTTTCCAATTTTATTAGCAGCTGTGCGTTCACCATCTTCATGCAGGTATTGGTTTTGTTGCTGTCGGCCTGGCCTTTGTCTTGCGCTGAATCCTGTGTGTTCCATTGACGGACCGGGCCGGCTGTCACCTTAAATTTAGTGTGGGTTGAGTTGGTGGCAAGGTATTCTGTAATAGGATGTACAGTTTTTCTCTCTAGGCTGTCTTCTCAAGAGATATGTTTGTGCGGCGTAATGAGATGCACTTGATCAAAACATTGCTGCTCTTGTCTGATTATGAGTCATCCCAAGAAACACAGTGTGTGACATGTCCTTGCTTTTTGTGCATCGCAGCAGACCCCCTGACGCCATGGATATCTTCATCGCGCTCTTCAGCGGCATCATGTTCATCTTTGCCATCTACGGCGCGGTGGCCTTTGTGGCTCCTGGCCGTGCCTGGACCCCATTCGCCGCTCCTGCTCTCTCCCCTGTCTCATCAAACCAGACCCAGGTGCTTTTCCTCTGCACTTGCTGCTAGTGCCTTCCTCGTGCGCGAGTACGAAGCCTCTTCCAGACATCTGACTTTGGTGAGAAATGAAGCCAGATGCACCTTCCAAGACGCAAGCAGTGTTTCGTACACAATAGTTTGTATTGCCCTTTCTGGTATTGTATTGCCCTCTCTGGTATATGGTGAGGAATCTTAATGAAGGCACGTATTATTTATGCGTTGGCTCGTCATGTGTAGTGTAGTGTACCTATAAGCCTATTTTTCAAGCATTCTGCAGGCTCAAAATCTTACACATATTAAGGGTCTCAGAACGAGCGCTACTTCTGACCCAAGACATTGGCGCCTAATGGGTCACTGACGCAGACTTGGAATGATGCCTGCAGACGAAACCCTGCCTGAGCACGCTGGACCTGACAGAGCTGGAGTCGCCGGACAAGGCGCGGCTGCGGGAGGTCTGGGCGCTGCTGAGTCTAGCGCAGGCCGTGGGCGAGCAGCAGGACCCCTCTCTTTGCTCCCAGGAGCGCGGCGCCCTTGCTTACCAGGTACACATGGCACACAGGGGCCCCTGACTCCGTGCCTGCAGGGGGTCTCAATCGTACCCCAGTCAGATATAGTACTACGTGTTGCCTGCTACGGGAAATGTAGCTTGTCGGTGTGCATGCCTGTATTTTGTCTGACAGCCTTTTATATGATCATTCACCTTCCTTTCGAATTGAATAGATTGGGAGAAGTGCTCTGAATCATCAAATTTTTACAAGAGACAAGATGACACCTTCATGGAATCTCTGGAGGTTGTGTAAAGAGATGAGTATATTGCTGAGATGATGTATTTCGCTGCAGGCGGGCATGGCCAAGGCGGAGCTGGAAGCCGCGGAGAAGGCGCAGCGCAGCTTCAAGAAGCTCTCCCGCAGCGTGCGCGAGGCGCTGGCGGCCAAGGCGCTGCGCTGGCGCGCGGCCGCCGGCGGCCGGGCCGAGCAGCTCGGCGCGGCCGTCCGCGCCACCGCGCACCGCGTCGCGCAGAAGCTTCCCGTGCGGGGCGACGGCTCCGGCACCATGGTCATCGATGTCAAGGCGCTCAAGCGCATCGTCATGCGCTGCGGCGTCATGGGCTTCTGGATCTAGGCTCACACCACAGCTAGGGCGCTGCCCTACAACTCTAAATTGTGGGCAGCTACCCACAGCTTGGGCAAAACTGTGTGCCGCTTAGTGACGCGCCTGAATCACTCGGTGGTGGGTCTGTGGGAGCAGCGGCCTTCCAAAGACCCGCTCGCATGGGCATCGTCTCCCGGTTGTCAAACGCAGCATGGCAGTAGCGGCGCGTTTGAATTGCAGTGTTTCTAGAAGAGGCGCGGCTCTTCGCGGAGCCTGACTCATCCAAAGAACAAGCCTTGGGGATGCATTGTGGCATGACAGCAGCGCCGCATCGGCACTGCCATGTGAAGGGCCAGTGTACGCAATGTCAGCCTCTTTGAGAGGGCCAAATGGCAGGGACACCCACGCACAAGTAAAGGAAGGATCAAGCAATGTGGGATTTAAGGAGCCCGCTGTGTGGGGTTGGGTCGGGACTCCTTTCTGGGAGCGCCTCATCAAGTCGGGGCGCTCCTGGCGTTGGCACCCAGCAGAGCTGGTGTGCTGCCTGTATACTCAAACCTTCAGATTCTCTTGTATAGTGTATTGGAACTTGTAGCTGGGGCATTTTGTACAGATGTATTATCGAAGCGGGTCCCGGGCCAGAGGGCCTCCTCTGGGCCTCCTCTTGTGTATGAGCAAAGGGGACTACATCTTCAAGAACACAAGACTGGCACAGACGTTGCCTCCACATGGCCACACAATGGGGATCCTGGCTGCCCTGTAGAGATCTGCTGGTTTTGCGGGGAAGACCACAGTATCATTGAAGAAGCAGATGCACGTGCGTGGCTTCATCTTGCCGCCATGAATGTTTATGAGCAAGGCAGAGTGCCATTTTTGATAATTTCGCAGCGCTGCCAGCATGTGTACATAAGCGTGTATTTTTGCCAATGTAAGTGTAGCCTTATTGAATGGCAGTGCATGAAGTTTGGATGCGTATCAGCATCCCACAGCTACAAGCAGAATAGTCGTGTAAAGGCGTCAATGCCAATGTCTTACAGTTTACCCTGGTGCATTGCTTTTCGATTTGTGCCCCACCGGGGTGCCCACTCGAGCGCGAGCTTGCAAATCAGAGGGGAATCATTTGCGGCGCATGCGAATGCCAGCTCTTGCGGCGGAGAGTGCTCTAGCAAGGAGCACCACACCACTCCAAACAACGGGGGTATTGGGGGAATGCATGTTCTGGCCAAATTTAATCTGTGCGCACCTCAGTCGCACTGCATGCATGAGCAGTACTGCACTATTGGCGTGAATGGCAATCTCGGAAGAACTGCAGGCTAGCGGCGCCACCGTCGTGCAAAATACTTATATACAGATTGCTAGATGCATGCCTGAGCATTCTGACATCAAGATGAGCAAACTGTGCAGGCGTTCAAGTGGTCAGGAAACTTTTCTGGGGCTCCTTGCCTGTTGCATCTGAGCTCTTGCTAATTTTGCATCCAGCACATTGCAGGATCAGACTGCCAGCGAAGTGCCTCACTAGATATCTATGCCTAGAAGCATGCATTTTACAATGGCAGTAAATTTAAAGACCCGATGCTGTCTGAACATACTCAAAATTAGGCTAGCCCTTACATAATGAAAAGTCCCAAGAGCTGCCTGCAGCTGCTGAGCCAATGAGAAATATAGCTCCAGCAACGGCTCTACAAATCCTGGCCGATTATTGAAAGATTAAGCATATGGAGTCCGCTGTTGAAGCGCTCAGGTGCTGTCTACACTGTTGCAACTCCCCCAACATTGTGTGTAATACAGTACTCAACCTACGTGACTTTAGGGAAGCACCAATTTCAGACAATCTTTATTGCCCGCCTAAGACAATTGCAGTTTCACAGTTCAAAAGAAGTCTACAGCCGCTGAATCGTGACCTTGCGAAGCTGGCATCCATTTCAACTTAATTCCACTTCTCTAGTTCCATGCGTTCATTGGCACGCTGACTCACACCAAGCAAAGAAGACTGCACACTGCGGCTCCATTCCAGAATTATTCTGAGTCTTCATGGCAAAAAGATTATTCAAGGGCTGCGTAGCTGGAGCCAAAAATTCCTTGCAGGAAGCGTCGCAGGTGGGGAATGTACTGAGCGCTCATTTCTACATTCTCATGGTGGCACCCCTCAGCCCAGTAAGGAGCCGCCGGCCGCTTGGCCAGCTTGTGCAAATATCTGCCTGCCTCTATGTCCACCACATAGTCCCGCGTCCCCTGCACAACCCGTCGCCCCCTTGTTACTAATATTATCTAGCGTACGTTCTTATTTTTTTAACAATTCCTGCCGAGAGAGCCAAGGTGCGTCTGCAGACAAGCTGCAGGTAAGTGACACCACACATCCTACCTCTCGCTGGACTCTCCAGATCCAGGCACTGCTCATTGCCAGTCATACGCGCATATTATATTGCGCCAGTGCAGTGAGAATCAAGACAAAGTGATCTTCTGGCGGTCAAGCCTTGCGTATCATGCGAGATTCTCATTGGGCATTTAATGAGTATTTAGAGTGGGAGTGAGGGGACTCACATGGAGGACGCAGACGGGCGCCTCCACTTGCTGTATCCGCTCCGAGTTGGGGAAGATGTCACACCAGGACGGGAAGTACTTTCCCCCAGGCCTCACCTGCCTCAACCCTGAGCACACACACACATGATCCGATTTAGAATGCTCTGCACGTCATGATTGAAGACAGGGGGACCTTTCTAAGCTGCTAGTGGGTCATCTAGGGTCTAGCTGGGACTTGATTCTTTGGACCATGGGCCCCTAGATGAGTCCTGTATCCTGTAGCATGTCAGCTTGCATGCTTGTCACGCTGTCAGAGCCTCCCTCCCTAGTGTGCACCCCTCCAACAAAGAAAGAAAGAAATAGACAGGAAAATGACAGGGGAAAATAGCGGATTCAGACCCAGAAGGGATCCCCGCAAGGCCCCCACAGGCGCCGCATTCCAAGATCACAAGGATGCAATGGCCGTATGAGCTCAGGGGCCGCATGGCATGTGCAGGCATGTGCGCGCACCTGAGGCGAACGCAGCATGCAGCACCACGCCGGCAATCCTCTTCTCCCGGGCAGCCAAGTCCAGCGTGGGCCCGGAGCCAAGGCTCTGCCCGTACAGGATGAGATCCTGCCGCTGGACCCCCCGGCGCTGCAGCCATGCAAAGACTGCGTCCACATCCGCAATTGTGTCGGCCACTGAGGGCCGCCCGCTACTCTGCCCGTAGCCGGTGTAGTCATACGCGCAGAAGTTGCACTTCAAGTCCTTCGCAACCTCGCTGCAGCCCACATGCATGCGTCAAGGGTGCTAGCGCAACAAAACATATGGTTCTGTGTCCAACAAATTGCAGGAGGAGTAAGGAGTAAGAAGTGAAGTGAAGGGCAGACGCATTGCTCTGCAATGCAGGGATGTGTTACTCAGGGAAGGGTAGCACGAGGACAAGGAGTGAGGCAAGCTTTATGACATACAATATTTGCACAGATTGACATTCTGCACCTATGCACGTCATGCCCGATGGTCCCTGTGCTTTTGCCAGGCACCGCTGCACGAGTGTGGGTTGAACGGGACAGAGCATGCATGGAAGCATGCAAGTGCTCCTGACTTGCTCCTGCCTTGCATGCTTCCATGCAAAGCAGACGAAACTGTGGAAGGGCACAACAAAACAAGATGACAGGGTGCACGCAGCGAGGCATGTCTAGCAGACAAACCTGTAGAAGGGCACAAGTCGGCCCAGGTCGACTGCAGTCCCGTGGCTGATGAGGATGGTGGGCCTGCGCACGGCCTCAGGGAAGGGGGATGCTGCCAAGCTGTAGGAAGTGCTGGCAGCCTTTGCAGGCTTGAAGTCTGACTTGTATGGTATAAAGACGGCCACTATCGTGCTGCCACGAGCTGTTGTGAGCCGCACCACATCTCCCTCAGGCAGCTTTCGTCCTCCCCTTCGCCGCCAGGGGAACTTTGAAGCAAGTGAGGTTGTCAGACTGGCATGGGTTGCACTAAGTGGAATGACAGGCAGCTGCAAGACTCTTCAGAAGACCTGCAGGCTCTGAGTATTGATCCAGATGTGTGACATTGCAAATACATTTGTAGTGCATGGGCTGAATCAGACTCGCTGCAAGGGGTCCCAACATCCTCAACCCAACTAGAAGGAAGAGGTTCAGGAGTGGTATACTCCGGCAATAAAACTCAGTCATTTACTTTCAGTAAAGGCGCTGTAAGACAAGATAGGGTCACTCACGGTTTTCCTGGGCCTAGCACGAGCTTGCCACCAGGCCCCTGTTTCACAGTGTAGCCTGGTTGCGAGGGGGGCTGGAAAACGAACCCAAAGGAGCTGGCGAACCCAGATCCGCTTTTTGCTATGTTACTGACGGGTTCAATTACTCCCCCAAAGAAGGCCTCAAGAAACCCCATTCTGAAAATGTCCAGTGACCAGCTGAAAAATGTTTTGCTCCTTTTCTAGATCGAACAACAAAGAGAAGATGTGTGCAGTGATCTACATACGTGTATGGATTGCGTCCTATTCCAACAGCACAAACAGAAGCTCAATTTAATTGCATTGGAGCTTGGCTGTCAGGAATTGATCGGTCAGGCTGTGTCTTCGGAGGCGTTCCATGCCCACATACGAAAATTTAACTTTCGACCTCCATTTTGCTCGAATCTGCGTGACACAGATCCTGCGAAAGATTCGAGTACTTCCTTTCTTGTCTTGGTGTATTATCTACATTGTGGAGATTACAGGTTGCTTGTCTACAGTACGCAACACAAACTAAGTGGAAGTCGGCAAGGGTGGTACAACATAAGTGTGCTGGGCATTGAAGCACTCTGCTCAATTTTGATCTATTCAGAGGACTGATCAGGCGACCACACATCGGGGGCTCAAAGGCCTTGCAGATCTAGCCGCTTTGTCATCCAAATATATTGCAACATGCAACAAGCAGAAGGCCTCAGCAAAGGTCATACTGGAGAAGGAACAGATGTTGCTGGCGTTACATCAGTTGTGAAAGCTTCCGTGGAGGATGGCAATGCCCAACCGTCTACGAAGGTCAAGAAAGCGGGTGACTCAATGTACCACGAACGCCAGGGGTGTGGCTTGTTCTGGGCCGTGGGGCGCTGCAGACCGACAAACTACATGATTGTGAGTCACAATATACAGCCTCAAGCATCCAAAATAGCATCCTAAGGGCGATCACGCGTGTTCTTCTTGTTTCAGAGCTGGTGACGAGGCCTTCCTGTTATGAATGAACATATCAACAAATTAAAGCATCAGTGCATTTCTGAAGGGATGTATTTTTATTGTGCCTGCAGCTGTGTCAGCGGCCATTGAACGCAGATCTGAAGAAGCCAAACCACAATCAAGACTTCATCGCTCCCTTGTTCCGCAACTATCTGATGCCCTACCGGTGACTTTCCTTTGGGGCTCTGACCCTTTCTGCTTACACAGTTGCTGCCACAGTTGCTACAACTGCCTTTTGGCGCAGACACTAACTTGTTTCACATGCTGTGCACAGGAAGTTTCTGTATGCACTGCCTTTTGCGAACAGAATCTACAAGGTGACATCACAGCTTCCGCACATGCTGCATGCTCATTATTGGCCTTGGCCTTGTGCAAGTACGTCCCTGCATGTCATTGCCAGCCAATATCTTGTCTCTCTTGAACGCGTCCATGCTCTGCATGCTGTGATGGGGTGCACAATCTCGGCCATCTGGTTGCTGATGACCAGAGGGGTAAACATTTTGAAGAGAAGCTCTTGCTGAGATCCAGGCTATGTGCAGTTTGCAGTCGAGGACATTGTGGGAGCATATGGCATGATCAACTATGTGGATGCGCGCACAGCCTGGATGGATGACATTGTCAGGAAGGCACAGGCCGATGACATTTCCCAGGCATGCCACCTCAGCTACCCTTGCCCAAGCCACAGCTGAGCATTGTTGCACATAAATACCAGAAGTAGGCAGTCTGCCCGATACTGGGGATTTGCTCGCCAAGGTGGGGTCGCCAGGATATGGCCTGTCCGCTGTCGAGCTGCAGAAAACTAGGGGACCTTAAAACAGCTGCAAATTCACAGAAAACATCAGACAATGAGAATCTGATCCACCAAGTGCCTAATGTGCGGATTATTTTGTAGTTGAGTGACTTAAATGCTTGGTTGCAGGTGGTCATCATTGCTGCCGGTTACTGCACGCGCGCATACCGCCTCAAGCTTGGCAACACAGCGGTGCGAATTACACACCCTAAATTGACATCTTGCAGCCACAAATGCTTCAGCATGGGAGCAGACCTGGCAGACACAAATCCTCATCCATGTTCACTGCACAGTTCTGCAAGCTATCACTTGCTCCTGGGCTTTAGTGGCAAGTTCTGACAAGGCCTGTGGTTAAGGGCGGGTGGCTGAAGAGAGACTTTGTTTTGCTGCGGGCTGCAGTTCTTCGAGGTGGATCTTCCTCAGGTGTCTGAGAAGAAGATAGCGCTGGTGGACGCTGTCATCCCCGACAAGGCAAAGGTACTGTCTGATCCAGAAGCAGCAATTGGTTTGGGGCATCCTGTTTTTAGGCCCCATTGTGCTCAAATCCTTTTGATGGTGCTCATCATGACAGGCCGCAGCAGCACAAAAGGAAAGTGTTCTCATGAACTGTCATTGGCCTTGTTGCTCTTCTATGCATCAAGCTTCACGGCAACCCTAACAGCAGAATGCACTTTCCACTCCCTTATGTCAGGGGGGACAGAAGTAAACTGGACTGTGATTCTGCTGGTCCTAGTCTCTTCCCTAGGCTTTGAGGTTGAACCGGACATTTATCGATGTTTTCTTTTTCCCTGACAGCTGCTGTGCGATCGGTGCAGTACCCTCGCCCCGCTTATGTGGCGGCTGACCTGGCGGTGACGCCATTGAAGGAGGCTCTGACAGCCAAGGAATTTGACGCAAGCAAGCCCACCCTGTTCACCTGCGAGGGAATCTTGTGCTACCTCCCCCAGGTTCTTTCTTCATCTCACCCCTCCCACATATATTTGCCTTTGCAGTCCCATTGCATTTTTGCCCTTGCCCTGGCACAATAACACTATGCTGCCTATATCATTCCACAGTGGTTGAGTGCCACCTCTGACCGAACCAGGCATTGCTTGGCATCCCTGCTCTTAGTTTCCTCTCATCCATTGCCCCACATAGAGGTCAAGCTGATGACACTGGGTCCAGCGAGAAATTGTTTCACGTGCCTAATTATGCGGGTGCAGTGACACACACATCTTTACCATCTCAACTGTTTCTGGAAGGGCGAAGCTGCAGATCTTGAACGGTTATTGAGAGGGCTATGTGGCTGGGAAATAGCCAGCAGGTGCTGACGGCTGGCGTTGGAAGTTGTGCAGGAAGCTGTGGACGGCCTGATCAGGCAGGTGAGTGAGCTGGCGGCCCCCGGCAGCCGCATCTGCATGGACATGATCGACCGGGCCTACCTGGACGGCACCGTCAAGAACCGCGGCTTCTCCTGCGGATCCAAGGTGTGCTTTTTGTTGTGAGAGACCCTTATTCAGCGCTTTTTGACCTCATGGTAATTTTTGCCGCCGATTTGTTACACTCTCATTGGAGTCCTCTGAGAATACCGCTATCAGCTGAAGTCTGCCTCCATTGGCTGCCAATCATATTGATGGATGCTCTTGTGCGGACAGATTACCAGCGCTACAGGTCCATTTATTGAGCGACTGCTTGCCGGTAGTTCAATTAACGAATGCTGTTGTGGGCAGGACCGCCGAGGCTGCATTTCTGTGATCTGAGCAAGCATCTGACTTTGATAGTGCTGTGTCCTTGCATCATGATATCCCCTGTTCCTTTTGGAGACCACCACCTGAAAGCATGCCAATTTGTTAGATTTAGGTGGCCTGGGCTATCTGAAGGTTCTATGTTGCATGCAATGTTTGTGGAATCGGATCGATTGTGGAGTCGGCTTGATGAGATGATGCTGACTCTGGAATGTGGGTGTGCAGGCCCTGGAGGCGCGGGGAGAGCCGCTGCTGTCCAGCTTTGAAACCACGACAGAGGGCGTCTCGCGCTACTTCAAGCCCCACGGGTGGCAGCTCCTTGAGCTTCTGGGCCCCCAGTGCGCAACTTACTCCTTGAATGATTTACTGTGGGGCTGCACCAATGTCATGTGCATGCCACACACACAAGTCCTCCCGACCAGCAACTTGTGAGTGTACATCACAATGCGTTGAAGTTTTGCTCATGCTTGTAAACAGTGTCCAACTTTGAACCCTCGTGGGCAGATGTATATCAAGAGGAAAGGTGCTGGTGATAGTTGATCGAAGAGAGAGGACTGTCTCGTTTTCTGATCCTCTGGACACCACGCGCCGCATAACCTTTCATCCTCTGAGTTGGGCACCCTGCTTCATGACAGTCAAAGCAAAAATGCTTCAAGACAGTCCTTCCTCGGTTGTGGGGCATCAGTCAATCTGACTTTGACAGTCTGACCCTCACTTTGAATTTCAGTCCTCAATTTGGGGCGCAGGGAGATGGCCCAGAAGTGGATGCCTCACCTCAAGTGGAGCGAGCGCCGGCCGCCCATGCTTGTGTTCGAGCACTACAGCCTGCTGCAGAAGGGCGTTCCCTACCCTCTGCCAGCTGTCAATGCTGAGTCACCACCCTCTGCTGAGTCAGCACCTGCCGTGCAGCAACCCCCTGCGCCAGAACAGGCCGCCGCTCCAGCTCCCCAGGAAGCTGCGCCTGTCGCGGAGGCAGCTGCCCCGGCCGAGAAGCCAGAGTAAGCTATTGCGCATGCAGCTGCAACATGCAAGGCGCTGCAAGGGCGTTCATATTTCATATATTCATTTTACAGCCCCTGATGAGCTACAAGGGGTGCTGTGGACAGCAGAAGGAACGTCAGCCCAGGAAAAGTGCAAGGGCGCCTGCTTGCTTTGGGCGTTTGGGAATATGAGATTGGAGTGCTTTGAGCACCCAGGACTATGTGGCAGCAGGAATCTTTGTACGCGATGGAATTCATGCTGGTGGAATTACTCAAAACCTGCCACAATGGATGACCAAAGTCAGAATAATAATATAATACTCAGTGGGACTGGTAGGTTGATCACAAGACGAACCAACGGAAACAATGGACTTTGTTTTAAAGTGTATCTGAGGTACAGGCACTTCGTAATCAAGGATAGAAAGTTGCTCTGTGGCTTACAAGGATGAGAAAACAACCAGTTTGAGACTTTTCTCTGCAAGTCGTTTAGTGGTTGAATTTGATTACGACGTCAAGATACCCGCTAAAGCCTTACCTCTCAGAATTGTAATGCATGCATCTGTGGAGATGCATGCGCATGCATTTGTGTATTTACAGATTTCCAGGACATGCCTCTGATTGCTCGCATTTGCATTTGATTCTCAGATTATGATGCCAGGTGTTCTAAAAGCGCATGAGCACCTGTACATGTGGTGTCCTATGTTCCACTAATAAATTAGCAAACCAAACAAATACTCATTGACATTGCAATATCAACAAGTCTAACCCCCTGAAGAGTCTGGTCACCCTGCCTCTCGTTGAATGCCACATCCCTGCAGTTGCTGCTCTAGCTACCAGACAAACTAAATTCCAGTTGCACTATCAAGGCACCCCTGGCATGCACCTGGACATCTGAATACTAGCTGAAGTAGCAACTCTTCTAAGCCTCGCTGTTTGCATTGGCGCCACATCAATACTAGGAGGCTGCCGGTCCTTTTTAGGCACCACACTCTTCAGAAAACCCCCTAAAACCTTCCTCAACTGGGTGCCTCCTGCCCTCAAAGATTCATGGTTAGAAACTAGGCTCTGTAATCGTTGGACAGCAGAGGATTCCTGCTGCATGCAATTCTGAAGTCAGCAATGGGGCCCCCCCGGTCGGGAACATCCTGCTCTGGAAGTTCTCTGCTGGCTCCTGTTGAGTAATTAAACCCGGCTTATAATTCTCGGTCATTAATCTCGAGCGCGCTGACTCAGCGGTCTGTCTGCAGGGCGCTGATGGCCCTGAGGATGCCAGCTGTCAGGTCGACAGGGTTAGTCAGCATGCCCTGGTGATCCGCCTCCACCTCAATCACCTGTAAGCCAACACCCGCTGTAACTTCCCAGCTTCTGCACCGATTACTTAAAAATGCGAAAAGTGACAGGGAAAAGCATGCTGTGCAATTGAATGCCCTCTACTGCATGTCCTCAAAAGCACTTTTGCACTAAGCTCCACCAGAAAATATTCTGGTCAACAAGGCTTCAGAGGCAGGCATTATAGACAGGAAGGCTGCAAGCTGAAGACCCTTTATGACAGTGACTTTGCTGCCTGAGAAATCCATATTTCAGGATCCTCTCACTGTAGAGGGAGAAGGTTTTGACAGGGCCACCGCTACGACACACCCAATCCTCATGCATCAGAAAGGCATGTAAAAATAATAAAACAAGCACAGAGAAGGAACAAGGGGCCGCAAAAATACCTGCAGGCCGAGGCCGCCGTTATTTGCGCGCGCGAGCCGGTCCGCAAACAGCAGCCACGCGCGCGGATCCGTACTGAGACTGTGGTCCAGAGTTTCATAGATGTATGCCTTGGGCTTGGAGATGGTAAAAAAGGCTGAGACGTCCAGGGATGTGACCTCTGGGCCCTTGGGTTCTGGCACCATGAGCTTGTAGGTGGCCAGGACTAATGCATCGTTGCCCGCGCAGCTGTTCACCATCCAGCCGCGGTAGAGGTCCACTGTGAACTGCTGGTAGAAGAGCGGGTAGCTGAAAAGCAGCGAGAACCAGGCCTGCGCAGAACAGCACCCCTAAGCTGTCAGGCATTTGAACTTGAAATCACATTTGAATTAAAATCACCCCTGCGCAGCGCAGTGCCCCACAGCTTTAAGACACTTTTCATTCGAACTCGAATTTTACAAAGATTAGAACCAGGCCGCGCATCGCACGGCCCCACAACTGCCAGTCATTCATTTGAAGTTGAATTTGGATTCAAGATGAGACTACAAAAGCTCGCTGCTCTGCTCTGCTGTGGCAAGCTCATGCTGCTTACCATGCGCCGGCGGCATGCTCTGTGCTGTTTGAGCTCCATCTGACACCCCATGCCATGACTGTGCACTGTTATTGGGGCAAACTCAAGGCGACCAGCTGTGCGGCCGGTAGTTTGGCATTTGCCTTCATCATTAATGTCGCAGCCGCTTTGGGGGGAGGAATCCACAATAGGCTGACAGACCCAAGCATGCGCTCATGCAGGCAGGATAAGGAAAATTGGACGGTCGGATTTGCTCTCCAGCACACCTTTACAACAAACCTTCCTGCTCCCTCAAATCTTCCCTTGCCACTGTGTGTCAAGCGCGTCAGGCAATTGCCAGGGAGCAAGGCGGCACCTGCGCAGGGAACGCTGGGAGCGTGGAGACGACGCCGCCGATCCTATTACTAAAGAAGCTTTCGCCGGGCAACAGCACCGCCGCGTCGATGAAGACAAGGGAGGCGATGCGGTTGGGGATCTGCTGCAGCAGCATCTGCATCCACACCCCCGCCAGCGAGTGGCCCACCAGCACCACATTCTGCAAATTGTTCTGTGTTATCACCTGCGGCGCAATGCACAGGGTCATGACCTGCATCGCTTGATAGCATTCTTACTAGCATGCTGCAGCTCTCAGGGCCGGGTGCGTTGCAGCAACTTCTGAACAGCTGCCTCCAATCCTTCCCCATGTCCTTCGCCGTGATATATGGTGGTGTGAACAACATCTGATTGCCTTTCTAATATGTGAATGCTCCCCCAAGATCTAAAATGGCCCTTTTGCCGGGCCCCTTCATGAGACAAGAGCTGCCAAGACAGCAGCCAATATTCCGGTGCCTTCAGAGGCTCCATTTGCAGCTGCATGGTCTTGCTGCAGCCCCTGACACACCAGACCACTAGCTTCTATCCGTGGGTGCTGCTTGACACATGCATTTGGCACCCACCTGGATGTAAACATCGACATACTTCTGCACTGTCATCTGCCCATCCATCCATGACCAGTGGTCGTATGGGGCGTGAAATGGCAGTGTTGGGTTAAACACCTGGTGCCCCGCCTGCTCCAAGAGACCCTTCACCCCCTGCATGCAAGCAAACAACCCTCTTGGTGAGATCAGCCGAAGCAGATCCCAATGCATAGCTTTTTCTACTTAACCATCCGGAAGCTCCTGGGACATTTTCTTCTGCTCCTGGCTGCATGTGACCTGGCCTGCTGTGATGTGCAAAACGTCCATTAAGGAAGAGATTGCTCTGCAGCATCTATTGCAGCTGTACTCACCGCAGGTGCACCTATTTCTGGCCGCGAGTAATTCCACACCCAGCCGCCCTGGATGGCTCCGTGCAGCAGCACAATGGGCGATCTCGGCCCATTGATGACTGTGCTGTCTATCGATGTCACTGCTGCTAGGCCGGCTGTGTCCCCAATCTCCAGATCAAGGGAGATGCCAGGGGCTGGTGCAGGCCCTGGGCCTGCCCCTGGCCCTGGTCCTGGGATAGGGCTCCAAGCTTTTTGATAGGCGTTCACCTGCTGAAAAATCATATTCAATCGGTGCATGTCACGAGCACGGTCTAGGACTGAAACGATAAAGCACTTGCGAAGTGCTTTGAGACTCTTGTCGACGAGCTGAAAGGCTGAGTCTGGAAGGCTTACCTTGAAGGGTCTCAAAAACAGAAGTAGCACCAAGATCCCAGTAGAGCATCGTCCAGCAACTGTCATTTAGGAGCTTGGGGCTTTGTTGTGTTCCAAGGCTCCGGCATGGGCTTCGTGGCCCTCCTGCGAAAGATAATCTTCGTTGATGCGCTACCCGCTGTAACATCAATCTATCATATCCAGTATAGATTACTTACGGCGTGAACCGCGCCACAGCAGGTTCTCTTAGCAAAGGATAGCGAAGACCACCCACGACGCCCCAATCACGACGCCCCTCACCTGCTTAACTTTTCATCGGTAGCTCTATTGTGCGCTCTAAGTATCCTCAAATGTGCCGTATTCTCTCCATTTCTGTGCCCAATCAATTACTCAGTGGACAAGCGCTGTCTTTTCGTCCAGAACTTTTTAATCGGAGGCTTGATCCCGCACTGCAGGATACTTTCTCTTCCACCACCAGTCACCACTGAAATCTGCAAAGCATTTATATTTGTGGCGTCGAGCGGAGATGAGCTCAGTGCTGCGTGTTGTGGATGAAGATCCAAGGATCAAGGTGTCGGAAGTTTAGGAGACTCCGACATGGGCAGGCTACAACCCTCGTATGAAATCTATAGCCCAGCATTTTACTAAGCATGGCAAGCGGATCTTCACTCCATCACCTTTTGACATCAGCACATCACTAACTTGCAAAGACGCATCCATATTGGACCTGTCTCAACTGCAGAATACTGGCTTCCTTCTTCTCCTTCCAAAACCTTGTATGTCTACACTGGTTCAAGAGCTCAGGCTGATTGCCACAGACACAGTGGGCAATCACATCAACATGTACAGGGAGGCATTTCCGCGCAACTGGAGATCAGGTTGCAGGGAGTCATACATACAGTTTCTTGCCAGATGACATGCGCATGCACCGTGCTGCTACACAAAGACAGGCAAGCCGCGGTCAGCAGCCGAGTCGAGGATGCTGTTCAGCTGGTTGCAGACTGAGGCGATCTGCTCGTCCCACTGCTTCAGCCCCTCTGTGTCAGAATCAAAGTGCAGCAGCCCATCCACCTGATCGATTGACCCCTGCACCAACACACGACACGTGACCAAAAAGCATCCACCCTTGCCAATTTCGCTGCCCCTGGCTGATAGGGGGACAATGTGCAGATCAGGTGACTGGGCTGCCCATGACAGGCTGATCAGAATGTGCTAAGGGACCGACTTGCGAGAAAATCCATGCCAGAAGCAACCCACATAATTTACGGCTGTCTTGCAAGCGAATAGCTCGAGTGTCTGCAATTTGCCATGTAATCTCCAAAGCCAGCAACTTGAATGGCTCATATGCCATAAATCCTCTGCACTTGAACCCGCCCAGAAGAAGGCTCCAAAGCCAGCAGCTTGCAAAGATAAGCCTGCAAAGCCACGAGGTTGAACGCGCACCTGCAGGCGGTGCCAGGTCCCAGTACTCTTTCTGCAAAGGTAGGGCCCGGACTTGAGATGCTTGAGTTCACGCATTTGCCAGCAAACACTCTGAAGGTTCACAGGGTGTGCAGGCTCGCAAAGATAAGGCTGTGAAGCCCAAGATTGTTTGCGCACCTGCAGGCGACCCTCGGCGGGGGAGAAAATAAAAACTAATCCAGCACATCGGAAAAAACAAAAACCTGCAAGGCCCGAGGTTCGAGCGCGCACCTGCAGGCGGCCCTCGGTGATCATGCGCGAGGCGACTTTTTCTGCGGAGGCCGGGGGCACGCCCAGCAGCTGGCCGAGCTCGGCGAAGAAGATGTTGGTGTAGAGGCGCGATGCGGCCGCCAGGTTGTGCTCGACCACAGCGCGCTCCAGCACCGTCGTGCCGTCCGCCGTCACCGCCTTCTGGTGCGCCTGCAACCCCTCCGCAAACGCCTCCACCTGCGCTGGCGAGGAATGATGAACTCACGCATAGAGTTACTGTTTACGCTACTCCTACTACTATCATTCTCACCCTAAATAGGCTACACGCTGTTCCTGCCAGAGGCAAGCTGCAGGTAAAGCTGCCACATATCCTGCCCCTTGTCGGACTCGCCAGATACAAGCAACCTCTAAGAAGATGCATGCTTCTAGCTGGAGTTATAGACTGCTCCAAGCTAGCCATCACTTCCTACTCGACTCCCGCATGTCCTTTCTACCTTGCTGCTCCACAAGCCCTTTTCCGAGCGTAAAGAGCTGAGATCTCCTTCTTGAATGCTGTGTGGTGTTACTTGGAGCTCTCTGAATGCTTCTGAAGTACATAACAGCTGTGCATCGGGGGCAGCAACCTTGAGCCGAAGGGAGAATGTGCTCTTTAAGAAGGTAAGTCACCTCCTGGTGGCGCAGGATGCGCTCGAGGTAGACTTTTTCGAGGAAGGAGAAGACGGGGAGCCGCGCGCAGCGCTCGTCCTTGTACAGGTTGGCCAGCACTCGCGAGCGCTGCGGCCCAGCCGCCGCCAGTATGCAGCACGTCACTGCCGCTGTCAGCGCCTGATCCAGCTCGTCCTCCCCAACCTGCACATGCATAGAAAATCAATATCAATGATTGTTACTATCATTACATAATAACAAAAGCTATTCCTGCCAGAGGCAAGGTGCGTCTGCAGGTAAAGGCTGCCACATATGCCACCCCTTGATGGACTTGCCAGATCCAAGAAATACCCAATCAAATGTGGGCACGGTGCTCGGTATGGTCCCAGTCAGAGCCAACCGCCCTGATCATGCCTGGGGCGTGATTAGGAGACAGAGTGTAGGCATGCCAAACGCATGGCCGTTGATCATGATAAACCCATGCCACCTATGCACATGCAGATTGCTCTCTTCTCTCTCCTCTTCTCTCTCTCTCTCTCTCTCTCTCTGTGCCTGTATGAACAAAAGCTTGTTCACAGATTGGGCATTCTTCCACCCGGAACTCACTTGTTGGCACATGCCACCCGAGGCCTCATCTCGCTGTACTATGGGCTCCTGTAGACCATTTGGGAAGCACTCCTGACAATAGGAAGGAATATAACCTGGACGATTGCCCCGAGTCTGATAAAAATGTTGTGTACCCATTCCCTTTTTTTGTACAACTTGCCCCGCATGTGTGGCAGCGCTGCCACAGCAGAACAAATGCAAACATGACGGGGTGACGGAAGAAACCTCCGTGTTAACAAGGTTGGGGTTTTCGGTGGCCCAGACCCTCAGAAATAGGAAAGGCCCTGGCAGGCACACACCTTGATGCCAGCGTCGGTGTCGCTGCTGCTGACCTGGGACAGGTCATAGTACCTGGTGGCAGCTTCCAGGAACCTGCGTTTGGCGTCCAGAATGCGCGCATAGCAGCTCTTGTACTTCAACTCCAGCTCAGAGACCTGCACAGCACCAGTATATGATTATTATCATCACCACTGTTACACATGTTTCCTTCTAAGTGGCAAAGTGCCTACGTGATCATGTTGCATGATATTCCGCAAACCAGAAAGCTCTCATTAGTGTCCTGTTGCCAAGGACACCAGACAGTGTTTTAGGAGTAGCAGTATAATACAAGGAATTGCTGTCGCAGTGTGGAGGGACGTGATGGTTGGCTGACCTTGCAGCTGGCGATGAGCGTGGCGGCCTTCTTAATGAAGATCTCAGCGCTGACCGCATCGTCATCCTCCAAGTAGAGCATGGCTATCTTGATGTTCTGCCGCAGTTTGTACTCGTCGTCCAGAACTCGCATGCCTGTCACAGACGCACTTTGCATGAGTTCAAAATCAGCAACGGCATCATCTCTACAAGGTTCAAGTGCTTGTGGGTAACCCCAGTGCAATTTTGCAGTTGCTTGAGGCAGTTTTTTGAAATTGTGTATGTGTACAGATGTATGTGCCAGAAACATGGGATGCCAGGCGAAGCTTGCCAGTGATAGCGACCGACCTGAGTCAAGATCGATGCCTGCCAAGACCTTTGCTGCTTTGGCCCAGTCCTCCTCATCTTCTAGTAGCTCTGCCAGCTGCTCCCTGATGGCTGTCACCTGTTCCTCATAGCTGACCACTCGCGGCTGCAGGGCATCCAGTGCACTGCAACAAACACATCCTCTCATAAAGCTATCCATATAGAACCAAGCTTGAGACAAGATTAATTCCACAAGCAGATGGCAAGCTGCCAAATGTAAAAGCTGGTGCAGTGCAAGGCAAACAAGCGATCCTGTTTCTTGAGGGGTAACTCACAATGTGGCTACTTCTTTGTGGACATCATGCGGAAGTTTCTGCTTAATGTCCTGTGTGAATTGTTGCAGGAGCTGTCTGCTGACAACAAGAGGAACTGCGTCCGAGAGCACTGCACAAAGCATGCTAAGAGTCAAGTACCATGTGTGACATGTGATAATTACTTGTGGACATTCTGGCTTCGACATTGCAGAAATATTCATCTCCAAAGGTATCTTAAACAAGAAGTATTGACTTGACTTTCGGTGGAAAAGCAGATGGAGGAGCACGCATCAAAAGTTCAATAGTGAGTTAAGCATTATAAAGTCGGTCTTGGAGCTACCAAATCTCTGTTACTTACTGTGTTCTAAGAAATCTTTGCATTGTTGCGCGCTGCCGCTGTCAAGGACCTTCGCCAAAGCTGCTTTGTACTGCTCGATCTTCAATTTTTGATCCGTGAGACCCGCAACGCTCTCTAAAGAGCTCGTCATCGTTCCTGGGATGTGCTTGATCTCCTTACTTCCGTTGATTTCTGGAGAATTGTCTTGTCTTCTGGACTCGCTGACCCAGGCTCTCAATATTCAAGACGAACAAATGCAGTGCAGTGCAACCCACGTGGGTTTGACCCCGTTTCAAAGGGGAAAACCCTAGCGACAACCAAGCTGTCCTTCTTTGGAATTTGCTGGGTGCAGCACAATTTTAGTTGCAATCAGCACTATGTGAAAGTTTACGTTACACAATGCTCGAAAATTGCTATTGATGTAAGACTGTTGTTCGAAAAAATTTCCAAGGCATCCTCTTTTTATAGCAAGCCAGAGGCTGGTGAAAGTGGACGATGCGTGAATGTGCGATGCATCTACAACGAAACAATTTGCAAATATATCCCATATCATAGCAGAAAGGCGTCGAGTTTGCAGGCCATCAGCGCGTGGTATTCCTAGTAAAACTGTTGTTGTAGTAGTGCACTTCGCCCAGAATACAGCCCGGGGCTATGTGAAATTTTTGGGCATGAGTGGGAACAATCGGCGTGTATGCACGTACTACCAGAAGACTGGGCGTTGCCGCTATGGTGATGCCTGCAGATTCTCTCACAGCTCTCCCTCCATGGTGCAAACGGCAGGTTTCCAGGAGCGGGTGTGGAGTCATCAAGAGGTGAGGAGCTTGGAGACGATAACTCGTAATGCACACAGGACCGCTGCTAGCAATCCGGCTGCCAGGCGAGCGTTAATATCCTACAGGAAGGCAGCTTGCAGCACCGAGGTTGCAATTCTCTTCTGATTGATACCAAGGGCCAGCAACCACTGACATGCTCTGATGTGCAGGCCAGCTCAAGCCACGAGCACCCAGTCTTCCCCAACGTCCGCATCATGTCCTACAACATACTTGCCGATCAGCTGGTAAGGCAGCCCAGTGTGGAGGATGTATTACAGCCTGCAAAAAGAACTGCCTGTCTTAGTGCATGGTGTGAGCGAGTAAAGGAGCACTTGCTGCGTCCTCCTGCATTGTGCACCCAATGTCTTATTTTCTCGTGCACAACGTGCATTATCAGATGAGCGCATTGGGCGTTTGGAAGGGATGTTCTGAAAGACAACGAGCACAGCACATGAGCCTATCTAGACCGATGTATGGCATGTCTATTCAGGCGCCTGAGCACGCGGAAGAGCCTATCCTGACAGGTGTATGGCATGTCTGTTCAGGCGCATGAACACGCGCACGAGTTGTACCGGGCATGCCCAAAGTGGTGCTTGCAGTGGGAGCACAGAGGGCCTGCCATCATGGCAGAGATCGAGCACTGGGCGCCAGACATCGGCTGCCTGCAGGAAGTCGATTGGCCCGACGAGTTCCACGCCTTTCTGCAGGAGCTTGGGTAAATGTCCTCATCCTCTGTGCATGTTGTATTCCCCCATGACCCTCTGGCATCATACTGCCTCCCCACAGCACTGCCTGGCAGCTTATTGTGATTACTGTGCTTCTATGCCTCGCTCATCCCCAACATCTCTGGCCACAGTGTACAAGAATGTCACCGTGGGACTGACGTGTGCTTCTCACTCACATTCTCAACTTTTAGCATTGATGCAAGGCCCAGCTGGAAGGGTGTAAAACGGCTGAGCATCCTGCCCCCAATATAGTTCGGTGCTGCTTGGATTTGGCGAGAACAATGAGGTGCATGACATGTGCTAGCCTAAATCTGCAGCTTTGGCTGCAGACGCACTTCTTCTTGCCTCTCTTGTCAGCAACAAAGTGTAATAACAGAACTGCATGACCTTGTTTTGGCTGCTTTGGCAGGTACGAGACGGCGTACGCGCCGCGCACGGGAGATCGCTGCGACGGCTGCCTGACCTTCTGGCGGCGCAGCCGGTTTGTGGCGCTGCACACGGAGGCCCTGCAGATGCGCAGCTTCGGGCTAAAGGACAATGTTGCATTGTTGGTGCTGCTGGCGCCTGTTCTGGCGTCGCCCCCCGGCAGCGGCGCGGCGGCTGCCCGCGCGGCTGCCGACCCTGCCGCACCGGCGCTACTCGTCGGCAACACCCACCTGCTGTTCAACCCCAAGCGTGGCGATATCAAGGTCTGTTTCTTGAAGCTCCCCTGCTTGTTGACTGCCAAGCCCAACCAATGCCAATGAGAGACTGAACAACGGAACCAACAAATTCATCACCAAAACAGTGGTAGCCTGCCCAGCTTGCATTGCCTCCTGTTCACATGCATGAGCGTTAAATGTGCTTTGCATGCCTGGGGACATGGATTGAAGCTTGGATCGGTCCTAAAATTTCACAGGGCAGTTCAGGCTCCTTGATGCTGTGCAGATGTATGCAGGGATATTTTGGACTTTAAAAGCGCTCTTCTAGATTAGGAGTGTGGCTTGAGTGCAGGCGGGTCAGGCTCGCAGCATATTGACGACGATGCGCGACATCCAGTCAGCCGCTGACCGGCCCTCCTGGGCAATGCTGATGGGCGACTTCAACTCCGTGCCAGGCAGCCCCATCTACAGGTGAGCTGCATCGTATGGCAGTGCTCAAGTCTGGTCACATTGGGCATTTGCTTCTATGTTCATGTGAAGACGGGTGTAGTACCATGTAGTGCCATGTGGGCAGATAGTTTGCTGTCGTGCAGCATTGCCTGAATGGCTTCAAGAGACAACGCAACATGTCATCATGCAATCGTGGATGCTAATGCCCCATCTTGCCAGGCTTGAACATCCACGTGTATTTAACATTGTGGGCGGACAGATTGCAGCATTGTCTGAAAGCTTAGTTTGGACAATACATCATGCCTGAGGAGATGGGTCTTTTCAAGACAGGCAGAGTTTTGTTGCAATGCGCTGCTGCACTCTGCAACGATCAGAACATGACAGCAGTGTCGGCGTTTCCAACGCCCCCAGAGATTTTGTCTGGTCTGCAGTGCCATGCTCTGCTTTTTGGGGATCAGAGAACGACAGCTGTGTTGGCGGGCGCAGGTTTGTGCAGACGGGATCGTTGGACTGCAGCCTGGTGGACCGGCGCAACATGTCTGGGCAGCTCACCTCTGGCAGCGGCTGGCCCCCCAAAGGACCCCAGGTGAGATGGCAATCCAGCCATGGCCTCATCTGTGTGCATTCTTTCTCTTGGCCACTTCTCTCTCATTTACTAACCTCCATGCACAATCCCCTGGCACAATGCATCCAGTTTGGGTGCCTCCTTGTGCGCAAGTTTTGATTGCCAAGCTTGTCAGGGAGCCCTGTGCGAAATAAATGCTCATTGAACTCTGAGAGCATCGTTTCCTCTGTTACACATTGACCGGGGTAAAAAAATCAAGTCCTGAAACTGAATGTCCTGTCGTCGACTATGAAGTTATTGAGAGACAGTGCTGAAATTTGTGGACACTTGCTGATGGCAGGCTGGTGGACGGCCCTCACAGAACGGCGCCACCAGCAGTAATGGTTATGTCACTGGAACGCCTGTGGCCGCTTCCCCTTCCTCCGGGCAGAGCATGGCGATCGGCATTCCTCAGCAGCACATGCACGTGAGCCCCTTTCGAATGTCTCCCCAAGGGATTCTAAATCAGAAATTGAGAGTCCCCTGAACTTCCCTTACTATTTTGCAGTCCTATGCACCTTGTTGTCATGTCCTCTGGCATTTTACTGGTGTCCTACCTTGATGGAGGGTGAATAGACGTTCGCTTCAGCTACGTAGAAAGCTGCAGTTTATAGCGCAATATATCTCATGCATGCTTAGTGGTGATCATCTGTCTGACAGATACTGTGTGGGAGCAGGTCCTGACGCACAGCAGCAGCGTTCCTTTGATCGCACCAGGGTGCATACAACCGCCCCTCCCGGTGCCACGAGCGCAGAGGTGGTTCTCACTGCCCATTGCTTTGACTGCTATTCCGAACTATCATGCAAGAAGGTGCTGAACAGGTGAGTGCCAAGATGGCGAGGTAATGATCATGAGATGACACCTCACCCATGGTTGCTGGCATGCAATCTCTGCACCCACCTGTTTGTCCAGGACCCAGACATGAGGCTTGTTGTCTCATATCCAGTGACCTCCCATACTTGCCATAAGGGACTGTAATGGTGTGACCGCGAGGGTGGGGTCATTCAGGGCAGGTGGTGCGAGCTCGGTGTTTCAATGCAGCACATGTCGCTATGTGTGGTACACAGCAGCTCAGAAGTTGTGAAAGCCTCCGCTTGTTTTGTAATGCAGCATTGGCACAAGCTCATTGCAATCAACGTAGTACATGTCACTTGCTCGTCTCTTGAGCACTCACAATTCTGACGGCCTGCATCCATTGTCTGGAGCAGCATCGGCGCCAGCGCGCCTCCTCTGTACTCGCATCTGGACAGCGCCGGCCGCGTGTTCTGGTCGCCCGTGCCGCCGGCCGGGGACTCAGCGCCAGTGCAGCACCCCTTCTACTATGAGCCCATGCTGTTGGAGGAGGCCGCGCCTGTTCCGGACGTGCCCGCCCGCCTGGCCAAGTCAGCCTCTGTCAACGCGCGCATGGTGAGAAAGTTGTCTGCTCTGTCAAAGTCTGAGTGAGGGAGTCTTAGGCTTTTCTGAAGCTGCGATCCCAATCTTGAGTGAAGCTTGGTTGAAAAATTGCACCATTAAGGCGCTCCTGGCAAAGCAATACTTGAAGGATCAGGAGCTGTCTCGTGGCCTTGGCGGCAACCTGCAGCTATGATTCACTGGACAAAAGCTCCCAATTTCAACTCTGTCTCTCCTTCTAGATAGGCTGACTTCACGAATAATTTTTCACGGACAAAAACAATGACGGTTGCGATGCAGGCCAGCATGGCGACATGGGCGAAGGAGGAGCTCGATTTGGCGGTGGGGCGGCGGGCCTCGCAGCTGGACGCAGCCAGCCTGGGCATCGGACGGCGCCTCAAGTCTGGCAAGCTCGCGCGCGCTAACAGCATCGGCGCTGACCTGGACGCCTGGATCGCTCGCCACCCCCTGGGCGCCCTCTGCAGCACCTATGCCCAGGCAAGCTGCTGGCATCCCTGCAAACTTACCTTGAACATAGACCCTGAAAGATTCAAAGGAGTACTACACACGCAGTAATTGGTTTTACTTGCGGTACCCAGACATTAAGGCTCTGCGAGGTTGCCGAGGCGATTTGCTGGGTAGGTAGCACTGACAGTGATATGCACCGATACTTATCGATGTCAGGCCAAGGGCATGGCCATCAGCAACAGTACTTGACGGATAGTAGCTGAACCTCCGCATATGAATTTGATGGAGCCTATGCGTTGCTCGCTTCACGGCACATGTGCAGCGGGCTGTTGGCGTCTGCTGTCTTTCATTGAGCACAGTGCTGTATCATCTTCATGCAAGATTCTCTGCCTCCAGAAGCACAATAGAAAGCTTTCATGGGGGCCTGAATGGTGAAAAGAAGGCGTGTGGAGTTTTGTGTTGCAATCAGGGGATTGAACGAGTTTGACCGGAGTGTCATGTGCATGCAGGTGCTGGGAGCAGAGCCCGGCTTTACGTCCTGCCACGGCCGCGTGATCGCCACACTTGATTACATGTGGTTCACCCGCCTCTTGCACACGCCTACCCCTGCCGCCCAGCGCACCTCCTCACTTCAGGCCTTGGAGCCCTCCTCACAGCAGCCCAGCAGCTCTGCAGATCCAGCCGGCAGGAGTCTCGACTCATCCGGAGCAGCCTCTTCTGAGTGTACAAGCGGCGCAGACGGCCAGGAATGCAGCAGCAGTGGGATCAGCAGTGCCGCCCACAGCCAGCGAGGCAGACTGGAGCAGCAGGGAGTGGCTGGGGCCAGTTCAGGCACGCCGGGGGGTCCAACGGTGGCCGGCGGTGCCCCTGGAGCGTGGGGGCTTGGGGTATCCGCGGTGGCCGGAGGGTGGGAGCTTGTTCCCACGAGGGTGGCAATGGTTCCCCCATTGCGCAGCCTGCGCAGCGGCCTGCCCGCGCCAGATTACCCCTCGGATCACATCTCGCTCGTGGCTGAGTTTTCTGTTCGCTCGCTGCGGCCGGCAGATGGCGTTCCTGTGCCGGGGGTTTTCGCTCCGCGCACCCCCGCACCGGCCGCGCCGGCGGCGCTGGCCGTCCCGGGTGTAGCAGCTGCACCGCAGGTGCCGCAGCACATTTTCTTCGACGATGAGGACTAGGCAGCCAAGCTTTTCATGTGCACGTCTTTACCAGAAATAATTTGTAGCAGAAAAGAGATTGCTATAACACGCCTGTAGATGTATTTGGCGCAGAGAGTTGTACATTGTATCATGAACTTGATCAGTGTCTGTGATGTGTGAGATGCATTGGTTGTAAAGTCTGTCAACCTCAAACAGGACAGCTGTGGCTTGATATTAGCCCTGCTTCAAATGAGGTATGATGCTCCGATGGTGCTTGCAACGCACATTGCTTAACAAATGCTCCAAAGGCCTTGTGTTAGGCCCAGACCTCTAGAATTTCAAGGTAGCAGTCAGCAGACACAGTGATAGCAATTGTGGAGCCAACTCAAAAACCCACAGAGTCTGTTGGACAGCAGCACATATGAAGATGATATAATAAGCAAACAGCAGCACCGTGCAAATTCAAACAAATGTTCAAGTCAAACATGTGCCAACTTCCCTACGTAGCCCTCTCCTGATCACAGGATGTGCTAACACCATGTTTCGTTTTCTGTAACGCTCAGAACAGTGCAGAACAGAAATATTGAGTCCAAGGAGACAGTCATGGCCACAAAGCTGTCTTTGACTAAGGAGGTGGACACAAGCAGCGGCACTCAGGGCTTCATCTCCATAAACTTGCGCTTGAGGAAGGCCATGAGCTTCCTATTGGCCATCAGCTTCTTGACTCCGCTGATGATCATGGGCATCATGGCACCGCATCCCTGCTGCGCATTCTGCTGTCCGGCACCGCCCCCGAACGCCGGCGGCTGCGGCTGCGCGTAGCCCTGCGGCTGGTAGCCTGCCGGCTGCCACATGGCCTGCAGCACAGATCACCAGATGTCAGCACAATACTCTTAAGCTCAGATTCAGAAGGGTCATGAGCCGAGGATGGTCAGGGGCTGTCCAGCGAAGAACAAAGTGACATTACAAGAAGTGCTGTCTTTTTAATGGTGCTAGGCCTTCTAGAAGCAGCTCTCTGCAAGCGACGAGGATTGCACGCATCCATTCTTTGAGTCCTTCATGTGCACGGGGAAACAAGACGAGCTTCACCCTATAGACATAACAGTGAGAGTAATTCTGCACCTGCGCTTGTTGCAAGATGGACTGCTGCTGCCCCTGTGAATGGCCCTGTGGCTGGCCCTGGTTGACCTGGAAAGTGTGCTGGTACGCCTGCCCCAGCACCACAGTTTATCAGCACTTGCCAGGTGTCACCTTGGGAATGACATGACCACAAAGACTGCAGTTGGAACGCTATGAGACGTGGATTGAGGCACAGAGACATGAAATACTGTGCTTGTCCCAGTTGAAGTCGGATTGCGCCACAGTCGGATAAATTTCAGGCAAGACATCCCAGATCCACAATGCAAGTTGCATGCAGCCATCTCCAATGGAATGCCCTCGTTGCGAGCTTTCCAAAGCCGCCTTTGGAATTTTCACAGCCTCAATATTTTGGAGATTAAAAACTAATCTCTCGACCCTTTATATTGACCCTTTTATTTTTTGAGCACCATAATTTTTGGGCCGGATATGATAGTTACCTGCTGCTGCTGCGGCTGGTGCTGCTGCTGCTGCTGGTACTGGGGAGCAGGCTGGGCCCCCCAGCCAGCGTGCTGAGCTGGCGGCTGCTGATTGGCCCCGTTCTGCGGCTGCCACAGCTGCGCAGGCGGCGCCGACGGCTGAGGGCGGTGGTAGCCTGGCTGCTTCGACAGAAGCTGCGCGCAGACACAAGACAGCGTGACAACATTTCCCCCCAATATAATGCACTCTCTTCTCAGACAGCTTTGTTGGTAGTGATACATGTTGAGGCACCAGTCTGTCCTCTTCAAGACTGCTCCTACTGCCAGAACAGCTGGAGGACTGAGCATGAAAATTTGTGCAAGCAAACAAGTCTTCCAGAGTCATATAATATTTTTTGTTTGCATGCATGCTTTTCAAGCGTTACAATGTTTAAGATTCCATTGACTAGGGACCAGCAGCAGGATAATTATACCTCTGGGAAGCTTGAGCCCACTTTGTCACCATACTTGCTGTGGATGTGGTACGTCCTGCAGACAGCCAACCACACCCCACCCATTAACAAATTTGCCCATCATCTGACAATTGCTGGGCATTCCGGCTTGCATGCTCACAGCACCCGAATACAACCAAGTGATAGCCTGCCTAGAACTTGTGCACAAGAGTACATGCAAATTATGAGCTGGGTTGCCAGTGTGGACCGTGGGATCAGGACACAACATGGGCACACCTGATTTCCACCGCAGAAAGGGCCAAAGGGGTCAGGACAACAGTTGGGCGAGCCTCATGCTCACCGCAGTAAGGTGTCAAACATGCGCACACCTGATCTTCACTTCATAGCCGGCAATGGTGACAATGTTCTCCTCAGCCCCTCCGACAAAGCACAGCGTGTAGAGCGCCAGCTCAAACTCTGGGGAGGTGCCAATGAAGATGGAGGAGACCTCCTTCTTCTCAGGGCCCCAGCTGAACTGCAGGCTCATCAGCCGCTCCGACTCATCCACCTGCACCTGCCCCTCTCCCTGCCTGCAACCAAACAGTTGATCTCTACCCTCAGTGGGGAATAAGGTGACCACTACCCTCAGAAGGGAATCCAAAAACAGAAGAATTGGAGCAACACATGCAGAAGCTTCAGCAATGACAATTCTAACCAATGCTAAATCTTTTTATCATGCCAAAGTGCATGCATGGCAGGACACAACACAGCCAGTATGTGCTTCCGGCAGCCTCTTCAGCAAGGTCTGCCATTCCCCGGTGAGTTATCCATATAATAAGAGACGGTCCGCACATGGCGAATAGTCTGCGCTCAAGACATGCCAAGAGTTTCATTGTCTCTTCAACTGCTTTGATGCATTTGATTCGACTTTGAGATCCCTAGCCTCTGGTTTAGCCTATGCTCTTCCATGTGGGCAGGCCATCCTGGCGCATCGACAGGATCGCATGGTATCGGCGGACTTGATCGATGAGCAGGCTACTGACCTGCCCCTGGGTAAAAGGTAGCCCAGGTAGTTGACCCTCTGCGCGCGCTCTTCCAGGTAGTACTGGATCCAGTTGTGGAAGCCCACCACCTTCCCCTCGTCCACTTCCCCCACAAAAACTGCGCAAGCAAATACATCCCATCTCAGATCCATCAATTTGGCTGACTGTTCAGGTTGACGAGTAGATTCTGATTGCGTTGGAGCATGGCTGGGCCATGAGACCTTCTCTGCAAGCTGCTTCGAAGGCAAGCCACCCCCTGAAAACTTGAACGTCTGTGGAAATATTTGGCAACTTAGGCTTGTGCTCCCTGTTGCAGTGCAATTGAAGCCTGTGCAGCGCCTGGTTCTGAATGGGAGTCATCTGCGCTTGTGGCCCTAGAGTCAAATGGCAACCGGGCTTCCCGCTCAGCGAAGAAGGCATGTCTTACGAGGGTCTCTGATGCATACCATGAAGCATAAGAAAAAGACCCCACATTTCCAGAGAAGGCTGGCAGCGCACCGTGCTCGAAGCCGCAGGTGTCGTCGCGCACTTCGCTGCGCGAGTAGAAGCTGAACCACATCTGGTGCAGCTGTCGCTTGAACTCCTCCATCTGCCCCGCCACCAGGTTCTGCAATGCACACAATTGCCCATTCTGGATCAGCATGCATGAGGCGTATCCTATGGGCAAAGTGCCCCTTCAGTACGCCCAACACTGGTACGAAGCATTAACTTACACTGCAGAGATGAGCCCAATTGTGTCAGTGAACTTGGAGCCTGCCCAAAATCAATTGAAATGTAGGGACTCCGGCCTAGGAATTCAGAGCGAGAGCAAGCTCTTGGATCATTGAATTGTAGATCACAAGGGATCTATCGAACATAATACGGTACGAGGTCTGTGTGCGTACCAGTCTATCTACGCATGTACGAGTGGATACACCTTGGAGACAGAGGCGGACGTGATAACAACAGCGGCGTGCTGCGTGCTTCAGTAGCGCTTCAAAGACAGCAAATCATGTACAGGAACAAAGGAGCAATGGCAGCGTTACCTTTCTGGCCAGGTACTGGTGCACGTACTGCATGGGAGGTGTGGCTGTGACTACCTCCAGGAAAGCCATCTCCTCACCCTGCTCCTGCTGAGTCACCTTCTCCGCCGTACCGGTTGTCCTAATTAACAAAATGACAGACACACCAATACAACGCTCACCCTTGTTACTGGAATCTAGAACTTACGGATATCTGCACAGAAGTCACAACATTACTGACCATCCGTGGCCAATGAGACAAGGCATGATAAAGAAGGTCATGTAAACTACTGTGGCAAAGCAGCCTGCTGTGCAACACCGCTCTTGAGGGATGCGCTGGGAGTGGTAAACCTCACCTCTCATAGTTGTCAAGCAGGCTGCAGAAAGCTGCATATGTAACCCGGTTTCGCAGTGCACTCGGGTCCACGCTGGTGAACAGCGGGGCTGTGGCAGTGTCCTGCTCCTGGTATGACTTCTTACCCACCTTCACCAGTGCAAGAAACAATCAGCTCTCCAAGACAACTATGAAAAGTAATTTGTGGACTCAGCGTGAGTTTGAAAGAGTGTGGGCTGCAGACACTGATTATACTTTCTGGATCACTCCACCATTTGCTGGTTTTATCAGGAGCCGAACTAATGGAAGCTGCCAGGACCACAGCAATCGGAAGAGCGTGGAAGTACCTGCAGATTCATTTGATAGTCCCTGTTGGGTTCCAACCTATTCTGGTCAAGGTCCCATATTTTCTGGCAGGCCAGAGAAAGATCTGCAAGTTCCTCCTGGGTGGGAATTGGAGCGCTCATCCTAATTTGTGCCGTATTTCGTCTAAGTAGAATCTGTCACGAAAGACTGGTCTTGAAGAAACAATCACTTGTCAACGGGATGGGCAAGCACACAGCGATGAAGGTGGGGATCTGGATGTTATACTGAGCTCATTCCCCGAGCCTCGCAGTCAGGCTACTGAAAGAGGTGGTCACCTTTAGTACTTAAATAAAATTTGCTGCTCCAAATGTACGTATAAGCACCAAGAGACGGGCCTGCCTCCAGTATCTTCAAACGCGTTTAGATTTCCGAGACAATACCTCATCGGCTCATCTTCACTAGGCAGCTGGCGTTCCCTGTCCCATGCAATGCTCATAATTTTCCAACATGCAAAAGCCAGCTGCCTGCAAGTGTCTAGGTAGTCACGGCACAGTGAGCACTCTGCTACCATGCATGCATGCTTATGCAATGTAGGTCTCTAGTGCCTTCAACAAAATTCGTGAGAGAATGCATATGTTTACAATTGCGTTCAGAGAGATTCTGCAATCATTGATGATCACAAAACAGCACTAAAACTTTTTAAGCATAGCATACACTCCTTGCCTGCAGATAAGGGCTGCAGTGTCAGGACTGGGCGGTCCGATAGCTTCATAGTGCGCATGTGGTTTCTTGCGGTTTCATCGCTGTCTGACTCATTTTCGCCGTCTTGCTCTTCGACTTCTTGCCTGCCGCGTTCTTGAGCTTCTTTGCAGCTTTCCTGGCTTCCAAGCGATCTCGCAACGCCTGCACTTGCTCTGGAGTCCCATTGACAAGAACGGTATCCTCTGCTGCAAATGAGACGCCGCACATGGCACATTGGTAATCCGTCATCTGCATTCAAAACAATCCATGTCAAGCCTTATTTGCTCGGCAAGAATGTATTGGCGAGCAGACAGCACATGAAGAAAGTATGTTCTGAAATTGCTTCTAGGTACCGTAAGAAGATTTGTGGAAGCTGTTTAGGGATGGAAACATGCCTGTGCAATGGCTCGGCTGCTGAAAGCATGGCCGCAGCTTGGCAACGCAACAAAGGGGTATCTGGTGCATGGCAGGTCTGTCACAGGGCAAACATACGGCGCTGCAACTGCAGCAGAGTCATGGTCACCTCCCTTCTTGGCGTGTGACGGCATCAGATGTACAACAAACACATCCCTGCGGGCAGCATGTCACTGAATTCTCTGGGCTGTTTTTGGCAGAATGTATTGGATCACAAAGTATAGCATTCTCCAAGAAGAGTTTGTCAACATCACAGAGCAAAAGATCACCTGAGGGATCGAAGATGGTCATATGCAGTGCCTGCGACTCGCAGCTGGTTGAGATACCTGTGCTGCAGGCAGGATCACATCGGCTCAATGGTGCAGTACGTTTGCGGGAGCTCCGGACATGCAGGTCTTCGATGTGACTGAGAAGGTGGAAAGGTTCCTCACTTCTGTTTGCTCATCAGCAAAGGAGCCACTCCTGCCAAGCAAGAACTCCACCACAGCTTCTCTGCAGGACATCATTAACTTGTGAGAAACAGGCCCCCGAACTCATATAAATCACATCATCATATTATATAAGATACTGTAAGGTGTGGTGCATCAGCGCTTGCCTGTTGTACAGATTTCCCAAATAATCTGCTGAGATGGGTTCCTGTAGTGGCTGCCCCGATATGCTGCAAGTGGTCCAGCATGTTTCTCTGCTGCAACAGAAAGGAACCTCAGGAGGCTTTGATCCCTGACAGATCTGTCAAATAAGTGTCAGGCTGTAACGTGCTTGCCGAGCACATGCCAACATTAATGAGTTGGAAGGCATTTGCCTGGCTGTGGTGGTATCCATTTGTTTGCGTTTCAAGGTGGAAGTGACATTGCCGCCTCTTGTAGACCGACTTTTGTCTGCAGTTGCCATATCCCATGACTGACCTCGCAGAACATCAGACCTTGTGATGTATGTGCCACCGTCCAGGCCCATAATAAACTGATATATTAGCTACACACAGGGCACCTTGTACTTTGCGAGGTTTGCTATCACGATCCTCTCCTCAAGACGACATGGAGGACATCACATGCGCTGGTGAAGATGCTGAGTCATCACCGAACGGATAGAGCAACTTCTCCAGGACTGTTGTGTCATGCTAGACTTGGACATTCTTGAATGAAAAGTCGTCCTCTTGAAGCATCATTTGCGTCTAGAATGGCTCTATTGGGTCACATCGGGCCCACAACAGTTCAGTCGTAACGGCATCAGTTGCCGCCAAACCAGCTTCTTGCGGATGTTATAGGCCGGAAAAGATACTTCCAATGACTCTTAGGGAAAGGTAGGCAAAACAATCCATTTGAGAGCAAGGAGGGACTTCTTAGATGTTGGCTTTATTGTGGGGTGTCATGATCTTGATCTGCTTGGAGCCTTGAAATTGTCTTTGAACAGAACAAAATACGCTCTGATCCACAGGGCTGATCTTCGCCAAAGCCCACATCGCGACCTGTCGCTGTAAGTAGCACACACAGCAACTGCCATGAGCAACGCTATCCATTCCTTGAAGAGGAGCTGTGGCCTAGTCCTGAGGCTCTGGCACATTTGCATCGCATGTGCATGCGTGGCAGCCCTAGCGCTTGCAGTGCACCTTGCATTGCAAAAGAATGGCAGCCAAAGATCTAGAATTCACACCAGCACGCTGCTCAGCTATGTTGGGCTGAGCGGCCCTCCAAACATACAGCAGGAAGACTTGCAGTTCAGAGCGTTTCCTGTTGATCGGAGGTCGGTCAATGGTGTTCTCAATACCATCTACAACAACTGCCTGGCGGATGAGGAGAGCCTCCTTCAGAGGACCCAAGGCCAACGCCAGAGCTACTGGTGAACCTGGCTCCCACATGAGTATAAATTGCTTGCATCAGCGCAACCCAGCAATGTTGCCGGCCCAATTTCTGCTTGTATAGCTATAAAGCTTGCCTTGGGAAGTGCAGAAGAGCAAGTGTATGGAGTCCTATACTTCCATTTTGAAATCAGGGGGAGATCTTCTGTAGTTCAGATTGTGCTGAGCGAGTCGCGGTGTGGCAACAGGGTCCAGCCGCTTGAGGAGCTGCCTCAGGTGCTGCCATCAGGAGGTTGCATGCTGCATGGCCTCCTTCTGCACTGCCCGGTGAGCCATCCTGAACGCTGAAGAGACACATGCATACTTTGTTCTAAATGCCTGACTGGCAACACTTGAAAGTGCATGTATCGCCCATGCAGCAGTGTAGAATCCTTCTCTCAAGGTAATCAAAATCACGCTCAAGGAATTTCAAGGCTCAATATAACAATCTGGGCACAGATATGATTGGTGCGCACTTCACAGGTGTCTGGGCGGCGGCAGGTGCTCAGGCGCACCCGGCACATGCTGAGAACCGTCACAGAAAATGCTGAAACATCCGGCTCTGACCGGCCTGCGCTCATGAATATGGCCAACAGCATCCTGCAGACCCACAGCAGCCTGTTCCAACCCCAGATAAAGGCAGAAACGGTGACAAATTCATCACATGCAACATCCCATGCACGACACCAGCCCTCTCTGCTATATCTGATGCAAGAAAGCAGTACAAGATTGGCATGAAAAGTGCAGGGCAATGTGATACACATGATATTGGTTGCAGCATATCGGTGATCTGGTGCTGAGGAGTTTCTGGTGCAGGTGCTTGGGGCGTTGCGGAACGATTTTTTGAAGGAAACCCTTGTTTCCCCGGAAATGTACAAGCAGGGGGCGCGGCAGTGGGGGGACCCCAGCCGGCTGCAGCAGTTCTTCAGGAAGCTGCTCCGAGGTGGGCTGGTCTTGAGAATATCATCATTGGTACATTTGAAGACATGTGGGGGGCCACCTGAGGCTCATTGATCTTGTGGGCAGTCTTCAACTGCCCATCTTCATATCACAAATTTCTGCTGGGTCTGCAAATCCTGTTCAAAATCTGGCAATTTGAATACTTTTCTGACCCAGAGTGCACGCCAGTCAGGTGTTGCAATACCAAATACCTCTGAGTACTATCTCCAAATTGTCTGATATCTGGGGCAATCAAAGACAAAGCGCTTGATAGTGCTCTCAATCGGGTCCCCATCACAACACCCATACCCTTTTGCACCCTCAAATTATCTAGTCTACATCAATAGCCGCCGCCTCATTCTCAAGACAGCAACACATCGTATTGTGTTCATCACAGCTCTTCCTCCAATGTCTCCATATTGGCATTGGACAATACATGTCAACTGGAGCAAGGGTGAGTCCGAACCTTGCAAGTGCAGCTCATGAATTCAGGCATGCCATGCAGGGGAGCTGGTCAAAGTGGTGGCTGTGGGCGGGAGTGTCACCGCAGGAATGGGCGCTCGCTACGGGAACGAGTCCTACATCCAGCGGATACACACGTGGCTGCAAAATCTGGGAACTGAAGATCGCCCAGTGCAGATTGAGGTGAATTCCCAGCAGCTCTGATGGCTTGAGAGATTCTAATTTCATCCTTCCTTCCTTACCCTAATCTTTATCTTTTTAACCTTTATTAACTTGACCTTTAACCACCAATGCTTGCATGGTAGATTGTACATAGTGGCGCACCCCCCACATAAGTGACTGATGTGCTGCACTCCACGCTGGCATCCAGGTGTCAATCATGTGGCATGTTTGTCATTATGCAGCCTAGAGGGATTGAGGAAATATCAGCTGCACATGCGCACGCCAGCGGCACTGCACACATTTTGTGGACATGTTCTTGTGAGAGGCAGAATGCTAAAATCCACTGAGTGGAAGGTCTTTGCTACTCTACAACTGTGTGACGACGCATGCACTAAAATGCGCGTATGCTGCACAGTTCACAAATTCGGCCGTGTCAGCGACAACCAGCTCTTACACATCTCAGTGCGTGGGGGACTTCGTGCCGGAGGATGCGGATTTGGTGTTGGTGGAGTTCTCTGTGAATGACTGGGAGACGGTGGACCCTGCCACCTTCACCTGGATGGACAACAGCCTCAGGCAAGCTCTCTAAGCTTGGCTCTCTCCATTGTTTTCTTCACAGTGCCCTGACGCTTCGAGCCATTTTGCCTGCGCTTCCTGGTAACACTTGCGGGATTGCTTGTAACTGCGTGTCAGTGCCTTACAATGAACCCGATTTGAAAATCACTTGTTTTGGCCTGGCAAGCGAGCTCCAGGTGTGTAAATCGGATGAAATCTCACTACGTTTTTTTTCCACAGTTTCAGTACAATGATCATGGTGTGAGGATCAACTTTGTTGGCCTAGCAAGCGAGCAAAAGCTGAGTTTTTCTCATGCAATCATCAGCCCTCTGCAGGGGCCTGAATATTTTCAGCAGAGTCAGGTTTGGTTTAGTTTTGAAGGCCCTCACATGAGGTCTTCGATGTGTTTTGCATCACATTGATGAATGCTTGATGATGGAAATGAGCATTGGTCTGGGAATGCAAAGAAATGCAAGTGACATAAGGTTTTGAGAACACGGTCAACACGTAATGAGTAGTGCTGGAGGGGCGTTTCTTGATGTCTAAGAAATCGCTGACGGGGGCTAGCTACCAGACTGGGGAATAACAAAAGTGAGGCTGATGCTACAAGCGGTGTGATTGCTCAGGAGGGGGTTTGAGCGGCTGCTGAGGAAGCTGCTGCGGCTGAGGAGTGAGCCGGCACTTCTGGTGCTGCACTGGTGGGCGCCGCTGTACTTCCAGTCATCCTTCTGGAATGTGGCAGAAGACGAACTGGATGTGATCGCATCCTACTACCGCGTGCAGGTGACCAAATGAGGCCGGCTACTTGAATTTGAATTCGGATTTGAATTGAAAATCGCCATGCATGCATGCAGCTGTGCCAGAGCTTCCTAAAATGGGTCGCCGAGGTCTGAGCTGGCAACCTCAAGAGCCACATGTCTGTTGTTGATGTCCCAGTCAGCTGTCATGACAAATCGGCTTTGCTGCTCTTGCAAAGTGTAAAAGAAGCAGTCTGTGATTCCCGTGTGTACCATGCTTCTTTAAGGATGCTGCTGCTCTTGCAAAGTGTTTTGTCAGCAGGGCTTGCGCTGTTGTGCACATGCAACGTAAATCCTGAAAGAGTGTTGCCCTTGCAGAGTATGACACCGAGCAGTCAATGCCTTGGGTGAAGTGCACTTGCAGAGTGAATCCTTCAGGGATGCTGCTCTTGCAAAATCTACTTCAAGCACTGAACACCTTTGGCAGTGGTGCACATGCAGAGTATATGACTTAGGGATGCTGCTCTTGTTCTCGTGCCTCAAGCAGTGAAACTCTTTCAAGCTGTCTGTGTACTTGTGCAGAGTATATCCTTCAGGGATGCATTCTACGTCCCAATCATGGCGGATCGGCCAGGCTTCCGATTGGAGGATATTTTCTGCGACATAGTCCACCCAAACGCCGTGGGCCACAGGTATTAACAACCCAACCTATCCAGAGTTGCCTAAAGAAAAAGCACGCACCACTCCGTAGTAGCATGCGCGCTCTTGCAAGCACATGCAAAATCATTGCAACTGCTAGATCCACTCATTTTTGGGGCTGCTACCAGAAAGGTCCGAGCAGGGACCAACCCCTTCAAGAACTCATCCGGGCGACTACCCATAACTCAAGCTGCTTTCACATGTGTACCGATGCTGAGTCTGGGCATCACCAGTTTGCGAGCTTTCCTACCTGTGAGTGCCTGGACAGTGTAGCATCTGCCTTTCTGTAAGTACACTGCTTGACGCTGTCTGATATGCACACCCTTGTCTCACTCTGGCATGACAGCAGCAGGGTCCTTACGGACGTCAACGGATATTATCAGGACACTGATGGGACATCTTGAGATTATTGCAGGGCTCTGACTGGACGTCATAAGCTACTTGCAGTGACTGTGATGTTGTGCGGAAGCTATTGGTGTTGCACAATTATGTCATTGTCCAGGCGGACTGTGACTGTGCGCAGGCTGTTTGCGGAGCTGGTGGTGCTACAGCTGCAGGAGGTGCTGGCAGGGCTGCTGCTGGCACCTGCTGCTACTGGTGGCACCTGGCTGCAGGCGATGCCTCCGCCGCTCTTCCTCGGCAACGAGGCCGCCGGGCAGGCCATCTGCCTCAAAGGGAACGCCCTCCTGTCCGCGGTCGTCAGCGCCAAGGTGCAACCCACAGAAACGCCGACCTTATCTGTTCGCAGGATATATCTTGAATTCTTCAGAGAGTTCGAAATTGAGGTTTCAAGCGTGCAGGGTTAAGGGAAGAAGCCTACATAGGTGTTATTTTTCATGGGAAATAATACTTATTGGGGACTGGTGCATTTAGGGTAGGGGTCAATGAAAGGTGTAATGCTATCATGCAGAAACGGGTTATAGAGTGAAAGAATCCCCATGATGATTTGCCGCATCGCCCTGATGCCCATGCGCATGCAATGGCCCCTGTCCTGTCAGTTTAGTCGTGGGCGCTCCCATGACTAAAGCGAGAGGACATGATTTGTTGGGGTTGGCATTGTAGCAGCCTGTTCTCGAAGGAAAAGTTCCGTAAGTGCAGTGCACACAGGTCTGGGGCAGCTGTCAAGCAGAAATTTGAATGCTACAGGGGGAATGGAAATGGGTGGATGAGGCGAGGGAGGGGGCGCAGCAGGCCAAGTGGGGCATGCTCAGCACCCAGGCTGGGGATGAGCTGCTGCTCAGAATAGACCACAACAGCCCCTTACCAGCACAGGGGGATTCAGGTGTGACAAAAATTGACTAACAATCACTTCTTTCTACAGATTGAATTGCACGAGTTGCAATGCGGACAAATGACCACTGCAATCACCACACCTTCAGTACTTTCTGGGTACCAACTTCTTGTGGGAGTGGAATTAGATCATGAAATGTTTGCGTGAGAGCTGACCTTGATCAAATTGGTCTCTAAGCACAACCGGTGAAAGATCTGCAAAGTTCAGGAGATTGCGGAAGTGATCTGTGGAAGTGCCGCTGGAATGCAAGTAGCCTTGAAGGCTGGAACGTCGTGTAATTATTACAGGAAAACTTCTTGTGGAGTGACATCCTCTGTTGGTGCAGGGGCAAGCAGTTCTAGCGTTGTGGTGGGATTGGGTCTTCTGAAGAGCTACAAGGATGTGGGCGCTGCGGCTGTCGGCTGCTCTGGTGGCTGCTCCTGCAACCAGACCCGCTTTGAGCTGCTGCATGACCAGCAGGTGACCTTTCTGTAAAGGGGACTCTGTACTCGATTACACGCTTTTCCTGCCAGAGGCGAGCTGCGTCCTGCAGACAAGCTGCACTTTAAAAGCTGCCAAAAACCCTGCCCCTTTATGGACTCGCCAGATTCTAGCAAGACCCAATCAATCGTGGGCACGGTACTCAGTGTTTGTACCGCCACCCGCCAGCTCTATAAGAGGTATATTTTCTGAGCTCCCAACACCTGCTAATGGGAGAAACGGGCTGTATGAAGTACAGTATAGGACATGCGTTGGCATTGTCCACCCTGGCAGTGCAAGGTGTTTGGGCAATTATGGCTGATGGTGCAGATTGCAGTGGCTATGCAAGAAGCATACTTGCACCATACGGATTCGTTCATTTGGCATACGGTGAATATTCGGTGTTTTGGGCCAAAATAGGCCGCATTTGACCGTAGTCCGTATATTGTAATACCGTATGACCGTATATTCGGCCGTATATACGGTTCCCAAAAATTGTTCTGACCGAATGGCCGAATGGTGCAACTATGGCAAGAAGAGGTTGTGTGGCGGGGCATGCTGACTGTGCTCTGGGGTGGACAGGTGTCGCAGGTTTACTGGTTTTATGTATTTGTGACGCTCTCGTCGCAGCCGACCTCTGCTCAAGACTGTTACATGTCCGTCACTGTGGAGTCTGCCATTGTACCAAACGGAGTCAATAAAGTCAAGGTAGTGACTTATTCTCTTCTGCTTCTAATTTTGAAGGATTCGCCTATACATTCATAGCAAGCTTTGAATGACACATTATTGTGATGCATCATGCATGCATGGAAATGTGGAAAAGAGCGAGGAATGCTGTGTGCTTCAGGTTACGTCACTGATGGTGAGCGAGGATGACAGAGCAGAGAACGGAAACATGTTCACGGTTCTCAAGAGCACTGACGCAGAAGGGAACAATTCTGGATGACTTCTTGGTACTGTATTTTACGGAAACGCCCAGGGCACCGATGGCGTTTCCCGTTAGCTTGCTCTTCACAGGAGTACTTGCTACCGCTCAGAGAACGCTTCTAGACCTCAACTGAAAAGCTGAGCTTGAAGATTGCAGCTGATATCTGGCTGGCTTTGTGTATAAAATGCACGCTGCAAGCAGACAACTGTAGAAAGACGTGCCATATGCTGGACAAGAATTGATGAGAAGCGCAATACCAATAAATGTGCACTGTCAAGAATTTAACAACCACCTTGCGAAGCATAGACTCTAATGCAAGAGTACATCCTCCAGCACCATGCAATTTTTTTGGAGACACAATGCTGGCAGCAAGATTTGGACTTGACAAGTCGACCAAGAATGCAATACCGTAGAGAATTCAACAAAATATCATTGCACTCAAATCATCCCCCCAACTCCCACATTCCCCTGTCAATCCCTCGAAGCACCGTCCAATACTAAGTACAGCCCTATTTGCATCCACAAGTCAATAGGGTGCATGCAGCCGCTGCTGGCACCCATAATTTATCAGTACCCGTGGAGCCGGACATTCTCAAGCTTCTCGCCAGCCAGGTACTGGTTGATTTGTTTCAGCACAAACGCATACCCCCGCGGCCGCATCCTCGCCACCGAGCCGCCAATGTGCGGCGTAATTATCACCCCTGGAGCCTGCACACATCATGCCAGGCCTCACATGCACGCCTGCACCTCCAAGGACAAGCACTTTCTTGTTGGATGGACTTTCTTTCAGGAGTCCAGGAGAATGCTGGGTCCTCATGAGAAAACATCAGTCTCCTTGGGACGTCCAGGACGTTTTGTAAGTCTGCAACGTGTACTGCCGGCTCACGTGAGGGAATCTGGAAGATGTGCAAGCATGCAAGGTGTTCCATTGAGCCTCGTAAGGGAAATTAGTAGACCTTTCAGCAATTTGAGGTGCTCTGCTGGGTCTCGAAAGGGCAGCCAGAAGAGGTGTCAGCATGCCAGGTGTTCTGTAATGAGGGGGAATTCCTGAATGCCTACCTAAGCAGGCAGGCATGCATGCAGACATGCAGGAATTTCGAAAGTGACGCAGGCAGGCATGCGTACCTGCCACAGTGGGTGATCGGGAGGGAGGGGTTCTGGGTCGGTAACATCAAGAGCTGCGCGGATTTGGCCGGCATGCAGCGCCTTCAAAAGGGCATCTGTGTCCACCTGTGGGCCCCTGCAATGAAAGCACATGCGCCCCTCACTCTTCTAAATCCTACCAATCACCGTCCCGTACGGCCCAATGACGCCGCCCTGATCACAGAGCGATACTAGCCAGCTCATGCCAACTTGAAGTCAGCCTCCTAGTGGCAAGTATGGGCAAATCAGTTTTCTTGATGTGCATAAGCTCAGATGTACCTTCAGCACTCAGACAGAAACCACAAATCAGCTCTGCAGTGGCTGACTGCTTCGGCATGTTTCCAAGTGTGCACAAAAGCATGTCATCTGGCAAGTACTCAAGCAGCTGCACAAGAGAGTCGTAGGCTGTGTGTCCAGGAGCATACCGGCCTGCATTGATGAGCAGAGCTCCCTTCTTCATGCGAGACAGAAAGCGCGCGTCCACAATGTGGTGTGTCTCTGGTGTGAGCGGCAGCAGAATGATGACAATGTCCGCCGACGGCAAAAGCTCATCCAGATCTGCAACATGCATGTGCACGGGTCTATGACTCTGCATTGTCTCCAACAGCTGCAATGTGGGTCACAACAGCAGCCCCTGATTGCTCTGCTAGTCGCAAACGGCCAAACTTTTCCCTTACATCAGCCCCTGAAGACTTCTGTTTGTCACCAGCAGCTGCAAGTTTCCTGACTCTTTCTGACTACACCAATCCCTGTAGGCTCGATTGAACCTTGCCCATCACAGTCATCATGCACCCACGTGCAACCTCCTATCACACAAACACACGAAAAGAGAAATGACAAAGTGGCAGCCTGGGACCACATGCCTTCGAGCGATCGGACGCCAGGCCGCGCCGTTCGGGCGATGCCGGTGATGCGCGCCCCAAACGGCAGCAGCCGCGCTTCCACCGCTCGGCCAATGCTGCCGTGCCCCAAGATCAGCACCTCCTTGCCCTGCGACCCCATGCATTTGATCTTCAAATCTCAAATTTCGAGTCTTAAAATTTAAATTGCAATATTGGAAATTGGTAAAGTACAGGCCTGCTACAACACTTCACTGCACTGCACTTCAGAGCAGTCCACGAATGGAGCACAAAAAATCCTACCCAGGATTTATTCTACGCACAATACTCCAGCCGAGCTTCAGACCTGGTGAAATGCAACCTTCGGATGTTGTTTACTGTGGACTCAACAAGTGATGAATTGCCAATGGAGATGCACCCGTATCTGATTAACAGGTCCAAATGATGCAGCTCCAGTGCTGCAGAGGAAAAGAGAACATGAAGGGAGAGGGATTCCTGCACACCTCCAGGTCATCCAAAGGACCCACAGCCGGCATTCCGGTGTTGATCTGCTCCCGAGTCGCTGGATTCCACTCTCCCTGCTGCTGCGCCGTCCAGAAGGCTGGGAACTGCCGAAGCAGCGCCAAAATGACCCCAACACACCTGTGACCGCGATTAAAGAAATGTGGATACCATACTGTCGCATGCGCACGTCTTAGGAAGTTTCCATGGGAAGATCTCCCTTAAAGCAAGGTGTGGGATTGCATGGAGGGTACATGACAGGCTGGGGTGCACCATTCAGCCACAGCTATGTCGTGTGAGCCGCTGGCATTGCAAAGAATGTGATGTGGTTTGACGTGTGAAATCACGTTGTTGACTCCGGCACTCAAGGTCTGCACCACCTGTGTGAAACACAACAACTGGGAAATAGGTCTGGTGGACCCGTAACTGGCTGTGGGATGTGCTATGAGGCTAATACACGGTTTGAACGTTCAGGTTGCCATTCAAAGCACTTGACCTACCTTGAGACTGGTGGCATGCTCAAAGATTTCTTCTACGCGCTGTAAGGAGAACTCCACGCCGCTTGTGATCATGAACTCGATCTGAGAAATATCCTTGGGCAGTGGGCCGAAAGGAGGGATCGGGACCAGCTGTGTGCAATCGAGGAGCGCAACAGTTAGTAGATGCCCATGGATCGATGTTTTGACATGAACGACAAGTTATTATTAATAGGCTCCATTTTATGTTAAAAGTTAAAAAAAAATTTGAATTTTCATGTTATATCGACAATTAGGAGGTCTTCACCTGGACTGCTTCTGGCAGCTTCCCCTCAATGTGATGCACTCCTGCAGTCCCTAAACCGACATACAGGATGCGCGATGCAACCTGAGCATCGGCCACCTGCCCCATATTGATGATATCTCGATTGCTGTCTACAAATGCTGCACATTTGAAACGGCAAACATGAAAGAATGCCCCACGTTATGTAAGCACGAGGCGACACGTGAAACGTTTTGAAGTAGCGGCGTTCCTGTAGTCCCGTCCAGCGTTACGAAGCCTCACACTCTCGGGATCCCCCCAAATGTTCCCTTGTTCGCGCAAGAATATCCCAATTGTGCAGAATCTTGATGCTGAAAGGATGGTACGTAACATTCCAACCTTCCGACAAGATAGTTGCATCCGGATCCCCAAGACAGATTAGACTGGCTGCGCATAATACTTGGACAGTTTAAACTGTGATAGAGTAGGTCCAATTGCGATGGAGACTAATCATTGCTCACCTCCTCCGAGCACAACAGAAAATGAGGAGCCAAACAAGAACTCCACAACGTGTGAGATCAATGATAAACAGAGGGTTTGTCGATCTGACCCTTCTTTTGTAGAGAGTGCAGCTGTAATTCAAGAAAAGTTTTTAATAGATGTTGTTCGAATGTCCATGGGATTCTGGGATAACGCAGATTCGTCACGCCATCGAGGAGGCCACAGCCAATGCCTTTCAAAGGGATCCTGACTTCATAAGGACCCCCCTGTCCAAAATTAACGCAGAGGCTGTAGCTCTGCACAAGGCTGGTCATCATATTGCCGCTGTCGCAGCATTCGCAAAATTATTCGAGAGGGCGCGGGTCAAGAATCTGGTGCATGCAGAGCTGCATGTCTGCTACAGGTGAGCTTTTGACGCCTTCCATCTCCCAATTTTGTCTGCTAGAAATGTCTGTAAGAGCCAGAAGGTAGATACCCCAATTGATGGCACTTTCGTTGTAACTCTGTGCTCCAACTGACACCTACATCGGAGTTTTAGGCTTGGAAACTACTTAATTTGCCTAGCACCAGACGGTGCCAATGAAAAGTGGCCAGCCTGCCCAAATCCAAATGTAGCTACAGAAGAGCTGGAGAGCCGAGCTCAGAGCAATGGGAGCTCCACTAGTCACTGCAGCAGAGAACTTCAAAACGTCTTAGATGTGCAATACAAGGTCCACTTGTACACCAGCTCTAGTTGTTTAGAAAACGTTTGCATGTGCAGCAACCGTGCGGCGGCGTTTCTTGCCCTGGAGCTCTGGCAGGAAGCACTGGTGGACGCAGAACGTGCGCGTGTGCTGACACAGGCAGCGCTCAAGCGCAGCCCAAAGACGTCCGGCCCCGCCTATGTCAAGACTTTTGCCCAGAAGGGCGCCGCGCTCATGGGTGGGTGTCTGACTGCTTGGGCAATCTTGCTGTATAATTCGCAGGGTCGATCGGCATTGTCAATTCACCAATTGTGGAATAAAAAATAATGTTTGCAGAATCCCCAATTGTGTGAAAAAGAGCATTATTGACAAAGCATTTAAGACACCGCACCAGATTGGACTGGCTCAGGGGGTTCCATTTAGTGATGAAAATGGCTCATCCTGCTCTCAATTCCTGCATGCTGACCCTCCAAAATCTCTCACCATCTGCAAGTGCCATGCAAGTAGTCACAAATACTACATGAAACATCCACTCCTGACACGCAAGTATTTACAATGTGTGCAGGCATGGGGAGGCACAGAGAGGCATCACTGGTGCTGGAGGAGGGCTCCAAGATGGACCCCCTCAATTGCCAAATCAGGACGCACCTCCAGACCGCCACACAAAGCATCCTCAGAGACTTGTTGGAAGGTGCCATCCCCAATGTATCCTCCTGCATTGCAACTCTTGTTGACAGATAATGGCGCACCCTCCCCCAGAAGACTGCAATGCATGGTGTCCTTCTGGTGGTGCAGTGCTTGTTAAAGGCCCAGTTGCCGCTGGCTTGTGTCTGTTAGTATTGTAGTTGCACGCTTTTCCTGCCAGAGGCAGGGTGCCTGTCCAGAGAAACTGTAGGTAAAGGCTATCCCAATTCTTGTTCCTTGATGAAATCGCCAGATTCAAGCAAGACCCAACCAATCGTAGGCGTGGTGCTCGATACTTATAAATGACATTAACACATGGCGAACAGGGAAAAGCCTGTGACAATACCAAAGTGTGTGTGCAGGCAAGGGGAAGGAGCTGAGGCTACTTACAGCGCCGGACCCCACGCAGCGGATAACATATCATCCCCATTCGACACCCCTGCACAGAATCAAGACCGACAACATGCTCCCCAACCAGCTCTTGACCCCCTTCCAGGCCTGTGACTGCCCCTTGCACCTGCCTCGTGCTCTGATGCCACCATTGCTCTTCTACAGCTCTTGAGATGGTGCTGAACACTAGTGAAAGTAGGGTCCCGGCTGGCAGGGGCATTTACAGGTATCGAGCATCTTGCGCACAGTTGCTTGGGTCTTGCTTTGATCCGGCAAATCCAACACGGTGTAGGATATGTGCAGCTTTTACATGCAGCTTGCCTACAGACACGCCGTGTCATTTGCGGTAACAGCATGTAACACTGTCAAGAGCCAGCAACTCTCTTTGCTTGACAGGTGTCATTGAGTTGCCTTCAAATGGACCGGCGTGCTCAAGAATCAGTACCGGTGTGTGGGGCTTTTTTGCTGAGAGATTTTCAAGATTCCTGCAGGCGGACAACGATCATCATGTGAAGGACACATACAACTACGTGACGGTGCAAGCGGACGTCAAAGTGCCCGGCCGCCATTTCGCGTATCTGGAGAACGGCGCCCGTCACGCGGCGTTCCAGAGCGCCATACAAATCGCGGTGGACCGCATGCATGCCGACGACAAGGATGCGCGCGTGCTCAACCTCGGCTGCGGCGCAGGTGCCAGCTCAGCATACAGTGCTGTGTATTAAAAATTCTCCCCGTGCCATATTCTGTGATACTGCAACTCATGAATTTTATTGTACCACGCTCTTCCTGCCTAAAGGCAAGGTACGTCCTGAAGACTAGCTGCAAGTAAATGCTGCCAAAAGTTCCACCCCTTGATGGATTCCTCAGATCCAGGCAAGACCCAATCAACTGTGGGCACGGTGCTCAGTATTTACACCGCCCCCTGCCAGCCGGGGCCAGCTCAGCATGCCATGCCTGTTCTACCTTCATGTTTTTTGTTTTTGATTCTTGTGTCTCAAATTGAATGAGTCGAGAGTAAAGGAGCCCTCCCCAGAAGACAGCAGGGGGTGTACGGCATATGGGCAAGGGAGTTACTGGAGTTTTCTGGCTGGTACAATTCATTGGCCGCCAAAAAAAGACTGACCTGCCGTAGGGATGGGTGCTGGATGGCCGGGCAATGTTTCAATTGATATTATCGATTGAGGAATCTATGTGATGTTGTGCAGGCTTGCATGCGATGATGGCGCTGCGTGCAGACGCAGAACATGTGACTGCTGTTGACCGATGGCTCTACATGGCCCTCGCATGCAAGGAATCTCTGGTAAATGCTGCCTCCTTCATAAATTTCCTTGAAAACCAGCAGTACCCTTCTGACAACCTGTACGGTCAGCAAGCTGTTTCTGAGCAGGATGTACCCCTTCTGCAGTGACATTCGATTATGTCGGCAGTTGCATGCTTGATGACAGCAGAGGGTTGCTCCATCCATTTCCATTTTTAGGGAGGGATTGGTGATGACATTGGTTGCTATGCACATGCGCAGGTGGCGAACAATTTCTCAGAGGATCGTTTCAGCGTCATCTACAAGCGCCCCACAGATCTGGCCCTGCTGAAGGACGTGCCCATCTGCTGCAACATCCTCATCTGTGACATGTTTGACGAGGGTGCGCCATCTTTCAATCATTTTACAGAAGCAGTTCCTTGGCATTCTACATTGTTGTTACACGAGATTACTGCCAAAAGGACAGGTGCGTCTGCAAACAAGCTGCAGTAAAAGGATGCTGCCAATATCCTACTCCTTCAGGAACTTAACAAATTCCAAGCCAGACCCGATCAACAGTCAGCACGGTGCTCAATCATAGAATGCATCTTTGAATTCAACGGTGGCATCAAATACTGCAACGTTTTTTATGAGGAATCCCAGACCAAATAACAGAAGCATTTCCTCGGCGCCCTGTTGGGTATTACAAAACCTCAGCGTACTTGGAGAGCAGTCTAAGATGAGTAGTAATGTTAGGACATGCATGACCAGATGTGTCTCCAAAATCCATGTGAAGAAGCATCTCCCCATCACTTCCAAGAATTCCAAACACTCAGAATGTCTTGAGATCAAGGTGACGATGACGACCAGGTTTGAGGTATGTATACTTATTTGATCTGTGTCATGGCAGGGCTGCTGACGAGTGGGATCATACCGGCCATGAGACACTGCATGCAGAAGATACTGGCGGACGATACGATACTCCTCCCTGCATCCGCCACCGTCTACATGCAGGTAATTACTGCCACATCAAGCTGAGCAGTAAGGAGGCTTCTCACTGCAAATGGAAATGCCTTGCTTCACTGCTGTTGCATTCCTTAAATTTGGATTATATCTCATTCTGTTCATTTGCATAAAATTGAATTTTATGGGCCTGCTGACATGGTGGAGAAGGCGCCAAATCAAACCAAGTGGGAAGGCCGTCAGTAGAATTGATGCTTTCATGCACCTGAGCCCAGAGTGGTCTTGGTAGACATGTAACAAAATAAACAATGACTTTTAATGCACCCCAACAGCGTATTTGAGTGCGTATAAACTGGCGGCGGGGGGGCGCTATAAATACTGAGCACCGTGCCCACGGTTGATTGGGTCTTGCCTGAATCTGGCCAGTCCAACAAGGGGTGGGATTATGGAAGCCTTCAACCGCAGCTTGTCTGCAGGACGCACCTTGCCTCTTGGCAGGAAAAGCGTGTAATAATATGAATAATCATATTAATAATAATCGATGCAGGCGGCGGAAGTGCGCACGGCTCCAGTGTGCGGCCTGGACATGAGCGCTGTAGACCGACACAGATGGACGCCCGCCTTCACCACAGGTGTCCATCTCCCCTCCCTCTAAAGATTTCAGAATACAGCACCCTTCCTCTAGGTGTCATGAAAGTTGCAACACCATATGGCTTCCCGACTGGTACCCAGCAACTGCAGATTTAAACTTTGAAGCATGCATGCTACTGTCTCACTGTGTCTTTGCTCATCCACCGCTTGCTGCTTTGTGGCACCAGTTGCGGTGGTTAGTTGGCTGGAAGCGATGAAATATGACTCGATGACCGACTGACTTGCGGCGGTTTACTAACGCGACTTACTAAGGCATGACTCATCATTTTGTCATATCACGTCTGTCTGTACCTGTTTCAATAGGCGTTCCTCTGGCAGACGGCCTATACAGGCCGCTTTCAGAGCCCATAGAGGCATGGCACTTTGACCTGCGCTGCCCGCCAGAGGAGAGCGGCCGAAAAGCGCTGGATGTGGAGTTTACTGCGGATGGCGTTTTCAACGCGGTTGTGTTTTGGTACACGCTGCATCTCATCGATGGCATCATCATTTCCTCTGAGCCGGGAGCTGCCACGTCAGCGCCAGGTCAGCCATTTTCGCATCTGCATGTTGTCAATCTCATGCCCATCTTTGAGTTTGTATTTTATTTTTGAGTCAGCACCTTAGCATTCAATCTGCATCCAAGCAGAACAGCTATCAGTCTGAATATCCGTGATGCAAAAAGCTATTCAGTCTGCTATCTATGTGTGGCCATCCCACCAGGCAAGGGTAGGGGTGATGCATGAAGGACCGATCTGACGTGATGGGCTCCCATGCATGCAGAGGCATACTTGTCTTCATGAAATCCGCAAAGTCCTCATTCAACGCCGAATTTTCATCGTGCTTCAAGGGCATGAGCTAGATACAGAGGAGGTTGCAAGAATTCACAGGATGAAGAGAAGTGTAGAAGCCACAAGCCCACCAAAAAACTGGATTGCTGTTGCATGTGCAGGCATGCAGCCGGCAGTGCAGTACCTGGCAGGGGAGCTCAAAATCGAGGCTGGGCAGGTGTTGCCTGTTCTGGCGACACACAACACCGTCCGCCTGCGCTTTGACATAGAGGAGGCAGAGTATCTGCACCTGGCCAAGCCGGATGCAGCGTTCCCTCCAGGCCACTTCTCCATGCTGGCAGACACTCGCAGGAACCAGGCAAGACACCTTTTCTGTGTGGCAAACGAAAGATGGATGCTTCGCAGTCAATGCCCCTAATTTCTTTGTGAGACTGGTAGAATCGCATACCTGCTTGTATTAATGATGGCATCCATTTACAGCACCCTGCCCATGGTTGACTGGGTCTTGCTTGGATCTGGCAGGTCCAAGAAGGGGTAGTATCGTTGCAGCTTTTACATGCAGCTTGTCTGCAGAGGCACCATGCTTTCATTGTCCCAGGAGGGGCAGCGGGCAGTTGTGCCTCTAGATGTCTCATTTGGATTTACCACATGTGCTGGACATTTTCCATCTGATCCACACCTCAGGACCAGTCCTGAATGGCCTGAAAGTGTGCATCAAAGCATTTCCTACTATACAATAATCATGACCTCCCACATCTCCATGCGCAGGCTTACCAGGAGGCAATAGGTAGGGCTGTGGAGAGGTTGAAGGCAGCAGAAGGGGAGGTGCACGTTCTGGACATGGGATGTGGCACTGGCCTCTTCGCAGCAATGGCGGCCAGGGCAGGTGCCTCCAGCGTGGTGGCATGTGACCTGCATGACAGCATGTGCACCACCGCACGCAAGGTGACTGCACACGGTGGTTATTATAATAGGCTTTTATGTGCCATATGCAAGGTAAATCTGCCAAATAATTTTCACAGCGCTGCCTAGCCACCATTTTTCACAAGGTCTTTCTTGCCCCTCATATTTGTGAAGAACAATCCTTTCTTTGAAATGATAGGCCCATAACATGGCTTGCAGCTTTCAGCTATCTCTTTTGCAGCGTGTTGATTAAAGCGCGTGCATTACGTAAACTTGGCATGAGGTGAAATCTAATAATTTGTCATGCAGGTTGTGGCGGTGAATGGGCTGTCTCACAAGGTGTCCGTGGTGCAGAAGGACATCGCCCTCTTAGAACGTGGCCACGAAGTGCGCTATCTCGGTTGCAACCTCGCCATCGCCGATCTCTTTGATGCAGGTACCCTTTATCACCCTTCCCTGTCCTGCGATTGGCTTACATCCAGACATTCCAGAGTTCTGGTAGGTTGGCAATTCGCTAACAAAATGCAGCAATGTGCAAGGCTTCTGTAATTTCTAAGCGTGTGAGCAGGCCATGCACCCTTCCTGGTTGAGCCACCAGGTTACATGCAGAAATTGCCATTTTTTAAATGCAAAACTTCAATTTACAAAACGCTGCCTTGGGCGGTGCTCCTGCAATTTACCAGCAATGTGAGCATGCCATGCATGCATGCATGCATGCAACTTGCTCTCGCCCCTGACTTTTCACTCAGCTGTCTCAGCGACAACAACGTGTCTCAGCATCTGCTTTTTTGTCATTTTCAGAGGAGCAATTCCGCCATGGCAAGCATGCTTGCGCTTCAGTGTGCACAAACTATCTCAGGAGCTAACCTCCTGCTCTCCTGTGATGCACTCATGGTTTGTCTGCAGGGCTCCTGGGAAACAACTGGCTGTATCTGCTGGACATGGCGAAGAAGAATGTTCTGCAGCCGGGCGCGACTGTGATCCCAGCCGCTGCCACGCTCTACTGCATGGGCATTGAAGCTCGCACCGGGGATGTCTGCGGCTTTGACTTGTCTGCCTTCAACAAGTACAGGTGACCTGCAGATCCCGCAAATTTTATCTCTCTCCAGCAGCTTGGTTTCCAAATTCTGTGACACCAGTTCCCTGTCGGGAAAGGGCGCTGTAGAACTTGCAGGGGTGCTGAATTTTTTCAAAACCAGACATTTTCCTTAGAGCAACCCAGCGTGTGCAGGCAATACTGACATTGCAAGCCCATGTAAGCTGATGCACAGGGGTCTGTCTATGACCCCTGTGCATCATTTCATGGGTGCGCTTGTATATACAAGTCCCACGTTCACATTTGAGCTCAATTGAACCATATAGCTGGATAGGAGATGCAGATAGAGGAGGATACTGCATCACAGGTGGGACAAGCAGTACTCGGCATGTTTCCTGGATGATATGCCACACAAGCGGCTGACACGGCCGGCAAAGGTGTTTGAATACTTCTTCGATGGCATGCGCAAGGGCCGCGGCCGGGAGAACATCCTGCGCCTTGAGGTGCGCACAACGTGGCCCACCCCCCTGATTATTTCTAGCTCACCCCTGAATTCTTGCTAACCCTCGCCTGCTAATCATACCACCAAGACCTGCCTTTCTCCTTTTCAGCGAAAGTTTTTATTTGGTGATATGATTGAGGTTCATACAACCTTTTAAAAGAGGAATGCCTTCATTTCCACTTTCTAGGGCAAGGACTTGAGAAGGATCTCTCAGCTTCCGAGGCCCAGTAGTCATAGGACTCCTTGAAATGGGATTTGTGCCATCTGCGCGTCACAAGAGTGTCTTTTATAGCATGCATGCCGTCTTAACGTCTTCACATGCCAGCAACTGTGCAATATTCCTTTGTTGTGGACCTTGCATTGTCTTGGTGGTGGTGCCTTCTGAGCTTGACAGGGCCATGTGCTGACAGGTGGTGGAGGCAGGCCACCTGAATGCAATAGCCTTCTGGTTTGACCTCCACCTGGACGATGAGGTCAGCATTACTACAGCGCCCGCCTGCATCGGCCTGGGCGGTGAGCTCATCGGCGAGTCATCGGGGCCGGCAGGCGCCAGCTCAGCCAACCCTGTCAAGACTCGAGGCAAGGCTGCAATACAGGGAGATGGCAGCGCCGTAGATGCATCAGAACCACAGAGCTGCAAGGGCTTCATACCTGCCAAGGTGTGGTTAGTTTGCTGCCCACTGTACTTTCATCAGTTTTGCTGCAACACTCCCATGTGTAGTTCTTTGGCCTTAGTAACCAAATCACCTCTAGGTGGGGTTACCCACCACAGCATGCATAGCAGGTATGTGGGGTCGAGAGCAAAAGACATGCATGCAGCATGCCTTGCAGAAGAGCATGGATACCTATGTGAGTTGCATGGACGTTCATTGATTGTTGCTGAGGGCGGGAGATTTGCAATGTGCAGGAGTGGAGCGGATGCAAGCCAGGATGGGTGTTCACAACAGGACACTTGGGTCTGGGGTACTACGTTGATGAGCTATCAGCACAGCAGCTAGCTGCAGGGACAGATATTCCAGAGCAGCAGCCATGTGACGACTGCCCTGCTGCTGCTGCCAGCAGCTCTTCCTCCAAGCCCGAGCAATCCACAGCAGCGGATTCTCCTGCCAGCATTTCTGGAGACGGTGCAGATAATGTCATGTTAGGATCTGGTCCAGCAGAGCAGACAGCCGACCAGGGAGCTAAGGGAGAGCCAAGCGAGTCAGGTCCAGACAGTCAGGCCAGTGCAGGACCGCGCAGCAAGGTTGAAAGGCACTACTGGGGCCAGGCACTGCAATATCTGGAAAAGAGCACTGATGTCATGCCAGGTTTGCTACACTTCATTGCTCAAATTCCACTTTCCAGCGATGACATCATTCAAGGCCCTGCAACCTCTGAAATTCGGCGTTTCTTGTGGCAAGGGATAGCTATGACAAGCAGCGCTGGCTGGGTCCAGGTGATATTAGTATTACACGCTTTTCCTGCCAAGAAGCAAGGTGCAGTTGAAGGCTGCCAAGAAACTAACCCTTGTTAGGCTCGCCAGATCCAGACAAGACCCAATCAACCATAGGCACGGTGCTCAGTATTTATACCGCCCCCCGCCAGCCTGGGCCAGATATGGTACTTGAAAATTCCGCCCGGCATACAATCGAATTCGAATTGAAGTTTAATTGTGCGGCAGGCAAAAAGGTGACGCTGCTGGCGACGAGGGAGGGCGGCCAGGTCAGCTTCCGGCTACGTGAGGGGGTGGGAGATTGGGTGGATCGAGCCCCATGGCGTATTGAGTGGGGCGGTGGTTCCTCAGTGGAAAATCCCCACTACCAGCGCGTGCACTACTGCCAGCTTCTGGTGCGCGCGCAATAATTATTGATTCTTTTCTGAACACTGAGAACTACTGATTTGGCGGCGGTTTACCGGCATGTGCATGCGCGCACTTTACGGTTTGATCTGGCACGTGCATGTGCATCTGTGCATGCATGGCTTGTGTGATGAAGTATACTCTACGGATCACAAGCCGTACCTGTCTTCCCTTGATAACCACCTGCTCACGTTCTTACTGACCTGCATGTACCAGCCTTGCATTCTAGGGTGGACTGTGTGCTATAGATATTTGGTCATTTTGTTGCCTGGTTGCAAGCCAGCACGGCTAGCCATTAAAACATGGCATCAGCAAGGGTTGCGCGTGTGCGATCTGCTGCTGCAAGCCTGGCAAGCAATAGGAGGCATCCGTCCATCAGCTTTGTGAGCTTAATATTATTGTGGTGTTGCCCTTCAGGTGAGCGACTTCCTGATGCGCGTGAAGAGTGGACGCTTCCCCAGCATTGAGAAGGACATGAAGATGGTGCTCGCGCATTGCGGCTCCCTCTTCCTGGACCCAGCCTCCCTCTGGCAGGTGCTGAACTTTATACTTTGAGTGCTTTTATTGCATGCTTTTCCTGCCAAGAGGCAAGGTGCGTCCTGCAGACAAGCTGCATTTAACAGCTGCCACAATCCTACCCCTTGTTGGGCTCGCCAGATCCGGGCAAGACCTAATCAACCATGGGCACGGTGCTAATTATACCGGCCCCCGCCAGCCGGGCTTTATACTCCACTCTGCCAAAACCTCAGGAAAGCACAGAATCAGACTGAGAAGTAGTCTCCAATGGTCTCAAGAAGCATGCACCAGGGGCTGTCGTTTTGAGAGCATGGCCAAAGCAGTCAACTTCCCCATCCTCACATGGCGCTCAGAAAAGAAAAACAGCTGGCGGCATGCCAATCTATAGAGAACGTCTTGTCTATGGGCATGCTCACATTCTTCACGCATGAGTTGGTTGTACGTGGCACAGGTGTATCATGAGATGGTGGTTTTGGAGCGCATTCACACAAACCCGCACTTCAGCCCTGGGGTGTCATTAGAGGCACTAACGCGGCAGCCGCTGCGCTTGCACTAGCAAAAGCCAAATTCCAGCTACCAGAGGACCCCCTACAGCCAGAGGGGTGCTTGAAATCATTGCCATGTTGGTCATGCACATCATGCAGTACAAATGCTAGCGAGCGCAGAGGCATTGTCTGTGTGGCAGGCATTACAACGCGGACTGAATGCTGTGGATGTAAGTTGACAGCTTGCAGCGCAATATATAGAGGGATTCTAGCAATGCAGTGTAAGACATTTTGACTGAGACAAAAGGGAGTCCTGGTCTTTGACATTCTTTCTCAGGAGCACGAACTCAATATATAGAACTATATAGTCTCAATTCAAAGATCTTCCCTCCTCAGCAAGGGTGCTTCTGGGACCCCAAATCTCAATTTGCCAAGTGGCATGACAGGTGGACAGGCAGTCACATCACACGAGCGAGCCACACATCCCGCCTTTATTTTGCTCTTCAGAACACATCCTTCTGTGTTTGGTACAGACACTTTTGCTGCTGATGTGATTTTCCTCTTGATTCACCCTTGTTGTTCAGGTCAATTTCAACATGCAAACAGCTGCCTCCAGGCCCGCCCCTCAGTGCTTTGCAAACATCCACAGGACTGTGCAGCAAATGATTGCATCAGCAGCGCATCAATATGAGGCGTGTCATTCTGCATGCCACAGAGGTCTGCATAGCTCCAAACGTCGGCAACAACCATTACAGTCACGACTTGCCGCACTGACTGGACCAGTGACCCTGCTGCCCGCACTTGAAGCACGCGCCGCCCTGCTTCAGCGCCTCGCCGCCGCCCTGCGCGCTCCGCCCACCGGCACCAGTATTGGTAACAGAGAAGTACGCCGCGATGCCGCGGCCGGCAGATGCACCGCGGCCCCGGCCGGCGGCAGCGGCTGCGCCGCCGCGAGCGCTGCCGCGGCCGGCGCCGGGGCTCGCGCGGCCGGCCTGCCGCCCCCCTGGGGTGAACGCGCCATTGTTTTGGGGCGCGGACGGCGCGCGGCCGCAGCCGGCCCCGCCGGGGCAGTTTGATGACCAGTGCCCGGGCTCCCCGCACCTGCACCATCCACGAATCTTACGATTGACACTCAATGCCGAGCGATTTTGCATGCCAAAGGAAGTTTTCTACCCACAGCAGACGCTTCAGAAAACCGAGGAATTCAAGGGCACGCCCAATTGTAAGTCCCGCATCGCCTATAATCAAATTCCTTTATGAGCAGGATGCGCAGAAAAGGCCAGGGCCGCACTTGAAGCAGTTCCCTCGTCCACCGCCGCCGCCGCCGCCCCGGTAGCCGCCGCGCCCGCCGCGGCCGTAGCCGTCCTGCCCCTGGCTGCCCATCTGCGGGGGTCCGTCCAGCAGCTGCGAGGGGTGCCTGGTCTGCCACTGCCTCCAGGCATCGTCGCTGTATTCCTCCCCGATCGCCAGGCACTGGTAGAATTTCTTCACCACCTCGCTTGTCTGCACACAGAGCATGACCATTTCTTTTGTCAATGAGTGACTGTATATATTTTTAGCTTCGTTATTCTTATTGAAGTGATGCTCTCCGATGAATGCTGACTGGGAGAATGCCTCTGATGTAGATACTGTGCTTAGGATTCAAAATTCTCCGTACACACAATCTTGAGGATAGCCGGGATATGGTCACTTTCAGCAGAGGCGCTTGAATGGCACAGAGACATGCCTTTACGCAGCCACCAGACCAGTCCAGGATCTGCAGGCCCTCCAAGGAACGCACCCGACTGAGCGCCACATATGCCTGCACACAGCACAGGTCAGGTGTCAGTGTGGTATTGATGGGTTAAATTCTCTCAGCAGTACTGCAATGCAAATGGAGGGAGGAGAATGAGGAGTACCTGGCCTTCTGCAAACATTCCCTGCACCAGGCAACACACACCCTGTCAGACTCTTGCGCATTTGCAAAATACGCCTTCCATTGCTGCTCGAGGCTAACAAGGAAGGAGCCAAGCTCAGACATGGAGAGAGCAGAAGGTGTCTTACCTTGAGGGACACCTTTGCCAGGTCAAGAGTGAGGCCCTGGCACTTGTGGATGGTGAGAGACCAGGCCAGCCTCAAAGGGACCTGCTCACCAAGCACAGCAGCTAATTAGCAATGTCAACAATACATGATGTGCCATGGTGTTGCCTTCATTCCAGAGTCCAAACCACACATTCAAGCTCACATTTCATTGCTGATGAGAGCAGGAAGTCAAGATGATAGTCATGCCTGCAGGCGTTGGCACTTTCCAACCGTGGCCACTTCGGAGCTGAATATTTCTGGCAGCATCAGGCGCTCGCGATTGTTCAGAAAGCGCACCACTGGCACCTTGACACCTGGCCACCTGCAGTCATAACAGGAATATCAGAATAATTATGAGTGTGCACACAATTTCCATTCTGGATGCATTCAATGCATTTGGGAAGGGGGGCCTCAGCTTGATGGGGCACAACTGTTGCCACCTCAATGAGCCACATGCCTATGTTCAACCTTTAACAGCCTAGCACATTTGAAAGCTGCATTGTCCTTTCTTGAGAGACAAGAGAGGACGTGGTTGAGGTCTTGACTTGCCTGGCGAGCACTTGGCGGTAGGACTCGCTCTTTGTCGGGTCAAAGGCCACCCTCGACAGGGAGAATTGCACAGCCGCCGCCTGCGCTGCTGCTGTTTGTGACGGAAGCTGGTCAGCTGCTGGCTTCCCTGGTGCAGCGCCCGCTTCAGATTGGGTCCCTGTAAGGTCTACTACATCCTGTCCCTTGGCCTCACTGGGTTTCTGTGGCTCAGGATCTGATGATGCAAAGCTGAGCAGCCGCATGCACTCCTGCAGCAGAACCACGACCCAAAGATCAGGGCACTTATTATTATTGCACGCTTCTCCTGCCAGAGGCAAGGTGCATCTGCAGACAAGCTGCGGGTCGATGTTGCCACAGGTACTATGCCTTGTTGGACTCAGCAAATCCAAGCAAGACCCAATGAAGGGCACGGTGTTCAGTATTTACACCGCTTCCCGCCAGCCGGGGCTAAAGGGCCGCTTTGTGTCACCAGAATTGATATTTCTGATACTCAGGTCAATATGTCTGTGGGGTACTTGCAAGTGCTGCACTGTCGCAAGTCTGCTCCTTAAGCATGTACCACCCCTACAGAGCCTCCCTACACAGAGAGAAGTGACATGGTGCGGCAGGCTGGCAAGATATTAAGATCATCTCACCTCTGTGGTCTTGAAGGAGGTGATGACACCGCGCGAGCCGTTGACCAGCATCTCATGCCCAGCGCCGTCCAGCTCCAAGTTCTTCAGCAGCATCACTTGCGCCCCCACCTGGCCCCCGCACGACTCCCAAGATTTGACATTAATTCCCCAGAAACCCCCCTTTGACTACTATCTCGAGATTCTAGATACCAAATGGACCTGACAGCCAATGGTATGACCTGGACAACAGGCATGCAAAAACGAGCCCGGCTCGGTCCATTGGGCAACTCTCAACAGACTTTGGTGCATGTGGGTGTGCGCATGAGCTGAACTGAAATGCCCCAGTAGGAGTAACAGGCAATGGCAATGTCGCCTACGGTATGACAAACCAGTGAGGCATGGGATGAGCCCAACAAGCATACATGGACCCTTCCAATTGTCTGCTGATGCATGCTGCAAGAGTGGCAGGAGGAGTATTGGCGCACCTTGTACTCGGCCAAAATGGGTGCCAGGCAGTCCCTGAAGAACTCGTTGCGCTGCAGCTGCTCCTTCTGCTGCCGCCACGCCGCACTGCCCTCCTTCTCATCCAGCGGCAGAGTCTCGTCCACACCCTTCAGCTGCACCTGCGCGCACATGCCGACCGCAGCGCTCACAATCTCACAATCTCATGGCCTGCAGATAGAGGATTCGGGCCATGGACAGGGATGATTGATCCACAGCATAATCAATGCCCGCAGCTCCTGATCTGCCATGAGGACAATTAAGCGCACGCAGAGGGAGAGCGCAACGTGGGTTGACAGCACTATGCTGATGGCTCAATGATAGCCTGGCTGGTCACGTAGATTAGCAGCAAAAATGTGCCAAGACCTCCACTTGCAGGTGAGTCATCCATTCAATCCTGAAAATGTCAGATATTTCCCCCCTGGCACAGTGATGTGAAAACCCCAGCTCACCAGCTCGCCGGGCAGAAGTTCCAGCTCGCGGCGGTTGACAGCGTCCACGTCAGCGTTCCTGGCAAACAGCTGCGTGGCCTTGATCCCCGCGACCTCTGGCAGCGGTCGGCTGCACTGCTGCACCAGCGCCCTCACTGCCATCTCCGTATTCTCCCCGCACCTGCAAGTAGACCAGGCTCAGCGCATGTTTGAGCACATGCAACATATCATGCACAATCACTCCTTTGCCACCCACAACTCAGCATGGATGACTGGTTTGCGGAGCTTCTGGTGCATGATTTATGATAATGTCTCTGCCCAGTTCTGTCATTTTGGTCTTCTACCCAAGCGAAGTCAGATGGTTGTTGGCTCAAGCAATGCAGGCCCATGGTATATAAGGAGAAGCCAACAACTCTATGCATGTCTAAGGAGATGCAAGAGAGAGCAAAGAGCCTTGCTTGTAGGCTTCACCTGATGTCGTTGAGGATCCTGACAAAGGTCTCGTCCTTCTGGCGCCACACTTTGGTCAGCAGCACCTGCGTCAGCTCGCACTTCTTCCACGCAGGCGCCTGGAATGTGAACCCCCGGTTGAGAAATGAGTTCTCCGGCATTCCTGGGCTCCACCGCTTCTCTATTGGGGGCAGCCTGCACAGTCACAGGCGTCAATATCACATCCTCTTTTGGTTGCTGCCTCTGCCAAAAGCCAGATTCGTCCTCGTCCCGCCAAATTGATATTGAGCATGCAGATTCACCAAATTTATGTGTTGCCTGTCCAAGCAATTTGGCATTGGGCATGCGGTGTCGTTGCGATCATGTGATGCCTGCCCGGCTGAATGAAGTGCGGCAGAATCATCCTAGCCTGTGCCTGTTGCACATGTGTATTTTTGGGCACATATATCTCTGGGCATGTTCGTCAGCAGAGCAGGAGAGTGCTCACTGGAAGTAGTCGCCAGAGAGGATGAGCTGGATGCCTCCACAGGGCTTGTCTGAGAAGCGGATCTTGCGCAAGGCCTGCTCGACCTGGGCGAAGAACTCGGCCGACACCATGGAAATCTCGTCCAATATCAGCACCTGCGTTGCACCAAAAGTTACCATGAGTTCTGGCTTTCTGCGCTGAAGGCATTCTCCACTATCAGCACCCGCTTTGCACCATGCAGCAGTATGAGTACTGGCTTGTCTTGAAGCCTTAAAGGCAGGAAGATGCTGCATCATAAATGCTGGCCTGTCCTGAAGGTGCGCAGGTCACCAGGTAACAAGGTAATGTACTGGCGTGCGGCGTGGGAAGTCCCAGAGTGGACAATATTAGGATTTCATGCATACTGCAATCTGCTCAGCATCTGCCCAACTGTAGACATAATGTAAGGATGCAAACCTTGAGCTTCAAAAGTTTTTTCTGGGTGATGGGCTTCCACATGCGGCCAAAGTCTTCAGACACGGTCGGCACGCCACATCCTGCTGTTGAGTGGAGCGTTGTGCCTGTTGCATGCCAGCCATCCTTTTCATTTTTGTTTGTGGAACATCTTTTGCAGGCAGCAAGTGACGTGCTGAAGACAAGTGTTGAGTCTGCCATGTGGATCAAATATACGGATCTCACCGCCGATGTGTGTTGCAGCGATGCCAGTAGCTGCACAGATGGCGACAGACTCAGAAAAGTCTCTGCCATATCGCCGACGCAAGAAGTCGATGACACGATTGAGCAGGAAGGACTGCGCAGGAATATATCAACACCTCAATGCCCCACAAAAGAATTGCAGTAGTGACAGGTGGACAGGTTCTGTCAGCTCCCATGCGTTCCACTCAGCAAGAGCAGACAACCAGCTTGATCATCTGAATAAACGACAGCGCACCTTGCCAGTGCCTGCATTGCCTGTGAAGAAGACGTTACGGCCCTCTCCAATTAGTTGTATGACATTGCTCTGCAGCCAGATTGACATCTGTTCAACTGCAGTGCAGTGTTGCTGTTCTTCTTCAAGATCTGCCAATACCATGTGCCTCAAACATATTTACCGGTGCAAGGATTCCATAGAACATATGAGGACCCTTCACCTGCTCTTCTGATAGCTGGTGGCTGTTGATCTCGCCGGAGGGTCCATCTTGCTCTCCACTTTGCTCGCACAGTGTATCTGAAACATGGGTGACCATGCTGGCCCTGCAAAAGACAATTCATGGCTCATCATCATCACGATTGACATGATCGGGAGTATTAAAATCTGATCTCAATCACCACACTCCATCCTTTGAATGCAGAAAAGTTTCACCAAGGCAACCGCTGCAGACAAAAGTTGGATATCAAGATCTGCAATATTGATGTGAAACGCTCACGGAAGCTTTCGAGATGGTCGCGGTCCATCGAATTGTTCAAGTTTTGGCTCAACTTCCTGGGACGAGGTGGTGCAGGCAAAGTCATCAAAGTTGCGCTTTCTGTTGCCTTGTAGATGCGGATCGGTATCTTGCCCATTCTGACCGTTAATCATATTCATAGATGCGTACTACACCCAGATCTGTCAATGCAGTATATCAGGGCCCAAGCAAACACTCATACACGTAGGACATGTGTGCAGCGGGGTCTCCTTGTGAGCTAGAGCAGTCAATCAGAAACCCGACGAACATGATCAAACCTTCATAAAAGATGCGAAAATTTTCTGGGCTGATCGCAGGAGTGACCATGCTTCCTGTCGGGTTGGCAATTTGATCGAGGGTCAGTGAGACATTTGCAGCGCAGCACAGCACGTTGACCTCAGCCTCAGTTGATGTTGACCAATGCATGCTGTGTAAATTTCCAGTTGCGATGGATGCCAATATACATGGTATTTGTGCCAGCAACAAGAGCACCACGACGGTCCGGCAGATGGTATTTCGATTACCCTTGCAATGATTTGCACTGAAGTCACTTCCTGAAGTACGGTACAAGTGTTAAACACCGCATGCGCACCAAGAACTCATCCACAAAAAAGTGCAGCTACCCCAGTCTACATTCCTTGCTGCACTCTGCAAATGACTTCGTACAGTTATCATGTTCAGTGCAGCATACATGTGTTTGCATCCCCGGCTGCTGAATACAATAATCCCTGCCTGTCACTTCCACTTACTTCCACTGATGAGATCAGCTCTGGAGACATCGTCCTCCTGGCCAAATAAAGATGTCATTTTGCAGGACATTCAGGTCATTCGGCAGGAACAGAACGTGCACAGCTGCAATTACATGATGATGGTGCCTGGGTCCAGAACAGACTCCTTGAGCTCCTTGTGCGGCAGCACAATTGTGCCATTCAGGAACACCTCGTCCTGCGCAAGTGGCAAAGCATCAATTGATTGCAGGCTGCAGCATATCCTGAACCCTGGCAGCTCACCATAACTATTCACAAATTTCCTCTTGTTGAAAAGTTCCAGGAAAAAGGCGACAAGCTGATCGAGAGGTTGTTACACGTGATGGGGGGTATGAAAAGCCTCAGCAGCACTCAGCGGTCTCTGGCATTTTTGACACCATGGTGAGAGCCATCAGGGATGCATGCATACCTTGACGTGCACGTCCTCTCCGATGACTGACTTGTTGTCTATCCTGGCCCACTTGCCCACAGACGAGCCCCAGCCGATGATGCTATCATTCACGCGCGCAAAGTCCTTCACCTGCAGCAGCATGCAGCAGCAGCTGTGAGCAATTTAGAGAAGAAGAATGCGGATATTAAGGCAGAGCGAGCGCCAGAAGATAGGAGAAAGGGAGAGGAGGAGATTATTGCAAAGCAGACTGCAATATTGACTGGCTGTCTGCTTTTATGCTATTCAGAATCATATGCACCACTGCTCAGCTCAGATGCAGCCACTTTGCAGCCTGATCAGAAACGAGTGCCTCGTCTGGCCTGGCCAGAATTTTGGAAGGGAAATCAGGCGGCCTGGGGCATGCAGCTCTTGCAGGCCCTCCTGAAGTCCCCTTCGTTCTAAAAGTAAAATTTGTAAAAAGTAATAGGTTGGGGTCAGACTGGTGTGGGTGCCAGCAGCTGGAGGTGTATCGAGGGGAGGTCAGGCGGCCTGGAGCATGCAGCAGCAGCAGCTGCCGCTCTTTGGCGCCCACGGCAGCCGCCGCGCCAGCTGACGCCTTTGTCTATCTTATCATGCACCAAGTGAGCACAAAATGCCCCTATGGCGTGTCTGCAAGGGGTGATCCAAAGAGTCACCAAACCCCAAATCCTGGGAACAGACTGCTTTTAGGGAGGGATTCGCCATAAAAAAAAGCAGCGCACCTTGACGCGGTGGAGCAGCACTGAGTTGGCGATGCGGACGCCGTTGTCGATCTCGCAGCCGATGCCGATGGACACGTTGGGGCCGATCTTGCAGTCCTTGCCGATCTTGGCGCTCGCGTGCACAATCACATTGCCCTCAAACTCTGGCCCGCTCGCCAGCGTCTCAGGCGCCGTTCTCCTCAATGAGGTCAGGTGCAGCTGCAGCCCTGCAACAAAGACAAGCATGCACGCTTCAACAAACATGCCACATCCCCGCACATGGATCCATCGCTTGCATGTGCCAATTGCCGGCATGTATGTATCTCAACGTTCCATGGCTGGCCGCTTGGCGTCTGTGGAGGAATCACTGTCAGACTGGGACCCTGTCAACATTGATAACCTGCATATCGAGGTGCTTCTGGCAAGTATGCTTGCCAAGGGAGTAGTCAGGATGCTTACAGGTGCTGTACAAAGTTGTAGCCTGATTGGGACGCCACAGGACAGTGATAAGTGTATGGGTGCGCGCGCAGGCGTTTGCGCAACTCGCTTCAAGCTACACAGAAAGCGACACCTGTGAGGTATTCCTTGCCAAGATAGCAGTCAGGCCCACAGGTGCTGTACAGAGTTCCAGTCTGATGGGGATGCCACGGCACAGTAATAAAAGTTCAAGCATGCGCGCACCTGTGAGGTAGTCCTTGGGCTGGCCGACGTCCATCCAGTAGCCGGGGAGGGTGTAGGCAAAGAGCTTGCCGTCGCGGCAGATGAGCGGGAAAGTCTCCTTCTCTATCGACGTCGGCCGCATCTCGATGCGGTCCAGCACCGCCGGGCTCAGGCAGTAGATGCCTGCGTTGATCTTGTCGCCCACAAACACCTGCGAGAGGAGAGGCCACGCAATAGGACGGCTATCACTCTTGTTTTCATTCTTAGCGCAAGACAGCACTATTGTCTTCTTCCCTTGACACGATACAATGATGCCCCGAGCAGGGCACAGTTCCCAAACAGGCCTGTAAAAGTACGGCCTTGCAATTAGTGCACAGAAAGGAGTGCATGAGAGGGGTGGAGCGTCAGGCGGCTCACCTTGGGCTTTTCCACGAAGCGCTCCACCCTGCCAGAGTCGTCAGTCACCACCACGCCGTACTTTGATGGTTCCTCCACCTGCCCCACAAAGGCAAATCAAAAAATTCAGAATCCACCTAATGCTCGAGCCACCTCACCTGGTAGCACCCACGGAGGTCCAATCACATGGCGCTGCTCTGCAGCAGGTGGCTGTACCCTGTGGGCGTGCTGGGGCATACATAGTGTCTGTCTATTTGTTACCGAATGTTTCTGCCAAGATGAAGGTGCACAATGCGGATCCTTACGCACCTGTGTGACCAGGATGGTCCCCTCTGCACCAGTCTTCCTGTGGAATGCCAGCATGTCCCGCAGAGGGAACTCGCAGATCACGTCACTGCACAGCCACAGGAAAACACATCAGCACACATTGCTGCAGAGATAGTACGGTAGCAGACATGCTCTCTGGTGAAAGACGCCCTCTTCGGGAGGCTGCTGATTCTCAAGGTGTTTGCCACATTGTACAATCTGTGCGAATGGAAGCCTTGGATCACAGAGGAAGTGTGCACCAAACAAGCTGATGTGCAGAGATAGTGGGCAGACCTGTTGAGGACAAAGAATGGGTCGCCGCTGCCGTCATTGAGGATCTCACTCGCCAGTGCCAGGGGGCCTGCTGTGCCCATAGGCTCCTTCTCCTGTGCAAACAAAGAGCCATCCCCTTCAATACAATACCCCCCAAGCCTTTCTGTCTTCCCGCCCTGAGACTCAAGCTTCTACCCCGGGTATGTCGCCAATGCATGAGTCACAGAAGGCATGCTTTCCTTGCATAGCACTGTCTCACAGGCCATTGCACAGTCACTGACAGAAACAACACAAGGAGAGGCAGATTTAATGCATCTGCCCACCTGTGAGCAGGTAATTTTGATGGCAAGCTTCTCCTCCCACTCCTTCAGGAAGTCCATCATCACCTGCGCAGACATATACAGACAGCAATTCAGCTTTACTGAGCCCTGGGGATGGTCTGTCTGTGGCCATGAACATGTATTTCCCAGTACACCAATCCAGCGACGAATCGACAGGGATGAGTTCACACCTTTGGCTGGTAGTTGATGGCCAGTACCACCTCGTTACATCCAGCGTTCTTCAGAGCCTGCAACCGCACATCATCTCAGAGATGTCCTGGCAGATTGCCACCCTCCACTGCGCCAGTGAAGTTTGCTGCTTCACCAAGATGAAACTTTGACTATCCGAACTTACACCGCCTTTGCATATTCGAAAGGGCAGAAGATAGATATATGGCCTGCCTCATAAAAGGCCTCGTTGTCTGCATACAGTGGGATGTGCAGCTCCATTTTCGAGCGAATCGTGTGCATGCTTACCCACAACTAAAAAACTTTTTGCTACAAAATATGCATTGTGATTGCCAAATCTGCGTCGAAGCAGTGCCCTTTCTATCCAGTCTGATGTACAACTGGCTAAAGTCCATCTGCGCTTTAGGCCCCAGTAGGAGCCCCTCGGGAACCATTGGGTACACGTTTCCGTGTTTAGACAAACAATGCCCATCCATAAAGCCACTGGCGCACCCCTCGCAGGCCAAACCCAGTTCTGTTGATGAAGGGGGAAGTGGCAGTACCTCTATCTGGTGGATAATCATGGGCTTGTTCGCAAAGTCCACGATGGGCTTTGGAACCGTTAGTGTGAGAGGCCGAAGCCTTGTGCCATAGCCACCAACAAGGATCAGGGCCTTCATGGTGCTGCTTTTCTCTGGATGCCAGTTGTGACGCGCCGAAGGTTTCACCGATCTACTGACGACCTCACCACTCTATGCAGCTGCAAAACTCGATAGGAAGTAAGGGATTGTTTATTTAGATTCGCAAGTCACAGCGAGTGTTCGCGCCAGTATCCGAGGAATAAAAGACCAGCATCTCCAGCAGGCTGCCAGGAACCGCTGCGGTTCAAAGCGCGCATTTCCCCATCACCTCACGCTGGAAATTTGGGGCGCCGAAGGAAGCAATCATGGGATTGCCGTTGTTGCGTGCAAGCTTGCGCTTCTCCAACCTCGACGAGTAGGTATTTGCATCTTGGATGATCACGGAGCGTTTGCTGCAGCATTGCGCCGAGCTGCGCTGCAAAAACTTAGTCCAAGGTTGCGTCTGGCCAGCTAGATCAGCATATAAGTGTTCTGCTCGCCTGAAATATCTGATACCGCATTGCAGACTAATGTTAATGCATGCGCAAGTAAGATGTTAGGTGTAGCTTTGCAGAGCAGAAGGACTCCTTATGATTAGCGCTGTGCGTTGAGATCCATCAAGCAATCGATTACTTATTACGAGCACAGCAAGATAGGATGCTTATGAAAGCGGGCGAGTAAACCATTTCTGAATAGTTTTGCACATATCATGGTTTGCCGATATGCAAATCATCTACATTGAAGCATACAGTCGAGACCAGTGGCATGGATGTGGAGGATCCAAGAGACACCAGCAGAGATCGCAGGAGCCCAGGAGGCCTCTTCACTTGGATTTTCAAAGTATTTCAATCACCGTGGCTGGCAGTCTGTATAATAGGCCTCCTTGTACTGGTGTGCTCTTCAATTCTCCCTAATCGCAGACTAATCTTGTCCTGATCTGCCGCTAACCCTCGATCTGACCATGGCACCTTCTTGCAGCTGTATCTCGGCGATAAAGAAAGCCTACACAGGAGCTCCCTGCAGATTAAGGCAGCTGGCAACGAGGCAGTGCGTCACATTCCTTCCTGTGTTCATAACAGGCCCTCTGACACTCTGTCAATCATCTCCCACATAGAAGACGTATGCAACAATCTTATGGAGCAGTTTACCATGTCTTGGAACTGTTGCAGTACCTTGCACTGCATACAATTGCACATAGGGCACCACAGAATCTGTCACGCTATTATGCAGCGGTGGAGAAATGACATTCTTTCTTGAGGGTTGCAGTTGGAGCATGCAGCCCTGCAGTGGAAAGGCCACTTTGCAGCGGGCTTGCTTCCTGATAGGACTGAACTCCATCATGAAGCAGCTGTAAGCACAGATGTCAAACCAGAGCTGCAGCGCGCGAGAGCCCGACTGCGCCCGCTGAAGGTCACTTCCTGCCCTTAAAGCCCTCTACTTTCACATGTGCTTGCTTGGCCGGCTCCGATTGACTGGCTCTCAGCTGAAAGCACCAGACGCAGTCACAGACCTTCATGATATGGACCAAGCTTGCTTCCTAAGGATGCTCCATGCATAGCAGTGCTTGTGCCCATGCTATTTCGAGCAGCAGGTGGCCTCTCCTGAGTTGCAGCAATGTGTGATTTCTGCTCCTCTCGCAAGGAAGCCTTCCTCTCATGAAGACAGTCTTCCTAAATAGATTGATGGCCATGTTTTTGAATTCAGGTTGGCGCACTGGTGTTCTATGGGCGCCGGCGCTACGTGAAGCTGCTCAATGTCTACCTGGAGCGCAACCTGGCCAAGAACGGGGGCATCCTGGATGAGGTTAACGTCCTTACTTTTACTCTTGACAAGTTTAGAGTTTTTTCACACGGGAACTCTGCGCATGCTACAGACATGCCAGTACATGCCAGTCAGTGCAGCCCAGGTTTGAAGACAGCTTCTTGAATTCATGTAGCTCTTTGCAGATCAGGATTGGCGTTGGTCACAGAATTTACTGTCGCACACACAGGTGCTGCTCTGTTTCTCAGTCTTCAGTTGATCAGCAGCTTCCATGTTGACCTTCTTTGTGGTGCGGCACAATCTTATGGGTTTGACAGGTGGTCTTTGCCATGCGTACGGGCAAGAAAGAAGACTTGGACTTTCTAGATGTGCTGCTGGCCCGCCACCCAGGTGAAACATGGCTATTTTTATACTTACTTACAGGTTACCTGTCTAATTTTGTGTGCGTTCAGGTAGGCTGCTAACGGACTGTCAAGATGATGGGTGCAGCACTGCAAGATATGGCTGTAGGCCTGCACCCATGCAGTGCCTGATCAGGCAGTCTGTCATCAATGCGCAGTCACCCTTGACTAATGCATTCTTCCGCCAGGCGTGTACCGGCGCAGCGGCCCCGGCAATTTGAAGGCCACTGGCGTTCATTGGCAGGAGTCATACGCCATCGCGCGGCCCGGCTGCATCTATGTGAAGATTGATGATGACATCATCTTCATTCAGGTGAGTGCAATGCTGATGTCTTGGATGGAGGAATGGTTGCCCATGATTTGCTGTCTCTGTAGCCCCTGCTAGCCATCTTGCAGCAATATAGGATTGGACCACCAGCAAAGTCAGCTCAGTCGCAAGACGCAGATCAGCTCATGATGGCTGGTCTTGTGCTTCAGTCAATTTTGCTGACCAGTGCTATAGCTGCATGTTGCCTGCATGATTTTCACATGTAAAAATACTTGTCCTGATGAGTGCTGAGGTGTTCCAGTAGGCCACTCCCACTCAGGACACCATATTCGTCTTCATAAAAATTGAAATTGTGGTGCAGGACGGTGCAATAGAGGCGCTTGTTGAGGAGAAGCTGCGAGGGCACTATCTGTTCGTATCCGCAAACATTGTCAACCACCCTCTGCTGTCCTACGTGCATGCGCAGCTGGGAGCGCTGCTACCCTATCATCAACCCCCCAAGGGGCTTAGTCCCCTGGACGCCTACAAACCCTTTGAGCTGGCTGACTCAGCCGACGTCCTGGATGACTCACCCGCGCGCACATCCACGTAATCACCGCTGCTTTGCCTAATTATGATGACTCGTGTGCAGGGTTCTGGATCTTGGGCAGAGTAGTGGGTTTGGGGACTTTGTCTGTGCGTGCGTCGGCCGCCGATGCGCATGCTGGGGCGATCACACTTTGCAATTGCATCTGGAACCTATGCCATGCTTGTCAAACTCAATCGCACCTGCCAAGACACAATCCGATTACCAGATCTTGTGCCAGGACCGAATCACTCAGTAAGTTGGGGCATGCAATCATGACTGCCAAGCTGAAGGGACCAAGGATGATCTACATCTGCTGATGATGACTCACTAGATACCCTTCTAACCCCATTACCGAGCTAAGTGCATAGCAAATGCCCAGAAAACACCAATTTCTGAGTCTTTTGAGCGCAGGTATGCAATAAACAGCAGCTGCTTCCATGAGAATTGGGACTGCGCGGCGGTGTCACACTACTCCTTTCTGCATCACCTGCGCGCCGGCAGCCTAAGTGCTTTTGAGTTCAGTACCTGGGATTTGTGCTATCCTGACTACCACCGCTGGAGCATCAACTTCTTCGCCTTCAACTCCTCTGACCTGGCCGGCGACCTCCTTACTAACGACACTGACGATGAGGTGACTAATGCTGAGTCATCCTGATGCTGCGTCGGCCAGCGCCTTTCACAGAGTGTGCATGGGCAGATTCCCTATTTTATTTTATTATCTAACAAAGGCACAGTTTCGGCAGCATCCAGATTATGAAAGAGACCTTAATGCAGTCACTTTCACTGCAATCAGGTGCAAGGCACCAGGGTTACCTTATATTGTGAGCACAGGTGATCAGGTGCTTTACCTTAAGAACCATGTTCATGTTTGACAGCAATCTATTTTTGGTGCAGACGTACATATCCCAACTGCTGCCGGCGTACCGAAAGCAGCATGCTGCGGCAGTGGGAAGGACAGCGCTGGTCGTGCATTATGCATACTTCACTCAAGAGAAGGACCTCCTCTTGAACGCGCCCGGCCTGCTTCAGGAATACAGCAGGTGCTGTATGCTACATGCACCCCGCCTTGTGAAATTGACATGATTGATTCACTTGCCCTTTGATGCCTCATCAGCAGAGTGGATCTTGTTTCATTCTGCGGAGCACAGCATGCCAGCAGGGCGGGCTTGAACATCTTGAGCAGGCGGGTTATCATCTGAATTATGGACCTCAATTTATTGCCCGTGTGCTTGAGGAAGTTCTTAGCGCCCTCTGAAGCACAAAATGATTTGCTGAGGTGAGGGTGGCATGCAGGGTGGCAGAGGAGTATGCCAATGGGACAATTATTCAAAAAGAGGTGATAGAGAAGCCGCTCAAGGGGCAGTTTGGGCTGGTGCTTCCCAACGAGAAGGTTGTGCCTCTGGACGACCCCAATGATCAGATGGAGATTGCGCAGAAGACTGCCACGCTGGGAGGGGAATTCGGCTACTATGAGAAGGACTATGTGGACTTCAATGGCACTGACACTAAACTGGCTGACGACTGGGTATGAGTGGGTGGCCCTCTTCAAAGCGCCTCGGGAGAATTTTCTATTCTCTTCAGCGCCTTGCGATCAAAACCAACAGTGGCCATGGGATGTGAGCCTGTTGACAGGTGCAGAATAGGCCACAGTTGAAGAACAGGCCATATTTGCAGCTGTTCCTGTGAATTACAGAAGCTTATGAATGATATTTGGACATCTGGCCTACAAATGACAGCTGTTCTGGTGTGTTGGGCCGAGATATTTGCTGTGCAAAGCTGCAATGCTACACATGACTTAAAGCAGACAGAATGTTCAAAACCTGTTTGTGTATTGCTAATAAAAGCTTGAAGCGCTTACATGTATTGCTTTGTCCTTTGTGACAGCATAATTTGCAAATCGTTAGGATCCAAACTACCTTTCTCTTGGCTGCGCTTATTGAATGTGCACATGCAGCAATAGTTTTCTACCTATCTAGAACTGACCTTGCCATTTTCATAAAGTTGCATCGAACCATACTTTCACACCTCTATAGGTGCAGCCTCCGCTTGAATTGTAAAATCGGGTTCTTGTCTTTGGTTGCAATTGCTCACTCTGCCTTAGTGTCTGCAATATTCTTTCTTTGATTAGTGGAACATATACAGATCACTCCCCAGCAAAGCCCAGCAGGTCAAGGATTGCATCCATGTTGGCAGAGTAATCCACATGCGCCTTCACCAGTGCATGCAGGTTGACGTTCTCCACACCTGTAACCCGCACGGGGGCGAGCCCTGCCGCCACCAGCGTCAGCTCCCTCGCCCTGAAGCTCAGCCCCAACACCTGTGCGCAAAGAGGCTCTTACAATCTTGCATCCCTCTCATGCATTCACACACGGTCACACATGGCTCTCTCTTTTCTTTTACTTCTTTCGTCTGCCCATCACATATATCCTTCTGAGCGTCGCGAGTTGCCAGGCTCACAGCAGTAACAACACTCTGCAACCGCCTGACAAGTCGCGCCTGGTTCAATCACGCATTTCCCGCACCTCATGTCAGCATAGAAGCAGGAATTTCAAGCTAAACAAAGCAGACCTGTCTCCTGCACTGGCGCTGGCAATGCCTTCATGTCTTGCAATCTATATTGCCGTCCATCCAACGAGGCGAAAGGCCCCCGCTTTGTTCCGATTTGTTCATCTGTGTGCCCATGCGCCGTACTGTGCTAATGATTCATGTTGCAAGATATACAGGGGCACGCACCCAGTCCTGGGGTGAGTAACCGTTGACGAGGCGGCCGGCCACGACAGATCGCGCCATGGCCCAGCGCTCGGGAGTGACACCTACGGGAGTGCCCAGCAGCACAGCGTTCTCCACTATGCCCTTCGCGCGGCAGCGGCACAGCTCCAGCAGGCAGTGGAATATCAGCCTGCGCACATGCTTGAGAATATCAGCATGACGCGCATGCTTGGTCATGTCTGCCTGCAAGCCTGCCAGATACCAGGGCAGTCATACTGCAGGTGGCAAAAGGCTGACAGCGTGCCGACCTTGAAAACATGCGATAAGGTACACAAGCGTTTGTAAATTATTCATAAGGTCGGTAATTCTCCCAGAGACGCAGGAATCTGAGTTTGTGATCAACATTCTGCATTGGAACCAAAATAGAAGTCTCAAGTGTGTCTTTATGCCAAAGACAGACGCATAGCAGGCCTAATGAGCTGAATAGAGTACATTCCAACAAGGCAGGCTGTGTTCGGCAGGGAGGGGTTGCCTGACCTAGCGCCCATGGAGTAGCCGATGAGGGTGACTGGACGTCCGCCGTGCGCGCCCGACATCAGGACATGCGCAAGCAGCTGCCCGGCCAGTACCGCCCGATTACTCACCTGTGCAGCAGCAAACTTCAGCTCATCTTACAGTATTACTATAATACCCTTTTCCTGCCAGAGGCAAGTTGCGTCTGCAGGCAAGCTGCATGTGAAGGCTGCCAAATTCCGTACCCCTTGATGGACTTCCCAGATCCAAGCAAGATTCGTACAGGCATTATGCAAGCTCAAACCTTCTTGCTCCACGAAATTTAAAATCCTAGCCATGCCATCTTCAGGATCAAGGACAATGGGAATTGACAGTCAGACGCTGTACACTCAGCAGTAAACGATGCGCAGAGTGAGAAAACGGAGTGTACCACAGACCACTGAGCGTCAATGATGCTGGAGACAGACAGCACTGTCATCGGCAGTGCGATGGCCGCAATCAGGCCGTGCACAAGGAACTTCTCGATGAACCACTTGCCTGCCATCTGCGCAGCCTGCAGGGCACACCCGCCCGCTGGTTATACCATGTCGCTCAGCAACTAATATTGCCATTTTTATGACTTGCAGAGAGGAATTCCAGCAATCATGTATTACCCATGGTCTATTGTAACACCATAAAAACCTGACCAAAGTGCATGTTACCCAAAGACTGATCACTGTTCAACTATTATGTTTTTACATAATTTCATGATTTGGAAACCCTGCATCCTACAATATTAGAAAGTCTCGCATGCTGCACCAGGCACTAAACTTAACGGCACCCATATTTGACAGGCTCAAAACAGCTGTATTGCTGAGTGTTCCAGCTAACCGCGTCTTTGCTGGAGCAACAAGCGAGGAATTTAACGCCAGTTCTTATGTATGTGGCATGGAGGATAATATAGGAGAAGTATGCCTGGTCCTTGATGAAGGTCATGATGGACTTGTTGAGGGCCAGCAGCTCCTGGCTCTCCCACACCAGCGCCATTCTCTGGGTGTCTGCTGCGCTCACACCCTTCCACAGACTCTCAAACTCCTGCAAATTGAACGCTATCAATCAGAACGGAACACGCCAGTTCTGTCAGTGTCATCAGTGCACACAGCAGGCCAGGAAATTGTAAGCAACTCCCCCTTTTGAACGAAAGTACGATGCATGTCAAACAACCAAAAGACACAGAACTGCAGCGCTGCACAGTCTGCTTCTGACAGACCAGTCCAGGCGAGCGTGTAAATAGAGTGTGAGGCGATCTCGCTAGAATTGCCTGGTTGAGTTTTTGGAAGTCCCTTGATCGATGCCATACCTCCACAGATGCAATCATGCCGCTGACACAGACAGTCAGTGCCAGGCGCGGGTCGGCCGCGGCGCCCGGTGGCGCAATGGGTGCCGGCTGCAGCTGCGGAGGCTCCTCACCAGGAGGCCGCTGAGTGTCCCTCACCTCTATGAAGCCAAATTCCTTCACATCACCTGCATCCCCAACAGAGAATGCCACAGTCAGCACAACTTTTGCCCACTCCTCCTCTTACCAAAAGCTGTTATGTTGAGACTCCTCCTTTGACCAAACTTATTGCAAGAAGCCCTTTGCGCCTATGCGGTGTGTACCTGGATCAAAGCATGTCTGATGTACTGGAATGCAAGGGTGTGCGCGGTCTCTACATACGGAATCCTTCATTACTTGACTCCCACGAGCAACGGTGCACTCCTTACAATTACATGCCAGGAGCGTTATCACACCTTTGCAGTAATCAGACCACATCACAGCTTATTCATAATTGGCGTGTGCAAAGAATTGCACAGTCCCCACATGCCTAAAAAATATCGCAGCCGTAGCAAGTGCACCTTAAGGCAAAATCATGCTATTGTACGTCATGACAGAAGAGAAACTTACCGAGCCGGCGCGCCATACGGCTCCCAACGGCGTGAGCGCCGCCCGCCCCAAACCCGCCAATGACAGCTGCGGCGCCTACAGAGCTGCCGACAAAGCCGGTGAGCGCGCCAGCTGCCGCGCCCGCCCCCGCCGTCGTCATGACTGATCCCGCCACCGCTGCGAGCGCCGGAGCCGCCAGGCCGCCTGCGGGTTTGCAGTGTACACGACTCAGCGCTGCTTACACTTGGCAGTTCCCTCGGCTACTTCATATGTTGTTCACGATCAACCATACAAATCAGTGCTGCCTACATCCAGCGATTGGTCCGGCTGCTCATGCAATATTACGCTCCATAATCATGCTCCACAAAATATGAACAAAACTCAGCGACAAATCCTGGATATCCTGGATAATGATACTACCTGCTTCATGTGACCTTGGTTATTTCTGCAGGCAGGCTACTCAGTCCCGTGTACAAGGCCACTTACATTGATCAGATCTTTACAGAGTTTTGCTTCTGGTGGATTTGGATTTGGGCATTGGGAGTAATGTCACCTGTGACAGCCAGCAGTGCTCCACCGCCGACGGCGGCGGCGCCGATCTTGGCATAGCGCATGCGGGAGCCCCACAGAGACTCCTTCTGCACCTCTCCTTTGACCTCGGGAACCTGCATGCAGGAAACAACAAATCAAGTGAATTCTTCTGCATCAGCTTCCAGCACTTTTCCTGATTTAGAGCAGCATCGATCGAGTGCTATCAGCTCATGTTGTATTTACTGGGCCAGTGCCATTCGGATTCGCATGACACTCATAAGACAGTTAACAATCTCTTGCCTTGGACAAAGTGCACAGCAGAGCAGAATTCAGGGGGACTGGAGCCAGGGGGACTGGCGCCCACCTGGGATTCCTGGGCCAGCAGGCATTCAAAGATGGGCAGTTTGGTTGCCGGCACACGAAGCCACAGGGCAACCCGCCTCAGAGCCACCCTGGCTCGTGCATCGTACCACCTCACGCCTGCCGCTTCTGTCCCTCCCTGCTTCCCCTTGCTTTTGCCTGTGCGCGCACCGCTCTTGTCACCTCTGTAGTACATTTTTGGGGGAGATGAGTGGCCAGGCTTCCAGGAAAGCAAGAGGCAAGCACAGGGGGCTGCAAGTCATTGCCATGCACTCTTTCAATCTGTTCCCAAGTCTTCAAGGAACACCACATTCATCAATTGCACATCATGCATTGCAGAATTGGAAGGGTCCACTAGGTCTGGAATTGCTTGAGTATGGCTCGTGGTTGCTGCAAAGAAGAACATCATTCTCCCGGGTCCGGAGCCTGTAAACCATTGCCTCTTGATCGGTGAGATGGAAAGCGGGTGCGGCACACCGTTTCCCTTGTCCTGGGCTTGGCTGATGACGTCCTGCAGCGTGGGCATATGGTGCGTGCCTAGACAGGCGTCCAGCAGCGTCATGATGGCACCCAACGCCTCAGCAGACGGGCCCTCCGGCCCCTGCTTACCGTCTGCCGCCGCCGCCAGCTCCGAGGCCGAGCGTGAGTCATCCCCGCTGACAAGTCACGACTAAGAAAGTGAGTCACACCTTTAGAATCCCCATACATTGAAGGCATTCCCCGGCTCACAGATTTATCATTAAAATTACTTATTCACCACGCATCACATGACGCTAGGCAAATCAGCATACACGCAAACAATTTCGATGTGACTTGCAATTGGGCAGGGGATGATCACCTTTTCTGAGTGGAGTCTGCGCTCTTGACAGTACTGTCCCCAGTGGGCCTGCTTACTCCTGCTTTCTGTGCTGCTGATGCTTCTGGCTGTCCTTTACCAATTGCTGGTGCTGAGCTTGTCATTGTGTTCTCTGGAAGGCTGCGCTGCTCAGCTGAGGGAATGGGCTGTCCAGGCTGGGAGGTCGACATGGGCCTTGCAGCCAAACGTGCCCGCCTCATGTCTGCTTCTAGATCCTCGTCCTCTTCTTCTGCCTTCAGTTGTTCTGCCTCGACTGCAACATGGGCAAACAGTCAGTATCATCGTCATTAGTTTTACATGATTTACAATCCTAATGACATATACGTCAAGCAACAACTGTATTATTGCTCTCCACTCTTCTCGGTCGCACAGTCAGTATTACAGATATGGATTGCAGCACATCTGGACTTAAGTCCTCTACAAGCAAGAGAGACTGAAGAGATGGAGGCACACCTGCAGCAGAATCCTCAGGTGCATCGACTGCATCGTCTGCAAAGGCAGGCTTGGGATCCTCTGGCAGGGGAGTATTTGCGAGCGAGCCATCAATCAGGTCACGGTACTGCTGCACTCCTTGACTGCGCATGTCCGGAGGCATCATCTAGACACAGAGCAGCACACAAGCGTTGAACATCTGTGAGTGCTGTTCACCAAGTGCTACTTGCCAACATGAAGAGAGTTGCACATGCATCAGTCAATTGGAGACCTTATGCGCTGCTACAGACATGCCTGCAAGCAGATGGCACCAGTGGGGCTGCCCGCCAGCCTGTGAGCTCATGCTAGAAATGCCACGTTTGTAGCTGTATGAGTGCACTGTAAGCGCAAAGGCTGCAGCACAAATGGTGTAGCTGCAAGGGAGATCCAGCTACGAAAAAGTGCAATGGATTGTCCATGGGTCAAACCTACCGCAGGCAGCATCTTGAGGGCCGGCCAGCTGCTTTCGGCAACGCCCAGGTGCGCATACACACGCTCACACAGGCCACCGCGTGCGCAGCAGTCCCATCCCCAAAAGGCGTCCCAGGCAGCGGCTGCTGAGTCATCCTCACCGGATGGCGGCCCAGTTGCAAAGTTTTCCAGCTCAACCCCCTGAGGCGCCCTGCATGCGCATGCCCTACATTCTTGCTGAAACCGCAGCACATGCCGGAGAAAGTGTTGGCCACCATGCTCCCAACCAGCAGGAGTCAGGCAAGGCAGAGTGCTCGCTGACAGCTGCCATGAAGCTGCATTTGGTAACATGCGCACAAATGCCTGCTGCTAGTGCATCCAGTGACAACCAGCTGACAAACCGCACAAAGCTTCCGGAAACGTGCATCTACTGACATGCGCACACTTTAATTGCACTTGAAGATTTGGTGGGACTGCAGGCAAGGTTTGATGGTGACCCTGAGTCCTCTGGCGCTAACTGGCTGACAGGGAGGCAGCTTCATGCAGTGCATGCAACTGAAAAAGGAAATTACCCCCAGGGATTTTGTTCATCGGGGTTGTGCGCATGCCGCCAGGCTACTCCTGTCTCCTCCTGGGGCATGGTGTAAGTCAATGAGTCCCCAAATACTTGACTGAAGGTTTAGCAGCTTCCATGTAGCTTCCCTACTGGGCGTATCATGATCTTCAGATGCAGCAAGGACTGCTGTGACCAGGAGGACTTTCCACAGTCTTCTTGACGCTATAGTATCACTTATAATGGGGAGGCCTCGCAACTTGCAGCAGTTCCGAAGTTTCCATCATCACTGTCACAGCACTTTGGAATGCGCAGATTTTCTGCAAAGCGGTTGACACATAATGGAAACAACAATTCTTACCTGCGTTCTGTGCAAAGACAGCGTGAACAGGGCAGCAGCCGCATACTTTTGGGAGTCATCAAACTCCATCAGTGCCTACTTTTGGACTGACTGCTCAATGCCTCTTGGAAATCTCGAGAAGGACGCCAAAGACCTCATAGGCTTATATGCATCTCTTCCCTCTCCCTTTTTCTATCTGGCGCCTGCAAGAGCGTTGAGATAGTTGCACAAATGCCTCTGTCGGCACGTGAGCAAAGCATGCACCGCACGGCTTCGGAAGAGATCTCGGTCGGTCTTGGCTTTATTTGTGACCAGCACCGACAGCCTCGCGTCATCGGGTCAGATAGTTTCTGTATAAGTTGACGGCACCGATGTCAGGTCGCATCAGCCATCAGATTCCTACAAGCAGATGTTGCTTTCTTCTTCCAGCACATGGACAACGTCGGCCATTTTGCAAGCAGACAGCATGCAGACGGACGACATCAAGAACTGTAACAAAATCTAGCATGCAAACTGCAGTCAAACTGACAAGCTGGGACCCCTCGGGTTTCGAAGGTCTGAAGGTAGGTGACGTGTGATCTGGGAATCTGAAGAGGCTCCATCGCGCCCACGGAAGCTTTGGAACTGTCAATTGTCCACCATTGTATCTCTTAGAGGTCTTTCGGTAGGACTGTGTCCTGGTGACGTAGAACACACCTCACTGTGCCAGGTATATTTGCAGGTAGACCAATCTGTAGCTCCCATGATCATGGGAACTTCCGAGGATGTACTCTTGAAGATGATTCTCAGACCGATAAATCCAGCAGACATCTCACTGGTCCAAGGCCGCATGGGCAGGCCCTCTCTCCCTCTGATCCCTGGCGCTGAAGGTGAAGCTTCTTTATCAAAAGACTCAAGAGACAAGACAGTCAAGAAGCCCGTATATCAATTGACTTGCTCACTGAATCGAAAAGCACGATGTGCAGGTGTTGGCGTTGTCCAGGCTTGTGGCAATGCTGTGAAGGGGTTGGAGCCAGGGCAGCGGGTTGTATGCATCCCTTCGCGCACATGGAGTGCCCTTGATGGCAGCGGCACATGGCAGCAGGTGGTGCTTACCTAATAATATCACATATTATGTGCGATCATTATGCAGGGCGCAGCTTGCAGCTGCATCCGTGCTCGCACGCACCCTGTCACAGGCTATGGTAGGGATAAATCACGGAAGATTACAAAAGTACGGGGGACTAAGATTGGTCTTTGCTTGTTGCCACCAGACAATGAGCGTGCCAATGGGCAACCTCTACCCTGTGCCGGACGGAGTTACTGACGAGCAAGCTGCACAATTTTCGGTAAGGCCTTGCTGATTTGCAGTCCTCCCAATCAAGCATCTCACAGGGCAGTCCGGGCTCTTCTCTTGTGTCCTGGTTGCTTAAAACATGAGCCAAGACTTATACATCAGTAACATGAAACCGTCACCGAGGTTCGGCTATGCAGGTGAACCCTCTGACTGTGTGGGGCCTCCTCGCCACAATGTCAAAGGCAGAGTCAGGAAAAGCCGAACAGACCAAGAAGTGGGTGATCAACACCGCTGGTGGATCAGCCCTTGGTCGACAGCTTATTGCTGTCGCAAAACATGAACACAACCTGTCAGTGGTGGCTGTGGTGCGGCGAGCTGATCAGAAACAAGAGCTCATGGCTGCAGGGTGAGAAATCTCTTATGGTCCTGACTGCACTTTAGCATATGTCAGCTCTGGCTCGTAAAAATGTGTCTCATTAAATGATTGTGACTACATTTAGTCTGTATGCCACAGAGCAGGCGGAGTCGTTGCCACAGATGGTTCTGATGGGGATGTGACGCAAGCAATCAGGGATATAACAGGTAGGGGGCATGTTCTTCAGAACCTGAAGTAGTCTTGATATTAGTGTGGGTTACCGCATGCATTGACCTGCAAATACTGACAAGGGCTAACTCAAGAAAATGGCAGCCGTGGTACATCATGCTATGCAATCGGAAACATTCAGGACATTTCTTTCCCTTTTGTGCAGCCGGGGATTCTGTGGTGGGCGCATTTGACTGTGTCGGCGGTGAGGTGGCACGCGCAGTGGTGGCAGCTACAAATCCAGGGGCGCCTATGCTGATCTATGGGGCACTCGGAGGCCCCACTCTGCAGATCAACACGCTGGATATATTTCTCAACAAGAAGATCCAGGTGTTCTCCTGCTGCATCCATTGTGTGTTGTTTTATATTTGTTGTGGGCAAAGCTCCAGCAAACAAACCTTCTGCTAGCTTTCACGCTGTGGCAGGTTGTTGTGCATTGCTCTGCCCTGCCTCTGATGCATATCTGGATTGATCGGCTGCAGCCATTCCTCCTGCGGCAGTACCTCGGGAGTGAGGGCCAGAACAGGCAGAAGGTCTTTGCCTCTGTCATGAAACTCATCCAAGATGGCATCATCAAGCTGCCTTCAGGTACCACTTTGTTTAATTGCCATCAACGCCATGAAGGAGGTTCAGTGCGTCAGACGGCCCGTATTCCAGTTTCACCTGTTTGATCTTCTGCATAAGAGGACTTCCTTAACTCCCTTTTCTGAACATTTTGTGGGGCTGAACAGGAAAGCGGTACCCTCTTGCAGATGTCAGAACAGCTGCTGCAGAATCTCTCAAGATGGGCGGTAAAGAGAAAGTGTTCTTGGAAGGCTAGATCTTGTGCGCAGCTGCCTGTCAGTAGTACCCCGAGCTTATTTTTCTTCATGAGGGCGCATGCAAAAGAGAGGGAGAGAAGAGACTTTGTATGAAGTATGACTGGAACCACACATGGGAACAGGGCATGTTTTTAATTGGTGGTACCAAGATTCTCCTTATGGAATGCCTGTCAAGCATGTTATTTACTTCTTTGTACTGTGATTATGATTGATGCTCCTCAAATGGTCTGTTACTGAATAGAACGGCAGTTGCTCATACTGACCAAGTATTCAGTCGTCAAGTTAGCTAGCTCTAGATCTAGAGCTAGAATGTCCAGCTTCAATTCAATGACTACCACAAATCTGTCGGGTCACAAGAATGCCTGGGTTGCATTCAAGGCCGTACCATTGGCCGACATCATCTCATCAAAGAATGTGCCGTTTGTCATTATCATCAGCGCCTCCTTGTCCCCCCTGTGCTTTGAGAACTTGTCGATGCCGAAGAAGTGCAGGAAGAAATGCAGCGCCAGCAGCAGCACAGGATTCCACACAATCAGATACCTGATCGAGTCCAGCATTTGAATCCTGCACAAGACAGACATAACACTTTTACATTTCTTGCATCCTGCTATGGCACAGTAAGAACAAACCTCGCATGCAAGCCAAGTCTGCACTGCAATTCTGGGTGGGCTGCATATAGGATGGTCAGATTAAAGGAGGCATGATAAGAAAGCTGCCCAGCGCAATTATTCACACGCTAAGGGTGCGTCATTGTCACATGCACATCACTGTCCATGACTAATGCCATGATGGGTTGCCTGTCTAGGTAATGCTCCAGGCAGAGCCTCTTGAGCCGCACTGACCTATCCGTGTTGGACACAGAAGATATACAGCAACCCAAAATCTGAGCACATACATGTAATCCAGTGATGTATTACAGTAACAGGGGTAAGAGGCAGCAGAACGGTTGAAGGCCTCACCAGGTAAGGTTACGGCTTTCCCAGGGTCTGCCAGCAAATATCTTCCGCATGTCCACCTTCTCAAGGCAGGTGGGACAGGTGTCCTGCAGCCAGCAACGCCTCAGCTGTCATGCATCACCACACGTCTTGCACATTTTCTCACTGTGCATGCAGGAGCATGCTGCACACCGCTGAAGTACAGGCTGTACCCACTTCCTCCCTAGGACCAACATTACCACTGCGTAGAGTGTTCACGCCAATATTGGCAGGAATGCATGTCAACAGAGTCAACAAAGGCAGGAGTGCATGCAATGGGCTTGCTGCACACTGCTGGAGTACAGGCTGTACCTACTCCCTCCCCAGGAACCAAGATAACCACTGCGCAGAATGTTACAGCAATATTTGCAGAAATTTATGCCATATATGCTGTGAACACGCCTCCATTGCTGTGAGCCCCCGTCCATTCCTTTGGGTTTAAGCCTTGTGGCTGTACTCCAGCGAACCGCCGAGCAATTGAGGGAGCAGAAATGCATGCCGAAGACAGTCAACAAAGGCGGGACAGCACCTTCTTGCCCACAATAGTCCAGCCCCTGATGCAGTCGGGATGGAAGCAGTGTTTACACCCCAGCTGCACACTCGCTCCATTCCCCTGCTCGCTCACCGATTCCCCACCCCCGGCAGCCGCCTCCTGCGCGCTCACAACAACCCCAAAGTCCTGCAGGTCCCCCCCGCAGATCCCACAGCTGCGCACGGACACCGCCATCTGCCGCTGCATGCCGATCAGCGACGCCTGCACAATGCAAGAAGTCTAATCAGAAAAAGCAGGTTCAGATCTTGCTGCACATCTGAATTGGCTAGCTCATGCCAACAGCGTGCTATGCTGGCGTGGCCCTTCAAAACTCATGAAAGCTCCTTGAGGTCACTTATGGTAGTGTTATGAAGCTGCAGAATGCCGTATGCACAACAGTCCTAGAATGCTGATGTTGGCCGAGGGACCATATGCTGTACTCAATTCACCCTTTGTGAGCGCTGGCTGAAGGCTGCCATGTGTGATAGTACCAAGCTGACTTCGGTTGCTGCAAAGCTGGTTCCGGTCAGCAAACACAGGGGTTGGCGCAACTCCATTTTGAGAACGACAGTAGGGTGCGGGGGGCAGCGTCACGCACCATGCGGTCGGCAGCCACCTCGGCGCAGTCGCGGCCCAGCACGCCAAAGTAGAGGCCGTACCAGAGCAGCATCGCGCAGAGGCCGTGCAGCCCGGGCACCAGCTGCTGCGAGCCGCCACCGCCCACCTCCAGAGATCCCACCACTGCCATGAGCACATAGCCCAGCACCCCTAGCCCCACGCTCAGCATATAGATGCTGGAGAACCACTTGTAAACCTGCAGGCATACAGAGGAACTCTTGAATGGCTGCAAGCGCCGGAGCACGGTGGTAGGCAGCATGGGGTGGGAGCAATCCATACAAGTCATATTTTGCCTCGAGTGTGGGCACCATCTGGAGCATACATGCCATGATGTCCTATAAGAAGATGCCTCATCCTGCCATGCTTGAAATCCTAAGGTTCATAGCTTGCTCTGCAAGTGGGGATACTGGATTGAATTTGGTACAAGACGGCGCACCCTTCTGGGAGTGCTGCGTTCCATGCGTCCCACAGAGCAGAGGCTCAGCATGTACAGCGTGATGCCGCTGTAGATGGTCCACACTCCCAGGAACCGCCAGAACCTGAAATGGAATGAGATTACTGCTGGCACAATCCAGAGCCCAAGCAGCGTCACCTGCAGCCATGGATGTTGTGAGTGATCTTGCGCGCAAGGCATGCAATAGTGTAGATGTCGAAGCAAAAAGCCTTGATCGATGAAGGACATCGGTGAATGAATTCATACCAGCTCATAGGATCTCTTATGCTTCTTCTTCCACCAGAAGAGGCCGCTCTGAGCTAGGATCATGGTGAGCTGTGAAGGGCACATGAACCGTGAATCGCATTATTTATAAAAGATCGAGAAGTTTGGCACAAAAGAGGCATTTTAAATAATTGAGAAGGAGGCCTCACGATGATCAAATAGAAAACCAGGATTGCGATCTTCATCTGCGGGTCGTGTTGCTGGGCTGCCTGGTACCGCTGCATGAATATCTGCTGATCATGTCGGTCGGTGAGGTTATAAATTGCCGGATCTGGATATTCGTCCGTCTCTAATACACCAAGGGTGTCACTGGTAGATGCATTGGAGCCAAGGGCACCGTTTCCCGGTCGCTCTTCCATCTTCTAGATCGTTTGATGATATGGGATTCTATTTCGTGAGCGCATTTATATTTAGATTGAAAGAAGGGAAACCTCATTCCTGGATGGAGGACAATCTCCGAAACACAAAACCCTCTCCGAAACTTTACAACCCTATGAGAGAGCTCATGCAGCGAAGTAGTAGAGGGATCGTGATGCATTTATAAAGTGGCAAGATGCTCAGGCGTCTGTTGCATCAGGGCTTTCGAGTAGCATATAAAGACTGTCGCTATGGCACAGGCTTGCGGCTGCCAGGTGATCTGTCCAGTTTAGATGGACTGCATCAATCCCTTGGCGTTACGTCTATCTCTGCGTGCATAGAGCCTTGCAGCTTCTCAAAACACTCCAAGGACTTTCATGGTGCAACCAGTACGCCAGAGGAGAGCACTTCAGCGTACTCAGCGTCTGCAAATACCTCAGATCGTCCACCTAATGCAGCTCCATCTTGCAAATCTTTTTCCCATGCGGGCCAAACAAATCGGACTAGCACATGCAGCTGGTATTTTAATGGTTGTAAGCAATGGGACAGGGCAAGTCGGGTGTCGTTACCTCAGTCTCGAGACTTCGCAACAGTGCCCAGCAGGTTTGCAGGTCATGAAAGCAGGGCAGCCCGTAAGATAGCTCAAAGAAAGGGCAGGCCTTCTGAGGTAGTAAACGCGGAATCAGATGCTCCTATGGATCCCATTCAGTCAGACAGCAGGGAAGTGACAGAGGCGAATGAGGGCAAGCCATCTGATGTGCAGGTGATGCCACACATATATTAATCAGGCGTGGATAAACCTGCAGTGCATTCTGTAATGTAGGTGTCATGTATATTGGCATCAACATGACTCTTGCACCTTGAGGTGCAATGCTCCAAGATGCATGCAATGTCCTTCAGGTAGCAGAGGCAGTGAACCATCCAGCGCTGATCATCACGCGAGAGATTGAATGGTATGCTCAGACATCCAAAACTGCAGTCTGCACTCAAGAATTTCTCCATGCGGTGATTCTCTGGTTGCATGCAGCCACATCTTCTCTGTAGGAAGATGTGCTTGCCAGGACCTGCATGATATCCCCTTTGCGCATTCATGGTAATGCTTGGGAGTAGGCTAGCAGCAATTAAATTGCTTCGTCTGCTTCCACAGGGGGACGGTGATCCTGGGCTTTGAGCAGGCCAACCGCTACACAGTGCTGGACCAGGATGGCAATGTGGTGGCGCTAATGGCAGAGGACACGGGCTCGCTCGGCACCGCCGTTGGCCGGCAGCTTCTGCGCACCCGCCGCTCATTCACTGCCACCGTATTCAGCCCGGACGGTGCGCTGCACAGCCATTGCTAATACTCTCATACTGTTTCCTCATCGAATTATTGCTGTGCTTTCATCTGAAGGCTGCTCTGCAAGAGCATGCCTGCAGCGTGTGAGCACTTGAGGGCAGCCTAAGGTACTGCATTGTTAGCCTGGTTGAGCTCAGTTGGGTGGCATACCTTGAACTCCTCTCAAAGCTGTACTGTTAGCATTGATGCATGCCCTGGAGTTTAATGGAAGATCTGTTCAGGGATGCAAGCATGTTAAGCATTATCTGGAGCTCTACTGAGGGGCACTGTGGTCTACAGGCAGCCAGGTGATCTTTCGCGTGCGGCGACCAATGTATCTCATAAACAGCACAATCATTGTGGAGGATGGAGAAGGCACACCAGTGGGCGAGGTGCACCAGCGGTGGCATCTGTGGAAGCGCAAGTACGGCCTCTACCTGGAGAGGAACCAGTTTGCAGCCATCGAGGGGAACTTCCTGGCCTGGGAGTTTGTGCTGCGAGACCAGGACGGAGGTGGGTTGCCATGAGTAAAATGACTGGGTACACTGGGCATGCCACATGCGCATGCATCATGTCGTTGGCCTTCTGCTACTTGAAATGTGCCTTTTTGGAATTTGCCAGGCTGGCTTTACTCATGAGTAGTAAGGTTTGTGACATTGCGTGCAGGTGTGTTGGCGCTGATAGATCGCAATTTCCAGGGCTTTGGCAAGGAGCTCTTCACAGATGCGAGCAAGTATGTCATCCACTTTGGGTCCAAGCCAACCGAGGCTGCTGAGCAGGTGACAGTCCCAACTCCCAAACTGACGCTCCACAAAGCATGTCTTTACCTTTACTTTTGCATTAGCTGCCAAGGCCTGCATGCCCTACATGCATGTGACACCAGAGGTGTGACATGCTCTTCACCTCCATCAATGCATGAGTTGCAAGGCCTGCATGCATGTGACAACAAAAAGATGTCATATGCCTTTTATCTCCACCGTAAGATTAGTTGCCAAGGCCTGCATGCATGTGACAACAGAAGTTGTGATGGTGGTACAGGTAGCCAACACTATTGCTGCAGCACACCCAGACAAGCCCCGGCCGGAAGTCACTGCGCTGGCAAAGCTGCGCACCGACGTAGCAGTCGTGCCCACCCAGACCGGCAACCAGCTGGTGCGGGAACACCCTGACACCTTACTTGTTCAAAGCCTCGCGTCAAACGGGAGCTCACCTGTGGCACCTTGATGCCATGCTTTCCATGCCTTGGGACAGATTTAATTTCATGGTGTACAACCTCTTTCACCGTACTGTCAGGCGTTGCCTATACAGACCGTCTGAGACAGAGAGAAACCATTGCTGGCGGTAAATTAAATTTGCTAGGCGCTCGCAATTCATCCTGGATGTCATGGCTTATGCTCACGCATGTAAAGACAAGGCAAGACCGAGAGAGAGATGAGAGAGTGTGTACAGTTCCACTCTCTTATGACTCATCCTTTTGAATGTGGGCAGGAGGTGGTGCGGCCACTGGTGCTGGATGAGCGAATGACTGCGCTGGCTGCGGCCATCTCCATCGACTACGACTACTTCTCGCAGCACAGCCACGGCCCGGGCATGATGCCAGGCTTCCTCTTCCCCATGCCCATCCCCACCCCCTCCTACCCAGATCCCGATGCCGGCCCCGACCCCGGCCCCGGCGCCGACGGCGATGCCTCCGCACCGGACGCCAGCCCAGCCCCAGGTGCCTCTTTACATCACCCCGGCCATGGACTGGTTCCTTTCCCCCTCCCTCTCTTGACCACAGCACATCTGTAAACGCTGTTCACTTTGATTGTTGCATTCGGGGGACGAGGGACGAGGGAACTCCGCTTTCCTCCTCACCTTTGATCTGCCCCTACTCCCACACAGATGCTGCCATACCTGGCGCTCTTGCAGTGATCAACAGCTTGCTTTCAACAGGTTTGGTCCATAGCTTCATGCGCATCCTGCCATGCACGCATGCGTGCTCTGGGTGCTCTTGTGGTGAACCTTGCATCGGTGCAGATGCTACAACGTGCTCATTTACCTAGTTTCTTTCTAACAAGATTGTCTGCTGGCAGAGCGCAAGGCAGGCAGTGCAGATATATGTTGTCACCTGACTGCTCTGCAGGGTGTCACTCCTGGTATACTTGCTTGTTGCAAAGGTGTCATGTGCTCACAAACAGCTTGAGGCTGTTGCTTGCTTGAAATGGTAGAGAGCTCAGTATGCTGTGCTGGGATTGCAGGTGGCAGTGATGCTGGGGCCCCGGCGGGAGCAGAGCCGCTTGACCGCGACCTGGGCAGTGACGGGTTCGAGTCACCCCCCGACAGCGGCGGAGATGGCGGCAGTGGTGGAGGTACGCCCCAGTCTGGCCCTGCGTATTTTCTGCTAAATGGCCACGTTTGCGTTCGTGAGATCGGACGCTCTAGCCATCATAGTTTGTGTTTTGGGCAGCAGCAGTGTCTTGCGCTTGTGGTTAGGTCTTTCGGGTCGGCGGCAAAGGAGGTGTTCCCCAGGCTGCCTTTTGCAGCATGCTCTAGGGAGGCCTGATATGGGATGTATCTGCTTGCGTGGCACTGTCAGAGTGAAGCAATTAGATTGCAATTGTACGGCAGCACTACTTTTCACCTCCTGGTGAGGAGAGAGTGGTTGCATTCTGTGAGAGAATGTCTGTGTGAGAGAGAGGAAGAGAGACAGAACCATCAAACTTTTACCAGCCAACAGAGCTGATCAGGTGGTGCTGAACCCCACGCGCACCCTTTCCAACAAGTCCCCCATAATCAGAGATAGAGGAGTGCGGACATCAAGGCAGAGCGAGCACCAGAAGAGGGGAGAAAGGGCTATCCCCCATAATGATAAAGTAAGTTACCTTCGCAGATTGACCTGTCATGGGATGTGCAGGCAACAGCTGGTTTGGAAGGGACGATGACAGCGGTGGGGATGTTGGAGGGGACAGCGGTGGGGATGGGGGGTCCCTGTGGGGGGACCTGTCAGGATTCTTCAGCGATTAATGATTGCAACAGGGGTCATCTTGTAAAACGGACCTGCTTGTGGACGGCATTGCATTTGGATCATGCTGCCTGGCAGTGGAACGTCATGGGAGAGCACATTGCGCAGTGTGCGTGCAAGCCTTGGTGATGATGTACAATGGAATGCATGGATGGCCTTGTGGTCAGGTTCCAAGGAGTTCCCGGACCTCAATTACTTGATTTTGTGTCTCAAGACAAGCGCAATTACAATCAGAGTACTTAGTGTCCACATTGGCATCCAAGTTGGTGAATGCAGCCAAATCATTAGAGAAGAGGTATGCAGACATCGCCCTTGAAGGCAGGGCGAGCGCCAGGAGATAGGAGGAAGGACTGCCTCGCAAGTGCACGTCATGTAACAGCAATACAATGATCCCCCAACCCCGGGTCATTAGTTTCAAACTAATGGTGGCAGTAAGTTACTGCCACCAGTGGTGGCTTCTTCAGAGGACTAGCCTCAAGGGTAGTTGACTCCAAATTAATTTCTACTATCATGATGTGCCACTGGCAGTATTGTTGAGTAGATCAATCTCTGCCCCTTCGAGGTTGTGCAATCACGCAAAGCAGGCAGAAGTCTTGCTTGGACAAGCAAATGAGATGTTGGAATCACCTGGGGTTCCTGATTCAATTGCAGATGCTATTGTAGCAAACCATCACATTCACCTTCCATCGCATGCAAAATCTAAATTAGGCTTGGGTCCTGTGACCTCGGCCCGCTACACCTCATTATGGTCCGAGGTTCGGATCCGTATTACGTAGGCAAAATTGCGTGATGGCCTTGACTTCAACTCGGACGTATATTTTTCGGCCGTGTTTCGCTTGTGAGAGAACCCGAAGCACAGACATTATTTGCCGAGAAAGTTAGGGAAGCAGAAACCTCAACAGACAACAATACTTTGCTGATATGGTTCGTGTCACACAGCCAACCACCGATGAGATTGCAAAGTTCCCCAGGGAATTTGCTCTCTTCACGCAGATCCCTGGCGCAAAGGCTGGAGAGGTCGACACAGAGGTGAATCTGCAATTCTCTTTTAGATGAAGAAGAGCGTGTTAACACGGACGTCCTCGATCGCTTTGGTGACCTATTGCGTGATCTTGGTCTTTCCTAATGCATCAATTCTATTTTCACAGCCACTGATTTCTGCAGAATATAGCATCTAAAAATATCGGCATTGACATCCTCACCTTCCCGCACTAGACTCTCAGTGTCTGGTGCACATGCTCTGCCGGGAGATTACGAACGTGAGCTGTGTATTTGTGCAGGCCCTGGCCGAGTTTGTCAAGACATACGGCACTGGATCAGCTCCTTCTGGAGGTATGATACCATTGGACACACTGTTTGACGTTTCTTGATCCACGACAGTGCCACGCATCGAGATCCCGCCTTTGAGAACTCATTGCTTTCGGGCAGAGGAAACACTCACGCAGGCTCACTATATTCATAAGCTTAAAAAATATATGGTTTTCGCACGAGTGTCCTTCATGCATTGGACGGGGATTACTCAACCTTTGAAGCTCAGCATCTCAACCATTGAAGCTACAGAAACTGCAAGGCTTACGCTTCCACCGCCGGCTTGCCCTGCAGGAGAGCTGGCCTTTGCTGATGTGGCAGCAGCCCTGAAGAAGAAGGGCACTCCCATCGAGGGCACCGGAAACACCATTGCGTGGGCAGCCCAGGACGACAGCGGCCACCTGGCTCCATACAAGTTCACCCGCCGCGATGTTGGCCCCGATGATGTGGCCATCCAGATCGCCTATGCCGGCATCTGCCACTCCGACCTGCACCAGATCAAGAACGACTGGGGCAACTCCTCCTTCCCAATGGTCCCTGGGTAAGCCCCCGCGCAGCCTTGAACTTGTCTTGTCTTTAAAGATCAATGCATAGCAAGCATACACACTGCCAAGGCATCTTGTTGGACTGATAAAGAAATTGCCCAGTAGCTTCTTCAAGCAAAGCACCACAGTGCTGGCGAGGTGCTGAAATAAGAGTGATTGTGCTGCCCTGGTAATCATGATCCACCCCTGCACAGTTCTGGGCAGATTGCAACTGTTGGGCTTCATGTGCGCCCATGAACATATCAAATTAAGCTGGCGTGCATCAATTGCACAGTTGAATGTCGCAATTGTACTGTACAATTGCCCTTTCCCACATTGGGATAATCGCACAGCACGCACATGTGCTCGCTAGGGTCCCATGTATAATGGGCTACTCAGGACCATGTACATCTGTCTACATATGTCTCGCACAGACGCAAAGCAGCGCCCGAGGATGTGCGTGCGTGCTGCTGCAGCCACGAGATTGCATTAGTCTGTGACAAGTTCCATGATTGCATGCATGCATGCGCAGGCACGAGATCGTGGGCGTGATCACAGAGGTGGGAAAGAACGCGGAGGGCCACTTTGCGCTCGGTGACGCGGCGGGCGTGGGATGCATGGTGCGCGCTTGCCGGGAGTGTGAGGAGTGCCACAGTGGCGACGACCAGTACTGCACGCGCATCGTCTTCACCTACAACGGCAAGGACTGGGGCGAGGGCGGCGTTGACACCCAGGGGGGCTACTCCAACCGCATCGTGCTCGACCACAGGTGTGCAGCTCGAATTCGAATCCAAAATATGTGTGCCTCGAACTTGAAATATATACATGCTGCGCTGCACATGCATACCATGCTGTGCATGGTATGCTCCTTTGCTTGAATGCTGTTTGACAAAGTGCCCCACCCAGAGGTCAAGCTGGATGTTGGGGAAAGTGAGATCCATTTCAACACAAATGAAGCAGGGAAGTTCATGGTGGATCTGGCAACAGACTCTAGAGTGTCCCGTACTGAGCCTCAGTTGCGCCATGAACCTCTCCAGCTTGTTTTGTCTTCATATTGGATAGGATTTGGCGACCGAGCTGACCCCACTTGCTGCAAAGCCTCGACAAGGGTCAGAACGCCTCTAGGCAGCAATTACCCAGCCCGCTTCACTGCATGACACGTTACTGCTATGTGAAGCACAGCGGTGTAGCAGAAAATCCATCATGTGCTGACAGTGATCTTATCACATGCAGGTATGCGCTGAAGGTGCCGGCCAGTCTGCCGCTGGTGGCTGCGGCACCGCTGCTTTGCGCAGGCATCACCACCTATTCCCCCCTGAAGCACTACGGCCTGGACAAGCCCGGCCAGAAGCTGGGCGTGGTCGGGCTCGGAGGCCTCGGCCACATGGCTGTCAAGTTCGGCAAGGTGTGCTGCCACTCACTCCATTCCCCCATATTCTGGATTGCAGTGCGGGAGTGTGCATTGCATGTTTGATGACCTCACATGCACCATCAACATCTTATGTCAAGATCTGGTGGTCGCTCGACACGCCCAGTGGCCTGCCGATACGCATGACCTTTGCAACGAGCGAGGGAGGCAGCACCATCAAGTCTGGAAATGCAGTGTGGCATCATACACCGTTCATCATTGATGACCCCTTTCCTGCTTTGCGCTGAGAGAGCATGCACCATCATTTGCGTTTGAGCCACCGCCAGACCGTGTGACCCCATGCCCTGTGTGATGGTGGATTATACAGTTGTGCTTAGGTGTGTGTGAGGCATGCAGTGAGGAGGACTTATGGCTGGTCTGCTCTTAGCACACCATTTTCTTTCGGGCGTGTATGGGGTGCATTTGAAGCTGACATGGCTGTTTATACTCGGTCTGCGCAGGGCTTTGGGCAGGAGGTGACGGTGATCAGCACGAGCCCCAACAAGGAGAAGGAGGCGCGCGAGACCCTCAAGGCCGACCACTTCATCGTCTCCAAGGACGAGGCCCAGATGAGCGTGAGTCACCCCACCCCTCCCTTCTCACAACTGCCCTTTTCTTGTCGCGACAGCTGTGTGTCTTGTGTATTTCATGCACTCTAAAAAAAATTGTGATGCTGCCCCACTCCTTCCCTCTTACAAATCAGTCTTTTCATTTCGTGGCTACTGTGTTTGTGTGTTGCACGCATTCTATTTAAGTGCAAGGCTGCCTTTCTCCCAAGTTGGCGCTCGCATTGCCTTGTGTTGCCTTGCAGTCTCTCTTGGGTTCCATTGCTGCTGGCCGCACTCTTTTTCAAGCAGTACTTCTAGACAGAAGTTTTGGTGAGCGTCAGCGAGGATGGTGCTGTCATATGCCAACTTTCTGGCTCCTTTATGTCTTAACACCCTGTTGATCTGACGTTTGAAAAGTCACTTTGTGCCTTGTATGCAGTCCGCTTGTGTGCAGTCGGGCTGTATGATCAAAGACTCCGATGTCTGAATAAATATTGATAGTGGTGTGCCATGCATGAAGGCCGCTGTGAATTCTCTGGACGGCATCATCGACACAGTGTCTGCGGGCCACGAGATCTCAGCGCTGCTGCCCCTGCTGAAGACCAACGGCAAGCTCATCCTGCTGGGTGTGCCCACAGAGCCCCACACCTTCGGCGCCGGCGCAGTCCTCTTCAAGAGGTAACCCCTGTGCACAGCGCCTATCAAGCTCGTTGCATATTGGCACAGACCTCTCGAGAGGTAAACTCTGTTCAGAGAGCCTGCCATCTTACTATTGCATATACCGTAGCTGACAACAAGTCAAGCCTGTGCTCTGCAGCGAGGTGCGCCCTTGTGTCCCAGAGTAAGCAGACAGCTCGCAGAATCTGCTGGCATTTAGACTGCCATGGGGGTCTCTTTGCTTCGCTCCCTCTTGTGTATTTTGCAGGGCAAAGGGCATCAGCCCATCTCCAGTTCTGGGAGGCATTAGGAAGATGTTTTGGGATGCTGGAGGCCTGCACACAGCAAATATATATGCCAAATGCACACCATGTGTCTTACAGCTCGAGAAGTAACTCGAAGATGCTCCATGACATGGAGGATCGCCAGGCAGAACAGCATAGATGCATGTCTTGTGTCTTATTTCTGAATGTGCTATCTTGCAGGCTGACCATTGGCGGCAGTCTGATTGGGGGCATCAAGGAGACTCAGGAGATGCTGGACTTCTGCGGGGAGAAGGGAATTGTGTGCGACGTGGAGAAGGTTGACATCGACTATGTCAATACCGCCATGGACCGCCTTGCCAAAAACGATGTGCACTACCGCTTCTCAATTGATATCCAGGGCAGCCTCATCGACGAGTAGAGCCTTTCTGTACCGGCCTTTTTAAATGCCTGGGCTCTTTGTGTGAAGCACGCCAGAATTGTCCATATCTTCCTGGCGAGGATGCAACAGGTTCGGGGATGAAATTCCTGTGGATATATCCACAATCTGGCCAGCTCCCTATATTGGGGGCAGGCCCTGGGCACACTGGCCTCATTTCATGAGACCATGTGATTCCATTGTGCTCATGTCATGATACTTTTCTGTATCTAGTTCTGAAGATGTGATTCTTGTGAAGGTGTAGCAGGACAGAGATACCCTGGCCTCGTGAGATCATGTGATTCGAAACGGATTTATCATGCCCTTGCCGTCTGCGGCGGCTGTGAGAAGGGACAGAAACGCTTAGTCGGTCACAATCCTCGTTCTTGGTTTCATGCTGCACTTATTAACTTTCCAGAGCAACCCTAATTCAATGAAGACTCTCTCTTGTACAGACCTGCAATCTGGCGTTTGTTACTGATCAGCATCACCTGACGACTTCTGTCTGATGAGTTGCTGACACAGAATAACAAAGCACATGATGTGCATGAGGTTCTGGCTGTTTGTCGACAATGTATGCGCCCAACATGTGCATTCTGATTCAGAATTCTTGAACCACAGCATGTAAAAACGTTCATTACAAGTTTCCCTTCCTCTACCTGTCTCAGAAGTGCTGCGCTGCAGCACACAGAACAGTTGAGCAAACTTGTAGGACTCAGGCGTCAGAACCTATCAGTTGCTGCACTAGCATAGGACTCATAGCTATCGTCGACCTAGCCAGTGCCTAGCTAGTGCAGCAACTGATAAACGTTCTTTGGAATCATTTTAAAGAAAGGACAGTTTCAGGCCATACAGATATGCACGTGCATGCTCACAGACAAGAGCAGACTTACTCTGCATCTGCATGGCGTCAAACTCTTATTAAAACTAATCTCAGCTATATGATTCGGGCTCTGAACCTTCTCAATAAGTGCTCTCTGAAGCTTTGTTCACAGAATGGGCAGTTCAGAAAGTAATTAGATATTCATCAAGGAAGGTTCCAAGCAGCTGCATTGTTCTTTCTCGTCACTCCTCAACATCCAGATCATGCGGCAGGGGATGGAATGGCGCTGCATATATTTCAACCCCAGTGTCCACCCCTTGTGCACCCTGCAAATACAAACCATTGCAATTTAATAGTCACTCGCGATTCATAGAAAGATGAATGCAGAAAACAAGGCCGTTGGATTGTGAGGCTGCTGCAGCCTTACAGGCTTGTAAGGCCGCAATGTTCTGGTCAAATCCAGTGTAGGTTCAGGCAGTCAGGTGGCATGCAATCTCCAATCTGATCAATGTTCATGCATGCTAGCTTCCTGTCAGAGCATGTGCCACACCTGCTGGGCCACCAAGTGCTTCCTGAGGCGAGGGCTGTGCTCAGCAGGCCACACCGCTGCGCTCCAACTCTGCCTCTCTCTCGTTGGTTCCCCTGCAGAAGACATGCATGCAAGACGTCATGCATACATGCAAGCAGTCTACGCACGATGCTGCCCTACGCACCACATGCATGCAAGACGTCATGAGCACTCTGAGAGCCTCTCACATGACTTCCACCCGCTTTTGCACTCAACTGTGTGCAAGTGCACAGTTGTAGTAAATGAACATGTAGATTCCTACAAGACACAGCTGGTGCCATGCAGTGAGTCATGAAGAGGAAAAGTGGAATGCATGGAAAGCTGACCTGGCATGTGTGAGACTGCAGCAGTGCTGTAGGACTGGTGACTCTGATTGCTCTGTCTGGGCCGCTTTACAGGCTGGTCTTTGACCTTTGTCCGCCGGGAGTCATACTCTTCATCGCTGCTGTCGTCATATTCTGCGCTTCCTGAAATCTGCAGCTGGCTGGTCCTCTGGACTGAGGCTTGCTCATCCTGTCATAAACAGGTCACAGTAAGACCATGCAAGCATCACTCAGCTGCCACATAGGTCAATCAGAAGACTCTTGAATGCTGATCACTCCACATGACATTTGATATCACTACAGCAAGCAGGAGCTCATGCATGCCTCATATATTACAAGCATATAGTTATGTATGTCATGCATACCTGTGCAGTCGTTTGCTGATCTTGCCAGCTCACAGGACGCTTCTGCCTTGCAGCTCTCGCCAGCTGACGCAGAGGAAGGTGCTCCAGAGTCACAGTAGCCTCTGAAGCACATGGCTCTGCCCTGTATGTCAGTTGGGACCGCGCACTGTTGAGTGTTTCCTGGATGGATCTGCTCTGCTTCGACTGCTTGTAAATTCCTTGCCAGCCCTGCATGCACAGAAAGGTGTGAAGGCAAAATGTTCCATTTAGGCACCGCCTCAGCGAAAGCATGCCAAAGCCATCTCCTCGACAGGTGTAAGGGTATAAAGCTGCTCGAAGGCAGATGAATGCCTTTAAAACGACGTTAGTGCACCTTAAAAATAATATTAAAACTCCAGGACTATTGTAGCTGACAGCAACCGGTGAGCTCTGCACAAGATCAGCAGGATGCAGTCTCAGCACTTCTCACCCTGCTGTGAAGTGTGAGCTTTATCTTGGATGCCTCAGACAGACAGCTAATGTTGTCAGACTCATCGAAGCATCCTGCATCCCAATCATCAGCCCCTTTGCCTTCGTTCTTCTCTTGGCCTGGCACCATCGTGTCTCGAAGGTCAGGTCTCCGCAATCCGAGCAATCTGCCCGCGTCTTCAATCTACTGGTCCAACATCGTAAGAAATGAATCTTTATATTACTTACAGCAGGGAATGTTTTGTAAAAGCCAAAGTGCTTGGAGATGCAATCCAAGAATTGAAAACAGGCAGCCCAGCATGGGCAGCCCACAACCTGCCCGATTTGGGCATATGACATCAACTAATTGACAACCAAATGATAGCAGGAGAGACAGCATCCGTGACTCAGGAGTGGCAGTGTTAAAGAAGTGTAGAATGGGCTGCCTTGCATGCACAGTGCAAAATTTACAATTATTTTAGAAGTGCGAGTCATCAACACCGGTAACACGTGTGCACACATGCGCATAATCCCCGGGGCCATGGGCCAGGGTTCTTATTTAATATAATCAACATTAGACTTGTAGACCAATAATTGTATTGCAAGAGCGGGACCTACGTAGCATTTTCAATGTTCCCATCCAGCAGAATATCTTGTCAGCTTCTTGTCGGCCGCCGCTGCAAAGTGATTGATTTTACTCTCCTCACGCACGCTCGTTTTCTCTCTCATAAATAAGCAATCAACTCACAAAATACCTCACATGACCTCCCTCACTGCAAACTTGAAACTGGGATCTATGGCGCTGCTGGCAGCGGTGAGGACAGGGCCTCGCGAATCTCCTTGTAGGCCTCCCAGTCAAACCTGCAGCAGAGCAGCCATGTCACCAACCATCCAGCCACCAACGCACCCCTTCTTCACAGTGCAGTCTGACAGCATTTGGATTTTCGATCGTCAGAGGAGGGCAAAAGCGCTCACCCCTTAGATGCATCGCGTCCCTTCAGGCCCTGCACATCCTTGGGGTCCAACGGAGGACTGCAAGCCATCATTGCAGAAGTCAGCACACTCGAGCAATTTGTTGCAGCGCATGTGCATCCTTGCAGCCTATCTGCAGCCTGATCAAGGCCCTTGCACAGATACACGCATCAACAGCAGTACCCAGTGCCTGTAGAAATCGCTTTGGGAGCCTTTCCAGCACTGCTCAGAACTCTCTGAGACTGCACAGGCCTCTCCATGGCAGCATCCCTTGCCTATGTGCGCGCAGCACGCCTCAAATCCTACAAGTGACTGTCTTGACCCCGTATTTCAGGGCATTAGGGGATCAAGGCATCAAGGGAAAAGAAAGTGATCCATCAGAGCGGTCTACATCGCACCCCAGCAGGAAGGAGGCGGCTGCTTCGGCGCCCCTCTGGAAGAGGCGGATCTGTTCGTCCTGCTTCATGTCAAAGTTGAGCCAGTTGAATCCGGCGGTGTCGATGGTGGACACCAGCTTCTGATAGTCCGGGTTGTCAAAGAGAAACTCGCGGTCCAGGATGTGCCTGCCAAATGCATATATGAATTGCTTTATTTTCAACTTTGATGAACTTCCTGACCCTCATGCTGGGCGGATTGGCTCTGCAGATGCTATGCCTAAAATGCCACGCGCTGCCAGAGATTCATGAGCAAATATGCAGAAGTCTGCGGAAGCTTGCACCTCCATCAATAATGAACTGAGCAAGTAGCAAGCACCTTTCCCAGGGAACATCGTATCAGAAGATCAAAGATGCTTCCCCTTCTCTTGCTCTCTTCTGAACACTACAGTGCTGCTCCGATCCTCATTATTGAATTTACCACCAAGCCATTCAATGGCTCATGCGGCTTTGCCAAACACCAAACACAAGGAGATTGGTGCTTGGGGGAATGAAGTTTGCTTGCCTGCTGGCGTCGTTCATGGCGTGGAACATTTGGATGAGGCTGGAGGTGTCCGAGTAGTTGTTGCGGTCGGTGCTCAGCCGCACGCCAAACGTGGGCAGCAGAGGGACGCCCCTTGTGTGAAAATGGCCGATGGGGAAATTGGACAGCGTGCCCCCATCCACAAATGTGATCCTCACCTTGCCCTGAAACGGCCCCTGCACATAGAGAGAAGGTTTTAGACACACGTTGGGTCGTTTGTATCTTAATTGTGTTGTTGCCTCCATGTCTGCCTGATACTGTTTTGTGGCATTGATGGTAGGTCCTCTTTGCAGTCCAACCCTGCTGCATGTTGTCTCGGCGGATTATCACTGGTAGTTATATGTGTGCAAGGTGCGTAAACACCAGTCCGCGCAGAATGCAGAGTCCAGAAAACACTAAGGCAGGAAACGGTCATGGTTGTGCATGCCAAGGGAGTGAATGGGTGGTGGACAAAACTGGAAACTGATGAAATAATGCAGAAGTGGGAGCACCTTTGTTTCTGGGGGCGGGAAGGTTCCATCGTATGTCACTCCTGGCGTTTTCTTCCAGACGCCTGACTCAATCACACTCAGGGGCACTCCAACCTACAGGCACATTTATTTGGACATGCTTGCTTCACAGTTTCTTTCAGACATGAGGGACTAGCCAGGACTGTCTGCCGAAGCATGATGATCATGATGATTAAGAAAAGGCTTCATGGTGGCTTGAAACCCCTGTATCAGAGCCCCTACAGATATGGCAACGATTCCACATCTCTCTAGCGCAATGCAGTTTTTTTTCCAGGACAGACATTAGGTTGCAGGTGTTATTACCTCCTTGGGCTGGAAGAAGACTGGGATGGACATGCTCATGCGCACAAACTCGCTGGGTGACACCTGTCCAGGGTTCTCATAGTACAGCTCTGTGTGGTCCGGGAACACCGCCTTTGTCTCGGTGGTGATGTCTGAGGCAATGATGGCCAGGTCTCCCTTTGTGTACTTCAGCAGCTCTGCATCCTGCCAGCCACCAGCCACATCCTCCTTCAGGCACTTGCATGTCATCTCAGATTAAATAAAAATTTTCTTTGGAGCTTGCCTGTCAGAAACTCCGTGCAGAAAATGGTATCATGCATCGGCGTCTCCTCCAAAAAAAGTACAGCAGCCAAGACCCAATGCTGCGATTTCTGGGTACAGAAGACCAGATTTTCTTCGGGTTTGCTATGGCCTCTGCATGTATAGTGCTGCAAGTACAGTGCTGCATGCATTGTGCATGCATGCGGTATGCAAGCTGGGACTGTGCTCGGCAGAGCCTTCATCGGTGTCTAATTGTTTATTTATCTATTTAGTATCCTGATTGCTGGGTGTTTGATCAATTGACTCACCTTGGCAGCCCTACCGCTAGCCTTGGAGGCAGTTAGGCGGGAGTCTGTAAGCTGCAGAGGCGGTAGCTCCAGACACTTGTAGAGCTTCTCCACTGTGGGTGCGCGAATGTCCATCAGGCTCTTCATCCAGTCCTCGAAAAATACCCCCGGGTACATGCCCCGATCCCTCACAATTTTCTACACCACAAGCAACATCGGTTCTTAATATGCTTGTGAAGCAGCGCTTGATGGCTTATAAATTTTTGCAAGTTAGAGATGGCATGCATGCTACTGCAGGGATGCAATGCATGCCATCATCGCACACGCAGCCTAGTCCATGACCACATGCACCTTTCCCTATATGCCTGCTTCACCACAGCAGTCTACAGACTTCATGCAACAGCATGCGACACTCTTACATAACAGTCCTGGCCCCTAAACCCTAGAAATCCCATTTTATAAGAGGGAATCATACCAGAGCAGGGCCGATAAATCGTGCGTCGCCAAGTAAGCCCACCCATCGGAAGTAGCGCAAAGGGTTAATCTTCTGGAGCAGTGCCCTCAGCCCGCCAGCTGGTTTCTCATCGTCTACCTGTTAATTTCAAATCTCGAATCAAATGAATGCAAGATTGAATCTGGATAATACTGTGAACTCACAAGCCCTGCTCGAGCCGTGCACAGTTTTAATACAGCACCCAATAACGTTGGCAGCCCAGCTGCAGCTATTTTGCTTTTTGCTTTCAGAAAGAGGAAATCCTTGTGGTGGTGAACCTGGTAAAATTATCGCTTAGGAACCATCTTGCTCGTGTCACAGTATGTGCACGGGTGACAGCAGTGAATAAAAGCCCAAGCACACAGATACTGTTTGGGATCTTGTTGCTATTTGTTTCAGGGAAACTGCTGCAGGCGCGCACCTTTGGGGCCGGGGATCCTCCGACCCTTTGCAGGACCACATTCTGCAGCTCCTTCACATCGGCATCTCCATCCATGAACTTGCTGCACCAATTACAGCCAAACGGCTGATATTTGTTCCCCTAATCTAGAAGAGCACCTGAGAAAAGGGGGCCAAAGGGATATGGCCTGCCCAATCCAAATCGAGCTGCACAAACAGGGCCGGGGAGCTCGAAACATCACCAATACCAACAATTAAAGGGTAGAGACTAGGGATTCTTCAAGCAAGTGCATAATTGCAGACTACTTAAGTTGTTGGCAAGAGAGAGCTCAGATGCACAGCGAGCAAGAGGCCCATCCTAATCCTTGCTGAGAGAAAGAAAGCATGCATGCTCTAGGGGCTGCACAGCATTGGCGCTGATGATGTGGAACCAGGGCCATACTGACAGCCGGTGCATGTTCCAATGAGCTTGAAATTGCATCTAGTTCGCGCAAGAGGGGATTAAATCCAAGCACGCGCTGAAAAGCTTGAGCTGCTTCTGATGCTTCTTGGAACTGATGTGCAGCCTGAGCGATGCCCCATTGAGGAGTTTGCATACGGTGCCTTCCTAGTTTGGCCCTCGCATGAGCATGAGCATATAGAAGATCGTCATGCACCCAGCAAGACCCCAAGGTCTGGCACTGTTATGAATATGAGCTCCATGGGAGTGATGGAATCTCCGGGAGTTTACCTGAAAGGGGCAGCGGCAAGATGTTTGAGGGTCTCAGTACCGCTCTCTCCTGCCGGGTTTGGGCGCAGCCCTGCAATGAGAGCAGCATTGATCGCGCCAGCAGACGTCCCGGCAATCCCCCTGCCACACAAGCCATCTTTACTCTTACAGGGGCTTTCCTGTGTTGGCTGATTAATTCTTGGGCATGTGCAGCATTGGGTAAGTGTGCTGCCAGGTCACCTGAAGCGGATTCCTGCCTTCTCCAAAACATAAGTGAAGCCAACGTGGGCAATACCCAGCATGCCACCACCTGCGAGCATGTGCCAGGCTGTAAAAAACGGGCAAGCAGAAAGGAAATGCCGCAAATGATCTTGCGCTCTGCAGAGTGGCTTGGCAGTAGGAGAGGACTGTCAAAGGGAGGGAGCACTGGCAGTCACAGGGGACGTGCTTGCCTGCCAGGACGAAGTCCACCCATTGGATAGTGGTTCCATCCTCGACGGAGATCAGATCAGACACCTGGGGTGCTACTTTCTGGACTTGCTTCACAAGATCGTCGACGGCTTCTAAGAATGGTGCAGGGTCTGCCATGACCGTCTGCTAATCACAGCCGGTGCCTGCCATGCACAAGGCAATTGAGTATATTTTCATCGTGAATTACTTCATCATTTGATTTGTTCGAGTCGAAGAAGAAGATCCGGCAGTGCCACGTTCCGCTGGGTTACTCGAGTTGCCCATCAGCCCCAGCTTGCACAAAAATCTATCAAACAAACCAAGACAGCTTCATTATGGGAGTTCCCCATCAACCAAAAGCACTATTAATGATGCACTTTTGCAGGAGAGCTCTGCTTTTCTCCATCAATGCTTGTACGACACAACATCGCGTCCACGCCCAGATCCCCACACAGAGACACAGGGGATTCCAGGGGGTTACTGGAACAAAATTACAAGATTCAACGTCAAAACTGTTGGATGGTGCTCAGATTCTTCAGTTGGCTGGATCATCTTACCTGACGCCACCCCACAGCGACGTATCGGAACTATGCCAGATCAAGTAAGTCGGCTCGTCCCAAATCGAGAGCGACAGAAGCGCTTCCCAAGGTAGTATTGACTTCTACAATTTTATGAAAGACAAGCGATATCCGGCAAAGATATGCTGCAAATTCTTTCTAGCCAACGTTCTTCTCAAGTGCACCGTATCAAGAACCCTCATCCAGACACGGGGCATTACGTGACCTCAGTGAAGTTTGACTTCTTTGACTTCTCGAGTATTCGAGCAGGGATGAACTTCTTCCATCATACATGTTCCGGCTTAATTACAGCAAGCACATTTGTTCCCAAGCATGGCCATCAATCTATACATGCCATGCAGTTCCATGGAAGAGCCAGAAATATCCCAGCCTGACCAGACCCCATCATTTCAAAGCCAAAAACGTCTTCCTATGCAACGCAAAAATCGGTCCCTTTTGTTGGAGGATATTGAATTTTTTTCTGCTCACAGCTTTGACCATTCTCTGGTCCTGATATTCTCTATACAGCTGCAACGTGGTATTTTGTAGTGCTCAAGTCCAATGAATCTTGGCCTGGTAAGTATATTTTGAAGCTGCCAGTGTGCCGCTCAGAGCGCCTGCTGTATAATCATGGACAATCTTTTCTGCACCTCCAGTGATGCAGTCCCTGAAGAGTGCGACCCTGCAGCACAATGCACTTTGAGTCCCTGCTACTTGCGCCAGCCCTTGAAAGAAAGCGCATCACACTTTGTTGTGCCTCTGGCATCACAGACATCACTGTGGGGCACAGTCTTTGGCACCACGAGTCATGGTCCATGACTATGGCACAAGGCCCCAGCACAAGGTTTCCAGCACAAGCTGGTAAAGCTTTGAATGCCCTCACATCGACACATCAATCCTCTCACACTGCTAAGTATGCAGACACCATGTAGAATATGTAATAATTCCCGGACCGAAGCAGCCATGCGGCTTCCTGTGCTCAAATCTTATAGGTGCCACACCGCTTAATTCCGTTCTGTTCTCTATCAATTAATTTGGAATACTTCTATTGAATGCCCATGTCAGAATGCCTATTTAAAGCATGGAAGCGCTCACCTGAGGTGCTGCGGGCGTCTGAGAAGCCTGAGGACAGCTGCGGGCGAGAGAAGGCTGGCAGAACGGAGTTGGCAAACGGCGTGCGCATCGGCGGCGGCCGCGGTCCCGGCCCCCACCAATCCCCGACGCCATCGTCTGAACGGCGTCCTGTGAAATGAGACACGGGTGTGAACTTACTGGACTGGGAGTATCACAGATCGGCAAACCCAAAGCCAAAGCCAAAGGCATACACGCAGGGCGTCTGCAGCCATATCTGAGGGGCCTACAGAAGTCTGCAGCCCAGTATTGATTCGCATCTCAAGGACCAAATCCTCATGCACTCCCTGTATCGGATAAATTTCTCTTGATTTGCAACACCTCTGGCGTGCCGGCAGCGCAACGCCCCATGTTTGATGTTGAGGGTAAATCTTGCAAGAGTGGACTGAGTACAATATAAGAAAAATTACTACAAAAGATGCCCTGATAAGCCGGGAGAGCAACTAAGGAGACAGGCACCGTGAGGATGTGGTTGGATTTGTGCCACATACCCACTGCCTTACGTCCGCACAAGCGTAATACATTATGCCAGCATCATTTGATCGAAAACAGCAAAGCATCTATGTGGTGCAGCGCAGCAGAACAAATGCGAATGACAAGCTCTTACGTGGCTCGGCCTTGGAGTGCAAAGGCATGACATGGACATTACCAAGCAGGGAGGGGTAGGGCCGTGCCTGATCTGGAGCTGGCTCCCGGGCCGATTGAGACATTTGGCAAACCCTCAATCCCCCTGTCATCGCCTCTACTCCCCTCGGACCCTGCGGCGCTCGGCGCATCCACCCCCGGGTCAGGGTGCTGCGCAAACGGGGACACGATGGGCAGGGGAAAAGCACCGGTGCGCGCATGTGACCGATCGCTGTCTTCTGAGTTCTTGGTGGCTGCCGGGGGCTCGTCTGCTGAGCTGCTGCGGGGAAGCTGCCGGGGTGACTGCTGCGTGGGTTCAGTGATGCTGCAGAACATACACAGAATCCGTTAGTCATCCCTGTGCAGAAGTGGTGAGGCGGATCAGGTGGTATGTGCAGGTACCTGTAAGAAAATGCAGTGCAGGGGGCAGTACACAGAATGGAGGCTATCAGTAAAGAGCACACATAGCGCCCGCAGCGGCTGCCTGGCCAACCGCCACAATTGACTCTCCGTCTTGTTGTGATGCTAAAATGGCTATAACACAACTAAAAGCTTTCTGCTTGCTTCCGGCTGAAAATTTTGCAATAAGCACTATATCGACCCCCAGATCCCGGGGAAGTGTTGCAGAGAAAATCCACGAGCCAAGTGATCACAAAGATGATCGAATTCAGGTCGATTGGCCAAAAATAGAGCAACCCACGCTGTGTTTGCAAAGGGGGAACAAAGGGGGATTGGGCCGCTGCAGACTGCTGGGCTGCCAGGCTGGCGGCTGTGGGGGCGCCAGAAAGGGGCTGCAGTAATTGACGCCAACGCATCAAGCCTGCACAGCACACAGCAATTACAAACACAAGCTTTTCCTCATGATGTTGCTGGGATGATTCCATCAAGTCTGCACAGCACTGAGCAACTAAAACCGCAAAACTTCCACATGTCATTGCCAGATCCCCAGCTCTCAAACACTGGTCAGTCCAGGGAGAGATCATACATCAAGAGGAAAGGGCATCAGCCAGGAACCTTCCAAAACATGCCTGGGATCAGTGTCGGCTGAATTGGGAGTATGTACTGCTGGGGAGGCACTGATGCGAGGAGACTTGCTCCTTGCTGCCGTGCTGCAACTCTGAGTGCCAGGGCCATTTTTCCTGCGCAGAGCACACACAAATGCAAGCTGAGTTTTCTTGGATAGTGAGACCGCATCGCTGGACCTGCCTGAAACACTAGGTACCGCAGAGCGCCATTCAAATGAATTAAACAGAATCAAACATCAGGACACTGTGCATGAACTGGTGTTGTCCTGATGAGAAATTCACCTTGGCCGAGGCCAACTGGACAGCCGGTGACCCAAGAAACCGCCGCCCTTCGCTAAAGACTTCCTGCAGTGCACAGGTGATACGTGGATGGATTGCATGCAGATTGCGCATCGGAATTGCGTCAATTCCTTATGAGCATTTTGCACGCCTACCCCTGTGGGCCGGAACAAGTGTGTAAATAATATCAAAAACAATCATGCACGCTAGCCAAAATACTGTGCTGGGCAGCAAACATCCAGCTTTTCTGCATCTGTGCCGCTTTTGGAAGCAACGCTTCACGCAAAGCGCACACCTCTTGTTGCTGGGAGTAGCAGCGTTTGGGGATTGCTGCGGCGAAGGGGGGGTCTTGGGGGGAGGACTCCCGGGGGCCGCCCGCCGCCGCCGGTGTGGCAGGAAGCCGGACGCGAATGCCAGCAGCAGCACAATGAGCAGCATGAATGTTGCTGTCGAGGATACTGCAGCAATGACCACCGCCCAGTTGAAGGGGTAGTGCCCGGAGGCCCTGTTGGCAGATGCAGGCTGCACCTGCAAGGGCAGTGATACCCATCTTTGCTTTTAGTTATGAAAATTGACCATGCTAATTAGGTAAGGATGACTGCTCTACATGCGAAAAACAATATCCCATTGTCAGGGGTGCCGAATTGGCTGTGGTGTTGTGCTTCACAGCGTGATCAGCAATGCAGCATGCACGCCTGACAGTGCTTCATTATTTCAGCTCCATCATGTACGGAATTGTAGATATTTGCACATGAGTACAGGAGAGGTTGCAGGCAGCGTGCCTGCTGAGTTGCAGCCGGCGATGAGGGGGCAGCAGGTGCGGCTGATGTCGGCTCATGAGCATCGATCGCAGCATCCAAAGCCTCCGCAACCTGTCCATCACATAACACATATTATGTTGACAACCTTCTCATAATTTCTTGGTGGACTTCATCACATGCTTTCCAGGATGCACTGTACTTGTAGTCGAGACTGGCTTTAAATTATCGGGGAGAAACCAGCCAAACTGGCAGCACAGTGCGTCTGGCTAAAGTCTCAGGCAGGCCTGACAGCAGGCAGGCCCTGCTCGGCTTGTGGAAATTCTCGTCATCACCTGGGGGTCTGTGAGGGCCACAGATGAGGGGGTCCCGCTTGCAGCAGCAACGGGAAGCTGCGGCATAGCAGCAGCCGGCACCGCCGTTGTCTGCTGGTTCTGGGACGGTGGCGGAATGCTGAGGGCTGCCGCCAGTAGAGCCCCAGCCACCTGCGCATAATACGCACATGTCTAGTTTTGTTTTCCAGCATCTCATAGATATGGACATCTGAGCCTGAAACTCAGCTGGACCTGAATTGTGCTGCATGGCACGAGACGCACGATGACAGACCAAGTGACAGACCAAGCGTGGTCCTGTGCGTGTAGGTGTCTATGGGTCCCCATATTACATAAATGACCCTCGCCCTGTGGTCGAAATGTTATCCATCCTCATACTGTGTTATTCATGCGTTGGTAGTCTGACCCCGGCTTTCGTCAAGATCGTCTCATACCAGGGAACGCTGAAGAGCATTCAGTCTCACCTGCAGGGGGACAGTGGAGTTGGCTGGCAGTGCGGGCGGCTTGGAAGGCAGGAAATCCATTTGAATACCAGGTCTTTGTTGCTGCACCACCCCTTTCCCGGCGGCCCCTGCATCCGCGGTCCCCGGCAACAGCAGCAAAGCCGGCTGTGCCTCTGCACCGGCCTGCACCGGCGGCGGGGCAGTGGCGGCGACACCTGCAGAGAGCGGCGGCTGAGCTGGCGGCGACGTCATCGCTGAGTCATTGGCCTGCGGCTCCGTGCTGAGGAAGCGGGCCTGCGCTGGCGTGGCCACCCAGCTACCGTCTGTGATTGGCGCATTTTTAGCGCCCAAAGAACTTACAGAACCCCCCGGAGACTCCGCGCACGGCTGCTGGCCGTCAGAGCATGGTGGCGAAGCCGAGGGGCTGTCTGCTGTGCAGGGCCTCGTGCTCTGTGCGCACAGAGGCGGCTGTGCAGATGCCTCTGGAGCTCTGGCGCTGATTGGCTCCGGCGCAGTGTCTTGAGCGAGGAAGTAGACTGTGTGCGGCGGGGGCGTTTGATCCTCCGCTGGCATGGGAGCGCTGTTTTCTGGAGCATGACTGCTTGGAGTTTGCGAGTCAGCTTGTGCAGCTGTGGCGGGCTGGGGGGCTGACGGCTGCGGCTGTGGGGATGATGAGTCATCTTGCGCTTGGTGGACTGCCGGCCGGGGGATTAAGGGCCCTAGGGGTAGGGAAATTATTCCAGGGTTCTGGGCCTGCACTGTCGGCTGCTGGTCTGAGGACACGTTGAGGATGTCACCATGTATGTTGATGACTGGATCTACAGTCACCTGCAGGCAGTCAGCAATACCATTTTGAAGCATGTGAAAAGCTTACTCACACAGCTTCAAAGATCTTCATTGCAAGCATCGCAGATACCAGACAACCACCTCAGAGAAAGAGGGGCGCAGACATCAAGGCAAGCAACCACCAGAGATAAGAGAAAAGGGCTGCATCTCAAAAAGAATGTCAAATTGCAATCAGTCACATTCTGCCAAGTCAGCCATCAAGATATCTGCATATGCTTATTGACGAAGTTGCAACTCAACAATCTCCAGTTTCAACTGTTGTCACTTAAGATGCGTCCCTTCAACAATGCCAAATATTACTGCTGCCTCTTTGCTAGTGGAAATGAAGGGGTGTGCACCTGTACATCCACTGAGCGGGGCCCCGTGTCCACACTCGTGTCAGCAATGGTGCCGGTGATGGTCGGGTTGCCATCAGCAGAGGCGGCTGGCGACGCCGCCCCCGTCATTGAGATGTTCAGGTGGCGGCCGCTGCTGCCGGCCTGGCTCTGGCTGTTCAGTACCTGCATATCAAAACTCTCAGTAGGCAAGCAATGGGTGCAACCAATTTCCATATCGTGTTACACGCTGGTCCTGCCACAGGCAAGGTGCCTCTGCGGACAAGCTGCCTGTAAAGGCTGCCAAAAGTATATCCCTTTTGATGGGTTTGCCAGATCCGAGCAAGAGCTATTCGTGGGTACGGTGCTCAGTACTCGTACCGCCCCCCGCCAGCCGGGGTCAACACAGATGAGTCATGTGATATGAATAGGCGTGTATGTTTATGGGGTGGGAAGACAGAAAGGGATGATGAAGCTGCACCTGCATGATGGCTGGCAGGAGGCTGAGCAGGTTGGGGCTGGGACTGGCTGGTGTATCAGTGCTACCTGCCACTGCTGGGCTGCTCGGCGCAGCGGTGGACTGAAGAGAGGCATTTGGAGGTGCTGGGGCGCCGGAGGGCAAGCTGGAGTTCTGCCCTGCTGGCACTGTGGCAGAATCAGAATTGCTGGGGGCTCCTGTGCTGCTGGCAGGGCTGCTTGCATTGCGGCTGTCCCCGCTTGGCCCTGCAGCAGTAGCGGGGGCTGCATTGCTGATGGCTGGCTGGGTATTGCTGCCTGGCAATGCACTGCTGGTCTCCAGCTGTGTCAGGGCTGGAGCTAATGCTGTGAGGAGGGAAGATGTGGCCGGACCTGCAGGTTGGGTGCTGCTTGGACTTCCCCCCAGCTGTCTCAGTATTGGCAGGTCAACGCTGACCTGTTCCAGACGCCTTCCTGATCCTGCTGGGAGGAGTGAGTCTTGTTGCTGCCGCTTGGGATCTCTGGCGCTTTCAGTGCCTGCAGAGAGAGAACTTATGCTTCGTCCTTGCTACAAAACACTGTGGTATCGCAAAAGACCTAGTGCAGCTTGCATCCCCAATACATGCCGATTTTACCAGGCAGAACGCTTTCGCTTACTTCTAGTAATTGATATTCGATCAAAAGCACTGCTGACTGTATAAGAAGATTCCTAGTACATGTTTTCTCAAAGGCCAAAGGCCAGTCGGACACTCGTGCACCTGTGAGGGCCGCGCAAGCCACGATACACAAGAGCACACAGGAGATGCCCCGGTCCCCCGTTCTCCTGCTCATGGCGGTTCCAAACAGCGATCACAGGTGAAGAAGCTGTGCCAAGGCTTGACGAGGCCGCATGTTGGCCGAGCAACTCAGCCGCCCTAGAGCTACGGTGTACCGGACAGCCAGTCGATTCCTGCAGCAACCTGGCCTCCAAGATGCAGGGCGTTCGTAAGAACTGGTAAAGAACAAGATCGACGTAAGCAGGGAGGACGGCCGTGCGAATATCTATCATCAACATGCATGTGCACCCGAGGAGGCATGCGGGCCCCCCAGCAGCTTCCTTGACCAGTCCCCCCACTTTGGATCGCAGTGTGAGCTCCGCCAAAGTATCTCAAACGCTGAAGATGTACCTTTGAAACATCGCAGGAGCGAAATAAGCTACTGAGGGACTTGAAAGAATCGAGGGGTGAGTACCTCGACAAATAAGGATTGGACTGATGTGGTGAATTGATTGTTCATGGCTTCTTCTGGATGCATCCGAGGAACAATGAACCTATCAGACAGATTAGTATTTGAATGCTTCATCTCCAATTTCTCTTTCTGGCGGTCTTGCGACAGCTCTCACACCACAGATGTGTTGATCTTGTGCAGGACGTCAATTTACAAGAGCATCGGAGCCTTCAAAAGCACAATTTTGACACAGCAACCCTTGAGTATTTCTATTAACAAGCATCACTGGGAATCACATGCAAGTCCAAGGCCTGGCAGCGGGAGTCAACTCGACCAGGACCAGTGCACAGAGGACATCGTCTATCTGCAGACGCACAGTTAAAGCAGGGCTTCCCCTGTATGGCAAACAGAGGATTGCCTACCCGTCTTGCCAAAGAACAGTTAGCCAACGTAAACATCGGCCTCTCGTAGTTCTTGCAGCAGATACCCCAGCTGCCAGCTCAGAGGATGTTCCAGAAACGAGGCAACTAGACAGCAGTGCAGTCGACAGAAAAACGCAGCCTTCGACATCAGATTCTGTCCCTTCAGCGCAGCCAGAAGCATCTAGCAGCAGGGACGGGGCAGGGGAAACCTCTCCCTTTGTGCAGCAGTACCCCATTGTGAGCGAAGGCCGCCGCAGCAGCTCCTGGGGACACAAGCAAGGCGCTGACAAGCGTTCCCTCTGGGGCACTTTCATCAAGGTGATGCTCAGCAGTGCACCCGCAGAGTTTGCACCCGCCACCTTCCGCTTGCTCTAAGAATCATGGATTCTTGCCATGTTAATTTAGAGGACGTAGAATGCAGACCTCAAGGCAGAGCTAGCGCCAAAAGATGGAGAAAGGGTTACCTCGCGAGTGCGCGCCATGCAGCAACACTACATTGATCCTCCGGCCCAGGAGCACTTGATGGCCAACTTGACCATAGATTGAGAAGTCTCATCCGAACAACAACCACCGCCGTGAGCACCTATCTTTCTTAATGAGGAGTTGATGCGGGTGTAGGGGCACAAACGCTCAAGTAGGCAAGCAAAGAAGCAGAGCCCTTGTGCCCTCGCATGCCATTGATGTTTCTGTGTTGTCTGCAGGGCGTGGCTTTGATAGTGCTGGGAGGGGGTGCAGCGATCTCTCGCCTGAGAGACTTCCTAGGGAAGGCTGGGCAGGTGCTGAGGGAGTTGACATATCCAAAGCCGGGGGCCATTCTGCGCCTGACATGCGCTGTGCTGCTGTCGTCCGCAGCGCTCACCCTCATTGTCTGGGGTCTTGACAAGGGTTTCTCTTCTGTGCTTCTGCCGCCTGTGACGCGGAAATTTACAGGCATGTCCTGACCTGATGGGGAAGGAAGTGTCATTTGATCGCAAATCGAGCGGAAATGGAGAATACTTTAGAGTGAGTTTGGAAGACGGGATGATGAGGACAGCGAGAACATGGATTCATAGAGAGATAACATGGAACACGATGCTTTAGCCAGGTCACCTAATGTCGGCGTATCCTGGAGTGCTGTGGGTCTATTTATTGTGCTGCTGCAACCTTCTTCAAGCTCCAGCGTAACAAGAACAATTGAGATTGCTTTTCTCTGAGGTTGGCAATTTTTTGCCAGCTTTGTTAATTTGTAAGCAGAAAAAAAATCTGCTTACACAGTCCAGTCTTATTGTGCCAACCCGCATGCTGCTTCCAACATGGGTCTGCACAGCCCGTGACCATACAGACTAGTTTGATATGACCGATGATTCTGGCCTGATGAGGAATGAGTCTGCCATGAGACTGTCCATCCATCTGGCCGGCAGCCACATGGGCAGGAACCAGTTTGAGAACCACTGTGACACAATGGCATAGCGAGTCTTTGGCCACCAGGCCGTCAAAGCCATCTCCACAACACTGCATGAAACCGCAGATTCTTTGATCCAAATTTAAATCAAATAATCCGTTTTCATTTCACACTGAATAATATCTGCAGGCTCCATCAGGGACAGCTATAAAGGCCTCACAGTGCCCATGAGGGAATTCTTCAGGGGCTCAAAAGGGTGCAAGATAGATACATGGCGGTCAGTATTCATTCATGCGAGTTCGGTCACATGCTCTTCCTGCCGGAGACAAGTTGCGTCTGCAGACAAGCTACAGAAAAGGCTGCCAGAATTTGAAGAAAATTAGAAAAATAAGCGAGTTCTGGGCACCTGGCTATGGCTGCTGGGGGGTGGCCCTTCTGCACAGCCTGGATGATGCGCTTGTCAAAGGCTTCCAGGGAGGCAGCAAACTCTGTGTCCTTGTACTGCGCCACTGTGCTTGTTATCTCGTCCCTGTCCCAAATAGGTGTGGACACATAGCCCGGCCCTGCATCAAGCTACATTTAGTGCTCCTGAGTTGGGAAACCATTGTGTTGTTGTTTGCATGACGTTTGCTTGTAAGGCAACCCTCTCAGAGGCGCTCGCTCTGCCTCGGTGTCTGCATTCCTCTTTCTCAACTTCTTTTCATCGCACCAAGGAAGAAACAGCATTCAATAACAAGTCTAATCAAGAAGTCTGCACTCCATCAGCTGCATTATGCATAGCAGGATTTGCATCAATGTCTGCCATTGCTCTCCTCTTATGCAGGAGACTCCATGTGCCTACAGAGAGATGGCTTTTGGGTGCGCCTTGCTGGCTGTCATAGACCGGGCGGGACCCAGTAGGGATACAAGCCTGCAGCGGAGGAGAATTGCCCTTGCAGAGAGTTCTAAAAGCGCACCTATGACTATGACGTCGATGCCAAACAGCATGAGCTCCCGCCGCAGGCTGTCGGACATGCCTTCCAGGGCGTGCTTGGACGCGCAGTAAGCTCCCACAAATGGAGCACTGTACTTCCCTGAGATTGATGATATGTTGATTATGCGGCCGGGAGGGCCCTGCAGACTCTTGTCTGCACCCAGCTGAGGCAGGAACGCCTGCATAGAACATTCAATGTGTTGCACAAAGGTCAAGAGAAAAGTAGATATATATCTTTAAGACATTTACACGATGTTCCTCCCAGAGGCGAGTTGTGTCTGCAGACAAGCTGCAGGCAAAGGCTGGCTCATATCCTGCCCCTTGCTGGGCTTGCCAGATCCAAGACACAACCAACCGTGGCCACGGTGCTCAATTTATACAGCCCCCCGCCAGCCCGGGAACACAGTTTTGTTCTCAAGCAACGAGGGAATGCAAGACTTAGAAGGCAGGGCAAGCGCCACCTGAGGAGAAAGGGCTGCCGTCTCGCGGCTTTTGTAGTGCTGGAAATGGGACTGCTACCAAGCGTTACTAGGTGCATCTGGCCTGCTATCAAGAGGAGCACACCTGTGTGACTGCAAGGGTGCCGACCAGGTTCACTTGGATGACCCTCCTGAACTCCTCGATTGGCTGGTGCGCCAGGCAGGCGTGGTTTGCAATGCCAGCATTGTTCACCAGGCCAGCCAGAGTCCTCCCCTCCAATGCTTGACGCACCTGGGGACGAGATAAGTTTTGTCTGAAAATTGAATCTGATCGAGCTTCCTGCATTTTGATTTCTTGTTTGTGTATAGGAGTAAAATTGAGCCAAGCAGTGGGGGATGTCTCGAGGGGAGTCCGGGAAAGAGTCACATGTAATACGACCTGGCATTTTACAAGGAAGCTTGGAGCACAATCTGACCTTGGAGGCTGCTTTTGCGATGCCCTCTTCGTCCGTGACATCGAAAACCAGGGGGGTGAAGGCAGACCCAAAGTCAAGAGCCACACTGGCAGCGTCCCGCTGTTTGCGCACGCTGCCAAATACGTGAAATCCTGCCACTACCAAAGCTTTTGCTATCTCGTAGCCTATGCCAGTGGATACGCCTGTCACTACAACGGACCTCCTCTTTGTGGGCGAGAGCTCCTGCAACACAGGGATCCGAATTGGAGAGGAGGAGCTATCGTGCTGACATATCTCGGTTTTGCAGGAAGGTAGTGAATGATCGCATTTTTACCAGTGCAGAAAGACATCTATGTATATTTGTCCTCCCTGCAGCGTATGTGGCACGTAAGAACATCGGCTCACCATCTGTCGGTACGGTTGTTGCAGTACGCGTCAAGTAGCCATTGCAACGCAACAAATAATTACAGACATAATTATTTTTTCATGTCTACGCGTAGTTTATGGGCCTGCGACATGAAGGACGTTTCAATTCATGGCGAGACACAGCCCCGGCAGGATATAATATCAGCAGGAGGCGAGGTTACAATGTAACCCCAAGCCAAAGCAGTCCAGGCAGCAATGTCACCAAGGGCAAGGAATCTGTGGCGCTTGAGCTGTGATTGCAGGCCTTCCAGCTAAATTCAACAATATTGAAACCCCCTGGGGCTGGCAAAAGCACTTAGGCGTCTGCCACGGGTTCAACCAAGCAAGTTGCAACAATATCGGAAATTTAGTTTCACATCCTATTGCAATGCACACTTGGAGACTTAGGAATTTCATTGGAACGGCATAATACGCCTTGCCAGGCAATACAGCACTACTGCCAAATCCTGTATAAGCTATGCAATTCCTAAAATATAGTGTCAAGACAGTGAAGAGGGCTGCCAAGACCGTCTTAGCGACTTATGCATAGATATAGATATATCAACAGACAACAGTTACAGGGTCAATTAGATGCACACTGGGAGAATTTGGCCTTGTGTCCTAGGACCTGTGCAACACAAGGGGCTCGACTTTGTACCTATGAGAACTGGTTTGCTGCTATTCATCCCCGTCGCCATTGTCTTAGGCTCTCTGTGTCTGCCACCACGCTTAGACTCTTCCTGCGCTTTCGTACTGGTTGTCACGGTCTTCCAGTTGATCAGGGTCGTTGGGGGAATCGAGTACCTCGCTCGGAACGTTTCTGTCACTTGTGCAACACTCAGGCCATTGGTGATGAACGGCAAATTGTCTTTGAATGTCCTGCGCTTCATGATCTGCGTGCTAGGTATGACAGCCTGTTTAGGCCCAGTATTACCACTATGCGTCAGTTCATGTGGCAAGATGATCTTGTACAGGTGGCTCAATTTATCAGACTCTCATTAGGACGCGTAAACACTGATCTAGATACAGTGAACATCTAATCAGCCTTGTTGGCTGGCATGATGTAATGTTTCTCTCTCTCTCTCTCTATATCTAAGCCCACTGAGCAGGCTGTTCTTGATGCGCATATCATCCGCCCCACATGTTGCACCCCATTATCTTGGTCCCACATTCTAGTCTTGCAAAAAATCTGGCATTAAAATTTGCCAGTAGCCGCTTTGGGACACCTGAAATCCTACAATGTCCAGTTCTCTGGTTCAACGCAGTCTGCAGTTCTGTATCAACAGATTTCTGATCACGGCATGCAAGGCCTCCTATTTTGCAATTGACATGACTAGGAGTGAAGTCTCTAGACTCACGACATCACTGAAAACCCTGCATGTGATCACCTCAACGGAGATTCAATCACTGCATCGAAGCACTGGCTGCATTAACATGCTGCCAGAGAGCATGCTGCGCGGCCTAACAGCCAGATTCACTCGCGCACTACTGCGATGCTAGGAGCCGGTGCAGGGGCAATCAAGGCCCCTTCGCTTGCATCATCGTGACCTCATGCAGCAGCCTCCTTCCAGGGGTGGGTGCACCTGCAGGACTGTGGTCGTGACCCTCATGTAAGAGCCTTCTGCCGGGAGAAGGGGCACCGAATGGACTGTGCACATGGCCCTCGTGCAAGAGCCTCCTGCCAGGCGTGGGTGCACCGAGGGGACTGTGCACATGGCCCTCATGCAAGAGCCTTCTGCCTGGGCTTGGCGCGCCTAGAGGGCTGTGAGTGTGGCCCTCGTGCAGCAGCACCCTCATCTTGCCGCTCAGGGTTCGGTGATGCTCATCGTGGGCCTCTGCCTGGGCAATGAGGATCGCCAGGCACAGGGCAGCCATAGTCAAGATCCACCATGATTTCATGGCCTGCAAGTATAAAGCATTCATCTAAATATCCTTTTAGTATTTGACGTATCTAAGTGCTCATTGCTTGCTTACACTTAAAAAAGCAAGCATGATCTGGGATACTGATTTGGTTTTCGGACTTTCAGCTTTCCCAAATTGGGAGAAGGAACGATATCAAACGAAGCTCCAAATTTTACTTGCTGTTGACACCATATGTGGATGAGAAATTGAATATGCGTACCAGGTTACTGCAGTTCAACTCCGATGCCGTTCCCAGCAGGACACTGTCAGCTTCCTCCGGGTATTCTGCTGGTACACAGATGTCACCAGAAAAATATGTTAACTGTGCAGCAGATCTATACCTTCTTTCTATGATGTGCGTCGATGGATTTGACCAAATTTGTGCGCGTGCACGACTCGGCTGCTGGTACAGAAGTACTGGACCAGCAGGTACGACTTCAATCGGCTCTTGCTTGCCGAAGAGACCACCAGACCAAGGCCTTCCTTTTGAACTTCATTTCCTCTTAGAAAGAAACGGCATTAACAGGCAACAGCGTTCAACAGAGCATTTTACATTGTGGAGCAGTCTCTTGCAAGCCATGCAACAATCCATGGTGCTTCTCTCATATGGAGCATGCACATGGCAACCTCCCTAGACGCTGACCACGCCATTTGCACAGCACAGCTTACAAAGGAAAAAACATGCAGCCCTCCATCAGTCCTATTCGGCTGCAGCAAGAAGAGTTAAAGTCTCACGCGACCGTTTGCTTGTGCAAATCTACCCCAACGAGTCCGCTTCAGCCTCAACTTATTTCCGTTAATGGCACCATAGCAATTCATACCATCATGCCAATTATTTGAGTTCCTGGAGCAGTCTGGGTCTACCTTCTCTGCATTCTTGCGCTCACTAATCAGCCTGACACAGTTGCAGTCTATGCAATTACCCCCATGATGCCGAATTGGCAATCACAACCAGTTCCTTCCAACCTCTCAACTGCAGGAGCTTGGATATTTATGTTCACTGCAAGCCTGTCACAGTTGGGGCAAACACGGTGCTCCTCAGGTGGCTGCCCTATGTACAGTGCCTTTTAGGCCAATGTGCCTGATAGGCATTCAGTCCACTGGCCAGCTGAGCTGCCCTCCTGCCACACCACAGCATCACAGACTCCTGAGTAAGCTTCATCGCAATGCTCGGAGCACTGGTTGCCACATGGAACAAGTGAGATGCACTCTGAAGGCCGCAGAATGTCATCAGGAAAGGAGCAGAGTCAGACAATGCACTCCCATGTCAGCTCAGGCTCTTCAAGCACACGACACTGCTTTAAGGCTCACATGCAGGGTTGCAAGTCGGCGCACAGGTGGACACAGCATGCAACCGAGCATCAACAAAGGCAAAAGATATCCATGCTGCAAGAGAGCTGTCAAAGATGAACAGGATCGCAAGCTGATTCCCAAGTCAGATCAGACCCTTCAAGCAATTGACTCATGCTGAAAGGCTGACATGAGGAGATGCAAGACACCGGGAAGGCAGCAATACATTGTACATCACAGCATGCAACAAAGACACGAGCTATGCATGCTGCATAGGAGCTGTTTTTAAAAGATAAACAGGATCGCTAACTGTTTTTCTTGCCATATTGGACACTTCAAGCAAATGAACCATGTCTTTGAGCTGACATGAAAAAATCCAAAGCAGCATGCAAGGCGGGAACAGCATGCAAGGTGGGAACAGCATGCAACAAAGAGAAGAAGCATGCATGAGAGCTTCAGGGGTTGGCTGCGCACTTGGTGATGCTTTGATGATGCTGGAAGCCCCTTTTGCCATCAAGGGTGGGGCCCTTCGCCAGGAGCTGGTGTGTAAGCCTTCTCATACTCTTCAAGGCTCTTGCCGGGTCCAGGTACGAAAGCCTGGTGATCAAACCAGAAATTCTCAACACATTCCGTGCAAAACAAGAAGCAACACCGTGCTGGGTGACTATCAGAGCATCATCAAGCAATCATGCATGCATGCTGGGGAATTGCATGGCGCTGTCTGTTGTTATAGTGAGACAACCAGCGCAGGCAACCAGGAGAGGCTCAGGTTACAGAACCGTGAAATGTCAGTCTCTGAAGAATGTTGCTCGTGAGACTGACAACACATGTAGGCAGGAGGTGTTTTTACTCTAAAAAGGCATGCATGTAAGTGAGCCAGTACTACAGGCAAATCAATAGAGAGACAGGCGCACGTTCTCGTAGGCCTCATAGCGCTTTGTCTCCAACGGTGCTGGGGCGTAGCCGTAGCCAGGTTCATAGGTTCCCTTCTCGGCAGGGGCCCAGGCTAGGCTTTCCTCGGCAGCCTGGGAGAGGGACATGCTGGCCACAAGGACGAACAGGCCCACGAGCAAGAAAGCCTTGCTAGCCTTCATCACCTGCAAAACGTTTCAAGCAATCAGGGAACATTCATTTGTCTACGTCGCTCTCGGTCTTCGGAGGATCTGACGAATTTTCATGAAAGCGATCCGTTAGTGCTGGAGCAATCCATAGGGGCGCAAATCATCGCGTACGTCTAGAAGCAGTTAACAGCATCTACAAGACTTTGCAAAGCACACTCAAGGCAGTAAACAAGGTTGCACTGTCAGATGCGTCACGCGACTTGGTGATTGTCTAAAAGCGCAGCTCACCGAAAGTTTGTTTGGTGGTTGGTTTTCAGTGACGTAGACGGCGAAGGAGATGTCGAAGTCTTTGCAGTTCGAGAGAGTTCAATCGTCGATCTGCTAGATTGTCCGAGGCTCGGAGCTCGTGGAGAATCATTACCAGAAATAGAGTTGCCTGATTAGGCCACCCATCCAGGTGACACACATGCTTGCATGCAAGTGGCGCCTTGGACATTTTGTCTGACTAATGAAGCAAATAGTGGAGAGGGAACCTGGATTAAAACGTGTGACCACTTGCAACGCAGCTGAAGCAAGTGCATGTACTTCTACTGCAGTGCTAGTAAGAGTCTTTCAACCCTTCGACAGGAGGGAGCTGCGAGTCTTTCGATGGCACACATGCTGCACTCATACTCGACATTATCTATGGAATATCACGATGATACAATATTTTTACACAGCTGACGGCTTGCACCGAGCCCACAATAGCGGTGTTCCCCAGAAAATCTGCTCACGCACTCAGTTTGGTAGCAGAAGGGTTCACTCCGCCAGGATACACCGATGTGTCAGGCGGTGTCTTGCCGCCATTTTCTTCCAGTTTCTGGTGAGGCAGAGTGGCAGGCGAGTGCTGCCGCTTGAAGTACCCCGGGCAGACCCCTTTCAGCAGTGGCCGCAGGGCCACGTTCTCCACAACTGCCATGATCGCCATTCCCAGCAGCGAGCAGCCCATTGCCAGCAGGAATGAGCGCCAGTCATACGCCTCAAAGAACACCTTGTGCATTGACTGCACAGCACATGCATCAAATCATCAGACTTGCCACAGCATATGTCTTTGGCTTTGAAAATGAACCCCCACATGTCCGGGGAGATGCAGCAAGCACTCTGAGGACAAGGCAGGGGTCTGCATTGCCTGTACATGCTCATAATCAATCCAGAAAGAGAGCTGCATGCGGAGGCTCAAGCCATGTCAGCTGGAGGCAGCAAGCTTAGGCCTTACATGACATGCATTTCTGATGAGCAAGGTGATCCAGACTGTGCAAGCCATGACATCATGAGACGGGATTTTAATCTCACATGGCATACATCTTAGATGAGCAGGTTTGAGCAGACTGTCCAAGCCATGACATCTTGAGACAAGAAATCAGCCTCACATGACATATATCTGTGATGTGTGCTTTGCAAGGGAGGGAAGCAGGCACTCACCGCATTGAAGGAGAGATCCCAGCCTGGAGCGTTGAAGTAGGCCCACAGAATGAGGCTGGCAAAAGAGAACCAGCAGCCGAAGAGCGCTGACAGAGGGGTGATGATGCGCTGTGTTCGCTCACCCTCCAGCAGGCCCAGCAGGACAGGCAGTGTGGAAGTAGTTGTGATCAGATTCGCCAGCAGGAACAGATTGATGATGCCATAACCCTGCGCAGCACATTCACCAGCTGTTCAGAAAAACAGGAAATGCAGACATCCAGGCAGAGCAAGCGCCAGAGGAAGGAGAAAGGGCTGCCTCGCCGTGTTAATGCAATGCGTGCAATATGCAAGACACCTCCGGTGTTTGCCGTCTTTTGAGAAATTACTGAGACTATTCTTACAAGTCTCAAAGGCCCGGATAAAGACATGACTCAATGAAATTGGGAAATTTATTGGACAGATAGATCACAGCACGCTGGTGGCTTCAGGCAGAGCATGCAAGCATTGTGCCCTGTCTCAGGAATATACGCACATGCGTTTATATGCAGCTTCTGTGCAGACACACCTTGGCTCTTGGCAGCGCCAGTATGTAACAATAACAATGGCAAAATGCACATGGAGGTCAGCAATGTTACCTGCAGGCTGACAATGATGACAGGGACGCTAAGAATAATCACCAGGACCCGAATCCAGATCAGGGGCAGCCCTTTCAGGAAGGAGCCAGAGATATTGTCCACGATAGCATTCTGCAGGCTGTCGATGGCTGACTCACTCATGGTCGCTGCCAGTACTGCCACTATGACAGTGATCCACACCTGCCCCACCCCAGACATCAGACAACTTCTGTACTCCATATTTCTGGTCATTTCTGACCAATCCTCCGCGACGGGAGTTGGTGACAAGCAGAGAATGACCAATGAGTCTCAGGCATGCAGCACATCTCATGACATGCATTGGTTGCACAGTGATCGAGAATCACAAGGTTATATTTGTCCGGTCAGCACTTGTCAGAAAAAATACCTCTGCGGCTCAGGCATGCATCAGACATACAATCATGCCATGCATTGCTAGCAAAGTGATCTCAACGGCATGCATGTCATTTTGCTCGCAGCATATATGAGAGAAGTGGGAGAGATGAGTGGAGCTGACCTGCTGGCCCTTGGCGTTGAGCAGGGCAAAGAGGATGGTGTTGCCGGGGTCATCAGGGCCAGAGGGCTGCCACAGGCCTGACCAGACTGCCAGGAAGCCGCCAAAGCCAAAAATGAACACCACCACTGTGACCTGCAATGCTCCCCAAATCGCGCCAACGCGCAGCTTCGCATCGGATGCTGACGCCCAGCAGCGCTGCCAGATTGCCTCACTGCACATGCCAGAAAAGACCCCTCTTGAGAAGCCATGCATGACATGCATTTCTACGATTGAGGTCATTATAACAATGTTATGATACCACCCTGAAAACCCAGTGTGCACAATGCAGTGACACAAAGATCAAGATTATGTTGATGCATGCACATGCATGCAGCCGTGGATGCATGCATGCCAACACACTAGCATGCAAGCCATTGCGACGTAATGGATTGGGAAGGCTCAGGGATGAGTGCAGCACCTGAATACAGAGGCAGAGAACAGCGAGATTGGCATGACGGCAATGGAGGACAGCCCCTCATTGTTGATGGCCAGGTTGTCTGGCAGTGGGCGCGGCAGGGGCCCTCTGAAGGTCACAGCTGTCCAGATAACCAGGATCGCTGCCAGAGTGAGTCCCAGAGCCGCCTGCACCAAAAGAAAACCTTGCATCTTGCATTTCAAGGTGTGATTTTCTTCTGCAAGGTCAAAGAGATGCTTGCTTGCATGCACCTCAAATGGTGCATGCATGCATGTATGCACCCACAGGAGGCAGGAAGGCAGAATTTAGGCAAGAATTGCTTCAAGGTAAAAAATGCTCCGCCATAAATAGAATGATGTCTTGAAATGCTGACCTGCCACTGATCTGTGATGATGGAGATGTAGAGGCCGCCATAGGCTGTGTATATCATGGACACCACGCCAATGATGACCACGATGGGCACGCGCTCAGTGCCAATCACCAGCTCAAACAGATCGCCAACAGCCGTGTATTCCGCAGTCATAGCAATGCCCATGTTCAGTAGCATGAGCAGTGCCACCCATATCTGAACCACTCGCCCGTACCGCTGCACAACACATGAGAAATCTGCGTGAAGCTCCCGTTGAAGTTCTTTCTGCCTCCTTCTGCAGGGGTATACTTGATTTTGGCTGCGGCCAATTAAGCAGCAGGACTCCTTGCATGAGTGTTGTTACTAAGCACATGCATGCTGCTTGTAAGTTCATCCAAAAACATAGAGAAGCAATTTTTCAGAGTACATGCATGGTCGTGTGCAAATGTGCAAGAAGAACAGCAAAGAATAGAGCTCACATGATTGATGAAATCAGTGAAGGAGAGCAGGTCAGGCTTGCGCCGCTGCACAATTGGTCCCAGGAAGCCCTGTATTAAGATGGGCAGCCCAGAGGCAAGCGCATAGAACATCAGTCCGAACCATCCTGTGGCAGCACAAGAAGACTTTATATGATTGCTCTAAATAGACATGCAGACGCAGCAACCAGTATCTACTGACTTTAAATTTGTAGGATGTGCACCGCTGTATTGAGGAACAGGTATACATGGTGAGCCAGTCAGAATAATTTAGACTGTCTGAAGTCCACTCGTCATGCCATCATGACATGACATGTACTAAGCATGCATGCTAGTGTCAGCAGGCAGCACACCAGCGATGTTGGCATATGAGGCTGGGCTGAAGAGTGTCCAAGAGCCCATGGCAGCTGCATAGAAGCTCCAGGCTATTCGGAATGTGCCCACAGAATTCCGTGCAGTCAGGAAGAACTCAGGGGTATCAGGACCGTGCTTCCTGTGCCTGTGGCAACGAATATATCTTGTTAACACAGAGGACAACTTGCTGGTGCAGTACTGCTAAAACATGTCAACCTAGCCCATCCAAGCAAAGCTGTGCAGACAGCGTGCACTGGGTTTCCAACATGGTCTGCTTGAAGGTGAAATTACCTGACGAATGTCAAAAAGCATGCTGCAGCGCCGAACAAAACAACCACCACTGATGCCACCACATAAGTGACATACACCAAGGTGGTGGCCATCGCAGTTTTTATTCACTGCACCAGATCCCTCAGCAGATGTCCAGCTCTGGTTTGGCCTGCGGATTCCGATGTGAAGACACAAACAATCAGCGATCAAATGATAAATCTTATTATTGCTGCATAAGGTCTACAAGTGGCTGAAATCCCTGTTAAAAACTCTGAGGACAAGTGCTGCATGTTCTTAGGTGGTGGGTCACCTTAAATAGTACCTCCCTGATCAGGTTTTATTGGATCAACTCAATCATAGAAAAATTGAACTGAATCTGAGAGCTTCACGCAGCAACATAAAGCATGACGTCCAGAGCTAGTCAAACAACAGATCGATGCCACATTCAGAAGCGAGACAGGAATAAACAACACCCTTTCAAGCTCACGAAGTGCACCAACAGGAGCATCAAAATTTAAGACCTCCTCAAGAATCCAGTTTGCTCGAAATCCTTTTTCTCGATGGAGTTTCTCCAGCTGGATTCCTCATTCGCAGGAACGCCCCTTGCTGCATGCCTTGGCGTCTAGAATTTCTTGGACATTCTCAGCAATTTTTGGGCAACGACATTCACTTCACAGCCTTGGACTATTGTAATGCGTCGCAGTTGAATTTCGAAAATATGCCTGGAGATCACTGGGACGGGGGTAATGGCCAATCTGCGGGTTGGCGCGATAGCAACTCAGCCAACCACGATGGATCTGGAGGATGGCCCTCTGAGGGCGCCAGGGGTGGGCATTCGGCACAGCAGAAAGATAACAATGATCTTGGATTCGCATTAGCAGGAAATGGGTTCCTGGACAACAATCCTCCTTTTCCAGGACGAGGTGATGATCACCGTCGCTTTGAAGAAGGAGCCAGCTACAGCGGCGGCCTATATAGCGGACCTACGGGCGACAAATTTGGGGAGCCTATGAATCCGCAGGACCGAAAGGAGCGGCTCACAGTTCCAAAGCCGAAAGGTGTGTGACGGATCCCATCCTGGGCAACAGACTTATTGCCACCTCATGCACTGCATTGCCCTTGGTGGAGTCGATAAGCAATGCTGACACCAGTGAGAAAATTCACTATAATGTGCATTGATGATGCGTTTGATCGTGCGTCTACATTTCTGGGTTGGCAGAGTAGCTTGCTCCATCCTGCCGGTTAGCCCTCATGAACTTCTACGTTGATATGCAGAATCCCCTATCCGGCTGAAAGCGCCGTCTACGTTCTCATTCTCACAAAATTCTTTGTTTTCGTAGGTGGTGCCTGGGGAACTGCCAGCGATGACGTAGATCCCTTTGAAGAGAACGAGAAGCGACGCCATGAGCAAGACGTCATATTCGAAAAGGACTCCAGCCAGCCAGCCATCAACTTTGATGCCTATGAACATATCCCGGTAAACATTGCGCTCTGCTATTGCACAAACGCATCAGAAATAATGGAGCCACTTCTCATGTCACCTGGAGCATGGCTGAACTGGTGCTGAGGCTTCCTTGTGCTCCAGAGGAAGCATCCTGTTGACATCACACTTTCACTCGTGTGGGCCAGATGAGAGCACGCCAACATACTGCGGGATGTCTGACCTCACAAGTCAAGACCATTGTTCTGAGCACGTGCATGTCTATTTGCTTCAGGTGAAGGTGACCGGAGACAAGGCGCCCCAGCCAATCACGACTTTCAGCGGCGCAGATCTGGAGAAGAGCGTGGCTGCGAACGTGGTGCGCTGCCGCTACAAGAAGCCGACGCCTGTGCAGAAGTACGCGATCCCCATCGGCCTGGCTGGGCGAGACCTGATGGCCTGCGCGCAGACCGGCTCCGGCAAGACAGCTGCCTTCTGCTTCCCCATCATCTCCCTCATTCTCAACTCAGGTTCATCCCCACCCTCCCTTCCTTGGCACCCCTTCTCCATGCAGCAAGGGCTAGATCTGCCAGGCATGTGTGAGGTATCTTGCAGTCAACTACATGCGCCACGGCAGGTAGCAACGCAGCTCTTCAGTTAAGAGTCTTCACTGCATTTTTAAAAGCGGATGAAAATTATGGAAATCCGTGTCCTGACGGCTGTGTGTCATGCCTGCCAGAAGATTTCGCGGCGACCAAGTCAGGATACAGCAGGAGGGTGTACCCCAAGGCGCTCATCATGGGCCCCACGCGCGAGCTGACCAACCAGATCTATGAGGAGTCCCGCAAGTTCACCTACCAGACGGGCCTGCGCCCAGTCGTTGTCTATGGCGGTGCCCCCGTTCTCGACCAGGTGCGCAGTATCATGAGTGCACAGTTGCATTCCATGGTGGCTTGTACACATATGCATGCATATACCGCTGCAGCGCAACAGCTTCCCGCTTGCAACTGCATGCACCAGTGCAGCGACTGCTCCATGCATTCTGCTAGCTTCATCAGTCCGTGCACAGTTTCCAAGGGCTTGCTTTGATGTCCTGATACCCTGCTAGCCCGAGGTCAGCAGTCTTCAATCCCAGAAATAATGACTCCTGAGCTGTTTTGGTTGATGCAGATCCGCCAGCTGGAGCGCGGCGTAGACATCCTGGTTGCAACACCGGGGCGGCTGTCAAGCTTCATAGAGCGGGGCCGCGTCTCGCTATCGCGCACCAAGTACTGCTCTCAAGATCCTGTTCTGCTGAAATGCATTGCAGTCCCATTGCTTGTCCTGCTGCTAAGTAGGGCCGTTTCCAGCATCCTCGACAACTAGGTCTGGTTTTGGATGATGAATCCCAGAATGTCTTACTTGTGGAAGTGAGAATTGCTGATGTGGCATGCATGATGCATCACTACAGGTACCTGGTGCTGGACGAGGCAGACCGCATGCTGGACATGGGATTCGAGCCGCAGATACGCTCCATCGTGGATGCCACGGACATGCCCAAGCCAGGTCAGCCGCTGACAGCCTGACACATGTGACAGCCCAGAACGGCTGTGCCATGCATGCATTTGTGCGTAGAGCATTTGCTGCAGAGTAAGCGGAGCTGCTTACATTGAAGGGTGAGTTTGCAGGGCGATGTCAAAAGGTGGAGTCGTTGTCCTTCGCAAACTCTGTGCAGACAAATGCATGCATGGCACAGCTGGTATCTGAGAGGCACATGTATCAATTGCAAAGCAGTATGAGCTGCTTGATAAAAGAGAAACAGCTGTACTGCACCGTTTCAAGGACCTGTTGACTTTCCAAAAGCGGGTTGCAATTCCCCAGATTGAGACAGAGCATGCATGTGAGCGCAGGATCGCGGCAGACGCTGATGTTCAGCGCAACCTTCCCCAAGGAGATCCAGGAGCTGGCGGCCGACTTCATGTCCAACTACCTGTTCCTGGCCGTAGGCCGCGTGGGCTCCTCCACCAACCTCATCATCCAGCACTTTGAGGAGGTCGAGCCCGGCGACAAGCAGAAGCTGCTCGTTAGCCTTGTCCGCGCTGTGCCGGTGAGCTGCATGGCCTTGAATTGCTGTTGCTGTTGCCTGCCAGTTGGCCTCAAGCTGCTATTGCCGGCCATTTTTAACCTGTGTCTAATGCTTGGCATGCATGCCATATTGCCCTGTCTCCGATGACTTTCACTTTCAAAAGTCATCAGTGCTTAAAGTATGAAAGATGCTCAGATACTCCAATACGGTGCAATGCGCATGTGCAGGGTTTGACGCTGGTGTTCGTAGAGACAAAGGTGTGGGCTGACAGGCTGGAGCACTTCCTCGTCCAGAACAAGTTTCCCGCCACCACCATCCACGGCGACCTTTCCCAGGAGGAGCGCGAATATGTGAGTCTGTCCCACACCCCAACATGCTTTCATCAATGAAATGACTGATGGTGCGCAAAACAGAGGACACCGCTGCAAGCAAGAGCACTCTGAGCTTACCCGTACCCCTCCTCGGCTCCAAATGGGTAATGGAGCTTGGAATGGGCTTGAACCGCTTGGGAACGTCCAGAGTGCTCTTGTAATCCTTCTAATATCATTATTATTATTAGTACATGCTTTTCCTGCCATAGGCAAGGTGCGTCTGCAGACAAGCTGCATGTGAAGCCTGCCACATATCCTACCCATTGATGGACTTGCAAGATCCGAGCAAGACCCAGTCACCCGGAGCAGTTTTTATACTGCCCCCCGCCAGCCTGGGGCCTTCTATACGGCCTTATACTGCTACCGAGCCTGCAAAGCCGATGCACATGCATGCAGTCGCTGGAGCAGTTCCGCTGCGGAGCCAAGCCGATCCTGGTGGCGACCGATGTGGCCTCGCGCGGCCTGGACATTCCCCACGTGACGCATGTCATCAATTATGATCTGCCGCGCGACATCGAGTCGTACGTCCACCGCATCGGCCGCACGGGCCGCGCCGGCAAGAAGGGCATTACGACCGCCTTCTTCAGCCCCGGCAAGGACAGCAACCTCGCCCAGGCCCTCGTCGACCTGCTCAAGGTACCCAGACACTTTGATCTTCCCCATTTGTAAGCAGCACTCATCCATTTGCAGGGGCACTTTGAGCATGATCTCTGGGCAATTACATCTCGGCTTGCGCCCTCCAGCCAGCCCCCACTTTTTACTCTCATGGAAGCTCGGGCATGCATGCGCAGGCTTGTCCACATGTGCAATATGTGGGAGTGGTTGACTGTGCAGGAGACCAATCAGGAGGTGCCAGAGTTCCTGGTGGAGGAGGCCAAGGCGGCCGGCCCGTACTCGACGCCACCGGCCCGCCGCGGCTTTGGGGGCCGCGACGTCCGCGAGGGCCACAGCCGCGGCGGCGGCGGTAAGATCGCTCTATGTCAATCTTGTGGCTTTTCATTGATAGGATGTCACTTAATTTCAGGGTGCCCCTGGAGGTTGGTTGCAGCAGCCAGGGGCAAAGTCCATGCATGCTTCTTTGACATGGGCAGAGAACCCAGGGCATCCCTGACCAGGGGCAAAATATTGATCCCTGGATCTTTGCAAGCGCGAGTTCTCTGCAGACTGCAGTCTGCAGTCTGGGGGCTATTTTAGTCAGCTGACTGGCATTGCTTTCATTGGTGGGCTAGGAAGGCATGTGTGAAATGAGAATTTGTGATATCAGGAGACTATGGGCGTGGCGGCGACACTGGCTATGGCGGCGGCGACGGTGGCTACGGCGGCGGGGGAGGCCAGGAGGACCTAACCTGGGGCTCTTCTGCAGGTACTGTCCATTGTGCCCTGATGTCGAGCATATCACGCACTCTACTAAAGTGACTCTAGCTCTGACCCCCCTTGCTGCAGTGGCGGCATGATGACATAGATCTTGCACCCTTGCTATTGAGGCCCCGTCAGGCATCTATCACCCTCCAACAAAGGTTTGGTGCATTGTTATAGAGAAGGTTCCGCAGTGCGGATGCACATCCAATCCCTGCAAGTCTTTGTGGCGAGACGCTGTGATTTTGCTATTGCAGGGGATGGTACACAAGGTGGAGGTGGCGGCAACACTGTGCAGGACGATGGAGGCTGGGGCGCTCCTGCAGGTGCTGCTACTTGATCTCGACCACATCTCTGCCAGAGTCTGCCAAAACTACCTTGTCTTTCTGCTGGTTGACAGGTCAGCAGTGGTGGGCACAAAGCAAGTCGTATTAGTGACTTTCTTGCTCGGGACAGCATAGAACAAAAGGAATGTCACTATCGTTGGGCAGCATATGATTGAGGATTCCTGTGTGCAGGTAACCCCAGCAGCAACGGCACCGGTGGTGGATGGGAAACCATTGCCCCCTCTGGCGGTGCCCAGAAGGGCGGCTGGGCATAGATGGATGTAAACACAGCAGCATGCTCAACACACCGGCCAATTCATGCATATTTCCAAGCATAGTGTGGCAGGACTCGCAGAAACATAGTCAATTTTAGTCTGGGTAAACGATCTTGCTTAGGAAGAAGCTGTACTCACGTCAACGCTGTCACAGGTGATCCTCTCAAATCACAGCTCAAGAAAACAGTTTTGCAGATGTGTGTCCTGTCTGCTCAAGTGAGTAGCAACTTAGGATGTCTTTAGAAGATTCCTGCAATTCTGCACGCCACTGGTCTTGTATGCATAGCTGATTACCCAAGGTTGACCCAGAACATGTGATCCTATGGTACAAAGTGTATAGGATCGAAATAAGATCATTCTGCTGTGACGCACCAGGGTTCAGGGGAATATAGAGGGTGGCAACCTTTGATGCAAGGCGCTGTGCACCTAGATGATGTTGATGCAGCTCTTTTACAGTGATAGGCATCATCTCGCAGCCGTGATCAGAGAAAACTGCGCAAGTGCTTGCGCGAAATTTTGTACAGGTAGCGCACAAGTTGAAAGTTACAATTGTAATATGATGTGCTTTAGCACCTGTGTTCCTTTCAAGACCATGATGTGGCAGGTCTACAGGGCATCTCTTCCAATATTAGTGCATAAACAATTAGACATTCTGGTGCTTCATGCAATTTCACTCTTGGACGTTCCAACTGCTGCAGCGCTTCCTGTCATTTCCCCTGTGAAAGGGTCAACCCTCTGCCGCAATGCCAGGTTCTTATAGTACCCAGACGCCGTCCTCTCTGCATTTGGATGCCAATTCCTGCACAGCCGGACAAACAGACACTCGTTGGAGTCCCTATATTTGTCTGCTGTTCAACGCTCTTTTGCATTTTAGATAAGAGGAATGCAGACATCATGGCAGCGCAAGCGCCAGGGAGCAAATACAAACATCATCAGCAGCCACAGCTGGCTGCACCACATTTGTTTTGCCTCCTCCCTAAGCAACCACCTAAATTGAATAACATTGAAAGATGTTTGGTATGAGACTTATCCCCTGTGCGCACCTGATCATGTCACGCAGAGCAGAACTGCTGAGGCTGTCGGGGCTGCGAAACCTTCTGACCTCCACTTTGAGCGCTGCCCTGATTTCGCTTTCGTGGCAGCGGCCGCTGCGCTGTAGCCTTGCATCCGCAAATCGCGCTGCATGCACAAGCCATCAGAGTCAGGCTGTGAGCCTCAGCATCCAACAACGTAAATCTGATGATATCACGAGGTGTGCTGCCCTGCTGCTGTGCTGATCGTATTTCTCCATGGCACTGCAGCCTTTGTGGTGAGAACCTCTGGGATCACAAAGGCTGATGGGGCTCTGGACAACACAATCAGCACTGACAGCGAAAGAAACTGCATGAGTGCATGATCCAGACTTGGCTGCATTCAATCTTGCTATAGCGTGTCATGACGGCATATATCCTTGGACAGCACAGTGTGTAAGCATGCTCACCAAATTCCTGCCACTGACTCTCAAGCTCCACTGCCTCTTCCGGATTGAGCCGATCCGGCCGCCCGACTTCATACACAGCAGCCGCCATGCAGGCGCCAATTCCAGTGGAGATGCTCCAAGTGCCATCCCCCAGCCCCGCCTGAAAGGCCCACGCCACTGCTGCGCCGCTCGCTGCAAAGAGCAGCACTGTGGGCACTCGGATGAGCAGCGGTGCGCTGTATGCTGGGTCCTCCACCCTGCCGACAAATGCAAAAAAGCTTACGTCTTGCCCTTGTTCATCTTAACATAAAATGCTGTTCCTGCCACATGCAAAGTTTGCCTGCAGACAAGCTTGCACCTTAGCAAGAGGTCTTACACCCTAAGACATGCTGTCAAGTCCACTCATTGTGAACTTTTTCCCATATTCCGCATCTGTGAGGTCCAGATCATAACAGCTACCATATTACTGATGCTGATTGGCACAGGGGCCCAAGCTCCAAGTGCAGGGCCTTGCCAAGGAACCTGAGGAGCCATCAACATGTGCTGCTGAACTAAAAAGCCTCGATTCCCACGGCAGCTCACCTCTGGCCTGTCAGCCGGCCAAGCTGGCGGAGGACCCAGTCAGAGGGGCGCTCGGTCTCTATGCGGCCCAGGAACAGCAGCAGCAGCTGCAGAGGGCTGCAGAAATACAGCGCCACAGCCCACAGGCCCCCGGCCGCCAAATCCCCCAATCCAAGCCCACTCGCAGTTTGAAGGCTGCCCAAACCACTGGTGACGCCGTCGCCATAGATTGCATCAGCTATATCCTCCTGATTCAATGATGCAATTCCCAACGCCAGTCCAGTCAACAGGATTGCTGCATGCAGACAGACACAAGTGCCTCAATGACAGTGTTGCCGGTGAGCCGTAAAACTGAATTGGCATGCATACAATTGAGTGGGCAAGTCAGGTACGGTAGCAGTTCTCACTTGACGTCAAGATAATGAGACGATCTTTGCTCAGCTGGGAGGCAGTGCTCTTATCCTGTTTCTGCTGACATACTGTTGGGCAGACTCCAAGCCCTACAGATTTGCAATTTCTGTGAAGGTGGAGATCTTTGGTCAGCACCAATACAGGATGTCGAGCTCTATTCTGGCAACAGGGATTGAGATTGCGACCTTGTACACAAGGTTGCTGCTCTTGCACAGCCACTATGAGCTACTCACTAGCTTATGCAGGATGAGGATCCTAACTTGATCGCGGCACTGGAAACGCTCACCTCGTGAACAGTTGTCTCTGACTGTATGCGAATGTCGCTGACTTCCTTTCATTTGTCTCAAACGCCATGGACTACATAATTGCGATCGCTTTCGCAGGACAAGCTTAGTGCAGGAGCAAGGCTCCTGGCTCAGAGTGCGACCTATGACTCTGGAATGAAAACAAGACTGCATTCCCGAGCATACAAATTGCTGTGGGGATTGCATGGCCTGCACTTGAAGGCTATCACGCTGGCATCTCTATTGGTTGTGCGCGTTTGCTAGATCGATATTGTCAGCAGCGATCCAGAAGTGCATCTCGTTTGTAGGAGTAACATTTATTGAAGTAAGTCACAGGTTCCTTGATGCCAACTGTGCTCTCCTCGAGTCCTTTGCCCTGCTTTCGTGGCAAAGTCCGGAACCCAGAAGCATGCAGAGGGCAGTATCTAATCTTTTGAAGTCATTTGGAATTTCATCTGGTCGCTCGAGAGATATTTCTGGAAGACTTGTCATTTCTTACTTCATCAAGAACATTACAGAAGTGCTGACACTGTTTTAATAGGTTCACTGCACAAGGTCTTCATTCCGGGGAGTCAGCAGCCCATCATCTTGTTATAGTGTTTCAAACCTTGCTGGTCTCGGGACAATCGCGAGCATGGCACAGGATGGCACTTACTTCGTGAGCAAGAAGGATCTTTTGCAATGGATCAATTCAACTTTGGACCTGAACATCACGAAGATTGAGCAGGTCCGCAGAGGGTTGAGGAATGTGAAGTTTTGGTGGAAGCAACATGAAATAAGCATCATCGCAATCATCTAAAGTCAAGATTTGTTTCTTGGAGTACCAAGAACGATCCTTACTTTCCCTCTTCTGTTGACATAGACGAGCTCAGGAGCAGTGGCGTGCCAGCTTATAGATGCTCTTCATCCTGGGACAATAAACATGAGCAAGGTAAACGACTGACATACACTACCGATGCCAAAATCATTGAAATTTTGCGCGTCCCCAAGTCCTGTGATGACCTGCCATAGGACCAATAGACAAATTATGTCGAGCATGAACTGCCCTGACTCCACTAATGTGCAGGTGGACTACAATGCCAAGACCGAGTACGACGCAGTGAACAACTACAAGGTCCTCCAAGCAGCTTTACTCAAGCTTGGGGTGGACAAGGTGAGCGCACTCTGCCTTGACACAGATCCTTTCCAAGATACAGAAAGACGCCGCTCAGACCCTCTCGCTACTCTTCATTATTACCTTCTGAACACCATCCAAGCTGGGCTGTCGTGCAGGGGTCCGATGCGACAGTCATCATGACTGATGCATGCTCCGCACATGTGTCGTTTTCAAATGGGTCAACAGTATGCTGACAACATAAGATTGTGTTTGCCTTACGCAGCCTGTGGATGTGAACAAGCTGGTGAAGGGGCGGCCACTGGACAACATGGAGTTCATGCAGTGGTTCAAGGCCTACTGGGACTCGCGCCTGGGAAGCCAGCACCTGAACTACGACGCCGTCAGCCGTCGCAGCCATGCCAAGTCAGGCGCACCCAAAGGCGCCGGCCTCAAGCCTGCTAGTCAAGCCATCTCCCGCCGTCCCACAGAGCCCCAGGTGGGCTGAACAACCTTGCCCCCACAGCTTCAAATGTGTACTCGCCATACTCACTCAATCTTTGCGGGTTGATGCTGTCATGCAAAGCCGGAACGGGCCTTGGGCCATTGCCTGATGCAAAGCTGCCGGCACGGAGTTTCCCTGCTCACAAAAGTGTCCTGGCTCCTACTCACAGCGAACCTCAGCATTGTGGTTTCTTTGCTACGGAAAGGATAAACACTGCAGCAACACCTGGCGTCCCTCAAGTCTGCTGCAAGAGCCTGGGATGACTGCTGTGTGCAGGTGTCGACGCCGATGGGCCGGGGTGCGGACATGCGGAGGCCGGCAGTGCCGAAGGAGAATCTGCACGCGCAGTCGACCGGCAGCACGGCCGGCAGCAAGGCGGCCGCCGCCCTCCGGCAGCGCAGCAATGGACATGACAGCAGCCTGGTGCAGGAGCTCACGGAACAGGCACGCATGCACCACCACACAACTTTATTAGTCCGCCCAATCTAGAGGAGGACCTAAAAAAAAGGGGACAACCTCCTTATGGCCTGCCCAAATGTATATTGAACTGCAAAGACAGAGGCTGGGGAGCTTCTGAAACAACAGTAAATTCACAAATAGATGAAGATAAGAGACTACGGGTTGTTCAAGCCAGTGCCTTGTACCACTCTAATCAACAATTTCCTGGTGCAGGGACTAGTAATCCCTTCCACACTCCTCCTGTTGCTTTTTTCATGCAGGAATCTGTCCTCGCAGCGTGCGCAGGTGTTGCTGTGGCCTTTCTTGAGAAGGGCATAAACAAGTACAAACCTTTCAGCAAGCTCTTGCACCCTTTATTTGGCACTGGAGCACAACCATTTGACCCTTCTCTCTGAAGGTGCCCAGAGCACGCATGCCTGCTTACGGCTGTTTGTATCCTTCAGAATCTAATACTCTACCACCGGCTGCATCATGTGGATTTTGGTGAAAGGCATATAATCTCTCCAGAGGACTGCATGTAATCGGAGGGTCTGCGGTGGTGGTGTATGCAGCTGTCGGAGCTGCAGGTGACAGCGGCGACGCATCTGGAGGAGAGGGAGTTCTACTTTGCCAAGCTGCGCGACATCGAGGTGCTCTGCCAGATGGACGAAATCAAAAACCAACCGGTGAGCGCTGTTCCCTTTCCTTACACACTCCTTGCAGCACTTCACATTGTGCCTGCATGCAGCGACCAATATCAACAAGGATTGCTTGTTGGTAGATCTTTGATGGTCCGGCCAAGGCACCCTGGACAAAGATGTCACTCACAGAAATTACATTTGACAAAGGAGGCTTTTTAGTGGTGCCATTTTCCAAGGCCCCGGCTGGCGGGGGGCGGTATAAATACTGAGCACCGTGCCCACGGTTGATTGGGTGTTGTTTGGATCTGGCGAGTCCAACAAGGGGTAGGATTGTGGCAGCCTTTAACTGCAGCTTGTCTGCAGGACGTACCTTGCCTTTTGGCAGGTAAAGCGTGTAATAATAATAATATTATTATTATTTTCCAAGGTGGGGGCTCGCATAGTTGTTGTGCGCAGCATGCTGAAGAGAGAGCGTTGCAGATTATGTGGGAGCCCTTTCAGCTGAGTTGTGACGCCTGTAATGCCCTGTGCAGCTGGTGCCCTTCATTGAGAGGGTGCTGTATGCAACGGACAATGCGGCAGCAGAGGATGCAATGGAAGAGGCACGAGCCACTTTCGCCCAGTGAAGTGCTGCAGCAAGCAAATGGCGGGCCAAATCTATAAAGTCACTGGAAAAACACACCCTATGTGTGTGTCCTGAAAGGAAAACAAGCTGCGAATGATAGATGTTGTGTATCAAGGAGGATTGCGTCTACGGTCAGTTGGGATTTACTCAGCAGGGTTCTTGACCAGAGGTTTGGCCTGCATGCTGCAAGAGCATGGCGAACATGCATGGACGAGATGAATACCTAAAGAGGCGGTCAGTGTGCACGCGCATGTCTGCAGAGAAAGTGCTTGAGCTCTACTGTACACGATAATTGGTGCTCAATCTTGTGCGATTTTGCACGATTGAGCACCGTAGCACGTCTGTATTCTGCAAGTAAATGCGTTAATGCGATATTGCACGACAAATCCCATGCATAGCACCCCCTCTGCATTTACGTACCAATGCTATTAGTATCTGGCCTTTAGGGAGCGTGAGTATGCTTCGATTACACTCTTTAAGGCGCGAGAGAAGACGCTTGTGTGCAATCTTGCCTCTACTGTATAAGCATGAAATCATCATGAAAGCATCGAACAGAATGTGAACGGTTATAAGAAAATTCCAGCTAGAAATTAAAAAAAACCATCAGCGCCCATATGGAGTCGGCGCTGGAGCAGGGGCAATCCCAGCATAGACAGGAGCAGGTCCGCTGGCCGGGCCTGCGGGCGAAATAAATACATGATGCTTGCTGGCTTACTGCTATCTATATACTGCTATCTACATAGGCAATCAGGCACTTAGAATCTGGCTTCACCCCACAGCACATCACGTAAAGAGACAAATGTCATTGATCCCATTGAAGATCCATAGATGCAGGCGCACATTGTAAAGGAAAACGCTAGTCATCAAAACGAGAGAGAAGAGTTGTGGGATTGTGGCAAAGAACTTCAAAATGCGGGAGGAGTACAGATATTAAACAGGTACAAAAGAGAATATCAGCGCGGTCTTCTTCAACGTGATGATCTGGCGTTAGAGATCCCAGCCGCTGGCAGGCTGGGCAATTCTAGGCTTAACGCTCAGGGCAGGTACTTAGCAGAACGTCCCGGATAGTCATTGGTCTCGTCTTAGTCACTGGCCCTGTCTCACCGTGAGACGCTCTGGGCTGACTCTTGACTGAAATGGCATTGATCAAAATATCTAAGTTGGGAAAAAATAAATTACCTGGGTTTGCAACGGCTGGCAGGCCGCCGCCGCCGCTCTCCTGAGTGGTCTGGCCTAGCGGTGGTGCAGCGGCAAAGCAGATGTCACCGTACTGGTAGTTTCTGAGGGTGGCAGTGAACGCCACCGGACGACTGCCACTCCTCTGAGCCAGAACCTGTGATGGTCCACAGCCGCAATCAGTCAAGGATTGGCACTTTTTGGAGGCCGATACAACCTCAATGATCTCTGCAGAGCAATCTTGTGCTGATTGACCACTGCTCATCAATATCGATCGGTTGAATGACAGGTGAATGGCATAGAGGGATCCTGCAGAGGGTGTGTGACTGCGATCAGAAGTAAGAATTGTCCTTCTCCTTGCTCAGATGAAATAAGAGGCTTGGTTGCATTTGCAAGCGCAGAAGTGATCGGATGGTGGGGCAGTGTGGGCACCTCTGAGCAGGTGACGGCTGGGTTGCCGCAAGGGGAGCAGGGGTCTGGGCTGGAGCTGGGGCAGAGGTTCAGGCATACAGTGAAGGGCGCCACATCTCCGGCAGATGCAGTGCATGTGTACTTGGCACTGGTTGCATGCGGGCACTGCCCCAGTAGACTGCGTCCGGCCTCTGCGTATGACAGACCTTCAGGGGTACTGAATATGTGAGTGAATACGTCGTGCACATGTTTAGCACAGCGGAGCAGAGGACTCCAGGCAATCCTATATCACAAGATGTAGCAGACTTAGCGTCGCCTTGAGCACCGAAGGAGCCCCAAACCGCCCAAAATGAAGAATAGAAACATAGCATGTTTCTTACACATCCTGTCTTTCATTAGGATCATTCTGCCTCGGGACACGCAGACTACATGTATGTCAGGCTGGATTATTCAGATCAATGATAGAATGACTGCTATACACAACATGCTGGCGGTGCGTACCGGAGATAATGAATCCCGAACTTAAGAAGACGCTTAACAAGATGCAACACAGCTTCATAGTAGAACAGATTACGCCTTTGCTGTCTCCCGCCGAACCGTGTTGGGCTACAGTACGCGTGTTTCTCGGATCTTTACAGCCACAGCCTTCTTCTGGAATGCGGAGATTTAAAATACCGAATGCTTTGGTAAGAGACTCCGTCAGGATACACCTCTTGGGAAAAAGGAAGAAGCTGCGTACAGCCGGATGCTGACGTCATCAAAGTTCCCTCCCTTCTGAGAGCAGAGCAGATCCTGGGATCTCTCAGATCCTGACAATACATTACCGACTCTAGCTGCATGGTCTGAAGTTCCTGCACCTGCGAGCATTTGCGTGCAGTGTGGCATGCCGCAGCGCATTGCCGCCCTGTCAAAGATCCTAGGATATTTCTGTCAAGCTCGTCGCGAGCCGCGCACGGAGCGGCACCAGGCGCCGGCGTGCAAGCATGCATATTTACGTGCCCCATGTGCGTATACAGCTGCAGAAGGGGTCATCTCATGAGTTCTAAAGATGAGTGAAGAGATTGAATTTTAATTGTTACAGCTGCAGCAACTGGATGGAAAGCACTTTCAGACTTCAATCTTGCAATTGCATGCATGACCTTCGCAGGTCAACACTGCTAGCAAGCCACAAAAGTTCATTCATCAAAATGGATTCTAAGGCAAGCAACAACCGGCTTCTAAAACCCAAGGCAATGTATTTGACATCCCAACAAAACCCAATGGCAACAGGCAATTTTTTAAAAACTGGCTTGTGTCAAACGGCAACGGCATACTTGTACAGCTGCAGGTCTTTCACCTCAGCACAATGACTGGCAAATTCCAGCTTCAATGTGTTGCTTGAAGAAAATCTCTTGCTACGCGTACAATATGGCAACGCATGGTATCACTAGGATGCTGTAGTGTACAAGGCAAAAATGAATTAGCACGGTGCATACATTAATGATAGCATGGTCTGCAGTGAACTCCTAAGTAACAAGCTAATAGATCTTTCTTTAACTGCCCATCCAACCTGTGGGTCAATTCTGCTACCCTTGCAAGTAGCAACTAGTCATACAACAAAAGAAGCAGCATCTCATAGGGACCTCCTTGAATCCGCCTGCAGTAATCCCAAGTAAAAGGACCACATTGTGCTGCTGCAGAAAGAGCAAGAACCAGAATAGGTATCAAAATCGCCTTGTTCGCTTTGTGTTGTACAATGGCCATCGGCAGGCTAGCCTGTCCAAATGCAGCAGCATGGCTTGTACACTTGAGGGTGCATGCTCAAAATCTTGAATCGGGACCACATGAGTCCCTGCACTTATGGCAAGGAGCAACACAGGTGACAACTGCAGGAACATTTGTTAGGGTACATGGCGTTCTGGCAATGTTCTCTTGATGCGCTGGGGACTCGCCTGTCTTGCCACAAAGGCGATGCGGGTCCACTTCCTCTCGAGGGGCTGACAAGCAGCAGACACTACATTTCTTGAGGCAGCAGCGCCCAAGCACTCTTGCTGACCAGCAGCCAAAGTGCCAATGCGTGATACATGGGTCCCGTTCATGGAGCCCTCATACAGCGCATGCAAAGAGGCGGCATAGGGAGATCCCAGATGCATCCATGGGATCTCAACGCGCCTCTGCAAACTTAAAGGGTGGCAAGGTCTGTGCAATGAAGCCTTGCAGCTGGGGATTCTTCACGAAGGGCCGAAGCAACAGCGGGGAGATGCCGCGGTGGTACAGGATGTGGGTACGGGTGTCAGCAGTTGAGGTTGTGAATGCGCGGCAGCAGCGGCTGCAGCCGGTCGGCCGCCGCCTGCTTCACTCGCGTGCGCTTCAGGCATAGGCTCTCCAGATTCTGCACCAGCAGATGGCACACCCATCATCAACTTGAGAAACACCTTGCAACAACCCTTGGATGCCTCAGGGCGCCAATTCACCACCTTTATTCACACCACCATGGTGGGAACCTGCAAGGCTCCTGCACATGTACAGCAGCCCTGAAGGGTGCCAAATGGCTGCGTTTTATCAATGGTGACTTGGCGCGCCGGACCTTCTGAAGGGTTACCATTGTTGACAAATGCTCACAAACTTCTCTTGGATTACCCCCGCTGCTCAGTGAAAGTTTAGAATCCATGCAAAGGGCCAATCTTCCCAGAATTACAGCATGCTGGAAGTCTGGGAAGTTTGGCCCTTTGCATGGATTCAGGAAGTTTGCCCACCACAGCTTCCCTGGCACCTTACGAGAAGCGGTGATCAGACCTCAGCAGACACGCAATAGGGTATTTTATTTCCCTCTTCACAAGAGCAGCCAAGGGGCGCGCACCGTGAGGGAGCGCAGGGGCAGGATGCCGTTGCCGGTGAGCTGCGTGCCGGTCAAATTCAAACCGCGCAGCTGCGACAAACCGGACAGAAACAGCGATGCGCGGTCGGTGATGCGCGCGTTCTGCGCGAGCGACAGGTGCTGCAGTCCAGTCAGCCAGATGAGCTCCTTGACTCCCTCGTCGCTGATGCCGCCGCCGCAGATCTCCAGCCGCTCCAGCCGCCGGAACGGCCTGAACAGGCGCGCAGATACAGTCAGGCACATACGCTGCACAGCCGTATGTGATTGTGATGATGCATTCAATCACCCTGCTGCTGCAGCCACCAGAACGGCCAGGCCAGGCATATCTACTAATACACTCCGTCAACTGCTGCAGCGTCCGTGAGTCGCAACTGATTGGCTTCCAGTAAGACTGCAAGCTTGTGCCCTGGTCGTCTCTCCAGGGTGCCAACTATGCTGGTATGTGCCAGAGATTCTCCCTGAGATCCGCAGAAGGCCTCTAACTTGCGGCGTGGCGTTTCTTGGCCATGCCCAGTAAGGGTATTGTAGTTGGCTGGACTTCCTAAGGTGGACCAGCGCAACATACTTTGCTGCAATGCTTGCCGTGCCGTACCGCCGAATCAACAAATGCTTGAAAGGAAGTGGCAGCGCGCACCGGAGGTGGACGCAGCCGGCGTCAGTGATGCGCGCGCCGAAGAGGTCAAGCGTTTGCAGCTGTGTCAGGGGCGCAATCGTGCGCAGGCCCACATCCGTGAAGCTGCGGCCGTCCAGGTGCAGCTCTGTCAGCGCCGTGAGCCGCGCCACCGCCGCCAGGCCCAAATCCCCCACGCCGGCTGCGCGCCAGAAGAGGCCGCTTAGTCAGCGTTCATTCAGGAAATTTTTCTTATAATTGCTACACGTTTCTCCTGCCAAGAGGCAAGGTGCGTCTGCAGACAAGCTGCAGATAAAAATTGCCACATTACCAACCCTGAATCAGGACGAAGCGCCAAAACAGGAGAATTAAGTCAGCGGTCCCGCCATTGAAGCAGCAGGATGGTTCCACCAGCGCAAAATGCTCTAAAAGATGATGGTGTGCTCAGGAGTGCAGTGCAGGTAGTGCTAAGTGCCCCGAGACCGGGTCTCGCATGGTGTCTTCACCCAGCAAGCTCGATTTGGTACGTGGTCTGTTTACGATGCATGATGGAATGATGCACAGCTAAGCGAGCTGGTGGAGGGTATGGGAAGCAATAGCGAGCGGTGTGAGGAGCACCTGTGTAGGAGAGGTTCAGGCGCTGCATGCCCTTCAGGGGAGCGAATGCGATCATGCCCTGGTCTGTGATGGCTGTGTCCGACAGGTTGACATCCTCCAAATTTGTCAGCTCCGAGATGTGGTGCAGTCCCCTGCGTACCAGACCTCCATTTGTCAGTCTGCAATTTGGCTACATTACTTCCCAGATGTATCTGTTGAGTAGCCGCTCAAAAATAACCTTGTGTCTGATGGGCTTCCTCCTCTGGGTGAGGTGGCACATGGAGTGGTGTATTGCTCTGAAGCTTAAGCCCTCAGATGCCCCAAAACATGACATGCAAAGCAGGGATGCTTGGAGGAATGTTATGAGTAAGGACAGTGGGAACAGGAAAAAATGGGCACCTGTCGGAGACAGGGCAGGAGTCGAGGTTGAGGGTGCGCAGGTTAGTCAGCGAGGTCCAGGCTGCAAGGGCGTTGTCTCCCGCTGTGGTGTACGCCACGTTGAGGCTCCTCAGCTCGGTCAGCGTGCTGAGGTGGCTCAGGCCTGCACAGCATGATTTTAGGATCAGCTCTGTCCAGCCCAGATACCATGGTCAGTGTAAAACACTACAACACCTGGCCTGGCATCCAGTAAATCTGCGCAGCACCACCTTACCGACAGCAGGGATGTAGAGCTGAGTTGCCCCTCCGGGGTCGTAACTTGAAATAGATTAATATGTCTCAAAAATTGACTCAAGCCATAAAGAAAAGAGAGGTTCTACAGGGGGTGTCTCGCCTTCATAAATGCAGGTTTCCTGCATTACCAAGAGTGAGGCACTTCCTGTAGGATCATTCCACTCTCCGGGATCGACTCGACTGAGTCAATAACTAAGAACACCTCTCGGCGCACATCTGCCAGAAGACAAATTTACTCATCAAGTCGTGCTTCACTTCTGCCTAATCCTGAGAAGGGTTCTTGTGTCCGGCGACCTTCCCAAGACATCTGTATTGTTTTCTATTTCCTAGTACGCCTCCGTCCACGCATGTGAGGTGCCAACGCGGCACCTTGCTTGGGCATGCCACTGCATCTGGAATGTACAGAAGGCCATTGTGATACATGCAATGCATGCAAAGCTGAAGGGGAATGGATGGCCCACCTTTGACGCTTACGGTGCACCACTCCAGATTGAGCTCTTCCAGGGATGTCAGCGCAGACACGGATCCCACAGCGCCGTTGCTGATTCCGGAGCAGCCGGCCAAGCCCAGGCAGCGCAGCCTGCTCATGCTCCGCAGCGCAAAAATGCCCGAGTCCGCCACCTGTACGAGTATCCACCAGATTGGTTGTGTACTGGGAAGTACTGGTAGCCTCTTGCTGATTATTCTTTAAGCTCCTGAGGACATGAGCATTTGTGTGAGTCTGGGGCGTTGAACTCAAGCAAGGATCTGCCAAATTCAGATTGGCCGCAATGTTCAGCAAGATCAGTAGAAGCACCCCATCACAGACACTAAGAATGAGGACAACGCCTGGAGGCTCACAGTACAGATTGAGACCTTCAGGGTGATTTACAGGCTTTAGAGTGGCTCACCAGTGTTCTGGACAGCTGCAGGCCTGTGATGGCCGTCAGGGCTGCGAGCGCCTTGACATCTGCATCTGTGATCCCGCTGCACCAGCTTAGGTCCAGATTCTCCAGCTGCTTCATGCCTGCCCATGCGCCAGACCAATACTCAGACCCACACACTAGGGCACTAGACTCTCGTTAAGAAGGGAAAAGGAGGAGGGACTCTTAAAATATGTTTTCATCCTATCACACTGCCCATGCATGGCTCTACAGGCAGCCCCCGTGCAGACACTATTGTTTGGGACACGCGACAAGTTGATGATAAAGATGCCTTTATATTCAGAAGGATGGTGGGGTGCACCTATCTGAGGCTTTACAGTCCCTCCTTATGCTATGTTTTTGGCCACTCTGAGCAACAGAGCCCAAGGAGGCACAAAAAAGCGCACCTGACAGGTGCCGCAAGCCACTGATGCCAGAGCAGCCCTTCAGATTCAGGCTGGTGACCTTGGACAGGTCAGTCAAAGCTGACAGGCTCGACAGCCCTTCGCAGCCCTGTAGACTGAGATCCCTGAGATTTGTAAGCCCTGCAGCACCAGAATGTTTGGTGATGAACAAGCCATGCATTCCAGTGCCCTGAGCTGCAAGCCAAGTATAGATGTTAACAGTGCCTTGTCACCAACATGTGTGTCTCAGTGTGTTTGCCAGCAAGATGGATGTGCTCAATGTTGTAAGATTGTTACCAAAAGACTACAAAACTCAAGCAAGTCCATGAGCATGAGTTCTACACAGGGCGGTCTGAAGTGGGGAACTACCTCTGACATGCTGCAGGCCATCGTTGGTGAGAAGCGGGCAGTGTGACAAGTCTAGCCTGATCAGCCTCCAGTGGTGCGCCAGATGTCCAGCTCCGACATCGGTGATCTGAAGAAGCAGGACAAATGTCATTCAAAAACAAAAGTTTTAGCACAGGTTGCAACTTTTGCAACTTGGTAAGGGGTGGCAAGTACTAATTAGGGACATGTACGTCACTATGAGTGTCAAATAACATGCAGCCACCCATATATTGTCAACGAGATGCAGTCAGTTACCTCTGAGCAAGCTGCCAAGGAGACATGCTGCAATGGTGAACGGGCAAGATGCCTCAACCAGTCATCCTCCACCCCAGCACACTCGCCCAGCTTGAGGTTGTATATGTGTTGCCTGCTGAACAAAGCTAGCCCTTCCTGGTCCAAGCTCGCTGTGTAGATCAGTTCGTCAAGAACCAATTGTGCCAAGTCAGCAGGCAGAGAGTCGATGTCGTATTTGTGCAGCCTGGCTGCGACCGCTCGCACTGCCAACTCCAACAGAGGAGCGGTAGGGTCCCTTTGATGCACATTTGACCGCCTCCTTCGCCGGTACTTGCCGTGGCTACCCTGCAAGTAAAAAAGGCGGGTGACATTACCTTAGCTTGAAAGCGTTATTGCAGGCCCAGCAAATCAGGTTGCCCTCCATGCACCCAAAACGGAAGACTAACATTTTGAAGATACAACGAGCTTTGATCGGTACAGAAATGCGCTCCAAATTCGTCAGCCAGAGCAATATAGACCCATGCATGGACCTCCGTCAAACTTCAAAGTTGACCGCTTAATATGACGGATTGCAAATATGGCCAGTGCTGAGTCCCTAAGACATCCTGTGATGATGTTTGGGGGCCTTTGATCGGAGATATTCAGACAGAATTAGGCGCTCACCTCCTCACATGCCTCATCCAAGTTCTTGCGTGACTTGCTGACTGTTCTGGGCAGAAACTTTCCCAGGAGACACTTCAGGTCCCGCAACCGTTCCTGGAACGACATTGTCAGAGACATCACGCTGAGCGATCTTCTCACTGTGCTTTGTTCCTTTCACAAGAGTCCCAGAATGGCCAGCCCAGGCTGAGGTGGAGCGTCGTGGCTGGCTGGCCCGTCCCAAATAGGCAACCTCAATGGCCGTGCCTAATCTTTGGCAAGGCGTCACGCAGTGTCCCTAATCATTCTTCAGAAGTGGACCACCTGACTCAGAAGCTCTGAGTACATGCTCTTCTGATGGACCATCAAGATGATCCACATTCTCCACCATGCTGCGCAGTGCAAGTTGGCCTGGCCATTCCATACGCTTGCATGCATGCACTGTGGCATCTTATGCATTTGATGATCTCTGCACAGCGCTAGCGCAATGCCAGCAATAATTGGGTAAACCATCACTAGTCCGTGACCCAGTGAGTGCTACAGGAAGCTTGTGGTCATGATTCAGAGGCGTACATAATTTGATTACCAATTGCAATTACTCAAATGACTCAGTTGCAATGGAGTACTGCACCCCAAGTTGATTGCAATTGACACCTCGAGCTCAATCATGCAAGCATGGTCCGTAAGCCCTCGTATCGGATTGCCGGCCTGCGCATGGCAGTGCAGTGCGCAATGCAAATGAAATTTGTATATTTGCTAGACTTCAGGAGTCAGAGCAATCTGTTTGATATAGCTAAGCAAGCTTGCTGTTCACGATGCCGATCTGCCGCACCATGGGTAGCTGACTATCTTCTCATACTGAAGACCAGCATGAGCCTCCGAACTGATGACCATGTTCAGGCCACGGCGATTCCCGCATTCAAGCTTGAGGCAGAACTCAAGCCGCTCTGGTCTGTTTCCCGCGCAGGCGCCGGCTGCACCGGCCCCGCTGCGATCTCAAACCTGAACCTCATTGTGGCTCCCTGCTGCACATATGGCTGCCACATGACGTAATTTGTACCCCAGATATTGTTCGCGAGGTTGAAGGCAACGCCCTTTGACAGATCCGGTGCATGGCGCACATTAGGAAACGGCGTCGGCTCCCCCGGGCTGACCAGAGCAGCGTCCAGCGTCCTGATCAGGCGCCCAGCCAAACGTCACATCACTGCATGATTCAAATTGACAAATGACAGGTCCCACACCGCGGCACCCCCACATGAATCCAGGAAGAGTGCGAAACATACAAGGCAGTGCGAGCGCCGACAAGAGAGAAAGGGCTGCCTCGCTGTCGGAAAAAAAGTGCATTGACCATACAAACATCTTCAACCCAGGAGCACTAATGATCAAATTGCAAAGATGCAGTCAAGTGTGGATAGGTGAGCCACAATCAAACTCCTCGACAGCGGCCGGTTCTCTCTTGTCAATCCGCAATTTTGAGGGTCGCTCTGACGCCATCCAAGGTAAAATTTTGGGATGCAAGACATTCAAAGAGCTCATCAGAGATTTGAAGACCGTCCATGGTAGTCAGTGGCTTGCCTGACATTGAGCTGCTCCCAGGCGTGGCTGCCAGCCCCGGTCACGACAACGCCCTCTTCTGACACAGCGTGCTGGGAATGAGAACCATTGTAAATGACTGCAAGCGGCGAAATGGGGCGGCCCAGCTTGAACATCTGCCATGAGCTGCTGTTGGCTGCATTGATGTCCGGAGCAAAGCTCACCCATGCCGCCTGTACGTACAAAAGCTCAACTCTTACCCTTTCCTCCCAGTATTTAAGTAACTCACATGCCCTGCACGCAAAATCTGCTGGGTGTGCAGTCATGCACACTACTGTGATGACAGCAATTGTCCTGGCATGTACTGGTGGGCCTGCATACTGCTGTCGACTCTCTTAATGCAAGCTGCAAGAGTGCCCCATGCGTCACTTGCTGAAGGCTGAAAAGAGGAGTTCAATGAGATCACTCTGAAGCCTAAGACTTTGGGCAAAGGGCTACTACTTGCACCGTTGGCACCAGGTGCCAGTGTCAGCGCACCTCTGGCAGGCGCGTGGCTGTCTTGTTTACCCAGATGACATCATAGCTGATGTCATCGCTGCCGGCGGCTGACTGGATGTCTAGCCACACCTCTGCAGGCGCTCCGGCTTTGCGCACCGCCCATCGCGGCAACGTTGATCTCGCCACCAGATGCAGGCTCCCATTGCCCTGCAGACAGCCAATTCTCAACATCATACCGGCACATCTTGAACCATTTTTCATCCTCTATTCCATTGATGTGGTGTTTTGGTTGCCAATAGGCGTTCATGCAAATTGCAAGCCGGCCTTCTCACCCCTGCAGGACAAGCCTTGGAAATCCTGGGCTCTGCAAGTAAAGTGTTTAAGTCTGGTCATGCTGGCTTACACTATATTCACACTCCCATCTTGCCTCTCAATACCACCTGAACGCAGTGTTTTGCAAAGTAGCAGAGTCACTGGCAGTTTGGTGGTATATTTCGCTACGTGATTCTGCTACACCCATGCAGGCATCACGTGACACTCCTTCACAGGGGGCAGAGAGAGCCACTGACTTTGAAAGCAGAGGGGTAAGAGAAGTTCACAATGGGAGGCGGAGTGCTGACTCACCTGAGCAACCCACACGTCCTGCAGGCTGGGAGCAACGTCAGCGCGGCGCGGGTGCGCGGCGGAGCAGTTGGCTTTGCCAAAGTCCATGTCGACCCACCAGTTGTCCCGGCTGATGTACAGGTACTCGTCCCAGATAATCTCGTAGTCCTTCTCTGTGTACGCGCTGTACACAAACTGCCCCAGCGGCCGCCCCGTCGCCGCCCACTGTGCGCCAAGTTTGGCCGCGTACTTCCGCTGCAGCCCCGCCAGAGCCCCTGCGCCAGAGCAATAATGGTAAGTGTTGCTGCTTTACTGGGAGCTTCTGACATTAGCTTAACTACCACCAAGCCCTGCCTGAAGTGTAATTGTCATATCAACAAGCTCTGCCTGGAGTGCAACTGGCAGAGCAGAGCAAAGGAATGCGGCGCTTTCCTCAATCCAGCAAGATAGTTGCAAACCATGCCGGTGTTCCTTGCGGAATTTGTGTATGTAAATGTCACGAGAAGGCGCCAACATACTAGATAAGATCAATTTCTTCAACTACTGTCATGTCATGAACATCAGAGGTATGTGCCTGCTGCATGTGCTGACAGAGTGATTAAAGTGGAAGAGTGGGTGCTGACCTGTGGCAGGGTCAAGAGTGATGAGCCAGGCATGTGACTCGAAGGTCAGCTTGGAGTCCGGCGTCAGCCGCGCAAAGCTGTCATTGATGGAGGGCGCCCTTTGCAGCGCAAGCAGTTCCGCCATTCCCCTCTCCATTGCAGCGCCCTGGAGGGTGAGCGCACGAATGAACTTCAGAATTTAATGCCAAATATTTGCAGGATTTGCACCTGGCTACTGTTGTGGAGCAATGCATGCTGGTGTGGCCTACGAAATTTGCGGCGGATTTGTACCGGGATGGACACACTTGTAGCCTTGATGTACATCTTATTGCTGAAGGTGGAAAATTGGCAAGGAGCCTTCCTATGTGTCATGCTGAAGGATGCGCTGGTGAAAATGGAATGCTTCTCACCTCAGGTGTCCCATGCAGAGCTTCAATTGCCCAGCCAACATAGGCCCTCTGCCTGTTCCAGGCATCAACCATCCTCCTGCAAAATATATATTCATCAACTCAGAAATCTCGCCCAGGATGCTCCACAGAAAGGCAGCAGCCATGGGTGTAATCAAAGAGCGCATTTGCGTGCATGGCAGGAATGCCAAGAAATCTACTGGGAGTGTACGAGAGAGGCGCACCTGTAATTCCAGGCCCCTGCCGCCACAAGCTGGTGGAACCCTTTGTTGTCCCAGTTTGCGTAGTCACCCAAGAAAGTCTTCACGTCCAGCCCCCAGGTGTGCTCCGGCACCTGCAATACAGGTGCACATTCAAATTGTGGGGGGACTATCTCGGGGGAACGCCAAGGTAGCAATTCTGGCCTTCTTGTTATCGCATGCCTGCTTCATAAGATGACAGATTCAAGTGCATCTAGCAAGCAGTGTGAAGACATTGTAAAAGCAGAAAAATAAGCTGAGCAAGCAGGAACAGCGGATGGGTAAAATGGGCACTAAGACAGACCTTGCTAAGGATCCTGCTGAAGTTCTGGTATGCCTTCCAGCCCTTGCTGCTCTGCCATCCCCCTTGCTGCAGCAGCTCTCTCCTCATTCGCAGTGCAGCTCGGTACTCCGCCACCTTGAGAGCGTCGCTCGCCACCCCTGATGAACGCAGCCATGATAAATTAGTACCCTTCGACCCTCGGGGGTGGCCTTCGCAATGGAAGCTATGCCAGAACCTCATTGCCAAAGTAAATGCATCATGCATGTGACTGCAATGCCCAAAGATGGCAATTACAGGCTGCCCGATGCGATGGCCCTCGTGATTTGCACATAACGCAACACATGTTGCCCAGCGTGTATTGAAACCCTCTGAATTCCTTGGCCTTTATTGATGCAAGTAATTGGGCGCACCATAGATCCAGGAATCTCCAATCTCCCCAGTCACGACCGACAGGTTCAGGCGCGGCGCTGCAGTGAGCAGCGCCTGAAAGAAGGCGTCCAGGGTGGAGACATGCACATCAGCGTCCGGGAAGTTGGTCTCTGTGATATTAAAGACGTTGAGCACCTGCATGCAACGTGATTCTTATTAGTCTTGAAAAAAAGATGTCCAATGAAACAATAGAAAAGGCCAGCAAGTAATTGCATCGCAATTTCATGAGGAACAGGTCTTTTGCAGGCAGGCCTGCATGCAATCATACAGAATGTGCACAAGGTTTGCAGACATCAAATGCTTCTGAAACGTTTATTTCTGGATGAGACAGAAAAAGTATTCGTGGGGATGGGTGTATGCCTCAGCAATGTCGTGGGGCCCTGCGTTGTCGCTCTTCCATGCCATGCACAGCACATCATTAAATCCCTCCACAATCACACACTCCCCCAACCCATCCACCGGCTCCCCAGAGTAGCCACCTGCCATGACACATCTCATTGCATAAATTTTCACAACCACTTTCGACTTTACCAAAAGATAGGACCTCCATAACTCAAGAAGAGGCCTCTTTGAGAGGTAAATCAGAGCTTGCGAGCTATACCAAGCGTTCAGGCTAGATGCTCACTGTCATTTACTGCCATAGGGCATCAATAATTCGCTCAACAATCAGGGACAGCTTTAGTCCTACCCAGGTCTGGAGCACGTGAGCATCTTGACAACTATGCCACCAGTAGGCCACTTGAGGAGCCTAGAGCAAAATTTGTTAGATCATATTTGTTGATAGGAATAATGACGCCATATTTGCATTATATTTTATATAATATATATTTCTTGAACTGCAGCGCACCAGGGTGCAGGACAGTCAGTAGCTCCGTCCCAGAGGGCTCATCCCTCCAGATGAAGGGGGTATTTTTGGGCACCCCTGGGGGAGCCGAGCCGCCATTAACCCCAATAGTGACAGCCTTCACCCCTTCGGCTGTCAAAATGGGGATCGCATTCCTGGTGAAGCCCGGTACGTCCCTCTGCATGCACAAAGATCAGTCAATCAAGAAATTCATGCAGAGCCAACATGCATACACACTGTAGTCCAGTGTAGTACAGATAAATGCAAGGAATACTAAGCCAATGAAGAGCAAACTGCGAGGCAAGAAGGGATGTGCCAACCTGGCTAAGGGTGATCTTGGGTAGGTAGCCAAAATCTTTGTCCAGCTTGTGAGTCATGTGGATGGAGGACCGGATGAGTGGCTCATCCATCATCTCAAGCTGCCCATTGAATGGGAAGGCATGCCAGTAGATCACGCCCTCCCTTATTGCGTTTTCCACCGCCTGTAAGAATTGCATGACATCCTCAGTACTAGCGTGGGTTGCTCAGCCATAAATGAGTGCCAAAGGCATTGTATGTAAGCAGCTGTTGTAACGGGTGAAAAGAGACCTTCTTTGCAGCTGCAGTTGGACAGTGGAAGCCAAGTCCTGGCGGGCAATCTAGGAACATGGATATCAACCATGACTGCGACAAGAGCAGAGCAAACTCAGAAACACCAGAGGATCATTTAAACCGAGTGGCAGCAGGTCTGAGAGCTGAGACACAGTTTCTGGGCGAAGGCACTGGTTTGCAGCAGCCCTACATGTGTAAGGTATTTGAGCCGCTGATGGCCACCACGTTTCCTTAGCACGTCATCCACAGCAATCTGCAGAGGTCACAAGTTCGCGTCAAAGCTATGCGGATTAGGTCTGTTGACTAAGTTGCAATGGCTCGGGCGATGTGGTGCTCAGATCAACCTCAGCCCAGAAGCTTACCGCCTTGGGGAAGTACAGATCGAAGTACACATTCACAACATTGTCATCGGTGCCTATTATTGGGCTGATGCCGTCAAATCCGATGTCCTGGGCACCCACACAATTGTATCGACGACTTGTTATGCAGGTATGAAATGCTTGCTGTGCAACAAAGGTCTCACATCGACAATAGACAGGTCAGGATCGTTACGTTTCAAGACCTGTAGCAAATTCAAAGATAGGAGAGAGGCAGATCGTGCTTGTACAGTGCAGCAGACCATGTCAGACAGACGGGTAACTTACCAGGTGATTCGAAAATATTAGATGAACAGTCCGTTTCTTTGCACCATCTGCTACTGCTATAATCCTAGATACGGCAGCAAGCACAAGTGCTGCGTATAGTAAGTGCAGTGCTGGTGACATGACCTGAACTAACGGACGGGTAACGGAAGCTTCACAACGTAACAATCGCAACGGCGACTGAACATCTGATTGTACACTTGATCTGACGCCTTGTACAATTGAGATGATGGAAACTTTTACTTATTGAACTGAATCAGTTTCAGACAGGACAAGGCTGCGTCAGCTTTTGAGGGACAGTGCGTAATCTTTAGTCAGGTCAGCATACAGTTGAAAGTTTGCCGACACGCAGCGCCTTTGCTCTTCACAAAATTCATGAAGGCATCCGTGCTTGACCCCGGAATCCAGGGCCCGGATGCGCTGAAGGACAGCCCCGGGCGGTGCAGCCGCCTGGTTGTTGTGCTAATGCATATGCATGCACTTAAATGCATTTGATTAAATTGCAAGCTTGCAAGCAATATTGCCCAGGGGTGCACATGCGGCGGCCGCCACCGCCAGCTGCAACAGCAGGTGCATGCAAGTATACTGGTACTTGCATGCATCCACGCGGGTGCACCGAGTCGTACTCCAGGAGGGTACCCGGTGGAAAGCCAATTGGAAATCAGGGGGGCGCTGCAATTGCCAGCAGCATCATGCTATGAAAGTGTCGGACGATCAATGTCTGATTAGTTCAGAATCTTGACTATCTGCTCTACTTGAACTGAATGTGAAAGCACACACTGAAATTCAATTGCAACTAGATCTACATCTACATCAGAAAGAATATCAAATCCAGGTCCCAATCACAACACAAACCAGACCATTGGCCCATGTTAATGTTGACACCATCTTGCATGCACTAGAATAACTCATTCATTCCAATGAAAATCACACTTGTATTCCAGGCTATATAGCTTGCATGCCAATCAAGGAGCACGGCAGACACACCATGCTACAGGTGTCTTGTGTTATCCTCAGGCAGTTGCTCTGTACTGTCTTGTCCAAGCATCAGAAGCTTCTTGCGAACTTGAGCATTGCCGAATCCTTGAGGACACAGCTCTGCAAGTGCCGCCACTCTTCCGAAGTCCGCAGAACAGAACAAGAAGGGAATCATGCATACGCGGCATCCTCGCAGGTCCAGCACACGCGCCCAGTCACCCTGCTGAGTCAGCGCAGCGCGCGCAGCACAGCTACCAATAACAGGAGCAAGCTCAGCTTGAACTGATCACACTTTGGCCGTGAACGTGCTAATTCGGCTGGGACCGGGCCCATCTAGCTCCCATTCTGACAAATGAGCCTCAATCATGCAAAGAGCTGTCGGCCCCGGCGCGGCCGCTCAGTTGGCGAGCAGGCGGCGGCCGCAGCTGGATACCATGCACCCCCGGCATCCTTGCAGGTCCAGCACATGCGCCCAGTCACCCTGCTGAGTCAGCACAGCGTGCTCAGCGCGCAACAGCGCAGCGCGCGCGGAGCAGCGCGGCCGGCCCCGGCCCAGCCGCTCAATCGGCGCGCATGAGGCGGCGGCCGAGCTGGGAGAGAATGCCCGGCAGGAGGCTGCCGGCCTGGCTGAGCAGTGCGTCGATGGGCTGCAGAGCTGTGGAGGAGGCTGTGGCTGCCTTGTTGCCCCCCACCTGCTGCAGGGAGACGATCGGCGCCTGCGCTGGGATCAGGCCTGCCGGTGCCTGTGCGCCCCACAATAGTGGGGTTAAGAGTGTAGGATGTGGCACTTGTGCATTATAGTACCATAAATCTGCTCTCTATGTCGGATTAATTGTCCGGTGCGCCAAGGAGACAACTTGCAGGAAAGGAATGGAATCGGAAAAGCAGAGGTCCTGTTCCTTCTGCTGATCATAGGGCTTTTTAAACATGTTGAAGCTGATGGACCCACAATTGCTGCCCCCACGTAGAAAGGTCTGGGCACAGACGTGTCAGGCATCTAGATGCCCAGCTCCAGAGCCATTGGTATTTAGTGCCAGGGGCTGAGTGGCACCTCTGCAACACCGGCCAGGGGGCCCTCGGCGGCCGGGTAGATCATGGACGGCTGGCCGGCAACGGCCGAGCCGGGCTGCGCCTCCGGCGCGCCGGCCGCCGGCAGCGGCCCGGGAGCCACCGCCAATCCAAGCGGTGCCAGAGCTGAGTTGGCCGCTGTGCTGATGTCCTTTACCTCCCTACACCATGGGGACAGATCATCCTTTAATGCACAACACAACGAGTGACAATGTTAGCCTTTTCCTCTGATGGTGATAATCTATTACTTTCTCACGGTGTACCTGCCAGGAGGCAAGGTGCGGTCAAAGACAAGCGGCAGATCAACGCTGCCTTATGTACTACCCCTGCTGGACTTGCCAGTTTGAAGCAACGCCCAGTTCAAGCCAGTGGGCCCCGTGCTTAGCATATGTGACCCTTGCTTTGCACATTATCAACAGCATGTTCAAGGCAGGTGTTCAGAAAACAGCAGCGAGGATAGAAAGTCACCTGGTCAGGAATGATTGCACTCCCTTGCTAGCAATCGCCACAAATTGGTTGGTCGCCTTTGAGAGCCCGGTCTGAGCACAAGACAACACGGTTTCAGGACATTTTGGTCATGTGCAGCAGCCACAGAATTTACCCGGTGTCACTAATAGTCAGCTTGCTCTGCAGTGGCCGGTGCTTTGCAAGTCAATCATATATTCCGTCCAGTGCAAGAGCAAGCTTTGGGGCAATTAATAATGAGGCAAGTGGCCGGGGCATCTGACTTTACGCACAAAATGACTCGGTTGCTTCGCAGGCGACTAATCACTTCCAACAGCCTGTTCACATAGGTGTCATGTCCCACCCGTGTCAGGTTGAGGGCGGCGTTCAGGTTGGGGTCACTGTATGCTTTCTTGCCAATGTCCACGATCCCCATGTCGATGCAGGTTGATGTGTCGTTGGTGAGGGTCAGCCCCTTTGGGCAAACTGCAGCCACATGAGTAAGATGAGTCAGCCAACAGGTCAATCTCTTCCGTACAGGGACGAGCTGCCCTAGAGAATCCCTGATGATACCTCTGGGCCCTTGCATCCAAATGAGCTTCAGATCGATCTGTACCAAGTCATCAAGACAGGGATGCAAAAGACAAGCATGATGCTCTGAACATGCGCAACCCAACCTTCCAGTCTACTCACTCTGCCCACACTCTCTTTCACTTTGCGGACCAAGGCTTGAGGATCAGGATGTGCACCCGTAGATATTAGCCAGAACCAGTATCTCTTGGATAGTGGCATCCCTGAAAGGCAACCAATGCAGCCATCCGTCTACACTGTCATGGCCGGGGGAGTAGTCAAGGGACACCCACCGCACTTGTTGTTGCCCACAACGAAGGGATAATTACACTCTGTGCATTTAGTGGCGCCGCATGTCTTGCACTGCAGGTCTATTGCCAGGCAGGGACTGGCCGCAGGTGCTGGCGCCTGCAGACACATGAGAAACAGTCACTTCCTTTGAGTTCCTTTGCCGCTCAACAGTATTGAAGCTGCTCGCCAGATATTGGATGGGGCCTGAGAGATCATTGGCATGACAGGCCCAGCAAATGCTCCGGTCAGGAGTGGGTAGAAGCATCAGATGGTCACACCCGCGGGTCACTGGAGTGTAGGATGTGCATGCGCATGGCTTGGTAAGCAGAAGGGATATGTCAGAGTGCGACATGCAAGTGTGATTTTATCTCGTGTCATCATGACAGCGTGATAGGAAGTGGGCTCACAAGTCCAAGCTCTTTCCGACTTGCTGTCAAAACTCCCCAATCCTCCCCTGCAGCATACCAGCATTATCAGGCTGTCAGCATTGGAGCCTTGAGTTCTAAACTGACGTTTTCAAATCTTGTTGGTTTGGGGTTACGAGCATGGCTCCTGTGTGGTTGACTCACCATTGGAGTCAACTCCTCCATGTGCAACAGTTGCTAAACACAACGCTGCCAGAAGCAGCGCGGTTCTTCTGCAGCCTGTCTGTAAGAACATCTCTTCCAATTCCCTGCTTCGAAATCCCTGCACGCATTTGAACGTTTAACATTGGCTTGGGGCTCACAAGTGGATTATTTGCACTCCTTCACCCTGCAACTGTATGCCGAGAGAATCTCTCCACTCGCTGTATCAATGTGAAACCATTTGAAAGATAATGACTCATTGTAATGACAGGTAAGAGAAGGAATGCTATGGCGAGTGCTTCACCAGAAGGCCCTTCCGTTCAATTGTATATTGACAAGATGTGAAAGACACTGGATAAATGGTAATCGCTACCACAAAACACTCGGCCACGCTGGTGATTCGGGTATCACTTCAGTGCCCTTTGGCAAGAATTTGTCTAAACGTGACAATTTGCACCTCTGGGGTATGGACCCACAGTCATCCACAGGTCGCACGCACCTTACGAGGTAAAGAAAAGCAGTGGCGAGCTCTCCGAAGCGGTAGCACGGGCTAGAGATTTTGAGGCGCAGCTGGAAACCTGTCGTTTGCGAGGATTCGAAAATTTGTAATTGTCTCTTCTTGCCGCGAGCAGCTGTTGAGCAGGTGGGTCTCTTTTGGCACGAGGGAGGTGACGTCACCTAGTGGAATCTTTTTCACCTCAGGACCTTTCCCCAGCAACGGTTGCATGCCCGCTTCTGTATAGATGTTGAGCTGTTTGCACCATGACAATACTATTTGTATTCCAATTGACCTCGCGCTAAAATTAGTCACGGCCCCGGAGGCCCGGCCGCCGCATGCATGCATATATTATGCGCAAGCACCGGCTGCGGTGGCCGGGGAACCAGAATGACTCAGGAAGACTTGAGTGAGTACCCAGGAAGAAGGCGCTTTATATCTAGAGTCCTGAATATATATTACATGTGCACCCTTGACAATTCGTCATCATCATACAAAATTATCATGGCATGGATAAACCTGATATCAGCTGATCGATCAGCTGATCAACTGCAAATTCTGTTCATGAATTTGCAACGTTTTCCCAAACACATACACCTTCTGCCTTGAATGACTATCATCGCCTGGTAGACATGCCAATTTTCCTCACCATTTCCACACTAAAAACTTCGTGAAATTTCATATTTAGTAAAATTGACTTGCTGTACATCACTGGAGTGGAATCACGCTGTACACGCCTTCTTGATCCATGCCTCAAACTATTTGCTTAGAGGACAACACAGGGCTTGCAATATGACTGGTGTGTCACAGCAACTTGGCTGGTGATGACTCAGACCACTTCATTGGAATTACTGCTTGAAACCCAGCAAGCCTCAAAGGGCTGTCTTGCAACATGCTGCAGTACTGTGGCAGCTGCCTGTCCAAAACTTAACTTCCCAGAATTCTTGAGTGATATTCACCGGTCTTGACTGGTCTTGCCGTGTTGTGATCCCACGCCCGCAGCAAGCAGCACAGATGCCGATTAGGCAATCATACGGTGCCATGCAAATGCCATGCAAGGGCGCATGTGCTGGCACATGCTGCCGGTGACTCATCAGACCATGACAAGGGTGTAAGCCTTGCGGTTGGCGGTCCCCCGGAACCAGGAGCGCAGGCCGCGGTCATTTGGAGCTGTGAATGTGCGCTTCATCTCATCCGAGCCTGCAGCAACCAAATCAAGCAGAGCTCAAGCGCCTGATTGTGCCATTTGCCCGAGCCAGGTTACGCATCTCTGCTATGCTTGCTGTAACAGAGGGCCCCATCTGGAGGTCATCTGGTTCACTTACTAATGACTGGAGGAATGAAAAAGAGTATCAAAGACCTCCCCGCAGAAGTGGGCTGTTCGTGGGCCCAGCAAATTGGTGACAAACCAGCAGAAAGCACCGCTGTAAATTGACAGCCCAGCGCATCTATTCATGGTGCAGAACGGCGGGATGCCAGGCAGTGAATAGTGCAGGCTTCAATTTGCCCGCTGTCTAAAGATAATGGCTGATAGACATGGGGCTTAGATGTGCACCTGATGCAGTGGTGGAGACGGGCAGGCTTGTCAGAGACTTGGTCTTAGAACCAACCAGCATAGGAGGCGCCTGCAGGACATCAGCACCCTCATCAACACAGGACCCCCTCGACTTTCCCTTCTGATGATGGGGGCTAGCCCTTCAGGTGATGTCCCCTGCGTTGCCTTTCTGGCTGCGCCCGTACGCACGTGATGGGGCCCCCCTGGGGTTCCTAGTTGTGCGTTCTCTTCTTCCTCTTCTTAACAACGAGCCCACAGTGTCATGCCGTGTGCTCGTTGCGCCAGCACATCATACCCCATAATCAAAGTAAGTCAGGGCTCATTCTGACCACGCTTCAACGGCCATGCCTGCTCAAAGCCTGCCGGCCTTCAAAATTCGCTGCAATGCCCACACGCCCAAGTAGCAACTATATACAAAATAAAGGCAAGCTTCAGAATTGGTACAAGCCTGGACGCCTAACTGCACTGCCCATGCTAGCATGCCAGGCTGGGCACACAAGGCAAGGCATCGATAAAAGTGCAACCCTGGATGACTAAGCGCACTATTCATGCTCGCATGCCAGGTGGGCGCTGACCTGGCAGAGCATGTCGTCCAGGCTGGCATGCTCCACTCCCAGCACACGCAGCACCTGTTAATCAGAAATATCTAGAATTGAGAGCCCCCATTGCAGGACATTGGGAACATGCTGAACAAGCATGCTTCCCTGTTTTGTTGTCATACTATAATGCAGTATTCTCTGGCAGGTTCATCATGTTGGCGTCGCCAGCTTCATTCCGAGTGTTTGGATGCCATGCTAGCACGCTGGGCGATGAGTCCGAAAGTCAGATTTTAGGCATCAGATCGTCCCTAAGTTGACTGGGACTGTAGATTTTTGAGTAAGAGACTACTGACCTGCTCCGCCAGCAGGGCAGCTTCCGCCAGCACCTCATCGCTGCTGTCATTGCCCATGCGCCACAGCCAGCAGAGATGGTCCCGCAGCACTGAGTTCTTGAGCGCTGCCATCATCAGATCTGACCTGCCCTGCCTGCACGCATGAAATCCCCTTGTTAATGTGCTTACCCCTTGGACACTTCTGGTCAGCATAACCCCAAATGCAATTCCACTTGTCCCGCTAAAGAGCCTGTTCTCAGCTGTTTATTGTGCTGCAGCGCCTGGGCAGTAGTTCTTGCAGTACGCTTGCATCTGTGATTGCCACGGTGCATTTTGGTGGTATGCAGTTGGGAGAAAGTGCACTGGCCGTCCGCAACAGAATCTGTGTTACAACGTCTGCGTGCTCTTCAATGCAGCTTAGCCCGACAAGGTGCTTTGCCACGAATAAAGAGTGCCACATTACTGGCTTGTAAGGTGTTCTGCATTACAAAAGTATGCATGCATGGAAACCGGCGAGAAGCATACCCGGAGGCTTCTGCGCATTCCAGAATGATGCTGACCAGGGAACGCTGTGCAGAAACCATGTCCTCTTCCAGGAGCATGCCTGGTCGGCCTTCGCTGTACAGAGACGCCATGCACTGCACCGCCAGATCCAATGTGCCCTCGTCCTTGAACATCAGTGCGTTCTGCTCGGCAGCTGCACAAGCAACGGCCAAGTCAGCACAACGGTGAGATCAGAGACTCTTAGAATATTTGAGCTCTCTGGAGAAATCTTCTAAGGCAGTGATCAGAGGTCGTCATGACGTGTGTGATGTTTGCCTCTCAAATACTTACTGGACATCCAAACTGATCTGCAGACGCCCTTACGCCTTTTGCAAACGGCCATATGGAAAGCATATTGGACTCTCGAGACGATGCCATTTGGTTCAAGAATGGCCTCAGAACATTGGAAATCCGTGTGCCTCAGCAATTATCAAGTTGCAGGGACTAACGGTCGGATCACCTAGTGCCACGAAGCCTGCTGCCGCTGCCAACAGCCTGTTCGCGTTCCTGAGGACATCGCCCGTGTCTGCTGCTGATATCATCAAGCTGCGGTTGATAAAGTACTGCACGGCTGGCAGAATCTGCCTGAACGTCTGCGGTTGCAGGTTGGGCCTGTTAACTAACAGCTGATGGAGTTCCGACACAAAGATTGCGCCCAGCTCCGACGCGCTCTGCAGCTGTTCCTTGTCCCCAATTGCACATCGCTGTATGGCTGTGATAAGCTCGCTGGCTAGCATCCTTGGCTGGAAATCAGACGAAGGTGGAGCAGGCATGGCCGCGAGCATCCCGAGTGACGTTGCTGTTCGAGGTGCCTCCTGCGGCATGAAAGCTCCGTTTGGGCCGTCCGCCCTGCACATCTTGTCCCTGTAAAGATATTTCGTACAGCAGTGCTGTTTTTCCACGATCTTTGCCCTTCGGCCCGATCAAATCAAGCTGATCATTCGGAAGTTCAACTACCGCGTGACGAGTGATGATTCTTTCCCACGTCACCTGCGCATGCGCAGGTCATGTGCAGCTGCAGGTTACAGAATCCACTTTAGATCCACTTTAGGGTATTTTGTTGTCACTCTGCCTGTTGACATCATGTGATTCACATATACAGAGCACTGTGAGGGGGGTGACGCCCTTGAGAGGTGTAGTATACGTGTAGTCGAGGTGAGCGCTTCTTGACAGACTCCTCGCCACACCCCAGCTGGTCAAAGCAAAGACAGTATCGGAAAAGGCTTGAGTGCATTCTGGAACCCTTTGCACAGCTTTTGGTGTGAAGTGGGCTTTGATGAGCATCTTTGGTTCAGTTGTACACCTTGTGAAGGCTGATAGCGTATGAAACTTTGAAATATCGGATCTTTGCCGTCTCATCTCGAGACAGCACAACAGGGTCAAGTCATGATCTCAGCATTATTTTGCAAGGTCAGCGTAGACTCTCTGAAGTCTGCTTCGATCTTTAAAGGTGGCACTTTAGACAGGTCAGGAATTGATCTTGGCCGACAGACGAATTGAGTTTCCCCAGGTCTGGGACTGTCCCCGGGGTCAAAGCCCTAGAGTTCCGGGCAGCCCCGGGATTTTTTGACTTTCACAAGCCTTCAAGGGGGGGAAGGAGCTTCTGTCATAAGTGCCTCACGATATCTTAAATCGCATATTTCAACCTGTGCGAATTGGACCTTGTTGTGTGCATGCTTCATGTTGAGTGCTTAAGGTTGAATATCCCTCGTGCATGCAGGAAGCGATGAAGGCCCATCAGCTCATTCTTTCTGTTGTCCTGGCCAGTGCCTTTGCGAACATAAGCTGCAATGCGAAATCCTCATCCACAGGCAACACAGAGCTGCTGGCTGATGCACCTTCTGGGGAGCATGCCATGCCTGCAGGTGCAAGCTCGCGCCAGCTCTTGGGACACTCCTCACAGGGCTCAGCATTTGGGCACCGTAAGCTCCTGTACAGCTGCACCATGAATCCTGCTGGCTCAGACTATCCAGGCTATGATCTCAAGATCGTTGGCAATCTCAGGTCTGCCGCAGATTGCTGTGATTTGTGCTCCACCACCAACGGCTGCACCAGATTCATGTATTACACTTTTACTGGCGGGAGCGGGTGCTACATGAAGTATGGAACTCCAGACCTTAAGCTTGATGTATGGCCAAATAGAGACCGCATCACTGGCAGTCTGTGAGCAGTGCCAATGGACAACATGCACTCCCATGCGTCTAAATGCAGCCTTAGGGGAGATGGGCTGCGGAGACTATAAATACTGAACAGAACAGCGGCAGCCAAAGTGATACTAGTGTAAACCTGGCCCTGTCATGTAAACGCCAGACCCCAGGATCAAAATCTAGACCTCCCTGGATCACTGGGTTGAGAATCCAGCTTGGGGATGAAGTTGGCTGGGTTGCTGCACTTCACCAGTGTGGAGGTATCGTGTCATTGAGCGAAAGGTCATTGACTGCACTCTAGGACTAGTCACAGTGTCAAAGTTTTCATTACTCATGCATCTCGTGAGGCGCACAGCGCCGACCATGTACACTAACATTAGCTACTTAGTCAGTTTCGAGGGTGCTCATGATCAAGCGCTTCAATTGCAATGATGATGGATGACATGTACATGCTGATATCATGATCACCATTTTAGAATATAAAACAGCTGCAAAGTCCCGATCTACAAGTGGCATGCATGCGCAATTGAGGCTGAATTTGCTTGCCAGTCGCAGTATCGGCGCGCGCCAAGCTTGCAAGGGGAAGATATATATAAAACGTGTTGCGACGGTCTGGATATCCGATTGATATCATCGATGCCCCAGCTCATCACAAAGCAAATCCTCTTGGCGACAACTTGGTCAGCCAATACAGATGCCCAACCTTTCCTGAAACCACAATCTGCAACCCAGGCTGCACCTCTGATGTACACGCCATGTACATATGGCAGGAGCTGGCACAAATGCTCCATCCATCCAGCTCACTGGCTGGGTTTTTCGCTTCATTCAATAAATGACATCAGCCTGTTCACTGCCGGCATAAGGGCTGGACCTATTGGCATGCAATCAAAGCAATTGCGTGCCAAGAGAAAAGACCACATTCTGTACCTACATTCAGCAGCCCCGCTGTTCCTACAATATCTCCAGGAGATGAGAGAAAACAGAGGGCCTCGGCTCGCTGGAAGGCCGGTATCAGGCATGACAATACCTTGGGTCCAGTGCACACTGCACTGGACCCAAGGACAAGGAGACATAGTTTGGAAGATTTCTCTTGGACTGCCCAATCTCTACAGCCATTGTGGTTTCTAGCCGACTTTGCAGGCAGCTGCTAGCATGCGCCGTTGCAGGGTTGGCGCTCATACATGAGGATGTAGCCGTGCTCCATGGTGTTGCTGTACTCCTGAGTGGAGCCGAAGGCCAGGTGCACCTGCTGCTCACTCATGGGCTCCACCATGTCATCGTCAAAGAAGAGCCAATGCTCCGCGCTCTTTACAAAGCTCACGTAGTGCCCTGCACCGCACCACAACATTCAGATTGTGTCACTGACAATGGCAATCAAAGCAGTCCGTTTCGTGTCACACTTCCACAACTCTCTACACCCTTACTCTGGCTATTTGTTGGGGTGCCCATCTTTCATGCCTTCAGATGTTCCCATCTCCTAGTACATAGCAACCGGTCCTGCAGGAGTGTGAGTGCATGTTCCGCACAACTGATAGCTTTCCGCCAGGTCCATACTAGCATGCAGGCCTCACCACCCTCACCAGCTTGCATTGTCCTCATTCAGGCAAATCATATGCAGCGGGGGTACTGGGGCAAACATACATCAGCTCGCCCAGTCCCGGTGATCAGCTGTGCCTTGTTCCCCTTACAGTGCAGATGCCAACAGTCCAGCTTGCAGTGCGCATTTGCATGCATCAAGCTAGGCACATGGGGGGAGCACGCACCATGATTGGGGCCGCTGCCGACATGCACAACGACTGCGAAGAGCTGGTAGGCGTCGTCCACGTGCGCGCAGTCCTCCGAAGTGTTGCGCAGCTTCAGCTCAAAGGGGAACACCACCCGGTACACCAGCTTGCGCATCCTGGGCGCCAGCACAGAAAGCATGTCTTCCGTACTGCTGTCATTACCCGGCATGCTGCTAATTTGTAACATGATCAGCATGAATCGCAGGTTGGACTCAAGGCAGGGCAGTCGAGAGATGCCCTGTGGATTGGCAGCTCTGATTATGTCAGCTAAATTTGATTATACCCCAAAATTATGCCAATCATAGGCAACAAATACCCAATGACTTGATCAGACTGAGCAGCAGCATGCCATCAACATGAAAGGCTGGTAGAAACATCAGATTGCCGTGCCAACACTGGGTATGCACGTCTGGACAACGCAGACATGAAAGGTACTCGAGAGAGGCAAACAAAGATTGCCTTACAAACAGTCAAAAGACAGGGCAGCACCTGTCGAGCTGCTCGATGTACTTGAAGCGTTTGAGGTGCAGGCAGAGCACTCGCGGCAGCGCCCGGATCTTCATGACCTTCTGCGCGTCCTGCAGGCTCTTGCACTTGTCGCAGAAGAACTTGTCGTCCGCATCCAGCGTCTCTGTCGCGCTGCACCAACCAAAAAATTCGCACCTCATGATCTGCTTTAGACTCTCATATGTGTGTGTGTTCATCACACCTTCTTCATCCGAATGTGACATGGCGGTATTCAGTCAGAACCAGTAAATTGGAATACTTGGGAAGGGAAGGCCTCAGCATCTAGATCAAATCTACTTGTGAGGTGCATTGCATTTCTTTTGAAGGCTTTTGGTGGGAAGTATTTGGGGCACCTGAAGTTGCGCAGGCAGGCTGTGAGGGAGCAGTTCTGCTCGATCTCTAGGCTGAGGTCGTAAAAGGCCTCCTCTCTGCTAGTCACCGTCTCGCACTCCAAACACTTTGTCTCGTTCAACATAAACCCCTGCACATGTTCACCCGCCAGCTCAACAGCTTGAATTCCACCGGCAGTACACAGTAGCGCCTTGCCCTCAAACCAATGGCAACAGCCCTCCGTGCCTGACTTGGCTTGGTCAAGTGAACAGCAGGCGCCAGGTAGCTCTCTTTCATTCCAGGGAGAACACAGACTGTGTCATGTCCTTCAAGATATAAAAGGTAAGAGTTGATGAATGCACCTGGAAAAGTTCATGCACCCATGTAGCTGGAGCTGCCTGACTCTGCTGCTGGCTGCTGCCTTGCTCCGGCTCTGCTGACTGCCCCTCTGACTGCTGCTGAGCTGGAGCAGCAGCACTGCTGGAGGACACCTGCCCTGAGGCGTCCTCTCTTGCTGCGCGCGCCTTGGCCTCCCTTTCCAGCAGCTCGGAGCACTCGTTCAGCAGGTAATTGAGGAACTCATGCGCATCCTGCAGGCATAATTGCAAATAATCAAAATGTCTGGATGTCTACTTCGCTGTGACTGTTCAACCGAGGTCATATTTTTGCTGGTGAGCAATGTCACATTGGTGGAAGAGATTGCTGACCTGATGCATGTAGCTCCTGAAGAGCTCATTGTCCCGTTTCAACCGCTGCACAAACCGCTTCGGTGCTATGATGCCAGTCTTCCGCTTCTGTGATTGTATCTGTTGGTAGAACACAAAAATGCCTCAATTCTTGTTACTCTGTACACCACAAAAGGTGTTTTCTCAGCATGCATGCACAGCCATCAGAGGATGGTGTGGGATGGAGATCAGGTGCTGACCTGCACAAAGAGGTCCGCCAGGCAGGTGAGCAAGTTCTCCTCAGATTCCTTATAGCTGCTGCTCTGGGCGTACTCCAGGACCCGCCTCCTGAAAGGCTGGCAGAAGTAGAGGGACTGCAGCACCGAATTGGCATAGCAGGTGTTCCCAAAGTTCTCCAGGCCAAAGTACCGCTCCGTCTCTGCCATCACAGGTACAAGTCAATCAAGTCCCCTGGGGAGACGGACAAAGAAGATACCACCTATGGACAGGTGTACGCTGGGCCTGAGTCAGTCAAAACTTTGCCACAGTGCGGAAAACTACCTGGAAATTCGCTGAGGGCCTTTTCCAGCTTGCTGGAGGTGACCCCCATGCTGGAGACCCTCCTCCACAGGCTCCCGAGGAGCTCCAGCGGATCCAACTCGGGCAGATACACACTAGGAGGGATACAAAACTTATCTATGGAATCTGCCTTCTGCACCTCCTAGGAGGTACCTAGAGCTTTGAATATACTCTCAAACTGGCCTGTCGAGCAAGCGCTGTAGCAAGCGTTCCTTAGCAGACGTTCTTAGTGTTCTATTGGACTAGATGGCTTTCTAGTCTCGACGATCTCAACACCTTTGACCTGCAATAATTTGCCTGCCTATCTGGTCTATAGAATGTACCATATGAATCTCCGCACCCTAGGGACCTGACTAATCTTCCAGAGCCTGCAATATAGGAGGGATTGACGCTGGTCAGTGGTCCAACCGAACGCTGCAAGCTTGCAGATACAAAACCCTCTGCCCCTTGACACTCAGCACGGGGTGTTGGAAACGAAAAAGGGATCCATTGAGAAGACAATGGGATCAGGATTGATCGTTGTTGTTTAGAGACAACCTACACAGATGTCTGCATCAAGGTGATATCTAGCCAGGCACACTGCACCTCTCATAGATTCTGGTAGTACGCTTTACATCAAGTCTGTGCGAATGGAAAGCAGCTATTGCAAGTGAAAGGTGCCCAACGGCATGACGTGAAGTATGCATGGGGAAGCTCCCAGTCAGGACCAACTTGTCGACGACCCTTCAACTCCCTGAGTTCAAACTCTTGCTGTTGCAAATGGCCAAGGATTTTGCAAGAGCTTTACGTTGCCAAGGGTAGGCAGTGATACTCTTTGAAATGGTACCTTGGGTTGGTTTCTTCAGGTAGGGCAGAAGTTGTTCTTCATTGTTATTGGGCCTTCTCCAGACTTCCCACGTGTTCTCCAAATACTTCCGGTCTTGCGCATGCACGCAATGAACGAGTCAACGTCTCCATTTTCCGTACATCGACAAGCGTCGATGCTGTAGCAAAGCAGCCAGTGTCTCTGCCGGAGAGTCAGGAAGAATAAAGAACATTGCCATGGCAAAGAAGTATGAAGCAGTGAGGGAAGCACTGCAAGCTGCAGGAGAGGAAAGATTGCAGAGACTAAACGGAATCTTCGAAGACCACAAGAACTGGCTTCAGAAGGCTTCGGACGAGCTGAGAACACAAGCGTCAAGCTCTACAGCAAAACAACCTCCGAAGGCAACGAGGGGACGCACATCCCTGAAGGTTTGCAGCAAAGTCACCTGAGTTTTAAAAGTAATGCAGACTGCAATATACCTGCAGCAAAGATGGACATGTGAACTCTTTCAAACGGTAACATCTTGTCCTATACTGATGCGATACAGTAAAGTCAGGGCAAATATTTCGAACGAGATGCGCATCAGCCTTTTGTTACTAAGTAAAGAAGCCATACGAGGTCTCTTCCTGTTTGCCAATAGGAGAATGCCTCGGAGGAGGGGGTTGCTGCACCTCCATCGCGGAGAGGGGGCAGGAAAAGGGCTGCCAGAGCTCCTGCTCTGGCCACTGTGGAGGAGGAAGAACAGGAGCAGAGCGCACCCGACCCACCAGCAGACACTGCTCCCAGAGCAACACGCACTCGGAGAGGGAAGGCCGCTTTACCAGCAATTGAAGGTAGCCTTCTCATTGGAAATATTTCCCTTCCCCAATTTTGGGCTTGCTCTGCTTCCCTCCTGGCCCACCTGTGACAATTGCAATGCTCACTACTGCACATCCTTGAAAAGCTTAGGCAGCCCATTGGCAGGGTACTGACTGGATTACAAGTTTCTCAGAAAGCATTTGCCCATCTGTGCAGAGGATGCTGAGGAAGCCGAAGCCCAGACAGCGGAGGAGCCTGCACCGACAGAGGTCAATGCGCCAGCGCGCAAGAGGGGCCGCACTGCAAAGAAGGCAGCGGCTGCAGCTGAGGAGGATGCGCCAGCCACTGTGCAAAATGCAGAAAATGCTGTGGCAGATGAGGCAGCTGAAGAGCCTGTGGCTGACACTGGCAAAGCCACTCGGGGAGGCGGTAGGAAGCGAGCAAAGGCAGCAGAAGCGGATGCAGGTGCAGTGAACCATGCCAATTCTCTGATGTGTGTGCCAATTTCTATGCACCAATGTACTCCTGACAGGATCAGCTGAATAATAAGCTTGGTTTGCTGTGCTAAAAGGATCAGCTAAATAATAAGCTTGGATATGCTTGGATTCATGTGCTAGGATCAGATAAGTCCAGGCTCTCTGGTGTGAGGAGAAGAAGTTGTGCCAATGCAGGCGAGGAGGCTGGGGCTGCCTCACCTGCACAAGAGGCATCACCGGATGCAGGGACCAACCAGGGGGAGCCCGAAGAGGCAACGGTGACTCCCCACTCGCTGCCCAAGAGGCAGACACGACGCGCAGCCAAGGCAGACAAGCCAGCCGACGCGCAGCAGCCGGTGCAAGCTGGCCGGCGCACCCGACAGACCTCCAAGCCTGCCCAGCCAGCAGAGCCAGCACACACAGACACACCTGCAGAGGAGGCCGCAGCTGACGAGGCTGAGCTGGAGGAGCAGGCACCCCAGCCGGCATCACCAGCAGTGGAAGAGGCGGCTGCGCCGAAGGCAGCCCCACCGAAGAAGAAGGGCCGGCCGGCGGCCGTGAAGCGCGCCGCAGCGCCGCCCGCCGCCGCGGAGGCAGCCGAGCCGGAATCGGCGCCGGCAGATGAGGCGGAGGAAGGCGCGACCCCGGCGTCTGCCGTGGGCGGCCGGCAGCCGCGCAAGGCATCGGCCAGGTCGGTGGCGGCCACGCCTGCGGCGCGGCCGGCTGGCCCGGCCCTGCCGCCCCGTACGACGCGCCGCATGGCTGCAATGAGCCGCAATGTCACAAGGCGCGTTGTGCTCGGCTGCTCTCTGACATTACAATTTGCGTGTGTTTCTCAGATGCGCATGCTGCATGCCCCTGAGCAGAGCATGCTAGTCTCCTTACTTGGCTTCGTTGGGGCCTTCACTTGGCTTAGAAATGAAAGAGCATAACTGACACTCAGGAATTGACTGTCCTGCAGGGGCGTCTCCGGGGCTTCCGTGATGACAGTCGAGGACACGCCCGTGCAAGCTCGTGCAGACAAGGCACCGGCAGCGGACGCCCTCGTGGCAGAGACGCCGGATGCAGCTGCCGTCCAGCACACTCCAGCCACCCAAGCCGGTAATATGGGGGTGGCGACAGAGGAGGAGCAGGCAAAGCCGCAGCCGGTGCCTGGGACAACGCGGCGCACAAGGGCACAGGTCGCCACGGAGGCACCTGTGCCGACCACGGCGCGGCGGACGCGCGGCCCAGCGAAAACCGCGCCGGCTGTGAAGGCCGCCGAGAGGGCGGCTGAGGTAGACTCCGACGCGGACGACAACGTCCAGATCGTGCTGAGCGATGCGGAGGACGCCGCCGAGCAGTCAGAGCCCGAGGCGCCCGCGGCAGCGGCCAAGTCCCCAAGCCCGCCAAAGTCTTCAGCCAAGGAACTGCCACCTTGCAGCAGCCGCAAGTCGCGGCAAGCGGCGACTCCGCCGCAGCCGGAAGAACTCGCTGACGCGCCGTCGCCCGCCCCGGCCGCGCAAGCTGGGCTGTCTGCGCCCAACCCCAGTGCTGCAGCCACGGTTGCTGGGGAAGGACCAGGGGCGCCGGTACAGGAACAAGACGCGGCTGCAGTGCAGGCAGCTGCAAAAGAGGACACGGCAAAGCCGGCACGGCGCTCGACAAGAGCTTCCATGCGCGACACGGCGGCGCAGCTGCTGGCGCCGGCCGGCCGGCTCAGCGACAAGGACAGCGCCTCGGCGGCGGCCGAGCAGGAAGCTGCCACAGAAGCTGCCGCGCAGGGGCCAGCTGACCAGGACGACGAGGACGATGTGTTTGAGGAGGCGCGCGATGAGGTGTTTGAGACGCCGTCCAGCCACGGCGCGTTCAGCATGCCGGGGTCGGGCCCGGCGACGTCGTTTGCGACCGCGCGGCAGCAGGCCACCGCCTACAAGACCGGCCTGGAGCGCATTCCCAACAGTACGCCCACAACCCATTACTCAGCCTGCCCTCCCAGCAGTGCATTGGACTGACTGTCTCCTGTACAGCTGCAGGAAGAAAGCACGTTGCATTCAAGGGCCTGGGTGCCAGTCATCAGTAGTGTTTGCATTTCAACTGCAGCGAGCACCGTTGTCTTCAAATGAATCTGCGGGGTGAGAAATATTTGGCACCTGACCATGGCAGTGGTACACCTGCAGGTGCAGTGAGCAGCGGCAAGCCTGCCTTCACCAGGCCGGGCCTGCAGGGGCCGCTGGCTCGAGCAGCTGCGGCCACGGCTGCCGCGGCAGCTGCGCAGAAGGCGCAGCAGCAGCAGACCGGGCGTGAGGGCTCCAGCAGAGGCGCACAACGAGTGGCCGTCCCTGCTGCCACCACAGGTGCCGTTTTCGTGCCCACCACAACCACTGCTGTAGAAAGCAAATCCAGTGGGCCACTGTTTGCGGAGGAGACTCTTCTGTACCAACCCTTTTCTGGCCCTGACGGTGTCCAATAATTGCATCAAGGAAAGACACATTCAAGTTTTTGGGCCTTTGATGTAAATCTTGTCATATCTTGTTATGAATCTTGCTCCATGCAGCTGTGATTGCGCTTGCCGACTGGCATAGAGTGATATTAGGATGACGCGGTATTGTCAAAGAGGGGCGAAATACAATAAGAGAAGCCTTGGCATTGTGTGCTGCAGAGGCTCCATCGCAGCCGACCAGCGGAGCAGTGGGAAAGCTGAGGGAGGCGTTCGAGGCCAAGTCAGGCGCTGCAGCCAGGTCGCAGCCTGCTGCCGCAGCCGAGGACGACGCCGCGCTGCAGCCGCCACCGGCCGGCGCGGCCGATACCGGCGGCGCTCCAGAGCCACCGACGAGCACTTCTGCTGCTGCTGCTGCTGTAGAGGACCAGGTAGATTTCTTTTAAATCTTCCGTCGTCCAAGGCAGCGTGGCAACAGATGAGTAGCTGTTGGACAAAGAGCGCTTTTAATTTCCTGCAAATTCTTTGATTTTGGAGCTCATGTACCACTAATTTTTAAGGAATATGCCCAAAAATGGATGTTCATGGGCCTTTCGACTGAGACCATGCTAGTCTGATTGACAAATCACGGGAATGAAGCCCGCAATCCCTGAACGAGAGCCGGCCGCCGATTTTTATAGAGATCGGCGAATCACTGCAGGCTCAAGAGGAGGCTGCGGCCGCTGCCACCGACAGTCAGGAGGCGGCCGGCGCGGCAGAGGAGCCGGGTAGTGGTGACAAGCAGAAGGCCAAGGGCGGCCTTGGTGCAAATCTGGTGTCCACCGTCCGATCCTTCCTGCCCTATTTGTCCAAGCCCACCGACGCCCCCGCGCCCCCCGCTGCCGGCAAAAAGACCGTCAAGGTGCCGTCCGATCCTCATTCCTTCTGCCCATTCCCAGACCCTGCACAAAGGGCAGGTGCTCTTGGCTCTTGGGGACCATTCTCTACGCCTAGCATTGCTGCAGGCACTTACACCAGTCCTTGCCACACGGGACATCCAAGTTTTATTATGTGTATTCAGCGTGCCAGGCGCTCGCAGCGTCACAGCATTCTCACTTGTCACGTTTAAACGCGTGTGATTTTTCAGGACTGAACCTGTGATTAGGACTGCCACAGAATGCTGACGCCATCCAGTCAGGGCAGCAGGCACAAAGACTGAAATAAAAGCCCTTGGATACCTATTTTCTCGTAGAAGGATGTGATAAGAGAGCGGCGTCCCTATCTTTTGGGAGGAGAGCTCGCCCCCGAACAGATGGTGAGAGGGCGCCTTGAGGATTGCAGGTGAAGGCATTGGAGGCGGCGGATGCAGCGCGCAGGAAAGAGGCCCAGCGTGCGGCAGAGCGTGCGCAGCAGCGGCAGCAGATCGAGGCGCAGAAGGCCGAGCGGCTGAAACGAGCGCACGAAGCCAAGGTGAGCAGGACTACTAAGCTCAACACTGAGATAAATAGAGAGTTGTGAGTCTCTGAAATGGCTGTGATGGCAAAATCACTCCTGCGGCTTTTCTCAAGGGTAAAGATGTGCATGGCAATGAAGGTAATGTGGGGGTTGGCGCCTCCTGACACTGTAAAAAGTTGGAAAACCTGTGCATGCACCAAGACTGGACCAAAATCTGCTAAGCACGCACTCTGTGACAGCTGTCTAACACAAGCACAGCGCAGCTTCTACGGCCAGTGACAGGGGCAGACCACGTTTGGCGGCACTAAGAATACACACAAATGCAGCTCGTGTGGTGATGGCCAGTGTTGACCTGGATTTGCTTTCCACGCAGGCGGCACAGGCAGAAAAAGAAGAGGAGGCGCGCCGACTGGCCCAGGAGGCTCTGAAGAAGAAGGAAGAGGAGGCAGCTGCCAGAAGGTAAGCACCACGCACCTGTTCTTACTGTTCTATCTTTATACGCTTGCCAGCCCACAGGGCAAGGTGCATTGCAGCAACTCTTCAGGTAGCACTCTTCCATGCGTCCCTGTCTCGGCAATCCCTCTACCAATGCAATGTCAATTGAACGCACTTTTCATCAATGCCCATACTCAGGATGGCATCTTCTGCGCTGCTGCTGTGCCCTTGCAGCTTGGAACCTTACTCAGCGCTGAGTCATGCCGCATGAGAGTGTGATGTGTGAGCAGGCACGCCAAGGAGGATGCTGAGAGGAAGGAGCGGGAGGAGCGCATCAAGAGGCAGGAGGAAGTGCGGCTCAAACGCAAGGTGAGCACAGCTTCACACAGTGTCTTTGAAACTCTCCAGCAGAATGTTTGCTTCGCTGTGCAAAGCAAACAAGTTGATGCGGTGCACTTGTGATTGGGCTGATCGTGCGATGTTCACTGTGTGGTCACACTTTGGCGCAGCAAGCCGAGTTGGAGAAGGCGGCGGCGGAAGAGAAGGCAGCCAAGGCTGCGCATGAGGAGGAAGAGCGAAAGCGAAAGGCCGCCAAGCACCAGGTGAGAGGGGCATTCCTTGTCCTGTCTATTTTTAGGCATTAATGATAGTGCCCTGGGTTTATGCTCGTGTTGTCACAAAAGCCCTAGTGCATAATAAAATAGTAGTGAGGGCCACGCCCTTCTTGATACGTTAGCTGATGGTACATCCTTGATGCGCAGCAGCAGGAGGCCGAGGTGAAGAAGGCGCGCATGCATGCGCCCCTGCAGGCCCCACCGCGGCCGGCCGCGTCGACCGCCCCGGGTGCGAGCACGGCCCCGGTGCAGCGCCCAGTCGCCGTGCCAGCAGCGGCTGCGCGTGCGCCCGTCGCGGCGGAGGCGACAGCCGCCAAGTTGGCGACCCGGCCGGCCATGGTGGCGCAAGCCGCCGCCGTGCCGGCTGCCGGTGTGGCCGCCACGTACGTGCCGCAGGCGGCGGCGACCGGGAAGGGCTCCGGATCCGGCGCGTCTGCGGCGACGGAAAATGCGACTCGGCCGTCCGGCAGCGGCTCGGAGCAGTTTGAGTCCTACACAATGTCTCCGTACAGGTGTGTGACATGCCTCACCTCCTCCTTCTGCGACAACTACTAAGTGCAGCGGAAAGTGATCTATAGGACTTCTTGTGGCCCTAAGGGCCATATTGCAGCTATGAGATGCTGCCATGGACTCGCGAGGCTCATCAGAAGGCGTTTCATCTGTTTTGGTGCCTGTGCAGGAGCGACTCGGACGGGAGCGACAGCGAGGATGATGAGCGCAAGAAGAAGCCGATTCCCAAGTGGGCACGGGGTCAGGCTCTGGCGCAGGCGCTCGCCTCCCAGAACGCTGTTGACCCGGACGAAATCTTCAAGCTGCACCAGAAGACCTGCCCACTCAATGAGGTCTTCTCACACCCCACAGGTGACGCTCATTTTAGACCCCCTCAGCATCACCAGATTATGTCTCTTTTGTTGCATCTGGCATGGAGTTCAGTGCTCCTTGGCAGGGATATCATTGTCTTGTTGCTGCATGATGTTTCACTTTCGAGGCAGCCCGTCCTCTGGCGCTCGCTCTGCCTTGATGTCTGCACCTCTATTTCTCTAAGTAGCTTTGTTACTGGGGAATTTCCTTGAGGATTTTGTGCATTTGCACCTAGGCCCTGCAAACTCCCAATAAGAATCTGATCTTCAAGGCCTGAATCTCTGCACGTAAACATGTGTTTGAGAGATTGTTACATGCAGCGCTGAGTGATGGACTGGTTGCTTATCAGGGCCGCCCAAGAAGGACCTGAGCAGACGCACCAGCAGCGGCAACTGGATCGAGGACAGGGTGACCTGGAAGGAGGAGCTGAATTACAAGAAGGCCATGGGCTACCTGTAGCGTTGCATGCCTTCCTTGTGTACGATTGTTTCTCGTGTTGGAAAGAACAACGACTGAGAGTTTCTGTGCTGTAGTGTAGAGTATATCTCATTGCAACTGCCTAGGATGCAGCATAATGCCATTGCCTGCTGTGCTGCAGTTCAGTACCTTGCTTGCAGTGCACAACTTTCCTGCCTATCACACTTCAAGGAATCTTCAAGGGCCCCCACTGTAGTCCGAGAAGAAGTACGTGATGGTAGCCAGCAGTATTGCAGCTTGTTGCAGACCTAATCAACTTGCATAGCAAAATGTTTGAGAAATCATATGGCTTGCAGAAAGTTTCTGCCAGGAAAGCTAGCTTCCAGCAGCGCTAAATGGTTGTATAAGGCAGGCCTAGAGGAAACAGAACATGTTCAATGCATATGCACATGCCCGTTGTACACACCATGCGCATGCCACAATAGATTGCATACCTTTCCTTGAGGAAATTCACATTTCCTTCAAGGAAATATGCATGCGGGCACTAATAGCCGTGCACGTGAAAGTCTGAGACGCTCCACATCAACGCAACGCAATAATCAGATGTGTGAACAAAAAGAAAGCTCTAAGGACCCGCTTCAAGCCCACAAAATCTTTGCAACCAGATCCAACAGCTATAACTTTGATGAGCGCTCATTCACAGGGTTCCAAGTCAGTTTCCAAACATTTATCCAAAAGTTCCCCAGGGCAGCATATAGACAGACGGAGGTCTCAAGAAAGGCTAAGCATCCTGCTTTAAGGTGTTCAGCGCATGTGCACACAAATTCTCCCTTTGGTGCTTGCCTGCGGAGCTGTGGCCATATTGCGGCAGATACCGTACTTTACACGGTCCGTAGCCACTTCCAACAATTTAAGAATGACAGGGGTCGTCTATGCTGCTACAGTGTACAGGCCAAAGCCCACTAGCAGAATTGCGAGGCCACCCAGCAGCAGCATTCTGTTGCGCAACAGCCATCCAGGCACCTGCAAGCACAATGCTTAGCGTGAGGATTAATCACAGACAACAACCCAGAACATGTCAGGAAACAAATTTCACTCCATTCAGACCGTCAGACAAATGCTATGCAAAGAATCAGCCAACAGGACCAGGCTCGATTAGGCCAGCACTTCAACAACATACAGTATGATGATGCCCCAGGCGCCCCATGAAGCAAAAGAATGCATGGACAGGGCTTCTTAAAATGACCAAGCCCGCTATCTGCCAAGAGACGTGCTCATCTCCGAGAAGGTGAGGTGAGATGTGGTGGCAGCATGCCTGGCCTTCAAAGAGCCACCACAACATTGCGTGCTGGGGGCAGCCTACCACAGACATGCAGCACGAGGCAACTCATCAAACCACAGGAAAGTGAAATTGTCAGTGAAATTATCTGTGAAATTCTTAAGACATCACACACCTGCAGCACGGTGAAGAAGTGTGCAAGGATGAAGCTGGTGGCTGTGGTAGCTGCTGAGAAAATGGGCAGCGGCATTACTGACACCTCCCGCCCTGCCGCCCTCTCCCGCTCCACCACTGCAGCGGCACCAGCAGAAGTCAACCACAGCCGGGAAACAATGGCAACAACAGAGCAACGAATGTGGGTGTGGGCTTCAACAAATCTGGACGGCTGAGAACAAACAGGGCCCTGCTCATCACGTGATACGAGCAGCAGCTTCCAGCTTCCGAACAATCTCACAGCTGATCCATCAGAGAAGTAAAGCATGGGAAGAGCCTTCACAGCACCCTTGCCAGTACGTACCACGGAACATGCACCTTGAAAGGCAACCGGCCGCCTTCTGAGGCTCACTACTGTGGTTCGGACCAGCAAGGGTGCGTCTACGTTCCACCTCATGCAAATGACCACACCATGGATACTGTACCATAGGCAGAGCGTGACTAAAGAGGACATTGAGAGGTCAATTCAACTGCTTTTTACGTGTACATCTGTAGGATATGCGATCTGCGTAAGGGATGACGAGGGAGGCAGGAGGGTGACCTCGCTGGTAGGTGCGCAGGGGCTCGGACTTGCAGGCGACGAGGATGAAGAGCGGGTAGACCATGGCCATCACAGCCGCCTGGATGAAGAACGACCACAGGCACGTCGCTATCGTGCACACGCAGCCAAACCCTGCCCAACAAAACATGTCAGCACAACCTCAGAGGTTCAGAAGCTGCCTTGGAACATCTCAATCTGGCAGCTCTGCGCCAGGGCCTACATGTCCAAGCAACATGTCACCGTGGCGCAAAATTCCCCTTGAAGAGGAGCACTCAATGGCATGCATGAGTTGAATTCGGCAGAAAGGAAAGCAGGGAGATGCTGGCAGAGAACAGCTGAGATAGAACAAGTCCCGGGAATTCAGAAAATTGTGGAAGGGAGTTTTTGAAAGGGGAGGACACCAGTAAGCGCAGGGTGCATGTAGAAACAGCAAAGATAGCGTTTGACAACGTGAGGGCCTTGGGTCTCACCGAGGAAGAAGGCCCAGTGCTGTTGGAAGAAGGCGATGCGCTCGGGCAGGCGCTTGCTGCTGATGCTCCAGCGGTAGTCAAAGCTGTACAGCGCATACAGCCACGACACCATCACACCGTACAGCGCCGGCCCTGCCATTTGGCACACACCCATTTGTCAGCCACCCGGCATAAGGCCACATACATGGAAAGCCCTCTCAGCTGCTGTGCTGTCATTTCAGACCCTTGCGGCAGTGTTTGAGAAGGCCAGGATGTACTGTCTAGGAGTACACACATTTGATGAGCCCTTCTGCAACATAAACGCTGATAGCAATGCCATGTGCGGGAAAAAAGGCCCCTGCATCAGACCTTACATATGGCCCTTATAATGAGCCAAAAGCTCTTGGAGGACTTGAAAAAAGATGGCCGCTGGAAGCAGAGTTCCAATTTGACAAAAGGGTGGGAGCAGGCAGGCTGGAAGCGGCAGGGTGGCCGCACCGACATAGGGCACGAGGCCGAGCAGGCAGACTTGGAGGTAGAAGACCGCGAAGAGAACGACTCGGTAGAGCTCCTGCGCCATCTGGTCCAGCAGTGGCGCGCGCTGCCGGGAAGCTGCCTGGGAAGCGGCCGGGGCACCTGCCGCCTGGCCGCCCGAACCGCGCATCCACCTCACCGCCAGCTCAGCCAACTCCTGGTACCTGTCAAGCGCAGGATTTACTGTGTCAGAGTCATTGCGCATCTCTAAAAATACAGTACCGTCAGCTTCAGAAACGAAACTTGAAGTCTTAATATAAAGCAGGCCGGATCTTGGAATCAACTGGAAAGCTTGTTGACGTAGGTATGTCGTAGGATTTCAGGCGCCCAAGCTCGTCATGCACGTAAGAGCAGCGAGCAAGAGGATCTTCCCTAGCATGGCGAGAGGCTGTTGTGTTGCTAGCTGTAGTTAAGAGTGCCTAATCAGAGGTTGCCAGGGTTGATTGGGTCATGCTTGGATCTGGCGAGTCAAACAAGGGGCACAATCTATGACAGCCTACACCCGTGGCTTGTCTGCAGACACACCTTGCCTCCTGGCAGGAACAGCATGTACTGCAAATTTATTTATTATTTACTAATCTATTAATTTTAAACAGAGGCCTGCCTGGGAGAACAGATTGCCAATTCTCACCAGACGCAGCTGAGTGCGAAGCTGATGCAGTAGACCGGCAGGAGCCACCACACCACGAAGGTGGCCTTCAGCAGCGCCAGAAGGGCTTCTGCCCCAGTGGGACCCGCCCAGCTGCGCAGCCCTGTCAGCATCCATCGCATGCCTGGAGCGAGGGCATAATCCCACAGCAATATACTGCCCAGGAAGATGGCTCCATTCAGCCCGAAACACTCCCCTGTCTTCCTCTGCCACAAACACATACATATGCATCTTGAGAGAAGGGGTTCTGAGCCTTCTCCACCTCTAAATCCCTCTCACATCTTTTCAGGTTGAGGAAGATGGTGCATCCAACACAATAAACAGGATCACTCTGACGAGAAGACTCACCAGTATTCGAGGGTCATGCACAAAGAATTCAACGCAACGCCAGATGCACAGAGCATCCTTGAAGCCCGCAAACCTGCACCAGCACGGCAAAGTTTTGACATGTAGGAAATAATATCTCAAAGTAATGTGTGTTACAAATGTTCAATCATATATTACATGGCACTGCTCGCTCGATACAGTGAGTCGAGTTCAGTCTAGTGTTGTAATGTGCCGGTAACCATTTACCACAGTCAGAAGGCTCACCAGAGCAGGACAGCCACACGGAAGGTGTGGTAGCATCGAGACAGTCTACTACTTGCCATAGGTCCTCTGCTCCATAGCGACTGCAGTTATGGTCGCCAGTGTCATAAAGCAAAAATTACTGTGAGCAGGTCACCTTTATCGTACGGTATCGAATTCAACGTACTGTGTGATTTGGACCATCCTGGAAACATCACTCACAATGAAGTGAAAGCATCCTCAGCCAAAACGAAGTCAAGAATCCCTTGATTGCTTGCGCCAAGAAGCTTTTTCTGTGACGTCGGCAGCTTCAGTGATGGCGTCAGCAGCTTCCTGGGGAGAAAGCCTTCGTTCTATCCTTTTTCCTGGATTCGACATAATTGACTGTTAGGTTCGCCATGGTATCACTTAGGAGTGGATTACATTAGCATGCAATCCGCTTAAACGAAAATCCATGAAAGTCAAAAATACATTTGGCGCGTGGACCCGCAAATTTTCAAGATCATGGTTCATCCCTGACAGCAGATTTGCAAAAATGTGCCAAAACACATTCCTAATATATAGTAGTAAGCCGCCCACAATCTGCTGTACACATTGTCTGCTGCAGCTGGTACATGAGGAGGCTTTATTACTCAGGCGCTAGTGGCACTGGACGTTGTTTCATTCATATCCATCTGTCTTGTCAAATAATTTCCGATGTCTTGCAGCAACATCTCCGATGTACCCAAGTGCATGTGAATCTTTGATCGGAACCAGGCTGCTCGTACCTTGAAGTGCACGTCACACCAACAAGAATTAACATTTTACACAGCACATTTCTGATTGCTTTGCTGTTAGCTGAAACACATCAAACTGATGAGCACGAAGTCACTGTTTTGGGTGCTCATGACTGGCAAGCTCGCAAGCATGCCTCAAGCACTGCCTTCTTCTCCTTCATAAACGCTCTCGCCAAATGTGTATCCGATGCTACATCGCTCTCAAACCTCTTCAACTCCCCTCTGCATATCCCACTCACCACCTGTGATGCAGGAGAATCATCACAACTGTGTCCATCCATCCATGGTGTGCCGCAACGTGGTCATGGCAACTGAAATTATCAAGTGGGAGCTGCCAGAGAAGCCTCCTTTTGCACACCTTGTTGATCTGCCCCTTGGAGAGCTGTGTTGCCTTCAGCTGATCCTCTGTATAGCTGTCAGGCCCAGTGCGCGTGAGAATGCCCTGCATGCATTTGCCCTCTGCCTAAATCTGAAAGAGAAGAGCAGAATCAAATATAAATTGAGTCAACACACAGCAGCAAATGATATCTACGCTTTGTGCAATATACACAAGTCAGATCTAGTGACTGGGCAACCGAAGTAGCACCTTTGATGACTGTGGCAATCCTGCAATCCCAGGAACTTTGCTGGTGTCACTCAATGCCAGAGCTGCCGCCCTCAGGTCTGGGATGGTGTATGTGTCATGGGGAATGCCAGGCTCCACAAAACCATAGTACTGCAACAATGAGTCATTGCTCTGCTTCCCATAACTGATGAAGACCTGCTCCCCCTGCATCCAAGCGGAACAAATTTAAGGAAAATCGTTGTCTTTCACTGCTTATTGCGTCCTGCTAGGTGCCACACCTCTGACAAGGCTTCTGTGCAAGTGAGTGCTGCCAGGAAAGGGGAGGACAGGGCATGCTGTCCTCCATTTGCAAGTGCGTGTAGAGTGAACGTGCATGATACAGTAACCTGGAGCAATACCTTGCTGAAGTAGCTTTGACACCGCACAGAGAAACGATCCGCAAAGTACTCATACTCCACCTCGCTCTGCATGACACTTAGAACGTGCTTCAGTGACTTTTCAAGCATCAGCAGACCCCAAAGTCCACAAAAAGATCTTCTTACGGGGCGGCAAGTGGATCTCTCACACTTCTCACGGGTAATAAAGCACACATCCGGAATATCATGAAACCGGACGCAGAGCACACAAGAAAAGAGGTTGCTGCCTCACCTGAACGGTGCTCTTGTGGTTCAGGAAGTCCACGACAGGGCACATGGCGTACCACTTGACCTTCTGGGAAAGTACCACATCATACAGCAAGTTGAACAGCGCGGCAGCAATCGCCCCATTCAACACCTGGGCATTGGACAAGCACCTCATCAATTTGTTCGCCTGCAGAGTGGTTGCGAGCAGCATGGAGGTCCGTGCAGAGGTAGGAGTGCATAATAAGGGCAGGAGGTGAGAATGGAATTGCCTGCTCTAGTGGAACATGCGCCACGGTGATGGATGCAGCTGCCAGAGCGCCCAGAGCTCCAAAGGTTTTCAATCGGCTGCGCCAAGTTGGCCCTGTGTCGACAGGCAGGACTTTATCTCACAAACACATTCCAAACTGCCAATTGCAAAATGTTGGCCAATGGGATGCTCCACACCACATGCCCAATACGCCACGCCAGGCCTATCGTCAACCAACCTTCTTTTGCATGTCATGCGATAGGTTGCCCACCTAAAGCAGGTGCGACCTCTGAGGCCAGTCAGAGTCCGACTGCCCTCAGGCTCCAATACTTTAAATATGCAATCAAGTCATAATCAGGAGGGCATTTATGGAATTTGTGAGCTCGTGCGCGCACCGGCATAGGGCCCGCTGAATGCACGGCTGCGCACAGCCTGCAGCGCCCAGATCAGGTCCTGCTCGGTGATGGGTGTGCCAGGGGTGGATACCGCCAGCTCAGCATGCAGCCTCTTCAGGCCCTCCCTCTGAGTTGCCACCTTTGGCATGTCACATGCTTTTATCAGGCTCCCCACGAGGCATCAAATGTCTACAATGACACTGTCCTTGGCATCTGGCGATGCTCTGGGCTGCACGGTGGGCCCTCAACTAGACAGATGCATGCTCAAACTCAAACATTGAGGGGACTGTAATACCTCTCGTATGAGCTGGGGATAGCACAGGGCTTGCAGCTGTGCCTCACTCCATGACAGCGGCGTGCTGAAGTCTACTGGCAATGCTGCAACATATGGTGCAAGTTTGGAAGCCGGCCCCAGCTGCCTCTCATACAGCAAATTCAGCGCCATCTGCACATACCTGCAACCACTCTCCCTGCTCAGAAGTGTGTACAGAAGTCACGAGTGCCTACAAAAAATTTGCTCACAAGAAAGCAGTGGCATACAATACCCTGTGCCATACGTGTTCAGGTCGATTACCAATTCACGCATGATCAAATTATAATGATGCCCTCACCATCAGGAAATTCCATTGTAAGTTTCCACAGCAACAGTTGCTTCTTTAACAACCTATGGGCTGTCAGATTGAAGCCAAGATCTTTGGATGGTGAGGATGCAATGACAGGTGGCAGGCAGTACCAGGGCTTCTTGGAGTAGAAAGCAGAGCTGCAGAAGGTGCCAGGCAGCTGTGATCGCTCCTTGGGGCTGACCACCAAAGCCGCTGCCACTGGCAGGGACACCAGAACCTCCCCCTTTGCTATATTGTCAGCCGCCGCCATGCCCCTCAAGCCTGCACCACCAAAGGCAACTCCCTGGCATTCGTCACCACTTTAAGTGCTTGTGATACGGGAATCACTGATGTTGGGACATTGCATTGCAGCCTGACATATGCCTCTCACCTGCAAACTCGGCAAGCCTCAATGATGGACTGGTGATGCCTGATTGGAGGGCCCACTCCTGGAAACCGAGTGGCCCCTCCCCACTCTTTTGTATGCCTTGTCCATCGATAGGCTTGGCTGGGGCGGCTGTGCATCTGGTATCACGATACGATGCAGATCTGTGCAGTCTTTGACGCGTGAATGCAGGCCTGCTACAATTCAGATCTCTGAAACGGGATGGCTTCAACAGGCTTTCGTGAACGCACACTGTGCTAGTGTGGTCCAAATTTCGGAGTGATCGACATGGCAACATATTTTGCAGAGCTTTGTTTAATTCGCAGCAATGCTCAAAGCTCGGGCTGCTCAAGGGTTGAGTTCATGATTTGTTTCGGCATCCCTACCAGAGCTTTACATTGGGCTGGAACAAGCACAGAATGTTACTATCCATGTTCTTAATTGTAATACTTATTTCACCGTTTATAATACATGTGCAAATCGACAACACCTGCCTCCCCGTGAAGAAGATCGGGTAGCGTCAGCAAAAGGAGCAAAATGGCGTCATCCACAGCACGTGCGAGTAATCCTCTTCTTCTCTTTGAAGTTCTTCGATTTCCTGCCTTTTAGATATATCTGGAAAGAGATACTGCTTCTGCTGCAAGGGTAGGGGTGCCAGCAGGAGCGCACCAATGGTTTGCTACTGATCTGACCGATCGATTTGTCTTGCCTGGCGCTCTCGCATTTATGAGATTTACTCATAAGTGTTGAAAATGACACGCATTTGTGCTCTGTACCAACCCTCGAACATCGCTCGGCTCGCCCGTGCTAAGGTGAGCTTGTCGCCTGCATGTGCAAAACGAAGGCAGGGAGGTTTGCATGTAGATATCGAGCAAACTCCTGAATAGATGTAAACACTTGATCGAGTGCTGACTCGTGGGATCCGGCATGCAGGGCTATCCTTATGCCAGACCTAGCTCGTCTTTCCTGTACATCAGCGGCTCTGTATACCTTTTCGAAGACGCAGCATGGGGAGGCACCCAGCATCTTGGCAGCCTCCAAATAACTGCTCCAGATGGCACGCAGCAAAGGCATGCCCACCCATGATCGATTGATGTGTGCTCTGTATGCAAGTCACCTTACAGATGTAACACTCTGCAGCCCTTGTGCGACGGCTGGAAACCTGACATCAGGGCAGAAATCTGAGATCAGGGACCCCTTGTTGACTCTGATATTGTGGATTGCCGTGCAGAGCACAGACTGTGCTGGAGCAGCTGGGAATCCAGTGGTCCCCAACTGACATCAGGACACCAGTGCTGGCTGTGGGTTCCAATGCTGGTCCTGAGCAGCTGCTGCGCAAATACCCTCCAATGCTCTTCCGTGACGGCGTGCTCATCCCCGTCGTGCGCTGCGTCCTCCCGAATTTCGACGTGGCCTACTCGCCATGCATCACCAGCTATGGCTCTTGTTCAGGTGCTCTTGTGTCTGTCTGGCCATGAATGCCACAGTCCTGTCATTTGTGTATGTTCCTCTTTGAAATGTGGGATGTCTTATTGCCATGAATGCATCCACCTCAATTGCTGCAGGTGCAGACTCCTCTGTGTTTCTGGGCGTGAATGCCTCAGTCCTGTCATTTGTGTCTTTCTGTACTTGTTTATGAATCGTCTTACTGCCAGGAATGCATACCACCCAACTTGCTGCAGATGCAAATGCAAAAGTGCACCTCTTGAGTGAATGAAGGTTTGAGTTGGAGTCTGCTGCTTGTGCTGCAGCCACTTTGGAGTACTCGCCGGGAACAGCGGTGGAGATTTTTGTGACATTCCTCACCACGCCCCAGCTGAAGCGCATGCATGAGACGGAGGGGGCCTACTTCCTCACAGAGCTCAGACAGGTCGAGCTCCAATTGGGCCAGTCCCTTGAAGCCTACAGGCAAGCTTTGCCTCTCCCCAAATAAGAATATCATTTCGCTTCGTGATGACTACAGAAATGTGTCATTGGCTGACTGTGTCCTACAGCACTGGCAAACACTTTTATCTGCATTGCAATCGTTTGCGAATCTCATGATGCTGCGCCCTGAGAATCTTGATCGCGTATTGGTGGCAGGACCAAAATTGCCACAAAATTGTTGAGTCTTGGTAGCGCAAGATCTTCAGAAAATGGTCCCAGAAAGCAATGCACGAAATCCCTGTGTCATGAAGACGAATGCTGTGCTGTTTTTAGGGAAGGTAAGGAGGCTGCTGCCCTGCTGTGCACTGTGTACCAGTATAATCACCAGTCCGGCACACTGCATTTGCCCCTCGGGGATGGAGCGCCCACGCCTGTTGCCATCAAAGTGAGCCCAATTTATTTCATGCAATTTCTTTTACCCCGTACGCTGGATGCAATCTGCTGCCTCTGGTGCTAATTCACATTTGCAAGTTGAAGGATTCCAGCATAATGTGCATTGTTCCATTAATAACCCCGCAGGAGATTAGGGCCGAGGGAAGGAAGTTTCCAGCCTTGGACCAGACTGAGATGCAGCATGCGGTCCGGACCTTCGTCACCAAGCTAGAGAAGACTAACACTGCCCCTCTGCCCATTAATGGTGAGCTAATTGCCTGTCCCTCGCAGATATGATCTGGCACAAACCCTCCAGCACCAAGCTTGATGCAGCATGCCTAGATGTTGATCGTTGATGGTCACCTTTTTTCCTTAAGGTCTGACAGATGTCAATGGACATTTGTGCGCAGGTGCGCAGGTGCAGAATGGCACAGCAGTGTCACAGGCAGCAGCCGTCACGTCTGCAGGGAACGGGAGTGTTCCCACTGCGCATGAGGAGACCCGCCTGCCCTTCAACAGCGGCAGAACTGCTCAGGCGCCCGATGCGCTAAAATTGGGCAGCAATGACAGCCAGGGAGACGAGGCAAGCATCGATGCTTGGATCCTGGAGAATCTAGATATCATAAAGGCGCGGACAGAGAGAGTGGAATTCTTGGTTGCTGCAGCTAAGCCGCAGCAGTACCCCCATGTGGATGTGCTGATGACTATTGGTGACATATATGACGTAAGCGTGGCTTGAGATGGACATTTCACGAGGTGTCAGTCTCAAGGTGACGGTGTATGGCAACTAGTCCTAGATATTATAGAATTTCATTACGTGGGGCTGCCAGCCCCAGACAGTGAAGAGCCCTTAAGGTATAACTGAGCCCTGCTGTACATGTATATTATTCGCAATCACTGATGTAGAAAATGACGGGTATCCGACTGTAGAGTGAACATAATTTCTTTCAGAGTTTGGCCCAGAAGAGCGCCGGGAACAATTTTCACAGATGCATGCGTGGGATGCCAAGCTCTGCACCATGAATTTGTTGTGGACCACGAGGTGGGCAAGAGTCTTTACTATTGCCCACCTCACACCGTGATCGTGTTTGCACGAGCAGTGAACAAGACGTGAACACTCCACCAATTTTAAATTTATTATTACAAAGGGTGCCTGTGCTCACATGTTTTCCTTTGGATCACCGGGTGCCAGGAGGCTACGACAGTGATCTTTGCCAAACCAGCAAGAGACGTGTAAGAACTATGGGGCTAGAACACTGCAAAGGTGCTGAACTTCAGCAATGCTCTTGTAGCAAGAACTCCCAAGCGAATGTGCCGCCTCACGCTCGGGCAGCAGCTCAGTGCATGGCAACGTTGGGGCGCACTGCCTTGAACGTTGTCTTGAACGTCCTGGATGATGGCCTGTCCGGACACACAGCATCACACAAGTTAGCATCAGTGAGCATCGGAACTGTACCCCATCTGAATCGCAGGTCTGAGCCCATCCAAACACAAAGAATTGCATCCACTCATACATGCCCTGCAAACAAATGTAAGCAAGTGCCATGCATGCCAGCAGACTGTTCTGCACGCGATTACAAAGGCACCAGCCACCCTGCCCATCCGAATCCCCCATGCCTGTTCACACGTCTGGAGGCGGAAGTTTTTCAAGATATGTAAGCATGTGTCTGCATTGCAGCCGTGAGGGGGGACCAAGCATGTGGACGGCAGCGCACCTGGCCATGCGGCGGGTGAGGGGGAACTTGATCTTGGAGTCGTGGAACTGCTTGATGTTGACGCGCTTGGTCAGGGCAGCCGGCACGGTGGCAGTCTTGATGATCTGCATGCACGGCGCGCGCACGCGATGCCTTGAGGCCATCTCCTGCGATGCCACAACATGTATGCACTCAGCAATCTGCTGGAGTGTGCTTGAAGGTGTGCTGACGTGCACACCAGGGACTGCCAAGCGGTGATATACTGTGCTGACGGGCATGTCCAAGTCTTCGGCAATCTGCTTGAAACAATATGCTTGAAGCCTGTGCTGGAAGGGTATGTCAATAACTGGCAAGCTAAGCAGCCCAGTCATCGACAGGCACATTCGAGACTGCCAAGCAAAAGCAGCCCGAAGCTCGTTGCTATGTCAGAGAGGGGGGAGTCTAGATCTGATGCTAGCCAACGGCCATCAATCGTGGTCTAAGTCACGGCACATGGCCGGCACATGCACCGACAGGTGCTTTCCTATGTGCCCCCACTGACATGCTCGCCTCTGCGCCTTGCCTCCCTTCTGGCTGCAGAGGTTGTTGTCAGCTGCGGCCTGTTCAGGGCATGTGTCAGAAGACAGGTGTCGTGTGCAGCAGCATACCTGGTACAGCTGCTCGACGGCACCGTTGAGGGTGGTGTCCCTGTACTCCTTGTACATGTTGTGGTAGCCTGTCCTGGACTGGTATCGCACCCACACGCCAAAGTTCTTCACAGTCGTCGGCTTCTTCTCAAAGATCTGCACAGCCACCAAGGCTTCAAGTGAGTGAACAAGTGTATATTTTGCTGGATGAGAACAGTCCTCCAGCGTGATGCTCGTGTTGCCATCAACATCTGACGTCTGATGCAAATTTCTGCATACAAAGAGACATCAAGGCATCCTCCGCCTGAGAACAGCGTGAAGCTCTTATTGCCTGCATCAGGAGTGTGCATAAAGCTGATCTAGAGCTGCACCTCGTTCGCTGCAAGAATCTGCCCGTTCGCCTTCTTCACCTTTCTAAGCTTCCTCAAAAAGTACCTGCAGAGAAGGAAAACTCAGCAACCAAGTAAATCACACAGACCACCTATACCCATTGCAGACATGTAACAGCTCCGCTGTCATTTCGATCCTCACGAGTACGATCGATTACTTACCAGAACTTTGACTTTGCACGCACAGGGTCTGTCGCCCAAAGCTTCATCCTGTAGATGGTTGGCTCTGGCTCCTTCTCTGTGGGCAAATGGCGTCCCACCACCTGGTACTGGTGGTACTTGTAACCACCCTGCAAAGTGCAGTAGCATGTCAGATGAAGGCCAGCTGCAAGAATCCACTCCATCTCCCAAACAAAACAATCCTTTCAATCCTGGCTTCCAAGCTTTGCAAGGGCTGCAGCTTTGGGGCCACTAACAATCACATTAATACATTTACACTGAGGACTTGAGGAAATATACCTGCACCATCTTGGCAATCTTTCCCTCACTCCTTTCTGATCAACCGCCGCCGAGATGCGAAAGCCCACTTGTCTCCAAGAATCGCCGTCGAATTGACGCATCGGAATCTTGTAGGTTAAATAAACTAAAGATTTTGGAAGGGGTCATGGATATCTGGAGGAGTCTCCTGCCACAGCCGTCCAAGCCTCCATCAAAATTCAGGCTCTCTCGAATTCCTGTACCGTTGGAGAAGTTTAAGTGTGGTATGCACTCTTTTTGTCTCATCCTAGCTCAGGACAGGGACACACTACTATATTTTCTGGAAAGCGGCTTTGGGGTTTAGGATCTGTGCGAAGGCTTCCTTGATATAGCGGATGGGGCCGGTCTGACCATGCAGGTCCTGCAGACGCATATTGCTTCCTATAATCAGGTGCCTCGAAGCGTTGACTGGCTGCCACCCACCCTGCCTTCGCCCCTGTCAGCTTCAGGTATGGACGCTCAGGAGCTCAGGGAATTCATGGCTCAGTACGTGTCCGAGCTGGCGGATCTGACGTTCAACTCCAAGCCAATCATCAACACGTTGACGATGCTGGCAAGCGAAAACGTCAAGGCGGCTTCCAGTATAGCTGCAGCTATCGAGAAGCACATCCTGAAGGTGCGACCCTGCAGCTCTCAGGAAGCAAAATTTTGTGCCTTCGCGCTTGCTTTACCGAGGTATCTGGCAGCAATTTTGTGTCAAACTTCGACTTCTTGCAAGCTGCTAAAGATAGTCTGTGCGATTGACATGTTATGGTTGTGCAGTGCTCTCCAACGCATAAGCTCTATGGCCTCTACTTGATGGACAGCATCATCAAGAATGTGAGACAACCATACACGTCCTTGTTCTCACGCACCCTACCAGAGGTATGGATGCATTCTGCGCTTGAAAGCTTCACCCTCATGAATAACTGCCTGGCCCTACCTAACCGTAGGTTGGGAAAAAAAAGTGCCACCAATGCCTCATTTGCAATCTGGCGCAGGTTTACATGAACGCTTGGAGTGCAGCCCCGCAGTCCAGACCTCAACTGCAGAAGCTGTTCAATTTCTGGAAAGGCCACTTGCCGGACCAAACTTTGGCAGCCATCACCAAGCGGCAAGGGGCCCAGCAGGTGCCTGGCTTCATCTACCTCTATCATAAATTACAAAATTAGCATTTTTCTGCTTCTTACGCTTGCAAATATGAAGACTGACAGCTTTACCAACAATGTGTTTCGATGCTGTGTGCAGCATGTACCTGCTGCGCGCCCTGCAACAAGGCAGACTGCGTCCTCAGTGTACGCGCAGCAGCCAGTGCGGCTTGCGGACCCTCGGCTTTCGGCGGCACCTTTGTATTCGCAGGCGCCCTTGCCAGCACCGCCATCCCCGCAGCCACAGCTGGGGCCCGCGGCAGGCTACGGAGCGGCTGCACCCTTCGCAGCGCCTCCCTCGCCTCCATCCCGTCCCACAAGCGCAGGTAGCTTGCCCTTGTCGGTCCTTCCTGCACCCTTACCGACACGTGACCAATGCATGGCTACAGCATGCAAGTTTTTAGTGCACTGTGGAGCGGAGGCAACGAGCCTCCCCGCACCTTGCCATACTCCGACCATGGCTGACCCCAGCGCTTTGCCTCCTCTGCACGCATTTCTGTGCCTGAGCACAAGTGCACCGTATTTTTTTCTTGTGGACATTTCTTATTTTTGTGCTTGGAGTATACTAAAATTTGGCATCGCGCGCAGGACCTCAAGCGCCAGGTGTACAGCAGTTTCCTCCAGGACATTCCTTGTACCCGGCAGCAGCTGGCATTGCGCAGCCGTATGCAGCTGTGCAGCTGCAGCAGTTTCCGCCACCGCCGCCGCCGCGGCAGCCGTCGCCGCAGGCGCCGCAGCCGGCAGATGCATTTCCCGGCTTCCCGCAGCTTCCAGGGCCGGCGCAGCCGAGCGCAGCGGTCATGGCAGCGCTGCAAGCTGCCCTGGCGAAAAAGCAGCAGCAGCAGTCGGGGAACGCCGCTCGGCAGCAGCCTGCCGCCAGCAGTGTCAGCGAGGATGACTACTGGGCAGGTCTTGAGCCTGATGAGCTACCCCTGAAGACCGTGGACGAAAGGAAGATGGGCTTTGATTCGGAGCGCCTCAAGGTACATGTTCTCTCCTTGCATGTTGTTTTTATTTTCTTCTGACAGCACATTTGGTTGAAATTGTACACTCTGGAATTTTCTGTAATCTTGTAAATGTAAAGTATCACTTGGCCAATTTGCTGTGCATGTCAGCTGCAATAGGCGTGTTTATGTGCACACCCATTGAAGCTTTAATGCTCAGCAAGGAGGCTCGTGCTAAAAATTGTAAGCTGATAAAGGATCTCAGATCCTGATGGTGTGTTGATCTCTTGGCTCGCGAGAGTGATTGCTTGCAAGTCTGTAAGCTTCATGACTTGTTGTGGGGCAAGTGTCTTGAAGCTAGCACAGATGTTCTGTGTGAATAGCTTCTCAGAAGTGCATCAAATATGATGTCCGGATGTATGTCAATATGGAATGAGGGTGAGCAATTGAACGTGCTTGGCAGTCATGCGGATGTCAATTCTGTGACATGATGTGGTCACATCATTGCTTGGTATTATTCCTTCTCGACAACACTCTTACTATCACATCATTGTCACCATGACCAAGACATGGTGCACAGATTGGCCCTTGCCCAACTCAGAACAGAGACTACAATCTATACACCATCCTTTCAATGCGTGTTGCAAGTGCCATTCAATACTTGATGAAGTGGTCGTGAGGATATAGTGCCAAGAAAGCAATGAGTCCTCTTGAAGGCAGGCTTGGACGTGTCTACATGGCTTTGTCTCACTCTGTGCCATGGGCCAGTCAATAGTGGCGAGTTCTAGTCATGAGTGCACAAGTAGGTTAGGAAATACCAGATAGAGACGCCCTACGCTCTCAATATGAGAGGCTGCAATTGCTCCAACGCATGCCCTCCTCTCTCAAGATGCCTCTACCATCACACATCTGTGCCGTGCAGGCAGATCCGGCTCCGCTTCCCCCCTCGCCTCCTCTTGTGCGCTTGACCAGTCGGACTCTGCCCCGACACTACCATCACTGACCGCTTCCTCTGTCATGTTCTGTTGCAGGCACAGAGCCCAGCTGTTCTGAAGGAGCTCATGGCGTGCACGGTGGCGCTGCGGCACCGCCACCTGGACAGAATGTTCCATCACCGGCGGCGCACGCGCGGGGCCGGCCGCCGGGTGCTGAGTCAGCAGTGGTACGTGCGCGCGGATGACTGGATCGCCGGCACCGCCGCCGACGCGCAGGCCGCCCCCGCCTTCTTTGACCTTCCGGTGCGCGGCATGCCCTCCTCTCCGTGCCTTGCATTGCGGCTTCTGCTCGTGCTGCCCTTGTAATGATTCTGGCGCCTCCTTTGCTTCCCTTGAACCTCGTGCGGGGTGTCCCATGGCACTTCAGTTGCTGCACGCCCTCTCCTCGTCCTGTGCTGCTCCACATCCAACCTTGAGAGCCCTTCGAGTGGCAGCACAATGCATTCTTACTTCTGCTAGACAGCTGTCCTTCCCTGTTGCCACTGCAGCGTCATAAGCACTTCTTGAATGCTTCCCGGGGACTTGTGTGGTTGGGGCACACATGGTCAGAGGATGAGGAACAATCATGTCCCAACTGAATTACTGTCCTAGCGGCCTGTGGTGACTGACAAGTCGCTCATGGTGCAGGAGGGGAGGGAGCCTGTGAAGAAGGAGACTACCAGTGTGCCAGTGGACGACGCGCAGCCAAATTGCGCGCTGAGTGGGGAGCGCTTTGAGACGTTCTGGGACGACGCCAGCGACGAGTGGCGCTACAAGGACGCTCTCCGCCTGGACGCCGATCAGGCCGCCAGGTGACTCACCCTTTGTCACTATCTGCTCTGTTTGCAACCCGTTGTTCGTGCTGGTCCGGGAGTCAGTAGTACCCCACGGCTGGTCGCATTTTTGCCAAGAGCCAACATCAGTGCATGTGGACACTTGGCCTTCATATTGTTTGAAAGATAAGGGAGGAGCGCGCGCTGTGGAGTCCTGACAGCTCTGCAGCTCAGGCCTGTCCAGCAAAGTTGCTTGTAGAAAGGATGGTGGGGAATATTTTAACGGCCCCTGGAATAAGATATTTCAGAAATGTGAGATCAGAGCATGTGTGTGTGCAGGTATGGGCTGCATGAGGGGGTCATTGTGAAGGTGACAGCGCTGAGCGCTGGCCCCGACCCGGTCTTAGAGGAGCAAGCCGCAGCAGAGGGCCAATCAGAAGAGCCGGCTGCAGCGGCAGCACCGGCCCCAGAAGCACCCGAGCCCGCAGCTGCAAGCACATCAAAGGCGAGTGTTTCATCCTGAAAATCTGGTCGATGCCTGTGCCGTCCCCGTCAGGCAATCTAAAGATGTTATTGAGAGGCAATAAGCTCTAACTTTGTCACCGCTGTGGTGCAATAAAGGCAAAATGGGCATGCATCTGCAGCATCCTTGCACATAGTCCTTGGACATTGCTGTGGTCGCTGTCATTTGGGACGCATTCTATGGGTGTACTGGGTGCTAAATAAATGATTGCATGCCAGTGCAAATCAACTGTCACTGAGGGTGCAGGCGCACTTGAATGCCCATTACTTTGTAGCTCAAATAAGTGGTACCGCTACTCCTTATGGATCATATCTGCAGTGGGATACTGCAGACTGAAGGCTTTCATAGCCTGAGTTCACCGGTGCACTGTGTTTGTACAGGAGGCTCCGGCACCTTCAAACGAGGTGGGGCCGAGCGTGGCAGTGAAGACAGAGCCCGAGGCGGCAGCAGCTGCGGAGGATGCTGCAATGGAAGCCGCCGACCAAGTGGAGGGGGCTGATCAGCAGGAAGCTGCCTCGAGCGTATTGGAGACCGTGGAAGCTTCAGGGCAGCTGTCGGCTGGCGTCACAGTGAAGAGGGAGTCTGATGAGCAGCTGCCCAGAAGGAGGTCCAAGCGGCTCAAGCAGGACCCATGAACAGCTGGGGCGAGTGGACATCCTTTTGTGCAGAATTTTTGTTCTGATGTTATGTGCTGGCCAGTAGATTGGCGGTACCAGCAGTGGAAGGACATGTATTTACAAGGAGCAACTTACTTGGAGTTCCTGGGGATGAAAGTGGTGGGCAACTCTTATGGGGTGCACCCGGTGGTATATACAGACTGAAGGCTCATCTGAATCATCCGCTCATCTGTAAGCAGTGGCCAGGTTATTGCAATGTGTCTCAATGAGTGGTTTGCAGATTAGCCCACTTACAGTGTAAAGCTTTGGATGACAGGTATCTCAGCAGTAGTTCTCTGCAAATGTGGCTGTAATTACAATAATAGTACTGCGGTACTCGTCGCCACCGTCACGGTGGCACGGTGGCACCCTCAAATAAATCATCTCGCACATGGAAATGCATATGCATGTCATGCCCATCATGCCCGTGTACTCATAGTATAGTACATCATATCAGACACTAATGCACACTAATGCAGACGCTTTTTCAGAAAGACAAAAAGCTTTTTTTGTAGAGCCTTGAATTCCAGCCACAACCGCTACAATTGAGGCGGTCTGCGGTCCTCTACAGGCGGCGATTTGAGAGCGGGGTGTGGGGGCCCTGCTGTGCTGTGCCCTCCGTTTTGGACGGTCGAGCAACAGCTCTTGCAAGATCCAGGCATTCCCTTCAAAAATGCTGAATTATTGAGAGGTAGATTGAGATACAGACAGCTGCGATCGTCCACAGAGGCCACTTATCGTCCTGGACAGGGACGTGCCTGTTGACTGACATGCTTTGGAGACAGAGGGAATAAAGGGGGCCAGCTGGCTGCTGAAAGCAGCATCTACCAGCGATGTCTTTCTCAATGCCAGATATGAGCAGCCTGGTTGGAGCAGCTGTCAATGGTGTCGGGCTTGCTGCGGTAAGCGTTGTGAACATAAAAGGAACAGTGTCCACTAAAGAACGGCATCTGTCCGCTGATCGTCCAGCTTCTTGGAGGAACCACCATTTATATGTGCCGTGCAATGACATAATGTCTGATGGGGTTGATCAAAGAGGAGTGCCCTAGAGGCCTTCTCGTTCCCACCATCTCTCTTGTATTGAAGAGAGAAAGGGCGATGTTGTCATTGTCTGGACCTTTTTTTGATGTCCTCTTACATTTATCGACACTGACATCCAAAGACGCTGTACGAGGCGCTGCATGCGAACATGATCACCACCAGCAGGACTGCCTTGTTGAGAACATGAATATTGTCTACATGCTACCACAGGATCGTGGTTTGCTCTAGTTGCTATCACAGGAAGGTGCTGTACTGCAAGGCAGGCACACAACACCATTCTGTCGTGTCTCTGCATGGGCCACAATCTTAACCAGAAAGGGTTTTTCTGCAGGGGCTTATGAACATGGCGCCAAATATGCCGCCAGAGCTTCGCACGGCCATGCAGGCTGCTCAGCTGCAGGCCCTGCGCCTGCAGCAGGCCGAAGCCAAGAAGAAGAGGGATCAGGAGCTCAAGGAGCTGCGTGAGCATGTGCATGATGAGGTTGTGAATGCTGCAGCGGTGAGTCCTAATTACTTGTTGTTGCAGTTCTTGTACATGCTACAGCTTCTTCATGCCACAAAATGGGATATTTAGCATGGCACACAGGCCTCTTGCTTTCCTTTAGTACCTATGCATTTTGTCTATGCAGGGTTATGACAATGAAGATGACAGCGCTGAGGTCTATGCGACATACAGGTAGGTGCAAAGCACCTGTGATGTTCTTGATCTGTGCAATTGGTGTGCATAAATCATGGAGAACGGTCAACAATAGGCTAAGAAGTTCAATTTTTGAATCAATCTGTAGTCTGCTTTGCCTTCAGACCGACAAAGCTCAAGGAGGGCCATGCGCATCCTGACATCATTGTGGAGAGTGCCCTTCTGGCCTGTGTCTCTCCACCTGACATCACATACAAGCATCACCTCCAGGTACTAGTGATGCGTGACCTTTCGTCGAGCAACCATACCAGACAGTACAGAGCCTGTCATGCAGAAGAAGACCAACTGTTTTTGGCCTTGTAGCCACCAGCATACCAAATCTGATGCTCTTCATGTTTAGCTGTGGTCTCTGATTGCATTGGCTCGAAGCTGCTCCTGCCAGAAGGCTTGAACAGTTTGGTAAATATTCTGCAGGACATTGTGGAGGAAGGCCTGATCTCAGATGCACAGCTTGAGGCGGTCGTCTACGCCAACATGCGCTTCCAGAACACCCTCAGCGGACGTAAGGAGCTCTCAGCCGCTTTTTTATTCCTACCCTGCCTTCTTCTTGAGCTGATATATAAATGCCTGTGCTTCAGTAACCGCACAATGATGACGTATTATATCTTACATGCGTACAAGCTGTTGAGTGTGTTACAGATCTTTCATGTTATGAGTGGGTTCCAATGCATGTGAAGACAAGTGAAATTCTTGCCTTGTTATTCCTAATCTCTAATTACCTCATATTCTGGCTGGCGGGGCGTAACAGCAGAAGGATGCATGTGCAGCGAAAAAGGAGCGGGCGGGGTTCTTTCTGGGGGACGGCGCGGGCGTGGGCAAGGGGCGCACCATTGCGGCAACCATGAAGGAGCACTTTGTGGCTGGGCAGGGCTCGCGCGCTCTGTGGGTCTCTGTTTCTAAGGATCTGTGCTTCGACGCGCAGCGCGACCTGGATGATGTCAAATGCGATGTCAGAGTGTTCCCTCAGGTGCGATATTCCCTTGGCACATCCATCCTCTGCGTGCTGTGACAGGGTGCTGTATCTGCTGATCCTGTCATTGAACACCAGAAAAATACAGAATCCACACAGTCTCCAGCTGCTGCTGCTTTCCCGGGGAGTCTTAATTCGCATTGTTTCGGTCAGTGCAAATGCAAAGTAAAATGTAGAGCTCTTAGAAGCCAAGCAACAATCCCTATTCTGATGGGCACCCGTGAGACATTCGCTTTCCTCGCAGCACAGCTTCCAGTACTGGGAGCTGTGCATGTCAGTGCAAATGCAGAGCACCTATTAGAGCCGTTAATAGTCATGGTAAGGAGCAGCAGCATGTATCGGGTATCCTGCTCCGAGAGGTGAACAATGTGTCCTGCTGAGCAGGGAAACACACCGCTGCCCAAGGGCAGCCTGGCAAAGCACTACAGCGAGGGCGTCCTGTTCGTCACCTACAGCCTGCTGGTGTCCAACACCAAGCAGATGGCAGAGCCCAAGCTGCCGGGCACCGGGGAGGCGGCAGCTGCAGAGCCGCAGGACTGGCGCATTCCCAAGGGCACCCGCCTGCAGCAGATTGTGGACTGGCTCGATGGCGGCGAGGGAGATCCCCTCATTGTAAGGCCCGGACCCACTAGTTGGTTTGCCTCAGTGTTCCTTTGTGCATTGGGTCATCCTTTGCTGTCACCCAGGGTGAATCATGCTTAGCAGTCTGTGATATGTCCGAAGCTATCAGCAGGCTGTTTTTGGCACCCGTGGTGAGCTGTACTTCACACTATCTTGGCAGAATGAGCATCAGGATTGATGCTGTGCACAGGTATTCGACGAGTGCCACAAGGCGAAGAACCTGATTGCAGTCAAAGGTGAGAGGCATGTGCTTTCCACGCTCTTGCACCTTCAAGTGTGCTGACCAAACATTTACATCCCTCAGAATGGCTGCACGTACCCTCGGGTGGGCCCAGGGATTTGCCAAACCACCCCGCCTCAAATGGCGGGTTAAGCTTGGCGTTTCCTGGCCTCCAAAGGGGAGAGGGAAACATATTGTTTTGAGGGACAAATATCAAGGTTCTAGGGGGGTTCAGGGATTGGCAAGCCACAGCAAGTTGACGCTGGCCCAGTGCAGTGAATTTTGTGGTGGAGCAAAGCAAATGGGAAGGATGAAAGGGGAAATATATTTGGAAGAGCGAGAACCGTGTGCTTAGAAAGGATCATCATTGGTTGGTGTGCATGCATGCAGGGGATCCCACGCAGACAGGCAAGGCAGTGCTGGCACTGCAGCAGGTGCTGCCGCGTGCAAAGGTCCTCTATAGCAGTGCCACAGGTGCCTCTGAGCCCCACAACCTGGCCTACATGGTCCGCTTGGGCACCTTCGGCTTCCCAGACATGATGGGAATGATCGAGAGTCTCAACAAGTGCGCCATTCCTTCCCTGGTTCTCCTCTTTGCATGCTCCACACCTTCATTCTCAAAGATGGTGCTTGGATGCTCATAAAAGGTGGTGTTAGGATGCTCATAAAAGGTTTCTGCTAAGTAGATGTGTGGCCTGAGTGACTCCATCGCACATGTCAAATTATTGTGCACTGCTCATTGCCTATTTCCAGGCTTGTTGACATGCAAATGTGTATACTGTGCAGGTCTGGACTGGGAGCTCTGGAACTCTTTTCCATGGGGTTGAAGGTGGGATTTCCTGCTTCTTTTTTTGCCGGTCTCACTTGCATGTTCCATCCAGTTCCTGAAGTGCTTGTAGAAGAAATTTACTCTTTCCATTTAGTCGTGAATGTGATTATCTGTGCTGCAGGCGACCGGAACATACATCTCCCGCTCGCTGTCCTACGCTGGTGCAGAGTTCTCCATTGTCCGTGTGGATGTCGACCCTGTCTTCAAGGTCTGCCTCCTCCCACTCAGCTCCCTTATTATTCCACAACATCTGTTGTCCAAAATGTATTGTGACAGCCCTGCAAATTCGGCTTGCACAAAAGGAGCTGTGGCGCAGTCTTCAGACAGGCTGCATGCTGGGTACATGTGGTGGCTTCATTGTATCTCTCCATTTGGTGCACTGACAGCCCTACAGGTCATTTCTTAATAATATAAACTGGGGCACTGTCTTGCATGCATGCTGGTGATGGTCCACGTGTGTCAAAATAGTTTTCGAAATGGCTCTCTTGTGCTTGATGTTGTGCCAGCCCTACAGCCTCCTGTAAACCTGTCTGGGAATGAAGCCAAATTGTGGTGCTTGTACGAACAGGTGATGTATGACCGGGCATGCATGTTCTGGCATTTCCTGTACAACATATTCCTGGAGTACCGCCTGATGAGCGGCCGGCAGTGGATGAACTTCTACGCCACCGAGATGCGCTTCTTCCGCCAGATGCTCATGGCTGCCAAGGTAGATACTGCTCCCCCAATCGGATTCCGAATCCTTTCTTCCCAAGTGATGGGCACTGGCCTCGCTGCATGTCCAATACGTGCAGGATCCTCGCATGCTTGCGCAGCCACACACGCCATGTGCATGCAGACATATGTCTTTTGTATGCAATCTAAATGACGCAACATAAGTTAGTGTATACACTGAAGACACGGGAGAGTCAGGCTTCCAAGAGATTGGATTGTTCAATGCCCCATCTGTGTGGCTGGTGGACAAGGCGGTATTAGGTGCAGAGGTGACAGGAGTCATTAGTAATCACAATGCCATCATGTGACTGTCTGATTGGTGGCGGCTGTGTGCAGGTGCACAAGACGGCCCAGGTGGCACAGGAGGCGATCCGCGACGGCATGTCAGTAGTCATTGGGCTGCAGTCAACAGGGGAGGCAAACACAAATGCCACGCGGGAGGAGAGCGGAGACGTGCTGGACGACTTTGTCAGCGCGCCCAAGGTCATCATGCAGCAGTTCCTGGAGAAGGCTTTCCCTGTCTACTCCGAGTCCTCCTCCGGCGCTGATCTGAGGAAGCTGCAGTACCAGGTGGGCTCCCCATTTTCAGCAATGATCCTTTGGGGGATGTTTGTGCAGTAGATGGGGTGGTAGATGTACCAGGTGCTTTCATGATTACCAGGTCAAGCTGGCACCCAAGGGTCCAGTGGGTTGCAAATGTTTCACCCCTCGCTTTGACCCTGGTACATGTGAAAACTGCAGTACCAAGTGGGCCTCCCATTTAAGTTTTGATTGCAAGCCAATTTGCCTTTTTGCAGTGAAATTCTCGCCCCTCGCGTCAATCTTGGTAGGTGAGGAGTCAAATTTCTGGGTTTTTTGGGTGAGGGGAGGCAGAATAATGTATGGTACACATGGCCACTCATGGGCCACCCATGGTATGGGGTGTCTTGATGTTGTTGTTGTATGCGGCATGCAGGTGTACGAAATGGTGAAGCTGGTGAAGGAGTACCGGCCTGCTGCGGAGGAGGCAGTGCACAACTTGAAAATGGCCGCCAAGACGGCAATTATGGCCCAGCAGGCAGCGCCAGGCCCCAGCGCCCCTCAGGCGGCACCACAGCCAAGGGCTGCCAGAGCAGGTGATAGTGCTGCTTTGCCATTGCCCACGGTCAAGAGTGTATGTCCCATGCCGGGTGCAAGCACTTGCAAGAAACCTACGCAGTGATAGATTGCTGAGAAGGACTGTGCGTCCTGTTGAGGTTTTGCAAATGATAAGCGCACATTCTATTTTAGCTAGGTCAAGGTTAGAAACGACCTCGAGGCCACAGGCAGGCAGTCTCTTCACCAAGAGTCCAGGAGTCAGCAGGATTTAGGGCCTCACAAATTGAATGCTGAAGTTTTGTGTTCTCCTCTTTGCAGCCTCGTCAGCACAGCCTAGCAGGAACGCCGCGCCAGACGAGGCAAGCGATGACGACGACGTAGTTGTCGCCGCTGAGCTGGACATCGACGCTGTGCTGGCGCGCCGCCGCGCAGCCGCGATCGCCAATGGGGACATGGTTGACCTGGCGGCTGACGTGGACGAGGGAGCCATGGCGGCGGCGGCTGCGGCGATGGCCGCGGATATCGAGTCGGCCGAGCGGGAGAGGCTCGAACGCTTCAAGGAGGCCAAGCTGCAGCGCTTCCGCGAGCGCATTGTGAGGCCCTGTCGCGGCACCCTTGCCTGAGGCGACTTGCATGCACAAATAAGCAGGAAATTTATGTCTCTATCGACTCCATTGACTGGCACTTTTGCCTGAGGCAATCTGCATGCATGAATCTGCACATGAATCTGCTTGTATAGACTTATGAAATCTTGCAAAACTGAATGTGGCCATCCTTTGCTTGGTACTTGTCACCGTTCCAGAAAATTCAGTCCACTTTGAACAAGATGTGACTCGATACATGACTTAGGCTTATAATACTTACTGATGATGGGCACGGCAAGATGATCTGCTGCAAAATCTGCTTTCTTTGCAAGGAAATACTGCATTGATGTGGGCGCTGCACCTCCATGTCTGAAACAGGCTGTGATTTTTCCAGGCCGAGGCGAAAGAGGAGGTAACAGAAGCCAAGGAAGCCTTGGAGAAGGTGCGCCAGAAGCTGGCGGCAGCCGCCGACGGCGCGCCGGCCGCCGCCGAGCCCCGGGCCGGCGGCCAAAAGCCGCTGCGCAAGCGGCCGGCCGAGGCCGCCTCCAAGGCTGCCAGCGAGGATTCAGATGACCTCCAAGACTCCTTCGCAAAGGGCAGCTCTGCCAAGCGACGCAAGTCCCAGGTCATCCTTGAAGATGATGACGATGAGGAGGAGAGCCTGCACACAGAGGAGCGGTCCAAGGACGCAGAAGAGTCTGAGGAGGCTGCAGGTGATCAATCGTGGCAGAACTTGCGTGATGATCGCAAAAGCCATGATTGAAGCCCATTTTTGAAAATTCTTTTGAGTGCTCCCGGGACCATGCATATGCCAGAGAGCCCAAATCCGTTTTCAGATCCACCTGTATCGGGCACTCACGAGGCACATGAGTGGGAGTTTGAAACGGAATTGGACTGAGTTGCTTGAAGTGGTTGATCCAATTTTCCCATGCTATTTACCTCAAATGACTGTGGTGTCCCTTTGCCCGAGCTTTGTTGGGGGGCTCCACTTCCTAAGTCAGCCTCTGATTACTACCACTGGTTACCACCAATACTGATTGCTACATTACTAAGGGTTACAATTTGCAGCAGAGATGGAGGCGGAGCCGGAGGACTCCTTCAAGACGGCCAGGAGCGGCAAGAGCTTGGAGGAGGAGCTGGCAGAGCTGGATGAAGTTGGCTGCGAGGAGTGCGGCAAGAATGACCGTGGGGAGGAAATGCTGCTGTGCGACGGCTGCGACCACGGCTACCACACAGGTGAGAATACCCAACACAACAGATGGCCTTAATCAATGATGCCTGGTAACCGCTCCTTACCAAGTGATCCAATAGGGGAGTGAGCAGACGAATGGGCGAGCCTGGCTTGGTCTTGAAAAGAAGGTCAAATATTGGGTTAGTCAGGGCAAGGATACGAGCAAACAAGCTATCTACATTCTTGCCAGGGTGTCTGCCTGTAATAGCGACGCTGACCTCAGATTCACTGTACTTCGCTTTTGTCTGCCTGTTGGTTGAGCAGGGCAATTACTTCTGTGTGGAGACTGCCTCACCCCGCTGCTTGAGATTGTTTTATTTTGGATGTGAGTTGAGCAGCTGTATATGGCTCCTGTGTGCAGACTGCTTGGACCCCCCGCTGAAGGAAATCCCAGAGGGGGACTGGTTCTGCCCCTCATGCGCCGCCTCACAGAAGCCGGCAGCAGCCGCTAAGGCGGGGGCAGCCTCCAAGCAGCAGCAGGAAATCGAGGACAGTGAAGAGGATAATGCGCCAGTTGAGTCCCAGAGTAGGAGGGGACGCCGTCGGACGCTGGTGACCCTGGACAGCAGCAGTGACGAAGATGACTTTGCTGACGCCGCTGTGACTGTGCGAGCACCCACCATCCAGATCAAGGCTGAACCTGGCAGGTGGGTGTCAATTTCCTTGAGTTTTCCAATACTTTTCCATGACTTGCTCAAGCTGGGATTTTTTATGCTGGTCAGTCTCTTTGTCTGTTGTTGTCTCTGGATGCATGCAGCAGATAGAGGAACTTTCTGTAGATGCGCATGCATCTTTTTGTTCTTCTGGCTCTGCCAGAGCACTTTTATCACTGTGTTTTGCTCATTGTCAGTGCCTTAAAACTGCGTTGCATATTGCTGCCGCAGTGGCAAACCTGCCAAGCGCGGCGGGGCGGGCAGCTCCGGGGAAGCTGGCCATGCAGCTTTCACAGTGCGAAGGAACGCCCCCCGAGGCGGGCGCCCCGCGGCAGCCACCACTGACAGTGACGCGGAACAGAGCGGCAGCAACGCCAGCCGCAGCGGCAGCCGCCAGCGCACCGGCCGCGCCCCGTCCCCGGCCCCGGCGCAGCGCACCTCGCGGCTGGGCCGATCGGCCGCCGCGCTGCTGACCGACGATGACAGCGACTTTGAGGAAGCCCCTGTGCTGCGCAGCCGCAGGGGCGGCGAGCGCTGCCCTGCAGGTGTGTGCTGCTGCCTTTCCATAGCTCGTTCTCCTGAAAGAACCTTGCGGGTCCAACTTTTGGAGCCCAGGGCGTGCTTCTGTCCTAATAAACATGGTACCCGAGTGCTGCCCTCCGTTCACATCGCGTGCATGTGTATTGGAAATTTGGGTGAACTACCATGAGCCCTTCTCAGCCATTGCAGGTGGCGCTGATGCATGCAGTTCCATTTTCATTTCCCACAATTAGCTGGCCTCTGTGCTTCCGCTCTACACAGTAAGGCATGGTGATAAAATGCGTTTGTGGGGATCACGCAGGTGGCGGCCTGAAGTTGGGAGAGCTGGCGGCCAAGCGGCGGCTGGAGCTGGCGGAGCAGGAGCTTGCAGAGGCCGCAGCCGCCCTGGCCCGAGCGCAGGAGGACCCTGCCGAGCGCCGTCGCAAGGGCGCTGCCTCTCCCCAGGGAGCCGCCAGCCGCACGCGCGCAGGCCGGGTGCTTGCACTCGACAAATCCTCACAATCTTTGAGAGTAGACAATTGACAATTAGTTTCAACAGACTAGAGGAAGAAGTTTGCCATCGAAGGTAGATAGCTTTGATGAAGCCGGGGCTTGGATAAAACGGTGAAATCTTGTATTTTCCTCAGGACGGGAGTTTCACAACTGAGACCTTCCAAACAGTCTTTTGGATTTTCCTCAAGTGTGGGGGTCGTCGTAAGACCGCTGCCTGCCTCTTAAGGGAGCTGGCCTTGCTTCAAGTGCCCGGGAGCACCAGTAATATCTCTCTAAGCCGTGCGACTTCTGCCGTCCTCCTTCTTGCTGAGATTCTCACTTGTGAATGCAGGCGGGTCAGAAGAGCTCAGGCTCTGTCATGGTGATCGATTCGGACTCGGCGTCAGAGGATTCTGACTTCTCCGCCGACGAGGACAGCTCGGACGACGGCGATGACTCAGACGACAGCGATGTGGTGCTGTGCGCGGAGTACCGCCCCCACGTGCAGGCCCGCGAGCTCGGGGAGAAATGGGAGGAGGAGGCCAAGGAGTCCAAGGCCGCGCAGGGTAGGGGATCCTCGCTGCTTTCTTACTCTTTACCTGTGTCCCATAAAGAGCCTATTGACTGCTATTGATGTCCATGCTGAATAGTAAGGAGGAGCACTCCTATTCCTCATTATCGTTGCTTATCATTTCTGAACCTGTCTTCCAATCAACACATGCACAAATGAGTGGCCGTACTGAGTATCTAGAGACAACAGATCCCTTCTCTGTGAATGTCTTTTGTCATGCACCTGCATCCGCACCACCATGCCTTGCGGAAAAATGAAGGCTGCACCAGATAGAATTGAAAAGCACTTTTTAAAGTAACGAGCACAGCAAGGCTGAGGCTGATGGCTGGCTGCAGGCGTCGGCCACAAGGAGCTGAAGCTGATCCTTGCTACACTGCTGCGCCTGTGGGATGCCTTTGAGCTGCCCGCCAATCCGCTAGACCAGCTCACTGAGCTCCTGGGCGGCACAGACAAGGTGCGACACTCTGGTTTTCAAACTGAACTGCAATTTTGTGTCTGCCCATCAGCACTATAGATCAGTGTAATGTTTTCAAGTGCCTGAAAAATCTGTGGGTTTCAATGCTCAAATGTTTGGTGTGTACGTTCGCCCAAGCAAGGCTTGTCGTATGCATAATCTCCTGCTGTGCATGCTGGATTTGATTGCCAAAATCATTGGTCATCTGATTGGTTAAGGCCAGACAATTGTAGGCTATTTTTAGTCTAGCCTAAAATTATCAGGATCACCGTGTTAGGATCGTGCCAGATTTTGTATTAACCAGGATTGTGGACGATATCTTTTAGACGCAAAGGATTGAAGAATACTGGAAGTTTGACCCAGGGAGGTGCTGTCCAGGTGGCGGAGATGACTGGGCGCAAGGGGTTGCTGGTGCGCGCTGGGGACGGCAAGGTCGAGTACCAGGCACGCCGCGCTGAGGTGATGCCCTCACACCAATCTGGGGCCATTATCATTATCATAGCAGTCTTTGTTGCAGCACATGATATTGGATTGGTCACCCCAGAAGCTATGTAATCCTTTGCTTTTATCTAAGTGCGCTTTTAGAGCATGCACAGCGCGAGAAAGAGGTGCCTGGCTCGGGCAAAGTCATGTCATTGTGCAGTCACCGGAGACTCATACCGTATATCTGTTTGGCTGTCCCAGTGCTGTACTTGTGACATGGAAGCGTCCTGATCAGTTGAGACTTGTGATGTGCAGGAATCCCAGAAGAACGTGAACATGGCGGAGAAGAACTCGTTCATGCAGGGCGAGAAGCTCATCGCAATCATCTCAGAAGCCGCCTCCACCGGCATCTCGCTGCAGGCAGACAAGCGGTGCAAACCCCCTTTGATGTTAGATATAATCCCCTGCATTACAAAATAGATGACGACTGTGCAATCGGACTCCAAGGCCTCGTAGTTTGGCAAATTATCACTTGACATGCAGAGCAGGGATGCTTAAGGACGGTCCTTGCCCTAGTCCCAGTCCAAGGTTGCCAGAAAGTAGTGTTTTTGTTTTGCAATTGTGTCTAGCGCTCCACGAAGAGTATTGTGCATGTGCCAGAAAGCTGCGATCCCTGCAGGTATATTTAGCGCCTTCGCATAATGGAGTAGGGGCAGACTGCAAGACAGACTTTCTGTACTGGGGGGTGACTAAGTAATGGGTTATCATTCATGTGTGCAGTGTGGCCAATCAGCGGCGACGGTGCCACCTGACACTGGAGCTGCCCTGGTCAGCGGACAAGGCCATCCAGCAGTTTGGCCGCTCCCATCGCTCTAATCAGGTGCCCACAGGCCCCTTCCTTTTCAGTACTGATCAGCCCGCTTCCCTCTCAAGGCTTGCCTTCTCTACTGTGCATAGTCTGCACACTCCCTCACACAAAGCAGAGCCGTCTGAAGCAGCCTGGTGGGAGGTCTTCCAGTAGCTTGCATGTGTATGGCACTTCATTCCTCCCTGCCTCGATGTTCTTTGAGGGACGTGCTTGGGCAGGCATCATTTTTCAACCTCCCAATTTCGTGGTTCCAAATCAAACAAGTTTCAAATTTGTAAATCTGGTGCAGGCGTCCGCGCCCATCTACCGGATCATCGTGACGCAGTGCGGCGGCGAGTACCGCTTTGCAGCCTCGGCCGCCAAACGCCTGCAGTCTCTGGGCGCGCTCCTGCGCGGCGACCGCAGGTGCTTTTCAGGGCCCCTCTCTGCACCTTGCATTTTAAGGCTCCACACAAAGATGAGTCATCCTGGGTCATATCATGTGACCCCAGCTGCACGTGCTCTCTTGGCCGTTGCAACGTTGCAGGCACCAGCTTCAAGTGATTGCTGCCCTGTCGAATTTGGGACAGCCAGACAACAGGATGCTTGAATACTCAAGCCTCCTTCCATATGGCTTGCTGGTGTGCAGAGTGTTGTCAGACGATGTAGGAGGCAGGATTTTGTCGCATGAATATTGTCAGGAGCTGGGGCATGACGCAGTAGTGCGGTGGCTGTGCAGGGCGCTGGGGGCGGGGCAAGACCTGAAGAGCTTTGACGTGGACAATCGGTGGGGCCTGGAAGCGCTCAAGCGCATCATGGACGACTGCACTGGCCAGACCGCGCCCATTGCCGGCGTGGAGGTGAGCAATCAGTCGTGTCCTCAAGCCTCTTAATATCTGCCGCACCAGTCAAGGGAGCAAAGAATGATGCATCCCTGTTCTTAAGTCATGCTCTATGATCCAAGAGCTGACCTTTGGCCCCTAATCATTCCCTTGAGTCCAATCTTCAGAGTCCACCAAAAAGAGGATCCAGAGAAGATCGAGAGTGCTGATGTTCCCTTCCCTTTGTCCCAGGAAAGCATGCAGGTGCATACCCAGGTGTTGTGGTATGTTCTGTACCAAGGACGCTAATGACATTGCTGGTGTGATGTTCAGGTGCCTCGGCTGCTGCCAGAGATGCGCGTGGACCCGACTGCAGAGCAGACAGAGGAGGAGTTCTTCGCGTACATGCGCGCCGCCATCAAGCCCGTGGGCATGCTGCAGGAAGTGTCCTCAAGGTCTGCTTAGCCCCATTCAATTACATCTACTTGATTCCCTCCAATGAGAAGATTCCTTGGACCATGAACTCGTTGGGGTTGCGCGGACCTCATGTTCGAAGGTCTTTTGCCAAACGCACCTCTCCGCTGGGCACAGTCCTTTTAAACCCCCCTGCGTGACCGGGCTAATGGATTTTCTATTGTAGAGCATGCGCTCATGTCGGCTTCTCCCAAACCTTGTAACATTCTTGGCCCCCAGCTTGGCTGCCCAATAAAAAACCTGCTTTTGGCAGCATGCATGTGCATCCGGGCAGACTTTCCCTTCTCAGAAACATTGCTGCACAGTAAAAGCCATGAGTACTTTCCCAGTGTTCCGGGGTGGTTGAACAGTAACACTGTAATGCCATCCTTTATTTGATTCACATTGATGCAGCTAACTCCCAAGAGGTCTTTAACATTAGCCAGTAAATTTGGTAGTAGATCTTCTCAGCAACACTGACACATTTACAGATAGGGGCCATGGGTTCAAACATGCCCTCACGGTGGCGAGGTCACCTATGCCTTTGGCATGCTTGACCTCTGCCTCCTCATTCGCGCCCCAGGCTTCATCAGGGCATCGATATTTTATTTTATATCATCCCACAAATTTCTCCGACGCAGGCACGCAGCGTACGGGTTGGTGCCCAGCCCGAGCGTGGTGAAATCGGTGCCGACATTCCTGAACCGCGTGCTGGCCATGGGCATGGACGACCAGGAGCTCATCTTCCGCTACTTCTCCAACACAATGGACGCCCTCATCGCGAGCGCCAAATCCACCGGCCGCTACGAGCACGGGCCCATCAACCTGCAGGCCTCCGGCGTCGAAGTCGCCCGCCGCCAGATCGTGCATTGCGAGCCAGGGACCGGTGCGCGCATGACTTCTGGATTTCAGATCAAATTATGAACATACTTACCTTGTGCACGGCAAGCCTGGCGCCTGTTTGAGCAGCCTAAAAAGAGGTGAAGGAAAGTGAAAATAATAGGTTCCTCTTGAATTTGCCTTCCAGCAAGCCTGGCACTGCATGCTTGCCCCTTAGCAGAGTGGCACTCCTTGTCTAACAGCCACCAATGCTTCATTCCTTCAAGGCAGCAATCCTATGATTTCGTTGGACATGTTGGCATGGGCAGTGCGTCAATGCATGCGCCCTCCAGGGTCGCTGCATTCATGCAGCTCATCAGTCAAATGGACGCAGCTCATCAAGTGCTCACGCATCTGCTGACCGTTCCATAATCCTGTGCCATGCACAGGCGCTACAACGTACCACGCGGTGCTGAACGTGAACCGGGGCCTGTCGTGGGATGACGCCGTGGCCTATCGCGATGCCGCCCTTGCACAGGCGGTTGATGCTGGCGAGGAACTGGACCGCAACGTCGGCTTCTACACCGACCGCTTCGTCAAGGACCACGGCAAGACCGGTGCGCCCCGTTTGGGACTCTTTTTCCCTGCCTAGCGCAGTCTGTCCCTGCTGTCATTCATGATCCACTGGATTTTCCAGGTGCAGCATTGACTATGCAAGACAGGCCTGGGTTGGAATTTGAATGACAGTATTGGCGTGCGCGCAGCAGGGCGCAACTTTCTCATTGTGCGACACATCAGTGTGTTTCTTTATAGCATGGAATCTTGATGAGTGACGAGGTCTGGAGGCACAGTGCCAGCACTGTAGATTTCGCCCCAAAGTGCAACTGACAGCATTAATATCTGTGCCTACCGCAGCAAGCAGAGCAGGTTTGTGCAAAAGACAGGTTCGGCTCATTATTGTGCTGCGTGTGGCAGGGCACAAGTTTGTGATCCTGGGGACGCGCGCGCGGCAGGACATGATGGTGAAGCGGTACCGGGTGCAGCGCCCCAACACCATCCACCAGCCCCTCTGGACCGCCCACCAGCTCACCCAGGACAACTACGTCCGGGTGCGCCCCGGCTCATGAGCACACCTTCCAAGCGTTGGCTACTTGCTTTTACAGTGCCAACAGATCAGGAGGCTCGTGCAACTTGGTTCCCAGCCTGTGAGAACGCCGTGGAAGATGCTAGGCCGCATCGAAATGACACAGCTGCAGAGCAATGGTGGTATAACAGAAACGTCTGCAAGCCTCGTACACAAGGCTTTAGCACGTTTTCAACCATTATGGGGTTAAAAGGTGGCAGCGCTGCTGCTGCGCACAAACGGGTTGCGCTTGAATTTGATCTCCATAGGTTGATGTAGTAATGAGTCAACAATCTCTGCGCCGCATGTCAGGTGTCAGACAAGGAGGCGGAGAAGCACTGGCGGTTCTGGTATGACTACAGCGAGAAGCACTGCACGCACGGCAACACCTGCGCCAAACGCAAGCGCAACGAGGAATGCACCTACGGCATGCGCATCCAGAAGACCGAACTCATCACCGGTGCGTGCTTTCCCCTCCTTCAAACTGCAATCGCCCTGTAATGTCAGAGGGCGTTCATTAAGATCGGCATGCATACTTATGATTATTCACTGCCGTTTAGATGCAATTTCACCCTCTTGGATGTCCATTTTGAACACTTTTCTGTCAGTACATGTATGTGCCTATAAGAGGATCACGCTTGCATCTAGCAAGCCTGTCGAACTCCAGTTGCATGCTGAATCATCCTGCATGCATGCATGCACAATCACATTGGTTGAAGTGCTACACCTCAGCTGCATATTCAAGTAGCTGCTACCGCAGCCTGGTTACAATTCAGTAGCATATCCGTCCTCTCCACAATGCAGCGCTCTCTTTCTAATTAAGGGTTATTCTTCAGAGGTAACAGGCATCTGGGCACAATAATGTGGGCTGTGAAGGGCTGTGCTGACTACAGTACAGTGAACGATAAAGCATTGATTACAGGAGACTATCAATATATGTCCTTGGAGTTATGATCATGATTTCTTGATGCAGGCGCTGTGCTGCCCATCTGGAAGGTGCTGTTTGATGTCATTTCCAGCAGCCACCACGGCCGCAGCGCGCACGGGGACAAGCCCAAGCCGCGCATTGTGCGCACCCAGCTCACCAGCAGCGGTGAGATCCCTACATCACACTACTTTGCATCAATGTTACCTTGATTCAATCATACGCTATTGTATTCTTTCTCTCACTCCTCGTGCCTCTCTTTTTCTTGTCTGTCTTCCTCTCTTTCTTTCTTTGTGAAGCATCACTGCCGAGAAGCAAGCATACAACATCCAGACAAGCGTGTCTCATCTGAACACTGGCAGATCCGGGGGCGCATGCATGCATGGAAAGTGGAATATGTGTGGTTGGAGAACTTGGGAGGGGAAGCAATCTAAAAGGATGGGTGTCGCGTGCAGGGGAGCCGATCGTCGGCCTGTCAATACACAGAGATGATGCGGAGCGCCTCTGCCACCGTGAGCACCCACCTCTGAGCCTGCCTGCAATAGTCATGCCTACCCTGAATGCTGTCATCTGTTCCTTTGATGCATCCCTCCATGCTGGTTTGAGTGCTCGTGCATGTCCAAGAACCCAGTTGGACTTTATACAGGGCACTTAGGCACAGGTTGCTGCTGCTATCTTGCACAAGTTCCTTGTCCTCTCTCATTGAACTGACTTGTATGTTTTCGCGTTGATGCAGTGCTTGAGGAGCTGTTTGGCCCACAAGAACAGGTGGAGGATGAAGCCACTGTGCTCTGATTGGCCCTCACTCGCCGCCTGCAAATTTTGGTCACCTAAGCCAGAGCCGTGGTCAGGTTCTGAGATCTGGGTGATAGAGTGCTGTTGTACTGTACATTGAGTCTCTTTGCCTGGGCAGGAGCAAGCCTTTTAGGCCTGTGAAAGTCGCTCGAGGCCCCCATATTTCCTAAAGGTGTTGCTCTTGAGCATCTGTGGGAATAGCGGTGGTGATCCTGATCACTGGAACATAATGATGACTGCTTCAAATGACGTGAACCACAGGCAGATCCTGTACGTGTCTTGAACAAAGGGAAGGAATCTGCGGCCTAGCTCAGGAAGGTCGTATTATGCGCAATACAGAGGCATAAACTTCTGTGCGCCCTTAGAGCAAATCTGCGATTCTGAGAGCAGCAGTTTGCAGGCTCCATGGCAGTGTCTAGTTCCTATTGATTCATGGTCCAACCCAGGGCTCACGTTTTAGGATGCAGCTCTTGTCAAATTCTTGAGCTGTGCGGCGCTGCAGAGTCTCTTTGCCTGGGCAGGAGCAAGCCTGTTAGGCCTGTCGAAATGGCTCGAGGCCCCCATATTTCGGTGTAGCTCTTGAGCATCTGTGGGAATAGCAGTGGTGATCCTGCTCACTGGAACATAATGATGACTGCTTCAAATGAGGGAACCACAGGCAGATCCTGTACGTGTCTTGAACAAAGGGAAGGAATCTGCGGCCTAGCTCAGGAAGGTCGTATTATGCGCAATACAGAGGCATAAAGTTCTATGCGCCCTTAGAGCAAATCTGTGATTCTGAGAGCAGCAGTTCGCAGGCTCCATGGCTGTCTAGTTCCTATTGATTCATGGTCCAACCAAGGGCTCACGTTTTAGGATGCAGCTGTCGTCAAATTTTTGAGCTGTGCGGCGCTGCAACGTTGCAGCATGGATGCAGCACTGCACGCTTGCAGAACAATCGTGGGTGCTTACCTTCGGAGGGATTCAGGGAGTACCGTACTAAGTGACTTAGGAAAGAAATTCTTGAAAATGCACAGTGATTTGCATCTTAGAGGCCACTGTAGCAGGACAGAAGGTTCGATGAAAGGCTTGGCGTATCAAGTGTACAGAAGGTCTTTTGGCGATAAGTTGACAGGCAATTAAGGGTCTAATAATGATCCGGGCGCCCACATCATGATCAGCATGACAATATGATACCAATTGATATCGGAATTTTCGTTTAAGGCTGATGTTCATGTAAGTCTTGTAAGTGAATACAGACATCCTGCAGCAGCATTGGAAATCGTTCTTGGTTTCCTTTGCAAAAGAAGTCATGTGCATTAGTAAGGTCTGGACACCTTCTCTGCACCTATACAGGCTCCACTCGAGGGCCTTTGAAAATCAAGGGGAATTTGCCTCCAAAAACTTTACTACGAAAATACTACGAAAATACGACGTTTTAACGACGTTTTGCGCAGAACGAACGTAGTTGATCTCGAAGACCATCTGCAATCACCCCTTCGATCAACGATGGCCGGGATGAAGCGGGGAAGGAACGACTGGGAGGATGTTGAAGATGCTGAGGAACTGAAACAGTTCCTGGAAAGACAGCGCGATCAGATCGTAAAGCTGAAAAAGGAGGTCTCGGAGCTGAAGGCTGCTTTGAAAGGACAGGACAACCTTCCAGGAGACAGAAGCCCCGAGGATCTGGCTGCTCTGGCTGCCAAATACAGGGCCTCACTCAGCAAAAACATCGAGAACCAGATGGTGTACAAGAAGAGCCTGAAGGTGTGTGGACTTCCGACACTTCGGCCTCAAATTCATCAATCCTATGATTGCAAGATCAGTGCTTGCTTTGGCGATTTTTTCACATTTTGAAGAAGCTTTGCTGCAGAGCTATTGTGTGGGACGTTTTTGTCGAGTTGGGTCAGAAGCATCTTCGAAGGTCACGCAACGAAGGTTTGCATGGTTTGGTGCTTTGTAGGGAGCAGATCCAAGGTCACTGCAGAGGTCCCCAACGTTTCCGTGGAAGATGTGAAAGCTATCATGGGCGAGGCACTGGGCCAGAAGGCCAAGAACACTCCCAAACAGCTGCAGGTACAACTATTGTTCAAGAGTGCCAATATATCTAGATGCATGAGTTCCCCTCTTCTTCTTCTGTGCGCAGTGGCGTCTTGTCCACTAATAAAAATCTATGTCTGGCGCATGCAGGCTGTGGCAGACTACACAGACATCTCTGAGGTCCTCGGAGCACCACGCAAGAGCCTGCGCTATGGATCCTCACTCTCTCTGGACGAGGTGCACCTCTCCAGCTGCCTCTTGACAAAGTAGTTTTGGCTTGTAATGCGCTGGCGCACTTCATAGTGTCTCTTTACGAGCCCAATTGTACAACGGTTTGTGGCGGGGGCCGAGGCTGCAGTACTTATGCGCAATCTCCAACCTTATTACCTCTGTTCTACCCTGTTCATTCAAGCTCACAGCACCTGCGCGCTCAGTCCCCAGTCATGATGTTTGGATGCACTTCAGTACAATGGGTGCATGTGAAGGAGGCTGCTTGGTATTTGAGGCGTCCAGATTGTGAAGGACCTGTCGCTTGGGGTGCATGCAGGGCATCAAGTTCACCTACGACAAGGGTGCCAGGATCCTGAAGGTCAGCGGTTTCTTCAGCATGAGCTAGGACGTCTTTGCAGCTCGAGCGCTCTGCAACTTGGAGGCAGACAGTGACAACTGTAGGCAGCCTCTGCAGTGATCTTGCAGGGCTGTTGTGCACTATAAAGGTCAGTACTTGCTGGCAATTGTGCACATTGCCATCATGATGTGGAGGTCCAGTGGAACTCAAGACAATTGCATCAGATTCTGTGAAGAGTTGTTCCGGTTCCATTCTCTGTACAAACATACCACACGATCATTGGATGGTGCCATGACGGCCCTATCTGTTATTCACGTGGGGTGAATAACGGCTTGCTTTCTATGTTAAAAACCCAGTCTCTGAGCCATGGTCGCTCGTATGGAGCTCCGGAGCTCCGGGGATCTCGCATGCACACATGCATGCACACCTTTCGTGGAAGAAACTGGAAGGGATACTGCACATAATGTTTACTGTAAACATTCTTTTTTTCCCCACGATATTGTGGTGTCTGATGGGGACTCTATCTGTCATGGCTCAGATTGAATTCCAGCCGTACCCTAATTAGGCAGATGGAAATTACTAACTTCGCGGACGCGAAAACCGAATGGAAGTACTAGGGGTAGACGGATTGCTAAATATGCAACTTAGGCTTGTTCTACTCTAAAATTCCATTGCTTGGATGTCACTGTCACTCGACAGGCGTTGGTTGGCTAGAAGATGACGATACTTTCTGCAGCACGCTTCCTAGCGATCGCGCTATTCTTGCTCACTGGTGAGGCTCTTTTGCTACTTTCAACCAAGCATGTCTACGAGGCTTTTTTTATCACAATTTGAACATGTATGGGGCGCTTCAACGCAAGACATGCTCGGGTTCTGTTGGGCTCAAACCCTTAGTAAACATTATGCAGATGTTGCACGACGTTGCCTCAGCTGCAAAGCATTACAAGTACTCATCAGGATGCTGATGTATCAAATTCATTTTTGAAATGTAGATTTACTGCCCGATGCACGGCGCTTGTTGTGTCGTGTTGGAAACGCACGCGTGCTTGTCCACCCGAAAGAGGTGCTGTGCATACGATAAACATGCAGGATGCGGCAAGATAAGCGAGCAACTCTTAAAAGGATTGAAGATTGTTTAATCAGGTGTCCCGTGCTTCTTTGTTCAGGTACCTTGTGCCAGGGCGAGCGGCAAAGATCACAAATTAGGAGAAGACTGTTACAAAGCTCAGGCGGCTCAGAGCCCGATTCCAACGGGCCAGACGTGCCCGAATGCAGCACTCCATGGGAGGTGTTCAACTCCACAGCAGAGCTGAGTTTCTGGGCTGAAGCCCTTCAGACAGTCGGATTTTCAGGTCGGCAACCTCCTTATACATGCAGAAGGCCCTTTCGTCTCTGATCTGTTCAGGCATTACATGCTGCAGACAAAATGCTGCTCTATTGTCAGCCACAGCATGTAGCCTAGGGCTATTGAGAGTCCGCAGCATAAGCATCTATCTGCATGCCTGGCGAATCTTTCAATTTGCACCTACTTCCCTTTCAGTTAGCTGAAGCATGCATGCGGCTGCTGCAGAGGAGGTGAACTCACCATACGTGACGGCCACTTTCTTCGCGCCGACCAACGACGCCTTTGCAGCCCTTCTGCATGCACTGGGCTCCACCCCTCAGCAGCTACTGGCAGATCCCTCCATGTGCGCCCCCCTCTCCCACCTTTAAGAGGACTCGAAATCATCGATTGATCGATTAATAAAGACTCCCCTGATCTATAGCTAGATCCAACAAAGGCAGCTAAATTTTGGCCAAGCAGGTGCTCCCTTAGAGCTATTGTTCCCCTCAGTGCCCAAAACTTTCCAGCAGTCGCTGGCCAGGTGACTGCTGAGCTGAGAAGGCAAAGCTGTCTTTATTGTACTTTGCATGTCCTGCTTGCTACCCCCAAACCACAGCATGCCAGATTGCCTGTGGCCAGAAGTTTTGGGAAAAATTCTGATGCATGCATGCGTGTGTGCAGAGTGCCAATACTGCTGTACCACATGATCCCTGGAGAGTACTCGTTGGTGAGTCACCCTGCCCATTCCCTGCAATCTCATCCTCTGCTCAAGAGCCTGCTAACCTTTGCTCACACGTTAGCGCAAGAGACTGCAAAAGTACTCCCTCCAGTGATAATGACCAGTTCACCATTGCTTGGTTGCATGTCCACTCAATCAACAAGTTGTGATGGCCACTTCAAAGAAGTCTCTCTCTATGGTTGATGACTTGCAGTGGAGATATGCAGTGCAGCATGAATGACTTGCTGTGCGATTGCTGTGTAGATTGCGGACTTGCATGACGGACAGTCGCTGGTGACTTCCGTCAACACAAATCTGACAGTGGGGTCGGCTGCGGCGCCTGCGATGGCGGCCCCGGCGCCCAATATGACGGTGGTGACAATCCGCAGCGCGCAGAGCGTGGCAGACATTGTCAAGTACAACATGACCGCATGCATGGTGAGACCGTATGCTGCTCCATTCCTTTCTACTAACATGAGCATTTAGGAACTGTGCTATGATTCTGTCTGTCCCTGTCCCAGAGCTGTCTGTCTGTCCTTATGCGACTGCCTGGAGATGTTGTGGCGCCAAATCACTTCTGAGAGTGCCTGGACCGTGTTTGTTCGCATGCATGATGTGGCCCATCACTATGAAGTCAATCACAATCCTGCTTGCTGTGATTGTCCACAGTGCAGCTGCATGCATGCAGCCAGCAAGGGATGTCACTGCAAGCTGACGCGCTCATGCCGGGGTTCTTCACGCTCTGTAGATCACTGCACATTGTGGGAGCCGGCTTTGCACTGCCAGCTCTTCATCATCTTCTTCTGAGCTAATTCTGGGTGCCCTACAGGCTGTGGTGCACGAGGTGGATCAGGTGTTTGTGCCAGACTTCCAGAGCGTCCAGACAGTGGGCAACCGAGTGATTTACGGGCTCGGAGACGGCAGCGGCGCGCAGAATGTAGTGGCCAATTTCACACTCATCTTGCCTGGGGGAGACATGAACACATCCGACATCAGTGACCCGGTGTATCAGGTCACTGATGCAGGCCTCATGTTCTCTGTCACGCCTGCACCTGTTTGAGTCGCGCTTAGGGGCCAGTTAAAGTCATGGGGTGTTGTCACTTACTCACCTGCAGGGCGCCGTGTGTGACGTTTTTAGGCTGGAAAGTTTGCAGGCTATTTTCTGACAGGCTTGTACTGTGGTTGCTTCTGGAGGGGTTCTGGTGCGCTCAGGTGCAGGTGGCTTTTTGTCTGGGAGGTCTCTTTACAGCATGGTGAAGATTGACTCGTGTGCTCTAATGACTCAGGGCTGTAGATACTATTCTGAGTCATGCAGCGTGTGGAAAAGGGGGCATGATGATCTTTGTGCCAATGGCCATTGAGGCCGAGCCTCCTAGTCCAGCGCTGTTGCCACATCCTAGCATCAAACACGGGGTTTGGCATTCTCTTTATCTGGATGAGTTTGTTCCATTAATTTCAGGTTTCCCACAGTGCTTCAGCAGGACAGCTCCTGGGCAACAGTACCGTATTATGAACGGCCAGCTGCTGTGTGAGCACCACGTTTATGACTCAGTCATGCGCAGGCATTGCTGCGCAGCTGACGGAAACGTTGTAAAACATTTCCTGCTCAATATAGATCAATATTGGTAATGGCCTGCAGGAAAGCTGTGGACTGGTTATATAACCATATATGACCACGCCTGTTCTTTATTATACATCAAAGTCTCATATTAAGTCTCACTTCAAGTCTCAGCAGCCCATCTTGATCATCGCACAGGCATGCATTGTCTGCCTTAACATATTCGCAAGACCTTTCATCTCTTGCCAGCAGGGCCTTCAATATACACTGGTATCTGGCCAGTCTCTGCCAAAGCTTGCATATTAAGTTCCATCAAAGCACGCAACCCATGCATCAGACACAAACTTATTTGATCCACAAATTTTGACTGACTCGGCATTATTCACGACCCTGAAAGTGAGGGCAAACAGGAGGGCTGGGCCGATTTAGCTCATGACAAATGCAGGGCCTTTATGAGGCCCTCAGCGCCGCCGGCATCCCACAATAACACGCGCCCGTCCCACCCAGCCGTGGAGAATCGCCCTGTGGGCTTGCCGGCCTCATCCGTGAAGGCCTGAAGATCCACAATAGCATTGCTGTGCCCCTCTGTTGACGCCCCTTTTCCGGGCAGCTGCTGCGGTACATCTGCTGTCCTCTCCTGTGTCCATCAACAGACGATGTATAGTGCTGTTTATATCCCATCAAAGTACTTTGTGAGCAGTCTACAGACAATAAGCCAAAGAGAAGAATTCAAACAAATTAGGAGCATGCAAGCTGGTGGGTACCATCGATTGCTATGCCAATATCAAGGGTATTGTTTTCTGTCTGTTCTGTTCTGTTCTGTTCTGTTCTGTTCTGTTCTGTTCTGTTCTGTTCTGTTCTGTTCTGTTCTGTTCTGTTCTGTTCTGTTCTGTTCTGTTCTGTTCTGTTGTGAACCTGTTGTGAACCGCTTACAGCAGTGGGCACCTTCTTGGCGGGGGAGCGGAACATGGCGAGCTTGGCTTCGAAAGCTGCGGAGACCCCGGCCCTGCGGACGCCGTCGTCGATGTGCAGCTGCGGCTCCGGCAGCAGGGAACGCGCAAAGGACCAGACGCCGTCGCCGCCCCTCTCAAACAGAAACACCTGCCCCACACAACCAGGACTACCACCGGATCAACAGTCCATGCCGAGACTCTTGCTTGTGCAGGGCATGCACAAATTGCCTATGGCAAATCCTTAAATTAAAGAAACTGGAGTTGAGCGTTACGCAGGAACACTCATAGACTCACTGAGATTGCATCTCTGTCTGGCTCTCTTGAATGCCTGCCACTCGTCAACGCTCGAGAGCAAACCTTGCTGCTTCAAGGTACAGAAATTTGGAAGCCCCTTGTGATAAGACTCCTACCTAAACATGTTTTATATGTTTCCAAGGGCCCACCTGACCGTCAAAGCCAGCGCCAACGAGGCTTGTCTCAGACAGGAACGCAATGCAGCGCAGTGGCAGCTGAGTGAGCTCCAGCAGCTGCCGGCACTCAGGCGGGGGCTGCAGGGAAGCTGCATCGGCGCCGTCCAGACCGCCCAAGATGTGCAGCGCTGGCCCATGGCTGCTCACAACCAGCTGAGAACCTGTCGCCATGCCAAGCAGAGTCAAGCGTATCCCACGATATGCACTGAGCAGATGCTGCAGGATGTTGCGATTGCGTGTGTTCACGCTCACTGACATCCTTAATAAAGATGCCATCTACAAATATAGTGCTTCCGCAGGCTTGAAAACGAAGATCAAATCCAGCTGCAATGTCGTCAAGCTGCGCATTTGCACATGTTTGGTGCGCAAAGCCTCCAATATTCTGTCTGCCTCATAGCCTGACAGATCCCTGCCTGGCCTGACAGAGATGCTGAGTCCAGGAAGGGTAAAAGACACGTTCCATACCTGAAGGTGACCAGGCAACTGCGTGCCCCCAGCCGACACCGGCCTCCACATCCATCAACACATCACCAAACGTGCCAGGTACCGCAGCCTCCCCATCCAAGCCTGCGCACATGCAAAAATGACCAAAGATACTTAGATCGAAGATTTGAAATGTCAGTCACATTCAGCATAGCAAGAGAGCAAAATTGCATGTCACTGTCTACATCAAAGGAAGTCTTGCGCCACTGCCAGAGCACCGCGGGGTTGGCACCTTCCGATAAGGAAGAAATCCACGCCTGACAAGTGATACACTGATTCTTCAATCTGGTCATCAACTACCTGGCGGTGCAGCGTTGAAGACCCTGCAGCGGCCGTCAGTGGAGGTCGTGGCCAGCAGGGCGCCTGCCGGATGCCATGCAACAGCCACCACGCTGCTGCTGTGGCACCTGCAAGGGTCAAAGATCATTCTTGGGGCATGTGCTGTCCATCTAAATGATGAGTAGTTCCAGGGCGGTGTAAGCATGGCAGTCCTGAAGAGTGTGCAGGTTGAGAGAGATGGCCAGCAGGCAGTTATCTGTGAGCTGCATTAAGATAAACAGATGATGGGTGGACGAACCTTCTGAAGTGCTTGCTGACCCACCACTTCTGTCCCTTCTCCTGGTGGCTGATGCAGATCCGCTTCTCACTGCTGCCAATGGCCAGCTTGCGGCCGCAAGGACTCCATCTCACGCACAGCGCTGCCAGCTTCAGCCTCGTGAACACCTGTTCGCAAAGTCACAGAAGTGAAGAATCTCTCTATATAACACGATGATGCAAATACTGGCAAACAGCCGTCCCTTTATGACACGAATAATCGGAAACGGAGACAGATTTAGCATCAAAAGATATACATACCACATCCGGCGCCCATTGGTCGCCGTCACGGCTCCAAACAAACGCAGTGCTGTCATGTGAGCAGGAAACAAAGCTCCCCCCACGATTCCAGTCGATGCTTGAAACAAGCTGCCTGTGCTGCTTCAGGATTGTGGTGCGTGCCAATGCACTTCCACTGCCCACAGCTTCGTAAAGATGTATCTCACTGTTATTTGGGCATATCGCTAGGATGGTACCATCTGAGTTCCAGCCGTGGCAGGAGATCACACTTGCCAATCTGTTGGACATGTTTGTATATCACATTTTCAGCACACCAATGATGTCTTTTCTTGAAATAAGACAATAATTGTTCAGAATTCCTCCGTAAGGTTCCAAGAAATCGCTTTTAGCGTAGTCCACGAGCTCTGGTCGACCAGAGCTCGAGATTTGCGCAAGGCACAAGATGTGTCCGGAATGAGGTATTTACATTGATTTTACGTGACAGTCACGAACTCCTGGACGTGAGGGGCAGAGAGAATTTCAAGCAAGGCGTCCACGTGATAGCTTAAGGTGAGCACGTGCCGCTATTGATGAAACGCAGTACCTCTGGAATGCGAGGCCCAGTCCGTGCACAGGCAATTGGATGGCACAGGTATTGTAAATTAACACTGAAGGATTACTTGCTTTACCCGTCATTGTGAACTCAGAAAGGGCGACACCCATCTGATGTCTTGTGCTTGGGCTGTGAGCCAGGATTGGTGATATGACTTGTGTTAGTCTCAAAGAGAAGAACTTGAATTGCTGCAAAGTTTGAGGAAGAGTTTGAAAGCTTTTGAGGAACGTGACATGAGCTCTTCGGTCCCCAACCTGAAGTTGGCATGTGTCTGAAGACTCCATTAAACCTGTAACTTGAGACTCGTACTCTACCAATAAGGAGATTTTTGTGAAGCCGAGACTCGCTATGGCAGCGTCGCAAAAGAATGTCACTTATGGACTCAAGTTCCAAGCAAGAGCGATGGTGCCGTTCCAATCAGAAGGAGCACAGTCGCGCTGGCTTGTGGGTACCAATGCTCTGAGGGATGAAAACGAGGTGATTTAGATTTTCTCATCCTCTTGCAACCCGACCTTTACAGCTGCTAGACATTACCTGCGCTAGAGAGCACTCTTCACAGATCCTGATGCACATGCAGATCCAAATCCTGGAGTTTGACCCAGAAAAGGACACCATACGGATGGCAGAGGTCCATTCGCACCCGCAGGAAGTGTGGCAGATTGCACCTTGCCCTTCAGACCCGCGCACGCTCATGACGATACACAACGAAGGTATCGTCTCCAAGACGTCAGATGTGTGCCAGACCTGTCTCAATATCTGTGTTTGCACACATGCATGTTAGCATCATGGTTGCCATGTAATCGTCCTTGCTAAGATCCATGCCAGTTGCAGTACAGCTCATGAGTGGCTTTGCCATGCAGAGGGCGTGCACACAGCATCTCTTTGGCACATGCCGGAGGAGAATGGTGCACTGGAGCAAAAGGCAGAGCTCAAGGGCACCTCCAGCGTCAGAGCAGTTGCTTGGCACCCGGCCCAGGCAGATACAGCCCTCAGCGTGGAAGGGGCCAAGCTTCTGCAGTGGCGCCTGGGCGGAGCCAGCGCAGAGGTGAACAAATATCAGGAGCTCGCAGACATTGCATTGGTACTGACAAGTGTACAGACTTTTAGGAGAAACACTGAGTTGCTTTCAGCGGTCAGATGGGTTTGATTCTGCAAGGATGCCTCACTCCTTTTCTGTGGAGGACATGGCATGGCAGGGAGGCCCTGGGAGGTGGGTTTCTGACTATTAAATGATCATGTAAGCTGAAGATTTGGGGCCCCCCTCCTATATTAAATTGATCTACTTGTGCACAGGTGGCGTCAGAGTGCGCCAGCGGTGGCTCGGAGCAGCTGTCGGGGGGCGCATGGGACCCCCACGATCCCAACCGCTTCTGCTCTACTGGCGGCAGCAGCGTGCAGGTGGCGCTTTGGGCTCAACACAGTAGCCATCCTCGCACGGAAACAAATTCAGAAGCTCAAGTCTGTCTCTTGAAACATTCATGCAACATAGAAGCAATGATGCCATGGTCGTCGGACGCCATGGTTAAATTCTTCTTTTCCAGCGTTGCATGCTTGGCGCATCAACTTTGCATGAAGCAGGACGCATCAGATGCAGCATTGCCGGAAGGGGTGCTGCTTCATGTTGAGATGGGCATGTATCACCAATATGAGATCAAGTGCAGCCTTCCAAATGTGTTGGGGCATGCATGCATGCATGCGTACAAAATTGAGCCTTGCTGGCCGGCTCAGGTGTGGGATCTGAGGAGTGGGCAGCAGAGCGGGGCCATCAGCAGCGCGCATGGGATGCCGGTGCGAGACGTGGACTTTGCGAAGCAGCAGGACAACCTCATTGTGACGGCCGGGGACGACTGCAAGCTGCGGCTGTGGGACCTCAGGCATGCCCCTGTCCAAGAGCTTTAGACGGTGTATATTGCTGACTCACCTGTACAAGTTCTGGAAGTGAATGCCCTGCTCGGTCTCTGGTCAGTGTATAGCATTGAAGTTTAAAGTTGCTCATGGAAGTGATGGCGCCTCGTTGTTGCTGAGGCAAGTCAGGGGTGAGCGTGCATACAATGACAAACGAGGGGCTCCAGTGAAAGTAGACTCTCTAGGAGCTTCTGTCCAGACTACAAACGCTTTAAAAATAGGGAAAACACGCACTGAGAGCAGGAAGCCTGTATGCAGGAAGCTGGAAGGGCCGTCGTTAGCAGAGCTTGGGGGCCACTCCCACTGGGTGTGGCAGGCGCGCTTCAACCCACAGCACGACTCCCTCTTACTCTCCGCATCCTCCGACACCCTTGTCAACCTCTGGTATCTTCCCTCACACGCCGCCTCGGGTGAGCCATCCCTCCCGCATCCACCCACTCTCTTCTGGCCGCCAGGCTTTTCCCTCTGCCTAATAGAGAAGAGATGATTGTCCCAATCGCTGCAATGTTGAGGCTGCAGCCTTGATGCATGCCCTGCCAGAGAAAAGTTTGAACATGTAGACTAATGCTTCCTGTGATATTCTTGGAGAATCAAGTCTATGTGCTTGTCCATGTGCATGAGAAGGCTAGTCACAGCCCTTGCGCTGTCTGCTTGCCTCCTGACTCCCCGGTGAGACCCGGTGCATGTGCTTTTCTGAATTTGAAATTGCGCTTGAATAGAAGCGAGGAAGGCGCAGTCTGCGATGGCGTCCCCGGCCGGAAAAAGAGCGGCAGCCGCCGGTGGCGCCGGTGCGAAGGACGGCAAGGTGCAGAGCTACGGGGACCATGAAGACAGCGTCTACAGTGCGCACCTCCCCTCTCATGCACTCCTTGCACTGTACACTGCAAAGATATTGCAGTGTACAGTCCACACTTGGTCTGCATCCCTTGTCCTCCAGGGTGTGAGGGGCATGCCCTATTGCATCGTATACACTGTGCACTCCTGCACTCCTGCGCCCCATTGGCTCAAAGCAGCTTGAACTCTCTTTATGGCGCCAGGTGGTCTCTCACTTTGGGGCCTCCATGCAAATCATTCTATCTAAGAGGTTTGAATAAACTGAATGACAAGTGTTGTGTGCAGGTGTTGCATGGAGCACATCAGACCCGTGGACATTTGCCTCGCTGTCTTATGATGGCAGGGTAGCTGTGCACCGCGTTCCCTCCCAAGTCAAGTACAAGATCCTCATCTGATTATCACACGAGCTTGTGAGTACAAGTACTACCTGTTTGTGCTGGAGATTATCACAAGATAAACTCCAGCATGATATTCAAGGATTGTACAGTGTAGTGACTGGCGTTGAAGGCTGGCACCGCATTGTTGTAATGCCCAAAGAATGAGCAGGCACTGTCCTATTTATTAGCTGGAAGGGGCTTGAACATAGTTCTCAAAAGCTCATTACACATTGTATACGCACCAGCTGGGCAGCACCTTATATCATTGTCTGCGCTTCAACATTATGTACCGAATGCACCATTCAACGTGCAGGACTCATCGCAACCATGAATCTTGTAATATGCTCCTATCGTATACTTCGGCAGTCAGGCGCTTGATCCATCAACCATTATCTCAGCATTGCCAGAAATTCCGCCAGGTGCTCACAGGCACTTCCACTCATCCACTGGTTGTCCTAATGCTCTCACCAGGGCTAAAGCACCTATTCAATAGCTCCTTTCCTAACACACAGCCATAAATTCCACTCATAAGGAGCACTTAGACGCCTTTCTGTACTTGCGCAAGGGACTTCTCTATCAAACATCCCATACTGGGCTAATATCAGTATTTGTGTTTATTGCATCCATGCGCGTGCGCATCTATTCCTGGCCCGGTAAGCCATATTCTTCAAATTCATAAAAGATCAGTGTCCTGTCATCTGAGCAGTTCTGGTACTGTAAAGCAAAACCGCATAGGCACGGTGCCTTGTCAGAAGAACACATGCTTGTATACTCCACACAAATGCCTCCACCAAACAAAGTAGTATACACCTACGCTGTCATCGCCTGCCGAACTGATCCTACCTAGCAGCAAAATCAACACATATGCAACCATGGCAACTCTGCACGTCAGCTCAGTCCACTGAGGACTGGCCGCGGTAGCTCACTACTTATATCTTTTTTGGCCGTTTAGGTGCACGCATGCACAGCGGCTCAGCAGGAGACCTTGTAGTTGATGTTGTACGGGGTATATCCAGCGGGTGTGCTGAAGGTGGACTCACTCCAGAAGCCCTGCGCAGCAAAATTGTCAAATCCTTGCCTATGGTCTCGTGGTGCATAGCTTGCTGTGCATCATTGATGCAGCAGGATGAAAGACAATTTGAGCAAATGTCTCGAGCACAATTGCTAGAAAAAAGACTTTTGCACACTGTGCTGTCACAGGCGTATGCCTCTTTTCCAGGTTCGAAGCCAGCAATGTCAATGAAGGCAAGGTGTGGCAACCCATGGAGTGGGACGGAGGCAACGCCCACGTACCGAGGATGCGAAGGGCATGGCAGACAGATCCGCGGCAGTCGACCACTCAGCACCGGTGCTGGACGAATCAGCAGCAGCAGCGTCGGCAGCGGCCGCCATGGCGCCAGCGGCCGCGGCTGCGCCCTGCATCAGCTTCCGCCCGGCGCTGGTCGAAACAGTCGACAGCGTCTGCGTCGCAACGGGGCCCGCGTTAGTCTGCGCGGCAGGAGCGCCGCCCGCGTTGCCCCACGCGTACGCGCCAGCGGCAGCCGGCGCGGCCGGCGCGGTGTCGGCCGTCCCGGCATCCGCTGCCACCGGCGGCGGGGTCGCCAGCGGCGTGGCCGCTGAGTTGTCCACCGGGAGCTGCGTCGCAGCGGCGGCTGCTGGAACAGGCGTCTCGATCGGTGCAGCAGTCACACCCATACGGCCGGTGACCGGCTGCACTGGTGTGACAACGGCGGCGGCTGCGGCGGGGGCGACCGGGGCGGGGGCGGGCGCCGCGGGGACGGGGCGGCCGTCGGCGCCGAGCAGCGTGCAGCCGGCGACGGCCGGGCGGGTGGTATCGGCGAGGAAGTCAGCCACCTTCTGGCTGAAGGGCGCGATGATGTCGCGGAAGACTCCGCTCTGGGTGGCTGCATGCGCGCCAGCCCCAATTGTCAGAATCTGCTGCTTACCACTTTGCAGGAACAATTCAACCCCTTTCCACCCCATATTTGCAGTAAAAGTCCACCAGCTGATAACAATGCAGGCCCAGTGGGTGTCATTGCGATGGATCCCGCATCGCCAAGCTATGCAGAACAGATGTGACAGAATGCAAACTCTTTTCACTTGCAAAGTCATGATGACAGCATAGGAGGGGGCGGTGGCAGCCCCTAGCATCCCTCATCCTTTCTGCCCCTATCTTGAATGTTTCCTCAATCAATGACCTCATGGACTGCAAACATGAGATCAGAGCAGAGAGAGGCAAAGCAGCGCACAGATGGTGGCTGCCTCGTCGAAGCCGCCGTTGTTGGCAGCCGCGTCCACCGAGGCCCAGCGCCAGAACATGATGCCCTTGTAGCCGTAGCCGGACGTCACCGAGCCGAGCGCGTAGTCGTAGGTTAGCTTGAAGTAGCTGTACTGATTTGCGTATGTCTCTGTTGCTGCCGCCATCCAGCCGCCCTGCTGGCCTGCACCACCAGAAAACCCCCCTTGTCTTATTTCCCGGAACACTCCAGAATGAATTGTTCACCCTTGCTGATAAGTGGACAGGGGGTACTAAAGATTAACCCCTGTAGTCTTTAGAACCCCCTGAGTTGGATGCTCACTTTGCGATGCTACATGTGCTTGCACCTGCAGTGCTGCACGCACTGGGCATCAAGCAGCCAATGCCAGCCACAGCTTCAGACAATGCCCAAATGGGCCATGCTGTGCTGTGCCATGATCAAACAGGAAGTCTAAACAACAAGTAACCCAGAAATCCTGAGCGAGGAGTGCTGCTGTGGCCTGCTAGCGAGGCAGACGCAGGCGCTCGCACACATATAGAGAAGCTAGGGAATGGTGCCCTCACACCCTGTGAACCTCAGAAAGTACACATTATGATGTGACAAAGCAAGTGGTCAGGCAGGAATGACAACGCCGCGCACCGGCGGCCTTGCCCAACTCCTCAGGCACTGCGAAAGGGCATTGCAACAGCTACTGCAGGGGTTTGTCTAAAACAAGGGGCGCGAAGGGGGTGCGGACCGACGGCCTTGCCGAACTCCTCAATGACCACCGGCTTGCCCAGGTACCAAGCATCCTTCATGTGAGCGTCCAGCCACGCGCGGCCAAAGGCCTGGTCGGTCCTGTCCCAGTTGTCTGGCCACATGTGGATGGATGCAAAGTCGATTCCGTCCACGAGGTGGTTGGGCAAAAAGTCCTGCCCGGTTTGCAGCGGCCACGCGCCGCCGCCGCCAGAGTTGCTCGGGTTGGCCCTGCGGCGAGACGGCGTTCCCTCGTCAGATTAGTCATGTACACGCCTGATCAGGCTCTTGGGTGATAAGATCAGTCATCGTCGCCAATCTTGAAACCATGCAAGGGCCTGATCAGGCTCTGGGGTCATCTAGTCATCGCTGCCCTTTCTGATGCGTTTGCCTGATTGACTTCTGATTTTAATCGCTGCCATGCTGGGAACACGGCAGCTCAGAACTCACTATGCACTGGCATTACTAAATGGCTGAGTCGCCACTGCCATAATTGGGAGCTCTGCAGCTCTTGTCAGCTCAAAAGCTGAGTGACATGCACCCACTCATGGAAGCTGCCATTCTGATGCTGCCCCTCGAAAGACACTTAGTAAGGGAGTTGAGCTAACCATCAGGTCTCCTGCAATGTCTGGGACTTGGTGGTATGTCATCTCAATGTCCATTGGCAGACCTGCCTCACGCACTGTGACCACAGCTGCTTCCCTGCACACAAACGGGCACAATGCCAACAGCAGGCCTGCACAAGGTGACTATAGAGAGAGAGACAATATAAGGGGCGCTCACGAGGCTGCTTGGCAGTTGGAGGCCTGGTAGAAGCCGTCCTCTCCCACAGTCACCAGTTGGTTGGGCGCCAGGCTCTTCACATAGGGGGCCACCTCCGTGATCCAGCTCTGGATCTCCTGTGCGCCGTTGCTCTTGGCCGAGCGGGGCTCATTCATCAGATTCCAGCCTGCACAGCCCCCACAACGAGCCCTTGAGTCTCCACACAATAGATAGTGGCTTTTGCGAGCAGCACCATCGCCCACTGTGTTCTGTGGGAGGAGCTACCTAATCAGCGTGTCAGTCAGTGCAGTTGCCCCCGCAGAAATTACTGCGCTGCCATATGGTTTACAGAAGCCACCTTCTGTGCATGCTAGCCTCCTTACACTGCAAGCTTACACACTCATGTGCAGCTAGTCACCGGACGACTCTGCCCAATGTCCTTTCGGTGGACAGAGAGGCCTGGTTCCTGACCCTACAATCCTGGCAAGTGCAATTCCGTGCTACCCCAAGGTGGACAACTGAGATGTAGCAAATTAGCTGCTTGCCCAAGCCAAGCATATTTTGTGCACATCCCTGCTGTAAACTGCAATGCCCTCCCTAGAGGCCACTCGGCCATTAAGGACCAGAGAGTCGCATGTCAGGGTATCAGGGGTGTTAAAGGGGCCGCGCACCAAAGATGGTGGGGTCGCTGCCGTATGTGACGCCCGTAACAGTGTTGACGCGCGTGAGCACTGCCTTGACGTGGTTCTTGTACAGGTTGATGGCATTCCTGTCGCTGAAGAAGTCATCGCACTGCCGCGCTGTGGTCGTCCAGTTGGTGTACGAGCACCTGCGCGCACATGGCTTTGTTGGGTGAGTAAGCGCCTTACTTTATCGGTGGAATATTCTTAAGCATGCAGGAAAGTCCTGCACTAAACCAGCTGCTACAACCCTCTTTTCGAACCAGTTCTGGCATTGAAAGCGCAGACAGGCAAAGTGAATCATGAATAACGTTCTCTTGCACAAGCCAAAGCCGTTTGAGCCCTGGATCATGCTGAGCAATGAGCACAGCAAAACAGCGTTTAATGTGACACTGACGATTGCTTTGATGCCAACTTTAAGGGCACTCTTTGGTGCCAGAGATCATCTCCTCAATGACCACATCAAATCCCCTTTGAACAGAGCAACCCTCAAGGGAGGTGGGCAGCGCACTTCCAGTCGGTCTGGAGGGTATTGTAGCTCCAGTTGTTGGTGAGCGCAATTATGAGCTTGATGCCTGCCTTGCCGGCCTCGGCTACAACGGTGTCGAGACCCTTGAATGCGTACTCATTATAGACCCCAGCCGAGGTCTGCAGGTTGAACCCCTTCTGCACCGGGAAGCCGAAGATTCGCACCACATTGAAGTGCTGGCGCGCTGCGTCACAACACAGGGGACTCAATTTTAGGATTCTTTGTGTCACTTTGTGTCATATGCAATATTCCTTCCAAGAACAGCAGGTCAGATTAAGTGAGGGCTCTACTGCATCTCGTTGCGCATCTGTCTTAACGTCACAATTTCTCCTTGACCCGCACATGTGCCGAAAGACATCCGCAGATTTGCCACAAGACATCACGATAGTTCTTGCATATCTTGCTTGTGGCGATCGGGCACAACAAAAACAACACGCTGCAGCTTCCTTCAGCTGCCAAAGTCATGTAGTGCAAGCTTGGCAAGCTGACAGGAAAGGGGAGGATGGGGTGCTCACCAGCCTCTTGGAATTGGCTGACTAGTCCTTGGTAGTTCCCGCAGCACATGTTCAGTGCAGACTCCAGAGTCTGCATGGCATCAGCGCACTTGAGTCACACTCACAATTTGACCGCGGCATTGCACGTTCTAAAGGCTATATTTTTGGTGGGCAATTTCAGGAGCGAGCCAGGGAGATCGACAGGGGGAGTGAGCAAGGCAATGCTCACCTGCCATGCATTGTAGCCGCTGAAGAGAAACTCCTTGCAATTTTCGTCCACGAAGACTCCATTCTGCACTCGGATGTGGGCAGAGGCCTCTGCACAAAGGGCAAGAGCAATACTACTCAAAACCACTTGGCTCCTTCCTCCGAGGAAATGCCAAGTATGCATGCTCTGATGAAGTCTCCATCCTGAAGTCTCCGTCAGGATATTGCTGTCCGGAGGTATTGAATTGAAGAGTCTGCTTTCGAGAAGACCTGAAAGGTAGGACACATTTTCCAGGGCAATTGCAGTGTCAGCTAATAAGCAAACTACTACGCCATCACGAGCTTAGTCTTGGATCGACTCAGCTCTGGCAAATTAGTTTCAATTTGGTATGCCTTCTGATAATCGGAATGCCCAAGCCCGCAATTGAAAACTTTTGCTGACTTGCTAAAAGACGGCTGAGAGATGCCGAACGCAGCTGTGGCCCTTGAACACATTCCCTTTATAAAGTTAGGAGTATGACCATCCAATATGAAGAAAAAGCAACGATATGAGAGGAAATTTGGATTCGCGGAACGTGAAACTGATGTATATCGTGCTGGGTACGATGTCGCCCTGGCTGTTCCTGCCAGGTCGTCCATGCAGTGAACGCACCTCTCGCGAGAAGCAAGACCACGAAAGCAGACAGAACAGCAAACGCAGATCTGCCTCTGGTGGTGCACATTTTGATTGCTGAAGCTTCCGTGCCGCAAGAGCACTCTCCGATCCGGTTCCTACTTCCCGGCTGGGACCTCGCCCCTATATCTACACAAGTACAATCCCGATGTCTGTCACGTTTGATGCAAATTGATCACTTCGACTGCCTCCAAAACTTCGCTTGGTCTGGAGAGACGTACTCTCTTTGCCTCTGCGACTTGACCAACGAGGTTGATTGTTCTGACGGGGGGTCCGCTAAATGTCAGCCGCGGCCGCCTGCCGACAGGACTGTATCCCCTTTCGCCATGGGCTTCACGTCAACCGTCGACGTGACGTTGATAGTGTTGTTGACATCACGATAAGTCCTTCAGTGACTTCAATGAGATGTTCAGACAAGAAGTGAATATTGAATCAGTCAATGCATACCATACTGATGATGAAATGCCACGAATAATAATATTTTAAGTCGCTGAGTACCCGTCAAATACCCCTTCATGGACAGTACAGATTTCCACCTAGATGTTAGGAGCATATTGAATATTGTTTACATTGGAGACATTGACACACAGATTCTGCAATGCACCTGTACACGACGCCGCAGTTCCTCAGGCATCTTCCAAGGGTTTCGTTCGTCGATTTTAGTAGCTTTGCCATTTCAAGACCAGTCCTGAGAACAACGCATGTCGCCCGTTGCAATATACCTGACGGACCAATTGACCTTACGTGACCAGCTGACCAAAAGCTAGAAGATGCTGACAAGTACCTGAGGTCCCCACCTGTGCAGAGATTTATGGGGCAGGTGCGTGTTCTGAGCGCAATGAATTATCTTGTTAGAGAAGACGCGTGTAGCTTCAATCAGCTTTCAAAAGTTGCTTGCAATTCTGCTTTTAACATGAAGAGCTTGCTCCCCACAGATGCTTGCCCGAGGAGACCTGACAGAACATCAAAGGAGACTGTTCACAGCATACCTTATTCCAGATTTTCTGCTGCCAGATCGAGAGCACATCGCGGAAAACTCACCTTCCCTTGGATCTGGTGCTTTTTGGATCATGTACACAAGTCGCACAATTGAGTGAAAGTCATCTGAAGTGGACTGAAGAATATCTGAAGTTCCCTAAAGGGCGCCTAAATTTGCCCTTTCAGGTGGACTTCAGATTAGCTTTAGCTCCGGGGGCATTCTCGCAGTGCAATTATTTTAATGTGAAAGATGCAGGGTGCCTAGGCTAGAGGGCTTGCACACTTGGTCTGCCTCAGATTGCTCTGCTTCACATTGTGCAGATAAACATTCGTCAGGAGAACAAAAGGGGATATGTCGAGTCTTCCATGGAGAAAGTGCGACATATGCAGTGTGACAAAGAACTTCAATTGATGATCCTTCCGAAGACGAAGTACAAGATATCTGAGGAGGCTGCTGTGAAGCTCTTCTGGGGTTTTAATATTGACAACCCAACAGACAGGGAATTCAAAATGAATCTCGACTACGCTGAATCTATCAAAATCTTCACCCTGGATGGTATGCTCTTTTCACTTCCCTGTCAGAACACCTCCATTGACAAATTTCGCATGTGAAGTCTTGCCTGTCTGGTTGGCCCTGGGCTTTGGTAAGGACCCTGTTGAGCATGCGGCCGGATTTGTAGCATCTGACCATATATCTCTTTTGCACAAGAGAGGACATGATAGAATATCTGGTATGCCTTTATTGACCTTTATCGCCGTTGCAGGAGACAGCTGAGTGAGCTGAGGTGACCCTCTTGGCGAACTTTGCGAGTTTCCATGGACGGATGCATGTACCAGGACCACACTAGGACCTTATGAATCAATGCAAGAATTAACATGAAAGAGCCCTATGTCCCGACAACCGCATGCCATTGCAGTATGTTGTTGCAAGGGCAGTCTTGGCAATAAACTGCACGTTAACAATATTACAAAGCATGTAACAGGATGTATCATTGCTAGTTCCTTCCATTTGCAGACAGCTCACTCCACACTCTGACACCACTGTGACAATCCAAAATCAGGTTGTCCTTCTGTTTCAATCGCAAGGCAATATTTTGTAACATGCGGCAAGGCAAGACGACCGAAATCCCTCATCATTAAGCAAAACCAATCACTTGCTAGCAAAGCGAAAAACACAAGTGCCATCCGCCACTGCAGCTGGCACAATCGACATGACAAACCCAGACAAGATCACACAACGCAAAACATACAGAGGGAACCTGCTCACTCTGCGCACCACTGAAAACAATTCGTCGTCATTTTGAAACACACATTTGAGGCCTGCCAGTTGCTCACAGCCGCAAAGCAGCGATAACTTACGGGTCAGCCCTAAAAAGCCAGCGACTGACATTCTTCTTGGTGTAATCAAATACATGCACGCCTTGCGGCCCCTGCTGTGCTTGCAGTGCTTCTATAGACCTTCTGCTGTACCATCATGGAGCTTTAATGGCGCTCTACTGTTCAGATTTCCCACATCACCGCTGGGCAACATGACCACATCTGCGCCTCTTTGCTGAAGCAGTGCCAGTTGCGCAATCACTGATTGTCACTCAACGTCACCGCCGCTGCATCACCCGCACCCATAGCCGCCATGACAGCTGGCTGCAATGGCTCCGCAGCGTGCCCTGCCAGCTCGGGGGAGCTGGCTGGTGCATCCACAACTGCACGCGAAGCCTTTTCAGGTGCTGCTACCTGAGCAGTCTCCGCTGCCTGTCCAGGCGCGGGCGCTGCATGCGCATCCGGCGCGTCTGCCAGGGCGATGCCTCTGCCGCTGGCGGCCAAATCTGGCGCCACACCCTCTGCTGGGTCAGGCGCAGCAGCCTCTTCTGCAGGTGCTGCCAGCACACTGCCATTCTGCACCCTGCTTGGGGACTGCACGTCTGCTGTTGGCTGTTCTGCAACGTACAGCTCATGCGCATTCTCCACCTGAGCGGCGCTTGCCGCTTCATGCTCAGCCACGGCTTCCATGCTGACCTCTGGGCCAGCCGTAGAGCTGGAGGTCAACTCAGCGGCAGCAGGCTGTGGCTGTAAAGGAGTCTGTGCCGCAGGCTGTCGAGGGACCACTGCGGCGCTGTCAGACACCACTGCTGGCGACACTGCCGCGTCTGCCTGCTGCACAACCGGCTGCCCAGCGCCCTGCGGGGAGCCCTGCGGGGGGCCCTCTGCCGCTGACATGGTGGGCACATCAGACTCCATCGCCGCAGCAGCGGCCGCTGCTTGCCCAAATAGCTCGTCCGGCTGCAGCCTGCCTCCCGCCTGATCCAGGGAGCCGATCCCCAATGGAGATGGCTCTTCATTGCGCGCATCCGCTGCGAGCGGTTGCTTCGGCGCGTCTGCCGGAGACGGCTGCCCCGCAGCACCGGGGCCGGGGCCGGGAGCGCTGTCGGCCACGCTCGGCCGATGTGCGTCGGCCGTGGCCGAGGCGGCGGCGGTGGCGGCGGCGAGCATGGCCTTGACGGCCTCGGTGGAGGGCGGCCAGGGCTGCGGCGGGGGCGGCGAGGCGTTGGCAAGGGGCAGCGCTGGGGGAATAAGCTGCTGCGGCGAAGCTGGCCCGGCCTGCCCTATCGACCGGAGCACCTCAAGCAGCGCCGGCGTGCTCACATGGCCCGCTGCAGACACAACGCACCAATCCTTCACGCGCTGAACACGCGCTTCCAGCAGATATAACAGATGCTGTCTGCAGACCCTGGCTGATGGCTGATGTGAGGTACTGCAGCATTTTTTACACATATCCAGAATGCAGAAAGATCAAATTTTCAGGTCCACAGGACCAGACTCTCTTGGGCCCCTCATTGTGCAATTGGTATCAAGTACAGGGGTGCGAATGGTATCAAACACAGGCAGAAAGCGCCTTCATGCTTACAAAATAGAGCAGGAGCTGCAACACCTGCCCCTCACCTGAAACTCCGATGCCGATGGCCAGGTCGCCGGAGAGCAGCGGCGGCGACGCGGCGCTCACACGAGGAGAAAACGTCGTGATCGCCGGCGCTTCCGGCAGCGAGGAGGGGGGCCCGGCACGCCTGTTGACATCATCATCAGTCTTTCGTTATTGGCCCATGCATAAATCTAAACCTGAAGGCTACGGCTACATTCTTTGAGCAAGGACAGGCCCTGACCAAGCAGCAGGACACACAACCCTGTCCCCATCCCCTCGTGCAGAAGGGGAGGAACAAGCTCGCCTCTTCATAGATGAGGGCACATGACTGGCAGAATGTGCCTTATTCCGTAGTGGCAAAACTGTGGCAGCTTTGGGCATGATGAATAAGCAGGGAGTCTGGGTAGAGACATCTGCTATACTGACATGCATGCAACACAACGCACCTGTGCTGCAGGAAGCGAGCCATGCGGTCGCTGAGGTCATCGCTGGCAGCCAGCGCCTCTCGTGGCAGCGATGCGCGAGCCCTCACACCCTCCTTTAACCCCACACTGTTCCTGGCACTACTCCACTCCCTGCAACGCATGCTGCTTTCTTAAATTTAAATGCTCCAAATTAACGCTTCAGTTGTAAGAAGCTATAGGTTAAAAAAGGCCTTCTGACGTGGGTAAGGTTTCATGGTGAGGTTTTGAGGTCTGTGGTCAATATTGTCTGTGGTCAATGTTCACCAGTCTGTGTTCTAATTGCTTGAGAGCCTGCATCTTGACGCACATCCATGCCTTTCCCAAAACCAAATACACGGCTGTGACATGCATGCTGGTCTCGTAAAGGATCAGATAAGCATCAGGAGAGCTTGATTAGGGGAGAACATCAATTTCACACTGGCAATCATACCACTGTACTGCTCCAAGATAAGGGATATTTAAGAATGACAAGGAAGGGAGCCTGCCTGGGGTGTCTGGCGAGTTCCTGGGCGCTGTCAGCCGAGCGCAGGGCGGCCAGCTCGCGGCGTATCTCCTCCAGTCCGCCCAGCAGCGGGCTGCCCTCGCGGCTGACGTGGCAGCTCACCGGGCGCTGACTAGGCGCCGGGCTGCCCGCTGGGCTCGGGGTGGGCAGCGAGCTGCTCATGGAACCTGCCACGCCTAATCTGGCCGCCAGACTGCTGCCGCCGCCAGTGCTGAATAGCTGCTGCTGCATGCGCGCTCCCCCAAGTGAGCCGCCGTGGCCCGGCCTGATCCACGTTCAAATTAAGATTCAAACCTGAATGTCCTTGAAGTTGAGAGTCAGAGCATTAGGGTGAGACCTGAGAGAAGGGACGATACAGCGGAGCACATTGGGCGACGAACAATGGATTTGTTGGACGAGCAAGGCTGTGGCTTGCCGTTATGCACAGCGTTGAGCGCTCCGTATGACGAGCCTTGTAAAACTCAGCGCCAGCTCCGAACGCAAGAAAATGTTGTAGAGAGAGCAGGCGTGGACACCCTGGCAGACAAGAGGGAGGCATACAGAGAAGAGGGACAAGTGTGCCAAGCGTAAAGCAACACAAGGAGACGCATGAAGGGGGGCAGCATCAATTGCGCGCCCACCTGACGTTCTCCCGAGCTATGAGCGGCAGCAGGCCCTGGTGGGGCATGCTCTTGGCCGCTGCCTGCCGGGCAGCGGCAGCGGGCAGCAGCTGCTGCCCATCCACCGCCTCCGCCACCTCAGCGGCCGCCGCTGCCCTCGCGCCCGGCGACGGCCCGCGCTCCTGGCGGCATTTACAAAGCCTCAGTAATCCTACTTTCATTTGCCTCAGTCATGCACGCGTACGCCTTGATGAGGAGACCTCAGTTCGTCCCTCGGCATTCTGCTGTGACAACAACTGCTCTAAAGAATGACAATGCCGCCTAGGAGTTGTATACTCAGACCCAACGCGATCTTCGCAGGCAAGTGATAAAATCATGGTGCACAGAAGCTGTCTTGCTGTGGTACCATGTATGAACAGAAGCAGTACAGCGCCCTGCACACCGATGTGAGTGTCAGCAAGGTGCACTTCTAAACCTCTAAAGGTCTTTTTAAACTTCCAATGCGCACCAGGTCGCTGAAGGCAGGAGCAGCCGGCGGAAGCTGGCCGCTGTAGAGGCCCGGCGGCGGCGCCGACTGTGACTTGTCTCGCGCTGCGTCAGCGGCGGCTGCAACCGCCTCCAGGCTGGCGCCAGGTGGCGTGGAGAAGGGGCGCTCCGGCTGCTGGACCTGCGCACAGCAGCCCCACAGAATCAAAGGAGTCGCGCGCAAGGCAGCCAGCGTGGTGCAGGCTCGCGCTTGCAGGGTCGGCGCATGCTCATGGTCCCTATGCTGTCTGCCCCAGTTCTTATTGCTAGGTAGTGAGACAATGCAGGCACTGGGTTGTATGAGGCTTCCGATCCGGTTGTCAAGTACCCTCGTTCCGGCTTTTGAGCTACAGAGATGACAAAGCTCAAGCCTTTGCAAAGCAATACTATGAAAATCAACACGATATAATTCACCCAGCTGAAGGTGAAGCAAGCACCTGCAGGCGCTCGAGAGCGGCAGTGGCGAGGTCGGCCGGCGCGGCGCCGGAGCCGGCGGCAGCGGCGGTGGAGGGCGGGGGGACCGAGGGGGTGCCGGAGACGGCCGGGGAGTCGGCGGCGTCGGTTCGCGAGCGCTTGCGGCTGATCGGCTGCACCGCCGATATCGGCAGCTCCATCCGGTCCAGTCCCAGCTGCGGACAATCCACATTGTATTTCAATTCACTGAAGCCACAAGGCACATTCATGTGAGCTCATTTTCTGAATGGCCTGGACCAAATCTTGTCCAATACTTAATGCCTGGACCGAATCCTAACCCGGGGATAAGGCCAGGAGCCCGAGCCTGTCTAGCCTCCTCACAGCTTTGCATTGCATGTGCAGGCAGGCCATAAGGATGAGATTCTTGGCCATAATCTGATTTCGAATTGACGACTGAGCGATTATATTGCTTGCTCTATGGCATGCAGGCGTGGAGGACTCTGGCACAGAATAGGGGGTGTAGCAAGAGGCGGGGAAGGGGGATAAGGAGAAAGTCACCTTGACCTTGTAGTTCTGGTAGTAATTCTTGATCTGCGTCAGCGTCTTGCTGGGCACCGCCTCGGACAGCCGCGCCCAATTGCGCCCATGCATCTGCAATCAACAAGAAAGTGAATATCATGGAAAGCACAAGGGGGTGGACTTTGCACTGCAAAGGTTATGCAGCATGCAGGTCAACAGCGAGCAAGACTGCTGAAGGCGATGCATGTTGATGCATGCTGAGCTGTGCGGCCAAAATGCGCATTTCTAGGTGGATTAGCACAACAGTACCTTGTAGGCTTCGATGAAGGCGACCTTCTCCTTCTCTGTCCACAGAGACATCTGCCGCTTGGCAACCACTGACTCAGCCACCTGCGGCTGCAACCCAGCCCACCCACTCACACCACTGCCAGACACACTGAATCATGTTTGAAAATAACAGGTGAATGCCCTCAATTTGACATGTTCTTCCCAGGCAACTCGCCATGTCCATAATTCATACAAGGCTGCACAGCCTGACACAGTGCCAGATATCAGACGTCGTCCTCTCATCTCCACACATTTAACCACCTCCCGAGAAATTGCAGTCCCAGCAGCTAGTCACATGCAACAGCGCTCACCTCGTCGACAGGTGCGGCGCAGAAGACAGGCAGAGAGTCAGCAGAGGCGCTCTTCTTCATTATGAGGGCCTCGCCGCGGGGTGGCGGGCCCCCCACCAGAAATGGCGGTGGCGGGCCGGGGGGGCCCGGTCCCCCCTGCGGTGGCCCCTGGTGGGGGTCCACATCCATGCGCGCGTGCAGGCCGTTGTCATAGCGCCACCTAGCCTCCTGACTTGGATCCAGACCCAGGCCCTCCATGCCTAAAAGGCAGGTGCATACATCCCAGTTAAATTGCCGTCCAAGTCATCATGTGATTCAACCTCTGACCCATGGCCAACAGATTACATCCTAAGATATCACCGGATGATTCGGCAATCCAGACCAAACTTTTTCGTGTGTCTAAATTGGACAGGCGCACCTCTTGAGGCCTCGACCCTGATTCACAGGAGAAAGAATAAGAACCACAGCACCTTGCAAGACATGCGTCGGATGCCAGACACGTGCTCCAACGATGGACAGAAAGAGCACCTCAGCTGCATCAGAATCTGTCTCTTCATAAGAGGCAAAGAGTACGCTACCCACCTGCAGCGTCCGGGGGAGACAGCGGCCGCGTGCTCTTCATCTGGGCCTCTTTAAATTCAGCCATCGCCTGGAGGTTGTCAAGCTGCTGCTGCACGCCCATCTGCTGCTGCACGCCCATCTGCTGCTGCAGCTGCTGCTGCTGGAAGTGGAAGGCGCGCTCGTCCGCAGCTGCCTGGAAGCCGCCGCTGCCAAGCGGCAGCTGCCCTGGAAGCTGCCCCGGAAGCTGCCGCTCCGGCACGACGCTGTGCATCGCCGCTGACATCGGCGCCATTCCCCCTGCACCCTGCAACGCCTGGAAGGAGCACAAAGGGCAGATCAGTCACTTGGCCTACATCCGACACTTGCAGAAAGTCAAACCAAGCACAGCGCAGAAGATACTTAGATGTCAGGTAGGACATCTCAAATTGGTCCTGCATACAAGTGGCCCTATTGCACGAATTCAGAGCAGCGTCAAGAGTTGCCCCAGTCTCCTAAGTTGATTCAACAGTGTTAGTGGGGCATGCAGCTGTGATGATTGACAAGCACGAAGGTTCCACAAGAAAGCACACCTGGAAGAGGGCGTAATTCTGCAGGTTTAGGTTGAGTGGGTGCAGCCCAGGCATGACCCCGGGCATGAGCAGCGTGGGATTGAGGCCTGGGGGCAGGCCCCCCGGTGGGGGGTGGGCCCCCATGCCCGGGGGGCCCCCGGCGGCCGCCATCTGGTGCACCAGCATGTGGAGCACATGCGGGGGGAGGCCCATCTGCTGCATGAAGTGCAGTGCTTGCACGGGGTTTGGCTGCTGCTGCTGCTGGGCTTGCGCGTGCGCTTGAGCCTTTGAAGCACATATCCAGGTGTCAGACAGTGAGCAGAGAGCCGTTAGGGTGTTGCACAACTCCCTTTCCATCATGCAGGAAATGCCGGGACTGAAGCTTTCCAAAAGCCCCCAAATCTGGGCCTAACATGAATGCCTGTGCTGACTTGAGGCATGTTGGTCTTACAGCATTGCCACTTATCTTCCCCTTTCCTTTGCTCTTTGCCGGGATAGACACCCAGCACTACTAAAGCTGACTGAGCAGCCAGCAAGCAAGCATTTCCAATCATGAGTCAGCGAGAAGGGAGTGACATGCAATTTGCAAAGGTCAAGACACACCTGCATGAGGCCCGCCAGCTGAGGGGGGATGTTTGGTGGAAATGGTCCGTGCATGCCGCCCACGTCGCCCATGCCCTGAGCCGCAAGGTGTTGCAGCACCTGCAGCACAACAAGCGCACATGTCAACATGATACCCTTATGCCAAGCCACGCCAACTGAACCTGCAGCTTTCTTGAGGCAGACAGCCACACTTGAAGCATGCCACAATGGGTCACCACATCAATGTCTGCACTGCATGTCCCTATAATTGGTAAGAAGCAGAGCCAGCATGTGGAACAAGGGGCGGTCAGACGCGCACCTGTGGCGCGAATGGCGGCTGCAGGCCGCCAAAGCCGGGGGGCCCAACGCCCAGGGGCAGCGGGGGGCCCAGCGGTGGCGCGCTGAGGGGGTGCCCCCCGGCCGCGCTCAGCGCCTGCAGCGAGCTTAGCATGTCGGCCGCATCCGCCATCTCCGCGTCCCCGGCCGCCGCAAAGCCGGGCCCGTCCTGCGCGTGCACCACCGCTGCGGCGGCAGCAGCCGCCGCTGCCGCGGCTGCCTCGGCGCTGCGCAGCGCGATGTCGGCCGGTGGCGGCATGCGCGCGTCGGCTGCCGGCGTGGCGCTCCTCGAGGGCGGCCTGCGCGCCAGCGGTGCCGCGAGGTGCTGCACGCCGGACAAACAATCCCCTCACCTCCTCATCTCCAGACACAGTCAACTAACGTTCTTCAACGCGATGCCTCCCTCAAAGCATGCGGCATTTGAGACTCTGGGAGCCCAATTGACGAGACCCACATGGTAGGCCTGTCTGCAGGCACGAGCTGACAGAGAGGATCTGGACCATCCTAAAAACGTGCCAGCCTTGGAAGTGGCCAATCCTGGTGAGCAGAGCCTTCCATCTCCTGTTACAGGGCACAATAAAGGACCAAGTGAGAGGCACAACAGAGGACTGAGTAAGGGATGACAAAAGCACCTGCAGGTCAGCATTCGCCATCTCGTCGGCTTCCATTTTGGCCGCGGCATCGTCGGCCAAGCGGTCGAGGTCAAGGCGGCGGCGGTTCTTGCTGAAGAACGACTTGACCGCCCCGATCGTGCGCGACTGGCCCATGTGCCGCCGGATCGCCGGGAAGTCCCTGTTTAGTACCAGAGGAAACATGAGCGACTTATCAGCGGCTGGTCAGCGATCAATAGAGCCACTGAGCTTGGCAAGGGCCACTTGCGCTGTGCCTAATCCTGGGCTCTTCAGGGCAGTGCAACATGACAAGTCCGCGGTCCCACGACGGTGCTAAGACAAATTGGTTGCTGTGAGATGAGGAGGATTCATCGGGGGTGGCGAGGCGCTCACAGGCCATAGAGCTGCACGCCTTCCACGAAGAGCTTCTCCTCCGCCTGAGACCACGAGCTGCTCTCCCCGCCCCTGCGCAGAGACAGCACCCCAAATCAACTTCCGGCCAACAGCTACCTCCTCAGCGGTCAGCAACAATCCTTCCCTCATAAGCCTCATCACTCCTAACAGGCAATGGTAAACACAAGTGCACAAGGTCTCTATGAAGCCGCAGCTTGCAGGCTGTACCCTGCTGCTGCAAGCCAGACCGTGCTCTTCTGCATGACCTGTCGGGGACAGGCCTCAAGGTCTAGCACAGCACCTGCCAAGCTTCTTTCCGACGTCCAGGGCGCCGCCCTCGTCCGCAGGCGTCCAGTCCTCGTCTCCTCTCGTAGCGCCGACCTCTGCCATTGCCTCGGCGGCAATGTTGGCCGCAGCCGCTGCGGCAGCGGCGGCCGCGGCGGCGGCGGCCGCCGTGTTGCCGCCGAGCCGGCTGCCGCGGCCGCCGCCCCGGCCCCCTCGGCCGCCGCCGCGCGGCCCCTTGGAGCCCCTGGACGTCAGCTGGTCTGCGTGGACCACTGCAGCCGCAGCAGACATCCGCCCGTAGCCTGAACGTACACCGAGAAAAGCTATAAGAAACTTTGTGGTCATGAAAGGCACCCCATGAGGTTAGTTAATAGGCATTGCAGTCAACATTTCTGTGCTACCATGCCCAAGTGCAGTATTTGCAGAAAGTCCATGCTCACGGACAGGAAAGGAGTAACCATCTGTAAAATGACTGTGATCTGTGAGGTTCTGTCAGACTGCAGTCCCAGCAAGGAGCAGGCAGCATGCAGCAGCAGACATAACACAACGCACCAGAGTGTTGGTCCGCAAGGGAGTTGCCGCGCTTGATGCCCCGATGGGGAGCAGGCAGCATGCATCAGAAGGGAATTACCATAACCTCAACAAGAAAAAGACCTGCAGCACGCAGCAAAAACAAATATGAAAAGGGATGGCGAAGCGCACCGGCGTGGTGGGGTGCAAGGGGGTCCCCCCGCTTGGCGGCTGCGGCGGCACCGCCGATGCCAAGGTAGGTGATGGAGCGGTTGACCTCGGACTGCTGCCGTCGCTTCTTGAGCTGCTGCTTGCGGCGGACGGCCGCGAACTCGTCCAGCTTCTGAATGCGGTAGTAGTGCATCACGCAGTCACCCGTCGTCCGGATGTCCAGGTGCATCGCGATGCGTCGGAAGTCCTGAAATCACAGAATAGTGCTCATTTTTTTGCGATGTTCAGCTCTCTGCATTGAGAATGACACGCAGAGGGAGATCAACTGCCATGGCCCACAGTGCAGTCGGAGGCATGCGAGGTAGCCTTTAGGGACAAATGCCGAGCTGCTCCTTGCAACAAGCATCTTTGGTTCTAGGATGGTCTGTCAAGGGCAGTCAGGCCAGTTTAGCTCTCCGCTAGAACAGGAGGCAATGCAACCCCCCTCCACAAGAAATGGTAACCCTGTCCAGCAACCGCCTCCACACCTTGGGGTGCACCAGGAACTTCTCGTTGAAGATGCGCTTCTCCTCGGGGGTCCACGGTCTCAGCTGGCGTTCCTGCTTCAGCAGTTCCACCGGATCCTCCACGCGCGCGTTGCGGCAGACAAAGCGCCGTGCTGCGCGCTCGTACGGGCACAGCACCTGCGGCGGCACCTGCGCGCACATGCCGGCATCACCCCTGTGATCCGCATGCATGCACACTCCTGCAAAGCGATATCGGAGAGGCAGCCAGCGACTGCCCTACACACCCTTTCAACCCTTGCAGTATCTCCAGGGGCATGTCATGGTCGAATGGAGTTCATGTCTCTCGAGGCAAACATATCAAGGGCGAAGAACACAGCAAGACCGCGGCAGGCAACAAGAGATGCATAGTGCAGGATAAAGGTCGCGACCAGGGAGTGCAAGTGCAGTCACGTCCTCAAGAGGCCTACTGCAAGACTTTCAATCTCCAAGTGACTTCCAATAATGGGGGCCAAAAAGTGTGGAGGGATCAACCAGCGCATTTGCACTATTTCCTTCATGCGCCCAAAAGGCCTCCTGCAGGACTATTACTTTTCAAAAAATCTCCAGTGAAGGGAGCAAGTAAAATAGGCGTCAGGTGACTCACGTGCACCATCTCCTTCATGCGCTCGACGGCCTGCAGCTGCAGCATGATCTGCGCCTGCTCGTAGTCGCTGCGCGCCGTCTTGCGGCCGCTCGCCGCGCGCGCCAACGACATGCCGGGCCGGTCCTTCCGCACCCCGCTCTTGCCTGTAGGACAGACAGCAAAGCATCTCACCATGTCCAAGGATTGAGGGCAGAGAACTCCACCCACACGTGTTGCTCGCTCCACCCAGGGGCACAGTGTGACTCTTGCTTTTGCTCAGCACAAGCCTCACTCCTCTATCGGAAACAGGAGTGCGAGCCGACCTGACCCACCCAAACCAGTCAACATACTGATGACAAGGAGGCTTCTTGCCAGTCTGTCACCACATGCGGGCAAGGGGCAACTCAGTTGTGCATCAGATCTCCAAATAACGATCAGACAAGGACAAGGTGAGAACAGAGACAGACACTAAAGCGCGCACCGGTGAAATGGCAGCGCCACTGCTCGTACAGCGCCAGGTACTGGCGGCCGAGCGCGGCCTCCTTGCGCCTTAGCGCCGAACGCCGCCGCCGCACGTGCTCTAGTAATGCGTCAAAGAGGCGCTGATGCGTGCGCAGGTTGTGGTGGTACGCGGGGGCCTCCTCCACCAGCCCGTACATCACCTGCACAGCGGACGTCCAATCAGTCAAACATCCAGTCAAGTCGGCTTCCCCACCGCCCGTTCTTGCCATGATTGCACCCTGAACTCGTGAAGATTTCAACATATAGCGTCAAATTCCAGACAGGTTGCTCGGGCACAGAAACAGGGTCTCTAGTGATTAGTTGGCCTGGTTCCATCGCTTCGCAATTCACGGGCATCCAGGCAATTCGGCGACCTCGGCCCTAGCCAACACAATGCTTGCATGTTGGTCAACCTGCTGCAGATGAGGACTTGATGCTCTTGAGCACACGTGAGACAAAAGCAGCTTCTGAAGATGCTGAGTTTGCGCTCTGCTAGAAGAAAGACAAGCACATCAAGCACACAGAGAGTAGTATGCAGCTCTGTGAACCCCATGTGTACATTAGCAAAGATTCTCTTCAATCAACACTGCTGCGCCCTGCTCTGCACAGGATGGACCGATTTCAAGCTGTTGCATGTTGCAATCTCGGGAGCTGCCAAACAATCACATGCGCTGAACAGACCCCAAGTATCATCTGCAGCAAGTTGCCTCACTCTGGCATGGTAAAACTCCACCCATCTCTTGCCTTTCAGAGTCCACAGTCACCAAATGCCCCATTGCCCACCTTAGAAGTCAACCAAAAGCTTAGGGTCCACAGAAGTACTAGATGTCCTAATGCAATCTTGGAAAACCTTCACAAATCCCCTGACCCTCAATACAGCGCAGGGGTACGCGCCTTGATGGCCGGCGAGGAGAGGCCATTGGAGGGAACACCGCGCAGCGAATCCTCCAGCATGTCCGGATGCAATAAAGGGAGAAACACCGACCGCGCCTCGGCCGCCCGCTCATGGTTGGTCTTCACTACAGCCTCCACCTGTGCGAACAATGTGCATAGATATGAAAATGAAACGCACCCTCCATGATCTATTCATAGGCCACCCTCTCACTTCTGCTCACATCTAGAGCTGGCACAGATTTGTTCTGTGTTTTTACCATTGATTCCTCATGCATCCCTGCGGTGGAACATGCATTGACCTGCATGTCTGCCTCTATTCATGCATACAACTGCCCATAGAGATTCCTGGTCCTGAATGATGGTATGGATGTTCTGCCTCAAGTGAGATGACGATCTACCTCATGAAAATCAGCGCTCAGAATGCAACCTACTGCAATGTTACAAGGATCATTCTGCAAATGTTGACAGCTCTGTGATGAGAGGAAAAGGTCTCATCTATCACTGACGTAAGGTGGGCTTGCTAGGAATGGCGCACCTGCCAGCGCCTTGGAAGCCGCAGCAGGTGCCGGTCACCCTCGCTCATCTCCCCGGTCGCCAACGATGGGAGTTTTGGGGGAGTAATGCGCGCGACGCCGCCCGCCCTGGCCCTCTTCAGAGCCTTGGCCTTCTTTGTCAGGGGGTGCAAAACCGCAGTAGGTTTTTCTGCCACGTCCACATCCATAGCTGCTTCCAACTGTCCCTGCAGCCACAGCACTAAAAATCTCAGCCCTGACATTAATTGTGCACCCGCCCACATGCCGGCATGGTCTGCCTTGAAGACCTATGCAAGCCGTGGTGTAGCCACCGTTCAGCGGCATGAATGGCACACGTGCATGCGTCTGATTGGATCAACAAACAAAGGCACGACCTCCAGTTTCCTACAGCTACGGCTCACTACTTAGTGGTTTAAGACTGCATTAGTGGATTACAGCATGCAGGGCAGAAAATGCACCTGTGTGGACTGCGCAATGGAGGACTCCTCCTCCGAGGGCTGGGTCTCCATTGGCCGCGCGGTCTCCAGATGCGTGACCTCCTCCGCCAGATCGCGCGCCGCGGCCACATCGGCATCGAGCGCGGTTGACAGCTCCGCCATCTGCCGCTCCAAGGCCTCGATCTCGCTGTCCGCAGTGTCGATCTTGCGCATGATCACCTCCTTTGACGGCTTCTGCTCCGCGCCTTGCTGGCCTGCAGCCTTCACTGGCTCTGGAATGGGACTCTCCCCTTCGTGCGCGGCAATGGCTTCCTGCTTGAGCGGGCTGGGCTCTGCAGACACCGACGGCGGCAGCTGCGGCGGCAAGGAGGGGCTCACAACGGGTGCACGCGCTTCTGGCGAGGGCGTGAAGATTGTTGGGCGGTCTTTGGGGGACTGCGGCGTCGACGCTAAAGGGGCGGCTGCCGCGGCGGGCGCCTCCTCGGGACCTCGGATCGGCGTTAGAGCCGCCGGCTGCAGCGGCGACGGCGGTGGCGCTGGAGTGGCCACCTCCGCCGCCGCTTCGATGACGACTGCCGGCTCGACCATGAGCAGCGCCGGCGGCGGCGGCAGCGCCGAGCCGGCCGGCTCCTCAGTGAAAGCCGCCACCGCGGTCGCCGCAGCGGCCGCTGCATCCGGACCGGGCACGACGGGTGACAGGGCGGCGGCCGGTGCGGCGTCGTCGGTGCGCGCGGAGAAGCTGGGGCTATTGAGCGCGGATGAGTCGTGCGCGCCGGCGTCGGTGTGGCGGCTGGCCTCGGAGTCGCGCGGGCTGTGCTCGGAGTGGTCGTCGGCCGGCAGGCCGCGCTTGTCCACGCTGCGCAGACGAGCGAGGCCCTGGCCCCAGCCTAGCCGCTTGCGCTTGGGCGGGTCGTCCGACACCGGCGTCGCGTTCGCGTCACCCGCGACCGACCCGGCCGGTGTCGACAGCTCGCCGGCTTCGTAATCAGCCTCAGGAAGCTGCCGCGCAGGCGTCACGCCTCCAACTGAGGCCGCCTCGGCGGGGCGCAGCAGCGCTGGGGACGGCGCCCCGCCGTCGGCTGCCGGCATCGCCAAGTCTGGCAGAACGGGGCTCGCCAGCAGCGGTGGCGCGGGCGGCAATGGCAGGTCCGTGCGGCGGCTCATGATGCCTGGTGGCAGAGAGTGGCTGGGCTGGCTCACGAGGTGGTGCGGCAGGGGCGTGTACGCCACTGGGAAGTTGCTGCTGCGGGTGTGCTGCTCCTCAGCCATCGGCCAGTGCGCTTCGAAACTGCTGCTGCCGTTGGGTAGCGGCCTGTTGGCGGAAGAGTGCAGCGGGCTGACGGGGCGGGCCGCCGGATGCGAGACGGAGCGGAGTAGCGGCGGCGGCCCGGGCAGGTCGGGGGCAAGCGGCATCGCCTCCGGAGCCGACATGCGGCCGCCGAGCGGCAGGGACGCCGTCCGGCTGATGCCGCCACCGTAGCGGCCCTCTCGGGCGCCGCCGGAAGCCAGCCCGGGCTTCTGGTCCCAGCCGCTGCGGCTGAGCGGCGGCTCGCCGGGGCCGGCGAGCTCGCCGGCCTCGAAGTCGGGCGCCTCGCGGCCGGAGGAGTGCTGCCGCCGCATTGGCGGCGGCGGCAGGCGCGAAGCGCCGCCGCGCCAGCCACCGCCTTCGCGGCTGCTGGGCCCCCAGCTGTCCCAGCCGCTCGCGCGATCGTTCCTTGCTGGTGGCGGAGGCGGTGGCAGCGCGCCCCGATCAAAGCTCCCGCGGACGTCGCCCTGCACATGTTGACTCTGAGCTGACTCACTACTTGCTCCGTAAGTAGGCCAGATCACAGCCATGGAATGAGTGGCATGAAGATGAACGCATGTGAATCTCTGGGCATGACATGGCAACAGAAAGGAGGTTTGTGACTACCTGTGTGGGGCTGCCCCGGCCCCTCGGTTCCATTCCTGGCGGATATCCCGAACCACCTGATCGCACCATGGCATCTCTTAGCACTCCTTGCAGGATGCAGGCCACCCGTAGGCAGGAGGATCAGATCCATGGGAATAAGGCACTCCCAAAAGCAGGAGGATACCCTGCGCACCTAGTGGTCTTCTAGGTGGGCTGCGATATGGCGGTGGGCTTCTTCGGCTGATGAAGCCAGGCCGTCCTGGTGGCCCCCTCTCTGCATCCCTGGGAGGACCTTGCAAGTAAGGTGGCAGGTGTGGGTCGTATCTACTGCGCTTACCAACGCCAGAAAAAGGTGGAGGGCCATGATCCCTTTCAAATCCGTTGGGTGGTCCCGGCCACTCGCGTTTCTGCGCACCAAAAGACCATATTTTCCTTATAATCCGACTGACATTGAGCACAACTGAAGGCGATCGCTATCAAGCCACCGATGACAGCACGGGCTTGGTCGACTTTTCACATTGTGCAGTTTGAATGAAGTTTAAAGAGGTGGCTGGTGCACCAGCCGCGATTCTGATGGGCTGCTCACCTTGCCAAATCTCTCTGGCCTGTACGGCCCGCCGGGGGGAGCCTCACCTCGTTCCTGCGGCATCACGCATGTTTTAAATGACGGCATGCGTGTGAAAATTTGCAAAGGATATATTCAAAAGTGCCCCGCAAATTTCTTTCAGTGGGTGACAGTCCTTCGGGAGAACCTTCACACTTTCCAGCCTCCTCTTTTCGTAAGGATGAGCACGCATAATACAGCAAAATGGAGCCCTTCTTTCAAAGCTTGAACGCACCCAGCGACGACCGTCGTCATGTGATCCCATGCTCACGAACTCTGCTTGAAGGGTCAGGTGTCTCCAGTGTACAATCCAGATGCTCCAGTGTCCTGTTTCACCATTACCGCTGCACCCACACTGGCCCTGATCCGCTCCAGGAGCATTACTTCAGCTTGTTGAAAGAAGCTCAGACCAGAGTTACGAGAACCTGGCCCGTTCTAGGAGTTTCAGGTCGGCGATTCCCCCCCTTCCCTACAGGGCCTCCCGAGCGCTTAAGCTCAACACTGCCCTGTAGAGATCACTTTGACTGTCTTTAGCTTCTCCAGCAGCTGTCAGTGGTGGTTTATGGTACTATGCAAGCGTTGTGAGGTGGTGGGGCAAATTTCCTGCTTTGAGATCCGAGGCTGCCCTTTGCCACGCTGGACATAAAGCGCACCGATTCGGCACCAGCTGGCAGTATCACGTGATCTATAACAGAGGCAAAGTCATTGAAGCAATTTGCGGAGGTTGGGGAGGAAGAGAGCCAACTGTGTCTTGCCAGGTGCATGTGAGTTCTTTGCCGTGAAGTGGCAAGTGGCTCCTGGACGAACGCAGCGCTGCTGGGCCTGCCGACGTAGTTGCGCAACTTGGAAACGTCCAGTGCGAAGTGCTCACGTGGGACTAGCTCATTTCAATGGTTTAGAGGTCCTCAGAACCATGCGAGAGCCAAGCTACCTCTCTCCCGGCTGATCAGGAAGCCTCCAGCACAACGTGAGCAAGATGGAAAGGAAGAAGAAAGTGGCCTACTTCTATGATAGTGCGTTCTATGCCTCGCTGGTGACCTAGAGTATCTCCGGAATTTCTTGTATACATCTTATCAATGGTAGACGCTTAATTGTTGGATCCCAGCTTCTGCGGCGCAACGATCTGACTGTGGCCAGTCTGACCTCGTCTGACCTTACGTTCCTGCTTTTGTGCAGGCGAATTCGGTGAGATGTACTATGGGGCCAACCACCCCATGAAACCGCACCGGCTGTGCATGACACACCACCTCGTGCTTGCCTATGATCTGCACAAACGGCTGGAGGTCTATGTGCGCCCCAACTTCACCCCTTGTAGACGAAACCTGTCCTCGACTCCTGCAGCAAGTACATTTTCCAAGCACATATGGTGATCACTGATGCCAATCCTGCGTTTTAGCAGCAAGGCAGGGGCATTTGGCCAGTCCAAGTTTTGAGTAAGATGTTGCAGCCTCCAATCTGTTCTTGAGCGATCTTGTGACATGCAGCGGCCGCGCATGGCATACCCGATGGAGCTGATGCAGTTCCACAGCGAGGACTATGTGAACTTCCTCGCGAGGGTGACCCCAGACAACCAGGAGGAGATGCATCAGCAGCTTGTGCAGGCACGCTCTTAAAGTCCTTACAGTCATAGGTGTGATGAGAACTGGACTGTTCCGGACTGCTATTTCAAGTTGATAGATGAGCGGGCCGATTATTAGGCATGACCCTCTCGGGCCACGTAAGTACGGGCAAATGCAGAGTACCAGATTCCTGCGAGCTTTGAGTCTGCAAGCTCAAGGCAGTGACTGGACCAAGAAATAGAGTTGTAAGGCTTGCCAAACCCCATTTCTGTCATTCAAAGTCCATCCTCGTGTGAGCTCACACCCAACGAGGTGTTCCATCTCATTCAGTTCAATCAATTCCTGGACAAGGACTGCATGTTGTTTGATGGGCTGTCGGGTGCAATATGATTCATGCATGCGTCACCTGATGCACTTCACTGTGGGCAAGGACCACTGCCCTGTGTGTGATGGGCTGGTGGAGCAATCTGAGCCAAAAATAGGGGTATCGACTATGTTGTATATCGGTTACCCACGGCCAACAATGTGTGTCGCCTGATGCAGTTCAACCTGGGCGAGGACTGCCCGGTGTTCGACGGGCTGTACGACTTCTGCCGGCGCTATGCTGGTGCGAGTGTGGAGGGCGCTGTGAAGCTAAACCAAGAGCTGGCAGACATCGCCATCAACTGGAGCGGCGGACTGCACCACGCCAAGAAGGCCGAGGCTTCAGGTCCGCGCAGAACACTCCGATTAGACGCACACCCATACACCTGAAGCGTCCTTGATCTCCTGCAAGCCTTGCGATACGAATTGGATAATTTGCATCAGCAAAGAAGGCCAAGGCCTTTGGTGCGTGCTTGAGACATACTCATACTGTCGTCTCTTACCTTGCAGTACCATTAGTTTCATGTGATGAGAACTCCATCCATGCCAGCTGAACGTTGTTCAGCGCAAGCCCCCGCTTGCCTGCTTGCCCGGCATTCTTTTTTGAGCACAAGTCAACAGAAAGGCCCATGCGTCGACTTCAGTCGCTTTTATTGGGTGGAGAATGCTGCACATACATGTCATATGTGGTGTAGATCGTGCATTTGCATCTCAATGCATGGTGAAGGAAGCTCTCTGTTAGAAATCTGCAGCGGTTGCTGAAGATGTTATTATGGCAGCACTTATTGAGAGTGATGGCGCAATCTCTCGCAGGGTTCTGCTACGTGAATGACCTGGTGCTGGGCATTTTGGAGCTGCTGAAATACCATGCGCGCGTGCTGTACGTGGACATTGACATCCACCATGGCGACGGCGTGGAGGAAGCATTCTACCTTACAGACAGGTGAACACGCCTGCGCAGAGGATGCAATGTCATCATTGACTAGTGATTTTGTTACACGCCTTCCTGCCAGAGGCAAGGTGCGCCTGCAGACAATCTGCATGTAAAGAATGCCACAAATCCTACCCCTTGATGGACACGCCAGACACGAACAAGACCCATCAATCATGGGCACAGTGCTCAGTGTTTATACCGCCCCCCGCCAGTTGGGGCCTCTCTCATCATTAGAAGGCGTGATCCTTTCAATTTAGTCCATTGATTTTTTATTTAATTGCTAGCTTTTCTAGCTGTCTGTGGGCAGCAACTGGGGGTCAAGTCGGGTGGTGCCTGAGAGATGAGGCTTAACACAACAGTTAAAGCAGACAATCATGCTTCAATTGCCCTCATGGGAACGGTAGCAAATGGCGCTTGCGACGAGTTTCATGCATTGCTGTAAGCAGGCCAAGACATGCAATGCCATCAGCGACTTCATGGCTGTGGCAAGGGTAGATGCGCGCCACATGCAATCCTGATCATGACTCGGTGGTTAGTCATCGCATGCATGCATGCAGGGTGCTGACGGTCAGCTTCCACAAGTACGGCAACTACTTCTTCCCGGGTACGGGCGACCTGAAGGACATCGGAGAGCGGCATGGGAAGTTCTACTCGATAAATGTTCCCATGAAGGACGGCACTGACGATGCCACATTCCACCGCCTCTTCAAGCCCATCATGGCCAAGGTCATGGAGGTCTTCAGCCCTGGGGCGGTCGTGCTGCAGTGCGGTGCGAACATTGCCTGCCGTATTATTTGTGCTTAGTCATTTTGCTGGCTGTAGAGCACTCGCGGCATGCTCCTCCTGACAGGATGTGCTGAGTGCGGTGAGGCACTGCTTGCAGACATCTGCGCTGGCTGGTTGTTTTCAGTCTTCCAATTCAGTGGTCCAATTAGGGATCCGCGTTGTTGGTGTCCTGACTGCCATCTTCACAGCATCACAACGTCACAGGCATGGCGTGAAGCAGTGGCGCATGTGACAACGGATTGAGATTGGTATATTATCTTTTCTCAGTTTTGTGTGATGGAGACCTGCTTGAGCCCTCTGCACACTGGGTGAAAACAGCACAGGACAGCGGCAGTGAATAGTGCAGAAGTCTATAATTTGAGGAGAGGAGCAAGCCTGGCTGATACCCTCAGCAATCGTGTAATGTGGATATGGATTGACGTGTGTGCATATGCTGCAGGCGCGGATTCTCTGGCGGCTGACCGGCTTGGTTGCTTCAATCTGAGCCTGGAGGGTCATGCAGAAGCTGTGCGCTTCATGAAGAAGTTCAACGTGCCCATGCTTGTCACAGGAGGTAATTAACCCCGCACTTCCACTTTAAATCCACTCCAGAGCTTTTGCAACCTCCCACATGCTTTCTTTCCATGGGTCTTGCGTAAATGGGCGTCCCCAGCAGACTTTACCCCTCTGACTAGATTTTAGAATAAATACGATGACATGCAAGATGCAAGCCATCAGCCATGTTTCATTTGCAAAGCACAGCTCTCAGTGCTTGAAGGACAGCTGAACCTGCCAGTGAAAGGCAATCTACCAGCATTAGCGCTCGAATTTGGAGCATGTGCGTTAAGGTGCATATCGTGCTTGCGTACAGGTGGCGGCTACACAAAGAACAATGTCTCCCGGTGCTGGACAGCTGAGACTGCAGTCCTCGTGGACCAGAACATTGCAGACGACCTGCCTCCCAACGATTACTACGAGTACTACGCACCTGACTACAGGTGACCAATTGCCCTGTCACCTCCGCGCAGTACCCACAGGGCTCACATCCCGTGTGGTCTTACCTCTCTCCCCTGCTGATTAGTTTTATTGCACCGTTGCAACTGGTTTAGAATCTGCTATAATCACATGCATCCTGATGTTTGCAGCATCCTTGCATGTGGACTGACGCTCCAAGAGCATACAGTGTTTCTTGGTCTCCAAAGGCTTGCATGTCCTGGGTTTCTGTCGGGATGATTCTGACAATGCGCTGTGCTCGAGATGACAAGGATAGATACTTTCTGCAGGCTTCATGTGACCCCTCACCGGCACATGGACAACAACAATGCAAAGCCGGACATCGAGCGCATAAAAAGGGAAGTGCTGGAGAACCTGCGCGAGCTGGCGCACACCCCCAGTGAGTCACCCTCACCTCACCGCTGACCTGGCCAGCTGCCAGCGTGCCATCACCACCATCTGTCTTATCTCCCCTCTTGTTCTGTCTTTCTCGTTCTAGGAGGCCCTGTCCTGACTACATTTGTATGGCAGCTGGATTCTCCTTCCCAAAGCAATCATGCTGTCCTGCACTCAGGAGGCATTTGCAATATGGAAGATTGTTCTTTTGTACATCAGTGCTGATTGCTGTCTGCATTGTTATGCAGCGTGCCACTTCGCAAAGCATGCACCCAGAGATACATGTCTCCCAGATTGCAGTGGTTTCTTACCATGCTGTGGCTGTGTGTGTGCAGGTGTGCAGATGCATGAGGCGCCGCCAGACACATATGTGCCGGAGTATGACATAGAGGAGGAAGAGAACGCTGATGTACGACTGGGAAAGTATGCATGCGATCACCTCGTTGTGCGAGAAACAGAGTACTACGAAGATGACAGGGACCACTTCGGCGACTGAGGATGCTTCAGTCATAGTCACCGACCATTAGTGGCGCTGGCATTCTTGTATGCAGAGAATAGTCTGTCAAAACAGGGTGTTTGGGCTTCAGATGTATTGCGATCGGGGGACTGCTTGTGCATGCTGCAGACCTTCTTGTGAGGAGATTTGCATATATTCAACCATATCCGAAATTGTTGCTTTGCTTGACTTGAAGCTTGCCAAGTCTGCCAGTTGCGGGTGGCCACAGCGGTTGTTCCCTTTCGTTTTGAAGGCAACGTTTGCTGTTGGAAGTAGCCAACTTGACGATCTGGACTACTGCTGGCCCAAATTATGGAGCAGGTGGCACTGGGATCAGCTTTTCCTTGTCCCACCTGGCACTCAATTCAGGCTTAAGGACACCCCTTTCTCCAAAGCAGCCACGTGGGGATCATGGGATACCGCGGCGTAACAATCCACGGTTCTTGCTTGGGCACTGCCCATCCCTACGTCTCGTCCGGACATTGTCTTCTTTCCAGGCACACCTTCCTCTACTCCTCCGTAGACGCTTGCATCATCGACTCCGGCTCAACGCCGCACTTTCCACCTCCAATGCAAACGCCCGGCGGGCCGCCTTGTCGCGGGCCGCCTTGTCACCCCACCCTCCAATCCCCCTATTTCCGAGCTTTCCACCCTCATAACATCCCCTCTTTCCATGAATCTCCCTACTCAGCGCCGGTCGGAACGTGCCACTCGCCCCTCGGTGCACCTTGCCCCTTCCTCGAGCCCGCCTCAGCGCCGCCCTGACCGCTACCACCGCCGCTTCCGTAAAGCCCCCCGCTATGCCCTCGGGGGACCCGGCCGCCGGCCCTCCGCCACTTCTGGTGTCGCCCCCACGCTCAACCCGACTATGCCGCCCGTCCTCGACTTTCCGCCCGTACGCACGTGATGGGGACCCCCCAGGGTTCCTAGTCAGTGCGTTTCTTTGTTCTTCTTCGTCACCGTGTTCTGTCTGATCATCATTTATATTTCGTACTCGCTAATTGCTTCAGTGGGTGCGGAAAGGACAACCTGTCCGATCACAAACGCGATAGACTTCCCATATCCTTGTCAGAAGTAGTGCTGATCGACGTCAGTGGTGCTGAAGACAGTGTGTAAGACAACGTCTTCCTGGCGTACATTGAGTCTTAAAGATTGCCTTCGTCTTTTAAAAAAGTCGAACTTACTGCTGATCGTTGTATCAAGCACAACAGGACACCAAACTGCAGAACCCTAGGCACCTTCAGGAATGCAACACTGCAAGGCCCCTGCTCTACAACAAAGTAGCCTGCCGGGCGCTTACTACAGATTGGAACATGTACGTAAGCCTTCGCATGCCTGTAGTTGCCCCAGCAAAGCATCCAAACCAGGGAGCTCATGTAGATCACAGCGCGCCAGATGTGCAACACTTGCAGCAGCTGCCTCTGTCGAGCAGGTAACAGTCAGAAAAATGACATTCTGTGATAAGGATACAAGACATCTTGTTGCTGTGCTGCTACATTGCTCTTATGGTGTACTGTTGGGGCTGAATCCCCGGTGGGGAAACCTGCTTAGTCTTGCCTCTGTTGCAACGCAGACAGAAGCACCAAGCTGGGGCCCAACAACGGAGGTCTGGTCAAAGCACGCAAAGCTCAGCTATGACACCTTGCAGGCTCGCTTCAAGGCTGCAGACCTTGATGGGTTAGTAACACCCTGCTGTGGCCACCAAATTCAATCTACATTTCTAGGCAGGCAGCACTACAGAAGAGCTTCGAAGTACTGACATGCAGCTGTGTTGGCAGGAATGGAGTGATTGATCGCGAAGAGCTGAGAGCACTACTGGAAAGCACAGACAGCGGTGCTCAATACTCCATCACTGTGAGATATCACTCCCTCCTCCTGCCTTTGGAGCACACTAGCTCACCTGGTCCAGTATAAGATCAATGGGGTTTTCTTGTCATCAACATTCAGCAAGAATTCTGTCTGATGCCTAGGGTCCAAGCCATCTGTGTGTAGTATCACTATGTGCTTGTGATGACCCTGTGCATGCGCATGCAGCGGTGGCTGGAGGATGATGACTTGGACCGGATCATGCAGAACTACGATGCCAACAATGACGGTGAGCTCTTGCTCTCGAAACTTTCCCCTCCAAGACTAATCCCGTGTATTTGTATGACTGAGATGTCACGTGCATGCCTTCTGCATAAGAGGAGTTTCTGAGTATCCTGTCGGTGAATGCTTTACAGGAGTCATCCAGTTTGAGGAGTTTAGCAAGCTGGTGAGCACCACTGAATGCCCAAAGGGATCTTCCCAGTGTTGTGATCTTGCTCAATTCATCATTGTTGCATTGCAGCCACTAGAGTTGCTTTCATGGGTTGAGCAGAAGCATTTCTAGTGATAAATTCAGCTATCCAGTCACGGCGTCCGAGTAATCTAGTGTTCAGGGATGCTGTTGCTGCTCACAGGCCCAGGACAACATCCTCTTCACTGGCAAGATAGAGGAGTATGAGGCAGCCTTCAAGCTTGTTGACACTGAGGGAAAAGGTGCTCCTTCTTTCCCTTTCTCCTAAGATAGCATATTAATCCTGCCAAAGCTCTGCCATGCAGACACTCTGCGAGTGGCTGATGGTGACATCAGTGTCAACACTTATGGGCCATGCTTGTGCCATTGTGATGCTGATGGCAGAGTGACAGGGGCTCGCCGTGTGATGACACCTCAGACACTCATGTGCTGTCTCCTGCGTGCAGGCTCTGTCAATGCCTCGCAGCTGGCGTCGCTGTTCCAAAGCCTGGGACACCCACTCCCCTATGACAAGCTCACAAAGATCATGTCAGAGTACAACATCTCCAACAAAGGTGTGGTGTCCCTCCTGCGGGATCCAATGCACCGTAATAATCCCAGTTCCTACCGTCCTGCAGTTGTGTTTGCATTTTAATGATGCACAGAGGTGGCCATGTAGTCCGCACACGAGCATCACATGAGAACACATCGGGAGAGTATTCTGATGGTGATGTTAAAACAGGTATCGTTAGAAAGGACAGAAAATGTGTGCCGTGTGAGCATGGGGAGATTTCGTACCCGGCAGCATGCGCCGTTTTCACGATTGTTCGGATATTTTTCTATGGGTCCATGCACATGTCTGGCCTCATTACTAATGCGCAACATGGCTCTGAAAATGAGTGGTGCATGTCTGATGGGGCGACGCTTCTGTCTGGTCTGATCAATCATGTGGTTGCAAATGAGCTCAATGTTTGCATGCATGCGATGGTGCAGGGCAGGTCACATTCCCAACCATGATGAAGATGTTCCGCAATGAGCTGCTGGACCTGAAAGAGATCCTGGAGTACATCAAGATGCAGCCCTCCGAGGACGCCACCTCTAGCACGGTATGGCCTGCCCAGCTGTTTGGCACGACTGGTTACTTGACATTTGTATGTGCAACAAGTTGTGCTGCAATGGCATGAGGCAAAGCACCCAGATGACTCAGCTGGTGCGAACAACAGGAGTAGACTCGTGCAGCTGCAGTGTCTGCAATGTTTGTAGAGAATGCTTTCCGTCATGCTTGATTTCAATGCACCGAGGCAGCCCTTTCCGCCTTCCTGGCGCTCGCATTGCCTTGCATCCAATGTACAGATTTTGCGCTCTGAAGTAGTCTGTGCGAATAGGGATGCATTCAGAACGTATTGTGCACTCTATCTTCACTCAAACGCATAGTTTTGCTGCAAGACAATGAGTGCTTGGGCGCGCATGCATGCAGGACACGGGGCCCAAGATGCACCCGGGCGAGGTGGTGGAGATAGAGTCGGAGGAGGAATTGGATGCACTGCTGAGCGAGGACAAAGAATCGCTGACTGTGCTGCTGGCCTCTTTAACCTGGTGCCGCCCCTGCAAGACCCTCGCCAAACCCCTGCAGGTGCGCCCAACAAGGGACTTAAACCTAAACAAGAGTAGACCAATTGATCCATACCTCCTTGTGCCTGTGAGCTCGCGCCAGGCTTGTGAGGGTGACTAAATCTGATGCTTTACCTGGTGCCGCTCCTGCAAGACCCCTGCCAAACCCCTGCAGGACCACCTTCAGGGGGTCTCTAATCCATGCAAAGCCCTCTACAGCACCTTGAACAGGGGTAAGTAAAGACTCGTAGGGGGGCTCATAATCACGGTGCTGATAATTTGAGTGAACCTCTTCACTACTGCTGGCTCTGCATGTTTTGAGAAGTGCTGCGTGCCTGGTCGTGCAACCCCCTTGCAAAATGGACTCGGTCTCATTGCATGTCCTCTGCTCAAAGCTACCAGCCAAAAGTTGCCCAGCGATCCCATAAGTCAAGCACTCGAGTCTAGAGCCGTATTTGCTGAACATCCTTGCATGCGCATGCCATGCAAAATAGAGGCATGCAAAACTCCTTTTGTGCTTGTCAAAGAGAGCAAGCCACATAATGTGCATTGTTTTGGCGCAGACTCTGGCGCAGGCGTACCGTGAGGTGGGCTTTGTGAAAATGTACGGCAACGCCAGCGAAGCCGCCAAGCACCTGTTCAAGGACCGGCTCAAGGCGCGTGTCACGCCCACCTTCTACTTCTTCCGCAACGGTGCGCGCAGCCATTCACCACCCTTGTACAAGGGTAGATTAAACTGCATCAGCCATTTGCCGGTGTCTTCCTGCCCGGCTGCATGCCGCCTCCAAGGCAAGCAGACCCCAAATGCACGAGCTTGTGGGTTGACAGCAACTCGATCCCTTCACGCTAGAGTGCGTGAGAAAAGTAGCGCTGTCGCATCTGTCGGAGGGAGCTGCCTTGCGTAGAATAATTGTGATGCTGGTGGGCTCAGCTGCAAAAGACTTTGTAGTGGAAAAGAATTATTTGGCGTATGTCCATTGCACATCCTTGCTGCCCCTCTTGCTGGCAGTCATTGAGGCGAGCCCTTGACGCTTGAAGTACATTCGCCCTTTTCTCCTTGCTGTGGGACCAGGGGACTTTGCACTATTCCACTATGCTAGCTAATTCCCGCATTCACAGGGTAGGCCCACTCACAAGCTCAGCAAGTGGAAACAGTCATCAAAGCTGCAGGACGATCAAACAATTGCACAGTCCATCAGTAATCCCTTGGCAAGATGGCCAGCCAGACGAGGCGATGTGGGCAGTCAGAAGCATGCAGCGAAGTGGGGACAGGGTGCAGGGTGTGACACAAGAGCAACAGTGGTGGTCTCAGCGCAATCAGTAGTGCGAGCAATGAGGGCTCCGGACATATTTGGGTCTCCTGTGGGAACTAAAAATTGCTCCGGCGCAGGCGAGCTGCTGCACACGCACACGGGAGCCAACAAGAACAAGCTGGAATACTATATGCGCCAGTGCCTCAAGCCCAAAGAGCGGCCGCCCAATGAGCTGTTCCCAATAACCACCCTGGGCGCAGGGGGCCCTCGCTGAAATTTCATACAAGGCTCATGGCCTGATTCATGCAAAGTCTGTTTTGTATCCGATAGACGAGTCATGTGCTACTGGCAGGCTTATGCCATGCAGGGCTGCTCTTCACCATTTCTTCGTGGAAGTGAGACTTTGACAAATGATTGTGCCTTTTGCAAAAGGGGGACAGAGTTGACAGCAAACTTATCGATCATCATCGAGCGGACAAGACATTGGTGAAGCACAGTGGAGAAGTACAAGGAATCACCTGGAAGCAAGAGAGCTGCCCAACGTTCTATTCTGTGCCTTGATTGACTTCTGTAATAGTATCACTCCAATAATGGTGACCTCACGCTGAGATCCGGTGATAGCTTCTTAATGACAAGGCAGTAGACTGCACTGTAACGACTGGGTGTCACTGGCCATGAATATGTCGAGATTGAGGAGGAATTGTCCTTATGGCAAAAGTGGCACAACTGGCGGAACTTTCTTTATGCTGGCTGTAAATGTTGCACGACCGGAAGTCCGACACATTAATAATGGGCCAAACATTGCCTGACACCTGCCCTCAACACCTATTTTGGCTCGTTTGTATCTGGCCGAAGATCCGCCTCGGAGCCCATCCTTGCGTAGCGTATCCCGCACCGTGCCTTCCTACATCAACCTCTGGAGGAGATAACTCTGACAGCTCCGAAGGACATCGACCTAGAGAAGTCTGAACGGGTATTTACAAGTTAAGAAAGTTCCTAGCAGGAGTCGGCGCGACCATCGCACGTGAAAGGTTGTGTTCGCCGCTCCTAGTATCAGCGATCGCCTGACATCTGGCAGCCGACCCACAACTGGCTCTGAGTAAGAGATCTCTGAGCATCTAAAGCGCGTTCTCCTGCAGTCAGAAAGTAGAAGTCGGAGTCTTGGTGTCGTCGCTGCGTCCGAGCTGCCGCGATGGGACTCGCATTGCCCAGAGCGTCTGTGTTTCTGGCTACCCTCGCCGTCACGGCTGCGTTGTTTTCTGGTGCGCTCTCATTAGTCCTTTCTTCGACATCTCGTTTAATTGGTTTGTTGCGCTGGTACGCGAGCTTGACGCTGTGGTGGGACGCTGCAAGCCGCAATAGGTGTAAGCCCCAATATGATCGGTGACTAGGATATCGGCAGTAGCGTTCCTTCAGTCTTTATGCCACAGTTCTCGACGCATGAATGACAAATAACAATGAAGGATCAATCTAGCCGCTGATCGGTCATCTCGGAACCACCTTGGAGTTAATCGTGAGGAGTGATCGCACTCCCATGATCATCGTGATACTCGTTATTTGTGACCACCTCACAATGATCATTACCTAGTCATAGACTTTTCAAGTCACCTGGAGTCATTTTCTGTTTGCTTGAGAATACATGGGGTTTTTGGGAAGACAGGTGGCAAGCATTAAACAGCATCGAGTACTTTTCTCGAGTTGTCTTTCCCTGCAAAATGTGACGCAGTGCCGGTTCAAATTGCCCACCATCTCTACAATTCGAATGCTTCCAATCGGTGGCACCAGTGGCTGAGGATGCTTTCTCAACTGACATACAGGAGCTCAGGGATTTATCAGGGTGCAGAATGGTGTCTTCGTGGACGACCAGTGTAAGGAGTTCACCTTCAGCGGCTACAACACATGGCAGGCACGCACTCGACACTTTTGCTGCTGATATCTTTTGTGCGGGGTCTTAGTGCGGAGTGCCAAACTTGAGAGGAATCAGCCACAATGAGGTTGGCCATACAACCTATTTCACAGCAAGTTGGCCATCTTCTTCCATCCTCAAAGGATGGCAGTGTTGGCCGTGTGCCTTGCAAGCTGCCAAAATTGGATTTGCGTGATCGAATGTGCTGCAATCGTTGAGAAGCCTCTTGTGTGTGTACAGCCAATCGAGTCGGCCTTGAACCTGTGCTGCGGAGGATACGAAGCCCTCGTTGGCCAGTTCAAGGAAGCAGGTACCTTCCTTCCGCTGAAAGACACGTTTTTAGCCAGACAACCGCCCTGCTTGCCCTGGTAAACGTGCTACATGGCAGTAGATAGGAGGTAGGACGGCTGGCAACTGTAAGTAATGACTGAGGCTGACTGGGGACTATGTTTGCTGCTGCAGCACGCCAGAACTTCACAGTGGTGCGCATGTTTGGGTTCCCCGTGCAGAGGGGCTTCAACCTGCAGACAGCTGCCGGCGTATACAATGAGCAGGTGTGCATCCTTCACCAATCCAGGCTCAATCACATGATGCGAAATGTGCCCCAAGTGAAATGAACACTCCAGGATGTCGTTGCTAGAATGCCCATTCTGTCATGCATGGAGGCATAGCTCTCTGCTACCAATAATCGTCATCCCAGCTGGTCAAGCTTGCATCATGCCTAGGCTCTTGGGCGTGGAAGCTCAGAGCAGCACTGGTGCACCGCATCTATGAAGCATTTCTGTCCATCTTTACGGCAGTGTGAGCAGGCTGTGATTTACTTTTGACTGCAGGCATTCAAGGGCATGGACACCGTTATTGCCGAGGCAGCGCGCAACAATGTGAAGCTGGTGATCGCGTTCATGAACAACTGGAACTACAACCCTTTGCAGACCGACTGGAAGTGCGCCCCTCCCCGATCACATAACCGTTACTCATTGTAAACTTCCTCAGCTGAAACATGCAGAATCTCCCTGCTGCCCTGCCATCCTGCCGAGGCACGCTTATTTGCCTGAAGAAAGCAGTTGATTGGAGCACTTTGCAAGCTCCTAAATTACTTTCCGGTGATACCTTTTGCTAGCGCACTTTCCGGTGCCTCTGGGGAATGTATCCTAGTGCTATGCAAAGCCATGCACAGGATCTGCATTGGTTCCCGCCGCAGGGAAAATCGCAAATTTGCATGCGTGTGCTTTTGCTGACGTGGCGCACGGCACATGCGCGCAGGTGCTCGTACACGAACTGGACCACGACGGCTCTTGGCTGCGACGACTTCTACACAGACCCCAACTCCATAAAGCTGTACAAGAACCACGTGAGAACGATGCTGACACGCGTCAACACCGTTACGGGCCTCGAGTACGGCAGCGACCCCACCATCATGGGTGAGTCGGCTGTACTTGATTTGGAATTCAAATTCAAGTCACTTTTTTCTGAAGGAATGAGGAAACCGCACAATCATGGGTGAGTCTGCTGTGGTCAACCTCCAAAATAAAAATCAAACGACACTTCACTGAAGGTATGACTTTGAAGATGACAAGGCAGCTGGCAGTGAAACAAAACGTGAGCACGTCAACCACACACTTGTCTGGGTCTCTTTGAGTGTCGTCCAGTCCAAGAAACGCATGGATGCGGGTTGTGGAGGCGGCTCATTGCAACATATCCAGCTCGCTACCGTGCTGTCACTCTCTCAGCCAGAGATTAATTCAGACGATGGCAGCACAAGCCTGACATGCATCACCAGGTCCCAGCATGCAGCTCTGTACGAACTTGTCAAAATACAAAGTTGCAACGATAGTTCAGAAAGCTAAGTGCACCATTCACTCGACCCCTGAATTATGCAATAGTTGGTCGCTGACATGCGTGTTTGTGTGCGCGCGTGCAGCGTGGAACCTGATGAACGAGCCGCGCAATGAGAAGCCGAACGGAGCCCAGGAGATCCAGAGCTGGATCACGGAGGTGGCCCCCTACGTGAAGAGCCTGGCGCCCAACCAGCTGGTGACCGTGGGAGAGGACGGCTTCTACCAGCCTGCCACCTGCCAGGCCAACCAGTGCGCAATCTGCCATGAGCTGTCTCGACCTTATATATCTTGCTTTTTTTAGGACGCAGCTCTTTTTTGTCAAATGCAGTTTGTTACCGGGGGCCCATGGCCATCTTCTGAGGTTCCTTTTGCCCATCTTCTGCTTGGCAGGATGAGTGGCAGCATGCATGCTGGCACTTTTGAAGGTCCTGCCTGGACAGTCAGTCTTTGTCGACATATTTTATAGGCACGGCAGAAGATGCAGCACAAGCTCGATGCGCTCAATGTAAAATTACCAGCACACATGATCATAGTCACAGATTACATGATGCTTAGTCGCTGATGATGTCTGCATCATGCGCAGGGCCAACCCGGTGGCGACCACCAACGGCGGGCCCGGCGGCGCGTGGCCCGTAGCTACGGGCAACGACTACCTGCCCAACCACATGGCGGACGGAATCGACTATGCTTCCATTCACATGTGGCCCGACAACTGGGGCCGCACTGACAAGGCCTTTGGACAAACCTGGCTCGCCGCCCACATCGCCGACACCAAGTACCTGGGCAAGCCTCTCGTGCTCGAGGAGTTCGGCAAGGCTGTCGGTGCGCGCCCCCGCCCATGTCCCTAGTTCTGGAGAAACCCCGACTGTCAGCTCTAAAAGTACCCCTGCGCAACGGCCTGGCCCCTTACTTTCCCAAGATATATTTTGCTGATATTCCCAAGAAGGTGTTTTGGATCAGTGAGTTTCTTTAAGGGACATCAGAGGGGATACGGGAGACAAATGGGTTGGAGTATTTGGCTTTAGAGAATCCTGGCATTGTGAAAGGGAGAGCCAAATTGCAGCTCATCACAGGCTGCCTTTGCTGTGCTTGCTTTAGTTGCCGCACTAGTAGAAGGCGACGAGCACTGCTTTGAGGAGACTATTGTGCGCACCTTGGCGAATAGACTTTCATTGTGCATTGGTCATTTATTTTGTCACTTGCAGCCTTGTCTGTTTGTTTGATTCTTGTACAGGCACTGACGGTAGGTCTGCTGCTGCACTGACGGTAGGTTTGCTGCTGATCCCCCTTTCTGCTGCACGTGTTCTAGGCAGGCTATCACGACAGATTTTTGATTCTGGTGCCCCCCGCAGGCGGCTACCTGCCCATCGACAAGCAGGAGGGTCCCGAGGCGCAGTACGCGTACTACAAGCAGACCTACGACGCGGCGCAGGCCTCTCTGCAGGCAAACACCGGCCTCAAGGGCATCATGTTCTGGCGCTGGGCTGGCGTCGACCCCACCGCCAAGTTGGCAGACTTCGACGAGGCCGCCACCATCGGTGGGCGCCAAATATCTCCCATGTATCTGCTTTTTCAGTGGCCCTGTTGTGTATTTATGTATGTTCTAGCAGAGAGGGCGTCAAAAGCTTTGCTGGGATCTGCCTCTTTTATTTTTAGAATGCGGCGTAAAAGATTGAAGCCATGTGTTGGATGACGCTCCGATATATATTTTCCTATTGCAACTGTGGCAGGAAACAAGTGCAAAGTGATATATTACTGCTATGAAAGTGTTGAACTTCAATGGTAAGAACTCGCAGCTCCATGCTTTCCTGCCCATGCAATTGTCCAGCAAGCTGACTCTTTTGTGCTGTGCAGCCTCCAACAGCAGCGTGTTCACTGAGATCATCCAACCCTTCACGTCCGCGCTCGCACGCAAGAACGCCGACCCAACCCGCGCGGCCGTGACCGGCTGCACGCCCGTTACGGGCGCCCCCACCACCACCACCGCCAAGACGGCCGCCTCCGCGGCGCTGCCGCCCTCCACCGCGGTCCCCCCGACTTCAGGCGCCACCGCCGCCGGATCCGGCGCCACCGCTACCGGCGCAGCGGCCGGCGGCCGGCGGCTCATGCAGGGCACCGCCCCGGTGCGAATTCCGACCTCTCTCTAAATCTGAATATGAAAACAAATCTGGAGTTCTCCCACCTCTGCAAGCTCTGTGTGGCTGGCATTAAGGAGTGAGGGGTGAGGGGTGAGGGGTGAGAGTTTGACCCGGACGGATGGTTTCAATAAAGCCTCTTGTGATGGCGTTTTTATCAGTGGGACTCTCTGTCAGTGGGACCCTCTGTCCTTAGTTCAATCATTGGTCAATGGTTTAATGCACTCTTTCAGGTACTTGGCCTGTTCAGCTCGCTACTTCTAAATCTGCATGCAACAAGTCGGAGAGGATGGACCTGCAAGGGGAGTGACAAGTTCGTGCAGCACAAATGAGATCATGTCAACAGTACCCAATGGTAGCGCTTGTTTGCTGAGGGTCTTCTTTTCTGGTGCAGGCCCCTGCAGCGGCCGGCGCAGTGTCTCAGAACTTTGTTGGCAAGTCCACATTCACCACGCCAGCTGGCATCACTGCCGCCAACATTAACAGCAAGGTCACTTGCTGAAGGAGTCCAATCATTTGATCGAACTAGTCCTGTTCATCGAAGTATCAGAGGACTGAAGACAGTGACAAAATGAAGAAGAACCTGACGGAAACAATGTTGTGGAGTTTGAAGCACTTGTCTTGGAAAGATAGCATGCATGATGTAGTCTGTAGTCTCAATGTAGTCTGTTCCACACATGTGTCATCAAGGAGAGTCCAGCATTAGACTGCAGGATTGTCTGTCCGCGATGCCTGTACACATGTGAAATTTGACCGTCTGAGACCATCAATGACTGTGTTGCGATCAGTGCATGCAGTGAATACCCTGACTGAAATTTTCATTGAGGTGAGATATTTGATGCAATTTCCTGTGAAGGAGATTCCGGTGGTGGAGTAGACATGTCTGGAAAGGAAAGTCCAAAATGTCAAAGAAAACTCTGCACATTTCTTGGCCCCACCGTGTGTTGGACTGAGATGCGTATCTTCTTGGAGCATACTTTCCATTGTCTTCCCGTCCTCAGCATTTTCATTTAGTTCACTTTGGGAAAAGAGTGCCTAAGAGTCAAATTGCCAGACGTAAAGACTAGCAAGCAGGACAAGCTCAGCAGCAAGACAAAGACTAAGTGACCAGGCGATCCGCGGGAAGTGCACTTTTCAAGCGGATGTCGGCAAGATGGCTTGCCCTCAAATTAGATGGAGATGTTTCGTTGGCTTCATAGCTGCTTATTTCCTCCTTCTCAGTCCGTCCAAGGCAGGTGCGAAGGAGGAACTATATCTCAAGATTTGCTGATCTGGGTGAAGCCAAACTCAGCTTGGTGCAGTTTTTCGTCTAAATCCGCCTTATATGGCTTCAATAATGTCACTGCAGTAAATATCGTTTGCACAAGGTTTCCAAAAACTTCTCCTGGCAAGTTGGCGTGGTTGAGACATGTTCTCTGCGCTTCCCAGCTTCGGCCAGCTTTATCCGGGTGCAGAGTGGAGTCTTCGTGGATGCCGGCTGCAAGGAATTCAAATTTAGCGGCTACAATGCCTGGCAGGTGCGATTTCTCCTATAATGCCAAGCTACCAAGCACTTCACCAGACATTGCAACGACACAGCAAGCTTGGACTCATAAGTGTTCGTGTGCAGGTCATCGAAGCTGCCCTGGATCTCTGCTGCGGAGGGCGTGCAGCTCTTGTCACGCAATTTCAGGAAGCTGGTAAGGACCCCACAGGGGAGTGCTTAGAGTGTCCTTGCATTTTCTAGTTTGAAGGGCACAGTGGTGACCCTCTCATTGACAGAGATCAGTAATACTGTCCCGAGGCTGACTGATGCTTTCATATCTGTGGTGCAGCCAGGAACAATCTCACGGTAGTGCGCATGTTCGGCTTCCCCGTGCAAGAGGGCTTCAACCTGCAGACAGCGCCGGGCGTCTACAATGAGGAGGCCTTTCGCGGCATGGACATAGTGATATCCGAGGCTGCAAAGCAGAAGCTGCGGCTGGTCATTGCGTTTGCCAACAACTGGGCCTACAATGACCTCCAGACTGGCTGGAAGTGAGTAATTCCACCCAAGCATAGCTGCTGAGCAACTTCCCATGTGGCTGCTGTGCACTAGGTTGGTGAAGAATTGCAAGCAGCACATGGGGATGCAAGCAAACACATTGACTGGATGCAATGTTCGAGAACTGCAAAGCAGCTCTATTTCCCTTACTGGCAATTGCAGCGCCTTGCATGTCATGCATGCTGTCTTGCTTCCACCTTGCTGCTGTCCAGGAGAACATGCAGATGAACAACTTGGATTGCTTTTGAGATCCCTGGCCCTTGCTCTTGTGCCAAGGGGATCTATATATTGCTGATGCAGATGATCCCCCTGGCTGTGCATACGATGGGCAATCAAAAGCGAGGGTGTTATTGTATGCATGCAGGTGCGCGTACACTAACTGGACGGCCACAGCCAAGGATTGCAATGACTTCTTCACAGACGTCAACGCCATCAAGCTGTACAAGCGGCATGTGAAGACAGTGCTCAAGCGCGTCAACACTGTCAGTGGCATCTCCTATGCCAACGACCCCACCATCTTAGGCAAGCCTCTCGCGCTGTCTTCATGATCTGATCACCTGTCAGAAACCGATTGTATCCTTGACAGACGGCCACCATTCACTGTGACAGACCTATCACAGGGCTGCAGCTGGCAGTCTGACCAACAGGATACCTCGTTATTCAGTACTATCAGTGATTTCAAAACATGAGAGCACCCAGTGATTTCATGCAGTCCACTCCCTTTCGGCGCATGTCAATCTTTTGCAGCTGTAAGTGGGCAGATCACAATGTTAAGTCAGCCAGCTTCATGTTTGGTCCTTCTCTTCAGATTGAAATACCTTTATCTTTCTTTCTCGCAAGCACTGCATGGCAAAGTGAGGGCATGAGCACTGAATCTTTGCATGCTGGAGCAATGTCTTGTGGGCATTGCTTTCCTGCCATTGGCCTCCGACTGATGAATGGACATGGCGCCACCACATACATGATTGATAAGTTGGTGTGGGGTGCAGCCTGGAACCTGATGAACGAGCCGCGCAACGAGCACAAGAAGGGCGCAGCGGAGCTGCAGAGCTGGATCAAGAAGGTTGCGCCGTTTGTGAAGCGGCAGGCGCCGAACCAGCTGCTCACTGTGGGCACCGAGGGATTCTACCAGGCCTCCAATTGCGCTGCCAGCCAGTGAGGCATTCCCACTTATGTCCTTGCAATTATAGTCTCACATGCCTACTAAACATTCTTCTCATGCGGCACTAGAAGATGGGGCACTTCTGAGAAATTGGGCGTTCAAAGTTCAAAGACTGCTCTCTCAACGCAAGATCCTATTCTGTTGGAGGGCATTTAGACTATTAGTCTATGCAGCCAAACACCTCAGGCTCTGCATGGATTACATTTGCATTCAGATTTGGGTCTGATTTTGGATTGTACCTGGGTTCGAGGCGTATGCAGACTTGAAAGTTCAAGTTGGAGGATTCAGCATCCTGCATGCATGCTTGCATGATGCAGGAGGTGCTCTTGACAGTCATGAATGTGGGCTAATTTCTTGGGGGGATGCTGTCACACCTGACACTTGAAGACCTGTAGAGGCCTTCATCACGCTGTAGCCAGCTGTGTGAAGCACAGTTGATTGCTAAGCCTGAATCAATAATGTATGTAGGCTCAACCCGGTGCCAACCGGCTGGCCGTTCGCGACGGGGCAGGACCATCTGCCCAACCACGCGCTGGCCGCCATCGACTATGCAGGCATTCACCTGTGGCCCGACGTGTGGAGCCGCGACGACCGCGCATGGGGCTTGCGATGGATCCAGGCCCATGCTGACAACGCTGCGCTGCTGGGCAAGCCACTCGTCGTTGAGGAGTTCGGCAAGTTTGTGGGTGCGCATTTCCGCGCAAGGCTTCTGGCAAAATCACTGAAGTTCTCTTTATTCTATGTGGTTCGAGTGTTATAATAAAGAGGCCTGCGCTGCACCATTACAGGCGCACTGAAACAGTGCATGTGTCAGCGCATGCAAGAGCTTGGTCGAATACTCAGCAGCTCTGAATCCTATATTGCAGCCGCTCGATTTTTCCAAGCGCTCTCTGTCCGCCATGCGCTTCACGCTGGCCCTGCAATGGTAGTGACAGGGGCGCATACATGGCAATGAGCAGAATTACTTATGTTATATTTCAGCAGCCAGGCCGACAGCCAATACTGATCACACGACGTCTGCAGGCGGCATTTATGACAGGCAGCACACAGAGACAGCGGGCCGCCAGCTGGCGTACTACAAGAAGGTGTACGAGGAGGTGGGCAAGTCGCTGTTCGGCAGCGGAGCCATCAAGGGCATCCTGTTTTGGCGCTGGAAGGCCGCCGATCCCACCATTGTGCTCGGCACTGACGACCAGGCCGCAACACTTGGTGAGTAGCTTATACACATGCACAGATTGGTTTTCCTCCAGCAAAGGGTGAAAGTATATGTTCTGTGAGCTGCAAGCATCCTTGAGAGCAGTGTAGTGGCTGGAACAGCATGCGGATGCAGTGTCTTCTTCAGCACCGTAGGACAGGGTTTGTTGTATCCACTTATTCAGTGAATTTTCCTATGTACTCTCTGTTTGGGACTGCCTGAGTAGAGCTTATGGTGATGGCTGCGTGTACTGCTCTGTGGCAATAATGCATCAAGATGGCTGACCTTCTGTTGTTGCATGCAGACACGGACGGCAAGGTCTTCCAGCAGGTGATAGCGCCCTTCAGCGCGCGCGTCGCCAAGGCAGCCTCGGACCCCAAGCGGCCGGTGGTCAAGGGCTGCGTGGCAGCCAACCTTGTTGCCACACCAGCCACCCTCGTCACGGGCTCTCAGCCGCAGCTGCAGCCGGCGCCATCTGCAGCCAAGTCTGGCGCAGCAGTCCAGTCAGCCCCCAGCGCTGCAGGCTCATCGGCGAATGCAGCAAAGCTTGCGGCGGCGGTCCAGTCCTTACTTGCAGCCCAGTTAGCGCCTGCGGCCAAATCTGGCGCAGCAGTCCAGTCAGCACACACCGCGGCGATCCAGTCAGCGCTCGGGCCTGCCTTGGCCAAAACTGGCGACGGCCTTCCTGTGCTTGCGTCAGCGCCCGCTCAGCCTGCTCCGGTCCAGTCAGCATCTGCGGTGCAGCCCGCTGCGGTCCTGCAGGCTTTGGGGGCCCAGTCAGCAGCAAAGGGAACGGCAGCAGACGCGGCCGGAGAGGCAGCAGCTCTGCCGGTCTCTGATCAGCCGGTGCAGACGGTGGCTACTCCTGCCACGCTCGTGCTGCCGGCAGCGGCGGCTGGGCGGAAGCTGCGGGCGGCAGCTACCGCGCAGCTGCCGGTGAGGACCTCCCCCTTGAACTCTTTAGCATCCTGCCTGGCCATCACAGCATCCCATGATGGACACGGGGAGATAAAACTGCTCTGCATTTGCACACCGTTGCTATTTGAAGACTTGCCAAAAGGCCTTGCAGGTCACAATTCAAACAATTCAGTGCATTGACTATGAGACCATTCTTCTTAGGCGCAGGCAGGCGTTCAGGAGGAAACTGCAAATGAAGCTGATGACCTGGCGGCAGTGGAGCAAACCATGCAGCTGTCCACCTTCTCGACACCACCAGGAGTCACGCCTGAAAATATCAACTCCAAAGTCGTGTGTGCAGCTGCAGCCGAGCAGGCCCCAGCAGCAGCTGCAGTCGCCGGATGAGCAATATTATTATATAAATTAATTAATGGGCTCAGATTTTCTGAGCCCAATAATCTTATAAAGCCCCGTGTTCCATGAAGTTCCCTTTAGTCAATTAGTTCGGCATCCTTGAGGCAGAGCTGGCAGGGAGGCAGTGCTGCTAGCACTGACCTATTCTGGAGGCAGCCTTATGATTGAATGCACGGCGTTAGCATGAAAGGAGAGTGTGTGGATTTTGATGAGCGCATCATGGCAGAGACAGTGTCCGCAGGAAGGACACTGACCGCCTGAGATGCTAGGAGTCATATCCAGGTGATGCAAATGAGCAAATGAGTGAGATGCAGCTAAGTACTGTAGAGGGGTAGAGACCGCACCTGTCATGCAATTCGGAAAGGTGTGGGTAGCAGCAATAAATGCATGCGTCTGAAGAAATGAACACCTGGGGATTATTGTACTGCTGTTAGCAATACATTAGCAGGTTCCATTGGCCTTGTGGGCTGATTTCATCGGCCAATAACACTCTCATGCTGTCACTGTTTCCAGGGCAACGTGAAAACGAGTGCGTCCGGAATATCTGCAATTCTGGAATAGCCCTGTATCTGATTCAGGGTAGCACATTTAGCGGATGCCAACGTGGTCAGCAAGCAAGCTTTTTGGCACATGTGGTGTTTGTATGTCTAGTCAAGGTGTAGGGCTCAATAGCAAGGAGGGGCCTCTCTTGCTAGTTTCTTTGTCAGTGATAGTCATGAAATGCGGTGATAATTCGTCACGGCCCAATAATTGCTGCACAATATGTTCTGTTCAGCTTTGCTGATCAATAATTATTATATTTATAGATAAGCTTACAGCCAGCGTGTGTGAGGTGGATTTTGAAAGGCACATGGACCTTGCTAGAATAGGTTCACATTTTTGAGGATGCAAGTTATAACAGCTGAGTTCTTGATGAAGTTTATTAGAGATATGTGAGGTGGCACTGGCAATCAATGGATGCCAGGTCACCAGGCAGTAGTTCAGGAGTGCGGTGATGATGCTTGGTGTGCGCCGCAACATACTGCTAACAGCATGGCTTTTGGTAGCTTCTAGCTACAGCATGCCAATGGCGCTCTGTAGATCTGGCCTAGAGGCTAGATCAGAGACCATCCTGAGGATGGTCTCTGCCTTACTTGGAGTCTAGACAGAGTGCCACTACAGTGTATAAGATCTGGCGGATCTGTGTAAGAAGCACATAAAAATGCCTTCGCATGTATCAAGAGCCACAATCCATGCATACAGGCAAATCCCCAACGCATTGTCTGACGTACTACGAGACGAAAGAACTCAGCCATGATCACCCACGCCTTGGCAGCTTCCAGCTTCCACGAACCTTCCCTCCATCAGCTCCCTCGCCCATCTCATGCTTGCACGTCTGCATTCTGATGTTTGTTTGCAAAGCTTCAGATCTAAGCTCGGGGTTCTGGACGTCCTATATTGTAATGATGTAGGATAGAGAGTGAGCTGCTCCACTGCGATTCGCAGACACACACATGTCCTGCAATCGGCAGATCAAAGCATTGCAGGATTGCATGCGCAAACATCCCAGAGACCGTGAGGTAACAATGCAGAAATCATGAAAGAAAATTTTCGTTGCATTGCAGTCCAACTTCTGATTATTAACCGATCGTTTCATCTCTTACCCTGCAAGTGCTGCGATCTCTGCAGATCGTCTGTGGACATATTGAAATGCAAGCAGCCTGGTGTATGATTGGCTTGATTTGCCCAGCAGAAGGTAAAAGAAGGAGACCTGCTCAGCAGTACGCTATGATTGATGTCATTTGCAGCAATGGCTTGACGGGTGTTTGGCTTAACAGTTGTCTGCAATTGTCGCAGTTCAGGACATAGAGTGCTGCGCTGGGCGTAGAAAGAATGGCTACATGTCCGCAAGATCAATACCAAAGAAATGTCAGGCTGCTATGGACCGCTTGGATGTCTGCATAGAGCAGCACCAAGCCCATCAGGATCCTGGTTGAGGTTTTTCAAAGAGCATGGACTGGAGAAATACATTCTCACATCCTTTGGATCGCTTCAGGTACAGGTGAGCACAACTAGTAGGCTCTGCTCACGACTGACAAGACCTGCAGAGAAGTAAATACGACAGGTGACCCTCTGATTCAGACATTACAAAGGGCGCCATCAGTAAGCGTAGGTATGTGTCCGCAGGCGTGCCATTATTGCTTAGATCCTCCCTCTTTATTGTGGAGGAGGCAGTTGCCAACAATGGCAGGATGTGCAGTCAAGTCAAAACTGGCAAATGTTGGCATAGAGCCAGCGACATGCCATGCCTAACCGGGAGAATGCTTACCTAAAAGTCAGTGCGAGTGCCAAAAGTAGGAAGGGCTGCTTCACTGTGTGAATCATGTGAATCTATCAAAAACACAAACATATCCCGGCCCAGGAGCAGTAATGTTGACATCTCAGTCATGCAGTCAAGCGTGTCAGTGTAATTCGCTATTGGAAGGCACGGCATGCCATGTCCAACTCAAAAATTTGAGAGTCCTGAGAAAAGGTTTGGTAAACGGGCTCTGGTTCCGGCTTCCTCAATCAAGCTCTTCTCACTACGAATATGGGTAAAAACATGGAAGCATGTGTTAACCTGAAAGGCCACTTGCAGCAGAGTGTATTTTACTACGGTAGTCGTACTCCAAAGTCGGTTGCAAGCTTCAAGGCTTCAGGATCAGCGGCGGCAGAGCCCTAGGGCTCCACAGAAAACATCAAGGTCAAGGAAAACACAGAGAACAGGTAAAAGGGTGTCTGGTGAAGAAATTTTGATATTGCGGGTCCAATCATGATGCATAGTACAGCCATACTGATCTCTGGCATTTTTATGCGGTAAGCTGTAGACATCTACAATTTGTTGATGGACTTGTTGACCTCGACCATATCCCAAGAAAGGTTCTAAATATATGCCCTTCCAAGAGTGCCACTCAGTGAAGGATGGCTGTCCGTGCAGAAGCAGGGCTTGAATGTGTTGAAGCCAGAGTGAAGTATCGCTTGTGCTCTTTCTATGAATTACAAAATATGAAATTAAAAAGTGTTGAAGCCCCAAAAAAATCAATAAAAAAATGAAAAGCCTCCGTACCGGGACTCGAACCCGGGATACCAGGGTGAAAGCCTGATGTCCTAACCACCTAGACCATACGGAGTTGGGCATAATCATCAATGCAGTTTGGGCAATTTATTGTCTATATCAACCGGTTTGAAAAGCCTTCTCAGACCAACCTTCCATTAACTCTGCTGAATTCGCTTCTAAGCAATCAAAGTTTCAAAGCGACATCGAATAGAAATGATAGAAGCTCTGACGAGATACGAGCTCCATCGATGGAAAGGATTTCTTTAAGTAGAGATCTTTGCCAACCAACTTTGCCGTCTACGCAGAACACTTTGCACGCTCGAGGCGGGAACAAGCATAATGCCTGCGACAATATAGAGAATAAACTGATGTAAGGCGCTTAAAGATGTACAGCTTCAGTGGTCGTCAGACGCCAGCACAGAAGGTAACGCCAGTGGGGTAGGCAACAACTGCTGTCATAAGACGATTCCAGACTGGACTGCCCTCGCAAAACCAGTCTGTGATGATCTAACAATGCAGGATATTAAATATCATCGCTCTTGTAATCATGGACCGAGGCTGTCTTTTCTTGTCCAGCGGTAATCTTGACTTGTGATCTGGCTCCTCAACAATAAAAATACAGTCTGGCACAAAGCAGTATCTTGGCCCACTCTTGAATAACTAAAAATAGCAGTGATTAAGATGTCAGTTTAATCAGAGGACACTACAATTCTTCCCTGCCGGGTTTGCCACGCCCATGCTTGGAGAGAAAGTTGAGGGCCACAGAGGCATGCAAGGCCGCGCCGAGTGGCATCTGTGCTTCATCCATCTGGAATTGGGCCGTGTGAAGACCATGCACCGATCCCGCTGTCTCGTTGCGAATGCCCAAGAAGGTGAAGACCCCAGGGACAGCATCTGCAGCAGCACATGTGCACCTCAAGACTCCCCTCGTATTGAAGATGATCGCACGGCCATCTGGAAGATTATCAGCAACCTCCTGTCCTTGGGCCCCAATAAACTTTAAGGCTCACAGCCAAGTATGCACAGAGCAAATATGAGCAAAAACAACAGACAAGACATGCAAGATGCCTCACGCCGTCCTCGCATGTGGGGACGCTGGCCGCTCGGTTTACGGCACATCTGTGGAGCGATCACGTCTCCCCACAGGAGGACGGCGGCGAGTCCAATGCATCGATACAATTGTGAGATCAGGACTTCTAGAGACGAGCACCTGCCAGGAAGCTGAAGTCTTCGGCGGCCATGGTGGGCTCGGGCAGCCGGTGCCACCTGTCGCTGCCCACCAGCTGCCCGGCAACTCCCTCCAACAGCGATACCAGTTCTGGGGCATTCACTGTTGGCCCATAAGCCTGCTCGCTCCACCGCACGCTTGCTGTGCACCCGTGCAGCTCTGCCGTGCCTTCTATCACCTGCACGATGTCCACACAGCCAAACTTAATAGTACGATAGTCTGTACAACAATAGCCAGGCAATGACTGACCTTGAAAACCAGGCCCAGGAATCTCAAGAGTATGACATGAAAATCATGGGTGCACTTGTCTCTTTTGCAGCCTCCCAAAGGTGTGACTTTCCAAAGGACACTCCAAGAGGGGAACAGGTGTGCGCGTATGCATGTTGCACAGGACAGAGGGCAAGTGTACCTTCGTGACGCGCTTCCTCATGTGCACAAAATGGCTGGTGGTCAAGGCACGCAACGTGCCGGCCATCGACACGCTGTCTGGAATGACATTTGACGCTCCCTCGCCTGCACAGAGTCAAAACATCCCAATCTTGAGGGGCCAATTCCATGGTACATACATAGACCCACCCCCCAAATTATCCCCGGTGCAAACATGCATAGAATTTCCTCTGCTGATCAAGGCTGCCCTTCCCAAGCGCATCAGCTGCTCCCCATTGTGCAAGCAGATCACGGTGAACAGAAACTCTTCTGAAGTCACGCATAGGTTGATTGACACGAGACAGAAAGACCAAGAAGGTTGGCAGAGCGCACATGGTCCGCACCCTGTGGCAAGCAAATTAGAGACACATGCAGCGGGCTATCACACGCCTGTACATATGCAGCAAGGGACGTTACCTGTGTTGAAGCGGCTGACGGAGACGACAGCGGCGTCGGTTGGGGAGGTCTCGCGAGACACGAGCGGCTGCAGAGAAGTCACGATCGCGGCAGCCGCCACCACGGGATCAGCCGTCAGGTGCGGCAGCGCCGCGTGGCCGCCTCGGCCGGTGATGTTCACAAAGAAGCGGTCTGCCGCCGCCATTAATGTGCCGTCCTGACGGTATATCAAAGAGCATATCAGAGATCCTCATGGTTGAAGAGGCGTATACAATAATATCAATATGATAGATTGTGCGCGCCTCGACAGAAGAGACAAGGTACAAGCGTATGAATGGTAGGCGTGATAGATGGCTGATCGGCCAGACAATCATAAAAAAGAAGCAGTTGAAAAGAAGCCTAGGTTGCAAACAGAATATATTCGTGCGCTGCTTTGTCCACATCTGGAGGTGTAGGTATACGCAATGTGAATTGCACATGATTGACCATTCCAAAATGGGCTAGTGCAGTCTTCCTCCGGAACATGTTCTTGATGGACCAAGAGCCAGAGAGCAAAATCGCGCTGACTCACCCTCGATGCAACGACGCCTGCTGGCAGATCCGGCCAGACATGGATGCCGTGGATGCCTGAGACCCCCTCGAGGGCCCCCTCCTCCACAAACTTCTTTCCCCCTGCGCCCCCCTCCTCTGCCGGCTGGAACAGCAGCAGCACAGTCCCCCCCAGGTCCCCCTCCCGAGCCTTCAGCAGCGCAGCAGCTGCACACACATAGTAGCAGCTGGTTACGTGATATAGCTGAGATTGAAATGCTGTATACAATCCCAGTATCAGCACCACATACAGCAGCAGCTGACCACAATCCCAATCTGGGCAGCACTCCAAATAGCAACCTTTACAATACCGATCTCTGCTTCCTGTCCAGAACTTTACTTTTTGCATGCCTTTAAAATGGAGCTGAAATCTGTGAGCCAGCCAGTGGATTCAATCATGCCCATGCATGTGGTGTGATTATAGATGAGTAAACACATAACCAGATATATGGAGGCAGCGATATGAGTATCCTTCCCAGCAAATTGGTGCACGCACCTCCCAGCAGCATGGTCATGTGGGTGTCATGCCCACAGGCATGCATCTTCCCATCGTGGGTGCTCTTAAAGTCGACCGCAACCTCCTCCTGCAATATATTAGTTGAGAGAGTCAACAAAGACAGACATAACAAATGTGCTGGTGCATTTTCCTCCATTTCGGTGCATTTGATGAAGAAAAAGCCATACGCATGTGGCAAGATGCCATTCCTAACATGCTCTTCAAGGGATCAAGAAAAGATGGCAGGTTGGAGGGCTGTGCCTGTATTGGGAGGGCATCCATGTCAGCTCGAAGGGCAAATTTTGGGTCTCCATGGCCGATAGTTGCCAGAATGCCGCTGTCCGCAACCGGATACTTGTAGGAGATCCCCAATTTGTCAAGCTGAAGCCTGCACCCACAAAGCACGCACCCGTCAGGAAGGTATTTTCTCATGGGCTGTTTGCACGCACCAGGGCTTGATGCGAGACAGGATCCGTGCAGCATCTGCGAAAGGCTTGGATGGCAATACAAGGGGCTGAATCCCTTCTGGGATTTTGCAAACTTGCGCTGCAAACCATTACAAGCAGGGCTGCTTGTAGCAAGCCGCTTGAAGCGGAAGCAAAACTGATGGGGGGCCGTGGAGCAAACCTGATGTATGCGCCAGTCTTTGGAAGGTCGTACATCAGCTCTGGAATGGTGTGCAGGTGCCTGCCAAATTGCATGCATATAACTTTATAAACGCTTGAGAAGATGACATGAAAAGCTGTCAATACATCAGCAAAATAAGGAAGGAACAGCAGCATTTGCTAGGGCACCTTCGAAGTTCCTGAAGGTAAGGCATCAGAGCTTCAGCTTCCTGCAACGTTTTAGGACTAGCGCTGCTCTGTGCAGGCCCACCAGTGAACACGAGGATAGCCATCGTCAGTGCCAGTCTTACCGGTGAGCATGAAACCGGTCGCATCATGATTGTCGTATAGTACCGGGGTTCAAGAGTGATATTGGTCACTCAAAATCAAAATTAGTGCAAAAAGAATGCGAAACAACGACCTGATTCTAAGTATCAAATTGCAAGGCCCCTTAAAGCGATCTTATACTGACACTTGCGATCTGCTGCAACCAATCGTCGTTTAGATGTTCGTGCACATTCTTTTGTGTCCTGTCAATTGGGATGATTGCTTGCATTCATTTTTGAGCCAATGAGATTGACATGACGCAATGATTTGAGCTGGTCAGCCGTGACACGTTTGCCACAGCTTCCACCAGCTTCCCTTGCCTTTCTTTGTGGTCCCGAACTGGCTCAAAGTTGATGTATTGTTTCGGCAGGATTGAATAGAAGACGGTCACCGGTAAAACGTTGAGGGACATGGATCTACGAGGGAATATTACAAAGCAAGTAGCGGCTTGCAGCCTGGTAGCTTTGCCTCGTCGTCCAAGGGCATTTGCGAGCGCCCAAAAAGTGCCCCACAGCTTACACCAGCAGCTTTTTCGCCCGGTCTTGAGTGGGAACGACGTAACAAAATCTTTAAGAATAAATGCATTCTCTCCCGAAGCTAAAGCTGAGGAGATAGCCGAGGAGGCGGCCCTCTCAGTGCCACACCTTAAACCAGATGAACGGTAGGCCGTCTTGAACCTTATGCTCGATTACATCTCGTCTCACAATTCACATTAGTAGCATATTATGGGAGCTGTCTTGCTGTATTCCTCATATCTAGAGAAGAAGCAACGTTGAGGATGTGGACACATATGCAACATCCACGTGAACAATAGGCCTAACAGGAGTCCAAGCATTCCACCGTAAAATAGTTCAATGGGCTTTGCGATGCAGGGTATTGCCATGGGATGAGGATAGAGGAGGAGTGCAAAATTGGTTCCAGAGAGCGCTGAAATTCTGGACAAAGAAGGCTTGGATCGCAGCGCTGGCACTGTTTTATCTCTATCAAGAAGCTGCCGTACGTTTTATCATATTGTCTTTGGAGCTGTTGTTCCCCCTCGTTTCTATTTTGACAAGATTCACCTTGCCAGGTGCAATACTAACGTTGATGGAAATCCCTTGCAGGCCAAGCTGCCATGGGTGAAGATCAAGAGGTTCGAGAAGTGGTTCTGGACGACATGTCGCTGCAGATGGGTGCATGCAGTGAATGCTGCCAGTGTCCTGGGTGGAAAGTGGTGGAGGGATACAACAAAGAACATGAATTGGCGCAGCACCAAAGCACACCTGGCGCAAAAGGTAGGCCGCCTGTCGTTGTTGATGGACGCTCAGATGAGTTATGATCTATTTTGTCTGCTTCGGGCAAAACTTGTTCCATTTGGAGACTGAAGATGGCAGATGAAGGCGCATACAGCCAATCTTCTGCTGGAATCTGAGGTATTTGATAACGTCAACAGAGAGCGGAGATGGAAGGAGAGATGCAAGAGAACGTGGAGCATGTGAAGCATGACATCGAGGAGTCTGTGGAACAGCAGGTACGTGAGTCATCTGGAGAGTTGGCATATACACCAATTGCCGGATACGTGGCAGGCAGTGGGCTTGTCGCCACTGGCAGAACTAATGTCTTCTAAGATGCATAGTGCACACCTATCCGTGTGCTGGTGCATTCTGCATAAGGACAGACCGTGCTGTTGTGTCATGTAGCGATTATGCTGCACTGGATGATGTTATTGCACAACTGCTGTGACTGAACATGGTATTGCCACAGCTGGCCGAAGGCGTCACTGAGTCATCGACTGGCGTGCATGCAGAAAGACACAGTGAACAGGAAGGTTCCTGCCAGGGTAAATCCCTTGCTCATCAAGGAGAATCTGGATCAAAGGATGCAGAGCGCGATGGAGGCTTCGGGGCTGGGAAACCATGTCGATGCAGCCATGGACAAGCTGAGAGTTGCGGTGAGGCACTTCACTCTCTTGCTCCACACTCAGACTCAGGACTCTGGTTGCACTCATGGGCATTGATTCAAATGTGAAGACCTCGAGCAAATCGATGCTGACGCTCCCAAATATTCTGCGGTATTCCGCTCTCTTGTGGAGCATGTAGATATGTATCTGCTCAAGCACGTTTAGTGCTGCAGTGTGCCTATCTAGGTTCTGCTGTCTTGTCCGAGCGTGGAATCGTAGATTTTGATTTCTTACAGATTTTGATAGATTTTGTGATGCATTATCTCCAGGGCATCGGATCATCTGGACAACATATGGTATATACTGACGGCCTAAATGCACTTGTGAAGGAAGTCCTGGTGCACTACAGGTACCGATGCTCAAGTCCAGCGACAAAGTGAGCAAGGCGGAGGCTGCAGCGGAGGCGAAGGCTGCAGCAGAAGCAGAGGCAGCTGAGCAGCATGCGAATGCTTCTGCAAGCGCTGCCACGCCAGGCATAGTGACTCTGCCCATGCACACTGAAGTCATCCTGCCTGCCATCGGGGCAGCAGCAGAGGCTTCTTCTGCAGGCACGAGGTCATCCTCCAAGCACAGCGCTGCTGACAGGGGAACAGAGCAGTCAAAGCAGGCGAAACCTCGCGTGAGCAAGAGCTTTCTTGCCTTCTTTGGGGGTAGGAAGGATGCAGAAAAGAGTGACCCGCCTGCAAAGCAGCAGCCAGAGGAGGTGGATTCCAGTGGAAGAAGGTGGCCGCAGTCTATGCTATTTTGGAAGTAAGGTGACTGCTAAATCGGTGTTGCAGTACAAGTCTCACGAGTAGATTTTCTGTCGCATTGCTGCACTGTATTATTCAGCCAGCACTTGCTAGTACAATTTGTGCACTGCTTTAGTTTGTCCTTTCAATTTAGTCAAGAACAGCAGTGTTGTCCTGGGGGATCAGCCTCAGCCGGACACTGTCAGTCACATTGTTCAAGGCAGAGCGAAGTACAGGTCTCTTAAAGAACTTCTATAGTCTAGGAGACATGTCAGGACAGTGATTAGCTTAGGTGTTCGTGTGATCTTGTACAGGGAGAAGATGCTTCTTGGGTGGGTAAAAACACTGATTAGGTAGGTGTTCTTGTGATCTTGAACAGGGAGAAGATACCTCCTAGGTGGTAAGCGGGTATCGGTTGAGAGACGATCGCACTTTCAAGGGTACGAAGAGGGGATGTGTGTCTGAGCATTTTTTTGCATGCCTTTGGCATGCACCTGGACGCTTTAACTGATGGCCCTGGCCTTACAAAGCTGGACGTGCAAATCTTAGTGGAGTGGGATTTCTTACATACATCAGTTACTCAAGCTAATTATGCGCAGGCATATCCAAATCAAAATTGACACGACCCAGCAATTGAACTACAGCAGATGCTTGCAGGCGTGTGTGCACTTGCTTGTGTACACTAGGCCACATTGTAAAAGAGTCCGAGAACCATCTATCAAGGATTCGTGTGAAAAGGATCATGAACATGACATAGTCCATGGGGTGTTATTATCCAATACATCCTTACTAACAAAAGCACGATTGTCTACAGGTCGCACCATGCATTAATCAAGACACAAGCTGAAGTTCTCCCTTTCAAAAATCTGCGAGATGTTCCACATGCATGGCCTTAACAAGACGCACATCTCAACCTACTAGGAAAGATGTAGAAGCAGCTCCGCAAAATTTCCACGCCTCGCGATTAAATGTAGCTTTGGGGTAATTTACCATCTGATCAGACAATGCACAATGCACCAAGTCCGGTACGCACCAGCTACTCCACTACCCAATAAGCATCGCACACACCGACTGAAGAGTGGAAACAAACATCTAGGAAACATGAATATGATGCAGAATTAGAAGAATGAATCAGCGAGGCTGGATATCAAGCACTCTGAACCACTGCAGCTCTAATTCAATCTCCCCATGGTCCACGCCCTTCAGCCTGCACAACCGGTCAATTGCTCTTCATTTCCACGTGTGATAATCTCCGCGCATTCAGAACACTGCTTCCCCTATTACTTTTATTGTTACACGCTCTTTCTGCCAAAAGGCAAGATGCGTCCTGCAGACAAGCTGCACTTAGAGGCTGCCACAAGCCTACCCCTTAATGGACTCGCCAAATCCAAGTAAGACCCAATCAAACAGGGCACGAAGCTTAGTATTTATACCGCCCCCCGCCAGCCGGGGCGCTGTATATGTGAAGCTTTTGGCATAGTAGGTATTGCCAGTAGGTCGCGCTCGTCTCAAAGCCCCCAGGCTCCCCGCAGGCATCAAAACCAGCAAACTGCCGGGAAATATTCAGCCATCCCGCCTAGCATGCAAAGAAGCAGCTGCACTCTTCCACTGCATGCACAAGAAAACAATGCACAACACTCTCTCCTCGCAATCTTTTCTTCTGAGACCTCCAGATGTAAGGTGATCCATCTAGAAGAGCTCAAGCTAAGACCCAATTTTCAAATCTCGTTTTCTGAACAAGTTCCCGCAGGGCTTTGCCGCAGGCTCAAAAGCTGTTATTTTGTGTTCCCGCTACCCCAAAATCTGCCAACTTTACTAGTAACATGGGCGCTTTGGGCTGCAACGAGATCATGTTACTGCAGGAAACTTCCCGCACCCCAAAAACCTAATGATAATCCGTCAGAATGCTCAAAAGTTTCATTATTGGGGGTTCTACTTTGAGCTTAACAGTAAAGTGATCAGCGTTCCGTTTGTGGCACAGGGCGCAGAGGAAGCTACCTGAAGGTGTCGCGGATGCGGTGCTTGTCCAGCACGTCTTTGAGGGGCACTTGAGCAACCCCTCTGAAATGGTTAACCATTTTGTAGTCCCACACTTCCACCGTTATGCTCTTGCGCTCCGGCTCTGCTATCTCATCCGCGCCTGCCAGCCATCAGAGACCAAATTCAAATTTGAATTCAAGAAATTTTAGGTTCCGAGCAGAGCTCTGAATTCTGCCAGAGTCTGCTGCCACAAAATGACAGCCAAGTGCTACTGAGCGGGGACTGAGTGCATGTCAGTTACCTAAGTGGCCTGACTTCCAAGTTTACGAGTGTCAGATGCTAATATGCCGGCCTGGACGCGAGTAGCGCTTGCAGGCCAGCTGAGATCTTGGAAGTCACAGGCATGTCAGGGGTCAAGAACCACCCAGGATGAACTGAGGGTGCCAGCTTGATCTCTTTCACATCACACCACCTGGTAGCGTTTTACATATATACCCCTCATGTATAGAATGTCAGGGGTGAGAACCCACCCAGGATGAACTCGAGTGTGTCGTCAAAGAGAGGCTCTGACCCCGGCGCGCGCACGCTCTTCTTGGTGTGGCCCGCCACCTTCACCTTGAGAGTGGCAGTGGACTTGAGGAATCCCCCCTTGTACCATGGCTTGTGCGACAGGTTGTGTGCCTTGCGCCCGCGCACGTACAGCACCCCACCCTGCAGCACATGTGAGCGATCAGATCTTGCAACCGGAAGGAGATCAGATGTGCACCCATCACACCGGCGTGCTGAATATAATTGGAAAAGGGACTGGAGCCTGGAGGGGCTGCAGTGTAAATGAGCACCACTTGACTGCATGTATGCAGTGTGATCATTGCTGCTCCTCGGACGGGAGGTGTTTGTTTTGTTGATGCACCATACTGAACTGCGAGGCAGCCCATCCTCCCTTGGCGCTCGCTCTGTCTTGAAGTCTGCATTCCCTCTTGGCTCAAATGCAGGAGCCCAGCTGGCGTGGCATCACGCAATTTGATGTCTTCATGCAGGAGATGCAGCGAGGGCAAGAGCAGTGGGGAGTGGTGCTGAACAACTGCTGCGGGGACTGATGCGCCGATAATGCATCACACACCAAGAGCCATGTTGTGTTGCTGGGCAGAGATGGTGTATGCTTCGTATGGTCAGATACATTCACTGCAGGGTGGGGGGTGAAGTGCAATAGCCGCACCATGAGCATGTTGAAGGCTTCCTTGTTCTGGATCTGGGAGGGCATGTGCTGCGGACCGCCCGGCCCATGCTGCGACCCTTCCATCGCTGCTTCCACTTCCTCCTTCCTGAACTCATAGTACGTCACCTGCATGCACAAGCTCAGGTGTCTTCACTGGTGCAAAGCCAAAACATGTGGAAGCAAACCCACGGATGTAATGTAATGTAATGTAAAATAGTGTAACGTAACGTAATGTAATGCTTGCTCCAAACCATAACTATTTTATCATGATGCTCGGCGGGCACCCTGCAAAGAAGAGCGGCTCTGTATGTGCGACGTTGAGTGGCACTTGGCACTTGCAGATCAGTGGCTCTTGTGAGCATGCGCATGCTCAAGGGCAGCCTGAGGCACTGCTGTTGCATTCACTGCACAGCGCTGTTCGTGGCAGCTTGCGCGCAGATGGGATTGGAAGGTCTGTACGTTATCAGCAGGGCTCTAAAGTACCAAGAAATATGGCCATTGAAATGTGAGTGCAGCCTGATTACCTTGATGTGCACGCGGCAGGTTTTGTCGTGCTTGTTTCTGCCCAACTTCCGCCGAGTCGCGTCCACCGCCTCCTTCGACACATCCTTCACCTGCCGCACCTTCCCGCCAATGCCCTGCCGCATAATAAAACCTTAAATTGCCTCCTGCCATATCCCATGTTCTTGTACTGCTGCTACCCCAAGACGACCTTGCATCTGGCTTGATCACAATCCACCCTTGCAGCGAAGCACGGGTGATTGACCCCCTACAAAGCTTCTCCCATTGAAATGCATCCCTAAAACCATGCTGGGATTCTGGCATTGCGGATAACCTGTCTTGGGCAGTCACGGCAGGACAACCAAAAGAGGCAACTTCTTCTTTCAGAAACCATTTATTTCTGAGAGGACTGTGACTCGTTTGCCTGATGATCCTTGCTGAGCGGAACCCCGTCTCTGATAAGGTATTAAAGGTGGCCGACTCGCATGCAGACGAAAGCAACGTGCAAACAAACACAAAGCGGCAGCTTTTTGCCAAAGGGAGAGGGAAGAGGCAGTGCACCTTGTGAGAGCCCTTCTCTGGCTCAATGGCCTTGATGTCCAGCCACAGGTCCCTCTCCTGCTGGTCCTCCAGTTCCTTCACATCGATCTTGGCCTCCCCAATGAGGTCATCCGCATCCATGGCATCATAGTCATACAGCTCCACCCGCAGCGCCTGTGTTAGTCACATGTTCACGTTATAGCATGCATGCATGCATATTCAACAATGCCTCCATGGGACAAGCATGAGCTGTTAGCACAGCTGTAACTAGCAACCTAGGGATAGCAACACCTATCTGTAAGCCCAAGCATGTGAGTGAACTTGCATATAATCTCTGGATCACCAGCACATAAAGCCTTCCACGCTGCGCCATGCAGCACAGCTTCTCTGGGGCCCTCACAAAGAGACACGCATCCAGTATCTTTCAGTAAGGACCTCATTGTTGATGCTGCATGACAAAGGGTTTCGGAGACAAGTTGTTGCACGGCCAGCAGTGTGTGCAATGTGTTGCTGCAGCTTCAGATACAGACACACACACTATACCATGCCGCATCTTGTCTGTGAGAACCCAGAAAGATTCTTCATGCATGACAAGGGTGGCATGGCCATCAGGGTGTGCAATGCGTGTGTGCAGATTGCAGTGTTGGTGAATCACCTGGTGCTCAGGCTCGTGCACAAGCAGCTTGAACTCCTCGTCCCACTTGGGGTTCAGGTTGTTGTCGATCACCTGGCTGCGCGCCATCCGCGAAGAGCGCACTCCCAGCCTGCACAGTTGAAGCACTTCCTATTAGTAATGTCATATCACTAATTTTATAGTTTAGACATTGGAGCACATCCCATTAATATGGCAGTAGGATGCGCCTGCCGGTCGGTGCCAGCCACCTGAAAACTCTCGCCATGCGAAGCAAACCTATCGTCTGATGAGACCATGTATGCAAGCTTTCTGAAAGCACAACATGGTTGCAAACGAGTGTCTCATGCATGCATGCATGCTTGATCCATGAGGCCTGCATAAAACCCCCCCGCAGGCATGAGATCTGAACAGTACAGGGAAGCCAAGAGAGCCGCGCAAAAGCCGTCTTCTCACTTGACAAAGGCGTCCGTCTTGGACAGCCAGTCAGTGCGAGGCACGTGCTCAGCCTCGATCAGGCGCACAGTCAGCAGAGCCCGCGGTTTCTGCATCCCGCTGCCAGGCACAATCTCATAGGTGTACCTATCTGGCAGCGTGTACGGCCTGCACATGCAAGGCTGGGGAGTTATTTTTACGGAAGGGATCAGGCCGCTCACTTGACGTATGGGTCTGACTTGGATAGCATGTCCATTTTGGGCACGTGCTCAGCTTCCAGTAGCTTCACAAAGACGATGCCCTTGGGAGTCTCGAAGCCCATTGCCCCTTCCATTAGCTGCACCACGTACTTGTCTGGCAGCACATAGGGCCTGTGCAGGTTTCACCCCCGCCTCTCAGCCTTTTTTACCATTACCCCTAGCCTCTGCTGCACCAGGGTGACTAAGGACTGCAGTAGCCGTGCAGTAATCCCCGGCTGCACCCGGCATGAGTGCTGCCTACTGCAGGTGAATGCATGGTCCCTCATGCGAGTGCATGACAGTGCGCATCAACATGGCATGCCTATAAAGCAACGCTGCAAGCTATTGTCACTACTAACTAGGTCAAGGACATCTACGATTTCAAGATGGGTGCGGAAGTAGCATGTGCTGACACAGTGAGCATGTGAAGGCATGTGAAGGACAGATCAGAATTTAAAGATTTACAGATTCCACACCTGAGCACGCTTGCGCGGATGAAGCTGTTGAGCCAGGCTTCCAAGCCCGGCAGCAGGGTGATGTCACCGCCCAGCACCTCCAGATCAAAGCTGCAGCACAGCACCATCGTCAAAGGATCCCCACATTTTGAATTAACTGCCAGTGCACGTGGCCAAAACAAGCAGAAATACCAAATTTAAGATAAAGAAAATCTTTGCAGAGTGTCTGCTGGAGAGATTGCAGCCTCCTACCTGAAGTCAGGCATCTCCACCAGGGACACCTGTGGCCAGCATGTGACTCAGAATAAAGCCAGTCCCAAGGTCTCTCAGATCTCCCTAATTTTGGAGCGAACATGCACACCATTCAGATTCTCCTTCATCAGGAGATCGACAACTGCGCAGCGCTGAAAAGTACTGCAGGGGGACTGAAGTGAGCACTGCGGCCATCCCATGCAGCAAAACCAGCAGTGAGGAGCTTGACAGCACCTGGATGGCGCCGACAATGGGCATGTCATTGAGCAGTGGCGTGAGAGTGATCCGCAGGCGCCCGTTCACGATGAGACGCATCATGCTGACCTGGACCCACACAGAACAAACGCGTCACCCGCTGTGGATGCTTTGACCCGCAACAAATGGAACTGTCAAATATGCGCGACCTCCTCATAGGTCCTCTGGATATGGCCACATTCAGAAGATTTTGTCACCACAGCCTGATCATTGGCACAGGGTTACTCGTAAAATCTTTTAAAAAAGGGATGGAGGCTGTGTGGGGGTGTTTTGACTGGGTGTAGTCCGTGCAAGGGAGAGCTTGAGAGCGCACCTTTAGTCGTATTAAGTTGGATATGAGCTTGCCGACGCCAATGAGCACCTTGGACACAAACCGCGGCACCGGCTTCACCAGGATCTGGACATCCTGCAAAGCAAGCACAGAATTGGCTCAAGTATTTGTCACATGATATCCATGCAGACCTGCCTGTTGTTGCCTGCCTGCAGGCTCAGGGGATGCGAATGACCCTTGCCCAGAGCACGCGATTGGGCCATTCTCTCCCTCGTTTTTATAGCTATCTCCTTCTTTGCTTTGCTCTACAGCATGGATGAGGCTTGTGGATCCTGCAGTAACTGTTGATTGCTTGCAGTGTTGGCACCGCAAGTCCTACTGGGCGGAGCAAGGATTCCAAGCAACTTGCAAAGTTCAGCTGGGATTGCGCAAGAGAGAATGAAGTAAATGTACCTGCTGGCCTGCCCACATGAAATCGCACTCTATGATGACCTCGTCCACTGCCTGGTTTTCTGCTCTGTACACCTTCACTCCGCTGATCTGCACCCCCAACATGATTCTTCTTATATCCTCAACACTGCCTCACGCTGTGAGATTGACAGGCAGAAATGCTTGAAATATGGCCAGGTGAACATCAGAAGATACTCACATGAGGCGCCTTCTCCCCCAAATCAAACCTGCAGCAGATGCATGCCAATATTTTCAGCTGAGAACTGGTAAGACATACTTGATACTGTGCTCATTGGGCACTTGCCTTGGCCAGCCATCAGTAAGATGCGCAAAGATCTGTAGCCCTGAGACTCTGTCTTTGCCCTGATGCCTGCTTGTACAAAGACCAAGAAGGGTGCGATATCTCACTTTATCAGCTTGATGGACTCGATCCATGCTGGCTTGCTCTGTTTCAGCAGAGGATCCAACTGGGGGTGTGCTTGCTTTGTGAAGTACGCCGACAGATTCGGCCAAAGCTGTGAGAAGACTGCGCGCGCATTGCAACTCTTTCAGCTCATTTGCCATATCAGAACATGTCTTGCTTTCTGCTGAAAGGCATGTGGTGCTAATGCCAAGGGGCTATACGCAGGCCAGAAAATGTGCAGCCTCAACTCTACAGCAAGTCTACTGGTATGCAGGACTGATGTGGCAGATGAATCACCCATGTTCACCCAGTTGACCCGCTCAAAATCTGCGCAGCATCAGCAAATGCTGTTCAGTGGCTAATTGAAAGATCCGCAGGTGGCCTGTCGCAGGCATTTATTGTCCATCCAGGCTGTGCACATGTGACCTGCTCAGAGTGTGTGACTCACCGGGGAAGTTGATCCAGGAGGGCAGGTTTGCATTGCCAAGCACGTGCCTGAGTGTATGAACATCCATGTCCTTCAAAGCCTACACAGCACATGAAGAAAATCAATTTGCCTGGCATCAAGTCTATTCTCCAAGCTGCACATGTCCAGTCTAAGGAGGCCACAGGTACCTTGGGTCAGCTGTGATTGTGCACGTTTTGAACTTCATGTAGGAAACCCGGCAGCCCTAACGCACCTGAATAGCCTCTGTTTTCTGCTTCCTGTTGAGCAAGCGGAAGTTGAAGCGGTACTGCAGAAAGGCAGCCACCCCCCAGGCCACAATGATCCCCAAGAAGAAATCAAAGTACGAGAAGCCTTTCCTTGGAGCCCCGAATGACGATCTGCATGCACAAGACCTCATGACAAATTCAGCTGCTTGCCTGTAGTAGGAAGCGCAGAAGCCTGGTTGCTGGCATGGCAACAGCGTAGGATGACATGCAAGGGCACAGACATGAGGTTTGATTCAATGCGTTTTCTATGGAGTGGTCTCGTTTTCTTCTATGGCGATGTACTGTGAGGTGTTGTCATTGACCTTCCTCACATGCTAAATACACCACACCTCCCACCGTGTCGTGATCTGCCATTACTGACAATTTCGATTCCTCAGAGCTGACAGCTGAAGGCTGTGAGATCACTGACCTCTGTCCAAGCGCCGATGCAAGGCGTGCGACCTCCTCATCTGGTAGTCGCAGGCCATCGTGGCCGTCATCTGTCCCATTTGATCCATTTATAGTGCCCCATGCAAGAACCTGCGTGCAGGCTGCGAGTAGCAGCAGCTGCAGCCAAATGACTTGTAGGTGCCTCATGCAGCTACTTTCTATTTCAAGCGTTCACCTTCTGGAACGGAGGGAAAAATGGCAACATTTCTCGATGATGAGCTCATATTTATATCTTCGTACAGTCCGTAAGCGACATCGTTGATCATCCGAGAAACGAAACACAAGTCCTTGGCGATGTCTGGCAAGCAGCTTCGATGCAGCTTCTGCCATTAAAATTCATTCGTCTTCCAAGGTTTCGCTCTTCTCGTCACTCTCGTAACACAAATGCGGTAGCGTCAGGAAACTCGCGTCAAAGATATCCGATACCGAAAAATCTGATCTGATCATGTAAACAGCGTCGTGCATGCTGGCTTGCTGAAGAGCTGGGATATGTATCGTTATCTATAACTGCACAATTGCTTTCTCTTGACACAGAGCTTTAAAATAGATCGTGTGCCTGCAAACAAATGTCAATACGCATGGGCAGGATAGCCAGAATATCAAATCCACAGTGTCTACGAAATTTTCTTTGAAAGCTGGTAATTCATTGCAGGTTGCGTCCCCAAGGGCACTTCAGCCCGAACTTCCAAAGACCCCCGGGGCCTTTTGGGCCAATTGCAATACAGGCTGCATCATGCACCTAACACAAATAGGATAGTTCTCTCAACAACTCATGTTCGATTATGCCTCAGTCAAATACTGTATGAAGTATTACTACGGCATCAACCAGGTACATTGCCACTGCTACTTGCAGACACCGATACTTCACTGCATGTAGCCCGGCTTGAGCTATCCATCTGGCGATTTCAGCCAGTGCACTTCACGTGACTTCAAATAGCACAGGAAAAGATGCTCTTTCACATCAGGTTGTACAGCTCGTCCCGGCTGGTAGCAAATTGAGGGCCACCTCTGAAGCGAACGTCCAAATGCAGCCCACGGCTTTGTTCTGGCAGGCTTGGTCCCCCGGTCCGCAGTGACTTCCAAGTCTCTCGCCATATGAGGCGCACCTTCTGCCTTCTGTGCAGCGCACACCAGCAAAATCAGGGCCTTGCAGGCAATAGCATTACACTGGTGCTTTGCAGCTTGATCAGAATGCTTCAACTTGCCTCCTGATTGACCAGACAGACACATGCAACACAAGGCCACTGTGACCAAGGCTCTCAGTAGCCAGTCACAACAATCTCAGTCACAACAATCTCAGTCACATTAAATAGCAGCCACATAGTCACAAGAGCAGCAAGGAAGGTATGACTTTTGCGCACATTATAGCCATCAGCCGCTCTCTTGCAGACGGAGGACAGCTTGCCGGCAGCTGCATGGGGCTATTAGGGTAGAATGCAAAATTGAGCGGGCTCCGCTGATTCGCTGAGGTAGTTTCTTTGGAGGCGTTTGCCTTCCTTGCGCCTGCACAAATGGCCGCGCAGTGCACGGCTGCATCGAATGACTCCCAGCCCTCCAGAGTGATCTCATCACCTGTCACACGAATTATTATTACTACAATTACAAGCTTTTTCTGCCAACAGGCAACGTGCATCTGCAGACAAGCTGCAAGTGAAGGCTGCTATAATTCCTCCCCTTGTCGGATTTGCCAGGTACAAGCAAGACCCATGTGCCCACGGTGATCATTATTGGCCACATGGATGCAGGGACACATTGATGTTGTTATTCACATCAGCAAAGAGTCTATGATGCTGTTCTGGGCATACTTGAAGGCGTGCAAATAACATGCATGGGGAAAGTTTTCATTGATGGATCACTGATCAGGAAAAATGCAAGAGCATGTCTGCAGGGCAGCACCCGTGCCAGGGACTATGCAGCCGAAGGAGAGGTAGATGTCTTCATAGTCTTGCAGACCAAAGATTTTGCGCACTTTCTCCTGGAAGTTGGCACGCCCCTCCTCTCCCTGGCACACTGCAAGACAACCGGAATGTGGGACACTTTGTACGAGAGGACATTGCCCAGCATTTCGGAAAGAATCATCCAAGGCGCACTAGGTAACTTGCGTTGCAGGGGGCTGTGAGTATGCAGCTCGCAAGACCAATCTCTGCCATCTGTGACAGCTTACCGAAGATAGTGTGCACAATGCCGTTGTACACTATGTTCATTGTTGGATCCGCCTTTGGCAAGGAAGAGTAAGCGATGCGCCAGTCGGGGAGGGGGCCGTCGCAAAACCGACAAAATCGTTCCTCGCTGCAGAACTCGATGCATATTTTGATCAGTGTAAAACACAACAAGGCGCATCAGAATGGGCTTTTAAAATGAGCATCCCAACCGAGCCGCACCTTTTGCCAGCGGACTGCAGCTGCCAGCGGGCTATGCATGACTGATGAGCGTATCGAGGGCAAGTGCAAGGCTTAAGTAACGCACTGCAAGTTGCTTCAGCGTCGTCTAGGCATATCCAACAGGTGTCTTCGGACGAACAAGGGCGATCGGAAAGGCACTGCTGTCCGTCCGAATCAGTTGCTTGAGGACAATCTGGCATCACGATAGTTTTGGTATCAGAGCGAGGTATATCTGGCAGATGTACTATAGATGAGCATGAACATAGAGAAATTCAGAGACAATGCGCCGTTGCTGCCTCGAAAGATTTCATGTCGGAGGGGTCGAGAATTATCGATTGCATTGCAGCGCCCTCACTCAACTGAGGTTTTGGCTTGTGACAAGTTCTGTGGTCTTGATAAGTAGATCAAAGCGCATAGGTCTTCCAGGAAGTACTCGATAGGTTCCTTTAGCGCAGGTGTGCATTCGTCCACGTCGCTAGGCCCACTACGTTGCCCAGATTGGTTTGGAATGGTAGCTCCTGCACGAGATAGCGGAGCGCCATCGGCACGAGAGGACGCGTCTACACGAGAAAAGCGAGAACTGGTGATTGTTGCAAATGCACCTAGCTGGCTCATTGCATGCAGACTTGTTGGCCGCTCTGAATATACGCCTAGATGACAGCAAAAAGGTTTCCAGTTGGGATGTCACGTGGCCTCGATCCACTTCGTGTTCCATTTCTTATAAAAACCTATAATCTTATCAGTGTGATTGCTGGAAGGGTGCTCTTGATTTTCACTGTAATTGTCAAAATGCACCTGTGAGGTGTTCCTGGACGTGTCTGGAACCTTTTTTTTGCAACTTTTTGAGAAGCCTGTGGGATGTCTGGTATCTGATACATTGATGAGAACACAGGCAGGTGTCAGGACCGAATGTATGGGACATGCAGTCAAGTGTGTCAGCCTGTTGACTTTTGCACCATTGCTTGGCCAGGTGGTAAAGATCACACGGACTAAGGACTACTACCAGATCTTGAGCATAGAGCGGTCAGCAACAGATGACGAGATCAAGAGATCATGTGCGTGGCCAGCAGCCTTCTCCCTTTGCTATTGCCCTGAACCATAATCCTGAGCAATTCTCCATCCTGCATATGCTCAAGTCAGGTCAAATGCCCTGAGATTTTTTCTGAGGAGTTTGCGCACTGCTGTTCCCAATAGCATGCTGGTTCCAAACTGCCAAAGCTCCTGTAGTCATGTGTGGATTCTGATAACCGGACATATTGCTTGAAACAGATCGGAAGCTGGCGCTGAAGCTCCATCCAGACAAATGCGCAGTGCCAGGCGCGGATGAGGCCTTCAAAGGTGGGCCACTTGTGGAGCGTTCACGCATCCAACTTGCTCAGCAATGCCTGTATAACGCAGCTCTTGTCCTCTACAAGTAGAGTCATTGAATGGCATGTGTTCAGCTACATAGAGCACACATCATGTTCCAGGCTTCCATAGTCGCATTCGGTGCACTCACTGCCAACATTCTGCTGTCCTCTCCTGGTGCGCGCTGCTGACATGTGCGCGCATGTGCCTGCACCCGCAGCCGTGTCGCGCGCGTTCTCCTGCCTGAGCGATGCGCAGAAGCGCGCAGCGTACGACCGTTACGGGGAGGAGACCCCCGGCATGTCCGGCCGCGCAAACGGCGCCGGCCCGGGGCACCCCTTTGCGCAGCAGGAGTTTGACCCCGAGGAGCTCTTCAACATGTTCTTCAACGGCGGCTTTGGCGGGACCAGGTGTGCTGGCTGCAGACATTCTATTAGACATGAGACTTTGATGTTCGCAGTTTTCAACCTTGAGAGGCCCAGGGAAGGAGGGAAGGTGGCGTGTTTCCTACAGAGCTGTTGCAAGGAGGGGTTCAGCGTGCGATGTACTCGCTGGAAGCAGGCTGCATTGCAGAGTTGCAGCCAAGTCAATCAACAAAGGGCTAGGAGTGCATCTGTGTGCAAGCAAGCAATATGCGCATGCTTGACAGAGTCTTGTGGAGGGGTGGAGAAGTTCAGACTAGATGTGGTGATCTCATTCCATGCATGCTATCAAGAGGCCCGTGTGCCACCGTGACAGCGCCTTTTTGAGTGGGCAGTAAGTTCTGAGTAGTGGTGGTGACCTTGGTCAATGCATGCTGGCAAGGACCCTGTGCGCAGTCCATTCCTGCTATGCATGCCGCAATAGGGTGCCCATCTTGAGGTCATCTGGTTATGATTGACCAGAGGAATACAAACTTGACAGCGCCTTGTTGAAGGGGTAAGATGATGTGAAGTAATGCATGCTGTCAAAGGGCCTCTGTTGAACCTTGACAGGGGCTTTCGAGGTGTTGAGATATTCAGGCGAGAAATCAAATCTGGCTGAATGCATGTTTTCAGGGGCCCGGTGTTCCGGACGCATTTTGGTGGGGTGCCGCCGGGCGCGTGGCGGCAGGCGCCGCGGCAGCCGCAGGGGCCGCAGCAGCCGGTCAACCCAGTGACTCAGCTGTTGCACTTCCTGCCGGTCGTCCTGCTGCTGCTCTTCACCTTCCTGCAGATGCCCGGCCAACCGGTGAGCACCCTGCACCATTAGAGATTCCCCTACCAGCACTCAGAAGTTTGGGTGGTCCTTGTCAGACCTGACATCCCCATGGGATCTGCGTGCTTGAAAGCTCGCATGGCAAAGCTCTAAGCGGCAGTGAAATCCCCAGGCTGCCAGTCTGAGCTGCCAGCAGATTCAGGAGCACAGCATGCTTGGTTGGGAAGACATATACAGACCTGCCAGTATATCATGACTGCTGCTGTGTTCAGCTAATTCTGTGAGGTTATGCAACTCATATTATTGGGACATATTGCTCTGCAGGAGTACAATCTTGATAAGGTGGCGGAATACCGGAGTCAGGTGGAGACGGCGCGGCTGGGGGTGCCATTTTTTGTGAAGGATGCGGCTGCCTTCCAAAGATCTCACCCCAAGGGCGGCAGGGAGCGGTGAGTTTCAATTTCACATTCTCCTGGCCCAATCGTGCCTATGCCAGTACGCTCTGCTGGGGCTGCTTTGACTGCCATAATGTTTGAAGGGTGCATTATGCCCTGTTAAGCATTGTAGAGGGTGTTTAGTGGCTGCTGGCAGGAGCGTCGGCAACTTGAAAAAGTTGGTGGACTGCTGGATGCAGTCCGGTAAGCCTGGTGTCTTGAAATAGGGGTGCTGAGCTTTTCGGGGGTGATGATTCGCAGGGCAAGGGTGGAGAATGAGGTGGAGGCGCTGTTTAAAGAGCGGCTAGAGCAGCAGTGCTATGCTGAGCGGGTGAGTGACCGAGCCTCGTCACCTCTCCTGCAGCCAGTCAAGGAGCTGGTTTGCTGGTTTGCAACACCTTTTGCATTTCCTGATCAGAGCCAGTGACAGTACTGGCCACATCCGCGAGTCGTCTGCAAGAACACTGCGCTGACTTTTGGGAAGCCCTGCCAATTTTGGCCGTGCACATGTGTAAATCCTTTTCAAGATTCGCATACTGTACATATGCCGGCAGCGTGAATTTCACAAAACACCTCTCATGGCCGGAAAGATGTCTACGATTTACATTGCCCCATCTACCTTGCCAGTTTTGCATAGGGATGACTAACGGATGGTGTGATTGTTTTATTCTTCCTGCAGCATGCATGCATGCGATTTTTCTTCTGTATGCTACAGGTGAACCAGCAGCGGTTGTACCGATGGGGTCAGGTGGAACGTGCAAAGGCGTTCCCTCTGCCCCACTGCGAGGAGCTCAAAGCCACCTTTGGCAGCACGCGCATGTACACATAGCATTTGATTATAAATTCAAATCCCAGCACCCCGGCAGAAAGCAGCCTGTCGGATTCTGGAGGTCTACAAGTTGTGGTCTGCAGTCTAAGTAATAGTGTCAGCATTGAAAGGCTTGCGTTGAGCATAAGGTCCTGTGAACTGAGTCAACTGGGGCAACATGTAAGAGTAGCGTTGTGTGTGGACTTGAAACGTCAAGCTGCAAATTGCTTGCAAGGGTGTGTTACCGATGCTTCAGTGCTTTTGCGCTGAAACATGTAAAGTATCAAGTGCTGCAGTTTCTGACAGTTCTCATTGGTAAACGTATGCGTTCACTCGTATCCATTTGAGGGTAACAGAGGTCGCGCTAGCTATTCTTGAATTTGGAACCTGAGATTACTACTAGGCGGTCGTCTGGGTCAAACTTGTGCTGCTCTGCTGCCCGAGGCGCCAGCTTCATGTGACCATCCTGCATCACACCAAAGCACAATCAAACTTTGCTACCCCAGACTGACATGCATGACTTGACACATTTGCAGGTACATGCTATTGATATCATACCAATCTGTCCTCCATTAAGGCATGTACCATTGTAGCACAGCTTGTTTGTTTGTCCTTTAGTAGCAGCTGTACAAGTGCATCCCAATCACAAAAAGTGTGTTTCTCTACCAGCTGGGTGTATTCAGCAGCCTTACCTTGGTGATGAAGCCGATTGCAAGCTCAGCCTCCTTCCTCAGCAGCTCTGAAAGCTGCAACATGGCACTGGTGGTAATTAACCATTGCCATTTTTTTAAAATGAACTCTCCCCCAAGTGAGCAGGCCACATGCCTCACAACGCTCACAGCAACTAAAGCATGCAGCGCGTATGCTCTTTGTCAATATGCTTCAACTACTGCATTATTCAGGGGAAACTCAGCATGCAGAGATGCGTCAAGATGCTTCACAGAAGCGAAGTATGACAATTGCTGACCTGTGCAAAGGTGACTGGCTCCTCGTCCGGCAGTGCGTAGTGGATCGGCCGTCTCAGATAAATCTCCTGGCCTGCGTTCAAGAAAAGGCTAGCTATGAAACATCATTTGGGGCACCGTCAATCAGCCATGAAGATTTAAGGCGTCCTGGCATGCAACGGCACTGCTTAAGCACTGGCATGTCAGCACAGGGGGAACCATATAATTCTTATGTCTGTTTCTTTGTCTAATTTCCGATAGTTAGATGTAGATCCTCCTGGTCAGCATGAGCACAGGGATCATGGCCGCTGCTCTGGAGGTGCCACATCTCACTCCGAGAGCAGCAACCAGAAAGCATGTGCAGGTGCTGTGCCCTGGGAGTTGTGAAGGGGAAGGAGGGCGGACCTTCGCTGGAGTAGATGAAGCCTGACAGCAGTGCGGCCATCTCAGGCTCAGCCGCAACCTGCTCAAGCACAACACCCTAATCACTGCTGCATTATTGAAAACAAAATGATTCTTTTCACTGCGAAGTGGCCCTTTCTCCCCGCTGTGCCTTTACATGTCTTGCAATTTGCCTTAATGAGAACTCGATTTCAAATTCGTAAAAACCCTGCACCCTAATCCAAATTTGAAAACGATCAAATCTTGAAAACAATAAAAAACCTGCGCGATGATGCCGGCGACGAGCTCGTCGGGCTGCAGCAGCTCGGCGGTGAGCGCGTTGCGGCCCATCTTGTCGATGAGGAAGTTGGCAACCTCCACCGTCTCGGGCGCCCGCACCATCCCCACGCAGTGCGCCGGCCGGCCCTCTCCCCGGCCCTCTTGCAACAAAACCTCCTGCGCGGATATTGATCGTGCATAATTGAGACTTGTGCAGAACTTATTGTCAGGGTGATGAGGTGTGCACTTGCAAGTTGTTGACATTAGCACAGATATGCCAACTGCTTGCGCGATCAAGAGAGCTCATGTGCAACGGATGGTAATCCTTTGATGCATGCATTGGAACTCAAGATATTGTCGCAGCATTAGCTCTTGTGATCACAATTGCTCCATCCTGCCCACCACAACCAGTGCAGCAATCAGGCCTCGCTACACTCTGGCATATCGGTGCATGGGACCAAGCAATTTTGCCCACATGCATCTTCCAACTCGCAGGAATCAAGCTAGAACAGACAAACATACCAACCTTCTCGAAGAGTACATGAATGAGAAATTGAGGGCAAAGCCACCTGCGCTAGAGCAATGGTGGTGAGCGTGCGCGCGTCGGCTTCCTTGGCGGGCCCCTCGCCGGAGTCGCCGATGACCAAGGAGTCGGCGGCCGCCAGCTCAGCCGCTCGCAGGGCGTCCAGGGAGGAGGGATCGCCCTCGACCCAGCGCAACCGTACCCATGCAAACAGCCCGCTGTCCTCCGGGAAGCCCTGTTCATGTCATCATTTACGTCATGCATGCATCGCGGATATGTCACCGTGAGGTAAATAAAGATTTGTTGCAAATTCCCAGATGCAGTGCAAGCACCCATGGCCAATTTTACCGCACCCATGCAGTGATAGAATGAACTCTTCGGTATTTTCTTTGCTGGTAAAGCAGCCGGAAAGACTGGCATTGGGCCAAAACGCGCTGCATAAGAATATTGAGTGTCTGCAGAGGCACAAATACGCACAGCCCCTTACACAGGAAAGCAGAATGTATTATTGTACATGCATGCATGCGCAGACATCAGAAGGCAGGCAATAATCCGGAGCCTGCCTTGGGCCGTTCTTTGGAAATGACAGTGACGGAGCTGCCACGAGGCGCGAAGGCCGCCAGGCTGGCGATGAGGTCGCTGATGTCATCGCCAAACCAGGCAACCACCACCCGCTTTGCATCGTACGCCGCCTCTGAGTCATCCCTGCGCATCAGACCCTTTTGTGTGCCATGCTTTGCCACAGAGACTTTCTTCAGTAATGCCTAGGCCCCGGCTGGCCGGGAGCGGTATAGATGCTGAACACCGTGCTCACGATTCATTGGGTCTTGCTTGGACCTGGCAAGTCTATCAATGGGTAGGATATGTGGCAGCCTTTACCTGCACCTTGTCTGCAGACGCGCCTTGCCTCTGGCAGGAAGAGCGTGTTATAATAGTGAAAAATGCTCTCGACGGGCATGCTTTGCCTACACAACTTTCTTGCTGGCCTGACACCCATGTAAACGCCTCCGAGGTAAATCACATGCTCTAAAGTTCAATTATTCTGCAGCCGCCTAAGAGACTCACATAAGGCTGCAGAATCACACGAGCTGGAAGAGATCAATGAACATCAGATTGCGGGCACAAGGTGCATACATACATCTTCTGCCTAAGAGGTCTCCCGATCCAACGCAGACAGGATGCCCGGGGAGATAAGGCAGTAACATCAGTCCAACACAGGCTCATGGTTGTTATCCATGCAAGAGCAGGCCTTTCTCCCTTCATGGGCGCTCGCTCTGTCTGCATGTCTGCATTATCTTGAGGCATCAACTGCCCTGTCGAGCATCTTTTTAGGCATCAAATGACCTGTCAAGCATGTTTCTTGGCTTAAACTGACCTGTCCAGCATGCTGCCGAATATGGCTTGAGGAACTGGGCTCCCTTCCACAATTTCGGCCTCGATGACCGCCTTGTAGGCTGCGGCCAGCGGCGGCTGCTGCTCGACGGCGTTGCCTTCCCCGTTGCCGCGCTTCTTGCCGCTCGATTTTGCCGGCTGAAAGAAGCCTGCACAATTATGCCAGATTAGGCAAATTTTAGACCAATCTGACTTTGTCTACTTGAAGTACAGGGAATTGACTTTTTATTCAATCGCAAATTGGAACTACAAAAGCATATGTATGTATGACAGACTAATAAGTAAATTGTATTCGACGACATAATTGGACATAAGCATGGACATTTGGTGCGTTTGGAGATTGCAAAATATACTCTCCAGACAAATCAATCCTTGCCCTTGTGGCAGTGTTCATCACCGATTGTCAGGGAATATCCATGGCTAAGTATGCATAGGCCAAGGGTGTTCCCGCTTCAGTCATCATGGCAAAGCCAGGTGGAAAGGGGAAGCGATTATGAGCAAGGGAGGCGCACCGTTGGGTGCAAGGGCAATGACACGAAAGCCCTCCTCAAGTGGCTCATCCTCAGGGGGATTAATGTGCAACACTCCGCCCTTTGCCATGAACCCGATCACCACCGCAGCATCGAAACGGCGGCGTACCTGCAGAGCAAAATATCCTTAAGATGTTTTCTTGGGGATGCACCGTAAGTTTATTGTGGAATGTGCATGTATTCAGGCACAAATGCATCGGTGTTGTGGAAGGCTGACACGCCAAGAGATAAATCATGCAAGCTGTTCAAGATCTGGTTCATGGAATTGCATGCAGTGCAGAAACAGCATGGACGGTGACTGGCATGCGCTGTGGACTCTTATTTCCCAAGAGATACACCCCCCTGGAGTTGCTCGAGCTCTGCTTCCCCATAAATTGCATGTATGGTACTAGAGTATAAAGCCATCGCCGGTGATTGCCAATGGCATGGCGGGATTTTGGAAGTTATGACAAGGTGCGAGAATGATGTCAGACCTCTGTGAAGGTCATGCCCTGGAGCTCTGGGAAGCTGCGGACATAGCACTCCACACCGGTGCGTGTTTGCTGCACAATTGAGCAGTACACGCTCGCCACGCCCGGCTGCACAAATTACACTCCCCGTTATATCGGATTATTACATGCTCTAACAGGATCAGATTATTAGGATCTGATAGAGGACCAGATATTATTGATCAGATATCTGGAACAATTTGATGTTGTTGGACCAGAACAACCGTCACCCACTGCCAGGAGCTTCCAAAAAGGCAGAGCCTGTATGTCTGAGATGCAGGGGTCTGCACCCTGGGACATTCAACCTCTGCAGCAGAACAGGCAAGGCTATAAGGCAGCTGCCAGTCAGACTCGGGAGCATCAGATCAACACCATCTACCTGCTGATTTTCCAGCCTGGCTGGGAATCGGTGGTTGTCTTCAAGCACATGCAGGGCAACTACTAAATCCACTCAAAATGGTTGTCAGGGAGGGATAACTAGATGAGGTTGGCAAACCCCCCTCGCGAACAGACATCACAGATGTTTGCAAGAGGGATTTCCTACGACACCTTGTAGCTATCCCCTCTCAGAGTAAGAGCTGCCCCAATTCCAGCATCTTTATCCTGTGAATATTGGAAAAATGCTACCAACAACGGTGACTTGCCCGTCTAGTTTAGAATAATTCCCTACAGCAATCACAGAACACCACAAGAGGAATACATCGGGGTGCATATAGGAATTCCACGCAAGCTTCGTGGTGAAACCACATGCATGGCAGGCCGGTCACATCACCAGTGGTGTGGGATTCTTGCTGAGCTGCTACAACACCTGAGTCACTTCTCAGGTACAGTCTCGTAAGTGCAATTGCACGGCTGCAGAAGGCTGCAGAAGGCGCACACTGCTATGATAACCCACTTTCCACCCTAGCCTAGATTTGATTGACTGCTATAATTGGCATGATGTTAACATTGCAATCCGTTCCTGAATGGCCTGAGAGTAATGGCCAAATGCCTGATGTAATAGTATTCTCAATGACACACCTGCACATAAGCTGGTGAACAAGAGGTACATAAGATTTGCTGCGCACCGAGAAGGCTGACTGGGCGAGCAGCGTGCTCATGTCGCGGCGGCCGGAGAGTCGCGTCAGCCTCAGGCTCTGCGCGCTAGCTTCCATAATCCCCTGCATCGCACTGAACAGCTCCGCCTCCGTCCCAGCCTCAGGCGCCTGTGCAGGAGCGCATGTGACCCCTCAGCCTGATCTGGAACCGAGAAATCATCCTAATCTGGCGAGGCCCGTAAGCCTGATCTGGCATACAGCCAACGGCAGATGGAAGCAGATCCATCTGTCTATCCTGGCGCAGGTGTCGGTGGAGTGGGCTTTCCCTTCAAGTGCCCCCGATACGGATTGTTTGTTGGTGCAATCAAGTGCTCATTATCCCTGCATATCAACGACGGCTGCACGACACTCGGCACATCTTCTTGGACATACACAGAACATGCATGTAGTGTCATGCAACCATGGTTGTGTCAACTAGCCCCTTGTTGCCTAATTTATTCCGCTAGATACAGTGAGTATGGTACCCGCAATACACAGTGATCAATTCAAACCACAGAAACCGCGATAAAATCCCCAACCCGACGCATCATTGTGACCGTCCTCATGTGGAGCATTTTCTGAGAACAAGCACAAGCCCAATCCGGTCACCTTGCACAATAGTTTCCATGAGAAGGAGAGGAGTAGCCCTGAATGTGTTGCAAAGGATGATGGAGGGAACGCGCCTGCACGGCGAGGTGCTGCCTGGCCAGCCTCAGGAAGGGACGCGGCTGCGTGGAGGCTCGCGCTGACTGGACCCCCAGAATGGCCGCCACTTGCTTCATGCCCGCATCCTGCACCATCAAGCCATTCCTGTACATTTTCAAGAGCCGTGCGCTCAAAATGCCCCAAAGGTAGCAAAAGTCTCTTCTGTGCATTGGTGAGTAACGGAGCGGGGGCATGTGACCCATGTGCCCTGTAGAAAAAAGGTCGCCATGCCGTCTGCAACTGCCAAAGCCTTGCAGGCAGCTTCCTGCTGGGATGCATTCAGCAAGACTGCATTGTGATGCACTTTAATTGCGCATGCTATGTCGCGATATGCAGCAGCTGTCATCGTTCAGGAGCTCCATGACATGCATGCTTGTCTGCACATGAAGGAGACAACCTCAGCGAAGACAGGTGCTGCACGTCCGACACTCGATGGTCCAAGGAACAGGAAAGCAGCAGAAAGGGAAAGTTTGAAGGTGTTGCATGGCACATGTGCAATGTCGGCAATCAACAGGCAGTGGACAAGGAGAGTCCATGAACAGCAGTCTTGCTGCACACTGAATTTTAGACACCCCGAGAAAAAAACTGTAATAAATCTGAGAAAGGAAGCTGCCAAGCACCCAAGCGTTGTTGGGGGTGGGCCAAATTCATGTTTAGAAAATTCCCAGGGGAGAAAGATAAGAGAGGTAGAAAGCAAAAGAAAGCCCAATTCAATGTCAAAGACTGACTGCACAGTTGATGCCTAACACCCCAATATTTTCCTCCAAAAAGAATATAAACGGAAGCTGTGCGACACCTGCAAGGCTGATTGTTTGGTCATCTAGGCAGTAGATGCAATCTGCATTGTCCAGCTGTGCTCGGCTTTGGCAGCTCAAGGGCATAAAGTGGCACAGCAGAAAGCAACACGATAGCCGAAAAGAGAAGCTGCGGCGCACCTGCTCGGAGTCGGGCTGCAGCAGGATGACGGTGCGCGCTTGGCCAGCAGCCACCTTTTCCAGGTCTGCGAGGGCGTGCGGCGCCCCTGACCGCGTGTGCCACTCCAAGCTGGATCCTCGCAGCGCCCGCCGCAGCTGCACGTCCATGTCCTCCTTGTCTCTCTCCGCTAAGATCACCACCGGCCTGCGCAAAAGCACCATATTTCACAAACTTGTCACGGGAGCTCACGCATCATACCAAATAAAATCTTATGGCAGCGCACCCGTCATAAGTGTCGTCAGCGCGCTCGGTGCGGTTGAGTGCGATCTGGCGCAGCAGCGGCACTGTCTGGTCGTTCCAATTTAGGATGAGCGTGTGGTTGGCCGCCACCACGCCGTAGTTGCCGCTGCGCACGTTCTGCGGGGGGTGACATGCGGGTTAGTCATGCAATGACATCAGTGACGTGGCGGGTGAGGATCTCATGATCCTGTCTGGCCAAAGCGCGAGACAGCAAAGACCAGGCAGGGCAGTGAAGTTGGTTCCTATTGAACACCGCTGCAACCACGCTAAACCTGACGCGGCTTGGCTTGGGGTTGTAGAGTAGAAATGCGTCGCATAGATTTGGAAGCTCAGTAGTTGCACAAGACAGAACACTTCCTACTGTAAAGGGTTGCCCGCACTGTCACAGGCCATGCTGTCTGCATCAAGCATTCAAAGTACAGGCCACAGATGAACCATGGACTGCTGTTAGAAGGCTGATGTATGCAGCATGACATGCGAAGCAGGACTGGAGGGTGCTTGGAGGAGCACGCGCACCATGATAGTGCTGGTGACATCTTCGGTGATGATACCGATGACTGTTGCAAAGGTGAATGTGCCGACCAGCCACAGGACATTCATCAGGTGGGACGTCATTGCATTGACCTCGCCAATCACCGTCACACCTGAACGCAACAGCACAGGGCACAGTCGATCCCTCTCTGCTCACAAGGGCAGCAATATCCACCTCCACTTGCAGCAGCTGTTCTCCCGTTACTCCCATCTCACTACACTTGAGCCAAGCCATTTCACGCAGAAATGCCTTGTAGGTTCAGGACAAAGGCCCTTGTAATGAAGGCATTCCTTACAGGCTTCCTGATTGACAAACAGGTTCACTTCTGCATGCGGCTGCCATGTTAGGAAGACATGCAGGACATTTATACGAGGCACAGCGCAAGCAAGAGAAGAGGGGAAAGGAGCAGAAGCGAGGGCGCCCACCTGGGATCTTGTAGAGGGCGCCGTAGGCATTGATGATGCCCTCGATGACTGATTTTCCGCTGGCCCAGCTGTAGAGCACCCCTCCCACCGCACACAGCGGCAGGCCCACCAGAATTGACCACACCTGCCGCACAAAATAGCCGACATTGCACATCGCACCATTGGAACAGAAGCAGACATCATGTCAAGACTGGGATGACCACTCTCTAGATAGCCGGCACTGAGTCCCAGCAGATATTTTGCCCCTACGGATGCTAACTGGCTTGACAAGATCAACGCAAGGCAAGAACTCCGGCTGTATAATTGGAAGGAGCCAAGGGATGCGCAAAGTCGACCACCATTGGAAGAGCGAACAACGTCCCTCAGGAAGATGCCCGTGACTGCGGATCCCCACCTGCTCTCATCATACTCTGCTGCAAGCTGCAGACTGTGGAACGGCAGAACCTTGCCATACACTAGCTTGATGATGATGAGGATCATTCCTGCCTCGCTGGATGACATGAGGAAAGGCGATTTTGTGCAATCGCTGCACAAATATGCTCACATTGGCTAGTCAGGGGTCACGTGGCCGCACCAGCTTGGTGAGGGTGCCGCTGAGCATGACCTGCTGCGCGCGGAAGGCCAGGTAAGTGATCGCATGCCCCGGCAGCGACACGAGCGTTCGCAGGTGGCGGAAGAGCCGGCTGCTCACCATCAGCCGCGCCGACCCGACGCTCACCGACTGACTCGCGCCCCCCTGCGCACGCCACAAGAGATTTCAAATGTGATTTCAACTGTGATTGAAGGTGCACCCTGGAAGATTGAGATTATCGAGACTGGCCAGCTCAGAGAGCCACCCTGCGCGCACTACAGCCGGATCCATGCATATCATGCATACTCATCCGGCTGACGCTGCGGAAGACTGAGGTATGCCTTGTTGATGTCGCCTTGTCTCTCCGCAATAAGCCACGTTATCGGCTGCGGCAATTGCAAAGCGACCTCTGCAGAAGCATGTGATCTGTGGTTCATTTTTAATATCCCACAGGGATCTCTGCAGAGGTGCATGAAATCCCAGGATGTTGCTGGATCTCCCAGTTGCCGCTGTCAAGGCCATGCGCCTCAGGCCATCGCCATCGGCTTAGCATTGCTGTCAACCGTCAGGAAAGGGTTGGAGCAGGTGACTCCCCAGACACAAGCAACAGGGGTGCGGCAGTGGCAGGAATGCCATTTTTCCCTTTTCTGCGCCCTGCCCAAGGCATGCATGCTGCTTTATGCAAGGCCGGGGGCACCACAGGAAGGGATTCATTTGCCAAAGTGGGTCACTACGGCAATGCATGTCTGCAGCTGTGTCATCTTGATGCGGCCATGCATGCCTTCTCTGGCACAGGCTGGGAACCAACTCGCAGGAACCTCCTGATTTGTTGGCATTATATTCGCAAGTAGCCAGTGGGCTTGGAAGAGAAGACTTGCAGCGGGACATTATGGCAATGAACAGCGCACCTTGCCGGAGTGCTGCATGCTGAGGTGCTTGTTGGGCAGCCAAACAGAAGCCGGCGTCTGGACGCTGACTAATTCTGTCAGGGCCGCCACAACGCTCTGCACGTCCGTGGCCTCCTCTTCCAGTGTTCCCTCCTCTTCCTTCTCCTTTCCAGAACCCCCTTCTTTTTTCCCTTGTTTCGCTGCGCCGTTCTGCGCGTCCCCTTTGCCCTCATCCTTTTTGGAAGAGAGCACCTGCAGACGTGTATGTACTGCTGATATCTATATAAATGATATTGCTAGGGATCGCAAGCTGATACACTCACATCTCAGCGACAGGAGGACGCCCATTGCCTTGGATAATGCCATCTCAGCGGGAGAGGCACATTGGGCACAGCGGTCCTGTTGCAAAAGTCTTCCAAGGATGCATCCTTAGCTCGCTAGCTTTCTGGCTGTCTAAAGTTCACCCCAGCTGCATGGGGAATCAACCCAATCACAGCGAGCTTGCATGCAGGACTAGGAGCAGGTTGCAGCCAAAGACCCTACGCATGCATGGCATGGGCGTTGTGCATGCCTTGGGGATGGAGGCCTGTGTAATGCCGGCCGCGCCGCTGCCGCCAGCTGCGTCACTGGAGGCCGACCCTCCTGACGAGCTGGATGCGCGCATGGCACGGCGTGCAAGGTGAGCTGGGGTGGCAGCTGTTGCTGCTGCCAGGGCGCGGGCATTCCAGAGACCCACAAACGCCATGCTCAGGCAGAGCTCAGGGATCGTCCATGTCAGCTGGCGCAGTGCACCTGAGACAGCATTGCAAGGGAGTCTTCTTATTTTGTTTCAGGTATAGGAGGCAGGTGATGGGTCCTCTTTTGCGCATGTCTGTATCTGAATGGCGTCATGAAGCATAAGCCATGGCTTTTAGTTAGCTATGGGCTTCAAGGAGGTACCTTGGGCAAGTGAGACGATCACGCATGGCAGCAGGATGGACAACGCTGGCTGCACGAGCTGCAGGACGTGTGTATGCCTTGCTCTGCTTTCACAAGAGACAACGATCTGGTCAGGATTCCGTCGACACAGCCTGGGCTCTCCTGGTGAATGTCGCCCACGAGCCCCGTTTGCTGATGCACGCGGTAGGATTGTTGCTCTATTGAAGCCAGCTTTCAGAGGCTGCATCGATCGGTAGAATACAGCTGATTTTCTGTATGTTGTGGCATGCGCGCGCCACTCCCCCGGTATACAGGAAGTAGTAATAAACAAATTTCTTATGCAGTAGGGCGAGCCAACTGAAATCTCGGATATTAACATCTAATTCACAGGTCCGATTGCAGTCTAAAATATCAACATCAGTAGTTGTCACTTCAGTACGATCTGTGCAATGACCTGAGCAAATGGCTATATCACTCTCGTCAAGCTCCAGGTTTTCATCTGCAAATTCTTAAAGCTGTAGCTTAACAAGATAAGGATCATTTAAGAAGCCCAAGGTACGAATCAACTGTTTGCGTTCTGATGCATGGACTAGGTTTCGTGACGAAGCATGTAGGGTTTTGCCACATAAAATAAATCTAAAGTTTGCTCCGGAGAAGATTTCCCAGGGAAGAGAGGAAATTCGATATTCAGATTGAAGGCGGGTGCCCTTAAAACGCCAGAGAAGGTGTTGCTTCATCCGGTAAGATTTCAGCCTTGACCTGGAACCGATCCTGCACTAAACTGCCTTTGCTAAATTCCTCTTCATTCTGGACAGATGCTCAATGTCAGATTAATTGTTAGATTGTTCTGTGCTGACCTAGCTTGATCGACATGGTATGCCACTAGCAGTTAGTACAGCTTCCTCGAGGATGTCTGAATAGCTGGCTAGATTCTCCGTTTCTTTCTTCGACCATTTTCATACCATTTCTCCCTGGGTGTATTCTTGCCCACCGATGTCAGATGCTTGAGCAGATTGTCTGCAGTGCAGGCCAAGCTCCCTGCTGCAGTGCATTGCGACTGCAGCAATGCCGCTGCATGCGTCCACCAGGGGTGTTCTCACGTCCCTGGCCGCACTGGCTGCGGTATGGATGGTCTATAACAACCCCTTGCTGGCGCGGATGCTGCCGTGGCTCACAGGGCAGTGCAGCCCTGAAGTGGGTCCCACCTCTAGGTGGAATGACTGGTGGGGCATCGGCTGGTTGAGATTTCACAACCAGCTGGTTGATGAAGTTGTGCAGGCAGACAAAGGGGAGGTGAGTATGTAAAGGGTCTTTGAACATCCCCACAACATCTACACTACTGCCTTCTGAGCTGATCACCCTGCACTACATGAAGACTCCTTTCAGACACTTTGCATGCATGCAGCCATGCTTGCACATGGGAACACGACCTGAGCGCATGAGTGGCTGCATTGCTGCAATCCGTTCTCTTCGCCAGACATGGCACAGAAAGTGCTTAATTAGTGTCTTTCAGAGCTCGTTTGTGAGTGGCAAGGCAGGCAGAATGACTGTGTGTTTGGGCGCACCGGGTGTTCAGGGGTTTGACCTGATATTTTACGGAGACTCGATTACGGAGGACTGGAGGGGCACGTCGGGGGGCGTTCCATGGCCCATTGGCTCTGGCAGCGATGAAGTATTCCAGAAGCACTTTGCCGCCAAGTATCGCGCCGGGGTGCTCGCCATTGCAGGTGTGCACATACCTCTGTGAATACATTGTAAGCTTAAAAAAGGACCCATGCAAATGCCTGCACTGCGCGCGACATCCTGCCAAGGCTTGCTGGAAAGATATGCTTGTCAAGATAAATGACATGGCTGTGCCCAAGTCATGTTTCGTGCAACACAGCTTCAATAAATCCCTGGATGATCACCAATGCAACCCTGGCTGCAGCCGCTTTCTAACTGTTTGCAAGCAACTTTTGAGCTGCCATGCATGCGCCTCGTACGTCTTGAATGGACTGCAGTTGGCCATCATGAGGCCCCTGCAGCACGGCTGCGCATGCATTACATATCATGATGAGAACCTAACAAAGGTGAATACATCTTGAGCTGCCATGCATGCGTCTTGTGTGGCATCCTACTCTACATTATCTGCAAGTAAAGCTCTTGAGATGCCATGCAGGTGATCAAGTGGGCCATCTGTGGTGGAGGATACTGAACGGAGAGCTTCCGGCAGTGCATCAACCACGGGTTTATACGATCCTGATTGGAACAAACGACCTCAATGCAGCAGACTGCAATCAAAATGAGACCGAGCTACTCGCCACCGTGCCTGGCATTGCCGCAAGGTGGGGCCCTTGCTTCCTATCGTCAGGATTGGTTACATGCGCACAAAAGTGCTTTTCCATGATAATCAGCGACTGCTGACACCGGCTTGATGTCAATTCACGACCTGTGCATTTTTGCTGATCTTCATGCACCTTATAATGCATGCCTCACCGTTGCTATATCAGGGCAGGACCCTGTTGCACACAGTAAGCACTGCATGATTCTAATCCCTGTGCCCCGTTGCTCGGCTGCATGCACCTTGAGATTATCACGCTGTTGAAGACCAGGCTCTGCACCATTCCTCCTGCCTTGTTTTGTATAATGAAGCCTTATCAAATTTGCACTCGTGGCCCATGAAGGGAGGCAGAGCTGAGCTCTAGCACGCGCATGATGCAATCCCCTGGGGTGCAGGGTGGGCGAGATAGTGGGAATACTGAGGACGGCAGCGCCAAATGCGCATGTGCTGCTGCAAGCCGTGCTACCCAGAGGGGCGGCCTGGATTGGGCTGGCCCAATGGGAATGGCCCAATCGCTTTGCCAAGCCCATCTGGGCCCTCAATGCCAAATTTCAGGTGGGTGCCAATCTATGGCAAATAAACTTTCTGTGCACTTCTTGGCCGCTCTTTGTCTGGAGGATCTCTTCTGAAGTCCAGCCTGACAAGTGTTCACTCGGGCCTTCAAACTTGATTGCACACCAGAGCGGGTGCGTGCCAGTGAATGCACAAAAGGGCACCACTTGCATTGGTGCAAGGATGCACCGTAAATCCCATTTGTGTACTAATGATAGTGTCCAAAAGGCCTGATGGAGGGCGCTTTGGCAGCTCAGTGAGTCAATTTAACGCCTTCAGGAAGTCTGCGTTGTGGGTTTGTCATTCTTGAGTATTCAGACGCTTGGGAGCCTTGTTGCTCAACTTGTGACTGTGCTGCAGGAGATGGCTGCGGCTGACCCCTGGGTACACTATGTGGACTGTGGACCGCCCTTTGTGCTGCAGACCAAGACCGGCGTTGCTCTTCATGCGGTGCGCGTGCACTCTGGGAACTGCCCCTTAAGAGGCGAACTGACATTCGTCTCCATGCATGTCATGCATTTTGTGGCTCTGCTTTTTGCTGCATTTCTTTTGGCATTGGAGGATTTTTCTTCCAATTGTGTGCCAAGGAGTGCCGTGCCTTGCCAAGGCTTGACGCCTTAGCTGGGCTTTATGCTGGATTGTCACAACTTCATCCAAGCATTGACAATTTACCCACCGAATTTTGAATTTGACATTGCAGGACCTGCTGCCGGACGGGCTGCATCCCAATGCGGCGGGCATGGATGTGATGGCCAGCTGCCTGGAAGCTGCCATCGAGCCGCTCATGCACGAAGATGGCAGCATCGGAGCGCAGGTTGTGCATGACATTATGACATCAGATCTTGTGAGTAGTTTAAAGGGAGCAGCTGCCAACAGCAGCATCCTGGAGCTGGAGCTTGGCGCCTGAATGTTCAGCTTGCAATTGCGCCCAAGTCCCGGTACTGGATGAGATGAAGGCTATACTAGCACTTGACAATTGGTGACGGGTGAGTCAAAATAGAAATTTGGTATGGCCTTCTTGACGAGTGTATGTGTGCACTGGGATTCATCATGTATTGGCGATCCAAGTTGACAGCTAGTAGCAAGCTTTTTTGGCAAGCTTGAATTCGAAATATTGTCTTCAGCAACATGCATAATCTGCACCAGACCCAAGGGGGATCATTTGCAATCTTCTTACTATGGTCCTTCTGCAATATAACTACTGCGTCTTCTGAAGTGGCACGAGGGATTTGTTGCTGGAGCCAGTGGGTCACTCACGCGTTCTCCCCATTCGTCTCTTGTCCAACATGACAAGGGTAAGGGGAAGTAATGCAGATAGCCGAAAAGCAAGGGTATAAAAAAAGCGCGTCTGATACAGCAAGCGACTGGTCCAGAGAAATCTGCCATTCACCTCAGCAGGGTCAACGAGATACGGCCTCGGTAGGAGTAAACCCGGTCGATCGGACGCACACGGCGCAGAACAGCCGAACAATGGTGCAGTGCGATGTGTGCGAGAACGCGGCGGGCTCAATCTACTGCTTCGCTGACGCCGCGGTTATGTGCCAAGCGTGCGACAGAACGTGGGTGTCGCCTTTGCATGCCCCCATAAAAGACTTTCAACAATAAAGAGCTGTATACTGTATGCTGCGGTGGGCAGCATGGATGTCTCGAGGCTAGGAGAGCATGCAGGAATGTCAGGAAGTAGTTTGGAGGAGTGGGCGCGCACCCCACCCGAGAAGGGGGTAGAATCTAGTGTTGTCACTTGTTTGTTCCAAAATCTTGTCTTTGTGATTGACTGGGGGACTTCAGTATCCAGAAGACAAGAAACAGCTCAAGCTTCCGAGCGGATTCTAGGACATCTTCGGGCTATGGTCAGAGGGCTTTGTAGTGGCGGGCAACAGATTATGAGGCACGCTATCGCTATCATATCACTATGATGGGGGTTTTCGCGAGCTTGTGCACGCGTTTCACAATTTTTGCGCTTACGTAGTGGTTACTGTGAGCGCGGTAGCTGCCCACAAGATGGTGATGACTGTGCTTTGGTGGGGAAGGCTCTATATTTTCGCACAGCCCTTCCTACAGGTAATGCAAGTACTCGTTCTGCAGGATTTAAGACTGGGTCTTTCTGTTGGGCCTCCAAACGCCAGAGGGTTTCTAGGACACATGATGGGTCCCTGGTCAGAACATCAGTACACCCGCTGCATTGGACTCCGCAGCAGCTTCACTACCAATATTAGACTGTATCACGTCATTCTTAGAGACTGGCCAGAGCTTGGAATAGCAGAGGGAGGATGCACTACCAGGGTTGCCACTGGTACTGTGTCAGCCCCATCACTTTGTCAGCACGGGGCAATTTCCGGGCTGCTGAATGGCTCAGCAACCTGGCTGCATCACCTTTGCCGTTGCCAGGAGGCTGCCTGGTACCCACTGTAATTGAGGCTATCGTGGGATCTTCTTATGCAGGGTGCATGGCGCGAACAAATTAGCTGCAAAGCACGACCGCGTGGATCTGAGCAAGGCGGCAGAGAGTGCGCAGTGCGACATCTGCCAGGACCGGCCGGCAGTGCTCTTCTGCTCAGAGGACCGCGCCCTAATCTGCCGCAGGTGTGCTTCTGTTCTCAATGGTCTGCACAAGCCTTCTGCCACACCCTTCTCGATGGGGAGACTCCAATGGGCCCCACTTGCTGATGGGGTACATGTAGCCACTGTGTTGCAGTGTGATTTCAAGCCAGCCCAGCAGGAACTGGGTTCTCAAAATTGCCTGTGGTATCGTTGCCTCACATGCACATGCACCCTTTTAAACGCTGACTTGGGCTAGCGCCCAGAGTTTCCAATCGTGACAGATGGGCTTTCCTTGAGTGAGATGTAGATAGCCAGCAGCTGTGTCTTTCCGCATACAAAGGCACAGGGTCCCTTCGCATAAAGGTATAGGGAGTATACATAGGCACGATGATGTGGGATGCTGACGTGGCGCTGATGCGTGCGCAGGTGTGACATAATGATCCACACAGCGAACGAGTTCACGGCGCAGCACCACCGGTACCTCTTGCAGGGGGCCACCCTCGGGCTGCACTCCCTGGGGGGCGACAACTCTGATGCAGCCGACAAGCGCAGCGGCGACTCCAAGGCCTCATCTGCCAGTGCCCTCACCAGGTCAGCTCACATGCACAGCCCATGGAAGCAGTCCCAAGCTCGGTGATGCAAAATTCTCATCTTCTACCCATCTTGAGACTTGCTGCTGTGCTGGTGGCCTCTTGGTTGCATCAATTTGGGCCCCGGGACTAGCAGGACATCAGAAGACAGTATTTGCCGAGGTACACTTGCGGTGAATGCACTTCTGCCATGCACTGCAATTGCAGACATTACCCCAGAAAGACACTCTCATAAGCAAAGATGATGACGTGGCGCCCATCAAGACAGGAACACCATGTGCATGCTGGAGGGCGGTCTTGTGGGCATTGATTGGTGCGAGGGAAGACAGACAGATCATGTAGTTCCAGGGTGCCATTGTGGAAACGAAGGAGGTATGCATGTGCAGGGATGCACTGGGTGTGAGCACGCGATCGAGCGCCGGCGCGGGGCCGAGCGGCATGAATGGCAGCGAGACGGGGCTCGACCGGCGGATGTCCAGCCGGGGCACTCCGCGCAGCATGAGCAGCGGCGCACTTGTGGAGGTGGGCTGCTGTGCCTTTCAAGGAAGATGAAGACTGTAGGGATGTAGCCGTGCTGAGTCATCGTGGCATGACGAACTTGCTGTGCAGCCCTGCTTGGGAGTCCTGCTCTTCATTTGTGCCCAGCAGGCCCTGCAGACATATACAGCAACGAAAATAGGCTGCTTTGTTCAGTGGTTTATGGACCAGCATGAGCTGCATCTCTCAATGACTGCAATGAGAGTGTGCAATGAGGGTGTAGAAGGATGAGAGGGCGGGAAGGGTGGACACCTGCAGGGTCTCTGCAAGGGGTGTAGCAAATGGATGGATACAAGCAAGAGGCCGTGCAAATTGGGTTGTGCGGCAGAAAAATAGCTAATGCAATTCATGTGCGCGCAGGTGCCGGCATCAGCATCGCCGATGGGGGACACATGGATAAGCGGGCGGGGGATTGATGTGAACAGCAAGGCGGCCATGACGCCCTCACAGGAGCAGGAGCAGCTGCGCAGCGAGGCAGTCATGGCAGCACAGCAGGGGCAGGCCGGGGTGAGAGCCAGCCCTCTCTGGCTCTCTCATTTCTTTCCTGTGTTCGGCTATGAGGCATGCAACCGTGGGATCTGTGGCTTGCAGCGGCTCATTGCCTGTCCGTGCACCTCTGCTTGTGCATTCGTTAGCTACTTGTAGAGCATGCAACAGCTTCAAAATGGAAGCAGCAATGTTGACACTACACGCACATGCCACACTGATGTACATCACGGATGTCTTGGCATACTACCCAGTGCCACTTGCCACACTGCAATTTTACAAATTTGCTGGTACCGATGCAGAGCAGTGATGTAGAGGGATTTCTGATGCACGCTGTGCAAGCGGCGTGCTGTCGATTCTCCTGAGAGAATTGGCACCTAAAAGTCTCTGACGCATGCATTGTTGTCCCTTTCGCAGAGCATCGGGCTGATGCCGAGTTTCCACAGCGGGGCGCTGTCAGACTTCCTGTCGGCGAACCCAAGCAGCAGCGGCGGCGGCTCGGACGGCAACTTCACCCTCGCGCATGAGCTGCTGGGCCTGCCCTCCATGTCCCAGGCCTTCTCCGCCAAGGTGCGCCACTTTTGTGCCTGTTGTCGGCTTTCAAGCTGGAGTTCATGCTTTCAGCATCCTCGTGAGGCACCCGTTTTGCCAATTTCAGTGCGTCTGTGGGTGTGGTGTCCTCACACGCCCTTGTTACCAATACACTCCATGCTCCTTAGTACGCAGTATCGGGTTTCAAGTGGCGGATGGTCAAATTTCAAGGAAGTCAGGCATTGGTGCTGGGCTGGCCACCAGGTGTAGTGTTCCTTTGAGTAGATATGATGATTGATTCCCAGAAAATCACGAGCGTGCCACAGCAAAATGGCGGATGCTGAGGCGCATGCGCATGTCACATGGTTAGTAATATAGATAAAGTAATATACACTCACCCCTGGCACTGTTACTTGCATCGCTGAATACCCCTGGTGCATGCATGCGCAGGACATCGATGCTGCGTACCTCTTCCAGGACATGGGTGACATCGACGATGACCTGTCGTCGCTCCTGGTGCCTGATTTGGACTTTTCTTCCATCGCCTCCATCCCCGCCCCCTCCGTGCCCAAACTCCCCCAGACAGGCACGCCCTCTACTTTGACAAGTCAGCAACACCTTGCTTTGGATGACAGCGCATGTGTTGGTGTTTGAGTCCAGACATGTGGGCTGTCTTACGGACCTCAGCAACAGCTTTTCCCATAATACTTAATAGCCTCAGGCAGGACGCAGGTGCCTGTTGCCGAAGAATTGCTCCTGGCCATTGTACACCTCGTCTTAGCAGCTGATTGGGGCTAGGCAGGAGAAAGCATCCCAGAGTCCTGAAGAGCTCTGATCATCAGGATAGTAAGATAGCTGATGGTTGGTTGAGGAAGGTGACCCGATCAAAGTCCTGATGTTCGAATTCTGTGGCTGCAGGCGGCTTCTCGGACAGGTATGGCATTTCGACCAGCCCCACTTCTGGAGGGGACGGAGTTGTCCCGGACGGAGTGGTGCCGGACATTTTGGCGCCACCCCTGAAGCGCCAGCGAATGTGATTGCAACTGCCGAGGATCTTTAATCCAAGGGGTGCTATCTATCATTGTTGCTTAGGACCTCCTGAAAAATCAAGGGTTGTCAAAGCAATCTGCTGGGCTCTGTGAAGTTTGTCTGTTTCATAAAATGTTTTCCAAAGAGCGCCGCTGCCGCTGCGGCGGCGCGGCTGCCGGCTCTTTTGCGTGCCAAGAAATGCTGCCAAGCGATTAGATGAGCGCGGAGATATTCATTTGACGGTCTGAATTGGCGCTGTGTCACTGCCAGCCAACTATGCTTACATGGATGTCTTTGATGCTAGCTGAGACCCAGAGTATGGCATTCTCTGGTGTTCTTGACAAGTTGTTGCCAGCTGCAAGCTTGCAAAGTACTGGACAGTCTGGCAATTAGAGGGGTTCGCTGTTATTACCGTGACTAGATAAGCTGCCATCTACATGCACATGCCAAGAGGGATTGAATTGAAGAGTGTCACGCAATACACCGCTAAACAAGGTACTTCCCTGCCGGGAAAATTCCAAGGGGTAGTTCACGAATGGGTTTGGTGCTTTCTTTATGCGTTCTGTAGTGCTCTCGAAAGACCACCATGCAAGACTCACCGTTTTTGTTCTCTGGGTTGACTTTCATTATAGATACTCCTGTCCTTGCTCTGCTGCTTCAAAAGGTGTATTAGTGAGGGTGATTTGGCCTCAGGCTGAAGAAGTTGGAGAAAGAGGTATGCAGACATCAAGGCAGAGCGAGCGCCAGGTGATAGGAGAAAGCCGGCTCGCAAGTGCACGGCATGTAACAAAAATAAAGTGATCCCCGGCCCAAGAGCTCTGAAGGACCACATTGCATACATGCATACAAGTGTATCTAGCTGTCTCAAGGCCTGTTCTTCATGGAGGAAGAGATTATCTGGATGGACCTGGGTACTCTGTAGTAACATTATCTAAGCCGGCAGCGCCTGTGACTACTTGTGCAAGGTGGTTGATCAGGCTTGTAATCCACAGGGTATCTTTTGAAAAAACTTATTACGGCAGAAAAAGCCATCAAGGACAAACCAATTAGTCACAAAACAATTCACCAGGGGACAACGCCAACCAGCCCTTGTCGAGAGAAATATGTACAGCAGTTCTGCCCACCATGCTGACGAATAAGTGTGTCCAGATCTGAGTCCATCTTCAGGCAGTACGTCCTGTATGTCAATATAAGCACACATGTGCAAGCACAATCAACGCACATAACTTGAAAGACCCCATGGGAGTGAACCTTTTGGTGCACGAAAAAAAACAAAAAAGTCAACACATGCTGCGTCTATGAAGCACAAAGCGTGACCAGCAATGGTCCATTACTAACGGGCCCAATCTGCCCCAAAGCAAGCCCCTTTGCAGCCATATTCAGACGCTCTCACTCAAAGCGCTCACGTAGGCAGTGCTGGCATCACTGCCTGCAGCTGCTGTGGCTTTACACACCTCTTCTTCAGCCGAGCGCCTCTGCTTCTTGTGCTCCGCAGACATGTCATCGGAAACTTCGTCCTCAACCTCGGTGGCTGCCACTTCTTCGATCTCTGTGGATGGCATAACCAGCAATGCTGCAGGATGTGCATGAGAATCGGCCGCAGCGGCCTTCGTCTGAGCAACAGGGCGGCTAGTATGCTGCAGGATGCTCGCTCCTTTGCCGTTGTCAGCTTGCGCGCACGAGGCCTCAAAGATGCTCTCCTGGGCCGGTGTTTCGCCTGCAGGAACACGAAGTTGGATCTTTTATGCTTCTTCCTGCATACCTTTGTTGTGATAAATCCTGCACCTCTGAAGCCCGCAGCCAACCCCACTCCTTAGAAAAAGCACGAACTTGCATTTTCTTTTTAGCTTGGTTTGTAAGTTTTCCCCGTTTCAAAGGCAAGATGTGTCTGCAGACAGGCTGCAGGTACAAGCTGCCACACCCCTTCTTGACTTCGCAAAATCTAAGCAAGACCCAATTAATAATGGTTGCGGTGCTCAGTACTTGTACCGCACCCCGTCAGCCCTGGCCAGCAAAGCATACACACTTGCATGAAACTGGCTATTCCGCATGCAGGTTCTATTCAAGTCAACAGTAAGATTCACCATGTGCAGTCAGACATAGCAGGTTGATGGGCGTACATACTACACGTGAGCGGCTGCAGGCATTGCTCTGCAGGTAGGGAGGCAGTGGAGAGGCCTTGCCGTAGGCAGCTTCATAGACGCTGCCCAGAATGGCCCATGCCATCGGGTACGGGACGGCGTTCCCTATCTGCTGCGCCAGCTTCGCCTCTGTGCTGCCCTGCAGTTCCCAGAACATGCAGCAATTTATGATGACTCAGGAATCTCACTTTTGCTTTGTGCTTGCACAAGAGTGCCATAAAGCAAGCTTGCCCACGGTAGTGTTCATGTTCGAGAAGACAGGAATGCTTTAAATCATGACACTTGTGTTATTGTCATGCGCCTGTCACTTCCGCTCTGAAGCAAAGACTACATCTCCCAGCAAATCAAGAAAACGTGCCTGCGATTTCCTGCGATACCCGATGGTGCAAAATCTAGAGGAATGGACTTGTTTTCAAATTTGTTCAATTTCAGTTCATATTAGTTCACCCTGTGAAGACAGCAAATGGGGAAAAAGGCACGCACATAGGGTTTGAGGGAGTCGGGCAGGCCCTGCAGGCGCGCGCGCTCGGCCAGGGTTAGTAATCGCTGGCTGCCGGGCCGCGGGCACAGCGCGCTACGGGCGCTGCCGGCGTCCAGCCGGCCCGTAATTACGGGGAAGGGCTGCCCGTAGTGCGCCCGCTCGTGCAGCTGTTGCATGTACTGCCTGGCTATGCGGACGTGGGGCCCTAGCCAGTGCAGGCTCAGGCACACCTGCACGTTTGAATTACATGTTGCATCTCGAAAATGACAAGCTGTCATTCAAATATGAAGTTGAGCGTGTTTCAAGACATTTTTGCAGTGCTCAGGCCTCCAAAATATGCAGAGAGCATCAGTAATCATTTACAGGCAAGACAAATTCCACTGCAGATTGATACTGGTCAGAAGAGTGTCGAAGTCCGGTCATGTTTCATACCTGACCGGAGCGCAAGAATCTGGCAAAGTCTCCAGCGCTACCACTGGGATACGCCATGACTCTGTCTTTTGACCCTGCGCAAGCAGACACAGTCAGGAAGCCGCAGCCAATCTCAAATGCACAAGGCACGCCAATGGACATTGCAGAATTGCTTTCCTTCTCATTTGCAGCCTGAGAATTTGCACTATTTGCATCTGCAGACTCTTGTCAAAGCAGCATAGAATGGGGTTGTGGGTGGGGACTGTGCAGAGTCAGCACCTCTCAAATCAGTACACCTCAACAAAGGGAACGAAGGAGTCAGACCTGCTGTCACATCAGCGGGCAGATCATCAATGGCATCTTTTGCACTTAGCGCCGGCGGCAGCTTTTCAGCCTGGTCATCTGATGTCAGCGCGATGTGGCGCCACCGGTTGTCTTGGCAGTTGAGCAGAGCTGCGTCCTCTCCTAGACTTGGCAGCCCCTTGTATGTCCAGGTATGGTGATTCCTGCAATGCATTAGTCACGACTGCAGATCTGGTTAATGTGTGACACAACATACCTCTACAAGCACTGGAGCATGAAGATCGAGAATCATACGTGGAAATTTTTGCACCGTTTCACGTTTACTGCACCTTGCAACTTTGGAAACAGTAAATGAATGTCCGCGACAGACACGTTTGCATCTTGAAGGGTACTGCATGAGGCAGCTGGAAGCTAGGTAGCAGCTGCTCACCATGGCTTTGGCGGGTGGCACAGCCTGTAGCCGGGCTTTGCAGCAAACAGGATGACCCGCTGCAGCACCAAAAACAGTGTCTCTTTTCAGGATATTGGGTAGAAGCCAATGTGGCTACAAACATATGCTGGATTAAAACTTTGAAGCCACAACTATGGCCAAAAGCAAAAGAGTTTTCAGAAAATTTCTCCTGGAACTGGTTATTTTCTTGTAGTGGCGTCCTGAAGCTGATGTGGCTCTTAACAAATAAATGTGGCATTTCTGTGGCGCATAAACTACCTGAGAGGGTCGTCTTATTTTGAAGCCACCAATCATTATCTCACCAGCGCAGGAAGCCACATTTCATCCCTTTTCAGCAGAATACGCCCAAAAGCGCAAAGTTTTAGAAGTCAGCCTCAACCCCGACGCAAGGGAATATTTGACACAACATGGAGCAACAACGCCCCACAGAGACTTATTAATCCTGCCCGCAACTTTCCAAATTTCCACACAGGATTTAGGATGTAGGGTTTAGGGTTTAGTGGAAAGAACAGAGCAGGGATATAGCAGGTACGGATTATTCCTCTACCGCCCATCACCAGGAGACTGGGAATCAACATGGACTCAGATCTCCTGCCATCACCAAAAGACAACCATGGAGAAGTATGCAGGCTGCACAGAGCAGGACGGTCGTCGGTGACTCACCAGCCGGCTCTGGGGGGTCCCGTAATTTGCAGCGTTCATGACTCTGACATCCAATTGGTAGCCCAGATCCAGAAGTGGCAGCACAATCGCCCACACACAGCGCGCAATCTCCCAGCCGCCATCGGTCGACTTGGCTGAGATTGCAAGGAAGGAGGGAACTTCCTCGAGCGTGAAGAAGGCCGGCTGCAGCAGCTCCACGGTCTTCACCAGCTGCAGCAGAAACACAAAAGCTTCACTGCAGAAGTATGCATGTCACTATGTCACATGTCGCATGGGAAGCATGCGACTGCAAGGGCGCTTGAGCAGATCTTTTACATGGTGAGCTGATTGCAGAGCAGAGAGCTGCCACGATGTACCCCATGTATTGCAAGACACACTCTTTCAGAGAGGTGTGTCAGAGTGCCTGGCCCTTGCAGTTGGCAAGGAGTGCAGGCGCACATCACAATGTTTCCCAGAGGAAGAATTCAAGGCTAATATTATATTATTGTCACAACACGCTTTTCCTGCCAAGAGGCAAGGTGCGTCCTGCAGACAAGCTGTAATTGAAGGCTGCCACAATCCAACCCCTTGTTGGACTCGCCACAGCCAAGCCTGAAGCAAGGCCCAAGGCTATTATACTTTACGATAACCGAGGATTAAATCAGAGGAGTTGTGCTGCCAAGCCAATAATGCTGTCATAGGAAGATCCGAGAGACCAGAGACGTATTCTGCCAGGAGAGGGAAGAGGCCGTCGGGTGCGGACAGCGACTCGCTATTGCGCCTGTTGTTGAGAACAGTAATCCCCTGGCACGGCGGGCTGGCATGCATGCAGCCGACCTCGCCCGGCTCAAAAGCTGAGCCGCCCGGCTGAGCCCAGTCCGGCGCCTGACCGGTCTCACGCTGCGATACAATCCCTGCACAGGCATCCATCAACTATGACTGGCAGTGTTGCCAAAACTTACTTTGGAGTGGTTCCTTGAATGACCACGAGGGAAAAAAGGAAGAAAACGATGGCTGCTTGCACAGAAGCTTCATGCATTGCTCTGTCAGCAGCAAAATTCCCGGATCACAAGCTTGGCCCAAGACAGACACACCTCTTGAAAAATCAAATTTAATCACTGCAACATCCATGCATGCCTGGACGGTCTTGGCAGGGAGTTGCTCGCCTGCGTTGAATTCAGCCAGGGAAATCGCGCGATTGATGGCAATGCTGTTGCTGGTGCCCATCATGTTTCCCAGGTAGGCGTTGTGGGCGTCAGGCTCCTTGTCAACGCCTCCCAAGACCTGCACCAATCAAATTTGAATTGATACTTCTTTTAGAGCCTTAAAGTATCTGTACAATGAGATGACGCTTGCAGGCACAACATGTTCACAGGAGACTTGTACCATCTCTTGCCCATGACTACAGATGTGCCGTTGATCAATGACATCTCCAAAATCTGGCAGAACATCACAACCTCTGAAAGGAGCTTGCATGTGCAGTGTGTGAAAGCAACTGTTAATGGCAACATCTTCACAAAGGTCTAATGGTACACAACAGGAGGAAGCAAAGAGGATGCATGGAGACCTTGAAGCCCTGTGAGTCACTTGTGCTGCGTGGCTGCCCGGCCCGGGCAGCTTGGGCAGACTTGCTGAGGTCCTGGGCTGCCCGAGACACCGCCCCCATCCCACAGAACAGGTCCAGGAAGGGCATCGGCCCCTGCAGAGAATACACAAATCTTTAAAAATTTTCGCTGCTTTATTGTTTGTCACAGTGAGGCGGCATTCTTTACTAGGCAAACACCTTGAGAGTGCAAGCCTTCTGGCAGTGCTCTTTGACCAAGGGAAGTAGAACCCTACATTACAACTGTACTACTCCCCTTGGTTTTAGTGTATTATACTGTACTTGTTGAGCCAGCAGCCTGTCTCAGTGGGTAGGATTGTCTCAGCAGATTTGCCTTTAAAGTCTCTACATTGAGGTGGTCTGAACCAAACGATCGGCGTCCAGAAGCTCAACGCTGCTGAAAACAATGGCATTTACAGAGATCAAGTGGTTCCAAGAGATGGGATGCCAGGCATGATGACTCATCAAGGTGTTTAGGGGAATGTTTGCCCGCCTGCCATCTTTTGCGAGGCTGGTGCAGGTGCGCGTGCTCTGGCAGCAGCATCTCCTCCCAGTGTTTGATGCTGCTGTCGTACTGCATGGAGTAAAAGAAGAGCTCGGGCGCCGCGGGGTCCCTGCTCTCCGCCCCTGGCTGGGGTGGCTGCCGCCTGCAAGCCTACACTCGCACAAAACCATAAACCGTAGTCAGCACCATAATCCCCGCACCTCAATATGCGTGAAATGTCTGGATCTGCTTTTTAAGAGACTTCACATTGCATCAATCGTAATTCTTGCGTCGTAGAAGCTGCTCCCGTGCTTGCACGCCAACTTTGTCAAGATCACCAAGAATTCCTCAACACAGAAACCACATCTTCAGGTTTATACCTTACCCCCTGACATCTTACCCCCTGATTAGATATAGAACCCCCTGACATCTTCCTTATAAGGGTGACTCGTATCAAGTGTTAGTCATGTACCTGCTGTGTGGCCGGTGTGAGCTGGCTGCGGTGAAGCACTGTGCAGACTGCGGAGACGCCGCTGAGCGGCTGAATCTCCATCCAGCCATCCGGGCCTGCAGAGTGCGCCATAACTATCTATGAGACTCACAGCATGGCTGGAAGAAACTGAAGCTCCATGTTCTTCTGTGTGTGCACATGCACTCATCAGTGTGATTACTAGTCATCCTTCTGGATTTCATGCTGGCCCTAGCTGAAGTCTAGAGCTCAGACAGAGGATCCTTGTATGACGTGCCAAACTTGGCTGAATGTCTTGGTGTGGTCAGGGAGCATATTAGTCGTCATGACTCACCCTTGACATGGCAGGCCCCGTCTGCGCAGGCGTCCTGCTGCCAGAATACCTGGCGCGGGTAGCGTGGCGTCACCCTTGGACACGTCAGCGAGATTAGATCCACTATCTCCCCTGCCATCCATGCAAAGCGCAGCGCCAGCTGCACTCTGCCCGAGGAATCCTGCAAGCAATGCGATCAAGGAATGGCATCAGCAATCACACAGATGGCTTCCTGCCAGATTGGCAGCGGAAATGGTCACCCATGTGCAGTCTAGTAGCATGGTTGCCTCAGAACTGGCTGCATTGGAGCTGTAAGCTGCCTTGTAAGAGTAACTGCATCCAACAATGAATGCCAGGTGAGTTTTGACTGCTCATGAAAGCACTGCCACAGAGTGGAATGTCCTGGCGGGTAATGAAAGCACTGGCTTGCACTTTTGCATGCAAACATATCAAAGGGCCAGCAGCAGAGCATACCTGCAGAATTGCTTCTATACGGGCGACAGCCAGCGTTTTGGGCCTTTCATACAGGCTGTAGGGCACCAGCACGCATGTGCCTTGTCTGAGCGTGACTCTCGCCTTGTCATCCTGGTGGAGGAGCACCCTCGCAGCCTCCACACTGCTCCAGACCCCCTGATCACTGCGCCATCATAGGTCCTCTTTCCTATCAATTTACTGAATTAAATACAAGATAAGACAATTGGAGGACAGCATGTCTTAGACGAGCCTGCTGCAGAAATTCGTGACACCTTCGAGCTGGAGCCCCTTAGGAAACCTTATTCTTGCTTGGCCAGTAAATTTCAGGACGGGAACGCCAATCAATACGGGCAAAAGAGTGTACCTGCACTGTGCGCCCACTGTGTCGATGTTGTCGGCGGCAGCCGAGGTCTCCTCGTGCAAGACCTGTGGTTTCGATATTCTGCTCCTTTTCCGTCTCCGCCAGGACGTGAGGATGTGATCGAGGATCAGTCGTTCGGTAGCAACGATTGGGCCCTGCGGCCTACCAGCCCTTGTTGGGTTCTGTCTGCGTGTGCACGACTGGGCGGCCTCTTCATCGTCTGACGACGACAAGAGCTCAATCACCTCGTGATCTACTTGTGAGGACATCATATTTTGTTGTAGCAGAAGGTCAGGATCGCTTGTCACAGCACCGTGGTGCAGGGAATTTGGAGCTCCTGTGCACGTTCGAATGCATGAAATTGTGAGGTACTGTGTCTGACTCATTCCAACTGGAAATTCAACTCATATTTTTCATATCAAAGCAAAGCTTGCTGCCTGCCATAATTTTTGATGCTTAAGAACAAGCTTACAACTGGTCAACTAACGAAATTTGGCTGAGTGGACCTTCAGCTTACATGCATGCATGCCGTTGGCCGCGGCCTGAGTCTGCTTGACGTACACCCCTCAGTCTCCGCAATATGTTCTAAGCTAATGGCCCCACTAGTATGCACACAATCTTGAATACCCACAATTGCGTGTGCCCGCTTTGTTCTCCGCAGACATTCTGCTATACATGCTTTCTTCAATGTGTCATCAGTCAACCCTTCTTTTTAGTCCATGCATGGGAGAAGTCACATGGGCACTGGCTCCATGTTCTCAATGTCAGCAAGGTTCTTGTCCTGTAATAAATACAAGTCGAATTTATGACAAGTTTGTACATTTGCACGATCAACGCCACCGGCAAGATCTCTGTTCAAAGGCGTTCAAGGGGTTTCTGTACTACAAGTTAAAACTGATCTATAAAACGAGAAGCAAAAATTTTGCCTGCCTCACCTCCAATCAACATGCAAGGCACCAATTCCAACTGCTGCACATAAGCAATCTGCTGCAAATACAGTCACTCCCGGCTGACTCCGGCGGCGCTTGCCTGCTATGAACAACGGGCTGCAGGCCGACAGCCCAAGATACTTTGGCCAAAACTGGCTCTTCATGCATGCTCGTAGCTTGCACTGCAAAGATTGCAGCCGCCTCCAAACCAGGCTCCGGAGCTGCTCGCGCTGCGCATGCTGGCCGCGCTGCGCGCGCTCCGCCCGCTGGCGGTGCTGGAAGCTACCGCGGAGCTGTCGGCCCCGTACGCGGCGTCGTGCTCCTCCCGGAAGCAGGACAGTTCATGCGCAAATCTCTTAAAGCCGCAATCGCTATCGCCCGGCACGCGCTGCAGCGATCTGCCGGGCTCTCCGTAGCGCCGTCCACGCCTCTCCGACCGGCCGCCTGCGCGCATGCACGCACCATCCTTTGGGCCGAAAAGCATTCATAGAGGTCTACAGGAATAGGTGCTCCATGGTGGTGAAATGTAGCTGCTCGTGAGCTTGGTCAAGACGTCAATCTTCATAATGATCCAAGCGGAACATTACTACCGCCATCTGCTCAGTTTGTAGAGGCCCACGACTGTCAGTGCGTGGATGCATGTATCCACGTCTGCTGTGGGGTCATGTGCGCACTCTGCATCTGACCAAGATCCTGCAACACCACCTATTCTCTATCTGACCCGCACCCATCAATGTTTTAGCCTGAGTTGCATCTCTTCAAAAGAAAAGTCCTTGACAGCTCCCAGAGACATGTTCGGGGCTCTCACCTTTGCGACAGTGAGCCATGCCTCCAGCTTTCAAGACACCTTCCAATTTCTATGCAATGCACATCTGAGACACATGCGATGGCATCTCCCAAACACAGACTTTTTGGCAGGCAGCACTACTTGTCCTCAACAGCCGCTCTCAGCCCAGGATTGCATGCCAATGCTTGCAACCGTTCAGGGACAGCACCTCTGCAGCAGTGAGACAGCCTTCCAGCTTTTGATGTTGCACGCCTGAGACAGATGCATTATCATGTCCCCAACTCCCATCCGCTGTGCAGGTAGCAATTTTCTTACAGAACCACGTAGAACCATTACATGTCAATTTCACAAACGGTCAGGGGCGTTAGCTCCGCGGCGATGAGCCAGCCTTCCAGCTGGTCAGCCAGGGGCAAAGTGCGGCAGCCGAGTGTCAAGCATGGTCGACACCACCACCATGCGCGACAGGTGCGGGTCCACCTGGCGCCAAGGGGGGCATCATTGCCAGATCAGGTTAGTTATTCAGAGAAGCCAAAGCGAGTCCTTCATGTACTTGTTCAACTCGATTTTGATTGCTTGCAATTCTATCTGCATGTCCAACAAAGACTGTGAGTACTATTCAACCGTGCATGAGAGACTATACGAAGTCCTAACGGGCATGAGCACTTATTGCCATGTATGGTATCTGATCAACGTGCAATCTGTGGGACTAGTTGGGATCGACGGCTACGCACTAGCGTTGCGACGTATTCGTCTGAGAGCATGTACTGCCTTTCCTGCAGTTTGTGAGCGTCTTCAACATTTCTGTCTCACGCGCTGCCTTTACATGTAGTGTCGATTGGGCGCGGGTCTTGTGGAATCCGATTGGGTCTGTGGAGGACACAGGATGGTTAGCGTCATATCAGCCATACCAAAGGTGCAAATCACCTCAGATATCTGAAAAACACTTGTATTAGGAGAGACCCAATCGGATTCTAGAGGACCCGCGCCCGATCGATACTGCGTGTAAAGGCAGCGCATGAGGCAGAAATGCTCAAGACGATCAGGAAATTGCAGGACAGACAGTACGTGCTCTCAGATGAGTACGTCGCAACGCTAGCGCTGGTGCGTAGCCGTCAATCCCAATTAGTCCCACTGCAGCTTGCACGTTGTTCAAATACCATACAGGGTAATATATGTTGAAACAAATGCAAGCAATTAGAATCGAGTTGAACAAGGACATGAAGGACCACTTGAAGGACCACTTGGTGAGCGCCTCTTTGCGACTGACAGTGGGCATCAATAACATCAGAAATAATATGCAAAGTGATAGACGTCCAACAACGGTCATCATGTCCCTGTTTGTCTTCAAATGCGCATTGGCTCAATCCATGTTCTCAATGTCAACAAAGTCTCTGTATCACGACAAATACAAACTGAGGTCATGAAAGATTTGCATAAGTGCACGGTCAAAGCCACCGGCAAGGTCATTGTTCAAGGACATTCAAGGGGGTTCTATAGTACAACTTGGAGAACGGCCTATAGAAAGGGAGGTAAAAGTATTTCCGGCTCCCAACTCCCATCAACAGGCATGCCCCCAGCTGCATGCAACTGCTGCACAAAGATGACATGCTGCAAACAGTGTTCATCCCCGGCTGACAATGCGGCGCTTGCCACCTGCCATCAACAATGGGCTACAGGCTGACAGCCGAAAGTGCTGTGGCCATAAGGGCAATCCATGCATGCCTCATAGCTTGCACTGCAAAGACTGCCGCCGCCGCCACCAAATCAGGCTCCGGATTTGCTCGCGCTGCGCATGCTGTGGCCAACACTGATGCCATTGCTTGCATCTCTACTATGACATCGCATGCAAAGGATTACTTGCAGCAGCCATTACTGGTATACTGCAGACGGCAAATCAGGCGCCTGAGCTGCTTGCGCTGCGCATGCTGGCCGCGCTGCGCGCGCTGCGCCCGCTGGCGGTGCTGGAAGCTACCGCGGAGCTGCCGGCCCCGTACGCGGCGTCGCGCGCTTGCCGGAAGCACGACAGATTCATACGTGAGTCTTTCAAAGCCGCGATCGCAATTGCCCGGCATGCGCGCTGCAGCCGATCTGCCGGGCTCTCCGCTGCCGCGTCCACCCCTCTCCTGCCGGCTGCCTGCATGCATGCGCACACTTATCTTTAAAACCCGTTAATGTTTGGTCACCATGAATAAATGGGGTAAACAGGCCACGTCAAGGCTCTGCGAGCGCGCAGAATGAGGTCATCTGCCTTGCAGAAGCTACTGCCGCAATTCTGTGCCACCTGTGCTGTGTCTGCGGGCATATGGTCATCATAGTTTTGGGCTGTCTGTGCTGGGTGACATTGCCAGCGCTGCAAACTTCCAGTAAGATGCAACAACATCTCCATATACATATACACATTCTCATGGCAGGCAGCATTCCTTCCAAGGCGCTGTGCACTTCCCACACCACACGATCTCCTGAAAGCACGCATGGTCATTTGGGGGGGTTACCTCTGCAGTAGTGAGCCAGGATTCGAGCTGGTCACCAAGGGGGTCCAATTCACCGGAGACCGTGTCACCCGCGGCGATGGCGAGCGCCTGAGCCACTATTTTCTCGCGAGCGGCCGCTATGACGGCCTCGTGGGACGCTCGAACTAGCGGTGAGAATGCCCCGGCGATGAACTGGAGATCCACCAGCAGCTGCAACGTGCCGCCCAGATTGATATCTGCGCGCCGCACATCACAACAATTCGTCAGCTTTTGGATACTGGTGGATTGTAATCTCAGCTCTGTAAGATCCGCTCACACCTTTGAGCTGGACGGCTGAAAGGCTGTGACCATATGAAACCTGAAATATAGACCTCTCAGCACTGGAAGTAACCTTTTGTTGCCTCACATTGCTTCTGAAAAGGCTCTGGCTGGGCCACCCGCATTTTGTTCCTGAAAATGGCCTGCACAGCTGTGCATGGAACTGCAAATGGAGGCTCGCCCACATATTCACTGCAGCCCTTGCTTGGGTGAACTCAACCCATGACTCAGCGCAGCAGCATATACTGGACCCGAGCCACCACCCATAGTTCTCTACCACCGAGGAGTTGTCACATCATGTTCCCAGCGCTGGGCTAGCGCAGGGACGGCTTACCGGGCAGTTCGTTGGCGAGGACAGTGGAGAAGGTGGCGAGCGCGTGCTGCAGCAGCTCCGCCAGAACGCGGCGCAGCAGTCCCGGGGCGTGGCTGTACGCCTCAGCCTCAACCGCCACCTGTCGCACACCATTTCTGAGCCCTGAGATTCTTCTCACGCAGACATCTGCTTTCAGGATTCTCTCATTAGGCGGCTTCCGCAATGCTCATCTGGGCTGAGAGCACCTGCGGCACACACTCGAGCCAGTAGCACCAACAGGCAACTGCTATGAGCTTGACTGTGCGCGGATGGGCCCTCAGCCGAGATCAATCGCCACCTGCTGCGCAATTTTCTGACCCCACTCTTGCAGAGAGCTGGTAGCAGCATGCCCAATGTTGCCCATGCATAGGTCAGCATTTCTAAGCACCTCACTTTACAGCAGCATGCACAATGTTGATATTGCTGAGTACCTTTGCTGGTGACAGCTAGATGCACTGCTGATCTCAGCTGGGCAATCCTACAGCATGAAGTAAAGCCATGTGGAGCCACACGCAGAATATGCTTATGGCTTGACTGCATACTGTAGGGCGCTTGGCCAAGATCAGGTAATAAAAGCAGCTGCCGAACAAGACTGTTCCGCTGCAGTACATTATTCCCCCGTTCTGGGCCAAATGCTCACTAGCTACGCATCTCACCCCATCATGACAAATGTGACACCCAAAGGGACCTGCCATTCCCGCATCAATCTGCCGATCCAATCAAGTGCAGAGCTGTGCTGCAGTTCTGCATTGCAAGATCAACCAGGCCTTGCATGTATACATATCAGCAGAAATGATTCGCGCACCATCGTTGTGAGGAACTCGTAGGTGACATCGCGCACGCCGGTGGGCAGCGGCGCAGCTTCCCAGAAGGTGCCGTCATCAAAGAAGAACTCCTCAATCACATAATTGAGCGCAGTCGCCTTGCTCTCTGTGTACGAGCTCGCCAGCCGCAGCTCCACCTGGCACCCGAATTTGTAGCGTGAGCTATGTAACTTCAATTGTAATTTACTACTAGGACCACAAACAGCAGTGGACCCATCTGATGTCCTGCATTCTAAGAAGCTACATTCTAGGAAGCTACAATTTGGACAGCTGAGTGACATCACTTGATGCAAAAAAAAGAGGGAATTGCATGCGCAAGCAATTGCTACCTGCTTGATATCCTCGCTGCACTCCATGCACAGATTTTGGCATTCCTGCTCCCCTTCGTCCGCTGTCAGCAGCCCATGGAACCTGCATCGCACAAGCCCACTCCACTTTGCTGATGAGGCCCCAAGAGCTAGTTGCAACAGCCAAGGTACTGGGGAAACCATTGATGTGGGTGCAGTGCATTGAGGTTGCAGTTGCACAAACTTGTGATGAATGGGCCTGTTTGGTGAATCAATGGCTTACATCTGGACACAACATACAGATGCACGAGTGAGAAGGGAAACCAAAAAATGGGGGACTGCAGCCTGCGCAAGTAGAGTGGACAGGTGGCCTCAGATCAAGGAAGCCAAGGACTGCGGACACAGTCACAGAGCAGAGGGGAAATCCCCACCGGCTGGCAAAGCTGGGCATGACATTGCCGCGAACGAACGCGCAGTTGGACAGCAGCACGAGCACTTTTCTGTCCGCGCCGATGCCGTCATCCTCCGCCATTGCCGCCTCGTCCGCGTTGTTGTCGATCGAGGCGCTGCGCTTGTGGGTGGCAATCTCGCTGCTCAGCTTGTCCGTGGCCACCGCGAAAGATGTGAAGGAGTCGAAGAATGCGCTCCTTAGCGCCGCAGCCGCCGTGCCTGCGCGAGAAGATGCAATCAACTGCTTTCATCTAGCTTGTTCGCTCAGGCTGTGATTAGCCCCCAACAGTGTTAGTAGGGCTTGATTGCTGGTCTAGCTACAAATGAACCAGCCGTGTGAAGCCGCTGTGAGCAAGAATGAAGGGTCATGCGAACCAGGAACGCCTCAAATGGATGACTTTTGTGATGGCAATGCCTGAGAGGCTGTGCGTATCACAATAATTACTGCAGGCTATTACTATCAAGCACGTACAGGAGCACAGTGCAGGATGCATCCAAGAAGAAGAACAAAAGAGAGAAAAATGTGCGTGCGCACCGAGGGTGTTGAACCGGTGACCGGGCACGACGGCCTCAGCCCGGCGCGCCTCCATCAACACGGCCTGCACCTGCTCCATTCCCTTGCACACCACCGCGCGTAGCCGCCCCGGCAGCGCGCTCACGGGAGAGCCTAGCGCACGCACACAGCCATCTTCAGTGCACAAAGAGCGTCTCCTGCCTGTTCTCTTTAATGGGTAAAATCCCCTTGACAACCTGATTCTGATTTGGGGCTACAAGGAATGAATCATCTCCCAATATTGCAGCGATCCAGGGCACTTCCTCTGTTCTCTTCCCAGACAATTGAACGGTGCAGTCATGCCAGCGACGACAGCATAGCACAATTACTTGTACTTTACTGACCTTTCTGCCCTCCCATTCTCACAATGCTGACCTTCTCTGTGAGGAGACTGGCAGGAGGACTGCCAGGCAGAGACAGGGAGGCAGCAGCGCACCGGTCTTGTGGGAGGCTGCCACAATGTCCCAGTCCTCGACCTCGCTCATGCGCATGACCAGCGTCGCCCGCTCGGCCACCATCTGCCCGATCGCAAGCCCACTTACCGTCTCCAGCAGCTGCACAACGCCACATGCAACGCTCAATCTTACATGATTAGTAATGATGGCATCCCATGCACACATGCCTTTTTTTTTTTATTAATAATTACAAGGCGCTACAAAACCTGGCATGCTGACACCTGCAAATAACGACAGGCTCCTTGGCAACCTGATAACTCATGAAAGCTTCAACACATAACTGAGACAGTTTACAGGGCTCCCAGGCACCTCTTGTCTTAAGCACTTGTCAGCATGCAAGCCTCAGATGGATCCAGCCACCAGCATGGGCGAAAACCGAATGTCCCATTTCTTGGATCGACCAACCAGACTCGACTGCCACCAGCCTGCCTGACACCTTCCCTAACACAATTTTCAGATCACCTCACAGCAAGACACTCACGAGATCAGCCTTGACGTTATCGGCTTTGTCATCATCATTGTCACTGCATAGATTCTGGCCGTGCCTGTTGGAGAGTGATGTAGGCAGAGGGCGGCGCAGTGAGACCGCACAATTTAGTCATGCCCACAACCGCCTCACGCACTGCCGCCAGGAACACTTCCTTAGACCGGCCCTCCCCGGCCAGCTGAGTCAGCGCGCTCGTAATCTTGTCGCTGCATGCGCAACAGACCGCTGTCATTCTCTTGCACCTGTCCGATTGATTGATGCCTTGCACAAGCGTTATTGACAGTCTCTATGACACACCATAAGTCTGTAATATAAACATGGACTGTGAAAGAGAGCCCATAAGACCAATGAGCCTCTCAACAAGTTTCTAAAACGTAACAACAGTAAGTAATACATCAAGCAACAGCGAATGGCAGAGATTGCACATTAAGGGTTTCAGAAGCTGAAAATGAATGGCAGCAAATGTACCTGTACTCTTTGAGCAGATTGTCATATATTATTGAGCGCTTGGCTCTGCTGTTTACTATGTGCCTCTTGGCAGCCTCAGAGATGCCTGTGAGCGCTTGCTCCTTCTCCTGCAACCCAGACAGGCCCAGCAAGCATCAGGTGAATGCCAGATTGCAGCCTCTCGGCAGTGGCATTGAGTTCCTCATTGTGAATCCCCGTGCACAGAAAGGGCCAACATCACACTGATCAGGCATAAACAATGTCAATTCATGCCTGACCACAGGGTGCTGGCGTCATCTCTGCTCGATATTCCTTCTTAAAGAATTAACAGAAGACGCAAGCCTTTTATAAGGAAAAGCTTGTCACAATCCAGCATGAATGCAGGGAAGCTGGTCGCTAGATGGCAGACAGGGGCAGCGGGTGACTCACCGGCGGCATGTGCCAGTAGTCTGCGCGCAGGTGCCGCACCACTATGCTGGTCAGCCGCGTGGCGTAGCGCGCCCACAGCCCCTCAGCCGTCATCGACTCGCCAGACACCGCCCCCGCCTGCTTGGAGTCCACCAGAACGCTCGCCTGGACATGCAGCCGCCCGAAACTCACAACAGACCCACCTATGGTATATTGGACAATCAGAGTGCCTTTTGAGGGTGGGAGTTTCTACAATCTCACATATCTCTGCCGATCAGTTCATGATTACGACCATATAACAGGCTGCAGAAAGGTGTCTCTGCATCCTCAGATGCCCAAGATTGTCTCCAAGGAATTCAAGCTTTACGAACCCCAGAAATGTTAACCAAAGAGTCTTGACATCGCCTGCTCAGCAGGAATCATCTCGTCCCCGTGCTGCAGCTTCTGTCAACAGGTGTCTTCTGCATTCTAAGGTGTCCCATCCCTCGCCCACAAAGGGCTGGGGCTCGAGCATTCACTCTGCTGTCCTCACATGAGCCAAGCATGTCTCCTAATCCGGCGATATTTGGGGAGAGGCTTCCTCAACATTACACTCACCTCGTCAACATGCTGCAGCTCCTTGAAGCGCGCGTCGGAGGCGGCCTTGTCGGCAGCGCGCTGGGTGATGCCACGCAGCCGCACCATGTGCTCCTCAGCCGCCGTCTCCAGCAACGAGTGCACGTGCCGCTCCTGCAAATTCGAATTTCAAAAACCGTCTTTTTGGGAACTCCGCATTCCCTCCTTATCAAGAGGTCGGGGCTTAAGAAGCCCAAGCAAAACCCCATGTAAGACAGCAGTGGGACCTGTCCATACACCAACACAGCAAGGAAGACCTTCGAGCTCCAATCCACAAAGGAATAGACATCTTCAAAAGTGGTGTAACACCCTGATCCGTTGCCATGCAGACCCATATGGGGTTCTTTGTCAGGCACTCCCATGCACAGTACAGCGCCAAGTCTTTGTGAGACAAAGCCGCATGCATATTGGTTTTGCTGAAGTTCAGGATTCGGGAACCTGCTGAAGGCGATATATGCAGAGACATCATGTCAAAGGTGGGATCGGGGAGTAGGGTGTGAGGGTCCCAGCACAACAGTCCAATCGCAAGAGCCAAGCTTCCTTCTTCTGAAGAGACTGTACCTGATGGCATCTCGAATGTGACTGCTATCATCCAGGTAGTCAACCAACTCATTGAGCTCACTTGCTACGAGTAGGCCAGGTGCACGGCTTCTTCAAAGAGACTCTGATGCCTCAGATAAGCCTTCATGCAGAGTGTGGCACCTGGGTTGTGAGGTAGAGTTGGATGGGGTCGCAGTGCTCCATGCAGGGGGCGCCCTCAGCCGCCAGCAGCAGCAGGTGCTTGCATGCGTCCGTTGCCTCCGACGGAGACGTCCTCGGGTTGCGCAGCACACCCAGCAGGCTGTTCGCCATGTCGCTCACCCCCTGCAGCGCCAATCGAGGCTCTCCCGATTGCATGCATGCGCCAGCATCAAGTAGAGTACTAAGCAGCATAAGAAAGCCTGAATCTTGGCCCACCTCCTCTTTTTCCACGATCACGCAGCCAACACAGACCCCAACAAAAAGGATGCTTTGAGATTCTTGGTCAAGGAAGCGGCTGCAGGAGCTGCTGACATGCACCCGACAGTACAGCAAGAAAATTGGAAATGCAGTAGAATGGAAAGTCGGTTGGCGCAGCATTCATGTCAGGGATGCTGACCTTCTCTACTTCGTGGAAGAGGCTCTGCCAGACGCCGCTCTTGTTCGTGGCAGCGCTGTCTGCCATCAGCACACGCGCCTTCTTGTATTCATTTATCACCTGCATGCAATTGCTTTTGCTCATGACTTCCTCTGACTAACAATGACACACCACTGGAGAACATCATAACATCCAGATTCTTGCAGCTTCCCCAAAAGTGTTGCAATGCCCTTGTGCCTGCGTGCCAACTTGGCCAACCCTGGCACACAACAATCCCCACATCAGGCTGCCCCCTCTCATTTATTGTAAGCATGCCCAGTATTATGCCATTTCTTCTTGAGTTTTGTAAGGCTCAGGCCACAAAATTTAAGAGGTAAAGATCAGCATACGAGGGCGTGCCTGGTCGTACAGGCCGCGCTCGGATGCCTGCCGGATGCGCGTGGGCAGCCGGAAAAGACTCTCGTAGCGCTTGAGAAGCGCCAGAACTCCGCGGATCCGGTCGCAGGCCGCTGCCCTCTCAACCAATTCCTTAAACGCATGCTCCGCCACCGTCTTCACCTGCGCAGATATTTCGCCCCCCTCAGTGTCTGAAGAGGAACAATTTTTGATTGGGCAATTGATGGTGCCTGTGGGGTGCATTACTGTGAACATAAGGGCTCACATGCCACATGCACAGTGGACAGGAACTCAGCAGGGCGCCTTGAGGACAATAGTCACAGCGCAGATGTCGGCTTGTACTCTTTCTGGTGTTGACTGTAGTGTCCATATCTCTCTGGTGAAGGATGCTGCAGCGGCTTTTATCGACACCCCCAAAGATGCTATCAGCAATCACGACTAAAAAGAGTTCCTGGCCATCTGCGCTGTGCCCTTGTTCTGCAAGAAAGCAACCGCAAACTGCTTCGACTAACATCTACTGTTTGGACATTTACCCAAAATCACTTCGCCCCGGCATGCGCACCTCGCGCACGGTGTCGATGACGTCATTGGTGGACACGTAGGAGGAGTTCCCTCCGGCGTGGCCGGTCTCAGCGTCGCGCAGGCGCTTGTGAATGTCATCGATGGTGGTCTTGCAAGAGATGAAATGATCAAAATTCTCCTTCACCAGCGCCTTGAGCTGCCCAGTCCGCTCCTGCAGCCCTGCTTGGAGATTGTCTCGGCCGTGCTGCAGATCCGCCAGCGTGGTTTCCTGTGCAGAAGCACTCAAGATCAGACACCGAGCCACATGGTGCGCTTGCAATATGCAGGCCCTGGTGACATGCATGCATGGCACCCAGGAAAGCCCCCTCTGCAGCTGGGAGGAACTTTGAGGCAAATCATGCGCAATATATTTATGAGTCTGCCAAATCCCCAGCAACCATCTCCATGCAAAAAGGGGGAGCAGGATATAGTGTAGGTCAGACTGAGCCATCCTCAACGTGCACTGCAGACATCGACCTTGGGCATGAATGGGGCCTGAAGTCATCGCAAATGCTCGAATGTTTTCACGTGTACTTTAGATCTCGTTCAGGGCCTGAAGATATCGTACATGCTCAAACATGCTTAGGTGCCCTCCAGGCCACCTGCAGGCCGTAGGGGGATCTCGTAGTGGTGCTGGTATCTTGTCCCTTCAGGCAGGTATGCAACATGAGAGCCACGCACCCAGTGCACAAAGCCGAGGTAGAGGTTTGAGTCGAACTTCTCATGCGTGGGCATGACACGCGTGCGCAAGGACGCCAGGTTGGCGGGCCCCTGCCGCGCGCCGGAACCCTGGACCGTGTCAAGCTTAATCCCCCGACGCTGGATGTTCTCCAGGGTGGTTATCTTTTTGCGCGAGCCCATCATGTCCTCCAGCGACTGACCGTCCCCGTGGCCGCCGCCCGCGCCGCGGATGTCTACAGACTGGCGCACTGATTCTATGTTGCGCCGCATCGCCATGCCCTCTTGCTGCAGCCACCCCAGAGAACGTTCCCTCAGTGACAGGGGCATGATTTTAGTATTACACGCTTTCCCTGCCTAGATGCAAGGTGCGTCCTGCAGACAACCTGCAGTTCCAAAGGCTGCCACAAGCCTACCCCTTGTTGAACTCGCCAGATCCAAGCAAGACCCCATCAAGCGTGGGCACGGTGCTGTGTATTTATCCGGCCCCCGCCAGCTGGAGGCAAGAACCGGGGAGCGTATGAGACACACATAACAAAGACATGCCCAGTACCACAGTGCTTAAATTATGAGCTCGAGTGCATAGTGAGGGCACTCAGAGAACTACCAGGGATGCGCGAGGGAGAATAGTGTTAAAATTTTGATGGCCTCACCGGACTCAGCGTGGTGGTGCGCATAGTGGACTTCATTCTGCTCAGGCCTCGGTGGTCCGCTCGGATCTGCGGAGCACATGCATGTGAGAATGACACAGAGCGCATGCTGCCGTAGTGTAGCGCTCTCCTGCAAGGCGGGCCATCTCCATGAGCCACAAGACACCTTAGTGTAGCAATGATAGAGGTGGACATGGGTCAGGGCGAATCATAAGCTTAAAACTTTCACAAGATAACCAAGTAGATACGAAGAACTATGTTTGTTTGATTAGCCACGCACCAATGCCAGCTGCCTGGTGTCAATTCGGCCCAGCCCAAGGGGATCCTGGTTGTCTGCCTCCATGGCTGCAGCTTGCATGGCAAGCCTGGCGCCAACCTCCAGATTCTCAGTGGAGGGCACCACGCTGCGCATGATGTTGACAGCAATGCGCTCCAGCTCCTCTGTGTCGACTTCCTCCCATGCTGCTGGACCATCGAAGAAAGGCTCCTGTGGTCCCTGTGATCCCTGGTGAAAGAAGGGCACGTATCGACGTCAGCGGTTGAGATTATAGTGATACCTCAAAACAACCTATTGTTTGCCTTCGAGAAGGTACCCCTTGGTTTCCCGGGGGCTCCTGCAGTAATCTGAAGCGTTCAGAGTGCACTTTTCTACTCATGCATAATGTCAGAGATTTCTCATACAATGAAGTGGGTGAAATTCACACCTGAGGAGTCCCCCCTGCCAAGTCTTCATAGTCATCTTCCTCTAACTCGTCCTCATAGTGGTGATCCTCTGGTATTGCAGGCGTTTGACCGAAAGTGGATGCTGGGGCGATGTATCCTGCCAATATAGCAGACCTGTCATACGTATTCCTGGCCTGCATGCCTGCTTATTTGCCCTGCCAGGGATCAATGCCGAGACAACTCCTCTGATGATGCCCACATATCTGGGCACGGAAAGGGTAACATTATCTCTTGAACTTTCCTTTAGTGCAAATGACAACAAAATTCAAGAGCAGAGCGTCAAGAATAGGTTGCAGAGAGCGTGAAGCTGCATCGATTTGGCAAGGTAGTTTTCTTTGGCATAATGCTGTTCTCCCGCGGCGTTTGACATTAAAGCTTTCGAACGTAGTGACAGAAACGACGATATTGTAGATCTTGATGCTCCCGATTTCGCAAGGGAAGCAGGCTGCGATAGATAATGAGGCATCAAGTAGCCCCATTTAGGTCTCCGAACTAGTCGGGACCGTGATCGAGCTTCTCATTGCGCTTTACTAGGGCACGCTTTCCGCCGGTGCCAGAGCGTCCCGACACATATTGGGACGTCTTTTGGCTTTGGTGTTGGGTTTTGCTATCAATTACCAGGACTGATTTATCAAAATCAGGCTTAAATTCAGCCATTGAAGTATTTGGGGATCTGCGCATCGATCCAAAGCGACCAGCATGCGCGGCTGCTGATCTTGATCCCAACCCTACTGACGCACTGAACTGATGTTGCAAAGCGTTTCCTACGCCGCATACGCCCGTTCTACAGGTGAGGTTCAGGAATAGTTGTATGTATGTGACAGAATCCGTTAGAGAGGGGGTTGCTCAAGGAGGTGTTCTGGCTCCCGTCCTGTTAGGTTTGACGCCCCATGCTGGCGGTCGCTTGCGCGTCTTGCGACAATGGTCAATTAGCAGTGAAGAAAGATATGAGTCAATCATGTTGAGATCGTGGCTGCAGTGACTTGTTGTGTCGCTGGCTTGATGTCTCTGAGTTGATTCTGAGACGCCACCTACAATAGCATCAAGCAGATGCCCACGACCGCCCAGATATAAATTTTCAGAAGTAAAGCTTTGACTTCGATTCGCAGGGCTTCCAATGCACAGCACGGACACCCATGTGGCCATGGACCAGCTTAGCAACCTTGGACCAACTTTCCACTCCATCCAGGTGCGACCAGATCAGCTGATGAACTTCGAGACTTTGGCCCAGATTAACACAAATGCCCACCAAGACATTATTTCTGCACAGCTTGTCCGTAATTTTCTGTCAGCTTACACTTGCCTGGAGGCTTGGTCATGCTCAAGGATGTGATCAACAGGCTTTGCCAGTCGTGCAATTGTCTGCATGCAATCTCACTACACCAGATAGACATGCAATTGTGAGGGGTGCCGTCAATCCTCTCTTTCACAATTGATAGCAGTCCCACTAGGAATGAAATCCAGTGTGCTGAGTCAACCCTACTTGACGTACAGGTGGCTGAGCATGGAGGGGTGAATCAAGCGGGCGGTCGCTCACCGGGAGAGATCTCAGATCGGTTGTCGCTGAAGTACAGCAGCTCACCCGAGGCTGGCAGGCTGCAGCAGCGGAGCAGCAGCCGTGAGTCCAACAGCCACGCCTCAGGTCAGTTGCCGCTTTTGTTCTCCAGCAAAATGCCTTTCATCACAGGACACCACGAAATATGATAAAATGCAACAGTAGGTATTCGTGCTGATTCATATCCATTCCTGCTCATTTTGGGGGGAAAGGAGAAGTGCTGGCTGCAGCCTTAGCCCTTGCTGCGATGACCCAAATATACTTGCTTGGCATGAAAGCTGCCAATGGTCCCATTCCCTGCTCTCTGATTTCTCCTGTATCATGCCAGTCTCGTGTCAGGAAGCTCATAATGACAATGTTTTCGAGCATCCTGACTACCCCTGCTGCCACCCTGGACATGCCCTCAGCTTGACACATAAGCTCACCCTGCTCACACGCACGCATATGCCCACAGGCAGCGGAGTGGGCGCGGACGAGCGGCCGGGCGGCCCTTCCGGCAGCGTCCCGCGGCGCCAGCGCTGCACGCGCCGCCGACTCAGCTTCGGCGCGGACGACGATGCCGATGACGACGGCCCAGCCGACGGCGATGCGCGCGCGGCCGGCACCGATGCGCGCGCGGCCGGGGCCGGCCAGTTCGGCGCGTCGCAGAACATCGAGCGGCACACCTCGGGGATCTATGACCTGATCGACGCCATTGGCCTGCTCGGTATGCACGTTGCACTCTCCCCTTTGAGCGCAATTGTGGACACTTTCTCAAACGGTCAAAGTCATTTCTAAACCCGATCATAGATGCCTATTGGCAGCCAAAGTCGCTTTTGAGCTCCTTTTCCGACCATTTTATGGCACGCGGGCAAGAATGCCGGTGTGTGAGTGGACCAGATCCACCAGTCCTGTTTGCTTCCCTCGGCTCCTTCCAAGACTTTTGAAGGCACTCATCTTTGACTGTACAGGTCCTGCTGCGTGCTTGCAATGAAGCACTTCAATAACTCTCTGAGAAAACATTGGCTCTTCTTGTCAGGGTGCACAGAGTGTCAATTGTCCTGCAGGGTGCTCCATGCCCATGCCCAAAAACCATTCTTCTCACAAGCTCGCCTTGCTGCATGCAGATGCGGAGAGCATCCCTGCGGAGGCCCTAGAAGACAGCGAGGGCAGCGGCCGCGGCAGCAGCGAGAGCCACCAGCACTCGGAGACGCTTCCGCCACGCGCCACCGCCGCCAGCAACGCAGCGTCCCGCCTGGCGCGCCACGCCAGTGCGCCGCCAGGTCAGCAGCAAGGCCTTATTAGGCATCCTCAGTTTCAAGCTCAAGCACTCTTCCAGAATTGTTGTATGCTGTCTCGAGAACCTGTCGTTGCCGCGTAGGGCTTGATGTGCAGAAAGAAATGTATGTGCATTCACCTTTCCTCCACATTGGTAATCTGATCCAAGAGAGAGAGAGTGTGCATGCATGGCAGGGAATGCATGCATGCACAAGATTGTGCATGCACCATGCAGGCCTGTGTGTGCTGACATTGGGGATGCAATGTCTTGCCGCCTCTGCTTTTAAATGCGTTTTTGCGGCCTGGCTCCAGAGGCTTTTGTCATTGGCTCAAGCATGTGCGGGTTTTCTTGCATCCGGGGAGGCATGTGCTGAGGCTGTCCTTGCAATGATGCGTGCAGAGTTCGAGGCGTCGCGGCTGCGGCCGGGCGGCGTAAGAAAGGTGCGAGGCGCGGGGCAGCACTCGGTCGGCCGCGACAGCAGCCGCATGGGATCCTGGAGCCAGGCCCAGAAGATCGAGCTCGTGCGGCTGGTTCGCGAACACAGCCCCTGCGGAGCAGCCGACTGGGAGGTGAATTTCTTTATTTTTGGGCGATTTTTGCTTACATTTCTCCTTTCTGCTCCTCCAGTGCTAAAACAAAACGGTATCTAGGTGTCAGGGTAGAGGGTTCGGCTGATTTGCATACACAGCCCCTGTGGCGCAGCTGGGAGGTGAGGGATTAATCCTCTCTCTGCGGCTGCACACTCTAATTTTCTAGGAGTGCAGCAAACTTCCAGGGAAAACACTCATCAGAAGCAGCAGAGAATAGCCTGTATAGACCGATGTTGGTCAGACGCAGGAATCCTGCACCAGCTCCCATCTGTGCTCATACATTTTCATATTGCTGCAGTTGCCCCTGCAGCCAGATGTCTATTTTGCGACCTTGGGAGCCGCAACAGCATGGCACACAGAAAGCTGTGCTTCACCTAGAGCCGAGCAATGACCTGCATGGAATGGAACATACTCATGATTCCTGCTCAGCACACAACCTGAGAGCTAAAATTGGTTTGCACAGCATGCAAACAAAAAATTCAAGCCTAAACTTTCCACGGCAAGCCATAACCCTGGTAGAGTTGTCCCTGCTACAACCACGCAGCTGCATGTCGCCAAAAACAAGCAGTGATCAAAGGATCTTTCGAGAAACTCAGATTGGGTGATTTTCCATGTGGCAGGCCATAGCGGACCGGCTGGGCCGGTGGAGCCGCGGCGGCGCGAGCGCGGAGCGGATGTACAGGACGCTGACTGATCCGGGTTACCAGAAGGCGACTAACAAGCACGGCCGGCGCCTGAATAAGCGCAGCGGCATTCCCATGCATGTCATGGCGGCCCACGCACTGCGTTCCCTTCCCGACAACGAGGGTAACCTCACCGAGGTGGGTTTCAAATTTGAATTTTGATTATGAACGGAGATAAATATGAAGTTTTTCTTAGACCCCATTTTCGGTTTTACAACGATGTGGCGTCTCCCAGACGCAAGCTCTAAGACCAGTGCATTTATTGCATTGAAAGTAAACATAAGCTTATAGTAAGGCCACACTGTGCCTGCACACACAAGCTAATATTTTGTGTGAAGCTCTGCTCATAAAGTCCCAAGAGGTTGTCATGCAAGCTTTTTTTCCAGGCATGAGCCAGGAAGACATAGCATAGGGACTGGCTGACTGGCTCTCTCTAACCGCCCAGAAAGGATTCACCTAGCACAGCTCGCCTTTGACAGTTCTGCTGTTCACCTTGCGCAGATATCGGACGTGATCAAGGAGCACCCCGGCTTCGCAAAGGACTTAGACTGGAGCGCGCGGCCCGGCACAAAGACATATCCACGCTGGAAGGATGCGCTCATCGGCTGCTTCAAGGCCGGCCGCTACCCGCACCTGGTGAAAACCGAGCGCAAGCGCGACGGCTTGAACGTGTACTTCCTCGACGAGGGGCGCATGCCCGCCGCCGTCGCCGCGGCCGCCGCGAAAGCGATGAGCGCGGCCGAGGACTCCGAGACCGGCAGCGCGGCGCGCGGTGCAAGCGGCAGCGATCAGTCATCTGAGTGAGTCAGAGGATGTGGGTCAAGCGTTAGTAATATTCTGTCATTGCCAAATCTGCCATCTGAGCGCCGCCAAGCACTTCGAAACTGGCAGGGCGGCGCGCGGCACAAATAGCGGCGACCAGTCATCAGAGTGACTATTGGTGAGTCAGCTACTAGGTGCTGCAAGCTACTAAAGCTGAGTTAGTACCGCCAAGGCAATCAGCGCCGCCGAGGACTCCGAGACGGGCAGCACGGCAAGGGGAGCCAGCGGCAGCGTCAATCATTTGAGTGAGTCAGCATGCGCGACACAGCCATTGGCATGTGGGAACTTTAAACTCGATTGATTCAAGCCAGCAGTGATGATGATTCATTGGTAGACATCATCAAGGGCTGTGTAGGAACCAACACCGCCAGCGGGCCGCTGGCCCGAGCGGCAGCAATCAGTCATCGGAGTGAGTAAGGGATGTGTCATCAGAATGGGTCAATGCTACAAAGAGGCAAGAACTGTTGCAAGTACAATCAATCATCGAGCTGTGTGAGAGGGCTGGTCAAGGCTGTGAAGAAGGATGAATTTTGATATTGAGATCACATAAAACAGGGAGAGAATAAGCGCTGGTGTCTGTGCAGCTGCACATACTGATTCTTGGCTGGGGCTGTGTGTAAAAGAAAGCATTCATCAGCTATCTTTTAAATTGCTGTGGTGGTTTAAGAGATGCATATGCATGCTGCATGCATGCAACACAGGCAGGCAGGCAGGAGCACATCAGAATTTGTATTTGATTTCCCTTTTACAAAAAGTGTGCAGCATTTGGGACAAAGAAATGTCAGCAGGAGGGCAAAATGCTAGCATGAGCTTGAAATCTGGTGCACAAGCACGACAAAAAGATGCGCACCCAAAGCCCTGATCCGCTTAGCCAGAATTGGAGCAGGTTGGCGAAGGCACACCATTGGACGCCACGGCAACTCAAGCGCATGACTGTCAGATTGCGACGTGGAAAAATTCTAACTTGTAATGCGTCAGCAAGATCACTGAGAAGCATTCTTCCAGAATAAGAGCTTTAAATTAACACATGCCCATCATGATCCAAAGATTGCTTTCAACTCGGTCTTCTCGCTGTTCAGCTGCTCCTCAGTGGCCTTTATCACCGCATTGCCAAGGTCAACCAGGCGGATGTCCTTCCCATCCCAGAGGAAGTTTGAGGGTCGCAGATCGCCGTGGGCCACTCCAGCATTGTGCAAGGCGCGCACCGCTGTGCGCATCCTTCTGTGCATGCGCTGCGGCACAGGTTGGCCCTCTGACAGTGCGGCACCCGAGCAGGTTGTCACAATGACAGGCACATCTGCATGCATGAGTCTCCCAGCACCAATGAATCTGGGAATGGCTCGCCCCTGGAGCTCCAGCAGCGTTAGATAGGCAAATCTTTCAGTCTCGTAGGCAGCAGAAGCACCGCGCTTGCGAAAATCGTACAGCTTGACAGCCACCGGCTCTGAGTTGTACAACCCCTGCAAGCAGTGAAAACCAGACCTTATGTCACTTCAGGACTCTCGGCAGTCCACGCATTGCACATGCCATGTTTTGGCAGAGTGCAAACTCTCCACAAACTGTGTAAGATGGCTCACTACATGCCTCCTGGCCAACAGAAAGCACTGGTCTAGTATTGGTATGTATATTGTTACAAGATGCAAGCACTGCACATCATGCTTTAAGTCACTGTGGCGACGCAATTCCATGAGGATTTTGTACCCTCAAGACATGGCCGTACTGGCCTGCTCCCAACATCTCGTCTGTGAGACCAAGCTGCGCGAGGGTCCACACTTCATCTGCGTCGCTTCCGATGCTAGCTGGAACGCCGCTGCTGCTGCCGTCTGACATGTCCTCCTTGCTACCTGACATGTCGCCTCTGCTGGCTGCCAACGTCTCCTGGGCGTACTCTCTGCCCGAGATGTGCCCCGCCATCGGTTGCAAGAGTGGGATGTCACGCCGGCGCAGACAGATCTTCTTTAGGGCCCGACCCGACAAGCTCAGGCGTTCATCAGCTGCAGCTTGCTGGGGCCTGGCAGAAACACAAGCAATCAGGGGCATTTATGAATTCTTGATGCAGTTGCAAGCAATTGTGATGCAAGATAAATAAATCTACATCTGAAGGTAACTTCAAACTCATACCTGGCCTTGATGGCGTGGCCGGCTCCTGTGGGAGGGACAAGGACCCGTGGCAGCTTCTTTTTCTGGTCGTACAGGGCATCGGCCTGCTGAAGCAAGTACAACCAGGCAGCACGCGGTGGTGGATCTGTGCTGTCCCACCAGATGGGTGGCGATGCCATGAGGGACTTGTTTTGCACATGCGCGCTGCGCTTGAGGAAGATGGTCATGTGGTAGTTGGTGATGACCAGGAGAGGCGCCTCATCGATGACAGCATCCCCATACACCTACACTCCATGCAGTGTGCTTAGAGGCAGGCAACTCGTTTCCCAATAGCTTCAGTTTTCCTTGGACCCAAGGCCGTTCTAGAAGGCCATATGGAGATGATCCATGCCAAAAATTGCACATCATTCTGCTAGATTATACACAGGCCCTTAGAAAGAGCTCACACAAAGTCTGGATTCAGGACGCCACATCAGCAGATGACATGGCAGGGATTTGTGCGTCTCTTAGCATGAGAGTACTCCCACCTGCTGGACTGCTTGAAAAATGGCCCCAATCCTGTTGGGATCATGGAGAGCCCCTTGCAAAGTCTCTCCACGCTCCAAGGTAAACTGCCAATCCCCCTTGACCTCCCCATTCCCCACGATATGCATGCTGGCGTGCTGGCTGTCGGTTATTTCTCCAGTCCGCCGCACGACCAGGTCGGGGAAGGAAGCGCTGCGGCCGTTGCCCCCGCCCACGCACTCAGCGCGGATGCCAAGCACCTTGGCGACGTCGTTGACAGATTGGAGCATCGCAACAACATACCCCCTGACCTGCCATTGGTCTGCAGCCGGGCGGATGGTCTCGGGTCCATCAGGCATGATGCTGGCTCTGGGTGCATAGTAGATCTTTTTCTCGTCATCCAGGCTATTGAACAGCGCCCTTGCCCCTGGCACGAACTCTGGTCAGTCCATGATGTCTTCAAAAGTCCGTGGACGCGTTCTTGCATGCGTCGTGGTGGATGAACCGCGGGGGGAGATGCGTTGGAGCAGTCTAGGCAGTGGGTAGGCAGTCACTTGGCGCAGTGAGTCTGCGGGCAACACCACAAAGGCATCAGTCGACCAACACAAGAGTGTGCATTTTGGAGAATGTTGCCTGTCTCTTGCCACCATGTGTCAGAGCAACTTGTGGCCTCAAACCTAGCCTATACAACATAAATCTGCGCCCTGCCAGCACATTACTAAAAGCTAGACACATGACAAGTTGAGACGACATGAAAAGTTGCAGATGTTGCATAAGATACTATTCTCAGCTGCGCGCAAAGGATTCAATAGAATACGAAGGCAATGATGTAGCGCACGCTTAGGAGTGGCCTCAGCTTTTCATCTGACATGATGGAGCATGAGGCAACATGGCAAACTCACCTACATAAGGGTGTCCACTGATCACAAAAGGATCCTCAGCTGTCCCACTGCACCCCAGCAACCTTGCCAGATCGTCCAGTTTGCAAGCTCCGGTGGAGGTGGGGAGGGGCAGTCCGTCGCGTGTGTGCAGGCACAGGGAAACATGGTCCAAGTTGAGATGCTTGGCAACGGCTCTGAGATTGAAGTCTTGCCCAGGGAAGACGAGGGAGCTGGGGACATCACCTCAATGCCTGCAATGTGACCGGCACGTGCTTGGGGAGCGTCACCTTGGTGTCGAGTGTCCTGTTGTTCAATCCATCAGGGAGGAGTATCCTGCGTTATTCGCGATCGGTGCATGCATTCTGAGAATGCAGCAGTTTATAAAGGTTATATTTACTATTGTATGCGGCAGTTGGACATTTTCAATGTTGCACATTTTGTCATGGACTGTTCTCACCTTTTGGATGCTGTTAGAACATCTCATCAGCCCTAGGCGGCTGGACGATGTGTAATCTTCCTTCCTTCCTTCCTCAAGGGCTATTAGCCCCCGTCACCAAAACGGAAAGCCGATTGGCCGAGGACGGGCGACTCGCGAGGACGGGCGGCATAGCCAAGTGGAGCGTCGCAGGGTTGGGGGCCACACCAGAAGTGGCAGAGGGCGGGCGGCCGGGGTCCCGGAGGGCGTAGCGCGGGGGGCTGCGCGGAAGCGGCGGTGGTAGCGGTCAGGGCGGCGCTGAGGCGGGCTCAAGGAAGGGGCAAGGTGCACCGAGGGGCGAGTGGCGCGTTGCGGCCGGCGCTGAGTAGAGAGACCCATGGAAAGAGGGGAGGTTAGGAGGGTGGAAGCTTGGAAATAGAGGAATCTGAGGGTGGGGTGACAAGGCGGCGTTTGCATCCTGAAAGAAATCAAGCAATTGTTCATGGGTGCACGCGGGAACGCGAGGCCTTAACCTCACATGTGCCGCCCATCCAATCCTTGCTGGAGGTTGGTCTGAGAAATACTATCACCAGAAGGCATTTACGTCAATTGAACTGCAGCTATTCGACTCATGTGAAGATGACATCACTGAAGGTTTCACCAGCGTTGTATGACTGTTATCTTGAGCACTAGCCCCAGCACAGGAGTCAAACAAGATGCAAGCGTTTGCAGCACCGTTCCTTTAAAATGGGCGCAAAAATGCGACCCACATCAAGATAGCAGGTCGAATTTATACAGTTCTCCAAGAGCTCTGTCAGGTCAGCCATTTAGATAACCAATAGTTTGCATGGTGCAGAGGAGGACTATCACAGAATATCTTAGCAGCAACAATTGGTGACAATACTCAAAATAGACACATCAATGGTCATATATTGGTCCTGTCCAAATGCTTGTCCCAATTTGCGGAAATTCGCAGCGCCGGTGAAAGCATTCTCGGCGGTATCTTGCAAGCCAACCAATTGGCTGCACTTCGGACCCCAAAAGGCACCTTGGCAGACAAGATGTCATGTCCCACCAGCCTGTGCAGGGAAGCTGGTGAGCAATTGCAATTTTTCGTGTGCTGGCAGCCTCAAGTGTAGCCCTAGCTAGAACTTTGAGATTGACACTCCAAGTCAGAAATCGTCAAGGGACAAGCTGATCTCAATGTCGCCTTCCTCCGAGGACGCCTCTCCGCACTTGCTCCTCTGCCCACGCTCCACCACATCTTCACGCTCTGCCGCACCGCTCAGAGACAAGCCGCCGCCCACCGAAGCAGCTGCGACGCCTGCACTGGAAGCAGGGGCTCTGGCAATCGGATCGGTGACGGATATTCCCTCCTCTGTGCGGCCGGCGCCGGTGCCGGGGCAGGTGACGGCCTTGCTGCCACCAGCCGCAGCCGCGCAGGACGTTGCCGGCTGGGAAGCCTGAGCGCCACTTAAGGAGGTCTCACCGGCCGCTGCAGCGCCGGTGCTGGGGCTCGGTCCCAGTGCGGCTGCATGAGCCGGCCGCTGATGGTAGGGGCCGGGCGGGCCGAATTCTTCTTCAAGCCATGATGGTTCCTGAGTTGGCGGGGCTGCCTGCGCACTGGCGGCCGGCCGCGCCGGCAGCGGCGGCGGCTGCAGCGGCTCGGAAGCCGCCTGTTCTGGCGCCTCTGCCACGTCCTTTTCTGGCGCAGCTGCCACGTCCTGATCAGGCGCTGCATGTGCACCATCCTCAAAGATGCGCATGTCGTCGGAGGTCAGGTCGCAGATAGCGTCCGCGCTGCGCACCGCGCCGTTCGCCATCTCGTCGGCCAACGCATTGGCCGCCGCCTTGCCCTCGAGCAACAAAGCATCCTCTGGGCCCCAGCCCACAATGTCCACCTCCTCTTCCGCCTCTGAGCCCCGCGCATTCTCCGCATCTGCCGGGTGCTTCGCGGGTGTCCCTTCCAAGTGGCCCAGCAGCGCCCCAATGCCCGCCATTGCCTGATGCACCTGAGTGTTCGGCGGCGCCGCGTCGTCATCAAATCCGGCGGCGCTTGCCTTGCCGGCGGCCGCCGCGGCCAGCCGGGCCGGTGACGCCGTGCGGCTCCTGTCAAGAGGGAACATCCCCCCGTCTAGCTGCCGGGGGCTGCCAGACTCGAGGCCCACCTCTGCTGCAGGGGCCTCTGCCGTCGCGGAGCCATTGTCATCAGGGATGACCTTCTCGGCTGCAGCGGTGTTGCCCGCGGCAGCTGCGCGGTCAGGCGCAGGGTGCTGAGGAGCGTCCAGGGGAGCAGTGCTGGCGGCTGCCGGGGACGGCTGCGCCGTTGAGGGAACGCTGGTTCCACCCGTGGCGCTGGCAACCGAGGCGGGGGGAACTTCTCTGTTTGCCGGGCTCCGCGGGGCGCGCCCTGCCCACGGGCTGAGCGGTGGCGGGCTGGCCGAGCGCCTGGCGTGACCCGGGCGGTGCCTTGGCGCTGGCAAGCCCCTCTTTGGCGTCGGCGCAAGGCTGATTGGGCGCTCTGTGAAGCACCACCAAGAGATCCATTAGTCTGCTGTTCCTCAGTAAAGACCTGCACTGATTTCTCCACACATAAACACCAGCGAACTGTTTGCTTGCACCTCTGTTGGGTGCATGGCAATAATTGAGCTGCGCAGGCCACAACAACCCGCCTCTATTGGTGTGAGGAGTATTATTTTGCAGGAGAATGGTGGATTGCGAATGCACCGCTGTGGCTGTAGAACTCGATGGTCTGGCGCACGCCGCGGGGGTGGCCCGGCGAGCCGCCGCGGCCGCCGGGGCTGCCCATGATGCGCAAAACATGCCGTGGGATTTCCTCATCAACAGCAGCGCCGACCCGCTGCCGCTTCGGCGTGTTCTCCTCTGCCAGCTCCTGCAGTGCCTCGGCCGCTGCGGCCGTCGGGGACTCGACAGAAGCGGTCCGGACGCGGCGTGCCGGCGGCTTCGCCGCGGCTCTTTCGGTTGCGACGGCTGCGTCGGCCAGACCGGCAATCGCGCTCTGCTTGCCAGCAGCTGCCGGCACATGCGCTGCCGCGCCCGCACCGGCGGCGGCTGCCGCCGCGGCCTTGCACGGCCGCCGGGACGGCGGCGGCTGCGGCAGCTTTTCCGGCGTCGGGGGCCCCAGGGCGGCCGCCGGCTTTCGCGGCGCCGAGGCCGCGGCGTGCGCGGTGCTGGGGCCGGCCTCCTCGTCGGGGCGCACCAAGTCGCTCTCGGCTGATGGCGCCCCGTTCTCCATGCCTGCACACAATCCAACACCGAAATTTTTCATTCCCAGTCCTAAGCCAAAAGGCAGTGTCCTCGCACATCTGACAACAAGGCATTGCTGCTTCTTTGGCGACCGAAAATGAGTCACCTTCCATGCTCAGGGTCTCCAAGGAAGCTTCCTCGGCAGGTGCCTCGGCGGCGCGCTTGCCGGCCGCGATCTGGCGCTGCTTGACAAAGTCCGGCAGGGGTGCTTCGACGCCGTAGGCCGCCTCGAACACCGCGCCGAAGATTGCCCAGGCCAGCAGCATCGGCACAGCGTTGCCCACCTGCTGCATCTGCTTCGAGATGTGCCCCTTGAGACGCACACAGCACACCATCAAATCTCCAGCTGGATTGGATAGCACGAATCTCCAGCACTATTATCCTCCAGCCCTCCTAAGACTGCTTGGCATCACCACTGGCATGAGAGGAGCACCAGATCTCATCATACAGGCGGGAAGTTTATGTCCCCAAAAGCAATGATGGGCGGCAGTTGCCATGCTCACAGCTTAAGGAACAGAGGCACTCAAAATCTTGTCCTTCAATTTACAGTAGCTAGCACGTTTGCCAAGCATATGATCCTGAAGCTTGAAATGCAAAGATGAGCGAAGCATTTGTGTTCTGCTCCCTTCATTCATTCACAAGAGCCAGCAAGGAAAACTAATGGCGTGAGAGCTGAGCACTGCATCGGTGTTTCTCTGAAAACCGAGCCAGGCATATTCGTCCATATGTCATAGCAATTTGCGTTCGTTTCTGTGGATGTGTGTGAGTGAGTTACATCTATCCTCATCTACTACCAGATTGCATGATTGTGATCCCTGTCTCTGTTACCTACTTCTTATCTCCAAAACAGGCAAGGCAGTCAGACGGGGGGGCGCACCCCCAGTCGCATGCCATCCATCATGCACTGCATCCGCTTCTTCTCTGCTACGCTGCACAGCCGGTTCGAATCGGGCCGCGGGCACAGCTGCACGCAGGGAACATTGCAGACTTCAGCCATTCTGGCATAATAGATTCTTGAGGCGATAACTATTGACTAGAATATGTCCTCCACAGTGGAAGCTGTCGAGTTTGTCAGCCAGATCACGCCTTCAAGAAGAAGTCAGTCAAAATCCCAACATGGACAACTTTAAAACCTCTTTCTGTCATGAGAGGCGACGGCACTCTCCAAATGATGGGGATTGGCCGCTATGTCTATATTGCTGTGCAAAGCTGAGTTAGGTTCCTTTGTTCTGCTCTGATTTACAGCCTGCACTCGATGCCTTGCCCCGCTGTACTGCATGTTCATACAGGAACCTGCACACAGTACCTCGCCATTTCTGCGCAGGGATGACTAACGGAGTATGTGCTTGTTCTGCAGCATTAGTAAAAAGCTGAGCCTGGCTGTGTTGGTGACAGATATATCAAAGAGGTCTGTGCCCACGCATACTCACATGGTGATCTTAGTAAAATTGACAAGAATATCCCAAAATGTCCTTGTCAGGAGCTCTGAGTTCAACTAGACAGACATGACTCTGACAAACTTTACAGTGTTTACAGTGCAGGAAAATATCGTGGCCAGTACTTACCATGTGAGCTGCGTGGTGGCTGACAGAGCCGAAGATGGTTGGGTACGGCTGGTCATAGTCCGAGCGCTTTTCGGGGCTGTTCAGGCACTTGAGAGTGTTCTTCTCCGCCTTCGGCAGCCAGTTGTGGTACAAGCACTTGTCCTGCGCACATGTCAATCAGCCGCTTTGCACCTTACGATAAACATGATGGTAATGTCAATCTTGCATTATTCCCAATCATCGTTGGTATCATAGAGACCTGCTTCCCGGAGAGTCCACATCCCTTGATTTGGAGCCTCTTGGTGGTTTATGCGATAATGACTTGCATGATACTTACCGATTTATTGCTCAGCAAGGACAAACTTGTGGTTCATGATACATGTATATCCAGAGTGTTGATCCTCTAGAGGTAACTTTGCGTACAGATGCAACTTTTGACAGATTTTCAAGCCTGCCAAGATGTGTCGGGATGGATGCGCACCTCCTCAGATCGCAGAAACTTGACGTAGTCGGTCTGCTTCTTTATCCAGCCCCGGCCATACTGGTGTGTCTGCATGCCCTGGCCTGCAGCAGGACAGCAGCCTCCGAAGTCAGGCAAGGCAGCGAGCAGCGATGAAAAATTGCCCTTGCTTCACACATGGCTGCAATGTGCTGCAGGATCAAGCAACCAGTGCTGTCCGCACAGAATAGAAGTGCAAATCTAGAGAGTTTCTGCTGTGATCAGACCCCTACAGAGGGTCTGATCACAGCAGAAAATCACAGCAGTTTTTTGGAGGCCTTGCTCGCGGCCACAGTCTGAAGTGAGAGAGAAAAATCCGATAATGAACCTGGACAGATCCCACCGCACCAGGCTCCATTCAATGCAATGAAGGCCTCGCGCGCGGGAGGAAGATCATGTTTTTGAATTTCAACGTTTGAAATTTGCAATTTGCAAGTTGCGCAGCGCGCCGGGCTGCACATAGAGCGGCAGGTTGCCGATGGCCTTGTGCATTGTCAGCACGGCCCGGCTCAATTTTAATTGCAGTACGACAGACCGCGACGCACTGGGCAGCATGTGAAGCGGCAGGTCGTCGATGGCGTCGCGCGCGGTGAGCGAGGCCGGCTCAGAAAAGATATTTAATTTGCAGGGCAAAATATTGCCCGGCACCCGACCGACATAGAGCGGCAGTGCCGTAAGCGCGGTCATCCCAAAACACAAACTCAAATCCAAAGCGCAGGACGACAGAATGCGACGCACCGGGCAACACGGAGAGCGGCAGGTCGTCGATGGCGTCGCGCGCGGTGAGCGCGGCCGGCAGCGGCCCGGCCGGCCCGGCATGCGCGGCGGCCGATCCGACGGCCACCGATGCCCAGCAGGGCTTTTCCCAGCTCGGAGGAACGTTCAGCAGCGCCTTGTCCCTGCAGTTCTCCACCAAGCTGCAGCCGCGGCGGCCCCGCTTCTCCGGCATATCAACACTGTCAGAGGGCTCCTCGGCATCGTCCGGGTTCGCGTCGTAGTGCGTCCTGCGAGAGAAAGAAGGAGGGAAGACAATCAACTACAGCCAAAGTTTTTTCTTTGATTGAATGCTTGTAGTGAGGTGAATGTGTCCTGCAGGGTGGAGGTGTTGCGGGCAGGGGGCCTGCCTCCCAGGGCTGAGCGGATGTACTGACAGCATCCAAGTGACCAAAACAAGCAATGACAAGATGTGCAACACTGACAATTTTCAACTGCCACATGAAGTCTTGCATGGTCCAAATGGCTGCACCAAACAAATCAGGATATGGGAGGGATGCCACTGTAAGGCTTGTGTAGGTTGACAACAATCAGCACAAGCACATTGGCACTGAATTCTGAGTGAGCTTTTCATGTGGCAGGATTGTTACTGTGGGCGGCAATGAGGCCTTCAAAACCCTTCCCTTCACCATATCCTTCAAGAAAATTCTTTTCCTAGCTCTTGTGCGTCGTGTCAAGCTTGTCAAGACGACCTTGCCAAACATCTCTGGTCTTTGATTGATAGCTACCAATCTCCCAACCTTTTCTGGTTACTGCTGCGCATAGTACTGCTCTGGAAGAGGCATCGTCAATTCTTGCTTGAAAATGCAGTTACCAATTGCAAGGTCCGCTATCATAACGCTCAGGTTGGTTATCAGAATGCTTGTAGCGCACCAGGGAGTGGGCGGCCTGGGAAGAACGTAGCCCGGCTTGGCAGCAAACATGATGAGGCGCTGCATGCACAAAACATCACATGTGTCATGACCAGGCACCATGCCCCTGTTCATAGCGCTGAACCAATATATCCACCATCATGTACTCAGCACTGATAAGTGCCTAAAAACCAGCTGACAGTGCCTTGAAGTCATGAGAATGAAAGCCTTCCAGCACCTGAGAGGGGGTCACCAAGACTAACTCCATGGCCTCTATGGCACGTTCATGGCAAAATGAGGCACAGACTGAGTTCATGGTCTCTATAGCAAGTTCAGGGCAGATTGAGGGGCTCGGCCATACCAGGCTGGAACGTTGGCTCTGAGCGTGTATCCAGCAGTATTGACAGCGCCATTAGGCTGGCAAGCACATCACAGCTGCAGCTGCGGGAGAGGAAGGGCAGCTCACCTTTCTGAGTTGGGGTACTGCATAGTGCACCGCGTTGAGGATGCGCACGTCGATCTGATAGCCCTCGTCCAGCAGAGGCAGCACGATCGCCCACACACAGCGCACCTGCAAAACAGTTTCCATGGTTGCTTTGTGACTTTGTTCACACTCTGAAAGCTATGCTCTCCTTACCAACAATGCATCTCGCCAACATCTTTTTGTCTGACTGCCATAGAGCTCGCTGTCATTTCCTTGAATTATCATGAGGCTCTCACGCAAGTGTGTCCTCACTGGAAGGGGCAGCACCAAAAACAGCGACAGCTTTCAAGAACGGGCAGATCAAGAGATCTGCAGGATTCATGCAACATTGCTACCACTTCCTGTTGACAAGTTTTTTAAGTGCGAGCACAACAGCCTCTTACATGCACTGTTTTTCAGATCTGCGGAGAAAGAGAGAGAGAGAGGTTCCACTTGACTTCGTTGGGTTGAGGGACTAGAAGAGGCCGAACTCGCGAGCCAATGAGAGCAACCTCTGTGCACTTTTCATTGAGGTGTGCAGAGAGAGAGAGGGACTCCGCTTGAATTGGGTGGCAATCATGGACTAGAAGAGGCCGCACCACTTTTGTCCCACTGCCCTTCTGCTTGCCAGCGAGGGGCGCCCAATGCATCAGGAAGGTGGTCACTTCCTCCAGAGTGAAGAAGGTCGGCCTGATCAGCCGCACCAGCTCCACCAGCTGCACAAACATCATATCATTAGATTATGCTTCAGGTCTGAAAGCTGCAGGTGTGTGTACATGCCGGCACATGCGCGAATTATGTGGCTCTGCGTAACTGCCTGGCAGTGAAGAAATGCGCGCGGTCTCAACTTGATCAACGTCATGACGCAGAACAAGGATTGTGTTGCAGATGCGACCTCTTTTCGGATGTCTTTCATCTTTATTCGGCCTTGGCCATTGGTGCAAGGGCAAGATCCTCAACACGAAATAACAGGTGCAGCCGAGCATCACGTAACCAGCTGACAATTTTTCTGGCAGCCAGGTTTTGGCCCACACAGTCAAATGCTCAACACACACCAACAAATGATGCTTCTTAGCAGAAGAGATGCAGCTCTTTTGTAAAATCTTAGGGCACAAGACTGCAGCCATGCATCTCAGACCTTCATTTCGATAATGTGGGGGCAGGAAAGATAATGTTCTGGAGAAGCACACCTGCTCCAGTATCGGGAAGAGCTTGTTCTCAATACTGCCCTCATCCGAAAACATGTTCAGCTTGGAGAGGCTCTGGCAAGGGGGACTCGCATGCAGCAGATGAACACTATCCTTCTTAGGCGGCACCCCCCATTTTGGCATCTCCCCTGTCTCCTGATACTTCCTCACCCCTGCACATCACATAATCACTGACACACCTCTTGCTGCGAGGTACCCAGGACATGTCCACTTTTGGACACGCTGTACCATCACCAAAGAATGGAGCGAACATGTTTCGAATGCCCCAAGCAGAGGCTTTACTGCATGCAGAAATGCTTGTGTGGTGGCGCTAGGCAAGCAGATGATGGCAAATGCAAGCAGCTGAGGTATTTACTCGCCTTCCACGAAAGCCTCCAGAGACATGAATTCGCCCAAGTCCATGTCCCCTCCACTGGTGTTGTCCAGGTAGGAGCCGAAGATCTCCTTGTCGTACTCGATGCCCACCTTGACCTGCAAAGACGTGATGTGATGATTGCAGAGCAGAAGCTGGCATGAGCCTCTCTGATTCATCAATAACTCAACTGCAGCAAGTCAGCTTTGACAAGCCCCCAAGCAGCAATGCCACTTTGATTTACTTGTGGAGATTGGGGCGGTACACAAGGGGTCTACGCATGCATGCATTACTTCCCAGACGTTGGGGCAGCAAGACAAGGAAATAGAGATCATATGTAACATGGAAAAAACCGAGCGCACATCGAAGCCGCGCTTTGCAGCAGTGGAGTTTCCCAGTGCTTGAGCCGCGCGGCGGACAGCCTCTGTCAGCAGCTGGGCCCCCTTTGAGCAATTGCCAGCGCCACAGAATGCATCCCACATTATCAGAGGACCCTGCATGCGCAGAGATGCACCAATATACTAATTTCGATGTCTATGCCGGAATGCCACATCTCTTGATTATTCACATGTCCAGTACAGCATCTTCATGCGTGTCAAGCCTGCCTTCAGCTTCAAATGCTATACTCTCTAACCTGTGCAGAAGTCCGGGTCCATACATGAAAGCATCAATGTGCATGTCATGCCTGTCATTATAATCTGATGTTCTCTCTCGGAAATGCTCACAAGGCCAGCTTTCATGCAGTGTACATTCTCTGTGCGTGGGAGATGCTTTGCATAGGGAACCTGACCAGCGTCTGCCAAGATGCACAGATGCAGGAATTGTTCTTTGCATGTGGCAGGCTGGTATAGAAATTGGAGACAGTCTAATGGAGCAACTATTTTTGAATGCAGACTTTAATGGGGGAAAGCTGTGCGCACCTCACAGCCCAAGGGATCCTCCTTGATGCCAGCATCGCGCTCAAGCCACTCTGTCTCGAAGCGCTTCACTGTGTGGTCGTACTGCATGCTGTAAAAAAATATCTCGGGGTGGTCCGGGTCCAAGGAGGCAGCCACCTCGCTCTCTGGCAGGGGCTGCCGGCAGGCCTGCATCAGACATTCAATTTGCATCACAACATTCAGTGAACAAGTTTGTTTTTCCCTTTTTTCCAAGAGGTCTAATTCACATGAGCCATGTCGATATCCCAGATCTTGCATATCGCGCTCATGCCCATTACATACGCAATAATGGAATTGTCTGACAGGCTTTGATGGCCTGTGCGCAGGGAGAAGCGTTTTGGCAATACAGAAAGGAGAGCTGCTGACCTGCAGCTCTTCTGGCGTCAGCACAGACCGGTGCTTGACCACACAGGGCGCCCCCACGTGCGTCCAGCTCAGCACATCATTCCATGCCCTTCCCTCATTGTCTGCGCCATAAGAAACATTCTCAGACCAAAGGCATGCATCATGCATTTAAGCACCCAACAAGACACAGTCACATGCACATAGCAATCCCTTCATGTGGACATCGCGTGCTCTCCTTACGGTGCACAGCGTGCTTCCAAGCATGGAATACTCCGGACATAGAGACAGAGGATGAGACATCATGCACAGCGTCACAGCACAAATGAAGAGAAGAGAGATGCTAGAACATACAAGGCAGTGCGAGCGCCAGGGAGAAAGGGCCGCATCGTGGTTGTATACGCAGTGCTAGTGACACAAAAAACTACCTCGGGTCCAGGAGCACGAAAAATACAGGGGCAGGGTCGGTTGGAACACGACTAAGGAAGGGGTTGGTCATGATGACTCACGGCCGCTAACGTGGCGGACCCCGTCTTCGCAGTCGTCCTTCTGCCAGAACACCTGGCGCGGGAACTGCACAGAGACTTTTGGGAAGTCCAGCAATTTCAGGTCCACCACATCCGCTGGGAACCACCCATAGCGCACTGCCAGCCCTGCCTCGCCATGCGGATCCTGCATGGCAACAGCGCGCACCTGTTCATGTCCTGGACTCTACAAAAATCAGACATCCAGGCAGAGCGAGCGCCAGAAGATAGAAAAAAGGGCTGCCTCGCAAGCGCATGTCATTCAACAGCAATACAGTGACTTTGAGTACTTGAGTACTTTGAATACTACCGTTTAAATTTGCAATCAATTATGTCGTTTTAAAGCAATGATGCCCACATTGACTGCGCTTGAAGAGGAAATTTATGTAGTCAGGGGACTCTAAAGTAAGTTAGTTTAGAGTCCCCTGATGTAGTAACATTGGGGGGGCTGGCATATTATGCCAGCCCCCACTATGAGCTTAAGCTTGTCCACCTGAGGCGCCTGCTTGATATGCATGTCACCGAGCTTTACTAGAGCACCTCTGCATGCATAGCTAGACAGATATTGAGCATAGAGTGATGCCACATGAACCCAGGACTTGCATCACCCTATACCTCAAGTCTGTTAAAGCCATGCATGCAGAAATCGGTGACTCCAGCACTCGGAAAACACAAAACACACAACTGCGTGGGGTATCAACCTTCAAAGCAGAGGAAGTAAGAGGGCACTGACGGCGGTAAGAGGTGCACCTCCAGAACTTCCAAGACTTGCGCAACGCCTATGCCGCATTTTGTGTTGATTTTGGCCAGGATCATGGAATCCTTGGAGAGCCTTATGCAAGTATCTGGCAGCTCGTCGTCTATCCAGAACTCCATGCCGTCGTGCTGCCTCCATCCCTCCTTCTTCTCACTGCGCGCCCACCAACACACCGGTTATTTTCTCAAATGTCACGCAAGCAGGCAGGATTGGCTCATACATGACAGCTGATGTCGCAAGCCTCTTCCTTTCAAGCTTCAGATGACCTGTACAGTAGGTGGGACACCGTATTACATGACATGCAAAGCAGGACTGCTTGAAGACCCTCCTGTGTTGATATTTGGGTACTTCTAGATCACTTATCAAGAGTAATGGCACTTCCAGCAGCTCTTACTTCTCTATGTGGCATGCTTCATGCTTTATACCACAGCAGCAGAAGAAGAACCTCTTGGAATGCACACTTTTCATGAAGCCAACAAGTGCATCATGCACTGCTCTGCAAAGCACCACCCTCCGCTCCATTATATGGGGAAAGTGACTGGCAGCGTGAGGGGCTTGCCTGGGCCGAGAGCCTCCAAGGAAGCTGACGCGGTGGGACTGACGCAGCGCTGCTCGCGTCTTCAGGGTGACCTGTGACGGTCTCTCTTCTGTCTCAACCTCAGCGCCATAATATTGCATGGAGCCCAGGCATGACTCATCCTCTGCCATAACCTCATCTCCTCTCCCCTTGCCACCTGGCCCCTCGGTCTTCACCCGTTTTCTGGTAGAGTCCGGCGACACGCTCTGCCTGTGAGGGGACGAGGCACCAAGTTCAGAGGGCAGATTCGACACGCAGATGCCCGCAGCGTGCAGGTGGCCCATGCAAAGCAGCAGTGGTCACTGATCTAGAGCACAAGGGTGAGTTCAGGCACATCTCAGCATATTCCTCAGAAATGCAATGCAGAATTAAATCTCCATATCTCTAAAAGAGAAATAATTAAATCTCCTATCTGCTGGCTGTCAAGCAGGAGAGACGCTCATTGGAAGATGGCAGCATACCCTTTGTCGACCCGGCGCTCCAGATGCAAGAGATTCAGACTCCCCGCCACTGGCCTGCCTTTGCGTTCATGGTTCTTCCGTTTTGCGGTGCCTGAAGGCGTTAAATCCTTGCTGGCTTCCAGCTTGACACCTGCTGCGGCTGTCGCTGCTACCGTTTCGGTCGGCGGTGTAAGCGTCGGATCCCGACGGGCTTCATCGTTCTCGTCGTCCGTATCAGCCGTAAGATCAATAACTTCTCGTTGCATGTCAGGTTCCATAATGCCAGGTCTCCTGAGCAAAACAAACATCAATCGTACGTTTACTAGGAGGGCGGTGAACCATTTTGTTCTCTGAAGGCGGTCATAACATCCGATCTGAAATGAGATTAGCTGAATTTTGCCTCCTGTCCAGCGTTGGCATCGACCACCAAGATTCATGACTGCTCAGAGAGGTCAACAAGGTTGCGAACAGGATGGTTTCAGCTCCGCAACATTTGGGCCTCTTCGTGACCCACCTGTCGTGACGCTCACATATCATAGATGAATTAAATCAAAAGGATGCATTTTGCAACCGTGCAAGCTCCCTGGTTCCCCGGCAACACGGATATCCTTCGACCTCCCAGATCAGGTCACAGCCCGGCTGCCCCCTTCTCATACAATAGCGTTCCAGTCGCCCCGAAAAAGTTTCCCGAAGTCATGCGATGTGTCAATCACATATGTCTGGCATCGCTGCAGGTGGGAGCGCGTGCTTTGATTGAAGAGCGCAGCGTAGGGCTTGATGATAGGTTTATTATTTTCTGCTTTTATAAAGGGTCGCTCCAAATTAGAATAGAAGATTACAGAGATTGTTCCAACCCTTTTCTCCTGGCTGTGGATAAGCTGAGATTTGCACCCAACAAATCTCTCTCTTGCATTCCAGCAGTAAATTCAGGCTCTGTCTGCTCGCGATTCGACGCAATGGCTGCCACCATGTCCGCACAGAAGTCCTTCCTGGGCAGCCAGGTCGAGTCCAAGGCCACCAGGTACGACAGCATTCTCCACGAGCCCAGAATCAAAATGAGAATTTGGAGGACATCATCAGAGTCAGATGGATACGTGCAATGCTTTTGGGCATCGAAATGGTTGCATAGGGCAGCAGGTCGCAAAATAGCACGCGGGTCGGGGAGCGCGCTGTCCCGCTTGTCGTGGCTGGCCTCAGCACTCGGATCACAGCGCAGTCAGCGCAGCAATTTGGATGCACGCTCAAGTGCACAGGATTCCAACTGTTTGTGGATCTGGGTATTCGCCGCAAGGAATGCCATCCCTGATTGCACAGGCGTGTAGCGCCAGGCTCACTGGTGATGGAAGGTTCCAAGTTAGCCTCTTGCTCTGTGCAGGAGCCGTGGACCCGTTGCTCGCAATGTCATTACCGCCAACAGCAAGAAGACCGACATCAAGAAGCAGGGTCTTGAGTCCATCAAGGACCCCGTCGTGAAGGCCAACCTGATGGGCATCTCCCGCAAGATGTCTGACAAGAACTGGACTGACTCCCAGGGACGCAAGGGCAAGGTATTTATTTTCTGAAATTCTCTGCACACGGCTACCGATTCCTGTCAATCACTGCTCCTAATAGCTTGTTGTTGCTGCAAGCACCTGCTCTCTGCTTTTTTGCTCCCTGCCAGAGCAGTGACCAAGGCTGTTGTTTTGACCCGGTCAGCACCGCTGAGCTTGCAGCTGAATAGCGAGTTGCACGAATCGAGATTATGTCGCAATGCAGGGCTTCGGCGTGTACCGTTTCGCCAGCAAGTACGGTGCCAACGTGGATGGCTACTCGCCAATTTACACCCCGGACGTGTGGGCAGAGACCGGTGACTCATACAGCCTGGGAACCAAGGGCCTCCTCGCATGGTGCGTCCTTGTTCTTCTGTACCATTAAGCAAGTACAAGTCTGCAGACGTGCCCTTCTTTCTCCTGCACTCCTGCCCATGTTCTGTTGACATGCATAGCGCTACAGCAGGTTTGCTTTGTGCTAGGCACCATGCGCGGTGCCTTGAATCTTGGCTGAGGTTGGCGGTGAACTGGGGAGCAAGCAGGACTCCATCATCTGCCGAGTCATTCCACTTCTTTGTCGGGTGCAAGCTGGCAGACAAGGAGGATCTTGTGAACCTGACAGGCTGATCAGCCGTGAAGGCATTTCCATGACCCCAACAACAATCGAATTTAATCAAATTTGAATTTGCAGGGCTGGCCTGGTGACTGTGCTCCTGGCTGTGGGCGCCACCCTCATCTACTCCACTAGCCAGCTGGGCCAGTGAGTCATGCGCTGCATCAGCAGGGCAGGGCATAGCGTAGCTTGATAGGACGAGAAGATAAAGGGTGGAGGGATGCGAATTCGCATTTACATTGTCGTTGCAGCATTGATACCAGTCTCTGTGTCGTGACCCTTGTACCATCATGAGTGCCCCGGCGCTCCCGGCATTTTTTGAGGAGGCAGACTGTGGATGGCAACACACATGTAATTGAGTTCTGTGCTACCGCTTTAGCCGATGTCTACCTGATATGCAGTCCCGAAAGCACTACAAGACCCCTCCGATCACTCCTTTCAAGAGCATGCGGCCTGAGTATAGCGCCTCCCATGACGAGTCATGCTATAGTAGCTGCATGGATGTACATTGGATTCGTCTGTCATCTGAAGCATCAGTGAGGTGACAGCTTTTACATCAAAAGCATCTCATGGAAGCTCTCATCTCTTGGAGCATAAGTGAAGCAGCATGGCACCGCTCGGGACTCGGGAAACAGGTCCATCGCGCTCATCGGCAGCTGGGTCACAACAGTTGGTCGTGGAGCTTGGCAGCTGGATTGCTAAGGAATCGATATTTTTATTATTAGTACACGCTTTTCCTGCCAAGAGCCACTTGCACACACCGGTTGGGTACACGCTGCAGGGTAGCTTTGCCAGAAGGTCACATTGTGTATACAGGGACACCGCGGCACTTGTTTTTCCAGTTATGAGACCAGCCGCGCCCTGGCACCATATGGATGCGGTGTCTGTAGCCTCTGCAACGCATCCAAGAAATGGGCATCGCTCCTGCCAAATGCTACAACGCATGCTTGACTGCGACCATGGTGAAGTGACGGGGGGTGCTCTCTGCTTGCAGAACGGTGTCAAAGCCGGCCTGCTGCAGCTCGGCAAGCAGGTCCAGGGAGATGTACTCCATGAGCCAGGGCTCTGTGCTCTTGAACGCCGCGTACGCGAACGGGTTCTTAAACACCCTCTGGAAGCCGGGCGAAGCTGGGTTCATCTCCTGCAGCGGCGAGCACCCTGAGATTTACTGCGGAGCTTTGCTCGACTTCCGGTATCGTCTGGAAGTTTGACTTCCGAGGCATATGGTATAGCACTACATCAGAAGGGGTGAAGGTCCTGCCAAGTGCAACACAGCTGCGCACCAAAGCACCCAAAAAGCAAAGCACCTGGAATGTGACCGGCAAAACAGGCCGGAGCATGATGGGTCTTATGAGCTGCCCAAATAATACCTTTGAGGGCCCAGAATTCAAATTCAGATAATAATGCATGCATGGGAAATAATGAAGGGAGAGAGGGGAATACCATGATCGCAAACGTGCCGCCCGGCCGCAGCACGCGGTGCGCCTCGGCGATTATGTTTTTGGTGGCTGCCCGCGGCAGCTCGTGCATGACTAAGCAGCATGACACCAGGTCCACGGTCTCCGACGGCAACCCTGTCGCCTCCCCAGCCGCATGCACAAACCTGCACCATTATAAGCACAAATGGCTCATTCTTTCAATGTCCATATCTTGCACAGCACATAAGGAAAACATCCTCACAGCTTTATAATTCTCTCTCTTCTTAAAATATCTTCTGTGAGCATAATAAATGCAGCCTAGAGCACAGAGTGTAGAGCACGTTTTTTTATGGTAGAGTATTAGCAGGACACAGGGAGCGGACCTGACGGGCTCAGAAGCGCCGGATTCGGCTTCTCTCTGCTTCTGCAGGTGCCGAGCAACTGCCAGGAAGTGGGGCGAGAGGTCCAACGCTGTAAACTGAGCATCAGGGAATGCACTCCGCAGCTCCAAAGTGGATAGACCTGCAACCCAGAGGCAGCACTTGACGTGCAGTACATAGATCCCCAATCCTATGACTTTGATAGTCTGAGGCGACTTTACTAATAACTGGCAGCTTTCAGGCATTCATGAAGAGGCATGCCTCCCAAGGTGCTCAAGCCATTTCATCATCACCTGGAAAGGTTTCTACCTTTGCACGGCGCAGGTCTAGCTGCCTGAGACATGTAAGCTAATTATCAAGAATTGCAGCATTGACGTCTGCATTTACAGTGAGTTTGAGCAGGCCGGCACAGCAAAATTTGAGTAAGAGAAGCCCCACCGGTGGCACATCCGATGTCTACTGCATTTTTCACCCGCCGCGAGGCACCGGCGCGTTCCATGAGCCGCAGCATGTTGGCGGTGTAGCTGCCGCGCAGCTGCGCGTCACCTTCCGGGTCCAGCAGCTTCCCCTCAGGGTCCATCACCGGCGCATGCACCGACTTGGCCGCCGCATTCACCTGCGCAGGTCATTTTCAAGGGCTGATCTCTTGGTCTTGTACGTAAAGGAACAGACACAACACAGCACAGCGCTGCATGGCTTTGTGAGTAGAAGTACTTGGGAGGTTGATCAGAGGGTTCTAGCCTCTCTTGATTCAGCTTTAACCCTCCAATTCCAACTCGAAGCACCTACTGTACAGTGGGGCGGCGAAGGTGCCGAGTTTGGACGAGTGCACTTTGATCTGCGGATTTGTGCATTGCAGACTGTCACTACGAACTATGGAGGAGCGCATGACATATTGCCTTGCATTGACAGTTCAGCTACGGTATAGCATTGAACCCTTCCTAGAATCTTCATCTTGGGAAAAGGCGATGGCCACCTGCAGAGCGGCTTCCCAGCAGAGGTTGCCCTGCGCGTATGCGTGGAAGGGCTGAGTGTAGTAATCCGGGTACGCCAGGTCAGCATCCCGGACCCCCCGCATCTCCCACTCCCAGTCGGTCCCCCCTCTCAGCGCTGCCACCTCACCCTCGAAATCTACCCCTATCTCCCGGCCCCTCTGCGCAATCTTCTCCCGGGCCTGTGACATTCCATGCACAAACTTGAACAGTCAACTTAGTGTACTCGTTGACTAAGGCAGGTCGCATGCAACCCAATACACGTGTCAGCATAGGCTTCATCAGTGAGTCAACTTAGCGCACTCGCTGACTAAGGCAAGTGGCTCATTTAAAAATCTGATGCTCCTGGCCCGGGGGATAAATGTAGCATTGGCTGCAAGTTGTGAACTTGCAATTGCAAGGCAGCCCTTCCTGTTGGTGCTCTGCCTTGATGAATGCAGTTCTGTTCCTGTTCATGGACAATTTTGGGAACATGTGCATGTTTGACAGATTCTGAGAGCCGCTGCGATGTGCATTGCCTAAGTTACGGAAGTCTGGCCACCAAGCCTGTCATCACTTATGCTGTGTTTTGAGCTGGACTGTGACTCAGTAGTCGATGGTATTTCTCACTTATGGTTGGGGATGGTTGGGGAATACCTGGGACACGGCAAAGTTGAAGAAGGGTGGGAATTTGAACAGGGTTTCCACTGCCCTGAAGAGCATCTCATTGCTGCTCTGTGAGGCTGGCAGTGCAGCTGGTGACTGTGCGCTGTATTGCCATCTCCTTGCTATTTGGCGCCTGCCTTGCTGCTGCACGCTTCTGACCGGCTGCACATACAGCATGCTTTATCATGTATTGTCATGCTTGCGTGTCAGCAGCGTTGAGTTGATAAGAGTACACCGCTGAGTAACAGTGGAAAAGCTCACCCTGAATTCTCGCTCCTGCAGCCTGCAGCTCCTCAGGCATTGCGCACGCCACGAAGATTCAAGCAATTGCGAAGTAGATGTCATGTCAATCTAGAATATCTTTTCAGCCAAGTCTCGGAGACTTCTTGCAACCAAGATCAGACGAGATCAACAAAAACTTTCCACGTTGCAAAATGTCGTTTTCCTTGCGCAGATGTTTGTTGTACCTATGGCAGCTTGACATTGTCTTATATCAATCCTCTATTTGATCTGATCCTGGGCTCCGATTCTCTTGCGGAGGAGAAGAGGCAAACCCTTCCCATAACCTAACTCCGAGAGCACAAGTTCGGCAGGTCAAACGAGATCATTCATGCTGCAAGGTCTTGTCTCTTCCTGTACTCACACATGGGATCCTGGAAACATGAAGGTCAATCCGTTGAACATCCCCAACAGCAGTCCGCCTCCCTGCCATCCACAATTAAGGAGTTCATCACATACCCTAGTTCCGCTACGCAGCGGTTCTCGACGATGCAGGTCACTTTTCAGCTGTAAAGCGGAGATAAAGCAGCATAGCTCAATTCAGGGATCGTCTGCGGAGATAGGTTCGACACACTCCAACATAAAACCCCTTGATGCCACCTTGAATCCTGATAATTCTAAGACAGTAAGAGAGAGATATTCTGCCCTTATATGCAATCGATTAATCGTCAATCACAGTCCCTTTGCACAAATCGTGTGAAAGATCTGCTCTTTCGTTTTTACTTTGTGCGTTCTCGATAGATCGTGCTTGCCCTGGACGTGCCAACGACGTATTGAGCCTGCGATGCAGAGGCGGACGACATCCTGGATGTGAAAACACTGAGGGACCAGCTTACACCCAGGTACTCCTTTAGTTGCAAGAGTTTGTAGTAGCTGGCAGCATGGCAGACCTCTGCAAGCTCATCAGCAAGCACGCCGTCAATGCCAGTCATCTACTGTTATGCTATATGGAGAATATCAAGGAGATCATTGCCGTGATGCTGCAGGGACTCTCCTTTTGTAAGGGACAACAATTCCGGAGGTGGCTTTGGTGAGACCTTCTGCTGCATCCCATCCCTCGAGCGCTCAATGACAAATTTTCTGCACAGCTAGTCATTGACACATGTCTATGCACCGCAGTGGGAGACAAGGATTTGGTGGCTTTGGAGGTGTCGCGCTATGAGAGCGATGAATCGTCAGGTACGCTGAAGGCCCAGTCCGTCAAGCAATGCATGCATGCAGAGAAGTCGATGCGCAGCCCCGCTTTGTGCTGTACACGGTGCTGTGTCAAGTTTCATGCATGCCTTCCTAATATATTCTAATATATTCTAAGAACACCATCACTGGCATCTGTACTGTCATTGACTGGTACTTCTGCCTTGGGATTGGAGCTGCGATGCACTGCAGCATAGCCGCCCACATGTGCCCTCTGTTTCCTGCCCTAGAGAGATAAATCCCTGGAATTCTGTGGCAGGAGCGGGGTGTGTGGGCATCTACAACTCGATGGACGGCACTTGCATGCCGCTGCCTCCCTGGGCGCGCCGCTCTGGCCCCAGAAAGACCATCTACCACGACCCCCAAACGGTGTGCTTCTAACTCTGCTTCAATGCAATTCATGCTCAATCTTTGCAGGAAAAGTCTCTTATCCCGGAACTTCCAGAGAGGCTGTGACATCGTCTTGCAAACTTCTGTGTCAGCATGTTTGTAGTCTGTGAAGACCATCTACCACGATCCCCTAATGGTGCGCATTTTGCGCTGCTGCAAGGCATTTCAGGCTCCAGAATCCCTTTTCTGAAAGTGTCTTCAACCCTTGAACTTCCACTTTTCTTCTGGAACTGTGTAGCACTGTGAAAGGCTGAGTTTCCTCAGTTCAGGCACGGACCTTAAAAATTTGGATTTCTGCCTGAACTCACGGGGAATGAGAGTCCTGTATCTTACCCAGATAAACTGAGAATTTGTTCTCCAAAACTGCTTTTGTCAGAGTGTGAATAGTCTGTCTATAGAGTTGACAGCCAAGCTGGGTCTTTTTCCTTGTGCCAGACATGCAGGGCCCCTGCCAACACTAGTCTATCACCCGCATGCAGGCGCTCAGTGAGATTAATTTGTCTGCATGCATGCATGCATGCTTGTGCTACGGTTAAGAGCCTGGTATTTGGGGAATGCAGGTCACGGCGGCTGTGGTGACATGCGGAGGGCTGTGCCCAGGGCTGAATGATGTCATCCAGAACATTGTAAGCACTCTCGGCAACATATAGACCATGAGTCACTTGCCCATGTGATCGCCCTCAACCTCGTCATTGTCATATGAGATAACAAGGAAGGCAATGGGCCAGCTGTGTTGACGTGTGAGCTGCCTCTGTCTGTGCAGGTGTTCACGCTGCTGGATTACGGGGTCCAGGAAGATGCGGTGCGTTCCCTCTTCATCATTTAGATTTCATCTGAATTTTTCCCTGAGTGCTTTAGCTGCAGTGCTTTAGCTGCAGTGCTTCGCCATGCTGTGGAGTGCCGCTTTGCGATTTATTTTCTGAAAAATTGCGCCTTTCCTTGCTGCACAAACACCACATTAGATGCCATTACTCATTGTGCAGCTGCTGTGCAAGATGAGGCATGTTATGTTCCGCGCATGCACTCAGCGTGACGGGTGCATGCATGCAGATTTACGGGATCAAGTACGGGCTGCGCGGATTCTACGACCGCAATGCGAAGCCCGTAGAGCTGAACGCGCGCACAGTGGAAGGCATCCATCTCAGAGGGGGAACCATCCTGGTCAGCTTCTCTCAGAAATGCCTTTGCACTATTCCATAATTTTCTGCTGTACTGCCATTGCACTCCTCTCTGGATGTCTGCTGTACAAGCGCAAAAATCACACCAAGGCAATACGCAAGGACGCACAAGGCATTGCAAGGACTTCTATTTCCAGCAATGTACATCTCTGAGGATATGATCATGCGAAAGGCACAGCAGCAAATTTACCCTGCCCAATTATCTGTATGTCCTCCAGGGATTGATATCCTCGTGCTTTCTTTTCATGTGCCCTCGTTCATCTGAGTTGCAGCCACCTCTGCAGTGCACTGCATGCAGGCAGCAGAGTAGATGGACTTGTCAGCCCATTGTGCATTTTGCAACTCCCGTGCGACAGAGTGCCAACTGGATTACCTCATTTTGACACCACCTGCTGGCAACCTGCGTAGGGCACATCGAGAGGGGGAGCAGATGTGAAGGAAATCGTGCGGCGGCTGTCTCTGTGGGGAGTCAACATGCTATTCGTCGGTGCGCCAACCTTCGCTGTTCCTGCACAGCTTCCTTCTCCATACCTGCTACACTTACCCACCTTGTCAACAAGCCCTATACCTCATCGCCTCAGTGGTACGATGACTGACCATCGGACCAGGTCATCGGATGGTGACCGATTCATTCACCATCGGAAATGGTGGCGATCCTGAGTGGCTCTTACCAGAGCTTTCACGCATTTGCAATGCAGGGGCACTTGTATAAGTGGCCACTGAGGCACCTGGCAGCATCAGCATCAGCAGCGCTGTGCTGAACTGAACAACAGCATCAGTTTGGTTGCATAACTCGTATCTGATGCATAATGTTGTCTGCTCTCTCTACCGGAAATTTGCACTGCCCGAATTTAAACTTGATTTTGTTTGATGAAAGCTGACTGCATTTGCACAAGTCTGGGCGTCACATGATGCCTAGATTGTGTGATTCTGAGGCACCCTCCCACCCATGCATACAAACTACTGTAGCTTGGACATTCATGCTTTGGCACAAACATCTCTGTGACTACCTGGTCACGCCCAAGGATTTATGAGGGTGTCTGCATGGTTTTGATGTCATGACAGCTGCTGACTGGATTGTGACTATGACCTGACTAATGCAGTGGGAGGGAACGGCGGCAACGCAGCCGCGAATGCAATCCAGGAGGAGTGCGAAGCGAAGAATGTGGTGTGTACTGTCGTCGGCGTCCCAAAATCCATCGACAATGACATCCTGCTGGTGTGCTCTTGTGCCGCTATCTCGATCGCCCTTTCCACTATGCCGGGGCATCCCTTATCGTATTTTATGCTGTCATCCCCTTTGCCAGCTCAGATTAAGCAAGTGGCACAATAAGCAACGTGGCACCAAGAGCCATGCAGTGTGGAACTTTCAGTTTCAGAGCAGAATAAAAAGTGCCGCAGAAGTCACAGACTGACGCAGCACAGGGCAGACTGAACACTCTTCAGGGCTTTATCGAAACAGCTCATGATCATCAATAGTTGCTTTGATGGCGCGGGAACGGACAAGTGCACCTGCTGTGTCCTCAACATGGCACAAGACATGGTGCTGCGCGTCATGCTAGGTTGGAAGGGTGTCCATTCAAATCCAGGCAGCTCATGCCGCCCACTTATTTGTGCACGCGCAGATCGATGAGGGCCTTTGCTGTGTCCCCAGGGTGACGTTAGACCCACCACGGCAGGTTCGAAACTCCTAGGGTCTCTATCAAGGCATTGACGACAACTATCATCTTTTGCATGCGCGCAGATCGACAAGTGCTTTGGGTTTGACACGGCCGTGGAGGAGGCGCAGCACGCGCTGCTGGCAGCCAAGGTGGAAGCTTCCAGCGCCTCCAACGGCGTCGGCCTCGTGCGACTCATGGGCCGCCAGTCCGGCTTCATCGCCATGCAAGCCTCCATGGCCTCAGGTGGGTGGCTTTTGCTGTGTATCACAGATTCTTCAATCTTGAATCCTCTTTCAAGGGCTGCTGGTTCAAATTCACGGCCGGAATTGTGACCCTCTGATGACATTCCGCCCCTGATCATGAGACCCTGAATACCTGTCAGTCGGGCTTTATCGCCATGCAAGCCTCCATGGCCTCAGGTGGGTGGCTTTCGCTGTGTATCACAGATTCTTCAATTTGACATCCTCGGTCAAGGGCCGCTGGTTCAAATTCTCGGCCGGAATTAACACCCTCAGACATTCCGCCCCTAATCTTGAGACTCTGAATACCTGGCAGTCAGGCTTCATTGCCATGCAAGCCTCCATGGCCTCACGTGGGATTTTGTGACACCTGATTTATGACCCCTGGTTTAGAAGTCTTTTCCACATAAATCTTTGTATTAATCAACCGGTTGAGTCAGAGTCCCCTGCATCATGGGCAGCTGTTATGGCAACATCGCCATGCAGGCCCCCATGGCCTCAGTGGATTACATATACATTATTAAATATACATATCGAGAAAGCCTCCTGGAGGGTAGAGAAATGCAACCCTGACACACAGCAGGTTCTGAGGGTGAATTGGATAGAGACTTGAGGGTGCAGCAATTGCCTGTAGAATGTGGCAGAATGTTCTTGCCCTGGAGCTCAGAGGCAGAGTGAATGCCAGGAGGCTTCATGTAGAGCAAGCTCATACATCTGCGGCACCTGCTGCGTGTGCCGCATCTGTGAAAGTGAATGAGAAAGCATTGAAGAAAGCCAAGCCATGCGCAGGCGTGGTGGACATCTGCCTGATCCCGGAGATAGAGTTCTGCGAGGAGAAGCTGATGGCCAGCATCCAGGCGATCATCAACCGCAAAGGGCACGCCGTCGTGTGCGTGGCCGAAGGCGCCGGCCAGACTCTGCTGGAGACCAAATGCCACGCCACCGACGCCAGCGGCAATCCAATTCTGGCGGACATCGGGATCTTCCTGCGCGACCGCATCAAGGCCTTGATCAAGGTGAGGGCTGGGAAAACACATCAAACCACCAAGCAGAGTCAGACTTGCTGTATGCAAACTTCATGATGTGCAGGCCCAATGTCGCATGCTAGTGTCATGGAGGCATATGAAGAAGTAGAATTAAGAAGTAGGATTATGAATCTGAGTCTTATTTTAGACACAATGCCCTGATGTAGCAGCAAACTTGCTAGTCCAGCAGCACCGCTCACAGCCATTCCCAGTCTGCGAAATACAGACCGTCCCAAGTTGAAAGCTACTGCAGGAGCAGGTTTGCGAGGCAGAGCAAGCTTGCCATTATGTTAGCTTTCCGACTTTTCAACAGAGGCAGTTATATTTATTGTCTGTGCTGTTGCTCAGGGAGCGGACGTGAAGCTGATAGATCCCTCCTACCTCATCAGGGCAGTCCCAACCAATCCCAATGACCGCATCTATTGCAAGGTAGGCGAGCCCCAAAAGCATCCTCCTGACAGGGTGCTGAGCTTGGATTTGAACTTTTGAACCACCATCAAGACATAGTAAGCCCAGATTATGACCGCATGAGGGATGCTGCCAAACTCCAGTGTATAGAAATCTGACTTTTTGGCCACAGCTGGCGGTGGGCGGTACAAATTGGTTGCACCGTGCCCATGGCCAATTGGGTCTTGCTTGGATCTGGCAAGTCTAATAACGGGCAGGATTTTGGCAGCCATGCTATTGCAGCTTGTCTGCGTACGCACCTTGCCTTTGGCAGGAAAAGTGTGCAATAATTATAATAACAACATGCCGCATGTCTGCAGACGCACCTTGCCTCTGGCAGGAACAGCGTGTTATAGTAATGATTGTCAGGGACGCTGAAAAAATTCGATGCAAAGGGATCTGACGGCGGGGCAATGTAAAATGCAGATCTTGGGCCAAGGTGCCGTCCACGGAGCGTTTGCCGGCTTCACAGGTTTCACTGTGGGCCTCGTCAATACTCACTATGTCTACCTCCCAATCCCAGTTATCATCCAGGTGGGTGTTTCTCTTTTGATGTCCATTCTTATTTTTCGGAGCCATTTTGGACCATAGAATAGAGCTTTTTTTGGGGTTAGTGTTGGCGGATGGTGTTTCAGAAGCAGAGGCACGTGCCTCAACAGCAAATTATTTGCGTGTGAGGCTTGCTCTTGGCAGAAGTTTTCCGGGGTGGCCTTGATACGAATTAACAATGGGCATGCCAAGTAATGAAGCTGGAATATGCAGAGGTGTGTTTGGATATTCATATGTGTGCATTGGATGCAGGCGGCTCGCACAGTGGATCCAAAGGGAAGGAACTGGAATCGGCTGAAGACCGCCATCAACCAGCAGGATCTTGAGTGAGCCCTGTTTGGGTGTGAGAAAAAACAAGGATTTCGAAATGCCAGCATCAAGTATTGGGCCTCTGGGTGGCTGAATTTTTTGGGCAGGAACCTTGTACCATATATGGCCGCTAAGCGCTGCTGGGTCCATGCTCCCAGTGATACACGACATACCAGCAGTGCACTGCGAAAAGAGCATTGTTTGTGGAGGTGAATGATAGAGGCAGTTCGGTGCACGATGCACGGAACGAAACGAGGTCTTTGAGGACGGATGGGTGGCAGAAGCTGCTTTTGGTCACCAAATTCTTTGAACCTGGTAGATGATATTTGTCTTGCTGCTGAATTTGTTACTTCGACTTTCGTACATCATCGCAGGATCGAGAAGGAATTGTGCAAGCAGTAAATCTCGTAGCTGCAATAACCTTCCGCTTGTGGGGGCGTTATTTAGTAACGTGACCATCCCAAGCTGGACGGTCATTCCCTCTCTATTATGATTGTGATGAAGGAGAAGAACTTTGTGAACTACATAACTCACGACATTTTCAACAGTTCCTTTCGCAAGCTGGAAACTGGGTAGACTCCCTCGTCGATACTGCTGAAATGGGCTCGAGACGATGAAGGCGACGCCTGCTGGTGTCAGCTATGTCATCGTCGCTCTTGTCTGTCTATGCTGCACGTTATGTTCTCTTTTAAGCTTGAAAAATCAAGCAAATGAATGGGAGACCGATTCGTCCGCGGACTTCCTCGAGGCAACTCACAGGGACCTCTTACAGCAGAAGAAACCCGCACCTGCACAAGTATGCACGCAGACAGAATACTTCTGCGGGGCTGGAGACGTGTTTCTGGGCAACTCACACAGCGCCCTCAACAAGGCTGGCAACTGCGTCTTCGACAAAGGTAGCCACTGGCGAGACATCCCCACCATCTTGGTGTATGCTTTAATTTTCAGCAGTCTCGACCAACTACCGATGCCTGTACTCGATCCCATACTATTCAAGATCTGTCATATTATCCCCCACTAGCTTCCAAAACGGGGCATCATAGTTTTCCTTAAGCTAAAGAGAGCTTTGTGTTTTCGTCACAGACCTTCAGCTGTGGGTGTGCGGGGACTATGCAATCACAGACAGCGCGTACCAGCTGCATTTGGAGTACAACGCCACCTGTCAGCCGGCATGCATGGACAGCTCCAGCAGCCTCAGCCTGCCCACCCAGTACTACTGGGCGCCCTCTGACTGGGGCGCCTGTTCGGCGGCGTGCGACGGCGGCGTCCAGACTCGCACCGTCGCCTGCATGAACTCCCTCGATGGCTCGTGAGTACCTCGGCCCGTACCTTAGCTTCCACTGGGACCCTGGCACAACTTTTCTCTCTCCCTGGTGCAAGGTGCCGTTGGAAACTGGTTTTGAGCACGCCTTACAGCTGGAAAAGCGGCTGCCAGAGCTCAAAGGAGCAGAAAAGTGGGCGGGCCTTATATTGAATGGGCGTTTGGTCTCTGGTGAAGCATGTTGTACCATGCCCTGCGTCAGATTCCCAAATCAGTACAGCTCTTCCACTGGCACAAGACAACACATTTGCAGGATTGTGCTCAGCATTTCGGCGACAGGAGCAGGAATCATGGGGCCCTCGGTTGGAGACCTGAATATTCGTAGCTTTTGTGCCACCTGAGTCCTCTTGGGTTGTTTTGGGCCTTCGCGCCGTACCTACACATCAGGAGATTCCATGCCTACTTCACCTGATCCATTGCACACAACACCAGAAAAATTATGCCATATATGATGGCAGATGGCTTGCGATTGCTGTTCAAAGCATGCGGGGAATGTGTTGGCCATGAAGCCTATCTGACTGGCAGAGCCTGGAGCAGCATGAATCACCGTTGCCTAGAAGTGCTCTGGCTTCACTCTGAGATTTTTCCTGTTGCGCTGTGCAGGCAAGCGGGCAACGTGCTGTGCGATGCATCGGCCAAGCCGGGAAACCGGCGGCCGTGCAACGCGACCAGCTGCGCGGTAGCTGCGCGGCAGCTGCGCCTCAGCTTCACGCCCTGGGGCACCTGTGAGGCGGCGTGCGGCGAGGGCTACAATGGCCGATCCGCCATCTGCGCCAACGCCGATGGCATCGCCGCAGACCCGACTGCCTGCCCCGGCTACAGCGGTGCGCGCCTGTGACACCATTTAGGCATGGTAGGAGGCTTATAACAGTGAGGCTTGAAAAGTTTCAGTGAGGAAGAAAGCGGCAGAGACATCATTCTCTCAATCAAGTTATAAAGATAGTTCTAGCGTAGCTAGAGTATCAGCAGACCGGGCCTGCCTTGCAGGATCGCCTCAGAGTGCTTCTAGCCACAGGTGAATAGCCCTGGACTGGGCCCTGTGTCAACTTGAGCTATGGTCTTTATGCGTGCAGAGTGATCATGTGCCAGGCAGGCACACTCAAGCAAACAAATGCATGAAAACTGAAAAATCCGTACAGGTGAGCAGCTGTCTGGCAGCTGCGCGGCAGCTTCCTGCAGCCGCCCGCACTGGCGCGCCGGCGGCTGGTCCCGGTGCAACGCCACCTGCGGCGGCGGCACGATGACTCGCCCGGTCACATGCGTCGACGCCAACGGGAACGCGGTCGCAGACCCGGCCGCTGCATGCAAGGGGCTGGCGGCCCCGGCCGCCGCCGCAGCGTGCAACACCGCACCATGCCTTGGCTACACCTGGCAGGTTGACCGGACTGTGACCCTTTTCTGGGATACACTCTGTGCAGATCCATGATGCCTTGTGCAGAGCTGCCCCAAACCTGCAGGAGGGAATTTTCACCCTGTTCTTGCTCAGTATCGTGCAGCATGCCTGCTGCCCTCCCTAACGCTCGGCTTGCTTTCCTGTTTTTAAGCTTCCCCAGACCTTTGAAGCTGAAGCTGATACACAAAGCTTACTCCCAACGCCTGCCTTGCCTTCATTAAGGACATATTCGAGTGTTTGTGTTTAAGAGTTACACCTTCATAGTTATATGGCATCGGAGTGAATCTCATGTGCGCAGATTGGGGCGTGGGGCAATTGCAGCCTAGCGTGCGGCGGAGGAATCATGGAGAGGGCGGTCACATGCGTGGATGAGACAGGGCAGGCTGTTAATGGGACAGAATGCTCCGGAGTCCAGCCTGCCGACCAGCTGCAGTGCAACGTGCTTCCCTGCGACTTCTGCTCGCTTACTAACTGTGCCGGCCAGGTCTGCCCCCTTAGAGCTCTGAGCAGGAGATAATTCATAAATTCAGATGATCGGGGGAATTCTTGACATCATGAAGCTGGCACTTATTGAATAATTACGACTGCGCTTCAAATGGGCATTAGTCACCCCCTCCATGCCCCCCTGGAAACGCAGCTTGCCCCTTTCAAATGCTACATTGGAGTCTGCTCTGCATCCGAACATGCAGCATCAGCAACTTGGAGCTGATCACAGGAGTGAGAAAACTGTTCCAACACGCAGCAAGCAATGGGGGCTTGCATGCTCGCCTGAAGGTCCCGTTGTCCACCGGACATGACAGCTGATGATTGGATAAGAGTCCCCTGCTGTGTTGGGCGCAGGGGGTGTGTAAGAAGGGGGTATGCGTGTGCCAGCCGGGGTTTCGGGGGTCATACTGCGAAATACCCCCCTCCTGTTCAGGCATCCTTGACCAGTCGGGCAACTGCTGCCCCACCGGCGTGGTGTCCCAGAACGGCACCTGCTGCTCCGCGGTGAGTCATGCTTCACATAACCCCGTTTCCTTACTGTCAACGTGCCAACTTCTTATGGTGATGCCAATCAAGCTGTCAGTGCTGTACTTGGCAGGGCCCTTGCCAGATGAAACTTCCTATTTTTGGTAGAGCAGCTGTCACTTTCCACTCAAGTCACGCGTGAGCAGCACATGGTGCATGCCTAGCTGAGAACAGTGGAACACACTGGCTTCGGTCCCTAGCCGTGTGGCTAGTGAGCAAGAGCATTTCAAGCAACGCAAGGCAGAACAACTTGCTGTCTTGGGAGTTTGCTGGGCGTCTGTGGGCAATTCCCACAGGTTACACTGTTGCCCGGCACATTCGGCTTGTAGACAGACATGAGGAGGCTTTGTCCCAGAGCCGTTTGCCTCAGGGGTTGTCAGGAGGAAATAATGCAGCAAACTCTAGCAGCTCACCCTCGCATGCGGCCTGGCTGATGCGCCCATTCTCCCACACCCAGATACTACCCCAGATTTATCCCCCTGCGATATAAAACCCTCATTTGCCGTGCGCGCGCAGGGGGCGTTACTTGACCGCCGCAGCCGCTGCTGCGAGAGCGGCCGGCTGGATGCATGCGGCGAGTGTGACGGGCCTGCACTGGAAGTGGACGTCCAGAACAGGTGCTGTGATCTTGCATTGTACTAGTGCTTACCATGCATTAATGGTCGCCACTTTAGGTGCTCTAGGCAGGGCCTCGGACCATAGCACACACCCTCCTTCAAGAACAACATGTATGCCTCGGGACCATAAGGCCATAGGTAAAGTACTGATGACACTCAAGGCAGGCAGGGATGCTTAAAGACAGATTTGTAGTCTGCAAGCTGTCACTACCGATCAGACATGATAATCCCTCTCAACGTGTATTCATCAAAGCCAGCGGTTTGTGTTCAAAAATTGCATGTGTAATAGTTTATGCGGCGCTACACAAACTGCCAACAACCGCATTGGAGCATGCACTGTGGGTTTGATTACTAATCACGATGACTCATGGCAGGTGCTGCGCGTCGGGATTTCTGGACGCGGCGGGCTTCTGCTGCGAGAGCGGATTAGTCGACGAGTGCGGCGTCTGCGACGGCGTTTCTGCCTCCTGTGCGCTGCACGCCGTCGTAGACGTGCAGGTAAGCGTAGTAGCGTTTTGATGTGTACCTTGCTGGTGCGCTGCTTGTCGGGAATCCAATTTGCACCTGCTTTAGACCAGCTGCAACTGATCACTACTCGTAACGATGCATGCATGCTGGAGTAAGCAGCGCACTTTTGTTGAGGCCAAGAGTGCCTGCTCGCGCAGCTCGCTCAAAGTCAATAAGCTATGCACAGATATAGCAAGGTCGTTTAGAGCAGTCATCCCCGGAAGCTGCCGCGCAGGTGACGCAGGTGTCCAGCTACCTGACGCTGGGAAGCTACGCCTTCGCCGCGTCTATTGAGGCGTTCCTGAGCGCCCTGCTGGCAATTAACGCCAGCCACATTGCAGTGAACGAACTCATGCTCGCTCCGGGCGCCTTAATCGGTCCCGGCACGCAGAGTGTGATTCTGCGAGTGGACTTCTCTGCGACCCCCGCCAACTCCTTCTCGGCCGCAGCGGTGCGCGCTTTACCTGCCTGGAACTAACCTTACACTGCATGTGGTAGGGCAAAGGAAGGCAGCTAAAGAAGGCATAGACAGGTTGAGCAGCAACATGCCTGGGATGTGAAGCTTCCTCGAACACAGCGGTGCATGATGGATTCATGTCTTGCTCACAAAGCGTGCTGAGGCAGGCCCCTGCTCTCCACCAGGATAGCTTAGGCCTTGCTTGTTTGGGCTGCATGCAGCGAGTTGCTAGTCACCAGACGCCTTTGTTGGTGAGCGACTGCACCACAGGCCAAACTCAGGAAAAGAAATTCCTGAAAATCTGCCTGCTGTTTCTCGAGATTTGGGATGTCTGAAAGGGAGGCAAGACTGTGCCCAACACTGTAACGTTGCATGCATGAATGAGTAAGAGACTTTTGCCCCCCGAGTATCACTTTCAGAATCCTGCAAGCTGACCTCTGATAGGATAGCTGGATTTGCCTGCCTGACATCCCAGGCCGACCACTGCAAATGTCTCAAAATCTTTGTCGGGATGCTGTCCTTATACTCTACAGAGGAAAAGGAAGCTGGAAAGAGGAGAAAAAGTGTGCCGAGCTGAAGAACACCGCATTCATGTGCAGGATCTTCGGGCTGCCCTGGCGACTCGGGCGCTGCAGGATGCTGAGGGCCAGGCATCGGCGAACCAGCTGTTTGTGCTGCTCTCGGCGCCACTCGTTGCACGTCAAGCCATCTGTGGCAACCAGGTCTTGCCGCTCCCCCATTACTAATTAAATTATTAGTAATCCCCGGTAATGGGTTACACGATGTACACGCCAGGCACTCAACGTTGCAGCTACTACGGTCTGTGTAGCTATGATTACATCGACATATTGAATGTATTTCCGTTGTCACAGGTCTGCGAGCCGGGCGAGCGAGCGCCAATCGACGCCAACAACCTGGGTACGCACACATAATTGCGTATGAGTGGCTTATGTGTCTCACCATCTGACCAGATGGCTGTATACGTAGATCGATGTGCATGTTATAAAATCTTACATTCGCGCAGAAAGTGACATGCTTTCTTGGGAAGGGGTCACTGTTTGATGGTGAAGCAACCCTTGCCCTTGCATGTGGCATGCATAACTAAGACGCTTTGATTGTCTTTGGCATTCTCTTTGGAATAGTTGCGAAAAGACTGAGCAGCCGTACCCATCAATACAGTTTGTCCAATCAAGCTGGTCAAGCGCTTGCTCCATTCTGTCATGTCACTTGCCCGCGAAAAATGGTGAAATTCATTGCTGCCCGGTTGGATCTGCCCAGGGTGCCCTGGAGACTGCCCGTTCGCGCTTGTGGCCTGCCCAACTCCCAAAGATAGTCCCCCCTGCGGCGGCCACGGTTTCTGCCTGAGCGCAAGCGGCGCCTGCCAGTGTTGGATCGGCTACTCAGGGGACGACTGCAGCCAGTGTGCTGAGGGTTACATCAGGTGCTGACTAACCTGCTGAGCAACCTCACCTGTCCCAAACAAGGGGGAGTGCATTGACATGTAACTCCTTGAGGGGATAAAGCCGCCTCACGGTATGCATGCTTGCAGCATTATAATAATTTCCGGCCCGGATTGCAAGGAGGAACTGTCATTGGCAAAATTCATTTTGTCATTTGTAGATGGCCATCACTTAGCACTTGCACAGCCTCAGACACCGTTCTCAGCTTTCTGCCAGGATGCATCCTTGCCTGCAGGCAGGGGCAATTACAGATGATCACATGCTTTGACAGCCCATGCACTTAGCTGTTGCAAGACATACTTGCTGCGTTTACATGCTTGAATGAGGTCACCATCAGGTTGTGCACATGGTTTGGGGCAATAATAGCCTCTTGCCTGAAAACATCTCACCGTTTCTGGTGCTTTCAAATTGAAATTCAAGGTTCACTTCCAACACCGACAGATCATGTGCATGGCTCAGGTCGGGGCAGCTGTGCACTCGCTACGTGCGAGCGGATCTGCCCCTGTTGAATCTGTCGTCCAAGGCCGGCCTGGACAGCGTTCTGGGCATAGGCATCGCTCTGATCACCATAGCGTTATTGTTAATGTGCCTCATGGCAATCATCCTCTTGCGCATGCGCAAGAAGCAGCGCAAGAGAAAGTGCGCCTCTCCTTAGCTTGGGTCCAGATTTTGAAGGTCAATGCACGGCATTGAGTGGGGGTTTTGCGATTTTGCAAGGCTGCAAGATTCATGATGGACATTGCACAGAAAATCACCTTGGACAATACCCTTGCAGCTGTTGCCTTTCACCTGTTCCGCCCCAATTTGAAGATGTGACTTTCGGCTGCCCTGTTCCAGCAGACATGGCTCTGTTTCGTGTGTTTTGACTGTGCTGCAAAGATGTGCCTCAGAAAATGCTCAGTGCTGCATTTTTATTGGTAAACCAAAAAAAAAAAAAAGGCAGGGTGGGCTTAGTGGTTTCAAGCTCATGTATTGTGTGGGCCTTTCCTCTGGCATGGGCAGGATTTTGGCAGCATTTCAGTGTGGCTTGTCTGCAGACGCACCTTGCCTCAAGCAGGAAAAGCAACTCACGATAGTAAACTTTTCCATACGGTGTGGGCGACGCAGGCGGGACAGGAAGAGTGGGCTGGCCAGTCGCGAATCCAGCGGGCAGAATGTGTTTGTGGAGGCCTCGGGAGTGGCTCTAGGAGCAGCGGCACTCAATGTGCGCTCAATTTGTCTTAAAAGTCTCATACTGACAGCTTTCCTGAGCTGGCTGGTGGTGCCTTCAGCCTGCTTTGCCAGACCAGCATCTGCCTCAATCTGCCCACTTTATCCATCCTTCATTTCGTCAGTATTTAGAGAGCTTGCGGCCGCTTCTGTTGCTTCAACTAGCCACCACATGCATGCAAATTCACCATTCTATGGACAAGCTTGTCACTCTGTGACCACATGCATCCAGCAGTTATGGATGCATCAGCAGGCCCAATTCCTATGAATCTTATGCAGAGCTTGCCACTCCATATTACACTGTTTCCTGGAACGCAGACGGTGCATTCTGAGGGCGCTACAGTGGCTACTAAGCGGCCCGGCAAAGCACCGGAGGGTACTTCCGCCGCCGCGGCGTCTCTGGCGGTGGCTCAAAGCGCCCACAGCGTGCGCCAGGTCAGCAACGCGTATCCCCATGTGCGGCCGGCTGTCACTCTCAAGCCATCAGCCGCCGGCGCCAAAGACGGCAGGTGCGCATGCTTCTTGCAATTTCAAGCGAATTATTGCTTCCCTCTTGCCACTGTTGTGAGATAATCCAAGGAATAGTGATAGTAACGACTCAACAAACGGTGCACGTTGTTGCAAGGCAGTATACTTTCCGCAACACCCACTTCGGCCAAATTACATTGAACACTGAATGCGTTCCATTGCGGTCGTCAGTTGATCATTGACATTGACTAATTTGCACTTTAGCTTTCAAGGCTAGAAGCAGTGCAAGTGAGTAGTCTTCTCTGACAATCGATGTGTGCCCGGCATGCAGTCCGGCCGGGCAGCAGGCCGGGCAGCGCAGCGGCGGTGGCGGCGGCGGCGGCCGGGGAAACTTCCGGGTGGATGAGTCGGCGGCGGCAGGAGCGCCGTCGAACCGCGGGGACTTCACTCTCGAGGAGGCAATCCGGTCGCGCCGCGGCGGCAGCGGCGACCGCGCGCTGACATCACCGGGCCGGGATGAGGTCAGCGACTTGCATTGAATGCTCTTCGTCCGCCTGCTGCTTGAGTGCACACAGTAATTTGCAGGGGTCTGGGTGCCTTGTTTGGGTGAGATGCTTAATTGCCCGGAATAAGAGAAGGGCAACAAGATTATATTTACCTTGAAGGAAGCCCGGGTCAGGTGGAGGGCAATTACCTTACAAGCTAAAAGGCGCATTGAACGAAAAACAACTCTCAGATATTGCCCCCCGAGTATTACTTTCGGAATCCTGCAAGCTGGCCTCTGATAGGATAGCTGGAATCGCCTGCCTGACCGTAAGTGACATCCCGGGCCGACTACTGCAAATGTCTCAAAATCTGTGTCGGGTTTTTGTGCAGGGAAGTGGTGCTCCCAGTGGAGCCACGCTGAGTCCTGCAGGCTCCGGCAGCGCGCTTGCCAGCTGGCCGCTGCTGGGCAGCGCAAAAGCAAAAAACAACGCTGCGCTGGACGCAGCGCGCTCGCGCAGCGGCCGTCTGCTTTGATTGCCATGACATGAGCGATGACGTCAGCAGTGACATGAGCGATAACGCATTGCAGCGATGCATGCAAAGACTGCACACCCTTTGGCAGCCCATGGCACGGTGGTCCAACTGAAGTGATCATGCTATGCAATAGAAGTCTAGACACGAAACATCTAGTATGCACTGCATGATCATATTATTGTATCCACACTTGCCAATTGGCCACACCATGGGCAATAACAGGCACGGTGCAATGGCAAAGCACTACACTCAGCCAGAGAATTGTGCAGCAGCCGCCTGCTGTAACTTGATACTGCAGATTCATGCACCAAGCTCCCGAGTATTATCTGTTCATTTTGGACTTGTTCAGACCATCAGCGGGGAACAACATCGCGGGACTACTTCCGCAATAGTCACTTACATTTGGACAGTGCGATCGTCTTCCATGCTAGGTTTTGATCTGGAAGCGCGGGGTTGATCCCCAGAGGGCAGGCTCCAATCTCCAATGCGTGAACTGCCAGAGACAGACCTTTGTCATACGCAAGCTCACACATCGCTGCTATAAACGTAACCCCACCGTGCGATATCTTACATTTCGACGCCACCATGGGGCAATAAGAATTGAGTTTGAGGTGGCATAGACCGACAGAATGGCAGTGCTGTGGGAAATCTTCGTGCCTGCCGTGGTCTTCGCGCACGTCTTGGGTGGCGTGCTGCTGCTGTACAGTCTAGAGAAGGTGTCTGGCGTGGTTTCCAAGTCCTGGAAACGCGTCTTTGGACGCTTTAGAAGTAGCGCTAAGACCGAGGACGCAGATCAGTTGAGGGAAAGTTCAGAGACGACCCCTACTGGCGGTCCGACAGAAGAGCTCGAGACTGCCGCACACAAGGCCCGGGCTGTGAACGCCTGGAGACGAGGCTGCAACTGTGAGGTGATTCACTTTGCTTCATGTGGGCCAGATGCAGCATCGCCAGGCCCCGTTCCGGGTGCAACTTGCGCAGGATAGCTACTCCAGCGTTTGGGGTCAGGGGATAGTATACCAAAAGTGAACGAGAGTTTTGTGCATGGGCACTGTATATGAAAGTTGAAGATCTAGACATGTATTTGATGTTCCCTGCAATCACTGGTTCTTGAGCAGCTCTATGCTACCCTGTGCTAAATATTTAGGGTGGATTATTGACTCAGAAGTTCAAGATGGGCACTGTATATCGGCCCTGAAGTCCTCGAAACCTTGTAGATTTTGCCATTGAAACATCTGAGACCGGTAGCAGGTTGTCAACTGACGCTATATTTGAATTGTGCTCGTTGCTGTCGCATCTTGCAGTCAAATCCCCACTTTATCGTTTTGACTGCAGAAGCTCCAGGAGACATTGCTTTGCGCATATTTCATTATCAATCGAAAAGATGGTTTTGATTGAGCTTCAAAGATTTGTACGCAATGCTTCTTGCTGACCAGTAGCCCATTTGCCAACGTCCAACAGGAGGGATGCTACTGCGTGGATAGATGGGTGCAGAGGAACAAAAAGGACGTGGAAGCTGGCAACACGACAGCCTCCCACTTGGCTGTGCAGTACCCTGCCGACCTGGCGTGGTTTGATGTCACATGCCATGTCTTGGACCAGAAGACCCTCAAACAGAAGCAGGTGTGTGCAGCCACTGTCTGGCACCACTTTTATTATCCTGTCCACTTTTCCTCTGATCAGCTGTGCATAGGCCTAATTAACCCGTCAAGAAATTTCACTGAAAATAACACCCTACTGCAATATGGCCCATGTCCTGAAAGCTATCGATGCAGGGCTTGCCGTTGCCTCACCCAACAGCAGCAAGTCTGTCACTGTTAGTCAGTCAGCAACACTACACCGCTTGCAGCCACTTTGGGTGCTGATCCGGTGCCTGGCTCTGACTGCCAGAGCCAGCGTCCAGCATGACATCCAACATGCAGAAATAAAGGGGTGACACCGCTGTGTCGTTGACATGTGACGGCGTGCTGCGCGCAGGTACTGCACCCGTCGTCAGGCAATGCCTACCCGGGTGAATGCGTGGCTCTGCTTGGGCCGAGCGGGGCCGGCAAGTCCACTCTGCTGGACATCCTGTCCCTGCGCAAGTCCAGCGGCAAGCTCAAGGGGCAGGTGCGCTGCCCATGCCTTATTCTTGGAGTCAAATCCGTGCTTCATTCTTGATTTCAAACACGGGAGCCTGACGCGCAGCATTGACCAGCTGGACGTGGAAAACACCTGGCAGGAAAGGCAGGATGCAAAGGCTGGCCTGGCTCGGTCATCTTTACAAGAATGACTTTAGAGCCATGTGTTCTATATGAGCCTTGTCCTTGGTTCTGGTCACCCCGTGTGCATGCCACAGCAGGGGCCAACAAGCTGTTCTCAACCAGAGCTTAAAGCCAAATTGTCTATTTCTCTTGGAGTGTCAGATTTGGTGTGCATTGGCTCTTCATGACACTATTTTTCGTCCTGAGGCTAGTCCCGCCAGTTGCTTCAATTCCTTTGTCATTTCAATCAAGGCGCAGAGGCCGCTTGGGTGGAATAGTGCAATAGCAGAGAAGAACAATAACGATAGTAATGTGCTGACGGCACATGGCGGCACATGCGCGCAGGTGATGATGAACGGGCGGCCCCTGGGGGTGCAATTCAAGCGCAACAGCGCCTACGTGGCACAGGAAGATTGTTTCGTGCCCACCATGAGCGCATGGGAGACTCTCAAGTTCACCGCCACGCTGACTCTGCCAAAAGCAATTTCGCCTGAGGACCGGCGAGTGCGAATCGAGGAAGTGCTCAAAATCATGGGGCTCTGGCGCTCGCGCGACACGCAGGCGAGTGACTCACTTTTAGTCATGGTTGCCGCCTCTCACAGGCGGCAGTGTAAAGCTCTTGTGGCAGGCATGCGTTAGCGCTGCATGTCACAGGCAATGCGGGTGTTTTTTAGCAAGAATGTGAGTGAGAGAGCTGTTGGCGGTGGAATACATGGCTCTGGGCTGATGTGGGTATAGTAAGGGTCTGGGGAAAAGGAGCGCTGGCTGTGCAACCAAAGCAGCAGAAACAGTCTTAAATTCTGGGATGCTCAAGCCCACCACTGCCAAACATATATGAAGAGATCAAGTAATTAGGCACACCATGCGGATCAAAGCTAGAATGACATCAGTGATTGCCCAAGCACGTTTCCCATTAACGACGGGGCCTGTATGGGGTGTACGGCCTGTATGGTACGTATTGAGCGAATCACGCAGGTGGGGTGAATGTCAGGGTCTCAGTGGGTGTGTCTCTTGGGTGGATCAGGTGGGCGGGGCGTTGCCGGGAGGCATCCTGGTGCGGGGCCTGTCGGGCGGCGAGAAGCGGCGGCTGAACATTGCATGCGCGCTCATCTCCGCGCCCTCCATCCTCTTCTTGGACGAGCCCACCACCGGTGCGCGCCTCGCCTGCACTCAATGCCCTTGACAGTCGAATCACTGTGCTTTGCTCATGGAAGGCAACTAAAGGGCCCACACGCCAGATGGGCGCAACACCCTGCAGCGCACTCTTATAATCAGCAGCTTTGTCACTATGAACTGGAAGCAATAACGAGCATGCAGCTTGGGCACCTCTTTTGGGGGTCGGAGAATTGCAATGTGTGCCCTGCTTATTGGGGCCAGTGCTTCATGCTGTGGGAAGTGCAAGGGGGTACATGGTAAAGTTGTGCCAGCAGAGGTAGCTGACCAGTTGCACAGAATTGGAGCGCAGGGCCTTATGGTGTCTGTCAATCTGGTGACAGGGAACCAGACATGACCAAGCTGTGAAGATGCCCTGTGATATCACTGACAGTGTCAGTTTGGATGTAGTCCCAGTCCGCCAGCTTCGTGTACCTGCGCAAGTAGTAGGAGATCTGACTACACGTCCAAAGACATGTTACAGGAGCTTTGCATGTTTGGCCGGCACATCTGTCCGATGCAATGCATGTCACTGACAGTAGTGGTTTGGCGCGTGCAGGGCTGGACAGTTTCGCTGCGCTGAACGTAATGGAGCACATGAGCAATCTGGCGGACCTGGGACACACCATCATCGCATCCATCCACCAGCCACGATCTGCCATCTGGGACATGTTCGACAAGGTGCCTATTTTGTTTTCCACTTCTTTGCTTTTTCTTTCCCTCTTCAACCGCTTTCAATCTGAGCTCAGTCAATTGCACCGTGAGAGATGCTTATCTATATATTTCCCGCCCTGGATCCAAGGATTGCAAGCCTTTTTGCACTGCATGCCAGCTGAGGATGAGGGGCTGCCCTCGCCATCTGGGCCACATTCGGCAAGGTGCCTGGACTAACTCCTTTCCCCTAGCTAGACTGCCCTCTTTCTCTGGGGTCGTCAAATCCTTCGACTGAAGGCTCTTTATTGCCAGCTCAGCACAAGGGGTATAAATGAGCCATCTGGGACATGTTTGACAAGGATGCATGTGCCTTCAAAGGATGGCCCCTTTGGCAGCACGGGGGTTTGATTTTTTAGCATGATGCCAGCTTTAAACCCGCGAAGTACCCAGATGAGAGGCACAATGGCACTCCTCATTGGAGGGGTTGAATGCGTGAGAGGACGGAGCGTCAATATACTTAGCTAAAAGGAGTGAAAACAAGTAATGATACTGCAGCAGGACTTGATGAGGGCGCTCCTTGTCTCACCCCACTAGGCCCCATGCACAAGGGCCATTTCTCATGCTGCCCATTGACTCATATTGCTGATGATAAGACTGATATTGCTGCGCAGTGCGTGGTGCTGTCAGAGGGGCACAATCTCTACTTCGGCTCGCCCAAGCGCGCACTCGATTGGTTCAGCGACGCTCTGGGCTATTCCTATTCCTACCAGAGGGACGGCGCCGTCTCCGACTGGCTCATGGACCTCGTCTCTGTGGGATTCCAGAAGCCGGCCTCCTACCACAGCAGGTGCGCGCCTGATCTGGCTTGGATGCCTGATTGCCTGATCAGGCTCTGTCATTTAAGTCCCTCCCTGAACTGGCAGCCGCAGGAAATGTTGTTGGCCTGGTGTGGCTTTCTGCCTGATCTGAATGCCCGGTGTTGTTTGATCTGGCAACCTTGCCTGTTCTGCTGCCAATGCCAGATGTGACTGCACTTTCCTCATCAGGCCAGGCTCCATTTAATTGCCCTGGCTACACCTCTTCAGCGGCCTGCTGCTGCAACACTAAAAAGCAGTGAATTCAGATATTACACGCATGCTTCTATCACAACACTGCCGGGCTCCACTAAAGGGGCAGCCCAGGAGCTGGCGTGCAGCAGCATGAGCATTACAGTAACAGGTCAATTTTAATGATTCAATCTACGCATTGGGAATGGATTGTGGCTGCGCGTAGAATAATGCGCACGCGAGAAACAGTAAATAGGAAAGAGGGTAGAATGGAAAGAGGGGACTGGCGCTAGAATCCAAGGTTGAACATTCCTGTCGTTTTGCGCGCAGGTCTATGTGCTCAGTTGGGGACGTGCAACGGGCGGCGGTGGCGTTCGCCAAGGAGAGGAAGGAGGAGAGGGCTGACGAGCGCGCAGAGAAGGGACTGAGTGGGCGATCCTCGCCCACCAAGCCTTCCACCCCCCGGGGGGGCATCGGCAGACAGGTCAGCGATTAGCCTTCCACATGTGTAGCTATGCCCAAATGGGATACTGCAAAGTGCTTGATATGCTCAATCCAAATCATGTACGGGGTCCCTCTGACATTGATGGGCTGGTACACAGAGGCTCTGGCCAGGCTCGAAACGATGAGCATGTCATTTTTGCCCCGATGCACCACAATCAAAAAAGATTCTGGGATAGCCAGTTCTTGAGAAAATACGGGCAATTACTCCTGATTAGCAAGCAGCAACATTGCCACAAGCCGCCATGCTGGCACCAGTATTTCTGTACAAAGTCTACCCGGGCAAATCCCACCCCCACCTTCCTGCACCTAGGAGACAAGGATTATTATGTTGCGCCCCTGGAATGCAGCTCAAAGGGGCATTGTTGCGCTGCGCAGGGGTCTGCGAAGGTTGCGCCTGCAACGACGGCGCCGGTGGTGGGCCGTACTCGCAGCAGCATGGGCAAGGCGGGGAGCATTGCCAGCCTGGAAGACTTGGAGGCTGTGGGCAAGGCCCAGGTCAAAAAGCAGATGGAGTGGGCCTCGGGAAAATACGCCGCCAGGTGGGGCCTCTTTTTATATGATATTTCTGGCCCTTAAAACCCTTCTGAGCCCTATAAATTGTAGCAAGGCATCAAGACAGGCAAGCAAGATATGGGCATGACTCAATGATGAGCATATTAGCAACCTGAAAGAGTAGGGGAGCTAGACAGGGTGGGATACACTCCACAGGGGAGTTTTATTTGTTGAAATATTTTTGCAGTCACTTTGTGCAGGACATCCAGCAGAGGAACTGCCCTCAGCCTGTAGCCCAAGCACCTCATGAGCCACCAAGCCTTGCAACATGTACCACAGGCACCGCTTTGCACCACAGCCCTGCAAATGCAAGTGTGCTCATTTTTGTGGTGCGTTTCTGCAGCTGGTGGACGCAGTTCCGGATCCTGCTGAACCGCGCGATGCTGGGTCAGCTGAGGAATCCCACCGACACCACCTCCCGCCTCTTCCTCTCTACATGGGTCGGCTGCCTGGCAGGTGCGACGCGCGCATGTCTACCCATCAGTCACCCCCCGTTGGTCCCTGACGTTATTCTTCACCCACTTTAGCTTAGGGTTTAGGGAATATGGATTTAGGGTTTTGGGTTTTGGGAAGGGGCCTTTAGAGTAATAATTTTCCACGGGGAATGCAATGGTGGATTTAGGGTTTAGGTTCGATGAAGGGTCAATAATTCTATAAGACACATGGGTAAACTTTAATGTAAGACCCTTTGGTTGTGGTGGTCATGACGGTTATTAGTACGCGCGCAGAAGCTCACACTTGCTTGCATGGGAAGAAGCGGATGCAGGTTAAACTGCGGGTATACAAACAGAGCGTATTCTTGATAGAGTATTAGAGGGCCAGCTTAGATTGTTGTGTGGATGCGGCGGGCATGCCAGAGAATATCTTGAGGTGGGCTGTAGGAAGGGAGAGATCAGCAAGTGCAAGGCAGTCATTTCGTAGCGGACTTAGAGTTTCAAGCCATGCCTGCATGTCAGACATGGCGTTGTGTCTCTTGGCACATGCTCGGGGCTTTATGACCTGTCAGCCAAGCTCTATGCATGCTCACATGAGCAATGCTTGGCTGACCACACAGACCGTGCAATTCACGTCACACCCGCGTTTCTTTTTCCAGTCCCAGATTGTCAGTGACACCCAGCTGGCAAGAGATTCGGTGTAGTCTTTTGGCGCAGGCTTAGCCATTTTTTACCTTTTTTGACAAGCCTCAACGTCAATTATTGTAGCACAGGCGCGGCCGTACATGACGGACCAGCAAGTTGGTGTTTGTCTGTAATGTGTCATGGCGCAGCCTCGGCATTGCCGATGTGCCAGCATGTGAAGAGACACTTGCCGACATGTGAGAAATAATAATAATAATGTGTTACTGGCGCAGGCCTGGCATTCTATGACCTGCCCTCCGGCCCGGACAGTGTGACGAGGCGGCTGGCGTTGCTGTTTTTCATCCTGCTGCTGTTCGAGCTGCTGCCCTTCTGCTACATGTCCTTCTACGTCGCCGACCGCCGATTCTTCGCAGCTGACATCTCGAATGATCTGTACCACCCCTCCGCCTACTACCTCTCCTCAGTCATCGCCAGTGAGTGTCCTTTCTCGTGGATCTCTCTTAAAATCTTAAAAATCTTAAAAATTTTCATCTATAAGATCTCTCATCTTAAAAATCTTAAAATCCTTCATCTTCGATCTTAAAAATCTTAAAAACCTAAAAAATCTTAAAATAACAAACCCTCCTGTTGTCGTCTGCGTGGCAAGATTCAACAGGTCCACAGCAAGCGCCTTGTGCCAGTTTTTGTGTAAGACTCTCTTGTGCAAGCTTCAGGCGTGAAACCCCTGCTTTGTAATCGCCAGTGAGTGTCTCCGTTCCATAACCTGCTCAGAAACAAGCATGGGTCCCTGAAAGGCGACAAATCTTGAGCTCATGTGATGCAGCCCTCTTCCACTTGGTCTTTCTGCTCAAGCTGGAAAAGCAGCATTTCAATGTCAGACGCAGAATGCTTGATAGCAGAGAGGTCTCATTGCCTGGCAGCAACGTCACTGCTTCGTCATGACACATGACATGCACAAAACGAGAAGATTGAGATACTGTTGATCTGGGTTACGTTAGTGACCTTTGACTGCATGTTCGTGGCGCAATTGAACTCCCTCATGAACTGATGCTTCTGCCCTAGCCGACGATGCCCACAAGCATCATAGACCAATGCTTGCAATCCGGGAATGGGGCCTGAGATATCTGTTGTCCCTGCTCGCAGGCATTCCGTTTGTGATAATAAACTCGCTGTGCGGCTGCCTGTGCGCGTACGGTCTGGCGGGGCTGCGGCTATCGGCGCACGCCGTGCTGCTGAATCTGTGCATCACCGCGCTGCAGTCCATGATCTCCATCCAGCTGCAGGCACGCCGTCCTAGACCCGCACTCCACCATATCAGCAACCCTGGTTTCCTTTGATACTCTCCACCATGCAATGCTTACAGCCAGTAGCAATTGTGCATCATGCCATGTCAACACAACTGTCATATTCAGTACCCCCTGCTCTAGTTACCACAGGTTTTGGGTCACCAGCGTCGTTCCATGAGACGCCTCTCGTTGCATTCCTCCAAATTTTTGGCAGATTTGTGTCAATTCAGAGGATGCTTTCTGCAGTCATTCCTGCCATTGTTTTTGTGACAATCATTGTCTCCCATGTGAAATATCCCTTGTTGCCAACTGACAAGCAGTGCAAAAGAGCCTTTTATTCAATTCACAACGGCAGCACTCCCATTCAATCGCTGAGATGCTTGCACGTCCTGTCACAGTGTGCCCCAGTTAAGAGGTCATCTGAGGCCTCACATCCAGAGAAACCGCAAGAAGAGGTCATCTGAGGCCTCACATCCAGAGAAACCGCAAGAAGGCTTAGTGTTGAGACAATGTTTGGCATGGACAGGTATTCTGCGTCTGGCTGACGCCTAACCAGGATCTGGCGTATGTGCTGGCGACTGGCTACGTGGCGGCTTCCATCCTGCTGTCTGGCTTCTACCTGCGCATCGATGACATGAAGCTGGCTGTCATGCGCGGACTATCCTACCTCTCCTACACCAAGTGCGCTCACCCTTGTTTTTTAATACTGGAGGGTTTAGTGTGTAGTGCTTGTTCTGAGACTCGCACCTCCGGCGATGCTGGAAAATCTTCAAAGCAATTTGACAAGGGTCTTTCTGACTTTAAAAATACCAGGGTCATGCTCCGTTGGATTGGGCTTGTTTGCGAGCTGTCCAAATTTGGTCTCCAAATGCAAGCTTGCTGACCTGCTTTTTCTGCTGGCGCAGGTATGCGATGGAGGCCGTGTCGAAGCTTGAGCTGTCAGGCATCGTCTATCCGCCGTGTGGCCCAAACACTTTTGGAAACGCCATTCCTCAGGGAGCCGCTCTGGCCCCGGGGGCCGGCGGTGCCGATGCGGCACAGCTGGCGGCCATGCAGCAGGTGCGCGCACATGCCGACACCTGCCTGATAGGGTGACAACATTAATGTGACCCTTTTGCACATACTGTACCGTACTGTACGTGGGCCACCTTTGAGGCTCTGTGTTCGAGGCGATGATGTCCCTGGATAACATTTGGACTGACGGCCAGTTCAAGCCATTTCAGCTTTATAAGTCTGTCTAATTGCATGGCCGCAGACTAGCGAATCCATTCCTATGGCCATGTTTAAATTGCACATTGCCTTTATCAGCGGAGGCTAGCAATAGCCGTCTCCTGAGCACCACCCGTGTCAGGCTTTGGCCAAAATTGCTGATGCTTCTGTGCAAAACGTGTTAGTTTCTGACCTTTAGTAACCAGAAAATTCGATTGTGGTGCAGAACAACGCGATGGCGTCCGGGCAGGCTCCGGGGCAGTGGTCCCCCCCGGCAGGCCAGAACTGGTCCCCCCCCTCCCCCGCCAGCTGGTGGCAGTCGCCGCCCCCCAACGGCCGCGCCTGGTCACCCGCCTCTTTTGGCCGCCACCTCCTCCGTGAGTCACCTGCCTTCTGACAATTATGACAACAATGTCCCCAATCTCTTGTGTTTTGTGCAGTGAGCTGCTGCAACATCTTTCTGGCACCCAATATATATATAATAATAATATAATAAATATCAATAGTAAAGCAGGCCTGAATAGACGGCTCATCAGATCACATGGGAAATGCAAGACTGTTGGGAGGCCTCTGTACCAAAGAGAGAGGCCAAAATAAGAGACACACTGTTTTGCCGGAAATTTTTCATGCAAGGACATTGCTTTGTGTGCCCTGCCACGCACGTCATTCCAGAGAATAACTGAACGAAGCACTGAGTCAGATGTGTATCTTTTGCGCAGAGGCGGACAGCGAGGTGGTGCAGATTGCGAGCGGGGGGCTCACCCCCCAGTGCAACACCACCGGCGACGATCTACTGGACTTCTGGGGGTACAAGCTGAGCATCGGCACCTGCGTGGGAATCCTGCTAGCCTTCTATGTCATCTTCCACATCGGCTCCTACCTCGCGCTCTCCAAGCTCTACAAGCAGAAGCGGTGAGCCGGCCGCCGCGCCGCCGCACGCCCTGCTACGGGCGACGGCGACGCATCTGCGCCTGTTTTGGAAGATGGCGGCCGCCGCACGCCGCCATACGGGGCGGTGGCGGTGATAAACCGAATATGGAGGCGACCGCCGCCGCACGCCGCGGTACAGTTGGCAGCGGTGGCAGCGCGCCAAATTTGGAGGCAGGCTGCCGCACGCCGCGGGACAGGTGACGGTGGCGTGCTTGTTTAGGAAGCGCCAGGTGGCAGCCGGATTGGGCGCAGGCTGGCCTCTTGGACTGGAGAGCACAGCATGTGGCTCCAGACTAATGGGTGTCGCACTTGTTGCGTGGCATTCGTGACTCTTTTGGAGGCAAAGGCAGGGTCTTTGTTACAAGTCACTGAGCACAGCGCAGCCTGGAGAGGGGCTTTGGCGAGTAGGAGAAGGACGCACTGTCCAAAAATCGCACTGCGCCAGAGCAATAAGCAGGAAGGCATTTTTTCAACAGGTTGTGACAAAGTGTAGGGGACTAGATGACACAGAATCCACATCAGTAGCTGGTACAACTACTGGCAGAGTCCCTTTGACCAGAGGCAGTATTGAAGTACTGGTGTGCCGGTCCCCAGTGGTCTGCTTGACAAGGCACTGCATAGTTTGGGTTGCATGAGATGATTGACTGTCATTGGTGGAGCAGCAAATTGGACCAGCATTGTCTGAAGTTCAGGAAGGTTCTGCTCCTGCGATAGTTTGTCATACTGTATCAGAAGATGGCGGTACAGTGCAGGATACCTGGGGACAGCATTTGAGATTCTGCCCCGTTCCTTGCAATTGAAATGTTGACAAGTAGGGTTGCATTTTCAATATTGAGTGCCACTCTATATGGCATGCATGCTTCTGGGACTCGAGATGAACATGCATGAACGGTCAAGTAAGGCCATTCATTTGCCACCACTATGTCTGCCAACTATTTGCAGACTCTGTCGGGTGGTGGCTTTGAGTTTTAGCATAAAAATTTTTTGGCAGGGCTCTGCCAAGCTATCTTAAATAATGTAAACAATGGCAAAGCAGAGGGAGTTGAGCTAATAGCTGTTGACATCAGATGTGCTAGCGCCTACAATCTCTCTCCATGGTCGAGGTTGCTAGGTGAAGAGTATGGCATCATCATCAATGGGCATGCTGTTTGATTGCAGCTCAACATTAACAACAGCACTACATGCAATTTGTTGATGTATTGCCAACAATGCCAACTTATTTCCCAAGAGTGTCTGCATTCCTGCCTCTCATGGCAGGTGTCTTCTTACAGAGCACATCAGGAGGTTTTATGGTCTGAGCTCGAAACTCTGGCCAAGTACTGACCTTGCTTTCCAGAGGGCATGACTATCAAAAACTCTCAACTTGAATATGATGGACCGCCCAGTGCATACTGCCTCATTTTGGGAATTCGTCTGTGTGCATGGAGGCATGCAGCTGAGCCAAGTGTATCGTTCTTTTTAAAGGTTGCGTAGTCCCAAAATTGGAAATGATGCTTTGCAACGCACTTCACAGCGTTGTGTCTCTCAGTCTGAGCATGCTCCGCAAGACTACATGACCATAAGTCAAGGCATCTAGATTGGTGTTCATTCAGGGCCCCTAGAGTGCCCGGGCCACCCCCTCACGGCCGGCCAGGGTGGTCCCTGAGGGGTCCCTGCCCTGCTGTGCCAGGTCATAGTTGTCGCTGACCTGGCGCCAGTTCACCACATTCCACCAGTCCTTGATGTACTCTGGCTTCTTGTTCTGGTGCTTCAAGCTGCGCAACGGCACCACACATTCCTCAAGGACAATCACCAGCTATTATACAGCACATGCACGTATTATTATTGGCCTAAGAAACTGCTGTAAGCATCTCCAGAATAGTGTGGGGGTGAACAAACATCCCCAGCTGTATGTCTGGAATGCAGCTGTAAGCCTGCAAAAACGACTGGCTGCTGTCTGTGCCAGTCTTATTGCAAGCTGAGGTGCACTTCGGACACAGAGTGGTTGCCCATATGGGCATCTGAAGATGCATCTGATGGCGGCAAAAATTGTCAGGCACCCTAAATTGGCATTTCTGAGACAAGGGGAGACTGGGGGCACCAGGACAGCACACACAAGCAGTATTTTCACAGCACACATTATGCATGCAGCAAGGGGGTTCAATTAGCGGGTGCACTCACTAATAGGCGTGCTCCCACATGTCCAGCCCCAGCAGGGGACTGTGCGACTGTCCCCCCACTGCTGCCTCCATCAGTGGATTGTCCTGCACATGCATCAGACATGCATTGGGCACCCCTCCAGTACTTATTAGTCCGCCCAATCTAGAGGGGCACCTGAAATTTGAGGCCATCATTGTTGTGGCCTGCCCATATGTAAATCAAGCTGCAAAAGTAGAGGCTGGGGAGCTCGAAACGACAGCAAAGTCGCAGATAGATGAAACATAGAGACTAATAATATCTCAAGCAAGAGCCTACGTGCGGACCACTCTAGTTCAAAGAAAATTTTATAGACCCTCCATGTAAGCGCATGTCAAAACTGTATTATGGGGACTGCCAGCTTGCAGACAAATCTATTGAGGCGGGGGATGGTTGTATTGCTGCTGCAGGAAACTTCTATTTTAGAGCTGCCCTTCCCCTCATTTCTGGACCTTCCCCAGCCTTGATGCATGCATCTCGCTGTTTCTAACATGGTCACAAGACTCTAAATAAAGGATGGAAGATGTTCCCCACAGTGAGCCCCTGGCACGAGACAAAGGCACGCACCAGGGAAATATTAAATACAACAATTGTATTTAGGATGCCCCTGCGCTTACCTGGTTGGGGGTGGTTGTGATTACAAGGCCGCCCTGTGAATCCACCCCAAGCCAAGTCCACCCACTCCCGAACACCGTCAGCGCAGCATCGCCAAACCTGCGCAGCATGCCACATATATGATGTGAGGCATAGATCATATGGAGCTTGATATTACACTCAAACTTTGCATTCCCAACCACATTTCTGCACGGAGACCTTCCTCTTTGTACCTGCCACCTCGGCAGGATCATGCATTGAAGCCAGACGCAGCGCAATGTCTTGATCATTGGGTGAGCAAGGGCAACACAGCTACTATATGCATTTGTTAGATGATTAATGTTGTCGCAGGTTCTTTTGCAGGCATTATGTGAAAGTGAGCCTCTGTGACACATGGTCACCATGCCAATCACATTCAAGTTAGTTGACAGCAGGTTCAGGTGATCAGAAGAGAGTTCAGGATGGGAATAACACAATTGCAAGCCATCACAAGAGGGGAAGGCCTCACTTCCTCTGCAGGTTGTCCACAGACCCGTAGGTCTTCTCAATGGCTGCCTTCAGCTCCGGGGACGCCGACTTGACAAAGTCTGCGTCGCCTGATTTTGCCGGCGCCATGACCTTCCAGAAGAAGCTGTGGTTCCAATGGCCCTGCACGTCCCAGGAAGAGACTTGATTTTTGTGAAACTAAAGTCATTTAAAACATGGATCTGCTTGGCCAGAATGCCAAGGCGAATAAGACTCCATATGCAGGCCTCAAAAGAGCCAAAACAGATTCAAGGCCTATTTAGAATCATGCCTCTCCAAGCAGCACTGGCGAGTTTCAGGAATATATAAGGTTACATTGGCAATGTCAACTTGGCATGCATGCATAATTGTTCCAGAGGGGTACTCCGAATGCTGCTTGTATTTGCTTATCCTGGTGGGTAGTGTCTGTGTGTGTGTCACAAAATGCACAAGGTGCATGAATTATCCCCCACCAAAATGATCCCGGCTGGCGGGGGGCGGTACAAATACTGAGCACCGTGCCCACAGTTGATTGGGTCTTGCTTGGATCTGGCGAGTCCAACAAGGGGTAGGAATTTGGCAGCCTTTACATGCAGCTTGTCTGCAGACGCACCTTGCCTTCGGCAGGAAAAGAGTGTAATAATAATAATAATAATAAAATGATCCAAAATGAATTGCCGCAAGCAGAGCCATTGTTGGACAAGTCAGGGGCTTGAGAGAGGCTGAGCTCACCCCTCCATGGTTGCGCACAGCTGACTGGACCTCCCTGGGCACCCTCTCTGTGCCCACTGCCCGCTGCAACTCATTCAGATCCATCTCCTTCAACTCCGGCGCTTTCTCCAGTGCCTTCACGAGGTTGGTCACATACGTCTGATGGTGCCTGCAGCAAATGGCAAGCCATTAATACAGTTGAGAGAGCCCAGGACATGATGACATGTGGCTTGACGCATTGGCATCTGATCTGCTCCTGAGGGGTGTTCTGCACCAGTGCAAAGCGCTATGCAAGAATTTATGGCATCGTCAAATTGCTACAATGGATAGGCTACTGCTCCCACGTGTGCACATGCATGCTAGATCCCTGAAGGCAGTTCCACGCACAGCATGCGCAAGGCTTGGATCATGGTACCGCACTTGTTGTAGTGAAGCTCCATTGTCTCTTTGTCAACATAGGGCTCAAGGGCGTCTGTTGAGTAAGGCAGAGCTGGAAGGCTGTCCAAGGGAGCAGCTGGGCTTTGCCGCTTGTCTTCTCCCTGGCAGCGTTAGAACAAACCCCTGAGCCCGAAAATTTTGTGCAGAATTAACGCCTGATTTGACGGGAAAATTGAGTTTGAGAGAGTTCGAGTGGTCCTTTGGGCACTGGCGATCACGTGCTGACACAGCGCACCTTGGTGCCGAAGCGAGCGAACACCTCGCCAGCTTTGGCGGTGACTCCTGCGGTGACACCATTGGCCGAGTTCCTGGCTTCGTCCCAGCTGGCCGCTGGCGACGCAGCAAATGTCGGAGTTGCCTGCACATCACGCAAAACCGTCTCCATATTTGCTGTGCACCAGAACACACAAAAGACGGGCAACTTCACATTTTGTATGATTAAAGTATTTATTAAAGACATTATACACAGGAAACCTCATATCTTATTGGCAATTGTACTGGATATCGTCAAGTAGCCCAGGACATGTCACCCACCAGTGCGATCGAAACAGCTGCGAGGCCAGCTGCGGCAGCAAGGGATCTCCCAACCTTCATTTCACCTTTGTATCTATCATCGGTATAATGCGCTTTAGTAGCCAAACATCGAAACTGTCCAGGCGTGATCCTGTTCACATGCACCTTGTGCTGCAAGTTACAGAGCTTCATTGTGCGTAGTGTCAGGCACCGGTGACACCCAGGAGTCATCATGGCTGTCATATATTTGCGAACTCGAATCGAGGAACATTTCTCCTCAATTATCGGCTGTATATTAGATCTTCAGGCATCTAAAAATACCCCGTGCGGGGTCTCCTAGGGCGTTGTCCTGATGCTCGCCAGAGAAGGCAGACTCGATCACCTCTTCAGGCCCTTTGGAAATCTTGGGCAGTGTATATGTGTACTAATCTACAGGATGGAAAACGAGGGAGTCTTGACGCATCTACGCAGCCTTCCGAGGTACACTTGCAAGCGCACTTGGCAGTCGAGCGCAGTGCTTGCCCCCAGGACAGTCGTAAAAGAGAGGCCTGCTTCCCAGATGCAGATGAGGAGCAGTACAAGCAGGATGCCTGCCGCTGTGGTGCATGCTCCAAGTGCTTGGGATTGCTTGATCATGATTGAATGTAAATGACAGCTTTGTGATACAGATTGAGCACTCGCATTGAGTTAAGTCAGTTGTAATATGACGGGCAAGCTTGCTTATGTGGCTTTGCATGCGCCTGCATGCAGATCCATAGAATGGCCGCAGCCTGGCGGAGTGCTTATCAGATGTGCATGTGAGCATCCGCATGCATCGATACAATTATATTCAAAAAGTGCAGGAATATATTTTGATTATTATGTTGGCTCTAGAGGGGCTTGCGTTTCTGCACACTTGGCAAGTGTTGCAATTGGAATAATTACAGATGCATCCATGCGCTCGAAGAGGGATTAAGCAAGCATGGCACCAGCACAACAATTGTCCACCTCACTGCATTTCAAGCTCATCTTGACAACGATCTCATCAATTCAATGGAAACCTCCCGCAAGCTGCACTATTGGAGGGAAACGGTACCACCAGTGTAGCCACGCAGGAGTTGGCCAGATCGCCAGTGCGCCAGAGCACGTTCCACGGTGATTGCACAACTGCAGCACATGATAAGATTACATGCCGAAATCGCAAAGATTCCAAATGTGGCACAAGAGTGGCATTGTAGCGCTCCTGTATGACTGGATTGCCACTCGCAAGCCCTGAGGCATGCACCCTGCCATCAAAGATGGGTGTTTGGCAGTGTGAGGGGCGCTTACTTTGGTCTTGGTGCCCCTCGCAGCAACATAGCACCACCCCCTGTATACACCCTGTATACACCTTGTTCCTGTTCTCTGGGCACACCCTGTGCTTTGCTGAGATTGAGATAAACCTGCACCCTGTGCACAACCTGTGCCCTGCAAATTCAGAGGCTGCGTTCCTGCAAAAAGCAGGCTGCATGATGCCCGATGGCAGGATCTCCATTTTGCTTGTACACACCCTGTTCCTGTTCCTGTGCTCAACCTGTGGTGTGCTGAAAAATAAACCTGCATTCTGTGCCCTGCGATTCAGGAGTTGCATCCCTGCATAACGCGCTTTGCAACGGACCTTGTGATGCCCTACTGCAAACTCTGTGATTTTCCCTGCGCAAAACCTGTTCCTGATCTCTGTGCACACCCTGTGGCTGCTGAGAGAAATATAAAGCTGCACCGAGCATTCCCTGTGCACAACCTGCAGTTCAAAAACCTGCATCTCTGCATGAGATAGCCTGCAAGATATCCTGTACAAGCCCTGTCCCTGTTTTTCAGCACATCCTGTGTGCTGCAGAGCCAATCCTGCACCCGAATGTTCCCTGTGCACAACCTGTGCCCTGCAAGTTTGACAACCTGCGACTATTGTGCACGACCTGTGACAGCCCTGCTCAGATTCCCTGCAAAACTCCTGCCCACATAAATCTCCACGCTGCCTTGTACCCTGCATTCTGACAAGGACTCGCAGCGCAGTACGGCCATTACACACAGATCCTGGTACTAGGCTGGCCGCTCTCTTTTTGCTCGCACAGATGCCCTGTACGTAGCGCTGCTGCTGCTGCAAAGGGCATCATTGGCACATCCAGGCACCGTCTTCTTGCAGGAAGCACAGCAGTAGGACAGAGGAGAGCCAAAGAGGCTGTCACCGGCACAAAGTGCCCGATCAGGCACAGCGCTGAGCTGTTCATCACTGGCCGCCTCCGCCCGTCGCCTTCTCCTTGTTCCAGGCAGCGATCTTGGCCCGACGCTCCGCACTCGTCTCCCTCTTGCGGTCCTTGCCTCCATCGCGATCGCGATCCCTGCATTGTGTTAGTTTTAAATAGAAGCATGCACTTATGAGAACACCCTTGGACCTTACATCAATAAACCTTCAAAGCAAAAGCCCCCAGTTGATCTGTTGCACAACTCCCTTAATCCCACTTTCATGTGCCCTTTTACTGGTGGTTCCCTTCTTTGGCACGCAAATTCTGCAGCTTCTGAGGGTACAGTATAACCACCCAGCAAGGCCCAAATGGCAGCGATCTGAGCAGGAAAGGCTCTCACCTGCCACGGCCCTTGTCATCACGGCGCTCCTTGCTGCGCGAGCGACTCCTGCTGTGCTCCTTCTTCTTGTAGCGTCCAAACAGATCCTTCCGCAGACCCCTGCGCAAAACCCACACCTTTAGTGAGAGGGTGAATAAGAATCAGAAGCTGGCCTGCCAGCTTGCGTAGGAACACATTCCGGAGGGCCTTGAATGCAGTAGGACATACAGGGTTTTCCTTCCATGGGGCAACAGCAAGCAAAATGCCGACAAGAAGGCACCTAAGGATGGTGACACGTCTGACATCATGCATTGCATGATTGCATGTTGAACCAACAAGTGATTGACCAGAGGTCCTTTATCACAGCTTCGCCACCCATCAAACGGCCACAAATGCAAGCAAACAAAGTGCTTTATTAATAGTGCTTTGTTATTTGACAATTTACGGCCTGATACGGAACAACCATCATTCGACCACAGCTCCGTTGGCTAAGCTTTGCCAGCCTTGCCAAGGCCACAGTAGCAAATATTGGTTGGTTTTTATCAGAGAATTTCTAGAAAAGATGACTCACTTGGAGATGGGCCGCAGGTGCATGAAATTGCAGTAGCCGCCGCGGGTGCACGTGTTCTCCTCGTACTGCCGGCACGTGGCTTCCCGGAAGTCCGTTACTGGCGAGAACTCGATCATTATCGGCCGCCCCGCGTAGAAGCGCCCTGTCAGCCCCTGCAGCGCGCGCGCGGCAGCATCCTCATCCCTGCACAGGCGTTCCCTCTCTTGTTACCACTGTTACTACACCAATGACCTTGTACACAGGGTCTGAGGGCACACCGCTAATACATCTACTACGAGACTACTATTAATACTGTTATATCAATTGTTCTGATTCAGTCATATTGTTCTGCCATAGGTAAAGTGCGTCTGCAGAGAAACTGCAGGCAGATGCTGCAACACATGCTACCCCTTGATGGACTTCCCAGATACGAGCAAGACCCAATCAAGTGATGGCACGGTGCTCAGTACTTGTGCCGGCCCTTGCCCAGCCAAGCCTTACTATTGCACCTAAATAGCACTGAACGTTCTGGAAAATGTCATGCTGGAACATGCACATAACATTGGGCGCAAGGCTGCCAATAGTCAATGAGAGAAGTGCAGTTTGAGGGCACTAGATTCCTGTAAGGATCTGCAGGGTGACAAGAGAACACCATGAGCCAAAGAGGAGTGAGCAGGAAGGGCTTACACAAACTTGATGTACACATTGCCAACCATGTGGTCCGCCAAGTTGTCGCAGACGTTCAAATGCTCTATCTGGCCGTACTTGTCCATCTCCTCAAAGATGTCTTCGTAAAAATCCTGCACAGTTACATAATTAGCCACAAACTCTGAGTATTAACCAATGTGTGTTTTGAAATGCTGCTTGAGAAGTGAAGCTCTACTCAATCTGCGTGCTAGGACCATGCACTGCAAAGCATCTCAGGAGACAAAAATCCACAAGAAGTTGAGGAAGGTGAGGAGAGGCGACTACTTTGTAAGGCATGCATACCTCGAAATGCTCTTGCGACTTGCGCGCATCCACGGGCATGGGCAGGCCATCTGGCCCAGGAGGAGCATTTAGGGCTGGGTTCTGATACAGATTAGGCAGCAGCAGAGTGGGACTGATGGTGGGCCTGTTGTGCAACCGCGAACAGCGATCCCCGTGCCTACACGCCCTGCAGACGATAACAGCACACGTTCAGTCACTATTTGGAAAGCAGAGAAGACTCGAGCCCACGCAGAAAAGGAAGGTAGGCTTGGATCCACAGCGTCAAGAACCGAGCGCCGAAGGTCGATTGTAATCTGATCTGAATGGAGCCTTGTGCTCCAAAAACTATCTCGTACAGTAGCAGGAGGATGACTCACGTAAAAATGCAGAATGTTCTAGGTTCTTCTTCACTGATCGAGTGAGAAGACAACAACGGCAAGAACCGAGGCCGTCATGAGCGATAGATGACGTACCCGATCTTGAAGTAGAAGGGGCAGTTGACTCTGTCCTTTTCTGTGCCAAAGATGGATGCCAAATGTTCTGCCATGTCGCCTGAGTCTCAGCAACACCGTCGCCAAACTTTTCAATCTGTTCCTCCTTTCAGCTCTCTCTATCCAGCTTGGTAGCACCTTGATCCAGCAGCAACCTGCCACAATTGGATCGTGTAGCACGGTGAGACGGACAATTGTGTGGAATGATACTGGGAAAGAGCACAACATGAAAAGGCAGGCAAGTATGACGTAAGACTTCATGACATAAGCCAAATTAGGAAAGCTGATCACTGCGACATCTCTTTCGCACTCCGAAAGCAAGAATGCTTCTAATAAGCCCAAGAAAACTACAAATTTTTCATCTGAAATTTGATACTAGATCATGATTGCAATGCTGAAGATAGGGAGGCAGTAGCCTCTCATTTGGGCAATTCGATGTACAGAAAAATCTTCGGTAGTATTGCATCGCGTGGGATGAGGCCATGTACGAAATTTCAATCTTGTTTAAGATCTTCTGTTTACAGCCATCAGCGCCGACCTCGCCTCAGGAGTACAATCCATACGTGAGCAGCTTCCACGGCATTGCTGTCTGCCCGATCCATTAATGCGAATGAGAAGCTTTGCAGAGTTTACAAAGCATAATGTTTATCTCTCATAATTTGGTCATGCTAGGATCAAGGAATTGCCTGCAGATCTGATGATACAAGCATCAGTGGTGATTTCTATTTGCTTGCCAAGCAGGACAACAGCAGCTGCAGCTACAGTAGCTGAGCAGGGTCCCAAACAAGGCAAGAAGGCGCAGACCAGACAGGGCTCGAGCAGCTCCAGTGACAAAGACATCCGGGAGTTTCGCATCCAAAAGGTGCGATGCACTTGCTGGGTCGGCATTCTCAACAAACAATCGCATTTCCTTATTTCCTGGACTTCACATGAAGCAACAGATTGGTTGAAAAACGCTTTTCTTCATTCAGACTCCAATGTTGTGCATGTATGGGGAACAAGAGCATGCAAGACAGCGTATCAATGGAACGGAACGGAATGCAGGCTCAGGACTTGAGAAGTGCTGGGAAGGAGCCGTATGCATACACCTATGAGCGCACACACATGGCAGCGGCGCTGCATGAGCAGTTCAGGGATCTCCCTGATGGGGAAATGGCAGACCTCCAGGTGTGAACTCACCTGTGCCTTACTATAAGAAAAGACATTTCATGCATATGAGAAACGAGTGAATGTCTGACCCCTAAATCGTGTATACTCAAGCGATCCTGTAGATATTTAAATTGCCTTTATACTGGCCATCTCCAATGACCCTTAAGGATGGAGACCTCCAAGAAGCACCTGGCATGAGGCACTTCCTAAAGTTTCTCAGGAGAGAGTCAGAACTGGATTTGCTGATTAGGATGGCCGAATTTTTGACATAGTACAGACCCATCAGAAATTTGCAACAAGAACTTGGATGATGAGAGACTGTCTATAAGACCATTGCGCCTCAGGTGGCTCTCAAGAGTTCCCTAAAGTGTGATCATATCGTTGTTGCAATTTGTAATTCAAGTTTGAATTCAAATTTGGGCAGGGGGAGGAGGTGGCAGTAGCTGGGCGGGTGATGGCTAGACGTTTCATGGGCAAGCTGGCATTCATGAGCCTTGTGGATGACTCTGGGTCCATTCAGATCTACCTGGACAAGGCTGTGCTCGATGCTGCAGAGGAAGACACCTTCAAGTGAGCTCCCGCAACTCAGCTGTTCCTTAGCCATGCTGACTGCCGGATTTGCATGGTTGCATGCAGGCAGTGTTTTTTAGTGAGTCTTTCCTTCGCCACAGATATTGTCAGCGCGTCTTTTCGGGTTGAATCAGTTGCAGAATAGGGCTGTGCAGTGGCAAACAAGACGCACCAGTTGCAAGCCAAATGCTTGCATGATGCCACTTGAACATGTAAGTTTTGACAAAGCTAAATTGTACATATTTGCACTGTGGATGCAGGAGTTTGAAGGGGTTGATAGATGCCGGGGATATAATTGGAGCGAGGGGGGGCATGAAACGAACAGAGAAGGGCGAGCTGAGCCTGGTGGCAGCTTCCGTGCAGATGCTGACCAAGTCCCTCGCGCCCCTGCCGGACAAATGGCACGGCCTGGCCGACATCGAGAAACGCTATAGGCAGAGGTGCGTTCTGCCGTAGCAGCTGTGTCACTTCTGACGAAAGCTGAGCATTCTATAGCAGGCAACAAGACACCCCTTTGCATGTGGTACTTGAGGGCTGCAAAGGCATTAGCAAGTGCGTCTCTCACATCACCCCTCTGTCTGTCCATTAAGTGTTTATTCCTGGCTTGTGTGAAAGTACTCTGGCACCAGACCTGTAGGCCATAGTGGGTTGATGCGTCCATGAGAACCTGCAATAGTGGCATGTATTATTACTCTTGGCATCAATGCTGGAAGCATCTGGGAAAGAGCACCATGAAAGCTAATGCCGATGCAAGCATGCATGGGAAATTCTTAACACAAGCTTGGGATCATTCAGTTCATCAAATTGAATATTTGAATTTGCATGCGACAGGTACGTTGACCTGATAGTGACAGAGGGCGTGAAGGGAACGCTGCGCGCGCGTGCCCGCATGATGGGGGCGTTGAGGCGAACGCTGGAGGCGCGGGGATTCTTGGAAGTGGAGACGCCCGTCCTGGAAACATCGGCCGGCGGCGCCGATGCGCGGCCCTTCACCACTTTCCACAACGCCCTGCAGCAGCCTTATGTACTGCGCATCGCCACAGGTGCCGAGAATTACAATCTGCATTGTGCCCAGTCTTTGCTGGAAATGGCTTCAATGGGGAGAAGCACATTTTGCATATGGAGAGATACTTTGCATCCCTGTTTTATGCTTCATGCATGCCGGGAAAAAGTAGGTCATGCAGCGTTCCTTTCTTGAGTATGCTGCCATCTTGGAGCACTGGTGCCTCGTTAATGCTGCCCTTCATGCAGCACACTGCTTGCGAGATTAATCACAGAAGCCCCAGCTTCTTCTCGCTCTGGCCTGAGAAATCGCTCACTGTATATTTCTCTTCTTCTGAGCACAGCTGAAGCGGGCCCTGTTCACGGTGCTTCTTTATGAGCAGTGTGGCCGCCACACTATGGCGTGCAGAGCATAAAACTACATGAGTGCATCCTCTTCGGCAATCCTTGTTCTTCCCTATCATTTTTAATGTTGCTTCCTTCTCAGTTGCTTCCCTTTTAGAGTAATCAAGTCGTGCACACGTTTGCAGAGCTGCACCTGAAGCGGCTGGCGGTGGGGGGAATGGAGCGAATCTACGAGATCGGACGCGTGTTCCGCAACGAGGGCGTCTCCACGCGCCACAACCCTGAGTTCACCACCCTCGAATTATACCAGGTATCCGCGCGCCCCCTGCCCGAGTGTGGACAGGGGCCTCTAAAGCAATTGATCGTCGGCTGATAGTTGATTTGGAGTCCCCTGGTGTGGAACAAGTGAAAGAGAGTGCCATGTGGCGAGTGCCATGCTTTTTCCCCCACCTCCTGCCGAAACGGTGCTGCATGCATGCTTTCCATGTTGCACAACAACGGATAAGCAAACTTAACTCCCCACCCTGGAGCTCTACCAGGTTTCAGACCAATTTATCATTGCACCCTTAGATATAACTCAGTGTTGTTGGGTGAAACCCAGAACCTCAAGACCCGATGGGCTGTGGAAAGAGGGTGACAGCGACCATGCATTTCAGGGCTCAGATGGAAAACCTCTGGCCCCCGTGCATGGACTGTTGTCTCCATACCTTTCTGTCTTCGCATCGGCGTCTTGATGTTCTGCGTCAGACAATATCAAATCGCATGCACTCAGCCAGCTGCTGCCGAGAGCATTGGCTACTACCGATTGAGGCAGCCTTCAAAGGCTGGCCTGAATAGAGAAAAAATGCCGACCGCATGCATCAGCAAATGGGGCATGTGGGCGACATTTTTCACCAGGAGAGCCCAGGCTGTGTCGACAGAATCCTGAACAAATTTTCGTTTCTTGCGAAAGACTGCCTCCAAGACCAATGAGCCTCAGGTGGCTCCCAACAGGTCTCTAAATGTAATTCTAATAATATTTGGGTTCACACCTTCCAAGAGAGCTAGGATCTCCCAAGATGACAGATACATGACTGATGGAGATTTGTACAGGCGTATGCTGACTACCACGACATGATGGATCTCACAGAGGATCTTGTCAGGGCAGCAGCTGCTGAGGTGGCGGGGTCACATGCCGTGGTGTACCAAGGACAGTCCCTTGACTTCGGGCCTGCCTTCCGACGAGCTTCCATGCACGACCTTGTGAAAGAGATCACAGGTGTGCCTAGGTCGTTCGTACTGCTGTCTACTTTGTGAGTGTAGCATTGCTGTCAGATTAGAAAGCAAATAGCTGCGCTGCAATAGGAGGCTTGGAAGACTGACAGCGCGTTGCGAAAAGGGCGACATGTATCCCAGGGTCCTTTGCGTTGCTTTTCTTATTTTGTCGGTGCAGGAATGCTGTCGGATTCAAGAACAAATAGCTGAGCTGCACCTCAGTGTTGGATATGCGCCGGTTTGCGCCATGCATACCGGCATAGCTGGTAGGGCAAGCAGCGAAATGGCAAGTGTCGGAGGGCAGCTTGTTGAAGCTGAAGCAGGCATGTCATTTGGCAGCAGAGTGACTTGGATTGACATCCCAAAAAATTACCTGTGCTGCTGTGCATAGGCCTCGACTTTGCAGCGTTTGGCAATTTAGAGGATGGCAGATCAGCGACACTAGCATTCAAGGAAACCAACCCGGCATCCTCCCTCACTATAAAGGCCGTCAAGGGAGCCTCCAGCCTCGGCGTTTTGCTCAACGGTGAGAGCCACCACCCTCAGTAAACAGCCCTGCTCGCATTACACTACTGGAGTCCAGCAAACAATCAGCAATCAAAGCGTGCTGGCCTTCCTTTCCCTGCCCAAAGTTGAGCGTTGTGCAGCAAGCCCTTTCTGTGCTTATGAGCCCTATTCGATGTGCTGGTGGAGTGTTCACCTGCAGAAGGTCTTCAAGCTCTGTGTGCATTCCCGCAGCATTCTTGTCAGCCACCTAAAGAAGGGCTGTGCTGCAGAAATGCATCTTAGTTTGAAGTTCTCTGCAGCAACACGCGTCAGAGCACAGCAGAATGGATATAGCCAAATTGCGTGACACTATCTAAGCGTGTCCTCGCAATCTGCTGCAGAGGTGTTTGAGGCGGAGGTGGAGCAGCATTTGGTGCAGCCCACGTTTGTGATCGACCATCCGGTGGAGATATCACCCCTCGCCAAGCCGCACCGCGCCAAGCCCGGCCTCGTGGAGCGGTTCGAGCTGTTCATCTACGGTGCGCGCCCTTTTCTGCCCCTCGCTGGCGTTTGTTGCTGCGCACAGAATCCTCCAGCACTTCCATGCCTTTCACTGCGCTTATTAGGGCGCAGCTATAAGTGTACTATTCTTATCACACACGCCTTTTTTGCCAAAAGGCAAGGTTTGTCTCGCAAATAAACTGCAATTGAAAGGCTGCCGCAATCCTACCCCTCGTTGGACTCGCCAGATCCAGATCCAAGCATCAACCGGGTGCTCACTTTTTATACCGCCCCCGCCAGCCGGGGCCCAATGTATGCAAGCAAGATAAATGCAGGATGGTCGTTGCCGGCAGTGCATCTGGTGCCAGTTATAACACCCGTTTTGGCAAAGTCTGCTATTTCTCAGGGCATGACCGGCAGGCCATGGCATCATTGCGGCATGGCTTGTGTTCTCTGCCTTTTTGCTCTGCATGTGCAGGATCCTCAGCCGGCTTTCCTAATGTGCACGTGTGCATCATGTGAGAGACAATGACTGGAGAAATTGATAAAATTCTTTATAATTGCTGAAAGCTGGGCGCGAGCTGGCAAACGCGTACAGCGGGCTGACAGAAGGAATGCATAAGCAGCATCACAATTTGTGCGTATGCACCCACTTGCTGATGTAGCTGACCTGCAATAAAATTGCGCAGGGCGCGAGCTGGCGAACGCATACAGCGAGCTGACGGACCCGGTGGACCAGAGGCAGCGGCTGGAGGCGCAGCTGACCGAGCGGGCAGCCCGGGCAGCCGCCTCCGGGCAGCCCAGGGGCGTCCAGTCCGGCATCCAGCCGGCTGGCACTGCCGCGGCAGCCGCCAGCAACGGCGCGTCGGTCGCTCCGACCGCGGCGGCAGAGCAGGATGACGACGACGACAACTATGAGGTGGGTGAACATGCTGTAGATTTCTGGTGGCCCCAAACGCTGATGTGGCTGCAGACGCCCGGCATGTCTGCCCTGTGGCCGACGGCTTTGGGTTTCCTGTCAAGGTTGGTGCACACCGGCACCGGTGTTAACTTGGCAAGATTCGGGTTCAGAGAGAGGGGTGCATGGCGTGGCAGTGGAAAGAGCCGGGCTTTCTGAAAGGCCCAGGCGTGGCTAGGTTTGGGAAGAGGTAGAGGCAGTACTTGGTGCAATAAGAGTTTCCAAGCTGTTGGAGACTGCGCCATGAGTGTAGGACGTAGCAGCGGTGTTCAAGGAGAGAACATTCAGAGCTGCACTGCAGCCTCTTTATACACATCATCATTGCTGCTAGCATTCTCTGCTCACTTGTTCGAGTAATTGTCAAAAAGAAGCTTTTAATTTCTGATGCTTGTGTGCAACCGTGCAGGTGGTCCTGGATGAGGACTTCATCAGAGCGCTTGAATATGGACTGCCGCCCACTGGCGGCATGGGGATGGGATTGGACAGGCTTTGCATGCTGCTGACTGATTCTCCCTCCATACGCGATGTCATAGCCTTCCCTCTACTGAAGAGGCTCAATGAGTGATGAGGGATGACAGGCTTGGGCTCATTGGACATGCTTTGCAGGCACTTCTTATCGAGATTTTGACACCGTGAAAAGTAAATAAGCATTGTCTACTTTCAAGCCTGATAATGGTGCCGCTAATTGTAACGATGATGCTGATTTTGAGTAATCTCAGTACTTGTATATTGCAGAGGCTTTTGGAGAAGCTTCCAGGCCTACAAACTTATACGGAATTACAGGGAGCATGAGATCCTTGAGAATGATGCCCTTCTTAGATCTCCATTACATATGCATTCGTTTCCCAGCTGGTCCGAGGCCCGCAAACACAAAGGTGCATACCTATGAAGAGCTGCAACATGTTCAAGACACTCTTTTGCCTTCCACAAACAACTTGAGGCAAAGGTATGATGAGGGTCGCATCAGATGCATTGCCATCGATATATGTTCAAGCTGAAGAGGACTATCCTCAGATGCTGGGGACCCCAGAAGTCTTATAAGATCCAAATGACTCGGACAAAAGGACACTGAGACGCCCCCAATACTTGGGTGATCACTGCTGTGTACTGCCGGATGCTTCTCCAGCTTCCCTTGCCTTTGTAGCTGCACTCACAGCTCTGGCCTCGTCGGCAGCGTTTCTGATCTGCACAGCACAGTAAAAGATAAGCCTCATCGGATTCCCAGGAGTGATATTAACTATTACTAAAATTACACGCTTTTCCTGCCAAGAGGCAAGGTGCGCCCTGCAGATGAGCTGCAGTTGAAGGCTGCCATAATCCACCCTTTTGATGGACTCGCCGGATCCAAGCAAGACCCAAACAAGCGTGGGCACGGTGCTCAGCATTTATACCGCCCCTCGCCAGGTGGGGCTAAACGGGGCCGGGGCCAGCCGGGGAGTGATAATTAAGGCTACAGAATATGCAGATAGACCGGATAGACATCCATATCACTGACTCAACATGTGCTGATGGCGAGGCATACCTGGGCCTTGGCAATGTGTCTGTTGGTAATTTGGTGGATGACAAAACCACAAAACCCTCCAATGATTATGGACATGATGTCCATTTTCCAGTCGTAATCTGTTGCAAAGCAAGAATAAAGGAGGCCCCCGGTTGCAATGCCCAGGCTGTAAGATGATTCAATCAGCCCTGCAGCGCACAGCAGAACATAAGCGCACTGGCCAATATTGCACAATTTAGAAGCTTGGCCTTAAGCCAGACGGGACTCTTTTAGTCTGCTGAGGCGTGCATGAAAATGAAAGATGGTGTCTTGGAGAATTTACCGTCTGGGAGTATCAAAATTGCTGCACGACCTATCACGTATACCATGGATAGCACCATGATTCAGGCGCCTCTGCAGCTCCGAGCCAACTTTGTGATTCACAGAAACCAATGCGAAACTGCTAATGGCCAGTGCTCCTTGATTCAACAAGAACCACCTGCATACTGCTAAGGAATCAATCTGTAGACAGTGTCTTTAAATGAAAAGAGTTCGCAGGTGGGAAGGTGTTCCCACCTGATCTTACGAGCTTTTGTTTAATTCGATACGAACGACGAACAATGAAGGTGTGAAAGGGTATGTCACTCTCAATGAGACAAATTATACGTATATCAGCCAATAAACGGACTGATTAAAATGTAAATATGCCTATCCGCATCAACGTCTGGACACACAGGATGCCAAAGTGCTGTTGAACTGCAAGGGGATTGAAAGAAAAGAAGTACTTGAGCAGGTGCTGGCACATGTGCCAGCAACTAGTTCTTACCCCTTGCATTTCCGGCACAGCTACTGGTGCAAGCATCAATTGCCCGCGTTATTTGCCGCAAGGATACCCAATTGCAGGATTTTATATATCCGCTGAAACCCCGCGTCAATCAACGTAATACTCCCCGCTACTCCCTGCTGGTCTGCTTTATTCTTTCTCGTTCGTACTGAATGATAAACGCTCTCCTCTGCAGTCTTTCACACCTGCGCAAATATCCTCCTAATCTACTTTTCAGCACGACAGAAGGGGGGATCAAGGAGCATTGCCCAGTCGTCAGTGCAACTGAATCCTGTGAATCACAAGTTGTGCGTTGAGCTCCAGAGGTGCTATGTTTTGGTATCCACAGTGTTTCGAAATTATCTTGCAGGACGTTGATCCGTTGGCCGCAGTGGCAAGGAAGCCATGATCAGGATGCCTCCGCCAGACGGTGATTTCTACAAGGAACCACTTTTGTCTACTGATGTACGCCTTGGTACCTTGGAGAGTCCCTTTTTCCCCAAAGGTAAGCTTGTCAGATACGCATTATTTGACAGCAGGCTTATGTTTTGCGGTGTGAGCTGCAGAGCTTACCATTGCCTGTTACTGCCTGAGCATTGCGATCGGTTCTCTCTTGTACACCTCCTTCACAAAAGACCAAGACTGGGCGACTGAAGTGCGGGATATCATGTCCATATTCTTTGGAGCTTCTTGTGGGTTTTTGATCCACCGCTTGGCCAGAAAAATTGGGATGGACCAGGTACGCCTCACCACCACTTTGAATGTCTTTAGAGTCAGGCAATCAATCCCCTGGCTTACCCATTTGCTTACCTTGTACCCCAAACTGTTGCTCCTGGAGTAACCTCTGGCTCACCATTTGACGTGCTTTGTAGACCACGCCCAGTGCTGACGAGGCGAGAAGCATGAGTAATGCTATAAAGGCAGGGGAAGCTGGAGATAAATCGCAGCAGTGATTACGAATACGGCATGCATATGCTAGCACCACGCAAGGTGCGGAGTTGTGTAAGACGGACCCCCTTAGAGGAAATTTCAACTACAGAGCACTTGTGCATACTGTGTTTACATAATTGTGAAGAATTATACACAAGTGCATAAGAAGCCAATTGGGCTGCATTACAAGTACTGCCTCTACTAGATCCAGGGGGCTAACATGCCACCCAATTGAAAGGGTCTCCAGGCATCAAATATTTGCTGCTACCTAACATTAGCCCAGCATGATAGCAGGCGCTTTTAATGGGCCCTATGCTGGCGGCAGGGCAAAAAGTGAATAAGAATGAAACCAAGTGCCGAGCATCCCTTTGGGCATGATATGTTGGAGTTCTGTTTCTGTTCACATTTAGGTTCACACAGCAAGACCTTTTCCGGCGGTGCCAATCAATGTCCAGGTGTCGAATGATCTTCTCAATACCGTTGGCTTCGCACATCATAACCAAAGCTTACGCCCTGCAATGCATATGCCTCAATCCCAACAAATAAGAGTCCCCGAGTGCCCACTGCTGACACGTTCCTGGGTGGCGCGGCAATGTGCTCGCACAACTCAAGACTGCTCAGGGCATGCAGCTTAGAACTGGCAGGCATTACTGTGCCATCAGGACAAGCTTCCCGAGCTAGGCTTCAACGCCAACGCAGGACTAACAGCGTTACATGGACAGGGGTCCTGTTATCAAATCGTACCCAGCGAATGCAAGACATGCACCAGCATAGTACATGGCAAGTCGATCTGCATCATTCGGCTCACCAAGCTTCTCAGTGAGGTCTTTGATGGCGTCATTCTCAGGGCTCGTTTAGACCAGACATGCCAATAATAATCAAACATATGGCAGTGCCAATTTTGGCACAGAGCAAAGGGCAGGCATGCTTGATGAGTCAGACATGCCGATCATGATCAGACGCTGTGGCGCGGAGTGAAGCGCAGGAAGACATCGGAGGTGGGGGACCGAGCAGAGGGGGAGACCCCCCAGTCGACGGGGGATCCGGAGAGATTGGTAACATCGTAGTCACGCGCGACTAACGCCAGCAGTACCTTGGCTTCCATCATGTACAGCGGGTACCCCAGGCAGAAGTGGACGCCCATGCCAAACGTTGCCAGCGCCTGCATATCACATAATATTCCTCGCGAGGAGTGCCACAGGAAGATATCTATCAAGGCAATAGCCACTCGCCAGTCAAAAGAGCTTTTGTCATGCACAAACAGATCTAATGTCAATCAGTGCCCCAGCGCCTGCAGCTCAGAGGCCCTCTTTGTCAGCATCAGGATCCTTTATCACTGTATCATAGTGGTCATGAGCAGCTAGCGGTTGCAGCTCTTCGTTAGGCACAAAGTAACACAGAAACAAACAGCAGCCCGAACCTGCCAGTTCACAGACTCTTTTGCTAGACACAGAGACGGTGGGTTTTTGCCAGACAACTCAGTGACACAGAGGCAGTCAGCAGCCAGCACCCTGCCACAAACAGGGCATCAGGACAAACTCCATTTGAGGAACCAGGCAGCTGCTAAGTGCACGGTTTTGTTGCAAAGAGCCGGCATGTTTGGCACGAGGTCCGTATCAAGCCATACAGGACTTGCAGCCCTCTCCAGCCTCACCCAGCAATCCAATGCAGCTGGAAGTAAGCGTCAATCTTTGCGACACACATTTGAAGGGGGTGCAAATTAGCTGACACAGGCAAAGTGCAAGAACGACCTGCACAGGTGTCCTCTTGGCTGTCTTCACTCTGCCAATGGGGTTCTGTATAACTTTGAAAGAGCTGCACAGCTGTAGAACGCACCGAGGTGTCAAGCTTGTTGCTGTCATCGAGCCAGCGCTCAGGCCTGAAGGAGTCGGTCAGGTTCGAGATGTCCATGTGGCGCGGCAGGGGAGAATCAGCGTGATCCCCGGCGCTGACGCGCGGATCGCTTGCTTTGGCATACATCAGGCTTGCCAGGATCACAGCGCCCTTCTTGATGCGCTTGCCGTGCAGCTCAAAGTCCTCCTTCACCGTCCTGCACAGCCCGCATGCAATGGCTTCTAAAGCTGTTTGCTCATATGAGGCTTGCTTCGGGGATACTTCTCATGGGAAAGAGGCCTTGGGTTCTGCAAAGTGCGGCTTTTGTGGCTGTGTCTTGGACAAGTCTATGGCTGTGAAAATCTCAGCAGAATTTCTCGATGCACTTCATTGCCTGCATGATTATTTCATTATCGGTATAATGCTGTGTGCGTCGCAGACTGAGGGCCAATGTAACTCATGGGTTGCAGGCATTCAATGGAATGTGTCGTGCATTACGTCAGGCATTAGTAAGCAGACGTTAGTAATGAACCACTTGCCTGAACAGGAACTCTGCGGGCCCCCAGATGCGCAGCACTTCGCGCGCGACTGCGTCCGCGTATCGCATCTCGGCCATTGCGGCTCGGCTGAAGCCGGTGCCGTGTTTTGCCACAATCTGTGCCTGCTCCTCGCGCAGCTGCAACAGCAGAAACACACCCAAGCCACATCATCATTATTATTGTTATCATGATTACAATTACACGCTTTTCCTGCCAGAAGGCAAGGTACGTCCTGCAGACAAGCTGCAGGTACAGGCTGCCACTAATCCTACCCCTTGTTGGACTCGCCAGATCCAAGCAAGACCCAATCAACCGTGGGCACGGTGCTCAGTAGTTATACCATCCCCTGCCAGCCGGGGCCACATGAGCCACTGCTAATTGCACTCAGCCTGCTCCTTGCACAGCCACAGCAGCAACACACCGAAGCTACATCAGCCGCTAGAAGGTGCAACACGCCAGCTCCACGCAAAGCTGCAGGAGGAATGTCTCTTGTGGGCACTGACTGAGTCTGGCTGCCCAAAGCCAACACAGGCATCATGATGAGACTTTTCAGGGCAGCATGCAGCAAAATGTGAACTGTATTCGTGCTCAGAGAAGGTAGGCATTGGGGATGATGGCTTGCATTCCTTCTTTGAGGACTGCAGATGAGTTCAGTACCATTCACTCTTCATGCACCAATGCTCCACGCAAGCTCATTTGAGCGTTCCAGAAACTGGTGCTCTTTGATCTTCGGGGAATACACCGCTCAAGCAATGCAGATCTGCATGCATGCCTTACAAAAAGAAATCTCACCTTGTCCAGGATGACGGGTGGCAGGTCTGGCAAGATTCCCAGCAAAACCTTGTGGCTCTCGCGCGACGTATCGCTCCCGGCAAACATGAACATCAGCACGTTCATCTGCAAAGCCACAGCAGCCACATCAAGAGCCACTTTTGAAGTTTGCAGCCATTCTTCACTTCCAGACTTGCTGACGTTCTGTTTGGCAGATTAGAACTTTCCAATCATAGATTCATCTTCATGCATGTCTGGCATGTGCTTACTGTATACATGCCATGTCTTGCCGTTCCCAGTCAGAAACACACAAGTTCTCCTCACATGCTCATAGGTATCCTCTTGCATGACATGACCCACATGTTTCAGGGGTGTGCCACATGCACCGAGAACTTGTGACATGCAGAAGCTTCTACAGAGATCCTAAAACCCCGACACCCAATATTTTTTTTTAGTTCATACCAGCAAACGCTGAATTTTCCTCACCGAGAGGTCGTGCACGTCCAGGGGCTCTCCGTCCTCCACCTTGGCTGAGGCGAAGAAGGACAGCAGCGTGTCTTTGTGCACGTTGCCTGCTTCAAACTCCGCCTTCTTGGCAGCTACGCGGTCCCGGATGGCATCCAGAATGAAGTCGCGCGCGCGCTTGGCTGTGTTGTAGGGCGTTCCCGGCAGGTCCAGCTGCATGCATGCGCAGTTACTACCACCAGTAATGCACTAGTAACATCATTAGTGTTACCGTTGCCACCAGTACCTGTGTTCCTGCCGATGAAGGCCATGAGCGCCTGCAGACAAGCTGCAGGTAATGGTCGCCACACATCAAGCCCCTTGACGGACTCGCCAGATCCAAGCAGGACCCATTCAAGCGTGGGCACCCAATCTTTGTCATTAATGATAGTACCCATTTCTGCCGGAGGCAAACAAGCCCTCTGCAGACAAGCTGCAGGTGAAGGCTGCTCCGTAATGATAGGACGCAGGTACTTTATCAGTATCGATCTACACTTGTCATTGCCCAGACGTCTTGACAGCAACGAGGACATGATTTATTGCTGCATGTGGCTTGAGGAAGGATGACAACCATCTTCTGGCCGAGCAATCAACTGCACTCCATTCCCAACACTCACAGTTAAGAAAAGCACAGCTCCCACTTGTATTTTTAGCAGCTGAGCTTTGCTGCACTGGGCAGGTTGCTCCTTCATAAAGAGCAAGGGACAAGGTTGCGCGTATCCGTTGCAAATGTAAGGAGGAGTATATTTTGCTGACAGGATCGTGCACTGAATTGCAACCTACTGCAGAACTTTCAACCCAAGCCTGTTCAATTCAGGCCTGTTTGTCTTCCGAGCCACAAAAGGATTATGTGTCAGAAACGGTGCTGTTGCTGTGGGCCGTTTCAATGGCGTGCGACCTAATGACTCCACAGAGCTTTTGCATGCAGCGCAGGTTCTATAAAGCACCTGATAGAGGTGAAGATCCAGAAATGGCTCTTGGAAGAGGAGATCACGCGGCAAAGCCTGGGGATCTGATTGTGCTTGACTCTCAGGTCTGTCATAGCCTTGATGGCCCCTTTCACTTTCTTTCTATCAATTCTTAGACAACCGTGTGAGTGTCCCCCAGAGGAGGCATTTTAAGGGCTGGTGCCTACCATGAATGTGATGGAGTTGGAGCTGAACTCAGTCCACTTCTGCAGGAGCAACGCCTTCTCCTCCCCCTTGATTCCCAGGCCCACAACCAGGCCCTCGGCAAAGTCAAACGCCAACTCCTGCATCTGCACTGCCCCAGCACAACCTTATCAGTAACCACAGTTCACAAGAACCTCATGTCTTCCGGTAGAGACCCTTTCCTCCAAGGTGCTGAATTTCTGACGGGATTTGGACTGTAAGAGCAGTGCTTCTGAGACTGGCACTTGAACACTGGAACGTGTACAAAGGCACTTCCACTCAAGTAAGTGTCATATGGCTTTCGGACAGATCTTAAGATTCGATTGCTGACATCAGCAGCGGCAGGAAAGATATTGGGGCCATTCAATTGTGATCAAAAATCCCTTCAGGAACTTCATCAGGACTGCACCGCGGGTATGAGGTTAACGCGTTCTTGCGCAGACCAGCTATTGAGGTATTCCTCGCATGTTTCCACCACTCGGGGCAGGTAAGCATCCATTGCATCCGGGGTGAACGCCGCGCCCTGCTGCCTCCTCTGCAGCACACAGAGAATATCAGCACGTCTGCCTCGCTGGCTTCTACATACTTCAACATGACATTACCTATTTATAAATGGAAGCCAGCACTGCCAGCCTTGCTGGTATCCATATCCACAGATCAAGCAAAAGATTCACGTGAAGAGGAGCTCAGCAAGTGTGCAAAAGGCATAAGTGCCCTGCTGGTTGAAGATAACCTTCCAGAAAACCTGCAGCGATGTCTTTGCCAGCATTGCTTGTCTAGGAGTCAAGATGGCAGATGGAGAAGAGCAGACAAGCACCTGCTTCATGTGGGACGCCTTGTGCTTTGGAGCGCCCATGAGCTCCTCGCCACACAGCGCTTCCAGTGAAGGCGCTGTCATCCATTGCGTGAGCTTGTGATCTCCCCCAAACACCTGCACGCACCCACTTTGACTTTGGGGACTACCCATGTTATAGGAAACCCCGGCATACTTTCGTTCATCCCGTAGCATGCGCGTTACTCCAATTCAGTAAGACACATGCCTCCAGTTGGCATACTGCGAGCCAAACTGTGCATACCTTCTGCAGGCCTCTGAAGTCTGTGACCACCACAACATTTTCCCCAAAGATGTTGCTTTTAAAAACCGGACCAAACTTCTTTACCCTGCAGCCAACAAGTCCGGCAATCAGGAAAATACACACCTCATCAAGAAGCCAAGGTGGAACCGTTCGACCTGAAGAGATCTGCCCCAATACAGGACAGCTGTGCTAAGGTGCATTGCAGCAAGCGAATTGAATGCCTACCTTTTGTGTGCCCATTCCCAGTGGTTTGCTTTAAGCTCTGCCGTCTCTCCAATGAAGGGCAGGCAGAAATTGCCATCTGGCTCTGGCAGGTCTTCCAGAGGAGTACCTGCTTCGGTCTTATCCCATGCGACACCTCCGCTTGTGCTTGCAGCACCCGTCTGAAAGTCCCCACTGCTGAGTGCTGCTGCAGGATTGCAACGCTTCTTCTTGCTGAGATGGGATGACAGAACAGGGACCCTGGGGGAACGCATGCAAACAACAACAATAAACGCATATTGAGCATCATTCTGATGATGCAGTATGATAAAAAGCAGCAGCTGAGAAAGACAAGCTGGTACTGTGAAGAATGCACTTGCCAAGACAAAGAGAGGCCCTGCGAGAGGCACTTGGATCCCACCTCACGGGAGGCACAGCAGAAGATGGCGCTTTGACGGGAAGTGGAGCATCGCGAAGGGATCTGCATGCACTGCGCGACGGGAGTGAAGAACTCCAACCCGCCATGCTTGTGATCTCAATTCAAGCGGTAAGGAGACCTCCCGAATAGCACTTCAAAACGCCTCACCACGTTTGTGTTGATTCATAAGGAAAACCTCGTCAGAATCTCGGTGGGAGAAAGACGAAATCGTAACTCTCTAGTTGCATTCACGTTAACCCACCACAAACCCTGCCCAATGGGAAGCTGGAAGAAGCTGCAGCAGCCTGCGTTCCCAGCTGGCAACTGGTGGTGATTGCAGACTGCATGGTGCCAGCCCGTGCTTCCATATCTTTGCTTGCTCCTGTGAACGATAAAAATACTAGTGACGCTGCAATAGAATGGTGCTAAGCCAGTAAAACACGAACATGGACACGGAAACGTTTCCGGGTCGGTAGGTTCTGGGTTCAAGTCCGGGTCTGGCGCAATAAAAAGGGCTCAGTTCTTTTGATTCTTTTTTTTTTTTGATATAACAAACTGTGGCCCTCTCTGGGCGATTTCCTCAGCGTTGTCCCTACATGGGAGAGACATATGTCAGGTATTCTGTAATACAGGAGTTTTCATTCGGTCTCTGTTTTTTTCATATGTCTGTTTCCCTGCAAGGCAGAAGAGGAAGTTGATCTCGAAATTGTTGTGTCCAGACCCCTTTTTGACAGAAACTTCCAGGTCAGCCCGTTCTGAGCTAATCCTAACAGTTTGCCTTTGACAAGTGCCTTACAAGTGTGCCTGTGCAAAGCGTTGAAAACAGAAGACATAAAAGACTCAGGAATAATCATTACAATGCCCAAGCACTTCTCCACAGGCTGCAGCCCGCCCACAAAATATCATGCGCTGGCTCACAGTCAGTGTGACAGCTGACAAAGCCACATATCAATCGCTGGTCCATCCTGATAGCAGCACTGCTGCATTCTGCAAAGAGCAGCTGTGAACAGGAAGCGCTGTCTTCAAGTTGACTTCACGAGAGCAGGAGCCACCTGCACACGAAATCGCACTTCGATGAGATTTAGGTCTGTGCATTCTGAAATACATCCTGGCCCCAGAAATGCCTGCATACTAAACGCGTCACCATATAAGAGGTGTTGCAACGCTGCTCTAGACTTCAAACCAAGATATGGCTGGCTCCTTCTTTGGCACCCCAGCCAAAGCCCAGCTTCCCTCAATTTCAAACAAAGAGCTCATGCTGGAAGATTGCAAAGGTTGCAAGCTAAAACGGGAACCTTTGCAGATCCCAGAACTGCATGCACATCGATACCTAACAGATGCATGCCCCTGAGATTGTTCTGGTATGCTGTGATTATTCTGCAGTGCTACAAAGCCGCAGAGGTCCCTCAAGGGAGGTTCCTGCCCCATCGCCTGCATGCCTGGAATGCTTCTGCCCTCTTGAAAGAACCTCACTCGGCCTGCCACACTGTAATCTGCAGCAGTACGAGCCTCACCTCAGGTCTGCACGCCCTCCTTGACGATATCGTAAGGGATGGGGGTCACGGTCTGCGCCACCACGTTCAAAATGGTGAAGCCCTCGCGCGGCTGCACGATGGCCCGCTTGCACTTGGGCGGCTTCTCTGCAGACAGCACCGACACACTGCTCAGATTCTCCCTCCAATGAGCCTCAATTACTGCCGCTGTGTCAGAGCATCAGGATGTGGCAGCCTGGATTCGGATGGCTCACTGAGACTTTCCCAAATTGCTGCAAACCTACTGCCCACTCCACTGTTCTTGGCAAGTCCCTTCCTCCTCAAAACACCACAAACTCTATGTCCCAAAGGTCCTCAACAAATAGTCCCTTTCCTTGCACATTCTCCTCAGGATAGCATGCTCTCATAGGACTCTTGTTAATGACCCTCCTGGCAACAGATCCTGTCCTTTGCTGCTTACTTGGGCATGCCTAATCACCAACTTAGCACGCCCTCTGTCTCTGCCCTCCTTACAGGCCCTGAACAATGCCAGCTTACAGAAGGGGGGACTGTCAAATGCAGATCCTTCTCGAGCACTAGTAATCTTCCAGAGGACACACATAGAAATAATATCCCTCTGCAGCACGAGCGCTCTTCCAGAGGATGCACGTTTAAATCAAATGCTCCTCGAGCTTTAGTGATCTTCCAGAGGATGAGCACAAACCCCATTCAGCCACATGAAGCATCTCCTCACACACATGCAACACCCCCTCCGCTTACTGTCATCCTCCTGGGCCACATCTTCATGCAAAGACCATGCTGTGTGTGTGATGTGCTCTCCAAAGGAGGGATAAAAAGATCCCAGGTGCACTGAATCCCACAGGCGTCTGGTGCACACAAATGCCCTCTTTGCATCTGTCATTGCTGAAATGCAGGGCTCACAAAAAAACACCACTGTATGGCTAAGAAGTGGGCACTTACCACCGCGCTCCTTGGCAGCGTGCTTGACGGCGTCGTTCTTCTGCGTGCGCGCGAGGAACTCCTCTCTGCAGCGGCTGGGCGCCACGTGCTCGATGCGCACATGTATGCGCTTCCTGATGATGCGGTTGCCGATCTGCGCAGATCACAGACATGAGCTTCAGCAGCTGCACACAAGCAAGGCCCATGCAAGCCGCAGCTTTGCAGCTTTGCAGCTTCTCATGCTGCACTCCCAGACCCACATGCAGGAGGCCACAAAACTGCCTAAGACTGCGCAGAAAATTGCCAGCGATGCCTGCCTACGCCACAGCTTTGCAAATTACCGACGCTGCAGTTCTAGACCCACATTCTAGAGGCCCCACAAAAGTGAGACTTGGCAGCCCTCTTGCCAGCACAGCATGTTCCAGCCTCAGCGCTACCAACAGCTTGCACTGATCTTAAGACTCCCAGCTGTTTTTTTGGATGTCACCTCCGGCATAGCAGGAGGACGCATTAAGCCATCTTCAACCCACACAGGAACTTTCTCTTTAGCATATGAGAGGGCCCAGGCAAGCGAGCGATGACAGATGAGGCTGCGCAGCCACAGCAGCAGCTTCTTCTCTAGTGCTCCTGTGGGCAGACAGTAATACGGGCTGCCTTGGAGACTCACCAGCTTGTTGACCTCCACTCCAAGAGCGCGCTTGGTGACATTCCACACAACGCCAGTCCTGCCATGGTACACCTTGTGGGGCATACCCTGCAGTAGCAACAAAAAGTCTAGTCAAGGCTGAGTCCGGGGATGCACAGCGATATCCCACGTCCTGACACCTGCAGACCGTCGACAGTCCATGCAAACATGACAACTGATTACTCGCAAGCAGCAGCAACTGTGGCTTTGCCAGTCTCCCATCACGTCTCCATGCCACATCCCCACCATTGGTCCAATGCTAAGCTGGACTTACCCTACAATCGCTGTGCCATACTCCAAAATGTCAGCAGCTAGCTGTCAGGTGTGGGCTGAGCAATCACCTTCTGCACTGCAGAGTTCACTTTGATGTCCACATAGTCCCCGATCTTGTATGTGCGCAGGTACACTGACAGAGGAATGTAACCATGTCCACGGAACGGCCTTGAGAAGGAATCGCGCGTGCGCGCCCTAGTTCCGTGTCCAGCGGGCATTTTTCCTGCAGCAAGGAGACATCATCGGTGAATAGAAGCAGGCCCAAAATTTGCTGCGAATTCAGCAATCGTAGATCACCACTGCTACCTCAAACTATCTGTAAGCACACCGCACAAGATCTTTTGCATATTTGCACAATGCAATATGGTCAGCACAGGACAATGCGACACAAGTACACTTGTTGAGAATCTGTGAAAGGGCATTTCGGTGTGCTCACAAGTACCGTGGGAACATAGAGCACGTACCTTGCCCTGATGGTCACGGATCAGCTGTCTCTTTCCTCCTGTAGGTCCTGAAGTTGGCCGAGCTGGGCTTCTTGGCGGCTTGTGCAAGGACCGCCGGTGGACGGCTGGGCTGGTGACTCATTGGCTGAGGTGACTTGAGCACGTGCTCCGTTCACCGGCTTCCACCACCAGCTTCCCGTGCGTTGCGGCCTCAGGACAGCATCAAAGCACTTTTTGAAAGACAGAAACCCAGAGTGATTCATTTTGCGTTGCATCACAGCTCGCAAGATGGCTGTTGGGGCAGGACTGGGGAGTGCGGCTCTGCCGCAGGCTCGCTCTGGTCTGCGTAGCCGATCATGCATTAACCAAATGCCGCTGCAAAGACCTTCGCGACATGTGCTTAGAATACAAAGGACATGCAGAGCTTCTGCAACAGGCACCAGCAACGGAAAGGCAGAGAACACACGAGTCATCCGCGGGCCCTGCTACGTGACCAGAGATGTGCTGCCCCCTCAATCGCTTTGAAGATCCTGATAAAGACCTCTTCATGTGCACCGTGTTTCCCTTGCAGCATGATGGAATGTACGTGACGGAAGCAACTAACAAGTGTCTGGGTGTGTGGTGGCAGAACATTGACACTGACCAGATCATCCCAGCAGAGTATCTGACCCTAGTACCATCGAAGGTACTTTTCTAGATCTGTCTACATTGGCCCTGATCTCCAGTACCCCAGGGTCCTGGTGCTCTTTGCACTTATGCCATGCACTAACTGGACGGTGGATATTGAATTATGCAGCCAGAGGAGTACGAGAAGCTGGGAAGCTATGCCTTGATTGGTTTGCCAACAGAGCTGTACGAAAAACGGTGGGTGTCAATTGTATCTTCAAATCCCCAATGCAGCGTTTCTGCAAGCCCCCTGCTTCCCTCCGGGCAGATCATTGTTGAGCTGTTCACAGCTATGCTCAGGTCACCGCGATGGCTTGAGAAGTGTGTGCACCGGCAGGTTTGTGGAGGATGGACGGATGAAGACCGAGTACCCAATAGTGATTGGTGGGCAGAACTTTGGGTGTGGCTCCTCTAGGGAACATGCTCCCGTGGCAATGGGGGCTGCAGGTGAGCGTCTGTGGCACTATGACACCGCTTGAGTGTCTCATTCACTCTAGCTTGGGTGGGTCTGCTGGTATTCTGGGGCGTCAGCAGCAAGCCTTGTGAGCATGATGGAGGTTCATAGGAGCGCTGTGGAGTGAGGGTTTAGAATTAAGAAGTAACTTCACATGATGCGCCTTTACCTCTTATCAGTTTGCATGGAGGGTGGCTCTTGACAACCTCTGTGCTGCTGCAGGTGCCAAAGTGGTTGTGGCAGAGACCTACGCCAGAATTTTCTTCAGGAATTGTGTGTCCACGTGAGTCTTCTCCCATTTAGCACATAGTGGGAAATGCAAGACAGGACTAGAGTAGAAGATCTACATGTCTGCCTGGACCTCGGTGTCGCAGGGCCTGCCTTTGATTCTGCCGTTGCTAGGACTTGGCTACAGGTATTCCTCCCAGCCAGCAGTGGCCTTGTTGTCATGTGAATCTGCGCGCTCCTGGACTAAGAGCTGCCCTCCTTCAGGGTCGCCAAATCTTTGACGGAATGCAGACACACATTCCGAAGTTTGGGATATGAAACTGGGCAGTGACAGACTGCCTACAAGATCATTGAGCCTCAGATGGCTCCCCAAAGGTCTCTATAATGTAAGAATTTAACAATCCTTTCAGGGCAAATGGTGAGTAAGTCTTGTTTGGGTTCACAGGGGGGAGCTGTACCCGTGTGAGACAGATCTGAGGCTGTGTGAGGAGTTGGAGACTGGGGAGGAGGTTGAGGTGGACATGAACAAGGATGTGCTGACTGTGCTCGCCACCGGAAAGCAGTACCAGCTCAAGCCCATCGGCGAGGTGCGCGCATTTCGTGCATGTATTGTGATGCATGCATTTCATTCAGACCTCAAGGCAGCCCGTTATGTTAAGAAATGGCGCTTGCCCCGGCAATCATGGCTTCATTACTTCTGCTGAGCGTTGATGTGACGTGGTTGTAAGGGGCCTCGTATGTCCTTGCCTTCGGTCTTGATATAATGGGACATCTTTACTTAGTGCTCTCTGCAGAGCATCTTGAAGCCATGGGCTAATTGGACCTGGTTTCTTGTCATACCTCAGTGTGGATGATTGTTGTGATGCCCCTTAGTAGACTTGTACTCAGGATTGATCCTTTGTGTGCAACCTGCAGGCCGGACCTGTGGTAGATGCAGGGGGTATTTTTGAGTATGCCCGCCGGACAGGCATGATGAAGCTCGCTTGAGGGCGCTTGCGCATCTACCTCTGAATCTGCAGAGGAGCTGGTGGCAAGGCATCAAATGATACATACCAGTGTTCATGCTGCAACATGATGTTGAAGTTATGTTGACAAGATCTCCTGATGTGAGCACGAAAGCGAATGAATGATGCAATAGAGGGGGTTTGCAGATCAACAATTTTGAGTTGCCCGCACAGGCGATCATGAATGTCATTGTGTGACGGTTGCGCCTGTATTACACGATCATCAGCACGATGCCGTTGGCCAGTTCTGACCTGCTCAAAAACATCTCTTGCTTCAAGCAGCCCTCTGAAGAGAAACAAAGCTGCTAGATTTTTGTTTTGGCACCCAATACATCAGTAGTCTCTTAACGAAACCTCAAGGACGACGATCCATGCATGCACCCATGCATCCATACATATGTGTTTTGCGCTGCACCGAAGATCAGATTATTCGCTGTGCAAGCTTCTGCTCACTGAAGCCTCATCCTCAGGCTAGCATGCATTGAATTATATCACAGGGCTACTTGCAGACTCTCACAACTTTCCTTCTTCCTTCAACTCCTTTGCAGCTTCTTTCCTGGCCCAGGTGGTGATATTGGTGTCTGGCTTTGCGCTAAGTCCCACTGTGAGCATCACAGTAGCTGCCACCAGCGTGAAGTACCTGCCAGCAAATCTATCTTGTCAGTGCTAGACTTCATGATGATGATGAAGCAGTCGATCTAAAGCGACTAATGCAGCAAAGAAGACCACGGTCTCTCATCCTCTTACCAAGGCAACAGATCCACACGAGTGTGCTGCATATACAATTTCATCATGTGGATGATCATTTACGTGAATAAATGGAACAACAAATACGATCCTCCAAAATTGACGAGGTACTCTGGCCTTAGGAAGCCCTCACCAGGGGAGCTCCCACGATTCCCAGTGACGCTTCTGGCCGGGGGGCGGTGGACTCTCGTTGAACAGGTAACCCCCTGGCGTGTGTTTGCCAGGCGAGAGGAAGGTCTCTTTTGCGTGGCTATCAGCTCTAGGTCTGAGATTTCGCAGTGCTGAGGGTGCCAGCCTCTTCAGGAAAGACATGCTCCACCGGCAACGCGCCCCACATCAATCAGCACCCCATATGGCGCTCAAATATGGGCTGCTATTCTGCGAAAGCTTGCCCTGAGGGCGAGTCGAGTGCATGAGACAGGTCTGAAACGTAACCCTCAGTCAGCGCCAGCTCGGCGCTATCTTGATGGCTGTCTTCGAAACACCTTCCATCCAGATGCAGACCAGATGCACACTCAAAGTCGCAATACTTAACATATAAACGAAATCGCGATAGTCATGAGAGATCAAGCATAATAGTACAAAATGAAGGCCTTCGTCAGCAGCTCCACAGCAAAGGCATCTGCACACTCTTCCAGCAGGCCATCAAATCCTGCTTGCTCATGCAATAACTTTAGAAAACACATACAGAGACCCTGGATCGCTTACGAGTCTCCCAGCATCCGAAGGCGATGGAATTTGCAACACCAGTCAGCCGTCAGTGCAGGTTTGTGTGTCTCAACATTGGCCTGTAGCTTTCTTCGTGGCTTGACAGGAAGTTTGTCTTGGAATGATCTTCTCATTGTTCACATTGTTGTATACAAAGTGTAAAATTACTCCCCCGCATTGCAGGTGAGCTCAGTTCAGCAGACTTGCCACCTGAGGGCCCCGGAAGCGAGCAGCAGGAGCAGTATGACCTTTCAATAGACGTCTTCCCTCGCCTACACGAGAAAGACCCATACAGGTTGGGTTTCTGTGCTCAAGCACCCCTTGCGCTGGAGCCTTTTGGTGCTTTTTAGACACTTGCCACCAAACATGGGGTTACCTTGACGATGCTGTGTGGCTGCAGCCGGCTTGGGCTCGCAAGGGAAGCCTCCTTCGAGGAGGTGCAAGATGCCAGGAACTACTTGTACGAGGTGGGTCAAACTTTGTTCTCACATTGCAGCCTGGAAATACTTCGGTCTTGAGCAGGAAAATGAACAAGTCCTCTGTTGCAAAGCATGCATCTTTGTGTTGCAAAAAGGCACATTTATGTCTGGAAATTCTTTGTCTTGGGTCCTGGTTGCCGGGGGGCGGTATTCTGAGCACCGTGCCCACTGTTGATCGGGTCTGGCAAGTCCATCAAGGGGCAGGCTAGTGGCAGCCTTTATACGCAGCTTGTCTGCAGATGCACCTTGCCTCTGGCAGGAACAGCGTGTAATAAAACGCTTCATCATCGGGGCAAGACTCGAATTCAGCGTGTGACTCTGCGCAGACGTACAAGAGGCATGAGAGGAGCAGGGAGGCCATAGAGCTGGCCTATGACAGCATCCTGCAGGAGCGGATGAAAGTGCGGCACAAATACGGCTTCCAGCCACCTCGCAGGGGCCGCAAGAGCGATGTGCAGGGCGATCCCCTGGTATAAACCCCTTTATTATACCCATGCAGCTGCAGGCTTGAACTGTGGCGCTGTGGTGTGTTCCTCAGCATAGTAAGACATCGCCTGTCTGGACCCCTGACCCCTGTCCCTCTCCCCTGTCTGGACCCCTGTCCCCTTAGTTTCGAAGCCCGGCCAGGGCCGTTCAAGGCAGTAGCCATCCTGCTTTCAGTGCCCATCGCCAAAAATATGGCATGGCACCTGCATGCTTCAGCAGTGATGCCGCAGAAACCACCATGCATCGGATCTGTGCAAGTTGGTGGCAGAGCTGTGCAGAGGGGCGGAGTGATAGAGTGACTGAGGATTTGTTGGTGGGGTGTGCAGCCAACGGGCATCATTGGGAACATCAAGGAGAGGTTGGAACCATCAGTGCCATTGCCCACCATTGTCAACGACGGCTCCATTTTCATCATGATGGGACTCTGGTGAGTGCTGCAGCTGTACAAAGACAATCTTGTGCTCTAAGAACTTGATGGCGTTTAGACCGATGGGCTAGCATCGCTTGCTTTGATTATTTAGCGGTGGATCAACAGGTTTGAAATGTATCTTAATGTTGATCGAAGTGGACTGTCAAATATCAGAGCAACAGAAAGGCTGCAGCACTGCATATGTTGTTTTTGCGCTGAAGACTGGGAATATTACTGTTTAGCGCAAAACTTTTAGCGCTAGCCGACAATGAGGCAGGATTGCATCATGCCTCCCCTGCGTTCCCGGAAGCCAGACGGACTCTGCAGTAGCTAAATTTCTGGCAGAGCAAAAGGTCACCGGTTCAAGACCTGATCCTTGACTCTTTTTTGTTCTTTGCATCGCAGGGCGGCTTGGCAGACGAGCACGGCGGACCCGTCGCTGCCGGTGGGCGCGGCGCTGTGCTTCTCAGTGTGGCGGCTATTCGACAAGCGCAAGAAGCGCGCGCCCGAGAGCGACCTCGGCCGCTCGCCCATCTGGGGCGCTGTCGGCGTTACCCTCTTTGGCTTGTTCCTGGGATCCCTGGTGCGCGCCTTATTTTGCCTGGGCATTGAGTTTATGCATGGCTTCAGCATGTAGCGTTGTCTGATCGCCCTCAACAACACTGCACCACAAATTTCACCTTCGCCCACCCCAAGCTTAAATTTCCACCGTCCAGAGTGTAGATCTGAACGTTGGGTATGGTGTAAGGCAACGGACCTCAGCATGGGTCCTTCATGTGGCCCTAAAGCCGTGCAGAAAGCAGAGTGTTGGGGTTGCTTGGGAAGCTGCATACTTGGGGAGGTGCTTTTGTGATGGGGCTTTGGGCGACTCATTCTCTGGGCTGATCATCACCGATTCACTGTGACTAATAAGAGTGTGTGCTGGCACTGCAGGTGAGTTGGGCGCTGGTCAGAGTGCTACCCCTGCCGCGAATCATCCGGCCTGATCAGGCGGGGCTCTTCATCATCAATATTGTGATGGGCCTGGTCTGCATCTTCTTCAAGTGAGCAAGCAGTGGATTGAAGACACAACTCAGGCTTATCGTCAAGGCAAATGACTCGTCTGAATGTGTCGCATGATCGGTCCGATCATGGCTGCAGCTGTGCCGTGGTGATTTGCATGCTGAACAAGCACTCAAAGTGTGGCACGAGGTCTGTATGTTGATGGTTGTGTGCAATGTGTATGGGAACAGCTGGGACAAGGTAACAGTGCATAATATGAGGCTTCCATTGTTGACACCATAACTAGTCAGGCTATGTCAATGTTGCAATGCGGCAATCTATCTTATGTTCCGGCCAAGGCCACTGCACTTATGGCTACTTTACAAGCTTTGCAAGGGCCTATCACCCATTATCATAATGCACCAGAAAGCAAGACTGCAGGGGCCTAGCTCCATTGCGCAAACACTTCCAGCTGTCCATGTGTCTAGAGGAAAGTTGTTGAGATCAGAAACCTGATGATACTGTAGCAATTGGCTCCGGCCCATACTTTCTGTCACTCCATCAATCTATTGAGGAATTGCTCATGAGGTCTGCCACCTCATATCATACTGATCAGGAACATGTATTCCACTGTGAAAGCTCAGACACTGCCCTGCTGATCTGAGGCTGCCATGCTGAGCTGTTCTGCCCTTGACGCAGCAACTGCTCTGCAAGCAGCCCTTCATCCTTGTGCTGCATCTCTACAAAGTTTTAAAGATGCCTACTTGGCATCTCTGCATGGAGTCTCGTCCTCATTATCGCTCCACTCCCCAAATGGCCGCTGCTTGTGGAATATGCAGCACTCTGACAGCAAGCACACAGCATTTGAGAAAGGCAACAGGTATAGCTATCATATACAGCAAGGGTACTCCAAATTGGATCTCAACCATGCCACAAACGTCTGCTGAGCCGCAGCACTCACTCTTGGAAGACTTCTTGTTGAGGAATTCGTTGTCCACTACGTCCTCTGACCACTTCACCGCCTGGCAATCAGACAACAGCAGGTGAGCATGACAATATCATTGAGGAAAAGTCAGATATTCTTTGAGGTCGACAATAGAGCTGTATAACCAAGTCAAGACGCCTCACCTTCTTCTTCCGCCTTGGCGTGAGCCTGAGAGTTACAATCTCTGCGATGCAGACCAACAGAATTAGATTTCAATCAAACATATCCCTCCGCCAACTTCCAACCAACCAGCACACAAAGGGAGACCTTGCCTGCGACACCGTTGCTTGAAGATGGTTGCGAGGACGGGTGAAGGCCTGCAGCGATCGTTGCAGCCGATGCCGTTCTCTGCATCAGCTGCAAGCAATTGTTGTTGTTTCTGCTCGGAGAGCCCTCAGTTGACTTTTACCACCAACTTACCACTTCTTGATGAACACTTGCGGGTCCGGTCAAAAGGTTCCTCTCACGAAAGCTGAGGATATCAACAGCTCCGCCTGGAAATTGGATCGTGATAACGGAAGTTTTCGTCAAATATCCTAAATCTTCTGAGTGTTGTATGGTCTCCTGTGCCAAGTTGGAGTTGCTGACGACCTGCTCCTGAGCACGTGAGTGCATGCGATAAGATCATTAGCTCTGTGCGCGTGAACAGAGACGGGTACTTGTTGATGATTGTCAGAAAGTCGTATTTGCGGAGGTGAGACCGTGTGTCTAGCCAGGAAGAGGGGACACTTTGCACAGGGCTTGCCACATGGGATCTCTTGGCTGCATTGGAACGCTTTCATCGCCCAAGACAGGGCCTCGAGAGCACGCATGCAGCTTGCTTTCACCAACTATCAGGAGTTTCAGGCACCATCGGACCAGTGGTTGGCTTCCAGCCCGTGAGTGTGCAGCGTTGCAGCACAGACTCAGCAAATCGTCAAGACGTGCACAGTCGAATGCTCGTTCCCTCATCTGTACAGCATTACAGGGCGACCTCAACGACGGCTATGATGTTGTGATCGTTGGAGCAGGTGATCTGCCTTGGCTTTTGAAGACGTGGTCTGGACCTGCCTCACCTATGGATGGACCAAGTTGATTGCTCTGCAGTATGCTCCTCTCATGACCCTCTGAATACATCATTTCACTGAGAGCTTCATTGATTTTTTACCAAATTGCATGGCAGGTGTTGCTGGGCTGGCGTGCGGCCTGCAGCTGCAGAAAGCAGGAGTGAACTTTGCCATCTTGGAGGCCTCTGATGGCGTGGGGGGCCGCGTGCGCACAGATGAAGTGGATGGCTTCCTGCTCGACAGGGGCTTCCAGATCTTTCTGACGTCCTACGAAGAGGCGCAAGCTGTGCTCGACTATTCAGCGCTGGATCTCAAGCCCTTCTATGCAGGTATGGCCCAGAACGGAGCATGAGCATCGCAATTTCCCTTTGCATGTCCTACATTAGGGAGGCAGCAAATTTCACGGGAACGATGGTGCTTTTGCATGAGTGACATTGATTGCTTGGGAATTGCTTGGGACTCGCTTGGGCTGCTCTCTTTCCTCGGGCTCTCAAGTTCAGGTCCTTCTCCTTAGCACACTAATAACTGTACTCCATGCCAGGGCTCTCAGGATGTCTGACTATGCCTGAATTGCATGTGCTAGTGCAAAATCATGACAGTCTGAATGTGTGGTCTTACCGAAGAAGGAGTCCTGAGATTGAGGATCCATGCAACCATGCAGGTGCACTGGTGAGGTGGAATGGCGGCTTTCACAGGGTGGCAGATCCATTCCGGCACCCAGCGGACGGCGTTGCCTCTCTGCCAAACCCAGTGGGGTCACCCTTTGACAAGGCCCTGGTCGGCCTGTTCAGGATTAAGGCCCTTCTGAAGAGCCCAGCTGACATCCTGCAGGCGCCAGAAACCTCCACACTCAGCCGATTACAGGTTCTGACACAACATGCATTGAGAGTGCATCAGCAAGAGACTGTGTCAGAGCATTTGTTCTATCTACCTTTGCCTCTGGGTCACTGACAGAAAGCAGTGCCTAAGGGACTCATGAAGTGCAGTGCATGATCATGAAATTCCTGGAGACCTACCATTAGGTCTGCTTCAATGCTTGACTGAGCCCACACGCTTGCAGCACACTGTCTGCACTCACACGACCCTCACACAGCTCCTTTGTGCGCAGGCAGAGGGCTTCTCGGCTGACATCATTGACCGCTTCTTCCGGCCGTTCCTGGGCGGTATATTCTTCGACCGCGGTTTAAACATGACGTCGCGGCTGTTCGAATTCGTAATGCGCTGCCTGGCCACTGGGCAGAACTGCCTGCCCACTGCGGGCATTGGCGCCGTCGCAGACCAGCTCGCCGCGCGACTGCCGCCCGGCTCCATCCACACAGGCATGAATTTTTTTTGACATTGCTTGCAGTTGTTCGTACTGTTTCCTAAGGCCAATCTGGGGGTCAATGAACCGCAATGATGGGCCACCAATTATCTGGGTCAGTGGGCTTTGAAGCAACACTGCAGGTGCGTGATGTCATGATAATTGCGGCGCAAGTGAAGGGGTGACTCAATTTTTTGATTGACCTCCAGTATGATACACTGTGTCATCCAATGATGTGGGCTCATCTGGGGCGAACCCCTGTAGTGTCCTGCAAAGGGGTTCATCTGTGCAGGCATCAAGGAGTACCCTCAAACCTGCACTTTTGAGCCTTATATTCATATAGAGGCTGCTGCATTGATGCTCACGCTTCACAGGAGCGCGTGTAGAGAGTGTGGCGGGCGGCTCCGCCGGGCAGCCGGGCAGCGTCGGCCTGGCCGGCGGCCGCTCCGTCAGCGCGCGACGCGCGATCGTGGTGGCGACCGATGCGCCGGCTGCGCGCGGCCTCCTGGGCGACGCGCTGGAGGCATCGCCTTCAAAGACAGAGCCCGGGGTTGGCACCTGTAACCTGTACTTCAGGTGGGCAACCTGCTCCTTCGCCTGATTCCTTCTCAGTTGGTCCGTCATGACGGCAATGAGTAAAGGATAGATTGGATGTCTCCGCCATCCCAGGTTCCTGGTCAAATAGAAGTGCTGAAGCTTAAACATGGACGGAGGGACCCAGCTCGTGGCTCGTGGCACGGGTTCCTTTAGCTGCGCAGGCTGCTGAGAGCAGATGCATGCGGGAACTGCTTCTCTGCTCACTTGCGCTGACCTGCAACCTGCAGGCTGACCTTGCAAGTGGAAAAGATCAACCCAGGTTGAAGAGCAGATATGTGGGCAAAATGTAAAGTGAGACTGCTCGAGCATCTGGGGATTCTGTGTGCATCATGTAAGCAATCTTGTGGTGTGCACAGGGCGCCAGCAGCTCCCAGAGAGGAGAATATTCTGTACCTGAATGGAGAGAGCGGGGGCCTTGTGAACAACGCCTGCTTCCCCTCCACTGTAGCGCCATCCTATGCACCCCCTGGGCAGGTAAAAATTCTGTCGTCTTTTAAACATTCTCTGCTGGCACTTCTTCCTTGAACAATCGGATGTATCCTGCAATTGCCTCAACACACGCAAGTGTATACCGGTACAGCATCCTTGTATTTTTGAAGACTCCATGCAAAAGATCCCGGTGTGCGTTGGGAATATAAGCACTGAGAGCCCCTCCGCTGCTGCTGCTATTTATCCTATTCAACTTTCAATTTCTTCTGTGCAGGCACTGGTTTCAGTGTCCACAATAGGCACGCAGCCGGACATGTCAGACGAGCAGCTGGCGGAAGCTGTGAAGGGTGAGCTGGCGGCCTGGTTTGGCGCGGACCAGACAGCTACCTGGCAGCTGCTGCGCATCTACCGCATCCCCTTCGCACAGCCCAACCAGGTGCCCACTTCATCTTTCTGCCCTCTCTTCTGATTGCATCAACCTATGGTGCCGCCATGGCATGCCGAGCACTGTCTGTAGTGGGCTACAACATGATTTTCTGACTCTACATAAGCATGTTGAAGTGATCTCCTGCACAGCATAGCAGGGATCGATTCACCCAGCAATCTTGCACCCATCACAAAATTCCTAAGGCTCCTGGGCCGGGGCATCATTGCGTGTTGTCACGCAATGTGCAATTGCGAGGCAACCCTTGATCTACTGTAATACCTAGCTTTCGGCATGTGCATTTCAGTATGACAAAATTCTAAGAGAAGTATAGGATGTTCACGCGAGGCTGTGTTGCGCAGGCACCGCCGACAAATTTTGTGAGGCCGGTGAAGCTGTCAGAGGGGCTGTATGTGTGCGGGGATCACCGGGACTCTGCCACCTTGGATGGAGCTATCAAGTCAGGCAGGAGGGCTGCTGAGGCAGTTCTGTCTGGCTCTGCAGCGCTGCCTGTTGGACAACAGCCTGTCGCTGTGCAGGCCTGAAGGATTTTGACAGCTGCATGCCTTGCTTATGCACCATGAGACAACCCTTTCCACCTCTGGACCCTTTTGTGTCTTGACCATCTGACTTTTGAGAGATGTAAGTGTTGGTTTGTGCCGGTGCTGCTGCAAGAAATGCAGGTGATGAATTTGACATATCGGGAAGGTGTGTCTCCTGCATGGGGAATGCGCCAAGCATTTGTATTGATTTGGCTCATGACTGTACATGTTGGGTGTGACAGATCTAGAATGAACGTTTGGCAGTACTAGGAAAATGACAACCCTTTTTTTGGATTCCCGGACTTGAACCCCATAGTTTCCGTGTCCATTTAGAGGTGATAAGATTGAATCTTTTGATAGGTGTGTATTCTGCTTGGAAAATCCCCAGGTGTTGATTTGTTTATTTGGAAATGATAGATCTGCAAAGAGGATCTAGTCTGTGATGTCAAAGGAACAAAGTCCTAGTCAGAACTGCGCTCCTGTAATTGCTGATGTACGATTTCCAAATTTCCAAATTACATTGACTCGGCAGATCAGCTTTCATTTTGTTTGTTTTGCGTAATAATGCAGCAAAACCCACTAATCTGGAAGCTTTCCATTAGTGCAATCCCTTGCTGTCGACACTCTGCTCATCATCATCATTATCATTATTATTATTATATTATTATTATTACCGTATACGCTTTTCCTGCCAAAGGCAAGGTACGTCTGCGCAGACAAGCTGCATGTAAAGGCTGCGAAATTCCTACCCCTCGTGGACTTGCCAAAACCATGCAAGACCCCAATCAAACGTGAGCATGGTGCTGAGTATATGTACCGCCCCCCGCCAGCCAAGGCCGGGGCAACTCTGCTCACACGGAAAGAAAAATGGGTCTTATAGATCTGGTAGTGTTCCATGCAGGAGGTAGTTTATTCTTATTATTCAGGAGGTAGAAGAAACCACCTCCTGCATAGCAGGCGGACAACAGCGAGCTGGCTGCAGTTGCTCGCATCAGCTGTATTCCTCAACAAACCACTTGGGCCCCCTCAAGGGCACCACCACTCCTTCTCCTGCACCACAAAACCACAAAATTCTCTTTTGTCACAGACTGGCTGCTGCACCCAGGGAAAATCAGTTGTGGGAGCAGGCAGAAGGATGATTGCATGCTATTGCAGATGCCTTGTTCTCATTGGGCACGCACCCATGCAGTTGAAGCATTTTTGCTGTCCATAGCCTCCGCACAGGGGGCACAGCACAAGCATGTCTGCAGCGCCGTCCTGGAAAGGACTCCAGTCCAAAAGGTAGTTTCCTGCTGGCACACAGCTGAGTTGCCAAGGAGCTTCTGGACTACTTCGATAGGCTCCGGGGTCCTCTAGGCTTGCAAATTTGACTAGCAGTGAGCAATGCATTCAGTAGGTGCATGGCGCTAGTGCAGGCCTCACCCTTACAGACAGAACACTGCTGCAACTTTGTGCCTTTGCAGGGTTTGCATGTCACCGCTACCTTCTTCTGTTTCACACAAACCTTTCCTCAACATACTGTTACAGCAGCCAATTCGGTGACAGGAAAAGAAAAGGCTTTGGTCACTGTAAAGATGGGACTGACATTCCCATATTCTCCCAGATCAGATATTTAAAAGCAGCTTTCTTCTTACTTATGAAGCATGCCAATGTACCTTTCTCTGCTTAACCCCAGCACGCACGGTGATCATTGCCAAATTGCTGACCCCGAGAGTAATACCACCGATGGTAATTAAAGTGCCAAGACTGGCTCCAGCAGCTCTTAATAATGGCGATCTCATTAAAGGATAGAACGAATATCCATCTATGAAGAGGTCCTTATAGACGATGGCCTTGTCGTAATCCTTTTCCCGTGAAGTTGGATTCTCTCGAGATCGAAAAGATTACCGAGGAGGACGCTGCAAATAGAATGCAGCTGTCTCAATCCACCAAAAAAATTTAAGAATGAGGCCACTGAAGAGAGGAAACACATTTTGTGACGTCAGCAGCTTCTCTGAGCTTCCTTCTGTTCTGGCGGTATGACTGAAACATTTGGCATTGTGATTCCAGGAGGTACTATATCTAGATTAGTATGCCCTGGTGATTCAGGCTCTTGGGGCACAAATTCTTGAAAGGACTTCCACAGACTGCACGCGCATGCACCATGTCATGACTGACTCAGTGACTCATGGGCAGCTGCATGTGGCGGCGCTCTGACGTCTATGCTGTGGAGAGGCCTGTAAAGTAGGTTATGCGTGTTCGGGTTGTTTTCAGCAAATTCAAATCGTAAATGCAGTGAAAAGGCTTTCATCTGCACTGAAGTCATACTGGGCAAGGAATTTGATATCAGTGCCGCATGTGCAGCTGCGTTTTGAATCTGACCGCTCTAGTGATGCGGCATATAAGGCAAAACCCACAGCAAACATAAATCTTGCAATTTAAGTATGCAATTCTAAATGCAACCAAATCAATCAAATCAGTGTCGCTTCGACACACATACCCTGTTCAGTAGACCAATCCCCAAACACAGACGCACATTGAGCACTGACTGTACATACCGCTGAATGGCATTTCATACCACAAACCATTGCCTGCAACCTGACTTCTGAGTCCTCAGTGTCGACGTGCCACATGCCTGAATGTCAGCCTGCGCATACTGTGTCACCCCACTCCTAACCTAACTTGGCTTGATTTTTTGTTCTTGGAGTTCACTTGGCATCCTGCACAACGCCCTGATCTGCATCGGCACTGCTACATCCTGCAGCTTCACCGCGCTCGACATCAGCACTGGCAGCTGAGGAATCCTTCATTCTGCCGGCACCCTGCAACTGGCCCCTGAAGCGCTCAAAGCGCTTGTCCAAATGGTACTTGATGAAGATCGCAGACACTGCAAAGATTGCAGAAGCTGCAGCGCCCAGCACAACACCCACAAGTGCTATTATCGGAGCTGGCCGGCACTGCAGCCAAGGCCCACATGGGGGTTCCACATATACGGTGACATTCTTGCAGAGAAATCGGACTGCGCGCAGACTGCCAGTGTGAGAAGCTTTTTCGGCCTGCGTCTGGAAGCCCACTAGCTTGTAAGACTGGGGACAAGAGTATGTGGAGCTCTGCAGGCCCTTCTTTGGGAAGCCGACACCTAGGAGGGCATCAACATAGTCCCCATAGTCCACGTGCAAAGAAGTGAAACCTTCCTTGGGATGGTTGATTGTTGAGTTGAGCAGCACTGGGTCAAGTTCTTTGAATGTGGGCAGAGTGGTCCCTTCACTGCATCTTGCAGCCACACTGGCCACCACCGGTTGGTGAATAGTGCGGTTCTCACCGACTAACACCGTTCGGTCACTGTTGAGCTTGATCTGCATGTCGGTTATGAATTCCAGGCCGGGGCACGCGTATGCCTGATCCAGCAACCCTTTGTTGGAACAATCCTGTTTGTTTCCGTACCAGTCGCTCCAGTTGCCTTTCGAACATGGATCAGTATCCCCAGCAGCATAGCTGAAGGTAATGATGCCGATGCAGAAGGCGAGCAGGAAGGCATGGGCAGTCGGCATCCTGCTAGCAAGAAGGAAGAAGCGCCCTCCTGCTGGGTGTGAAGGCGTCCTGTAGATTTAAGCACCTGCATGTAACATGGACATGGGAGGTGAAGTCTTCATTAATGGTGAAGTTGCTGGTCTCTGACGGGATCCCGCTCAATCCACCCGTACGACTGCAACTCTGACTTCCCTTTCATTTGACGTAACAGGCCTGCTACAGGCTTTTCATCATCTCCTAGGTATGAACATGGAGTGTTGTAGACAATAGGAAGTCTCAAGATGAACTATATTAGACCAACCGCATCAAGCAGAACACAGCGCCACGATGTCTTTCGGGAGCTGCTTCCGGGGCCGCACAAAAGAAAATAATCATACTTTCTTTCGTGACTAACGTATGTCCAGTCATAGAATAAAAGACGTCCTGTTGAAAGCGTAAGAGAGAACAATATCCTTGTACGACACTCACTGCCTAGGGCCCATACTGGAATACTAGCTTCGAAGGTATGATGATGTCTGTTCCACGACCAGAAGCTTTTGAGGGAGGTGTCAGAGCCTGTACGTGTCTAGTTCCCAGTCGTCGACCCGTGAAAATAAAGATTGCCTGGTGGCGAGAACTTCTTGAAGCCCTCGTAACACAAACCGACCGAGACCTGTTGAACCACCTTTCTTGTACACGTTCTGATCATGAGTTGTTCCTACCTGGGGGGGACGTCCAGCGAAAAGTGTATTGGCACGCTACCAGTGCCCTTTGCAGTATCTCGCAACGATACCATACTTCATGTGTACTGCAGCTCCTGCTGCAGAAGGTGCAGCAGCTTGACAGGCACCTGGATTGTGAAATTGTTCACCTTTGAAAGCTTTGAATTTCTCCCTTGGACACCGTGTCAGTCTCTCAGCTGGGAGGGGCGCCGTATGTATAATGAGCCAACTCCAACATGCCGATCCTTGCCATCATAATGCAGACATTTAAGATGCTTTCTGATATTTGAATAGGCAGTGACAGACTGTTCACAAGATCAATGAGCCTCAGGTGGCTCCCCAAAGGTCTCTAACAAAAAAACAACAATAAAATAAATAATAAATAATAACAACAATCATCTATGATAGTAATAAATAATAATGTTCCTCTATAGATTATGAAAAATTATATTTATAATGAGAAATTGCTAGTAATAATATTAGTGATGATAGTAATGGATTCATCCATTCTTCGAAGCTGCGCAATGCATACTGCAAGAGCTCTCGAGGCAGAACCTGCGCATGGGCATGCCGGGGTGACTTCTTACAACATGCACTTTGGCATTTATGAGATGAAACGCACATTTTTCAAGCTTGGCAATTGCCTGTTGTCAGGACCAAATTTGCCTAAAGTTCTGCCAGCCGGTGGCATCAATTTCAGGTGACAACCCTGATCAGCTGCAATGTTTGCCAAGCAGGCAGTGTTTGTCCCTTCCCAACCCTCTCATGTATGAGAGCGTATCATAAAGGGCGGCCTCTTTCAGCAACCAGCGATAGCCCACACACTGGCTGTATATGCTGTACAGCATTAATGAGATGAATCAAGAAGTGGAAAATACACAGTCTTTTACATTTCATCAGTAATTACAAGTAGCATCAAGGCAGAGGTGCATAACTGATACGCTCGAGCCTCTCGGAGACTGTCCTGCTATTATTGCCATCATGAAGTCTGGACACTAGTATATTGTGCTGCCAGAATGCAACCCCAAATTCCATTCATGTACACACTTGGCAAAATAACCCATTTCTCGGAAGAGCAAAGCCTGGACAACATATTAGCTGCCGGTGCTTGATCAAAATGGCCTGGGTTCATGAAGCAGGCCCTCGGATTTCCTAGGCACCACAGAAATATCTTCCCTGCACCTTCTTGTACTAGTGTACATTCTGGTTGCACCAGATCTCTCAGTATTCGGTTCCACCGTATTATATTGCCCTGACCCCTTACATCCCATCTCCCCATCTTGCATGCCCATATCTAAGTCCTACTTAACTTTCTGCCCAATGCCCAAAGCACCATCTGCTGCAATGCATCAGACCCCAAGAGAACATGTCCAAATCCTGCCACGAGTCTGGAAACGGCACGGCAGCCGAAGAGCTGATCACATGATGTTGCAGGCCTCCCGTTTAGGCCGGGTGTGGCGCGAGCCGCTGCGAGGCCTGTTATGTCTCCCGTGGTGCCTGTGGCCTGCCCTGCCCCAGCCGCCTGCAGCACAAGCAATTCCAACAAAATCAAGTCCAGGAGCAACTCTTGAGATCCAGTATTGGTTTGCCCATAAAAGGGCGCCTTGGGGACCCGATTGCAGCCCACACCACAGGTTCTCTTGGAGCTGCACTTCTCACAAGTGGTGCCCCCAAATGAGCTTCACGTCACAGTGACACTCTCAGATACTTCCTTCCTGGCATGGCCGGGGTTGAGCAGCTCCGCACTCCGCTCGGTGTCCCTGTGCTGCATGACCAAAAGCAGGCTACAAAGATACAATGTGAGCAGGATGCAATACAGAAGACGAATGACTCATATTGCCTGCACTTCCATAATCTGATAGATGAACAAGCTTCCAGAGTTGCCCACCTGTGTCCTGCTGTGATGGTGCGGGCGGCCCAGGCGGCCCGGGCTGCCCGGTTTGGGCAGGCGGCGGCTGCCCGTCCCCAGCCCGGCCGTCGGCCGCGGCGGCGGCGCGGCGGCGCTCAGCAGCTTCCTGCTCCTCCTGGTGCAGCTGCAACGCAAGTGCGTAGTCGGCGTTCGCCTGCTCCGTTGGTGTGCGTGCCTCCTCCGGTGTGCGCGCCTTCACTGGCTCTGCGCGTGCAGGGACAACTGTCAAATACCGGGCAACCAGCATTGGAATGGCAGTGCTTTTACGCTTTTATTTCTTGATGTGCCATGGTGCACGGAGGGCATGGCTTTTAGAGGCATCCTGTGCATCTCTAGTGAGGTGGCAATGGAAGTTAGAAACGAGAGGTTTTGAGATGAGGGAGAGCACCCACCTGGCAGCTTGAGAGTGCTGTTCACAAAGACAGTGTCTCCATCGATGGCATCCAGCTTCTCCCAGACCACTTGCTGCACACACATAGAACACAACATCTCATTTTTTACGCCAATAGTTTATGAGCAACTTCATTAATTATTCTTCCACACCCACACGACTTCACTTCAAATAAGAACTTGCACTTTCAAAAGGACAGCAATGCGTGCTCACCCTCTCATGCAGGTAGCCCAGGTCGGTGACGAGGATGTAGAGAGCGTCCTCGTATTTGAATAGAGTGTTGAAGTGGTTGTTGCGGAACAGCACCGCCAGCTGATTAGGTTTGAGCCCAGCATGCAGGCTGACGAGGCCGTGCTCCGTCAGCTGACTGGACGTGTTGTCCAGGAAGGCCCGGATCACATGCGCATCCCCCGGCGCCGCGCGACCCCCCGGCGGTGGCGCAGGATCCCCCGCCGATGGCGCCTGTTCTTGCACCGTGGACGCGTCTCCGGCGGCGTTCCCTACCGCGCTACCGGCCGTGACTTGCAGCGCGGCTGCCCCGGAAGCTTCTGTCGGAGCTGCAGGGAAGGCCTCCTTTGCGCAGCCGGCCAGCATGGCAGCGAGGTGGGCAGCTTCCGGCGCCTTGGCGGTTGTGCTGGCGCCAAGTACCCGGCCGTCTGAGTCAATCATTTCTAGAGCTTGCACAGCGCCTGTGCTGTCTGCCGCCTGGCTCTCCGCGGCCACCTCCTCTTGTGCAAAATTGCTCTTGTGCGGTGGCTTTTCACTGGGATCTGCAGCAGCCTCCGGTGTCTGCTCCTCTGCAGCTGGATCGCTCTTGTGCGGCGGCTCTTGGGCACGCTCTGTGGCGGCCTCCGGAGTCTCCTGAGCAGCGTCCGGCTCCGCCATCTCTTCGTCCAGGACCGACCCCTTCGGGTGACTGATCACAACATAATCCTCTGCCAGAGCCGCCCCGTCTGCGGCCGCGTTCCTGGCCTCCGCGTCCGCGTCAGCCGGGGCCGGCTGCGGCGCCGCGACCAAAATCACAGTCGGCTGTGGCGGCTCGTCAACTGCCATGGGCTGCGGCTGCTGCATGTCCTGAGGCTTTGAAGATGTTTCAGGGGCTGGCTGGGACAGGGAGAGGTTCAGTGCCGCCTGCAGGTCTGAGTCATACTCTGAGCCCAGAAGATCCAACTCCTGCCGCATGTTATTGTCAGCTGGACTCTTTTCTGCAGCTGCAGAGGCCTCCATCGGTGCGGGTCCGGCGGCGCTGTCGGCTGCAGGTGGTGCCTTTGCCGCACTGCTGCTGCCAAGGCCGTCAGATTCAGGTGGCTCTGGGGCGTTGTCAGGTGCCCCAATGCTGGTGGCAGCTGTGGCGGTGGTTGTGTCGGCAGCGGGGGCCGCGGAATTGTCGGCAGATGTGGATCCAGCCAGCGAGAGGAGTCGCTCGATGAGGGCATTGTAGGACATGTTGCCGATGCAGGCCACTGTCTCCTTGTCCTGCGCAGCAGCAGTCACACTTGAGCCAGATGGGTCTAGTTTGATATCAGGATCTAGTGCATTGAAACCACAACATGAATCAGACATGCACATGTGCTAATGTACTAATGCTCAAGCAGTGCTCTCATGCGACAAAGCCAAGCGAGGAATTCTTGGGACCACGGAATAATGCAGGCAGGTAGACTGAGCCACAGGGGACAATGGGGAGAAGCTGCGGACAGGGCAGTGCATACCTGAGGGTCCACCAACCATCCGTGCACAAGATGGATGTCGAGGAGGTCGAAAATGGCCACAACGTCCGTGAACTGCAGGAAAAGCGTTCAACAGCATCTAGAAAAGGTCTAATGTCTCAGACTAGTATGTACAGGATATGACCCATTATCCACGATTAAAGGCAAGCAAGGGCCATCGTGAATTGATTATACCTCAAAGCCCTTGATGTCGTGGTAGAAGATGTTCACGTCCAGGCCAGTGGTTAGCTTGGGCAGCATTTCCACTGCATCCCCCATGTTCTTCTGGAGGTTGGCCTGCAGCTCTGCATCCGAGGTGCCCAGTCTCTCTGGATTGTTTGAGTCGAGCAGGAAGCCAGCGATCAGCGCAAGAAGTCTTTCCTGGCTGACTTCAGAATAGTCCACGGACAACTGTATCTGGTTCCTCAGCAGCAACACGTTTGCCAGTGCAATGAGGGGACATGGCCCATTCTCATTTTGTACCACGACGGGAACGTCTCTTCCTAGGAAGTTGATCGCCTTGAGTTTGTAATGCACAGCCATCTTGGCTATCACACGTGCTTGTTTAGAAAAGCGCTGCCTCACAGTCAACACTGAAGGTCCATCATGCCCATCTCAAAACGAGGACAATGCTGCGCTTTGTAGACCTGATATCCTAAGAATGAATTTAAACGGAGATCAACTTTCAGAAAATTCACTTGTGCCGAAGGAACTGGGGGAAGCTTCACCTCGATGGGCCCACTGAGTCATCGCAAAGGAGGCTGCCACCTGGTGCAAATGGATATGCTTTGCTCAAACCGATGGCAGCATTCTTTAGTCCTCATACTAATTGAAGAGCTAAAACGTTGGAACATCTCAGCTGTACTTTGGGAGCCCACCAGTGTCCTCCATATTTCATTTATCCATCGTTTCTTTCTCATCTTCTTTAGAAGTGTCCGACGTTCTCAGTTTCCTAGGCATTTCGGCTTCATTCAGGATTGAAACCTTCAATTAAATAAAGATTCCCTAATTGACGCGCGGGGCACTGGCGTTCGGCATCAGACTCGCCTGTACTGCCCACAACGGTATAAACGGTGTATTGAGAGGTCCCCAAAATGCTACCCGGGGATGCGATGGGAGTGAACAATCAGCACAAGCACCTTTCCTCGCTCGAGATCCGTTGCCAGAGCGGCAACTTTGCCACGGCCTCTTTCCTGGTGTCAACATCAGGTCTCCCCTACCCTCAGAAGCCACAGCCCTGCTGCATTTTGCTGACCATCCGCTGCCATCTACGAGCATCTAGACCCACCATCAGCCAGTCATACCATCCTACAACTGCTCTGATGAATATGCATGCCTGAATCACAGGCAAGACCAGTGGGAGGGGCGCTCAACAGGCGGCTGCACCGCTGCCTGCGCCTGTCTTTGAGCTGGCTGCAGCTCCGCCAGCAGGCAGTGCACAGGACGTTGACCTGGGCAAGCTGCTGGTGCGGCGGCCGATAGCGGCCTTCGCGCTTGTGCCCCAATCCGCTGTGCTCTTTGCGGCCGGGGCTGTGGCTGGCGCCCTAGGTGTGCACCTTCCCTGATCGGTTTCCATGCTAGCATCTCTGCAGCTGGACCGTGAATCCTCTGGCCATCTCAAGCTGCACCTTTCGTGCAAGAGACTTGGCTCAAGAGCACTAACACTGCCATTCTAAATTTGCTTGAAAGTGTCACCCTTTCATGAACTGATGAGTGCAGTACACTGGTCGCCACTCAGGCCTGTCCTTTCCTGTTTGGCAGGTCTGGAGTCTTCCTTGTCTGTTGAGCGCTTTGTGCTTAAATTCCTACGGCTGTGTGTGGCTCTGCAGGGAAGACGTTGACGGCACCGTTGGACAGAGTGAAGCTTCTGCTGCAGACCCGAGGAGGTTTACAAGGGGGCGCGCTAAAAGCAGCCGCACGCGGCGGCGGCGTCTGGGACGCACTGGTGGTCATCGGCCGGGAGGAGGGCTTTCTGGGATACTGGAAGGGGAATGTTCCGCAGGTACTCATTCCAAACATCTGGCTCCTCAGTTAATCAAAGTGCGCTGCAAAGACATGACTTCTTCAGAGAGAGAACTCCCGGCTCATTTGTGCACCATGGCAAAATTGTAGTGCACTAATAAAATATACCTTTCTAGAATTGAAGGCAAAGGAGACGTTGCACCTGCCCAAGATGAATGCCTGCATGCATGCATGCTGGCTCAGGGGAGGTGCGTGTGATTCAGCAGCCCCATCTAGTTCGTATTGAGATGTCTGTGCTCCTGCCCAAGGTGAATGCCTGCATGCATGCTGCAGCAGGACTGATCGGTGTGATTCAGCAGCCCCATACACTTCCCCTTGAAATTTCTGTGCTTCCTGCTGGGTGCAGATTCTGAAGGTGGTGCCCTACAGCGCAATCCAGCTGTGCTCCTACGAAGCGGCCAAGCGGCATTTGCGCAACAAGGAGACCGGCGAGCTCAGCGTGCCTGCTCGGCTGGCCGCGGGCGCCTTTGCCGGCATGACAGCAACCCTGGTATAGCCAGATACCAAGCTTTGCTCCCTTGTATTTATGCTGATGCACCAGGATAATTGCACCTCCTGCCCGTCAATGTCTCGCCCCGATGTATTTGTCAAACAAACTGCATTGCTGGCGGCAGCAGTGGTGTTCGATTGCGGTCAGCCCAGGTCACTCAGGGCACGGGTAAGGAATACGTAATCAGCACCATGTTTCCCGCATCAATTAATTATTTTTCCTAAAAAAAATGGTTGAAAATTTAGACCTTAAATTGCAGAATATAAACCCTATGACAAAGATGAGACCAGTTTTGGAAAACTCTCGCTGAGCCCGACCCATTGGTGATGATGAAACAACATTAACAGGAAGAAAATACCTTAAAAAACATGTCCAAAGAATTCATGCATTTTGAGGAGTGTGGGATTCATGGTGCTGACTACGGTATGATACACCAAAGGGGACGCTGCAAGCTCGTCCCGGCATGCTAGGCCTGCAATGCTGGGGACACTGCAAAAAAATTTCAAGGCCTTGCAGGGCAGCAAAGTTGACAGGCATCTGGAAGCTAAACTTACCGCTGGGCCGCAACAGATGGGTCCTAAAGGCCATGCAGTTCGGCCTGCCTGACAGCTCTCAGATCATCTCTGAGCTGCTGCCCTCCCGCTCCAGCTGTTTTAGGGCTTACACTTCTTATTCCCTTTCTTGCAACCCTCTTTACAGGCAAATTTTCTACTGGACACATTGCGGCTGGGGCTGGCGGGGGGCTACCGCACATCTTCGGCCGCTCTTTTTATTCATCAGAGCCCCTGAAATGTGAGCCATGAATGCAGGCGACGTATCCGCTGGACACGCTGCGGCTGCGCCTGGCGGTGGACCCGGCCTCAAGGAGCGTGGCGGGGGCGGCTGCGGCGCTGATGCGCGAAGGCTCCCACCGAGCATTCTTCCGAGGCCTCGGCGCCTCCATGCTGGGTGCGTGAATGCGAAACTGTGAATGGAAATTCGAATTTCATTGCAACCGTCTGGATCCTGAAGCCTCAGATGAAGCAGGGATCCTTGGAGACAATTGCGGCTCAATCTATGGGGCACTCAGTTGCTTCGAGATCTGAAAGACACCAATATTTGCAGATGTTGACCCTGCTCCAGCGCGGCACCTTCTTGGGCTAAGTCTCAGTCTGAAGTCATACACCTGTCTCTTCCCACCTGCGTTGCTTTGCACCTTGATCATCTGATGATGCTTGGGGTGCAGAGGCTGATTCTTTTTTTATTTTGGCAGAATACAGTACTGTATAGAATTGCCGAAGTGTTGCCGGTCCTGTGCAGGCATCGCTCCCTATATGGCTCTGGAGCTCGCTGTGTTTGACCTGATGCCAACAGACGTGGCGCCATTCGTGCGAGGCTTCAGCTCTGCGCTGCTTGCGACAACGCTGTGCTATCCGCTCGACACTGTCAGGTGAACGCCTGTTATCGCACAGAAATTAAGCAACCCCACGCCGTCCCCATTCTTGAATTCCATGCTCAGTCTGACACCAGGTCTATTGGGCAATGATGCGCATGAAGAACGCGGGTAATGTCTACTGAACTTTCATCAAATGGACTTAGGGGCGACGATCTGGGGAATTGTCAGCTGAGCTATATCAAGGAATGCATTTGTGCACGCAGGCGGCAAATACAGCTGCAGAGCACGGGCGGCGCAGGGCCACTGCACATGGCAGAGAAGATTCTGCACAGGGAAGGTCTGGCCGGTTTCTACCGGGGATTCCTGCCCAATGCACTCAAAAACCTGCCCAACAAAGGTGCGCAATGATTTCGGTAAAAATGGCTTCGCTTGAAATAAATTGATGCCCCTGCTACTTCAAATGATGCCATGGCTACTAGTCACTGAGTAAAAGTAAGTGCCTGTATCGCCAACGATCAGGCAGTCCTTTAATAGCCTATAAGTTATAGGTCAGCACATGTGCAAACACAGTATCACTGGCAAGAGCAGACAGGTATGCTTGGCTCGGTCTGATGTGAAATTCACGAATGAGTCAGGGCAAGGCGCAGGAACATCTCAGCAGGCCAGCATCACCTGCAAACAATACCTGCAAACAAAGGAGTTCTTGGCTGGAGGCAGTGCTGGCACAAATTTGCAGTCACCTGCAGGAAATTATCTTACGTGAAGGTCATGGCATCGATCATGACTGCTCAGAGAGAAAAGAAAGCAAACGGGCTCATTCTGATGTCCCCATGCAGGTGTCCGTCTGGCAGTGTTTGATGGTGCAAAGAAGCTGCTCATTAGAGCAGACGAGGCCTACAAGGAAGAGCTGGAGAAGGCGGATGGCACAATGTACAGGCTGAAATAGATACAGTAGTCGATTTTGAGATTTTGCATTCCTGTACGACACTCCTTTTTGGATTGCAAATTATTGATGACCATGAAACAGGACCTGCAAATTCCTGCCCAATCTGGGCAGAAAGTCTGCCCAAAACTGCGTGTGCAAGTCACCATGCTTCCACAAGAAATTCTAGGACAAAGGCGTGTAATATAATTCTCAAGAAAGATTCTAAGAAGCAACGCTGTATTTCAAGCCCACATTGCATTTGAAAAGGAGACGCTACAGGAGGGGAATAGCAGTGCAGTTGCGATCTAGAAGTCGATCTGTACTTCCGAGACGCAAAGCACGACGATGCGGTTGGCATGCCACGAGACTTCGTATTATACAATTCATTTTCACGACACGAAGCGGCTGCAGCATCGCAGGAAAACTTTAGTAAAGGCCAGGAGGTACCATCAGCAGAAAACTGCTGCAGCAGGGGGAGTCGCAACGTTATCCGCCACAGCTAAAGATGACTACGAGGTGCTTGTCTTTACACTTCAATTGCATTCATAGAATCTGATATGTTCATACCATAAAGACAAATGCTGCATGACTGAGCAGAGACCACAGTCCTGGCTATTGGGAAAGTTGATGTCTTTCTGTGGTCCAGGATCGGTTGTTGGAGCTGCTGAGTCTTGACAGCGAAGACCTGAAAGGATTGGCAGTCAAAAGCTCCGGCGCTATTGATATGGGCTTCCTCTTGTGGCTGGCTAGCAGGTCCTGCTCTGCCCACCTGCTCTTTCACACGACACTTCACATCCATAGTTGAGAGCCTATTGGCAGACATTCAGCACAGGAATCTGACCAGGACACAGGTTTTACAATGCAAGGCCAGGCAGCTGAGATGCAGGTGCATGCCTTTGACATCATGGAATTTATCTTGTTACAGGGAGGACGCTGCCTCCGGTGCAGAGAAGCAGAGGCTTGGAACCCTCGCCAGCCAGCTCACTGCTCTCCATGAAGGTTTAGGTGCGCCTCACACTGAGCACCCTTCGCACTTGAAGATACAGTATGCCACCCCAACTAAGGACATGCAAACAAGATGACGGGTAGCTGTACAGCAGCGACTGAGACGATCAGGCAAGTCTTCCAGGAACATCCTGGAATAGGACACTTTCTTCTAAACCTTTTGAGTCCGCCCAATTTAAAAAAGCACCTGAGAAGGGTGGGGCAGTCGTGTTATGGCCTACCCATATCCAAATCGAGCCGCAAAAGCAAGGGCTTGGGAGCTCAAGAGTACACTGTGCTGGCAGCAAACTCACAGATGGGCGAAGAATTGAGACTGGTAATTCTACGTGTTCTAGACTACATGTCATGGGGCTGACTGGACAGTGTCATTATGGAACAGAGCCTGCGGCGATGGAGTCCTTGGAGAGAGCAAGCACGGCACTGGTGGAAATGGATGTGCCTCGCGAGAATGCATTGGTACAGCTGGATGCCAGGTGGCGAGCGCTGACTAAGGATCCTGCGGCAGCTGCCCTCTCGCTGGAAGCTGCCCAGCTGGCAGAACGACAGGTACACAGTAAACCATCCTCACAATGCCTTCACATCCTCGCTGTGCTTCTGCTTTTTGCGTTGTTAAGCCTGAGGTCCAAAGAGTGTTTATGAGACATTGCTCTGGCAGCCATGCAGCTGGTGCCTTTTGGCCAGATGCGTGGGCTTGACATCAACTTGCAATGGTTGAAGACAGACCAGGTCATGCAGAGGTCTCAGCCTTGTGTGAATGCCTGATCAGGTGTCGCAGCTTGGGGCGGGAGTGAGAGACTCCAAGACGACATCTGCTCTTGAATTGATCGGTCGCAAGAGGCTAGGTGCGCTTCAATCAACCTTTGCCAATCTCGTATATGTGTCAATTCCCACTTTCCACCCTTCATCGGCCCTAGTATCTCCTGATTCCACCATTGCAGTCCCCATAGAAAGTAAAGGCTGCAGGAGGTCCCTTCCCTGAACCCCACCATGCATTCCTCTGGACTCTTAAGGCCACAGATTTTGTCTGAGTGGGGCATTCTATTCCATGACATTCAAATTAGGGTTCCTTGTAGACACATGAAGCATGCGCTTCAAGTGCAGCGCTTTGCCAAATTCTGAGGGTGGATGAAGATTGGAGGTTGGTGGGTTAGGTGAGGGTGAGTCACTGCCGCTCGGCCCGGCCGACCCAGCGTCGCGCATTCTGGAGGCGCTGCTGGCGGTGGAGGACGAGAGGGAACGCCTGGAACTGCTGCCAAGCGCGTTCGAGCCCCCTGCAGAGGGGGAATTGCCGCCCGAGGTGACTCACCCGCCTGGAGTGATGCATCTCAGAGTCACATCTCACGCATGCCTCTCATTTTCCCTTTTATCCAGGGCAGTATGTGGCTTTGCCAGTGCCCCAGAAGTGCCGAATGTGAATGGTATAGCAGCAGTGGTGGTGGTTTTTACATGGGCAGCTTTACTAGAAGTCGGCGCAACGCTGGCAACGCTGGCATGCAGACTGTCACTTCTAGCCTTTCTGGCTGGCAATCCACAGGGAGCCTACAAAGCATGGAAAGGCACAGTCTTTCACTTTTTGCATCCACGAACAGCAGGGTCAGTGTTGCGCAAGAGTGTTGCACAGTGGCAGTGTTGCTTCACAGAAACAGGAGGAGAAGCCTTGAGCAGTGTGCAATTAAGGTTGTATGCTGTGGCAGGATCCTGAAGCGGATGAGCAGCTGCACACAACACCTGCTAGCCTATTGCAGGTGCGTGCTTGCAGCTGTTAACTATAAGTGACTTCAGGAATTTGGAACGTCGTCAGTATTCTCAGTGGTGCTCCTCCCATATTCTGCAGAGCCTAATGCAAGGAGAGTGCAGCAGCTCTGCTATTGAGCAATGTCCATGTCTGGTACTTGACTGTGAAGAAGATCATCGGGGGATTTTCTGCTGCAGGCCATAAACTTTGCACTCTCCCGGCTGGAGCAAGGTTCGCCAGCTGCTGCCTCTCTTGTGGGGAGTGTGGAGAATGCTTCGGGAGCTGGAGACTTCAAGAGCAGGCTTCTCAGCCTGCGCGCTGAGGTTTTCAGGATCTGGGACGGTGGTATGCCTGATGCATAGACTGTGTTGTGCTTGCAAGGAATCTGAGAGCGCTGGTGGTTACTGTACATGGGATCGTGGATGTGATCAGTGGGGGTGTCTAACCCTGGCGGAACGGAAAAAGCTCAATGGGAATAGCGCATTTGTGCACACTGTGCGAGCACGCACTGTATAGAGTCCCCAACATGCATGGCTCGGCGTCTGGTCTTTGCCGTTGCAAGTTCCTCAATAGGCTTTGAGAACTTTCAAGGGCACAGGGGCATCCATTCACACAAGTCTTTGCTGACCAACAGTACAGTGCTGAAACATTTAAACATTACCCAAAATGCAGTGAACAGCTGGGGAGTAAATTAATGCTGAACGCCCATCATGGCATGGTAACAATGCTATAGAGCTGCGAGCCCTGCAGGCTAAAGCAAAATGCCCAGTAAAGCCTCGCTTGGTGACACTCAAGGTACCCAGTGCATCCTTTCAACCTCTACTGCAACTTAATGCCTGTGACACACTACTTGCTTCATGATGCAGATGAGCCCGCCCTGTCTGCAGCGGCGTCCCTGCTCCTGGACCAGTCATCAAAGAAATATCCCTCGTCCATCCTGCAAGGCCACCACAGCAACTGAAAATCGAGCAGAGTGAAGACCGTCTCGGGGAGGCGCTTGGGAAAAAGGAAACATGCGCCTCGTCCAAGGGACAGACATGACACCTTGCCACATGGGGCACCATGAATACAAGCACCGGGAGCCTAGTCAGCACAAGCTGAACTTGTGCTTGGTGAGTCAGCGCATGAGTCGGCAGGGCAGCGGCCGGTGCAGCGCCACATGCTGCCAAAATAGGGAATGTTTGTCAGCGGGTGATTCAGCGGAGCAACAGTACCAAAACTCCAAGCCCTGATAGTCAGCATTTTAGCGAGTGCTGACTATCGACCGAGTCGGTGGGTAAGTCAGCAGGGCAGAGGCCAAAGCGCCACCCGCGTGCGGCGCAGCACGCGGCCACAGAGGCAATGGGATAGTAGTTCAGGGGTTGAGTCGCCAAGGGAGCAGTGGTGAGCACTTGGGTAAGCCCAAGCATTGAGTGAGTCAGCAGGTGAGTCAGCAGGGCAGCAGCCGGCATGCTGCCAGAGATACGGCAAACAGGCATTAAGGCAGCAAGTGAGCAACCCAGTGAGTAGGTCGTCAAGCACTGCCTACAGTAGAACTGCTAATACTCAATACTCGACCGCTTGATGACCTTTCAGTGAGTAAGCGGGTGAGTCACCAGGGCGCGTCGTCCTCGCTGGTGTGGCGGCCGGTGAACTCCAGCCGCGCGCCGTAGATCAACGCATTGTCTTCCTCGATCACATCGCGCGGCGCGTGGAAACTGCCGCGCGCCTCGTCCACAAAGAACGACGCCACTGCGCGAAGCCAAGAAACTTCAAGCAGACACCATCAATAATAATGGGCGCTACGGCTTACATTACATCACAATCGGGGCTGGGATATGTGAACTTCGGCTTGGGAATTTACATGTGAAGAGGGGACCATCCGGCGGCCCCGTTCAGGCACCCGTCAAGCATCTGTCATCCGTGATGAGCCAGCAGTGATAAAATGGTTCCGTGCTTCATGAATTTTGCTTGCTGGGGCTCCATGGGTCAGGCATCAGGGGGCAGCGCCAACATGCAACTTACACCCCTGATAACACCGCGGTATCATCATAAATGTGGCAGACACACTCACCTCCTTTCCTCCACTCGAGAGCAGGCATGTGCAAAAGCTGGCAGGTGCACACAAGCCAGGGTTCCCCCGGGCATCAGGGGTAAGCAAGTGGTAGAGAAGGCAGCTCACCAGCATAGGTGACATCGATGGCTCCCTTGGAGTGGGGAATGTGCAGCTTGTCTCCCCACTCAAAGGCGTTCTTCTCAGGATGCCACTGCGTGGCTGTGTACGGGTACTTCTTGCTCTCCATCGTGGAGATGTACACCTGCGTGGTAACATTCAACCTTGCTTCATGCTCCTTAATAGGGACCACGGAAGCTCAAGTGTCTCATACTGAAAATTCCCGGCGATGAACAGTCTGTTGGCAGAGCACAACACCACTGGCAACAACAGCTGAACAGGTGAATAAGGCCCAGACTCCCTCAGAGCTGACTACTATGACAAATGCATATTGACAACCACTTCATGAGCGCCTGTGCTGAACTTTCCTATATGAATGCCCATGCCGAACCCTTTTCCAGGGACATCCCTGCTCTTGTAAAACTGCGAGGAAGGATGTGATACCGGAACGCTGTCACCCCACACCCTGCACCTGTATAGATCTCCTTACAAATCAATAGAGGCATCTGTCCAGGGGCGCACCTCTCCCTCAGGGTCAGTGCTGAGCGACAGCACCTCGTACTCCTCCTTGAGCACCTTGTCGGCATCGAAGGATGCCAGGGAGAGGCCATGGCTGTGGCTTTCACGCGCGTACGGTTTGGCCGCCAAATCAGCGACGATCTCCGGCCGCAAGCTGCCGAAGAAACGGCTCCCCAGTGCCTTCTCTGTGAAGTACAGTGGCGCAGCCGTGTCCTCGGAATCATAGCTGCAGGTAGCAAACTATGTGTTATACTTCTGGGCTTCGAATTTGAGCGCGGGAATTTGAAATTAGGTGAGATCATCTTCCATAGCACCCTTGGCCCCTGTGCTGCTTGACGCCCAATGCATGCCTGGCATTGCAGTGGTCCCCAGAAGTCGCCATTGCCTTCAAGTGCCAATGTGCGCGGATGCGTCAGACAGCTCCTTAGAGTGTCAATCATGGTGCGCATAGAGGGTAAGGTAAGATTTCCTATCGGGCTGAATGTTTGGAAAAGCAGACTTTTTGGCAGGTTTAGCAGGTGGCCAAGCAGTGCTACTTGAGACTTTGTCCCCCTTGTACTGACCCTCTCCGATGCATGCCCGTCTGCGTGGCCTACTGTTGCTGTGCTGTGCGCACATCCCAGTGCAAGGCATTTTTTGAATCGCCGTGGGCAATGAAGCAGCCTCACCTGCCCAGGATGCTGGTGTTGCCCGAGGCGATGACTGCCAGCGTCTCGAAGCCGAGGCAGATGGCCAGTATTGGGAAGTAGTCCCCATTGTCATTGGCCTCATTCGCCAGGCGAACAACCTCAGTCGCAGTGTCAAAGAAGGTGTGACCTGGGCTCAGCCGTGCAGAGCCCCCAGGGATAAGGAAGCCGTTGATCATGTCGAACCTGGGAACATACACGTTGATGTGAAGACCACAAGATTGTGCAAGTGGCGCTTGAAAAGAAGCTCACAGAGTATGACAGTAGACAATCAGCACCGGCAGGTGACTGTCGCAACTGAAGAAAGCAATGGCGGATGAGGTAAGAACGTCTCAGGGCTTTGTCATGTATAGGAACTGTAATTAAGCATCCAGAAGGGCAAAAACAGGTACGCTGCTCACCTCCTCTTGATCTCGGCCTTGTCCATGTCGTGGACGAAAGGCACCACCCTGGCTCCCGCAGCTTCCAGGAATTTGACATACGAAGCTGCAATATAGGATTCATGCCTGCCTGCTGGATCGCTTGGCTGCGACAGCAGGCCGATCAGGACGCGATTGTTTCTCTTGTGGTGCTTTGCATCCTCGTCAGTGCCCATTGAATTGCTGTTCTGTACGCCCGTACCGATCCTAATAGCGTCAACAGATAGCAAAGATAGCAAACTGGTGCCCGTCAGGCACCAAAAGAGAAGCATGGCCCTCCCCATCGCGCTTTCGTAACACCGAGCCGACGCACGTGCAGAGACAGCACAGCTTTTCTTCTCTTTCTAGAGCCTACACTTAGTCAGAGAAGCTACAGCCCTATGTATCAACAGCTGGTAACGTGTGATCACAGAACCATCCTCTAAATCAAGTTCTGTTGCAGGCCAGAGCGAATTCCCACAACGTGACCCCAAGATTCCGACATGGGAGGATTCCAGATTAGGCTTCCCATAATGTGCTGGCAATATACAGACACGAGCCTCTGCATGTTAAGCCCGGGAAACCACAATGACACAGTGCAGCAATCCCCAGAGTGCATGCCGTGATATGGGCTAGCTAGTCTTCTATTGATGCTTGTGAGTGCGTGCGCATTGCTTGCATTTCAATTGGGCCCGGGCCCGGGCCCGGCTCGACTCGGAGCCATTTGAAATGTATATACTATCAGTCGCCCAGGCTTGCTCTTGCAACAGCCCATCAGTGCTCGTTGCATGCGTGTGTTTCTCAAATTTAGGATGGGGTGTCACAGCCTGCCCAATGTCTCGGGCCGCTGGGCACGGGTTGCTCGGGCCCAGAGATATTGCTTACATTGTGACCAGCACGTGCTTGGGGATGAGCGCCATCTGGTTTTTGAGTGCCCTGCTGTGCAGTCCATTCGGGACCAATATCCTGCTTTGTTTGGTGCTGCCATTCAGACCATGCAACAGTTCATGTGGCAGTTAAATATTGTCAGTGTTGCACACTTTGTCATAGATTGTTTTGATCACTTGGATGCTGTCAGTACATCCAATCAGCCCTGGGCGGCTGGAGTTGATGTGTAATTTCCTTCCTTCCTTCCTTCAGTATTTAAATCGAACTTGCACAGCTTGCCCGACAAATACTTCGCCAAAGTTCCAGATGAAGTTCAGCATTGAGTTCTGCGATCATGTCATTCGTTCTAGCTAGTAGGAGCACTGCATGCATTGCACAGATGAACCACCGTGTTAGTTAACGGCAAATAAATTCCCAAACACCCAGTGCACCATGCCATGCCTCAGTTTGAAGCATCCCTGCCAAAAATATACGGGCCTATCTACGGCCCATGTGTCTGTCCTTGCAGTTGCATCTCAGTCTTGATTTGACTAGTGCAGCTGTCAGAAGATGATGCTGGGTTTGCCGCCCCTCTTCTTTGCAGCCGGCTTCTTGACAGCGCTGGCTGCTCTCTCTGCTTTCTCCTCCTCTACTGTCGCTGCAAACTCGTCCTGTTCTTCCTCTTCCCGCCTGCAATAAACAGAACTGCTCTCACAATTCATTAAATTGCTGAGATGAAATAGCAGCACATTTTTGTCTACGGCTGAGGCAGCGCGCGGAGTTTTGTGCAGTCTGATGCACATGTCCATGCATGCTTGTTTCAAGGGGGCATGTGGCAGCTGGCATGTAATTTTAGCACATCTGTCCGCAGGGCTCAGGCAATAATTTGAGCATTGCGCAAGGTCCATGCTGACTGCAGGGAGGCATGTGGCAGCTGGCATTGTTTTAGCTCCTCTGCATGCAGGGCTCAGACAAAGTTCTGAGCAACTGAGCAAAGTTCTGAGCTGATCAGCTTCTGCAAGTGCGTGCAGAGTGCAAGGAGGCATGTGGCAGCTGAGATAGCATTTCGGATCCTCTGCATGCAGGGCTCAGAATGTTATTATAGCAGTACGCAGGTCCATCTGACATGCAATGGTAGCACCTCAGCATGCAGGGCTCAGTGCGCAGAGTTTGGAGCATTATGCAGGAGTATGGCGAATGCAAGTGGGCATGTGGCGGCACATGCCTGTAGCTGGAGCGGATCTCTCGCTTGCGCTTGGCCGCCAGCTGTTTCTCCCTCATCTGCCGCACAATCTCAGCCTGGAATGACTCACCCTGCACAATCATCACTTGATCTTGACACTAATCAAACACCTCCTGCAGACAGCAGTGTCCTCTACACACTCAACCCAATGGAACTAGATTGGTCCGCACAAAGGTACTTGCTTGAACAATTGCTACTCTCTATTGTCTAGCTGTGAATTTGCTGTTGTTTCGCGCTCCTCAGCCCCTATTCTTGCAGCTCGATTTTTTGAGCAGGCCATAACACGACTGTGCCACCTTTCTCAGGTGCTCCTCTAGATTGGGCGGACTGGAGAAATCCTTTTCAGAGTTGTGTTGTACTGTGTGCCATAAACCCTTGCCGAACAGCAGAACCTCCTTAGCTTGATGCACAACAATGTGGACCTGGAGCCAGATAGACTCATGGGGGAAAGTATGCACCTCTCGCTTTTGGAGCTCTTTTGCTGCGTCCTTCTTGGCAGCATAGAGCACCACACGCTCCTCCGGGGTGGCAGCTGCCTCGGCAGCTTCCTTGCGCTTGCGCGCTGAGTCAGCGTGCTCCTTCAGAACCTCTTCCTGCAACAGGGCACGAGCCACTCATGCATGACAAATCATGACGAGACCCCCCTGCTTTGGACTTCTCTGAGGCCCGCTCAAGGACAATAGAGGCCCCTGCTGTCTGTCTTGAACCAGACAAATCCTATTGTGGAGAAGAACAGCGAAGCATGAAAACAGCAGGTAGATACTCTGTGGCTTATCATTTACACCTCGGCTGATGAGCCGCATGCACAGGAAAAAAACCCAACGGCAGAAGCTGCATCAGTCACGAGCCTTGCTGCATTTTGTGCCCTTAAGGGCACATCCCACATGTGTCGCCCTCCGATGCTGTCACTCGTGACTAATCTGTGAGTACCCTTACTGAGCAGTGAGTACTCGCACCAGCTGGCCGCGGCTGCGCAGCAGCCGGTGCGCTTCGTTGAGGCACTCGAACGCTTCGCGCGCTTCGGGGCCGGGGTTCTTATCCGGGTGCACCAGCACCGACAGCCGACGGTACGCCTTGGAGACTTCTGCGGAGGGAACGTCCCACACCGTGCGCCCCAGTGCATCCATCTCTGGCGGTGCTAGCTCCAGCAGCCTGCGCCGCTGGCCCCGTCATGCATTACTCATACTGAGCCAACCCCAAATTGAAGCATGCAAACAATCATTGGGCGCACTGTAGGTGCGGCATGTCCCTGCTTTGTGGTCCTACTGGGCTCCTCCTCAGAGGGACAATACCTGAACCAGTCTTTCTCCTTCTTTGCAGACAGGATGCGCTTGATGGCATCACTGGCCTGCATGGGAGCACTGGTGTCGAGATTGGCATCATCAGCGCCCTTCTCAGCGCTGTCTTTGCTCTCCTTTCGCCGTTTGGCAGACTGCAGCGCCTGCTCAGAAGCCGCTGCCTCGTTGAAGACCCTGTTTAGCAGCCGTTCGTCCATGCAGATGTCCTCATTCTACATATCTCAAATGTTTGGTGTTCATACTGGCCACATCAAGCTTTCATACGAAGCATCCAGGCCCGTTGCAGAACAACCATCGCTTCAGTGCTTGAGAGCAACAAGAGCAAAGATCATGCGTTTCAAAAAATTGTCTGAAAATGGTTCTTCTATTCACGTCGCTTGTAATTTGGTCATCTGCTTTGCAAATTGATGTGGAATTGGCTTGTTAGTTCTGCTAGGGTTTCTTAGGGCAGGACTGGGAGGCCAAGATTTGGACCGTTCAATAAGCCAATGAAGAAAAAGAGCAATTGAAAGAAATCGCAACAGTAGCAATTATGCAGGGGTGCCTGATCGGTGGTGTCTTGCTGCCAAGGAGACCCTGCAATCTCCATCAGATCTCTGCATGGAAATTTCGCGCTCCCATCCCTTTCAGGAAAGCGCCTGTCTGCGGCATACCTGACTACAAATCACCCGGCTACTACGGCCTGCCAAAGGATGCAGGCGCTACATCGGGCCCCGCGGGTGGCCAGGCCACTCCTGAACCAGGAACATCACCTCCTACGTGCGTTTCCTTGGAAAGCCCTTGTGTCAGCTGATTGTTCTTGTCAAGGCAGCAGAGCTTATGCCAATGTGTGGAGAATGCCTTGCATGTCTTGCAGTGGTTCACTGTCGAAAGAACATCTCTCCTGACACCCAAACCCCAGGTTTACAGGAGGTCGTTGGTCTACAGATATATAGCCTCTTCAAACGTTGCCTTGGCCAACAATGGGGTCATGATCTGGCTTCAGAATTTCATGTATCATCTTTGGTTATTGGCTGTTTGCAGGAATGCAGGCAGCCCTTCCAGCTACCAAAGCCCAGCCCCTTACAGCACACCTGACTACTCAGCTCCCACAGCGGCTGTAGCATCAATCGGAGGTGATCAACTCTCTTTGGATGCAAATCAAGCTCCTGACACACTATCTGGCATGAGCAAAGAGTCTGTCTTGGGGTTCTGTGAAGCCTTGTCTTGGTTCATGACAAGTGGGACTTCGTACTGCCTTTGCGCTGTATTCTGGCAGACCCGTTGTGGCTGCCATCCTGATAATCTTATGGGCCAGCATGGCCTTGTTATCACCATAGATCAACGTCGCGCATGCATGCAGGAACTGGGGGGAACAGCAGGGGGCCAGGCGGTGGCGACGGTGGAGGAGGCAGGGGCGGCGGTGGCGGCGGGCAGGGGGGCGGCGGGCAGCACGGGCCATGGCGTCTGCTGACCATCCTGTTCGCAGCACTGGTGGCAGGTAAGCTTACACACTGCGGCACTTTCACTCATGTAATCTCAATGAAATTGCAGCAGTCACATCCGCACTCAGTGATGCTGTTTTCTGGCATGTGGTTTGCTCCGCAGCTGCAGAACGCTGTCACCTGGGTGCCATTAGACCACTTCTCAACAAGCAATTAGCATGCATGCACAGATGCGCAGAGTGCAACATCCAATGGGATTACGCAAGGGCTACTGCACAGAACAGAGATGCCAGGTGTACAAGGCAGTGCCAGCGCCCATTATGGACAAAAGGCTACCTCGGGGTGTCTATACAAGTGACATAGTCACATACAAGGCAGTTGTGTCTGTAGACCTTCTTTGACAGGAGCATGCACCGGGATGCGCACAGTGCAAGGAAGCGCAGTCCATGCCGTTCATCCATTATTGCAAGCAAAGTCACCGCATGCGGGAATGCGAATAATGCGGGATATAATAGAATGCGTGTATTTTACTGCATTTTATTTTTGGGGCATAGAATGCAGATAAAGTTGGTGATCTGTTCCTGCAGCTGGCGGCGCGATGGCCTACAGCAAGAAGGGCAGCAGGGCTTCGCTGGTAGCCAGTGGCAGCATCACTGGCGCGCTGCTGCTCAGTGCAGCGCTCATGGGCGGGCCGCTGCGCGTGCCAGCCACGCTGCTCGCGCTCGGTGACTAACTCCTTTCCTCTGTCAGCACCCCTGGAAGCGTATGGCTAGTGACCTGGTTAGGAAACAATGAGAAAGTTTCTGGCTTGCGCGCGGTCTCTTTAATGCATGAGGTGTTTGCGGCGAATGTGGGAAGGAGCCGTTTCTGGCTTGAGCCATTGTGGCTCGCGCCTGCTGTGGCTCCTGCATTTTTGAGCGCGCCCACTGGAGCTGCCTGCCCCCGACACAAGGGGACGCAATTGGTGGCGGAATTGTGGTTCACCGGGCATACCTGCATGATGCTGCGTCCCCTGGGGGCCTTACCACTCTCAGATCTTCAAACTGCAGATTCCTTGATTTCCAGAGTGTCAGGCGTAGAATTGTGGGCGTGACGGCCCTAAATTCAACAAAATCTGTGTCTGATCGACACTTGCTCCCAAAGCTCACTTCGTTTTTGGCTGTTCCCAGTGCATACGGCCCGCTGGACCTAAATAAGCATATGTGGCACTTATTCGGGTGCATGTTGGACTGGTCTAGTCACAGCTTTTCTTTGTGTGTTGCAGCTGCCAGCTGCACTCTTGGTACCTACATGGGCAAGGGGTACGTGCGAACAAAGAGGGTGTTTCCTCAGGGGGTCTTCGCGCTAACCTCGCTGCTGCTCAGCGGCGGTTACATCGTCTCAATCACTTGAGGCAACGCAGTCTGGGCGCTGGTCTGTCTATCTTGAAGACTCTGCCAAACTCCACGCAGACTCTTCCTAATCTAAGGGACTGTCCTTCATGAGATTGTCTCTTCGTATCATGCTGTTCTCGTTCCTTCGAAGAGTAGAAGAGATCTTGCATATTGCAAGTCCCTTTATCATAGGAGATTCTTGACTTGATGCTTGGTTGCCGTCTGTGCGTACTGTATATGTGCTTGGTGAGAACTGTGCTGTCAATGCATTGTTTTGAAGTAACTGCGGCATGCATGGGGAATACGGATGAGGAACAGAGTTTCTGTGAGGCGCATGTGATATTGAAGTGGCAAGCAAGTGGCCATAGAGGATTTTCTTGGAATGGATGGGAGCAATGTACCTATGTAACAACATTGCATATTGTAGCAAGACAATTCTGGGGTCGGCACATTTATTCTCGACCAGGATGTGAGATTCATTTATCGATGTTATCAAAGACCACCATGTGTATTTCAGACCTGCCTCCAGCATGCATGGGTCCGACCTTTGGGTCGTGACAGCTTCCAAAATGTGTCATCATGGGAAATTTCTCCCTTCACTTGCTGCATGGCATTCCACGCGTCCACAAGACTGGTAGCACCATTACCTTTGCCAATGTGCCCTGCTACCGTCGGTCCTTGTCAGTATGCTGGCACATGTCATTCTATGGCCGCCAGACTGTGACAGTCTGCCGCAATGTCTTGAAAACATCTCAAGGAAATCTCAATTGTTGACACTGACTGCCTTAATAAACGGTCTGCCCATTTGTTTTCAGGGCTGCCAAGTCCAAGCACCTATGTCTGCGGCTGCTGCTGCGAACAGGGACATGAGCAAGTGTCGCCTTCTGAAGCCTGGCCTCCTGCAGTAATGCAACAATAAAAAGGTGCATCAATTTCAGACTGCTCATCCAATTTGCATGATCGGGCATCTGTCGTGAGTCTTGCACCTCGACAACAAATGAATTGTAATCTACCACACATTGGCAGTGCACTGTATCAAGCAAGCACAAGGTTTTCAGCTGGTCTTTAAGGAACAAAGGCTGGTGGTGCAGGGTCCTTGCAGCCACTCAGAACACCAACAGATAGCATCCCATGTCAGAATGTCCAGGTCTATGTCACAGTTGGACTCAGAAACTCAATGTTTGGGCAGGTGAGGCATTTGTACTCCTGTGGACCCCGAGGCCACAGATGACCCCTACTCGGGGATATCTGTTACATGACAGGCAAGGCAGGGATGCTGGAAGACAGTCCTGGCTCGGTCTATGGGGCACTCAGCCAATTTAAGTTCTAAAGTGTCAAGCATTCGCTGCAGCTGGTGGGACTTCCTACCTGATGAGCCGACACTCATGCGATCCGCTAGCTGAGGGCAGATCTCAGTGGAGTTGAAAGAGAGGCTCGCCTGTAGCAAGCCGTTGTACGACCTCCAGGCCTGTCAAAGCAGATCGGAATCATTGCCCCATTGTCTGCCTTAGTATAAAAGGGAATGACGAGTCTGCACCTCAGCAAAGTGTTATGTGCAAAAATAACATCGGCAACTCTTTGTTGATGTGCATCACAGGCTTTGCTAGGCTCACTCTCAGATGCACCCAGTTTGGCCAGAGCATGCTGTAGGAGACAGTCTCATGGCTGAAAATGCCCTAACTGCAATGAATGACATTACTCTCCACCCCTGACAATGCAATGCCACCACCGTCTTGCTCTCTCCTTTCCAGTCATCTGCAGAGGGCTCCGATCCATGATGTTGAGGCTGTGAGGCTGGAAGGTTTACCGTGTTGCAGGCGCTGTTGGGGTCGGTGCATGGCTGGCAGGGGCCGCTTGCGCGCTCCCCAACACACAGGGGCAGGCACAAGGCTCCTGGAGACTGCCCGTCTGCTGTGCCGCACTGGAACCAGCCTGACACGCGCGTGAGGCAGGGAGGCCTTTGGGACTGCAGCAGGCCGCGATCTGCGCCTTTAGAAGCAGGCCTCAGTGCTCTGCAGGAGGATAGCGTGGCAAACACCTCCAGGGATTCCTGAACTATATCTTTCAACAAGGGTCAAAGCAGCTCCCTGGAACTTTCTTTGTGGGAAGCAGAGATGTCAAGACGTGGAATGTAAGTACTGGGATGTTTGACTTCCGAGAAGCATCATAATGTATGCAATTTTATAGAGCAAGCTTACCTGAATTCACTACCACACCGGTGATCACCAGGAACACCGCTAAGGAAGCAGAGAAGGGCCTCGACATCTAGGGGCAAGTGCTGATCCCCTGGCAGCTCGATCAGGCCACCGCCTTGGACGCCGGCCCAGTACTCCCAAAACCGATCATCAAGATTTACGCGTTGCTTGGCTCCGTGACATCGCTGCTTTACTTCTCTAATCGATCGTGCTTCCGGAAGCTCTCGGAGACCTTCTCACCGAACCCTCGAGAGGGCCATCACCCTTTTCTGCGGGCTTATAACTGTAATGGAGTGAAATATCTAGGGGTTTGAGGTGTCAGGACCTTGGCGGCTTCGGTGAGCATCGGGGCAGAAAGAAGGAAGATTTCTCAATCAGCAGGAGCATGCTTTCCGCCCTGCGAACTGCAGTAAGCTTGTCCGTCCGTCCCGCTCACGGAGTTGTCAGTCTCCGCTCCTTCAGGACCGTCCCAGCACCCACCCGTATCTCCACCCGCAGCATCTCTGTGATCACCGCGATGGCTGAGGCAAGCAAAGCCACCGGAACGGTGAAGTGGTTCAACTCCACCAAGGGCTTCGGCTTCATCACGCCCGACGACGGCGGCGAGGACCTGTTCGTGCACCAGGTCTGTTCTGCGCGAGATGGATAATATGCCAAAATTTGCTTATAAATCACACGTAGGGTTATCTCGTCTCTGTGTGCTGGCCGTCCGCAGACATCATCCTTTGTTACGTACTGTGTCCCGAGGAAATTTGCGTCTGCCAAGCCTGTATCAGTTGGTGGAATCTGTCTGGGTCCCCATTGTCAGGCACGGGCCAATCTTCAGGTGTCCTGTTTGTCTGTTGGCAGCCTCCGCCTCTGGGGGCTGTCTTGCTACCAGTCTGCTACATCAATAGATCTCTTTATACCTCTTCTGGGCAGTGATTGTCTGTTGGGGCACTGCCTTGGAGCAAGGTGGGTTGCAAGTGGGGTGTGATGGGCGTGCACGTGTCGCGTTCTTGTCTTGAGGCCGTGCCCTGTGCTGTGCAGACGAGCATCATCACCGACGGCTTCCGCAGCCTTGCTGAGGGCGAGCAGGTGGAGTTCTACGTCGAGTCCGGTGACGACGGTCGCACCAAGGCCGTGCAGGTCACTGGCCCAGGCGGCGCACCCCCTCAGGTATTTTCGAGTTCTCTCTCGTCTTGCGTCCATAGTAGTGGCTCCCTGCCATCTGTCGTGCCGGGATCAGTGCCTGTCGCATCGTGACATGAGTGCACGGGAGGTTGTGATCTTCCTGTATTGGGGGAGTCTTTGCGTCGGGCCTCGCTCGAAGTTTCGTTAGGCACCTCCGTCCGGGCATAGGGACATCTCGTTATGCACATAGTGTTAGCCTTGTAGCGATCAAGTTGCTTGAGGCGGCATCGGCGACCTGACCGAGTTGCTGATCATGGATCCTTTCAGATTAGGAACGGCCCATATCCCAAATTCCTTCGTATGAAATATCATGTCCAAGCTGTTTGTGCAATTATCATGCTGCTGAGGCCGCACAGTAGCCAAGCAGAGCCCCTGTCATTGCACTTCCTATGAGTGGCAGTTCTGCTGTTGATGATACCAGCTTCGATCTTTTCTTTATGCTTCCCCAATCTTTGGTGCAGGGCCAGCCCAGGGATGAGTACGGACAGGCGAGTTCCACTTTCCTTCCAGTAGCTTCAAGAGCTCCCTATCCTCCGGCCTGTTGCATGCGCCGCCTGTTGTCCAGGGGCACCTTATCTCTGTAGTCTTCAATTGAAGGCCACCCATGCATGCCTGGGATGCTCACAAGCTGGCTCTACTGCAGCTGGGTAGTGTGTTTGTGTGGCATTTCACTGCAAAGGAATGCAGGGGCTCATATTTCTTGTTGTCAGTGCTCCTCTGTCTGCACAGCTCGTGGTGTCCAAGTGCATGCTTTTGATCTCTGGCCTTGTAGGAGACTAGGTTGCTCACTAGGTTGCTCAGGACATTTCCCTGTATTGGTTTTGGTCTTGGTGCACTCTGGCGGCTGCTGTCAGTTCTGCATAAATTTAGGGCAGTCCCAGAAACGGTTAGTCTGCCTGTAGGGTGCTCCCCGCCGCGACTATGGTGGCGGTGGCGGCAGCTACGGAGGTGGTGGCAGCTACGGTGGTGGCCGCGGAGGTGGCGGCGGCAACTACGGCGGTGGCGGCGGCGGCTATGGCGGCGGTGGCGGCTATGGCCGCGGCGGCGGAGGCCGTGGTGGTGAGCAGTACTAACCTGGGTAACTCATTACAGCAAGGTCCTCCCTGTCGTGTGCCTGAAGAGGCACCCTTGGGAAACCCTGCCTATTGTAGATCCAAACACCGCTTCAACTGCTTGATTGTATGCCCATTTTGCTGCCTGCTTGTTGAGTAGAGTTGCGCTGAACCTTGCAGATGCTGCCGAATGTCTTGTTGGCTGCTTTCTGCATGCCATTTTCCTCTAGCTGGTGCCTTTAGCAAAGCTGCATACTGTGTATGCGTGTCAGATTGTGTTCCATCTAACTCCTGATTGCTAATTGATTAGCACCTGCATGCCTGCCTGTCTTCCTGCGTCGTGCACATGTCACAAGATCGTGAGAGATGTGTGCACCGGTGGTGTTTGTCTAGAATGCAGACTCCTAACAATGTGGTGTGCGTATGCACAGGCCGTGGTGGTGGCTACGACCAGGGCGGCTACGGAGGTGGCGGCTACAACCAGGGCGGCTATGGCGGCGGCGGCGGCTACTGAGCAGCCATCGGCCTTGTGCGGCCAGCTTCAGCACTAGCTGCTGAGGTCACAGCCCTGAGGGTTGCTAGAGACCCTCGGCAGTCGAACAGAGAGATCCGGCCTTGCGTGAGGACAGAATAACCCCGCAAACCAAGAAGCGGCCGTGGTTGGATAAGGGCGCCCGTCAGAGCACTGCATGCTTTGCTAGCATTTGTCGAGATGGTTTTGTGTATCCTGATGGGCCCGAGCGAGGATAATCGGTGGTTGTTTTTAGAGTGTGAAGGGCGCGTGGCGGCTGCGGAGGGTGGGCGCATTCCGGTGTGACTGCCCTGCCGTTTCGCGCTGCGCTGACCCCTGGGGTTGCCTTACGGCGTTGCGGGCGCCGCACCCCCTTTTTCAGTCGTTTGTTTTCTCCTTTCATGTGTTTGGTGCATACCCCTGGTACCACTTTCTTTGCTTCTGTGTGGTTGTGTCAGGCTGCATCCCTTACGCGCTCATGCCCGTGCTGCATCAGGCTATATCGGGCGGCATGCGCTGTCGCACGGGGCTTGCGCCTGAAACTTTCTGCAGCTTTAAATGCATTCCCTGGACGGAACAGTCATTTGTACTAGAGGCACATGGCTGGCCCTCACCCGATCCCTAGAGAGGGTGGATGATGCAACCATGGAGGGTCATTGCAGTTGGCAGCATGCCGGAGGGCTGGGTTGACAAGGATGGTCTGTGTGTCTCGCAATCAGTCTGAGGCCTCGTGTGGTGTTACCGCTGCGCGTCGCCAAAGTTTTGACAGCAAGCAAAAACACCATATTCTTTGGCGGCTTTGAAGTTACTGTCACTGCTTGTGCTGGCACAACACATTCCAATGGTATAAAGGCTACATTCGTGTGGGATAATTGGAGCATTTGGGCGGTTCGTTGGGGGGGCCTTGTGCCCACCCTTGGCTCGATTTCTGGATGGCTTCAGGCTGATATTTGAGTAGAGCTTCATGGCTATATTTCAATCGAAGGAAACCTTGTCAACTGCGACTCAATGGACTTTGTAACCCAGAAGCAAGGGAGTAACATAGTTTTCCTGGTAATTCCAGTTCTACATGAGGGGTTTGTTCTATGGAGTTGCATCACACACATACAAAAAAAAAGGAAAAGGCATTATGTTGGTGAAAGTGCACTGTATCAAACTTGTTCTGAGGCAGTCGATGGATTGCAGTAATCTTTGAAGTGTCCTTCACAACATAATGGATTCTTGTAATGGATCTGACAAGTGCCAGAAAATTGCTTGGGCCAATGATGACTTTGCCAGAATGTCTTCATCAGTTGCAATGACCTGCATATCCAGATATTTTGATCCCTTTTTGCATCAAGCACTCATACTGTCATCCTTCAGTCAATTGGAAGAACATTGAGGCGATCACAGCAGCACAAGCCTAAGCAAGTATCCTTTAAGGCAGAACTCGTGGATGTTTCAGCTGAGCCCCTCAAAGTAGGTCTGATTCTTTGGTGAACTTGCAAAGCCACACTTCAGCAATAAAGACAAGCTGTGAAGCAAGTCGCGACCATCTCACGTTTTATAGACCTGACCTTAGCAGCAAAGCACACAAAATCAGAGCCAGACACAGATGCCTAAGGCAGAGACAGCTGGTCAGCTGAATCTCAAACACCGCTCCCGCCATCCCGACGAAGCTTGAAAGCTGATTCCAAGGTCATTTCTGCATGTCTGACTTCACCACAAGCGGCCCTATGAGACCAGGCAGCACACTCAATGCTCAACATGCTTAATCTAGCCTGTTTGCACGCATACACAGAGGCTGCAACACAGTGGAAAATGAACGTACTAAACTCAAGAGGCACCAGGTCAGAGCAGCACGAGGCCAATCTGCTCGGCCTTGAGCTCCTCCTTCAGGCGCCAGTTGTACAGGTAGTAGCGCAGCCGCCCGTCGCCGATGCCAAACTTGAGGTCCTTCAAGAAGGTCTCGTTGTCAAAAATGTCCAGGGCATTGAAGACATCATGTCCCCTGCAGGCAGCAGGAAAGTCAGTCTCATGCTGCAAAGCCGGCGGAAGCAAACATCAGGGAAGGAGTCTTGTCCCTGAGTTGAACTCTGAATGTGGGATGAGTCTTGCATCACTTAGCCAGAGTCCTGCCAAATTCCAGGGATTTGCAGCGGTGCAAAGCAAAGTGCGTTTGTCACCGTAATTACCAAAGATACTGCAAGCACTATGTATCAGCCATGTACAGCAGCATTCCACGCCAGAAAGTGTGGCACAGCATGAACGCTGTGAACATCAGCTCTGTACTTGAGCTCCTGGCCTTCTCTCTCCCTATTCAACGGTGACTCTGCACACAGCGCAGGCAGAAGAGGATACATGGTGCAAAAGCGCTTGCGCAGTGCGAGCAGAAGCAGGTCCTGCATGTGAGCTATTGCCCTCCTCTCCCCAACCATTCATCACATGGCAGACATGCGTATCTTTTTCCTCATGGCCAGGTGATTGCAAGGTGACACCAGCAGCAGCGTCCAGCAGTCTATTATATCCGGCAGGCAACATCTCCGGCACATGCATTTTTAAATTATCTGAAAACACATGATAATTTTAAGATTGACAGGACATCAGACGCTGGTGAGAAGCAGCGTCCAAAAGTCTACCAACCCCGGCAGGCAATAATTCTGCCACATGCGCCTTCAAGTGCATATTCAAAGCCTCAGGCCACATGCGCACACGTATAAACACTGAACACAGTGCCCACAGGTGATTGGGTCTTGCTTGGATCTGGCGAGGCAATGAAAGGGCTGGATATCTGGCATCCTTTCCTGCAGCTTGTCTGCAGCAAATGTTGCAGAGCCCCCTCGCCTATGGGAGGATAAGCGCGTAATAATTATAGTAATGCGCACACTTGGTACAAGAGGGGATAGCGGCGCACTTGCGGAGGGCGAGCACAAGGAGGTCCTGCATGAGCTGCGGAAGGGGGGTTTTGGCAGCCACGGTGTAGTACATGAAGGCCGCCTTGAGCGTGTCATACTGCGTGTTCCCTATGATGGTGCTCGGCAGCGTGTAGTAACTCGCCAGGTCCGTCACCGTGCCGTCTGCATGTGCCAGCACATGCTTCAGCCCCGGCTCAAACGTGAGAACGATGCATCAGAACGGCACTTCTTCTGATGATTACGGTCCTTGGGATGGTGATCACATGCAACTTCAACCTCACGAAAGCCATTCTGCACCCAGCTGAATTTTAGGGGTGGGCCTTCAGATCTTCTGCAAGTCATTGGGTGCATCACAACAACGCAACGCTGATGAGACAGCTCAACTCGCGTGTTTCTAGATGCCCTCAGCAAGCACGAGCCTTTTCCCCCACACTTGCCCCAGTCCTGCCAGAGACCTGACCAATACATTTCACCTGTACCATAAAACCTGGCTTGTAGATCATCACATAATATTGATTTCCCAAGAGAGGAAACGCACCTGGTCCCTCCACTACATACGCATCGATGACCCCTTCCTGCGGTTCCAAGTAGTGCCAGACCTCCTCCTTGGTGAACTCTGGCGCCAGCTCAAACTTTGCCAGATACACTCTGAGCAGCTCCGTCACCTGCGCGCCAGCTCACCACGCTGAGGGTTGCTTGCACGCATGCTGGCTCAGAGCGCGGCGTATCCACGACACAAATGGTGATATTCCTGCAAATGCCACATTGCTGCACTTGCTCTAGGCAGGCTCAAAACTGGTGATACGAAAGGGACTAGAGCCCTCCCTGCACCCTCCTGACTCTAATTTTGTGTGCAGGGTGTCCATCTCACACAGAGACACTGAGCCAGTGCCCATGGTTATTGAGTGCCACGCGCATCTGCTTTGCAGTGTTTGGGTGCAGGCAGCACCATTCACCGCCAAAGCTGCATCACATGGCATGGCGACAAGATTGGTGCTGTTGATTTGTAAGGGGTTATCCTGGCAGGTGCACGCACCTGCTCCACATCCCTTTCTTCCAGCGGTCTGATCCCGGGCGTCTGCGTCTGCTCTGGCAGCTTGAACAGCTTCAGCGTCCGCGCCATCGTCATCCGCGGCTGCGCAGCACCACAACCCTGGTAACTGTAAATGTCATGTACTTATTGGATCCCTAGCAATTGTCTGTTCACGCTGTACCACAACATGCTGTGGGCGATCACTGACACGCATGTGCTTGTGCTGCCAACTTTGTGGTCAAGGAATGGCTGAGCTGCTTCTGCGCCAGAGCATTGGTCCAGCCATGCCGTGCTTATGGCAGCGATACCAAAAACAAAAAAAAGTACCTCTCAAGCCTTCACCAGGCCCCGGAACAACTATACGGATAAGTGATGCCAAAGCTGACACAGGAGGCTCGAACCCAAGACATGCCACTGTGTGAGGATGCTTTAGGTGCTCGGGTTTGTTCACTGGGGCGGGCATGCTTTGCAAGGTATGTGTGAGAACAGCTTTAGGGTGAATCCCTGAGGTGGGGTGCAAAGCGCAACACGTGAAGATATTCACTGGGGCGAGGCGCAAACTGCAAGCTTGTGGTGGAATAGCTCAGGGGTGCATTCCTGGGGCAAGCGCGCAGTGCAAGGGTGTGTTTGAGCGGCTCAGGGGTGGATTGCAGGGGTGCGGCGCGCGCACCGCGAGGCGGGAGAAGCCGACGCTGATGAGCTTTTTGGGGTTGAGAGAGCGGTGCCAATACTGCGCAGTCGCCACCGGCTTGGGCAGCAGCACTCCCGCTGTGTAGGCCGCCTGCCAGATGCCTCGCAGATTCACCCGCCGCGTGATCTCCTGCATGCATGCGAGACATGACATCAGCAAAGGGACATAACAGATGCCCAGTCCTTCGCATCAAGAAAATTGCCTCCCTGACAGAATCCTCCCAAGGAAAATCTTCCTGTTGAGATTCTCTCATATTGTTGCAACATTTTGTCAAGATGTGGTAGAACTGCCGGAGACTTTGAGACAGTGACTGCTGCAGTGTACATTGCTGATCACAGGCGAGATGGTTCATTGCTTGAAGCAACACACGCTGGTGGATCAACATCACAGTGCCCCCTGAAACTCTGTTGGGCATCAAAACCGGTCCAACTGGCTTTCAGCATCCAAAGGTACCAGTGCAAGGGGCCAGACCAAGCACCTTTATGAGCACGGGCGCAAGCCGCTTCTGGCGAAGCTTCTTGTGCACGCACAGGAAGTTGATCTCGACCATGCTGATTGTGGCCTGCCGCGCGCGCATGCTTGCAGGAACGCCTGTTATGAACGCCACGAGCTTGCGGCTGCCACTCACTCGCACCCCCAGCACCCAGTCCGCCTGCCAGCCTGGCGGCTGCAGCGCCCACTTCAAAAACTCCTGGGAGTACTTGAACCTGCGCCCCATGCATGCGATCCCCATCAGACACTGTCATTTGGTGACTACAGGCCTGGAGATTACAGGTTTTCTTTACTCAGTGATACACTGAAAGGGTGTGTCTCGCTCTCCGTCTGATGCTAGAGTCCCCCAGCCTGCTTGTTGCCGCTGGGTGTGGGAAAAAGTGTCAGGAGAGGGGAGTCTTTGTGCCGTCAGATGTGGGTATATTTTGTACTGCACCGTGCTCACGTCAGAACTGAAGTGGCTCAAAAAATAGCAAGCCAAGTGCGAAAGGTGCATGTGCACAGGCAGGAACCACTTTGTACATGCACAGCAACTGCCCTGACAGATCCCTGGCAAATTGCTGAGCGTCTCATTGAGGAGCCCTGACTTGTTGAGGGGTCATGTCGTTTTTGGGGAAAGAATTGTTTGCTGTGCAGGGCTGGTCACCTGAACATGTTGTCATCGTCCTCCACATAATTCATGGTGAGCAGCTGATACACCTGCAGAGCAAGATATCATGCCAAGACACTCAATAGACTGGCGCGCGCTAATGCAATGATCTTGTTGTGGGGTTCAGCGGTGTTGCATATGATGCCGCTTGCATGCAGGCAGTTGAATTGCTGCTGGCAGAGGCAACAGCTAGAGCTAAGGAGCATACCTCTTCGACTGTCTTTTTGTCGTTGACATCGCACGTTGACCACTCAAACCTGCGAGCAGGTCACTCCTTGAAACATACGAATGCATTTTGGACAGCCCAGGCCACTGTTTTCCCACATAATCTGCTGCCAAGCCATCCGTTCACAGCATGCTCACATCTCCCAAGCATGCACAGAGTAAGGAGATCCAGGGAAACATCATACACTCATTAAGTTATCACGAGCTCCCATTGTATGCTGGATGGTTTCTTGAACTGGTCACTGCCTTCCTGCACTGTAGTATGAGCAGGAGGTCTTACCCAGCTGGCAGGTTGTAAGGCTCCGGCCGAACGTCTGCTATTGTCTTTGGCGCATCTATTGGACCCTCCTGACCGTCCACAGGAGACATGTCAAGACATATCCCACCACAAATTCTGGGTTCTTGGAGTATCAGACAGCTTGAACACCCCTCAGGCTTGGCAATCCACCGTGTGCGCTTGTCGCCTTGCCACAAGGTAGATGTGAGAGCAGAAAAGGTCTTCAGTCACACACCTCCAAAGTCTGGGATGTGCTGGCATCCTCTGTGAATTGGGCAACAGGCTGTGTCTCCCAGAAGGCATACGTCTTCTTCATATCCTCCTGTTGCGACCTCAGATGCATCTGAATCATTTGTTCCTGCGCAATATCATCTCCAGACTCAACCTTATGGCTTGCCATAATTCCCAACGGCTGGGCGTCTCCAACTGTGGCTCGGGTGCCACACCGCCAGGACCCCAATTCTCGAGAATGGCATGATCTGGAGTATATATGTATAAATGTTTTTATCTCTGATGATCCTTCAAGTGACGCAGCTTTACCTGCAAGGCTCTTTGCCCTGATGAGGCAGCACCATCGGGTGCCTTGGGGGCAGTGGAGACCGCATTCCCATTCTCGTCTGGCTTCTCTTTCTGGGACTTCCCCATAGTGGGGAGTTTGCCTCTACTGGAAGGCAGACACCACTACTCAAAATGTAGTTCCAAAAAGGCTTGTTCGATCAATACATGACTTCGTTCTAGACGGTAGAGGATGTTTCAGTGTAGATCTCTGTATTCCATACGTTTTCAATTTTATGTATATGTTGCTCTGGTACGATTCCCAGAAGCAGTCTCCTCTCGTGCACACCCATGTTGGTTATGTCACCGCTGAAAACTGTGAGTCAGCAGTTGCCCAATAGCAGTTTCCAAGGAAGACCGTTTCTGGGGCTGTAATGGCCGCAAGCTTGAGAACGAAGAACCCCTTCTTGACGTTTGACTCCTCAAATCAAGCTATCTAGTATCGACAACAGCCAGGTTCAGTTTAGACTTCTTCAAGGATATAGATTCAGTAGTAAATTGCACAGTTAGAAATTTGCTGAGTAGCTCCCGTGCAAAAAGTGGAACCTTTATATCACATTGTTTTCACTTTGTAAGCCTCACATGACAAGAGAAAGGTCCGTATTGATGTCAACCCTTCGGGACAAGTCGGTAGTCAAGCATCGTACAAGCTGAGCCTTTCCCTCCATAAAACAGGACAGCAAGAGCCGCCTCTATACTAAATTTGTACGTGAATGAAGAGCAACGACATGCTTTAAAGATTGAAGGAGATAACACGAGCGCCCCTTCTTGGGGACCTTCCTTGATGTCCCATGTCAGCCCTGCTATCTAAGAAGCGCTGGGTGAGGCATGGCGACAGAGGAGTGGATAAAACGTGCCATACAGAATGGGAAGCTCTATGAAGACTTGCCTCCCAGAGTCAGATCTGTGCTGCCAGTCAGCGAGTGGAAGCTGAAGTACGCTCAACTCCACTACCTGCCTGAAACAGTCAGATTCACTTCATTGCAAGTTTGCACCTGAGAGATCCCTAGTGTAACAACAGTCAACGGGCTCACCAGCAAAGAAACCCTGGTATGTGACTGAGTTGAACCATGCTCCAGTCTCTGCTGTTGCAGTTCCATCAGTTGCCTGCAGCATAGTCCCCTGCATGCAGGTTCATGGAGGCATGGTCATTGTGGGTAAGGGGCTAACACAAGCATGCGGGTGCAGGGTAAAGGAGCATTGCATACAGAGAGGCCTGTCCTGGGATGATAGCCTGGCCAACACCAGCTGCCAGGAGCAGGAGTACTATGAGGACCTGCTTCGATACTACAGATACAATTACAGGGTGAGCTCAGAGCCTGAGTGGCAGTGCATTGATGACCTAGTTCTTTGGACCTTTGCTCTTTGTTTGGCCAGTCATCATGGGTTCCTGACTTAATCAACCTTACCATCTTGCATATTGGCGCAATCTCTTAAAGATGCAACAATATTGAGAGCTCACGGTCCTTTTTGGCAAGGTATGGCCTGTGTGCGGACCGTAATAGTGTGGTTGTGCAGCTGTTCCCGTACCACTTGGCGGACTATGTGTGTCGAGTATTACGGGTCACGCCGTTCAGATATTACTGTGACCTGCTCTTCACGGTCATGCGGGAGGAGAAGAGCTATGACCAGATACCCAACTTCACGGTGGGTGCATCTGATTTCCACGCTGTTCTCACCCCTCATGCATGGGGACATTCTATCATGTTTTTACACATCACCCAAGTGGCCGTCCCTGCCTTCACTGTGAATGCCATACCTGGGTGACTCTCCAGACCACTTTCGAAGATTCAGACCTGATGTCTAGTCTACCCTGGGGTATTTCCTCGAGAAGGCAGGGGAAGGTGGGCATGGGTGTACACCCAGACATGTCACTGGAAGATTCTGACCAACGTGGCACCGCATGAGGGTGGTGTGTGTTTCACAAACAGGCAGCAGACATCGTGCGCATTGTGGGCATCGGACGCAACGAGTACATCGCGACGATGAACAAGTGCAAGGCGAAGAAGCTGCTCTGGCGCATGAACAAGGCGGTTGTGAAGGAGCACCTGCCCACAGAGCCCTTGGAGCTCTCCAAACAGCCCTGGTGGACCGCCCATGTGGTCAACCTGGGTGAGCCTTGCTTCATTGTAATAGGCTGAGGCAAGGGGCAAAATTGGAGTAGCATGCAAGTGCTCTGCGGAATGCATGGCTTAAGGAATCAGCGTCATGCAACGGATTCTTCATGATTTGCCGCAGAAATGAATGCCAGGCATTGATCCAAAGGCAAGAGACAATGTGAGCTTAGGCTTTTACACCTATCAAGCTATCTGCTTGCAGCCTGCAAAAGGGTGGGACAGCAATATTGCCTGGCATGCGGTGTTTGACACTGGTTCCGTGCTGCAGAGGCGCCTACCATTCTCGTGTGCCTGCCACTGTATCTCAGGAGGCTGCCAAATGCCCCTGCACTGATGATATGCTACAGGACATAGGGCTCATCCTTATCCCAGGGATCACAAATGTCAAATGTGCCGCAGGCGAGGTGGAGTTCCGTAACCTGGCCCCTACGGAGCTGGCTGTGTGCACGGAGGCGGCGCGGCCGGGCGGCGTGCGGGTGCGCGACTCGGACGGGACGCTTGTCGAGTCGCTGCACAAGCGCGGCCTGCTCTACCTCGATGTGCCCATCCGCCCGGACGACCACGTATCCATCCCGCCCCTTGAGGTGCGGCCCTTGCAAATTACATTTGTACCTTGAAGACACGGCCGCGGGAGGGGCGGACCGTTCTTGAGTAGCAAACACGCCTTCGCCTGTCGCGCTGAGTCCTGCAATTCTGTGATACCACTGATGACCCAGGGCGCACCAGGACACATGGCATGACATTGACTGCAATGCTTGGTCAAGATTTTAAGAGTATAATATTGTTTGAAGGCCGGCCGATATTGCATGCTCGCGGGCGCATTTCATGAGCATTGGCACCCAAACATGAAAATAGTGAGATGTTGCCTTGGGGGTGGGCCTCCCCTAAATAAAGAGCTTACCGTGCATCAAGTATTTGCGCTTGTGGAGATTTCTCACTCCGTGCGATGATGTGTGATTGCAGGGGTTTGTGAGCAATAGGGACAGTGAGCGCAATGAGGACAGGGCGGACCCCATAGAGATCATCCTCTACGCTGTGTTTGTTGCCACGTCAGCTCGCGCAAGCGTCGCTGAGCTGGCAGACATCCTGCAGGTGCCTGCAGCAAGCGCCCTTTGCCATGTTACCTTGACATGTCTGCAATGGTGGATTTTCTCCTGTAGGAAGCTGAGGTCCTTGGCCCTGTCCCCGTTTGTGTCTTCCTGCCTCAGATAGCAGACAAATGCACCCCTATAGAGTCTTCAGAAGTGCCAGAAATCGTGGTGCAGCTCCTGTGCTACTGCGGCTGTCTTTGATATGTCCTCGCTCTCCTTTCTAATTTTGCCGGCCTCAAAACTGAAATCAGAGATCTTGAATAATGCGCTTTTTTTGTCCTCAGTTCCGAGGCCGGCAATGACAGGAGGCTGCGCAGGAAATGGTCAAAAGAACTCCATTTAGCACCTGGATTTGCACTATTACAGGGAGGCAACAATGCTAATGTCCACAACAAATGCCGGCATTACTCCTCTCAATGTGTATACTGTGGGTGTGACAAGGGTCTGCCTTGCTTAGGTGGAGCTGCCCAAGCTGCAGGCCGCCATCTCCATAGCCTGCCGCCTGGGCTTCGCCACTCGGCTGCCCAACCCTGCAGAAGGTGACTTGCAATTTCTGCCTGCTTCGGCCCACACCTTGTCATTGCATTGGTGCTCCAATGACAGATTTCTTTTTACTTAATGCTGCTATCCTGCCACTCCCTGCTGCTAAATCATGGCCTGCAAGAATTTTTGCCCTCTGGAAGATCTGGAAGAATTGTGCGAGAATTAGCCAAGGATAGTTGCTGCAGGAGCCACAACCAGGCAGCAAAGCTTGCTATTCTGCATTCTTAGTGACCGACTGAAACACATGGGCGAGGGCAAACCATGTCAGACATGCGGTGACTAATGGGTGAGTCACCCACGGCGCAGACGAGGACGCGTTCAACGCTCCCTCCATGTCTCTGGACTTTGACCTGGAGAGCGAGCAGGGGGATCTGAGCCCCACCACGCGCGCCAGCAGCCTGGGTTATGGCATCGCCAGCCTGGCGGCCGAGGAGGCCGATGACGGGCACGGCGGCCAAGGAATAGCCCTGGTGGTCGACGCAGAGGTGAAAATTCGCCCATGAAGTTCCAGGATGTTCCTCTTCCTACATTAGATTGACTCTGGAGTGACTTGGTAAATGGGTGTGTGCTTGGGTCTAAGGAGCCCACAAGATGTGCAGAAGGACAATCTTATGATGGACATTTGCATGCGTGAAATTGTGCTTTCGAGTGAGAGGATTGTAAATGAAGAGCCCCGCAAACATTGATGATACTGTGGCTCTTCTGCGCTGAAATGCACTGCAAGTCCTGGATGCACATGCCCCTCCAACTCGAACAGTCTCGGCCGTCTGTTGCTGATTGTGTGTTGCTGGCGTGCAGGTGACATCTTACCTGATGATGGGTGCATTGTCACCGGGGCTGAAGCGGCACTCTGTGACACTCTTCGAAGGTCATCCCTCACCGCTTGCTCTCATGATGCCTTGCCAGTGCACCACACGGTTCTGCATATCGTTCTTTTCTTTTATAAATCTTAAAGAGCCACGTCATGCATGCATGCACAACAGGTGAAAGTAGTTGCGCTATAGTGCATTATAAGCGTAAACTCAAATTCACTCGCAAGAGGTGTCCTCTCTGGTAGGTGCCAGTATCTATGTGGCTGCCTGACTGTGGGTGACCAATCGCTGATGTGGCGCCATTGCAGGTGGGCGCGTGACTGGCGCTGAGGTCATCTCCGAGCTCATATCTGAGCTGGATGCCAGCGTGGAGGCGGCTGCGGGCTTTGAAGGGGAGATGCAACGGCTGGCAGGCTATGCCAGGTGGGCTCGCCTCACAATTGTTCTCAGTTGAAACCACATTCCCTGCACACAAATCTCGAAGAGGCGCGCTGCTCTATCCTGGACATATTAGTGGGCAACACTGGGCAACAAGTGATTTTAGATGCCTGAGAAGGCTCTAAAATGGCTTCTGGTCAGGATGATGCACTGACAGCATTCCGGGTGCCTTCAAAGAGCGGCTTGTATATTCCTTAATCACAGGAATTTCTTCTAAAAACCCTGAACGCATCTGCACAAAAATGAGCATGTGCAAGCATATTATTGATCTTGCTACTTATCTGCGCAGGGCGCTGTCAACTTCGCTGCGGTGCGTTCGCGCGAGCGGCGGCTCGCGGCCCATCGAGCTGCTGCGCAAGGAGAGTCTGGCCGGCCTCGCGCCGGCGGCGGCCGCGCGTGTGCTTAGTCACGCTTACATCGCCGTCGTGCCCATCGCCCCCCTGCCGTACCCCCCGCTTCCCCTCGCGCCCAACCGGCCCGGTGTGTTTTTCCATTTTGAGCATCAAAAGTTCAGATGCACCAACCTTGAATTCTTTTGGCTTCAGAACATCATCCCGTGAGCTTGACCTCTTTCAACAATGCTGTTGTTGCTGCAGAGCATGCACAGAGTTGCAGTTGAGAAGAGGACAAAATGACAAGCCTATGCCTTAGTCTGATGATGCTCAGGCTGAGAGTGGCAGCCACCAGCTCTGTAGCTTGGGCTCTTTGTTGTCCTTTGCTGGACAATTCCTTCCCGAGAAGTCCAACATTCCAGCTCTCGAATGCAACGCTGATGTCAAAGATAACATGCTCTCACAGGACCGACGAATTTCGGTCCGACGGCGGAGGCGGCCACTCCCTGGATGCAGCTGGCGTTGTACATGGCGATGCGGGCGGGGCCGGTGTCGGTGGTGTTTGTGTGCGGGCAGCGGCTGTGGCGGCTGCCGCCGCAACTGCTGCAGTGCACACACGCGCTGCTGTGGCCCTGGAACATGGACGCCGTCCGCGCGCATGTGCGTCGCTCCTCACAGCTCCTCACCGTTTTTCTCTTACCATACAATACATACCTACGTATCGCTTTGTCACGTGTTACCTCATATGCATGTAAGCAAGCATCTCACACCCTTGCCAGTGACCGTATGCCTAGCTTTGATGCTAGATGAGCCTATGTGTCTCTCCAGCACAGCTCTTCAGGTGAACGTGATCACCTGTTCACGCATGCACTTGTGGCCCCTTACCACACATGACACTGTGTAGCGCCATTGATTCTGAGCAAGATGTACACGTATTTACTTGCCATTGCCCCATGATCTCCATATAATGCGAGGAGAGGGAAATGGCAAGTGAGGTGGGTAGGATTCTGCTCAAATTTCCTGGCTATTCTTAATGCCACGTATCTCGTTATCTTTCGTGAAGAATCAGTATCCCAGAAACAGTGTTTCAGATGTTTCGACTTGAAAGTCAAATTACAGGGTCGTGACAATTTGTTCCTTGCATGTGCAGGAGGTGCCCGTTGTGGTGGAAGCTTCCTTTCTGCTGTTTTCGCTGAACGAGTACCTGTCTCGGACGGCGTTGCTGGTGCAGCCGCTGCACCTGCCGCCAGACTCGGACGAGAAGGACCTGTGCTTCGTGGACATCCCTCTGCCGCTGCCGCCCACCCAGCAGACCCTCATTGGAGGCATCGACGCCTCCAGGTGGCCCGCCCTCAGGACATGCAGTTCTTCCATCAAGACAGGGATTCTTAGATGCACTTTCTCTAGCACCGGAAGGGCACTCTTTTGGCAGATGCCCTGCAAGTGTGTATAGGGAACGGCTCTTCTCCCGGCATGCAGGGCAGGCAGGTCAGCTTACATGTTTCATTGTGTCTGCTGTCCCTTTTGGACACAACAGGTTCTTTGAAGGAAACGTGTCAACAACTGGTGTGGCGCACATTAGCCCACTCAGGGTGTATTCAGGCAGCGGGATCTGCACGCGCTCATGTCGCAGACACATTCAGTGTCATTGTCGAAGCATTACGAGACACATCGGCCGACGCGATAATGTTTTGGGGCCGCTGCAGTGGGGAGCCTTCACCCGCAGGTTGTCTGTAGATGCACCTTGGCCCCTGGTAGGAATAGCATGTGACCAAGACACTATAACATTCAGTTTGTTATTACACCGGTCGCTGACCCGCTGATGTTGTGTGGCGGCTGCAGCGGGGAGGTGGTGGAAATGGCGACGCCACAGGGACTGAGAGAGGCGGTGGAGGACTTGGGGCTGCAGCGCGCGCTGGGATTTGTGCGAATGCTGCGGCTGAGCGCGGACGACCCCCTCAACTACCCCGAGCCTGACCCCCTGCCGCCGCACGCCCCCGTGGACCTGGCCGACCTCAGGTGTGCGCATGTGCCTGTCTCTGGCTGCCTTCGCGCACCTGAACACCTCGAGAGTCTGCTCCGGTGGGTGTGCAGACATAGGCCTGCAACAGCATACTCCTCTGCATGCTTGCATGCCTCAGCCTGTACACCCACCGGTGCAGGGCTCCTTGACAGTGCAGATTTTCAATGAGTTTGTGGTATGACGAGTTCTGCCTGTATGCGCAAGTGTGGTGGCTGTGGCTATTACAATGCATCATGCAGATCATGTGATTTGGGGTGTTGAGCAATGCATTTGGCACATGCAGGCTGGAGGAAGAAGATGAAGAGGAGGAGGAGGGGCCGGAGGCAGAGGGGAATAACGCGCACACGGAGGGGAATAATACACACGCAGAGCAGCAGAACGGGGGAACGCCTGCGGATGTGTGGGTACCGGTGGCGCTGGGGCTGGGCCTGCCGCTGTCGCCGGACAAGCTCTGCATCGCCGTCTGCGGCCGCGCCGGCGCCTCCAACTTCCTTGAGGTGCGCGCTGCTCCTTGTACGCCGGGGTGTAGAGCGTGTCTTTTTTTGCCCATCGAGCTCCATGATCTTGTTTGGCAGGATGGCGGCTATGGGGCACGCAAGTGGTCTGCAGGTGGTCATGATCCCCTGACTTGACTGGCCCTCACTTGTCGTACATTACCCCTTGTAGCCTTTTCAATGATGGTACTGGGCAGAGGACCTCGCACAAGTCCATAAAACAGTCTTTCGCACCATCAGTTCAAACTCGCAGCATCAGCAGGACTTGAATCACACTGACTCTATGCCCAGGCGGACGTGCGGCGGGAGCATGCGATTGGACAAGCGGTGTTGCAACGCCGGCTCTTTGAACTCATTGCGGATTACGGCGCATGCACCAACTGCCTCGGCGGCGCCGGCGGCCGCAAGGATGACACACTTGCCTACGTGGACCTGCCGATACATAATCTCTTATTTGACGGCGCGGAGATGTGGCGGCTGGATTACACCGACTTCACACAAGGCGTCGGCACGCTCTGCGTCGAGTGACACGCTTGGCGCGAAAGGCCGGGTGGGTTTTCGCGGCGCGGGTTTAGCCAGGTCGTTCTGAGATCTGTGCTCTGCTGTTAGTGGGTACAAAGGTGCAGTGATCTACTGTATCCAACGGATGAGTGGGAAAATTGTGGGAAAATTGATGCTTGCAACGGACGAAGTACACGACCCTGGACAAAGCATCTTCTGTGAGGGGTGCTGAACTATTTTCAGGAGCTGTTGCGCGCATGCTCAGTCTAAGTCTGCCCGCATTCTGCGCTGGACTGACCATGCGCACGCAGGCCCTTGGCCAATTACAAACGGTTGAGGCTGACACAGCCGTTTATTGTGTGGCTAATTTTCTTGGCCATCATAGCGTGGAGCAAGTTGCCACTGTGCAGCAAGTGCACCTATCAGTGAGGAACGCTGATGCCTTAATATTAAATCATTGCAATCTTATGTGATAGGCAGGACCCTTGGATCTTCATGCAATAGTGCGATGCGAGTCTTACCAGAGAAAGCCATGCATTGCTTAGGATCCCTAGGGCCTTGAAGGCCTTGTCATTTACCAATCGACACTGCAGCTGCTGCATGTGTTGCCATTGGTCTCAGTATGCCATTCACCCAAAGTATTGGCAAGTGGTCGTACTTGCCTTCTCGACATCTCCTTCAGGCCTTTAGTGAAGCCGTGCACAAATATGACTGTCAAGCAACAGGTCCAAGCCGCGCTTAAATGGTCTTTCCCTCATTCGTAGTCTTGTCTCTCAGCATATATGCTGAGATTGGTCACATATATATACATGTGACCAATTAGAACAGGAATACTTGGGTCCATACATACAGAATACAGTGTCTGGTGCAGGCACAGGGCAAGCTTGCTTTGGCCCATTTAGGCTACCTTCCTCTCTTTTATACAGCATTGGCACAGAATTGCCGTGCCTATTCACTCGATCATGACAAGCTGTGAGGCTCTGATGGTGCTGGGAAAGATCAGAAACAGATGGCTAGGGCTCTGGCAATCGTGGCAGGTGCACAGAACTCTCCGCAAAAGCAACCTGTGAGCAAGGCCAACACCCCGAATGTCAATAGCCATTAATACAGATAACACTCTATTTAGCCCGAATCTGCACTGCACCGCCGCATGCTTGCCATCGTGCATCACAAATACTGCTAAGCCAAGGCTGCATGCATGCCTGCATGCATGCAGCCTGCACTGAATGTCAACAGGTCCAACTGGTATATTTGAACTGAAACAGCACATAGCATCGTTGAACACTAGGCAGGGCTCTTGCGGCCTTCAGTGTCTCGCATACATGAACACATCAGAGAGCGTACCTCTGCGCCGGCCATGGTGCCCTGCAGCTTGTCCCTCTGCGCCTTGTCTAATGCTTTATCTAATACCCCCAGCGCCTTTCTATACACCGGGTGCTCCTCATGCGGCGGTGGCACCGCAGGCGAAGCCCTGTGAAAATGGGGCACAAGAAGGGTTTTCAGGGGAGTTGTAAAATAATTTGAAGAGGACTGTGCAGCCTGCAGAGCAGAGGCAGAACGGCCTGTTTTTCAAACGGCAGCTTCCTTCTCACCTGCCATGCCAGATGCTAAATACAAGTGCTGCTGCCTGTGCTTGTGTCACCATCAAAGGAGGGGCCCACTTTCTGACACACGCACTGCCAGGAATGCCTTGTCTGCCACCGACAGTCTTGCAATAGAGAACAATGGTGAATTTGGTGCCTACCTGAAGGCTACATCAATGGCTGCTCGGCAGGCGGCTTCGTCGGCGCCGAATCGCATCGCCGCTAGCAAATGACCAAACATCTCATCGTGCATGTTTGCCTCCGACTGCACATCAGATGACACCTCTTCAGAGATGTGGTCCAATGCCCCACAATTTCTGGGACTTTTCACAGAAGCTGCATTTGCACAGAGATTCAGGGCAGCTGATGGCTCCTTGGTTGTCCAAGCAGACTCGCCAACACATTTTCAATAAAAAATCCATCAAAATCTAACCCTCTGATAAAACTTTGTGTATAAACAGAGGCAAAGTTGTGCGCGCACCAAGAAAGCAGATGTGATCAGCTGTTTCTGCCGCAGGTTCAGCCCTGGATTGCTGTACACATCGCCATAAGCATGCACCCTGTGCATGACAACCACAATCGCTGGATCCACATGAACTGAGTCCGCCTAGTCAAGGAGCCAGGCCTCTGCAAAGACATGCGGGGTGCGTGCTGTTGTCTTCTGGTCCACAGCGCAAATGAGCGCTCAGCAAACTGTCTGGGTCCCACTTGACTGGTACCTACGAACTGGACAATGTCTATATCTGGCAGGCTCAGCCTGTCCAAAGGAGCCCAGGGTGAGCAGCTCTGGCGTGAGCAGCCCACTTTTTACTGTCAGCTGCACACGGGGGCTTATGTGATCATTTCACCCTTTTTCAGGGTGTGGGTTACCTGATCCACTCTCCCAGAACGCCGTCCAGAGTATACAGCCGCTTGTACACCTTGTCAGCAACGCCATCATAGACCAGCGAGAATGCATTTCCCGGGGCGCCCCCTGCCTTGCCTGGCACCTCCTCTTCTAAAAGTCCTGCCTTCTTCAGCGTCGCTGTCGCTGCCAAGCACGGCGGGTAGCCTGCTAGCCTGCAAGCCCACTGCTTGTCATTAGAAGCTGCATGGCTTGCTTCTGACATTAGAAGGAAGCCATGGAGCAAGATTCCCGGATTGATGCTGATGAGCTAAGGACATCTTTTGATTTGCTGAAGGAATGGACTGGTGAAGAGACAGGGGAAGATGGAGCTGCTGCCGAGGTGCAACTTGTGACAGGAGCTACCAGAAAGTGCCCAGCATATAGATGGCATGAAGAGTCATGGGGAGGTGAGAGAGACGTACACACACATGTGTCGAATGCAGCCCCGCAGCTCGGCTGCAGAGGTGCCGGAATCAATGCAGATCCTTCCCAGTGCAGGAAGCTGATCCCACTGATGGAAGCAGGCTGTCATGAATAGGCGAATGAGGCCTTCATCCTTCGATGACAGCGGCATGGAGGATAAAGACTATCAAAGTCTGGTGTTTTCTGGGACCTCGATCCGCGAATCTGGGAGCAGCACAACCAAACCTTCTCTTCACTTATTTGTTCTGACAGGGACAGACCAAAAGATTGCTGCAGCTGGAAATAAGCAAGCTTTGAAATGCGCACTGATTCTATCGTCTTTAATGTGAATACAGAAGAGGCTGCATCAAGCAGACTCGGAAGGTGTAAACTCTGCTCGCATGCGTTGTCTATATGGAGGGTTTCTTGGCCTTGCCTTCAAGGTGCGGTTGGAGATGAAGATCATCAGAAGGGGTGCGCTGTGCTTTTTAATGTCATACGAACAGTCTTGACTGCTTACATTAGCAACGTTGTGCTGTACTCCGTCAGCTCCAAGGTAAACGGAACCAGATCCGCCATCGGGCAGGGAGAAGCTCAACGCAAAAAACCTGTGCAGTACGTTGGCATACAATCGAGACCAATTCTTATGCAGAAGGGCTGAAGCAGTTGTAGGCCAGAGCGCAAGACCCGAAGAAGGAATCGCAAAGGGCGAGCAGACTAGAAATTGAATGTATATAGGTCGCAAAATTTGGTGATTTGGCAGCTAGGGACCTATAGCTCAGTGGTAGAGCAATCGGCTGCAGTCCGATAGGTCAGTGGTTCAACTCCGCTTGGGTCCTCTCTTTTTCCTTTTTTCCTTTTTTTGCTGCATGTCCAAGGAGACAGGCGTCATAAATGTGATACCGCGCTCACAAGGTATGCTATCTAAACCATTTAGTTTGTGGAAGAGGTATATATACCGGTAGATGTGCGTCTTCGTGCATTGTACGATGTATGCATGCCGGGCCCACTACGTAGTATTCTGGGCCCTCAGGCTGGGCCGGCCACTTGCATTTGAATGCACCTTGGACTTACTATGTACATTCTATATACAGACTATGCAATACAGTATGACACCATCAGTCATTGATCTCATGGATATATTGCAGCCTTACTTCTTCACCAGAGGTGCATGCAGTCATGATCACTGAGGAAACAGTCACTGAGGAAATAATTTCTTCACATACTTTTGAGAACGCTGCAGCCACATTGAAAAAGCACAGCATGTACAGCACTCAGCATTGATATGCTGATGGCACTGGTCAGATGAGTTAATTTCATCATGAGAGGGTCAAAGCTAGAACGGCTGCTCCTTGCGGTCGCTGTAGAACTTGCCGCTGTCGCTAGCTGGAGCATCCAGAGCCAGCCACATGGGGGTATCCGCGCCCTGCTCGGGCGTCTTATGTCCTTTGTGGGATGACATGTCTGTGGCCACATACCTGTGTACACACACGCACAGTCAACCTCCCCTGTCTCTGTGTCATTGTCTTCTCCTCCCCGACAATGTCAAAGCTTGGTCAACTCTCCAGAATGTGACGGTCAAAGCAAGCACTGTAAGGACCAGCCTGAAATGTGCATGCTACTCATGCATTCTGCAGGCTATCTTGCCAGTGCATGATCTACTGGAGCAAGTCACTGTCCACTGCTACCGATGTTATATCTTAAGAAGAAGGTTCCCCACCCGGGACAACAGGCATAGACAGCGACGCCGCGCGGCTTGAGCTGCTCTGCAAGCACTCGGCTGTACGTTGCCTCGCACAGCTTGCTCACCCCATACATGCTGGCAGGCCAGCCCTCTTTTGAGTAGCTGCTTGCACACAAGCAGTCTCTCTCAGGCCCCACCACCTCGAGCAGTACAGGATTGAAGCAGCAGCAACTTCGCACTCACAAACTCCTCTACAGCATCCATGCGAGTCCCATGCAAGGTCCATGGTGAGCAATTCTTTTGAAAGACCTTCACTGGGTTGAAGGGCAGTGGGCTGGTATTTCAGCATGCAAGCCTGACAGTACTTCCTGATGGCTCCCCAGAAAAGCCTGCTCATTTGCTGCAGTTTTCACACTACTACAGTTAGTGATTCTCAGGCACAATGCCCACCTGCCGCTGGCAACTCCTTGCAAGAATTCCTCAGCGAGCGCGGCAACCTCCTCAGCACTCTTCGCAGCTTCAAAGCGGCTGCGCAGCTCTGAGCTGCGCAGAATGCTCAGCTTGCCGGCCAGGGAGCAAACATTAACAATGCGGCCTCCATCTGGTATGAGGCGTTCCAGCCGCTCGCAAACTGCGCGCGTGCCGGCAAAATTGGTCTCCATTGTTTTCCGCGCCTCCTCCGGGCCGAAGATATTGCCCTTGTATGCGATTCCTGTGCACCACATAGATGCAGTCATGGTCAGGCCGGCACGGCGAGTGAGAGGCGCCTCATATGGGTAATACTGCACAGTTGCTTGGGGCGGGGCCTGAATGCAAAGGAGACCAAGCAGTGCCCAGGTCGCAAAGGCTAGGAGAGCAGCAATTTTGCCATTATCATGGTCTTGGGTCGCTCGGTGTGACCGTCGCGACCACAATCACAAGCCCCGCACCGGCATTACCGTTTAATGGTCTGGGCTGCACGAGTACAAAGGCTATCTGGAAGATGCCAGATCAAGTGCCGGTGCGTGGCTTGCATCGTAGCGGCAAAAAAAGTAAGCAACATGCTGAGTGCTTCACGGCACTAAAAAGGCCAGCAACATTTCAGACAGGTTACATCAGCTTCATTGCTGGTAGCTCATCTTCCAAGCTGCCAAGGCCTGATGAAGCACAGATCTAGGGATGCTTCCATATCGAGAAGTGGGTCTATCCTTGCAAAGCTCAGCAGAAGGGTCACCTGCGTTGTTCACTAGAACGTCCACCTTAGGCAACGCTTGTTCGGCCCATTTGCAAACTCATCCACAGATGCTGGGTCCGCTATGTCGAGACGCCTGAATTGGACGGCATCCGAGCCTGTCAATAGGCCAATGTACTCGTCAGAGACTCTTTTGAAGCTCCCTGAAGTGTTTGGTGATATTTGATAGGTCTGCACGTGCTGGGCACACTTATTTAAGACACATGCCTTAAGCATGCATAGTATCAAATAAATCAGATGTCAGTGTGGAGCATGGAGTGTGGAATGTGGGGTGTGGAGTGTGGACTAACACAACTATCAGAATTTTCAGAAGCTTCACCTGTGGACTCCGCAATCTTCTTTGTAGCTTCCGTCCCCAGCTCCTCTGCACAATAATAGACTATCAACACTGAGATTCTTTGCCCTCATGTTTTGAAGTTGCAGAGTAGCGGGTGCCCTCAGGAACAAAAGCAAGGGGTGTAGAATAATAGGGCACTCCTTCCATATCCTTCTACTCCTCTTAATGAAAGCAGACATGCCATTGATACGTGCCGCATGTATGCGCAAAGGCAGACAATGAGCGCACCATTGCGAGCAGTGAGCACAGTGTGGAGGCCTGCTTGAGCCAGCTGGCGAGCTATTTCGTATCCGATCCCCTTGTTAGCTGCGACAAGAGGTAGTGCGCTCAGTAGGCATCTATCTCGCAGGTAACAGATTAATAAAGCATGCAGATCCCTGAAAATCAACGTGGCAATCGAGGGTTTGGCAATTCACCACCAGTCACTATAGCGACCTTCTTGTCCTTTGGAACGTCGCTTGCGGCAGCGGCCATGCCAGCAGGTGATCTTCTTACCACAGCAGATCGACTCCCCCTTAAGTGGCCTGTCCTCGTCACCCGTGAGTAAGAAAAGAGTGTCTTTGTCTGCAAGGCAGACGAAGTAGTTTGACAAATGTCTGCCCTGTCAACAATCCCACAAAATGTTATTGGACAGTCCCACATGCCACTGTACTTCGTATGTACTTCAAATAGACCATCAATTGCCAAAGACACCTCCAGCAATACTTTCAAGGCAGTGGTGATGAGATGAAGAGAGATCATCGATAGAAGATCGCTTTGCTGAGACACCATGGACTGCAAGTACTGATTCGCGACGCATACCAGCGGCAAGCACGGCCGTGCGCTGCGGTCTGCAAGCTGTGGCTGGCGCAGGCAACACTCCTCAGCATAGCTGGCCTGACGGGGTCTTGTTAATCGATCTGGCCACGGCCCTAAAGCAGGACCAGTTGCAATTTAATAGAATTGAGGGAAATGTAGCGCGTACAGGCACGCCGCCGAAGTGATATCTGACGTGCACAGCCAAAACAGGAGTCCAGCACCATGTGACCTCCCACATGACCAATTGGGCAAGGTTTTGGCCGATGAACATCGTATGCACGTTGCGTATGGCTTGCGAACAGGTCTTTGAGTGAAGAGTATTGCCCAGGTACTTGTCTGTCCCGCCTCGGCTCTTTCTGCATCTGGGAGCCCTTCCTGTACAGAGTTGCACAACCCTGCATCTCTGAGTAATTTCTGGGATCAATACGCAGCACCCGGACGACATTGTGGCTTGATACAAAGTCATAGACAAATTGTGCGGGAGGCAACCGTGGGAGCTTTATTGAAAGGTGCGCCTCCCGGAGCGATTGTGCCTGGGACAAAGCGAACAAGCACGGTCGGCTGTGCTGCCGTACAGTCCGGTTCATAAAATGCGGTGAATGCCAGTACTTTCGAGTCTGAAGTTCAGACGACTGACTCCTGACGTGCGTTAGAGAATTCGAATTTCGTCGTTAAAGCAGCTGCGCGCTGTTCCCTAGATGGCAGAAGCAGTGAGGAGAGGTTCTTCGTTTTGTAGAATCAGACCTCTTATCAAAGAAGAGTGCTTGAACATGTGCTCAACACTAGCATCCATTGACAACCCACCAGCATGGTTTGGTTCCATGCATTAGCAATATTTATTCTGATACAGATGTACGGGGTTTCTTCTCGAACCGTTTCTTTCGGCTGGCTTTTTGTGCATCACTTGTTCAAATGTCCTTTACAGAAGCTACAGAGCATTGTTGCTGCATGACGCTGGTTCTGTTTTGATGCCGAGTGCTATTGAGAAGCTAAACCCTAGTGAGCCCAAATAGCATCCATGCGTGAAGTCTGTCTGGGCATGCATCTCTGTGATACTTGCTTTGGCTGTCATAAAAGAGTAGCATTTGCATCGTGGCTTTGTCTCGCATGGCTCTGTAGAATAAGGTGCAACGGGGCAGGATGCTGAACAGTAAATATCCGACTGATTGGTCACTCGTTTGCCCAGGTGGTGAAATCGAGGGTGCCCAGCTGACGCACATGCCGGAGCGACAGCATCTGGTGTGACAGTAATGCTGCAGTGCAAACGCCCATTAGACACAGCTTGCACAAAGGAGTCATTTTGTGGGGGAGATCCGGCACTGTTGCAGCCAACCTGTGCCTCTGCCGCGAGGTGGACATGGCCCGCGTCTAGGAACTTCAACTTTATGGGCAACCTTTCCTCCTGTCTTGGGGCAGGCGAGTGCTGCTGTCTCTTACATCCCATCCCAAGAAACCTGTACACTAATGAAAATACCCTGCCTCATTGCCATTAATTGCAGACCCTGTGCCCTCCTATCCTGCCAATGCTTGCATCAAAGCAAAAGTGATGCAGTGCACACCACAGATGACTCCTTGAAAGCCCAAATTGCAATCTGGAGACAGCGATCGATGCATTGACTTTCCATGACACCTCTGTCACATGACAAACACGCATGTATGGAGTTTCTGAGATTGAGGTGGTCATGCATGGGCTGCTGCAGGGACAGATGAGGGGCCGCATGATGCAGTGACGGTCCACAAAGTGGAAGTGGGAGTTCGGTGCTGCTTCTACTGGCTATCGGATGATGCAGAGCGCACGCTGAGCCCAGCCGAGCGCTTAAAATGGATGGAGGAATCCGGCAAGGGCGAGTGCCAGGACGCGGCCGTCACGCAGACCGACTTTGCCAGCAGCGCCGGCTCTGTCTTTGCTGGTGAGAGCCTGCATCTGCCTGTACTCTTTGTTGGTCATGGCGCGAGGAGAGTACGCTTTGTGTGACGAACCTAAAAGCAGAGAACTCTGGACTCGAATGGATCTGCACATGTTCTGTATCTTGAAGCTGCACCCTTGGAGGCAGTGTCCAAGGATCATGGCATGTCAGGATCTTTGAAATTGCTATGGAAGGATAGGGAAGACTGCTAGAGAGTCTCGAGGGTCAGAAAGAACATACCTGTGAGACAAGGTTGGTCTTTGTGTTAGTGCATGCATGCCCACACGCACACACGCATGCATCCACCTTTAGCTGAAGAAGCAACAACCTTTGCCTGCTCAGCAGAGGGTGCTAATTCTATCTTGGTCTGTTGCAGGGGTCTTTGATGGGCACGGCATTGGGGGGCGACAGGCGGCGGTGTTTGCTGCGGGGGAGATAACGCGTGAGCTTGCTAACGACCCCCGAACGGAGCCCGGCAAGATCAGCCGGCAGTGGAAAGCCGCCGTGACCGACGCATGCGTTGCGGTGACTCATTATCTTCATTGTACATTAGTGATTCAACCCAATATACCTGCACTAGTTACTTAGGGTGTGCCTGCAATATAGACTGCATGGGGCGTACAGAGCATAGTAGTCAAATTTTTGCCAGCAAGAAAAGGGACCTTGGTGCTCTGCGGTTGCCCTTGCAAAGGGCCACCAGCCTGCCGGCAGCCTTGCATTGCAGCAATCGAACTCTCGTACAACAAGACTGCTGGGGCAATTGCACTTGACATGGCAACACTCCCCGCCATGAAGAGTGACTGCTGCTGTGGCTGCTGTATTAATGTTTGCCCCTGCTGTGGAACCGCAGGCGCACACAGCGCTGAGCAAGCCGGACCTGGCAGGCTGCGATGCGCGTTACAGCGGCTCAACAGCATGCATGACGCTTGTGCACAATGGGCAGCTATTCCTAGCAAATGTGGGCGACTCGCGTGCAGCTCTTGCGCGGCTCAATCCCCTGGGGCGCATCCAGGGGATCGCCCTCACGGAGGACAACAAACCCAATGACCCCGAGGTGACTCACCGGCTTTAGTGCCCAAAGCTGTGCCTCCCCGCTCCCACAACATACTGCATGTGTTGGGGTGCATGCACAGCACCTCAGAAGGTGGTGTTCAGAAGAAGGGCATTTTGTGCCCTTGCAAAACCTACGCCATTGTGCGAAGAAAGCAATGCAACTCCCACACAATTTTGTATATGCGCTTGTGGAGAGGCAGTGATTGGTTGCAGCCGGCACTGTGCCAAAGCGGTGCTGCCTGAATCACCTACACTGCTGTTTAATGGGGAAACCAAATGAGCCTGAGGACAGGGTGTTACCTGCATGAACCAGACCGACTGCTTGAGAAGGACTTTCTGTGTGACGTTAGGAGCGGCGGCGGATAGAAAAGGCAGGAGGGATGGTGTCGCCGATGCGCAACCGCGAGGGCGCCTTTGTGGGACCGCACCGCGTGTTTGGACCCGAGGGCTTTGCCCCGGGCCTCGCCATGAGCCGCTCTCTGGGCGACCTGCTTGCTCACAGCCTCGGCGTCTGCCCCCTGCCCGTCTGCTCACAACGGCGGCTCACAGCACAGGACCAGTTTGTGGTGCGCGCTTGGCTCCTCTCGTGCAACAGTTTTCACAACACTGCCACGGCCGGGCTCGGCATTGCTGAACCGACTTTCAGCAAGGCCGGCACAGAGGCAGAGCAGACAATCCACGCATGTGAAAATCATCAGGAGCACGATAGCAAGGAGAACTGTGAATGCATGAATGGTTGGCCGTAGCGTTGCAATACGGCCTCTGGCCCGCTCAGGGGGTCTGAAGAGTTCAGACACCGTCCGCAGAAAGAGAATATACAATTGCAGCCATTATACGTTGCGCTTGGACCGGGAGGGTATGTTTGCATGGGCTTTTTTCAAGGTCATTATTAAGGTCAGGAGTAGCCTTGTTCAAACCCTTCGTTCTGAATGCAGGTTCTGGCAACGGATGGGGTGTGGGAGGTGATGGACTGTCAGGATGTGGCCCACTTTGTGCAGCGCTGGCGCAAGCGGCCCTGGGTCGGCTGGAGCGCCTCCGACGCGCTCACGCTCGAGGCCCAGGAACGTTGGAAGCTGCTGCAGCCCGAGGTATGTTTTTCTTCGCTGCACTGCGCTGCACGCGCCTTTGACCGTTTTGGAGATTGCACAACGGGCCTTGGGGACTATACCAGAGGCCCTTCAGACTAAAAGACGGGCCTCTGTTGGCTATTGAGTGCTCAGGCCCAATCTTATAGGATGATTGGGCCTGAGCACTGCTGTTCTGGTTGAGATGCTCTGGTGTCGTCCACGGAGGTAAATAAGAGAGCCACAAAGGTCAATGAGAGCTGCGCCTACCTGACAAATCACATTCTTGCTGATGTCAGGCTGAGGTGTGCTCCGCAGATAATGGTCGATGATGTGGCGGCGATCGTCATAATGCTGTCGCCGCCGCCGGCCAATGCGCTCGCGCCACGGCCGGCCCCGAAGAAGGCGGCGCGCGCGCGGGCGACCAACGCGGCGGCCAACTCGATGGAGGCGAAGGCCGAGCGCGATGAGCTGTCCGCGCTGCCCTACCAGAACTTCTTCCGGCACCTCGAGCTGGTGCGGCTCGCAAGGCATATCTCGCCAGCGTATAGTTGACACATAGCCCGCTAGACCAATGGCATGCCTGCTGCATGCTTTTTGCCAGGAAACTTAAACACCAGGCGCGGATGTAGTGCCCACAGATCAACACAATTTTGTCTTACAACAAACAAAGTAGACCGTGGAAGGGAGCTGAGGCGATTGTGATGTGATTGGAAGAGTGTCTGCGCCGTATGGCCAGTGACACTGGAATATCCATACAATATTGGTTCGTTTGCCTGAGCTATATCTGAAGGGGAAGCTGGGCAGAGTAGCAATTCATGCCTTGCCTTTCCTTGGTGGCAAGCTCTTCCAAAGTGTTGGGCCAGTCATCTTGCCTGTTGCATTGAATGAGTCAATTCTCAAAACGGGAGCTGCGGTGCGCAGGAGAAGCTGGACTCGCTGAACGCGAGCGGCCGTAGTGGCAGCCACGTGCGCTTTGAGGATCGCGGCGAGGATGACGCCCCCGCGCCCCCCGGCGCCGCCGCCAAGCCGGCCGCCGAGGACGGGGGCGCCGCTCTGCGCCGTGCGCTCTCTCGCAACACCATTGTGCCGCAGCAGGTCTATGACGGCGCGCCCTCTTCCGGTGGCGCCACCTCCGGCTCCGGCAGTTCTGGGGCAACTCCGGCCGCGGACGGCGCAACACCGGCTGCTTCCGGCGCGGCGTCAGCCGTGGCCGACGCTCCGGCCGCGACGGATGCCGGGGCGGCTGCGCCGGGGCCGGCGGCTGGCTCCGCGGCTGCGGAAGCCCTGCCGCTTGCGCGGTCGGGGCTGCCCCGGGCGCCCTCCCGGGAGAACCTGCCGGCCACGGCCTTCCCCAGCTCTATACAGGGGCATTCGAGGTGTGCATCATGGCAACTGTTGTTTGGCAGCTTCTGTTTTGCGGCAGAAAGGGCACACTTAGTGATTGACACCTGTGGAGACATCTCTCCAATGAAGGGCTTGACCGATCTTTGCAAGAGAGAGATACCGTTTCAGGGCTGAGACGCCAAGCCATCTTACTTTCATTGACTGTGGTGTTCTGGATTGTTTGCTGTGCTCTAGGACAAGTTTTCACCTGGTGATGCTTGGAAGGAGTTTGGCCCAAATACTGAAGCAAAGTCAAAAGCAGCTGCCGAAAGCTCTTTGTCTCTTGCTTCTGCAGGTCTCCCATGAGACAGGTGAGCCTTCAGGAGCTCAGGACACCGCCGCCGTCTGCATTAGGCACTTCTTATGCCTCTCGCTCTCCAAGAAGGCCCCCTGCACCGCACGATGGCTCTCCCTTCGGCGCACACAAGGCCGCCTGGGCCGCGCTGGAATCCTCTGCCAACAGGGCGCCCTTCACCAAGGTGGGGGGACTGCCTGGACCTCACCCGAGCCCTTCCATTTGCTTTTCCGGACTGACATACCTCGCTGCCGATGGAAACATTTGAATTTACTTTTATGCTCTTCTGATTGCCAGTCATGACAAATCCACACCCATGAACTCATTAATAAATCCAAGGAAGCCATCGCATGCGCCATCGGTGGGAAAGAACCATCTTGCCAGGAGCTTCGGTGAACAAGAATCTGCCTGGCGGAGGGATTATTGCAAGGTGAGGGCTATCTATCGTCGGCGGGCGGTGCAACAACTGCCGAAATTATCTGCCTCTCTTAATGCATGACCTGATTATATGAAATCGCGATTGCAGGCGCTGGGCCGCGCGAACAGCTCGCCGGCAGTGGACAAGCTGCGGCTGGCGGCGCTGGCAATCCCCGAGAACACAGACCCAGCTGTGGGCATGCGCGCTCTGTCTGCCAACAGCATGCTGCGCCCCTTCTCCAGCAGCAACCTCATGCGGCCCATCCGCAAGGTACATACTCAATCTGAGTTCCACAACCTCTGCAGCTAGCTGAGTGTTGCATGGGCACGTGCATGAATCGTGGCCATGCCAGGAGGCGCAGCACATATAACATGAGACCTTTACACAAATCGTACTCACGAAAGTCTGTTTGATTCTCCCTTCTGGCAAAAAGGCTGCGGTCGGGAATGCAAGGAAAGAGCAATTGGAGGGCTCAGCTGGCTGGGTGGCTTGGCTTGGAACAGACTTTTAGCTCTGTGCAAATAGGAGATGAGTGGAATGTAGAAGGGAGAGGATGTGCTGAGTGGCCATGCATACCGAGGCCGGTAGTGCTAATCGTTTTTGACGTTTCAATTTTTCAGAGTATGTGGAAGGATGAAACAGTCCCAATTTCTAAGGGACGGGGTGGGCTGACTCGCTAATGGTCATGGGTGTCTTGGTCCAGGCGTACCCGAGCAAGGACAGTTTGTCGGGCAGCCCGACGGGGGACGGCGCGGGCAGCCCGCTGCTGGGGTCGCCCATGCGCAGCGAGGGGAGCGAATCGTTCGAAACCCTCGACGGCCGTCAGCATGGCGGCGGCGCCGGCGGCTCCGGCCGGGACCCGCGCGAGGGCCGCGTGCGCGGCGGCATTTCCCGCATGAATTCCGTGCCGGAAGATCTGTACAGCATTATGTCCGAGCGCCGCCCTGCGCTACCTTCCAGGTAACGAGTATTTCTTTGGGATGCTACCGCAGCTCAAATTGCCATGCAACATATTAAAGATGGGGTGCTCAACGGGTGCATCGTTGCACCATTTTTACATGGTTGACCATTTTTACATGGTGACCATTTTTACATGGGTGACCATCACATGTCCTATCAAGAAGCTGGGCATGGCAATGGGCCCCGCGCGAATCTTATGTCACCGGACGCATTGGTCTAGGATGTCGGTGATTGACAATGTGCTATGTAATGAAGGGTGATGATGAGCATACAGGGCTCATCCCGAGGTGGGTGCTTGTTGCAGGAGCAAGAGCACGCGGGTGCTGAGCACCCGGGCGAAGATGACCAAGTCTCCCCGGGCCGCTCCCAAATCCATGCCGCAAATGCAGCTGCCGGAATTCCCGGCCGCCGATACGGCGCGGCCGAGCTTCGCAAATCCCTTTGCCAGCCTGCAGGTGCAGGGGAGTGGGCTGAATCCCTGGGATGAGTCATCCGCTGACTCATCGCGCCACCTCACCGAGAGCGGCGCCCAGCGCGGCAGCTCCGCCGCCCTCGACATGTTGCGCTTGTCACCCTCTGACAACCGTGAGTCATCGTTTGGCCTCACAATTTGTGCTGGCACATACTGAGTCCTGGCACTAGAGCCCTGCCAATAGGAGGAATCCTACCTACCCTTGGTCTAAAAGGATATTTTTGATTTGCTATATGGAGAGATTGAAGAGGGCAAGTGTGCGAGTGGAAAGTCCCTGGACTGTGACAGTGCGCAGATGCAAGTCTTGTGGAGGCGATACTGCACAAGAGATCCCATGACCGTCTTTTAGCACCTGGCACACCTATATGATTGCGATCTTGCGTATTGATGCTGTTTACTAAGATTGTCTGCAGACGCACCTTGCATCTTGGGCAGGAAAAGCTTGCAATTATCACGATAGCAATTGCTTTTTTTGCTGTGTGCAGTGCTGGCGCACGCTTACACCGCCCCGTGCGCGGAGATGCTGCCAACCTGGTCGGGCAGTCCCCCCTACGCGCACGAGGGGTCCCCGTTACTAACCCCTGGCTCGGCCGACAGCGCCGACGGGCTGCTTGCCGCTGCGGCCGCATCCGACAACTCCCCCTCTTCTCCCCTGCCCATTGTCAGCGAGGAGGAGCCCAGCGTGCACAGCACGCGCGACGGCCGCAGCGTGCACGGCATGGTGAGTTCCTATCCTATCTACCGTATACCAGATCCCTTTCGACAAGTCTGGTTTTAGATTGCGCAGTTTTGCCAGCCCTTGCCGTGGTTCTGGACCTCCCTCAATTATGCTGGTCGCCAGTTTTAGCAGCTATTCCCAAGTCAACCCTGCTGTTTGCATTGAGAGCACATGCCTCATCAACATCATACAGGCACGCGTGGGGCATGAGCGGGTATGAATCGGGCGAGTACGTCAAACTCAAAATCTCAATCGATTGCCAGATGTTGAGGGTGCTGCGCATTGACACTGCAGGTGGCGGATTCAGCGGGCAGCTTGCACCCGAAGAGCGCAAAGATCCCCATGCCAAACAGTGGCCACCTGGGGGCTCACCGGAAGCTGGCGCTGCATGGCGTCAGCTGCCCGCCAGCCGCCCAGATCCTGGTCAAGCCCTGACCCTGGTCTGGGCCAACCCCCCGCCTTTCAGGGAGGTGAAGAAAGACTCTGCAGAGAGGCCATGCTGTGGGGCCTCCCATTGGGCTCCCCTTTTGTAAGAGGGCCTCCCTCTCCACATGGGGTCTTTCTTCCTGATGAAAGGGGCCTCCTGCGTGATTGTCCCCTGGTGGTTCTGAGGGCATTGCATAGCGAGTGATGCGCCTCTTCTGGCACCAAGCATCTCTCTTCTTAGCCGGGGGTGCCATGACCTGCTGCAGAAGATGATATGGCTTCTTCTGCGGCCCAAAAACGCTCATCATCTGAGCTTTGGTGCATGATTTTGTGTTACAGAGCGGCCGAGGGGTTGCCTCTTGCCCATGCCACATGCCAAAGCAGCCAATTCTAGGCTTCATTTGACATGAATATTCGATTCTTCCAAGACACACACCCCGGATTACAACTTGCTCGCAAGAGTGTGGTCCGCTAAGTGTCTGAGTATTGTGTGGGAGCAGTATTAGGTGAGCGAGCTTTCTCTAGGCCACTTATACACCCTGCCCTTTCTTAGGATATGTTGCTGCCCTGACAGCTGGAGCATGGGAAAAATAGGCAATTTGTGCCTTATAAATCATTGTCAGGGGAATTGTATCCGTCTTGTGCCTCTCTAGGAATTGTTGTATTTAACCCTGCCTGGTCTCGAGGGTGTTCAAAACAGCTTATGTATCAGGGTAATGTGTGTGCCTTGTCCTGGTGCTCCTTCGTCCTTACTGGGCCGTTCTGGTTGTAACTTTCCCCACAAAGGATGACACTGTATTGTTTTCATATTCTGCTGAGGTCCAGGTATCTCTGCAGTGTCAATACACTTTCGGCCTTGAGTCTAATTCCTCTAAGCGCAGTACGTTGAGTTGCCTGATGGGCAGGCTAGGTTTCGAGAAATGTCATCACATGCAGTCTTTAGCTTCAGAACCCCTATGTGTCGCCATGCTGGGCTGTGTGACACCATCTGATTAATGTTCAAGACCTGGCATTATCTTCAGAGGTCAGGCATCTCTAGCTGCGTGCTGTGGTTGGCCAAAAGGTGTGAGGAAAAAAATGAGAGTGATTGTGGCTTGCTGAGGCGCTGAGCTTTTTGATGGATAGTAATGTGATGGACATATTTGTTTGCATTGCAGCGCTGCTCCCTTTGCCTGAATGGCACTGTGGCAAGCAGGCTGCATCGGTTGAGTGTGCATGTGAGACTTGCTTTTGACTCTGAAGACTCCCTTACCATTATCAGCAGCACCTCATTGTGCTTTGAGGGCAGTCTGTGCGAGAGTGCATTTCATGGATGAAGTATATTGGTGGCCTGGTGAGCACTACAAGTGAGCACTAGAATTCTAGAAGTACAGTACACTATGTAGATGATGGTTTGGTGTCAAGTGCCCGCTTGTTGGGCTGACTTGCCGGCTCATGATGTTGTTTCTGCTTGCCAAATTGCCAGTGAGGATTGATCCAACCGTGTGCAAGATGAGGAGAACTAGGTGCAGCCAGTGATGTTCATGGGCAGCTCGAGAGCACAGGATATTGGAAGTCTTTATCAGAAATGGACGTCTTTGCCAAAGCTCACGTTGCTCGTGAAGACAAGTAGTCTGGGGTAATATTTCGGGGTCAATGTTTCTGTGGGGGCAAACTGACACGTGCAGGTGTTAGAAATCTGTTGCTGCGTCAGGTATTGATTGTAGTGTAGGGAGTAGAAGTATAGCTCTGTTACTGCGGTATGTGTCTAAGAGGTGGGCGAAATTATGTGACTGGCGTGGAGCCCAAAAAATGGTATCATGGTCATGTAATGCTCATTAATCCAATTGTGCCCTCAGAAAATCAGTTATGCCATTGCCATGCTGACACGCGGACCTCACATGCATATGAAACTATTCTTATGAATGGCATTTTTGCCAGGGCATTTCAGCTGGTCCATATATGTGCATGAAACAGAAAGGCAAGATCGATGCTTGCGCATGATAACAAATTTGTTGAAACCTACTTTACAAAGGCCAGCTAACATATTGGATCTTGAACCAAGCCCTCAAAAGCATCATGTCAGCATGGGGGCTGGCTGTCATTGCAAAAGATGCCAACCACACAACACATTTCGGCTCAGAACACTGCTGGAGAGCTGGTATGTCAGAACAGGTCATTCGTTAGAAATTGCCACATATTACTGTTGCACATTTATCTCCTTTAAAATGTACAGCACGGCTTGCATCCCTGAAAAATGCTAATGAGACTTGTAGAATCTCTTTCTTTATGCCCAACTCAAATCTAGGCGCCCTGCAGGGCCAGCCAGCTATCTGTGTAAGGTACACTTGAACATTAACACAAGACCATCCTTCATGATTTCCCCGTCTTAAAAAACAACATCTATCCGCCCGTCCGTTACGCCAATTGTGGCACAGCTTTGCTGTGTCACAGGCACCCTACCAAGGCCAGCGGCTAACGAGCTGTCATTGTTTTAGCATGCGTTCAACACACCAGCTGCTGATGTTTTCCTGAGGTAGCTGCCTGCTCTTTAGAAAAAGAAATTGCCCCTTCAGCAGCCAAGCCATGCATTTATATGCTTTGCACCGTGCGCTGTCCTTGCTAAGCTCATGCAGCTTCGTTCTGGAGCAAACAAGGGAAAAACCCAGCTCAGGGCCTTCTTGCAAGCACAGCTGGTTGCCAAGAAAGGAGACCGTGCTACTATTCCATGATTAGTCATTTATGGTTAGTCAAAAGGGTGCAAGTCTCTTCAAAGGCCCTGAAGGAGTCGTCGGCCAGCAGTGGCGATTGTTGCTGCCGGGTTAGTCGCCCCTGCATCTGCTGACTTGGCCGCTGCCTTGGCCGCTGACTTGGCGGCCGCCTTCTTGGCAGCTGCCCGCCCTGTGGTCTCAGAGCTCCCGGAGGCAGCCACAGTTGCCGGCTGGTTTACGGTCTCTGACGTCAATGTGCCCTCTGTGCCTGCAACACATGACCACTCCGCTGTTCACTTCAGGAATGCCAGTGACGTGCACTGAGGTTGATTAACGCACACAACTGCTGGTGGAATCAGAGTGTGAGCCTGGGATGACATTCCTGGTAGGTAAGACTGTCAGCTAGGGAGTGCACGGGCTACATTGCGCCGTTGAGGCTGGCGGCCATCGCAGATAGAAAAGGCTTCCAAATTCTAAGGGCAGTGAGCAGGGCGTCACCTGCGGCACCGTTGTTGCCTGCGCTGTTGATTCCGGCACCGTTGATGCCGGCTCCATTGTCTGCACCGTTGGTGCCGGCTGCCACAATGGGCGGTGGTGGCGGCGGTGGTGGGGGGGAGGGCGCAGCGGGGGGCGGGGAGGGGACCCCCGTTGGCGTCAAAGCAGCCGCCGCCGTCGCAGATCTGCCCGGCCGGGCACACCTGTGGGCAACCCACAATCTTCAACCTCTGCAGATCTCGATTTTTATTTGATGGCAACTTCAAAGTTATGCTGTTATCATTGCAAGGCTTTCCAGTCCATGAGGAGTGGGTGCGCCGCAGCAGCAGCAGTTGCAGTAACAACTTTATAGCCTGGTCTGTGTTGATTACTTGATTCCTATTCAAAGGCGCCTCCGTATTTATAGCGAGTATAAATACGTGGAATAGGGCAGCCCATTTGGGCCACAGGAAGGGTTGAAAATTTGCATGGGCACGAAAGAGGAGCTCTCCATATTGCATGGGGAGCCCCTAACTCCTCAAACAGCGCTCAAGCAGAAAACCAATCATCTTCCCACAGAAGAAGTGAAGGCAGGGGTTCAAGAGCGCACAAAGCCGCAATCGCCGCAATTGTTAACGTCGGTGTAGATGTCAGTCTCGCAGCCGGCGGTTGCTGATGTCATTGTGCCGTCCAGCGGCCTGCAGGTCTTGAAGCCGTTGGTGCAGAAGCAAGTGTTGTTCGTCTGGCAGGTGCCGCGCAGGTTGCAGGGCTCTGCGCACACAAGCAATGACACGTCAGCCCAGTGAAGCACTGACTACACACTGCACTGACTGCACTGACACCGACTGAAGCACTGACTTCACAGCACTGATTGCATCTGACTAGCACTGCCTGACACTGACTGACTGACTGCACTGACAGCACTGACACACACAGCACTGACTAGCACTGACTAACATGGACCGGTGCCGCTGCTCGGTGCCTCTGCATGGATGAGGTCAGTTGTTGTCCTCAGTCAGAAGCCCTCAAGGATAGAGGATTCATCCGGAGGCGCGCATTGCCTCTGCTACTTCATGAAACAAGCACTTCGCTTTGTTTGTCTTCACTCCCGGCCATGTACTTTTATAAAGCCTGGCAGCAGGGTCCAATTTTCCTTGCCGGCTTACACAATGAATGCCCCTTCTGTTACCTGTTATTTTGGCCTTACACAATAACATGCATGTACATCCAGCACAGACTACTGCAGTGACAAAACTCATTGGGATAAAGCAACCTATTTTCCAGGCACGCGGGAGACAACGTTCATGAAGAGAAGGTGAAGGGATGCGCACCCTGGTAGTTGAAGTTGCAGACGTGGTCGTAGAGGTAGCAGGAGGGTCCGTAGTGCAGGAATCCAACAGCCGGTGCGATGAAAGATCCCCGGCCGGACGTTGACAGGATCAGCTCCGAAGACACCGGCAGATACTGGATCTCTGGCTTAAGCTGCGCGCACCGAAACCCCCATATGACTACCAGAACAAGTTTCTGTTTTTTTTGTAATCTCAACCAGTGAAAATTTGGGGATCCCAAATATGTAAGGATCATGGGATAGATGCACGGAGGGTGCTGGATTCCATTCCTGGTCTCATCTCGAAGGAGCAGCAACCTTTTCTTAACAAGTCTTTTTCAATGAAATAGTAAATTTAGTGTTTCTCATTGTGCGCTGTTCCTGCGAAGAGGCGAAGGGGGTCTGCAGACAAGCTGCAGGTAAAGGATGCCAAATATCCTGCCTCTTGGAAGGTTCGCCAGATCCATGCAGGGCCCGATCAACCCGCACTGCCAGTTTGCTGTTGCCTCTTTCCTGCCGCACAATGGACTGTTTCCAGAATGGACCATTCAGGTCAGGGGTGCAAGAGTGACTCACTTCCCAGGGGTTGACGGAGCCCAGGGGGAATTTGCACACATTGACCTTCTGCCCGGCGCCATATTGCTGCCCAGTCTTCACTTCCGATGCCACTCCCACCAAATTGTTCTCATTCCAGGGCCCTGCATTTTGCTGCACAGGCACCAAACACAATCAGCACTGCACAAATATCTGTGTAGCAATGCATGTCCTTACAAAAATGACCGGTGAGCACATGATGTTGGGCTGCTACCGGTATTGATCCTAAGCAGGTCTTGAGCTGCCTAGAAGACATGCATGAAGGACTCCTTTTTTTGAGGTCAACTGCGGGGCTTGGTCAAGAAGGTGAGTGTGGGACTCACTGCTGCTGCTGGTCTGCTGATGGCCAGAACTGCAACAGCTGCCAGCACTCCAAAGAGCACCCGCGCCATCTCACCTGCACAGAAACAAGAATCTTGTCAGCAGCCAGTCGTTAAAGTGTTGTCGTTCTCTGACGCCATCGAAGCCACAGCCTTTTGGTTTATGCCAGAAATGGCACGATGCTGCTCGGGGGATGTTGACGTCAACAGCACAAAGGCGGCCGGTGGCACGATATATACTACAAAATCGTTGCAATCACGACACTTTAAGATATGTAGCACGAAACGATGCACTGCATCTCTTTCGTGCCTTCTAAAGGGCAAGGATGGCCCGTCGAGAGGGGACGGCCCTTACTGAAACATTCCGCGTACAATGAGCCGTCTTGACTTCAGTTGCTGCCATTCATAGGATGTAAAGTTGTGATTTAGTCTGCTGGTTCCTCACCAGCTACTAGCTTGTCCGATGCAGCGCGTATCGGTCGCTGTCCTGCTGTGCAAGATGTCCTTTGTCCCACAGGACTCGGTCCTGTTGCTCCTTGGGGCCAACGCCCTTTCCAAACTGAATTATATTTGTTCTCTTTTCTTGTGGCGCCTCTGAGCCTGCGAAAAGGACAGTTCTTTCTTTAGGACCAAGGACAAGGACGTCCCGGACAGCGACAACCCGCAGATCCGCCCCTTCGGACTCTACAGCTGCATAACAATGTAAGTAGTGCTACATACACTGTGGAAGGAGTATCTACACACTGTCACAGTTCAAGTTTGGCACTTTCTTTGTGCAGATCTGACGGTCCCGGAAGCCTGCAAGCACTGAGTAAACAAGATGGGCAAAATGGGACGATGCAGCGATGGCGTCTTGGGCGGACCTGTAAGCGATGAATTGATTCGATGCTCTTGACAATCCTTTGAGAAGCTTAAGATCGCAAAACTAACTGAAAGTCGGCCTGGACGATGGCGTGGAGAAAAGACGATGGGAAGGTACGCCATCGTACCGACCCTGGTCCTCCCCTTCTGGCCTTAAATGAAGAAGATTCTTTTTCTGTTCTAAATTTGATAGGCGTACTGTGTCCATCAAGCAGTGTATTAAGATCCTGGAACTCAATCGATATTCGAAGCAGTGGAAGAATCCGGTGTGAGTGTGAAGTATAGCGCATCCATACTTTTCGAGATCTTGACATACAGCTCAAATGCGGACTAGGCATCAAGCTGAGGAGGAAAAGGCCAAAGAGGACACTTCAAAGAGCACCACACCCAGTGCCGCCAAAAGCAAGGGCCGCAGCAACGGTTCAGCAGAGGCAAAAGCATCTACCGAGGTGAAAGGAAAGGGGTCAGCTGCCGCGAGAAAGAGAAAAGCCAATGCGGGAAGCGATGCACTAGGCGCAGCAGAGGAGCAGAATCCTGATCAGGCAGCACATCCTCCTGCGATTGAGCAACATGCAGTGCCTAAGAAGGCAAAGGTGTCCCAGAAGAAGGCTGCCAAGGGCAAAGCAGCACCTACCGAACTCCCAGCAGAGACAGGTGCCACAGAAGTCCAGGTTGAGGAAGTGCAGACCGAGGAAGAGCAGCCAAAGAAGAGGAGCAGAAACGCTGCAGCAGCCTGTCGCAGGGCAAAGAAGGCAGCTGCTGCAGAAGCTGTTGCACCACCAATTGGCAATGCAGCAGGCCTTGATGCAGCAGACACAGAAGATGCATCACCTGACACTGCAGAAGCGCCCGAAGCACGGGAAGGCAGTCCAAGTGGACTGGAGGCAGACACAGTACAGGCTCCTGTTGGTGTGACTGCCTTGGGAGCAGCAGCGGATGACGATGATGAAGCACCAGAAGAGGTCTGCTGCAAGCCTACAATGAATTGCACTGTGAATCTACCACATGACCTGGGTCCAGATGATCCTGATCGCACCCAATGCACCTACTAGTTGTGCCCTCGACTGCCGCCGGCTGGATTGATACAAGCCGAACATCCTTGGCAGGATGCCCAGTATTTTGCACATACAGGTCTTCTATTGCCACATAGTGAGATGGTCTCAGTGAAAAGGATTGCTGACCGGCATGAGTAATATTACTCAGGTGACTCTGGCGGCCGGGCGCGCCGGGGCGGCGGCCGAGCGGCGCGAGGAGCGCGAAATGGCGGCCCAACAGAAGCGGGCCGCCAAAGAGAAGGGCCGGCGCAGGGCCGCACTCGCAGAAGCCGAGCGCGGTGCGCTGCCCAGTCTTTACTAACTCTTGTTCACATGTTTTGCACCTCTTGTATCCTGCGGGGTAAATTTAGAGGCATCATGGTGATGAGCATGGTGTTGCCAAGCAGAATAAACTCTGCTAGACCGCAATAGGGTAGTAGGAACGGAAAAAGCGGCTCTGTTGACCCGCATGTTTTCTCTTGTCTGTCAGGTGCGCGGTGATGTGTGGCTTACGTTTCTGAGTGATCTGTGGCGCAGATGCGAGGCTGGCAACACAGCGGCAGGAGGCGGTGGCGAGTGGGCGGCTGGACCAGGAGGAAGGGGCAGCTGAGGAAGATGAGGAAGAATATGGGGAGGACGATCTGCTGCCAGCAGATGTGGTGGAAGCTCTCGCCCAGCGCGCCAGGTGAGAGAGCCGTGGGAACAGGGCAACCCTTTTGGGAGAAAGAGGGTAGAGTTCTGGAATGTCGATACATCTTAGGTGCGTCAAGGAAGTCCTGGGATCCTGAGAGCAGTGTCTTGATGCTCTCGCTCTCGCCTGAATGTCTATGCGTTCCTTGTTCATCAACCTTTGATGACCTTTGACAAGAGCCTGTACATTGAACACATAGGGCTGAATCATCTATTGCCGTTTACATTATCGTGGGTCGGTGCCTACACCATCTGGGGTGCTGCTAGCATGCGTCAGGATCGTAATTGTTCTTCTTGAAAGTGGCTCCAAACAAAGGGGGTAAATGCTTTGGCGAGTTGCATTACAAGGGGTACAGTGTGCTTTCTTGTTGACTTTACGACTGTGCTTTGGCCAGGGAGGCTGCAGCTGCGCAGCCGGCAGCAACAGCAGAGGCGCAGCCGCTGGCAGCTGCCAGGAAGCCGAAGAAGCGGGGGGACAAGTCCCAGCCCAAGAAAGTGGGGCCATTTCTCGTGCAGCCGCTGTCCGGACTCCCACAAAATATAGCCTCAGGTGCTGCCCTGTTGTCTTTGTTGCCAGCCTGTGCTATTTTGGGTCTTAGTCCTGTTCAGTAGCGTTGTTGTCTGTGCCACTGTGGCTCCAGAAAGAAATCGTCCCTGGTATTTCTGCCACTGACTTGTTTACTTGTCACGTTGCAATAATCTCCTACTCCTGGTCATGGGCCTGATTCATGAACAAGAGTAACAACGCCATGCAACGTGGAATCTTCAATGATCAGGCTGCTTGTGTGACTGCAGAGGCAGCGCGGCAGTTTGTGCAGCAGCGGATGTTTGGGAAGGGCGTGAAGCGCTCTGCAGAGATGCTGGTGCACAGCACAGCGCGCTATTATGGGCCATCGCTCACCTTCTAGCTTTAAGAGTGTAAGCTCGGCATGAATGGACTTTTATTTTGCAAGTCAATTCTTGCCAGCGGTCCTGGCATCTGCTCAGGATGCAATGTTAGTAGTGGCCACATGGGCTCACAATGGCATGATTCTTCCGAGTCTTGATGGAAAGACGAAGGAATGCAAATAGACTGATGGACATCCAGATTTTGGTACCGGTACACTCCCATTGTAATGGTGCATATCTCAGATAAATACATTTGCACTGCACAACAAGTATTGCAATTCAATCACCATGTGGGTGCATTGCATGCAGCCAAATAGATCACGCTCATCAGCCTTGTCCTGGAGTGCCCAGAGAATTTCATTCTTGTTCAAAAATCAACAGCAAAGAGCTCTTTGTGTGGCTTACAGAGGCGGCACGGCAGTTTGTGCAGCAGCGGATATTTGGAAAGGGCGTGAAGCGCTCTGCAGAGATGCTCGCGCACAGCACAGCGCGCTGTTATGGGCCATCGCTCACCGTTTCTAGCTAGTGTGCACATTTCTAGCCTATGTCTTCAATTTTCAATTACCGTTGTTTGCCAGTGGTAGGGAGTGAAGGAGAGTGCTATTTTGGAGTCGTTGGTGCTTCAGCGTGTCCAAGCTCTCGACTGTAATTCTTGAATGTGACGTTCCCTGTCCTTGGGAAAGAGGTGTCCCTCTCTAAAACCGAGCAGAAGCCATGGCCTGAACCAAAATCACCGCCAGTGGCAGTCTACCATATTTGTGCACTATGACACGTGCATGCAATGCTGCAGAGTTCAAAAGCCTTTTGCAACATTCACCAATGCACTTGTGCTTTACAAGACAGCATTGCAGACGAAGAGGGAAATGAATCTCTAAGGTGACTGTCAGTGGGGATGTGCTTGCATGCATGCCAATGAGTCATGCTTCACAGGTGGCAGCACTAAAGTGTTTGGCATTGTGCCCCACCGAAAATTACAGGTACATGAACCAAAGAGAAAGGTCTTAATTGGTAGTGCACCAGGAAGCAACGCACTTGTAACCTATCGCTTCAGAGTGGGCAGATCTTGTGAGATCTCTTTGTGTTACGGTCACTTTTGAAGATGAAGATGCCGTTGACAATGCATCCTACAAGCTCAAATAGATGCCATCATCACTTCCACCCTAGAGGATATATAAAAGTTGCGTGCTGGCTGTTTCCTGCACGTCCATTGACCACCAATGCTGGCAGGAAACATACAAGAAAGGGGTTCAGGATGAATGGCTTTGGCGACGAACTGCTTGACTACATTACAGGTACTAAGGTTTCGCGATAAGACTAATTATTGACATGGCAATGAGCTTGGTGAAGCTTTGCAAACTGCTTTGCATCAGATTCGTCGTTGTCAGGAGAGGCCTTAGTCTCCGCACCTTGATTGAAATAACGCTCTGTATCCTCACATATATGTTAGTTACCAACAAATTGCGCTCAAACACTGCGCAGCTGGGCCGAAGCTGCGTAAGTGGTACGGGGAGGGCGAGCGAATGCCTGTGGATGGTGGCGGGGAGGACATGACTAGTGAGCCAGAAAATGATGATCTGGAGGACGACGGCGTCAGAGACGCTGTCCTGGTCGTCGATGCAGACAGCGCCACCGCAGAGCAGGTCGTCCTGCAGCTCATTTTATCCAGGTGCGACCCTCCGTACAACCTCCCTTCTAATTTGATGCCACATCGCCCATTGTCTGCTGCAAAGCCTCCCCCATACTGAACTTGAGACGGAGCTACGACTTTGAGTCAGGGTGACTGCATGGCTGAGTGTCCTTTAAATCAAGAGGGCACCAAGTGGGGCCTTGACTGTGTCGTGTGCTGATCCAGGGCAAAGGTGAGGGCGCTGGTGAAAAATGCAGCTGCAGCCAGCACAGCCTACGGCTCCTACATCACTCCCGTAGAGGGCAGCTCGGGTGCGACCCCAAGCTACTTTGCTGTCACAGGGAGACGGCGATGCATGAAGCTCCACGCATGTTACGGTTGTAAGTGTGAAAGGTCATAGCAACCCAGACCTTGGGCATGTGCCTCCAGGAGCATGTATGCAGGAGCTGTGGGAGTCTTGCCAAATCTTAACCACGATCTGGTGAACATATCATGCGCAGGAAATGAGGGGTGAACCCCCCATGGTAAGGGAAAACATTGCCGTTGAAGCGGATACGTGACAATGCTTGAAGAGGACATTTGTGAGCGTTGGATTTCATCTAATCTGGCAGCGCAAGGGACCAAACTTGTCAGTCCGCATGCATTCTTGGATAATCGACATTGATCGTCTTCTGGCACAGGGGACGCTCGGGCGGTGCAAGCGGCGCTCAGGGGGTTGCGCGCAGTCATCTGTACTGGGCGGTTGGGAGAGGTGCTGCCGTTGTGCCAGCAGAGGAAGGTGGAGCACCTCATCCTGCTCACATCCACAGGTGAGGCGCCCGCTACGCCACTTCAGCCAGCTTTGGTCTCAGGCCACAATAGGCTCGGGATTGTTCGCTGGTCAGCCTGCTCTCAGATGACCATAAGTTGATTCGTGCATGCCATGCATGCTTCTGAGCGCTGGCGAACACTATGCGCACAGGTCAGGGTCACCTGAAGAGAATTACCTCACATGATAATGTCTTAGTATGGGTGACACGTTTCCCCTTTCAAAGAAAGGGGGTGGCAGCTGGATCCACATTAGTATCGGCCAAGTGGTGTTTCTGAGCTGCGCAGAGCAGAAAGAAAGCACACCTTATTATCAAACCAATCGCGAACAAGGAGACTCATCAGTAAACCATTTGCCGCAGGGGGCACGGGTGGCGGGGCCTTCTCGCTGGGGGCATTCCTGGACGGCGAGGCGACAGCTCAGCGCGACTCAGCGCGCGAAGCGGCGGCTCTACGTAGCGGCGTTCCCTGCACCCTCCTGCGCGTTGGCCGCATCTCCGACGGCCCCGGCGGCTCCGAGCGCCTGGCCGTCTCTCAGGTGCTAAATTGCTCATTCTTCCTTTTCCTTTCTTTTCTCTATATTCTCTTAGTCTGGGCTTGCCTGCAAGCCCAGACCAGAAACCGGCAATTGGTGGTCTTTTGAGGTGAACTAAGGCAAAGTACAGATATGACATGGCTCAGTAACTGGCCTGCTGTCAGCTGTTTGAAGTGCACGCAGTGAACACTTGTTTCAATCTCATGGGGCAGATGTGGCTTCATGCCTGATGCATGTGTTCTGAATGTCCTGTAATCACACCCAGTCACAGAACATGGTGCACTGTGTGAACAGGTTTGCAAGCTTATTTAAATGTTGAGAAGTGTCGGTTGCTGTGCAGGATGACTTACTGGGCAGGCCGCTGGGGGAGATATCACGTGAGGATGTGGCAAGGGTGTTGGTGCGGTGCTTAGATAGGCAACCTGCAGGCAGCCTCAGCTTCTCTATGGAGGCTGCCGGACCAGCGGAGGGAGACTCAGATCTAGACCTTGCAGAGCAGCTTGCGCGATTACAAGAGTCGGTGCCTGCCGCAAATGTCACATAGAGCAGTGAGCGGTGCTTGGTGTGTATCACAATATTGCTTTGTTCAAGGAACCTTTGCAACAAATTTTTCCTCAAGGTTCCTTGAGCGCTATGGGCGAGGGGTTTATATACAACCCCCTGGGTTCAACAAGTTGTGTTGTGTAAACATGTTGGTAGCTACAGGTATATCAATTGAAATTGACATTTATGGAATCAAGGCACGATCTTTCAATATTGAGGGGTGTGACAAGGTTGCTTGTGGACAAATTGTGGTACTGAGAGAGCTGAGAGAGAACATGCATGTGCAGGTACATTATGGGATCTTACTAACTTAATTATTAACTGAAATTCATCTTGTCATAGCTATGGCCAATCTTTTTATTGCATTCGTCAATGTGCTTAGGAAGACGACATGCAAAGGTTCGTTTGTGCCAGCAATTGTAAGACAGGGTCCTTTTCCACATGAGCTGGAAACTCAGTGATGACATTCACCAGACAATGGTATTGACTATGGTTTGCTCTGCAGCTTACAGAAATTTTCTCACAGCATGCATTCATTATAGCTCCTCGCTGTTACTTTCAGTCATCTTGATCCAAATACAGGGGGATGCCTCGCACAGCCAACACAGTAACATGCCGCAAGCATCAATGACATCAGGCACTCGTGCACCAATGACTAGGGCAATGCTACAGAACCTTCACGAAGTCTTATTGCAACTTTCATGGTATCTTGTCATTCACGGGGGTTCCTGGAAAATCCAAGGTTCAGGTTCTTCATGGCAGCCAAGGAGCCCGCCATGGTTTCTCTCATCTTCTCTCCAGCTGCTGCTGCGCTGGACCGTGCTGCTGCCGTGCTGCCGCCAAACCTGGCCAGGCCAGAATACATTTTTTCAAGCATCTTGGATGCTGAATTTCTTACCTATTTTGGCACGGTGAGCTATCAGGCGCTGCAACTGTTGCCCTCGTGGATTCCAGAAATGTTAACGAGTGCAGCTGCACCAAGGCAAATACAGCTAGGGAGTGTTTCAGCACTTAGGATATAAAAAGGTTAGTACATCTTTTGGCTTCAATTATAGTAAGGATCCCACACAGCAGCAGCAGCGCTTACCTGAAGCGTGACACAAACTCCTGCGTGGTGGTTGCCTGCGAGCGACCAGCGACGCTTGGCCGCGCAGCCGCATAGGCGGCCGCAGCAGCCGCAGCCGGAACGGCGGCCGGGGCCGGGGCCGGCATGGGCGCCACCGAGGGGACGTACCGCGGCGCGGCGGCGGCCGGAGCCGGGGCCGCCATCTGCGCGGCTGCAACCGCCGGCGCCGCCGGTGCCGGGACGGCGGAGCGCACGTAGGCGGCGGCTGGCCCGGGGCGGCCGATGCGCTTGTTGAAGAGGTCCGTTGCCGTCTGCTGCTCGTTGCGCCGCATGACCTGGCCCCCAGTTGCACAAGACTCTGTCAGAATTCCTGAACTCCGATCCCTTGAGCAGTATCTTCCTTTCAGTGCGCATCTTTCCTACCGGCAAAGCTATAGGGCGCCAACCCAGTGGATGGCTTTGTCTCTTCCTGCATGAAAGGCAAGAGCATGCACTTCTATCAGATCAGAAGACAGTACTTCTGGGCAAAAATAGGATCGCAAGAAGCTTTTGAATGCGCGTGGTACTCAAGGTGTCAAGCTACCCGATAGGCAATTGATTGCAAGGCATTTTTTGGCAACACTGGAGCATTTGAGCAGGTAAACGTGCCACCTTGAGCTCAAGGATGCGCTGGAAGTCTGCTGGGGATCCGGAGGGCATGAGGGTGAAGAAGTTGTCAACCAGATTCTCTGGGCGGCTGCCGATGACTTTGAGCAGCGCCTCCGCCTTGCCCATTTCGCGCGCCACGTGCCCCGAGAAGCTTGCATGCACCGCCTCGTCCGGCTTGCCTGCAAATTTTGCACTCGCAACTGTCAGTTCGATCAGACTTTCCCCTTGTTGCAATGCAAGCATGACTCGCCCAAGTTGGCTGCAAATGCGCGCTCGCAACTGTCAGCTTCGGGTCTATACCCTTCTCACGCTATGCATGCAATTAAGCGCAGGTCTGAAGTTTCCCAAAGAGAGGCATGGAGCATTATATTTAAGTTGCGCTGCCTCGTCCAAGAGCTTTGAGCTACACATACGCCTTGTGTAACACCAAGCTCTGATCGCGATTACCTTGTTGAGCACTGCAGGCATGCAAGGGAATAGACAGAGAATTGACCTGCGGAGGGGAAGTCAAGGAGCAGGGCCTTGATGGCTTGGGTGTCTAGAAGCAGCTGCTGGCTGCCAGCTTCGCTCACCTTCCGGCACCTGTGCATCACCACCAATCACCTCCGTTCACGTTTGACAAATAGAAAGGGGTACACTCCGGCAGTCCTGGCAGAAAGCATGCGAATTGCAAGCGCAACCAGATTGCACTGCTTGTCAGTGCACAAGTGCATCCTGCCTCTCCAGGCACAACACATTCACATATATGCTTCAGGGAGATCTCCCTCAAAATCGTGGGCTGCTGTGTCACAGATTTCAAGAAGCACATTGGTGCCAAAAGCTGCTTTACATGTCTAGAATTTCCCAGCAACAGGTGCATCCAACAAATAACATATTGTGTGATGCAGCCCGCTGACTCTGAAGGTGAGAATTTGAAGAACATTCCCTTCATTCTCAACACCCACCTGAAGATGTACTCGATGAAGCGCGGGCAGAAGGAGACAGCGAGCTTGTCACAGAAGTAGCGGAAGTGCAGCGCGCTCAGAGCCGGGCCCACGCGCGGCGCCGTCTCGGCTAAGACGCGGCTGAACATCGTAACAAAATCACTCTGGTCTCCCACCTGCAGAGCGACCGGCACTGTGAGGTTTCTACCGCACTCCTCTTGGGAAGGAACGCATGTCCAGCAGAGCATTGCAGCAAGCATTGATAATGCAGCAATGCAGCATTGTGGAGGCATTAAAGGGCCTTGACATGAGCATGAACCCACGACCCTTGACAAGGTCCCAACAAAGAATTGATGCACGTCAAAGGCGGCTTGCAAATTCCAGAGGGCTTCAAGAGCATTTGCATGGTACAGAAAAATTGGTTTAATGCAACGCAAGCAGCCAGGACAATAATACTCTGGTACGTGTTAATATAGTGAGTAAGGTGCCCTGAATTCCATGCGAATTTTGAAAGGATGCCGTCGAGACACTTGACTATTGACGCGGTATTCTGACAGCAATAATGAGGAAGCCATGAGGACCATTAGGTTGTCAGAGGCCTTAGGGCGCACTGCATGACAACAATGCGTGTGCAGCCCAACCCAAGCAGGTCTTCAGAGCGCCACTGCTGGGTGCTTGATCGGGAGGGGCAAGAGTTGCCCACCGCTTCAAGGGAGGCCCAGGGCATGCGCGTCATGGTGAGCAGGGCGGCGTCGAGCTTGGTTTCGCAGCCTAGGATGAGGACGGAGAGGCAGGCCGTGACCACCAGCTGGAACTCATCCTCCTCCTCCGCCACGCTCACCTGGGCCAAACATAGAATACAAATCAAAGTCAGAGTCAGAGTCAGTAGAGTGATTGCTGGTGCAATCAGAAGGGATCCTGGCAAATTGCCTGTGCGTGCAGGAAGGCAAGAACATCATGGACGTCAGAAGCAGTGCAGTGAGCTGCGCATGCAGAAAGCAGAGTGCCCATGTGTCCGATATAATGAAACGATGTCGAGCTGCAAGCCCCGCTTCCTGTGTCCTGTCTGGTGTGGAGCGAGCGTACTCGGGGCTGGCAGATGCTTTTGCCACAAAAGTGCTTGGGTTATTCTAGGAATTCACCACACCGCCCGCCTTATGTGCGCACACAGTGTTCTCGAAGGAAGGCTCAACAACACATTACATGCCATGCGTCCCCCCAGTCACTACTGCATAAACGAGGTCCAAGTGCGCACCTTGTTGCCGAAGGGCGGGTCGATGGTTTTGGCGACGGAGCGGCCGAGCGCGCCGACGACCTCGATGCAGTACTCGGCCGTGGCTATGATTGTGCACACCACCACAACATCCTCGTCATTCAGCTTTATGTACCAGTCCTGCGTGCCTGCACCCGCCTGCATGCGCAGTAGTCTCTGGTCATGATCCCCCCTTGCAAATCTTTACAGGAAAGGCTGTGGCCAAGCATCGCCCGACGTTTCTACATCCCTGCCATACATACCCTAATGGGCTGCCCCACCCGGGAAGTGATCTAGCACATACGACTGGATGACAACATATTGAAAATCGGGGTTTAAAAGGAGTTTGCGGCCAAGCACTGAGTTGCAATGAGGGGCTGTGAGATTCAGTCATTGTAGAGCGGGACAGACGCATGAGGGAGGCAATCCTCTGAATGCTGAGGGAGTCTTAGAGACAAGCGAAGCAGCGGCGGAGTGCTTGCCTGCCCGGTGGTGCCGCCCGCCGCGGTCTTGGGCAGCCGAGCAACCAGCCGCGCCGCATACTGCTGCAGCACACGCTGCACGGGCACAACAGAAAAACATCACGGCAAGCAACTTTCATCAGACCTCATGCCTGTTGAGGTGGTGATATTGCAGTGAACATTCCATAGAGGCCAGTGTGGCAAGCACCGAAAAGCTCAGTACGGGCTCCCCGTCAGCATGCTTGTTAATGCAACTGCAGGTGCGCATCCCGCAATCGCAATGAATACATCGCTCGATAGAGCATCAGGGCCGACATGACAGACAAACCCAATGCCAACCTTGACACACTCCCAATCACACCTACACGCCAAAAAGTGCCATCTGCCAAGGCAATCACTAGAATGCAGACAGGGACGCCAGATTGTGACCGAAGTTTCCCTCCAAAGTACAGAAGTGCACCGCTTAAACAACTTCATATATGCCCAAACCATAACAGAGGCGCTTTACAGAGTTCTCTCAGGCCATGATGCAAAGTTTGCAATCCTTCAAATGCGCCAAGTCCAGTGTTAGATTATTATTATTATTATTATTATTATAGGTCGGCAAACCCAAAGCCAGAGGCCATAGGGCATACACGCAGGGCGTCTGCAGCCACATCTGCTGGGCCTTCATTAGTCTGCAGCCTATCAGTCACTCATCATATACATGCATGCGCTCCCTGCCCCGGATGAGTACTCGAAAAATAGTCCCCACCTGGAAGGCGCCCATGAGATGCAGCATGGGTTCCCCGCGGCTGACGAAGCGCGCGCACCGGTGCAGCGACTTCTTGATCACGCCAAACAGCTCGCTAGCAGAGCGCAGCACGTTGGTCTGCGCCGCGTCCTCCATCGGCTTCCAGCTCTCCTCACGGATCAGCGCCTCCAGCGTCTCGCGCAGCCCCTTCTCCTCCGCCTCTATGTACACCCTGCATGCGTTTGCATATGCACTATGATTACCATTTGCTCTTGTTTGAGAAGCGGGGGAACTTTTGAGAGCTCGAGATTGCATGCGTTTGGAAGGCTTTTGCTGAGCACGAGCCCAAACGATAAACTGTGCCGGGCAACTTGTGTCTTGATGGAGATGCCTTGCTGCATTTTGCAGAGCATGGAAGTCGTCGACGGCACAGCATGTTTGCGCGCTATTGACACAGCGCTGCGCAAATTTTCGGTGTACCATTGTTCTGACTATATACGACAGCCTAAATCTTAAATAACACTGACTAATTTTACTACTTTCCCCACGGTGAGTGTTTTGTCTCAATGCCAGCAGAAGCGCCCACCTCAAATGCTTGGTGAAGACCGAAGAGATGGCGCCGTGGAAGGCGGTGCGGGCGCCGGCGTTGGCGGCGTCGCGCGCGGCGGCCGCGGCCCGGGCGGCCTCGTCCTCGGACGAGGCATCCCCTCCGCCCCCGCCGGCTTCGCGCTCCTTGAACATGCGCTCGTAGCGCTGGCGCACCCGGCTGGCCGGGCTGTGATCGTCCCCCTCGTAGCCCTCACTCCGCTCCTCGTCCTGCAGCATGGCCTTTAGTAATTAGATGACCTCTAGCAGCATGCCAAGGGGTCAGTAAGTGACCAAGCCAGGCCTGTCTTTGCATCCTGCCTTTTCTACCACGTGCTTTCATATTTAGTAGGTGAAGCTGGCAGCTTAGGGTCCAGTGGATTACAATAACGCACCCTTGGGACACTTTCTCCTTCAAGGAACTACACTCCTGAAAGTTCTGGTCTAAGTGCGAGTGAAGGGTTTCTGGGGGCAATGGCGGACTTCAGAGTCTTAAAGATTGCCCCTTTGTCGACCCATCACAGAGTTAGAGATTGGGCACTTGAAAGGAATTGACAATAAGCACAAAAGACCAGCCGCACCTCGTCTGCAACTGAGTCGCCGCTGCCGCCGCCGCCGAAGCGTTTGGCCATCTCCTGCTCGAAATCGTTGGTCGCCTTTACCGCAACCAGCAGCGCCTCCACACTGTTCGACAGCTCTGCCGCCTGTACATCACATCATGGCCACCCGTGAGAAGTGTACAATATGCACCGCAAAAGAAGCCACCCGGGTTGCCACCAGGCTTGAAGCTCTGCTGTACTGGGAAGTGATATTCTTCCCAGCAACCACCAGATGGTCCAGAGCCATCCAACCGAAACACATCCAACAGGTTGATTGCTGCTGCGGACGGCGGCTCTGAGCTTGCTCCCTTGACTGTCAATACCATGGAATTTACGAGTCCTCCACACAATGGGTGAAGTGTAAGGACGCGCTAGTGTGCTCTCTTGCTGAGCTACTCGGCAGCATAGTTGCCTGCATGTCGATCCTTAGCTCCCCAGAACTGGAAGGCGGCGTGCCCCGCTAGACAGGTCGAGTTGCACCAACGACCGCACGGGTAGGCAACAGAAGGGCAGAGACGAGGTAGTAGGCTCGCACCTTGTTGTCAAGGATTTCTGCGAGGTGTGCGCGGGTGACCTGCGCAAACTGCAGGCACATGCGCTGCGGCAGGCGCCAGGACTCGGGGAATATTGCCCAGATCTCCGCCTTGGCCCGTAGCCGCCGCCGCAGCCAGCCGTACCGCCGCTCTGTGCGCTCGATCTGCGCCGTTCAGGGAATATTTGTTACGTGTGAACAGGTGAAGGGGGAAAGATTTTAGGGAAGGGGACATGGCAATTGTAATAGCTAGCCATAGCAATATGCGCCGTCCAAACAAGAGAGTGGTGAAGATGTATGCGATCATAATCATAACGGCGAAGGGTTGAGGGAGGGGGCCTGATTCAAAAGTTTGCATCGTTTGTCTTGCCCGAGATACAATGCAAACATAAAGGCAGTGCAAGCGGCAATGTAGGAACAATGCAATGGTGAGCTTAAGGAAGGGTCCATGAAGGGTGAGATGGGTGAATGAAGTCACCTGCGCTGTTTCGCCGGTGGTGCTGAAAATCTGCTGGTAGACGCCGACCTCCTTGTGGCACACGCTCTCTATCAACTCCTCCCGCGCCTGCGCAATATAACAGCAGGATCCAGTCAGGTTCCACTGAGAATAAGCCTGTGTTGATAAGGCACGCTCTGAATGTTGTTTGCCGCAAAGTGGTTTCATCCACGCTGCTGCAAGCATTCACCCTGCTGCTTTTGACACTTGAAGTTATAGTGGTGGCATATAAGGGCTGCGCCGTGGGGAACCGGAGGGCCTGGGAAATCTACAACTCAGGTGGCAAGATCAGGAATATGCACCAGTCCCACAATAGCACATGCAGGCATAAGGATAGAAAATGGGCAAAACGGACTGCTAGGCTGCCTTGAAGCCTAGGCACACGCGCTCAGGGCAATACTGAATCACACATGCATGTTTAGTCTTCAGGGACAGACAAAGGCTAGAAAGCTGTGCCTTGAACCCAAGGACGTCGATGACGAGGCAGCAGGCGCGCAGGCGCTCGAGCAGCAGCGGGTTGGGCTTGTCTTCGCCCGTGCCCAGCAGCTCAAACTCGCGCATCGCCGACAGCTGCAGGCTCATCTGCAGCGCGCTTACGCGCCCACTCAGCTCCGCCACCTGGCATGTACATGAGAGCCAATCAGGCTGTGGCAGCTGGAACATAGTGAAGCCAACCGTGGCTTTGTGGCATATGCTCTGTACTCTGGTCCCGATCTCACAGTTAACACAACATTCGATTGCACATCTTTGCCCGTTCACCTGCCCCCTTGGCTGCCCTATCCCATAACTTTGAATTTAAAGGTGACAGAAAACCACGCTGAAGTATATTTCCACACCGAGCGGAGCACGTGAATGTTGCTTTGACTGGGGCAGCTTCCAATGTCTATTTCAGGGCCGGTAATTTTGTACATTTACTGTCGGTGACCATGCAATGGAATAAATTAGATAATATGAGTGTTTTGAAAAGACATGGGGAGCACCTTGGGAACGGAGCCAAAGGAGGCGAAGTGGGCGGCCAGCTGCTGGACGGCTTCCAGCAGCCGCGCAGCTTCCGCGTACTCGCCCCTCTCCACTGCCCGCTGCAGCTGATCTGCGCATGGACCAGGCACAAAATGAGCCCAGGACACACCCTCTAAACCCCTTTTCCCCGGAAGCTGACGAGCACTTATAGGGCAATTTAGAGTTGCCAACTTTCAACTGCGCTATACCTCTGTCCCAGGGTTTAGCACCAACCAGGGCAGAGCCTTCAAACGCATGCAAAATGACGTAGGCCTTCTGCAGATCGCACAAGAAGCACAAATTGCATCTGCCTGCCACAGCAGGACCCATTGGATCAGGCCAACACAAGAGGCCTCTCACCACAAAGAAGTTGCAGCAATACAGGAGCAGCCTGTAACTGTGCAGCGCACAAATAGTGCTCTACAAGTGGCGACACATCCAACCATGACCCACAGAGAACGGACCACAGGATATGGCAGGGGATGCGCACCCACTGCGTTGACAAGCATGGCTGCCCTTGTTCCAGCGACAGGAGAGGCTTCTTCGGCACTGACACCAGCCAGAACGCTTCTGCATGATAATGGCAGGGCAGACAGAAAGCATGCACCACCGGGAGGGTGTCAACCACAGAGTAATAGCAATGCAGGTGGCATTGGAGGCGCACCCACTGCGTTGACGAGCATGGCCAGTCGGCGCAGGGCGGTGATGGTGTGAGTGAGGTGGGTCTTGGCAAAGTCCAGCTTGCGGATGTCCCTGCAAATCTCCTGCACCATCACCTCGCTGGCCTCCGCCTTGCGCCGAATTTCCCCGATCTTGCCAAACAGCTCCTCGATCGCCGCCTTCGCCGCCGTTAGATCCTGCCTGCGCGCATGCATGCATTGCATTCAACTTGTCCGAATTTACCGTCTGAATTGGGTCTTGCTTGCATCTGGCGAGTCCATCAAGGGGTAGGAGCCTTGGCGTCCTGCAGCTCGCCAGCAGGACGCACCTTGCCTCTTGGCAGTAACAGCATGCAATGAATGACTTCAAGGCCATTTGGTGAAACACAGATATAGTGCTATTACCATGTGTGCATCCCACTATGCTAGCATGCTACTTTGGTCGGGCCAATGCTCAGTTCCTTGCGTCCTCAAAGCTGCCCGTCAACATTTGGGCAGCTCTGGCCTTGTGCACAACAATCTGACGCCATAAGGATGATGCAAATGCACAAAGGAGTGGCTTTGAGAGATGGCCGAAGTTGAGGCAAGCAAGATAGAGCAAGAAGGTGAAAATGTGGAAGGTGAGAAGAGCGCAGGAGGGTGGGCTGTACCTTGCGCGGCTGCCAGAGCTGCTCTGCTGGCGCACAGCTACAAGGATCTCCTGGTCCACTTTCCTGATCTGCAAGGATATCAAGCCAGGGGGAGCGTCACAAGAGGCAAGTGATTATCTATTACACCCTCAATGCATGCATGGCGTTCCTTGTTCTAGAGAATTAATTGATGACTGCTTTCTCAGGCACAGTTGAGGCCTCACTGCCTGTTCAACATGAAGCAAGTGCGCAGCATGCATGGAAGAGACCAGAGCACAATAAATTCTTCTGCATGTATGTCGCACCTTCTGCTTCAAGTTGCCGATGAGGGGGTCCAAGCCACCAAGGCTATTTTCTGCAAGGTCCAGAACCTTTCTCGTCAGGTTTGCGCACAATGCCATTCTTGCCCTTCACAATCGTTGTGTTGCTGTAAAAAAAACTTGAAAGACACATGCAGGGCTGGGTGCAGAGCGCTTTCGAAGCACTGCTAGATGGAGTTCAAACCTGTTGGGAACATCTCATTGATGTATGCCACGGCATCAAAGTCGTCACTGTCGAAGGCATCCTGCTGGACGCTCCCAGATGAGACGATGACATTTGTGCCTGGTGATGTTGAGGTGGAAGCTCTAGGCTGGACACCAGTGCCCTCCGTGGCAGCCATGTGATGTCCCTGACCTTTCAGAGGTCCCTTGTATGTGTGACAAGGTTAGCTTGCCAACAGCGCTGTTCCATAGCCTCTACATGTTCAGGAGAGTTTCAGCTACATCGTCTGGAAATCACATCGAACTGCAGAAGATCGTCCTTACTTCTGGAAAAAATCTGTTGTCTCTTCAGGTGCAAAAAATCATTGATTGTTCAGGGAGGAAGCACCAGACAGCAAGATGATCAAGCTGAGCTCTGGGTACACGTCGTTTTAGATGAAAGCGTGATCAAGCATGCTTATTGGTCATCTGCCTCAGACAACGACATTCCGCACATCTGAATGCCAGTCCTTTTTTAAATTTCGCATCTCTGACATCAAACGCCTGGGTACCAGCAAGGGGCGTGAAAGGGTGTGGAATACGATCGGTCTACTGGACAGAAAATCTCTGAGACAGCCACCACTTTCAGCTCTGATCGCCATCAACATTTCTGTTCGACGCAAGTCAACAGCTTCTCCGTCAGCGACTGATACGGAGTAATTCACAGCTGCACCGCAAAGTTTAACTTACGCCAACTGGTGAACATCCCTTCAGCCAACCTCGACCTTTTCACGGGTTTCCAATGTGCAGCTGTCCGATACGTTCTAATTAAATTAAGCAAGGTTACTTTGTTGTTTTCCAATTGAGTGGAGCGGCTTTGCCTGGCCAATTCTGAGGCGACCACTATGCCAATATGGCTTCTAAAATATGGTTTCATCGAACATCAAAGATTGTACGGAATTGCAGCATCCAGGAGGAGAAGCCTGCAAAATCTGGCCATGCATAATTATGAAGATTCCCCTCATGAGGCCAGAAAATTTTCTTTGCAACACTGCTCTTGATACAAGCTCATGCTCTTTTCAGCCTCACCCTCATGCTGATCTGCCAGGTAGCCTTGAGCGGTGCTCTCAGAGTGTTTAGTCTTAGCTTGCAAGGGACGACCTGCTGCTTGTGCAGGTTGGATAATCTCATCAGGCGGCTAGAGCAGCTAGACCAGGAGAGCCCTATTCTGACTGCCGAGGTCACTGCCGCCTGAGCGACTACAATGACGCTCGGCAAGAAGCCGAACTGGGTAGGCGATGGGAGCAGCTGGTGCACGTAGAAAAGGAGCGCCTGGCAGAGAGGAAGATTTTGCATTCCATGCTTGCAGGTACAGGGTACACTCCTCTGAAATTTAACAAAATTCTGGGTCAGCTGCAAAGTCCCAAACGCACCGTTTTCACTTTTGCTTCTTGCAAAAGCAGCTAAAAGAAGGCTGTAACGGCACATGGCTTGTTAGAGCTGAAAGTCTGGCTCCAGCCTGCTCTGGCTGCTGTGTTTGACAAGGCAATAGGTGAAGATGTGACACCGCATTCTGTACCTGCTCTCCTGCTTGCTTACGGATGGAGTCTAGCGCCTGCCGTCCAGATGAGGAGGCCTGTGGTGCAGGTCAAGAGCGTTTTGTCGCGACCCTTGCCGCAAATCCAGAGGATAACTTCTATGTGGAGAGCGCTAATGTGGACAGCCTAGCCAAGCAGCTAAGGGCTAGGAGAGTCTTGCTGTACACAGCGCCTCGTCAATCGGGGAAGACCACAGACGCATTCGCAGTACGCCGACGTCTGTGCGACGACGGCATCCAGGTGCGACACATGCTGGCTTCTTGTCTTGTCCAGCCGAGACAACAGATTTGTGTGCACAACATTGCATTGTTGATGCAATCCGTCTTTGAGCTGCTGAGGTGCATGTGATTCTCTCAAGCCTGTTTAAGGCTGGTCGATTGGCTGCTTGCGCAGGTCGTGTATGTGGACCTGGGTCCCCCTGCAAGGAATGCAATAAACTCATCAGCGAAAGATTCAGAGCCCATCTGGCGGGAGGTGGTACGCAAGCTGCGCATCGCCCGAGCGCAAGATGAGAGCTGTTACGAGGCCTTCCATGGCTTCTTGGAGCAACCCACAGGGCCACGGGTGGCTCTGATCTTTGACGAGTGCGATACTATACGCAAGCTGCCTGAACTCTTCTCAGATTGGCTGATGCGTGTACGTGTGCTGTCGCAAGACCTAGACATCAGGTAAAAATTTAGCATGCGTGATGATTTACCTGCCCAGCATGCATTTGACAGAGTCGTCTCGACGTTCCACAGCTCAGCATTTCTTGACATTTGTCGGCGCAGCATAATTCTTTTGTGTTTGCGATCCAGCTTTGCACAGAATGTGTAACAAATTTTTGTATGGTGTCCTTTGTGGCAGGCTGTGTGGCCAGCTGCTGGTGGGCACGCCGCGCATGAACGAGGCCGTACTCAATGCCCTGGATGGCATCGAGTGGTCCAAGTTCCTAGTGGTGAGGACCCGCCACCTACCTGCATGTTGCTGGTCTTGATCCTTGCTTTCCCTCTGAAGCACTGCTTTGGTGTGCAACAGCCTCCCAGGGTTTGTATTGGTGCATTGCCTTCAGATGCATTGCCAGCGCATTTGTATCAGCGCTGTCCTCTCTGCACACTGCAAGCCAGGTCAGCAATATGGCAGGGCTCACCGGTGGGCGCATGCGTTGCAGACAAGAGGACGATCTCCGTCCCGCTTCTCTCTCACCGAGGTTGGTGAGCTCTTCCGACAGATCATTGCAGCGCGCAATGGTTTGGTAGTTGACTCCACCGAGGACTGGGCGTACTCGCTCTGGAGCCATACAGAGGGAGCAAAGGGCCTCACGGGGATGTGTCTGGGAGAGGTATGTCTTGTTGGGTGGAGCCCCCCGATTGCACGATTTGGTGTATCTCCCCTTTAGTCATGATCAAGGCGGTGTCCAGCACTTGGTGTCAAAGGTTTGAAGAAGCGTGCCTCCTCTAAGGGTTGTTGATTGTGGCCCCTCGAGGGTGTTTGTCAGCGCTGTGAGTTCTCCTAGACACCTGCAATGCGAGTAGTGGTTTCACAATCTCAGTTGCGCCATCTCTGTTGTTGCAGCTGGACAACGAGTATTTTAGCACCCTGGAAGTTTGCAAGCTTTCAGTTTGGGAGAAGTCCCTGATGCATGACGCCAAGCGCCTGACACGAGGAGCAATGACAGCATACGACCGGATGATGAGTGCTGTGGATGCTTCTGATCCGATCATGGAGGCGATCGTCCAGAACCTCCTGCTGACTGGTGAGCCCTGCAAGCTGCAGCCCACAGGCCAGATGTCAAGAGTTGCCAAGGAAGGTTTCCGTACACATCTGGATCATGCCTTGCTGTCCTACAGAGTCTTCATGTCCAATCAGAGATGTAGTCTTCAAAATCACAGCTTAACACTCTTGTGCAAAATTAATTCCTTTGATGCGCACATGCTCCCATTCATGGCAGTGCCACCCAGCCGTGTTGGCAAATGTAATTGGCAGTGTGCTCTGGCTCAATCTCGAGTATTGGCTTGCAGGGCGCCATGCAGTGCCTGGTCCTGACAGCCTCTCCAACGCCGAATACGAACTGCTCTGCGACGGCGTGGTCCGCCTCGAGGGTGTGGCGGGCAACCATTACTTGGAGGTCTCCTCCCCCCTGCTGGCTGCGGCCATGCTCAACGCTGCTCTCGATTCCATTCAGGACCCGCCACAGCTACTAACGCCGCCGACAGAGCCTACCGCTCGGTAATTTTGCCATTCCTTTTAAACGCATGCGTCATTCTGCATTTAGCTTATAATTATATTTATACAGTCCTTGTGGTTGCTTCAATGACCATTACATCATCCATACCCCTCGCCTGCCTGACTGTTAGCCATGAGCCTTGAAGCAAGGCTCAAACGCCGCATAGCAATGGAAGAGCTCATTTTTGCATGGCAAGATTTGTGGGCAGAGAACTAGGGCAGTACCTTCTGGAGAATGGCTTGGGCCAGTTCCAGAGCAGCAGGCTGCTACAGGTGAAGGTCTGGACAGCTGATGACCAGCAAGTGCTGGAGTGGGCATTGCAGCATGAGCTGAGCCGGGGCCTACACCTTGTTCTTCGCAGCGCTGTATTATTAACCGACACTGACTTCAGCGACCTTAAGCTGGCAGTGGAGGTGCGCAACACATTGTACCAAGCCCCAGCAGCTCGCAGCAGCAGCAGCAGCAGCAGCAGCAGCAGCTCAAGCATGATCAACGCGCCATTTGACAGCCGGAGCAGCAAGGGTGCTGGCGCGACGGAGTCAGCAAGCAGCATTGGCTTGCCAGCTGTGGCGCGGGGCAGCAGCGGCAGCGACTATCCGGGTGCAACAGAGGCTGACAAGCGCAGGCGGCTGGATCTGTATGTTGGCAATGGTCAATACAGCACCGGCTATGAGCTCAGCTCGGCAGCCTCAGCTGCGGCTCTGAAGGATCATGTACAGCGCAGCATGAAATATCGCGACCAACACAGCTGCCAGGTGTTTGCTGTGAACCTGCAGCGCCCCAAGCGGCCACACAACCGCCCCCCGAACGATGCTCCGCCGCCCTTGGAAGGCGGCCAGGCGCAGACTCTTGCAGAGCTGAAGGAGGCAATGGAGAACTTTGCGTCCTGGCCAGAAGAGCGCCCTGACAAGGTATGCAATGTTGTTTATGCGACTCGCTTCCCTAATGCGAGAAATACCAGCCATGTGCACCTCGTTCATTACTGCTACAGACGCCCAGGCCTGACTTGTGGGAATCATCACATGGCCTTGTCTTCTTGGCTGCTTCTATCTGCATCTAAGGCTGTCGGACTTTCTGCAGCCTGCCTTGATGACATAATGCCATTCAGCAAGGCTTGCGACCGGGTAGACTATTGAGGCATGTGGTGCTCAACAGGTGGTCTTTGTCAATGTGCTGCTGGAGCTGGAGCTGGGGCGCATTCTGCTGCAGTACGTGGACGAGCCAGATGCGGTGAAGGTCATCAAGCTCAGCGAGCATCAGGGCAGAGTTCGGGTCGCACGGTCTCCGGTGCAATCTGCTGCGCGCATGTCACAGCCCAGGGGAGCAACGCGTGCACATGGGCACATTCCCCATCCAGCTCGTGGGGCTCGACAGCAGCGCTTGTGGCGGCCGTGCAAGGGCTGGCCATCACGCACTCTGTGCATGCCATGCCCTGCCACTGCATCATGCGGCCGTGCTGGCGTCTTGATGCGGCAGACCCGGGTGTGACTCAAAGCAGTTTGGCTTGTGGAGACTGCATTGAGGGTGACTCGACCAAGATGGCATGACATAATGTTGGAAGGGCTGTTACCAGATGTTCCCTTTTGTGCTCAAGCAGTACGATGTTATGGCAATCTGATCATCCAGTGCAGACGGATATGCATTCCACTTGCATGTTTGCTTGTGCTTTGCAATGACATGGCAGCCAGCTCACTGCTGAATCACTGCACTTCAAGAATCGTCTGAAGGTCGTCGATTGTGCATTTCGTTTTATTGTACAAGCTGCACACACATCGCCAAACTCCCAATTGAAAAATTGCAAATCTGCAGCATGACAGACAAGGCTGCCGCATCCAAGAAAAAGGCGCCTGAGGTGGAGGCGACAACGATTGAAGAGGAGGATCTCTTCGAGGACTTTGCCCTTAAAGATGGTATGCACTTTCTTATGTATTTCTTCTCTTGCATTCGATTTCGTCCTTCAGCTCTGAAACTGGAAAAGCTTCTAGCGTTTGACCATTAAGTATGATTGGATGAAGCACTATTTCTGCACTGAATGAGTCTGCCAGGCAACAACAAGAGACAGCACAAAGATAGCTTTCCCAGTTCGATGTTTTGAGCGTATGCATCCTTGGCTGACGCTTTTATTGTACTGCAGAACCAGTGGGAGTGCAAGAGGGAGAGAAAGAGCCCGAACTCCCCCTGTGGGAAGCAGACTGGGACGATGAGGACGTAGGTGGCGACTTCGTGCAGCAGCTGAAAGCAGAGCTTGGCAGAAGCGCAAAAAAGTGACGAGCCCAAATGTAGCAGCAGATCCTGTTGATCGATCACACAGAACACCTTTGAATAGTAAGAATGGGAAATGTGACGCTTCTCTGACGAGAGGTGCACAGATTGAAGACCAAGATTGTCAGGCAGCTTTAAAACGTCAAGACATGAAAGCCTTGACAGCTTGCAAACAGGGCTGGTGCAGCAACAGGAACCCAAATGACTGGGCAAACCTGCATAACTTGTGCTTATTGCATGTGCGCATTGGCTCACGATGCAGGCTGCCTGTGGCCAACCTGGCCATGAGCTGTGGAATCAGGCTCTGGGTATGAAGAGCTGTTGAACTCATGTGCTGAGTGTGATATGGCAAATTTCGTTGATCCGGAGGTCACTGGAGCATCTTTGACCTGGTCAGTCCTGGCCAAATTATGAAGATGAATCCAGGTAGTGCAGTAGCGCAGCAGCGCAGCAGCTCGCAACATTAGGATGTTGCACCACTTCACAGTAGTACTTCAGCTGGAACTTGGGAGCAAAGTCAAGGTTGTTTGCTCTGCTTCAGGGACTGTTTCTGCAGATGATTGATGCAGAATGAGATGCTTTGTTTGCGTCAACATGTAAAAGTAAGGGCCAATTATGTAAAATTCTATGTGGGCTGCGGCCGGCGACAGGTCATTATGCACATACTGCCTACGTACACATGGGGCTATGAAGCATATCTTGCAGGAGCCCCGTTAAATGGGAACCTCAGTTTTGGCTGCTGAGAGTAACATAGTTTTCATTCTGGCAGCCACCCACTTGATGTTGGCATCTCAACAGCAAACCCCATGCACTGTGAACAATGTCAGGCGTTACCTTGTAACGTTCCTGCACGTGCTTGATTCGAGGCAAATTTCGATCTGTTCCACTCTTCTGCGATGCTCATGTTGTCATAACATTTTTAAAGCGTATTTACAGGTTTCGCCTACGGTTCAATTGTCTCGATCAAGGTTTGCAGCTGCCCGAACAAATTGCGAACGTCAACTCTCACAATTCCATACAGAGAGATCTGCCGCCCCTCCACGCTTCGCTGCCTCTTGATCAGCGCTCATCATTTGATAAATTATCTGCAGCCTTCGAGATCGTTTTCAACATGATTAAAGCTGCAGTGAAGATTTCTTAGAAATGCATTGCGTTGTAGACATCCCAACAATCAGGCACGAGGATGTCCCAGCCTTTGCAAGTGAGGGCGTGGAGATATCTGCGAATTTCGACAATGCGACTCAAATGCTCCAAGCTCCCCCAGAAAGGAGCAGGGAAGCAGGGGTCGAGCAACTCAAAGCCCTCCTTCTGGTGTCCAAATATCTCCTGAGCAGCTCAGCTAGTGTGATCAACACACCCACGTGGTGCCAACAAGTGCTGGAAAAATTCTTTAGAAACCAATCAGAGTCTGAACATCTGAAAGTATTTTTCCTGCTGTTGCATTGATAGGCACACCCCGTTGCCGCGGGAGAAATCTTATTTTCATTGATGCCCCTTCTGGAGGCCAGGAGTCAGGCAGAGCCATCCGAGGAAGTGCTCCTCGGGGTCTTTGAAATCCTTGAATTAGTGCTCCAACAGGCAGTAGAGGCAAGTGGCCCCATCACCTTGCTTTCCGGCGCATTATTACTATTATACTATTACACGCTTTTCCTGCCGAAGGCAAGGTGCGTCTGCAGACAAGCTGCGTGCAAAGGCTGCCAAATTCCTACCCCTTGTTGGGACTCGCCAGATCCAAGCAAGACCCAATCAATCGTGGGCACGGTGCTCAATATTTGTACCGCCCCCCGCCAGCCGGGGCCATGGCGCTTTGGAGTCCTTCAAAACCCGCCACATACTCAGCTCAGCTGGCAACAATCTTTTGGAAACTGGGCTTACAAGTGGAAAATTTCAAAACATTTCAATCCGTGCAGGTGCTGCCAAAGTACAGCGATCAAATCACTGCCATGCTCTGCCGCGCATGCAAGGACCCCTACCACAAAATGAATATCCAGGTGCGCAGTCTTGAACCAATCAAATTTACTGCTGTGTGCAAAATTCAGCTAGCAGTGCAGATCAACATGAAAAGCCTGCAGCTGAGCTAGACTTTAGTTAATGCCTGCTCTATCCTTAGTCCAGAATCCAGCCCATGTTCCTCCTAAAGGCCCAAATATGGAAATTCTAATTTATTGAGTAGTTTGAGAAGTTGGCTGGTGTGCAGGGCTGCAGGTGTGTTTCTGCGCTGGTGCGCTGCCACAGTGGCGCTGACTTATGCCACATCAGCGAACAGCTGATCGCCATGCTGGCACCCCTCACAACCCACCGCCAGCAGAAGGTGCTGTCTCTTCAAAACTTGCCTTGGAAAACCATTACACCATCATTGAAACTGACCTTCATTTGACCGCAAGACACCTCTTCCTCCCTTCTTGGCGCTCATGCTGCCTTTTATGTCTGGCATATTCTTAGTACACGCGCACCTAGCCCTGAGGGCTGGAACTAGCGCGTAATGATAATAATTATTAGTACACAACGCACCTAGCCCTGAGGGCTGGAAGAACAGTGTGAATAAAAGAAATTATGCTTGGTATGACTAGATGCAAGTCTTGGAGAGCGAGTGCATACAGCACATTCGGCAGTAGTTGTCTTGACTGAATTCCATGCAAGTTTTGTGTAGCAGAGTGGTCAGAGATGTGCCGTTGATGTCCGGCCCAGTCAGACATCTGGCCTTAATTGCACATGCATGCATGCGAGGGCTCTCCACATGACCTAGACAACTGCTGCAATGCAACGTCTACACACAGCAGATATGGCCACAAGATATATGTATGTCATGAACAAATTTTTAAGCACCACTAGGCTGCAGACTTTCTAGGCGCCATGGACGTGGCTGCAAATGTCTTGCGTGTGTGCCCTATGGCCTCTAGCTGTGGTTTGCCGACCTATAGTAATAACAATCTTTATAATACTTTCAATTGTACTGTAGTAACAATGATAATGGAAACAACAAAAGCGCAGAATACTATGCCAGTTTAGGACAGGCAGCCAGTGGCTCCGCGTACAGACAGGGAGGCATGAGCCTCAGGTGGCTCCCGAAAGACCTCTAGAATGCAATAATAATTTTATATGAAAATGGCAATGAAAATGACAATGAAAATGAAATAAGAAATGAAAAAAAGGTCTATCATAGTGTAACTTATAGCAATAATGTCTCTGGTCTCACTTTGCAGGTGAGGCTAGCGGCCATTGCAGCTCTGACAGGGGTGCTTCCCTGTGGCGGGCAAGCCATGATCCCGCAGCTCATGGCCTGCCCGGAACCCCACTCGGTGCCCATTGCCGATTTCTACCAGCCCTCCTGCCGAGTCAACTTCTTTGCGCATCTCGCAACTGACAGCGCTGTCTCGGTGCGGTGGATACTCTTGCATTATCTTTCAAGTATCATTACACGCCTTTTCAGTCTTCCAAGGCTAGGTGCCTTCCTGCAGCACTTCCACTACAAGATCTTAAAATATGTCTCTGCATTTCTGTTCTTATTCCATGCATATTACAGAGCTGTTGGTTTTGGGAATTCTGGTGCACGTGTTCGATATTGACTTCATAAAGAAGGCAGACCCGATTGCGCATGCACTGTGCATGCCATGATAGTCTTTCCTGAATGCCGGCTTTGATCTTTTGTTATCATTATCATGATACGATTTTCCTGATTAAAGGCAAGGTGCGTCCTGCAGACAAGCTGCATGTAAAGGCCGCCATTAACCTACCCCTTGTTGGACTCGCCAGATCCAAGGAAGAAATATCAACCGTGGGCATGGTGCATGTATATGCCGCTACTATATGGGGTGACATTTTGCAGTATGTCTTATGCAGGTGCGACAAGCGTTTTTGTTGATGCTGGCCTCCTGGCTAGGGGATGCACCGCCAAAAGAGGATTGTGCCGCGCATGCGGGCAGCCCTGAGCTGCCCAACGGGCATCCACTGACTGCCCACCGGGCTGCGCTCTTCCCTTACGTAATGGCGCTCCTGGCCGATGACTCACCGGCCGTCGCCGGTGACGCGGTTGCATGCTTGGAGCGCCTCGGCGTTCGGCACATGCAAGCACGCTTAGAGGTACATACTCATGAGTTAGCCGCCCTGGTAATGCCCTTTTTCCGGTGTGTTTCGATCCAAAAAGTGAAAACAAAACAGTTGAGTCCAGGCATTGGAACATTCACTTCATATATGCAGCAACGTCTCTTGGCAGTGAGCGTTTTCTGCAGTGCTGCTGGTGTTGCTGGTAGCTACCATGGATTGCATACACAGCGCCAAGTTTAAACTTAAAATTTTAGCAGGAAAGCCTGAACTTATTGTTCTGTGCTTCCAGCAGAAAGCTCCTCACAGCATGCCGGATGAGGAAGAGGCAACGCCGTCGCACGGCTGTGGCGGCCTGCTTTGGCGCACTGCTGCCGATGGCGAATGCGCGCACCAAGGGCAGGCAGGCTCAAATGCGGCAATAGCAATTGCCCCCGGAAAATTGACTACTCCTTTCAAGGCAAGACCGAGCGCAGGATTCCGCATGCTGGTTCAGGTGGGGCCCTCTAGATATTATTATTATTTTTATTATTATTATTACAAGTTTTCCAGTCCTAAGGACCAGGTACGTTGAGCAACACCTGTACTAATGCTTTCCACCCACCACAGCCGTATACATATCGGTAGCATGAAACCACGCTCAGTGGCAAGCAGCAAGCATGCAAGGCAGTCCTGATTTGTGCTCGTTGCAGGCTCATTTGGAAGAACTGCTGAGCGGTATCTCAGGGGACTTGCTCGGATGGGCGCCGGGGCCGCGCACTAAAGCCGCCAAGTTGCTCCGGTTGTGCCTGCTGTTCTGGGAGAGCACGATTGCTGACCACCTGCAAAGGCTGCTGCCATTGCTGGTCAAGGTAAACTTGTTGCAAGTGAAACTACATCGGAAAGAAGCTGCTCATATGAGTAAAAGATCAGCCAGTGATATGAGAGAAGGAATTGAGAGAGGCTTCTGTTCAGCTTGTATAGCTGTTATACTAGCTTATAAAGCCCCGATACCTGGTGTACTTGTGAGATTTCGATTTCAATCCTTCTGCTTGTCGTGTACTCAATGGCTGCCATCGCATTACGCACACCGGAATTTGGTTCTCGCATCATGCAAAGAGATTGACAAGCCAGGAGTACTGTTGACTGTTTTAGATATTTACTCAATCCTGCTAGATGGTAAGAATGAGATGATAGGGCCGTAAATACTATCATTTGCTGCTCGCAGGCTTACGAAGATGAGGGTGCACAGCAGCATTTGAGGGCTTGCTGCTTCTTGATCGGCTTCTGTGTACCAAAGGAGGACTGGGCTTTTGTGTTTTCACAACATGTGGAAGAAACAAGTGCATCGGGGAAATCCAGTGCATGCCAAGCTGTGCTCAAGGCCCTGCAAGAGGGCTCTGACAGCGCGGCGGCTGCTGAGGAAAATGCTTTACAGCCGGCGGTCAACTATTGACATCAATTGTCATCAATGCATGCTTCATTCATTTCATTTGCACTCTGCAAAACATGGGTTGCATGTCAATATCTCATATGATGCATTATCACTCCGCCTTTCCTCCCAGAGGCAAGATGCGGATCCAGCCTGAAATAAATGCAAAAGCTGCATTTATTTCAGGCGTAAGTCAGTTAGATGTGTAGGATAAATAGCCGGTCCAGAAGAGGCCACAGGTGGACATGTAGAGGACCCGGTATTGCAGTGGCACCAGGTAGAAATTGACCATGGACGCTGGCACCCAAAACTTCCACCCTACAGCACAGGAGAACTATCTTCTCAGCTTTCACCATATTTGTTGAAGACATATTACTTGCATCTCCAGGCTATCTGCTCCTGGAACTTGCACACAGTACCTGACCAGAAGTCTTGACAATGCACACTCCCACAGCCATTAAAAGAGTTGCAACAGTTGTCAAAACGTTGATTTTGCTTCCTTGAGTTGAGTATACAATCAACGGAACGCTCACAGACACTAAATTGGTCTCTGGAGAGAAGCCAGGAGCTGTACAAGAATGTTATGGAAATTGAGGCACCAATGTCAAAAGAGAGATCTGCAGATCAAAATAATGGCTGCATGCTTCCACATCTGGGTGATGTGTTACGGCAGAAGGTCTCACCGTTGATGAGGGTTGGCACAAAATCGCGCTTGACTTTCTCCGGCAGCTTCTCCAGCTGCTTGGTGAATGCAAAGTTCCACAGCAGCACAGCGCTCAACACCTGAACCCATGTGCACCAGATTACTGACTGTAATATCCGCTAGCGTAGTCTCTTGTTGCCATGCCTATGATGCGTCACACAGGTGAACATGTCTGATACCGAAAGTGTCCATCAGACAGTGCAGACTCCTTCATGGCGACACACGTATGGCATTCTTTGGCGCAAGGCAGTCATGGGATGCTAGCATCAGCAGACTCACCACAGGGCCGAGGGCAGCTTGGTTCAAGAAGACCTGCATATCCAACAAAGCACATCCTCTATCAATCTCCGCCAAATTGATGCTGGGGAGATATTTATTATTATTATTACTACACGCTTTTCCTGTCAGCAGCAACGTGCATCTGCAGACAAGCTGCAGTAAAGGCTGCCAAAATCCTACTTCTTGATAGACTCGCCAGATCCAAGCAAGACCCAATCAACTGTGGGCACGGTGCTCAGTATATATACCGCCCCCCGAGATAGCATGCATGAAATGTGTCAGGGCGCTTTTCAGCGACAGAAGGCACAGCGCGACAAAGACTAAGGGGACAACCACGGCTTGCAACAGCAAGTTTGTTGAAGGGCACCTTGGAGGCAAAGTGCGGCACGCTCTTTGTGGGGAACAATTTATCGAGGTGCTTGTACCAATAGTGCTGGTAGGGGCCATAGAAAGCAAAGCCAAAGCTGCCCATGCGGGCAGCCCTCACCGCATCAATCCCTTTGCTCTGCCCAGGCACTCCCTGCATCCCGTCAGCTTACACTTTTCAGATTATGTGGCACTTGCCCGTCTCAATTGTCCCCTTATATTCAAGCAAACTGAATTGCATCTGTCAGTCAAGGGAAAACGTCCGGGTCTGCATGTGATACAAAACCAGCTGCAGCAAATGTCTGATGCAATGATGTCTTGAATCCTCAGGATCGCAAGATGCTTGTGTGCAGCACAGTCGGGCATTGCATGCAGGGTTGAGGCTCACACCGTCCCATGGTGGTGTGCGAAAGACTGGGCCAGAATGTCTCCAGCTAGCGACAGGGCGCCTGTTGTCAGTGCTGCTTTCAGCACTGCATTGCCCACTCCTGGCTGCATCAACCGTGTGTTCAATGCGCGCTTGCAGACACATAACAGATGAAAATGCGTTTCAATGGCCAGAATCAGGTCTGTCTTCTGCAGTCTCCGATCCAAGCAGCTGCTGCTTACCTGCACGTTTGCTGATGTACTAGACGAAGCATTTCTGCTGGCATCACATCGCAGTGGCCTCCTCGGTCCCAGGGGACCACAGCACCGAATGGAAACAGAACCGAAACCTCTCATTGTGGTGCAATGCTTGCTAAGATGACCTTAAATATCTACAACTCCTGGTCAGATTTTTCACTGATCTACCTTCAACAAGACCTTCCAACCTTCCTTAGATCCAAGAAAGAGAAGCAGGGCAATCGGTTGGGGCAGGACTGCAGATCAGTGTCACTCGAGGAAACCCAGAAGTGCAACGGGGAACCGTGATCTCAATTCTTGTCTGATAGTACGTGCTGAATGATCGTGCCAACTCTTGATGTGCAAAATGAACTATGCAAAAAAAGGGTCATCTGCCAAAAGTTCTCCCTGCGGGGCTCGAACCCGCGACCTTGGCGTCATAAGCACCACACTCTACCGACTGAGTTAAGGGAGACAATTATCTACAGGCGCGCCTCCCTCGCAAGAGGCAGCGGTGCCAGATCGGCATTTTCCAATACCCATAACCTGCGTCATCAGGACTGCCTCAGGCCCATTCACCATTAGATAAGTGCAAATTCGAGTATTTGAAGGCAACTATGTCTCTAGCACAAATATAGATCTGGGGAATGTGCACAAAAGTGAGAGGTAGAATTTTGGTATTTAGAGCTCTAGATCTATATATATTAGGAGCCTCCGGAGGCTCCGGCTGTGTCCAAGCCTGCCAGCTGCCAGCTGTGCCTGCAGGATCATGATCAGTTATACAGTTCTCTACAGCTGCAGCATGCATGTCATGCAGGGACTTACTGCAGGCAGCAGTCTACCGCAGTGCCAACAGGCACACATGTGCGGGACAGTTATTGCATGATGCGTTGCTAAGCACTCCACAGTCACTGTACGGTACTGTCATCTCATGGTTGAGAATTTCCCGAGGGAAGGGGGAGTGCTCTTCTACAATTCTGTTCAAATCCTATCTGTGAATCCTACACAATCTCTGCCCTGTCTGCTTTCAATAGAGCGTATACATGCAGCTCAGGCAGGCGCTGGAATGAACCTTGGCTACTCGTAGCAGCGCAATTCACAGCATTAACAGTATGACGTCATTTTCAACCAAGACTAAACTGCTACCTCATTGCAGTCCTTCATGCCATGGAAGCAATTAGGTCAGTTAGAATTCAAGGGCCCCGTGAGAGGAAGCCAAATAGCTGCCTCATCTCCTGTGGCCAAGAAAATCCGCCGCTACTGTAGAGCATCTTTTCACCTCTGGAGTCCCAGACACAGAGCCGATGCAGTCTTCTACCAAGTCTTCTACTAGGGAGATGGCCTCGAAGATTGCAGGACTGCTCTACTCATGGATCGCCTCAAAATGGTGATGCCAGACGTAGCAGGAATCCAAAGAGTGGCGCATATATGGGTGCTGGCAGCAGGATGTCAAAGGTGTAGCTTATTGCCCTGTGGAGGCGCCTGTACAAAGGCACAAAATTGACCTCAGATGTCGTATTTATAAGCAACAAGTTTAAGGCAACCCCGGAAATGAAAGACAATATACTACTAGCGTGCATGGGCAGTCTAAAGAAATTGTGGTGTGCATCCCGCAATGGCATTTACAGTCCATGGTGAGAGTGTATGAAGATGAACTGCAAATTGAGGAGCTGAGTGGATGCACCTCCTCTTCTGGGTCCGCTTCTTAAGTTCTTCTTTCAAGTGGTGATACAATGCGCAGTAGATGGACCCCTCAAGAAAGCCAGCAGCAATCTTTGGCCAGTTTCGTTTGAGCACGCCCTTTACTTGCGACTGCACATGTTGAAACAGATGATGTCAAGGCACATTTGCAGCCAATCCGGCAGCTGAATGCGACTCCAAAGTCTTAAAGGTGGTTTGCAGCAATTGCAACTCTTACAGTAGCATAAGATATCAAAGGGCTAGATGCATCTGTTTGGGACCTTGAGTGTGCCTCACCTTAGTGCCGGCAGACATCAGGGCCAGAGGGGTGTACTTTTCGAATTCTTTTGTGAAATTATCAACTGCGTCCACCATGTTGTCATGCACCTTCTCCACTTTGGGAGGCGGTGCAGTCTGGAGAGCCTGGCCATCCAGAGATTGCTGCCTTCAGTGTGCCAGGACATATTAGATTGACACACGTGTCATGGCAAGCGATTAAATAAACCCACTATCGGCGTTTAAGGGCTGCAAAACGCGGCGTTGCAGGCTGGCAGCACATCCTCTGGCCCTAGTGGGCATGTTTGTGGGTAATCACCTGGAAGACATCCCTGAGGGGATCCGGCATTCTGGCGACTAAAATTTGCTCACGGCTCCCCTGGAGTTCGATTTTTGTACGCACAGCGCACTAGTTTCAGATTGTTGCACGCAATCAGCTATTGTAGGCAAAGGCCGTGATTGATCCTGCAGGCCCATCGAAAGCTTGTAAACGGTGACCGGCCATGTCAGATCTCATGCCAGAAAATTCTTGACAATAATGTGATGTTTCACAATACTCAGTTGCCTCTGTGATGGACTGCAAGCAACAGATCACATTGAGCAGATGGAAGATGTCACCTCTTTGTCACTGATACAAGGACTGCCTGATAGAGACACAAATTTTCCAAGGAGACGTGAGCTTTTCAAGACAATAGCAATTGGATTTTATGCTTTCTGCATCAACTGGATCAGCTGAGCTGTCGGAACAAGAAAGTGAAACATTATTATGATCAACACCCTTGCAATCTCCCCAACTTCATTCCACTGAAAATCTCTGTGCTTCACAATAGGCCCAAATGCTCCCCTAGTGATTTGATTTATTCATAAGGAAGCCCTGAATAAGTGCTCGAAGAGTCTGGTTCTGTGCTGCTTCAAGGGTGATGTTGGAAGATATCGGAGCAGTGCTTGAGCCAGCTGATGACATCAAGAAGGAGAAGAAGCATCACAAAGAGAAGAAAGATAAGAAGCACAAACACAAGCACAAGAGCAGTCACAAAAAGGATAAGGGAGAGAGGGTAGAGAATGGTTTGGATGTCACAGAGAAGGTTGTGAAGGACCAGAATGGGGACTTACAGGGCTCAAAGCATCTGGAAAATGGAAAAGCTGCAGGATATGACAGCGCTCCAGAATCTGGAGAGATCCCGGTCGAAGCAACAGCAGAAGAGGAAGTTGCTGGAAAGGCGATGCAGAGAGAAGCAGTTGTGGAAACAGAGCGGCCCGCAAGCCCCCCACTTGCTACAGTGGAAGGCACTTCCGATTTGGCAAAGGGCGTCTCCGAGACCAGGTCCGTTTGCTGATTACCGAAGTCAAGTAGCTTGAGCATGGCACTTAAATAGCTGTTCGCCGAAGAATGTATTACCCAGAAGTGGCATCACTGGCATCACTGGAATTGACAGATTTGTTATTCGGACTTGTTCCTGACCATTTGACCTCTGCAACCATTTGGCATCTGCAACGCTGAGCTCAGTGAGATGTTTGCCTGCCTCAGGGCCCAAGCGTCAGAGCTGGCTGCATCAGAAGATGCAGCATCTTCTGGTAAACGGCAGAGAGAGGACGAGGTAGCAGAGGTGCGCGATGCCAAACGCCAGCACAGGGACCATAAGGAGCACCGCAGCTCCAAGCGGAAGGAGGATGCTGCCGGGGATGCCGGCACGACAAAGGGGTTGGAGAGAAATTCTGGGCACAAGGACCGGGAGCCCAAGAAGGCCGGGGAGTCAGACAGAGACAAGGGGAGGGAAGCGGACAGGGACAGGAGGGATAGAGGGAGGGATGCTGACTCAGGCAAGGGTCGTGACGCCGATGACAAGCCTAGAGAGGCGCGGCCGGAGCGCAGCGCGCGCGATGACGGCCGCAGCCGCGACCGGCCACGGGGCGACAGCCGCCGCCGAGAGCCGCCCAGCCCCGATCGGCGCAGGTGCTACTTCTGCTCTCAATGCCACATGTATAATGTCAACCATGTCAACATGTACTTTCTCCGAGTTGGGTATGCCTGGTGAGGCATGGCTCCTGAGGAATGAAGATCACCAGAACAGATCAGGCATGCTGACACCTCAACCTATCGAAGGGGGAGATGTGTGTGAGCAGTTGCTGGCTCCACAGCGGGTGTTCTGCTGGATGTAAAAAAAAATGTCGTGGCTGCAGGAGGCCGGATGAGGGCCGGGACAGCCACCGGCCGGGCAGCGTGCGGCCAAGGGACGATGGCCGCGGCGGCGACCGGGATCGGCCGCGCGGGCTCGCGGACCCCCGCGACGGCCGGGGGGACCCGAGAGGAGGGCACGCCGGCCGAGACCGGGACCGTGACCGGGAGCGGGAACGCCTCCGAGACCGCGACCGCGAGCGGCCGCGCAGCCGCGGCCGGGACGCTGACAGAGACCGCGACAGAGACCGGGATCGCGATCGGGGGAGAGGCGAGGAGCGACAACGGGAGCCGGAGCGGAGGAAGACCAAGGAGGAGCTGGTGCGCGCAGACTGCACATTTTGTGGCAAAACGTAGCTTTTTTGGGACATGCTTTCTCTCTCACTGTGCTGCCCTCTGCGGACCATCTGTGTCAGGATTCAGCAACAACAGGACCAGAGCTTTCCAGGCTCCAAGTCTCACCCTGCAGCTTGCTTTGGTGGCTGAACATCGAGCTGCCAATACTGCGCCTCCTCGCTTACACCTGCTCCTGAATGGGGGAAACCACCAAAGAAGTTGTGCCTGAGGACTCTTTCCATTACAAAAAGCCATTCAATATGCAAGATCCCTCAAGATCAAGCCCGCTCTCTCGATGCATGGGCCGAATCCGCAGGAGGCGGAGGCGAAGAGGGACGCTGACCTGGAGGCGCAGATGGAGGCAGCACTCGGGGGAGAGGCAGATGACGAGGACCGGCTGATAGAGGAGCGGCGGCGCCGGCGGCAGGAGATCCTTGCCAAGCACCAGCAGCAGCAGCAGCTCTCAGGTGGGTTGGGCATATTTCTTGAAAGCTTGGAACGCCCAACGCTCTGATTCTCACCTGAGGACTGCATTCCAGAGAGATGTGCCCGGGCGTGCTTGGTCGCTTGGTGCATTCTGCTTGGCCTGTGAGCATATTGTAGTATTTCTCGAATTTCTGTACAGTAATCGTGGATGCCCATCTTTGGCCTTAACTCTAATCCTGGAGTGGGTGCATATGATGTTGCAGACCTCAATGCCCTTTGCTTGGACTCCGTGCCCACAATGCTACTCTTCACAATATTACCGACGCTGAAGACGTTGTCTTGTGTCATGTGCACAGAGTCCGTGGCAGCGCCGACGGCGTCGGAGCTGCGCAGCAGTGGTGGCGCGGTGGGGACTCCGGGGGTGTCCCCCTACATTTCTGCGGGGGCCCCGGGCGCTAGCCCTAACAGCGCCATGGCCTCGCCCTCTTCGCATCCAGTGGCCGACTCCATCTCGCGCCCTGCATCCACCGCCAATGTGCGTGTGAGTAATCCTTGTTCCTTCAACAGCCTTGAGAACTTGCTCTCGTCTCTGTTTTGCCACTCAAGCTGGTGGTCAAGAAAGGGTGAGTTGCATGATGTGGGATCTTGCTTCATGTGTTTCTTGATGTCCTGGTGACCCAGCCTACATCTGCTAAAATTGCTTTGCTGATTTGTCCTGACCAATGGAAGCCTTTGTGATTTCTTTCCGGCAGAAGAACCACAGCTGTGAGCATGGGAGTAGATCTATGTGGGTTTGCGCCGGGTGGCAGCATGGAGAATTGTTTATACGTGTGGCCGCAGGGTGCGGCAGGTTGGGAGTCGGATGACGAGGAGGACATGGAGGCGACAATTATGGACCAGAACATGGACCTGTGGCAGACGCGGCGGGACGAGGCCGCGGCCGAGGCGGCCGCCGCGGCCAACGGCGCTGCCGAACCCGGGGCCGCCGAAGCCGGCGCGGGGCCGCTGTCGGCTGACGCGGCTGACAGTGGCGTGGCCGACACCTCGGACGAGCGCAAGCACAAGCTGGAGGCGCAGGCCGCGCGCGCCAATGACGGCCTCGACATGTTCGCCGAGCAGGTGGTCGCCGGTTCAAAGCCCCCTGAGTGCATCACCTTTTTACAGCTTTTGATAGCCATTCAGTAACCAGGTGATTCCTAGGTGGGGCACCATGTATGGCATACATAGCAGGGATGTGGGAAAGACAGGCCTGGCTTTGGGTACAGGGGTACCAGTCCCATTTGTGCCCTGAGGGACGGGACATTTGCTCCTGTACTTTTCTCTTGTTGGGTATGCAATGCTTTGCCAATGTGGCAGGCATTCTCTGGTGCTGCTGTGGTGCTTTTTGGAAGCCACTTATTTAAACCAAGGTCTGGTACAATAGCAGTGTGGTAGTCAAGAGTGTGCGGGGGAACGAGATGTTTGTGCAGCATATATGGATAATGTACGTGGGGTGGCTGCAGGTGGATGTGGATGCTCTTAGAGACAGGGAGGGGGATGCTGTCAAGCGGGGGCTACTGGATAACTACGATGACGTGGAGGGTTACTACAACTTCCAGGTGCACCTGCAGTGCTGCTCCCTTCTCAATACCCCAGACCATGGTGACATCTTTTGTGGGTGGAGCAATACACGCTCACGGAAGAAGGCACAGCATTTTGTATTCGAATTGTGGAGCCCATTGCGACCTGTGCTGTGTCCTCTTTATGTAGAGTATCTTTTGCTCCTTGCACAGTGAATGTCTGTGTGGTCTCGATGAGGTCATCTCCCCTGTGCAAAGCCATGTGTTAGGACAGACAGGATACATTCTGGAACATTTGTTTCTGCTCATGACAATCGTGCGCGCGCCCTGGGTGCAGGTCGGGGAGATGATGGATGGGCGGTACGAGGTGTTTGCTACGCATGGCAAGGGTGTGTTCAGCACCGTGCTGCGCGCGCGTGACAAGGGCCAGCAGGACGCGCTCGGCCGCCACCCAGAGGTGAGAACCACTGGTCTCATAATTCGAACCTCTGCAGCCGGCTGGCTGCATCCTTCATCCCATTCGCCCCTTTCATCTATGAGCCGCATGCTTCAATCTGCCCGGATCAAAATTTAGTCATTGTATGCTGCGGCATTGTCACAAGTAGTACTTGCATGTAACGCTGTCCAGCAGGCCTACAATTGAGGACGTCAGCTGTAGATCCGTGCATGGGAGGGCCTTGCCCTCTTGTCAACTCTTGTCAATCTCCCTCATCAAAAGCTGCATTTTATATTAATGCCCCTGCCTTTTAACTGGCGCTGCAGAAACTCCTCCATTCCTCTCCGTGCTCTCTTTGTGCCGCTGCAGCACAACGCTCGCAGGCAATTGTCGCCCATGCAAGCAACGTGTGAAGCCACACAGAGGTTCATTAGCTGATTCATTACTAGCCTGATCGGGATCTGCATGCGCGCACACAGGTGGCGGTGAAGGTGATCCGCTCCAACGATGTGATGTTCAAGGCGGGCCAGACGGAGACGGTGATTTTGCGCAAGCTGTCCGGCGCGGATCCCGAGGGCAAGCGCCATGTCGTGCGGCTGCTGCGCACCTTCGAGTACCGGCAACACCTCTGCCTCGTCTTTGAGAACATGGTGCGCGCTTTGGACTCTGATACCACATATGAAAGCCGCTCTTCAAATGCTGCCTGGGTCCGTAGTGTGTCTCCTAATTGTAAGCATAAACGAACATCTGTATATCCGGGGGCTGTCATTTCCTTGTTTTGCCCGTTGGCGCCACTCTGTTCGTCCCTGCATGCAACAGATGAGCACAGAGGAGGCCAGTGATAACCATGTCAGATTTCGATAAGGACTAGAATTTAACTTTGCCTGCCACAGCTTTTCTGGCTTTGAAGGAGTCTCTGCATGTTGAAACACCTCTCGCTGCTGCAGAGGTTCCTTTGCTTGCCTTGGAAAGGTCTGAGTCCCGCAACTCATTACTGTAGATCTTGAAAATCGATGAGCGCAGTTTAAATTAGAAAATTGTTGGCAGGACATAAACCTGCGGGAGCTGACGAAGAAGTACGGGCGCGGCATCGGGCTGAACATCGCGGCGGTGCGCGCGTACGCGGCCCAGATGCTTACGGCACTGTACCACCTGCGCAACTGCGGCGTGCTGCATGCCGACATCAAGCCCGACAACATCCTGGTGAGTCATCTCTCATCTGTGACTGATTGTTGCGTAAATCAAGCAATGTCCTCTGTTGTACCGTTCTGTTAGCTTGGCCAGCTACGGTCCGACAACATCTTGATGCGTATTTTCTCTACTCTGCTTTGTTGCCTTTCTGCGTGCTGGGAATATCGCGGCTGCTGGCTCATCTTCAACATCCGCTTATCTGCAAAACTCCTATTGCTGTGCCTGATAAAGTCCTGGTGCTGGCCTTTTGCCTCTGCTGTGTCGACTTCTGCTTGTCAAGATTGACCTGTCGCAATCCCACGAGAAGTAATTCCTTGAACCCCCTTGCTCTGCTGCAGGTGTCTGCCTCGCGCACGATGGTGAAGCTGTGCGATTTTGGCTCTGCCATGTTTACGGGCGACAACGAGACCACCCCGTATCTTGTCTCGCGCTTCTACCGCTCCCCCGAAGTCATCCTGGGCCTCAAATACGGTGCTGCTCCTTCCTAACTCTTTGATTCTAGGACTCTGCGCCCTAGGCAACTTGCTAGAAAAGCTTCGTGGCCTTTTGCGTGATTTAATCAGATGTTGCTTTGAAAACCAGCGTATGTGCAAGCATCAGTTGCTGCATGCGCATGCAAACTGCTCTGGGTGAGCTGGGCAGTGACAACTGCAGTGTGGATACTTTCTTCAACACAGGATGCTTTCGCACATGCGCACATGATACTCCAATGTTGGCAGCCCCTTATTGCACAATCCGGTCCGGGGGGGTCTATTGCACTGCCAATTGTTGCTGAGGTTTGGGTGTCAGAGTTATCAGGGATATTGAGGAATTCCGCTCACTTTTACGACCTGGACTCACAGTATTTGGATGTAGCTATTTTCATCTCTTGCTGTACCTCTTCCCCAGCTCCTTCTGAGAGCTCTGGACGCATCTGTTGGCATCAATAGCTGCACAGCATTTGCTGCCTTAGCATCCTTGTGCTGGTCCACTCTACGCTGATGCCGTGGTGGCAAGGCCACTCTTGAGAGCAAGACTGCGTAGCTGGGGCGAATTGAGCGGGCAATAAGATGCGGCCTCAAAATCACTCTATATGCTGAGTCATAAACGGCTGCCATGTATCTGGGAAATGTTCTGACCATCGTGGGCGGGCCTGACAGTGTCAGGCAATGTAGGATTTTGGAGGGATTAGGAATTATATCTACATTTACACCCCTGACATGAGGGGTGTGAGATGCGCGCGCAGACCACCCGATGGACAGTGGAGCGTGGGGGTTTACCCTTTTCACCAGTGAGTTGTAGGGTCACCAGGAATTTAGGGTCGTCATGTCATTTTCCAAACCTGAGGGGTGTATGATGTGCGCGTGCAGATCACCCGATGGACATGTGGAGCGTGGGCTGCGTCATCTACGAGCTCTTCACCGGAAAGATTCTGTTCCCCGGCCGCTCCAACAACGAAATGCTCAAGCTCATGATGGATGTCAAAGGGGCATTCCCCAAGAAGATGCTCAAGCGCGGCCAGTTCGTAAACCAGCACTTCGAGGACGACCCCAACATGAGCTTCGCCCTGCAGGAGGAGGACCCAGTCACCCGGCACCCGGTGAGTCACCTTGTTACTCACCTGCTTACTATCCCTTACTCACAGTGTTGTAAAATCCCAATATCTTTTCCTGGAGAACTTGCCGGTGAGTTGCCTGGCCACTCATCCTGCCATGACCTGCCAGGACACTCAAATCAGTGGGGTGATAAAGAATGTATCTGCTTACCTCTGACTCACTTAGTGTCATCTGCCATTTTATCCCTTGCATGGGAAGACCTTCTTTTGCATGCCAGTGGCCATTTTGTGGGAGGTGCCAGCGTTGTGTTCTGTGCTTCTGACCCTTCTCCACGGAGCCTGCTCTGACCTGTGCATGCACCTTCCAAACATGCTTGAAGCAAACCAGCTCCTTGTGCAGCTGAGCTGCTGGCTTCCATCCTCTGGGCTGAATTTTGCTTACTCTCTCCTGTGCAGGTGCGGCGGCTGATCTCCAACCCCACAGTGAAGCGGGACTTTGCAGGGCTGCTAGCGGGCTCGGAGGGCGACAAGCGCAAGCTCGCACACCTTTCAGACCTGCTGGAGCGGCTACTGCACTTGGACCCTGACAAGCGGCTGAGCCCCAAGGAAGCCCTGCGCCACCCCTTCATCAAGGACACTGCTGCCAAGTGACGCTTGCAGCTTGTCGGGATGCTGGCCGCTGCTGCCTTGATCATGCGCTGTCTCCTGTCGCCCGTTGTGAAGCCTTCAAGACATTGCTTGCATTTTCAGCGCTGCTGAGGGAGTGCTTGAACAGGCCTTGTGGTGACGGGTAGCATTGAATCAAGGAGACATTGGTGGGGAGTGTGCAGTGCATACAGGTGTGGGCAGAGTATATGGCGTGTTCCAGCATTTCTCTTGGAGGCATCTGAAGGGCGCAGCTACAGCTGTCTCTGTCACAAGCCGAGGCTTACCAGGAGCAGTGATCAAAGGCAAGGAGGAATAGACGAGGCGTTGGACCCTGCTCTGAGATGTGTTTTGGTTGTTCTTTGGCTGCCTGCCATGACTCATTGTGAATCACAAACCGCTGCATGCGAGCTTCTAAGGGGCTTCTTACATCGTGCGGCGCCTGTTTCGATACTTGCAGGTTGCAAACCGGTTGCAAATTTCTTGGTGCGGCGCAAATGGGTTTCCCGCCCTCGAGGCATGGTGTCACATTGATCGCGGGCCGGCAAAGGCTTATCCCTGTGTGGGGCCATTGAGTCTCTTCTCTGGTGGGCAAGCTCTGGGCTTTCCCATGTGGGCTACTTTGGCGAGATTGCAGTGCTCGTGTGCTTGGCTTGTTGCGTTGAGAATATGCTGTTGCATCGCGCATGCGCCTGCTTCCAAGCAAGAAACAGTCCTTGCTGGGTGTTTTTATATTGTGAGCGCAGGAGGTGTGCCAGAGATGTGGGCTGCGCTGTCAGGCGTCCACTGGGCTTGCACCCATCAGAGGTTAGGCAAGTGGCGCTCAAATGTAGATACTCTGGGGCAGCCAGGGCGCCTGGCATGTGCTCTTTGGCCCCCCTCTTGCAGCATCCTTGCCAACATGATTTCCCATTGCCAGAGGAACACAAGGACACCAGTTGTTTAGAGCAGGGCAAACACAGACAGCAACAATGTGTGCAGAGTTGATTGCAAGGCTGCGTGATAGCAGGCGCTGTAATGCTGTTGAGGCCCAAATGCTTGTCTTTTGCTATCAAAAGATTTCTTCACCGTGAGCAGGATGCTTACATGTGTCTTATCCTGTCCAGAGCATTGGAGAGGCCCCTGGAATTAATGGGGGAACTTCAACTACCACCCATATGCAGACACTGTCCAGCTGCTGTTTCCTGTGGTGACCTGCGGTATTGGCATCTGCCTGCTCTTGGGTCCCATACATTTTGCTCTTTGCCCTTTGCAATGTGACTGCACTCCCTTGTGCTACAATGGCTATATGTCTATCCGATGTCTGACTGGTGGTTTTGGGGATGTGGTGCATTGCTGGAGAGCGCTGGAGGAAATGTGATGTCCGGACAGCGCCGGGCAGATTTACAGGCAGATGGGTGTTCTGGCCTCTTGCATGCATTTCTTATGAGCTCCCCATGCTGTCAATGACCTGCGCTTGTAGACGCCACTTTGCAAGTCTGACAGAGCTGCACTTGACCATTAAATGTGAGTCAGCAATTTTATGCTTTGCTAATGTGCCAACGCCTGCCGTCAGTGTCGACACAGACTTCTCTCAGACGAGATGGAGTCTTGGCAGCATGTCAAAAAGAGGAGTCATTGGAGCTTTATTAAGGTCTGTGCGTGCTGCGCCAGGGAGGAGTGAGGTGAGGAGTGCGGAGGCACAGGCTACGCTTGTTGGATATAATGGAGCTGGCTATGTTTACAGTGCAGCCCTTGCATTCTTTCGTGCACTCGCATGAATGTGCAGAAGTGCGGCAACTTGCTTTGCTGTGAGTTCTCTGGAGGATCCTGGAGGTTTCTAACATTTCTGCCTAGTACCTGGTGGTACAAGCCTGGGCACCTTACACAGGCTGATTGTCATATTAGCTATCTACAAGGCCCTGATAGTCGAACCGGCTTGTCAGATATGTCTGTGATTGTAGATGATTGAACTATGTCAATCTGTTCGGGGACCTCTGTGTTTTGTGCTCTGGAAGATGTTCTGGTGTGAAATGTCAGACTGTCCTGCCACCAATTGGGGGTCAATAAATGATGGATGGCCCATAGATGAGCGCACATGACCTACTTTCGCATGCCATGCATGCGATTGCAGATTCACGCATGATGATGTCCTTGCATGTTGGAAAATATGTCTTACACTAGACTCTAGTATTGCTGGACTGATCTTTTCATCTGGAAGAATGAACCAGAATTCTGGGGTCATCCAGTCTAAAAAACTAGTCACTGGTGCTTAGTCATCGCATCAGGCATGCACTTCATGTCCATTCGATGACGAAATCCGTTAGCCATGAGGAAGTGATAATGTACAGTAAATTTGAGCAGAAGACAGAGCACATTGTCTGCACTAAGAAAAGCACTTCTTAGGCGCTTTTCCTGCTAGAGGCCAGTGTGCTGATGTTCTCAAAGATCTCATTAAAAGGAGATATCTACATCCCCCAACCGATGCGTGTGGTGTTGGGTGTATTTATTCTACCGAATATACAAGTAATTTGCGTCCACCGTCTTTTTTGGGAGAATTCTTCCGATTCCATCTTGCATCATCATCAACGTCTGGCTTAGTAGAGGAAGGTGGACAGATTCGTTCTGGTCGATACACAGCAATTAAATATTGGTGTGAAGGGTCAGAAATCGCGAAGGCACTATCGTCTCAAGCATGGCCCCAGCTCCTACAACTGCTCTGGCCCCAGGCCTTGCAAGGAAAGTCAACAAGGTAAACGCTTCAACCGAGAAACACTCTCGATATTGATCTATAACGCATCAATGGCCGAAGTGTTGTCCCGTGTTGTGAGCTGTGGAGGAGAGAATCTCAAATTTGAAGCACCTGGCCTTCAAAAAATCACAGCTGTATCATATATCAGCAGCTCCTTGATGGCGATGCGGATTGGCTCATGCGCAGATACTGGCGACGAGAACGGAGTCCCCAGAGATCCTGGGAGCCTTGAGCACGCTGTCAGGTTTCTATGAGGAGAACACACCTGTGGCAAGGAGGCGGTTGCGCACCACCATAGAGCAACACGGCCTGGGGATCAATGAGCAGTTCCTTGCAGCTGCTGAGGCCATCATCAAGGTGTGCACAAGGCTTCAAGGACAACCTGCTTTCCATATGTTCATGGCTTTCCTGCTTGCTTGCTGGACATGCATGCATCCCTGGAAAATGCCATGAGATGTTTTACGCAGCAACCAGCAGTCCTTCTGCCAGGTCAGAGGATCTGTAATGTCATGCATAAATGGCACTGCATGCTTGCTGCATATGGCAAGCTGCACCGCTGTTTCAGATTTCACTGCTGCCTCAGAGGGGTCTGAGAAATTCTGGGCAACACCCTCTTCCCGACAGCAAAGCAGCCTCTGGAAGCATCCTACTCTAGTTCTGATGTAAGCATCGCCTGTTCAGGCGCTGGATGCAGCTCAGGCTGACCTGGACGCGCTGGCGGGGGGCTGCGCTCGCATCAACGGCGCGCTGATGTCGTCGCGCGCATCAGCGATGGAGATGCTGGCTGAGACGGAGCGCGTGGCGCGCGAGCTGGCCGCCAGCGAGACGAGGTCTAAATTGGTGGACGCGTTCCTTCAGCAGTATCAGCTGACGCCCGATGAGGTCACCGCTCTGCAGGTGCGCACATGTGGCTTGTCTGCATGACATTACAGCAATCCTAGTTGAGTATCCCTATGTTATTCTGGCTCTTGGGACGTACGGTGGCCGAGCATTGTGGGAGCATCCATCAATGCAGCAGTGGTGCACAAACCCCACTGGTACCACCAGCAGGACTGACTCCACCATAGGCACATCATTTGCGCCTCTCTTCAGGACGGCCCTGCAGAGGGAGCAGGACTCTATACTGCGGATGAACAGCACAGATTTGCTTTGATGTCATGTACTGCAGTGTCCCCTCTCTCTCTCCCCTCTCTCTCCTTGAGTACATCACGCTGTGAGGATCTGTTGCCCTCTAGGACGCACATGCACGGCGTGCCGCAGAAATCACTATCAACGTGCCAATAGCATTGCTTGTGCAAGTACAGGGCCAATAGACAGCGTCTTCCTTTAACTATAAAACAAGTAAGCCCCTTCTAGTCAGCCTACCTGGAACATGAAAGATAGCAGGGCTGAGCTATGCCAAGAAAAACCTTTTGATGTGTACCCAAAAGAGTTGTTTGTGAGCGCAGGGGCAACAGATAGGGGAGCCGTTCTTTGTGGCGCTGGAGCGGGTGAGGGGGATCCACGGCAACTGCCGTTCCCTCCTGCGCACCGCGCACCAGAGGGCCGGCCTGGAGCTCATGGACCTTATGTCCTCCTACCAGGAGACCGCCTACGAGCACCTCTGCAGGTAGCTTCTACTGGCTTCCGCATCCGACCATGATATAATCTGTAGCATTTGGATGCCCAGGATGTGCCTGTGATGCTCGTTACATGATGATGTGGCGAAGAGCGGCAGCATCGTCAATAGCTTCAGGCCCTACGCAGATAGGTTGAGCTTTGTTTTACACAGGCAGCTACATTTGCAGTCAGGTCAAGCCTCAGCATGCGGACATAGCACAGCTGTCAATGCTGACAAAATTCACATTTGCAGCCTGCCTCCTTCATTGCCAGCTAGCTGTGAATTGAAACAGCAGCCATGCATGTTGCAAAGTAGTCCTGCCGCAGGCAGCCTGACACTGCTCCTGTAGTGTCTGTGGCGGTCGAGCAGGGGCATTTCCTGCCTCCGCAAACTCACAGGGACCGAGCTGGAGCGTCAATGCGAATTTGAATTTAAAATTTGCATGCATGCAGGTGGGTGCAGGGTGAGTGCCGGCGGCTGGGCGACGCAGATGCGCCGGAGGTTGACTCGGTGCTGCAGCGCGCGGCCGCGGCTCTGCGTGAGCGCCCGGTGCTGTTCAAGTACTGCGCCGAGGAAGTCGCGCAGGCGCGCCACAACGCGCTCTTCCAACGGTGCGCCTCCAATATTTCATTGTATTTGATCCGTGCTTTTGGCACAGGAATGGTCTCTTGGTTGCATGTGCGGTGTGTCTTGTCAGCTGCCTCTGATGCTGATCAGCATCTTTGTGCTGCATCTCTGGTGTATGAACCGGCATTGTTTGAGTACCCCGGCTCCCCACAATGCGCTCTGCAACATGGTGCTGGCATACGTCATGTTCATGCAGAAGCCTTTCTCACGTGAAGAGAACGACACCGCCAAGGGGATGGCGATCGAAGCCCTGGCACACCCATCAGCTTTTCTGGAGCAATTTATTCTGCGCAGGTTCATCGGGGCGCTGACGCGCGGCGGCCCGGGCGGCATGCCGCGGCCGATCGAGATGCACGCGCACGACCCGCGCCGATTCGTCTCCGACATGCTCGCCTGGGTGCACCAGGCGCGCTCCTAAGAACTACTCTGCACTTTGAACTTGAACTGACGCACTCACAGGCATCTTGACGGCTGCGATGCATGTTTCTTGACCCTGTCAGGCCTTGCACTCTGTTGAGTCATCTGACGCTCTTGCCTAGCCTGGCGCCCACAATATCCTTCAAGAAACCAGCCTTGTATGCCCCGTAAACCTGCCGTGCAGTGGTGCATTGTGATCAGTTTTGGGTTTAAGATGTGTCAATTTCCGTTTCTCGAACGTACAGGCGCTGGCCTCGGAGCGCGAGCTGCTGGTGTCGCTCTTCGGGGCGGATGAAGGCGTTCCCTCCACAGCTGCTGACCACGCGCCAGATCAGGCGCGCGGCAGCTCCGGCCGGCTCCTCGACGCCGTTTCTCCGCGCGCGGCAGCGGCCGGCAACGAGCCGCCCAAGACGTCTGCGCTTCTGGACCAGGTCTTTGAGAGCATCTGCCGCCCGCTCAAGGTAGGGCGCTTGACATTGAACAAAGACAAAACATATCCAGGCTTGTCACGATGTAGCAGGCAGGTGTGTGCTGTTGTGTGGAAAGCTAGGTCGGGGTAATGAGAAGCGGCGAGGACACAGCTGTTCAAGCATGCTGTGCTGAGTTGTGTGGAGCTAATCAGCTGCTGTTCCCTGAAGCGCTCTATCGGGCGCTAACAGAGGTTCAACATATCTTTCATCACAAGCCTTTGAGCCCGGTCAGGTGTGCATAGAGGCTCTGCGCAGCTGCCGATCGGCAGTGTCCCTCCACTTGTTTCTCATAGCTTGCTCCATCCTGGACCATACCGCGGGGAACAATTGCATCCCAAACACTGAAAGTTGCGGCTGGCGCCAGGTGCGTATCGAGGGGATGCTGATGGCAGCGCCGCCGCTGCTACTGTGCTTCCAGATAAGCCAGCTGCTGGCCTTCTACGCGCGCACGGTGGCCGGCCTCATCGGCGCGCACAGCCGCCTGGCCGACGCGCTGACCGCCTGCTGCAAGCTTGCGCGCCGCGTCTTCGCCGAGCAGCTCAAGGCCCGGGGGGACCGCATGCTCCGCTACCCGCCCGCGCCCCCCGCCGACCTGTCCCCCCCGCCGCAGGTGCTTCCTAATGTCTCGCTCAGATATGCCCATCACCTGAAAGAGCCAGTTGCACCACAGCTTGATGCTATGGCACTCCTCCCTTGAAGGTGTCTGTGACTTGGTCATGTTGCTGTGCCACCACTCGCACAGAGAAGAAGTACAATTCATTTGTGATGTGCAGATTTGGAATTTCAGAGAAGAAGATGTCGAGGGCATTTGTGCATTGAGAAGCACCGGCACCCATAGGCCCATGCCCAGAATCAGACCGCGTAGCTTCCCTCCTTTGTCGCATGCAGCTGACACTGTATGTCAATGTAGCTGAGAGCACTACCAGCTGTGAATGAGTCCCAGAAGTACTAGAGCTTGCAGCTGATTCATGATTTTTCATAATGACTTTTGTCTACTCGAAACGACTAAGTAATGCCTCATGCAGCAGCTGACCACATAAAATTAATACGTCTGCCAGGTGGCGGAGAGCCTGGGGCAGCTGATGGAGATAGTGGCGGCCTTCGAGGAGTCCTACGAGGCGGACGGCGGCGCCGGCGGAGCGGCCAGCAGCGAGGCCGAGTTTGCGCCGGTGCTGGCCGCTGCGATCGACCCACTTGTGGAAATGTGCGAGCGATCCGCCGAGGCGCTAACACCTGACGCGCCCACCAGGTGACTGTCTGCTGAGGTTGACCAATGAGCCGCCAAGGCAAGCAAATGTTTGGTGTGAGGCACGTGGGGTTGCTGCACGGACAATGCTTGATGTCAGACATATGAGCCTCGTCAAAACTGGAGACAGGACATATCCATATTAAGCTGCGGTCTTTCTTTGCCGCATGAAATCGCAGCAGTCGCAGCAGCAGCAGCACAAGGATTGTCATTTCCAGGTCAAGAAGAGAGAGTTAGCGGTGGAGAACGGCGTAGCTGGACGGAGGTCTTCAGTGCCGAGGCAACCGGCTGAAGGGTGCCTGACGCTGCGCGTGAGATGCAGGGTGGACGAGCGGAGCACGCTGTCCCCGAGCGCGAAGCAGGTCTACCTGACCAACTGCCTGTCGGCCATGGCGGCTGCGCTCGGCCGCCGCGCATGCTGCGCCGGCCGCGCGGCGGCTCTGGCACGCGCTGCGGAGGGCCACATGGCGCGCTTAGTCGGCGGCGAGGCCGGCGCCCTGCTGGCGCGCTGCGGCCTGGCCGAGATCGCCGACCGCGTCCGGTGCGCCGTGTTCCCTCCGCTGTCCCGAGGGGTGCTTTTATCTAAAGTAATATTTAATTCTTTGGCCTTCGGTAACCAGGTGGGGCAATCCATAACATGACATTCAAGGCAGGGATGCTTGAACATAGTCCTCTCTTGGTCTATGGTGACATTAAAGCCGCTTGTCTGTCCTGGCCCCTATTCTCCCACACCTTTTGATGAAGTGCGCGTGATCAAGTGCCAAACATTCCCTTGCGCTCCAGAAATATTGGGGGAATTGTGGCTGCCTTTTGCAAAGTATATCGTCAGTTCTTTCAAAAATCTTCTTTGATTGCTTAATTTTAGCTGTGCTGATGCGTCTTTACAAGGGTGGCTGCCCCTCCAGCCATTTATCACTGACCCGGCTGATAGCTACCCACAATGTACCAAAACTTCAAAATCATGTTTTTATCCAATTCAGGCTGTACACGGCGGGCGAGAAGCTGGCGGAGGGTGCCGTAATGGCGGCCGATCCGTCGCTGCCGCTGGCGCGCATCTCGGGGGCGCTCCACGCGCTGTTCGCCATGCTCTCAAACCCCGACACCCTCCCAGAGTTCCGCACGCTGCAGGTAATCTCATTCATCTTGCTATCCGCACCCCGCATATCCACCTTACATTCATCTGCCACACAAAACAGTACTCTTTCTTGTCTTCGCCATCCCCAAAACCTTCACATGTGCGCCCGTTGTACGCCACTCTGCATCCTTGATGCACGCCCGCAGCTGTGACGCATGCTGAGCGCTGCAGGAATGTATTGGATTTGCGCCGCTTGCTGGCATATCTCTTACTTACTATTTCCTGTGTTCTTCGACAATGCTGCCAAGGTGCAATCTGCATGGTAGATGCCTCATTTACTCATCTTCTGCGTTTCCCCCAATGGGTTCCAGCTGTGCTGCCCTGCGCTGCAATTGGCGTGGCTGTGCGCATGCCTTGCTCTTTCAGCCACTCAAAGCGGGAACTCTGCGTCACATCCTGTAACAAGATTGCCTGAATACTGCAATGTGCCGCAGTGGCCGCGCTCGGTTGAGGTGGCCTTGCTTGGATTGGCTGGCAATCAAAGGGGTGGGATGTAGCAGCCAGCACATGCAGCTTGTCTGCGGATGCACCTAGCCTCTTGCAGGGACTGTGTGCATCAATATTACATTATCTTAAGGATTGTTACTTTGCGCTGCAGTCGCCCCGGCTGCGCGCTGACGCGACGGCGCGCGTTGCGGCGGCGGTGGCGGCTGCGTACGAGGCGGTGCATTCGGCGGTGGCCGACACCGGCAGCGGCTATGCCGGGCAGCCGGGCTTCGATGCCGCTCTGGAGCACAGCCCCGAGCACGTGCGCACCATTCTGGGCGTGCTCGGCTGAGGATTTTTTGATATGAAAACCCCTGAGGGGTCATGAACATGAAATGCTACGGGTCGGAGGTTGCAAGACCTTGCACAGCATCCTGGGCTTGCTGGGCAGAGGGGTGAAACCTGGAGTAAGCCGGAGGGGTGAGGAAGTCTGATGCATGTATGCACCATTCTGGCCGTCTCAGTGGGCTGAGAGCAGGGCGGAAGGCGGTGCTGCATGGGTGACATGAGGGGGAGGTTGACGTGACTGCTTTGATGTCTTTTGCTGATTTCTTCAACAAAGCGAGAAGCTGCTGACTGCCAGTGGATGTTCTCAACACACGCGAAGATGCCATACTTGTGTTTTGGTAGTTTTCGAAGATCGCGGTGAATTGTGCGCTCGGCGCTGCGTGCGTGCGCAGCTTGGGGTAATAGTTGCAGGGCAGCAGTAGCCTCGGCACATGGTAACAATTAATTTCTTGAAGTGTGTGTCAACTCGCATTCCAACGTGCCGCTGCTGCGGTACTTCAGGTTCACCATTAAAAAACCTGAAGATCACAGGAGCTTTGGTGGCACCGTGCCAGTGCATGTGACATGGCAGTACATTACAGCACAGCACTAGCAGCACAGCATGGCATGCATGACGTCGACCATATATATGCGCTTAAGGCATGCCTGGCCGTCATAAAATTCCCTGTGATCTCCAGGCTAGGCAAAAAGACTTGATATTTTGAAAGTATCAACGGGCGGCCATCTGTGACTATGCTGTGATTGAGGTGATTCGAGTCATCTTGCCTCCACGTGTGATGCAGCAGTGTACCGGACCCCGCAGCTGCCAAAAATAGAGGCTGTGACTTGATATACGAGATCTGACGTTAATTTCTACCACCACGAAGTTGTATTTCACGAATTTCTAAATTCATTTCCTATTCTGCCTCCTTGTGTCTGGCCTTACCCTGGAGAGATCACCGCGCAGACTAGCTCGGAACACCTGAAGGCAAATATCCTGTCAAAGCGATGCTGCGGTGCGATCTTATATACCATTGTTGATATTGATGGGAACATTCACATAGATCACCCACAATTCTTTGTGCATTCAACCACTTGTTTTCACACGCACACTTGACCTGGATTGTCGGACATGTCACTTGGGAAAGCAACGTTCGCCCAGCACTTACAAGGTCGTGTACATCATTTTATCATCATCTGGATCTGACGCGCATTTGCATACTGCCCTTTTTCAAAGGATGCGGCAAAGAATTTACCGCAGGAGCTTGAAAAAAGGGGCGTCTTTGAGTATGCATGACCACCTGTGGCGCAGAACGATGCATCCGTTTGACAAATCGTGATCTCATGTGGATTGTAAAACTGCTGAAGGAGCAGATCTGCTGCGCAGGAGACAAGCACAGTGGACTGATTGAGACCCGTTTTATGACTCAAATATCAAAGCTGCCCTGGCGGATGAATATATTGGCCGCTACTCTGTATATAGCGGTGGTCATCAGTAGCTTGGGAGGCTTAGCTTTTGCAGCACCAGCCAGCGGCGATATAGTGTCCGGCTTTGCCACGCAGTATGGTGGCAAGCGGGTAAGTCACTAACAAAATCCGGCATCATCCCAATGCCACAGAAGATTCCTCATCTTGAGCTTTCTTGTCCAGAATGGGTGCGTAGATGACAAGAGCTAAAATGCACCTTGAGCGCTCTTGCCCAGGCCTCTATTCTCTTCCTTTGGAAGTGCCTCAGACGATTGTCACTGCAACTGAGGAAGTGATCTTGCCATGCTGAGAGCCAGACAGTCTTTGGCCTGTGCATCCGCTAAGGGTGCTTAGGAATACTGGTAAAATACTTGAGAACACTAATCTGATTAATCCTACAATTGTGCATGAAGCCATGCTTTTGGTCACAGGACGGAGGAGACCCAAACAAGCCCGTGTATGGGTTGTTGGATGGAGCCTGCGGCTATGGGGAGTTCTCCAAAACGGAGTGGCCCAACTGGCAGGTTGCCGCCATCAGCCAGAGCAACCCAATTGCGACGAGGGGTCAGCCTCAGAAACGCGGCTGTGGCGCCTGCATCGAGGTAGCCTGCAACAGCACGGTGAGAGCAAGCCTCTTCTTATTGCTATCAAAGCCTTTTCCCGGGCAAGATCCGAGCGGTTATCAGCATGGATGGTACTTGGATAAGGGCATGTCAAAGACGTGCGGAACCCCATGAGATTCCCAATGCATCATTTGAATAGTAGTTGTTTCGGTGCATTGTGTTTGCACGAGTGTCATACTTGTGCATGAGTCCTTCCGAAACGCGCTCAAGGCGCTTTGCAATCACAGTGAAATGTGCACTTTAGATATCTTTCGCACCAGTTTTTCTGCATGCAGGGCAATTGCTGTCGTCGGCAGGCATGTCAAAGCTGTGCATGACTCATCAGGATGCCAGTTTTCCCTGATAGACCTTGTATTATTAAATTGACATTTGATGAGCTCATTGCAGGCGTGCACCGGTGACGGGAGCTTGACAGTATTAGTGACTGATGATTGCAAGGACTGCAAGCCTCAGCAGATCAACATCAATGCTCTGGCCTTTGAACGCCACATCAGCAGTGTCAGTGGATCTGTCGACGTTGTCTGGAGACAGGTGCTGACTGCTCTCTTGCCTTTTTCATCCCTTTGAGAAAAAGGCCGGTTCTCTTTTGCAGCTCACTGAGATGTATTTTGCAGTGTGGTGGCCTGAGTTATTATGATTGAACAGAATTCTGAAACCTCCTTTGACTAAAATATCATTTGTGGGTTGTTTGGTTTTCTGTGCAGCTTGATTTGGACATTCTTTGGGCTGAAGCATCTCTAGAATTTTACTGTAGAAGAAGCTTCACATGTGCAAACAGAATTTGGAAGATCTTGCACGTTGTTGTGCAGGTTCCCTGCAGGCCCCCGGGCAACATTCAGGCAAAGGTGCTGGACGCAAGCGGCTCATACATCCGCTTTGTCTTGCTTCAGGTACAACCCCACGCTCACGTACTGCTTTTTCTATGCCTTGGTCTTGACAGAGGAGTAGCCGTTCTGCACCCCCAGTAGAGGTGGCAGCCCAGCCGTGACCATGAGATTTGCAATGCCATGCCATTGCACAATATACCGCTCCGCAGGATGAAATACCAAATGCATGTATGGCGAGGCATGCATGAGACTTGCAGCCCTTGTGACATGGCCATTGCTGTGCAGGTTGCGGGAGAGTCAGGTTTCTCCAATGTGGAGATCCAGGGAAATGTAAGTCCTCTCAGACATTCCCGCTCACGTCCTAGTGGTGGTGAATCTGAGAAAAACAGTTTACTGTGACTCTTCCTGGTTCTGATACAACTGGTGCTAAATTACGATGCTCAGGCAAATGACATACGGCGTATCAACCAAACGCAATGACATGTGTTCACGCGATTGAGATCAGTGTCCCCAACTGATGCATGCAGGGGCAGAGCAATTGGGTGACGCCAAATGGCGACTGGGGAACGCAGCTGCAGACCAGCTCAGCAGGCCAGGCGCCTTACAGCCTGCGCCTCACCCCTCGAGATGGAAGCCCGCAAATCATCGCCAGGTGTCACCTCCTCCAAACCTAGCACAAACAACACAGCTCACGTACAGTGTGCTAACTTTTCAAGGTCGTGCTGTCTACCAGTGGGAAGTCACAGGCGTGCTGGAAGGGAAGTGCCCTCTTTAGCACAGCTGAGAGTGACAGGTCACCTGGTGTAATGTATCCTGTTTATCAGACGTTTCTTATATTATTGAATGCCATGCACCATGTGTTTGCTCCCATACACGGAAATATTAATGTGACATGGCACACTGAGATCAGCATGCCGCTTCATGTGATATTGACATGATCGACTTTTCTGCTTGTAGGAACGCCATCCCGGCCGCCAAGACAGGCACATACGACACCGGCGTGCAGCTGCCGGCCGGCTCCCCCCTGCCGCCCCTGGCATCCGCCCTGGCCAGCCCCTCCCCGGTTATTAATCCACCCCGCGCAGCGCCGCCGCTGCCACTGCTTCAACCGACCGCAGCCAATGCCACAGCACCCGCCGTGATCAACCCCTCAGCACCAGTGATTGGCGCAGCGGCCCTGTTAAACAGTAGTGCATCTGCTGCGAATGTGCCGCCGGGCGCTGCGGCGGTAAATGCGAGCCAGCAGGCGGCCCGGGACAATCCGTTTCTGCCGTTCCGGCCGGTGCCGCCAAACGCGCTGAACCGGCCGCCGGGAGACACTGCGGTGGCTTCTGCACCAGTCGCAGGTCAGGCTCTCTTTTTCTGTGTCCCCTTCTGTCTGAAATTTCCCCTTCTGTTGCATGGACCCCACAGATAGACCACATCAGGGTGCTCATTTGCGTGATCTGACCTTGGTCTTATTGCGCGTGTCCTGTGCTCTAAGAGCGGAAATAGCTTGCTCAGCCTGATGATCCGATGGCTTTGGCTTTCTGTGTTTACTTGGAAGTCGCGTCCAGCTCTTGTTGACGTGCTGGATTGGTCTGCTGCCGCAGGTGTGCCAGCGCAGGCCCCTCTACAGAGGCAAACAGCCACACCGGTGGCGGCAACAGTGCTGGTAAACGCACCAGTGCAGCCGCCGGCAGCAGTGCCCGTAATAGTACCTACAGTGGTGGCCACCCCACCAGCACAGCCACCCACCGCTGTACCAGTGGTTGCGCCAATTGTGGCGCCCTCAAAGGGTATATCCGCCGTCCCGACGACCTACCCGGCCTCGGATGAGCCGCCGGTGCCGGCGCCAGTTTTGGCGCCCACCCCGGCGCCTATTTTGGCACCCACCCCCGCGCCAAATCAGGCGGTCGTTCCTGCGCCAGCTGGCGTGGCGCCAGATCAGGCCGGCAGCCCTGCAGCGAGCCAGAACAGGCAGCTGCCGCTCTTCGTGAAACCGGCAGTCGCAGCGGCGGCCCCGCCGGTGCAGGCTCCTCAGCAGCAGGCTGTTGCCTCCTACAGCCTGCCGGCAACGGTGGCGCCAGTGAGAGCGCCAACTGTTGCTCCAGTTGTTGCGCCAACTGTGGCACCCACTGTGGCGCCCCTGGTAGCACCGACAGTGGCGCCGACTGTGGCGCCGGTGACAGCCCCAGCAGTTGCCCCAGTGGTGGCACCTGTGATTGCACCTGTACCTGTGACAGCCTCAAGATTTGCTCCAGCTGCAGCGCCGACTGTGGCGCCGGTGGTAGCTCCCACAGTTGCACCAGTTGCGGCGCCTACTGTTGCTCCAGTTGTGGCGCCCACTGTGGTGCCGGTGGTAGCTCCCACAGTTGCACCAGTTGCGACGCCAACTGTTGCTCCAGTTGTGGCGCCCACTGTGGCACCCACTATGGCCCCTGTGTTAGCGCCAACTGAGGCTCCAGTCACAGCGCCGGTTGCCGTCCCCGTTGCAGCTCCCGCCGTGGTACCGTCTGTCCAGCCGGCGGCAGCGGCAGCAGCCGGCAGCTTCCAGGCAGCTCCGCAGCCGGCGCCGGCCGCTGCGCCGGAGGTCTCAGCTCCGCCTGCGGCCGCGCCGGCGGCCGCCGGAGGGTATCCTGCCGGCGGCGCGGTGGCTCCGGCAGAGCAGCCGCCCGCGGCGTCGCCGGTGCAACCGCCGCAGGCGGCAGCTTCGCAGCAGCCCGTGGCGGTAACGCGGAGCAGTGCCTCAGCTCAAGGCCCCTCACAACCATGTAAGCTCTTCCTACCTTGCTTCTGTTGCCCTTGGGCAATATCCTCCATCTGTCCTGACTGGCTGAGAGGGCTGCTGCTGCTTGCGTATGGGAAACATTATGTTCACTTTGAATGGCAGATTTAGGGACATGGACCATTTGGCAAGCATCTTCTGACACAAATATCTTTGTATGTGCAGCTATGTCCCTGACTCTGGACCCTGCAGCCGTCAATCTGACTGGCAGCGATGCAAACGCGCCTGCCATCAACGCAGAAGTAGGAAGGATATTGGACCCACAAATTAGCCTGGGTACTTCAGCCGCCGGAAAGTAATGCATCAGTAAGAGCTTTTTGACAGCTTCTTCATGTCATTATGAAAGTGATGGTGCCGCGTACCCCTGGCGCCAAACCAGATTTTTTCAATTCGAATAGCGAAAAGTTGAAGGGTGAAGTTTCTCTTTGTGCCTCTGTATGAGAGCAGGGTGTATGCGTATTCCATGCCCGACAATTTTGACCTAATTGAGCCCAATTTGACGTGCACCCTTTGTGGTGGCCAGATTTCATTACAAATGACATATGACATATTTGATGCAGCAACGGATGTTTACAAAGCGCAGTGAGATTAAACATCTCTCTCTGGGTTCTGATGTGGTGTCTCTGTACTGGTTGCTGTGTGTCTTTGTTGTCGACTGTTGCAACCCAATTGGTGCCATGGCCATTTTTACCATCATTCAAGTCTATATAATCCGTATCAGAAGCACTCTGGGTCCCTTCAGTCATAAATTATAAGGAACAGCAGGGGCACCTCTTCCACCAGTACATTGCACTGATGCGCAACACAGCCATGGAGGCTGCACATGCATCAGATCACAGTGTAAACTGCACTAGCGCCAACAAAAGAGGCTCCTAATGGACACAACAACCGTATCTGCCCAAGTGTCAGCCCATGGTGTGCCATGGGCTGTGGGAACAAGTGGTAGGAGGGAGCGACTTGTGCAGAAGGGTGTGTCAAGGCCATGGAAGCTCCAGAATCCCCTCATGTGTAGGGCGCAACACTGAAGAAAAAGGTTCAGAGTTGACCCCTAAGCCTCGGACACATTCCCAGCCGCCTGCAGGGAGCACAACACAAATCAGCAATCTCCGGCCACTTTCCTGCTGCTTTCCATCAACCTGCAGAGCTTCAACTCCAGTAATTGCATCTCTTACTCAAGGCTTTTGAGCAGTCCTCCGACACATAAAAGAGACCACATTCATGTTTGTTATGTGTGCGAGTGAAAATAGAGTGCGCGCCTGCCGGGGCTTGAAGGCATTGTCCAGGGTGAGGCCCAATTTGGCAGCGGTTAGGGCCACGCGCGAAATCTTCCCAGTCCCCCTGGAATATTACATTCACTTAATACACCCTTTCACGCCCCAATCATGATGTACGAATGAACGAATATCTGGGCAGAGCAGGATGAGCAGGAAGTCTACCGTCGGACGCTATAGAAATCTGTCAAGCAGACACGCAGGCAACAAGGCAGATGACAAATCAAACACCTGCTCACTCAAAGCAGGCTAGGAGAGGAGATAGGCAAGGAAGCACAAAGGGACTGAAGGCATCTCAGCCTGGCAAATTGCTTCGGACTCACCGCAGTCTTGCTAGCACTGAAGCCAAGCTGATGAGACAGGTCCGGTTTGTTGAGAGGAGGGACTCACTCTGCGGTTCCGGCATTCTCCTTGTTGTGCTGCACAGAGGCGACTGCGCGAGTCTTGGCAGCTGAAGCCTTGGCCTCCACACCATGCAATGGAGTCCTGCATACCACAGCTCCTCTCACCAAGATTCACAAGGATCCCCCAGAAGCTTGTGATCTGGCCTTTCATAAGCATGGACCAGGAATGACCCTCGCATAGCTGTGCCAGGGTAAGACATCAGGCACCCGCAGTTCTTACAGCCATCGATCCTGCCCCCCTCCAAAACACTCGACATCGCATGTCATGTACTGCTGAAATAGCCACCAACAGAATGGAGGGTTTATATTTCATATTATTTAGGGTTTAGAGGTGCAAATACTAATGTGCTCACCTGCCCAGGCGCCCGCCGGGGCCTGCCCAGCGCTCCTCGGAGGACGGGCACGCGGTCGCAGACCGGCGCGGCGGCGGCGGGCCGAGGCTTGAGTCTACGGACCCGGCGTGCGTCGGCGGCCGGCTCGCGGCATTGCCTTCTGAGGCGGAAGCTGCCGTGCGGCTGCCCTGGCTGCTGCCCGGACTCGCGTCTCTCGGCCTGTTTTGGTAATGCAGCTGATGTTACTGTTTCCACTATTATAACATCAGCCAATCACCGTTGTTGTTTTTAATTTTTTTCTATAATGCTACTGTAATTGTTTTCTCTATTGCATGCTTTCTGCCAAGAGGCAAGGTACGCCTGCAGAGAGCTCAAAGCAATATTCAAAATACCGTGTAGTGATTAAAGTTTAAAATCCTACTGCAGGTTCCGCTTTCAGAGCACAGGCACTTCAATTGCTTGCAGAGTTGCCGGCAGGCATGCTGTCTGTCTTGCGCATGTCCAACATGACACGTCACACATCTTGTGTCAAATAGTGTTCTCATCAGTACCGCAGAGGCACAAGTATAATGAAAACCATTGAGACCAATGTGCAGTAGAGGGTGAGCCACCTGCGGGCGGTGGCGCGTAGTGCGACTTGATGGTTGTGTCACCATTTTTTACCAAACACAATAAGACATCGCTACAAGTGAGAATGAATTGGAAAGGGGTTGCGAGACAGGCCAAGCCACCTGCGCGCACTGGCGTGACCGCCCATGAAGGCGTTTCTGTAGGGCATGCTTGAGGCGGTGGTTGCATCGGAGCCCTTGGAAGAAGACGCGGATTTGGCGGCCGATGCTGAGCGTGCCGGGCTGCCAGCGCGGCTACCGAACGCGAATCGCGGCGCGGCCGGCCCCTTAACGGGGCTGCGGTGCACACATTTAAATGTCGGAAGAGCGTTACATTATTCAGGATATTGTACTGTGACTCCACTCAGTCATGCTACATCGCTTCCAGCCAACTTAGGGCTGATCCAATGCCTGCCTCTGACTCTCAACTCAGCGCCCAGCATGACATACAAACAATTGGAGAGAATTTCAGCAGTATTTGGTGGTGGTGAGCTTTGAGGGTCATTGCTCAACAAATAAAAATGCAAAATCGGAGAACAAGACAATGATAGTTTTTTTTGCAAGCTGCAGGTATGGTCCTATCTCCAGGCACGGCTCTGCTGGCCCCAGGCTGCGGCCTGGCCCAGCCTCGGCTGAGGTGGCAGCATTCCTGGCCCAATCACCTGAAACATTGTGATGTGCAGTAGCATTGTATCTGATACTGCAACTTATATGAGAGCAGGTGTGCGCACCTGCACACGCGGCTGCCAAAGGGAACGGCGGCGGCCGCGCCGGCCAGCCGGCCGGCCGCGGCGCGCGCCGGGCTCGAGCGGCGGCTGGCGGTGCCTGTTCTGGCTACGGCAGGCCTGACTGGACTTGAAACGCGGCAGGCAGCTCCTGTTCTGGCAAATGCCGGCCTGACTGGACTCGTAGCGCGGCTGGCTGCGCCTGTTCTGGCAATTTCTGGCCGGGTCGGGCTCGAGGCGCGGCTGACGGTGCGGCTGCCGAATGCCAGGTGGACGGCTGGGCGCGCCGGGCTGCCCGGGCGGCTACGGGCAACGCTGCGGGCTGCCCGGACGGGCACCTGCCGACAAGCGCATCTTCTTAGATACAGTGAGAATATTATTTTTTCACCGGAACATGCACTCAGCCATCAGGCTTGTCTTATGCGTGATGACAATTTGAAATTCTTCACATTGAGAGGCGCCCTCAGAGTTCACATAGGCTCAGGAGTTACGCCATCGTCATGTTGGTGGCCTTGCATGAGGTCCTTCCGCGCCGATCACAGCCACAGAATACTGAGCAGACTTGGTTGGCACCTTTGGAGTGGACAAAGATTGGCCCACGGCCGCGCGCATGGAGTCGGTGCTGGTTGTCCTGGGGCCGACACTGCCACTCCGCTGCAGGCTGCGGCCGGCGCGGGCAGCGGCAGAGGACTTTGCGCTCGTCCCCTGTTGCGCAGGCAAGCGCCATTTACTCAATCCTGTATGTCGTGGTACTTAGAGTGGTGCAATGGCAATCGGCTGGGGTCGCTCACTGGAGTGCCTAGAGCTGCCAGGTCCATCATTATTGCACGGCTAGGACTGCAGATGAAAGGTGTATCGTTGCAGATGTGTGCATGATGCAAGGTGTCGTGCTCTGTACAGGCACTTCTTGATGCCAGGCGCTGCCGCCGTGCAAGTGAGTGAAATTGTGCAGCCAGTCCACTGGATTAGAAGCCTGCTCGACCTGCTGCTAAGGGTCGGTCCTGTCAGGGACCAGAGTTTTGAGTGTCTTGCCTGCTCCTGGGCTTGGGCGGCGGCGGGGGCGCTGCGCTGGGGGGCCTGTCGGTGGCGGGGGGCCCCTCGCGGTGCCGACTGGGAACGCCCCTTGGCGGCTGCCGGCACCGTGCGGCCCCACGCCTTGCTGCGCGCCTCCAGCACCGCTAGCTGCGCGCCAATTCGAAGCACAGTTCAATCTCTTAATATTGTCACACCTGTAGTGCCCCCTTTGCCCCGAGCAACAAAATTGCTCTTGGGCATGCCTGGTATGCTGTAACAGGGTGCCCCGCTTGATGACCAGAGGCCATTCATTTTGGAACATGTAGCACGTTCACACTGCTGTCAGAGCGCTGTGAAAAAGGGATCATCACAAGTATGCCATGCCGCAAAGGAGCTGCTCTTTGGAAAACCCTCATTAGCAAGGAAAATCGGCCATTAGGTAACCATGCCAGCTTTCTCACGAAACAGTGTGGTCAAGGCGTTTTATGCTTGTCATGAGGCAGCAGTACAGAGTGCACTGTGCCAAGCACGCTGATGTGCTGACAGTTTGATAAAATGTTCTGAAAATCGGTCAGCGAGCGTACCCGGGCTGAGATGAGTTTAAGCTCAGCCTTCAATTCCACGCGCTCCACGCGCATTGTCTGGTTCTCGTACAAAACGCTCAGCCCCCCGGGGGCATACGCCGTTAGCACGCTCGCTGCCTCATCCACCCTTGGCAGCTGCCCGGCAGCCGCCCGGGCCGGGACCACGGCGCGCGCTGCGGCCGCCTTTCCCGGCAGCTGCGCGGCAGCTGCCGCTGCCGCAACTGCTGTTTTGGTGACTGGAGGCTCTGCGGCGGGGGCTGAGAAGTGCTGCCGGGGTGTCAGACGCAGCATGGCGTCGTCATACAGTGGATTTGATAGCGCGCCTGCCATGCCTCCCATCGACATGCTCTGCTGGTCCTGTCATGGAATGTGCGATTTCTCAGACTTGCATGATGCACCTTTTTATTTCTGCGCAGGCAGGATGCGAAAGCATCCCTTCACCCAAAAGCAAATCGCACCCTGTCTTGGTGCATCTTCTAACGATAATCAAAGGGCAGGCACTGCAGCACCCTAAATCAACAAGCAGGGAGCTGAGTTTACCACAACAAAAGCGCACGCTGTATTTCAGAAGGAGGGCACGAGCAAGCAACGCGCACTTCAAAAAGCAGGTTGTGCTGCGGCGTCTGCCGGCTTTTAAAGTCCCCCGTCGGGGCGCAGGCGAGGGCCAAGCTGCACACGCTAGCGACGCTGCTCGCGTCGGATGCGCGGCGGCTGCCGGCAGCCTCCATTGCCTGATCTGGCGGCGCAGCCTTCTGCGCCAGAACAGGAGTTGCCGCGCTCGTCTCCGCGGCGTGCGGCGGCTGCAACGCAAAGGCGCCTGCCAACACCATGAACTCTACAGTAATTATAGAATTCACTGCGATTGGCTTTTGTGCCAGCGTGTGCCACATTCTCGGCGGAGGGTGTGTGGATCTGGTCCTTGATCCATTCTTCTGAAGCTTGACAGGCACCGACCTCTCAGACTCAGAATTGCAATAGAACAGTGGATGTTCCTTTGACTTGAAGAGTTAGTGGTGAAGGCCGTTCAGGGCATGAGTGCATTCCGACTTGCCTGTGAAAGAAGAGTGTGACTGCTGCGTGCCAGCAGGGCTGTGCTTAAGGGCGGCATTGTGGTCTGCCCGCTCCACAGGTGTGCAATCCTGCACGCAGAGAGCCTAGGTCGAATTGCCTTTACATTTGTTCGACCACTTAGAAGGAGCTAAACAAACGCAGCGATGGATAAGAGGGCAGCTGCCTGTTTGCATCAATACACACAACGAAGAGCTGTAGGAAACATGGTATGGCTGAGAAGCAGCGCAGAGCTGCGCACCTTTGGCAGATTCTTCGTGCTGCCATTCATATGGGACTTGACTGCCTGCTTGACAGAGCTCCACAGGGAGCCACTGCTGGGCTGAGATGGACTGACTAGATTTTGCGCTGGTGTTGTTGCCTCAGATGTTGATGCCGACAAACCACTTGTGCGCCTGCACATCAAGGTTGTTGTCAAGATTGCATGTGAGCTGTGAGGCAGCAGTGCATTGTAGGAGATCAACGAGCATGCTTAAATTCAGCAAACCTGAGGACACATGATTTGGGTCACACTATGGTCAAAAGAAGCTTGCCTGAAGCGCAGGCGGCGTTGCTTGAAGTCTGAGAAGGTCTTTTCGCCGAGTTCACGCGCCTTGGCCTTGCCACTGGATGCCTGACTGACCCCTTGGCTCGTTGCCTCTGACATTGCGGGCGTTGCAGGATTTGCATGGTATGATGCTACGTTGCTCAAGTCGCCAAAAGGCGCTCGAGACATCTCCATTGACATTCAGGATTCCTCTGTTTTGCCCTGATCACAGAGAAACCAGTCCATCAAAAATATTCTACAACTTGTGCATCAGGGATGCAATGGGTCATTGATACAGTACCATTTAGAAAATCTCACATAGCAAATATACACGACCCCGAAAAGGCTGCAAGCAATGAAGCACTCGTGGCGCCATGCCTTGCAACGGTCAAATGCATTATGGGGCAAAGAAGCATATTCTTTGGCCGGAGTCTCTCCTCATATCAATTGGATTCGGCAATATTTGCAAGCAAAGTAATCGCGTGCCCAGCGTGTCACAACTGTTATTTCATATTCCCCACTGACAGCTCTGAGGACATCTTGGGATAAGCAAGTAGAGACTCTCACCTGCAAATTATGAGAGATAGGATGTCTGCTGGAATCAATGATGCTGACTGATGATCCTGGGCACAAGTCTGCTCCTCAACGTCAGTGTCAGGCGGCCGTTGTCACTGCTTGGGCACTCAAGGCGCTTAAACCTTGAAGAAGAGCTCAGTGCCAACGCGCACCGCAGTCAACTGCAGTGCAAAGCAGCTCTGCACAGAAGTAAGCCCGTCGCACTCGGTTGTGGCCTACTGGAAAAGTTAACAATGCAACGACAGCTGGGATCAATTTGAACTGCAGATCTGCCAATCTTGGCATTTTGCCCTTGCATGCTCGTGGCATGAAACTCTGCATTCCCAGGAGTACAGATCAAACTTATCCGTTGACTAACGAAAATTTCTTTCTTCTCCATAAAATATTCACTTGCGCCGAAGTCGAGACCCGTGCGAAAGTAACATCAATCCCGATGGCTGATCCACAGCTAGAGCGACAGCCACCAAAGAACAAGCGCAGGAATCGAGAAAACCCACTTGTATTCTTCGATGTCAGTATTGGAGGTCATGCTGCTGGCAAGATCGTGTTTGAATTATTCAAAGACGTTGTACCAAAGGTTCGATGCTTCCACTTTGATCAGTATCATTTCGTCTCAAAGAGATCGAGGGTCATTAGTAACGCTCCAAGAAAATATTAACATCTGTTTCTTTGGTGTTCTTCTTATCAATCGGCTGACTCTCGACGCTTGCTCTGCCATCAGACTGCTGAAAACTTCAAGCAGCTGACCACGGGAGAAGCTGGCATTGGGGTGGCCACCAATCTGCCGCTGCAGTTCAAGGGCACCCCGTTTCATAGAATCATCAAAAGCTTCATGATCCAGGGTGGAGACTTCTCTGCAAAGAACGGAACGTGAGTGAGATCACACAATTCCTGAGCTTGCAACTCAACCTCTTGATCAATTTGATACAACGGCCGAAATGTCACGACTGTGGAGTGTAGTCTAGCCAGCCATGTTAACGATATGAGCTGAGTACTAGGATGCTGTGCGCAGGGGAGGGGAGTCGATCTATGGAGAGAAGTTTGAGGATGAGAATTTTGAGCTGAGGCATGATCGTCCAGGACTGCTCTCCATGGCCAACGCTGGCCCCAACACCAACGGATCCCAGTAAGACACCCTGCTGTCACTTATAATAAACGAGACAGATCATGCCTGACCAAGCCAGTGCGCGTGTGGTGTGCTTGCTTTCGTATCATGTGGGATGCCCAAAAGCTCCTCTCTAATGTGCTCACTGGAGCTTACACAAGCAGGCGCACCATGCCTGAAGAAGCCAATGCACATGTTGCCTGTCAAGGTGAAATACAGCAGCCGACATGAGCATGCAGCTTGGCATTGTGTCAAGCTGCTGGTGTCAGCGTGACCTCACGGTAAGTATTGCCGAGTTGCTTCTCTGCTGGGGTGCAGGTTCTTCATAACAACTGTGCCGACGCCGCATCTGGATGGGAAGCATGTAGTGTTCGGGCAGGTGCTGAAGGTGAGGTCCCTACTACGCCAATCTACAAAATCATGCTGTTGACAGCCCAGCATGTAGTGAACATGAGGAGCAGCCATGCAAGCAAGCAAATGTTCATACCGGAACAAATTTGAGTTTGATTGTAAGTGCTGTATGTTCCTGAGCAGAGTACATGACGTAGCTTGCCACAGCTGGGCTGAGATGTGCAGCAATGCACTGAAGGCTCCCAAATGTGAAGCCGTGAAAGAAGTGGATTATCCTTTGCGAGGCTATGGGAATTTGGTTGCAAAACCGTGAAGCCTTGAAGGAATTGAGTCATCCTCTGTGAGAACAGCGCTGAGGTATCCTTCTTGGCAGGGCCATGGGACTGTGCGGACGCTGGAGAATGTGGAGGTGGCAGGGGAGCATCCGGCGCAGGAGTGTTTGATCGCAGACTGTGGAGAGCTGCCAGCAGACACAGACCTGGCCACCATTGCCACCTACCTGACGGAGGTACGCCTCATACCTGCTCCCACCGTGCCATGCATGCAATATCCCCTGCTCGCTCATGCAAAGCAATAGGGACTGTCAGGTTTTCCTGCATACCTCAATGCAAGATCCTCATCAACTCAGCAAGTTGATTGTCCTGGGCATGTCTCTACCTGAAGGACATCTAATGAGTAGAGGGGATTTTTTGGTCCTCTTGTGTCCTGTTGTGGCACGCCAGGCACGACGTGATTTGTGGATGACTAATCCTTCTCATTAGTCAAGCGCAATGACTGAAGAGTCATGCTGAGCTGGCAGGAGGGGGACCCGTTCCCAGAGTGGCCTGAGGATGCAGAGGTGCCAGAGGGGCAGTCTGAGGCTGCCTTCCGCATGGCTGCCGCAGAAACCATAAAAGCAAAAGGCAACGAGCTCTTCAAACAGGTCAGCACACCTGCATGACAATTTACTCTCAGAAGTACTCTGTGCACAAATAGCTGCCCTGATCCGATGCACAGTAGTAACAATAAAGGGCCCTACAGGAGCCACCTGAGGCTCATTGTTTATGTTGGCGTTCTTTCAATGCCTCACTAGTCCTCATGTGTGTGCACTTTGTCAAACATCGGGCCATACCATTGCTGTTGTTGCCCAGAGAAGCATGTCACTAAAGGTCCTGACAGGGGTCTTGGGTAGACTGAAATTGACCCTCCATGAATCCGGATCTGCTTCAAGCTGGAATGTATGTCACCCCAAGGCTGTCCCTGGTGCTGCAGGGAAAAAATGAGGAAGCACTGAGGAGATACAACAAGGTGAGGCCGATTACTGGAGTAAAAATATTGTCGCAGACATGCATTTGGAATGTTCTAGAGGAGGGAATTTTTTATTTGTGCCTCTACTTCCTCGCTGGCATTCACTGCATGGCAGGCATTCCGTGCACGTGGCTCACTTCTGAAACAATCCCCATTACACCTGAAGCACGTGTTTTATGAAAAAATAACACCCCAACCCTACATCATGAATTAAGAAGTAAACACAAGCTGTAATATAAAAGCTCCCCTTTTGCCTGCAGGCGATGCATTACCTGGACCCAGAGTCCTTCAATGCCGAAGGCCCGAATGTGAGCGGGGAGGAAATAACAGCGCTGGGCCACGCATTCATCCCCTGCCTCCTCAACAGGTGGGCAAATCTTTTGACAGCCTGAGCAAGTTGCTTGAAGCCAACAGCTGGACAGATCTGGATCGCTGATTCAGCAGTGATAGATCTTGATTCTTGTTGTGCCACCTGGTGCCAATTATTGGATTGAGCACGTTCCACAAAGTGGCTCAGAACATCCAGTCCTCTGGCATGTTATCAGACACATTGATTGCCCGGTACGTTGGGCAGGCAACATGGAAGAAGTGCCTGTGTTGCTTTCATAACTTGCTGGGCAATCCACGAATGGTTTGCAGTGCATCCAGACATATTAAACCAAAATGACTAGACAGGTGATGGGAAAGGCACGAACGCAAAGGCAGGACTAGCTCGGGCACAGTGGCACTGCAGACCTCGCCTGTTGTGAGACAGTGAGTACATGAGCAGAAGTACCATCACCTTTCTGTGGGTGCTGCTGGCCTGGCTTGGGCACAGAGGCACTCGCACATCTGAGCCAGTACATGGGCAGATGTATCAATCTCATTGTTGGCGGTGCAGGGCTGCAGCGCAGCTGAGGCTGGGGCGAGCGGAGGATGCCAAGGTGGACTGCAGCCGTGTTTTAGAGCGAGTGCCGGGCCACGCCAAGGCGCTCTTCCGCCGCGCGCAGGCTGAGCTGGCGCTCAAGGTGAGCATCAGTCACCCTCAGTCACACTTAGTCATGCTTGGCCGGTGATTTGGCCGCAGGGCCAGATGTCCTATGGCCATACATATAAATGCATATTAAAGTAGGAACCATCCACCTGATGACATGCTCATCCCACCAGGTGGATTTCATTTAAAAGGACTGACTTTAGAGATGATGATTATTCACCCTATGCTAAGCTAGCACTGAGCCTTGGCCCCGCCAAATGTACTCCCGAATATTCTGAGACGCGCTTGCGTCATGCCTACAAGCTGGTTCTAGGAGGACCAAATGGGCCAAAGGGATGCCATACGTCTTTGGCTTGACATTGTTCTCCTGAGACTCTACGCAGCGCCAAACAAGGGTTTTCTGCTGGATGGCTCATGTACTTCCCAACCGCCCAGCTGTCCTGTCCTGAGACTGGGCCTGTGCCCACGCATTCCTGCCGGAATTGTTTACTTCGAGAGATATTGACTGATGTCCAAACAGCTTATTTATCATGTGCTTCTTCTGACTGTGCTGGCGATTCTGGGCGCAGGACTACAATGCTGCGCTGACAGATTTGGCGCACGCAGCCGAGATCTCACCGGAGGACAAGGCGGTGAACCTGGAAATCGCCAAGGTGAAGCGCACACGGGACGAGGCGCAGAAACGGGAGAAAGCCACGTACGCGCGCATGTTTGGCTGAGCCCGTTAATTCCCGTGTACGGGACGTGTCTGGCTGAGCCCGTACCTGCCCATGTACGGGGCATGTTTGGCGGAACCCATAAATGCCCGTATGCGGGGGCATGCTGTGACCATAAACGAGACATGCAGGGGAGCATGCAGTGACCGTACAATGGAGCTGCAGCATCAGAGACTTGAGGTCTTCACAGTGGGCACTGTGTTGGCGCTAGGAATGGATGCATATGATCCCTGAAATGAATGCACCAAAAGGCACAAGACAGAAGTTGCAGCAGGGAGCAGCTAGTTAGCAGGAGTCTGTAGGACAGATTGGGAGACTGTTAGACTGCAGATACAGTTGTTGAAGTAATGCATGACAAGCAAGTCTTGTCTGGCGAATGCCAGAAATGCATGCCCGCACTAGCATGCCTGGCATGATTGCCAAGCGTGGCCAGTGAGAAGTAAGGGCGACTAAGTGTTCCTTCTGGGATCCAAAGCCACAATGCTTTGGATTCTGGTGATCTGGCTGCAGACCTCTGGGAGTCTTAAACATGTGGAGTTGGAAATTTTTGGATTTGGGTTGATAAAATCTTGAACATGTGGACATTGTGAATTTGAGTCCAGTTGACTTGAGTTGATAGAGACGACAGGGCTGTCCCCGTGCCACCTGATTGGACAAGTGCAATGAAGCACCACAGATGCCATGCAGAGGGAAGTAGTTGAAGCAACCAGTATGTCAGGGTATGACAGCCCCCCAGGGTCCCTAACGGGATTTGGCCAAATTGGTTCAGAGCTAGGGGCAAGGTTCAAGGCAGCCCCGGGAAAAGCTGAGATCTGGCAGAGTGGCGTCAGGGTAACGCCCGAAGCCCCATGGCTGTGCCTCAAGGAAATCCGGGATTCAAACCCCAGACTTTTCAGACATTTACACCACTTAAGAGACCAGAAACAAGAAATACCTGCATTTCCCCGGTGAAATTTGTCATGATGCTCAGGGATGGCCCAGTATTTCAGCTACTACAGCGGCAGTGGGCGGGGGCTCTACCCCCGCCGGCCCTTGCTCTACTCATGGGTAAGCCTGAGATTTTGTAGGAACCCTGTCAAACGCTGTACTACACATGTGTAATCGCCTCATGAGTCCTTTGACCCTGGCAGATCTGAATCCAGTTCTAGAATACAGTCAACAACGCCACTGCAGTTGCTTCAAAACTTTTGAATCAAAAGCCTGAAGAGTGCCTTGCTCTTGCTGGAGTTGCTGGCTACCTCTGATTTGCGATTGGTAATGCTGTTTCAATCGAAGTCCCATGCTGCAGCAATTGACCCCAATGCATCCCGGGATGATGTTGCTGTTCAAATTCTGTGTTGAGATGACCATGAGGGATCTGCAGCTCAACATCTTGTGAGGGAACAGAGATTTATGCCCATGATGGCATGCCATGCGCAGCAAAAAAACAATGAATTGCCATGTGCTAAATTTGATCAGTTACAGTCTGTCAACACACATGAATGCTCACTGCTTGGCATCTGTCCCCCAAACCAGACGCCCACACAAGTTGCAGAGAAGGCACCGGCAAGCTCACAATCCCAGTCCCACCGCTCAGACAGGAAAGGGCAAAATTTTCTCCGTGCTTGCATCCAACTTAGTCTGCCGCACTCTCTCTGCCCCACGGTATGCCACAAGGCGCTCAGTGTTATGGGCCATCCCTCAGTCAAAAATCCTCAAGTACCAAAGTCCAGTACTTGCACGGCCGAGCCCCGCCGCTGAAATGCGTAAATGATGACGAGCGCAAGTATACCAACAGTGCCAGCAGCTTTCTACTGCATAATAGCTTTATCTTCTCAGTGCTATCATTGAAGCAATTGACCGGTGTAGAGTACAACTCTCAAAATTGCATAAGGTTTCATATATCATACAGTCAGGACGGCAAAATTGAACACATGGATGGAAACCCACTGTCAGGGGTGACTAAGGCACCATACTGGCCCTTGTTATGGTTGTCCTCATAAAAGCTCTCCCCTCGGCAAGACTGCCAGCTTGGGTAGTTTCATGACCCCTGGAACCCTTTTGTGAAACCCCTCGCGCTCATTAGCTAGAGGCCTGAACCCCCCGAAAGTGCTGCGAGGACATCAGGTCAGGGCTTGAGCCCAAGCTAGCAGATCAGACCAGGTCTTGAAAAAGAGAAGCTATGCGGGTGAAATTTGTACTTATATGACACCTCCCTGCAGCCGCTAGGGTTTGCAGGGAAGGTTTAGGGGTGAAAAAAGGGCAGATGGCAAAAACACACACAGCCCCGTCCCATGACGCTGGTGCCGCGACACACGCTCATTATGCTCTGCCCGCTCGAATTAGTCACACACAACTCACGCTGACTCACATGCTGCCCCTAAAGAATACGCCCGTGTTAGAGCCCCACAAAGAAAGCCAGAACCGCCCAAATGTTTGGGCCTGCCTCCCATTCACTGGACACTGCCAGCCGTCAAGCCAACACAATCCTGCCAGGGAGACACCGCACCAGAAGCCACTGGCGCCCTGATGCCCAAGAAATCAAATTTCAGTTCGAAGCCAGAGTGGAGGACCCGGCGCCAGTTTAGACATCCAAGGGACCCCCCCTCAGCCAAAGGAATATATCCGCCCACTGCCATGCCTTGCCGCGCCCTTCTCAACCCCTGAACTGCCCGCGCCTTCTGCACCCGTCTCTCACAGATAGCCGACCGCAGGAGAGTCTCTTGCATCAGGCGCGAGGCAGAGGTGGTGAGTGTTTTTTTCTCCGGGGTTGATATGGCGATCGGCAGGGGGCGCGATTATGCGCAGAGGGGCACGAGGGCGGTGCCGGAAGCTGCGGCCGCCACCTTCATGGCAGCTACCTCCTCCTTGGTGGCGAAGCGGCCCTTGATCCTGGGGCGCACCTCCGCGTAGGCCTTGCGGCTCTGGTAGCGGATCGTCTTCTCGAATGTGCGGCGCTTGCGCTTCTCGCGGTACCTGCGCAGTTGAACTCAACGTTTCAGCAAACAGCCCCTGTACATGTTCTGGCAGCAATTCAATACAAGGCACTGCAACATGGCAGGCACTGCACAGGCCTGCCAAATGAACATCACAAAAGCAACCACTTTCATTGCCACTCCTCCCCTTCCTCGAGCACATTAGCAAACTTCACCACAGGCACTCCCCAGCGCTCCCGTGCATAAAGTAGTGCCCTCTCTGTTTTCTGCAGAACACTTCTTGGCTAGGCTGTTCCTGACAACCCTGTCTGAGCGCTAATTTATTGCAGCTCTGTTAAGGAACAGCGTGGGCTGCGCACCTTAGGACCCCCAATCTCTTGATTCATTGTCTCATTCACATCAATTTTGAACCCATGGAAACTGGGCGGTTGCGGCTGCGCACCCTAGCCCCTGCACGCTTCTCGATTCTTTGTCCCAATCAGATCAAAGCAAAAGATATAAAATTTAGGTTGCGCACCGCATGACACGGGCCTCGCGGTCGAGAGCGACGGATGATCCGAGGTGGATGCTGGGCATCTCAAAGGAGCTCCCCTGGGGTGAGATGCTGCCAGCGCCGATCGCCTGAGACCCCATGGGAATGGTCGGCATGGCTGGCACGTATGACAGGCTGTCTGACATCTGCACGCACAAAAGACCGCAGAAATATCAGCGCAAAATTTCAAGATGCCCATTCTGCCTGCTGCTGCACTTCGAGATGAACCAGGCTGCATGACAATTGCGCGTGCAAGAATCCACTAACACAAAAACAAAGGATAAAAATAGATGAATTAAATATCAGCAAGCCAACAATGCAGCATCACTTCGAGATTTGCGAGTCTGTGACGAAGCTGCTTTTTGCCTGTTCCATTCAGGCTCTATGTCTTAAGTCTATTGACTTCATTACCAATTGTCAGTGTAGTGCTGTTCACGCTGCAAGACAGCTCCTTGCATCTGGGATGAATCGAGAAAATTCAGAGCTGAGAGAGGAACTACTGACCTCTTGAGAGGAGTAAGAGCCCATCTTGGCGTGGGTGTTGGGCGACTCTGCGGCTGCAGAGTAGTCCTGCGAGCTGGTATTGCTTGACGCTGAGCTGTCCATGATGTCCATTGTGGGCACCACACCTGCACAGACAGAATGCACCCTGCATCAAGACTTCTCTGAGCATGTGAACGTTACCTTTGGCCTTGCGATCCAAGGAGACAGGCCGAACAATCGTGCTGCAGAAGTATCACTGCCTTGAAACTCAAGCTCCAGACCTGACTCCCTCCACAGCAATGGCTGCTGCTCTCAGCAGGCGTGTAACATGGTTCACAAGATGTGCAACAGTGCAGCACAAGCTAAAGCGGGGCGGCATTTGGATGCTGGTTTGCTTCATGCGCTATACAATCGGGGTGCTTTGTCCACCACTCAGATGTAGTGCCCCCTGTCAACCGAAAGTAGAGGGGCCAGCGGCGCACCATCAGATGGGGAGCTGGGCGCCTGACAGAACTCTTCGCCAAAGTCCAGCAGGTCCGAGCCGAAGAAGGCGTTGTCCAGATCAAAGACCTGCAGGGTGTGGCACTAATACTCTTCAGTGTCATGACATAAATTACGTCCCTTTGTTCAGCAGATTGGTCAGGGCAACAGGGGATAGGGCAAGGAGCATAGTGATGCACAACTGATGTGTGCCGACAATGACTGCTGTCACAAAAGATTTCATTCATCAAGGTGGTGAAGAGCAAGAGAAAAGCTCGTACAAACTGGTCAAGCACAGCAAGGTGCAAGAGCGTGCTGGCTTCCAATCTGCTTCCCATCTCTGGATAAGGCACCTTTCTGGTGTCGTACAGCGGACTTGACCGTTGTGACACGGTTCAAAAGTGTGACAGATGGCCAGAGGGAGGCTCACGTCGTATTCCTTGAGCGACGCCTTGCCCTTAGGCACGAACAGCACGCTTGCATCGGCGTCCGACTCGCCGATGTGGTTGGGGGCGAAGGGCGTCTGCCTCTCCAGGCAGGAGTCGGTGTCGCTGGCAGCGAAGGCCTCGTTGGTGGGACCGAACAGGTCCTGCGCAAACAGAGCACCCGGGCGCATCAGATACGTCCAAAGCCTTGTCACACCCGGGGCACGCCTGGGACAGCTTACGAACACTTCTTGCCCGGCCCAAAGCCGAGTGCTGCCCTCCCCTGGTCGATTCTGATCCGAAGTTAATGTCAACGCGCTCTTCCTCGGCTGGCTCATGCCCGGCTGGGCGCCAGGCCGCCATTCGATGACTCTGCAAAGGAACGCCCTTCCAGGACCAAAGACGCGCAAATGCGCCCGTTCAACTGCTCCCCGCCTGTACTTTGCGCTATACTATAGCCTCAAAAGCTGCCCACTTGCGCCCAGGCCCGCAAGTCGCTCCCCCAAAAGGACACCGTGAGATGCAACCCTCCTAGTGCTGACTCTCCAAGGGTGCCGCGCCTGTCTGTCTGCCTGCCTGTCCACCCCCTGCTGCTGCCGGCGCTCACCTTGGGCAGGTCGGAGGCCAGCGGGCCGAGCGGCACGCGATCATGGCGCAAGGCCAGCGGGTTGGACAGGTGGATGTCCGCGTCGCAGGACTCGCACAGGGCGGCATTGTCGTTGTGACAGAACACCTTGGCGGGGTGGCACTCGCACAGGGCGCACAGGCGGAACCGCGTGATGTCGCCCATCACGTAGGAGCAGCCCTTGCAGAGCGCCGCCTGGCTCTCCTGGCAGTAGACCTGGGCGTGCGCGGTCTGGCAAGCCTGGCACTTCATTCCTGTTGCTGGGGGTTGCGGGACTGCGAGGGAGAAGGCTGTGTACACCGAGAGGGTCTTGGCGCGACACGACGTTGCCGTCGGCGCTGCCGGAAACAAAGGTAGTTTTGGGTGTTGGGTCGGAGGATAGGGAGCGCGTTGTGCGAAATGCCCGATTTTCTTTTCTCAAAGCTGCAGCGCAATTATTACCTTTTTCTTCTGCCCACAGAAGATGATTGCGCTGACGTGGAAACGACAAGGTTCCTTGAGATAGCTCCTTGAATATTTGAGTTTTCGTGCCTTCAAGATCAAAACAGTGCTAGTCGAGGTCAGTTTGGGAGGAGAGCGTCTCAAATTGTGGTCGGTGTGGTCCAGAAAACGAGAAAAAATAGCTCATAAAGTGCAGGGCGGAAACGCTTTATCTGGGTGATATATTTCAGCCAAAATTTTCATCATGTCGAACTACCAGCAGCGTGAGATCACGCTGAAAGCCTGCAAGAGGGGGTGTCACCTCGTTTCCAGAGAGGTTAGTTCCCAGCCGTTCCTAGTGCAGTTCTATAGCCTTGTTTTGTGACGAGCACCTTAACGTTTTGGAGAAAATTTGGAACATTTAATGTCTATAATGATCGTGAATTATACCGCAGGTGACGCAGCAGATCAGTTCCATGCTGAGCTCCTACAGCATCGGCATGTGCAACATATTTCGTGAGCCCCAAAAGCTGCTAGTGTTCAGATTGCCACAAGCACCTGCAGAGCACACCCCTGCACAGCACATTTGTGCAGCCATCAAGTACCAGTGCAGCATTGTCGACTTCACCTGCACAATGGTGCTTTAAGATCGGGATGTGCTTTTTGCAGTGCAGCACACCTCGGCTGGGCTGACGATCAACGAGGTGTGCACAAGTTGCGTCTTTGCAACCTTTGGCTCCCTTTGAGCCATCCATCGATTATCGAGTGGTCTGGATGATACGCTCGTTCCTAAATACCGCATGCCGTTGCAATGGATCCATATGTTGTCAACAAAAACAGTCAAAACAGCTTCAAGACAAGTTGTTTGCCTCAATGAAGCCGGTGTGCTGAAGACCTCTCTACTCGCAGAACGCAGACCCGGACGTGCGCACAGACATGGAGACCTTTCTGAACCTTGTCGTCCCCGAGGTGAGTTTGCTTGCCAAGCAATATCCACCTTATTCTTCAGCACTGATGTAATGCTGGGACTGCATCTAGATCTTCAACATGCAGTATTCTTCAGAGCTCCCCTGCATGTGCTTGCGCCAGAGTGTGGCAGGAAAGCCATTGTCTGACGAGCGCTGTCGTGTCTTATTGCCCGCCAATCGATGTCCCAGGCTCACTTTAATCTGGCACAATCATCGAGTGGTGTTTGCAGGGCCCCAAGGCGCCCTGGGTGCACACTGCAGAAGGCGATGATGACATGCCAGGTGGGTGGCCTAAGCTAGGGACACACCCCAAGGGGGTGTATTATATTGTGACCTGGACATTGCAATAGGCATCGACATGGTCTTCAGCAATGCACCTTTCCACTTGTCTTGAAAGCCTGCCCCAAGATTCTAATCTGGCTGTCTTCTTCACATCCAGCCTGTGAGCTGTACACCCAGCATACTTCTGGAGTGCTTGGTAGCCATTGCCTGCTCCCTCTGTCCTGTAGTAGCACCTGCAGAGGTGCTGTTTCAGCAAGCAGGCTTCAGTACAGAGACTCATGATGGAGTGAATATGCTCTATCTTTGCTTGCAGCGCACGCCAAGTCCTCCATGCTGGGCTGCTCACTAGACATTCCCATCACCCAAGGACGCCTCAACCTCGGCACCTGGCAGGTGTGCTCAGAGCAGCCAACAGCTCCAGTGTTTCTTGTAAGGATGTGACTCTGTCATTGCTTTACAGTTCTGCGGCTGTCTGACAGAGACTGCAGCCAAGAGCACGAAGCCTTCTGAAGTCTGAGGGAGAGCATTTGGGTGGAAGCCAATGTGGCTACAAACATATGCCATGTTAAGATTTTAGAAACCACAAAAGTGGCTAAAAGCTGGAGAATTCAGCAAATTCCTCCTGAAGCCGGAGATTTTGGGCGTGCATCTGCCGAAAAGGCATGAGATGTGGCTTCCTAGGCTGAGTTGAATTCTGGAACCCAATCGGTGGCTTCAAAGAAGGACACCCTCAGGTAGTTTATGCGCCACAAAACTGCCCATTTTGTGAATCGCCCAAGAGAAGGGTGAGGTGAGCTGCTGCCTGCTTCCAAGAGACTCCCCACTGAAGTGTTCCTTTCATGCTTGATCAATTTATTAAGAGCCACATTGGCTTCAGGGCACCACTAAAAGTATTCCTGAACAGCTCTATCCTTGGCCATGCAATCACTTTATTTACTGGCGACCTTGCATAAACTCTTGCGGTAAGACACTTGCCTACAGTCTTCCCATAGGGCGCTCCCAGTATCACATCATGTGTGACTGTTAAAATCACGGGTGAGGGTAACTATGAGGGCAGCAATCGTCATGAGACCTGCCCTTGGTTTGAGCACTGTAATGGCTGAATGGGATGTACATGGGTGTGGCTTGCAGGGGATATGGCTGTGTGAGCACCGGGACAGGGCATCATCCCGACGGGTTGTGGTCACATGCCATGGCCAGCTGCGATAGCCAGGGAAAAAATCAGCGAAAGTATATGCATACTTCAAATAGGTGCGAGCCTCAGAAAACTAAAAAGGAAGGGCTGCAGCATAAACAAGACAAATATAGTTTGCACCTGTGCCCAGTGTACATCAGCCAGATAAACGAGCAGCAAGTGGTGTGGCCTTTTGCAAGACATTGGAGGAGCACTTCCTGTATCAAATAATAGCGAAGGCATGCATGGACGTGTGTATCTGCTTGTAAATCCTGTGCTGCACTGAAAAATGCTGTCTGTCCTGTTTCTGTGTGAAGCTTGACAGCGGAAAGGTACCGGGAGGTTCAAACTGAAGCAGAATTCAGTGGCAGACGCCAATTCACGTTCGTTGAAAAGTTAGACTCCCAATAATATTACAAGTTCGTTTTTGTTGTCTATTGCAATGTATTTTCAGAGATCACGACTTGACAAAGTCCTAGCCTTGCTACAAGAGTGATTCAACAAGGCTTAAGCAATTGCTGCGCCATACCATACTATGATAGACAAACATGAATACTTCCAGCAATTGTTTATTTAGGCACACCCATGCAGCCTCCTTGATCCCATCTGCTTTCCGAAGGCAAATACATTATCAGTTGACCAACGAGAAGTTGACCCGACTTTTAAATGAGCGCGCCAGTGCTTGCTGTGACAAGAATAAATTTGGTGTGCCGACACAAACCTTGCATGATGCACAAAGATTTGAAGTTTGCACGCTCATGCTGCCATGCAAAGTTCACCACCTTCAAGCAGACTTATTTCACAACCTTGTTCTCCAGGCAATTCCCCAGACCGCCCCAGTATTGCAAATTTGTGTGCCTTGCATTTTGTGCGAGTTTGTCCTTATGCTGGGTACACATGCAGCAGATCAAATCCCAGTGAGCTTGAGCCCTCTAAAATGCTCAGGGTGTTCAATCTAGCACTGTAAAGCAATGCAGGTCGATTGGCGCTGAACAAGCCAAACAAATATGTCAAAAGATTACTTTCCTGTCACACAGGCTTGTAGCAGATCTGCTACCTCCGCTGCTGACCCCAGTAATGCGAGGGCAAGCATGAGCTTCTCCTCTCACAAACGAAACAGCTGCATCTGCGGGGAAGCAGCAGACTTCTGGCATGTCAGCATTTTGGCGCTTGAGCTGTGAGTCACACAGCCGCCAGGGGCTGCCACATATGTTTTTCTTTAGATAGACACACCTGCGGTCCTAACCCAGCATTCACCCGACTGCCCCATACTCCTGATCAGCAAGCCAGCCGTGGGCCCCTTTCTCCTTGTCATCTTTGCAATGCCAGGTCAGATCTCGTCATGACTTTGGAGTCCGGGGATATACGCCGCACGTCCAGGGGTGCACAGATAACGGGAGGGGGAGTTACACCTTCGCGGCCGGGGGCCTTTGGCGCATCTAGGCGGGAGAAGGGGACGCCCTGGGAGAGCTGCCAGGGGAGCCGCTCGGAGAACTGCTGGGAGAGGAGCTGGGAGAAGCTGAGAAGCCGGCCGGGCGCACAAACGGGCCGGTGTCCTGGCAGCCGAGGCCGGTGTAGTAACGATTTACGTAAGGCCGGTAGTACTGCTGACTCACCCCTCCCCCGCTGGAGCCCTGCGTGCGCACGAGCGAGAGCTTCAGATGTGCAAATGATCTGCTGCTGATCAGAAAATTCCGCTGATCACCTCACTAGCCGTGACTGCACAGACAGCTGCAGGCTTGCATCCTCAAACAGTCTGGAAAATGAGGCTGGTGGTGGTGTGCTGGCTGACGCCCTTAAAGGGCGCTCGGCAGAGTAGCTTGGAAACAATAAGGAAATTGGACCTTTGACAGAATTGAACACGCAGATCCTTCCTTCTCTGTGCACCAAAGATATTCAGATTAAAGAGGTCGAGGAAATACTGGGGTGTAACAGGCCAACGAGGGTGTCAAAAAGAATCACAAGAAGTGACTTGACCTGTTGCAGGTGATTGAGCCCACCTGCTGGTATTGCTGCTCAACATCACGGGGTGCAGCTGCCTCCTTGCCCTCTTGGCAGGGAAGGCTTGAAATTACTGACTGGTAAAAGCAATATAAAGCATTATTAGCACTTTAAACAGTGATATTACAGGTGAGCTGCCCACCTGCTGGCACTGCTGCTGCGTGTCCTGGCAGGGAGTGCAGCTGCCTGCGCCGCCGCCGCCGCCGCTGCCGAGACCGGCTCCGCCGAGCGATGCTCCGCCCAAGCCGCCGCTGCCGCCGAGAGTCGGAGAAGTCGAATTTCCGCTGCCTCCTGCACACCAATAAGGATTTGAGTTGGTTGGTGTTGGCGTATTTGACTTGCACAGTGTTTGCCATCTCTCATGGGACAGGTACATTGAATGATATCTGCAGTTTTTGCTGCAAGTCTGCCCGACAAATTGGAGAAGCACAGTTGGCAGTTTTTCTGCTTAGTCGGGATTTCGCTGAATCTGAGCTTAGCAGGCCATTTTGTGCTTGATACCTTCCAGACCCTCACATCGGCTGGATTTGACCCAGCGAGTCACTCTGCACATAAGTCCTTTCTAGTGTCCCGTGTTTTGGCCATTTTGGCGGGCATGCATGACGGCACTGTGGGCTGCGCTGGCCCTGCGTGTGCCAACTAGGGCGGGCAGATGGAAAGTTTCCTGCAGTAGACAGGGCACTCTAGGAAGGGGTGGACTCACCGCTGCCGACCAGGGATGAGTCAGCGCTGGTGTCCCTGTTGCGGCCCAGGCTTGTGTCGCACAGGCGCACGCAGAACTGGTAGTTGTTGGGTCGGCTGGTTAGAGACATGCAGCGGTACTGCGCGCTTTGATACTGCCCCTGACATGTGATGCCTCCTGGCCCCTGCTGCAGGCTCCTCCTGTGGCTCTGACCTGCAAGCACATTCCAGGATTCAAAATCCTGGAGATTGCTGGCTTTAGAAGTTTCAATGAAAGTGTCACACTTACAACTAAACGCCCCTGTGACAAACCCCTCTCGACCGCTGTGCGCTCCAAGTTGTAGGCTTTGTTTTCTACAGTATGTCAGCTGCTCAGGTGAGGGCAACACGACGGTGAGGCAAGGCGACATCCACACTGCTTCAGGATCGTAGTGTAAGCTGCCTTCTAGAAGGCGTACGAAGGCATGTGCTGATGTAATCCATTCTGTAAGAGGTCGAAAAAAGCACTTCTGGATGGTGCCAGAAAGCTTTGAGCATGACTAAGGGAAGCTGTGCTGCACGATGGTGATCCTGATGGGGCTATATGCTTCCAAGAAGCGTGAACCAGTGCCTGCTTGAAGCAGGCACTGGGTTTTAGATCGTAGCAATCTAGATCGTAGCATGCTCTATAACTTTACATCTTGGTACCCAGCAAACCCGTCAAACAACCAAAGGCTTGGATCCCGCCGCTTGACGTCACCGGGACTCCTTTCGGAACCCAGTGGTTCACCGAAAAACTTGATTGGTCGACATAAGCTGCCCCTGAAAGCTTTTAATCATCCATTTACATGCAAAGTGTACAGAGACACGCCGAATGGAGCTGAAACCGATGTCCGAAAGGTCGATCGGGAGCATGGGCATGTGCGGATTACGTTTCAGAAAGGTCCTTCGACACTATCTGCGTGCCTCTAACAAGCATACCACGACCAGCTATCTCGATCGGCCTGCTTAAACCTGAGGCTACCTAGCCTTGCTGAGGGAAATTTGCTAGAGGCGCACCTGTGATGTAGTCCATTCCATTGACGGGGTAGGACAGGCACAGTGCGGTTGCCAAGACACAGAGCGTAGGCTTGCAGGCACCCATGGTTGCTACTCCGTGATCGCAGTGGTGTACAGATCTGAACCCTTGCACACAGATGTGTCGTGATGGCTTGGAGGGTGCCGGCAGCTTCCGAGACGGGTCTCGATCGTGCTGGCATTCAGTACTTAACGCCCGACCACCTTCCCATTACTCGAGAAAGTACGTAACTTCGATCTTGAACTTCTCAGAACGCAGAGAGTACGAGATGCCAGGTGCTGCCCGCACAGAGATGCATGCCCCTCGGACTCCTGAGAACTTCATCACGCTAAGATTATCAGCGAGGACTCGAGTCCTGTATTGGAACCCTTTCCAGGTGCCAGTGACCAGAAACTGTAGCAGAATTTCAAGCGTTTACAGAGAAGCGTCGAACGCGCTAGCATCTAACAGCAGCCGCTGCATTGGCGGCCATGGCAAACGTTCCCTGGACTCCATATCGGATCTCTGGAGCCATTGATATGTATGTTTGGCCTGCATAGCTGTGGCCATGCGTTGCATGCATGCCTTCAAAATTGCCTTCAATGCCTTTAAAGCTCCACAAATGCTTACAAAGAAGTCATGGACAATTTGCCGCAATCAATCGGGAAGATCTCGAGACAGCGACTTGACGTCAGAAGCAGGGTTTGACAACCCCCCAGAGCCCCACCAGGGATTTACCTGCTCCAGGGCCAGGGGCAAGGTTTCAGGGCAACCCCGGGATATATTTAGATTTGGCCAAATGGCATCAGGGCAATGCCCCGAGACCACGTGGCTGTTACTCAGCCTGAGGGGCTCCCCTGACTTTTCAGGCAATATGCACCACTTGGAGGCTAGATTCAAGGTAGTACTAGCTTTTCCCTGTTGAAAATTCTGGGGTACCTCAGGGATCTGACATTTTCTAGAACGCCTGTCAAAACCTTGGTCACAAGCAACCTGCATTTGCAAGCCTGCACATGAGTACCCTTCACAACATCAGCGGAAAGTGGAACTTGGTATCATGCGGCGTGCGCAAGTGCAGATAAACCGGCATTCACTGTTAAAGACTGGGGGCTCACTCAATGAAGGAGGTTGTACAAAGCATGCACAGCGTCCAGCAAACAATGAAACACCCCAACCCTGCATTTGTCCGACACGCTGGATCAGCAACATTGGAGGATCACCGGGGATTGTCATTTCGCCCTGCAAAGGCCATTATATTCATAGCTCTCTTCGCCATCACGCTGTCTTTGTCATTTAAAGGGCTATTCAGCATTGCAAGGTGCAAATTGTCCTGTTTATTGCAATCACTCTCTTGAGCAAAGGGCACGTCTTCTTGACGGTCATGGCAAAAGAGATTTGGCACCACCGCCTCTTGCCCTCTCTCTGGCTTATACTCTTGGCTTTCAACCTGCCCTCAAACCCTTCAAAAGAATTCGCTATTATAAGTCCTCATCATGCTGAGCGCATATCTGCGCCAGATCTGGGCCTATAACCGCGGCCGCGCCGGCCGCTGGGGACACCGCTGCCACGGACCCCCCGGCCGCCACCATCCAGGACTACACCCCCCGCAGTATACAGAGTGAAAGGTCAGCGCCGGCCGCGGCCGCGGCCCCGCCGGCCGCCGGACCCCCCGCCGCCGCGGGCCCCCCTGCCGCCCCCGCCGCCGGCGGCACCATGGCCGCCGCGCTGGGAGTGGGATCGCACGCGCAGCGCCTGCCTGTTTGCGTCCCTGGCTCCGTCCTTGTCCCCAGCCTGTGCCGCAGAGCAAGTGGCTGCATCAGCGTGTTGTACACACGAGCTACTGACTTTACAATTGGCAGCCATCGGTCCCTGTAGAGTGATTTGAGAGAATTGAGTCGACGGCTCAGCAGAGTATCATCAGAACTTGGCGTTCGTGACATCCCCAGAAAGCAAAACGCGTCATAAGTGACCAAGTCATGACATGCGCAAATCGTGCCGATGAATGGCGGTGAACAAGCAAGTGTGTGAAGTGATTTCTACAGAGAAAGTGATCTGTAGCCTTCCAAGAGTACATACAGAACACGCAGATCATGTATGCGGGAGGGCAAATACGAGGTGTGCAAGCTTGTCAGCACATACAATGAGCCAGAGAACATTCTGAACGCGAAATGAGAAGTGGTTGCTCACCGCCTGCTTGGCCTCTGCGACTGCCTGCCAGTAGGATTCCATGACTGGGTGGTCACGCCCGTGCACGGAGCCTGCCACCTGGACAGCCTTCTCCGTGTGTGACACAGCCTCGCCTGCAAAGAGCCAAGGGTTGCGCCTTCAACTCCCCGTGAGAAAATCACATTTGCTCACATCAGCCAGACGGAGGCATGAAAAACAGCAAGCTTTCCTCTGAAAAGCGGCGGGAAGTTGTGGATGTTTGAAGGCTGGATCGGCAGCCCACCGTCGTCCTCGAGCAGCAGCAGGTCTATCACATTAGGACTTCAATTCTGCTTTGACACTATATTATTGGATGTGCTGTACATAAGCTCAATGTGCTACCCCTGACCCTTACCAAAGAACCACGCCTCTGTGGCCTGCTTGCAAATCGGATGAACCACTCACCATTGTCCGTAAGCAACTGCAGCCGTCGGAACACATTTTGCACAATTCTACATTGTGCACTTGCCAAATTAAAAATAGAAGAAATGGCAGCTCATTGGGCACCTTGAGCAGCAGGTGCACACTGGGCCATCCTTAACAAGTAAGGCCTCCCAAATCATTCTCAGCAAAATCGATTGGGAGCTCACCGTACTCCTTGAGCAGCAGGTGCACAGGTCATGGTGCTTGGCTCCAGAAGAGACACTCAAATCAACCTCTGATCATCCTAAGTAGGTAAGTCTCGCAGAAAATTCTAATCATTCTCAGCAAAATAGATTGGGAGCTCACCATACTCCTTGAGCAGCTGGTGCACACTGAGCCATCTTGGACGAGTAAGGCCTCCAAAATCATTCTCAGCAGAATAGATTGGGAGCTCACCGTACTCCTTGAGCAGCTGGTGCACGTCTGCAATTGCGCGGTGTGCCATGGCCGCGTGGCTGTTGCGCAGTCCGTGCACCTCCTCCGCGATTTGCTGCAGCGTCTCGTACAGCTTCAGCGCCTCTCTCAAGCCCTCCTCCTTGCCCTGGTGCCTGCAGCAATCGCATGCATGCATCCGTCAATACAAATGTGTTCACAGCCAGATGTTCACGCAGAAGCAAAAATGAAAATGCTCACAGAGTAACCCTCCTCCTTGCCATGCAGCAATCGCATGCGGCAGTCATGCGTCGTGTACCAGCAATCGTGTGTGGCCCCGACTCATGCAATGGTCACAACCAGCGCCGAGGTGCCTTACTAATGTCATAAGTGCCTGCTCATGCGCGCAACTACAACACGGCAATACTCGTGCCCATTTCTAGTACCTAGAGATACAGGTTGCAGCCATGACATCACCATGTAGGATGAGGTGTCGAGCAGCCCCGCAGGTCTCAGAGCCTTAAGGGGACACCTCTGTGACAATGAAGGACATCAGGAATGAGGGAGCACTGTTGCACATGAGGATGGAGGCGGGGTTGCCCAATGATGCATGCCTTGGTGAGCCTCATCTAATCATCTCCGACATGCCGCGGTCTCCACAGTTCCCAGAGCCGCGAGGACAGGAATGAGACAAGCAGCTAATCCCAGGAACGGGGGCAAAAGAAGGATAGATGGATTACGGAACGCACTTGAGGATGGAGGCGAGGGTGCCGTAAGCGGTGGAAGTGCGCGGGCTGCCCTCCCCAAATGTACCCTCCATTATCCCCACGGCCTTTCGCGCACTCCCGGCCGCCGCGTCGAATTCCTCATCCGCGTCCTGCTTAGGCGCCACACTTTCACTCAGAGGCTATTCTTGTAATTAGAATCTCTAATGCTAGTGATGGTATTGCTGTTATTATCATTGTGTAATAATGATAAAAACATCATAATTACACAAGCTGTTCCTGGAGAGGCAAGGTGCGCCTGCAAGCAAGCCCCAGGTGAAGGTTGCCTCATGTCGTACCCCGTGGTGAACTTGCCATATCGTAGCAAAAAATGTTTATTCAATGGCAAGTACGTCAGTATTTGATCAACCTGCCCCTCACTGCAGGGCAGGAGGAGGGAATGTGGCTGCCGCAGTGGCATCTGGCTCATGTTTTGCTCTTTGGGGCCTCAGAAAGTTGGTCGCTGCACTGAAGAACCACTGCTGCAGCTGCAGAATGAAAAGTTCATGCTGAGATTGTCCTGTGCCCTCACCTGCATCTGTGCCAAGTGGACATAGCACTTGGCAGCCGTCACACTGGCGGCGGCTGCCGGTGTCAGGTCGTGTCCGGGCAGCTCAGAGCCGTCGTCGCCTGCCATCTCCTTCACAGCGCTGCTGCCTGCTTTCTCCGGCTGCACGCACACAGCACACAAGACGCCCTTTCAACTTTCTCTTCATGGGTATCGTTTCATTCTGTGTAGCAACCAGTGCCCCATTCCACCCTTCACCTCTCGTTCACTAATGCAAGGAAGCTGCACTCGCAAACTGCTCTGAACACTATAGTATCCCTCTGTTCTAGCGAGCAGACCATTAATTGCAGGCAGGGCAGACACTCTTGCATGAGAAAAAGCAGAGAACAAGAAGCATGAGAGATCCAGCAGAAAGTCACCTTGGAAGAGGCGGCCCTCTCAGCCTCCTTTTCCAGGGCCTCAGCAGCATCTGTCAGCAGCTTCTGCGCATCCTCCTGCCATGACACACAGCCCAACACATCAGCGCTTCCAGATACTCTTGCACCATATGCAGATGGAAGCATCGCAAAGGATGGGAGGTTTCTTTTCAAATTGTGCTGCCTGATGTACGGATCACATTTGCCTGTCCCGTTGTTGCCGTGCTCAAAAACTGACACCCTGTCTCTGATCTCTCCATGCGCAGGGCGCTGTCAACACACTGCATTGGAAGGTCATGAATGGCAAGAAGTCCTGCAGGGGTCTGGAAAGGAGGGAAAGAGGGGAGTTACTGTAAGCGCGCACCTTTCGGCCAAGCTTGGTGAGGACGTCAGCGAGCCAAGTGCGGCAGTGCTGCGCGCGCGGATCCGCCGGGCCGCACCGCTCATCCCAATGCGCCAGCTCGGCCTGAAAACCCCCACACAGCAACAGTTGATTGGCGTCATGAGAGAATGGAATGCTTTGCCGCGACCCTTGGGCAAGACATGCCTGGATATACCAGGCTCATTCCCACAGAGATAGATGTGAGGACAAGCCTGTGGCGGGGCCGGCTCCCACATAATAAGTGTGCCCCAGGTGGTATCCAAGCTGCAGAGGGCCTGACTGGATGCAGCTGACTGGATGCGGCTGACTGGGTGCGCACCTGCCTGGGAATTTGCCTTAGAGGTGACAACCCTGAAGCAGGGTGCTTCCCACACAAGTACTGTGCCCCAGGTGCTATCTAAGCTTAAGATGGGTTGATTGCATGCGGCTGACTGTATGCGACTGACTGGACAGGGTGCGCACTTGGAAGAGGGCGTGCGCGGCCTCAAAGTCCTCGGCCTCGGCCAGCGCCGCGCCCAGCCGCCAGCTCTCCCGCGCGCGCAAACTGCCGTCACCCGTCTCCTTGGACGCCTGCACAGCCAAAGAAAGACTTTTTACTCCTCGTGTTGCACCTGGGGGCAATAATTTCAGCTTTGTTCTATTTGGTGCTTGTCTGTGGCTGCATACAGCGAGACACTGCCCCACAAAAAAGGCAAAGATCTTTCTGCTATCAAAGTTGACACTGTTGATATTCATAGCCCACAGCAATCCTCAACCCATACATGAACAAAAGCCGTCCTTCTATGGATGGGAACTTGATGCACGAGGCCAGGGGTACAGATTGTCAAGATTTGGGTAACTCTCCAATGATAAAAGCGAATGATACAGGTAGGAAACCCTCACCTCGAATGCGTACGTCAGCAGTTCAACAATCTCCGCACTCCGTCCGGCAGAATTCTCCTTTTTTGCTTTTCCTCCGAGGCCGGCCGTCTGCTCGGCGCGCGCAATCACGTCGGCCAGCGTGCCGGCCAGCCGGGACCGGAACTGTGGCCGCACCTGTGACAATATTCCCCACCCACTTAGCTAATGCGAACTTACAAGCTATGACTCATGAGGTCGCCCCATACTACACCTACTCAGCTTTGGGGATGAGCGCCATCTGGTTTTTGAGTGCCCTGCTGTGCAGTCCATTCGGGACCAATATCCTGCTTTGTTTGGTGCTGCCATTCAGACCATGCAACAGTTCATGTGGCAGTTAGATATTGTCAGTGTTGCACACTTTGTCATGGATTGTTTTGATCACTTGGATGCTGTCAGTACATCCAATCAGCCCTGGGCGGCTGGAGTTGATTTGTAATTTCCTTCCTTCCTTCCTTCAGTTCAAATGTCATGTCTTGTGGATTCCGCTTCAATGCAAAAATGGCTGCAGGGTGCGGGACGGAGGGTTAATGACTCTGACCAATGCGAGCCAGCTTCCCTAAAGGCGCCAGCTTGAACTGCTAAATATGAGAGCAACTTGTGAGAAAGGCAGGGATATAAAGGTTGGCCTGGCTCTTACACAACAAAGACACCACAAATGTTTGGGTCCAGCCGATGCACCGCTCGTGGATTGTCAGTGCTTGGCCGCATAGTGTGGTGAGCCATTCTGCTGTTTACCGCTATTTGTGCATAAAGGGAAAGTGTATTTCAGGTGCACTTTTGTTGAGTGCTTTATTAAGGATGTGGCCGCACCGTTCCGGCGCTGTCCTCCCGCACGGCGCCCAGCGACTTCTGCAGCGTGCGCTCGGCCGCCGCCAGGTTCCTGATCAGGCATGCAGACAGGATTTTAGGTAAGTGCTCATATCTGATCCTAATCAGGTGAATAATTTGCATGTTTCTGATCAGGTAATACCCTCAGGCCATGATCAGGTAGGCACAATGTCCAGCTGGAATGCAGAAGCTCATCTGAAGCAGCTGTGAGGCTATCCGCCTTTCAAGGCAGAACAAGTGACATAATTGCCAGGGGCTTATGGTTTCAATCAAATGCCCCCAGTGCGGCATGCATGATGCGTGGCACGCTTCTTCTAACACAGCAAACCGCAACGAAGCTTTCAATCACCAAAGACAACACATTTCGGATCCCTCTTCCTCCGATCAAAACAGTGGCACCACGGTGGCAACTACATCAAGCAAGAGAAAACCCATTAGCAAGGTGCACAAAGGCATGCCAGCATTGCCAGCTCACCCCTTTTCGCTGATGATGCGAAGTGCTACTGCCAGGTTGAGCGCCACGTTGCTCTCGGCCTGGTTCCGAGGCTGCTCATCGTCGGCTGCGCCCCGCTCCTCCTCCTGCAGGTGCCCGTTGCCGGCCTCCTTCTGCGCTGGCACCTGCAGATGCAGCAAAGACACCTCTGCAACCAGTCTCAACGCAATCTGCCCGCGGGTATCGACCAAGAGGACCAGAAGCCAACTTGATGCTGAGCTTCACCAGAATTCCACACGAGTTATATTGAAAACGTGACGCTTGTGTAGAGTACATCTCCTTGGTGATCTGAAGCGCCATCTTTTGCAAGCGATACAGTCTGGCAATTCAAAATTTGGGCAGCTGTAGATGAGACACACCTCTGCTGAGTCATCCACCATTTCATCCATGCCAAGGGGGTCGAATGCAGGCGCCGGCTTGGCATCACCCTCCGGCACCTTTCCCTCACTGCTGTCCCCTTTGCCTTCGTTCGCACTACCCTTGGCCCCTGGCTTGCTGGCCTCAGGCGCTGCATGCGGCTCAGCTTTCTCGGCTGTGCTCTCCTGCTCAGCACTGTGATCTGTGCCGTTTGCTGAGGCCACATCCGCCTCAGAAGCAGCAGGATCCTGCTGCGGCTCCTTTGCTTCGGCGGTGTTGATTCCTGCCTCCGTTGCCGCCTCACTATCCTGTGGCTTCTTCCCTCCCTTGGTGCCACCTTTGCTCTTGCCCGCAGGCTCCTCTGTCTCCCCCTTCCCCTGAGCCTCACCGCCGTCCTTCTCCTCGGTGCTTCTCTCCTCTCCAAGGCCGCCGGCAGAGGCATCACCACCGGCCGGCTTCGTCACGGCGGAGGCATCGCCGTCAGACGGCTGCTCGGCGGCGTCCGTGACGGCGCGGCTGACGGCGTCGGCCTCGGCCGACGAGAGGTCTAATCTGGCCGCCTCCCCCAACGCGTCGTTCCCCTCGGCCGCCGCGCGGCCGTCCGGCAGCAGCGACGGCTCCGCGCTCAGCGCGCCGCTTAAAGCCCCCTCGGCTCCCTTTCCTGACGCAGCAGCTCCCTCCCCTGATCCCTCTGACACTGTCTCTCCGGCGGCGGCGCCTTTTTCATCCACACCCTTTTCAGGCTCCTCTTGCTTCACCGTCGCCTTGATTCCGCTCTCATGCTCTGCTGCTTTGCCGCCTGTCTTGGCCGCAGCTCCCTTTCCCGCTGCCTCCTTGGGCTTGCCGCTGCCATCAGCAGACTTACCCCCTTCCGACTTGGCTGCCTCTGCAGCGGGCCTTGACCCGCCTGCGGCCGGGGCGGTCTCGGTCTCGGCCGCAGCGGGGGACACCAGGTCTTTTGCGGCCGGCAGGTCGTCCTGCGCGTCGATCTCCTCCTGGAGTGCGGCCACGCGGTCCTCGGCCTCTCTGTCGGCAGGTGATCCCTCCTCCCCTGCAGCCGCTGCACTGGTGCAGCCTCCCGTCACTTTGCTGTCAGGGCCCTCCTTCAATGCCCCTCCCAGCTTCGCAACGTCCTTTGCAGCCTTGCCAGTGCTCTCCTCCTTGCTGGCATCCTTCGGAGCTGCCTCTTTCTCCTCCTTGCTGTGTTTGCCAGTAGCAGCCGCCCCCTTTCCTCCCTCTGCAGCTGCTGCGCTGCCATTCTTGGCATCTGCGCCCTTGGCAACAGGCTTTCCTTCCTCCTGCGGCTTTGCTGCTGGCGATATTTGATCTGCCTGTGGTGTAGTGTTCCCTGCTGCCTCGATTGCCTGCTCGAGCACGTCCATCTCGGCCGTGAAGGTGTCCAGAGACAGCTGCACAGTGGGGCTGATCGTCGGCAGAACCAGATCTGGAAAGCTCTCGGTCTTATGCACATTCTCGCCGCTCTTTGACGAGCTCTTGCTTGACTCCTGCGGCGCCGCAGCTGATGGCTGGCTTCCGCGGTACTTGGCCATGAGATCGGTGGCAGCCGCGGAGCCGGCTTTCTCCGGCGCCGCTCTAGCGTCACCGGCCGGCGCAGCCGCAGCGGCGGCCGGCGCGGCGGCGGCCGGCGGCGGCTGCACGGCGGCTTCTCGCTTGGCGGAAGCTGCCGGCCCGCCCCGGTTGCTCTCCGACTCGCTGCCGGTGCCCTGCAACAGAAATAAAGGGACATCAACATGCATGCTTGCACAATACAACTCGCAGCTCAACTGCAGCCTCAAGCACAGCTTTAGAGACAGTAGAGTGCCGGTTTGCAAGGATGGTGGCTTGGTAATCATCATTATTTTGATGCGCTGTTTCTGCCAGCGGCAAGGTGCATCTGCACACAAGATACAGGTGTTGCTGCCACATTTCCTACCCCTTCATGGCCTCGCCAGATTGATGCAAGACCCAACCAACCGTGGCTCAGTCTTTATACCGCACCCCGCCATACCTTGCAAACCTTTGAAAAAAAAAATCAGAACGCACCGCGGGTGAGTTGCCGGAGGGGCCTGCGGCGCGGCGCGGCGGCCGGCGGTGGCGGCCGTTGGTTGAGGGGTTCTTGCGTAGGGATCTGCGGTGGCCACTAGGTGTCCCCCCCTTGGGGCTGGCTCCCATTGCATCGCCTCCCTCAGAGTCCTCGGACGTGTCCCTCCTGCGCAAAGTAAAAACATAGTTTCAGTCCCACGGTGCCAGAGTTCCAGTTCCGGCCTCTTAAGGAACTTTTCCTACCAAGAAATGCACTGATGACATTGCAAGCATTGGATATGCATGAGCAGCATGCATCCTTTGCTCCTTTTGGATCCCGCTCAGGGTGTCATCTGATGATTATGGTAGAATCTTCTGTTTCTGCTGTTCCACAGCTCTTTGCAATGAATGAAGAAACGTCCAGAGAGAAAAAAATCCGGGCCAGGGAGCAAAGCTGACCTTGGCTGCTTGCGGAGGGGTCCCACAGAAGAGGTGGACTCGGTCCTTGCCATGAAGGGCGCTGACTGCCTCGGGCTCTCCTTGATGTCCCTGCACATCACATCACCATGCCATTAGTCATGCAACATGCGTTGCCACATCGATTGATGACTAGTTGGTTGTGTGCCTGGCAGGACGATGCGCCGGTGTGCCACATGTTTCTTTATGGCATATCGTGCATTTGTGCTCCAGCATGCATGCAACTAACGGCTGCACAGAGCCAACGCTGCTGGCAATGCAGGGGCAGCATAAGGCTTGCGCTAAAGTATAGGAGATGGAGTTTGTGTCGGAGTTTCGCTCACCCTCCCACAGGGCGCTTGCGCCTGAGCTCCTTCCTGTCGCCTGCATCTGCCCCATCCTTGCCTTGGACCTCCCCTTCCAGTTCCTTGGCATCTGCGCGGCTAGTCTTGAGGTACTTCCTGAACAGCAGGGTGCCTGCTGTGATGCCTGCAAGCGCCAGCCCTGCCAGAGCGGCACCTGCCTGCGCAATCCATCACGTCCCAGTCAGTTCTAGGACTGGTGGAAGCTCTTATGACCTCAGGGCAGGAAGAAAGCGGGGGTGAAATCAGAACTACTTATGTCTGATGCCAAAACGATAAATATCTGCATTGGCATAAGATGCCATGAATGACGCAGGCTGTGGCTCAATGCGCGATCCAGACCAGCAACCATATGTGAGGCTGCCCATGCAATTCCAGAATAATCCTTTGCTAAAGATCATGTCTTGAAGGAATTCCTAGCGGAAATTGTCAGGGGAAATCTGCTCCATGTGTGCAACTGTAAAGCTCTTCAGCGAGTGCTACCAAACGCCTTTGTATCGCTCATGGAGCGGAGAAAGCGGAGAGCTTTCACCATGGATCTACTGGACGTATTCATCGATGACGGGCCGCCAGTCCTTGCGCTCCTCGCGACGCCTTTTATGGCTTCGACGGCGATGGGAGGCTCCTCCTCTAAGCTATCGTCGCTGCTGTAGTCCGAGAGACTCATGCCCAATGGAATTGTAATTATTGCAAAACTTCCACACTTCAGAGTCACCGTACAAGAGTTGAATTGATGTGTACTGCATGCACAGAAGCTTCAGCAAGCAAATCCAATCCGAAAGTGCACAGTCACAATTACCCCACTCCACTGGGTCATTAAATTTCTAAAGTACAAAGGACGAGAGGACAGACGATGTTGAGACGAAGGAGCAAGAAGAAGTCTCATCTTGCAAAGGGTGGCTCAAGTCTCAACGTTGAACAGCCGCTGTCGGTAAAAACAATACTGTGGACGTTGCGCTCCTCCGATCGTCAACTATTGTTTCAGATGGTGCAGCAGCCAGACGATATGCATCGACATATCAGGAGTGTGCAGAAGTCTTCGTCCACGCAGTGCGATGCTTCACGGTTCAGAGGTTTTTGGGTTTCCTTAGAAGAACTTATCGAAGACACTGCCGCAGCGGCTGTAATGCAGGATCTTGGCAGAATTTTGAGCACCGAAAGTATTCTTGTATCTTGCGCCTGCCCCAAGATTAGGGGAGTTGCTGCAACTTGGCAAGTCAAATCAGTGATTGTGAGCATTTTATCCATCGCACAGGCCCGCAAATGAAGTCGACAGTGCTGTGTTTGTCGGCGGCTTCAGCGCTTGCGCCGTTTGCCAGAAGCTAGTGAGCAGACAGACTCTACGATGAGAGTCTTCCTGTTGTCTGTGCAGGCACATCTCTCCTGTGCCTGCCTGAGGAAGTCCTTCAGCTGATGGCCGCTTGCATGACAGCCAACGAGTGGGCAAGGTCCGGCGCCAGCGTCTGCCAAAACCTGAATCACCTGAACTTGGGGCGCATGGAGCTGAAAATTGGCAACCTCGGATACCTGGAGCAGCAGCATATTCCGGCAGAGGATAAGCTGGCCCAAGTGCTGGGTGCCATGCGCTGGGCTAGCAATCGCTGGCAAGCATGCACTTATCTGCATATCCGGCTGTATACCAGGGTGCAGATTCCAGGTGAGGATGCTGCAGACTTGGCATCAAGGCTCAAGGAACGCAGCCCACAACACCTCAAGACCCTTGGGCTGCTGGCAATCCACCACAATCTAGCAGCGGGGTGCATATTCGAGGCGCTGCTGGCCAGCCTGAAGCTTGACGGCCCCTGGGAATGCCTCAAAATGGGTGATGAGACGGAGGTGCCAAGCCTGCCAGCGCTGCGCAATGTGACGCTCTTCCACATGGACGATGTGATTGCTGAGAAGGACATTGGGCACTTTGTAGCTCCGCTGTCCTGCCTTGAAGTCTTAGACCTCAGTGCCATGTTTGAATGCCTCGCAGTTCTGAATCTGGGGCACATGCGGAGGCTGCAGCGGCTGGTGCTTTCGCGCATCTATCTCACAGAACTAGAGCTGCCACCTCAATGCAAGATATATGTGAGAGGATGTACTGATAACTTTGCCAATGCGGCTGTTCTCTGGCTGGCTTGTCCTGGCAGGGAACTGGTTGACATCTTGTATCTTCGATTCAGTTCGTATGAACGACTGGGTCTATATCACTCAGACAGCTTCGGCAATCTCAGGGAGTTTCCAAACCTGGAAGTCTTGGACATTGATTTTGATTTTGATTTTGAAGACCTTAACAAGCCAACAGAGGTCCTGTATCACTTCAAATTGCAAGCATGGCCGCCGCTCAGGTTTTTGTCATGCTTGCGTCTCGTCTCGGAGGCGCGTCAATTGCAGAAACTTCAAGTGCACCTTCCTGCCTCTCTGGCTTTAAGGAGTCTTATCATTGCAGCCGATGAGATAATCTTGAAAGTTGAGTCGCCGGGTAGGATGAATAGTACACTCCAGGAACTGATCTAGGCATCAGCTATAGCTAGCTAGTGAGTTCAATCCCTGCAACGGTATGCTCCCTACATTGGGAGGTGACTTCTTCAAGTTGGCTCAGTGTTTCAAACAGCATGGGTTCCTTGTAGATACTGCAGAGTGCGCGATATCTATTCCAGAAGATGCGCAATATAATTACTGGGAGCAAAGACGGAAATTTGGATTTGTGTACGTCTTGAAGCAAGGTGAAATGCCGAGAGGCTACAATGAGCTTAGAAGGAGGGTGCTGGGGTGTTTGTGCGGCGTGTGCTGGTGCTGCAGATGCCTTGATGGTGATCGGAGGCACCCTGGGTTCGGATTGGGTGACTGAGGCAGGCCTGCATAACAGGTCCACCTAGCCTGCTCAGCTGGGTGGCTTCGATGACTACGTAGTATACTAAGCACCGCCGCCGTGTACATGGAAGCCTTTGTAGGTGTCCCAAACGGACACGCATGGAAAGGTTCAACATCAGGCAGTACATTTGATTGGGCCAGATGTTGGGATGACAATCAGCCGATTCCTGGAGGTCACAGCTGGATGCCCATTCAATGTTTATGTATCTTACTAAGTTGTACTTAGTAAGGGACGTCCAACATGCCTACAGCATTTGTCTGGTGAAGATTGAATTTCCTGATCAACATGGTTCAGAATGCAGCTCCCAAATACAACCAAGTAGAGTTGCCTTATCTTTAGATTTGGGAAGTATGTACTTCAAATCATCATGTCTGCACAGAATCGTCCTCAAATGGTGCCCAGGGTGGGCAGCGGGCAGCAGCAGCTCACGCCTGCCAACATCAAGTCAAGTCCAAAGCATGGTGTTGACACTTGTCTAATCGTTGCCTGTTCGCATAATCTTTCAATTATGCGATTCTGTCTGTGGATACCAAAGCCTGTGCCTGTACCGCTGCGGTGCTTAGCACGGTTCTCGTGATCATCTAGAGAAAGGAGACGGTATGTATCGAGAAGTCAACTCGACGCAATGCGATTCCTCCAGGAAGTCAGGTAAACTTTTCAACAGTTTAACAGGACTTGCAAGTCGATGCTGCATTCGGATATGACTGAGTTCATGAGGTGTGTTGCTGCACAGATCTGATTACGCAGGTGTACGCACTGGGAAATCCAAAATTCTTGGTGTTATTAATTATAATACGAACACTGTCAATGCACAGCTGCGGTGCTGGCATGCCCACAGAAGTGCTGCAAGTGAAGTGCAAAAAAAGCTTGTAGCTCCTGAGGCATTTGGGGGCGCCTCTTTGTTGCGCAGGCGCTTCTCTCCTCTCTTTACCTGAAGACGTCCTTCAGATCGTGGCGAGCTGCATGACCACCAAAGAGTGGGCAGGATCTGCAGCCGGAGTGTGCCAGATGCTCAATGGACTGGAGTTGGAGCGAATGCAGCTGGAGATCCATATTGGTGTGGGTGGCCTGCAAGCGATGGGCACACTCCAAAAGCTTGAAAATGCATGTGACGTCAAAAATACCTGAAGAAGACGTTGCTGGTCTGAAATTATCACAGAATAACGACGGCCCACAATATCTTCAAGTCTGCGAGCTGTCTGCTGTATTCAAGAATGCTGCAGCAGGTCGGATTTTCCAGACATTGCTGGCTAGCTTGCAGTGCAACGCGCAACTGGAGATGCTCAATGTGTGCACCCAAGTGGAAAGCCTACCCCGCTTGCTCAATTTGAAGCATCTCCATCTCAGTGAAACGTATTTTTCGGTGGAAATCGGACATCTTGTGGGGTCCTTACCCTGCCTGGAGGTCTTAGAATTCTCTTACCCACGGTTTGATTGGGCATTCGATCTAGATCTCCGTCATGCTGACAAGCTGCAGCGTCTGATGCTGAACAGCATGTATCCCTCGACACTGGATGTGCCACCAGCCTGCAGCGTGTCTCTGTTGGAAATAGATGAGGACTGTAGCGCTTTGTCAGAACTGTGGCAGGAGTGCCCTGCCAGGGAGAGTGTTGATACCCTGTACATGCGACATCATCGCCCTGCATTTCCAGGCCACCCTGATTCAGATGACACATACAGCCTCTTTGAGCGCTTTCCAAAGCTCAAGATGTTAGATATCGATGTGCAGGATGATGATGGCAGTCAGACCAGTCTTGTTTATGTCTTGGACATGTACACCTCCCCAACTTTGGCGCATTTGACTTGCTTACGCTTGGTCTTACAAGTTAAGCACACGCAGAACCTGGAAATTTCCATTCCTGGCTATATGGCACTCAAAAGCCTTATCCTTGTAGCGAGCCGGATCAAGTTAATGGTGGAGTCGCCTGATAGATTGAGCACCACTTTGGAGGAGATGATCATGGCGACAGATGGGTACTACTCTAGAAACTATTATCACACAATCATGGATGGTTCTGGTTACATTCTGCTGAGGGATTGCTTGGCTGCAAAGGGGACTGTTTTAGCAACCACATTCTGCCCCGGTGTCAACCTGTATGACTACAAAGTATACAATGAAAACCCAGTGCACACGTATGGCTTTGCATATCTGTTGCCTCGAGGTGCCAAGCCCAAGAGCTACGAAGCGCTCAGGAGGAGAGTGTGTGGCTGCTTGTGCAGGGTGTGTTGGTGCTGCAAATGCTTGGACGGTGATCGGGCTTTTCTGAAAAGTTGGATATAAATCCTACCCTTGATGATCATGATGTACCCAGGTTGTCAAACGATTGCTGTGCTGTTCTTACAATTGCAAGCTTCACAAGACAAAGGTTCATACATGCATCAAGTTGTATGTACTTGAAGTTCCTTAAAGCAGGCTGCCCACAGCTACCTCTTCTCTAATTGACAGTCCAGACACAGTTCACTATCGCCTACGTACACTCCTGTGTGCCTATTTGTGCAACCGCAACTCTGTATAATTTGGCTACAGTCAAGTGAGACTCGTGCTGAATTCATTCGAATGCTTGCAGCTACTGGATAGATCTCCACTCCTCTGCGTTTAAACAAATTTGTGTTTCCAGCAAGTCATCTGTCCAACATCATGCGTGCAAGCAACCTTATTCCTGCCTTCTGCCAGACCTCAAATTCATTGGAAATCTTGCACATCTAAGGCTGCTGTGCAACAAATCTCGCACTGCTGAAATGAGGTGAGTGGACATGTCATCAATGCGCCAATCAAGATATCAGAGCTCTCCAAGTGTTGTGGTCATGTCTGTGTACCGCCGTCATCGGCAAAATCTGTCGCTTTCAACTTTGAGCTGTCAGCTGTCAATTTGAAAGATCAGGCCCAGGGCTCCCGCTGCCACAGCTGCGACAGTGATTGTCTCTTGCTGTGCTGCACTCCAGTAGAGTACATCCGGCGACGCCTCTTCCCCGCCATCTGCAGACACAATAAGCACATCTCTAAGCAAGCTTCACAACGATGCATTTTGTCAGCACCATGCAAGCACAAGGTCAAGGTAGAGGCTGTCTCAATAAAATAAACAGACCCCTGATCATCATGTGTACAGGGGGTACTAAAGACTACCCTTTAGTAGTCTTCAGTACCCTCTGATGTGTAGCATGCATGTAGGCTACACCAAAAAAGCACTAACATTCGTCATCCCCTCAGCTATGTCATTCAAGCTTTGCATGGCACTTCTAAGCGGGGCCTCTGACCATTTTTGGCAAGCTGGCAAAATACACTGCGACCAACTGTGTGCTGCTTGCAAGAGCAGGTCCTTGTGCCGCGAACATGCCCATCTCATAAAGCAAAAATCATGCTTTTTCTCTTACTCTGGCAAATTTGATACTATTGGCTGGAAAGCAACATGCAGCGCATTGCCCGAAGCAGCAGGTCAACAGCCTGAAAATTAGCCATCTTGAGATGGCCCATATTATGGACTCGATTCTGCGCTGCTGAGTTTGCCGGTAGATTTACCGCCCCCTGGCACCCTGAGAGGGTAAAGGGAGCCGCACCATGTAGAGAGCGAGGCGAGTCAATAGATAAAGGCCGAGCATCTCAGCAGCGAGCGCGCCCAAAAAGGACAGCACTGTGCTTATTATACTGCTGCCCGCCGCTGCCTCGGTTTGTCTTTGCGCCAGTGCATGGGTCTGCATGGCTGCTGCGTCCTGTTCAGGCTCGGCTGTTTTGGGCTGCCCGGTTTGGGCAGCGGGCAGGGGCAGCGCATGAGTCATCGCCCCCTGCAGCCGCCTAATCAGGCCGCGCAGCCATGCTGCACCGGTGCCACTCGGGCGTGGGATGATGGCCTGCCACAGAAGCAGAGAAATGTCCCGTCAGCTTGAATTTGAACATGACACCTGCTCTCTTGTCAGCCTGACACATCTCTCGAAAGCTGCACATTTCCTTTCACATCATCTTCATGGAATCCACCTTACCAGGAAGCAGAAGCATGACAGTGACTTAGTACAACTGCAAGAGTGTCAACAATTATTCTGTACCACCTAAACCACTGCTGGTTTTTTTTGTAAAGTCAACAAAATGGAGAAGCTGAGTAGTTCACCAGTGCTTTGCCATGCTTGTGGTCGTCACTGGTCGCTTCCTGATCAGATGACGCTTCAGAAAGGCCTGTAAAGGTCCGTCTGATTCCCTCTGAAAACCTATTGAAGCCTTGCACTGCGTTGTTCCAGACGCTGGTGTGGGGCATTTCATGCGTTTCATTCTCGTGCACTAGCTTGTGCAGGTCGGCATTAGTCATGAAGGGTTCGTCGGTGTAGAAGCCCCATTGGGGCGGGGGGGCCCGCCCCCAGAAGGGGGGGGACTCGAACTGCCACAGCGGGGGAAACCTCCAGTACCAGGGAGGGGACTGTCCCACACCCTGCACATGCATTTCCACCCCTTAATGACATTCATCAAAATAATCGGGACCTGACCGGACTCTACATTAGCCATGCATCTGGCGGCATGACAGGGTGCACAAACAAGCAGTGTACTGGGGACCTTGGAAAAAATCTCCGCTGTGAACTTTATGTGCAAATCTGTCCAGTCATACTGCAGCAGTGTGCGTCAGATTCTGCAAAGGGACCATCAGCTGAACAGGTGCCCCTACATTAAGGTTCAGCCACTTTTGGTTATATCCCCTGAAAGGGTCATATACCTTCAAAACCCTAAATCCACAATTGCATCCCCTGTGAATATTGTTAGTACAAGGGCCCTGCTCTGAACCCTAAAAGTACATTCCCTAAAACCCTGAGCTAAAGCGGTGGAAGCCCAACGAGCCGGAAAAGGCGAGGACAGAGTCTCTTACCCGGATGTCAGCCCCCGGCCACGAAGCAGTCCCAACCCAGACGAGCAGCGCAAGCTGTGCAGCAGCCGCCAGGATCATGAAGATTATCCACGGGGTGGTTAACCAGCTGTCGCAAGTCATCTCATCCTCCTCCTCCGCCTGAACTAGCTCTGCAACCTCCTGAACCTGTTTTAGCACAGCAACAGCTGTCACATACTCAGTTTCTCTCACTGCGCCTTGATTGTACGTGTCAGCTCCAAAAATATCAAGGTACATTCTCCTAATGCTATCAGCCCTTTTAAGTTGAATTTTTGGATATAGATACTAGCTCAAGTGGATGGTACCTGAGATAATGCATCTTTGGTCTTGCCAATTCAGACGAATCACACTTTGCACATGAGTTGCATTGCGATTGAAGATTAAAAACCTAACAGCATGTTATGCATGGCATCACCAGTCTTGACACAGAAGTACTCAGGGGTGCGTTTTAGGCGCAGCAGCTGTCTTTACCTTATTCGGCGCGGCCGGCGCCGCCGGCTGCGCGCGGACACAACTGGCGCTGACGTTGAAAGCCGATTTCTCCGGCTTTCCTCCCGCTGCTGCTTTCTGGCCTTTCTCAGCAGCCGCAGCTTCCGCTACATCAGTGTCTGGCGCCCCGGTGTCAGTTGTGATTGCCGGGTGCGCGGCGGCCGCGAGGAGAGAGGCAGTGCCGTCGAACGGCTGCATGCTTGAGGTGGCGCCAGCTGGCGCCAGGCTGGCGGGGGAGTGGGCAGGCCACAATTTGGAGCCCCAGACGGCGCTCTTGAGGCTGCTGGGGGTCTGAGGGAACGCCTCCTCTTCCCCGTCACCTGTGGCAATGGACAGAGGCTTTCTCAGAATGCAAATAAAGAGGAGTCTGTCCCAGCAGCCAATTTGCAATTCCTATGATTAGGTAGCTGCATCGTCTGATATAGGTACGCCTCAGGGCAGTGTTCATTGCCAATTTTATCCTGGTGCATACCCATGCCTGCAGCTTGTCTGCAGGACGTTCCTTGCCTTTGGCGTAAAAAGCGTGTAATAATAATAATAATACCCATGCCCCAAGGCTGTTTTGCCAAGTGCAGCAAAAAAAAAAAGCCTTAATAACCTCCTTTTGACACATGCTGTCCATCTGAAATACAAGATGTTAGCTGTTCGTGAATGGGATGGTGCGCATGTGGGTAGAGTTGGGCGCACTGTTGGATGCAGCCTTTTCCGGAGTTGCTGGCTCCTTGGCCTCGCAGTTGGCAATAGTGTTTTGCCGTGGCAAAATGTGGCCCACATCGGCTGATGCCTCGCCTGAGCCTGTGCAGCATGAGCAGTGCCGATGAACAAACACCCTGTAGCAATGCATCTACTGTAGCACTCATTCGAAACCCGCAATAAATAGTTAGTTATTGCCAAAAGGGTGGATAAATAAGAGCCTATCTCCTGAGATATAACCCCTTTGATAAATTGAGACCAGGTTCTGAAAGCTCTTGACAAGCCTAATCCAATGGAGCACGACCCTGGCAATTTTGGAGTCACGAAGACCCCTGAAAGTTGCTTTGAAAGGTTTCCTGCACCGCCAGAGGTGCGGGTTTTATAATGACCACTACAGTGACAGGTCGCCTCGTGACTACAAAGTCAGAGGAATAGATATGCAAGAGGGAGCTGCCGGGGAGATTTCCACCTCCAGAAATTGGGAACAGGGCCTTTGCTGCGCTGGGCCTGGGCTTCTGCTCTGAAATAATCTTCTTGTCCGCAGCCGCCTCCTTGCGCTGATCCTGAGCTTCCTGCAGCCATGGCATTTGTTGTCGGAAGTCAAAGCAGTGCTTTTGCATGGGTTATGCAGCAATGGATGCATGACAGCCCAGCGATGCTTGACCCTGTTTGCATTTTACACCATGCTTCTCAGATATGGGAAATATATAGGGTAAGAAAGTGCGGTAAATGCATTGATTGGACTGTGCTTCCGCTGTCATTTGCCGTTTCCCGAGAACCTTTTCAGATCTGGGATATGCTAAGAGTGAAGCACCTTTCCCGGTTGCGCTTCAGGTTCCCAGAAGGAGTTGTCGTAGGTGCGCAGCTGTGCGGCAGCTGCCGCGGAAGCTTTCGGCGAGTGGGCGGCCTCGATGCCGCGCATGGCCGCCTCTATCTCACGCAGCGCCTCCGATGTGCTCGGCCTGCGCTTGTCACAGGCAACGCCCATGAATGCATTACTCCATATCTTGTGACATTTAGCAGGTTCACTGAGTTTGATGCCCAGTGATATCCTCCCCATATCTTGCTAGCTTTAACCTGTGACAGAGCCTTCTGCACATGGCAAAGCTGTTCTGGCACTGCACGAGCGCCATTAAAAAAAATCGGAGGTTTTCACTCCTTCTGGGCTTCTCTGACTGTTTATGCGTGCCTTCTGCCCTGTACTGAATGTCTGCACTCCACATGCAGATGATCACAGTGTCCTGATGCTGAATGGCACACTACGCCTTCTGCTCCTATTCTGACACTGGTAGGCAGGTTGTGATGAGATAAACGGGGCACGCAGTGAAATTGCCAGACAGAGATTTCTTATGCGCAGGTTTGCATCATGTCGAGTGGCTCGGCGCTCGGCTCGGCGCTGCTGCTCTATACCCAGGCTTCATGACAGAAACAGTTGCTACTGATGAACAATTCACACACCAAAACACAGAACTTTGCCCTTCAGGCGGCGACAGCAGCACTCTGGCTTTGCATGAGCCCCTCACGGCCGCCGGTTCCCTTGGCCATGCAACACGATATCTCAAATCTGCTCAAGCTATCAACAATCGATTTTATCAATTTGAATTTTCAATTAAAGAAAGGGGTGCGCACATGGAGGCGGCCATGCGCTCGGCGCGCCGTTTCTGCGCCGCGTCATCGACGGATGCGAGCGGGCTGCGGCTGCCGGCCCGGCCGCGCTCGAAGCGCGCGGCGATTGTGGGGGTCACCGACAGGGGGACCAGGCCGCCACCGTTTCTGGTAGGGGTCCGCTGCTGGGGGGACCCCCCGAACTTGGCCGCCGCCGCTGCCAGCCCTGACACCTGCCGACCACACTTCACCGAAACCTTCGATTTCTGTTTTGCTTGACGGCTCGAGAAGTCACTCTGTGCTGAGCCAAACACCCACAGTGCTCCTGAATGCCGGCTTCACAGCCCCGTCTGCCGCATGTGCCTTCTGACCGCGCATGATTTTCCCGCACATGATCATATGTAACATTCGGAACGGGCTGTTATGCATCCTTCCAATGGTTACAGTATACAATACTTCCTGCTGTTTCTGGGCCAAGACATGCAAAGCTTCTGCAGTCTGTGGTCACCGCAGCACAGCAAGCTCAGGACAAAATTGTTCTTGAGGCAGCGTTCACTGACCACTGAAGAAACTGAACATTGCAAGCAAGAACAACTGCAGGACAAACAGCTGCATGACAATACAGCAACAGAGACCGGGCTAGGTGCTGTAGCCCAATCGGTGCAGAATTGGCAACGTGGGAAGCACACCTCTGGGGCGGGCTCCTTCCCGCCGAAAGCATCAGTGATGCGAGAGTCCTTTTTCAGAGGAGAGCTCGCACGCGGCCTCTGCAGCAACCACCCCGACATCACCTATTAGTCACCCCACCAAACATGCGCATACCCTGCTGCCACATTAATCCAACCACTTAGGCAGCATCTCAAATCCTGGCTCCTGGATTGCGCACGGCTGCCGCTCGGCTGCAACGCATGGGCAACAGCACTCTTCCTATACTGTAGTACTCATTCTAGAACCCGCAATAAGCAAATTTTTTTGGCCAGCAAGGGTGGATAATCAATACCAAATCTCTCAAAAATATAAAACCTATGATAATTTTGAGACCAGATTATGAAGGCTCTCGACAAGCCGAATCCAATGGAGCATGACCCTGGTACATTTGATGTCAGGAAGACACCTGAAAGTTGCCTTGAAAAATTTCCCGCATCGCCAAGGGTGCGGGTTCTGGAAGACTACTACAGTATGTCCTTGCGCGCATGTCTGCTGCTCTATCCTGCATTTATCAGTGCTTCCAGAGCAGGTGATCTTTGTGTGATGATTGGTCGTTCGTGGTAGTTGGGTTGTCTTTCAGCGGGCTTGACATGTCAGCAACTGACCGGAGAGCGCGGCGTAGGAGATGGACTCTTGGAGGTGCGGTTGATGCGATCCTGGAAGTCCTGTGCGATCATCCTCTGCGCGCACGATGACTAAAGTTAGTAAGAAATTCGTGAACATAATGCTGGTGCACATCTTCATCCTCCGTGCAATGCACCGGCCCTGCGCCGCTTCCACTAAAATGCAACCAAAGGAGACGGCATTCTTAGCTCAACAGGAACAGAGCGGCAACCTTCTAAGTTGCGGGCCACAGGTTCAAGTCCTGCAGAATGCTCGCGCAGCCATCACTAGCATAGCCGTTCCTAGAAATGAAAGCTGATACAGGGCCGGCACTGGCTACAACAAGGGTATGTATCCGCAGGCTTCAGCTAGCAAATCTTGGGCTTTCTGGAGAGCACTTCAAGCGCCAGACAGACAAGATCACTATTGTGAGAACATATTGCCGGGCCCTCTAGTGCAGCCCTCTGTATTCCTGGCTACAACACATTGACTTTTGATGACTCGCACCATCAAGGACGGTGATGCAAGGCAGATGAGGTGTGCTGCATGTGACCATTGCAACCACGCTCACGTAATGACTCAGTGAGTCACAGCGCTTCACACATGGAGAGAGCGATATCATCCACTGGTCATGCGCTGATGCTTACTACATCCTCTTGTATAATTGACTAGCGCCGGGCAGAAAATAATCTTACGATGATTTGATGATCTTATAATTTTTGTTCCTGCATCGACCCTAAAGCCCTAATACACCATTGCATTCCCCGTGAAAATTTTATTACTACAAAGGCCCCTTCCCTTTTCTAAACCCTAAAGTCATAATCCCCAAACCCTAAGCTGAAAAGGAGAGTACAAATTTCCGTGGCTAGCGCTGAGTAACTCACCATGGGCGAGGGCGATGATGAGCGGGCAGGCTCCACGGAGCGGCTGCGGTGCTCCTCATTGATGCGCGCCTCGAGCTGCCCCTTGAGCCGCGCGACTGCTCCGGGCGTCAGCGGAGATACACTCTTCGGCGGCGCGCTGTGCGCGTGGCCGTCCCAGCCGTCGCCCCTGCGGCCGGAATCCAAAAAGGTTTGAATTCTGTAATTTAGACCGTGCGTGTATGCCCTATGGCCTTTGGCTTTGGGCATGCCAACCTGTGTAATTATGCTGATAATAACAACTTAGGGGTTCACCCATGCCCTCACAGTGACGAGGTCATCCATGAATGTTCTCTGCCTCCTTATTCACGCCCCGGGCATCATCTGGACGTCTACTTCTTATATGATTGAAATCTGTCGTGGCCTGAAATGGCGACGCAGTCAAATTCTGCCAGGGAGACACCCAAATCTGCCCTGACAGAAGCTACACCCTAAAATATAACATTGGCTGAGATCTCGCCGGGGGATTCCTGGCACATTCACTGGACGCCATATTTGTTTGCTCAATCCCCTGGAGTAAGAGTTTTGGCACAGTGTACTTGTAAAGCTTGTGCATGGAGGTAAAGCACCTGAAAGCTGGGATGGTGCTGGAAGGGGAGACTGGCGGGCTCCTCGTAGCGTCGAATGGTTCCATAACAGCTTATTGAAAAAGTATATCAGCCAGAGCGCTTTCGCTGGGACCTCTTGCTCTGCTAGTCTCCTTTGCATGTGTACACCATGAATTCAGTGTGAATGCCAGGAGCATGCTTATCCTTGCCAATCCAGACAGCAAATATCCTTCCATTGAAGAAATCACGTTTTACACATGCTTTGGGAAATGAAGGAAAAGTGTCAGCACACCTGGCTAAGGTGCGAATGTGTTGCCCGTGCAACAACGGTGAGTTTCACACTTGTTGTGTGATCTGGACACCGTGAGGCCAAAATAAGCGAGTCAACTGAAGCTTTGGACCTCTTGAGGCTTCGTTCACGGAAGTTGGTGTTCCACCTGCTTGGGGCCCAAGAGGAAAACTTGTCAGTACAACATAGTAAGACAGGGGATAGAAAGGCATGGCCTCAACAAATGCCGCACATAAGCTGAACCACATTGACTTGCAATACCCACCGGGAGAACCTGTATGTCGTTAATAAAAGGAACTGTGCAGTGTCTCACAGGATAAAGTCCCAACATGACCTACCATGTGGGGCGCTCCGTTCCTCGGGCTACTTCTGCAACCTCGCAGATGACGAACTCAGTTCCTCAAAGCATTCTCAGGTATTCAAGCTTGCTGTAGTGAAGTCATGAAGCCGAAGTTGTGGTCTCGGAAAAGCAGTGCACAGCTGTCGGAACGTTGGTTGAACAAGGGAACTGCACTGAACAGACCACGCGTGACGTCACCTGTATCGATCGTCTCGTCTTTCCTCAGGATGAACTTCTGGATGCTTGGTGACGCAGCATGATTGTATATTGTACACTTACGGTGACAGGAGGAAATGTCATACTGCTGCGATCAACAACTTTGATCTTTTCGACGTCTGATATCTGAGAAATAAATGCCAGTTAGCAGTTGGCAGTGCCTGCAGGCACTGCTGTTGCCCATTCAATATAACTGATTGCATGATGCACAAATGTTCAGAAGAGAAGCTGCCCAGCAGATCTGCTGATTGTTTGCCTGTCTGGCCACAATTGGTGAAAAGATAGTATGAGGTCACTTAAGTAGGGATGGATCCAGGCTCACAAGTCATCAATAAGCTTATTAATGACTTGTGAGCCTGGATCCATCCGTCCACACGTCTGCATCCGGATGCAGGACGTCCACGCATTGCATGAAAGTCTTTCATTTGACACAGCAGAGTTCAGAGCCGCATCAGGCTGCTGCAAACTGTGGTCAATGTGCACCGGCTGCTGCTGGCCATGTCTGGCAACAGCAGCCAAACTTCCAAGATGCCACGCCAGAGAAAATCTGGCTCAGAAGGGAGCTCCAAGCTCGAGCACGGCGTCCAAACGCAGCTACAGACGCCTGCATCTGGGAGAAGGTAGGCATATCATGTTCATATCTTTTGCGTCGAGGACTGCGATGCTCTGACGCATGCGCATGTTCACAGTTTGATGTAGCTGAGTTGCCATAAAACTTGCTGATTGCACTTGTGCGAGGTTTTCTCAGGATTTTGCCGATTGATCACATGCGGCGCACCTGGACACAGTTCAACATGACAGAGGCAGAGGCTGAGAGGGCGCACAAGCTGGGCACAGATGATAACGGCATAGTGAGGAGGTACAGCCACAAAGTTGACAAGACCCAGATGCGCTGCAGCATGGATGCGCTGGGGCCAACACTGGAGCTGGCACCGCCTGCGATTGAGCAGGTGAGGCAGTAATCCAAAAATGAGCTTGTCACATCAAGTAGGGTAGGTGCATTCTGGGCAAGTCAAGAGGTGGGGCTGCGGCTGCAAAACGGGCCCATTGCGGCCCCTGCTGAACCTACAAAGTGCTTTGGCTGTGCAAGCACACTGAGAGTAAGCAGGCAATTTATGGCCCATTGGAGCGAGTGCCCTTGTGCCTTTAGGAATGGGCTGATGCTTTCCAGGCTTGCTGACTCCATAGGTGCCTGACATGCTGCAGGAGTTCAAGGATGTGGCATATAGCTGTGCCAGCGGCCTCAGCGTGTTCCACGCAGCTGGACTGGAAAATTACGATGTCAAGGAGTCAAACACAGCCTGGCTCAATCAGAGAAACCGCAGCAGTGTAGCGCTGCTAGATGTCGACACTGCTAGCCCTTTGGACAGGAAGTCCGCCGCACGAATTGTCTGAATGGCTGGAAGGATGGCACACTGGATGACCAGGGCCGCTACACAGAGCTGAGTGACATGTATCAGATGGGACATATGCTCAGCAGGCTCAGCAGGGGCACAGGACAGCAGCATGTTCCTTTGTGAGGCCCTGAAGGCAAAGACCTTCCGTGCAAAAGAGCTGCTGGCGGATGAGTACCTGAACCTGTGCCTAATGCAGGTTGCAGATGGGCTTGTGTTGGTGCACTGCTGTGTGAATGCTGCTGTGATCCTAAACGTCCCGTCATTCGCTTGCCTATTTAGTTGAAGTTGTGAAAACACCTATGGATGAACAGCATCCCCGCAGCTGCCATGGCCATCAAGCAAGGTGTTCTTCAGAGATATTGCTTGATCCTGTGTGACCGTCAATAAATCATCCAGCGCTACTCAGAACCAAGTCAATGCAATATATTTGAGCCCAGGATTCCCTGAGCATGGCAGCAACTTGCCAGCCTCATGAAATGTGCGGCTTGGAGCGCGTGACACGCACGTGGCAAGGATAGGACGAACAAGCCACTTAAGGGCAAGCAAAATTCACATTCAATCAGCCCTCGAGCATGGAATGACATAGAATATCAATATTAGGCTATAATTGCTGCTGGAATGTTTCTGGAGAGGCAGCCGCAACTGCAGGCTCAAATGCCGCATGCAACTCAGCGAGTGCTGGTAGTCGAGCCTGCGGTTGGCGCGCCCCGATTAGGGCAAAGGATTCACGTGCGTCAATTCAAGGCAAACAAAACACCCCAACGATCAGCGCACAAGTTCCGTTGCTCCGCAGCTTCGAGCACTGGCAGCGGCCCCAGCTTCAGCACAAATGAAATAAAGGAAGAGCTGCCCAGGACGGATGGCAATGAACGCAGCTTAGACGACAGGATACTTTCTGGAGAGGTATTGCCCATTCTGATGCAATCGAGAAAGTCCTGATATGCTACTGCTGACATGGGTGTCAGTGTCAGCTTGGGCAGGAGACCTGCTCTAAGTGAATTCTTCTGTCTGCGTTTGTGATGCACAAGCATCCTCATCAATAAGAAAAACGAGATTTACAAAGAGCAGTAGCTTCTGGATGTCCTACTCGTTCACCTACTTGGAGTGTACTAATTGTCTAGGACGTAACTAAGGGCTTGGCATGTTTGCAGTTCACCGACCGGGGCTCAACAAAAGAGAGGCTGACGAGACCAATCCGGAAAGTTCTTGCCAAAGATCCTGTGGGACCAGGTAACACCCAAACTCCCGAGCATGTCCACCTGCAACTCCAGACTGCAAGCTCCTGCATTGCGCTGCCTGGTCTGTGCACCACTCATGCATGCAATGCTTCTGGTCGACAGGCAGAGGATTGGCGTACCAGCTCGCAAAGATCGGCCAGGAGTGGCGCGCGGCTGCGGCAGTGCGTATGCCGGAGGCTCGCGGCGACATCAGGGAGATTGTGGGTCAGCCGGTGTTTGTGCCGCTGCAGAAGCTCGCCATGATCTATGGCAAGGTCTGTGCTCTGTGGCTTACCAAACATGCTTCCACGCACTTTTGTCTCCACCCAGGAGCTTTTGATGTGTGCTCTTTGCCTGCCCCATGACTGACCTGACAAGCTGGGCAAGAAATCTGTCCGGAGCTCAGTCACAGGATCCAGAAGCAGAGCCAGAAGTCACTGTGTCACCGGCATTAAAGAGGCAGCCCAACGTTCAAATTTCCAGAGAGCTGTCTTAGGGGTGTTCCCTGATTACAGCCTGAAAGCAGAACAAGCCTATGTGGGCATGATGAAGTCAGCAAGGGGCCTTATCATGTGCTAGCGCTGCCTGGACAAGCAAGATTTCAAGGCAGAGTGTAGTGTAGCATAGCATAGCGTAGCATAGCCTAGCCTAGCCTACACGAAGGCAGTCAAGGTAAGCAGGAAAATTACAAGAAGGCGCTTAGTAACAAAAGTAAAGGCTTACTAATGACTGCGCAGGTGTTCCGGCTGTCGTTCGGCCCTAAGAGCTTTGTGGTGGTGTCGGACGCAGCGGTGGCGCGCCACATCATGATGACTAACGCCGCCAACTACTCCAAGGGCATCCTGTCAGAGATCCTCGACTTTGTCATGGGCTCTGGTGAGCCACTCCCTCTACCCTCATCGCTCACTCTTGCTCCAACAGAAGTCAACTTCCACCGGATCAAAAGAATTATGGACGCATGTGACCTAAAACCACCGAGATCTTTTGCGTGCTTGTGGTACCCTGCATGCTTGTGAAAGAGCCTTGCTGGCTGACCTGCCTTGCCTTCTGCTGTCCTTGCTTACACCGGATGCTTGCATCTGCATGGGGGCATGCATTTTTCCATGCATTGTTCCATGCTCAGCTTCCCAGCAGGTCATCTCTCTGGGACACATGATGCCTTGCAGTGCCGCCATGTCCAAGGCCAGGCGTTGGCCCAGGCTTTGCAACTCGCTGCAATGGCGATGTGAGTCACATGCAATCTGTGACGCAATGCGCCGCCGTACATCATGCCGTCAATGTGGCCTAGCCTGCGCCACTCGTGTCCGGCCCGAGGGATCCACCAATCACAGTCTGGCAGCTCACTGCTAGAATGGATGGAAAGATAGAGGAATAATGCAGGCTATATGGTGACATATGGGCCCCGGCTGCCGGGGGGCTGTACAAATACTGAGCGCCGTGCCCACGGTTGATTGGGTCTTGCTTGGATCTGGCGAGTCCAACAAGGGGTAGGATGGTGGCAGCCTTTAACTGCAGCTCGTCTGCAGGACGCACCTTGCCTTTTGGCAGGAAAAGCATATAATGATAATAACAATAATAGTATGGTGACACAGGAGTTAAGTTTGGGGGGTCTGTTGGGGTGCTTAGATGCCGATTCCTTGCACAGGTTCGCGTGGGCAAGGGGCATAGGTTTAAATTAGAGGATAAACACTCTAACAAGGGCCGTTGCTTTGCACTGGTGCGCAGGGCTGATCCCGGCTGATGGAGAGGTGTGGAAGGCCCGGAGGAGAGTGGTGGTGCCGTCCCTGCACAGGAAATACATTGCCAACATGGTCGACATGTTTGCGGACAGCGCCTTGCACGGCGTGGCCACCCTTGCAGCTGCACAGGAGGCGCGCATTTTGCTTTCAGTGGCTGAAGGTTGATTTGGGCATGCATGCATGCACTCAGACCCACATGATGCGATGCATGCCGCAAACTGAGTACAGGAGCAATTTCATAGAGTAGAAATAATGTTGATTGGAATGTTCTGCTGAAGCCTGGGGCGTGACTGAAGAGACTGAGGTCATGCATGCCCTGTCACATAGTGAGATGAGGTATCCCAGGGCGCTGGCAGTCTGCTGCCATGTGCCGTTGCATTGCCACCGTGCCCTGATGGATAGCAGGTTCTCAAGCGAGTCCTGAGAGCTAGTCATGCTGTGTTGAGGAAGTGTGTCTGTGCAGATTTTGAGTCCGCTTGCCTCAATCTGACCTTGCACACCTGCAGCAGGCACCCTGCATGTGATGTGGGGAAAAATAAGAAGCCTTACACTAACACTAGAGCAGCTTTGGGTACCCCTTGCTTATTCTGCATGAAAGGTGACGGAGAAACACAGGGTCTCTGATATCATCCCGCCTGGATTATTTGCAGGCGGGGCGCGCAGTCGAGATGGAGAATTTCTTTTCGCGGCTGACGCTGGACATTATCGGCAAGGCCGTGTTCAACTACGACTTTGACTCGCTGACTCATGATGACCCCGTCATCCAGGCGCGTTCCCTCCTCCACTATCTCACAATGCCTGATGACTGGACTAATTTGGGCCTCCAGGCAACCATGCCCACTGTGTGGCTTTGGAAAGTTTGCAATCGAATGCATGGCACTTCTCTCAATGCGCGCCTACCGTTGAAGTGATATTGCTGCTTTGAGAGTGGAGATAACAGCGTCACAATATCAGGCTGGAGCACTTTGGCAGCAGTTGCTGTCAGGAAACATGCCGTAAAGTGCTCATTACCTGGCAGCTTCTGCAGCTTCTGGTTCTGGTGCAGCTCTGGTTCTGACTTTGAGTTGTGTTTGTACTTGTGTCAGGCGGTGTACACCGTGCTCAGAGAGGCAGAATACAGGAGCACATACCCACTGCCATACTGGCAGGTGTGCCCTGAACCTCCCTAGATCCCTACTCTGACACTCACATCATTGACACTATTGGACTGCACCCTCCAGGGAGACTTGCCTAGGGAGCTCGGAAAGGCTGTGCTTGCACGAAAATATGCTCCTGCCTTAAAGCCCCTTACTTGGCCTGCATCCTAGAAACGAGTGCAGGTCAATTTCGTGACGCTATTCTGCATTGAGCGCATCCAGAGTACTACTGCATATTATTTGAATGCATTGTGAGTGTAAACTGGCCCCCGCTGGCAAACGGGGGGGGCTGTACAGGCACCAAACACCACGCCCACAGTAGACTGGTTCTTGCTTGGATCTGGCGAGTCCGCAAAGGGGGTAGATATTGTGGCAGCATTGGCATGCTTGTCTGCACCTTGCCTCTGGCAAGAAGAGCGTGTGAACGTATTACTAATGAATGGTGCACCAATAAGAATTATGTGCATGTGCAGCTGCCCCTTATGATGTGGCTGGTACCTCGCCAGCGCCAGTGCGTGGAAGCTCTACGCATCATCAACACCACTCTGGACTCGCTCATCGCCAAGTCCAAGCGCCTGGTGCGAGCACAGCCTGAACCTCCAATGACTCTATCTTTACAATTTGAGGGTCTGTGTTTCTCGAGATCAAGGGCCACAGTTGAACACCGCGCATGCATCAGGGCTTTCTAAGTAGAGGAGACTTCGTTGAACTGCAATTTCTCTAGCATTATTGCAGGGTCACATGCATTGTGCAGCAGGACAGTAGCAAGGAGAAATGTCTCCATTAAGAGAGTTTGGGCTGTTCAAACAGCCGCCTCTGCACCCTGCGCCACCTCAGCAAGCTCCCACTAACTTGCTCCACTATGCTTCTTGCTGCATCGGCTGAGTTGGCCAAAACATGCCCATAAGGCCTCCCTCCAGCTAGAGATCAGCTGTGCTCCCAGAATGGTAGCTTCTGCTTGGCGCTAAGTAACCTGGCTCTTGTGGTCGGGAGGGAAAGTCATCGTGCAAAGTAAGCTTGCCAAGAAACACTAGCAGGAAAGAGATGCGTTGAGCATGTATGGCTTTGTCAAGGTGAAGCATGGTCTGAATCACTAGCCATAATCTTCGTCCTGGACAGATGGAAGGTGGGGAGTGATTTTGTGCTTTCAGCATGGGTGGCATTGCTGACATCAGCGAGTTTGATCCTGAAATCGAAGTTGCGCGCAGTTCGACGAGGAAGATCAGGAATTTCAGCATGGGTGGCATTACTGACATCAGCGAGTTTGATTCTGAATTCAATAATTGCGCGCAGTTTGACGAGGAAGATCAGGAGTTTGGCGAGGACTATCTGAGCGACAAGGATCCCAGCATCCTGCACTTTCTGCTCGCCAGTGGCGACGAGGTGGGGCCACTCCTCCTCACATAAAAATTGCTGGCATTTTCATAATATGAATTTGCGAACCGAGCTTGACGCGTTGCAACTTGTGCACTGCTCTCTACTCCTGAGCTGTGTATGGTGCACCAATCTAACAGTGCAGGACTAGTATAAAAAAGCTGGGTTCTGCCCGATCAAAAGCAAGATCACTTGAGGTTAGACGTTTGCGCCAATGAAGCTCTGATTTCAATGGATCTAATTTAGAGGAAGTGGGCTTGCTTGGGGTGCAGCAAGCTCCATCAGTTGTGACATTTGCTTGTCCAAGATTTTGTTCAGAACAGATAGGTGAGGACAGGTAGTCTTGAGGTTGTCATTAGTTGAATTTGGCTCTGAGCAGTTGGGCTTGCTGTGGGCAGATCACAAGCATGCCCTCTCACAGGATGGAGAGGCTCTGAGTACTTTTGCTTTCAGATCACCAACGAACTCTCTCACTCGTGACTTTAGCCTCCTCAAAGGCAGGACTAAGTCGGGAGCTGATGTTCAGAACAGGCAGTCCTTATATACCAATCAGAATGGACTTGGCTCTCAGCATTTGGCCGAAACCACATGGGGCATTTGAGCATCAGTAATGTCTGGGAGCAGATTCAATATTCATTCATGCCGCATCAATGCATGCAAGAAACATGTAAACTCAAATCGGTGACAATGTCTTGTCCAACAGATCACCAGCAAGCAGCTGAGGGACGATCTGATGACGATGCTGATAGCGGGCCATGAGACGACCGCGGCAGTGCTGACGTGGACGCTCTTCTGCCTCACAGATCGGCCCGACGTGCTCCGGCGCATGCAGCAGGAGGTACGCCCCCTCACCCGACCCAACTCTTCGTACCCCCTCGCCCCTCTCAAATAGGAAAGGATTGGTGTCTGGTCTTGTATCTTTTTAAAGCATGTTGCAAACTCATTGATGGTGTTAGAAAAGAGATGGTTCTGAAAGCATCTAATACCGACCGTTTCCTTGAGGCCACAGAGTAATGTCTTGACCAGAAGCTTGTTGTGCGCAAAGAGATAAAAACCGAGAATCTATAAAGACCTTGGCGTTTTCAAATTTCTCAAGTAGACTATCAATTAAGAAGAGATGTGTAATTCACGCAAAAAGTTTAACATGCTATTCAACTGACTCATGAACATTGCTTAGCGGGAAATTCCCCGATGTAATTTGCAAGTGTGACTTGCTTCTCGTGCAAGGCCCCGGCAGGCGGGGGACGATTTACATATTGAGCACTGTGAGATGGATTAATGAGTCTTTCTTGGATCTGGCGAGTCAAAAACGGCTTGAAGATGCATGGCAGAGCTTACCTACAGACGCACATTGCCTTTGGCAGGAAAGCATGTAGGAATGTGATAGTAATGATAAGCCCAGTGGATCTTAGGCTGAACAAAAGGAAGGGAGACTGCCCTGTCGCCGTTGTCTCTGTCACTTGGCTGCTGGCTTCAGCTGTCTTGAAAGTGGCTCTTGTGCTGCCACTGCCTCCAAACACTGCATTTCTTTCACCCAAGTAAGATGTGTCATGTGAACAATATCTGGACTCTATATCTCAAGAGCAGCTGCAAGGCATCGAGGGCATCTGAGATGCTGCAACCGGGACCACCACCGCCGCTGGCAATCTCTACTGATGGTGTCTGTGGTTTACTGATCATTACTCATCGTTACTAATGGCAATTCATTCTGCTGTGCAGATAGACGAGGTTGTTGGAGATGGGAAGCCCAGCATGGATCAGCTGCGGTCACTGCGCCTCACAACACGCGTGGTGAGACATACAGTTATTGTTATTACTATTATTATTATTATTACACGCTTTTCCTGCCGAAGGCAAGGTGCGTCTGCAGACAAGCTGCATGCGAAGGCTGCCAAATTTCTACCCCTTGTTGGACTCGCCAGATCCAGGCAAGACCCAATCAACCGTGGGCACGTGCTCAGTATTTGTACCGCCCCCCGCCAGCCGGGGCCATACAATACAATCACCATATTGCCATATAAGACATTCATTGGACAACACGTTTGCCTGAAGGTCCACACACTTTCCACAGAGAGCATGACCATCATAAGAGAGGCGCGCCTCGCGAAGGAGATCTGCCTGTCTCTGTAGTGCAAGGAGGGGCAACGAATAAATGTGCATGCTCTGTCCTGAATAGGATGCGTGTCTCAATTTGTAGCTGAATTTTGAGGTTTGCGGCAAGGTCACTCCGGAACAGGATGTCCTTGAGTATCTCAGCTTACGATTCAAGGGTTGTGGCTGATATTCCAAGGGTTGTGGGCAAGGTTATGGCTGTCAATTATCAAAGCTGATATTTCAAGGGATTTGGGCACTTAAAACCTATCAGTGGCGTTGCTGATAATCCAAGGGGCGTGAACAGGTGAATGAGGCGATGCGGCTGTACCCTCAGCCGCCGGTCCTGATCAGGCGCGCTCTGGAGGACGACGTTTTGGGCGGCTTCCACGTCTCGGCAGGCTCCGACATCTTCATCTCTGTCTGGAACATCCACCGGTGAGTCAGCATGAGTGATCATCTTGCATGTTGGTGGGTCAGCATGAGGAATCACTGCATGATGATCGGGGTGTGGCCGGGGTCTTTGCTGCTGCAGTATCTCAAACATCTTAAGCTCTCCAAGACTTTACAGAAAGAAGATACCAAGTCAAGTCCAGGGCTCTCACCTGGTGCTTATTCCTTGTCCTTTGCCTCACACGCCTTCCGGATTGGTGTGATCAGCAAAAGTAAATGCTGGTGCAGAGGCTCATCAGAGCATTCCGAGGCAGTGAGATTGAGGAAGCTGGGGGATCAAGAAATCGGGAGGTGGCCTGCGAGCTCAGCAATCCCTTCCCCTTATATGTCCTCTTTTCGCAAGAAAACGCCACCTTTTGTAAGGTGACCCACATTTGTACTTGCCTGACCGCTCCAAGAAAGATTGTGATTGTGCAGGGATACTGGGTACTGGACTCGGCCGGAGGATTTTGACCCGGATCGGTTCTCTCTGGAGGGCCCCGTGCCAAACGAGACAACTGAGAACTTCAACTACCTGCCCTTCGGGGGCGGCAGGCGAAAATGCATAGGCATGCACTTCCTCTTGCGCCCCATGTTGCCATCCCTGACACACACAAAATACAGATACTCTCTTATGCGGTTTGCATGCGCGCCTTATCCAGGACAACAACATTGCAACCTCTCAGCGCATCCTGATTGACTGCATGAGAAGCAGTGTCGCGGAATGCCAAGTTTCAACATTTCCTTGGTGCATGGCTATGCCTTGGTATCACAGACTGCAGCTGCAGCCTGAATATTTCAGCTTTCTGCGCTGTCTTGCCGTACCTGTCAGCTGACCATGCATTTTATATCCCGTGCATGCCACTTGATTATTATTTTTTATATTACTACATGCTTTTCCTGCCCAAGAGGCAAGGTGCATCCTGCAGACAAGCTGCAGTGCACGGGATTAGTCTGCTCTGATTATTTGTGCGCTCTTCTCTAGGTCTACATCGGTGGGCTCCTTTTAAACTTCCACCCAACTGACTCACCCAGCTGCTGTGGCGTGCAGGTGACCAATTTGCGCTGTTTGAGTCGCTGTCAGCGCTGGCCGTTCTGCTACGGAGATTCGAGTTTCGAATGGCTCCAGGCGCGCCACCCGTCAACATGACTACGGTGCGGCTCTATTCTCTTGAACTTGTAATCTCTGTTTTGTTTTGATGCAGTTTTTGCCGATGGCAAATCTGCAGGACGTCGATATAAACAGATCCTTCCCTTGCAAATTCTATGGCCAATATGCAGTGTTGACAGCTTCTGTCAGCTCCATTACTTCCAATTTTTCAAAGAGACTTTGTGAGTCATTGCTTTGGCACCTGACGGGCTTCCGGATTTGACAAAGATACCGGGGTTGAGCTTCTTGATTTAGCTTCATGAAGGGTTGCATGTACCAGATGCGAGGCTCTCATATCAGTCAAGTGGTGGTGCATCTCACTCAAACTCCATTGCTCCCAGATCTCACATGCAGCAATGGGCAAACTCAACTTAGCCGATCCCTCGCAATATACACCCCACATATTTTGAGCTCCTTGAGACTCCCGAAGAAGTCCCAAGTCAAGTTGGCAGGGCCGCAAAACTTCTCCGTAGAGTCAACATTTCTGAGTGTGATCCTGCGCGTGACAGGGAGCAACCATCCACACATCGGAGGGCCTGCTGATGCAAGTAGTGCCGCGGACAATTACAGATCCGCTCGAGGGCGTTCCTGTCAATGGCAAATTAGTCATCACCCCTGCAGCTGCCACCCTCAGCGCCAGCACCGTCTGATGTGCCTTCACAGCCTCTTATGTCATGGCGAAATTCTTACGTAATTGCGCACATGCTTCGGCAGACGTGTTTGCCAGGTGCACTCTCTGAAGAGGTGCATTGCCTGGGTGGATTGCCTGGGTGGTCCAAAAGGTGGATAGGGGGCAGAGAGCCTGTAAAGGTGCATGGCTCATTTTGCTGGCGAGCTTGGGTGGGGGGAGAGCTTGATTTGGCGCATGGCTGCTTTTGGCGCATGGCTCGAGAGCAATATTCAACTAGACACAGGTGCACGGCCCGATTTGACTCGGAGACCGATCTGGAGCATTGCCCTCTTTTGGCGCGCGGCTTGAGTAGGCGCTGAGCCTTGCTGCATGCACAGCGTGCAATAGGAGCCTTCAGCTTGGTTGGGTGCTTTTTCAGGCAGAGCGAGTGCAGCTGATGCAAGGCAGTGCGAACTTTAACTTGTTCCAGACAGCTGTTATCGTGCCTTGCAGAGAAGAATTACTTGCCGTGCTGTGCATAGCAGCCACGCAGGGTGCACAAGCAGAGTAAGCATCTGGTCTCATCTGAGCATCGTGCTTTTTTCTGCTGATCAAAAGTGTTTTGAGCACTTGTGTGCGACGCCCCCATTACATGGGTTTTTGCTCCTCTGCATGCCAGATTCATCACCAATCTGCAGCATGAGTGTTCCCGGTTGCAAGCTTCCTGTGATGCCAGCGTTGCAGTTTTGCCTCCTGCTCGGCGTTTTGCACCCTGCCGGCAATTTTGCACAGGCGGCCAAGCCCCCTTGCTCCCGACAGGAGAACCTGTCCTGTTTTAGCCACCAAAATCCCCCTTTTTCCATGGAAGCTTATGTGGCACACAACCCTTCAGGCAGGTTTGTGACATGACTGAGAGGCCCTTTGAGAGCCCTTTGACAGAAGGACAGCTGCTAGACATCGAGTGATGGCATTTTAGGGTGCTCTGAACTAGGGATGACACAAGGTCACAATAAGAGCGTGAGGTTGGCTTCTTGACTGAGAAGGAACAGGAATGTTAGTGTGAGTGCTCTGCTTTTGTGCGCTGTCTCAAGTCTTGATACCCTGACAGTAAGGTGTCCTACTAAGGTGTGTCAGTACAGGAGTCTAGCTTCAGGGGTGTTTCCTTTGGTTGGTCACAGATGACTGCTTAGTTTCTGCTGTCATAGGTTGCAGCTGCGCATGCAGGATGCTTCCAATAGCATGCAATGCATGTGATCTATGAAGATGCAGTTTGACTGTCCAAAGTTTCATGTCTTCGGCTTTGCTTGTCCCAACACATGTCTGTAAGTGTCCATGTAGCCATTCTTAAGATCCATCTTGGTGCATTCTCGTGGGATCTTTGATGCCCGGATCTCGAGGCGAGTGAGGGCCGCTCCATTGGTGACTTGGAGTGCTTGCACCTGGTGCTTGAATACAAGCTCTGAGTACCGGCTATGGTAGGCTAGTCTCATATTTCTCTTTAGGGTGTGTTATGGGGGGCTCCGAGTTCTCCAGAAGCAATCATGAAGTTGCCTGGTAAGCATTACATAATCGGGTGGAGTAACTATGCAACAATCCATTGAAGGGACCCTTTTGGCGGTGAACGAATATATTCTAAAAGCACGTAAGAAGACCAGCATCAGGCCATGAATAGGATAAAACTTTTTTGAAAAATCCCCTGATATTTCCACACCAATACAATGAAAACCGACAATGAAACTAAAGTAATTAATTGCAATGTCATATCTCCCCCTACAAATTATTCCCTAGCACTATTCACCAAAAAAAAGACACCTAGACAACTTTTTGCCATGCAGTCTCCCATGTCCTAAGACAAATTTCTTGGATCTATAAAATAAACTTTGGAACCCATCATGGTCAATTCAGAGTGCTGAGTACAGCACTGCCCCTACGCGCGTACGCATGCATGGGCCCAAGGTCATCCATTCGATACAGCCAAGCACTTCAAGAGCCTCTGAGAGAGCATTGCATTTACTGTAAGTGTGGGGCCAAGTATATTCTTTTTGTGCTTGCGCACATCATTTCGCCAGCCCAGATCGAAACCAGTCTTCACAGTTCTTGCAGCAAGACCCATAAGATGAGCACATCCTCATCAGCCCCGACAAAATAAAGGCCACCAATGCTGACTCATCTCATGTGCTGTGCGCAGGTGAACCAAGTGGTGTCAAACACAACAGTGAGGATCGTGGATCAGCAACCAGGCGCTCAGCAGCTTCTAGAGCAACCTGACTTCCCTGCAGCTCACCACACTCACAGAGACGCAGCAGGTGCTTGCAATAGGGGCAAAGGATCTTTCTTATGCGGCATGCATGCAGTGCGGATGTAACTGCTTACTCACAGCAGCATGTTCTCAGGCATGCAAAAAAGGCAGGTGCTTTCTGCCAAGTAAGAGTTTGCCCAGATCCAACTGCAATCAGGGACAAAGGACTTGTGCGCAGCACGGGCATGTCTGTTCCCTTTGGTAATTGTAAGTCGCACATGCATGCAATGCACTCTTCTACACATCAGCAAAAGCAGCACATGCTGCAACTTGGCGCCCTGCAATCCACCAAGCATGGCAAGTCCAAGGCCCTACACGCACATATGCGAAGCAAAGAATTTTGCTCGTTTGTGACATTCCTGGTAGGCCCCGAAAGGCTCACCACATTGTTCAGCAGGGTGGTGGTGGTGCTGACACTGATGTCTGTCAGGTTCTGCAGGAGGGTGGTAGGACACTCGATGCGGGTGATCACCAGATTCTGCAGTATGGTGTTTATAATTATGGCGGCTATGATGTTTGCCGCGGTACCGATAAGCGTTTGGTTGAGCAGTGCTGTGAGCACAAAACCCACCTTAAGAGCCTATTACTAGCTCTCCCTGACCCTCTGGGGAGGGGCGGGGTTCCTGGGGGCAGGGCCCCCGCCTCGGGGTGTCCCCCCCGCAAGCCCGCAGCTGAGGCCATGCATGTTTTGAATGCTGCACATGTGTACAGGCCTCCCTTCATCCGAAGATTGAGGAGGTCATGTGGAGCCGGCTACGCCCATTGCGTATGATCCTGCGTTCCCGAGGGAAAATAAAAAAATACTGGAAAAGAAAAAAAGTACGATGTGTCGACTGTGGGGTTCGAACCCACGCCCTTTCGGACCAGCGCCTTAAGCTGGCGCCTTAGACCACTCGGCCAAATCGACGACTCCACCTCTTTCGAGCGTTGATGGCAATCCATCTTTAACTACCTGTTATAAGCGGGTCAATTTTGCGACATCTGCCCCAACATCGTTGCCCCCATCAATTTGTCAAACAATAAAAATAAAAGTGGAACAGAAAACAGCAAAAAATTACAGAGTGCTGAGGAGGCACAGCTCGACCGCCGCCAAGGCTTGCCCCCGGGGAATCTTATCTTGAGGACAACCGTCATCGGTCCTCACCATGAAGAACCGCGTGAAAACTTATGCTCAATCATCTGTCCCTGTACCTCTTCCAAACAGATGCCTTGTTCTCAAAGTTTCGCATTCTTGACAACAACGCAAAATGTATATCTGTCCCAGGAAATGAAGGCCTACCATGACCTGTCTCATTGTGAGAATACCTGTTCAACAGAAGTAGCTGCACCCTTCACCCTGATTCAGACAACATTGTTCTTATGCTTGTGATTCCTTCTACTGTGCCTGTCCCTTGTCTCAGCATGACCCACTTGCGACAGCATGTGAAGGGAGAAGTCACCTGTGGTTGCATTGAGCTTTTGCAGCGCCTGCAGCAGCACAATCTGGATGGTGGTGTTGGCTGCATTGGTAAGCCCCTGCTCAGCAGATTGGACCCAGTCTATTCACCGGCAGCATACCTCACTCAGCAGGCTTAATATGGTTTTGGTCCCCAAGCACACCAACGAGTCCGCCATAACCTGCGCCCCCGCTTCCTGGGATCTCCTGGACTCCCTCTTACATGCAGCATGCAAGCTCATTGCAGCCTTGCACTACACACAACCGCCCAACCAAGCTCACATGTGCAGCAGTTCTGAGAGCACAGCAGACAGGGAGAGCCACCCAAGTCTCTACAGATGTCATTAGATAGCCCTCCCCCTCCGCCCCCCGGGGGACATATTGGCATGCGGGACAGGGCAGCCAGCATGCATGTCTCCAAATTACAGAGACTCCACTGAAACAACGAATTGCAGTAGCTACATCCCATCTCATGCACCTGCCGTTTTGAATTTCAACTTATGCGCAGAATTTGCGATGCCGGTCGGCATGTCTCAGAACGAAAATTTGGCTTCCCGGCAAGTACCTTGGAAACTTGTGGATCTGCTGTATTTAGCCCTCGTCGCCGGCCTTCTTAGCTCCATCTTCATCTCAGTGGCCCCACATGTCTTTCCAACGACTTGGCCGTGTCAGAGTCTTCTCCTTGCTTGCCTTGGGTCTGCAGGAGTGCAGGGGACAACTGCCTACTTTGGCAGCCCTTTGAAAAGGAAGCAGAAAGACTTATGACCTCTTCGAGATACAGCCTGCATGTGATGCGTTGAGGAGGGTATGCATTCTTGTATAGGGAACAGAAGATTAGCAGGATAAAGCGCATGCACGGTGCAGCTGCAGGCGCAGCCTTCCAAAATACAGAACAATGCAGATTCTGCTCTGATATCGGTGGAGCACTGCATGGCAATCAGAATCGCTCATGCGAATGTCGGCGCGCAAGTGCTCAAGCATCACGACGCATGCAACTACCAGTACTCTTTTTATGGCCAGTGCCACAGCCGGCTGCACTAGAGAGTGAAAAGGTAGGGGCCCGGGGTGTTTGAAAAGTTTAGTCTTACACATCATCCCAGTGACTGCACCAAATCTCTTGCAGCTGACACTGCATCACAAGGTACCATCCAGTCCCAAGCACTTGGAGCATGCACCACAGCGGCAAGCATCATTTTTGTACTGCTCCCAGTCAGCATCAGCTGGGAACCACACTTCTGTCTTATGGCTGCAAGGCCGGGGCTCGACTGCCAGATGCTCCCTCAGCAGAGCAGCAGTAGCTGGGCACAGCTCACTTTGCAAGCACATATACAGGTCCCTAATGCTGTCCGCAAAGGAGGCAAGATCAGGGGTAACAAGCTGCAAGGAGCCTGCCATGACCACAAACCTCTCCAAGCGCACATCAGCACTGAACTCAACATCCACACGTTTATCGCTGCGGATATCTAGGTGCCTCAACTTCTGCAGGCACTTGCCCACCACCAGTGGAGAGCCAGAGAAGAAATCAGAGCAGTCCAGCCGCAGGGAGATTATGTTTGCTATGGGCTCCTGTCCTGAGAAGGCACTGGCTATCGGTTCCAGATGATAGGTATCCCTATAGTCATGTAAATGCCAGGTGTCGCACGCATCAGGAAGCTTCACATAGTGGCCGGGCAGCATTTTCAGCCCTTCACAGAATGCCGCAAAGTCACACTCGATGCTGACATGGCAGCCGGGCGGAACCCTCACCGACTCAGGGGCAACCATGACAAAGCGCACAACAGAGAGCCCCTTGGAACCACGCATGTCCAGAGCCTTGGCACGTCGGCAACAGGACACCGGTTCATCTTCCCAAAGGTCATAATCATCCACATCCAGTTCCTCTTTTTGTTCCCAGTCCTGATGAGAGATGTACAGCGTTTCCAGGCACTGCAGCTGCTGCAGAGCCCTGCACCCCTGCTCCTCAATGTCATCTTCGACATTTAGCAACAGGTGCTTGAGTGTATTCACCAGCGGCATATCCAGAGTTGTCAGCTTGAAAGACAGCGTCTGCACATGGGCAGCCTGCTGCACAAAGCATGCCAGCAGTGCACTCCACTCATCCCCCTTCGCCCGTCGAATGTGCTCGCAGATGGGACAATTTTTAGTGTCCAAATCCACAAGGTATCTTTCACCAAAGTCTCTACGGAATTCATTGATCACGCATTCGCTGCACTTGAGATCCTCTGCAACTGGGGCACTCAACTTCAGGAGCTTGAGCTGGGAAAGCTGATGGACCTCCTTCATCATCGTCATGGCGCATTTTGCAATAGTGTGGTGTTTAGTGAGCTCCATGTCCAGCGAGAGGTCACGAACTTGCTTCCAGTGCTTGATGAGCCATCGAAAGTCCCGGATCTGCCTGGGCATCAGAGTGATACTGGATGGCTGCACGCTGTACATCGTGCGGCATGTGCGGCTGACGGACATCCACTCCATTGTGGTCATCTTGCTGGCAATGATCGCCCATATCTCCTCAGGTAGTTGGGGCATGTGCGTGACTGGTGTTGAGTCCTCTGTTTCCATGGTGCTGTTGATCCTGCTCACACTCCCTCAGATCAGACATGAGAAGAAACAGAGTTTGACATATATCATTCCTAACTTCACTTCCAATAAAATGCACATATACATCAATCTGCAGACACATGCTGCTGCTCTGGAGCACGTCTGCCGAGGAAGGTCTAAGATTTGGACTAACAGCCATATTAACAACTACCTCATGCCTGCCAAGTCACGGAATATATCAACTCCATATTGGGCATCGTGCAAGCTGGATACAACATAGATCGCTTACCTTGGAAACCTGCGACCTGCTTCAGCTAGCCCTCGTCAACGGCGTTTCCAGCGCACCCTTCATCTTATTGCCTTACCATATTTATGCATTGGCTGGCAATCTGTTTCTCAGAGTCTTTCTCTTGGCATGTCTTGAGGCATCCCGTAGCTGAGGAACTGCTTATTTTGGCACCATGCTTGAACTTCTAATCTACCTGCGATGGGATGAGCGAAGTAGGAAGTTTTGCTGAGCCTATGAAGAGACAATTCGATATTTATCGCAATGTCAACATGGCTAATTTTCAGAGATCCTCTCATGAGTGATCACAGTGTTGAAGCCAGCATTCGCGCGTGCGCATGCGCATGCGTTCAACGCTAATGTTGATTGGGCATGCTGCAGCCTAATATAATTAATTTAGCTTATGGGCTGGAGGCATAGCTGGCCAGATCACTGATTGTAACAATCATTGTAAGCATCAATGTTGGCATGCTCAGCCTATTAATCATGATGATCATCGATGATGCATGCAACGTTGTAAACTATGAATAGGAACCTTGGCTCCTGGCCATGGTGGCTAGTAGCCCATAAAAATTGCAGTGATGGGGCATTGATAACATCGAGGATGTTCATTTTCACACATCATCCCAGTGGCTGCAATTGCACTGCTGCAGCTAAAAGTAGAAGGTATCAGGATATGCTTGACTTACATCTCATCCAGTCCCAAAACCTTGGTGGATGCACCCGCAGCGGCGGGCATCTTTGAACATGTCCCAGTCCGCATCAGCCGGGAAGCACACTTCTGTCTTGTGGGGCCCCAAGGGCGGGCTCTGAGCTTGACAGCCAAGTGCCTGCTCAGCAGGGCAGCAGTCACCAGGCAGAACTCATAGTCCCCAAAAAAGTATAGCTCCTTTATGCTGGCTGCAAACATTGACAGATCATATACACTCAATCGCAGCGACTCTGCCCTGACAACAAACCTCTCTAACCGCACAGCAGCAATGAAGATGATCTGCACACCCCTCTTGCTGCGAATGTCTAGAAAGTTCAAAGTCTGCAGGCACTCACCGACCATGAAGGGATCCTCAACAGAGCCAAACTCAGAGCAATCCAGCCTCCGAAAAGAAATGGTTGCAACTGGTGCTCGTGCTGACAAAGTAATGGACAAATCTCTTGGGGGCAAGAAGTCTGCGTGGTCACGCAAATGCCAGGTGGCAACCTCATCAGGAAGCTCTCAATAGCAATGTATTAACGCATGTCTTGCTGTACAAAACGGTAGAGTCATACTCGATGCTGGCATGGCAGCCCTTTGAGACCTTGATAGATGCTGGATTGACATTCACAAAACGCACAGCAGAAAGCTTGTTGGAAACCCTGCAGGTTTAGAGACTTGATGCGCGGACAACGGGACTCCTGATCATCAAAGAAATCTTCAACAACGCCGTATGGATTGTTCCAATTCTGGCGCGAAACATGCAGTGTTTCTAGGAGCTCCAGCTGCTGCAGAGCCCGGCACCCCTCTCTCTGATTTCATCCTTGATATCCAGCAGCAGGTGCTTGAGTATCTTCAGCAATGGCACATCCAGAGTTGTTGTCCTGAAAGACAGCGTCTGCACCTGGCCTGCCTGCTGCACAAAGTATGCCAGCAGAGCAGTCCACTGGTCACAGTCGTCACCTTTGCTCCTCTGCAGCTGCTCACACTCTGGACAAGGGCCATCGCCGCGTGGATTGTAATCAAGGTCATACTCACTGTGGTGATCCTCCACGATGCGCATGCATGCAATCATCGCATCAAGCATAGTCAACTGGAGCGCAGAGCTTCTAGTACCTCAGCTGAGAAGCTGGTTGACCTCCGACAACATTGCTGTGGCACATCTCGCAATATTGTGGTTGCTGGTGTGCTGCATATCTAGTGAGAGGCCACAGACTTGCTTCCAGTGTTTGACGAGCCCACCAAAGTCCCGGTATTGCCTGGGCACCAAGCTGATGCTGGCTGGCTGCAAGCCGTACATCGTGCGGGAGGTGCGACTGACGGACATTTACTCCCTGGTGGTCATCTTGCTCGCAATAATTGGCCATATCTCCTGTGGGAGTTGGGGCACTCGCACGATTGGTGGTGACTTCTTTGTTTCCATGGTGCTACCAATCCTGCACAGGATCGTCCAGCGTCACGTATGCGAGTACCGATGACCTTTATTTCCTTCAACATCTTAAAATCTCTGAAAATAGCCCATCAGTGTGATGCTGACACAGTGCAGCTGTCCTGCTGCGATGTAAGATATGGGTTTTCTCGGGACAAGTGGCAATACAAGCTTGCTTCTTATACTATCCAATCCCGGTATGACACTCTGCAGTTCTGATTGGCATCGTGCAGCCTGGCAAAGACAAGTAGAAGGATCGCCTTCCAGAATCAGAAGCTCTCACTTCCCCAACTCACCATGCAAAGGCGCACGCATATGACTCTTTTGTCGCCTGATCTTATGTTCGCATTGTGTTGCCTGCCTCTGCGAACTTGTGTTGCCTGCGGCAGCCTGCCTCTGCGAGCTTACAAGGCATGCGCAGGCAGCAGGCCAAACCGCGGGTTTAAAAACCTACATTCACCCCAAAATATTAAGATAAATAATTGCGCGCGCAATATCAATTTGAATGCTGCCTCTGACAAAGGTTTTGTCACAAAACGTAAACCAGAGACCATCCATCTTTCTCGAAGAGACAAGGCAGAGAGAGAGGCCAGCCGACGATAGTGAAGCCTTTTGCCGGTAAGCTTTCCCTTACTCTAGCCTCTTGAGTTGCTCGTTTTGCAGGCGAGGTGTCCGACGATGGCGCTCAGAAGCCAATATATTGTCCGGAGCTGCAGGGCTGCTGCCTTACAGATGCTCACATTGTTCATGTTTGTAGCATGATGAATGCAGAGCGTGGCCAAACTTGCGGCCGCATCAGTTGTATAATTTAACCATGTAGTGCGATTTATTTGAATTTCCCGGCCCTCATATATCGTGCTTTCAGGGCATGCGCGACTTGATGTTGCATCTCTTTCAATTGATTCTTGCAGGTTGTCACCAAATTTGTCACTATGGGAACGGGAGTTGCATGCGTGGTAGTGTCTTTGCTGTCGATGATCATCCTGGGACAGGCTACCCTGCTGCCAAGCATTGGTGCGCGACCCTCAACTGGCTAAGGCGCTTGTGATGATGTGATGATTCTGCGCCTCTCTATTGTTCACCGTGTTTTGGAATTGCGCCAAAAAAGAGGTTGAGCAGTCGATTCCAAACGCGGATGCTTGCTGTCCTTGTCCGTGAGACTCAGCAATTACGCACGTTGTGATCGCAGAGGTAGCGGAGAACGCGACGAAGTACCTCATTGAGCAGACATGCGCAAAGAAGGAGGTGACGACCAAGCTGGACACCCGGCTCACGGCCCTGGAGGCCCTCGTCGCCGGGCTCACCATCACCAAATCAGTGGGTGCCCTATCCCACAATTGTTCCCCTCCACACACCGCTGTGCTCTGCATCCCGCTCGAATTAGGCCCTTTTCTTCTCATAAGCTTAACAGGACACAAGGGCTCGACTCATGCATCTCTTGCTCAACAGTGTCATCACGAGTTAGCTAAAGTTGAATCTGGTCTCTGGGCTCGCTTTGAGCCCAGCACCTGTGAACGAATTCGCTAAACTTCTATCATATCAGACTGGGGAGATGCCTGTCGTCGCATGGTCAGTACCACTGGAGTCTCCCAGACTCTTGGCATTGCTCTGAGAGGTTCCTGTTTATTACAGGGCCCGACGGGTCCCACAGGACCGGTTGGATTTGGGGCGACTGGTGAGCTTTCCAAATTACCCAACACAGACACCATTGGTTTTCATGAGAAGATCTTCCCAGCAAATCCTAATTCGGGATCATGATCAAGCCATCCTTGCTGGCCATTCCCATTGCAGTGGATGAGTAAGAGGTTTTGAAACGATCGCACAATGCTATCACTGCATGTGGTGATTGGCTGCTGGCCAAGACTTGTGCTCGAATTCAAGAAATTGATATCTTGCATTCTGCTCTGGGCTGCAGGTTACACCGGACCGCAAGGCCTTCAGGGAATCCAGGGAATTCCAGGTAAGTGTCAAACACGATGAATCCCCTCATTTGATCATGCAGCACTCCCAGTCTGAAAAAGGACATTTTTTATTCCAGATTCGTCTACCTCCCAATGATGCCAATACCAGTGAGAACACTAGTGAGAGGCACAGATTCAAAAGCACTGAGTGTCTATCTCATACATCACCGCAACGTTCCATTGAGAAAGTGCATGCCCCTGAAACAATGCATGCTGCCAATCTTGCGCCCTATCACCATATTTGGGTCATTGTTCTGCTGCACATGCTGTCATGTCACATGAGGTTGAATACCCTGAACCCATGCGTGAAGGGGAGCAGTGTCAGCTTCTTTGCAGCAGTTTTCTTCGTCCATGGCAGAACTTCAATCTGGCTTGCAGATCTCAGGCGCCTCAGCATCTCCCCTGCAGATTCCCTGAAGATCAGCTGATCACTTGCTGATTGTGCTGTGAACAAAGGCATCAGGATCACAGCGCCTGAACAGAGCTTGTTGTGTGGGCAGGCAACGACGGAGCAACCGGCGCTGACGGAGCAACCGGCACTGTCGGCGCGCCTGGAGCAACTGGAGACATCGGATTCACCGGCCCGACTGGCGCAGGTGAGTCTTTAAACTGCAACAATTTATAATTTGAAGATCTGTTGGGAGCCACCTGAGGCTCATGGTCTTGTAGGCAGCCTTTCACTGCCCATGCTCATATCACTTATAAGTGATGTGTCTGCTTGCCGTCTACAAAATTTTAATTTTTTTGCTATATCTCTCAGGGAACTCTGAATCAACTTAAATCAGAGTCCCCGGGATCTCAACACTGCGCGAAAGCATGAGAAACAGAGCATGCATACATGCAGGCCGCAGGTAGACAGGCTGTTCAGGGGAGTTTAGATGATTTACAGTCTCCTAGACCGATGCTGTCCAAATTTGTTTGGCACTGTAGGATTATGTGTGCGGTCAGGATCTGATCCGATCATGCACATGCAGCCATCCTGTGCCTTGCTGCGGATCACAGGATCTCAGAGTTTCAGCAGTCCCTTCTGCCAGGCAGAACACAGAGACTAAAAAATTCAAAAAAAAAAGAGAATGCTAGGCTTTGTAATGTCACCCTGCCCCAGGGGTGCCGGCATTAGACAAAGGTCCTATTTTCCGAGTCTTGCGGCCTGCCGGTCATTGAAGCTTAGGACGCTTAGTCATCAGAGCTGACGCAACTATGATGTTGTGTGTGCGCAGTCGGCGGGGCCTTCAACTCGTGCACCATCTACCCCAACGCTGACATCTACCCTGGAGGCCCCAACGGCAATCCCCCCGCTCCGAACCTCAACGATGGCGCAGCCGCGCCCACTCTGCCGGACATTGCCTCATGCTGCCAGTACTGCTACGACTACGTGCCCACCTCACCCCCTGACCCATTTGCCAACCAAGTCTGCGTGGTGCGTCCCCCGTCTCTGTCTGCTGAAAGCAGAACATGTCTTTATCGAGTGCTGAGGATGCGTGGCCCCGGCTGGCGGAGGGCGGTGCGAATACTGAGCACCGTGCCCACGGTTGATTGGGTCTTGCTTGGATCTGGCGAGCCCAACAAGGGATGGGAATGTGGCAGCCTTTAACTGCAGCTTGTCTGCAGGACGCACCTTGCCTCTTGGCTGGAAAAGCGTGTAATGATAATAAAGGATGCATGAAGCATGCTATGAGTCGCGTGAAGCCACTTCGCAGAGTCAGCTGAACCGCTCAAAAAGCCAGTGAAGCTGCATAGCACAACTTTCTGTGGCATACTTTTTGGCAAGTTTGCCACAAGCAGGTCGATGCAGATTGGAGGGTCCGGTTCCTGCGTGTGTTGCCATGCCATGTACATGAAAGCGCACTCGCCCGCCGAAGCTACAGCATTGCACCTGCATTTTGTGATTCTGATTGTGTCTCCGACGCTTTGTAGTAGTCCCAGTGACGCATGCCTTGAGGTGCGTTTCTGTCATGCCGTGGGCTGAAGTCCGCCGTGCTCCTGTGCGCAGGGATTTGCCTACATTACCCAGGATTTGGATGAAGTCAACACTGCGGGCAAGTGCTTCCTAAAGTCCCAGGTCCTCACCCAAGACAGTGTTTTCCTCTCCTACAACTTTGGCATCACCTCTGGCACCACACTGACACCCCCCAACCTACCCGTGCCCCTGCAAACCCCCGTGGGCGGCCGCTAGATGATCAGCGCCCACCGCGCAGCTGCCGCGCAGCTTCCCGTGTCGATGACCTCGGTGGCTGGCCTACCAATTTTCCTGGAATGCATTTAACCACATCTCCTAGTGCTGTAGCTTGAGCAGGCGAAGCATTGCTCACAGTTTTATCACCTTCTGTAGGCACTCTTTGAGGTGCGCCAGGAAAAGTTCTCTGAATGGCGGGTTAGACTGGAGTCCCAGGGCAGTGGGAGACACAATATTCAAGTACCTCTACGCTTGAAGCAGGCCAAGTTCTCTTGGTGCTTGTGAAGTCGTGGCAGGCTCGCGAAATAAGAGGGGTAGTATAAAAATATCAGCACAGGTGGGGTCCTGCGGATGTGCTCTGCTGAGTCAGAGGCTGACATGCGTGCTGTGCACTTCGGAGTACGACAGCGCTGTCAACATTAACAGACCCATTTCATGTCCGTGTTCTTTTCAACACCATTCCTGGGGTTACATATGCGCACACCCCAAGAGAATTGATGTCTGAACAGTCCCAATAACTTTTTATGGAGAAATGGGTGCTGGAGCTGATGTGTGCATTGACTCAACTTCTGGACAAGGCAGCAAGATTCTACTTCTGCTGCTTGAATGACTGAAGTGCCGTATTCTGGCATGTTGCAACATTATATCGAAATTGAAAGTACGATATCGAAATTGAAAGTACGTAAGTACTTTGACCTCTCAGATGTCGTCAAAACTTGCCATCTCGGTCTGTTCTAAATCTCTTTTTCCAGAATTGGTTGCTGCTCCCCTGCAACGGCAGTCAGGCTGTACATATTGTAGGCCTTTTGCAAGGGTTGAGCTGGCCAATAATCCGGGGTGATGATCAGATGTTCATGGGTGTTGTTGTGTGCGGCATGTTGCAACAGCACAGCTTTGCAAATTGGAAGCTGACTGCTGGCACCGGCAGTCCTCCAGAATGTGATGTTGGGTTCTCTTTTTCTGGGTTGTCTTCTTTCTTATTGCCATTATATGATCAGCAGCAATAGGCTGGTCGGCTGGGTTTAATACATCATAATAAGGTTTGGGTGTCATAACACCTCCATAAGGAAAGTGTTGAACAAGTGGTAAGCTCCAATGAATGAGGCTCACATAGTTGTAAATATCTCTTTCTTGTTTGAGAAGCACGTTTGCTGGGCGCTGATTGTGGTGGGGCCTGTTAAATCCCCATACCCGGCACCCGCACATGCATACACAGTATAGCTCAGATGCATTTATTGCTGTTCCCATCCAGGGTGGCTGCTTGAACTGGACTCATGCATGAATGTTGCACACACGCTGAATTCATGCACAGGGCAGCATCCATTGATGGTTTGCAAGGGGCTCTGTCCCTTCCTTGTGTCCTTCTGGGGCTGTCATGCCTATACTCTAGTAATCATTCTAAAACCCGTATCCCCAGCTGTGCGGAAAATATTTCCAAGCAACTTTTCAAAAATACCAAAGTCATGCTCAATTGGATTGAGCTTGTCGTGGGCTGTCCGAATCTGGTCAAAGTGTCCAAAGGGTTTATACTTTGGGGATAGGGTCTTATATATCCACCCTTTCTGGCCAAAAACTATATAGTTATTGCGGGTTTTGGAATGAGTACTACCGTATACGCCACAAGCTCACGCCACTGACAGCACCGTAGCCTTTGCATGAACTCCTTTGCGCAGTGACGCAAGCTTTCCATGGAATAAATTCCGTAACATGCATGATTAAAAAAGTTTCTATCGAGCTGATTTGGCACCCATCGGGCTGCAGCAAGCAGCAGAATAACCAGCAGCGACAGCACAGCACTGCGCAGCATGCAACACTCTACTGTATATACGTGATGCCCGAGTTTACAGGAGGCTCCAAAAATAGTAGCCATACAAAGCGTTGGTCGAGGCAGCAGCACCTCCAGATACCCATTGACACACCGGGTAAGACTCTTCTGGATTCCAGGGTGAACAGGAGTGATGACAAATCCCTCCCCCGGATGCCCAGATTTGCTTATGGGGCAGGCAGCATCACTTCCAGCAGTGCATCAAATTCTTCGATTGTGCTCCCGGCATCTGCCAGCATGTCATTCAGCGTGCGCACGCCGGCGCGGCCGTCAAATTGCTCCTGCACCCAGATTGCATTCTTCTCTTTCCTTCACCTTGCACTGTTCCAAAGTTTTCTTTTCAACATTCACCTTGGAAGTGCGTTAGCTCTGAGGACACGTTTTTGGCTGATTTGGCTGCAAGACTAGAAAGGTCCAAAAGAAGTGCAAGAGCAGGAACTCCTCTTCTTTCGGCTGTTCCAATCTTTTGTGTCAATGTCCACCTATGAGCCATTGCAGTTCAGAGCATGATGTTTAGATCTTTTTGGCTGCAGAAGACAGGAATGGGCAAACTAAATAAGTGGATGAACAGGATGCCTTGCCTGCAGCGCCGGCAGCCGCTCGATGGACAACGCTCGAAGCAGCGCCAGCATCAGCAGCCGCCACTCGCGCTCCTGTGGCGAATCATTCAGACTATCAACTATTTCAGGTTTATGGAAATGGAAGGGTTTTAGGCATCAACAAAAAGAAGATGACTGCAGCTGCGGGCACAGGCATGAAGGAAGAGCATCAGGAACTCCACTGCTCCGTGGAGCGCTACAGGCAAAAGATTTCTCAACGCATGCATGGAAATTTAGGCAGGGAACAATGAAACAGGGATCAATCAAGAAGTACTTGACTCAAAGCAAGTGGCCGACCAGGCGTTGCGGGGACCTTCGATGCAGCAAAGGGCTCTACTCATGGACATGTCTCAGATATATTTTATTGACTCCTCTCTCTAGGTCCTTGCACAACTTTGCACAATTCCGTATACTCAAACGCATCTCGCCATCCTCAACGTCAAATTCCAAGACGCAAGTCTGGCTTGCTTTTGTTGATAAGAGATGATAATGTAGCAAATCCGGTTTGCTGGCCACACAGCAGCGCGCACCTTGAGGGAGGGAACAGCGGATCGCAGGTAGAACGTGGCGACGAGCTGACGCAGAGCCACCTCGACCGCTGACCTCAGCGATGGCACGTGCAGCGCACCCAGCACACCCGGCACTTCGCGCGCCAACACACCCTCCAGCACTGCGCGCCCCTGAATACACATGAATATGCACATTGAGATTAGCAATGAAGGCAACAAGAGCAATCGCCACAGCAACAATAGTGGGGGCTTCAACCAAGAGCTCACGTGGTTACTCAGACTGCAGGAACCCCCCTGTGGGACCGCCACACGATGCACAGGACAATGAAAGAGACAGCTTTAATAGGCAGACAGATGGTGCTGTGATGGCACAGGCTGGTGCCTAGGAGAGCGATGACCGAGCACGCAGCAGAACAAAGACATTCTTGTCACTAAAGTCAGCTCAATCACAGCCCTGCAGGTACACTAGCTAACAATTTACTACATGGCAATTTTGAGCCCATATGGGCCCCTGCCGTGGCATAAAAAGAATAATTAATTTGCACTAACGGCAAACCTGAAATTTTGTGTGTAGCATGCCCACCTGCGCAAACTCTGGTGGGGGTGTGTCCTCGGGCTGCCCGGGACTCCTGCCCGGTGGGCAGCGCACAAAGCGCAGCGTGGCATCAGTCACCCACCCGTCCAGCGTCGTGAAAAGGCGGCCGAACTGCGACAGCTGCACCCCCAAGAATTCGCTCAAAAATGCCTGTTTTAGATTCTTTTTAGCACCAAAAGGGCGAATAGTGGCTTCTTGCAACTATGAACTCTTTTTTGGAATCCCAAAAGTGGCTTGCAAACTTAGGACATCAAAGGGCCGGCAAAAGGCCACAAAATTGCTGCAAAGCGGACATTTATTCCTTTAAATGCAAGAGAGAATTTGCCTGTGGGCGGAATGCCTCCGGAGGGTCCGAAAGCCAGTAGGAGGCGTCCCCTTCCTCGTCGTCCGGAACAAAGTCCCCTTCTGCCTCGGGGTCATTTGTATCTACACCGTCCTCCACATTAGCTTTGCTGTCCGGCTCTGCTGCCGCGGTGATGCTTGCTCCGACGGGCGCTGTGGGCGGGTGCAGCATTGCGCTGCCGCCAGCGATCGAACCTGCACCAGGGGTGCTTATAAGCACATGCCTTGCGAGAGTGTCAGCAGGTATTTCAGAACTTGCTGAGCCCCTCTCTTGTTGCGAGTACTGTAGCACTATCGGCCCCGCGTCGGCAGGAATTGGGTGCTGCAACATCTCTATGCCCACCTTTTGTAGCCAGTATGAAGAAAGTGCAAAAGGTGATTCGTATTCGTGCTAGCTCCCATCTGCGTTAACCCGCTTTCCATATGCTCTACCATGCAAGGTGCACCCTAGCCATCAATTTGTTTGAGAATGAAGGACATCACACCTTCTGCAGCGGCGATGCCGAGGTGCTGCCGCCACAAATTCAGATCCGCCTCGACACCTGTGGGCTCCGCCGCGAGCGCCTGCTGTGCCTGCGCTTCCATCAAAGCTCATCCGCTTCCTAATATATGGCATTTTGGCCCTGCATTGACCCTAGACCTTTACTTCACCGTTGCATTCCCATGAAGTGTCGCTGCTGCTAAGGCTCGTTCCCTACACCATTCCTTGCGTGCATGTCCGCCTGACAGTTCCACCGGGCATTGAGCAAAAGAACTTTCCGCTGATTACCTCTTTTTGCTGAAGGTCTCCTAGGCAGGCATTAGTTGTAAAGATCCATATTTCAACGTCCCCAAGCTGAGTGGATGAAGGATATGGTTGGGGGCACGTGCCTGTGCCAGCTGAGTCAGCTGCCCGCCGGGCAGCCCCACGCTGCCCGCGTCGGCCACTTTGAGCCGCCCAAAACGCGCCGCGATGTTTTCCTGCGCCGCTCCCTCCAGCGGCCCATCCGCATCCTCCACCTCAAACACCTGGTCACACAAACTACTAATCCAGGATTCTTCCACCAGTTTGTCAGGTTGTCACCAGACTGCAGAACCCACTAAAATAGCCGGATTGCCTATCACGAATCTGCACTCCATCAATGGCCTTGAATTCCTCCTATGCTGCAAAGGGTGGTTGCTATGGCATGCACTCCAGTCCAGTCTGGGCCTGTAATGGTTGAATTCCACAACATGCATGATGCCATGTCTGGAGAGCAGCATTGTGAAGCCTGCTTGCCTATGCTAGTAGAGATCTTAACTCATGGTCGATGAATTGCGCACCAGGACTGGCTGCTGGGGCAAGCTCGCAGCAGCTGCATCCTCAGGCAGGGAATCCAGTGCTGACACATCTGCTGACTCACTCTCAGCTGCTGCACTGTCCACTGCTGTCTCTCGCTCTGGCACAGTGCCCCCAGACTCAGAGGCGCCAATACTCCCTGACCTATCGCTTCCGCTGCCTGCCTGGATGTCCCTACTGCTACAACCACCATCTGCTGCACTTGCTGTGCCGGCTGCTGCGCTCGCACTTTTCTCCGCAGGCTCCGAAGCTGCGTCACTCTGCTGTGCTGCCATTGACCTGCCATTCGCAGGCGCGCTGGCTGCTGCAGTGCGCCCATTCGTGCCAGCATGCTCGAGAGGCTCTTCACTGATCACAGGCATGCTGGGCGCTGCAGAGGAGGCGGCGGCGGCTGCGGCAGGGGTGGGTGGTATTACTGTGGGGATATGGTGAGAAGGGACGCTCTTGCCGCGCGGCACATACCCCTCAACAGCAGAGGGGTTGGCGCCAGCGTGCAGAGCGGCCAGGGTCTGCAGCGCCAGCTCAGCGTCCCGGTCAGCCTGCGCCGCCAGCTCAGCCGGATCCCTCTCCTGCGCATGCATGCATCGATGTGTGCTCAGTCATCCGCACCATTTCTTTCTAAGCTGCGCCTCTTGTGCAGGTTCTTGGCAGCATTTATCCTAAATAGCCAGCGTCTCTTCATGCAAAATTGCAATGGTAATTCAGACGCGATCGCCACAATGCCCCTTGGGAACTGCTGGCCTTCTGATGAGAAATCCTGCATCTATGATGCAGTCCTACCTGCAGGGATCATCATGCAGGCTACACCATCTTAATGCGCTCAAACAATGCCATGGGATGAAATGGTGTGCGCAAAACCATAGCATGCACAAGTGACAGATGTCGTACCCTGACTTGCGAGAGCATGATGGGGTTGTCATCGCTGCCGGCCGCATACATCGACTCCGCCTGGTCAGGATCTGATGCAGTTGCCCTGAGAATGCCTGTCCCCGACAACGTTGCCTGCGTAACTCCAAACCGCTCCAGCGCAGCCTCGGGCGGCCCCAGCCTCGCCGCAAGCCGGTGAGCTGCCAGCTCACAGGCAGAGCTGCACGCATGCATGCGGTCTCATGGCAATGCCAAATTTGATCACACATGTACTGCCCCACACTTTGGTTCCAGATGTATAACAATTTCTTAGAAATCATGGAAGGTAGGACTTGGCCCCCATTTACCAAGGTGGGAGGCACTAACTGAGCAGACAGCTCACATGTAGAGCTGAACTTAAGCAGAAGAGCTCATCATAGTGTCAAATGCACCACACATGAATTGCCCTACAGTGTTGGTTCCAGATGTTCATACTGATGCCCATCGGAAATATCCAAATGATAAAGAGAAAGTTTTGTGCACCGTGCATCAAATAAGAGGCACTTCAAGAGCCGTCAGCCACCAGGCAGAGTTGTACACTGCATGTCACAGCACTGCCAACATGCATCAGGCTTCTACTGCCCTAACTTTGAAATACAGCTGTAAAGATAGATGGCCGCTTTGACAATATGGGAAGGTTGGTGACGAGACTTGGCCATATACATCAGGACGGTGGTTCTTGTTGCCAGCTCACAGGCGGGGCACATGCATGAGATCTCATGGCACTGCCCAAAAGCATCACAAATAGATTGCCCTATACTTTTGGTTCCAGAGTTACATACTAATGACCATCTGAGAATATTCAAAACCCAGGGAGGCAGTATCCTCCGCCATACACCAACTGGAGGCAAAATCCTGAGCCTCACCAGGAGATCGTTCAAGTCCAAAATTCGGCAGTCTGCGCATGCATCTGAGGTGCTTGAGCAATCTTGATGGGCCATTTAGACCGCATGAGCCTCAGGGGAATGCATACTAGCCATGCTTTCGGTATATTATCATCATAATACAGCTCTGCAATTCTGCACATGCACCAAATAAATCACTTGAGTCTAGAGACGCCCTGCAGAATACATAAGCTATCTGGGCAAAGCACGGGCTTGCCTGCAGAATCGGATATCGCCGTCCCTGTACACGCGCTGGCGCTTGGAGTCCAACTTGAAGGTGCCCTTTGGTTTGGGAGCATCCAACGGCCGATCGCATGCGCCGTGGCCGCACATTTTCCCGAGCGCCCTCTCCTCTGCAACCTGTGTCAGCGGTTGAGTCATCAGGTAAGTCAACTGGCTTGTCATCACAGGTCTATGAATTTCAAATTTGGTTTTCAGTATCAGACTCGATGTCCACTTAATTCATGGGAGGCAGCTGGCTTGTCAACAGCGGCTGGGAATTTTAATATTTATCTCAGAAGCAGACTATTGTTTCTTTGTACTGTATCTGGTAAGGGCTCTGTAAAACGCCACAGTATCGCTCAATGCAACTAGACATCAAGGGTGCACATTGCAGGGTCTCATGCTACATCCATTTTTTGGCCACTATTCATTTGCATCTCTGACATGCACTGTGAGATTCCAATGTAGGACAAATTGTTGTGTATGGGTATGGAGAAAGGCTTTCGAAGGTGTCTTTGATTGGGGCAGTCAAGGCATGGCCGCCAGACTATCACCTGCATGTATTCCTCCCCTGACATGTGCTGCACAGCTTGAAGCAGGGCATCCTCTGTCTCAGCAGTTTCCTCCAGCAACCTGCAGGAAGCTCAATGCTCAGGATTCGACTCCCGCACATCTGCTAAAATGGCTAAGATAGTACATTAACATTGGAAAGGAAATTTTCCCCGTACTTACTGTATATGCCTGCTTGAAGTCGGTTCAGATCACTGCAGGATCCTGCTCACCTCTCCATCGTTGTGTACACTGCGTGTGCGCGCTCCTCACTCAAGCTTTGTGGAATTGGCTCTGGTTCACGTTTGGATGATTGAGTGCTTGTAGGCCTAGGTGGCGCATCGGCTGCTGCAGTTTTTTCAGCGCTTGCAGCCATGGGCATGGTCGTTGGTTTATTTTCACCTTTTTGTGGAACATCCTTCGTGCTGCCTGTAAATCAGAAAGGTGTTCAGTAATTGCATTTTTTGTCCCATTGTGACGATGTGGATTATCAGACAATGGTAAGTACTGCAGATCTGTTCAGCAAACGACTCAATTACCTGGCTCTGGTGGACCATAGTTGAGTATTGGAAGGAAGGGAGTCCCCATCTGATTATTGTTGCCAGACAGTTATTGCGGGAACACTGGAGACGACATGCAAGCAGTCTCACTGTCCTAAAGCATCACCGATCAAGCTTGAGCCAAGCTTGAGCCACAGCTGTCGACAACCTCTCATCACTGAGCCTCCTTGTCCATTTTGCTTTCTGATCGTGGGTGCGAAGAGGACTAAATATGACACCAGCTTGCTGCTGAGCTTGCAGCAGCTGCTCCGACACAGCGTGTCGGAAGCTTGTGTTCCCAAACGGGCAACTCTTGTTTGAATTGTGCTGGTGCCAGCCACTGGAGTGACAGAATCAACATTCCAAACATTATTGGAAGAATCTTTTAATTCAGTCCAGCAGTACATCATGTGCAGTGTTAGTTAGGTACCATCGAATGCCGCAGTGAGAGAGTTCACCGGAGTTTTGGCACACTTGTGGCAATACCACTGGTATTGCGCCTGGCAGGCGCCTTGTACCAACAGTTACATGTGTACAGAAGTAAGCTGGCTTCAGCTGCATGGAAACTTTAGCGCAGCATGCTGTGACCGCCAAACGAAACTTTCTTGTGACTCCGCTGAACATGGCATGAGACCCAGCCTAACGTCATCATGATCATAGATCATCTGGATCATTCTGCATTGCAATCTCAATTGAGAGTTGGGCAACAGCAATCAAGAGCAGTGCTCAGATTCCAAATTGTAAAAGCCGATGATACTGAAAAAGCACATCCCCAGTAGAAGCACCACATTCTATTCCAACTTTCCCAGAATAGAGCTTGTCTAAATCATAAATCAGAACCCCAACAAGAAGACAAATTTGGCAGGGTGTTAAGACCAGCGGCACAAGGCCCCGGAGAATGCTCTTCCACCCCTCACTTCTTCACAAACTCGTTTACACAACAGCAGCAAGCAGCAGCCAACAGAGGCCCGCTGCGACAGACCATGGCAAGGGCCCCTGAAAGCTTCTGCTCCTCCCGCCTCACTTCTTGATGAAGTAGTATTACCCCTGATAGTGCACTTCCGCCAGTGCATGCAGCAGATCCACACCGCCGCTGTACAACAGCAAAGTTGCTCCCACAAAAGTATTGGAGCCCTTTCCTTTGATGACATTCTTGTAGCCCAAAATAAGAACGATGGAAAAACACCAGGGGAAAAAGCCTGCCGCAGCCTGCTGCGCAATGCCCCACAAAATGCTCTTCCCCGCCTTCACTTCTTGATGAACTTGTAGTACACGACGAGCACGATGGCGGCGAGCAGCAGGAGGATGATGGCGCCGGCGATGAGCTTGTTGGTTGTGATGCGCCGCGACATGGAGGACAGCACTCTCCTGGCTTTGGCGATGTTGTCGTCTGCGCCGTGCAGCGTGTCTCGCGCGTGGCCGATCGTCTGTCGCTGCCGGTGCAGATCCTGTAGGATGCTCACTCCCAGCTCCTGTGCATGGCACAGGGGACGGACCTCAGATGACAAGCACGCGAAAATACTGAAAGAGTGGGGAAATACACAGATTCGGTGTTGCAGGACCTTTAGAGGAGTATACACCCAGTTCCTTGGAACGATGCAGGTAGAGGGCGTCAATTCACAAAGAAAATATCTGCCAACAGGATAGGAACATGCAGAGAGCTGATGGCGCAGAGCGCGCAAGATGCTGAGAGATAATTCACATGCATGCCTCAAGCAAAAGTACTAAGATGACGTGCACATGGAACACCATGGTGACATGCACATACGCTCCAGCGCGTAGGCGCAAGAGCTCTAATCAGCGAGACACCGTTGCTGGCCTGTACACTGGCTGCAAGAGACTCTACAAGCAGCAGGCAGAGTCCGCAAAGGAGAGCAGAGTACCAAGCAACCCAACCGCTTTTCTGCTTTTTTTGGTTAAGATGCTGTCTTGAGGGCTGGGTTGCAAGCCTCTCTGAGCTGCAGGATGACTGCTGACAATGACAACTCTGGTGACCTCTAGTGCGCCAAAGCCCAGGAAGCACCTCCCCTAGGAAGCATGCATCTTCTGGGGGGATCAAGAACAAGAACAACCACTACATAAGGATAGAAAAAGACGCCGCTGTGCTGGGGCTGAGCGCGCACCTCCGTCTCCAGCAGCTGCTGGCGTCCCTGAGTGATGCGCTCCCCAGTGCGGCCCAGCTTCTCCGTCGTCTGCAGCAGCCGCTCCCGCTGCCCAGAGCTCGTCTGGCTGTAGTCATCCATCAGCCCCAGCTCTGCGCGCGCCGCCGCTCCCCCCGGTGTTGATGCAGCCGCCGCCTGCGCGCTCTCCCGCAGCTTCGCCACATCCGCCTTATACTCCTTCACCTGAGCAGCGTTGTTATTTATTATTACTACACGCTTTTCCTGCTTAAAGGCAAGGTATGGCCAGCATTGGTGGACACTTGTTATTGTTATTACATGTTAGAGACCTGTTGGGAGCCACCTGAGGCTCGCTGGTCTTTTGGACAGTCTTTCACTGCCCATCTTCATGCCACAAATATGTGACGTGTGTGCATTCCGTCAGAAATTTTGCAATCCTATTTGCTGTTCTGGCCCAAGAATGCATGCAAATCGGGTGGTGCAGTGTTGTTCCTGGTGCCCCTGAGTGGAAAGCTACTTGCACTGGAGTGTAAATTTGCTGAGGGGTATGGCTTTTGATTGGAAAACGTGCTATCTCCTGCAATTTACTATGTACATTACTAAGCTGCGCAGCCTCAAAGCATTTTCCGCCACAGCGGCGGACCCGCACAGGGCCAACGCCAGATGCCTGGCTCCAGAAGCAGGGTACTTCAACCTCCGATTCGTAGGTGCTTGTGCCCGAAGTATGCTCCTCGGCATGTTGGCACCTGGCTGAACTGTGCACCAGAGATCCCTGGCTAGGCACTGCATTGCAGCACTGTGCCCTTTCCCCAAGTGCTTCTGTGGCGATCCACACTGAAAGAGAGCAGCTCAATGGCGTGAAACGTCAAGCTTCAAGGCCGTACCTTTGTAAGGAGAGGTCTGGATCGGTCTGCTGAAAAGCTCCTTGCCTCCATCTCCATCCTCTTTACCTGTTTTGTGCATTTACGTCTTTTCAACTCCACTATTCTGTATGGTTCACTTGTAGCCCCAAAAACAACGTTCCTAAAAGGCGGGAAAGAAACAGTCCACGCAAGTTCAAGCAGCAAGGCAACAATGTTCATCTACACCAGCTGTGACATAGTAGTCACAAGTCCTCTGAAGACTCACGATCTGCTCAGCCTCCTTGAAGTCCGACTCAAGTTCTCTGAGCTTCGATCGGCGCGAATCTGTAACATAACACCAAATTAAGCAGGACACCCAAAGACTAAGGCACACGTCTAGAAGAGCACCAGCTGTAATTCCATGCAGTAAGGGACACCAACCTGATCCAAGACTGCTCACTGCTTGTACTTTTCTGGCAACGTCTGTGGCCTTTGTGCAGTACTCGCTGTCATACTGGTTGAAGAGTGCCATCTGATCCCCCAAATTTATTGTAGCCATTTTCCCTGTGGATCCTTGCACACCGAACAAATTATTTCCTCCAACAGGATGACAATAGACTGACTGACCAGCACCAAACCTCCAAATCGACTAGCAGCAAGCTCTACTTCTTGCAGAGAAAGTCCAAAGGGCCAGATTCCCGGTCAACGAATCGGTTGCCTGTTCGGGCGCCAGCATTCCAAATTTGCAGAGGACAGCTCGAACATGCAAATCCTTTCCGACCCCATCAGTCTGAGTTTCAGTATTTAAAGAGTGAAAGCTTATTGCCTAGTAGCTATAGCACAAGTGCCTGCATGTGAAATGTAGCAATGGTGGCACTGTATCAGGTCCTAGCAGACATAGGCCCTCCCGGGGAATCTAGATCTGCCAGGATCAGTGATCCCTTATCTATCTGTAGCAAATTTGAGACTCAAAATCATTATTAAACATTATGCATTCTGGCTGCGTTTCCCACTCAGACACTGCACAATCAGGAACAATGCAGAACCTTCAGTGTCTGAAAATCTGTCAGGCTTCCTGTCCCTTCTCGGGTCCCGTGTTGAGAAGGCGCTAGAGGGAGACGCACCTCTGCAGATCAGCATCCCATTTGCCACTTTGATTCTGAAGTGCTTCCAAGGCGATGTGAGCGGTAGCAGCATGTAATTTAATGGCTGCCTTTTCCAGGTTTATTTTTGCAATTGGCACGGCTGCCAGCAGCAGCAGCAAGTTCAATACCTGGGCTGCTTGCACTGCAATGCTGCACGCACGCTCGAGCAGTAGAGGTTGCTTTCCGTGCATTGCATATCGTAATCTACAGCCCCCGACACATTGGTGTTGAGATGAGATCAACTTATGCTAGCCCATGAGGGCCCTTGAGGGGAGATCCTGTTCATGAACAGCACGGTGCTGTGCAATCCCAATCTTGGTTTCTTTTGAATGTTACCTCACGCAAGATGCGTTCCTCGTTCTACGCATGATCTTGCCATTTCTGCTTCCTCAGAGCCTTTGCTCACAAAGGCAGCAGCTGCCTATAACAAGTAAGCCATGAAAAATAATGTAATGACCGACTCGTGATAGATGTACTCCAAGAGGTTGCGGATGCGAGAGTGATGCCTGGGTCCTTTGCACAAAGCAAATACCTGGAGCCTTAGCACCGGCAAACACAAGGACACTGAACGCTGCCGTGATGCGCATCCTGGGGCACAGGGTATCGTACAGGCGACATAGCTTCATCAGCTCTGCCAATCACTGCAAACATAGAACGCAGCGAGTGAGCCTGGGAAAGGAGTCTACCCTAACATGCCAATCAATAGCTCGCATGTGCCTGTGCTAATGTACAGTAAGGCTTGCGGACAGCAAGGCACCTGCATGCGTACTTTCTCGTCGACCCTTGCTATCAGCATCAGCTTCAGCCCCGACGCAGAGACCTCCAGCAACCCCACCTACAACTCCTCGCCTTCTATGACCTTTCTCATTGCAGTGCTGCATTTCGGATTTGATGGCATTCGCGGCGCAGAAGGAGCATAAATTGCGAGAGATTGCGCCATCATCGTCGGCACACTGTGATTCCTGGCAGGGTCCACAGGTGTGGAGACGTACCAATGTTGCTTGGGTCTAGGCTTCAGCAGAATTGTGATGGGGACTAGTCCGTAGACGCAATATTTCGTACCAGCACTTCGTGCATGCGCACGCTGGTGCGATATATCACCCAGATTTGCTCGGTGGTGTGCAGCAACTCAGAGTTGGATCTCCTGCTTTTTTCACGATCGACCTGTGAGCGAGACTTGAATGCAAGTGTACGTTTACTTTGCTATTTGATTGCTAACATTACGAACAAGGCATGGTAAGCAGAAGTAGATATGTCTGCTGCGCAGCCTCATCGCAGACTTTGTGCCTTCCAAGAAGGGCAGTGCCCAAGTTGGGCTGCCCCAGTGGGCAGGCTGCATTTTGATGCGAGAGAATGCTCATATCAGAGGCAAGCAAAACCTAAATGGATTTTTTTCCCAATGTGAATATCCCAGAGCAGCGTAACTTTGTGCTTACTGGGGGCGTCACCAGGCTGCCCAGATCCAAGATATCCCCATGGGCGATGGCACCCCTACAACAGATGCTGCTTGTCTCTTCTTTCTAAAATGAAACAAGTCGCATGAAAGTGAATGCTAGGTTCCTGGAGTCCGATTCTTCAGAGAGCGGGGGATTCCTGCTTCGCAGGTCACCAGCAAGACCTGGCATCGTAGCCTCACTGGTGCTGGTCGTCCCAAGATTGTGATGCTTAAAAGCCTCTCGAGTGACACCTGATATGCTTGCTATAGCTCAGTTCATACGCTGCAGGCAGTGCTCCCTTCACAGAAGTATGAATGCAGTCCTCAACAGCCTGTTGAGCATAGTCTTAAAATTGTTGCCAAAGGACGCAATTGGCAACTTCCTGCCAGCCGTATTCCCAAAGAGCATGTGGGGCAATCTTCCATGTCTGCAACGTCCCACTTACACATGAAAAAGGGCGCAGTTTATTGGCTGGCTGTCAATTATGCTCTGCAGAGATATGCCAACTACAGTTGCGCCGCGACTCTCACTGCTCGCTCAAGCCCCAGTCGCTGATCTGGCAATACAAGCCGCAACCAACATTGGCCCTTTCTTATGGTTCCAATGGCGAATGGATTCATGCTTTGTCCCTTCAATGTATTTGCTGGAGCTTGCCAGAGGTGGCTTGAGGTGACCTGACACAGTACTTTGCAGAGATGAAAAGGGTCCTCTTTGCTTGCAAGATCAGGCACTGAAAGCCTCTGAAACCTATTGCTCAAATATTCAACACGTCTGTTGAACTGCCTGTGGGCAGCAAGCATTGCTCAACAGTGACGGATCCAATAGCAATGACTGGGGACTAGAGGGCCCCATCCCCAAACTGCACTTGCAATTGTCTGAATCTAATTGACCCGATTGCATTGCGATTGGAGCAATTGGAGCACACCACCGGCATTGGATCCGCAAAGTGCGAACCCTGGGGAGTCACCCAACATCAATATCTCTCACAAGTCAACAACAAAGGTGCTCTTCCTGCATAATTGATGCCGTATGAAATAGCTCATGTGGAGACACTGGCGGAGCCGGCGTAGCCGGCCCCGGGGGGGTTTGGGGGGGGGAGCCCCCCCAACAAACCTTCAGATGACTCAGAGCTATGGACCCTGCGATGATTGTCATGTTTGAACTCAATGACTTGCAGTGTAGCCCGTCACCCTCACAGGTCTTCCTCTTTTCCCACAGCCAGTGAGGGGTCACCGGTGGCAAGCAAGCTGTCGCGATTCAATGCAATGCAAGTTGCATCCGGCGGGAAGAAGCACACCGGACCATTTCCAACCATTCATGCTTACTTGAACTCGAAGCTTTACTCAACTGATCCGGCATAACATGTGTGGAATGACCATGGCGCGGCGCTTGCGCAGCGGGCCCGGGGGGTTTTGGGGGGGCGGAGCCCCCCCAAAAACATTTTTGATGCCTCAAACACCACGTTGCCACCGAAGCTTACTGTATGAAGAAATTTCATGTGAACTGGTCTCATTGCACGAAAAGATTCCTCCTCGGAGGTTCCTCCACTTATCAATGGCCCGCTGGGGCCGCCGTTACCCACCCAGACGAAAAACATGACATAAGTTTTCGACCACCCAATCACTCCCAACCAATTCTGGACCCACCCAGGGGTAAAGGACTACCTCCTGACTCGAAAAAAGAAAAAAAAAACAAAAAGGGAATGTGCGTCAGCCGGGAATCGAACCCGGGTCTCGTCCGTGGCAGGGACGTATTCTACCACTAGACCACTGACGCCGCCGGGACACATGAGCGGCTTTCGACCCAATTGGATCTCTCGCTGCTCGATGAAGATTGTTGTCGTCCGGCGATATTTATAATTGTGCAAGATCAGGCAGTCAGCCGGGGAATCACGCACTTCCCTCTAGTATTCAATCTGACACAACTTGTATACATAGGCTACGTGAAGTTTATGTTGATCAATGATAGTCATGAGAGTCTCCGGAGGCTGCAAACACAGCGTACAGCCAGAAGCTCTGATTCGTCCCTTTAGAAGTTGTGGGCATGGCAAAACAAATAGGGGATGTGCATGCAAAGCTTGCACAATGAGTGGAAGCATCATCAGAGGGGCTCAAGCCCCCGCAGTGCGTGCAGCCACTAAGATAAGCAGCCAGAGATCTGTAGAAATTTAAATAGAACTGTAAGGCTCAATTGGGGGGTTGCACCCCCCAACCCCCCGCCGTGCGCTCAGCTCAAGCAGCCAGGCGGGGCTGGCCGGAAATGTACCGCTCACTTGGGGGGCTGGGCCGGTTTGCATGCAGCGAAGGCCGGCTTGTGTCATGCACCCCTGGCAAGAAATAACTTGCTTCTCCGGCATTGCTTTCAAATCTGGCAGGTGTCTTCACTGGTTTTGGAATTTTATGCATATGGTGACACAGGCCCCGAGAGACAGAGCCTCTGCTAGACATGCTGCTGCGGCAGCCCTTCTCTGCTAACCGGTGCTTTTGTTTATGCGCATGATCTGAGACTTAATTTGGGGTGTCAACACTTGCCGAAACTGTTTGCAACAAGTAATCGGCCCTGGCGCTGGTGCAAATCACCCAAAACCGATCGGGCATCACCGCCATCCCTTAGTTGGGTGCCTGTGTGTTGCAATTGCTGTCTACTAGGGGGAAGCGTATGGGGGATTGCTTGCTTGTCGCAAATTTGGGACCATCAAAGGGATCGTTTGGGAGTTCGGGCCCCTGTGAGTCTTCCATAAACCATAGATATTGCAATTGCACAGACATACCAGGCAGTGCGAGCGCCAAGAAAGGAGGCATGGCTCCTTGGCGATATGCATGTCGTGCGCGGAAGCATGCAAGGCACTTCCAGCCTAGGTGCAGAATCTATGTTTGCATACAACCTGTCAAGTGGGGCTTTTTGGGGGCTGGGGCACATCTGAACGAACACACTCCCAAAAGCAGGAAGGACACACATGACTCAGACCCAGCGGCGGGGAGCACGTAGACACCTTGAATTCCAGGGCCGGCCGGCGCCGGGTTACGTTCTGAGCACGAAATGCCATCCCAGAAGCGAAAGCAAGAACTTCTAAAGGCAAGAGCAGCAGGTGCAGGACATGCATCAGGCAAGACATATCGAAGCAGTGGGCAGCCGCGGGGAAGCAGGACACGCGCAAGGGGACACATGGGTGCACACAAAGCTGCCAGTGGCAAGCATGCTTGACGAATACAGATGCAGACTAGCATGCAAGTCATGAGGGACGCTAGAACACATGCCTAGGCAGTCTGACACATTTTTTGTAATTATTTTGGATAATGTCAGTGTATTCGAAAAGGAATCATGCAAAAATGTCGTGTTCTATCTAACCCTCTGTTCATTCACTGAGAAGGATACTGATTGTAACCTGTGCCCTGATGCCATCAAGGATGGGGGTCGAGACTCCCCTAGCACATCTAGTGGGTGATGATATTAGTGCGCTGAGCTGAGATTTCATAGAAATAATTTCTCCCGAGGGATCAACAATCTGGGATTTCCTGGAAGAATATCCCCACACCACCCTTCTATATCACGATCTGATCTGACATAGCTCCCATGGCATCGAGCATGAAAACTTGTTCAATGCATCTGTTAAGATGATGCCTCGCAACATTGTGAAACATGCCAACCATTCAGGACCTGCTTGGCAATATACTATTACAGCCATACTGAGAGTATCTTGCATGGCGAGGAACACATTGCGCTGTCACTGTGACAATGCCATTCAAGCAACGTTGGGACGTGCACGGCAGCAAATAAATTCCTCCAGGGAATTCCCACCACGACCAGAGTGCGGCGCACTGATTGCATTTCCGATGGGACCGCGCATGCATGCAAGCTGCCAAGATACAGGGCACACAACCCCAAAGCAGCTCACTGATCTCCATCACTCCCCCAGGAGATTCTTCAACTTGCTGATAGCAGCGCCCTCAAGTCGAGAGCATCTTTCTAAGCTCCCCGTTGGTGTGCATCTCCTCCAGAATGTCAGCTCCGCCCACAAACTCTCCATCGATGTACAACTGCACATAACCAGAGAGACTGCCGTGAGTAAGAATTTATATAGCGGCCAAGCTTCTAATGGAACAGAGCTGCCAAACGTCACAAGGACAATTGAGACACAGCTCAACCTGGTCAGATGGTGCAAATTAATTGACACATAGTGAACCGTCATTGGGTGTCCACTATGAAGGAAGAAATTTACCTGTGGAATTGTTGGCCACTGGCTGTATGCCTTGATGGCTTCCCTCAACCCCGGGTTGTAGGTCTCGTCCAGTACATTCACCTGCAAACCCAGAGACACAACCGCATGAATGCGTGCATGTGGACACGTTCACGTGGGATCATGCAACAAACTCATTGATCCTGACTGCAACATCGCCAGACAGACACATAGGAACCAGCTGCAGGGTAAGCGACTAGCGATACTCACTGGTCTGCGCTGTTGCTAGCACAGCAACAGGGGGCTATAATTGATGCAACAGCTGTGCAGCACTGACATGCAGCAAAAACTGAGCGACAAAGGGGTAGCAACTTGTGCCCCATCATGTACAGTGAGAGGCTCACCACTTCATATGGAGTGCGGATTTCGTTCAGGATGCTGAGGACCTTGTGTGAGAAACCACACTGCGGCTGCGTGCGCGTCCCCTTCACAAAAGCCACCACCTGCGCAGCGGGCATGCCTTGATTCTGTGCTGCTGTTAGGCCCCAAATGGGGACAAGAGGCTTATTCAGCACGTTGTCGAGGATGGTCCGCATGTCTTCACAGCCCTTCTTACAGGCACAAGCACCTGCTGCCTGCTCAAGGTGAGCTAGCAAACATGCCATCCTGCTGATGCTGACTGAAATGTTGTCGTCCTTGCTATGACAATCCTATTAAAAATGCAGTAAAGATGGCTTGATGTACAACTTCCCTTTCCACACCTGGCAGCCAAGGGGGCCCTAAACTTGCAGCAGCACTGTTTCAAACAACAGAGCATTGAGAAAGAATTTTGGGAGGGCCAGCGAAGATCAGCTTGAATTTGTCTCTGATACACAAAACAATGAGAGATGCAAGCATTGCACCCCTCTGCGCAGCTTGACAAGCTCAAACACTGTCGCTTTGCGTGAAAGCTGTGAGCGCACCTTGTTGGATTTGACGACCTGGTCCAAGAGGTCCTCGATGGAGCACGTGAGATCCTGCAACCCCTTGCCCGGCGTCAGCTTGATCTCCGGCTTGGCCATCGCGCGCCGGATCGCCCACGTCGTATTCCCCTTTGCATTTCCTGGCGGGACTTCCCCGTTCTCCGCCACTGCATATCAATTCAGAGCATCGTCATCAGTCATCCTGGATGCAGGTGCCCAGAGATTGCTTCACATAATCCCCTGGGACAGTGGCAAGACCGGCAGTTCAGGCATTCTTCTCTGTTTGGCATCCCTAGAAGGCAAAGGAGGCCTCAACAAGCACATGTGGCATGGGCGGTCACATGCAATGCTATCCAGGACGAAGTGCAGCCCTTTGCGAGTTCTGCAACTACAGCACCGCACTGTGGCAAGTGGCCTGAGATCCTAACCTGCTGCTTGGACCCACTCCTGCCACTTAGCTGTCAGGTCCTCCCTGGACGGGTTCTCAACTACCTCGTATCTGACAGCATGTGTCAGGTCCCTCAACTCCTGGAGGTGGCTGGCGATGCTCACAGCTATCTGCAGCACACACAAGTATCTACTGTCATCACCTTCGGGGGAAGTTCTAGGATCCACTGGTACTTCTGAGGGAACGCCAGGGGCACCTAGCCATTACAACTGTGGAAGACTTGCCTTCCGGGAGAGGCCGATGTATTGACAGCGTCCATCAGGGGAGTACACAGCGTACACCCCAGCTGCTGCTGGAAATTGTGTGAGTTCCCCTTTGTCCATCACTGGCTGTGCTTGTGCGAAGGACTCTTTCGTGCCTGCCACATCTGCTCTCACACAGCACCGGAACGACGATCTGCGTTGCGAGACTTGCGAGTGATCCCTAACAGCAAACTTTCGGACCAAGACCGCCCGCCTGTGCGGTGCTACAAGAAAAGAGTGGGATGTGAAGCATCGCAAGTTCACCGGTAGACTACAGATCTGCATCGTGTGCATGATGCCTCGATCTGTTTATGTGAACTTTAGATTAGCGCCGACTGATGGGATCGGGGGCAAAGTAGCCACAGCGTTGAGTTGCTCGCCAGAAATCCGCATGCTATCGCACGTGGCAATGCAGCCAAACTTGGCGCCGGTTGGATCAGGGATTCCGATGGCGGGATTCTCGGAGCTGGGCACTCAATGTCGCGGTGTGGGATTTCCAGCAGCACGTACTTGCACGATCCTGCTGGTCAGCAGATTGGAACAATGCAGTCCCTAGGCACATCCCGCCTAGGTTCCTTACCAGCACTCGCACCTCCTGCGCGTCGTGCAAGGAGACTCTCAGTTGTCAGATTCCGCGCAGATGTAGCAGTGTGTCAGCATATTAAACAGAATCATCCACTGACAAACGCAAAGGCCGTGTCAGAACACTGGCAGAAACAGGCTGTGCTGTTTGCTACCATCTGCCCGTTGGCGTACATCATTCCTGCAACAGCGCAAGCAGCTTCACAAGCAAGCGGAGGCCTGGCAGAAAACTACACAGTCCCTCTTTTGCTCTCGGCACTCCTTGGAGGAGTGGTTTTCGGAGCCTTCAATGACAGAGCAACCAAGAAATTCTTGGAAGACCAAGTATCCGGCGTCAGGCAAGGCCCGAGCCTGCCAATACCCCTTTCTGTGAGAACCACGAAAACATTGAACCTGATGTGCATTGGCCATCGTGCGCATCGGCTTGACGTTAAAATTTCATTTCCTCCTTGGCATATCTTCTGCGTCATGAAGAGGTTGCACGCAACCCGGAGTCCCATGAATATTCGAGGGGCGCCGCGTAATGCGTTTGCTAAATTAACTGACGTATGTTTTTCCTCGCAGCAGCTCCAATACAGCAACGAGCGAGGACGCCAGCATGGCATCTTCAGCAAGCCCATCATCAGCACAGCCTGTGGAAAGGGAGCTGCAAGCCGCCATTGCAGAGATTCCAGCCTCTGCAAGCTCGCTGCTAGCTGCCGCGCAGGAGTCGGCGCGTGCCCAGGCAGCGCTTAAGGCAACACAGGATGACAGCGCCAGAACAGCTGCCAAGACTGTGCTCGCCGTGGCAGCACAGCCCGCTCAGGACAGCGAGGTGGCCGATGCTGCCAGGGCACCAGCAGGGGAGGCAGGCACTCAGCTGGAGGCTCTGCCAGTCCTCGAAGCCAAGGAGATTGAGGAGGCAACCCTTGCAGGTGCAGCAAATTGCCCACTGCAGCGTGCTCTCCTCTGCTTTATCCTACCAGAACCTCTTACATCGAACTTTGAGCCTCATATCAGCATGGCCCCGCTGCATGTATGGTGTCACAGCCGCTATGAGCATGGAGACGCGGTGAAGGGTGCATAGTTGAGTTGGAAAAATCACATGAAGATGTTCATATGGGATTTTCAATGGGGTCTCAATGATATGAGTGTACAGGTGCGCGCGAGATGACAGCGGCTCCATTGGCGGCCCCTGTTGCTGCCGCAGCAGTCTCGGCTGCACCAGCCGTGCCCGTGGCAAAGGCTCCTGAGACTCCTGCTCAGCCCGCTACTCTGCAGCAGCGCGGAGAGGCCATCTTCGACTTGGCGGTGCGCCCCTGATTTTCGGATTCAAGCAGATGCGCCGCACAGTGCTGCTCACAAATGTCGCAGGAATTTTACTAGACATATTTATCGCATGGAAGCAGAGACCTTGCTGCCTTTGAAGTCGTCCAGTTTGGATGCATTCTTCTTGTGCATGCAGATTTACTTTGAGGGCCAAAAGCGTGTAGCCTCTGATGGGACCTAGCAGATTTCCTACGGCCCAGCTCTGCGTGGGCAGGTTGAGCTGTACTTGGCACCGGGGTGTCATGTACAGCTCTTTGTGGCTGCATGCGTTGTAGGGCCCCAAGGCAGTCCTTGCGCTAGCATTTGTGCCTGCCTGAAACAAGTGAGTGGGGTGTGTGATTGCGTCAGCATCGGCACCGGGAAGTCGAGCCCCTTGGGATTTCATGGCTCAGATCATCACAGACAATCCTCAAATTACCTGGGACTGCAAAATATCTGGGAGACAAGCTGCGGAAAATGCCTGAAAATTGCTTGGCAGCCTGCGGGAAACCCCTGCAGAATTCCTGCAGGAGTATCTCAAATTTTCCAAAGTGCAGGGTTTACAGTGACCAATATGGTACTTGACGCCCTCCTGAGTAAACTTGTGATCTGTGATTGGCTCAGGCGGAGACGGCACGGCGGATGCAGGTGCAGTACGAGGCCAAGGTGGCGGCCATCAAGGCCGAGGGCGAACGCCGCAAAGAAGAGGAGCTGCGCCGCCGCCAGCAGCGCTACGCAACCATTGACCGCCTGCAGGCAGCCGCTGCCAACCAGGTGCGCAGCGCCAGTTACATGGCATTTTGGATAGCCCAAGCCAATATCTATCCACCAAAATAAGGACGGCGCTAATTGGTGGGTTATAGGACAAGTTGTGCCTGCCAGGTAGGATGGCAAGTCCGGCACCTTTGCTGCATCGCCTGCAGCAATCAACATGCAATGGAAACCGCTTTGTGCAAAGGATGCTGTTTCTGCAAGGAGCGAGCTTTATTAGATAGATTGGCTGTATTTCATACTAGAGGAGGCGAGTGTACAAGATTTGAGAAGATACTACTGCTGCTGTCCTGGTCCTCTGGCAGACATCCTTGGGGATTAGATTTCAAGCTGCTACAGATTTCACTCAAAGCCAAGGCACATTAACTAAGATTTCTTGTCTGAAGCTGCCTGTTTGGTGGGTGCAGGCAAAATTGCCTGCCGACACCTTTCAGGAGAGTTCACAGGTACTTTTGTTTCCACCCTGTTGCAGCCCTTCCGATGCCACACAGAAACATCCATTGACATCAGCTTTTATACTATGCAGCATTCTTGCAAGTTACCAGCCGCTTTACAAGCTTCCTGGTCTGGCCGAGTATTCTCTTGAATCTATTCCGGTGAGATATGTGGTATTGCCGGAAGACCTGCCCAATCTGGATCTAGAGGCTCATCCCAAACTCTCTGGAGAAGCCATTAGGGATCAGGCTCTGACGCTGCATTTTGCTGTGCAGGGCCCTCTGGCACGGCTGATGGGCCTGTTGTTTGCGCTGTGGGCGTGGCTGAAGGAGCGCTTTGGCAGCCTCTTCACCCACACCAGCAACAGCAGCAGCGCTGCCAGCGCCTGAGAGCACACCATATACATCGCTGCCACCCTAAACAAGGGGCGACCAGGCTTCAACCATCGTGCGCTGCTAAGCTCAGCTGCATGTCCTAGCAGACCAGATCCGAGCATTGCGCCAGATCTGCCAAGTATGGGGGCCTTGGTATTTTGACAGGGTAATGAGCATTGATGAGCGCCACAGACGATGTGGCTTGTATGAAATGGCACCATAAGCTCTTATTTGGCAGGGTGATTTGCCCTGGCTTGCCCAATATGAGCAGCAGAAGATATGCGCGCATATCTGCACAAGTGTGCTCGAGGATGATGCAGGCATAGCATACTGAAACGTGGGCTTCATATCAGGCAACAACCCGGGTACAGGCAGCGTTGACCTGCAAATGTTCAAGGGAAGCAATCCAAGGTCCTTAGATGAAGTGCTGACTGCATGTGCTTGCTTTGCATGTAATGACACAGAGAGGTTGCATTTGCTAGATCGTAGCAATGATTAGCAATGCAATGGCCGGCCAGAAAGCTGTTTGTGTAGAACCAAACAGTTGTAGATGTTAAAAAGTGCAAGTCATGGTTTGCCCTTTGCATGTTAAGGTTACTGGTGTCCCCGCGGGAAGTTGAAAATGTAGATTAGCGCAGCCTTGCAAAGATCTTAAGATGGCAGATGCCTCAATGCACTCTGGGCAGCTTGCAGGCGCAGAGCCAACAATATTACAGAGGATGTAAACATATTAAAGCGCACAACAAGCAGACGAAAGCAAACATATTTGTATGCTAGTGCTAAGGCGCCGCATTCTATAGTACAATCTTCCTCGGACCTTTGCTAAAAAATCTGACTGCACTGGAGTCAACTCAGAAGAAAAGAAAGTGCACCCGGGTGCAAGCTAGCCAACAAATCGATCAAATGCGCAGCCAGCAGCACCAAAGGTGCCGGCGCACCAAATGAAAGAAGCTCCCCTCTTCTCCTCAAGTCAAAGCAATAATATACACAGACTTCCCCTCATCCATCCGTTTCCGAGACACTTGCTATCTATCCGGTCTCTGCTGTGTACCATACATTGTCTCAACAGCTCTCCGCAAACATCATCACAGACCAATTCTCCCTCAGAAAGTTTTGCAATAATACCGCATCATGTTCTTGCACAAAGTCGCCCCATCTGTCACGGCCTGGTAAGTGCACCCGCCAAATCGTCTTCTCGCAGTTTTGTCACATACTGCACCAGGTGCCCTGGAACATGAAAATAATCCTGTGTTGTGGAGTAATCCTCACAACATCTTGTACGAGTCTGCCACCTTGGTACTCAACACAAGCCTCTCAAGTTCTCTGTAAGTTCTGTTCCTGTGAGTTCTCATCTCATAGCCGAATGTGGCTGTCCAATTCTGCTCTCAGGGGCGCTCTTGCACAGCATTCACAGCACCCAGCTTCTACTTTTCCTCCCCAACAATACACAGAACATATGACCCTGCAAGAATAGATTGCACGAGGTTCTCCAATTAAAGGTTTCCCAACTCTTTGTGGGAGATCACCATGGCTCACCACGGAATCAAGGCGTCAACAGCTAATCTCCTCCAGTAGAGCATTGAGATTGCTACCACATGGCAGGCGTAATTTGCAAGATGGACCCTTCTCTAAAGGGATATATGGCCCTGTCCTTCCGAGGTCGCCGTCAGGCTAGCAGGATTTGCACAATGAGATCTTTGCCGCAGTAAAAGAATTGGCTGGGGTACAGCTACTGCCGAAAAGCAACTGAATGCTAGCTGCAGAGCATGACATTCAGCGATCCAAGCCAATGCTTGCTTGATCAGTCTGAAATCCTTGTAAGCTGCATTGGCTTTCGACGAGAGTGGAAATGGGAGTTGCAGCTCGCTGGCTCAAGTGGCACGCTGCCGTCTGCTCACTCTGACTGTCGCATGCTGTCAACTGCGCCGCCTCAGTGCAGCTGCATCTGGCCGTACTGGGGCCGCCAGGTGGTGCGAGCCCTCACTAGCTCATAGCAGCCGGTGTCGTCGCAGCGCCTCAGCATGTGCACAAACCTGCACAACATTTGACATCAATCAGCATCACATCAGCATTGTCAGGCGAGGCCTCCACTCCTCAACTTGGGACATATCCAGGCTTGGCTTGAAACATGCGCTCTAGGAGCACGGTTGCCCCAATAACTGTGTGTCCTGGCACTGCTGGGATCAGAATAAAGGGGGGGGCAGGCTTGTGGCTGTCTTACCTGAGCATGCCTGAGCCGTTGGTCTCCTCCTGGATGCGGCTGCCCAGAGCCTCCACAGTCTGCCCGGCCATGCACTCCGACTTGTAATCGATCTCCATCTGGGCACACCACATATGGTGTCAAAATCTGTATAAGACAACATCGTAGCAGGTGCCATGTATAGCAAAGGCTGGAGTGGATTGACAACAAATTTGGAGGCTCTCAGAGGCCATCTGCCAGCAGCAGTTTTTTGGCCTGAAATCTCGCTTCAAAGGGCTCAAAAGGAGCATGCTGTGATGCTGTAGTAGTCGACTTAAAACCCCCACTTCTCAAAAACTAATTTATAAACCTGAAATTCCCTAAAAATAATTTTTTCAAGCCTGCTGGGTGGTTTAACAACAGGTTTTTGGGGTGTGGGAAGTTGCCTGCGGGAGCATGTAGTAAATAATGTGCAGCCCAAAACGCCTATTTTCCTAGTGAAATGGGCCAGTTTTGGGGTTGCAGGAAAATAAAAGAATAGGTTTTGAGCGCGCGAGAAAGCCCTGCGGGAACTTGTTTCACTACTACTACTGCAAGCACAGGGTGGTCACCTCGTGCAGGCTGTAGTTGAGGTAGACGTCTGGGGGCACAGTTTCCAGCGCCCAGCCCAGGTAGGTGACGTTGTTGATGTGGCCGTTCATGTCCATGTCACTGCGCCGCGCCACCTGAAGCGGCCCCTCGATCTGCACAGCCACCACAGGTCCTTCATTGACCCGCTGTAAGCTTGCAGACACTCCTTCCTTCAAGCTAGCACACGATTAGCATTGACGAATCTGTTCAAACTGGACTCTGCAGAAAGATGAAACAGAATACAGGATGAGCACCAGGGAAGGAAAGAGTGGTGCTGATGAGCTCACCTCTGGGGGAATAGCCAGATCCGGAATTCTCCGACGGACCTCTGCGGCAGGAAGGACATTCCTGCAGTACAACAAATCACAATCAGCTGAGCTTTTGCAGACAGCTTAAGAGGTCGCAGAGCTGGTGTAAAGTGGTAGCTTCCAGGAATAAACATGGATGCCCGAACTTATTCATGCTCATGTCAAAAACACAGAACGTCCCTGCTCAGCAAGTGTTTGTTCTCCACGTTGAAAGCCATGCAAAAATTGGCGCGCACCTGGAGGGGTGGGGTGCCAGGTACTCCATCTTGGCGCGCATCTCATCCGGCATCTTTGCCAGCCGCCTCGTCAGCGTGTTCACCATCACCCACGTGCTGCAACAGTAGTCAATCCTCAGGACATGACAGAAAAATTCCCTTGTGAGTAACCTAAGGTATTGCATTTAGAGTATAAAAGTCCCCATTGATATTGGCACAGCATGAATCCTGGAACTTGAGTTGAAGATGATTACAATAGTATTCCTTTTAGCCGTGCGAGAGAAAGCTGGAAGGCACCTTGTGGCGCGGCCAATCTCCTCCCCTGTGGACTGGTTGATGATGATCCAGTTGCGGCATGCTGACACGCGCCCCTCTTCCTGAAACCATGTTTCAATTTGCACCAGATCTCCCCTGCACCACGTAGGTGGTCTTAGCAACTTCCTTCAATAGCCTTTCAGTAGGCGCCAAAATACAACAGAGAATTTGCAATGGCAAGAAACAATAAGAAGGCCTACCATTTTGGGTAGGTGTCCATCCTGATCTGCATTCTGGTCACAGCAAAGATGAGATGCCGCTCCACCATGAGGGGGTCTGTGGCGTAGCCTGCATCTGTACGGCCCCACAGTGCAACAGCATGATTCCCAGCCACTTCCTGTATTGCACGCAGAACACTTTCTACACCAGAGTGTACCTCCTGCTGACCAAGACAGGGTCTGTAGCTGGGGCTGAGGAAACCTTGAAAAGCCCAGACATGTCATGAACATCAATTGCATGATTGACTCGCAATTCTTCAGTAATCATGCCCACTGGAAGAACAATGGCAACCTTTGGGCCCTCACACATGAAGGCTTTTAGGCAAGCCCCGGCAAAAGGGGCATGGCTTTAGATGATGCAGATGGAAAATATACAGACCTGCAGTAGGTTTGCAATTGTGACGATTGTAGTTTTCTGATCTGGTCCAACTTCGTAACCTCGGATCCTGTGCTCTTCCAAGAAAGCTGTGCCATCATCGTTGAGTCGCCCCGCTTCGCAAGGCTGTTGTGGAATGCCTTGCAGAGCCAAATTCTGTGTCTTTCCGTTTGTCAATGTCGCCTCTGATAATGCGGCCGAGGCGCGGCAGCAGGTTGACCCGCACGTCTTGTGTTGAGTATAATTGCTCTGTCTCTTCAGGCTCGGCCTCACTGCTACCTTTGTCTGAGTGCTGAAGGAGGTTGATGGGCATGCGCTGGCTCTTTGACAAGCGCTCAACAACGTCATCATGCTGTACAGGGTGGACGAATCGCAGAGTTGTCAAAGTATCAAGCTGATGAGTAGGTGCTTAGCCCTGGCAATTGGCCAACAGCATTGGGAACAGACGATCGATATGTACCTGTACCCAGCAATGTGACTTATATTGCAGACGCCTCAAGCTGGCACATCGCCTGCACAACTGGTGTAACTCCATGTGGGCCATCAAGGCAATTCTTGTGTCGACGCTGGGCTAGGTTTCATGCCCTATCAGGGATTCGAAGCCAATAGCGCACACATCCTCCAAGATTATTCCTTGGGAATAAATAATAGGGGGGATTGCACTTGGATCCATCACACTTTCATATGCGACATTGTTTCGAACATAGAGAGCTCTGTACACAGCGCTGAGATTCATTGATGGGGTCGTCAAGCCGATCTGCCGGGTTGCCCAGGTTTCGAGTGATCTGGTCTTGCACTGTCTCCAATTTCGAGGACGGCGAGAAAAACTTTGCACCAGCACTAGGGCCAAAGATCCTGGGAAGTGGTAGAGATCTTCTCCTCTGATCAATCATGCCAAATGAGTGACCACGTCAAGGCATCGTCCTGACTCTTGTGTGTGACATTGGCAGTGCACTCGATGTGTCGTGTACGGTCACATGAAATCACACGTGAGTCCAGTTGCCTGTGATTTGATAGTGAACTTGTCCTGTTACGTTACAATGTGAAGTAGTTAAGAATCGCCCTGCCACACAGCTCTAGTCAACACGAACACTTTCACCCAGCTCATTACTTTCAGGTAAGGTCAGCAAAATTTACTACCTGTCTACGCGCCTTGTCAGCACACTCTTGCTCAGCTTCAGCCACAGTGGCGGAGTCTTGTAATTGAACCAGGTCCAGCACAGGCAAGAAAAGCGCCACATGCAGGCACAAGACACACAAAGAGGCGCCTCAATACATGTCCTTGCCCCGGAGGCGGTTGATGAGGGCGGATGCGATGGGCACCAACAGCGAGTAGCCCAGCTGGGGGTAGTCGTGGGAGGTCACACGCATGGAGACAGAGCCCGCCGACTTGGAGTTGAGGCTGCAGCGAGACACCACCTGCGTTTCGGGCGTCGGCGAGAACTGCGCGGCCAGGTTGCCGGCAATTGCCATGTCGTTGCGGAAGTTCATGAACGACGTCCCCGCCACGATCTGACAGCACAGCAGCACAAGGTGTCAGGCATGTGACAGTCAAATGATGTGGGCACGGCATACATTGCCAAGCACACATTGTCCATACATGCGGGCAACGCCAAAGTGGTGATAGTATGAAGCCCCTGCAAATGTGCTGATACAGGGTGACAGAGCATCACTATCATGCAGACATTGTCGCAAACCCGGCTGGGACAGCACACCCGATATAATGGAATACTAACCCCACATTTGAGCAAAATGAGCAACATGGTAGTCCTGTGAAATAGGGTGAAAAGCCAGAACTTCAGAGGTAGCGCCCCCACCTGGGAGCGTTGGTCGTCGCCGAGGCGCAGCTTGAGCTCGGCCTGTCCGGCAGTCGCGTTCTCGCGGCCCATGCGCGTCTTGCACGTCATGCGGCCCAGCGTCGACACCAGCTTGGCCTTCTTGTGCAGCTTCAGCCGGTTCTCCGCCTTCAGGCCCACCGCCACCGGGCCCTGCACACATGCACAGACCCTTCAGACACAACTCTCCTTCCAAGAAAAATCGTGGACTATTGCCCAGCAGCAAAAGACATTATCTACCTGATCCACCTACAACGCATGCATCCTTGGGCTTCACTTCTCAGATATATGTGATTATGTGAGAGGAGCCCTCAATAGAATTGGCGTCAGGTATGGATCGGAGGAATATTTGCTGGTCAGGGACAGACTGGTGCTGCTGGAAGCAACTAGCCTTGAGAGGCAAGGAAGCGTGGATTGATTCTCAGAGGGAGGAAAGTATCACCTTTGTGGGTGGTCCACCCTCCTCAACGAGACGGGCGACGGTGATGCCGAGGGCGGCCTTGTCTTTGGGGTGGATCTTGAGGCGGGTCTCGGCGCGCGCTGTGTAGATGAGGTCGCGCTGCGTCGTCATCAGGTCCAGCGCTGCCGTGCTCACCAGCCGCGAAGTGTGGTACACCGATGCCTCCACGTCAGCCTGTGCATGCACACCATGGGTCATCACTGAGACGGTTCAAACATGAAGAGTCAGAAGGGATGGTGTCATCACACTCTGCACGAGACCAACTGTTGAGAGAACATCCCATACTGCTTTGCAGCCTGCTTCAACCCAGGCTGAGAAAAAGGAATACGATCAAATCAAGACCTGCAAGACTGTACTGTTGATTTGCAGCATGCAATGGCAGGCCACAACCACATATGGTGGTGGAAAGGACCTGCAGAAACTCCAGGTGTCTTGAGATTCCACAACAGACATTCCGGTCAAGAGGGATGGGAGCATACGTTGAGCATCTGCTGGTTCTTGTCCTTCTGCATCTGGGCCATGGCGAAGAGCGGGATGCCGCCCACGTGCTGGCCCTTGCGCCGAAGCACGATGCTGCGCTCAGTCGACAGGCCATCGATGCCGTCGTCGTGGTCCAGACCTGTCGGCTCCACAAACGGCCTGCATGCACCAGATTTGAATCATCACCTACTGCTTGTGCTGGGGGCTGCTTGCCTATAGCATGCTCGGAAGGAAAGCGCATATTCCCACGCAGAGCAACATCCAGAAAGCAGCATCAATTTCGTCCAGAAATACTTTGCACATATTGCATGCAAGCAGTTGAGTGATAACAGCAAAGAGTATGCAGGCAGAGTCAAGCACAGACCGAACCAAACAGCCCAACACAGGCACTTTGTATCAAGCAGCGAGAATTGAGGCCAGCCATAGGGGTACGAGCTCACCGGGCCAGCCAGCCGCCGGGCTGCTCGAGGAAGCGGTAGCGGTGCGTGCTCACATCCGCGTCGAAGGTGGGTGGCAGCGGCGGGTCTGGCGCTGGGATGGACACCTGAGCGCCGTCGTCCGCCTTGGCCTCCTCGCGCCTGATCTTCAGGAACTCGCGCCGCTTGCGCATCTGCGCAGCAGCATGCACACTCAGCCTTATAACATTGCCCTAGAAGGCAGCCCTCCCATGTATGCAGCACGTTCAAACATCTGTTGCCCGTGAGCTGTGAAGATGCAGTGACAAGGGACCCCTGTGAATAACACTCGCAGCAGTGTCTCGAAAGTTACTAACACTCAAAGTTGCTCCAACCACATCAGGAGTCAGGTGCAATACAGAGGAAGTGACTAGAGGAGGGTGCAAAGCCCACCTCGCGGCGGCGCTCCTCCTCTGTGGGCAGTGCCGCGATCTCATCCTCGCGCATGATGTCCCTCTCCTCCTCAGGGTACTTGCGCGGCTGCAACCATGCATATGTAGTGTTCAGCGGGGCTGAGCGCAATGGTCAGGTACCATGAGCCTGGCAACAACCAATCTCCCAAAAGTACTGCACCCTAATAGTGACGACTGGACCAAACAACATGCCCCCCATTGTCACGCTTAGGGGACATTTAGACAAGAAGACTGGAGTTAGCTGTAAAGATAGGGGATAGAGATAGTGCACACCAGTTTGGGCTGCACCATAACAGACAGCAAGTGGGGGATGGGCGGCAGGCGCTGCCCACGCAGCATCTGCTGCAGCCGCGATGCTGGCCCTACAGCAACAGCATCAGTACTTAGCGGATGCTCAGACATGAATCATAAATAATAAGCAAGCACAGCAATGCCAGCTCGCCAGCATCTCTTGCACACTTCTTCTATGGTTCATCAAGAGCAGCGGTACATTGGCAGTCTCTCAAGTGACTGGAAATCCGACTTCCAATAGAAGCATGGGATGATTAGAGGATGCACACACGCACCTGTGTTGGTGGCAGAGATCTTAAGCAGAGAGTCGGCGTCGGAGAGGATCTTGGAGGAGAGGCAGAGCAGCAGCATCTGCTGCTTCCAGGGGTTGCCGCTGGGCAGCACGGGCTCCCCAGCCGCGTTGCGCCGGCAGTTTGGATGGTTCTCAGCCGGAGCCAGGGGGTTCATCAGCCGCTGATCGCCCGCAGCAAACCTGCATGCATATAAGAATCACGTTACAAACCACGTATGTTTTTTGTAGAGCAGGCATTAAGGCAGATCGAGCGCCAGAAGATAGGGGAATGGGATACCTCTCAAAAGCAGGTCATCTAGATACTGTATTGTGCACCATTGTGTGGCATGCGGTGCCTACTCAATGCCACACTCGTAGTGAATGTGACACAGAATCCCTAGTTGCCAGACAAAAGAGCCAGGGGTTTCTGTACCATCTAAACCCTTGCTGCCACGTCTGTCTCAGTGGTTCCAGTGGGTATGTATTTTACAGAGCGTGTGACCTGGGCAGGCTACCAAATATTTACAAAGAACAGCAAAGCAGAAGGACAAGCCGCCAGGAGGGAGAGAAGAATCAGAAGAGTGCGCACCGGATGGCCTGCTGCAGGGTGTGACAGCGCTGATTGGCGTAGACGTCGTAGGTCATGGGCCCGTTATTGTTGTCGGGAGGGGCGGCGGCCGCGTGCGTGAGCACCAGGATGCAGTTGAACCACATGGCCGCGCCCAGCGAATTGGTCAGCGCGCGCAGCACCGGGATGTCGCTCTGGTCGCGGCGCACCTGCATGCACCAGCACATACGAGTAACGAGTAGTCATGTTTGCATACATGACTCCAACAAAACCCCGAGAACTCCATATTTTTTAATATGCTAATCTTAAAATTTGCAACAAAATCACAAAGGAAGTGAGACACAAACAACAGTGCCAGGCACTGATGAACCCGACCTTTCTCATTTGCATTTAAAGAGCTGGACGAGAGCACACTGTAAAGAGCAGAACTCTAGACCCGCACCTGGTCCATGCGGTCAAAGTACAGCACATTGTCGGGCTTGTACTTGCGGTGCGCCTTGCGGATCTGCGCCAGGATGCGCGCGTTGTACCCGACTGCGCTTGCCGCGGCCTGCAGCCCCGGCGTGTCGATGAAGCGCACGCGGATGCCGTTGATTGCGCCGTCTAGCACACGCACCTGCACACATATGCATGCACTTTCAACCCTGAACAGCCCTGATCTCTCTGATCCCTACGCCCTGTTTACCCTCCAGGTATAATGTGATGTTAAAGTGCTAATTGTATTTCACTGGACCCTGAGGCACCAGCTTGGCCTCTTATTCGTGGAAAGGGAAATCTTATAGGATCAGGCGATCTGAGGGGTGTGAGCACCTGCTTGGTCTCGGGCTCGAAGCTGCCCATGGCGGGGGGCGGCAGGCCAAGCACGGAGTGGATGGTGGCGGTCTTGCCGACGCCAGTGATGCCCACGCACAGGATGGTCGCCGAGAAGGGTAGCTCCGCCGGGGGGCCCGACTCCGCCTCCTGCCGCTCAGCTTCCGCCAGCGCTGTCTCGAAGGGGTTGCGCCTCGGTCCGCGCGTTGGCGCGCGGATGCTCTCTGCCAGGTCCAGCCTGATCAGCCCGCAAGAGGTCATCTCAGCCCGATTGAAACTGCAGGAGACATCTCTTGTGATCGCAGCTACGCCTCATCTTCCATGCACAGTTTGTTTCTACGGAGACCGCAAGACTCTGTCTTTGTGCAAAGGAGATGGACTCTCTAGTGGTCCATCCCAAACCCATCCCAAACCAGCAGTAGGATAAGATGCGAAAGGCATCAAATTCGATGTGCTCACCTGTAGACGACCTGCTGCACGAGGCTGGAGCGCGGATTCTGGCCCAGGCGGAGGGCGATGCGGAGCAGCAGCACGTGCAGGCCAAGCACCTTGCGCCGCATCACCGCCGCCTCGCTGTTCTCATCCTCTGCGGGGGCGTTGCCTGCACGGGCACCGCATGCTTGTGAGGCGGCTGTTGCGGACCTCAATACTCTTTTACTTATTCAATCTTTTTGGAACATGTAGTCTTCATTGGCCACGGTTTGCAGGGATACAGAGCAACAGCCGCCCTGATTCCCCCATAATAATCATTGAGAACGTTGCCTGAAAGATGCCTGCCCAGACAGAAGCACTTTTTAACTAGGAGACAAGGAATGCAGGCATACCTTGGTTGCCGCCCGGGGGATTGCCGCCACTGGGGCTGGTGCCTGGGCCGCTACGAGCGACGGTGCCGCCGTTGGCAGCTGGAGGGCCGCGGGCGTGGGATGCCCCAGTGCCGTTGGGCAGGCTGCTGCCGCCGTTCTGTGCGCCGGCCGAAGCTCCCTGCTGTGCACCGCTCCACGGCATCGTGTTGCCGGTCTGCGCCTGCGAGGCTGGCGGCTGCTTCGCAGCTGCCGGAGCGGGCTCGGCCTCGGCCGCCGGCGCCTTAGCGGTCCGTGGCGGCAGGGACGGTCCGGCGCCGCCTGTGCCGGGCGCACTCGCGCCTACACCGTCAAGAGAAAGGATTGACATCTGGGCAAACCCTGACAGGCAGCACATGCTCCGCACTGAGCTCGGGTAAAGAGACAAGGCAGCACGACGGCGAGAAGCTTGGCTGTCAATGTGGGGCCAACGTGCCCATTACAGCGATGCACAAATTCAGAACTCATGCATTTGCCCAGTGCAAGATGCGAGCATTTGTGCGTGCGCCCCCTGCCAACAGCTCAGACTGGCACAGGATTTTAAGGGAGTAGCCCACCTGCGGAGGCAGCAGGTCCGGCGGAAGTGCGCTGCGGGCGCGCAGGCAGGCTGGGCATCGCACTACCCCGAGCAGCTGGGCGTGCGGGCAGGCTCGGCATCGCACTGCGCGGGCTGGCGCCACCGGGAGCCTTGATCTCAGCTGCGTCTGCGCATCACAGCGCACAATCACGGCACTGACGGTGCTCACATGTGCTGACATGTATTTTTGCTGGAACCACAAGCCGGGGCTATGCTTCACGGTGAACTTCACAGCCAAATTGCTGTCTGGAGAAAAGCCATTGAGGATGCACATTGAGAGCAATAAAAAGCTGAAGCTCTTGCAGATCAACACGCTGAAAATATATACAGGGCCAAGGACTCTCAAAACATCACACGGGGTACTAAGAACATATATAGGCACCATACCTGCTGTGCCCACATTCTCAGCTACGGCCGCCTCAGCGTTGGCCTTGGTTTCTGCAGGCTGTGAGCCAGCTTCAGAGCCGCCATATCTAGCAGTGGCCTTCTTGAAGAGGGCGTCCACGTTGATGGGGGACCTTGGGGCCTGCACACATGACATATTCTAATTACAACTGTTTTGCAAATCCTGGTTGATTGCAGAAATACTGAAGCATCCTCAGAACAGGCCAACGCCCTTGCTCCTGTTTGTACAATCAGTCGGCAAGGTGGCACAAGAAGTTTTGAAAATCCTGAAAATTGGTACACATGTACGCACAATTGTATTTCAAGCTCCACGCATAGATGTCACTAATCTATGAGACCATCAGTATGCCATGCACCCACCTCTTCATCGGGCTTTGAGGGGGCGGGAGACTCAGGAGCAGCAGAAGAGCCATTTCCTGGCGCCGCATGACCATTGGTTGCAGCTGAGTCGGTCTGGGGCTGTCTGGCGGGCTCGCTGCGCTCCTCTGCTGTGGGGCCCTTGCTGAGGGTGGCAGCTGCGCTCTCCACAGACCTGCCCTCCTCAGGAGCACTCTGCAAAACACAAGACGATTTGTCGAATCGGTCATTCTCAACTGAATGGCTTTCATGATATTTGACATGCCCCCACTACCCAGGTCGGGAAACTCCCAGATAACGTGGCAACTGTGCATTATACAGTCTGCACATGGAATGTGTGCTTGGAGAGCAGAAGCATTGTTGCCAACAGACGAGCGCTGACAGCTGCATTTGCCAAAGCAAGATTCAATACCGAGCAGGGCGCTGGGGGCATACCTGCAGACGCTTGACCAGGGGCAGAAGATCCTCGGCCATGTTGGCAACATCATTGTCCGTGAAGTGCGCCACGCGCTCCTGGAAGATTGCACCTGTGCATGCCAGACCAACTCACAACATGGTCGTGTGACCCAACACTTTCCCGTGTGACTTCATTGCATCAATTGCTCATCTGTAACATCCTATTGGCGACCCTTGCGATTGGAAAAACGGAGTGCGTCATGTCCATGAATGACAGCTGCATGTATGGCGGTGCTTACCAATTCTAGTGTGCAGATTGTCCTCTGTAAAGCCTTCCAGCACCGACATGTCCAGGTCTGGCTTCTGGTTCTTGAGGATGTTCAGCTGCCTGAGCGCATGCCGCTGTTCCTGTAACATCAGACAATAGAACGTTGATGCCATACACATCACAGTCTTAATTGATTGAGAAACGTGTGCCTGCAGCATGCACGGAGATTGCCTAACCAGCAATAGGGTATCTACTAGAGTTGAGACCGCAAATGACAAAATGAAGAAGGTCTCACAACATTCTCAAATGCCATGACGGAAGCAGCACGAGAGCACAAATAACTTACATCGCCTGCATCTGCCAATGCTGCAGTAGTGCTATGTGGTTGATTTTGGGCTTGATTCCTTTGCTGCTCATATGCGCGCTGCTCCGCGAGCAGTGCGTTCACCCTCGCATCCTCTGCACAAGGTTAAACATGTCAGTGGTAGCTTCCAACTTTAATATCGATATTGTAGTAGCAGAACGTGCATCAAGCCAAGCGAATGGACACGGCCTGGTGAGACGAAAATGGTCAATCCATACATTGAGAGAAGGACATACCCTCTGCGTGACGGATCTCGAGATCGTCCTGCACGCTCTTGAAATCTTCGTCACCGTCCGCATCCTCAAAATGTTCCTCTGTGTCGTGGCTGTACTCATAATCCTGGTACCCCAAACAACTTGTCACCTGATAAGGTTGCTGAATATGCACTGCTGTTACACCAACATATGGTCCCACTGGAACATGCTGAAAGAGAGGAGCTCACATCATCTGTCCGGTCGCCACCATCTCCATCTTCTGAAGGATCCGAGAGAAGCACTTCTTCATCACTGCATTGCGACGCCACAAACGAGAGTCAGACAAAAATTGTCAACTCACGGCAATCCTGCACGTTTTCTGTGCAGGAAAGACTCGATCGATACACAGATACGAAGCCAGCGGCTAAGATATTTCAATACAGTCCAATCGTGCAAGTACTAGATACAAGCTGTAAAGATGTCGGGTGCTGCAGCGCCATGCAACCCACCTGTCCTCATAATGATCGTGCAAACCTGCGACCACATTACACAATATCATTTAACAGGCATGCTTTTGCATCGTTGCCAGGACATGGCGTAAAAACCAACGTAGTCACAATGCAAATTCTCACCGTGGTTCACTTCGCTGTGAACGGTCGCCATGGTGTCCGAGTTAGATCAACAACAATTAACAAGGTTGATTGCTTCAAAAGTTTCCCAGGATATCCCAAGGAAGCCGCCGGAATATGTGCACATTGCTGTCGCTGGGGGCCTGGGCAGGCTATCCAAGCCTCATCCACGTCGTGAGTCACCGCTCGCGTAACTCAGCGCCCGGCTGCTGGGCCTCTGTCTCAACTTCGAGAATTGTGAGCACTTCTCAACATTCTCAACGTTGTTGGTCTCATCGATGGTAGTTGTATTGTAGTTTATAGCCAGCATTCACACTTTGTGAAGGTCTGATCAGTTCGCGCACAATAGCAGCACCCACTAATAGCAGGGATCCTTGCAACAAAGATCTGGCGTTTCGCAGCCGTGGTTCTGTCTGATTGGATCTGATTGAATAATCGTAAGTGTCAGTATCACAAGTAGCATAAGTACTACGAAGCCTGCGAGCTGAGGCTGCTGCAGCTATTGTGAGCCCACCTGTGATAAGGTGCTAAGGAAATGGGGGCTAAACGGACCAAGGCGGAAGACAATCGGAAGCCCAAACATTCTAGGGATGCAAACAGACCTGCCAAGGGCGCAAAAGAACAGCGAGATGCATCCACGGTAAGCTTTGATACGTGCCACCCCATTGTAGGCGCGACGCCTCTTCGTTATCTGACTGTAAACTCTATCTCTTGGGTTGGGGAGGCTTTGAGTTCGTTTACGAGTGGCATTAATGCTTGGTGCAGGTTCGCCGCCTCAAGATGTACAGCAAGACTGCCAAGCGTGACAAGAAGGGAAAGATTTTGCACCAGGTAAGACCTCGGTAGATTCTTGACATGGGATGCTCTTGCTTTCCAAGCACAAGAATGTATGCCACCTCGCCGTGGCAATCTAGCGGCAGCTCCTGTTGCTCTCAGTTGCTGAACAGTGGTTGGATCATTTTCTTGTTCTCGGCTGAACGAAGGTCCTCGATGTGAACAATCGAAAACTCACCAAAATTCAGATCCTGAAGCTCATCCTCTCTTTGTGTCCACACAGGAGTTTCAATCAAAGGTGCTGCCTCAAACAAGGATCCAGCCAGACCGCCGCTGGTTTGGCAACACCCGCGTCATCGGCCAGAAACAGCTGGAGCAGTTCCGCGATGAAATGAGCGCCAAGGTGTTCTTTTCTGCCTCTGCCTTTGTCTGAATGGGATTGCATCAAAGCTTGCTGTGGAACAGGGGGAAACTGTGTGGGACTGTGCAACATACATGCAATTGTTACATTCCTGCAAAAAACAGACTTAAAGCGTCCTGCACAGTGAGACTTTTTGTACGCAGAGGGCAGCATGGGGGGTACCTGTGAGTACACTAAGCTGAGGGTTCCATTGTGTGCAGGTGAATGACTCATACACCGTGCTCCTGCGCGAGAAGAAGCTTCCGCTGGCTCTGCTGGAGGATCCTGAGGCGGCTGCAAAGACCGGCCGCAAGGCGGCGCGCGCGAGCCTCACAGCCGCGCACCCATTCGCGACCACCTTTGGCGCCAAGCAGACGCGCAAGCGGCCCAAGCTGGCAGCCGAGACATACGGCGACCTCGTTGGCAGCGCAGCCCAGACCAGCGCCAAGTGCGAGCTGTTGCCCTCCTATTCCTTGCTCTGCCATCATCAGTCTGGTTTTCCTGACTATTACAGTATGTGCCCATTAATGTGGTCACGTGACATTCTCCATCTTTACCATTTGGGGGTTGGCGCAGGCTGCCGAACTGTGCGATTTGCAGATTTGGTTAGTCTTTGGCAATGCTTGAAGTGACTGACATTGTGGTGTGGTCTGTGACTAGCTTTCATTGCTGGGTGCAGATATGATGAGAAGGTGGAGGGCGAGGCAGAGGGGGAGTTTGAGGGGACCAGGATAGCCGCCAGGGAGAAGCTGTTTGACAAGGGGCAGTCCAAGCGCATCTGGGGCGAGCTCTACAAGGTCATCGACTCTTCCGACGTCGTCGTGCAGGCACGCTCCTCCTTTCGGCTCTCCTCAATCTTGCAGTCTTGCTCTGCAGGTAGTGAGGCTCCTCAGAATGTAGGGTCTTTCTGGCAGCAACAGCACACAACGTGTCACCTTTACCTCGACGTGCTCTACTCTACATATCTCTTTTTTAGACCTGCAGGGCATCCTCTCTTGTAGCAGCTGACCTGCATTGACGACCTTCCATGGTATGGCCTTGTGCAATGGGAAATTTACATCCAATTACTTCTTTGGTGTCGGCTCTGACAAAGTTCTCCGTCGTTTGATGGGGCTGCATGTGCGCACAGGTGCTTGATGCTCGGGACCCGCTGGGCACGCGCTGCACATATCTGGAGCAGCACCTGAAGAAGAACGCGCGGCACAAGCACATGCTGCTGTTGCTCAATAAGTGCGACCTGGTGAGTGCGCCTCACTGTAGCAGCTCATGGAACATCCCTGGGACACCCTGTTTGAACTACTAAGACGCTTTTTATCCAGACCCCAGGCTTGAACTGTGGCATTCAAGGCTGAGGCGTAGTCGACATAAAGATTGCTTGAAGAGCGCTGCTGATAATGCATGTTATCACATAAAGCCAGATGTGGGTGTTTCAGGTCTGTAGAAGCGCTACTCAGAGTGTAATCTGCTCTTTGTGCTTCGCAGGTGCCGGCATGGGTGACGAAGCGATGGTTGAAGCATCTCAGTGCAGACTTCCCCACGCTGGCTTTCCACGCCAGCATCACCAACCCCTTTGGCAAGGGCAGCTTGCTAAGCCTGCTGCGCCAGCTGTCGCGCCTGCGGTCCGACAAGAAGTTCATCTCTGTCGGCTTTGTGGGCTACCCCAACGTTGGCAAATCCTCTGTCATCAACACCCTCCGCACCAAGAAGGTGATTGGCATGTGCTTGAAGCTGAAAACTTTTTATCTGACTTTTGATGATGGATTACATGTTTTGCTGCAAATGTTGGACCTTGCAAGTGGGAGAAGGTTTGCTTTGTGTTGTTCCTAGGCAGATCGTATGAGGCCATCTGCGCAGCCTTTGCTGAGCTTGAATTATGTAGTCAGAGTGAGGTTTGCTTGACGCATTGTGTGTGCTGGTGGACAGGTGTGCAAGGTGGCACCGGTGCCAGGTGAGACAAAGGTGTGGCAGTACATCACACTGATGAAGCGCATCTTCCTCATCGACTGCCCCGGAGTCGTCTACAACAAGACAGACGACTCCGAGACGGACGCTGTTCTCAAGGGCGTAGTGCGCGTGGAGAACCTGGTGAGCCAGAGTTCTTGGCTTCAGCTTTTGTGGTTACTTCCAATCTGTAATCGGCCTTCCCTGTAAGAGTGAGAGTGTGCAGGCAGGCACCTCTGGTGTTTTTGAACATTTATTGCATTGCTTCTTATGGACTGTTGGCTTGTTGATTGTTTATCAGGAGGCTGGCAAAGGAGTTCTGTTGATACTAAAAACTGCATATTATGTTTTGCTGCAGGCTGATGCCACGGAACACATCAAAGCAGTCATTGACCGGATCAAACCCGAGTATCTGGTGCGCATGCTGCACGCTACATCCCAAATTGCAACTTGCGTTTTCTGGTTGGCCTCTTGTGTTGTGTAATCTCGCTTTTTGCATCTGTGGTGCTCGAGAAAAAAGGAACAGACTCATATTAATCAGCTGCATCAGACCTCAAAGACTGCTCTCAAAAGGGGTTGTCTACCATGCTTGTGTCAGCGTCTGGGCAGTTGGAGAAGGCGTGCTTATATATTTCTCACTGTTTTTAATCTTGCATGCTGGTGCTCAATTGTTGCATCCTGTTTCTGCAGCGGCGGGCGTACAAGGTGCGCACCTGGACGGACGCGGAGGACTTTTTGACCAAGCTGGCGCAGGCGAGCGGCAAACTCATGCGCGGCGGCGAGCCCGACCTCAACACCGCCGCCAAGATGGTGCTCTACGACTGGCAGCGCGGCAAGATCCCCTTCTTCCGGCTGCCGCCCGACTACCTGCCCGATCCGCCTGCGCTGCCCGCTGCCGGCCGGGACGCTGACGTGGCTGCCAGCCCAGCTGCTGACGCGGCCGCAGGCGCTGCGGCGGTGGCAGGCCCTTCAGATGACCAGGTGATCCTGATTTACCAGCCTATGTACTAGGTATGGTATCACACCTGTAGGATCAGGCGCTCTGGCGGCCGATGATGACTCACATTGTCCGTACCATCTGATGCACCCTGAAGACATCCATTCGTGGAATCTCGTTAGCCTGAGGCCCCAGAGCTGCCATATTGGTTTATGTGTTCCTCTTTTACCCGAAGCTTCATTGTGTCTATCCATATGGCATCAATTCAAATCGCAACTTGTGATTAGTGCTGCACATTGAACATGCTTCCTCTCCAATACATATTTTCAGCTGTGAACTGTTCCTTGTCGGAAAGTCCCATGCATCTCAACCACCAGGCTGTATGCTATCAACAGCAGCTCGGCAAGGTGATGCAGAGAGCAACCGTTGCGCCCCTCGAACCTGGCACTCTTTTGTGCCAGGGTGTTCTGCACCCCTCACTTCACGTGTTGGGATGCAGCCAGAGGAGCGCGCACATTTTCCGCCACAATATCCAGTCCTACAATCGCATGAGCCGTGCGTTGTCATGTCTTACGGTGATGTGGCAAGTGCTAACTTGTTGGAAGCTGCATGTGCAGGGTCCTGCAGCAGCAACACAGGAGCCAAATGATGCTGAGGCGCGAGCGGCAGCTGAAGCGGAGGCGGCGACGCGCGCGGCTGCGCAGGGGATGGCTGAGCGGCAGCGGCGCATTCCTGTGCGCGAGGGCTTCTACCTGCCGGAGGACGCTGAAGCAGACGGCGGGGCAGCAGCAGCCGCCTCGGAAGGTATGTAGATAACAGCTGCTGCACACTTGTTTTGAAATGTCTTGTCAGGCAGATGTCTGCTCCTTTGACTTTGCGCACTTGCTGGCATAAGATATATCAGTCGTGCACATGGGCAGACAAAAAAAAGGGTATTTATACCTGCAGCCAGGCTTTCTGGATGGGAGCTGCAGAGTATTGAGAGTGTTTATGTTCGCAATGCAGGCGATGCTGACAGCGATGCCGTGTCATCCGATGAAGAGAATGCAGACGAGGGCTCTGATGCCCAAGAAGAAATCGAGGACGCAGAAGATGAGGGGGATGCATCCGCTGAGGTGCGCTGACTCACTGTCCATGTTGCCCAACTTTATTTTTTGCATGTTGTGGTGCTTGCGTGTGTTGGTAAACTAAACGCACAATAGCAATTTTGTGACTTATGCTCGCAACAGAAGTTGAGATCATGGTCGGTTTTTGTGGTGCAACAGAGGAGTCAGGAAGCTGGGGCGTCTGGTGATGATGATGACAGCGACGCAGATAGTGATGGCTACGGTGAAGAGGGGCTTTCGTGGGAAGCAGTCATGGAGAGCCTAGAGGTGCGGGGACTCGTCTGGGGTCTTGTTCTTGCATTCGCTTTCGTTGGAAGTCTCAATATGTGCTGAATGTATTCCCTGATGTGTGATGCCCTGGTGCAGGTGGCAAAGAAGCCTGATGAGAAAGCTGAGCAGGAACAAATACCAGCAGTTGTACCAGAGAAAGGTAGGAAGAGTAAGAAGCGCAAGAAGATGGCTCGATGAGACATGGTGTACAGCTGTACACTGCTGAGTCGTCACAATGCATGGTGTAATGGTCAGGAGATTAACATTTTGTCTGTCAATGTATATTAGAATGCATGAAATTGCATAATTCTTAGAGAGGAGTGATTCAGAGCACATGTGTTGCTGTGACACTGTCACTGTGACAGCATTGATTGCGCACTGTTGCGGAGCCAATTCAATTGCGCTGTATTAAGATATTTGCCAAAGATACATTTTGGTGCATGAAGGAGCGATGTACTTGAAAGACTAGAAACATTCTTGTGCATTTACATGCGCCAGGCAGGAAAAAAACTATTTCCCCAAAGCAATCGCCATTTTCCTTTGCAATGATCTGATCCCAGCATCCATATGCATGCAGTGCTATCATGCTCCACCCTCAGGGCCATGGCAGCCCTGTTTCAGGTGTGGCAGTCATATGTCTGCATGGCATGGGATGAGCCGTATCAGTCAATCTCCAACGTCCTCATAGCGGCACTTTGTGAGCCTCTAGAAGGGCCACAGGATGTAGGGCCCCATCACGAACAAAGTAGCCACTGCCCCTTTCGAGACATAGCTGATGACCTTCTGCAAGGCCCACACAGAGCTGAATGTCAGCAAATCTTCCAAGCAGGCTAAAGCTGTGAGCAGATACATTTACTGTGGTGCAGGACACCGCAATTTCTGTTTGTGATTAGCACGATTTGCAGGTCATGCTGATGGTTCACCTTTCGGATGCCCAGGTCGACCTCAGGGTCGTTGATGGCCTGCATGCCAGTTCCATCCACGTCCCAAACGCCGGCCTGCAGGATACAAGAGTCCTTTCAAATACCTTCATACAATCTGTTGAGAGAGAGAGTCTCAGAATTCATGCTAAACAACAAGCTCCTGCCCTGGGACTTTGCCCTGGGACTTGAATAGGAAGATCTGAATCTCAGAATGCACTGTGCTGCACAGTCCCCACCAGCACTGCAAAGTCTGCAGAGAGCAAACCTGCATGTCTGTATCTGCATTGGTATTCTTGCAGGCCTCATGTGAAGATCTCATATATCCAGGTGGTGTGATGTGGGGCGCACCAGGGCTATGGATCAGAGGCCAGAGACGCCAGATGCAATCTCTGCCGCGCCAAGGAAGAAGGGAAGCAGCAGCCATGCACGCTCCAGTGGGTGCGCGTGCAACTTTGCTGCTGTGAACATCGCCAGAATCGTCACCCCCTGCACCACATCACAGGCATGTAAATAAGGATGAAGAGCCTCTGCATTCTGCGTTCCCGTCAGAGCACATGCTGACATGGAGGAACTATATCTCTGATGTGACCTCCTTTTCAACATTCGCCATCCCTGGAGAGTGTTTCCATTGGTCCTGGTCATGACGAGGGGGGCATTTCCAAAACAATACATATAGCAGCAACATCAGACTGTCTGCAGCTCCCAGCCAGATGATAGGTCCATGCTTGGATGATGCTCATTGCACAAGTCACACACGGGTGCTCCGTGTTTTCAAAGCTCGAAACGAAGCTCACCGACAGTACGCTCCCAAGGATAATCCTGCGTTTGCGCTCAGGAGGATCGATGTTCACCAAGTCTTTGGCTGCAGCTGCGTATGCCCTTTGTTTGTCCTCCTCAGAGGGCTGCACAAGAGAAAGCCAGCGTCAAACCTGCCCCTGGCTCTTTGTGTCTCTTGAAGACAATTGACAAGACCCTTACATTGTGAGCGCACATGTGAAGGGCTGAAGAGTGCCATGCCTGGAGCCTGTGTAATTTGCAAACATACCTTTGGCAGGTCCTTGCGCAGTGGCCATGTTATGCCAAAAACATCTTTGTAGCCCTCGTTAGGCTTGAAGAACACCTGCACTCAAGCACCACAAGCAACGCTGCAGGCAGCTTTCCTCTGTAGTATTGGCAGTGATGATCCAAGCAGATCCGAAAATTAACGATCATCTACCTCCCACAACAAGGCAGTACATTCTATGGCGAAGATGAAAAAGCACCTCCTCACCTTCCAAAGCTCTGTGACCTTTTCGGATGGCCAGGTCACTTCATTGTCTCCTTTCAACTCCTTAGTCCTGCACATGAAAGAACGGTTCAATTCATTGAAAAATGTGTTGCACAACTTCTGAGACAAGCAAAAGCACTTTTGACAACGGGAAGCTGTCGATGGCATCGAGGCACGGCCAGATCACCTGTCTCCTAGGAAATCTTCCAGCTGTGTATTGGTCTCCAGGCCAGCATCGTATGCCCACTGAGAAATTTTCTTTCCTACATCAATACCGGGGGTGTCGTTCTTCTGGGAGCGCGCTCGCCAACTAGATGGCGCGGGCTTCCTCTTTCCTGTAATGCATTTTGGTACTAGAGGACGACTGCTGCCGTTCAAATGTATCCTTGAATACAGCGATGTCATTATCCTTCACTCTTTCCTTACAGTACTGACCCAATGTCCAATTGGAGAATTTTTGCCCATCCCTGCCCTGTCGAAATTCGGAATTTTGGGCGACGTGGCCTGCTCCGAGGAGGCCGAACCAAAAATAGATACGCCTAAATGCAACTTTTCGAACTCCGCTTCCTGTTGCTCTGATATATTTGGGCTTGGGTATCAAGGAGTAGAGATATACAATCACTTTCAGTCGGGTCCACGCCATAGCCCTCCTCAAAATCCGACACAGATCACTTGATCTGCAAGAAGCGATCTTTCATCAATCCGGCCATTTACACAATCCTTCACAATTTTCGAGCGGTAGAAGCTTTTATATGATGAATGGGACCTGCAAACTGGGAGGGAGGACAGCTGGTTCGCCTTGCCTACTATTGCAGCAGGGGAGGAGTGGACCTTTTTGTGCGAGCCAGCGAGGGAGGCAAGTTCTGAGGCCAGTATGCAGGGCAACAAAACCTCTCAGAGCTCCTGGATCAGAATCAAATTTCACAGGATTGCCCTCAAAGAAGGAGGACATCCCCATAACATCCCCGACCAGCTCCAGCAAGGAGATGCAGGTACTGGACCATCAGAATGTTTGAAAAACTGTATTATCTTGTTTACCATTGTTCCCTGTATCTCCTATATAAACCCTGATTACTGCTCTGTTGAATTCAGCTGCAGTTCTACTACTGGGATGCATGTGGTGCTTCTGTACTTGACTAAGGTGCAGCTTGGCATCTGATGCAGGAACATCTGGATCTGGTTCGGTCAGATTTCCAGTACGTCTTCAAGGACATCATGGACCTAGAACACTTTGAGGAGCGCATGTTCTTCAGCGATCCCATCAGCAAGTTCACTTTTTTCAGAGGTCAGGCATGCACCAGTATGGCAGTGTGCCCCATCTGAGTAGCTGCAATTGCAAGTGGCTGATCTGCTGAAGTGATGCTGTATTGCAGGGTACCAATTTAACGTACAATTTCTGCGATATTTTCTGGCGCCTATTTATGAGCTGCATGAGGTCAGACAGGTGCGTCAATTGCACCCGTTGTGGCCAGATCCTCAGCTGCACTCTGACTGCACAATGACAGAGTATTTGTTGCAGCTTCAGCTGCTGCCAAGTGCATAGTCTTGTAGACACTTGTTGAGCTGCACAAAGATTCAGAGCTGAGTCCTGTGTCAGTCTAGAGGCTTTTGAGTGCAGAGGGTCTGTAATAAGGGTGTTGAGCAGCAAAAAGCACTCTTGTTGGAATCACAGAAGTGCATGAGAGTGTGACTGCCTGTTCAGGCTGGGGAGAATGCTATTCTGGTGAAGTGGAGCTGGACAATGAACTTCTGGTGGAACAGATACAACCCCTTCAAATTTATCTGGGACCCGCGCCTTGTCTTCTCCGGCTTCACAGTACTGGGCTTTAACCCAGACACAGGTGCTGTCAAATACGCTCAAGCCCACTGATAATTTGTTGGCAGTTGTGTGTACCTTTCCCTTTCGCATGTGCGCCATGCATGCATGCCAAAGTGCTAGAGCATGAGTACCCGCACACATGCACAGTAACAATTGGTTGCGCACAGGAAAGTGGAACAAGCACATCGATGGATGGGACTGCTTGGAAGACCAGGAGTTCTTCAGCATCGAGGGATTTGCCTTTGTGCTCCGTCAAATGCTGCAAGTGTCCAAGCCACCGAACAGGCTGACCCCAGAGTTCTGCATCCTGAAGAAATACAAGGACTGGGAGATCCGCAGGTTTGACCAGCCGCAGCATTTGGTAATAAAAGCACTGCCAGTCTTTTGCCCCTGGCACAGGTATTGTAATAGAAACTTACTGTTTTCTTTATGCAGGTACAAGCCTTTCCTCGTCGCTGAAGTGTCAGCAGATGCGGCTTCTGAAACGGAGGCTGAGGAAACCTTGCGAGAATATTTGCGCGGACAGAACAGCTTGGATCTGGCCTTGGAGCGCACAACGCCTCTCTTCAGGGAAAGTTCTGGGGAGCTCTACTTCATGCTGCCGGGCTACCAGGTATGTTGTGTTGTCGCTGCTTTGTGGGGGTTGGGGGCCATTGGTTGGCAGCTGTGACATTAGAAGACCTGCCATTCTATGCAGAGGAGCAACTGCAGTACTGTGGTACACTTTGGTACATCAACCGGTGGGCGGAAATCGGGGACTACTAAGTAGGTGGGAGGTAATTTAGTGTCATGCCAATCAAGCACCAGGCATTCATATAGGTCTGTTGGTCTAGTTTCAAATCCTTCTTGTCAGTAGCATCTGAGCCCTCATTTCTTCAATACTGACAAGTGTGTCTGTTGTGCTGCCAGGAAGTGGAGGAGGCGCCGTCCCCCACAAACAAAGCCGTGAAGCTGCGCATGCATCCGGGCGGCTGGTTTGCCGCAGGTGAGTGCATTAGATACTCATTATAGGGAGAGGCTGGTACTGCTGTCCTGCTTATCAACACAAGCAATGCGCTGCAGATGAACACAAAGAACAGTCGCTAGTGTGCACACTGCCCAGAGTTGTCTGCTGAAATTAGTTGTGAGCCGGCTTCAGGCCGAGAACAATAATATGTTCATGCAGGACTGTGTGGCGGCGTGCTATCTGACAAGGACGTTGAGAGGCAAGCTGAATTTATCAGGGCACAGGCAAAGTGCGAGGGGAGCAACCCTATTGGGGACGCATGGTTACATGCGCGCTACAATGAGCCTAAGTGGCCGCGGGGCCCCTTTCGCAGGAATGATATCATGTTGCAGCTTGAAGAGAGCAGCATTGAGCTTTGGCGTGGTGTACCCTGGAAATTCATTGACAGAATAGTTGCTCTGAAGGTCTAGGAATTTTGTTCAAGAAGATGGTAAGATTGGGAGACCATCCTGATAGGTTGTCTTGGTCACTGTCGAATCTTTGAGATGGACCGACTTCAGCACAACATATTTGAGGGAGGGTCATGCTTTGGCTTTTCAAAGCAAATATATCTAGATAGACTGTATATAACAATGCATTTAAACGCGAGTATGATCACCTTTGCAGGAGTTGTCGCAATGTCTTGCATTGCTTCTGCAGATATCGTAATTGTTGGAATCATCTATGATGATTTTGAATGTACACTGCCTGGAATTTGCTGCCGTATGTCACAACATTTCAATTAATACCAGCCAAGCTCATGTGCACGTCATGTCACAGCCGCACATGCTTCGCATGAAATAACGCACCCATGCGGACATCAAAAACGAAAAAACCCTGTGGCCCTCGGAATCGAATCCGTGACCTTTCGCATACAATACACTGCGCAGTCAACAACCCCCAAGCACAGTTGACATTTTACAGCTCTTTTAGGGTGTAGGGTTGTGCTTATTTTTTAGGGTAATTTTGGTTTTAGGGTTTAGGGTTTAGGGTGTAGGGTGTAGGGTTCAGGGGTCAGGGTTCAGGGTTCAGGGTTCAGGGTTTAGGGTTTAGGGTTTAAGGTTTAGGTTCAGGGTTAAGGGTTTAGGGTTAGGGGTTAGGGGTTAGGGGTTAGGGTTCAGGGATTAGGGTTTAGGGTTTAGGGTTTAGGGTTTAGGGTTTAGGGTTTAGGGTTTAGGGTTTAGGGTTTAGGGTTTAGGGTTTAGGGTTTAGGGTTTAGGGTTTAGGGTTTAGGGTTTAGGGTTTAGGGTTTAGGGTTTAGGGTTTAGGGTTTAGGGTTTAGGGTTTAGGGTTTAGGGTTTAGGGTTTAGGGTTTAGGGTTTAGGGTTTAGGGTTTAGGGTTTAGGGTTTAGGGTTTAGGGTTTAGGGTTTAGGGTTTAGGGTTTAGGGTTTAGGGTTTAGG